CAAGCAAAAATAAAAGGCAATCAAAAAGGGTAAAGCCTCCCAAGGTATTTTGAAAGGATAAAGAAGCAGAAGAGAGGAAAGAAAAACCTGCCCAGCACCTCTTTAGACGACACCGTCCTTTTTTTATCCCTCACAGAGAAACAAGAACTCCCCGGCCCAGGCCAGCCATTGAACGAGCACAAAGTTGTCGAGTTAATCAGAGCCGTCAGTCATATATATTCGTAAGATCCATGCCACATTTCCCGGAGTCGATTCATTCAATGCCTGTCAATCGGGCCCAGCCCGTCCGTTGACATATTTTCAATTTTTTTTTTTGAGGTTTGTTTTCACGCCTGATGAGACAGCGGCAGACCGTGGGGATGTCCAAGAGAACCTGTGCGGAAGGGGAGCGCTCTTTGATCCATGGGAACATGAGCATGGTGCGAAGACATGTCGTGCAGCTGGGCAGGCGAGGCCATAGGCATGTGGTAGGGCATTGCCGGTGGAGGAAGTGCATGGCCGGAGCCCGGGGTCCCATAATCGATGGGGCTGAAGATGTTCTGGCGGAAGGTCGGTGTCGTCCACGAGTCATACTGGCCGGTGCGCTGAAGCTCAGGCGTGGAATTTGGGAAGGGATTGGTGGCAGGGTAGTCGAAGACCGATGCCTCGTGCGGGCTGATCATCTCCGCACTCACAGGGGTGCTGAGCATGGCCTGGGACGAGAAAGAGTCGGCATAATGAGGAGGCGTGGTGTAGAATGCGCGATCATGTCGGCCAGCGCTCTCGAAGTTGAGCGGCTCTGGGACAGAGAAGAGATGGCGGTCACTACCCGGGATATGACGAGCGGACATGGCGTCAATGTGTGTTGTAAGTGGTGCAGATGACTGCTCGACCGATGATGTCGGCGTCAGCAACCCTTCTTCGACATGTTCTGGCTCTTCGATGGCAGAAGAAGGAGCCTCGCCGGACTCTTCGTCCTCATCACCCTTGGGACTAGGCCCACGGTTCATGACATAGACAACCATGTTGGCATCTGAGCACAGATTAGTTCAGGTCCAACGGCAAGCAACCGTGTTATACATACCAACTTCACCGCGCTCAAAGCGCTCCTCCATCTTTCGCACCCGGAGGATCTCATAAATGATTTCGACATGCGAAGGGTGCTTCAGGCTGCGCTTGGTGTCGCCAGCGACTTCCTTCAGTTTGTCGGCGGTGATACCATGGTTGCCGAGCTTGCGGACAATGTGAAGCAGGAGCTCAATGCGATCTATATTTACGTTAGATTGCGCCTAGTAGCGGATAGTAATAGGGGGAGACATACACTCTTTCCTCAAGTGGTCGGGCTCCTTGTGCATAACACCCGGGGGCCACCATTCAGGCTTGGTCTTTTCAGGATCGCCCGTTGTTCCGGGGGCTGATCCTGGCGGAGCCTTACCCCCGTTGTAAGGGTGTCTCACCTGCTTGCGAGGCTCGATGAACTTGATAAAGGCCTTGGCAACCATGCGACAGTTGAGCTGCTGGAAGTGCTTGAGTGCGCCTTCGTAGTACCCGAGGACCTTTGGAGTGTCACCGATGCGAAGGGGGACCATCTCTGACGATCCATGAGAGGAAAAGTCCTCACTGTCGGATACCTGTTCAGGCAGACGTTCATCAGAGGGAGAGGAACTGTGGAAATCTCCCTTGCGGCGCCTCACCCGGCGAGGTGATGCTTCCAAGGTGCCTGTTTTGAGCAGTCGGGTTAGCCAGGGACTTTGCAACAGTGCAACTAACTCCTGGGGTACACTTACGCCGGACAGGCTGCTGGTAACCAATTCGTTCGCCGAGAATTTCCAAGAAATTCTGGCGGACCTCCGGGGTGAAGATGGTCGAATTCTGCTCCTTGATGGATGCAGACTCGTCGACCTTCAACTTGCCCTCGTGGTCGAGGTAGATGAGAGCGTAGTGCGCATATGGAAGACGAAATGACGAGCGCGAAGAAGCCATCATGGGCTGCAGGTGCTGGATGGTTAGCCTCAGTAGCCCAGAGCGTGTTCTCAAGGCAGACTCACTGGAGCAACGTCCCAGCCTGGTGAACCGTCGTGGAGGGCAGAAGCAGACCGCTTCATGCCTGCTGCTGGAGATGGTTTATTGTAAACCATTTTGTTGCTGGAGCAAAAGAGATGCTCTTTGGCGATCGCTAGATCTGTGGCACAATTGAAATGGATGGCGAGGCGATAACCATCCAACAAGAGGACACAGCCTCGAGATAAAAAACCGTTCTCTTTATAGAACAGAGATCTACTGGCTGAGGATGGAGCAGGGTTAGGCTTGCTCTAGTGCACTTTGCAATACCTAACGGCTGGTAGTCAGTATCCTGATACTCGGCGGCTTCCCAGGGACGACGGTCCGCTAAGACAAACGGGACAGGACGGAGGGCTCACCTATAATGCTAGGCAGGGAGACTGCAGCGAGATAGATGTTCGCAACCGACGACAACAATGCAGGAACAAGAGGGAGAGCTCCACTGGTTTGTGATCCCAACCCCAGGTAGGTAGTACAAAGTCGGGAGGGAATGGTTGGATACACAATTGCCCCAGACAAAGAGGAACCAGAGCAGTGGGTCAGATGGAGGGACAAGAATTGAAAGGATGGACCAGGGAGGAGAGGGGATGGGAACTGGGATTTAAAATAGAGATTGAATCTAGGCCAGCAGGACAAAAGCACAACCATCAAACACTACTGTGCCACCCGCAAGCATGGGTGATCCTGGAGCTTTCTGATCGAAAATGCAGCATCATGCAGCCGGACTGGCTTGTCCCGATCGAGCATTGATCCCTGTTCCAACTATTTTGCAGATCTTACTTGACATTACGGCCTGACAAGTCCTGCTGGATCCCTAGTGTCATAAACCCCACCGACCGGGGGGGACGGCTTCCGGAACGCCATAGACTGTCACTTGCTCTAGACTGTCCTTGATCATCTCGGGATCGGGCGCCTCCATTGGCCCACATAGTCCGCATAGTTCCTCGGCTTTCTTTTCTACCTGGGTGGTTCTTTGTTTGGGGGGTATTGTTTAGCCCTAAGCCGAGGGCAAACCCGCCTCTCTGCTGCTTGACGGCGCCTCCGATCTGTAGTCTACATGGGCTGGCCAGCCAGGCACAGCAATTTTTTTTAAAAATAATCTATTTATCTTTGGCCGCACAGGCCCTGCCTTGCGTCGGAAAGGACCCACGGCCACGCTGTGTGGATAAATGTGGGTGCTATTCTTGCCATCGCAGATCAGTTCTCAGCATTCGGAGTTTCTGTGTGATGGGAGGCATTGATTCGTCTTTGGGCGGATAATCTGGGGGAAGGTGCTCCGCCGCACATTTGTACCGCTGGGCACAGCCATTCTTCGTGATCGGATCTGGCCGCAATGTGCCCCGGCGCTAGTTTGCAGTGACCACCACCAATGAGACTCGCCTGGCGCCCCCTGAGCCACTGGGCAAATCAAAGCGGCTGCGCGGCCCATGATCCTGGATCCTGGAATAATCTCAAGAAAGAAGTGGCACATAGGGCTTCTTCAGCTTCTGTCAGTCAACTGGCCAGTGCCGATCAGCGCTCTCAGAGCCTCGAACATGACAGCACCCGGGGTTTCAGCGACAGTGGGTTTCAGCTGAACCAGGAGCAACTAACTGCCACCATTGAACCCCTGAGGTCAGACCTCCCGAGGCAAAGAGACGAGGGGATAGAAAAAATATAAGCAAATCAGAAGACATCGGGCGTAAGCGATGGACACTAACTACGGAGCGAGTATCCGTAGGCGCGAATAGACAGAAGAAAAGAGCGAGGCAGGACGCTCTAGCACAGATCGAGACGCCTGAAGCATTTCGCCTTTAGGCGGATCAGAAGCCGGGTCACCAATGGATCGAGAAATGGATCGAGTCCTTCGTCCTAGGCCGAGTTAGCCGCCGTACCTTTGCTCTGCACCGATCCACTCCTTTGCTCGGCTGACAGCAATTACGTCGAGGACAAAGCAAACCCTGCCCCTTGGTCTGTGCTGGATGAAAGATTCCCGACGAAATGAAACCCAGACCCAAGAGAGTGTCACCGCGTTAATCTCCCGTCCCGGCGAGAGGCGGGGTGGGAGGCTTGCGAGGGTAGCAAGGCAACTGGTCCAGCGCCACATCGGGAACACTTCTTAAGATGTGATGTCGACATGCACCGGCCAGAAGCTGGATGCCTGGTATCTGCAAACCTTGTGTCCGTCTGATCGCGAGGCTAGCCTCGCTCGAGTTCGTGCATGCAACGCTTTACCTCTGAAAGACGACCAAGATCCCACGGTAATAAATTAGGGTTAGGTTGCGGGTGCAAGGCAGATCGCGTTTGAGTATTTGTCATTGTCTAAATATTCCCCGATCAGGAAGACACATGACTATGCTCTGCATGCCCAAAGTAATTGTCCCACAAACACACCAACAACGATGGTCTAACACCGGATCCTGCTCATATCTTCTGGGGTAATCCTCTTTGTTTGACATTTTTTTGTGCTCGACTGTTCTTCCTGCCTAGCATTGCTTTTTCGGGTATTATTGTAAGTGTCAGGCCGCCGTTGAGACATGACAGCGGCCCAAAAAATAAATTAAACAACGGGGGCGTGGCTAGTCCGTCATGTTTACGCCATACCACCATGGGGGCGGAAGGGCGATCATTTGCTTTTCAAATAGGCCTAGACTTCAAAGACGGGGGTTAAGATTAGTAGTGAATGGTGCAGTCCGCTCTGACCCCTGCCACACTATTGCTAGCAATGAGGGCAATCAAGCAAGCAAGCAAAGAACTACAACGTGGCCTGGTTCGCAGCTCCTCGATGCCACCACCGCTACAGGAGGTTATGACAGGGCCTGACAGTTAGAAGGCAGGCTTGGTCTGCTTATACAGATGCAGGGAAGCGCAATACAGGCCCAGGAAGAAACCCGTTGTGGTTCCCAACAATCACAATAAACACTTGATGGCAGGCCTTGGCGACCGGGTTCGAGGTGGATCGCCATAGGCAAACACAGGGGCTACAGATGGCCGTCGCCGATAACAGCGCCAGTTATTACCCGGTCGGCCGCTTTTGCCGCCATGGACAGAAAATAGAAAGTTTGCGGAGATGTTCGGAGATCGAAGTCACCCTGAAACTTGAGATTGAAACTTGGCGTTGAAGAGTAGCATACAATAGTGCCGTATAGTTCTTCCGAGCTAGATTCCCAATAGGCGATATGACAGGTGAGCACTGACATTTGGGCTGGAAGGGTATGTGGGGGCTAGAGCCCCCCCCTATTTCCTTTACATTATCTAGAATTGCTGCCTAAGAGCCTCCGTGAACTGAGGAATTTCAATTTGGCCGTGGATATGCAAGCGGTGTCTGTGCCCGAGCCTCTCTCCACTCCTGGAACGCTCGAGAATTTACCGGTTGGCTATACTCTGGAGACTGTATACATAAAGCAGGGCTTGGTACTTTGGGATAATTGCTTCATCACTCTTGCGGTCATGATATTCGGTCTCGTATCGATCGAGAGACGGCTGGCGAGGCCGGGGTCTGTTCGCAAGACTCTCGCCAGAAATCAAATACTTGACGCAATTTTGCTACAGTGCACTGGCATCAACAGCCCAAAGTACGGAGAGGCGGGCTGCTCTCATGACCAACGATCGATCGGATGATTAGGAGGTTAGGGGGAAGACGGAAACGAAGCAGAGACTGGAAACGATGTTCATGTTCTCGTCGTATTCCACCAAGTGTCATATACTCTATTTGAATCTTCGGGAAATCAAAGCGCAGCCCAGCGCACAGTCCCATGTAGAGTCCAACAGCCGCAGGCACGATCGATCAATGACGCACAGCGATCGAACGCTCATCGGACCGACAAACACTGGCATTGCGTCATGCAGTGGCCCTTGTTCGGGGGATGGAAGGGCCGATTCCGTGAGTGTCTAGCCGAGGGTCAGGGGTCCAAGGGTTCACGGTCATCTGGGCTGATGCGCGTAGTGGCAGCCCACGCTTGTACTTTTGTTCTAGGGATTGTGGTTGGCTGACGGGCAGGGCTTAAGCCTAGACCCTCCCCATTTCTGGGACGCGGCCCGGGGATGGCGGTCCGGCAGACTAAAGCTGTCAAACTCCACTTAGGGCATAGTGTCATGGGGCCGGTCCCAATGGGAGGGTCAAGGTTGGCAATCATACGAAAGACTGCCCAGGCACCATTTAGATGGCGGACTGTTTCAGTAGGCGACTGCGCCGTATGGCCGGTTTCCTGTATATGGATATGGGGGAACGAGGTAAAGGGGCAAGAACAATGGGTTAGTTGGCTTCCAGAAAAAAAATATCGTTGTGTTGGGGCTGGGACGGGCCGAGTATGTACCGCATTTCTCGCCTTCTGGATAGTTAGCCCTGACCCAACGACTGCACCTCTCCACGCTCGTTCACTACCCGCTTCCTTCCCGGCGCCGGTGCTTGCATGCAGTCTTGCCGCCATAGTGGATTGGTTGGCCTGCTTTGGAATCTACATAGTCGTACAGCGGCAGATGCAAGATTGGTTTCCGCAGTTCTTCAGGGCCGAGGCACGGCGTTCCTAGAGGCCAATGACAGCCTTAAGGATGCTGCTAGTCTCAGACAGCATACCGCCTTTCAACAAAATACCCGATAGCTATGGATACTAGCTCTCAGGCGGGCCTCTCGGCGCCGCATTGTCCGCGCTTGCCGGTAATTCGATATCACATCAATGCCGTCCACTGATTCCCTACAGTAGTTCAGCGAGTTGTTCTTGTTCTTGTCTTTTTGCATTTCGATGTGGGGTCTGTTGTCAAGTGGAGCCAGAGTTCAGTGATCGCTTGGCCTAGTGGCTCCGAGGCAATCAATAGCTCCAACCTTGTGTCGCATCCCTGTCGGAGAAAGAGTCCGCTTTTCTCTGTGTAACGTGGCCATTCATTGTTCGCAGTGTATGTCGCACGTCAACCACGCGAGTCGGAGCATTAAAGCATCAATATGCTCATTTATTTCCACCAAATCGAAATTAGCAGAGACAACTGAAAAGGGACGGGGTTGCGATGAAATCCTGTACTGCACATCACCGAGGAACACCGCCGAGGATCACTTACCCAGCTACCGGGATACGCTCGATGGGGTGTGGCTTGACTCGTCCCGGGGCAGTGGGCGCCCTGAGCACAACCGCCACATGTACACTTTGACCTCGGTTTCCCACGAACCACCCAGCTAGCGTTGCAGCTGATCTCTCAGGAATTTTTTTTGTGGTATCCTCTATTCCCCAAGCCCCTATTTGCCAGTCAGAAATAACGTAGTCCATCGCTGGCGATAATCTCGCGATCGCATGCATGCACTCACTTAGTGTTGGAGATGGATTGCGGGCAAGGACGAACGGATCCACCCATCAGGCCCGCTCACGGCGCGAACGAGAGGTTCCCCGGCCCAATACCATGCAGGCCTAGAAACCCCGGAGAACACCAGGCACGGAGATATTTCCTTAAATAGCGACTCTCGATCGTCCCTGGCGGAGATCTTCCGTCCGTGCTCTCGATCGGTGTGGCTGAATCTATTCTTCTTTGTTGTCATTGTGCTTGAATAGATCGCCCGGGTGTACACAATGCGTACATCCTTTTCTGATATCTATCCCTCCCAACCCAATGGGCGTCTGTTCCGGTCGTGGAATATATGCTTTGTATCTTTTGCCCCCGGGAATATCCGCTCCTGGCGGTCGATCTGTGGCTGGGGCCAACTATGGGGAGTGGATGTGACCTAATTAGCCAGGACTTCCATCCATCCCGTCACCCACCCCCCTTTCCTCCCCTTTTTTTTTCTTCCCGGTCAGACGTGGAGATACCTAAGGTGGGGTGGCTCTCATATCGGGAACCACTCCACTTAGAAAGACGAACTGTTAGACGCAAGGCACTGGCAGCGACACACCAACGGAAAAGAGATCAGACTTTCTACCCTGCAGCCCCCCGGTCGACGATCAGGACCCTATTCCCTCTTCTGCTCGTTCTCCGACGCCCGGGTCCAAGCGCCGGGTCACATCCGCACATCTCCCCGACCCACCGTCCTGGTTCAGAGAGATCCGGAAGATGCAAGTCAGGGTACAGACAAAAATTTTTGATCAGATCCTGTATTGAAAATGTGTACAACAGAATCTCGCAGGAGATAGTGGATTCTGATGCAGCTCTGCAAACTGCGATCCTGCCGCGCTCTTCTCTTTTCCAGGGCCGAGCGGGTCCTCCATCCAACCTGCATCGAAATCCGTTCTAGGAAGAACAGAAGTCTGCCGCTGACAGACGTGGATCACTTGTTGGTTCGGTTCGGGCCATGCGGATTTTGGATCCCGCGCTCCACTTGCTTGCTCCAGCCATGTAATGTACTACCGAGCTGGTGGGCAACCCATACAGCGGGCGAAACCTGATCAAAAGGTCGGAAAGATAAGAGCATGGAAGGGGTGCTATACGCTAGAAGGCCTCGCGTTCTGCTGTCTATAGAGGTCGCGGACCGTGCATCTACACTGCAATGATATCACAGCCCTGCACCGGTTCGCGCGGCGAGGTGGACGGAAGTCAAAATTCAAACGCAAAACAAGGTTCTTAGAAGGTTTTATCCGGCCACCATACTTTTCGGACATGCTCGGGGGTGCTACTCGACTAGAAACCCGAGATGATCACCTCTATCTAGAGATCCGGTATATGCAAGACCAGATCATGGTGGGCGTGGGCGGAGGTGGAGAGACGAGTCCCAGCCATCTATTCCATGCTGATGTGCCATGATCTCGCCCAGGATGTAGGGCGATCGGACCCAGAGCCTGGGCCTTCGGATCTGATCTGAGAGACATTATTGTGATGTGATTGGCGCATCGAATGACAATGACCCTATTCTCCCTGACGGCTGGAAGGATTGCAAGAATTCCCCGGCCCGCGCCTTCCATGAGTTTACTTTGCTGTCACTAGCCGACGTCGCCCTCCACTTGACCTGCGGGAAGGGAGCTCGAGCCTCCTTTTCCATCCCCTCCCGTTACATACACTCCCTTGCCTGGATAGCTGAAACGAATATTATCCCAGAGTTTGCATCCGCGGCCCAATCATCTCAATCGCAGAGCACAGATGGGGAATATGGAGTCACATTGTAAAAATCAATCCGGCTGCATGCCATGCGAGATCTGATAGATTTTGACTTGTATACTCTATTTTACTTACCCCTTAGAGACCTCCGATATGATGCACTCAGATCCGTCAATCGGAGCTGAAGGGAAAGGTTATCTCCTATTCTTCTCTACAATGACATCAGGCCGGGTCTGCTCCGGGGGAAAGGGGGGCTGGACTGCACATTGCAGGTCGCATGTACAGTGTGCACTCCAGGCCACACAAAACGCGTGGCAATGTCCCGCATACTTTTTTTCCAGCAAGGAGTGAATGCATCAGTGTGGCGACTATTTGTTTCACACATATGCCACGATGTCGACATACCCAGCTGATCTTGCCGTTCGGGTTCAGCAAAGACGGGGGTGGGAGTGGCGGGTTAGGGCTTGATTGAGCTACGGCCTACGGCACGCACTATGGTTGCCTTTTTCAGAGAAACCATATCGAACTACGCCGGAAATGACCCTTCTTGTTGAGCGAAAAACAGTGTCCAGATTGTCAGACACGAGTGACTCTGCAGTTGAACAGGCGGTGTCGAGGGTAACCGCGAACAGACGCCGTGGCAGCCTTCACCGCTACGAAAATAACGGCTCGATGCCCAACGGCCAACCAAAGATGAAAGCTGTCACCGCCACGTTCTCTCAACACTTGCAGAAACAGCAACGGGGATTGAAAAGCGTCAAGAGAAACCCTGATATCATTCTGTACTTGCAGTCCAGAGTCCTGCCTCGAGGTTTCTTTTCTAACTACACTGTATGTGGTATGTATAATATCCAAAACAAACAACTCGCTGTACAATCTCGATCAGAACATGGAAAACAAACTTAAAAGACTTTTTTTCTTTTCTCGCGCAAATAGCTCAACCATGCGGCATTGGTTCGAGGAAGCCTGAAACACCGGAGGCGCCGAGGTGCGACAATTTATTTCTTTCTGCTTTTCTTTTTTTGTCGCCTTTGATCCAGGGGATCCCCTGTAAATGCGTTCAACAATTCCTTTCTTGACATGCGCTGAGTATGCACAGACGCCCGCGCCACGCCGAGTCACCTGAAAACGGCCAGAGCAGAGGCGTGGTCCATGCAGGCAGCGTGGAAATTGAACAATCAGGATCTAGGGTTGGCCCTGGTAACACGGGGCCTCCGGGCCACTCACGTTGGAGTGTTGAGACCTTGGTCATCAACTGGCTGGCTGAGCACTCCTGTCATGTCGTGAACACGCAGGGACTGATCAAACCACTACCGCTGATTGGATTTTACGCAATATGTGGGGAGGCGATCAGGCCATCGCTGTCTAGCAAGCCAGCTTCCTTAGCGAGCTCGTAAAAGCGGCCGCCTCTCTTGATCAGCTCCGCCGGCGTGTCAAATTCCGCCACTCGACCCTTGTCCAGCACAACGATTCGATCAGAGTCGATGATCGTATTGATTCGGTGCGCGATCGTGATGATGGTGCGGTCTTGGAAGATGCTGCTGCGGAGGGTCCGCTGAAGCAACGCATCTGTCTCCACGTCAACAGCCGCCTAGAATTGACCATTGTTGTTAGCTAATTTTGCCACCTGGCGCGAAAAGGGGGAAACAGGGAATCTTACGGTTGCCTCGTCTAGCACAAGGATATTGCTGGGTGTTAACAGCGCCCTTGCAAGGGACACCAGCTGGCGTTGACCTTGACTCAGATTGCACCCTGTTATGCTCCAGGTCAGAAAACCAGTTTCAAAGTGGACAGAACATCAGGCGTTCACTAACCTCCCTCTTGGATCTGAGCATCCAGCTGGCCCTCCATACCGGAGACGTGCTCCTTCAATCTCGCATGGTCTGGAAGTTTCAAATTCGTTAGGAAATCCTTCATCTCATAGAAATCACACTCAACGTACCTAGCACGCTCCAGAGCTCGGTGTCGTCGTGAACATGGCGAGGATCCAAATTGTCGCGCAGAGTGCCCTCAAACATAGCCGGATCTTGAGGAATAATGGCTAGGCGTCCACGAAGGTCAAACAAGCCAATTGTACCCACATCAAGTCCGTCAATACTGTAACTATATTAGCACTAGATAGAGACTTGGGCAATTTGATCGAGGCTTACCTGATGCTACCGCTGTCAGCTTCAATGATCCGGAACAAGGCCAGCGTAAGAGAGCTCTTCCCAGCACCCGTCCGACCAACAACACCGATCTTTTCATGTGGCTTTATGTCAAGATCGATATTCTTGAGCACCAGATCCAGCCCAGGACGGTACCGGGTGCTGTAGTCCTTGAAAGAGACAGCACCCTGCCCCGGCCAGCCGATGGCAGGGCGGCGCTTGAAGATCACCTCTGGTGCTTCACTGGGGAGGCTTGCGTACTCAAGCACTCGTTCGACGGACACAATGTTAGTCTCGACCTCCACAGTCTGGCGAACGATCCAATTTAGAGACTGCGTGATCTGCAGCGCATAAGACATGGCCAGACCAACCATGCCAGCGGAAAGACCGCTGCCAGTTGTCACAGAGACGATAGCAAGCGTGGCGGACGCCAGGATGATAACGGAGCCGATGAATTCAAGGCGAACCGCGAGCCACCGGTTAGCACTGATGGACGGGAAATACGCCCGTAGGTTGGCATCCATACGCCACTCATTCTCTAGCGCGAAACGGTTCTCCTGTCGATAGGCACGAATGGTCGAGATACCACCCAATGATTCCTGGAAGTGGGCATAGATCGGACTCCGAGTGACGCTATCAAGACGCTTCAACTCGCGCGAGGTTCTCAGGTAGTATTTCTGGTAGCTCAGGTAAACCCAGCCCAGCGGAATGACCAGGATTAAAAAGGCGGGAGTCGATGTACCAATGACAACCATCGTAAAGATAGCGCGAGCAGAGTTGGCAAAGAGCATGTTGAACGTGCGAGCAAGTACCTCATCAACTCGGTAGATATCGCTAGAGAACCGATTGAGAATTCGACCAGACGGCGTCGTCTCAAAGAAGCTCATGGGAGAGCGGAAGATGGCGAATGCCATGCGCTCATGCAGTTTACGAGATGCCTCGATCGAGCAGAAAATCCACAAGATAAGGTTCTGGAAAATAACCAAGACGGATGAGCCCAGACCAAAGGCGAGATAGACGCCAATGAACGTGCCCACGTCATCATTGGTCCCATGTGCTTCGTTATACTCAGTCCAGCTCTTCAGCCAGAAGTTAGCAAGCACTTGAGCGGTCTGTCCGGCCAGAAGGGCAAACAAGTAGAAGGCAACTGCAACAATGTTGCTTTCTTTGGCGTACTCGCCGTACACGCCCCATTTGACCTTGCCTTGCTGCGACATTTCTTGGGTTTGCTTGCTCTTGAGGACATTCTCCTCATCTCCCAGTTTGCGTCTGGGGCCCTGCCAGCTCGCAGTGCTTGCACGTCGAAGAGTAACGGTACTGGTGCGTCGACGAGCATCAACAGCCGCCCGAATAGGAACGAGAGACCCGGGCTGCTCCACTTCTTCATCTGAAGCGTCACCTCCGTTTTCAATCACGGTCGTCGAGTCCGAACTGTCCGCCGGGCTGGCGAGACCATCCTCGGAGCCGCTAGCATCGCCCTCATCCTCTGGCTCAATCATCGTAGTACGGACAAGATTGGCGATTTCGCCCTTCATTGCCAACAGCTGTTCGTACGTGCCCTTCTCGATGATGGTCTTGTCGCGCAACAACCCAATGAAGTCTGCCTCTTTTAGAACAGTGATGGCATTGGTTGCGAGGATTCTGGTCTTGCCGTTAAGAAGACCGCCCGAGCCAAGCACTTTGTTGATGATATGACGGCCGACATGCTGATCCACTGCCGAGAGGACATCGTCAAGAAGATAAACGTCGGCACGAGCGTAGACAGCCCGAGCGAGAGTCAGTCTTGCTTTCTGTCCTCCTGAAAGTGAGATGCCTCGCTCGCCGACCTCTGTCAGATCTCCATCAGGCATGATCTTGAAGTCGTCGAGCAGAGCACAGGCCTCAACAGTGAGGTCGTAGAAAGACGGGTCCCAACGATGGCCAAAGACAATATTCTCCCGAATGCTGGCATTCATCACCCACGGTGATTGTGCAACATATGCAATACGGCCCCGGACAACCACTTCACCGTGCGTCTTCCACAGATCACCGAGTAGTGCTTGGAGCAGCGAAGACTTGCCGGACCCAACGCGACCCACGATACAACTGAGCTCGCCCTTGCGTGCGCTCAAGTCAATGTTCTTGAGAACATCTTCACCTGTATGGCGATTCCAGGTGAATGAAGCGTCGCGAATGCGAACCGACTCATCACCCGTATGCGCCACAGAGTCTTGGAATAGAACAGAGTCGGTCTGCAACTCCTCCGCAGTGAAGTACTCTGTCAGCCGCTTCACGGCGACAGAAGACTCAATGATCGACGTGATCACCATGGGCAGAATTGAAAGCGGGAAAGTGAGCAAATTGAAAAGGGTCAGAGCCGGGAAGACGATATCCGTGGTCAAGGGGCGATCACTGGTCAAAACAAAGACCGTAAAGGTTGAGCAAGACACCAAGAAAGGCGTAGACTGCCAAGTGAAGTTGGCAATGGACTGGGTGGCACCGATTTTCCGGAGAGTGTTGAGTTCCAGATCGTTTCGAATATGGCTGAGCTTGTTCATGAAGGCGGTGTTCCAAGCGTAAAGCTTGATGCTCTTGATGTTATTCAGAATCTCGGTCATCAATCTTGTCCTTGAGTCCTTGTTCTTCATCTGGATAATCTGGAGTTTCTTCATCAACCGCGCAATTACGCCGTTCAGCGGAATCATGAGGATCATGACTCCGACACCAGCAAACATGCTCACACCAACGAGCTGGTAGAGGGACACCATGCACAGTGTGATTTGGAACGGAGCTGACAATAGTTGTGTACCAAACTGTGTCAGATCCGCCAGGCGCTGTTGGTCAACAGCCATATGATTGACAATGTCGCCAGTCGTCTTTGATAGGCGGCCCTCATTGGACAGCCGCAATGACTTGGCATAGATAAGAGCGGTCAAAGACGATTTGACTCGCATACCAGTGTCAAAGGCTCGCTGGAAGTATTGATGGAGACACATCGTCTGACAGATCGAGACGAGGAACATGGCCAGGGCAATTGCGACACCTCTCATCACCGGTTGTGGGTCCGGATGACGATACGAATCGATGAAGCTAATCAGAAGCCGAAGGAGCTGTGGCTGAACAAAGGCGAGCATGTCGCTTCCCGATTTGATCACCGCACCACGAGCGTAGGGGCCACCAAATGCCCGGAAAAGGGCAATCCATAAAGACGGCTTCTTCCGCTGCAGCTCGTCCTCCCATGTCGCTTTCAAGTCCCCACCAGTGACACGGGTGGTATCACGACGCCGGAGATTCCACAGATCATCTTGGGTCAGGAAGTTTGTGTATCCGAACTTCATCATGGGCGTCATCCAGCTGAAGGTGAGGACGGAGAAGATGTCCGCATAGTTGTAAGGACATTCATCTTCATCGCCCAAGGCGTCATAGGCGCTTTGCTTCTTGGGAACAAAGTATTCCAGCACGAACTCAAGAAGCGCCAGCCCCAGACTGACGTTGATACAGACAAAGTATGGAAGATGGTGAAGGTACTCCTTCCGGTCCACCTGCGACCGCAGCTTGATAGCGTAGGCGATGATGAAAAAGATCCAGTAAAACAGCACGACCCCATTGGGCTGTCGGCTGCGCCAATGTTCAAAGTATTGCACTGCATAGATCACACCGAGCGAGGCGATCGTGGCGATGGACGACCAGAAGCGGAAGTCGGCCCAAAAGGTCGTAGGCTGTCGCTCGACTTGAATGGCGGCTTGCAGGGCGGTAGCGAAGATCAGAGTGCCGAGCACAGTCTACATGGTTTTCAGCGGGTAATCAGCCATATGAACATTTTTGAAGTACAGGAATGCACTGACCAGCTTGGCATAGAAATGCCAGTTCTTGGACACCGGCTGGGGAATGCGTTTCCGCAACAAAAGCCACAGCGCACCGGCACCAGCGATCACGCCCCAGACCGCCACGAGGGCCACGATCACGTCAAGAAAGCATGGCGTCAGGTCGAACCTCGATGAGCTGAGGGGGCCCCAGCCCTCGGGATCGGAGCAGAAGGGCTGTCGTTGGCGGAGTCCGAGTGCCGATCCAGGGCGCGCATGCTCGAGGAGTCCTGGGTGGACACCCCCGAGCACCACCTGGGAACTGCCATCCAACATTTTCCGGAGCAGCCAATCGTTCCTTGGGCGCAGAAGGATGAGAGAAGAAAGGTTCGACCTGCTGCTCTGGGAGGGCGGATAAGCTGACTAACGGCCTTAGCTCCGAGCCCAGCAGCCGAAGCCGGGCTGCTTAGCCGCATTGGGCGCCGCTTAGAAATCAGGAGACCGCCAGAGGTGAGCCATGAGCGTTAACTACGCTAATTCCAATGGCCCTAGTCGGATAAGAAAAGGCTTGTCTCACAGGGAACGGCGTCGGAACCAGTGGGGCTACGCGAGAGCTGGTCGTACATCAATTCCAGTCTGGCACAGGTACCTATTTCGTCATACAGATATCATTCTCAATGTCCATAATAATTATGGGCGACTTTAGCCATCAGAGCTCCTATACTAAGAATGGCACAGAACTCCGAGCCGACCACGAGTCCAACGCTCTTGGAGCGCATGGTATCATTCATGGCCTGGGAGATTCAGGCGCAGAAAACAGAACAGAACAACAATCCGGCCAAATGGCCCTAACCCCCTAATTACCAGAACACCAACGAAAGACTAACCAACGAAACACTCTTAACGACGTCGAGGCCGCTTTGTTCGGTCCCGATCTCCGGCCGCCTCGCGCTCGGCCTTCTCCAATCCAGGGCGGACCCGGCGCCGGGTCGGCGCCGATCCGAGAAATGGTGTAGCCGGGCGAGCACCCTATTACAGGACTAGGAATTTTCGAAACATCATCGCACCGAAAGGGCGACTTGAAAGGGGTCCCATGGTACGGGTGAGACATGGCCTTGATCTCGTCATCTTCCCATGTGCGAGTAACTCCTCAAAGGTATCAGTAGTTAAACGCTCAACATCGCCTCATGCGCTACTCCTATTCCTCCTGGCTCGCCAAAGGTTTATATCTTCATCGAGGGGCTGGTCAAAAATGACTCCGTTCTTCTCCAACCGCCTCCACTGGAGGATCCTGCGATTAAGACATGATGTTTCCAAGGAAATATACGCCTGACAAGGATACTGCAAATGTAGCCCAGCGAAATATCTCAGAGAGTTGAGTGAGCAGAACTGGTGGTCGCGATACAGGCAGTCTTGCAGCAGCGGTTTGATAACTCGACGCACTGAATCCGTATGATCCAGGGCATTGCAAACCATGGTTGCAATTCTACCCAAATCCGCCGGAACTCGCACAGCTGCGTGAGATTCTGCAGCTGCATGTAGCTCATGGGGCATACCGACATTTCTTTGGGGTCTTGGACTCTCCACGAGCCGAAATCGGCTGATCATCTCCTGCAGACGACGCTCGCGAGCATCCATCTCTGCTTCGAATTCTTAACGACGAGTAGTCATCTCCTCCTAGAGAGATGCAATTTACTCCTATTAAAGTCTGTATCTCGATGGAAGCATCGCCATCCCGATTCCTTCGAGGTACTGGATCAACAGGGTGTAGGACCGGCCCTGGTCCGTGATAATAGTGGTAGAGCATTATAAAGCCCCATAGGCGGAACGGCTTCGAGAAGCAGAGTGATGAAGCTAGATGCAGCGACTTCGGGCGCAGACAAAGGCATTTGCACCATGTTGATGCTGCCGGAGACATGAGGGACGGCGACGGTCAGATATGGAAAAGACTTCAAGCTGCAGTGTATCGAACGAAAACGTGCAAGCTGTCGAGCCCGATTTGTAGGAACAACAGTACCCACGCTTAAATATGCTGCGAAGACGATATTCCGGATAATGGGTTGGAAACCCCATCGAAGCTCTCGCGAGGATATAGTCTGGTTGCAATATCCGGACTTTGAAGGCTACGGAAGGTGTGTTGGAAAGTTCAAACGGATGATGGGTGCGTACACTCTGCCCACTCTATCACCAATCGCATGCACCAAGCTGCCCTAGGTTGTCATCCGATCTGATTGCTCGTGGATCCAAGGAGTAATGTCTTTCATCGTGACTGTCAAATCCTTTCGACTTTGCCTTGGAACCAAGTCAGTGACAGACACGTTGCAGTCCACACTGGTAATCTTGTTCTGTTCGACCAATTTGATTTCCTTGGTTTGAGCGTCAACCCATTCTCCAGGGTGGGGAGGCTCGTTCAGCAGCCTCCCTGTTCAGAATCGACTTCTCCCGTATACTAGTGAGGGATCGATGTTCTGTTGTAGTTCCAATAAAAAAGCAAGACGACGCAGCTGGAAAAGGAGCCATCTTTGGCGATATATATAGAGACATGGAGAAAAGAGGCTGGTTCAGAGTGGTGTGGAGAGAAGAAGAGGAAGCTAGGGTCTGCCTCGTTATATATATTGGCCTGGCCAGATGTTTACATGCCTGTACCACCACAGTAACAATGAATTGTTTGCTATTCACCCTTCTTTATTCAGGTTTGCCACTCATTCCAGGAATGAATTCATTGAGTCAGAATGACTATTCACGATTGTGAGGCTGAGCAAAAATGAGTCAAGGCAGACGCTCTATATGTAAGGCGGTGGATCTCCCGCTTCTCGTTCGTCATCATCGCCGTGGGGCATTTCCGACTTTCTCTTTCTTCCACTCTGCCAACCATGGCTGTAGACACAGCTCGTATGGAAGAGCTTTTGAAGAGGCCTCTTTATGGTGCGCAGAAACATTCCCCGGTCTTGGAGTCTCCCTCCAACTAACCAATCGCAGTATACGATCTGCCGCAGGAGCTTCTGGAAACCCTTTCCCCGAAGAATGCGAATCAACAACCCGTTGCCTCCGAACAGGCCGAGCCAACCCCGAAAGACCCAGAGGTAGCGGCGCAAGAGGCTGCGATCGCAACGTCAACACAATGCTCTCTGTGCGGAGTGTCCTACCAGAACGTGCAGGAACAGCGCAGCCACGTACGTTCGGATCACCACCGGTATAATCTCAAAGCTCAACTCCGTGGGAATGCGCCGCTCGATGAGGTTCAGTTTGCGAAAGCGGTTGGTGAGCTGGATGAGTCTATTTCCGGGTCGGAGTCGTCGGAATCAGACGACGAGGAGGCAGACGGTGGTGGAGAAACAACGCTAGCGGCCCTGTTGAAGAAACAGGCCAAGCTGTCGCATGCGAACGAGGAGGAGACGGAAACCTCGGTGAAACGAGGATCTCCCAAACACCCGCTGTTCTGGCTGTCGAGCTCAAAGTTACCGTCAAATAAGTCGCTGGGTGTCTATAGGACGATCTTCTCCACCGTCGAGCAAGCCGAGCCAGATCATCTGGTGGAGTCCCTGCGCAGAAAGCAGTTGGCTCCGATCAAGGCTCGCACCAACAATGCGAGCGCTCAGCAGGACACCTCTGCGCTGAGCCCGCACATTTTCATGTGCATGATCGGTGGTGGCCACTTTGCGGCTATGCTGGTGTCGCTGGCCCCCGAGATTCACCGGAAACAAGGAGGCATCGACGAGAGACAGGCCCGGGTGATTGCACACAAGACTTTCCACCGCTACACGACACGCCGGAAACAAGGTGGTTCCCAATCCGCCAGTGACGCTTCACGGGGAGCCGCCCACTCGGCCGGTTCGAGTCTGCGACGATATAATGAGGCGGCGCTCGAGAAGGATGTCCGAGAATTGCTGGCAGATTGGCGGCAGATGATCGATAGCGCAGAGCTGCTGTTCATCCGAGCTACAGGAAAGACTAATCGAAGCACTCTTTTTGGACAATATGATGGCCAGGTTCTTCGGCAGAATGACCCGAGGATCAGGGGCTTCCCCTTCAACACTCGCCGAGCCACCCAGGGTGAGCTAATGCGGTGCTTCAAGGAACTTACTCGTGTCAAGGTGAGCGAGGTGGATGAGGCTGCGTTGGCGGCCGCAGCCGCAGCCGCAGCCGCGGAAGCCAAACGACAGGAGGAATCATCCAAGCCATCGACACCTCGACCGCAACCACAGAAGCCGAAGCTATCCCCAGAAGAAGAGGCTGCACAGCTGCACACGACGCAAATTCAGGCGTTTATTCGCCGCTCGAAAATCCCCGCCCTCATGTCTTATATCATGAACAACTCCATTCCCTCAACTTTCACCTTCCAGCCCTCCGATTCCCCACAGAATTTCCGCTGTCCTTCACCCCTTCATCTTGCTGCCAATCTCAACGCAGCACCCGTCGTTATAGCGCTTCTCACACGCGCCGGCTCGGATCCAGTCGCCGTCAACAGCGAGGGCCGGACACCATTTGAGCTTGCTGGGGATCGAGCCACCCGCGATGCATTCCGTGTGGCCCGCCACGAGCTAGGCGAGTCGAAGTGGGATTGGAATGCAGCCAAGGTGCCGTCGCCGGTCTCCAAAGCAGATGCCGACAGCCGAGCTGAGAGGGAGCGCAAAGCAGCTGAAGAAGAGGAGAAGGATCGACGCAAGGCTGACATGGATCGGATCAAGCAAGAGGACGCCGAACGAGCTGCACAGCGGGCATCAAGTAAATCTGGTGGACGCACCCTCGGGTCTGTGGAGAAGACCGCAGCCGAGAAACGGGATGAAGAGACACGAGGGATGACGCCAGAGATGCGGATGAGACTCGAGCGCGAGCGACGAGCAAGAGCAGCAGAGGAACGAATGCGCCGGACGAAGTAACTGTATATAGTCGCATAGTCACATGGTATCACACACATGATCATCTCCATCCAACACACTCCCTCACTCTATCTCATCACCCTATCCCGTCTTCCCTCCTTCGTAGTCACACCATCATGTTCAAGCTGTTCTGGTCCTCTCCCTTCTCCCAAGCATCAACCTGCCTGGTGGGCACACTCACCCGCTGGGACCCATCCACGCACCAAACCAGCTCACAACGAGAGATATACAGCACCGACGACATCTACATCGGACGAGACAAGCGAGCTTGGTATAATTCTGTGTGTCTTCCTTCATTGCATGGCTAACAATATGGCATTCATACAGCCAGTTCGTGATCCCCAACCAATTCGTCTCCAACAAGCATCTCCGCATCTACACCATCCTATACGACCGAGATATCCTGAATGAGATCCCTCCGCTCGTGTACACCCAGGATCTCTCCTTGAATGGGACATTGTGGAATGACTATCCCATGGGACAAGGAAAAGGCAGCTTCTTGCTCAGCGATGGCGATACGCTGCGAATCACTCAGGGCGAGTATCTGCGATTCAACTGTGCGAGAGACAATAGACCGGATACATTTAGCTGTCTACAGCGGATTGAAATGAGGGTTTGTCCTTTTTTTTTAAAAAAAAAAATTTCGTGGAATGCATTCAATGCCCTAACTGTGATCTTGCCAGGAATTCAATGACCACTATGTTATTACGCCGCGCATTCTCGGCTCTGGTGCCTACGGACGAGTTCATATGGCGTTCAAGAAGGGAGATGGCCAGCAACTCGCTTGCAAGATTATTGACTTGCAGCTTACAAAAGCCAAAGCCCTCGAGACTGCGAACGAAGAGCAGATGTCGAAGTTCTTTATTGATCGTCAAGGCACAGCTTCAAAAGCTTTGGTCGCCGTGCGCAGAGAGAGCTTTCACTCGACGTTCATCCGCGAAAGACTGGAGGCATACCAGCAAGAAGCCCTGATTCTGCAGAAATTATCTCATGTGAGCTGGTTTCTATTCCAAAACGGAAAATCATTACTGAAAAATTGCCTGCGCAGCCCAACATCATCCGCGTCGAGAAAGCGATCCGATCCAGCAACACAATGTAAGCAAACACGACATAGACCAAGATCCAGAACACTGCTGAAAAATTAAATCACAGCTACATATTCCAAGAGCTTATCACAGCCGGCGACCTTTTCTCCTTCCTCAGCTACAAAGGCGGACGACTTGAGGACATACCAGCTGCAGTAGTCATCCACCAGATCCTGCTCGCACTAGATTATCTCCACGAACAGAGCATCGTGCACCGCGACCTGAAACCTGATAATGTTCTGATGACTTCGCTGGACGATGGGGCCAGAGTTGTTCTTACGGACTTCGGATGTGCCAGATACATCAACGCTCCCGTGCAGCGCATGTCCACCATCGTCGGCACGGCCGAATACTGCGCCCCGTGAGTATCCCTTCCCATATTCCCTGCATTTATATCCCTAAAATCCATCTCGCACGCACGAAACAGGGAAGTTAATACCCGCAACGAACGAGGCTATACCAAAGCCGTAGACCTATGGTCCCTTGGCTGCGTGACCGCCGTGGTGCTGACGGGGTACACGCCATTCAACGAGCCCTTCAACTCAATACCCAGCGATCTCGAAGACCTGGAAGACGAGCTCGATCGATTGAACACCGGCCCGCTGGCGCGAAACTTTCTGCGCAAACTCCTGGTCACCGATGAGGAGAGGCGCTTGGAGGTGAAGCAGGCGCTGCGCCATAGCTGGTTCACAAATGTTGAGCACGCGCGTCGGTTCGAGGAACTGTATCGCACTATTGTGAGAGAGTGGAGGAGGCCTGTACATCCGGATGGGCCTGGGAATGGGATTGTTGATCTTGCGAGTTTTGCGAAGAGTGCGAGTACTGCACAGGCTGGCGGACAGGTGGAAGCGCGTGTGCATGCCCGTGGTCCAGAGGACCTTCCCCGGAAGGTATCGATTGACCACGTCTCAGAGTCGGAATATGAGGATATCCCGGAATATAGGACGGCGTCGTCTTCTTTGCTGTCGACGTCCATACTTTCGGAGTCGCTGCTTCCAGCGCATAAGCGAACCGGAGCAACTGTTGAAGCGATGGCGTTGCTTGCTTTTGGGCCGCGAACTCATCAACATGAGGAGATTCGACATCATCCAGCGCAGAATTTGAGTGATCTGCGTTCAGTGCATGCGAGCACCAGAATCGCAAACCATATCCAGCCAAAACCCTCTCGCCCTGGTCAGAGAGTGACTGTTCAGAATCACCCGTCGATCCGGATGTCTGGTGCTCATTTCCATATTCGAAACCAACACCATCAGCACATGGATCCAAGCCCACTCCATCGATTGTCTTTGTCCTCACAGAAACTACCTTGGGATACGAAGAAGAGACCCCTTCCCCATGAAAGTTCTTCACCACCACAAACCCACGGTGCCAAACCTACTACATGGACAATCAGCAAGGAAGTCTCCAAGGCTGAAGATGATCAGGTATACGAGGAAGTGCGAAACCCCGTGACAGGGAAACGACAGCGACTCATTTACGGACGTGGAATGGAGATGTCAGCTGGGCTCGTGTGAGATGAGAGGAGATGGTCGGTATACGCGATCTGTGGAGGTGGTGATGCTATGGTGGAGATCTATATGCATTAGATCCTTAGGGGTATGGTATACATTATTATAGAGGTGGATGCATTTATATTATGTGGAAGGACTGGAGAGGGGAGTTCCGGGGAGCTGGCTGAGATGATTGATTGATTCATTGTTACAATGTGCTGGTGGGTATGAAGACAGGAGAATACGGAGTTGGATGGGAGTATAGATACAATGTGATATGCTCATGGAAGGGAGCAGGTTCAATACAGTAACTATCATATTTATTATGTGGAAAGAATGTAAACCCAAGGATCGGGAGACCTCTTTCGGCGTGGAACGTTGTGAATTACGCCTTTCAGTTCAGGGTCGCTCGAAATCAATATCACCACTTTATTCCTTTCAATTTATTCTCGAACTCTATCTTGCAGAACATAGCCGACTATCTGCCAACAGCTGCTCAGACACAGGACTCACGATGAAGTCATCGTACCCAAGTGACAGCAATGTCCCAATCACAGCATTAACAGGTTTCATGTGGTCTGTCACGACTTTCCACAACCGGTCCTTAATCTCGAACTCACATTGATAGTCCATTATCAGAGACTCGAGACGGCGTGTCGGATTAACAACGCTGAGTTGAGGGTCGGGACCGAGCTCAATAGTGATGCAATGACCAACTTCAGAGAATGAGCATTCAATGACTAGACCAGGGGCCTGAGTTGCTTCTTCGACAGTTACTTTGACATCCTTCGTCCGATCGATGCCGTCACAGTAAACTTTTAAGTCGTCCGGAGCGGACGTTACCGACAAGAAACGGAATTTCGAGGGCCGGTCGATTAGCTCCGCGGTCACTTTTCCTTCAGCCTGGTTGAAATAGACAACAGATTTTCGTTGCCCCTTGCATGCCGTCGAATTGATTGCGTCGTCTCCAGCATCTTCCAAAACAGTCGCTTCAGCGTCATTGCCGATTACAACAATGAACTCAAACGCGTCCGGATTTAAGCAACCATTTCTGGGAGCTGGGTTAGCATCCATGGGAATGATGGTTCCTTCACGGGCCAAAACAGGGTATTCCTCCAGCCGCCGGTGAAATATGATCTCGCGGTCTGCGTCGTACAATTGACCAGTAAATATGTCAATAAACCGGGGACCGGGTGGCAGCCACGCTTTGACTGCCCCCAAATTCGTCGTCCTATTCCGAGGCTCGACAATGGGAGCAATTAAGAGCTTCGATCCAAAGACATACTGGTTAGGAAACGAGTATGCCTGATCAGAGTCCGGATACATCCAGTACATCGGCTGCACTAAAGGCTCATCCTCGACAGAACCAACGACATTGCACGTATACAGGAATGGCACCAATCGATGTCGCAGCTTCATAAAGTCAGACATGACCTTTTCGTATTCCTGACGATACAGCCACGGCTCCTTAGAATTCCACTTCGAATCTGCAGAGTGCAGACGGAAGATGGGCGAAAAGACGCCGAGCTGGACCCAACGAGTAACGAGTTCGTCGTCTCTGCCTCCAAACATATGGCCGCCAATATCATGGCTCCACCACCCGTAGCCTATATTCGAGGCTGTTGCGGTGAATTCCGGTTGGAAGGCCAACGAATTCCAAGTGACCACTGTGTCGCCCGAGAAGCCCACAGGGTATCGCTGGCTTCCAGGCCCCGCGTACCGGGAAAAGATAAGAGGAGTGGTGTTACCATCTCGTCCGTGATCGACATAGTGGAAATGGTTCAAAAGCCAAAGGGGATCGAGGCCAGGGATTTTGGAGTACGGGCCTTGCTGCCAGTCGATCCACCAGAAATCGCATGCGGTCTTCTCCAGATTACGATGTAGGATCTCGAGGTACGCTTTCATGAACTTGGCGTCAGAGGGTTCAAAGAGAATCGGCCTCTTCTCGTCGGTTCCGTGACCCAGGGCTTTCGCCATTTCCTCGTATGAATCTTCATGCGAATGAACTCCATTGTGAGGGTGGTCGTTCAAGGTGATCTTGAGGCATCTTTGGTGCAAGTCACGTCGGAATTGGTCTGGGTTTGGGAAAAGCCTTTTGTTCCAGGTATAGCCGGTCCATCCGGCATGGGGTACACAAGGGTCAGACACCAGGTGCCAGTCCATGTCGACCACCGCCACTGACATGGGAATATCGTGTGCACGGAACTCATCCATGAGTTGAACATATTCGTCCTGGTGATACGCATAGTACCGACTCCACCAGTTGCCCAGGGCGTATCGGGGTAGTATGGGCTGTTTGCCGGACACTGAGTAGAATGCTCTGATAGCGGCTTTGTAGTCATGACCATAGCAGAAAAGGTATCCATCTATACGGTCGCCAGGTTTCCGGCCCGCCACGAAGTCTCCATCGAAGAGCATAGATGCCGAATCATCGAGGGCCGCGTATCCTGCCTTGGACATCACTCCCTCTCCCATATCGCAACGACCGTTACAAAGATCCAGTGTCCGAGCTGTACCGCCCAAGTTGAGCTCCTCAGAGAGTCCATACTGCCATGGAGCCCCCCAGTTGGTGTGTTTAAAGTTGAAATGGACGACCAGCCCAGCAGGAGAGAACCGTTTCTTGTCATAGCTTAGGTGAAAATGGTCGGTGATGATCTCGAGATTATGATCGTTCTCAACAGTGTGGAATTTGGACGTCGGAAAGTGGCGGTTAATGGCAAAAGTGGACGCCCGATCCTCAAAACAGCCATCGGAGGCCCATTCGTACCGAATCAAACGATCGGCTAGAATTGTGAAGCGAAAGTTCGAGCCAGAAACGATGGCCTGGGAATTGGCGACAGGATTAGTTGAGAAGGTCATGGTTCAACACGGATTTGGCATCCAACTTAGTTTGCAACGACGTCTCTAGGCTGATACTTATAATATGTACACGGTAACTACTAAAGTCACCAACGTGAATACCGACCGACCGAAAAATTCGGCGAGAAATCTAGCGGTAGGTTTAGCGATCCGAATTCACGGTTGCTGATCAGTGAGGCCATCTGCCAACAAATTCCTCGAAATATCTCCGAGGGTTTCAGCGAGCATTTCAGTGAGGAAAGTTTCTCCGCGAATTAATGCGAAGGTTTCAGCGAGCGGTTCGGCATATTTCGTTCTAGCCACTAACATGCCTACTACTGTCTCCACATCTCCCACAATCAATACTATGCCGATTTAACTTGGCCGATTCGTCACTTTCTCTCTACCTAGATGCCGAAAGTGCACACAAAGTCAACCCCATTCCTGGGGTCGACTCCACGCGGTTGACCCCAGACTGGACTTAAAGACTATGCGGTCCATGCAAACGATGGATATATAGTTGATTCTCATCCCAGGCGTTTGAGTTCCATCTTCATGATCAACTTCACTTTTTTACCTGCCACCCTATGGGAAATATTCAGACATGGAAAAGGATTCGGACATCTCCCACATTGAATCCAAGCGGGATCAGGCTATGCCCCTGACTATGAAGCATGGCGCTGGCCATGCTGCCCAATCAGAACGCCAAATGGGCTTTTACGAGTCCATTCGCCTCTATTCCATGGCCACGGTCTGGTCAGTGGGGTTGTCCACGGCGGTGGTAATGGAAGGATATGCGGTCATGTTGCTGTCCAGCTTCTATGCACTTCCACAATTCAATCGCAAATATGGCCAGCTCCAGCCAGATGGCTCCTACGTTATCCCCGCATCTTGGAAGTCCGCTCTTTCCAACGGGGCGGTCTGCGGCGAAATTATAGGGCTTTTCTTGACGGGCATCTTCCAAGACCGATTCGGCTACCGTATGACGATCTTCGGAGCCCTTTGCCTGGTCACCGGGTTTATATTTATTCTTTTTTTCGCGCAGAACGTCGAAATGCTTCTGGCGGGGGAAATTCTATGCGGCATCCCCTGGGGCGCCTTTCAAACCATCACTGTTGCGTACGCCTCCGAGGTCTGTCCTGTCGCTCTCAGAGGATATCTTACCACATATGTCAACCTTTGCTGGGTCATTGGCCAGTTTATTGTTTCCGGTGTGTTGAGAGGCGTGCTTGACAGGCAGGACCAGTGGGCTTACCGGATCCCTTTCGCTGTGCAATGGGTCTGGCCTATTCCTTTGATGCTCATGTGTCTATTGGCCCCAGAGTCCCCCTGGTGGCTTGTCCGTCATGGCCGGCAAGAGGAAGCCCGCCAAAGCCTTGTGCGTCTCATGAGTCGCTCGAACAATATGGCGGATGAGACTTTGGCCATGATTGAGCACACGGATCACCTCGAAAAAGAAGCCTCGGCGGGCATTTCTTACTGGGAATGTTTCAAGCAGTCTAATCTGCGGCGCACAGAAATTGTGTGTCTGACGTGGCTGATCCAAGTCATCTGTGGATCACAGCTTATGGGATATTCGACTGTGTTTTATATCGCCGCAGGACTCCCAGCAAGGTCTTCTTTCAACATGTCCCTGATCCAGTATGCCCTCGGGGCAATTGGAACGATACTCTCGTGGTTTCTCATGATGCGCGCAGGCCGACGGACTCTCTATCTGTATGGGACGTTTGCCCTTTTTTGGCTTCTTCTGATCATCGGGTTCGTTTCACTGGCTCCACGCAGTGCTGCCATGAATTGGGCCATTGGATCGTTACTTTCTGTGTTCACATTCACGTATGACCTCATGGTAGGGCCCGTCTGTTATTCACTCGTCTCGGAGCTCTCATCGACACGACTGCGCGCTAAATCCGTGGTCTTGGCTCGGACTTTTTACAACGTTGGAAACATCGTGGTTAATGTCGTGATAAATTATCAGCTTACCTCGACGGCGTGGAACTGGGGAGCTAAATCCGCCTTTTTCTGGGCTGGGATTTGTTTTTGCTGCGTTGTCTGGGTATTCTTCCGTCTCCCGGAACCCAAAGGGAGAACGTATGCGGAGCTGGACGTTCTTTTTGCAAACAAAGTGTCTGCTCGCAAGTTTGTCTCGACCGAGGTAGATATCTTCCAGTCAACTGTTGTTACGGAGTGAGAAATCCGGGATTTTGAGGTGTTGTGTGAACTTGAAAGCTACATAATCTGTGATTGAGTACTGCGACCATGTATTTTACTGTTCATTACACGTGACAACAAGAATTTAATCCTAGAGTGTCTATGCCTGTTGGTCCGTTTCCACATCTTCGTCTGTAGCGACTAATGTATCAAGCATGGCAAAAGGGCTGCTAAAGCAGAGGTAACACTCGGCTAATCGTCTTCCTAGTGACAGAGCAAATTTCACGTGAGAGTTTGGACTCAGAGACAAATGTTTTTGGATTGAACTTAGTCGGTCCAAGTTCTGTGCCATTGTCTCTGTCCAGCCTGTCAAATTTGTTGAGCAATGGATGAAGTCGGCCAGGGTGTTGCCTACGTCATATATTTTTTCGAACTGACATGGATTAGCTCAAGCGAATTTAGAAATTGGATTACGAGACTCACGATCCCTAGCCCATGTACCTCCACTGACTCTGTAGGGAGCAATGTTAACGCCTGTAGTAGGGATACGGCAATATCTTCCGGATATGAAAACGTTCTAGACCGTGACCCAGCCTTGGTAGAAAGTAAGCCTTGCTGAAGGGCAGCTCTCCATAGAACCAGGTCAAGCCAGTGCTGTGTCACAAAGATATCAGCTTTCTGAGCGTCGGACATCACACCGCAGTCAGGGAGCAAGTTTGAACCACACTGTTCCCATGTCGAATAAGTGCTGATTGACCCCTTCCGACTCCAGAAGTTAAAAAAATTGATATCAATTTGCGAATAAACGTGGACAAGCTGGCGGAAGCCGAGATCAATTTCCGGTTGTTCTTCAAGGCCCTCTAGTTGATCGGTAGGCCCGGGAGCAGGAAGAAGCAACGGGTGAGGTAAAAGGACTGGCTTATGTCTCGCTATCGCCAAGGATCTCTCGGTGACGAACAGAATGTTGTAGATTCGGCGGCAATACAAGGCGCCCACATAATCCATGCCACGATAGAATTCATCCGTATGCAAACCAAGCGCCTGCGCCAACGTAATAGCTTCGCGGAGGTAAAACCAACTCTGTCGAGCATTATGCAATTCAAAGTGCGTAACTGCGACAAAGAAAGATGCGAGAAGCGTCAACAGAGTGTTATCCTCGATGAAGTTATACTCCGACCGCGCCGAATGGCTCTTTTCTATGAACCTTTGCGCGACTGATGCCCATTCTCCGCACCCGATAATGGATTCGCTGCGACCACACATGAATGCGGTGACCAATGCGCATAGAGCAAATAACATAGTCTGCTCATTTGGCTCCATCGGTCGATTGAGCCACTGGATTAGAGTAGATGGTCTGAACAGAGGCATGATCGGGTACATCTGATGCAGATAAACGTCGACACATCGTTTCATTAGCCGAGGCAAGTTTTCTGGAGATAGAACATCTTCTCCTAGTTGACAAGCGGTATCATCATTATGATCAAAACGTGACTGAGCAGCCCTCAGTGCTTTTATTTTCTTTCCACTGCCACGTTTCGGACCGCGTTGTTTCCTGACATATTCGTATTTGCAGGTAAGTCGGGTGCGCTGGCAGGAGCCGCAGGGGAAAAGTCCGTCGCATCGTACTCGACGTTGGCGACATGAGTCGCACGGCATTTTTTGGACAACATTGCGGTCGTCTTCAGCCCGTGCCATCGAGGTTTGAAGCCAGATTGCGGGTCACTTGAAGTTTTGAATCTCTATCACGTTAAGTACTGGGAGTGCTCCTCAGTTTCCAATCCCCGAACTTCCTCACCGCCTACCAACGGGGCTATACGAAGCCATGTTAGGATCAATTTCAATCAGCGTGGAAGCCGATCCTATGCTCTAATGAGCTTGCTAAGCCGGCGCTAGTTTTTCTATCTCTATAGAATTGATCAACGTCGGGTTTAATGCCATTTCTAACCGATTAACGCATCTATGGAGAACGTACATTAATTTTGGCAAGCTACGGGTTATCTACTGTCAAATTGGTGAAACTGATTCGGGGCGGACCTGTGAGCTTCAAGTATAAGCAGACACTGGATCAGAGCTTTCCTTTCATGTTAAAACATCCCTTGGGAATCTCCACAGATACACAAATAGAGAAGTACTGAGTTCCGGTCTCGGGCGCGGCGGCGCAAGAACAGATCACGATCGATCAGAGAAAGGGATACGAACTCAACCTGTTTCTCTTGCCACGAACATTGCCGCTCAGCAGGTATCTAAAACTCGAAAATTCGAGGCTAGGCGCTCGTGAGACAATTGCTCTCTACTCATAGAAGAGTGGACGATGAAAACAAGCCGTCTTGTAGTCAGTCAGTCAAGGACTCAATAAGATGAAATACTTTAATAGTTAGCCCCTAGAACACGGAACATCGGCATACAGGCGGGATGAGAGCCGTCAGCTTGTCTCAACGAGAACCAGTCGAATTCGATCAACTGAAACCGAGGAAAGGGAGATCATTCCAACTGGGCCCAGAGTAGACTAGCTGTGGATATGATGAACGGGATTACAGGACAGCTTGTTCCTAGGGGCCTTGAGACCAGACCTCCTTGGCAAAGCCTAAATGAGTAAGTAGGGTTGAGAGACTTCTGTGTTTTTGTCATTGATTGGGAGTTACCACGGCAAACCACTAGTTCGTGAAGCCAGGAGATACTCCTTCAAGGAGGAGGCGAAGGGAAGACATGACACGCCCCTGGATCATGATCATGGACGGGGCATGGGATGGACACATCATCAATTGGGGGTGGAGACGGTGCTGTGTGGGTAGTGCGCAGGGCACGAAGTTTCTTGCCCCTGCTTTGTCTTGGATGGGGATTCGGGGGCCCTGCGATGGACGTTGGATGGTCAGGTGTGTGGCCAGGGTTGAAGCGAGTGACTAAATGCCTCGTCATTGATACAATGAGCCCATTGGATTTAATCATAATGTCTGACGTTTCCAAACGATGTTGATGTGGAGCGCAGGACCGAATAGCAGACTCGATACCACTGGCCGTGTCTCAAATAGCACTGGGATCCAGTGGAATATCCACAACAGACTCGTCGCTCCATGGAGCTGAGTACAATAATCATCAAGCTGGCCACCACTTCCAGTGGCCAAGGGGTACTAGCACTAGTGTCAGCCCTGTGTCAATAGTAATAGAGTGATCCCGCGCCCAGCATGATAGGAATGTAGAATATCACATACAGAGAGTCCAGTGAAGGGAGCAAGACACTTGCCAAGGGAGTAGGATCTCCAAGGAGTCATGAAAGTGTGAGGCCGAGGATGGTGTTATGGTTCAGGCGTTGTACGGGCAACGGATCAGCCCAGCCACATCGGTAGTCGACAGTGGAGATGATCTGCCTTAGCGGCCGTTGTGGGAAGGGCGATGTCTTGCATTTGAAGCAATCGGAGAATTGCGTGTGCCTGTCACAATTCTGTGATTCTTCAGCCACAGCCTATGAATGGGCTCCTGGTCACTAGATCGGATCACCCCTTGCATGCGATTTGTGAAAAACCGGGGGGCTGGGATCCCGTACCGAGGGTTGGAGCGGCAACTGTCCTTGTGAACATATTGTACTCAATCCAGCCACTTCTGTGTTCGGATCCCTTTCAATAATATCGGAAGGGCGAGGTGGGTGGAACAGAAGGTCCTTGATTTGCAGCCCGGCGGAAGGAAGGATATCCCTTTCTCTCCATCATTGAGACTTGATGTGATGAGAATAGTCAATAGCAGTGCAGTGCCATTCACAATTGTCAGTGGCCGATAAATGACTGTTAATAGATAATAGGTCGTGTATATTGATTGAATATTGAGCGTCGGCAATTTGTGTCACGGTGCCGGTGCACACTGCACCCCACAATGGCAAAACAAAATACACTGTGCACAGTGTAAAAGATCGGCAAGATCAAGGTAAGTGCCGACAATATCCACTGATCGGGTACTGTATTCACTCCAGTCACAATCCTGCCGAACGCAAGGACCACGGTGGGAAAAGCCTTACCGTCATAGAAGGAGGGCCGTACCGAGGGATATTCTCCGATGACGATAGGCGATAAGCCAGGCGCAGATCAGGCCCAAAGCGAGTCCTTCGGGCGCCCAATGCAGGTTCATTTCGGTCGTCGTGAGTCGTAAGGATGACCTCAGAGGCTCATGGATGACATCCTGATCGTCAGGAACACGGCTGGGATTGGCCCCACACGCGCGACGCGTCCTCGGAACGCGTCGCGTCAACGTGGTGAAAACTCGAATCCGAATCGACCCGCGCAGCGTCCACCGGAGTGCACCGCGGACGGACGGGCAGAAAAGGGCCGGCATGACTCGTCTAGAAGGGTGAGCAGACAAAGGAGATTGGAAGTCTCTCCTTGCTCTGTCGATAATAGGCACTGGAATTCTTCGGACGGGCGTGTCCCCGGACCGAGATTGGCCTGTCAGACCGAGTCTCCCGATGACAGAACAGAACGTGCCCGATCAGCGGGCACAATCGATAACGCTGATCGCTGGCACACGAGTGTGTAACGCGTCGTCCCGAAAGGGTAATGTAATGAGGATCGCCCCTAGTGTCGGGCAGTCTCAGGGGGCCGAACGGCCTCGTGGGCATTCGCGCGAGGATCGAGTCCTTGCGTTCGGCAGTCCAGGGAGGGCTGTTTCACGGCCACGAGGGCAGGAGGGGTGTCAAGGAAGAAGTAAAAAAAATATATCGGTAGAAAGAATGTGTTATTTATAAAGAAGCCCCCGGCCAAGGGCGAATCGAGGGAACCATCCAAGGAAGAAAAGGAAAGGACTGAACAAGGGCTGAACAACAAATACCAACAGGCATCGTCATTCATTAACAGCTGGTCTAAATCTGGGAACACTCTCTCATTCTTGGCCCCCAGGTTCACTCATTCAGAACATATTTGGAACCTTTGTTGTCCAGCCCGGTGGAGCAATGCGGGTGATGCTCGCTTGACCGTTTGCGGGTGTTGTCTTTTACTGCCCCCCCAACGGTCCGTCTCCTCTTCCCCTTAACAACTCCCTCTCTCTCTTCACACCCCACCCTTCCCACTGTCGCATCACCCTCGGAACTGGCGCATTCGAAAGCGCATATCGTCGAGATCACCCTCCACTCGTTTAATTCTCGCCAACTACATCGGCGCGCGTTGCAACGGCCTCCGGCGCAAATCAGGGACTGCGCACAAATCCCTGGCGCACTCACCTCTTGCGACTCCCACCACAACAACTCCCTTCCATAGTCTCCTTCTGACATCATGCTTCTTCCATCTGCTCTCGCCTGCGATGTGCGCCGGTCGTCTCGCTTTACCCCCAGCCGCCTCTTCTCGACACCTCCCCCAGTCGACCACAACACCTCCGGCAACGGCCTGCTGGGCACCTGTCGCGCACTGCAGTCTCTCCTGAACGGATCACCTGCGCCCTCATCGCGCCGCTCGACCAAGGCCCAGCGCCTCCAGAGCCCACTGCCCATCAACCCTCCGCGCCGGTCACCGCGACGCTCGACGCGCAAAGTCGCGCGCCCAGCGTCGCCTCGCCCAACTCCTCCACCTGTCACTCTCGCCCGTACACCCCCTCCACCACCCTCTGCGCCTGCGCGCGGCGCCAATAAACGACGACGAGCCAGCGCAGATGACGACGATGACATCGACTTTGATCAGCGGCGTCGCTTCTCGACCCCTAAACGCCGCCGGCACGTCCCCTACGATTTGCCCCTCGGCCTCTCCTACACAGACTTCTATTCTCTGCACTCTCCACCAATCACTCAGTCTCCTCCTTCGCCCGCGCATCAACAACCACAGCCACAAATACAACCACTCGAACAACCCATTTCCTTCTGTGATACCGTCCTCCCCTCCATCGAAGAGGCAGACGAAAAGCCCTCATCCTCATGTCCACCGCCAGAAACAAGCTGGTCGGACGAAGACGACCAGCATCTCATCGATCTGGTCCTTGAGAAGTTCCGTCTCTCCCAGCAGGAATGGAATGATTGCGCGCGCCAAATGGGTCGCAGCAGCTCTGCTACTGTCAACCGGCGCTGGAACTCTCTTGTCGGAGAAGGTCGTGTCGGGTTGCGGAGGGGGAGACGATGAACTACTTACCATCTTTGCTTTGTTTTGGTTTCAGATCTTGTACTATATGATGACTCGTTTCTTGTTTGGGTCTGCAAGAAAGAATGTCTTGCATTATTATTTCTTTCTTCTTTTCGTGTCTCTTTTTTTCTTTTCTTGGACCATGACACCAGCACACGATTATCTGTCTACCTACCCACTTATTGCTCCATTCGCATCAGGCTATGTGAATTACCCTTTTTTGTTTGTGTCAATCGCTGCAACTCTCCCAGCTGACCTGACTTTCCTTCCCGTTTTTATTTTTTGGTTCGCTCGAGTTCATGCATATTCCTTTTGCTGCTGGTCGTTTCTTTTCTTTCCTCTTTGCTTCCCCCTGCCCTTGCATACTGTTTGCGGCGACAGCATTGTACTAGTATATCTATCTTTACCCGGCCGAGCTTGTATTTCTACTTATTCAAGAATGATACCACTATATTTATTGATCTCTATTATATATCCTCGTGTATTGTACACTTCGCTCGAGACTAGCTACAATGTTGTCAAATTCGGTGCTGTCGCTTTAGGGTTGATGTAGATAGTAGTGGACACAGGATATATATCGAGGTACTGGGCCTACTGTACCCTGCTCTCAACAAGACGGTAAGCCAAAAAAGAACTTGATTTCTGGCATCAGGAACTATGAACCCTAACGGTACAGTAGGTATGGTATGTTGAAGAAAGAAATAAAGAAAAACAAGAAAAAGAATAAATGTATGTGGCTTGACCCAACGCCAGACACCGGCCTGATGGATTGATTGATTCCCCAAACAAGCATAGATGAGACAACGTTCGACTTGAGTCGACTCGAAACTCGACGCAAGATGAAACAACACCCGATGTTATTAGAACCTGGCAGACAGACAATCCATCAGCATCAGATGAAACACTCCACGGACCATAAGCACTTACCGGATCTCGTAGCTCCCCGCGCGAGTCATATAGCGCACCCACTTCACCGAGCTGTAATTGCTCTTCTCAAAGACCTTCAGATACCTTACCAACAGTCCCGACGAAGTAAACATGAGCAAACTAAACGACAGACTCAGCGGCGGGCGACTCCAAGCCTTCTGATGTGTCATGGAGGTCAAGGTCGCTTCAGCCGTGAGGACGTATTCACTCTGGCCCGAGAAGCGGGGGATCTTCCAGACGATATTATTATGCTCGGGCTCGTACTTGGCGCGACCCTGGGAGGTGCGCTCGGTGGTCTTGGCGGTGTTGAGCGGCGTGGGGATGCGGACGACGACGTTGGTCGCGAAGAGCTTCGCGCTGTAGTTCGCCTTGATCGCGACGCTGTACTCAACCTTGGTCGTGCCGATTTCCCGCACGATGGGGTGAACCTTGAACGGGAGGTTGACGTTCTCCGTGGCCCGGTACCGCATCAGCTCGAACTCGCCGTCCGGCGGCACGAACGAGATGATTCGGTCGGCGTCGAACCGGCCCAGTTTCACGCACTGATGGAACTGGCAGTCTTCCAGCGTCACGGAGCCTGCTGCTGCGCGTGTCGCTTTGGATGTAGCCAGGGCGCCGGCCGCATTGCCCGCTCCGTTTTTTCCTCCGCTGGCGGGCGCGCCGCCATCCAAGAGCAGTCGGTCGTTAAGTCCAAATTTGCATTCCGGTGTGCCGGATAGATATGCTCGCATGACGATTTGCCCGTTCACGTCGGCGCGGAGCACGGTCCCTGTTGCGGACATCAGGAGGTTGACGTCTTCGATCACGTCGACAAAGGCTTCGTTTTTGCGGTACTTGATGTCCGATCGGCGCCAGGAGAGCGCGCCGGTGGCTTGCTGCGTGATGCGACTGGAGTCTGTGGGCGAATTGGCGATGACGGACTTGACGCCTTCGGTGGTGATGTACATTTTCAGGGTGTCGGTCTCAGTGTTCTGCGGGTATCCGAAGTCGAGGATTTCTATATGTAAAGAGGGGTGATGAGCATGACCAGATAGCTAGGCCTTATTGTTGAACTTTTGGGAAAAGACTCACCGTCCAGCAACTCATAAATCAAGACAAAGTTATTCTTCACGGCCTCCTCATCGAACTTGCCGAAATAGCTCTTCCCCAGCATGATGAACCGGTACATGAACTCAAAAATGAGTGCGGCATTGGCGTTGCTCTTGGTCACAGCGACCAGGTAGATATTCTCGTGCTTGACATGGCTGAAGGTTGTAGAGCCCAGGGTCAGGATAGGCGAGCGAACCTGCGGGTTGGAGATAACCTGGATACGGAAGATATCGGCCAGGCGCGGGCGGCAGTCGCTGCGGAAGGCACGGAAGATGAGGTTCTCACCCTTTTGGTTGAAGATGAGGATGCCCGAGAGCATGGTGGTGAGTGGTGCATAACACTTCAGGAGCTGCGACGGATGAAGATGTGAAGATGTGGGGGGCGGGATCCACGGACGACACCGCCTTCTTCGACACTGGGAGGTACTACATGCTAGTTAGAATACCACAACTTAGGGAATTTACTAAACTGATAGGTTTTTATTGATGCTCGCTAGAGCAGTTGTATGCACAGGATCCAGAGAAAAGATTACAAACAGTATCAAAAAAGGAGGTATAACCAAGAGTCGCTGGTGGATATCATGGAGAAAGGCCAGGACAAGAGTGCCAAAATTACCAAAAAATAGACAAAGAGAAGACCAATGGGGAATCGCATACGAAAAACACCGAATCAAGCACCGCGCCCAATGCCGGTGCTGGGCCGGGTATTGGGTTGAGAGGGATCCTCGCTGGGCACAATGCCCACCTTGGGATCGGGGATCTGGATATCGAGGCACATGTAAGCGGTTCGCCGCAGACTCCAGATGTGCACCCCGTTTTTGGCGCCAACCTCGCGATTCCAATTCTCCAGCCAGGTCTCGACATGTTGTAGCTGGCCCTTGATCCCAGGGGCACTGATATCATCCCACACCCAGCCCGTCAGCAGGCCAATCGCACCATCGAACCAATTACGGAGGCGGAACGGGTCAAAGGCTTTGATGAGGCCGTCGTTGACAGTGGCTATCACTTGGCGGAAGTCTTGTTCTGACAAGAGCGGATCCAAAATCTCAGGATACAGATTCGAAAAGGTCGGCGCCAAGTCGCCCTTGATCATCCAGTCGCGTCGAATCCGGATCACACGGGTGGTAAGATACTCCTGAGATCCAATCGGTACGTGAGGGTTCATATGCGGGAAACACGGGTGAGCGGGGCCCCAGGCCAGTTCTTCGGCGACGTCAGGGGCGGGTTGGCCGGTGTTCGAGGGGACGGACGCGATCTGGGATTGGGAGCGTAAAGAAGTTTGTGACTGGACGTGGCGAGGCCGGTCGTCATTGTTCTGGCGGCGAGTGCCATCTTGCGATAGATGGACTTCAGCGGGCGGCTGGAGGTTTTCCACCTCCTTGGCCGCGCTGCCGGCAAATGCTGCAGCCATGTCCGCGGGTGATATGTGTCCGCTACGCCGCCGGCCTGGAGGCAGGCCGATACTGGTGCGGCTGCTCTCGCTCTCGCCCTGACTGCGCTCCACGATCAGACTGGACGGGGAGGGGGTGAGGCGACTGCGTCGTCGTTCGGGGATGCTCAGCAACGGAGACTCGAGGGGTAGGCTGTCGGAGGAGAGCTGGCGAGGTGCGACGCTGATCGGGGTGATTCGGGGGACGTGGTTGACAGGGTTGGCGAGTCGGACGGCGGGTGGGCGAAGGATAGCAGGGAGCGACGACTGGCCCGAGATGGGGACGCACTGTCGCCGCTGCGCTCGGGAAAATGACGAAGTCGCCTCCACGGGGGCGCGAGTGGCTACCAAAGAATGGGGACCACGGACGAAGCGTTCTTGTGTCTGCCGCGACGATAGAGAAGAGGAGGAGGAAGTAAAGGACGCCGTGTTTGAAGAGGAAAAAGAGAGTGTTGGGGATCGGCGGCGAGGGGAAACGAGCGGAGGGACATAGGGAGAGACACACGCAATAGAAGAGAAGAAAACAGAAAGAGAGCAAATACGAACGAATGAATGAATGGATTGGTGAATTCAGAATTGAAAAGAATTGAAGCGAAGATTTGGAATTTCTTGGCAGCCTCAAGTTTGAGGCCGAGCTAAATAAATCTACGATCCGGAACAAACGAACCCTAATAAAGACCGGATGCCCCGGTTAATGATAATCGGACTCATCTACCTCATACAAGTGCCCCGTGTTTGCGCCAATCGCGCCCTTGTTTCATGCCTGCAGGCTGCAAGGAGAGGTAGTATGTAAAAAAAAAATTATTGTTAAAGGGTATATCTATCACACAACAAGAAAGAACCAATACAAATTACAACTGTTGATGCGCCGTAGCCTGCATCCTTCGCATGGCTTGTCGATGTAGGTCGGTCATGCTGCCCCGCTGCATTCCATCTGCAATGCTATGGCCTAGCTGTGCTGCCGAGGCATCGCGGATCTGTTGCACCGACCCCCAAAGACTGCGTGGCCTGTCCGAGCCTATCGGCGGAGGGAACGTCAATGGATCACGGCGCTGGAACAGATCCTCGCGGACCGACTGTCGCCAGGCCGCCATCATGACTGATCTGCCCGAATCAGGAGTCATAGACCGTGGAGATCCAATGGGATCGATGCTCTGGAGACTGACTGCCGAGGGCGAGTGCATGGCCTGCCGCTGGAGCATGGCACGGCGTCTGGAGAGCGGCACGTCGTCTTCGTCATTGGGCTGATTCCCGCGCTCTTCACCCTCTTCATCCTCTCGCTCCTCGGGGATCGAGAAAGTGGGCGGCACAAGCGGATACGGCTCTGCGAGTGATGCGCGCGATGACCCGCTCCGCGAGATCCGGGGTTCCTGCCGTAACGATAACATGGATTGTCGGTTGCGGACCATTCTCTCTCTCACTGCCAGGAGCGAAGGCGAGTTGCTCAATCTCTTTGAATGGGGCATGTCGTTACCATCACCGGGAGCAGTAATCGTTAGGTATGGAGTCGACCTGCTGCGAGTCGGTGCCGTCCTGCTGTTGTCTTGACTCATGGCAAGAGACTCAGATGACTGGTTCCTCGAGGCCACTGAAGCACGAGATACAGATTTGCGCAGTTTGGATACTGGGCCACTGGTCATGCTGTTGTTGGATGTCGTGCGACGCAGTTCGGGTGCCGGTTGTGGCGAAAGGGCATATGATCGACGATTGCTCATGTCTGTAGACATGGACCTTGTCATTGCCTGTGGCAACTGAGCAGTAAACGGTGTCTGCAACAGCTGTTCAACGTCGACGGGTGCTACCGGCTCCTCATTGTCGGACGTGCTTTCTTTCACTTCATTATCCACCGGAATGTGCTCAAGCTCCGGGACATCTGCCTCTTCCAAGTGTTTCGCCCATTCTGTGGTGCGATATGAATGGATCACCTTGGATGTTTGCTCCGGAATGCCTTGCACGCTTGTTCTGTCCAATCGACCGCTTTCGTCATTGGGGACGTCTTTTCCCTGCGACGCAGAACTCATGGTTTTTGTTTCCTCTGATGAACATCCGTCCGGGCTCTTTGCTTGAACAGTGATATCCTCCTCAATGTACTCGCTGTGGAAAGTAGGGTGCTTCTCATGGATGGCTGAATTGTCGGGCAATTCCATTGTATAGTGCTGTTGGCATTCACCAGCAGGATCGTTCAGAATATCGGATGAGACGCTTGGACAGCTGGAGCTCGACTCTTGATCATCCGCAATGCCTGCCACAGATGAATATGAATCTTCCGCTGCAACGAGCGCTTCCTCTGACTGTGACTGAGAGGGTTGTTTGGCACCACTGCTGCTTTGACGAGAAAATCGACGCAAAAGGGACCTCCCTGATAAGCGTTTCGAATGTGGTGTATCTGCCTCAGATCCCGCAATAGCGCCATTTTCCGAATCATTTTCATCATCGGAGTTGGATCCGGCGTCCGTAATAACTATTTTAAGCGCCCGCGGATGTTTTGCCGCTTCTGCTTCTGGGTTTTGATCATGCCATGCCTGTGAACTTTCTCCCACCGAAGGACTATCATCACTAGTCTCCCGGAATTTCTCACTACCAGAGGGCTCCATTGATGGACCAGTGCTGCCCATATCCTTCATCTCGACTGCATCCTTTTCGTGGTCTGTGGACCCGAAACCATTGGAGTCCCTTCGCGAATCGGCCACGGCGGTTTCGGACAGCGAGGGTGCTTTCCCTTCATGGCTGTTCCTGTACATATTCTCCCACTCGACTCGTTCTCGGGAATTGCCTTCTTCCACTTGTCGACCAACTTCTTCTTCTGCCGCTTCTTTATTCTTTTCATGTTGTTTTCGTGCATCATCCGCTTTCGAGCGGCGCTCCCTGATCACTCGCCACAGCCGCAGCTGTGATATCACACCCATGGCAGTAATGATGATGATTCCGGCCAGCTCGACCCGGATATTGCGAGTAAGTGGATAAGTATAGGTATGTCGAGGAAATATCTCCTTGTTCAAGCCTAGAAGAGACGTCAGAACTGGAAATGTGTCATGTTGCCATCGACTTACCCCAAATATACAACCAGAACTCCTTCAGTCCAGCTCTGCTGAAGCAGTCGATCCCAAGCATAATCGCCGTGGCACCAGAAAAAGCAGTGCACCCAATTAGCCCGTAGGATCTAGTGTAATGGGTGAATGATAGGGCATAGAAGCCCACGATGACTGCTGCAACCAGACCAATCTTCGGTATGGTGCTTGAGAGGAGACCGCCTGATTTTAATGAGAGAAGCCACATGCTCATGCAGAACCCGCCGAGAAGACAACCAAGACCTTCGGTAATCTCTTTGAATATAAGAGCCAGTCCACCGAAGATCAATCCAGTGAAGAATATGGCGACCAGGTACCCGCCTTGAACGGCATTACTCACGGGAGGAACCATCACGTATTCGATCAAGACCTAATAAAAGAGTCAATAGTTTTCTAATGTATGGATCAGTTTCACACTTACAGTCACACCCAAGGCTGATATGAACCCCGCCGAGAGGAATATTTGAATCCTATAAACCAGATTAGCAACCAACTCATGCCAACATGAAATAGTCCAAGACCCACCATTTCTCGAGTACGCCAATGAAAGCCAGAGTCCCTCCGAGGAAGAGGAGGAGTATGCCTCCAATACCCACTGCTGGACTTATTTGAGGATGAATTGGAAGACCTCCTGTGTATGTTTGGTTGGAATTGCCTCGCTGGAGGTGAGAGTCACCTGTCATAGGTGTGTCCAATGAAGGGACGGTCGTCGTTGGTATCGCTAAAGAGGACCTGCTATTTGAAGCAGCATCGTGGGTGGTTGTCGTCGCTGCGACGTCTGTCGTAGTTATCGTGGATACATCATTTGCGCTGGTTCTTGTTACGAACGTCGCCGTCGCCGGTCGTTTTTTCGTGCCGAGAGTCGCGGTTGTATCGACATTTTGCGGCTCTTGGATTGCGGCGGGCGCCGCAAATGTGCCCACAAATTGGAGGAAAAGAAGAATGATGGTAAGAAATGGTTGGCGTCGCATCTTGACCAGCTTGCGCACAGTAATCGTATGCAGTATTTGATCGTGTATCTCCGATGTAGTCAAGCTGGCTTAACTTGATAGATCTATGCCGGACACCGCTCACATCCAAACACAACAACAAACCTCCAGTCACGGTGTCTCTTCAGACATGAGACGCGTCGTCTAAATAACAATAGGGGAGGATTAGAATAAACAAGCTAATTTCCCAGTCAGAATAATGGCGTCAGGGATCCATTGGGCCAGAAGACAATAATGAAATGAACAGAAGGGCGGAAGAAAATTGAACAAAAACCAGCCTCGGGCCCAGCCCCAGACTCTCTCCCTAGATATAAAGCGGGAGCAAGAATTGACACCGCTAGTCCCAAATTCCAGAAGGCCGGGCGTCCTGTGATGGTTTCTCATTGTTTAGGACATATTTCCGGTTTTGGGGAAGGGGGAGGGGCGGGTATGGATAATAGACGCCCACGCCCGCTGGACCAGTGAGCTGTCGATTGGACAGGACGATTGTGTAAGGATGAAAATTACTTGCATACATTACTCGAGTCCCTCGCGAAAGATTGACCGATAACGGGCTTGTTGAGCAAGCCGCATAGATCATATTGCATTACTTCATCTCTACCAGGGCAGCAGCAATATCCCTAATTGCGAGATGGAGCCGATGTTTAGTTGAATTTGTTTACCATGCCAATTCCTATCATGGAAAATACAGAAAACTCTCACGCAGATCCATTCTCCAGCTCACCGACTGGAATGCGGGCAAATAGCCGATTCTGTGATCTGTCAGATCGATCACAGCGCCAGCCTCTTGGGATCAAAGCCCGATCATAACATACATATGTGCGTGTGCGTTCACCGTCAAACATAAGCAGAGAAAATGTCTTCTCGACTGGGGTGGTTTGCAAAAAAGATCTAGGGGGTGAGAAGGCGGGTGGCGTCGAGTCGATCTATCACCTTTGAGCGGTTCCTGGATGACGCTTCAACTGGACCAATCTCATGCTGATTTAGCCTGCATGCCCCCATATTACTTGGCCTATGAGCGCCGTTGATGATCGGAAAACAATGCCTTCGAGGCATTGTCGAGTCGGAAAAAGTCGAGGCAAGGAGTATCTGAGACAGCATCCGTTTTTGGATGTGTACCTTGCCGATCATTTCCTCCAGAACTCAAAGCCTTAATTCCATGATTCAAGCGGCGGTGGGAACGAGCCCGTCATGGTGGCCAGTTCCTGAGATGCTCGTTGTTGATACTCTGAGGGAAGATTAAAGCTAATTAATAGCACTGCTATAGGGCATTGAATGCTCCTCTCGTTAATGGCCGAGTATACCCACTGAACCTTACCCTAAATACTCCTACCAGAAAAGTGGCTGGGTGAAGCACGTAGAAAAAAGAAGGCTGGATTGAATTGGATGATCATTGCTAGAGAGAGTGATAATTGCAAAAACTCTATCCTTCCTTCGCAAAAAGATCCAAGATCAGCTGCCTCTCACACGCAGCAGCAACATCCAAGGCACTCATGCCCTTCTTGTTCTCCTTCCTCGGATCCAATCCCCGTGCCAGCAGCTCTTCAAACAGCCATAGTCCATCGGATTCACTGGTTTCATCATCTGCCCGCCCGGCAACTGCGTGGAGCAGAGTATCGCCTTCATTATTGACAACAAATACATCATGATAACCAAACATCCGGCGAACATCGGACTCCGCAGGAGAACAAACCCGGTAATAGTCGCATCGCAACTTGGTTTGTTCGACATATGGAAAAAGAGGCGTATTTCCGGCATTATCGCGGGCATTGGGATCACAGCCATTTGCAATGAAGTGTTCATATAGATCTTGGTATGCTGGAAGATAACTCTTGTCGTAGCCACGAAGATATACGCCACCGTCGGGGCTGAGTGTCATGAGTGTCGGAGCAAGAATATGCAGTGGAGTGTCGCCATTCGGACCGGTGATTCGAGGCTCTGCACCAGCAGAGAGCAGCGCATTAACGAGGTCCAATCTGTTGTCCTCGTTTATCCTAGATCCGCTGAGAGCGCAGTAAAGTGGCGAGAGACCTTCACTATTCGTCGCAGAGACGTTGACCCCTTTTACCAGTAGCAGCTTCACTGTCTTGTACAAGCCTGCTTGGGTAGCAAGTAGCAAGGGCGTTGATCCATTGCCGTCTGCGGCATGGATATTTGCTCCAGCTAATATCAATTGGCTTGATATGGAATCATCCTCCAAGACGCGGGATTCAGTCGAGATCGAGCATGCTCTCATCAAAGGGGTTTGACCTTCAGAGTCTCTCACTTCTAAATCAATTCCAGCGTCGATGAATGGGGCAATAAGCCCATGGTTATGACAAGTTTCATGGAACACAGTGGATTTGCCATTGCGCAGTTTCATCCAGGGGCTCGCCCCGCGTTTCAGAAGAAGCGCAACCATTTTCTCCCTGGTCTTTCTTGGCCGCGTGGTTCCTAGGAACTGTCGATCAGCTTTTAGAGAGGCAGCGAGAAGAGGCACTTCTTCGTCCTTGAGTTTTCTGAAATAACCCTTGTCGTTCGGGCGGTGGAATACAATGTTGACATCTGCTCCAGCGTCAATAACAGCCGAGACAACTGCACAGTTACCGCTCCTGACTGCCACGATTATGGGAGGCACTGGACATAGGCTCATGTCAACACCGTGGTCAAGGAGCTTCTGGATCACTGCCAGGCCTCTTTTAGTATCCAAGGCAGAGATCAGAGGCGTCAAGCCACTGCAAGGAGAGACGGCGTTAATCTTTGCACCGTGTTTCAACACGACCTCCAAAGTCTTATCATACCAAAAGGAGGTTCCTAAGAACCCACTTCGATCTCCAGAAAGCGCACATTGAAGAATTGTGCTTCCATGAGAATCAGCTGATTCTAGATCTGCTCCTGCCTTGCAAATTGACTCTAGTGCCGAGATGTTCCACCAATTTTCGCCCACGGCAAGAACATGAGCGGCTGAGTATGTAGCAGGATGGTGTCCGAAATAACGGTCTTTGTCGACAAATTCTGTATACTTGGTGTTCACATCAACACCGAGTCCAATAAGCAGATTGACCATTTGTAGATTTGACAGCTGTCTGCTTGCCGCAACATGAAGGAGAGGAGGTGAAAATGCATTGATGTCTTTGATAAAAGGTGCGAATGTCTTCATCATTGACATAAGGCCCCAATGAGAAACATAGTGCACAGGCGTCAAGCCTTCGGGGCCGCAAGACATTGGATCAAGTCCGTTCTTTAATAAAGCCTTTACTACAGCCTCGTTTCTCGTGCTGATAGCTGCTTGGAGGATGGTGTATGCATCGGCCCTATTATCCTCGAGGCCTCGAGCAATGGCCTCAGCGTGTGTGGATCGGGTAGAACACCAACGATGCATGAGACTGTTTTTCGTGCCAAGATTTGGTGAAGGTGAAAGCGCATCCACCACTTCCTCGTGGCCTATAAAAACAGCCACATCATATGCCGTTTGCCCAGAATTGTCGCACAGGGCTGGATCCGCACCGGCTGCCAAGAGGCAGCGAACAACATCTTGTGTCATGACAGCTTCGTCTTCTTGACAGATCGCAAAGCTTAACTTCCACTCAACACAATATTGTCTAGTGTTGGGAGGAGGAATTATGTACGCGGCGAGAGATCGACCACCACCTCCCCATATAGGCAGTTTCCTGTACTTGCGGTTCTTTCTGAACGCAGAGATATTGACCTGGTGCTCGGCAGCCAGATGTAGGGGTGTCGAACCATGTTTGTCTGCGATGTTTGGATTCGCCCCAGCTTGTAATATGGAGTAGACACTCTCGAGGTTTCCAGACAGAACCGCATGGTGCAATGGAGTCCGACCATTTTCATCTTTCTGATCCACGTTGTACAATTTCTTGCAGTATAGAAAGCAGAGGAGATCGACAGCACTGCTATGCCCAGCGCCTGCTGCAAAATGAAGAGGAGTTCGGTCATCGTTCGTGAGGGCATTTATATCTGCTCCAGCTTGGTAGAGTTTCCAAACACAAACATCGGACGTGGAGGCAGCGCAATGAATGGCCACGATACCTTCGTTATCTGCCGCATGCAAATTTATACCCAGGCGTGGCTGTAGCAGGAAATCCATTAGAGCGGGGATCATTTGAATGCTCGGGCTGGCAGAGTCCACGTTCGGCAGCCGGACTAACTTATGCAAAGCTGTTTCGCCGCGGTTGTTGGCCAGGGTTGCCAGTCCACCAAGCTCCAAAATTATCTCTAAGGTGACGGGAGAGATACTCGAGCAAATTGCATCATGGAAGGGCGTGTTGCCTTCGAAATCGACACAATTTATGTCACATCCTGCTTGAATGAGAGCTTTGGCATCCGCCAGCCAAAACTTGACTTGTGCAGCTATGTGAAGAGCTATTTTTGAGAGATAAGCCAAATACCCGGACAATAAATGGAGGTAGTATACAAAACACTTACCGGACTTGTTCCGGAAATCCCTGGCCTTGGCATTGGCTCCGTTCTTGATCAATGCCGTTATGAATTGCGACTCTCCATTGTTGCAGGCTGCAAGCAAAGCCGTTCTCCCTAGTCGATCTCGGGACTCCAGATCCAGTCCTTTCTCCATGAACAGCGGAATCGAGTTCACCCTGCCATCTCCACCGTTTCCATATCGGAGGTTATACATACAAAGTGCACCTTTCTTATTCTTGATCGTGGGGTCTGCGAACTTCAGCCACTCTTGAACATCATCATATTCAAACACCCACGAGGCGCAAATATAGTGCAGTGCTGTGTTTCCTTTATAGTCTTGCATGTTTGGATCAGCACCATTCTCGATATACTTGCTGACATCCGTGCATTGGGCCATGGCCGCTAGGATGAGAGGGGTGACGCCGTCACCAGGTCGAGCTTTGTTGATGTCCGCCCCTGCCTCTGTAAGCATCTTGATGACCTGGAAGCCTCCTTCAGACCTCTTCTCAATTTGATGAAGCACGGTGTTTCCCTTAGAATCAGTGGCAGACGCATTGGCACCGTGACGCAGAAGAAAGGACACAAATTCTTCAGCGCGATCCGAGCCGCAGAAATACTGATCTGCCCAAGCAAATAATATAGGGCTTGACTCGTGCGTCGCATTGACATTAGCTCCAGCCTCAATGAGGAAAGTTGCGCTTTTCTCCCATTCTTCAAGAGTGTTGTCAGGCATCCCGTGTCCGGGGACTGTGATTCTCGCCCACCCCTGGAGAGGACTCAACTCCGGCTTGTTGCTGGCAAAACGAACACCGGGGCCGTCTCCGTAGTATTTAATTTGGTGGGATTTGGCATGTACGTCGGCTCCGTGGGAGAGCAGAATGCGCACAGTCTCGGAATCTGCGGCGACTGCCGCAAGAAACAGCGCCGTCTGGCCCTTAGGATTGTGTTTGTTGATATTGGCAACAATTTCAGGATACCGGAGCAGGATTGCTAGAGTTTTGGATTGACCTGTCGCGGACGCATAGTGTGGAAGAACGGTGCCTCGTGAACAGGCATCCATACGTGTTAACAACTCAGAGACAACATCCGCAGCGCCTAGCTCGCAGGCGTATTGGATTGGTGTCTTTCCAATGGTCGAGTCTTGCGCAGGGAAGTGACCATGGTCTTCTCGATTTTTGGGCGACATTGGATCTGCACCGGCATCCAGCAAGTATTGCAGCGCTTTGACATGGTTGCCTTTAGCAGCATGATGAATAGGTAATAAGCCATCCCTGTCAGAGATGGTTAAACATGCATTGCTAGCCAAAAGTTTTGCAAGTGTCCCGGCATGCCCATTCATTGCAGCGTAGGCAGATGCTGTTCGCTCATAGGAATCCACAGAATTCACTTGTTCTCCCCCTTCTATGAGATGCACAATGTACCCTTCCAGTCCAGCCTGGCCGGCCATATGAAGAACACGAAACTTATCAGGAATGCCCTCTGCCTTGTGTATGAGCATGAAGTCCTTCCAACTCTCGAAAGCATGATTTCCATACTGGCAGAGACCATCGAGCTTCAACATCAGTTCTTTCGTCATGATCTTGCATTTCGCAGCATGGTACAGCAGGTTCTGCGATCCGTATTTGAGGAAAGGAAATTGCACCATGAGACTTCTTTCCGTGGAGTGATCATAGCAGTATTTCAAGTTTTCACTGCGATCACTGACAGACCACGATTCAAAACATCCAGACAGTAGATAATCAATGCAAGAAATTGTCAGATTCTCATGAATAAGAATTGGTGAAAGAGCCGGGAACCATTTGTCAGACTGAGGTGGCTCTACGGCGCTTTTGCGCTCTCTATCCAGCAGAAACTCTGTAAAAGAGTGGTGGATGACTTGGACGGTTTCATTATCCAAGATCTCAAGAAGCGGGCCACACGACGTGCGAGCCATGAGTTTTGCATCTTTGGAAGCATTGAGGCCGCTTCGGTCGTCACGAGAATTGATCAAGGCTGCAAGTTCTGTGGCGCGAAGGGGCCGACTCGCATGAGTGATGCAAGAAAGTAGCCAGGACTGGAAATTTCGACTGGCTCCGGAGCGTATCGAGTGCTCATGGAGGAGGTTCACATACATATCTTCCAAAGAGCCAGGAAGATGTTCGAGATGCTCACGCACAGCAACTTGCTTGTAGATGATCTCGTCGAGCATCAGTCGGGCGTACAGGAAAAGACCTCTTGCCTTTCGGCAGAGAACTTCCTTGACTACCGAACAATCTTCCGGCGTCAACCCGCTCTGCTGTTTATTAGTGAGGCGCTGACTGAGGTATGTGGCAATGTCGTTTTCAATATCCCCTCCTTCAAGCCGAATCCTGACAATGTGCGCCCCCCTGAGGGCGTTCTGCAGCAAGGGTATTGGGCGACTGGTCATGATAAGCTTGATTGACTCTGGCTTTTGTTGCCCGAGCTCATAGGGGCATTGGAAAAATCCGCATTGCTCAGTATCCAGTTCATCCAGGGCATCAAAAACGAGATAGACCATGGGAAGGGTCGAAAGCGCGAAAAGCAACGATCTCCAGAGTTCTTCGAACGGAGCACCCTCTACCGCCGAATGCTGCTGATGAAGCTTTTTCAGAGTCACTTGCAGTGGAATACTGTAATCAAGGAGCTGTGATAAACAGTCTTGGGCCAATTGTCGTGGGCTGCTATTCGACTTGATGATCCGCCGAGCAAAAAAGAATAGTACAGGCACATCTTCCTTTTTCAGGGTCTGGATCAAATTGGCCGCGACTACTGATTTGCCGCTTCCCGGAATGCCTTGAACCCACAAGGCCCCAAGACTGGAATCATGCCAGTTCTTGTACTTGTCTGTCTGGAACAGCCAGTCGCCAGTTCCCGGGGCATGGGAGTTGAGATGTCTGTTGTATTCACTCCCTTCCGAATCATATTCTGTTGGAGACAGCCAGGATCGAATGTTTTCAAGATCCTCGGCAGTAACTGGACAAAAAATTAATAGATATCTTAATGAGAAGAGGCGAGGATCCTACGGGGAGGTTCTTGGGCACCATCTATTGTCAAGGTCAGCAGATGCGTTGAAGTATCAGGAGCCAAGTCTTGCCTATTCTATCCACCAGCACGTAGTCGTCGTTGTTCATAATTGCGGTTGTGGTTGTTAGTGGCAAGAACCCACGAGGAGTGAAAGTGGTTAGTTGTTTAGCCCCCCAGCCTAGCACAGCAGAGCCTCATCTTGTGGATGCGCAGCATACTAATATTAGACCTAGACAGATCGTCCTATAGATTATCATAACTACATACGTAATAGCACCACCCTTTCTCTATGTATTTCTATTCCTTCATTATTTCTCTGTTTCATACATATAGTTACCCAAACCGACCAAAAACACTGATTACCGAATGCGGAAATCCCGTCATGTGACCAGCGCGTCACTCTCCCGCGCCCCTGATTGCAGGACACCATCACCATCCTTTCCCACTCTCTCACCTTGTCTACCCCAATTACCACACCCAATGTCCGCCTTCGCCTCCTCTCTGCGCCCGTCCCTGCGCCTGGCCGCCACGGCCCAGCCCACGCGCACCTTCAGCTCCTCGTCTTCGCGCTCCGTCGCCAAGATGATCCTCACTGGCCGCCTGGCTGCCGAGCCCGAGCTGCAGGCCACTTCGACCGGTCAGGACGTCATCAAATACGCTCTCGCCACATCGTACGGCCCCAAAGAAAACCGCCACACAAGCTGGTTCCGCGTCTCGAGCTTCGTCCCGGAGGGCGCGCAACGGGAGTACCTCCTCGGTCTGCAGAAGGGGTATGGGTCTTGTGATGTCACGGATAAATAAGGTGGATTGCTAACAGTTTATATTTCAGAACTCTGGTCTACGTCGAGGGTGATGCAAGCATGCGCCAATGGGAAGACGCCGAGGGCAAGAAGCAATCCAGCCTCAGCATTGTGCAGCGTATGTGTCCCTGCTTGACCTCAAAATATATTTTTAAATTTCGTTGCTGATATGACCTTAACTAGGCTCACTCGAGGTCCTCAAACGCCCAGCTAGCGCTTACGAGAACGAGAGCGATTCCCACTGAACGGGCGTGGTACAGTTTTAGATCTGTCGCTGGTTGACGAATGTTTCTTTCATGACCTGGATAATGGCGCTTGGAAGTAGGGCGGCTGTCTGTTGGTTATGCCGGGTCTTCGAATTATGATGAGTGACTGATTCTCCGATCTCCTCTCATGTTGCTTTTGTGATTATATTGTAATTGTATACCCTGAATACACTTCCGTTCCCACTAGGGGATGTAAATTCGGCCTATGAGCTGTCAAATCATACTTGTAGCACGATTAGTTTTTCTCCTATTAATGTTATTATCATCGACAAAGTAAGCGATATCTAACTACCGGCCCAAGGGGTTCATACTTACCGTGTGGGGGTGTTGAGCTTCGTCCGGGCCTCCGAGTCATGTGAGTAGTTCTTCTAGTCGCCCGGGGCCAAAGCTTTCTTGCCCTTTTCTTCCTTGGTTACGATCCTTGACTTCTAGCTTCTCTACACCTCTTAAAATCCAATGGAAGAAAGCGAGTCTCCCTCTGGTGAGCTGACTTCTCGCCCGTGAGTATCGCGCCAACGAACAAGACTGCTACTAGTATGTCAGCGATGCCGTCAGCGGAAACAAAAGGCGGGACTACGAGTTTATTGCGAAAAAGGCAGAAACTGAGCCTGTGAATAGTGCGATAATAAGCTGCCGAGCTATGGTGAGTGCGCTAGTGCGTGCCCTGTCTGAGCAAGGATCGACTGGCATCCGCAGCGGATGCGAGGACGCGACAACTGCCTCGCGGGTAGGAACTATCATTGGAGTCATAGATATATCGCACTAATTGTCGGAAATAGCTGTATTGAAAACCCTGAGGCGAAGACCAGGGCTCTAGAGCAAGCGATTTCGGAAGCTGCCTCAGCCGCTCCACAGGTAAGCCTGGATAGCAACCAGCAGACCGAATTCCGGAATGAGCAAGACGAAAATGAAGATCACCATGACGTGGCAGACGATATTGGATCCGAGAATGATTTTCTATCGTCAAAGCCATGGCGGAGGCCAGTCCTTTGTGCGGTCATTCTATGCAGACTTGTTTGCCAACGAGGCCATGGGTTTGACTATGGAAGGTGGCACAATGAGGATTTCACCAACTTAAATGCTCAACGGTTGCGTGATAAGACCTGTTGTGTGTGTAAAGTGTATACTAGAGATCGAACGAAGCGCGAGCTTTTCCAGTCTTATTTTGAGCAAGAATTCGAAACTATTAAACATCATGTACAGCCGAACTATGATCGAGCAAAACCATTAAAAAAAAGCGCGGATGGAGAATAGAAAGGACACATCGACCACAGTTCCACGAGAAAATAAAAACCAGATGATACTTCAAACCTGCACCTCGCTCTGCTGGCTGATCACCTGCTTGACACGAATAAAGTTTTTTCTCTCAGGCAAAATCAAGCCAGGAGTGAACTCGCCACTCTCATAATTCTCGCTCGTTCCCGCCCAGGCGTTGGTACAGATTGTTTGAGACGGGGCTGAGAGGTCATCCAGAAGCACGTCTCCGTCCTGGCTGGGGGGTGGGGGGTAGCGGCGGAAGGACCTGAAGGGAGATTGGAACCATGGAGCCTTGCGGGTGGTTACACTGAGAGAAGGGTGCGCTGTAGAAAAGCGGTTAGTTTTCTCGGTATCGTTGTAGGTACTGGTGGATGCGAGGGTAGAGTTCCATTGGTTTCTAAGAGCTGTCAGTGAAGAATCCGTATATGGGTGTTCGACTGTCTGCTTACCGTGCAGCTGAGGCTTTGCGCCCCTTGAATATCAACTTGGCACGGCTGCTTATGGAACCGACAAGAGTTGTAGAGGAGGAGGCGTTGGCAGGTGGTGCAGTGCCCTGGGAATCGGTCGGGCCAGCGACGCTGGAGAAGCAGTAACCCAGTCCCAGGAACCGGGCGAATCTGCGGTAGATGCGAGTTGCGTCGCGGCCGAAGCCAAAGAAAACAAAGATCAAAAAGCCCGATCCGATAGGGCTCCATCGGTCAAAGAATACCTGGCCGTATGCGGGCACCTTGATGATCTTGTACCATGCTGGGCCGTGAAGGTTATCCCAGGAGTAAGGATGCCAGGGCAGTCCAAGGGTAATGTCGTAGTAAAGCACATATCCCTGGACAGGAAGAATGGCTGCCAGCATAGTCAGGGCAAGGAAGAAAAGGCGCAAGAAGCGAGATTTGTTCAGGTTGCTGTTGTAAGACTGCAGAATGACGCCGAAGTCACTGCGGTACCTGTGAAGCCGAATGATCACCAGGCCTGTAGATGATGAGTTAGATTAGGAGTATGAAGCAAGATAAGGAGATCCCTTACAGCAGTAATAAGCGGCAATCAGACAAATAATAGGCGGCCAGATGTAGGCCAGCAAAAGGCTCATATAGCTGGTATCGTAGTTGTTCACACATCCCGAGATGGAGTAGAGCAGATACCGGCTCTCCTGGTACACGATGTGGGTGATCATTGCAATGGCTGGAGTAATCACACAGAACAGAAGATCCACGGAGCGATTGCGCCAACGCTGAGTCTTGCTAGGCACTAAGGTTGCTCGGTCGGTATCCATGACAATAGCCAGGCCGCGGAACATGCCTACCAGGGTTCCGGGCACGGCAATATAGCCGGCGACATAAACCTTGACTTCAATATCACACAGCCCAGTACCGTCCCACCACTCATCCACATTGTCTCTCGGCCAGAGGAATGCATTGATGATGTTGAAGAGATTGAGCACGATGGACCAGCAGACGAGGCAGGTGGTGGGGAAGTTGCGGTTCTTTGCATGCAGAATGAGAGGGGTAATACAGAGACCGATGATGACGAAGGAAAGAAGGGGGAGGACCACCGCCGTCGGATAGAGCTTCATGTCCGATGGATCCTCCATGGCGGCACAGGTGTTATGTCAAAGTTGAAGTTCAACAGAAGGCGAGTTGGTCACTTGAGATACTCAACTAGTCACTCTGGAGAAACGAGAGTAAAGAAATGACCGGCTAAGAAGAGCAAGGATGCGAACCATCTTCTCTCGCTGGAGGAGGTCGTATATCAAGTTGGAGTCGGGGACGCTCGTGAATCAGGGCTTATTGATTTTTATTGAGAAGCGTGGGAATAACCACGCGGATGATTCACAGTAAAGTCCAACCTGCCGGAGCTGAATCAAGACATTACTGCGGACCCAAAAAGGGCGCTGAACAGTCTGGTGTTTCGAGCTGGTCGATGTCGATGTCGGAGTCACTCTCCCACGACTGTTGCAGAGATACCGCACCACATCCCCGACACGCCTTGCGACCGACGGAACTTGCCCATTGAAATACTGGCATGTTGCTCTATCCGACGCGCGAATAAAGGGAAAGCGATGCACAGACCGGGGGCCTATTGAGGCTGGAGCTGGCTGGCCGGACGGAGCCAACCGCATTGGGGACTCAATAGAGCTTGATGTCTCCCCGGCCCATGGCCACCCTCGTTGTGTCACCGCAGGAGCCGGATTGGCAATTTCTGTTGATTCAGACTGCAAGCCGTCATGAACCGGTCCGGAGCTGCGTAATTCCTACCGGCAAGGCGTGGTCGTCCATGGCCGGTTGTATTGGTTTTTAGGACTGCTCATGGGAATCGGCTCCATTCCCGGTCTTTCGGTCTCAATGGAGGCGGCATCTAGTACGGTCGAACAAATCCGAACAAAGAAATCATAATCAAGCTGTCACGCCGCTTGCTGACAAGTGGGCCAACCATGTAGTCAACTCATAAGCTATTGGACACCTTGGGCCGAGGCCACCACCGAACAGGAAAACCATCGTGAAGATCCACGATACCTCGCATGAACATGGGTTGTTGCCGCCACCCCAGGAGTTCGTCATCATTATCATTATCATTCTCCTCCTCACCATGCCTTCGGTGTCCCCCGTCCAGACGCTGCGTCGCCGCGCGACTCCCTTGCGCACCGCAACAGTCGAAGGCTGGGTTCAGCGCCGCAACTCCACTCTCTCCGACTCGATATCCGAAGCGCGCCACTCTATCCGCTCCTCCACCGACTCCTTGTTTCTGCCGCGCGTGCCCCGGGATTCCGAAGGCCATGTATCGACCGAAGAGTCACATTGGCATTCGGCTCCGCTGGGATTGGCCCTCCTGCCCGCCATCGCGGGGGTTTTCTTTAAGGAAGGGAGCGCGTTTGTGACCGACGTCACCCTGCTGGTTTTGGCGGCCATTTTCCTCAACTGGTCCGTTCGACTGCCGTGGGATTGGTATCGCTCGGCGCAGGGAGTTCGACGAGAGGAGGGTGTATTCGAGTCTGCTGCTGATAATCCCATCGAATCGGAAGCGGATGAGCCCGACGCGACAGACGGGCACAATGATGTCCCGCAGACGCATCCATCGACCAGCGCAGCAGCCACTCAAGAGCTGCAAATCCACGAGCTCGCGGCGCTGGCATCCTGCTTCATATTTCCTGTCATTGGGACATGGCTGTTGCATGGCATCCGGTCCAGCCTCTCCCGACCATCAGAGGGCCTGGTCTCGAATTACAACCTGACGATCTTCCTGCTGGCATCGGAAATCCGACCTGTTGCACATCTACTGAGGCTAGTACAATCGCGAACCCTCCACCTGCAGCGCATCGTGGCACCCTCGGGGGCGAACGAGATCATCGATCCCGCCAAAGTCCAAGATATCTCCACGCGCCTCGACGAGCTCGAAGCCCACGTCGCCGAGGCAGCCGCCGCACGTCTGGCTGCCTCCCCTGGATCCAATGAAGAGGGTGCGCTCTCGCCGCATGAACCTGCAAATAATGGCCTGGCGTTGGTAGCTCAGGCCGTCGCCGAAGCACGACGATCAATGCAACCGGAGATCGAAGCTCTGAACCGCGCTGTCCGACGCTACGAGAAACGCACAGCGATCACAACTCATCAAACCGATACCCGTCTGCAGCACCTTGAAGGTCAAACGCGCGACGCTCTCGCCCTCGCCGCTGCAGCGCAGCGCTCCGCTGCGGACCACCGTCAAAACTACGCGTTTACGCTGATCAACTGGGCCTGCGCATGCATTGTTATCCCCACCCAGCTGGCTTTGTCGATCCTTAGCCTCCCCAGTCGTGCGGCATCGCACTGTCTCCTCGCCGCTCAACGTTTGTTGCGTCGCCGTCCTGCTCCGCGGCCTCGGTCGAAGCGTGGGAAAGGAAAAGCTGCTATGGGGTCAATTGATTCTCGAGTACGCGCACACTCGCCTCCGCCATCGCGTGTGCCGGCTGTTGCGCCACTCTCGCGGCAGCAGGAATATCCCCAGGGTTCTGCACGGAGCACTCCGGCGAAGCCGATCTAAACCTGATGAAATTTCTTGATGTGAAATGCTCGCCTCTGTTTTATTTTCTTTTACTTTTTGCTGGATATTAACGGGTCTTTGGGTTGGAACTGGAGGAGTTTGTATACGGATACCTAAGCTTGGACATGGGATATTTCTCAGTTTTACGTTTACCTCGCTATTTGGATGTCCGGCACACCAATTAATATGACGAGGACCGGTTCATTGACCTCACAAAATCCCGTGCTAAGCTTTCTTCAGCTGTCCAGATCGGGGAAGATCTCCGATGCTGATATATACAGCCAAGTGCAAAACTAGCTTCACCATTCTCACTCTCCTCTTGATTCTGGGCCTCACTGCCAAGACTGTAACCCAGCGGCTGAGTGCCGATTAGTTGAGTATGATATATACTCATTTTTCCAGTCGTAACTTGCAATTCCATACAATATAGAGAACCTTTTAGATCTAGTCTCTAACTGAGCGACCTGGAACTGCGGCAAACTATAACGGAGTAGACAGTACAGTATGGGATATGGAACCTGATGGAACTTAATGGCACATTCCACCGACACTGTAGAGCCATATAAATTACCTTCATCTCCCAGGCCTTTCTTCCAACAAGAGGTTAAAAAATAGAGGAAGGATCGAAAATTGGAATCATTGACGCCCTCTATAAATGAAATCCTATAAAAGAAACCCGCCCCGATGCGTGCCCTAGCGCTAGTAAATTGCCATGAAACGCGGAACAGCCAGGCCGAGAGTCAGGAGGCAGCCATAGTGTATTGTAGCCGTTCAGCTTTATCCACTGCCCTTGCTCGATGAATACCCCCACGGTCCTATGGGTTAATTTAATTTCACTCCGGGACTGAAAATCAAGGGCGCCCAGGTTGGTCATTAGATATGAACCATCCTGAGCAAAGTCAAGGTAATTGATGGGTCCGCCAACCTCGAGTGTCTGCTGCAAGGCGCCCGTCGCCACGTCCCAGAGGCGCACAGTCTGATCCACAGAGCCGGACGCCAGCAGCCGACCGTCTGACGTGAAGGCCACTGACTGAACCGGATATAAATGGCCCTCTAGAGTCTGTTGCAGCGCACCTGTCGCTAAGTCCCAGAGGCGCACCTTCCTGTCCCTAGAAGCAGATGCTAGCAACCGGCCGCCGGGCGAGAAGGCCATCGACTGAACCGAACCTGAATGACCTTCGAGAGTCTGCTGCAGCACGCCTGTCGCCACGTTCCAGAGGCGCATAGTCATATCCACAGAGCCGGATGCCAGTACCCGGCCGTCCGGCGAGAAGGCCACCGAGTCAGCCCAATCTAAATGGCCCAAGAGAGTCTGCTGTAGCACGCCTGTCGCCACGTCCCAGAGGCGCACAGTTTTATCATTAGAGCCAGACGCTAGAAGCCGGCCGTCAGGAGAGAAGGCCATCGACTGAACTGAATCTGAATGGCCCTCGAGGATCTGCTGTACCACACCTGTGGCCGAGTCCCAGAGACGTACAGTCTGATCCCCAGAGCCAGACGTTAGCAGCCGGCCATCGGGCGAGAAGGCTACCGACTCAACTGAACGAGCCCAATGTGAATGGCCCTCGAGAGTCTGCTGCAGAGCGAATGTCGTCGCGTCCCAGAGACGCACAGTCATATCATCGGAGCCAGACGCCAGCAGTCGGCCGTCCGGCGAGAAGGCCACTGAGTGAACCCATCGTGAATGGCCCTCGAGAGTCTGCTGCAGCGCGCCCGTCGCCACGTCCCAGAGACGCACAGTCTTATCCGCAGAGCCAGACGCCAACAGCAGGCCGTCGGGCGAGAATGTCACTGAGTGAACCCAATGTGAATGGCCCTCGAGAATCTGCTCCAGCGCGCCTGTCGCCACGTCCCAGAGACGCACAGTCATATCATCGGAGCCAGACGCCAGCAGCCGGCCGTCTGGCGAGAAGGCCACTGAGTGAACCCATTGTGAATGGCCCTCGAGAGTCTGCTGCAGCGCGCCTGTCGCCACGTCCCAGAGACGCACAGTCATATCATCGGAGCCAGACGCCAACAGCAGGCCGTCGGGCGAGAATGTCACTGAGTGAACCCAATGTGAATGGCCCTCGAGAATCTGCTCCAGCGCGCCTGTCGCCACGTCCCAGAGACGCACAGTCATATCATCGGAGCCGGATGCCAGCAGTCGGCCGTCCGGCGAGAAGGCCACCGACTCAACTGAACTTGAATGGCCTTCGAGCGTCTGCTGCAGCACACCTGTGGCCGAGTCCCAGAGACGTACAGTCTCATCCCCAGAGCCAGATGCCAGTAGCCGGCTGTCCGGCGAGAAGGCCACTGACTGAACCAGACCTAAATAGCCCTCAAGTGCCTGTTGTAGGGCGCCTGTGGCCGAGTCCCAGAGGCGTATAGTCTTATCTGTAGAGCCGGAGACCAGCATCCGGCTGTCCGGCGAAAAGGCCACCGACTGCACCGGACCTAAATGACCCTCAAGTGCCTGTAATTCTGCGCTCCAACCTTCCTCAACTTGTGGTAGCTGGCAAATCCAAGTAGGAAGCTCTGCTTTGAACTCTCTACGGATTACTGATATTTGGGGAGCAAATATAAGTCCTGCGCAGTAAAGCTGAAGAGGTGCCTCATCGGCTATCTGACGATTCTTAAGAATAAAGCGCTTTGCATCTTGAAGAAAGTCAGATATTGTGGATTGTTGGTCGCCCTATATCTGTTAGTGTATGTCGTATGACTATTTACGGAACTCACTGGTATAATCATCTGGAGAAGATTAAGCATCCCTACCACTTCCGATACAAGACCGAGTAGGCTCATTGCTTCCACCCAGTGCAGAAAATGCTCCTGCAGGAACAATAGAATAAGCTGAATCTCAGGGGATGAGATTTCACTTTGTTCGAGATGGTATATCCAGTAGCGACAGGAGTATTCGAGTTCTGGTGGTACATAGTGGCGGAGAGATTGAGGATCGACGTCTGCTCTATGTGTGCCAGGGCTTTCTAAATTACAGATATTTTTCTGTAGACGACTTCGCATAGTCTCGAGACAATGAAGAGCAATTTCCTTATGGGTTTTGGACTCGTCCACTCGGAATTTGCCGCAAGATTGGACCAAAAAGTCTCGAAAAGACAAATGTAGAATCCTCACAGGCATATCTCGGTTAGCGGGAATACTTAGCACAGACTGAAATGAATCCAGACGATTGCTAATTAGCCCTGGCTCGATACTGAGAAATCGAGAGTATGTATTGATTGAAAACGGAACGGCGAGGAGAATAAGAACCCCAATGATTTTCTGGAACTCTTGCATGAGCTGCTCCTTCTCTAACTCATCGCTTTCTTGATCATCAAGGAGTCGCGTGAGGATTGGTAGATACGTCTTCTCCATTTTCGTTGCATATCGAGCTTGGTCCTGAAGCAGCTCTGCAAGGCGTCTTTTGGGTTCCCATTTCGAGTCTCCGATGTATCGACATACGGTAGCGGCAGAAATGAACAATGGGACTGACATTGTAACTAGATCCTGGATAACGTCATCGCTAGGCCAGTCTTCGGAAATCTTTCTATCGGATCTGATCTTCGTGAATCGGTCTATCAAAAATAAACGTATGTCGTGTTCTGTCACTTTGTCAGAGATCTCATGAAGCGCTAGATCCTGATGGTCACGATCTGCGATCTCTGAGAAGCCAAGACGAATCGGTAGTTCTGGTCTGCTAGTCAAGAATACCCGTAGGCGAACCGTGTTTACCTTCTGTAGAAGAGGTAGTAGACGGACGATATTTCGAACATCTGGATCATGTTCACATTCATCCAAAGCGTCGATCACGATCACGATCACAGCGGTTTGAGTTCGCCGGCCGGGTCCGTCAAGATCGAGAAGCGGTTGAAGGAGTAGTTTTGTAAACTGCTCACTAAGCGATTTTGAAGCAATTTCAGGGTCGTTCTGGAGGGCATTTTGCACACTGGAGCCCAACTCAGAAATCCTTAGTACTAATTGCCTTGTGAGTGTTGGAAAAAATTTCTTAGCGTTTCCTCGGTCCCCTTCACCCCTCTTGAAGAAAAAGCTCGCCCCAAGATGGTTGGTATCCTTGAACGCCTTTGCCACCGTCCGAGATATTGTGGATTTTCCTGTTCCAGCCATTCCATTTAACCAGAAGATGATCTTTTGGTTCGGCGATGCTGCCCATTCCATTATCTGCTGGAGGAGCTTGGTCCTTGTGCCCTGAAGACAGTTGACTTCATCTCGATCGGAGAATGAGTCAAACTCGGCCTCTGTCGCAATTTCTATTTTCCCAAGGTCCATATGCTGATAAATGCGGTCTGTATTCTGAGCAACGTTGATAATCAGGGATCTGTCTAGTGATGAGCCAATTATACCGAGCCATAACATGATGCTTGATAACATACGTCTGATCCACCTGTAAAGATAAGAGGAATGCCGATTTATACCTCTCAAGATTCCGAACAACGCTCTCCACTTCTGTGCGTTTCAAGGGCCATTTCAAGGCTCGAAATCCCACTTTTCTCATGAGGTTGTTTCCCTTTCCGGGATCAAGTTCCGCCTTCAAGGCTCGGAGATCGGAGAGGCAATCATTGATGTTACTGCCTAGTCGTGACGAGGTAGGTAGGGCATTCTCGTTATTTTTTTGAAGAAATCTCTGGAGGTCTTGAACCGTCCCTTGGAGACCTGTAACCGCTTGTTGTAAAGTGACGATTTGCTCCCGTGCATCTTTAACCTCTTGAATATAGCCTCCGCAAATCTTCGCAAGGCTCCCCGCGAGTTGAATGACCGCGATAACGCTCGCTACGGATGAAAGTCCATCCATCTCGAAGAATGAATACCATCAACACTGTATTTGGTATAAGCAGGTCCGACAGTGACGATGTTGCGGATGTTAGATTTGGCGCTGTAGTCCAGCGTGTTTCTGGCGGAAGATAAAGGGGGTAGATTAGGCGCCAGAAGCGGGGCTGTCTATCGTGCCTAGGAGTTTAGACAGGGGGGAGAGGTGGAGGTGGGGAGAGAACTCTCGCATCAGGTGGAGGTGGTATCGCCTAGGAACGGAGACGCCAATAGAGCAAGAGAGTGTGCATTGGAAGAAAAGGCGAGAATTGGCCTGACAATTAACATCTGCGCCAAGAGACCAACTAAAAGAGCTTAGTAGCTAGCTGGTGAATAGAAGGTGGAGTATTTATCTGCCTTTTGCAGACTTCTACCCTCGAGTGGAAACTGGTTGACGGTCGGCTCGACTGTCGGCCCGAACCGACCCAGATCCATCCCGTTGCCCTGCGCCTCGAGCCCCATCCTTAACTTCTTTGCCGGCCCTCCAAGGACTATAATGGCACCCCGACTTGCACGCTCTCAGCTTATGATGATACGTGATATCATCAATAGTAATTCGCTGACTACTTCTCAGATGGTCCAAGCGGCTGGCTGCAGTAAACGTTCGATCATAACCGTCCGTACCAACCTCTGAATGTTTGGCGACGTCCGAGCCACCCCTAATCTCTGGTGGCCGTCCGCTTGTGATCACACCCCCCATGCTTGACATATATGTAAGGCCCTGTTATGGCGAATTGAACGCATTCCTATGCGACAACCCATGGCCATATGAAGCAGAGTGTTCATAACGTAGTGTACAAAGGCCCATTTGAGTGTACCCATTTCTCAAGCTAGTGTCTTGGCGGTAGGACCCAAAATTAAGAGAAGAGTATGAAACGGTGAAGCTTGTTCGGCACTTGGCTGTACGCGTAGGCATTCCTGACGTCTATTCCCAACAACCCAGCCACCAGCTTTCTGTCCCACCCTCGAGCACTTTTATTGTCCCGACCCTAGTGTAGTTACCATGAACTCAGTCCTGAGCCCTTTACTCGGTGACCGTCAGACCGGGACTACCCCTACGCCACTACTCGAGGAGAACGAGCCCCTCATTCCGCGGTGGAGACGATCCGCCCGCAACTTTCTAGCTGGACGATGGGGCCATTTTCTCGTGCTGGGCCTGGTCACCGTCGATGTGTGCTGTACCTTTACGGATTTTCTGATCCAGTTACATGTCTGCGAGTTGAAGCATCGGTATGCGCGTGTGGACCGTGGCTGGGGCATCGCGGAGGATGTCCTCAGTATCGCCAGCCTGGTGATTTCGTGTCTGTTCATGGTCGAGTTGCTTATTTCGGTGTTTAGTTTTGGGAAGGGGTAAGTCGTGTCCTTGAAGCCCGGTTTCTCTCTGTTCCGGTCTGTACGTTCTTACTGACAACATGAACCAGATACTTCTCATCCAAATTCCACATCTTCGACTCCCTGGTCATCATCGTTGCCTTCATAATCGAAGTCTTCCTGCAGGGCCTAGTCGAGGAAGTCGGCTCGCTGGTCATCATTTTGCGTCTGTGGCGCGTGTTCCAGATCATCGAGGAGCTACAGTCTGCCAATGAAGACACGCTGGAAGAGTACGAAAATGATATTGAACAGCTTCGACAGGAGAACAACCTGCTTCGGCGGAGGTTGAACTTGGAATCTGATGGAAGAGCAGACGTGGAGTGAGGACAGCCCAGCCGATTTTGTCAATATTGGTCCTTTTCACTTCTCTGTCATGTTTACAGCCATCACTAGAAACATAGGAATCGATCATGCTGAAGGCGTGATATACAGATTGGAGTTGACTATATGCGTGAGATATAAGCTGTGGATGAGCATGATTGTACATGGTTTTACATGAAACGGCTCCCAGAAGAGCTCTTCAGTTTGGAAATAAGGAAATAAGGAAATAAAGGAACTTGTTTCTTTGACCACCATTTGAATCTAATGCCGAGTATGCACATGAGTTGAACAAAATATACATGCATGGCGACCAGGATCAACAAGTCTATACCAAACGAACAGCATCATGATCCGGCGTGCGAAGATACCTCCAAAAGTGCCTCGGAATCAAGAACGGCCACCTGACGGTCCCCGGTCATCCACACCGATCATCTTCAGGAATGGCTCGATGATAGTTCGTTTCCGTTGTTCGGATGCACGACGCTCCTTCTCCTTCGCCGGGGTCGGTGCGGCCGCAGAGATAAGCACGCGAGCAAAGATTGATGCCAGTGCCGACTCGACGGCTTGTCGGTGAGCCATGGCCGGACCATTGCTGTTTGTCGCGGAGTCCGAGCCGGTAGACGACGAGGCTGATGAGCGTGCTTTCCGGCGGAAACTGCCTGCGGATATGAATGCGGCGGCGGAGGCCGGGGCTGGCGGCTGTGACGGCTGTGGATTACCAGCAGAGGATTGACTTTTGGAGTTTGTAGATTCCGCAGTTGACTCTTGTGAGCTGGTATGTTTCTTCTTATCCTTGAAAGATGGAGGGGTCGGTACAAGGCTGGTGGTGGATGGCACAGGCGCTACTTCGTTGGCGATACGAGCGAGCATGAAGGTGACGAAAGTGAAAGAAACGCTGTGTGCAGGCGAATGGGCGAGGTTCTCAAGGACCCATGCCTGGGACTCCTCCCAAGATCGAGGCGGGGCTTTGGACTTCTCCCGCTCAACAATCTGCCTATCAATATCTTGCCACATAGATGCCGTGACAATGCCGTCGCTCAGAGAGTTGATGAAGGTCAGGAGAGTTTCTGAGAGAATCTCCAAACGATGCAGGGAGGAAATCTCGGGACCAAAGACAGCTGTGAGCGCTTTGTTGGTGTCCAGCGCCTCGCGGACCAAAGCAGACAGTGGTGCACGTTCGTACGGATCCTGCAGAGTCCAAGTATCAGGCTGGAAGGGCCATGCTGTCCCATTCGGTTCTATCATCCACGGCGGGCGATCCTCGTCAGAGTCGCCATTTGTCATGCTCCACTCGGCTACTGCACGTTCGACCAGCTCCGAAATGCTCTCTGTCAAGTGGAAGAGTTCCCGAGGCGCTGATAATCGCACTTCGGCTTCCTTGGTTGATTGGTGAGAAGGCCCCGTGGAGTCAAGGCTGCGAGCACCGCTTTCGGGCATGCGAGTCAATTCCTCCACACTACAGCCAAAACAAGTGGGAAGCCAATGCCCAGCCACGGAGATAAAATGGTCACGGCCATTGTCCACATGCAGAACGAGGATCTCTTCCAGTTTTACTTTCCGCGCGTTGAGAAGGCGCACCAGGCTGATGTCACGAACATGTGCGGTGAGATCAACATTAGCAACCTCGCCAGGGAGCAAGGTATGGCTCGCGGTCGATGAGGCAGTGGCTTGTTCCTTGGTCGGCTTCTGTGCTGGCTTGTCAATGTGAATATCCAGCCATGAGGTCATCTTGGATTGGACATCTGCGCCGGAATCGGGTCGCTCGGCAAACGAGAAGGTCGCCGAGGCACCGCTAGTGTTGGCAATAGTCAATGATCGCTGAGACGGCACATCGAAGGCGACATCGCCAAAATCCACGGCATTCGGATCTGCTTCCGTGCGCTGCTCATCCCGGTGAGTATCGACGACAACAGTAAGGCCTGGGCGGTTTTCATTCTCGGCCTTGTCCAATTCACGGACCACCTCTTGATGAATTTTGGCCTTCAGTTGAGGATTGACGGCATCGAAGGTCAATGTAAAAGTAGCATCCAGGGGCTTATGGTCTGATGACAAGATGCCCTGGTGCGATACATACTGGTGCAATTGAATTGGATCCTCGGTGGGGTCCTGCGACGTGAGAGAGGCAGCGTCATCGGCATTATCTTCCTCCGATGCATACTCATCCGGGCTTATCGCACCATCAACATCGGGGTCATAATCAAAAAGAACATTGTCGTCAGCAACTGCTTTGTCCAATCCACTGGCTTGCATCTCTTCGTCTCTTTTCCGAGCCTCTTCGGCTTCGCGGTCGAGTCGTTCATGCTTCTGCTTATCTCGTTGCGTTCGAAACAGAATCCGATCACACCAGCTAGGAGCACGCTGCTTCTCACTCGTGTCAAACAGGGCTACACTTCCAACATCGTATTTGTAGGTCGGCAAGAATGTAATTTCACCTTCACGCCAGCCGTTGTGGAAGCTCGTCCCTTTACGCTGCATCGCCATGAGCTCATCGTGCGCAAGGAGGGATGATATCGTCGTTTGGAGAGATGCTGGGTCGTTGCGGGGATCAATTTCCTCGTCCGTCACAGGCTCAGTCCTCTCATTCTCACCGTGGGGGGACGGAGGCAGTTCCTGTTCTGGTGTGGCCTCAGATAATGAGGAGGAACTTGAGGACCGTCGAGACTGATTGTGTTCTTTGCGTTTCTCTTGAAGCGCAGTGTCGAACGCATTGACGGTGTGCCGAGCCAGAGCCTGCCGTATCGCATCGCGGGGAATGTCATCCAGTCGGTAGTTGAGGTCACCAAACCAAAAGGTAAAATCCTCCGGGCCAATTACGTGGGAGGCGTCGTTTTGCAGCCCCCGTTCGGACTCCATGGGTTCGAATTTGACGCGCGCAGTGATCTGAGAGGCATCCCAGTTGCGCCGCTCCAGGCTGCCTTTATCTGTACCAGCAGCCAAATGGCAGTTGACAAAGACCAAGCTCGTAGTCTCGCCAAGAACCAGGCGAGTTGCAACCGCCCCTTTGTTACCCATATACCCCATGAGCCCTGTGCCGACGTGCGTGCTGCTGACGGATGAAACACTCTCGGCAATAGCCGGTGAGGCATAAATAATGAGCAGCAGGCCAACCAGCTGGATATCAGAGACAAGTTGATATCCTGGGGGCAGCGCCTTGTGGACTGATTCTTTCCATCGGTTCGAAGGTCCCGGATCGACATATGGACGCAGTGTCTCAGTGGGCGAGGAGACATCGACAACCTCTTGAAGCCCTAGAACATAAAGGTCGATCTCTTCCGGGCTGTATTGAAACGGGGTCGGGCCATCCTTATTTTCAAGGCCAGTGGTAGACATGCTACCATCCGTCGATCGATATTTTTGCCGGTCATTAGAGTGCTTTTCTCCCGAAAGCTTCTGCGAAACTCCTCGACCTTGTACAAACCATTTCTCTACATCTTTCTCCGTGTTAGAGAGAGCGGCCACGTTCCATGTGCCAATCTTGATCCTAATACTTCGCCGCCTGGTATATTCCGCCTTTCTGGCCTTGAGTGCGCGGGTCAAAGACGAGAGGTCGAGTCCAGGGGTTTTGATTTCTTCCGCTTCCTCGGATGAATGGTCTTGGGAGACTGACGTGGGCGGCGAGGGTTGCGGTACGCTGGAAGCCATTTTGTATAGAAGGACGGTCTCAAGCTAAAGAAGAGTGGGGGTTCTTCGCATGACTTGGAAATGGTCCGGTATATAATGCGACAATATCAATGCGTCCGAGGTTTATGGGTGTATGGCAGTTCGGTTCTCATTTCCGGCGGGGGACAGTGATTTGGGAGATGCTCGCCGAACAGAGTGTGGAGTACAATGGCGATAGAATAGCTTCAAGACAACTAATGTGATCAAGGACCCATGATCGCATCGCGTAGATGCGTCACTTGAAGATGTGGATGGCTCGTACAGCGTAGGGGCGCAACCGGTGGGGGCGTGGACATCCAAAACGAACCCAAGTACCGACCAAGGAGGAGCGGATCAGTCAGAGAGAAAAAACAAGGTGATCGAGTAGGAAGGTAGGCACTCTTCGCAGACAGCAGCAAAAAAATGCCCTGGAGAGAGGGTGGGTGAGGGAGTGAGAAGTGGGAGAGGTGAAGAGAAGAGCGCAAGGCGAATGAAGGTGATGACGCTGATCCGACGACCTTCTTCTTCCGTCCCGCCAGATGATTGTCTCGCACCTTCTCCTTGCAACCCGCAACAACCTCTCTGCCCTCCTTTGCTGATTCCTTCCTTCCCACCTGCCATGGCCACCCGCAAACGCAGACAAAACAACAACTATCCCACCGACTATGAGTCCGACACCTATCTCTCCGACATGCCGCAACAGCAACCCGCTCCGCCGCTGCGCTCCAATGAAGATCTCAACCTCTCCGTCATCCGCCGCCACAACCCGTCCGTGAATTCCATCCTTTCGCTAGCCCCCTATTCCGTGGTGTACATCTTCAGTCCGACAACGCGACAGTGGGAAAAGAATGGGGTGGAAGGCTCACTTTTCGTGTGCCAGCTATCGCAAGGCGATCTGGGCGAGGAACGGTACAGCGTCTTTGTGCTCAACCGGCGCGGACTCAACAATTTCGACCTACCTCTCACTGACGGCGAGAACGTGGAAATCACAGAGGAGTATGTGATTCTGAAAGCGGACGAGGGCCAAGAGGGCGAGCAGGGCGAGAACGGCATCGCAGACCCCTTGAATCCGCAGGCCAGTAACCACAACGGCACCGGGAGCACTGATGTCCGCATCTACGGTCTCTGGATCTACTCGGAACCGCCGCCTAACTCCACTGCTGAAACGCGCACCATCAACGCCCAACTGATCCACGAGTGTGCGACCCACGCCGGCCAGAGCCTCAAGCTGGCGCGCGAGCGTCTGGAGGCTATGCGTCAAAACGGTATGCATGTTGCTGCAGCCGCGGCGTCAACTCAAGCTGCCCCGCTGGACGAGGTCCAGACCAGCGTGGCTATGGGCCGCCAGATCTCACTGAAGGATTTGTTCGGCCAGCAGCGGGCCCAGGACGATGGTTGGAGTGTGCGCGCTCATAATATGGGGTCTGGAGAGCAGTATCCGGGATACCCTGGCATGATGCCGCCTCCGCCGCCTCCATCGCAGCCGCAGCCGGACGTGTTGGGGGCTCTATTTCAGAGAGCAGGGTTGGCCTATCAGGGCGGTGGACAGGGATACTAGAATTGATATGGCATTTGCATGTTTCCATTGGCGGCTTTGGCTGTGATCGATTGGCTTCATCGTTGGTGTTCCAGGAGCATTTTGTATTGTTATTGGAAACGGGTGTGGCGTATGCGTTCGAGATACCCTTTTGACTGCTGTCTCAACCTGCAGGATTATTCCATGTATTCTCATCCACCTGCGCAAAGTACAATTCCATCCTCATTTTCTGAACCACCATCTCGAATTCTGAGGCGGAGAGGAAGTGTGCAGAGTTCTCTGCGAAAAGCTTGGCTTAAGGGAAGCTACGGGGAATTCTATGTTCATAATTCGATTCCCGTAAGTATTTTGGTCATGCAAAAGCAACACATTGATTGTGGTATTAATACTTTATATAGACATGATATATATATATATATATATATATATACAAATATCAGCAAATTGTGGCATACAGCAAGTCAGAAAAGGCGGCAATGCTCCTCTTGCGTTGGCAAGCTCTATTCCTTCCCATCCCGATAAGTGCTCATCACCAGCGCGGTCTCCAGGTCCTTAGCCGCATCAGCCCCAGATTCCAAACCATGTCGTAGCAATGAACCTTTCTGGCAAGCTTCTTTGTCGAAGAACACAAGCGTGCGCCTATTAGGAGTAAACAATAGGTCCAGCTCTTCCAACGTGCGTCGCGATGTCTCTGGGAAGAACAAGAAGACAACAACTGAGATGCCAAGGTTGATACCACCGAAGACATAATACACTCTCCATGCGCCTTCGTTCAGAGCAGTTGGCATATACAGTCCCAACCAGAAATTGACGAACCAATTCACCGAAGTAGAAAGGGCAGTTCCGCGCCCACGGGCATTTATCGGGAAAACCTCGTTCTGGTAGGTCCAAGGAAGGGAGGCCATGGTTCCACCAAAACTAATCATATAAAGAAACATGAATGTCACTGCTGCATTCCCTGCGGCCGTGTTGACAAAATTGAACTCCACCTCTTGTGTCGCTTCGTTGAAAAAGGGAGAACCGTACCCGATCATCATGGACGCCACGACAATCATACAGGTTCCCATCAGGACAGGCCCAACTATAAGCGGCTTACGACGCCCATAGAAGTCCATCAGGAGGGTTAACGATATAGAGGCAACGAGAAATAAGGCAGACTCAATGCCATTGGCAAGCAGGGCAGCCTGAGGTCCTGTTCGACCAGTCTGTGCAAAGACTTTGGCCGCATAGTACAGAATGATGTTGACGCCGGTAATCTGTTGCATGAATTGAAGTCCCATAGCAAGAGCTGTGCGGCGACGATATTGCTTGTCAACCAATAGTGACATGTATGAAGGAGCAGGCGTGCCTCTCTCATATTCGACGACGATCCGAATTTCTTCGTACTCCGATTGCACCACCGGTGCATCCTGGTCGCCATTGGCATGCAGTTTGGCTAGTACTTGTAAGGCTTCTTCGCTGCGGTCGTGTTGAAACAGCCATCTGGGTGATTCAGGGCGGAAGAGCATGATACCACCGACGATAGCTCCAGGGATCAATTGGAAGCCGTAGCACATTCGCCATGCAGCTGTGCCCTGGATATTGGCTGCCCCATACTGGACCCAATATGCTACCAACAGTCCCACCGCGATACCCGAATTCAACATCGAAGTCATCATGCCTCGGATTTGGGGCGGAGTGATTTCAGCAGTGTACCTATAACATAGGGTTAGAAATGGAGTTGTGGTCAGTGGTGCATATATTCAAAGACTCACAGTGAAATAGTTTGAAACAATCCACCTGCTCCCAGGCCATTGATAACACGACCTGCAATAAACATCGCCTGATTTTGAGAGGCAACAATAATTGTCTGTCCAATGAGGTAGACGAGAACGCAGAACAAAATGGTTGCACGGCGTCCACACCGATCAGAAACCAAAAACCCGATGAGGAGGGAGCCCCCAAATTCTCCTGCCAGCAAGGCTGCAGTCATGACGCCTTGCCTGAACGCAGATGGTGTATGGAAATAACCAAGGAACTGGGTCATCGTGAGGATGCCACTCATCGAAGCATTCTCCCACCCATAGGCAAAGCCTGCAACAGCAGGAGGGATGGCATAGTATAATTTTCGTGCTATCGAAGTATCGATTTCATTAGCCATGGTGGAAAAGCGATACAAGCCTAAAAAGTGAAAGATGGAATATGAACAGGGCTGCTCCTTTGAGGGTAGGCGGGATATTAAATACACCCCTTCTCGCTTGATCATGGGCAGATAAAGATCTGCGAGAATGGCTAAGCTTTTTTGGACTGGCTTGGCGGCTTATCATATACCCGGCCGGGGAAGGAGCTGAAGGGCTTGACAATCCAATTGGGGTCGTGAAGAAGCGGGGTCAGGGCCCTCCTCCCAGATTTCCACAAGAACTCTCATCCGCGTGCACTCCTCGAAGAAATTAAGGAAACCTGATGATAATATGTTTATAGTCTGCGCAGAGACGGTACGTGAAGATAGGGCGCATTCCGATATACATATTAGTCTCTACTTCTCAATTGACTATTGGTTTGTCCATACAATCGTGCCTTAGAAGATCTCAGTGCCTGAGCGACAATTGGGACAAAACGTGGGGTTTCCGATAGCGTGGGGGTCCAACTAAACAAATGGCTTCGATAAGAGTTCTTCCTTTCCCCCTGTTTCTATGGCCTCAGGAATGGCAAGATACCAATATGAGCCATTATATCTATATGCTGGGCTACTCGCCCACCTGGTAATACGCACGGGTTTACATCGACTTATTCATCAACGCGAGCTCAAGAATATTAACGAACGGTGCTTTCCGGACGATAAACGAACTACATGGCTCGCCTGCATGTTTTTCGAATACCATCATGCTTGCGAAATAACATCCCCAGCGTGTTCGACAAGACAGGCCTGTAAGATTAAAAATTGCGCGGTGTCCAGCATGCGGGAGTCTCGACCTCCCATCTAACCATCGGAAATTTTGTCACCTTGTGTCTCATTCAAGACCGCCACTTGAGCTTTTGAGGGAAGCACATCATCCGGATTGTGGCGTCCAAAAGGACGTATGGTATCTGTAGCATTTACAGAGGGTTATTAACGAGAAGAATACCTGAAAGCTCTCTTTTATCTTCATTAAGACTTGGCTACTACCCCACAACGCTATGTGACAGTAAATCGGGCTTTGAAAATAGCTACCTTGGATGCCATGAATCAATTTCAATGGCGTGTTGTCTTATCCGGGTTCCAAGTACCGTTGAGGATAAATCCAACTTTCTCACCTACTACGTAGTATTTTTAGGCTATACCGTGATTTATACTTGGATGAATTCCTGCCACGTGGGCCGTATTTCCTTGTTTTTAGATAATACACCTATACGATTGGCAGCAATCCCACAATAGTGAAACAAAAGCAATTACTTGTCGTAGGAAATTAAGGTCGTGTACTTGATTGCCCCACATCCGGATAAGATGAGGGTTCTGCAGAGATCCCCGTTCTTAATTTAACACGGAACACGCTATCCTTAGTCTCCCGCACTTAGATGAAACCAGCCCGGAGGCAGTCCATCGATTCGTGCAATTGGACAAACCGTGATATTATACTTTTCATGTACAGTAGTGGCGTATTTTGCAGCGCTCTGCTCAAGAAGTTGGTTGACCCGTAACGGATGTGGAATCTACAGGATCCTAGCAATCTCCACATTTTTGGGATGTAGGTCGAATGGAAGGGCAGTCAGGGGTCTCGGGCAAATGCTCCGCAGGTAATTTATGAAGACATTTTCCTTTCCAGGCTCTAATGAATTTATGCTAATGACTGGGGTAGGTGGGAAAGTATAAATACAAGTATCTGTCCATGACCTACGCTTTAGAGTAACACATAAGTCCTAGCCGTTCATTACTTTGGCTATCTAGATCCACCACTCGCTGGATATACAATCATGAAGTCCACAGCATTTGTTCTTCTTCAGCTTACTGCTGTTGCCTCTGCCTACCTGGCCACCACAACTGCAAGTTCTTCCTTCCCGCTGTCGTGAGACAGGGAAGCTAACAGATCCATAGCACTATTATGATGGTCAAGAAGGTGCCTGTGGCTGTGGTACTTCCTCTAGCCTTGACTCCTGGCAGGTAAGTAACAAAATCGGGCCATAATTACTCGCGTCTATGACTAACTTGCCGTATATAGCTTGGTATCAGCAGTGGTGTCTATACAGCAGCAGGCTCGCAGGCCCTTTTCGACACGGCCGGCGCGTCCTGGTGTGGTGGAGGCTGCGGCAAGTGCTATAATCTGACTTCGACTGGCAGCTCCCCATGCAACGGCTGTGGAACGGGCGGTGATGCGGGAGAGAGTATCATCGTTATGGTCACCAACCTCTGTCCCAACAACGGTAATGCACAATGGTGCCCTACGGTTGGCGGGACCAACCAATACGGATATAGCTACCATTTTGATATCATGGCCCAGAGTGAGGTGTTCGGGGACAACCCAGTAGTCAATTTTGAGCCGGTGGCTTGTCCCGGCCAGGCCACATCGGACTGGGAGACATGCGTCTGCTATGGGGACACAGCAACCGACGTGACTCCGGAAGGTCTTACCTCAGGTGGGGGAGGTGGTGAAACTTCTTCAACGTCATCTACCACCACCAAGTCTAGTACCACAACTACCACCACCTCCTCCGGCTCAGGTGCAACTCAGACCCTCTGGGGTCAATGTGGAGGCGTTGGCTGGACAGGCCCAACCAGTTGTGGTTCAGGCGCTACATGCCAGGAGCAAAATTCCTATTACTCTCAGTGCTTGAGTTAGCCAGAAGGTTCAAACGGGCAAAAAAGATCCGTACTTCCACGTAACAGATCAAAGCGGGTCAGTAAACGATAAGAAACCATCGATCTAAAATGCTTTGAAATCCTCTTCCATCGATCGCAACTGATAAGTACTAAGAGCTTTCCTGTAGAAATGGACAAGTAAGTTCGCATATGCAAATAACTATCGAAGTACGGACATCATTGATTCCGCTAGGCCCACCTCCGTCTATCGTTATAGGTAGATCGGCATCTAAACTCCTAAGCAAAGACACAAAGATCTACGCAGCTCGTCATGTCGACTCATCTTCTAGCTACAATATCCCGTATCATCTCCGCAACCTTGCGAGCCATAACATCATTATGCTCTAGATAAATCAGCACAGTCCCCTTTCCCTTTACCCCCCAAAAAAAGGGTAAAAACTTACTTAAACAAAAAGCATGCGGCAATCCCTCCTCACAAACCAACATAGTCGAGCCCTTCCCTCCTGTCTGCCCTCGAAGCGCAATGATCTCATCTCTTGTCTTCTCCGCGACCCAATGGTCATTTCGCCCGAAATAGAAGAACAGCTTCGTGATGGGCTGGCGTGCTGTCGCCGCGCCCCAGACGTCGTCGGTCCATTTATCTGTTGTTATAGTGCGCATTTCGTCCCTGGCCATATGTCTGATATTATATATCGTATTAGATGAGGGTTTATATATAACATAAACCGAGGAAGGGAAGGAGGGAGACGTACAGAGCCTGTCGGACGCCAGTGGGACTCTTCAGAAATGTAAACGTAGCGTCTAGCGCATGGTCCGGTGGCGAGTTCATCACAAATCGGATTAAAGATCGCAAGGCCTGGTTGGGTAGGAGGAAAGTGAGCAATCGGGCAAAGAACCCGACTACGAGGGCGAGTCCGGGGATAAAGGACAGCAGGGTCTGAGATGAAGAATGTCAGTGATGGAAAATGGACATGGATTGGGGTATTTAGTCAACGACAGATCCATACCGTCAGTTTCTGTCCAGAAGGCGAAGCCGCAATATCCATAACCGTGGGGAAGAGCATCACACCACCAATGATATCAAACTCAGCCGATTTCGAGCCTGCAGTTTCGCGGTGTCGCCTTAGAATCTCCATGGCGATATACGCGCCGACGGAGTGTCCGATCAGAATGACTTTCTGTCTTGGTGGCGCAGTAGCAGTAGCAATAGCAGCATCCGCGCCCCGAGTTTGGGAGAGAGTCGTCTTGCTGTTCGCCGTCACCAGGGTGTGGAGTTTGCCATGCACAAAGTGGATTTGGTCTTCAAGTCCGTAGACCTTGGGGCTTGGTTTGGGGTTTCGATCATTGGACGTCTGAATTTTGTCCTCTGGGAGCTCGAACCCCCCAGACTGCATCCATAGATCTGGAAAGAGCTTCCTGATTTTACCCCCTCGGACACCGTAAGCTGGTCTGCGAGCAAGGATAGGAACGGGTGGTAGTAGCTGATCAAGCCAGGGTTTCCTGAGATGAAAAATATTGTCGTGGCGGTGACATTTGCTTCGGATGATGATGGCCCAGCACAGTGTGTTAGGAATGTGTTCGGGGTGATTTGTGACGCCATGGTTTCCTCCTTGGAGGATTGGTATTCCCTCCAGATAGGCGTTCTTTTCGTGGCTTAGATGGATCGGATCAACTGCAGGGGCATCCTTCAATCTCCTGAAGCGCTTCACTTCGCTCAATGCAAGGAGAACATCTTTTCCCACATGTCGCTGGCAGCCAAGTGGATGGCGGTGGAAGTGAAGTTCCGAGGTCCAAGTGGAGCCCCCACTACGTATCCTGTTTGACCATGTACATACACTACGAGCTATGAAAAATACTTTGGAAAACGTCAAGAACACTGAATGCGCAGTATGTATTGCAACCAAACTCCTCTCCCAGATCCCACCGAAGCTCCCTCTTCTCCACAGTTTCTAAATTCAGAGAGAAACAAAATCATCACCGCAAAAGGCCGATTCCCATGCAATGGCCCGGACGCCCGCAGAGCGCAATATACACAATCCCCTCGACACAGGTCCTCGCTGAAGATGTAATGACACAGAAACAGAATTGCATGAGGCGCAATCCAAAATGAGATGAAAAAGAGATTCGCCAAAGAGACTGCAGCACGAGGCAGAAAAGAGACGTTGAAAGATGAACCGCGCTCTGTACCTGGTATCTAGGTCATCAAGAAACACAAAGAGCATGAAGAAGAATCAAAAAGCGGCTGCTGCTAGACTCAATCATCAGAAGAATAAAAGCAAAAAAGAAAAAAAAAGGAACGCAGAACGCCAGAAGTACTATATGCGAATGCGTTGAACGGATTATCCGCCTTAATCACCTCGACTGTTGTTGTTCTCCTTCTCATTGTTCTCGTCGGATGCTGTCTCTGAATCAGGCGTTTCGCTGTCCACGCTTGATTTCAAAGTCGGTCCCAAGTTGATGGCAATTCTCTTGACAGGTGCACCGCCCGCGGCATTACCCGCGGTGGCACTCTTATCACTGGCCGCCATACCCATGGACGAGCCGTTCTTGCGTCGTAGACTCCCCGCACTGGAATTGCTGGCTGTGGAACTTCTCCGCTTAGGTCCAGCCGTCAGCTTCATCAATTCGTCCTCGTCTTCTTCCTCGCGACGACGCTTCTCGGCCAGTCGCTCAGGGGCAGGTGGCGTTTGAGTGGTAGAAGAGTCGGTAGAGGTGACAGCCTCGGCAGGGACGTCTGCGACATCCAATGGCTGAGCCGGTTGAGCGTCTTCAGGTTTTGTATCCATAATATCATCATCGTCGTCGTCATCTGGGTAGTCAACCAATGATTTGACGGCCGGAGAAGCAGCCCCGTTGGGCGGACCGACGGCAAGGGCTGCGCGAGTGTCCGGAGTCCACTCTTCGTCGTCGTCCGACGTGTTAAAGTACTCTTCTTCTGCCGCATCCATTTCCCTAACGCCTTGCCATCGCCCGCCGTTCAGCGGCATCCTCCGCGGCGTGCTGTCCTCATCCTGGCGTCCAAGCGGCATCAAGTCGGCGTCAATGCCATAGCCTTGCATTTGATCGTATCGGAGAATCAAATGTTGGAAAGTTTCGACGTAGTTGATGCTCTCAAGCTTCTCACGGTATTCCTCCACTATATGAATAATAAATGACTTGCAATTGGAACGCTTGATGTAGTCGAAAAGCTCGAGGCAGGCAGAATTGAGAAGATTGTCGCGTGGCATGGTTTCGTAGATGATGTCGAGACACAGCCCAAAGGCAGGTGTATGTGTGATGAGAGCTTGCCAGAAGGTGTCCGAAACATTGACTAGAGCCCGGAAGAATTTGAGGGCAACTGCACAATATTACGTTAGTGGTTATTCACTTAGCAACAGACTTCAAGCACTCTCACCGAGTTTTAGGTGTTTTTGGGGGGGCTTTGAGAAGTTGGGCAACCCGGGGCGCGAGAGACTCGTTGTGAATCGCATTGCGTGCGCGGTATTGTTGTTGACGAACGAAAAAGGTGAGGATCTCAACAAGATGTGAGTAAAGCGTGACTTCTTGGAATGTCAAGTCATCCACTACAAGGACTCAGGTCAGCTTCGTTTTTTGGAACACACAAGAACACAACTCACGGCTATGACGATCAGCAAGCTCTTTGAGCGGCCGGAACAGACGTTTAGCAGACTCATCGAAATGTTGTTGGACGAATGTATCGGAGAGAAGGTTAGCGGAGCGAGCCTTGAAGTAATCGGTTCCAGGCCGTCCAAGTGGGTCTTGCAAGGGAATCTGAGGATCAAGAAGACTCCTAACCGCCTCCGAAAGTTGATTCTTGACTCCAAGGTCGGTCTCGGTGTGAAGCAAGTCAATCAATGTGTCGGTGAGCGGCGTCTTCTTCTCGTTAACGGCCTTGAGCATGTACCCACGCATAATTACCGGGTCATGGTCGAGCAAGGCCATCAGAATATCAATACCAGTTGTGCGCATCGCTGGGTTCGGGTGTTTCACGGCAAAGGCGATAACCGCGAACAAGCCATAGTTGATGAAATTGGTAAAGAGGCTAGCGCGCGCCGGAGTCTGCAAGTTCTTTGCGATTGCTGTACATTGGTGGAGGAACTGCACGGCGTCGTCTTTGCGCTTTGCGTCCAGGTTTCTCGGGTCAAAGACCGCAAAAAGTTCGCGTAAGAACTGTGCATTCGACTGGATATGGTTGACAATCTCCATCTGGTTGAAGAAAATCAGAGAGTTGAGCACGGAGAAGGTCGGGTCGTCCAGGATCCGAGCCAACACGACATCCTTTAGGTATTGCAAACGCCAGGTGCTTCGGATCTTTCTGCGGATGATGGGGTCCTTGATGGGCACTACTTCTTTGTAACGCGATTGGTCGGCCAGATATTGTCGGTGGTTTGCTTTATGTGTTGGGAATTCGGGATCATCTGCGACATGTTTTAGCACACCGTTCCCACTAGTAAAGGAAGCACCACACGTACATTCAAGAGCCCCAACTACTCCCAGAATAACCGGGTCAGCAACCACGGTTTCAATTATGGTGTTATCGTTGAGAAGAATCAAGGACTTCATGATGTTGCAAAGACGGTGCAAGTCGGCTAGGCTCTCCAGGTCCTCGGCCATCGGAACTAATGGCACAAGTTTAGAGATGTACTCGTCGCGAATGATGAATTTGCAGAGTGCGTCGCGGCCGGCCTGAGTCATGCTCGCAGCTCGGACGATCTGTTCTATCTCAGCGAGGTTTCCGAGTTCGGGCGCCGGTAACACGATAGACTGGTAGCTTTCGAGGTCGTCTGATAGAGCATCATCTGTGGAATGAGGGCCGCACAATTAGCAATAGAGCGCATGGTTGGGCGCTGCGCCGCGATCGAACAGACGGGACTCACCGGCTGCCGCCAGGCTGAGGAGATGTTGTTGGACGGTGTTGACGAAATCCCTAGCATGATGGTTAGTTTGATGGCGAATGCGGCCAGGCAGGCTCGTGGACTAGGAGTCTCACCAGATCACCGCGCAACCTTCTGCCTCCTGGAAACTCAGCGCCATATCCGTGCCATTCTGTTCCGTCCAAACGATCAAGGTTTCTGTCGCGTGATGCGTCATCAGCAACCACTTGTTGCTCCAGGAGTCCGCGGGGGGGGGACACAAACCTTGTTGCTTCTGATAGCCATCATCCTTGGTGATCTTGGTCTCGAGCAGCACACGGTTGGGCTGATCTTCCGATTCGACGAATATCCGAGGCTCCTCCTGATAAGACAACAAACGGTTAGAGTTGGTGATGTTGACGCTTTGCGCGCTGCGAGCCGAGTGACGGCAGAGGTCGATCGGCGCCCAGGGCGTGGTCGCGGAATGCGCGCAGAGCACTGAGAGGGAGATAGCTTACCCCCATGGTCTGCCCCGTGCAGAAACCCGTTCCCCGGTCAAACCAGTCATTATCCCTCAGTTCGTAGACCTTGACCCGTTTGCGACCGTCGGGCGGCTGCAGGTCCAGCGCCATGATCCGGAAGGAAGACAGCGAGGCGCCTCGTCACTCCGGGCCAGCTCGGGGTGAGGTGCGCCGGCGAGGAGGATAGGCAGGGACGAAGGCGAAGAGACAGCGGCGTCCAGGGTAAGCGAAGAGCGAAAGGGCGGATGAATAAAAAATGGGGGTGGATGGAAGGAATGGAATGCTGATGATGAAATGGCAAAGTCTGCGGAGGGGGATGACGATGGAAGGGAGAAGGATGCGCCGGGAGCAGGGATCCACCGCGGCCGGCCTGCGCAGGACTGGGGACGAGGGTGTTGCGACGGGAATGGAATGGACGAGAGGCCGAGGACAGAAGAAGATGGATGGAAGAGTGTGGGCGAGAGAAAGAGAGAGATGGATAGTGAGGGAGAAACACACGCGACCGAGAAAAGTGGGTTCGGCCAGGCCCCTTGATCAGGTACAAGCAGGATGGAAGTATAGGCCCTCTATACTTGATCGTATGGACCGGGGCAATCATCCATATGCGCAGAGACAAATGGACGATGTCATCAATGTCGATTATTGGATCCCGCATCGAAGCTTCCTGGAACAAATGCTCGTCAGGGGGCCTCCACTGTCATCTCGGGCCGAAGAGTCTGTTCAGCGTGGTCGACAGGTGTCTATACTAGATCCCCATCGCAGTCGAAATACCTAGTCCAGCAATCTAACATGCTCTCACTACGACTACGACTACGACTACGCCTACTACTACCGTTTTTGCTATACTGCTACTACCACTACTTTCACGACTATCCTCACTACTTCATTCTCTCTTACTATGAAGCCCAGTACGGTCAGCACGGACCCTTCCCCACCGGTCCTTATCGGTTCCAGACTTTTTTTCCGTTTTTGGCTTTTTTCTTTCCTTCATCTTTCACCACACACCTCGGTGCTACAGCTATTGACGAGCGACTTCTGGGGGTTTTTGCGCTCGATCAGACTAAGAAAAGCTCCCTTTTAGTCTGATCTGTTGGTTGATCCAACATTCACTTCTTTCTCTTCTTCTTCTCCCCATTGAGCACCCCCGCTTTTGCCAACATGTCCTACAACGATGAGGGCGCCGTCGATGCGTTTGGCAGGGACATCCATGCCAGTTCGTCATCGCAGTCGCTGCCCAAGCAAGGTGCCGACGTGGATGTTGTTTCCCAGAGCTCTTCGCCCTCCTCCTCCGAGGAGCAGCTGCCGGCGGCCGATCTGATCGATGAGCAGAAGAAGGGCTGGCTGGCCTTTTTCAAGACCAAGGAGTTCTACATCATTTTGGCGCTGGGGTAAGAAACATTGACTCTTATTGCTAGTCAAAAGCTAACCCCGACGCAGACAACTGCTAGCCATCGCCAATACCTCCACTAGTACTTTCACCACGCTCCTCGGATTGCAGCATTGGGCAGTCCCCGCTTTTCAGACGTTCATGAACTACGTGCTCCTGAACCTGGTTTTCACTTCGTACACGATGTACCGTTACGGCATCAAGGGCTGGCTCCAGTTGGTGTGGCGTGACGGCTGGAAATGTATGTTACACCATCCTATCCCCGAGGGTTTGGGCTGCGGGTCATACATTAAGAACTCGGGCTGACACAACATTCTTGGGCAGACATCATCCTTGCCTTCTGCGACGTGGAAGGCAATTACTTCATTGTGCTGGCATACCAATACACCACCATGCTGAGCGCGCAGCTGATCAACTTCTGGGCCATCGTTGTGGTGGTCACCCTGTCGTTCATCTTCCTGCGCGTGCGCTACCACATCACCCAGGTGGTAGGAATCGTCGTCTGTATCGGCGGCATGGGCATCCTAATTGCTTCGGACCACATCACCGGAACGAACGGCGGCGACGTGACAAAGGGCAACCAGCTGAAAGGCGACCTGTTCGCGCTCCTCGGCGCCTCGTTCTACGGCTTCACCAACACCGGCGAGGAATACTTCGTCAGCACGCGGCCCGTGTACGAGGTGCTAGGCCAGATGTCGTTCTTCGGAATGATAATCAACGGCGTACAGTGCGCGATCTTCGAGCGGGACTCCTTCCGCAACGCGAACTGGGACGGGAAAGTCGGCGGCTACCTGACAGGGTACACGCTGTGTCTCTTCATGTTCTACTGCCTGGCGCCGCTGCTGTTCCGATTGTCGTCTGCGGCCTTCTTCAACATCTCCATGCTGACCATGAACTTCTGGGGCGTCTGCATCGGCATCGAGGTCTTCCACTATCATATCCACTGGATGTATCCCATCGCCTTCGTGCTCATCATCGTGGGCCAACTGATCTATTACCTGGGTCGCAGGGTCCTCGGCGAAGCACGCAAGCCCTGGCTGGGTCGCAACCAGGAGCGAGGTGTCGCCGGTCTCTTCACTGCGAAGAAGAAGATCCAATCTACCGTGCCCGAGGGCGTGGACCCGGCGGACCATGATCCTGAACGTCCCCCGGCCGCGAGCACGAGCTCTGTCTAAGTTGAGCTGCTGCATAGCTTGTCAGGGAGGGATTATTCTCTTCTTTCCCTTGTCAAAGATTTTGGTGATTTTGGGAGTTGATTTGGACTTAGAAATGGGATGATGGACGGTATGGTATATACATGGGACGACAATCACGAACCTCTAGATCTCCCTTTCTACAGATCGTACGCTTGTCGCTGTCCTGGGGGCAGTGTTCAAGCGCAGCGAAACTTACTTTCTCAGTGTACGCTTTGGATGTGTCTTAATTTTTAATTTCGGGGAGATCTGGTCCGGTATATATACGTCGATTATGAGAATGAAATGGAACGTCCTGCGCGTTTATTGATCCTAGACTATGCCTACCTATCCATGGATGGCACCTTAAGAAACTCATTAAACAAGTAGTCCGTGAGATATAAACCAACCCCCTAAAACGAGCGTGAGATGCAGAGACGAGAGGAGAGAGACTAAGCAAAAGAAGAGAGAAAAAAGTAATAAGGAAAACTCTCAATTTCAACACAAGGATCCCTAACCTATCCATATTAGGGAGGAAAAAATATAAGGAAATGAAAAGAAAATGGACACCACACGATGCCAGGGAAAAAAGAACAACCGAATGACAATAGCAACAAGAAATCAGAAGACTCCAGCTCTTTTACAACAGTGCATGGATAGAGAAACGAAATGCCTGCACGACCCAGCAGCCCCCGAAGCAGGTTCTCTCCTTCGCCGAAATATTAAAAAGAAGAAGAGAAAGGAACCCAGAAACAACACATCCTTTCACCAACCAGCCGTTCTCCTGACGTCGTTCTGACAAACGGACGGAATGTCAAATCCAAACCAGATAGATGCGCGTCCCAACAAACCCCGCCAAAGAGAAAGAATAACACCCAAACCCAAACCAAACCAACCAAGAAATGACAGGACCGAGGAACTCGACACCCCCTTCAATCAAACACGCAAGCTCACAGAACTGAAGCGCCATGTCCAATCCAAACCCGAAATCCACACCCATACATAGAGGCACCGCAAGAAGAAAGAAAGAAAAGGAAGACTCCAGAGCCCCGGGGAAAGCCGAAAAGGAAATTCGCCGAAGCATTAACCAAAAAGGAAAAAAAAAATCCACGGACACCGAAAGAAAGGGGAAATAAAAAAAACCGAATGGACTCCACAGGCAAAAGAACCCCAACAAGTCCCATTTTTCCCCCTCTCCACCCAAGCCAGCGTGGATGAAATAAAGACGTAGCTCAAAAGAGACAGAAAGAACCCCAGATCGAGCACAAGGTATTGAGGATCTGTGCCATATATGTACCGTTGCAAGGAAGAAACCCGTATGTCACCCGCGAGAAGCCAGCCAGCCTTCCCTGGTCATGACTTCTGTGAAATTGGTCACAACGCCCACCGGAAGGAAACCCAAGTCGAATATATCAGGTCAAGGCGTTCAACCCCACACCGAGGCTTGGACGCCCAGACCGCTCTTCGAGCCCCAGACGCCACTGCCGTTGCTCCAGGCCAGAGCCACGCCGCCGTCCTTGGCACCACTCTGTGCACCGGCCGAGGCCGGATTAGAAGTGGCCGAGTTGGAACGCTCGTTGGCAGCGCCAGGGGCATCACTAGAGGTGAAGCCAAAGCCGAGAGGGGACGGCAACGGAGTGGTGGACCGCTTGTTCAGGGCAGGGTTGGAAACGCCTCCGGGGACAGAGGTCTGTCCCGCAGCAGGGCGGGATCCGATGGGACCAACAGATCCGATGGCACCGGCAGCCGGCTTGGACGAGGGCTGGCGGGAGGAGGGCGAGTCGGCACCGCCGGGGGATGGGGTCGAGGTCACGGGCTGCTCGCTCCCGAAGCCTGCGCTGATCCCGGGGCTGGGCGAGGAGGTGCTGTTGGCCCGGTTGGGCGACTGGAAGCCCGAAGGGCCGTCAACGTTGCCCGCGCCGGTGGGCTGGGACATGCCAAAGGGGTCCACGCTGCGAGGAGAGGCTCCCCGGGCTCCGGCGGAGGAAGGCGTGGCGCCGCCCTGGCTGTCCGCGCGCGAGTTGTCATCGGAGAGGGTGCCGGGTGGGAAGAAGGCGGGGCTTTCGTTGCCATATAGGGCGCGGTGCTGGCGGGCGAGCAGGTCACGACGGCTTTCTTCGCTCACGGCGGCCGGGCTGACGGAGCGATCGGACTTGGCTGCGGACATCTCGGCGAGGAGGCCTTTGAAGAAAACCACGTATTAAAACCCAATGTTCTGAACAGAAAAACGGAGCTCAAACCAGAATATATTATACAATGCCGACGGATACATAGAAAGATATGCAAATAAATGGGGGGAATCTGGCAAAGGTCCAAAAAAAGAAAAGGAAACAGAGGCTACCACGTACTTCGGTTGTACTGCTGCTCCTGGTGGTAGTTGCGGAGCTCCCGCTCACGCTGTGCTGCCATCCGACGCTTTGCCTGCATCATCTGTTCCACCTCATTTGGGCGGCCCTGATACCGCTGGGAGGCATAGAAGCCCTGGAGGTTGCCCGAGGGGGGCATGCGCGAGCCATCGAATTCGCTGATCGAGTGGTGACGCTGGGGGCCGCTGGGGACACGAGGATCTTCTCAAAAACAGTTAGGAAAGACCTGGGGATCATTGTCCAGTGTGACATACCGTAGTCGGAATAGGGCCGGCCCATCATCATGGGCATCGAATCGCGCCGAGGAGCATTCCACAGCTTCCCGCTCTTGACGAGGTTGTCGATCGCACGGTCGATCTCTGTAAACACATATAATCATCAGCGATCTGCACAAAAAATCACTCGGGCGTTGTTGGCAGCGTGGATCCCAACAGTTCCGCGACCACCCGGTGTACAATTTGTCGGCGAGAAATCCGACGGGAACTAAAAGGGAATGGGTCCATACCGTCGAACTGGGAGGAGAAGGCCGGGCTATCCTCACGCTGAGAGACCGAGCTCGATCCTGTGGCGCCGGAGGTGTGAGTATTGACCAAGTCTTGGACTCGGGGCGATGGACTCGAAAGCGTACCTGACCGCGAGGGCGGAGCTGGTTGTTCCCACGATACCTGGCGGGATGAAGGGGCCTGCCAACCCTGGGGTTCGTAGTAGGAAGACATAGTCCGGGACGGGAAGCGTCGTCAGGGCGGAGAGACGAGCGGCGAGGATTCAGGGGGGCGGAGGGAGAAGCCCACGGCGACAATGAAAATCCGTCCGGCGGGCAGCAGGAACCTGTCAACGACCAAAACGGAACATGAGCGATCGATCCCAACACGAGACATGAAATGAAAATCTCCCGGACGACTCGGTGGGTGGGGGAGGGCCTCCGGGCATCCGCGATGGCCTCGGGTAAAGTTGGGCGTCCGTCCGCACACACCGGGGCAGGAGATGGGTGTGAACAGGACGTTCCCAGCGACTATTACTTTCAACAGTCCCCGGGGATCCGAGCCGCGAACGACGTTCTGGGGTGTTTTGTGCGAGCGGGAGAGTTGGAGGAGGGAGGTGCACACTTACGGAGGAGCCAAGATATTTTTTTTTGGGCTCGGGAAAGAAAACAATCTACCACGAATGAACGAGGCAGGGAGTTCTCGAGTCGACGAAGAGAGTCGTGGCACGAGCGAGAGAACGAGAGAGGGCACGAGGGAAGAGGAGAGAAGAGGGAGAGTGGAGGGAAATAAAATCAGGCGAAAAGGAGAGAGAGGGTCCGGCCCGCCTGTTGTTTTGGGGCGGGTCAGTCCTTAGGATCAGTATTCGGTATTAACTAATAGTGGAGGGGTACCGTAGTAATGATCCGAGTAGCACAGTATTATTCGTATGTATCCTGTTCTTCCCCTTCGTTCTGGTCTCTTCGCCCCGAGCACCCTCCATCGCCCTGAGTCTGCCCCGAGGGTGAACCGAACAGCGAGTGCCCGGCATCGGGGGCAGCCCCGGCCCACACCTCTCCCCACCGGACACCTCGACGTTGTCGCCTCGCTGGATGTACGATGATGACCCAGGGTGCATGCAGTCAGCCTGCCAAGCACGCTTGGTCATCGATTGCACGAGCCCCTCGTGGTGGCGGACCATTGTAGTGACCTGACGAGTTAACTTCGTTGACTACCGTACCGTAACGATGACTAATGCACGAGAGCAAAGAAGCCGCAAAGGACAGGCTTGACCCGGCGCTAGGACGAGACGTGTGAAGTATCGAGTACCTGTCATTCGTGGATCGCGTCCGCCTGGAGGCAGTCCCGGGGGAACTCCTCAGAGAGACTCCGACTGAGCAACTCGAGGCCTCTTTCTTGCCCAATCGGGGGCGTGGCGGTCCGCATTGTCTCTGCCTGCCCCACTCCTGGCTCTTAATTTCGGTCTTTTTGATGGCTCTGTTGAGCGGAGTTGGCGATAACATCCATCCCACCACGTGACTAGGGTATCGCCGGCACGTGTTGGGGGAAGGATCGCGGGGGCTGAAGAGTTGCCGATCAAACCGTCTGTCTGGCCTGAAGAGACCAGAGGCTCGTAGGGGAGGGATGGCCTAGGGAGGTCGTGAAATATTGTACCTGCATGAGTGCACCAGCCGGACAGCCACCGACCGCCAGAGTCAGCGGAGACAAAGAGCGAGGCCGATCGATAGGGTGCCAATAATCATGGTGGATGGTGGTTGGAACAGCATTCGAACAAGAATCGGCCTTCGTCGAGAAGTAGTGAGCTAGTGAGGAGCGGACACGCTTCTATCTCCAGTCCTCTAGTCTGCCCCGACACTCGGTTCATAGTCCCCCTTTACCACCGCCGATCGACACTCCCGAACAATAGCCTGCACCGGATTCTTTTTTTCGCGGGAATTCCTCCTCCTGCTGCTCCCTCCTTTCTTCTGGACACTCTGCACCACACCGACTGGGTCGGTCTTCTCTACCATTTCACCCCCCTCCCCCCCAAATCCACTGTCACTAGCCCGTCAGGCCGACCGACTGGTCTCCCCTCTTCTGCCCCAAGCCGATCACATCACGCCCCGGGCCGCCTCAACTCTCTACACCTCACCTCACCTCACCTTTACCACACCACAACACAACCTGCCACCCCCCAACACCACAAAGCCCAGATCGACGGAACAGAACCCCCTGTGGAGCAGACAGACCGCGTGGCAAGGGTACTCGACATCCGTCAATTGTGCTGGTGTAGAGGGGTTCTGTTGTTGAGTGGTGCGGTGGAGAGAGAGGGTCTTGTCGTGTTCGAGTCCTCCGACGGTTGGAAGTTGCTTTATGGTCTCAACCATCGATGGGAAGGCGAAGCGTTCTCATCTACCTGGGGACCTCTCACCCATAGCGTCGGATCCGCCTTCCACGATGGCATGGCCGCCATCCGACGCGTCCGAGATTCCTGCTCGCCCGACCTTGAATTCACAGCAATCGAGCTCCCTCCCATCCACCCCTTACCAACATGCGCGCAACCTCACTTTCCACTCCCGGTCGCCCTCCCCCGTCCGGGGCAATACCTCCCCCCGTTCCACCCACTCCGAATCCGCACACCTGCCTCCCTCCGCCCGAAAACCGCTCGATGGCTGTAAATACGAGACCGCGATGGCCTACTTCCGAAGACGAATGCCATATAGCCTAGGCGCCGAGGTACTCCCGGAGGACAAGGATGCGCTGAAGGAAAAACTCGAGCCCGAGGCAGAGAAGAAGTTGACGGCGGACATTATGGACCTCTACGACGAGTTGTTGCCCTCGGCGGAAAGTGACGATCGACGTCGGCAGCTCCTTCGCAAGCTGGAGAAACTGTTCAATGAGCAGTGGCCGGGCCACGAGATTAAGGTCCACGTCTTTGGCTCATCGGGGAATAAGCTCTGCTCCAGTGAATCGGATGGTAAGGTTACCGTGGGCGCCGAGGGAGGACAGAACAGAAGGGCTGACTCTCACAGTGGATATCTGTATCACCACCAATTACAAGGAGCTCGAACATGTTTGCAAGTTGGCAGAGGTTTTGGCAAAGCGTAAGCTGGACCCCACACGATAATGAGAGGAAAGGGCTGACATGGGACGAATAGATGGGATGGAACGAGTGGTCTGTGTGTCGCACGCGAAGGTGCCGATTGTCAAGATTTGGGACCCAGAGCTCAGGCTGGCCTGTGACATGAATGTCAACAACACTCTGGCGTTGGAGAACACCCGCATGATTCGGACTTACGTCGAGGTCGACGAACGGGTACGGCCATTAGCCATGGCCATCAAGCATTGGACGAAGAAGCGGATTCTCAATGATGCGGGTAAGGTCGATGCCCTCCCAAGCCTTTGCACAAGCTGACTTCCGGATGTAGCACTTGGAGGCACTCTCAGTTCCTACACTTGGATTTGCTTGATCATTAACTTCCTGCAAACACGAGATCCTCCCATCCTCCCCAGTCTTCAAGCTCGCCCTCACGAGAAGAAAGTCACGCCCGACGGCTTGATCTGCTCCTTTGACGACGATCTCAAAGCTTTGGCCAACTTTGGACGAAAGAATCAGCTGTCAGTCGGCGCATTGTTTTGCCAATTCTTTCGGTACTATGGGCATGAGGTCGAATATCAGGAGAATGTCATCTCGGTGCGGCAAGGCGCCTTGATCTCCAAGGAAGCTAAGGGCTGGAATTTGCTCATGAACAACGGACTCTGTGTGGAGGAACCGTTCAACACATCAAGAAACTTGGGCAATACGGCCGACGACACCTCATTTCGGGGTCTCCACATTGAACTCCGAAGGGCATTCAAGTGTGCTGTGAAAGGGGATCTGGCAGATTGCTGTCTGCAATATGAATATCCACCAGAGGAAGAGCGAACATGGGAGCGGCCACCGCCTCAGCCGCGGCCTACACTGACGCCGGCCCTTCCTTCGCGCGGAGGCCGTGGAGGCGGCCGGGGTGGCCGGTATACGAACCAGTTTTCTCGCGGAGGGTTCACGGGTAGCCGTCGGGCCTCCAACACAGTAAACAGAGCCAACTCATTCCGGCAGCCGCATATGCCTTCTGAGCTCTCCATGCAGGCGCAACAGCAGGCGCAACAGCAGGCCCAAACTTTTTTGCATGATCAGCTTTGGCAGCAGATTCAACTGCTTCAAGCCCAAGAGCAAGAACTACGGTTGCAGCTGCACAACCAAGCTCTGATTACCGGCCGACCTCCGCCAGTGATTGTGCGGCAGCCCTTTATTCAATTTCCGATGCCTCATCAACAGCATGACTATACAGGCGACGAAAACGTGCGGTCAAGATCGGGGACAGTTAACCACCCAGGGCTCATGACGCCCCAACGACAAATCTACAACCCCACGTATGCCAGTATCAGTGCCTCCAATACTCAAGGCAGCACAACCAATCCTCCCTCGCCATCGGCTGCATCTGCCTTGCCCGAATTCCGACGTAATCCTCGACGTTCGTCAAATGCAAACGGATCCAGGGCGCACTCGCAGCCCGCCCGAGGGCAGAATTCCCCTTCCCTTCAAAGCTTCCCGCCTTTATACACACTTCCACAGCCACTCGATCCAAAACAACGGCCACCTCCCGAGTCGTCAGAAGGTGAAGGCAGTGGAGAAGATGAGAATGGTTTTCCTCCAAACAGCTTGCCCAGCAATGGGTCCCACGCAGACTCTATCGACGACAACCAGTCGCAGGGGTTCCAGGGGCTTTATAACTATATCAGCCCCCAGCAGTTGCAGACGTACCAGCAACCCTCCATGTTGCCTATATCCACGCCCATGGGGTTGGCATTACCAAACGGGTATACGCCCTTTGTTCCAGTGCCACAAGAATATCGGCCAGGGGTCTTTCAAACGGACGCTGTGAATGGGCGTTCTGAACAAACCCCTTCCACAGGCTCGAAACCGCAGCACTCCGCTTCACGGCCAGCTCCGTCGAAAGATCGGGGTCCTTTGATTGTGGATGGCTCGGTTCCTCCCACCGAACATCGTGCGCCTTATGCGTCGGAGTTAAATGACCCATATAGTGCCGTGAGCCAATATACGTCGACGTCGGACGACCACAACATCAATACGCCTCCCAGCTATTCCGATTCCTTGTCGCAGGACTTCCAAGACGTCCCATTCGAGATGGAACAGTCGGCTGTATTCGCCCGGCCATCTGTGGAGACTTCCAAGACGAATGGTACTACCAATACACAAGCCAATGGGACCAACGGGCAGCCAGAGCTTCTTGCCAGTCGATTGCAAAATTACCACTTGTCAAATGCCGAGAAGCTGGTTCAATCACAGACCCAGGCTAAGGCATTGACTTCGGATCGCCAGAAGAACGGGTCAGGAGGCGGTGGCAAGGACACAGTTCAATCGAAGCAATCAGGGGACAAGTCCGCCCAACACTCGAACGACAACCGCCATCAGACCAGTCACTCGAAGCGCCGCCAGAACGGCGTCGAGTCTTCCGAAAAAGTGAATGGTGTGAACCACAAGTCCAAGTCCAACAAGGGCCGCCAGGATGCTTCGCACAATTCGTCCAATGCAGCGTCTGATTCCAAAGATCGACATGTCGATCAACATCGAGGCAAGTCTAGTGGTGCGGGTGGACCTACCAACGGCGTGAACGATTCGGGTCATGGTGGATGGCAGACGACAAAGAAGAAGAACCGCAAAAGCGCCAAGTCGTCTGTTGAACCGCGGAACACTGTCAACGGCAATGCAGAGCCGCTTCCTGCTGACGAGTCTATGCGAAAGGGTGGCTGAATAAATGTGTCCTGTTTGTGCTGAACAATGGGGACGCGCATTTTTCATGACCCTTTTCTCGAGCTGATGTTGACACCTTTCCGGTCATGAAAGAATCGTTCTGTACACACTCCACTCGGCTGTCTTTTGTCGATCCATCTCCAGCACTGTTGATGTACCTGCTGAATGGGAATGATGACCTTGAGCAAGGAATCGAAGGAGAGAAAGAACGAAAATCTCCCTTCGATCTCGACAAGAGGTAGGACTTGCGGAGATCACATCACACATTCTGGGCCTGGGAACAAGTGAGAGAAAGCTGGCTGGTTCAACTTTTTCTTCTATTCTTGGGAAACGAAACTGAAAAATAGCAAAAAAGGGAAGGACAGAAAAAACCTACTATCCATGCATCCATCGTCCATTGCACGCAGTTGACGAAAATGATTTTTGTCTCTTTTCCAGCTGTTTGGAGTTCTTGTGTGTCTGTCTGTCTGCATGTGTTTGTTTGAATGAGAAATGGCTTTAGACCTGATTTTTGTTTGTTGTGTCCTGTCTAATTGAGTGATTGGTTGATTCCCTTATGATGTTGCCATCTTCAGTCCTTTTTCCCTGTTTCGGTTTCTGTATAAAAGAGAGGAGAGAGAGGAGAGAGTATAACAATATTCCCTTTGCGAAATGAGGTTTTCTTCGTTCTTCTGCTATCAACTCTCCGAAGGAAAGAGAGTTGAGATACAAAAAAAGGAAGGAAAATCAGGGGAGGAAAAAGGTTTGGATATCTTTCTTCGCATTTCTTTTTTTATTCCTCTCTTTCTCTCTCGCGCTCTGTTTTGCTTTGCTCTGCGCTTGCATCGGAAATTGCGTGCATTGACTGACTGCATGGAGGAATCTGCATGACCTGTTTTGTGTTTTCTTTTTTTTTTTTTTTGACTTTTGTCTCTTTCTTGCTGCACTTGACATGTCTTGATTTGGTCAAATAGTGAATATGAAATGAACATGAACATTAAGATTACATGAAATGAATTAGGAGGAATAGAACGACAGACAGATAGTATAGATTCGTATCTCTTCATATTTTAGTAGACCCTAAGAGATAGAGAGAAAGGGAACAAAAAAAGAAAGAGAAAAGAGAAAGTAAATTGCTAGGGAGTTGTTTTCTCTTTTTAAATATCCCTGATTGCCTGGTGCCTGGTGCTAGGCGCGTCGTCATGGTATGGCGCAATTAGTAGTCTACCCGCCGTGATGAGTGGTGGAGTACCCTGTGCCACGGCTATAGCGTCGTGCGGGGAGAGTAGATCATATGGCTGTGCCCTCTGGGATCAGTACTATTAGCTTCTGGTGATTAGAGGATGGTAAGTCATTGTCCTTTGTTTATCTTTGCTGGTATAACTGCTATAGGGGCACCAAAGACCTGCTTATATATATGTCCTTCGTTTTATCATTCATTCAATGGCAACTAAACAGGGCAGTGAGGTGGGAACAAGGAACCATTCTGTCGTAAAACTGATACACGCTGCCTTGTTCCAGTTGGGGCTGAGCTCTATAATGATGATAACGATATGGGCGTTGGTTGTGGTATCTTTTATAGTTACAGTGATATAAGTAAGAAATGCACATAGGAACTTGTACGGTGAGGACGGCTGTTCCATTTTGAGGGTGTCAAATTAGTCTCGCATGACATGGTCCGCATCGCAATTGAAGGGAACTAGATACATATTGTATCGGTTTTATGCGTGTTGACGCCGCATTCTAACAAACAAGAAGCAATCTATAATCAACAAAAAGGTCACTTTCCAAAAGACGAGTTAAGAATAGAATGTATTGAACGATCAAATCATTATCGACTAGCCATCGCAATATGGCGTAGTCGCTGAATAGTAATTTACTTCACTGCCCTAAGCATGCACGCGTCTCTAGCGACAGCAATGAGAAGGAAGTTCCTAGTGTCGCACTTCCTATTTTACTGCATTGATACTGATACAAGAATATTGATATTCCGGGGTCTCTTTCTAATATAAACTAGTGGGTCTCGGCATTACGATTCGAGAAACGGTAAAAGAGTGTAGGTAGTGGCACCAGTTTCGAGACTCAATGTAGACAAGACAGAGGGGCAGACAGACCGCGCTTGTTCTACATAAACATCCCTGCCAGGCGTCAAACGTCAGTTTTGGCCGGTGCATCACTTGCATGCTTACCTCGATCAGGCTTGATGGTTTTGGATTAGGGCCAGATGCACAACATTTGGATCAGAATCAGGACTAGGTTTATTATTGATATCAATATGTATGTCAGATATGATGGTCTGGTATAATAGTATGGTATAGTACATTTGTGACACGCACAGAAAGAAGCCAGGTATTCCAGCCCAGCCCAGCCACTCAAGAGACTCGTTGCTTTCATGTCGATGGATCTAGGAGTGGGATATAACCACACCGAGTGAAACGCGGGTGCAGGCGCGAAAGATGCAGGAGATAAGATAGCTTCCGCTAAGAAAACAGGATGGCAAAAAAGGGAGCAGCAAGGGAATCAATCATGTCAACCTGCAACGAAGGGAAGGAGGGAAAACATCCCAAAAATAGAAAGATACCCGAAAACTCCTGGCTCGAAAGTATTTTTCTCTTTTTTTTAGGCTGCATTGCATCAACTCCAGATCTCGGCCCATATGAACGGGAAAATAACCACGCACGCGGTCCAGAAGACCATTATGGACTGGTATGGAAAGAGGATGAGGTGCGTCACGGGGGTTTCGCGGAGCAGAACCCAGATGGAGAGGAAGGCGACGGAGAAGAAGTGAGTGAAAAGGACCATGGGCTGCTTGATCAGACCTGCTAGGAGTCCGACAGGGCCGTCAACAAATCCGATTTGGAAGTAGCGAAAGCAGCCCCGTTGGAGGGCTTTGAGATTTTGGTCTATAATAGAGACGGTGTCAGATCAGCGGTATGAAAATGGGGTTGAAGGAGGAAGAAAACGTACCGTCGGCGGCGAACAGCATATATAGCGCCTGGGCAAGGATGTTGATGACGGAGGATGAGTTTTTTCTCGCCCAGTGGAAGGTGGATAATTGCTTGAGAACGAGGCCTGTGTCTGATAAACTAGGCACGCGCTCTGGGCTGAGCAGCTCGCGGATGATACAGACGTCATTGAGTGCGACTGTCATCCCGCCTCCCGTCAGGGGATGGCGCATGTTAAGAGCATCGCCGACGATCATCAAGCCAGGGGTTTTGTTCGTGGCGGCGGGGAGGAAGGAGTTGGGCATCGAGCGCAACTGGCCCTTTTCTAGCGCGGCCAGAAACGCCGGCTGAACGGAATCCGGCAGTGTGGGCAAGATTGTATTGCGGAGGTGGCCCTTGACGCCACCGTTTTTCACAGAGGCCGAGGGCAGATTTTCGGGGATGTCGACAAGGATGCGGGTTTCGTGCGAGCCAATCTGGTACATCAGGACCGGCGCATGATCGCTGAGGAGCACATGGCCATAGTAGGGACTCGGGAGTTTTGCATCGATCATCTCCAGGCCCCAGAATTTGGACCGAAACTTGGGTGCGTGCGGGTGATGGACTTTGCGGAATTTCGACGCGTACCCGTCGGCGACCACGGTGAGCTGGGCGAAGTAGCAGTCCTTCAACTCCTGCTCCTTCGTAATGCACTCGACACCCAGCACTTGGCCCGTATGCGTCGAGGTCACCAGCGCCGTGGCCTTGGCCTCGACCACGGAAACGTGGGGACAAGCCAGCGCGGCTTCGCGCAGCTTCATCACGAAGCGGCCATGGTGGAACGTCCACCCCTGGGGCGCGGGCTCTGACGGCGCCGATTTGGGGTAGTCCAGGATCACAGGCTCTTTGAAGTACGAGACATAGTAGCCCTTGACGGGGATCGCATCGATCCCGTCGAGACAATCCCGCAGCCCCAATTTTTCCAGCGCCTGCACTCCGCCGGGTTGCAGCAGCTCGCCCACGATGCGATCGGGTTCTTTCAGGGATGTCTCTAGTAGAACTACGCTCCGGCCTTGTCGTCCCAGGGCGACAGCCAGCGCGCAGCCCAGGATTCCAGCACCGATAATCACGACGTCGGATTCATGGTGGTCGAAGCGAGTTTTCTCGGTGGCGTGGCCATTGAGGAGGGTGGACATGATGGGAGTAGGTGTCGGAGTAGGGGAATTAAGGGATTCGGAAGCGCAGGGACATGGTAGGGTCGGTATGGCGTGGTGGTTGTTTAAGAGAGAGAAAAAAAAAAAAAAGGTGTTGAATGAGTGAACCAAAAGAGTTAGGGGTGGGTGGCATGACATGTGAACTCTCCGCCTAGCCAGTCTGCACGCTACCGTGTAGCGCCCATCCTGGTCCTACATCTATAGATCCTAGTACACACAATTCGGTCCCAGACTGGTTTGGATATCAAGATTATATACATTCAGCCGAGGCCGACTCTGTTGACTCCAGGTCAATGCGCTCGTAATGCTGGTTCTCTGGCAGCCAGTTCACTCGCGGACTCGTCGTCTTGGACTCTTGCCACGCGCGCTCCAGCTTCTCGAGCGGCATGAACGTCCGTCCTAGCACGTCCTCCAGCTCGATCTGTTCATCAAATTCCTGAATGATCTGTTCGACACACATATTCGGGGCCCGCACCAGCTTCTCGAAGTTGTCCGCTGTGTGTGGCTGCAGGCGACCCTTTCGTTTCGTTTGTGGATTGACATGGAAACTCAACCAGTACTGATCTCTATTCACTTTTTTCTGCAGCACGTCCAGCAGCACCGAGAGCTTGCGTAGTGTAGACGCGGTCTCGGGGGCGGCGCTCTCGTCAGCCGGGAGCTTGTCTTCTAATAAGGGCAGGAGGAGGCGACATTCGGCGACAAAGTCGGCGTTTTGATGCACCCTGGGCCGGGACAACCCAGCCATTATGCACCACCAGACACCCTTGAGGTTGCCAGTGGCGGCGTAGGCCCGCGCAAGCATTTTGAGGAGCACCCCGTTAAATCCGAGATGAAGGCGCCACTGGGACATGTAGTACGCCGTCAGCACATCGATGGCGAGTTCTGGCTTGCCGTTTACAATCAGTTGCTGGGAGAGGGCAGACACGACGTGACACTTGAGGTGTAGTTTGGGAGTGTCGCAGCACAGTCGGAGGAATTCAAACATAGCCATCTTCAACAGGACTCCTTCGAGGAACGGGTCGGCGTCGACCTTCAAGATTCGTTGCAAGAAAATTGATGTGAAGACTTTGTTGTGATGGCGCATGCCATGATATGTTTGTTCCTTTTTGATAAATTCTTGGGCCTCCAAGAGACCCTCCGAGCCCTTGTCGAGAATCAACGCAACGGCGACCAGCTTGGTATGAATCGGGGCGAATTTGGTAAATCCCTCGTCGTGAGCCTCTTGAAAATCTTTCCATACGGACCCGAAATTGCCTGAATGAATGTGATGTTCCAATTTCGTTTCCAGGGGCACGTAGTGATTGCTGCTCTTCGAAGCAGCTACCAGCTCTTCCATTGTCCTTCCATAGCTCGTCTCGGCTCGTGTATGGATCGGCATGAGTTTGTTGCGGTCCTGAGAACTCAAGATCGAGTCGACCCCGAGGATACGACGGGAAGTGGCAGCCTTTCCATGTCGGTCCTTTGCCGCCTGCATCATTCGCCAAAATCCCACCGGGGAGCCCTCCATGGCGTTTTGGCGCACCCTCACAATGTTCATGAATTCCTCTTCATTGATTTGTGCCCTCCACTCACGCTCCCGGGCCATGGTACTGATCTCGACGATCATGTCTTCTGTGCCTTTCTCAAGCAACGCCTCGAGAATGTGGCGGTATAGGACCTTGTCCGGCGAGAGACCAAATTCCTCGATGCCCGTCATGAGAAACTCCATGGTTTGAGACCCCGTGTGAGCCGGCCAGTATTCCAAAAAGACGCGGTCGAATACAATCGTGAAATCTCTCTTATCCTGGGTAAACCCCAGCTGGTGCATCTCACGCAAGGAGAGCATGACGCCCTCCCAATCGCAGTCCAGAGCTTTGCTGTAAGCGAGTAGACCCAAAGCTCGACACCCAGGCTGGACCCCGTGCTTCTCAGACATCTCTTTCAACAAGGCAACCACATCTTCCTGCCTTCCGCATTCGACGCAGGCTCTGATGACCGGATTGAACAGCTTTTCCGTCGGCTTCCGCTCAATTTCAGACAGAACCTGAATCAAGTCTCGGAATTGATTGGTGACCAACTCCAGGCTCCTGGTTTTCCTCCACAGGCCGTCAAGATACGCCCCGCATAACCCGCAGTCACGGTCGTGCCTGATGCTGCGGAAGAAAAACCACTTCGCTGCAGTCAACCGCTTCGATTCAATGAGACACCGGAGCACGATTTCCATCAAATGGGGCGGGACCGTAAGATCCTTTTTGTACTTGTCATAGATAAATGCGGCGGACTCGACATGACCTTCCTTCGCGAGCAAATGTATCATTGTCGCCCAGACTTCCGATGTCACCTCGGTCACAGTGGCAATCCTGTTAAAAAGTCTTCGAGCTATGAAGATGTTGCCCTTCATACAGTTGGCAGCAAATAAAAAATATGCTGTCTCCCGCACCTTGTCGGAGATGGGTTCCTTCTCAGGGACTTTCTTTAAGAACTCATAGGCAGCCTCAATTTCTTGATTATCTTTAATCAGATCGCGAATTGTTTGCTCGAGGGGAGACCGTGCGGAATCTTCAGGGCCGGCGCGGCGGGCTTTGGCAACGGTCTTCTTCGCCCAATTGATGCTTGCTAAGGGGGTAGACACCGGGGAAGAGACATCGACATCGACATTTTCGTGGATCAAAGCCTGGATATCCGCGTCCGAAATAGACGCTTCACCCTCGACCAGTGGATCGGGGTTCTTCTTGGGCTTGTCTTTCAAGGAAGCCAAGCCCATGAATTCGCCTGCCTCAGCAGAACCCATCAGCTCTGCCAGTCGTCGTGCTGCGGCGGTCGCATCGTAGTTTGGGACGGAGGAGTGCAGAAGGCGTTTATTCTCGATGATCTGTTCGGCCACACCGATTCGGCGGTAGATGTCGTAGTTGATGGCTGAAACGGCACACACACTGCCCACTGCTGAGCCGGTGAGGGCAAGCCGACGAAGCGCACGGAGGGCATTGCGTGAGGGGACAGCAGCGGTCCCCTTTGAGGTGGTCGCAAACATTGGGGGTGAGGATAGCGCACCGCCCAGTGCGGCCTGGGGATTATTGGGCGTGCATTAATGTCGGGGATCAATTTTGTAGGAGGGAAAAGAGAAAGGAGTGGAGAATAATAAAGGCTTTCCTTGATTAAGATTCGAATGGGGAGGGAGGGCGTTGGACAGCTTAGGGAGTTCGGGAAATAAGAAGCGCAACTTTTTTGTCGGAGGAACGAAGTTGGGCCGGAAGCAAAACTGCGCTCGAGGCTTGTGTCGCTCGCCGTATAACTATCGATCTACACGGCAGGGTCAAGATTGTAGATATAACAAGGTCTGCGTATTTTGATTTATATTTTATTTAGACGGCAGCATTCAATTCTATCAATTCACCAAAAGCTGGTCATATTCATCTTCGCCCTCCTCATTTGCCTCACGCAAGTCAGAGGTAGGCTCGACCTCCAGAGACACTGAAGCAGCGTTAGTTGACTCTCCCCAAGTTTAAAGACACAGGTAAACATACCGTGAGGCCGAATCAAGAAACTCAGGCCTAGCGCAACCACAAACACGGATGCGAGACAAATAAATACCGTCTGGGGAAACGTAGCGACGGTCAAACTATAGATTAGATTAAAGACAGTCGGTGCGACCACGCGGGCCAGTGCATGCAAAAGGCCAGTGGCACCCAGCATCTGGCCGATCCGCTCGTGGGGCACATGCTTGGTGAGCGACGACTGCAGGATAGGAGATCCCATGCCGCCAAGAGACGCGGTGATGCCCGACAGGATCATGACAGAGGGATGTTTGGACAACGCATATCCGACGTAGCCCAAGATATCGAAGACAAGCGACATGCGAATCACCACCACGTCCATCATGTCGGATCCACGAATGCGGCCGTCGTCCGGCGACGGGGTGCGGAAGAAATGGGCGACGATTGGAAAGACCACAAGGAGCGTGCCGACGCGGACAACATTGACGATGGACACAAACAGGCTCGACTCCACGTTGCCCCAGTGGAACATGTACTCCGCATAGATAATAATAACTTGAACCGTGCCCATGGCAACGCCAAAGGCGGCTGTGTCGATAGCCGCCAGCAGGATAATGTTGCGGCGCAGCGCTGCGCTGGCGCCTCGGCGGTTGGCGAATAAGACACTCGGTCGTCCTACGGCAGGCAGGAGGATGGAGAGAGGGGTGATCAGGTTCATCGGGTTCAGGGTGCGCAATGACCACGACGAGCCGGTATCATCCACAGACTTCCTGCGGTGTTTCTCGCGCGCAATTCCCTGTCGCTCTTTCGAAAGAGACTCGGGGACGACAAAGAAGACACCCAGCAAGAACAGCGCATGGAACGACAATGCCAGGTAAAACACCAACAGCGGACCTCCAGTCTTTTTGATCAGTATTGCTGCAAGGGTGGGCCCAACGGCAATACCAAAGAAGAGGGCGCCCTGGAAGAAGCCGAATGCCACGTTTCGCCGATCTGGCGACGTGCAGTCAGCAGCATATGAATTCAGCAGGGCCAATGCGGTGGTGAAGGACCCTCCCAATCCGTCAAATACGGCACCAACGAGTATCCAGTTGACCGACATCTGATCGGGCCAAGTAGCCACCATCACGGTGATTGATTCGTTCAAGACACAGCCAAATGCGCACAACGCAATGACTTTAGTGCGACCATAGCGATCCGACAAGTGACCGATCCGCGGGCTCACGAGAGCGGAGAGGATCCCCGCGATAAGGTTGATGTAGAGTTGGAACCGGGCCACCAGCGACTGAACCTGGGGGACGCGACAGTAGGGATTTTCGTCTCCGGAGAGGACAGGGAGGTAGGTAAAACTCGGGTCTTGGGCCGCTCGCTCGGACAAGTAATCGCGACAAAGCAGGGTCAGGATCAAGTTGATCTTGGGCACGGCGATTCCGCCAAAGCCGAGCGTGAAGAGGAGGATGAACGGGAATAGCCAAAAGATCTGTCGATGAAGCGGTCACTATTGGGGTAGTGATTATGGAGGGTAACAAGTCACTCACACTCGGTTCTCTGAACCCTTTCCACGACCACCGGCTGCCTGTCTCGCGAGGTTGCTCAGAATGCGGTTCGTCCTCCGCTGTGCCTGGTAACACAGCCCTCGCCCATTTGAGGCACGTTAGGCGGCAGCGGCAAGACTGCTGCGCATGTCGCTGCGTTTCGGCCTCAACCTCAGCCTCGAAAAGCTGCTCATTCTCCATGGTCAATGATTATGAGGGCTGGGCATTGGTAGAAGGAGATTGTAGCGATGTCAAGGTCGACGCCCGATGATTTGTAATGGGCCGGACGAGCGCGGGGACTAGATTCATCAAAAATCAGGGAATAACGCAACGGTTGAATCAGAATTAACGGTACATCATCAAACAGGGATGCGATGAATGATAAGCGGAGAGGGGGCAGAAGAATGGCCGAACCCGGTTTTTGAGCTGATAAGGTGCTTTAAATCCGAGCTCCGAACGGAAGTCGATAAGGGAAGGAGGAATCGAGATATTATACATTCAGAGTATCCAAATTGTTTTCAAGGACCTCACAAGCTAAACGCCAGTAGTAATCTACACACACAAATAGATGGACCATAAATCTCACAGAACGAGCGAGGAAAGCTCCTTTCCGGCAAAGAACTTCTTCTGCTCCAAGCAGCGCTCACTCCGACAGCCTTGACAGCGCAGCGTCATCTGGGTCGAGCACGGCTCGCCCTTTTGCAGGTGCGCGTGGGCAATGTCCGCTAGCGCCTGGATGAAAACTGGGCTCCCGTTCAGACTCTCGACGCGCTTGACGCCGGGGCTGTTGGCTTCGTGCATGACTTCCAGATCCAGCTCGTACAGGGTCTCAATGTGATCACTCGTAAAGGCAATGGGTACCAGGACCAAGTCGGTCTGCCCGCGCTTGACATACTCCTGCACCGTATCGCTTGTCTGCGCACCGAGCCATGCACTCGGACCCACCTGCGACTGCCAGCACAGTCGGTAAGGGTTGCGAAAGTTGAGCCGCTGCATCACCGCGTGGACGGTCGCAGCAACCTCCGCAGGGTAAGGGTCGCCTCGGTTGACGACGCTCATAGGCAGGCTGTGCGCGGAAAACAATAGCACCACTTTGTCGCGCTGCTCTTCAGGGTACGTCTTCAGCTGGGCCTCCACATTCTGGGCCACGGCTTCCACGAGACCTGGGTGAGAGGGCCATCGGTCAATGACGCTCCACTGAATGGCTCCCTCAGCACTGCCATCTTCCTTCGCTTCCAAGCGATTCCGCCACTTCCACAGCTCATTGAGGGAGCTGCCGGTAGTGGAGCAAGAGTATTGTGGGTACTGCGTAAAGGCAACGGCGCGACCTCCTTTCCCGTTCCCGAATCCATCGGCCAACAACTGTTGGTACATGGTTTCTGTCAAGGGCGCGGCGTAGCGGAATGCGACGTAGGGTTTGTGCGGTGCGGTCTCGGGAGACATCTTGTCCAGCAGCTTGCACATTTGCTCGCACTGGTATTCGGACCATTTCCGGATTGGCGAGCCTCCGCCAATATCGGAATACTGCTGTTGGATCTTTGGCGTTCTCCGGCGCGCGATCAGGGGTCCGATGTAGGATTGGAGTCGTCCCAAGGGAATCAAGTCACCGTCGGCCTGGACCGGACATAGAAGTTAGCCGGTGCCAACGTTTGAATCAGGCATTGGAACATACAAATAGTCTGCTGAGGAAGTCCTCTACTTCGCCTGTTGTTGATGGCCCGCCCATGTTCAGAAACACCATTGCCGTCGGGCCCTTGGAACCGGTTGCGTTCTGCGTCACCGGGGGCACCGCAGTGGCGAGTCCGCATCGTCGATCTCCGCATCCCAGAAAGCTGCGAGTGGCCGGGCGCACCCCGGTGGCACTGAGCAGCTGCCGAGATATACTGAATGGGCTGCGGAATGCCATTGGGGGCAAGGGGAGTAGGTTGACGGAGGAAGAGTCACGGCGGAAGCATGCAGACCGCGGAAACAACAAGCCAATCAGTGGGGAAGCAGTAGTCAGCACTCTTGGCCGAGAACGGGCCAGAACCATAAGGCGGTCGCTCACATGACCCTCGTGTCTCTTCCGCGTTGCAACTGCGCGTCTCAGGCAACAGAGTGGTGTTGGCGAGACTGTTCTTTGCCGTGTCTTGTACCATCGTCTCCAGCAACACGAGACGGGCCATGGCGGATTCTAATCCCACACGCGAGGAGGACGCGTTTGAAGAGGAGGAGCTCGATGAGACGGTGAGTCCCCAGTGGCCGAACCTATAGATAGTATAGCTGATTAATTGATTGTTGAATCTAGAGCTTCATATCTGTCAAAGATGCCGTGCTCTTCGCCATCGACGTCAGCAGCTCGATGCTGACGCCTCGTCCATCCTCCGACCCCAAGAAACCCGGCGAAGAATCTCCAACGTCTGCAGCTCTGAAGTGTGCATACCATTTGATGCAGCAACGCATCATCAGCAACCCCCATGACATGATCGGCGTCTTGCTGTATGGAACCAAGTCGTCCAAGTTCTACGATGAAGATGACGAAAGTCGTGGAGATCTTTCATATCCCCACTGTTATCTCTTTACAGACCTCGGGATTCCGTCGGCGCAGGAGGTCAAGGAACTACGAGACCTGGCAGAGGATGAAGCGGGTGCGCGCGAAATCCTGATGCCGTCAGAGGAACCAGTGTCTATGGCCAATGTTTTATTCTGTGCGAATCAGATATTCACGTCCAAGGCTCCCAATTTCCTGTCCCGACGACTGTTCATCGTCACCGACAATGACAACCCACATGAAGACAACAAGTCGCTTCGATCAGCTTCAACGGTTCGTGCGAGGGATTTGTACGATCTAGGCGTCACAATAGAATTGTTTCCCATCTCTGGGCCCGATCACGAATTCGATATGGCCAGGTTCTATGATGTGAGTTGATCACTGCCAAGGCGCAGATTGTCTGCTTACAAACTCCAGGATATCATCTACAAAACATCACCCAGCGACGGGGAGGCGCCTGCTTACTTGAAACCCGACACCAACACATCCACAGCCAAAGGAGATGGGATTTCATTGCTCAATTCCCTATTGTCTAGCATCAACTCCAGATCAGTCGCCCGGCGGGCGCTGTTTTCGAATGTTCCCCTCGAACTCGGACCCGATTTCAAGATTTCAGTTAACGGATACCTGCTACTAAAACGACAAGAACCTGCAAGAAGTTGCTTTGTTTGGCTTGGAGGAGAGACTCCTCAGATTGCACAGGGTGTCACCACTTTGATGGCCGATGATACTGCACACACCGTCGAGAAGGGGGAGGTTCGGAAAGCGTACAGATTTGGCGGCGAGCAGGTTTCCTTTACGACCGAAGAGCAACAGGCATTACGGGGTTTCGGCGACCCCGTGATTCGAATCATCGGGTTCAAGCCACTGGCTGCGCTCCCGTTCTGGGCCAACGTCAAACATCCCACGTTCATTTATCCCTCTGAAGAGGACTACGTTGGCTCAACACGGGTTTTCTCTGCGCTACAGCAAAAGCTCCTCAAGGATGAGAAAATGGCTTTGGTCTGGTTTATTCCTCGCAAAAACGCGACGCCAGTCTTGGCTGCTATGATTGCCGGCACTGAGAAGGTGGATGAGGATGGCGTGCAGAAAGTTCCTCCGGGAATGTGGATTATCCCGCTGCCCTTTGCGGATGATGTCCGACAGAATCCAGAGTCTACCTTGAATGTGGCTCCAGATCCATTGATTGATTCCATGCGGGAGGTGATTCAGCAGTTACAACTTCCAAAAGCTGTCTATGACCCCCAAAAGTACCCAAATCCTTGTAAGTCATGCTCTGCGTCCGTTGGAGGAAATGCAGTTCGGCTTATCGATCTCAGCTCTTCAATGGCATTATCGCATTCTTCAAGCCCTTGCTCTGGATGAAGACCATCCTGGAACGCCAGAGGACAAGACCGTACCTAAATATCGACAGATCCATAAGGTATGTCTCTCTCGCTCTCACCTTCTCGGAATACCTCGTGTACTAATTGATCCCCAGCGAGCGGGCGACTATGTCCTTGCATGGTCCGAAGAACTTGACAAACAGTTTTCCAAAATGTTTGACGGCGCAGGAACAACAACCCTGGTCAAAAGAGGCGCAAAAGAGCCAACAGGCGATGCTGACGGGCCCCCAGCCAAGAAAGCGAAAGTCGACGGGGGCACCTCTGGCATTGATGACGAAGTCCGAAGGAGTTACGAGAAGGGAGCGGTGTCCAAGGTAAGAAGATATTCTGTGTGTGTTGGCACGGCAGATTGACTAACTGCCGAATCTCGAAATGCAGCTCACCATGCCTGTGTTGAGGGAGTTCTTGACTGCGCATGGACGGACTGGTGCCGGATTGAAGAAGGCAGAGCTCGTGGATCGAGTGGAGCAGTATTTCGAGCAAAAATCCTAAGCCGGCCACGCTGGCTTTGCCTTACATGCTCTCTCCTGCGCGGAATTGACTTATGACTGATGAAATACATTTATGCCCAACCAACGTTTGTTGGATTGTAAGCGGTAATACTATCTCTAGTAGATGAAGTCACTTACTTAGCTGAGTTTCCAACGCACAACTACTTGTAGGAGAGATCATCCACAACCACCATCACCCTTCCACTCTTCTAAAGCAACAGAGAGCGCACTAGCAAACGTCTGCGAAATACCCCGTCTCCCATAACGGCGCGGGTATTTACCACCGGCGATGGTATAGTTGCCCTTATGATCGACAAACAGAGACAGAGATATATATTTCAAGGCGACCGGACAAACCTGCAGCGTTCTTCCGGAAGATATATCCAACGCGTCTCATAAGTCTTTCCTGGTCCCACTTTCGACTTACACGTCACATGTCGCCCGGCTGTTAAAGCCGACAACTAGAAATCCGGAATACTACATCAGCACTAGTTGCCTGTACGCCAGCCAGTCACGGCAAGTAAATGCTGTAACATGCAAGGCTTGATCGACGCGTCAAACAAGCTTAAAATCTATACCTGTCAAAGGCCATGCTCTAGCTATACACGAGCTAATTATGTACTCTCCTGTAAACATCTTTGTCATAATTATACTAATTTTATTATATATATTTTCAAGCTAGAGACAGTTCAGGGACCTTGGCTTGGTCCCAATTCTTCAAATCCCATCCCACGCGTCTAAATGGTGGATATATCTCCCATATTAACAAACATATAAGGGCCAGCAAGGTGCATGTATAACGCCGGTGGAAATGGTATGTACAGAAAGAGCTACCGCCATGGACGTTGTTTGCGGTGCCAAAGAAGGGCCCAAGTCGGAAAACAGTATAGGCTAAACGTCTAGCAGCGTCCATAGACCTGGCAATAACATACCTCCTCATCGGGACAGCTGATAAAACTGTTAGCTGATATGTCATGGAAACGAACAGACGAGGACACTCACTAGACGGATTCCATGCCAAAAATGACATGCCACAGGAACTCCAGCACGCGGCCGGACGAGGCATCGTTCAGTTCGGTGTCCAGCACCCACTGCCTGATCTTGATATAGTCCTCACGCGGACGGCGACGCACCTGATCACTCGAGACAGCAAACTGGGCGCAGCACGCGGCGCCGATCTGGTCCGGCTTGCGCAGGTATGTCTGCGCCGGTGCTTCGGGCTGCCACTCGGTCGCGGGCGAGATGCCCTCGGAGACATTCAAGGCCGGAGTACTGGTCCCCTCGAAGATATCGTACCACACCTGGTCTGTGACGTGGCGGTTGTAGCGGTGAGATTCCTTACAGCCGGGATTCCAGTTGCAGCGCAAGTTAACGTAGCCGTTCTGCTGGACGAAGTCGAGCTTCAGCATGCGCATCGCGGCGACGTTGTCGTGCAATGGGGCGTCGACGTGCCAGGCGAGGAGGAAGCCTGAGCGGTGGGAGTGGAGGAAGGCGATTGTCGAGGGGAGGTCGTCGTAGTGGTCTATTACGTAGGAGAGGTAGGCCATGGACTCGTGGCCCTTGTTTGAGGGAGTTGTGAGTCGTTCTGGGTCGGCGCCTGACTCGGGGGATGGGTTGACTGTGTAAATGGCGCGTTGCCAGCTGTTTGGTTGGGGCTGTGATTAGCATGGAGGGGGTTTTCATGGTCAGGAAAATAGAAAAACCCACTCTGGGAGCTCCTCTTCTACCCATTCGGTGTGCTCTTCTTCCAACTTGGCCATGACAATCACCTTGTCACCGGGAGTGCCCTCGCCGATCGTCGGGGCTGGGCCCGCCTCTTTCAAGTCCAGCCATTCCGCCAGGTACGAGCCCGCGCGATACTGGTTGCACAAATCCTGCAGGTGGGACTCTAGGAGCCACAGTGAGAAACACAGCAGGAGTGAGGCGCATAAGGCGATGCGCAGTCCACTTTTCATCGTGAACCGGTGGTGGCGAGAGGGAGATCGGAAGAGAGAAAGGGAGATCGGGAGAGAGAAAGGGAGAAAGGGGAGGGGGAACTCGGAGGGCGAGCCCCAGGGATATTGGAGATCAACCGCAGGAAGAAGGGAAGGCTAATCCATGAAGAGGCGAAGAGACGATCAATTCACTCGAATTTAACGACAATCGCGACCGGCAGTCCTCGAGGAAAAGGAGATGGGGGGGAATGTGGCACGAGGGCAGACTGTCGTGAATTATTACTGCCACGAGGTGGACGAAGGAGATCGAGGGAGGGCGGAGAGGAGTGAAGAGACCGAAAGAGGCGGGTACGTAGGGAGAATTCACTAATCGTTCAAGTCCCAAGAAGAACGTTGGGAGACGAGCGACTGCAGGAGCGGCGGGACGAACACTGGTAGGGGCCCACGGGGGGCGAGTCATTGGCTCCCGCAGTGGTCGGTGACCCTTGAGCCGCGGGTGGCCCGACCGCAAAGCTTGAGTTGCCTTTCTTTTCCCCGATCACCAATCACGGTGGAATAGGGGTGCCTCGAAACCCATGGGTTGGACGAGGCGGTTGGGCAGACCCAAAGCCAAACTCTGCACGGTGTGTCCGGTCGGACACGAGCGCGCTCACAATCACCGGGGGGCAGAGGTTGCGTGGCCTGGTGGGTCGAAATAGATAGTGGACACGGAACACTGAAGAGATAACAGGAAGGCGTTCCTCTACTGCTTGGCGGCGATGGAGGTTGGTAGTCGCGGATATGAGAGTTGGTTCATGATCATCGTTAGCCATTTCAAAAGTCGTGAGCCGATCCACGCAGGATGGCGTCACGGAGAGCGTCTTCGGCAATGAAATCTGCCAGGACCCGCGGGCGTGCAGGGGCAGCCTTGGTGCCTCAGGCATGAATCTAGTGACGGGGCGGGATAAGGGACCAGTGAGATAGATAAAGTGAATGGATGGATGAGCGGGCAGTCTAGCTGCCTGGGTCTGGCGTCATGCGGTGAACTATACAAATAGGGATCCTGCAGTCCAGCTGCTCACTCCTCCTCTTCCTCGCTCACCTCCTCGCCCTCCTCAATCGCCTTCTCCCGCAGCTTTCGCGCGCGCTCCCGCTTCTTGTCCAGCAACGCGGTCAGCTTCTTCGCCACATTAAACACTCCCCCGTCCCCGCCCCGCACGCAGCGCAGGACGGGTTCTTGCGGTATCGCTGTAACGCACACGATTCACAAAAGTAATGCCCGCACTTGGTGATGATCGGGTTCTGGTAGGATTTTTCGCAGATAATGCAGGCAAACGGGATATTCTCCAGCAGATCTTCGTCATCATCGTCATCCGCGTCCTCGGCGGCCTTGCCCGCGCCCTTGCGCTGAGACACAACCTTCCCGTTCAACTGCTTGCCCTTGGTTTTGTCGTCCCATTGGCGGTCCAATTCCCATCCATGCGCGTAGTCCTCGCGGGCGTGCAGGTACTTGCAGCTGTCGCCAAAACCGCAGACTGGACATGGTTAGTATGAGGAGATAGAGAGAAGGAAGAAGGGGAAACTTGAACGTACATCCTGTCTTTTTATAGTCCTTGCACACGTCAGGCGCATAATCCATCACGGTGATCGTACGGACGTTCGTCGAAGCTTTGATCGGCCCAAACTGCTTGCTAGGTGCGTCCGGATTCTTCTGGATGAAGGATTGGTAGTTTGCCGTTCCCTTGTAGGTGCCGTCCGGAATGGTCGACGAGGTGGATGGAGTCGGCCGTGCTCGAGTTGATCCCAGGAGGTTCTTGGCGCTCAAGTCTTCTTCATCGTACCAGTTGGAGGATTTGGTCGCGTCGTTGCTGGTTGTTAATGGTGCGGGACCGCCGTTCGTAGGCTGGTCCTCGGTGGGAACCCGAGTGTTGGATGTGGATGATGCGGTCACGGCTGCATTCTTACGCCGCCGCTTGACGCGACGTCCTTCGTCATCGTCGGAGGAGGTGAAGTCGGAGTCGGAGGCAGGCGGTGGAGTGGCGGCCTTCTTGCGGAAGGTCGCTTTCGCTTTGCCGGCGCGCTTCTTGAAGGCAAACTGGGGCACAGAGTCTGCTGCGTTTTCCGCCATGGCGGGAGCTGAGGCAGTTGTCGAGAGGAAGTTGGTGAAGTGGCGTGAAGGAAGCTCCAAGTTACTTATTCTCCCAGCAGCTGATCAATCATTCCCGATAGTCACATGATCATCTTCTGGAAGAGCCGATGTCCATGACTCAGCTGCGCAAACAGAGCAAACATTTCTCTTTCGGGACGGAAGGCGAAAAACAACAACAACATTCGGCTTGTGTCTTGCTTTTTATTGATAACGGCGGGGTGTTGTAACTAGTTAGTTATTCGCGTAATGTTATTGTTCCAGATGCTATTGTTGTTGTCTCGGCCCATCCTCTCCCTCTTCTCCCTCTCATTACAAGAGCAACAACAACACAAGCATTGACCCAACGCCATACTCGAATCGGCCAGGTGCGACGTTGGCCTCTCCCGTCTTCCTCCCCACCACGCCAAACTCGTCACGACTGTCTCTTCACCCTGGACCCTCGCTTCCGCTTCCTCCCTCCCTCCCCTCGTCGTGTTTTTTTCTTCTGTTTCTTCTATCCTGTACACCTTTCTCCTTTGTCTTTCTTTCTTTTTTTTTTTTACCCCTCCCCTACCCGAGTCGAGTACTATCGACTCCCTCAACCCGTGCCGTTTGTTGTGATCGGGTTGCACCACGCGCGCCTCTCAAGGATCTCGCCGGTTCGGGATCATCGTCAACACCGCCCGACCCAGGAGCCATCAGGACGTGTTAATCCTGCTCTCCGACCTCCTCTCCTTTCTCAGCGCGTGACTCCGCGTTTGCAACCCCGGACAGACTGATAAGTCCCTGACCGCCGGCCGACTTGACTATTCATACAGCGGGGCGATCTTGCAACGATCATTTCGGCATTCGACACGCACAATTCAGATGATGCTTGCGGTTTAACCGACCCCGCAATCAGGAGACACGACGCGCGCGACGTGCCCAAAGTCTCTGAACGGCAGCTGTATCCTCGCACCAAAGGGGGTCCAGAAGTCGTTGTGAGACGAGACACGTCCGTTCTTGAGCATGTCGAATCCGACTATGGAAACGCGCCTTGGAGCAGGGGGCTCCTTGGCCTCGATGGAGGACCCCTTTTTGTCACCGACTGCGCAACCGCCTGCGGCCCGAGAACCGCATCGGTACTCGTCATTCGACACGCAGCTGTTCAGCCTGAATGTCTCTTCGCCGGCGCAGGCTAAACGGGCCCTCGAGGCCCACCTCGCCGAGACTGAACGGCGACTGGAAGAAGCATCCAAGTTGGGTACAGCCTTGATCGAGCAGCAGCGGGAATTGTCAGAGCAGTTGAAAGAAGTGGAGCAGCAGCCGGATGAGAGTGAGATGGGACCCGAGCTGCGACGGAAGCTGGCCGACCTGGAGAAGGAATATACCGAAGTCGGTCGGGAGACTGCGCGCGCCTTTTTGGCTCCGAAACGGCTGGCTGGGGGCTTGGAGGACACTCCCTCCCTCGATCAAAAGGTATAATCTCAGCACAAAGGATAACTTCTAAGGGAAAATTGGGAGACTAACTCTTTTTGCATAGACCCCCCTTAGCCCTGCCTTGTTCGCAGGCCAAGCTACCAACTCGCCCAGCAAAGTCAGCGCTCCCTCTCGCAAGCAACGCAATCAAACTTCGAACCGCGTGCACGATATCGAATTCGCCACGGAAATCTCGACATCTCTCCTGGCTCAAGTGCGCCAATTGCAGTCGCTTCTCGCGGAACGGGAGGAGACGCTGAAGTCGGTCAACCTGGAGAAATCACGGCTGGAGATTGAGGCGGAAGGATATGCGCAGCGGATACGCGCTCTGGATGAGAGCGAGCAGCGCTACAAGGACGAGAACTGGGCACTGGAGACACAAACCCACGAACTCCAGGCCCAAGTCAAAGATGCTATGGATCGTGAAAAGCGTCTGACCAGCACCCTGAGCACTTCGAACTCGGAAAAGAACGCAGTGGAGCGCGAATTGGAGGAACTGCGGCAGGCCAACGCAAAGCTACAGGAGGAGCAAACTGCAGCACAAAAGGCCACCGATACTGAGCACAATGTCCTGCGGCGCAACCTCAACGCCAGTGATGCGGAAAAGGGTGCTCTGCAGAAGAAGCTGGAGGAGTTGACTGCCCAGAACCAAGAGCTAGCAAAAGCAGTGGCTACGCGGCTCCGGCAGCACGACATACAGGGCACCCGGGATCTGCCTCTCGACACCGAGGGCGACGAGCCTGAGCAAATTACTCCTGACAACTCTCCGCCTCCGTCACCCAACAAGTTCACTCCGCGCCATAATCATTTGGAGTCGGAAACGCTGAAGAGCTCTCTTGGCCATGCTCACCGCATGATCCAGAATCTCAAGAGTACCATTCACCGTGAGAAGACCGAGAAAATTGAACTGAAGCGCATGCTCCAAGAAGCCCGGGATGAAGTGGAGCAACGTCGTCGTGATCCTGGAGTGAACGGTTCGACGGGCAAGCGTCAAAAGACGAAGCAGGATTCGTTCCGCAAGCCTCCCCGCCCTGACCTCTTGGGTGCAGGCCGGAAGGAACAGTCCTTTGTTGAACTTCAAGAAACCGATTGGGAGGACAATGTCGGCCAGGCCAGCCCGACCCGCAAGTCCGCAGCTAGAAGCCGCTCTGTGGCAGAGTCCTCTGATGAGCCGAGCGATGTCTACCAGACTGCCACCGAGGCAGAGGATGGATTCGAAACGGCCAATGAGCGGGGCACCGCTACCGAGAGCGAAGCATTCCAGACCGGTGTGGAAAGCATGGCGGATGACAGCAGTGATGATTCGGCTGATCTGACGGAAACCGAGGCCACTCCTCGCAACCTGACAATGAGCAAACCTCGCGATCGAAACTCGTACTACAGCACGGCATCCACAGATGAAGATGAGGAAGAGGCTGGCGGAAGTGCTTCACCAAGCCAGATTAACCTTCCTCGAGCCCGGCTTCGGTCGAAGCGGAGCGTCCTCAGACGAATTCGCCCGTCCGGAGAAGCCCCGATGGCCTCTACCAGCCGACCCAACAGCGCTCGCAACTCGCCCGCTCCCAGTTCCGAGCAGGAGCAGGCCATCCAGGGCGGCCAGAGCCTGTTTGCAGAGCTTGCTGACCTGGAGGGTGCCGAAGAAGATTATGATGAGGGCTTCGGCGCAGCTTCGCAGGTCTCGACACCGCGCACAGCCAGGGGACTGGACTCCAGAAGATCTTCTGAAGCCATTATTCAGTCGATGCGCAAACCTACTATGGTCGACTCCGGCGTAATGACTGACCCTTGGGAGGGCTCAATGACTCCTGTTACTGTTGTCGATTCTACTCCCGCCACTCCGCAGGCTGTGGAAACTCCGACGTTGGTCAACTCAGGAACACAGTGGACGCCTCTGAAGCCATCGGCCGCAGAGGCGGATCACTTGACCAATGTACCAACGCCGCCAAAGATGGCATGGGATGACCACTCAGCGCAAGAGCAACCACGCGAAGTGACTCCTCTACCCGAACTTGGAATTGCACCTGTTCTTGCTGAAGAGACTGCGCCTGAAGTACCCAGGTGGCCGGAATTGAGCGTTTCCTACATGATGGGAGGCGTGACGACACCTGTGCAACATGAGCTTCCTACCCCTGAAATCCCTCAGCTGGCCCTGTCTTCCATCTTCACCCAAACTACCGAACCTGTTTTGGCCACGATTTCCGACCCGGTGCGCGAGATTCCTCAATTGTCGTTCTCGTCTCTGTACAGCCAATCCACAGAACCCGTCCTGGCACAGCTTCCTGTACCTGCGACGGAAGTGATAACTGCAGACGTAAGAAGCAGCCCCCAATTGGTCGTTTCATCAATCTCTTCTGCATACACCGAACCGGTGGCAGCCCGGATACCCGAGCCTGTCGTGGTTCCGGAGCCGAAGGTTGAACACCCGGCGCTATCGGTCTCCATGCTTGATGCTGTTTTCACCCAGCCACAAACACACCAGCCCCTTGCACCTCCATCGACGCCACTCTCGTTCTCTACTGTGAACTCAGTTGAAACCCTGCCGGTCAAGTCTGTGCCGCGCGTCATTCCTATAGTGGCAGATCTGTCCACCCAAACCGAGCCTAGCCAAGCTGGTGGCGCCGCTGTGGTGATTCATGAAGATCCACCTACTCGTAGTCGCACTACCAGCGCTTCTGACAACGCCGGATTGGCATTGAGCGACATTTCGGGTAACGCCCTTCGCCAACATTCCAGCTCGGTCAATATGGACCAGGGGTCTCAGACAATCTTGTCATCGAAACAGATCGATCAAATCCTTATGGATCGGGAGTCCAATCGCCCGCTTTCCTCCCGAGAAGGCATCCAAGCGGCAGCTGTGGATTCTGCCGTCGTGTCCCCATTCGCAACACCCAAGGCTCGGCCCCGTGTCCAATCGAGGCAGTCATCAACGCCAAGTTACAAGCGGCCGACCAGTGCCAACAGCCAGGCCTCTGCCCACAATGCGCACCCACCACTGCCTGCCGATCATCGCGAGGCGATTATGGCCGCCGAGAAGAAGTCCATCGATCTCCCGCCACCCTCGCCTACTATCATGGGCCCTCCACTGGCACCTGCATCTGCATACCGAATCAACGCGCAAACGCGCCCGCGAACCCCCAACGAACAAGCTGTGCAGACAGGCTCTGCCAGAACTGTGTCGTCGCGAGCCAGACTGCGGGCAGGAAGCCAAAGCCAGATGTCCCGAAGGTCGTCTGTGTCGTCATTTGCATCTGAGCTGGAGGAGCGGTTCAACATGAACAACCCTCACGCGGGTCCCATGCCACATGGCTACGGCCCCGGCACGGATCCACGCATGATCCAGGCGATTACGCAAACGATGATCGGCGAGTTCCTTTGGAAATACACCCGCAAGACTGTTTCTGGGGACTTTTCATCAACGCGGCATCGACGTTACTTCTGGGTCCACCCGTACACCCGCACTTTGTATTGGAGTGACCAAGACCCGCAGACTGCTGGAAAGAGCCAGCTGCGGACCAAGAGTGTGCCCATCGAAGCCGTCCGAGTGGTTGCAGACGACAACCCGTACCCACCGGGTCTTCACTGCAGGAGCTTAGAAGTCGTCAGCCCCGGCCGACGAGTCCGGTTCACTGCTACCACCAGCCAGAGACATGAGACATGGTTCAATGCTTTGTCGTACCTGCTACTGAGGGAGACCAATGAGAACGGCGATGATCAAGATAACGGCGTGACTCTGGATGATATCGATGAATTCAACCCGGGCTTCCGGTCCGCTTCTCGCCAGAAGACACGGATGTCGTTCTCGTCGCAGACCAGACAACAACGCACAACCTCTGCCATGTCCATGCGGTCAGCCACCGGCCGTGCCTCACCGGCACTCAGCTCCCCAGGCGTCAACTCGTTACAAGTCCCCGGCCAAAGATCGACGTCTCGACTCAGCAACATCTTCAACGGGTCCATCCGCGGATCGATTGCCAGTTTAAAGGGCCGGCACAGTCAGGCAGATAGTATCCACAACGAGAGTCTACATGACAATGATAGCGCGGACGACCTCCGACAGGATGACGACGAGGATCGACTTGAGAACGTTCGCGCGTGCTGCGATGGCAAGCACGATGTCAGCTCGCTTTCTCGCAACAGTCGGTACAGTCCCAAGGTCGACCGCCATTCGCAGCACTACCATTAGGCAGTCTTGTCTGCAATACACGATCGACCTATAATCATTTCGGTAGAGTTTGTGGGAGCTCAACCTAATCTTGCCCTGCAAACCCCTAATGTCACGATTCTCCTTGCTGTCTGTTCTTTGCTCCGTGCGGCAATTTGCTCACCCTTTGCGCTAAAAGAATGTCTCTCTTACTGGATAAATTGGTATCTATTCAGTTCGACACTTTTTTCATTTCTGTTTTTTTCCCTCTTCCACCCTCCTCTCCTGAGACCGTCCTTCCCTTGTTTATGTTCATTCCGAGTCTTGTTTTCGGAACCAATTTGACCCATTCGTGTCGTTTTCTTTGCCTATCTATATCTTTTTCCTTCTGTTGATAATTCCTGTGTGTGACTCTCATTCATCTACCTTACCTACAATCCTCTCTCCATCTTTTGTCCAGATCAAGATCCAGTCTTTTTTTATTTTCCCATTCGTGTTGAGTCACTATTCCTGCAATTCATTTGCGCCAGAAACGTAATTCACATTCTTCCTTTGACCGTATGGTAGTTCTGACTCCGCCTGAGATCAAATGCCGAGTGCACGTGACATCGAATCAAATCCCGCGCTGGAAAGTATAATTACTTTCTGCCTTCTTTCCTCTTTATATTCCCTTCCCCATTACTTCGTACATCTACTTCGACGGGTATTTGCTTCCCATAAATTCCCGCCAGAATGTCATCCGACGCTCCCCCACCGCTCGGCGAACGGATCTCTGGATTGTTCGAGCCAGCGCAGTTGATGACCTGGGCCATGTCCCGTAAGTACTAGATTGGTCTTGTTGATAACCACATCACATCCTCTATATAAGCCGCCCTTCGCCTAACTCCCCAATGCACATGTTACTCCCTTCCCCCCTCATTATTGACACGGAACTTCTCTCCCTATTCTTTTGGAATATAGAAGGCCCGCACTGACAAATATCATTCAGACTACTTCCGCGTCTGCGCTGAAGCAGTCTTTCAGAAAGGACAGGTCCTCGCGCCTCTCTTGCAGACCCGTCGACTCCGCGATGAAGCGTTTGGGCGCTTTTGGGTTGAGTTTAGCTGTGAGTTCACCCCGTATCTACCCTTCATAGCATTTGCCATTTCTTGTCTTCTTGGCGGATCCGATTTGATATTGTTTGTCTTTTACATGTCTGTTCACTCATCCATTCATCCCATCTAACGGATATCCTTGGCGGACCAGCATCCCCGCAACGCACAACCGCCAACGACGAACCCGTAGGCTCCTCAGCTCTAATCCCACCACTCCTCAAAACCGCCTCGGGCGTGGTACTAGATATCGGCCCCGGCACCGGCACGCAGATGCCCCTGCTGCGCTCACCTGCCATCAAAGCAATCTATGGTGCAGAACCATGCTCTGGACTACACGCCGAGCTGCGCAAGAAGGCCGCGTCGGAGGGTCTGGCGGATAAGTACACGATCCTCCCCTGCGGCGTCGCAGCCAAGGAACTTGTTCCTGCCTTGAGGGATGCTGGCGTCGACGTTGATTCAGGACAAATCTTCGACACGATCCTCTGCGTGCGAGTCCTCTGCTCCGTTCCCGAAATGGAACGCACCGCGCGCGAGCTCTATTATCTTCTCAAACCTGGTGGTCGACTGCTGATTACGGAGCATGTGGTGAATCCCTGGCGCACGGCCAAGGGGTCGCTTGCTGGGCGTCTCGCGCAGGCGATTTATCAGTGTCTCGGGTGGAGTTGGTATATCGGGGATTGTCATTTAGATCGCAATACGGAGAAGGCGCTGCGTATCGCGGCGGACGGGGATGGTGGCTGGGAGAGTGTGCAGCTGGATAAGTGCTTTGAGTGGTCTGCTATGCCATATCTTTCGGGCACTTTGGTTAAGAAGAGTTGGTAGGTAAGGAAGGGATTGGTTCAGGATCTTGGATAGAGACATGTTTATTCTTATGTACTAGGCTGTGACCTATGGTTGAGGACAGGGATATATATGCATTGCAGATATATAATGTGAATTGGGTATCATGGTCATCGCTAGTTATGAAAGATCGTTGAAAGGGGTATATGTATATCTGTGCAAGCTGGCAGTAACGAGCCGGGGGCTGATTTACAACGCAGCATCACACCGAGCAATCACAGCCTCGACTAAATCGGTTTCGGCCGTCCCGGCGGCCAAAAGTCGAACAGGTCCAACGCCTCGGCTGACCAAGGCCCTTGATCATGCGGTTCATCGCGCTCGGCCAGTGTACTCAACGAACTCTTTGTGGGCGCGGGTCTGGGCTGGAGACTGGTTTGGCCGGTAAGTGCTGTGGGGTCGGAGAGGGATTTGCGCAAAGGTGCTTTCAGGCGCCTCTGCGCAGGCAGGGTTAGAGCTGTGTTTTGTGGATGTTCACTGGGGTGGGTCGTTAAGGGAGGACCGGTTTGGTTGTTGTCGTTGTTATTGGGAGAGAGTGTTTGCCCCGGGACTGGTGGGATTGAGGTTGCAGGTGGGTTTATCGGGAGCTGAGAAACGCTCGAGAGGGACGATGCTTTGATAGCATTTGGTGGTCTGCTTGTTGCAGCTCGTCTTGCTGTGGAGAGCTGCCGCTGCGGAACGGGTGACACTGTTGCCTTGCTATGAGGGGTTTGGGCAGGCTGCTCTGGCCTAGAGCCACTTATCATTTCCTCGAGGATGAACTGTGTTGATGCCGAAGGCGCAAACTCATTGGAGTCAACGTCTGGATTGACGGCTGTTCTAAAAAAAAGGATTAGCGCAGATGTTTAGAGAACCGGGTGGGCACGTACTGACTGCATCTCTACAGAAGTCGAAACCGGCCGACTGCTTGGCTTCTTAGGCGGAGGCATGGAAAGCTCGCTCGGCGCCTTTTCGGACTTCTCGCTGGGTAAAAGTGCTTGGTACATCAATTTCTTGCGGGGCTTCTCGACGGCCATGCGCAGGGTGTTCATGGGGGTATCTGAGGACGGGCCTGCAAACGAGCGTGATTTGGCAAGCAGGCCATTCCGGGGTACCTGGGGTCTTTCGGGCAGTTGAGCTGATGATGGCGGTGCATCTTGGATTGATCCCCGCGAGGAAAATGTTGGAGCCGGGCGGCTGGCGGCCGGTTTCAACGCTGGCGGGCAAGTGCTGTCCACGTTGGAGCTGGGCTTGGTGAGCGGTGCTATATTCGATGCATCATTGGATACACTAGATCGCGCCCTCTGACTATCTGCGGCAGGCCTTGGCTGTCCTCGAGTTGACGTGACGGTTGGCGCGCTTCTCATGGGCTTTGAGTTCTTCTTCGATTGTGTCAAATCGACTACCGGGCGTTGGGCACTGGAGTCCACTGCAGATGTCTTCTGTCGCTTGGGCGGTGGTTGTGAAGGACGGACATTTTCCACAGGTTTGGGCCGGTGCCGTTCCTCATACGGCGATACCAAATGCGCAATCGGGGTCCTCTTGATACCCAGCATATCATTGAGTGAGCGTGATTGCGTGGCCTGTGGCCGGGCGGACAGGGAAGATGGACGAGGCTGTGTTTCAGACTGCGGCGATCCCTGGCTGGGTTTCCTTTTCTCCAACAGACTCGACAAGTCTGTCTGCGCAGTGCCCATGCACTCGCCGACCTGGATCAGCGCTCCCTTATCCAGCTCCATTTCATCACCATCCTGAACTTGACCGCCCGATCGCCAGTGATGATCGCCGATAAAGTTCCCCTGCTCGTCGAAGACCATGATTCGCCTGTTGAAGGTGTGGAAGCGGAGATAGCCATCTTGCCAGCGTTTGGATTTGCGACGCAGATCGTGGGTGAACAGACAGCGAAACTTGACGACGTCTGCCGTGACCTGGGATGAGGGTCCGGGGCCATGGCCCGCAGAAGAAGGGGGGGGCATGGATGGCGCAAGCAGGGCAGTGTGGGAGGGATGTGTTGTTGATCCGCTGCGGCCGTGCGGAAAGAGCAGTGGGGTTGCTGCCTCAGGCACCTCAACGGCTCGATCATCCATGGGCGGGATCCATGGTACCTGACCCATTCGGCAACCACCAACAAATGTTGTATAGAAGAAAATAAAATCCCTCGTACCGACACTTCGCAAAGAAACACACCACTAACCTAATCATCGTCATCATACAGTAGGAGCTCAGTGGCCAGAAAAAAAAAAAAGTGGAGCTGAAATGTAAAAATAGCGAAGGCGGGGAGTGGGTGGAAGGGGCCGAGCCGCATCGGAGTGAAACTAAGTCTTGTTATCTCTTTCTCCCTCCTCTTCCCCATCTCACCCCCTATTCTTCTCACCCACCATGCAGAGCATGCAGCGCCAGTTTGGTCGTATGACCACAAAGCGCTCGGCGGACGATAGCCAGGTCGCCGTGCTGCTGAAAGACATCAAGGACGCGGATCAGCTCTTGACTCAAGTACGCTGGTCTCATTCAACCATTGCCCCGCGCCCCCATTACTGACCGTCGCCTGCTCTCTCCAGATCATCGACTCCACCAAAGCCTGGCGCGATGCCTGGACCTCCGTTGCGACACACCAAAGCCGCTTGGCGGAGGAATTCGACGGCCTGTACGCTCCCATTGTCGGGTCCTCGACCGCGCCCACCGCCCACCGACCCGTCGACACCGATCCCATGTTGCTGAGGCGGACAAACAAGCTGCGGCGAGATTTTGATGACCTGCGGATCGAATTGTCGCAGGAACTTAGGGACGTCGAGGCCCGCATGACGAACCCCGCCGAACAGGCAAAGCAGTTCCTATCGCCCATATGGAAGACGATCAAAAAGCGTGAAGAGCGAAAGGTAAGCAGTTTCGTCTTTATTAGGTATTGGTCTAACATGTTCCCCGAACAGCTGGACTTCGAGCGCTACCAAAACAAGGTCGATGGCTACATGAAAAAGACCAAGCGTACCGACCGTGACAATATGGCTCTGGCCAAGGCCGAGACAGAGCTGGCCCAAGGCAAAGCAGTACGCATGCCCTCTAATATACTCTAATCCAACAGAAGCTCACTCCCATTTTAGAACTACCAAGCTGCAGATGAAGACCTCATCCGGCGCCTGCCAAAGCTGATCGCGCTCACGTTCTCCCTCATTCCTATCATCTTGAATGCGCAGATAGAGATCCAGAACCGTCTGCTGGGCCAGTACTACACAGCTCTGCATGCCTACTGTGAGGGAGAAAGGTTCCCATCGCCGCCACCGCCAATGGACCAAATCATCATGGACTGGGAGGACGCCCACTTCCCCATCCGGAACCGCTTCGAGAGCTTTGACTGTCTGGCCCAGGGCAAATCAATCCGACAGACATCAGCCGACCAGCCTGAAGAGAAATCCAGCCGGTTCAACATCCTCGGCAAGAGTCGCTCCAACGGCAACATTCCCCAAATCCCCTTCACCAGGAAACCCTCCCACCCCGCCCCATCCTTTCATGGCAGCTTGTCCCCGTCCCAACCTGAGGACATGCCGCCCTCCCTGCCGAACAACAAGCCCCCGCCCCAAAGATACCCATCCCCTTCGCCTCCCGCTTCACTCATGACGCGCCCCAGCACCCTCTCCATCAACAGTTCCGCCGCCACCTCCCCACCAGCATCGGACTACCAGCCGGCGACCCCCCAGCCGGGGTCGATCCAATACGCCCCTGCGGGTCCAAAAATGGACTACTTCAGCCGCGAGCGCAACGCCGCGCCGTCGCCCGCCCAGACAGATTATACGAGCGTGATCGCAAAAAAGAAGAAGCCCCCACCACCGCCTCGCGCGCTGCCGCAGAAATTCGTCCGCGCCCTGTACGACTTCGACGGCCAGGGTCCCGGAGACCTTTCATTCCGTGAAAACGACTGCATCCGCATCGTGCAGCGAACCGCCAGCACGGATGACTGGTGGGAGGGCGAGTTGGCGGGTGTGAAGGGATCCTTTCCTGCAAATTACGTGGAGACTATTTGAGTGCGGTAAATTTAGTCGGAGAGATTGTGAGATTGTCCTGTGATGATGAATCCATGATAAGTAAGTATGTAATTTGTGAAGGAAAAACTGCCCTTTCTTTTCGAGTTGGCCGTTCGCGGAGCAGAGACTTGCTGCATTTCTAGTATCTATTTCTTAAGTATACCTGGTCAATTGACATTTTTTGATGTTTACTTCTTTTGGCTATTTTGCGGTTCCTTTACGTGTAGGGTAGCCTTTATACCATGCTATTTTTGTAGAATGCTCTGCAATACCCTGATCCCTATGGACCCCGCTATATCGGCGGTCGGACGCAACTGATCTGTCTCGGCTGCCAATACGAAGTCCAAATATGCCAGCCACGGGGTTACATTGTCGAATGGCTATACACAATCGAACAGGATGCATATTGCTGCGCATCCTGGAATGACACTATTAACGGTAAGCATGATGAAATTACCAGCAAATGCAGAAGCATCACTAGTGTCGCTGGCACCGCGGGACGCTGATTAGCCACATTGAGATCAATGGTTGACCTTGATTATGGCTCCGCGGGACGCTGATTGGCCACATTGAGATCAATTAGCAGCATTCCTCAATTCTAGTTCCACCTGCCGACATTGTCTATTTATCAAGGATGTTACAATGGTCAATACAGTGTCTAATGACAGGTGCAACGCATCTTGAGAATGCCAAAAAAATCCAACCGCAAGAAGATCCCCCGGCCCAACTCACACAACATCCTTGGCGATGAAGACAGATGGCGAACCGTCTCGAACCGCGATGTCACAGCCAACAATTTCGTATATGCCGTCATCACAACCAATATTTACTGTCGTCCCTCATGTCCATCCCGCCTAGCCCGCCGCGCCAACGTCCGATTCTATGATACCCCGATCCAAGCCGAGAAAGCAGGATTCCGGGCATGCAAACGCTGCCGGCCGCATACGACCCATGACAATCCACAAGCCGCGGTGGTTGAGAAGACGTGCCAGACAACTCAGCACATAGTGGCAGCCGGGATGGAACCAAGGCTTCAAGATCTAGCGGCGCAGGCTGGGCTAACACCCAGTCGTCTTCATCGTGTGTTCAAAAAGCGCGTGGGCGTCACGCCTGGTCAGTATGCTAGCCGCTTCATATAGAGCGTTCCTTGGCTGGACTCGCTGAGCATTGGTACTTCTTCTAATCTTGAAACGCCCCATTCTGATTCTGGGGACGGGGTTGGTGCTGGTATATTGAATTTGAACGGAAATATGGGGGCTTTGTGGACAGATGGTCTGGCGACGGCTGGGACTGATTTACCGGTCACGATGGGAAGCGTCTAGAATAAATTTGACGATCTGTTGGCTGTTGGAAGGAAGCAGATGTGGGTGACTGACTCTTTATCTAATGACCCTCGAATTGCCTTTGCATCTGAATGAAGGTGATCTATTCTTCAATGCGACCATGATATTGATGCCTTGGTGCCGGAAGAATTCATATACCAACGTCTTGGCAAATTGGCTTCTTCCATCCGATATGTGAAGATGCCGATATTTCAGGGTTTGCAAAAAATCTATACCCAGCTTATGAGCGCAGCCCCTATGCAATCTGCACTCTCGGACAGTAACGTCTGGCAGCCCACACTGTTGCGCGTGGTCATACCCTCGTGTGGGTTCATCGTACGGCCGATTTCAGTTTAGCTTAATGTGCCGACATATAGCATCACGCGAACAACTTCAACTCTTCTAATAGGTTTTTCGTATTCCCACATTCATGCTAAATCACCTCAAATCGTTGAACCGAAATCCCTTTCATGAGCATGACGTCTCTACCAGCTGCAAAGTCGAACCGCTCCTACTGCACTCTCGACAGCACACCTCGGGGATGGTGGCTGTATGTATGTTCTACAGATTTAAGTCTTTAAAATCATCTAATACTTCCGACTGAATGCTTTTATGTGGTTTACACGTGTCATGCTCAAGTAACCCAGAGATCTTTCATTCATTCTTTAACAGTATCGTTTGTTTGACAGCTACACTTTGAAATTTAGCACAGTTTCATACAAATTCCTCTTTCGCATTTTTTGTGTCCAAAGAATTCGAAAATGGCCTATACCCTTCTTCGTTGATTTGCGCCAGCCTTGAATGAGAAACCTTTTTGGGGGCCAGTCCATATAGCTCCTGAAAACTCATAATTAATGGATTCCATTTATCGGGATCGATCCGGTTTGCATGTCCCGCCATTCGGATGTTGTCATGAACATGCGTCCGAAGAACCTTGACCTCCAGCGCGATAAATCCTTTCGTATCCGCGTCTTGCATCATTTCATATACACCCTTCAGTTCTGCCTCCATCTGAGCAGGGCATTCGGCAACGCGAGCAGGTTGAACCACGTCGGATAGAATGGGCGTTAGGCCAGAATGTCCAAATTTATCATGCACATATTTATATCCGTTCATGCGTTTGAAGTACAAATACCCGGTGTCTTCACCGGCATTTATAACTCCTTCCGCGCCAGTTGTTTTCGCGAGAGCATTAACGGCTTCTTCCATGCCGGTTGACGCAAGATTGAGAACACATTGCTTTGTTCGAATGAGATTGATTGTTGTCTGCGAAATTGCTCCTAAGCCAAGCATGCATCGATTTCCGAGCCACCATGCTGAGGACATTGGCGCGATGTTGAACGTTCCGTCTTCGTTTTCCGTGGTGATCAACACCACTGGGGTGCCCCAGTAGAAGATAGCAGGGGAAATCGTCTGGGATGCTGGAATTGGTGGAATCAACATAGACCCCATTGTGGACAAGAGGGTTGTCGGATTCCTTAATGGGTGGAATTTGTGTCAAAAGAGAAGTTAACCGCTTTGCGAATATAGACTGTAGGTTCGTGTCGTGTGCCTATTTTTTATAGTCTTTCATATCTTTATTGCTATAATAGTAGCCAATAATAGTATGCGAAACCGATATTGAAATCTTCCTGCCGCTCTAGACCATATCAACAAAGCCGCGGACTTCCTGGTGATAAGACGTCATACCTGCCACTTTACTGTATAACTCAGCTGCGTTGCTTCTGTTATAGCCAATGAATGATCTCGTAAAACATACGAAGAAGCCTTGGAGCGTATGATCGGTATTTAGCACTGTTCGTTGGGTCTAGGCTTAACGGCTGTTGCTATAGAAGCCAATCGCGTAGGGGCCTTCTTTCAGCGTAACTTCTGATTGTTCAGTTTGATAGCAAGTCAAGTAAAAAGTTTTATGACTATCTTTACAAGTTGCATATAAGGAGTAAAAGTATGTCATAGTGATTGGTAGAGACTCTTGGCGGTACTTGGCGCTTTCGCGCCGCAGTGATTGGCCAATTTGACGACAACGGCTAGAAAATGCTTGCTTGCAACGCCAAAAATAAAGTAGACTTAACTGCGCCATTTTGCATCTTTCAGACCCAAATACTTATGACACATCTCGCTTAAATATCGAGTGCCTAAAATCATTCAGTGTCCAAACCGATTTCCAATAGGAGCCCGATTCCTATACCATGTTCGCAGAAATCTTCCATATACAAGATTACCCACCAAGCTTAAAGTCGCTACAACCAATGTTACTTCTCCTTCCAACTGAAATACGTCTGAAAATATACGCACTAGTATTTGGCATATGTTCGTGCCAATATTCCCATGCCTTCAATATCCATAAACACCGGATTGCAACATCTTTTCTCCTTGTGAATCGCCAAATATATGCTGAGGCTCGTGATCTTACCATTGAACTCCACACCTTTGACTTCAATAGGTGGGGCGGGATGGGAACCCATTATTGTCGAAAATTCATTCGTGATCTACGAGAATGGCAGAGATGTTCAATTCGACGGCTGATGATAGGAGCCGTTGAGACCAATTTAATTGGCGGATATGATGGGCAGATACCTACTTGTGGATGGTTCTATATCTGTGAGACACTAGGTGTTATGGAAAAAGAAGATAATGTTGGACTGAAAGAATTGAAATTGACCATTCACGACCAGATAACGAAAGATGGAGCGAAACTTTTTGACGTCGATGCTGCGTGGGTCAGATCTGGAATGGTGAAACTGAAGAGTCTTCAAAGTCTTGAAATAGTCATTGTCAGTGATTCGATTGATTCTGAAGTGGCGAAACGTTTCAAACACAACTTGGAACAGATACTGTTCAGAGTTAAGGTTGTGATACGGACAGTGATGCGAGGAGTTATGTTGACACTTTCATAGTAAATGAAACTGGTTAGGGAGGGTTAAAAACAAGAATACGGTAAAATTACAGTCCTCGAGCAAGCAGTTAATGCAGAATAAGAGTCTATATGACTGAGAAGCATCATTTGCAGCTCCTCGAGTATCAGCTCCACATACTTAAATGTCCTGTTGCACCACAATGCCTACACAACCAACAAGGAAGGTTTTATGTCCTTTAACAAGTGCTTTTTGTAAAGATATAAATGTTCCCGAATGACGGCTTTAAGCTCAGGAAAGAAACCATTGGCGTCAACTCTGGTGAGTTTGGTGGCACATACGCAAACTTCATTTGCGTATAGCATCGAACAAGTTGGTTTCACCAGCTATTTAAAACCGAAATTATTAATGGTCGTCTAGCCAGTGCCACCGCAACATCCTACAGGTATTGAAGAAGTGTTTCAGAAGTACCTTGTGTACGGCGACAAGTATAAAATTGAACAATCATTGTTACCTACACCTTCAGTATCTATTTCCAGGGATTATAATCCATCGCTGGAATAATTCTGTCAGCGTACCAAGTGGCTGAGCAGTAACTCGGTCAATTTCTTCCTTGGTCTAGTGGTCATGATTTCCGCTTGTCATTAACACTGAGAAGCGCGGGAGACCGGGGTTCGATTCCCCGAGGGAGAGTCATTTTTTGCCTGCGATGGGGTCTTTTTTTAAATTAACTTTAGTATACGTATATTTTTGTGTCGTAGGGGACGGAATAAAAGGACTGGGGAGTTTTTTTTTTGTTGAGGATAGAATAAATATATTTTGTTCTGTGTGTTTCACCAATCTGTGGATATAAACTAAAACGAATCTGAGCTATCTTGGTTATAACAAAGTTAATACCGCGTCCCATCCAATCTAACCCAAATCGTGAAGGAGTGACCGGGGAAAGAATATAAGAGGCCCCCCTAAAGACCAAAAAACACCCTGACAGGCAAAATTGACTACAGAAACGCCCCATTGGCCTTGTTCTCACCAGGCACCTCCGCCCCCGTCAGTTGGCGTCGACTGCTCAAAAACATCTCCACCATGCGTTTGCTGGAGATCGTCGAATGGCCATCCTGAAGCTTGTGGTGGCTGTCCATCATCTCGTCGGGCTCGTCTTGCTGTCGCACATTCTCTTTTGTCAAGCCTCGATTGTCAAGACGCGTTCGCATGGATCGGAAAGGTACAACAGTTTTGCCCTCAACTGCAATGGGCAAGCGTCGCACCGAATATCGTCGATACTGCTCCTCAGTGCGCATTCGTTTCCGACACTCGGCATTGTTCCTCTTGGGTGTCGGCGACTCGGGGGTGGCAACAAATTGCGGGCCTTCAATCGTATCGGCGACAGCGGTTGATCCTCCGGAACCGGAGGCGATGCCTGGTCATTGAAGCCGGCTGCGGAATCTATTTTCAATACCCCGGGCGGACTGGCCACTCTGAGTCCCGGCTCGATCTTTTGAGACAATCTGACCGTCCGTAGACTCGAAGATCGACTAAATGGACGAGAAAAATTGCTTTGAGTCAATGAGTTGTGCTCCGGCGCCATGTAGTTGCCACCCTCGCCCTGAACAGGTGCAATGAGCGAGCTGTTGGCTGCAACGAGTCCTCGTTGGGTCATGGTCTTGAAAACCTCGTCATCATTATCTTGGAACTGCGCAGTCTCCCTGATATGCTCTCTGACCGGAGAGATCTTCTCGATACGCTCAATCTGGGTATTCATCCATTGCTGCCAATCTGCGCTTGGCTGAATCCGGGATTTTGAAGAAACGGAGGTGGATCCGCGCTTTGGGGAAGTGTAAACCGTTCGTTCGCTGGCAAAGATTGTTGCCATTCCTGGTTCTCCTCGCATCTCTGGGAGATCATCTTCATCGCTGTTCGGGGGAGTATCGCCGCCCGTAGTTCGAGAATACACGCTCGGGGAGTCTGTTTCGCCAGTTAAAGCTGGGGAGCGGTTGATTATTATACTTTCACCGTCGTTGAATTCTTCCACTGCGGCAAACGTCGAACGGACTGGTCGATTGACCGAGATTGAACCGAGAGACCGGTCAATCTCCTGACCCGAGATGTATCGAGGTGCTTTGAGAGGCGGGATAAAAGCAATTGAACGTGGAGGGCGTCCTTGTGGAGTCAGCGAATCACCACGGTGTGCTGTTGCAAAGGATCTTGGAGATGTGAATGATTCTTCGCTGGGAACGCGACGAACGGTGCATCTGCTGCGCCGCGAATTTATCGACGAGGTACGCTCAGGAACAACGCGATGCTCTGCCACGGCTCCAAGAATCATCTCTTCATCATCTTCTAAAGCATTCTTGTTAATCTGCCGCATCAACGCTGCATACAAATCCTGGCTGTCAAAAGCCCCCGGTGATCTGCCAACAGGACGTTGAGACGAGTTCTCTATGCCCTCCATCCCACTCATCTGCGCAAGCTGATGGTTCAGATCATCATGTTCTTCAATCAAAGACAGGGATTTTCGATTTCTGGCCTTTCGTGTTGCGATGGTGTTTGCTGAGGTCGAGTCGACCCAACTGGTAACCCGCGAATTGGATGTGCAAAGACTGTCGCGGCTGGGAGAAGCTGAAAGATGTTGCGGTGTATAGAAATCAAAAGGTTCTACCATGGCGTATCTGTAGTGTTTGCTGTCAGAATTGATATCTGTAGCAACTCCAGCCCGACTAGGGTATCCTAGATCGCCACGAGATTCATTAATTTGCTGTGGCAGAGGATGCTGTTCGACTGCCTTGGAATAGCCAAATACACGCTTGATACCCCTCTTGAATGATACAGAGAAGATTCGGGGCCTGTCGTGAGGGCGTCCAGATTGGGCTTGTTCAGAAAAAGGCCCAGCGCCAGCCTCGGTTTCACTCGTGGCGCGGAATGTCTTCCTGAACGGCTTGTGTTCCCTCTTGCTCCTGGAAGCAAACCAAGAAGATCGTCTGGGCTGAGCGAGATCTTCACCTTTGTCTTGAAGGAATTGGCGACGAGCAAGTTTAATCGCCACGTCCTGACTTTTGGCACGTCGAACCGCTCTCGAGGTGTCGCGGTTACCACTTCGAAGAAAAGACATGGAGCGCCTTAGAGTTCGTGGCATTGCAATGTCCGAGCTGCGCTCGAGATCTGTAGGACCTCCATGCGGAATTGAGGCGACCTTTGGAGCTCGCTGTGCGGTTGAGAACATGGACTTGGCTTTGCGTAAACGGCGATATGACGATGGCAGCGAGCTATTACGTCCATCAAACCCTGCAGTCTCTGTGATGGGAGGGAGTGCTGCAACATCTTCAATATGGTGACGGTTGCGTGGCGCATTGTTCATCTCCAAGGACTGGCGCGGAGTCAAAGGAATTGGACAAGCCTCCTCAGCAGGCTGGTGGCTCGAGCTTTGGTGTCTCCGAGGAAGAGGTGTGCTTACAGGCTCGCCGTGGTTGTCGTAGAGGTCTCTGAAGTCCGTGGATGCTCTTTCACTCCGGCGCATGGCGCACGACGCAGCGGCAGCCGCATGGTCCTTTGCGATATCTGGGCCCACGCTTTCTGGACCGGTCATGCGACGGGTCTTGTGGATAGATCGCGCGGATTTGGACCGTCTCAGACGGTCCCTGGTGCTGAATGTAGAAGAAAACATACGACAAAAAGACTATGCTCAAGTATGACCTGGGGGTGAAGATGTGGATGAAAGAGAGAAGAAGGAAGAAGCGCTGGACCGCACCGACGAGCGCTGGTCGCTGCCATGGTTGGGATGAGGAAAGTGCGAGTCTCATGTTTGTTTACATGCTGGCTGGTTGTGGCAGGGCAGGAGCGAGCCAGATTTGGCGATGCGTCATTCGCTTGACACACCACACCACCCACAGACAACGCCCATTATATATCTGCCGGATCATCCCAAACGCCCAGCTTCTAGTGACCAGGAGAAGGATTCCTCGTGTCGTGTGATGGCAGACCATGTCTATCTAGATGGTCGCACCCTCGAAGGTGGTGGCCAACTGGTCCGCAATGCGCTGGCTCTGTCGGCCTTGACCGGGCGACCGGTGACCATCGATCACGTCCGCGGCAGTCGGCAAGGGAAGCGGGGATTGAAAGGATCTCACGCAGCAGCGGTCAAGCTCCTGGCTGAGATCAGCGGCAGCAAAGTTGTTGGCGGAGAAGTTGGCTCACAGTCCGTGACTTTCATTCCCCCGTCAGCGTCGCCCACAAAGTCAGCACCGACAGGAGGGCGACCCGAACTCGCTTCTGTGGTCTCATTATCGGATATGTCGGTCCAGAAGGAATACAATATCAACCTGCCCACCGCAGGATCCGTATTTCTCGTGTTCCAGGCGCTATATCCTTATTTGCTCCACGTCGGACTCCGCGCGCCTGCAGATTGCATTAGAGTGAATATCACCGGCGGAACCAACTCGTCATTTTCTCCGTCGTATGACTATGCATCCCAAGTTATGATGCCGAACTTTGCGAGACTTAGACTTCCACATCTATCGATGAAGTTAAACAAACGCGGCTGGTCGAGCGGACCCGTCGATCTCGGCTCGGTCAGCTTTCGCATTCATCCTCTCACGGCCTCAGAAAACATAGACCGGCCCCGAAGAAGTGAGCAGGATTATAGCTCCGTGAGTCGCTTCCGACCAATTAATCTTTTGAATCACGAGCGAGGCAAAATCACGCAGATTGATATCACGATTTTGGCACCGGATAGTTTAATACCCGGCACCTCGGAAGAGGAGGACGAGATGCGCCCTTTCGAGAAGGCTCATCACAAAAAATCATCGAACAAGTTCAAAAAGCGCAAATGGAAGGACCGGGATTCCTCCCACTATCAAAGAGGCGATGGCATTTCAAATCCAGTTGCTGGAGATCCCCCGAGAACTATCCGCAACTATATCGAAGACATCACCATCAGAGCATTGCGCAATGGAATGGAGACACTCGATCCGTCAATATTTGAATCCAATACGGATGGCACCAATCGAGATCGACCCGTCCCTGTAACAATCCATACGTCAGAGGCAACCTTTCATCGCAGCCACAAGTATATTCTGATTGTGGCTCACACATCCACGGGATTCAGAATCGGACATGACACTCTCTATGGCTTTGATGGTACTCGTGGCGGTGGACATGCAACAAAGGCAAATAAAGATCCAGGGGGCAAAAGAAAACAGGATCACAGAGAAGTCTCTGCGGCCTCAGGTCTTGTCAACCAGTGTGTACGAGGATTTGTAGATGAAATTTCAGGGGAAAACCACGGTTTCTTTGAAGAAGGGTTTGCGGGAAGGAGAAGTTGCCTAGACGTCCACATGAGAGACCAGGTTGTTGTTTTTGAAGCTCTGGGTGAGCTTGCCAGGCAGGGATTGGTCGATGGACAAGAGGAAGGCCGGCTTGAAGAACAGGAGGATGAGAGTCATTGGTCACTGCACACTAAAACTGCGCGGTGGGTGTGTCGGCAAATGCTGGGAGAGTCTGTTTTCAGATGATGGTATGTTCGCAGTGTCTGTTGCTTGAATTTCTTTGAATCTATATCTTGCCTTACTACACACTGGTTGACTATAGATATGTGACAAGCGTTGGCTACGGATTTGTACTTTTGCACTACGCAGGATCAAGAATGCTTGCCACTACCAGTCCGTAGTAAACGTCTAGAAGCAGGGTTCCTATCCCTCAGCGACGTCACACCTGCAGCGGCTTTCTTCCGCTACTAATTCAATTCTGGACAGTGCAGTCTTAATTTGCAATACTATAAAAAAATTTGAAATTCCACATCGCGAAATGCAAATACTCAGCTCCCTCATTTCATCTCTAAATATAGATAGATCCTCCATTCCCTCCACGCTTTCAAACACCCAACCATACCTAAATTAAGACGACATAGATCTGGCCTCGTTTCAAAAACGGAAACGACTTCCCGCACAACGGGGGCCGGCGGTGATTCTATTCTTATAGTTAGTTAGCCGCCTCAAACTTGACAGGATGCGCGCCCGGCATAGCACGGGCCGAAATGTTAGCGACTCATGCGGCCTTGTCAAGCACGGGCTGTTGGAGTGACGATTGTATGGATTTGCCGGTACGAGCCTCTCAACTCTAGAAAGCCGAAGAGCCGCCGTTTAACTTTAGACCCAACCGTGCCTAACGTTGGTTGGGGCCCTTTTTGTGTTATCGGATCCATCCGAGAAATGTCATGCAAGAAATATTGTAATAAACTGGCCCCTGCTGGCTGGCGGGCATTATAGTTTCTGCGGCCAGGCAAGCCACGAATTCCTCTTTTCCCTTTCTGGTTGCATCTCATTGGACCGATTCTCACATTGGGTTGTTAATTCGAGCCTTGTCGATAGTGCTGGTGTTAAGCATATCCAACAACATCTTAGCGCATTCCTTTCTCACCCGTCCCAGATAAGGACTATGGTTTATTCACACTGTATGTTGGATCCTTGGTGCTACGTACATAACGGCTACGCCCCGGGTAAATAAACTCCAACGTTATTGTAGTGACATGCATGGGTTTTAAAAAATCGTCGTAGGTAAGGTTTTATCTATCACTCTATCATGATGTGATGTATCGCCCCAAGATCATAAGCTTGCCTCGGCCTGGATTAAATTCCGACAGCCAAACAACTCCTTAGGTAACTCGAACCAACTAAGCCACACCGCAACACCACAACTGCCACCATCGACGCCGATCCCGGTGAAGACGGTGGGGGTGGCATTCCCCACAATCCACTCTGAAACAGCGAACGATGGATCCGACTGTAGTTAGTACATCGCTGAGCGAGAAAAAGGGGAAAGGGAGCGAGGAGGGAGGGGTGGGGGAAAGCCTATAGCGCCGGCCAGCCGGAAAAACAGGGGTAGCCAGAAACGAAACCTCTAGAAGCATTCTTTGTGGCCGCTTGTCCCCACTCCTGACGCAGGCAAGACATCCCCAAACACGCCAGTTCGTTTTTCTGTGGGGGAAGAGGGACTGCCCAGCCTCGATGTTTTTGTTTCAGACAGGCACGGCCACAATATTGTTAAAACGCACATAATTGACTGGGTTGTGGTGGAGACGTGTGCTGTCTGAGTGCGATGAGAGACAGTCGATCGCGATCAGTGCTCTCCCCTCGTTGGTTGAGCACCCACACGCACGGCTCCATGCGGTGGTGTAAAGGGGGGTTGGAATGGGTTGACTCGAGAGCGCAGCGCCCCCTGACTGACCCTTTTCAGAAACATAGAACTATACCAGACGTCCCACCACTCCAACACTAATAATTATTAGTGCGTAGTTAGTACGTAGCATGTAGAAGAATAGCCTAACCTCCCCCTGCCATACACGCCGATTCAGCCATGTCTAGCTGCAGGCGGATCCACTCATTGACCAAGGATCGGACCCAGGAATTAGGTACAACTCGACTACACGTGGAGTAAGGCGAGGGATGCAAAACAAGATTTTGTTGGCTTCTGGCGGACAGTTAGGAAGGAAATCGTTGCCGACGAGTGTGTTGTATGTTTAAAATGGATAGAAATTAGTTATTTTGGGGGTGTTCCAGAAAGGGGGGGCCAAAGGAGCCCCGGTACCGACAGCGTGGTTCGGCGCGAAATTAGGATGTCGGAGCTGTGATAGGGATTCAATAATGCAGTCCGTGCCGGAGCGAAAACGAGAGAAAATCAGACGGACAGACAACACGGCGACACAGTATCTAGTAGTTTCAAAAGGGTAATGTTCATCATAGGAGAAAATTCAATTCAGTCAATAAGCGCAGAAACATTGGGGGGTATGCCATCGCGGAAAAGCCAAAAACAAACAGTGTTTATCTGCAAAAGTACACACACGGCAACGTATGCGCAGCAGGAGAAAATTAAAACAAAAGACAGGTCGATCGCCGATCGACGAAGCTCCTCATCAAAGAACACATTTCAAACCCAATGCCCATCTGCGCCACTGCCCTCCAGTGGCAGATTCTTGTGTCCGTTAGTATCCATGCAATGTGCTCTATTTCCCGTGCACATGACCGGCCGTGGTCTTTGTCCCTCAAGATCAATAAAAACGAAAGAAAGAACCCACAGAAGAAAAAGGAAAAGATGGAAAAAAAGCGAGCGGAGAAAAAAAAACTTTCCCCCCAGGCGACCCCACATGGCGGAAATGGTTAACAAAGGAGACGCGCAAGAGGACAAGGCGCCAGTCCAGGGAAAAGCATGGGGAGCGAACGGAAGGAAGGAGGAGCTGTGGGTGTGAGGAAGGTCAAGCGAAGGAAAGTTGAATCGAAGCCGAAAAAATCAAAACGCAAACAAAAAAGCCGCCGTGACGCTAGGCTGTGGCCTGATCATGAACTCCCAAGCGAATGCATCATATGTGAGAAGAAAAAAAAGGAAAAGGGCGGAAGGAGGCACGCAGAGATTATGGATGGATAGATCCCTCCGCCGCGCCATCCCCGGGTGTAGTATCATTCAAGCCGATCACAGGTGCTGGCAGGTGGTCTTGTTTGGGGAGTCGTTCAGCGTCTCCGAGGGTAGCTGGCGTTTGTAGTCTCGGGGCTGCGCAAACGCGGAGGCAGTAGTAGGTGGGCGGCGCAGATTGAGCGACTGCCTGAGTTAGTTGGATTTGACACGGTGGAAAAGGGTGAGAGCGAGCGTACAATGCAATCTTGGCATCTGGCTCCCTCACGGTTGACGCGGCCTCGGCAGCCGCGAGGGTAATTAACGCAGGAGTACATCATGAGGGGTGGTGAGGGTTGTGGTGAGTCGAGAAGCCGGGTGCGGTGTGGTGTAGAAGGGAGTAGGCGTGGGAGCAGCCTAAAGGAGGACTGGAGAAATGTGGATCGGGAGAAGCACAAAAAGACGACGACGGAACTGTCGAACTTTAAAAAAGGTCGGACAGCCAAGGCGAACGGCGGTGATGACGTCGGAGGTGTCAGGTAGCGTCTTTTCGAGAACGCGGAGCGAAGCGCACTAGATAGCGGGAAGAAGGCAGGAGAAGATCAGAGGGGAGGGAAGGCAAGCAGGTAGTTTATATCGGGGAAGACAGAGGAGCCTCCAAAAGGACAAAACAAACCAGCAGGATTAACTAGAATCTTAGGGTCCATTTTCTATTACATACGGAACGGCTGGGTTCATAATATTAATTAATTGGATTTATTCCGCCCTTTTTTCTGTAGGGCGCGCTGAGTATCCGGGACTCTGGGCACGACTTGGCGCCGAAAAAAAAAAAAAAAAAAAAAAAAAACCCAGCGGCCACCGTTAGCGGGTAGCTCCCGTGGCCCTCTTTTGTCTGCCTTGTCATCTCGGCCTAAATATACTCACTATACTGACCAAAATTCCTGGCAAAATGGTGCACCGCCAGCCAATGTCAGATCGTCGATCGTACATCGATTCCTGATCCGCTGCGAGATGCTGGTCGGCGATGCATGACAACGGAAAAGGGACGGGCCAATGATATTCAAACAGTGCCCATGCATGGGCTCGGATTGCACTGGAATGACTCGCAGTGCCTGGTGGAGCAGCTGACACGCTTAGGTAGTTTCCAACAGGACATCGTCGGAACTCACTAACGGCCGTTGGGCCTCAGATTGAGTGTTCGCATGGGACATCCCGAAAAGCCCGTTCAGACGTTGTTGTTTCGAGTTGATGAGTGTCACAGGTACCGCTGTCGGGCTGAATGGATCGGGGTTCTGGACCGAACCATCCCAAGGTATCGTTCCACGGTTTCCACCCGGCGGGTGTTCTGGAACACCAAAAACCATCCAAACGGAACGGGGGTTCTAGATTTCCCCCTTTCGGACTGTTTGTAAACTTGTAATCTGATCCATAGTGTTCGATGTCGCAAGTCCGCGGGTGGTGAAAGTAACTTCTTTTGTGAAACAATGCAATTCTACCCCAGGACTGCCGGGCCAGCCACTCACGGGTTTGGAACCGTTCTGTTCGTTCGTATCTCTGTGGAGGCGGTGGAGACAGGCGGTCGTTTTCGCATCTGCCGTTCCGGGCCCAGGAATAATCCACGGGCGGATTTAGTGAGAGCGTTATCCGAGGAAGAGTATGGAGTAGAGTGCCACTAATACTGCAGATTGAAGCAGGCGAAGCAGATCGATGCAAGTGTAAAGCTTGTCAGCGACAGGGATGGCTGCTAGCACACCGCCCCGTCGTCATCATCATCCTCCCAAGCAGACCAGCCAGCGAGCTTGTCACATTGCGGTTTCGTCAGCAACCGCGTGTCGTACAGTGTGGCTGGCAGTTGCGCGGTGAGCAGAGTAATCACTCAGTCCCCGGTCACTTGACCGGCTCATGTGTCCACGCTTGCCCTACGTTCCTTTTCTTTTCGTTCGATGCGACGGCAACACCGTAGTCGCCTGGTACCTCATGACCGGTTCGGTTACTCCCGGCGCTTCTGAGTGGACCACCAACGGCTGGGCCTGCAAACTGCTGAAAATCTCTGGCTGTCGCGGCCCGGAATACACAGCCGTGGGTCAAAGACGGGTGGTTCAGCCCAGGAAACTATTGAACCAGATGACGGATGGTGGATACGAGTTCATAGCGGAATTATTGGCAAAGTGGTTTAACAGCCGAAAGTCTAGAAGACACTGGAAGCTGGGTACTGTACATAGGCCTCGATTCGTCTAGATCGCTCCGTCCTTGCTCCACCACCCCTGTGGCACTGTTGATCCGTGTGACAAAAGTCGAAAACCTTACTATGACAGCAGGCCATAACGGAATAGCCGGCCTCAACTCGGTCGACAAGAGTTCTTTCTTTCTTCTGCACCGGCTGGGTAGCATGACTGACCTGACCCTAAAGGAAGGTTTGCTGAATGACAGATTGGGTCGGGGAGAGAGGCCCGCAGAACCGAAGGAAACAGTGACCTCATCGGATTACTCTTCCAAGGCAGCGGTCAGGTTCAGCCACGGCGTTCCTTCCCCTCGGCGCCATTTGTGCACACTGCATTCTGCATCCAGACCGTTCGGGACCGGGCTCGGCTCATGTGATCGACCGTTCACCCTGGCTAGAAGCTGATAAAGCCCCTCTGAGTAAAGATCCTTCCTGCTCGAGAGTAACATACATTGTAACTCTGTCGGGTCGCTCGGCGAGCGCACGGGGTGACTGACAATCATCACGATGGGCGACTCTCGGAGGTTTTGTCACGAGGTCGCCTTGTATTTGCGGACCGTACAGCGACCAGTATAAAGTTGTCTGCTTTTGATTGGACCGTATCATATTGCACGGGGGATAAGGAATATTCTGTGAAGGATTGATGACTCCCGAACCACAACGATGCATCCCGAAAGAAAGAAAAAAAAAAAGACCAACCAAAACACCGGCATAAAGAAACCATGACTCAACCTTCCAGGAAAGTCCGAAGAATAAACCACGCCCCGAAAAGACTAAGCGCAGATGCGAGGAGCATCCCGTTGCCTTCCCACGTCAGACCCAGATACGCAACCAAGCCCACCGCAATCTCCTTTCGTCGGGCAACGTCTCGCCGATGTCGCCAGTTGGGATCGATCGAGAACGGAGCCACGACCTTCGCATCAGAGGGCATGTGATCGGTGTCCGGCACGGGGTTGACAGGCACAGACAAAGCGAGTGCAACGGCACGATGATCTGACTGTGGGAGCAGTGGCAGCGCATTGTATGCATGTGTTTTGACTCGCCCTGCGGCTCCAGCCCAGGACGGACCGTCGAGGTAGAGGATGCGATCACACCAGCTGGGCCAACGATGGCTAGACCATTTCCATTCCTGGTCATCGCCGTCAACGCCATTGCGCGCGGCGTCGCGAGCTGCATCGGAATATTTATACGTCGGAGGGAAGTCAATCGGCGCTTCACACATGCCGTGGAAGCTCCTGCCTTGGCGCATCTCGCGCATGAGCTGATCTTCTTTCAGCAGATGTGAATAATGTGAAGGGTCGCTGGGGTCGACAGCGCGACGAGGGAACCGAATTGTGTCGCCTTTCAAAGGTCCGATGCTTGAGGTGCGATAGTTGAGATCTCCCGCAAGGAAGAGGTAGGCGTTGGGAGCGAAGATATCCTGCCGGCGGCTGTCCGAAGGCCGTCTTTCGTGGCCGCGAAGCAAGGCAGTGTTTTCGTCTGCTTCGTCGGACTGCGCGCCCTCGTGTTGCTGGGAGAAGACTAGGCGCTCGACAATGCTTTGCCAATCCCGATTTCGCTGTTCCAGAGCGTCCTCCATGGGTGCCAGATGCGCGGCCACGAACGTCAACTCCAGTGTCTCCGACGGGCGCCCCTCAGCGGCATAGCCCATGCGAGCCCCGACAGCTCCCTTGTTGCCCATGTCCTGAAATCCGAACCCCACATGCGCCGTCTCAATCCAGGAGATCTTATCAGATACGTCACTGCGCGCGAAAACCATCAACCCCGTCATTCCCGTGTGGTCCCTCACAATATTCACGTAGTTCTCGCCCCATTGTTTGGCGGTTGCTTTCTTGACGGCCTGGCAGAAGGCATCAAAGTAAGAGATCAGATACGAGCCGCCCAGGAATGCGTAGGCGATTGGCGCGATCTCTTGAAGTGAGAGCACGATCAGCTCCGGCGCGGGGAAGCTGTGGGCGTCAGTGAGAGTGCCGAAGAAGTGCTGGGCGAAGAGATCAATGTCGATGAGGTTTCGAGCACAATTGTAAGTGAGAATGTAGACCCTGAGGTCATCCATTTTGAGTAAGTCTCAGTCGAGTCTTGGGCGGTTGGGGGAAAGGAGGAAGAAAAAGAAAAGTGAGGCTGGGGAGCAATGACGTATGCGGGGGCACGTGAGATGGAGAGCCCCAACTCAAAATGTAGACGAGGAAGTTTGCAAACCACGAAGAATCAACTGAACACGGCGGGAATCAGATTTTTGTTTTCTGAATGAGAGGACCTTTGATGATGACCTCAGGCAATGGGTAGAGATACTATCCTCCCTCTCAGTGGAGACTGAAGAGTCCTACTCTGTTTTGCGGAAGAGTTAACCCCCACACCGAAATGAGTGTCAACAGGCTTAGCCAGACTATGAGAGATCCAAAATTGAGAATATATCAACATCGTTATTCCACTCACCGAGTATGCGGTGCTGGATAGCGCATTTTTTGCCACATCATGATGTTGACAAAGAAATCCAAGGGATTGCGGAATCCAAGTGAATGGACCTTCTGTTGGCGTTAAAGATATTTTAAGATATTACTATAGCGTTAACTCTGGAAAATGACCTACGGTTCTAAAATGCTGAGTGCCGTACGTTCAGAAATTATTTTGCCTAAAATGGTTTAGGCTGGGGAAGCTGGCAGCTTAATCGACTTAAAGTTAGCGTGGCCCCCAATGGGGCCAATATATTCTTTTCAAGATTTTCTAGTTATCGTCTTGGCCTTTAGGAGGGGTGTAGGGCTGCTCTGCTTTCTCTCCGGTATGCGTCAGGGAATATATATACATATATATATATGACTGCTTCGCCGTACTTGTGTCTTGGATTGTCGAAGGGATTCTGACAAAACCCATGTGTCTGGTTTTTGTCTATTTGAATTGAATTTGGTATCCCGGTCGATCTCCATTTTTCTCTGATTTACTACCAGGAGCCATGAGCCAAACGTAATTCCTCGTGAGTTACCCAGCCCTTAGACCCCCCTTGAAGTACTTCACTGCCACTCAGCAGAACTCAACAGCTCATGGAAGGGACGTAACATGAGTCCTTTCCATAAAGCAAGAGGAAATTAAGATGGCCTACGACCGCGAGGGAGCCGCCGCTGTGACCTCCTTCTACAAATTCCTCATCAGCAGTCACATCCCTGCCTCGGCTCTGAAGTTACCTACACAGGATGACTGGCCGGAGCTTACCGACGAATGGCAATCTTTTATGGACAAAGACGCCACCGTCATGGACCTGATTCGTCACCTTCCATATATTCAGCCGAACGAGGATGATGCGCTCCAGATCTACCCATATAGCAGCCCTATTGACTTCACCGGCGAGGAGCTAAGAGATTTTCGGTTTCATGGTGTCGCTGAGCCGCAGTTCACGCTATAAGGTTGGAAAGAGCATGTTGACACTTTCGGCCGCCGAAGGAAGGGTGAGTTCATATTCTATGGTGGATACTAAGAGGGCCACAATATTCCTGGCGGATTAGGAGTCGCCGACAAGACCCTACGGAGATTTCTCAGATCGCTAGTATGTCAACCAGCCCCCCCCTCACCAAATGGTGATTTATTTAAGCGAGTACTAATTTCGTAGCTAAGCGATGGTGATCCGGAAGAGGATTGGCGTGAACAGGCCATTTACTACAATCCTGAATTTTTCGAAATGATAAAGGAACAGTATCGAACTTTCGAAGTGGTATGTTTTCCTCTTTGGATTCTCCCTAGCAATTGTGTCTTCGGCTGACAATTACCAATGTCACCATTAGCAACACGAGATCGAATTTGGTAGACGGCTGGAACATCATGAAGGAAACGAAAAGCTGGAAGATATGAAGGGAATATACCGACAGCAGGAGTGGCTGACTGAAAACTACCGGAAAGACGAGTGTTTGGCAGCAGTGGAGGAAGTCCTAGAGTGAAGAGACGTAGAATTGACGCGCTAAACCATTTATTCAGCCTGGATAACGGAATTGTATCATGTTTCTATGATTTACGGATCGGATGATCCCTGCTTACACCATACCCGTAGTACCCCGTATTCCGACACTCCGCGACTCCCGGGGTAATCGTCGGCGAAATCGGGTTAGGGCCTTTGCCGATCCACCAAATGCAGAAAGTGCGCAATCGCGTGCGGGGGAGAGAAACTCTAGCCCTCGTAGCCCTCCACGGACGCAGTCGAACCACAAACGGCGTAAAAGCTGTTGAAACTCGGTATGCAGCCCTTGTGCTTGCTTTAGCTCAATCAGTTTTGTATCGTGACAAGTCTTGGTGATATCAAAAGGGGTGGGGTAAATCACGGGAATGGGATGGAATTTGGAGGAATTGGAGCATACAAAGCAGCTTCCATTTTCAGCCTGGGAAACTTTTGTCTCGGCAGAGGGATTTAGCCGCCACCACCCCTGAGGTCCCCGCAAAGGCATCTGTAACAAATCAATAATTGATGTTGCTTGTTTTTTTGTCAAGGTCACAATTTCATGTCGCATTTCTTATAAGCAGTGGAGCCCATTTTCCAATTTGAATTTCACATCCTGCACAAATGAAATTGACTGCTAGACTCAATTTAGGTATTCATACATAGTACCAGTGGGGAGGAAGGCTAGGGACCAGCGTGGCGTACGCTAAATATGATTCGAATACTACCTGCTGGCCGGGATGTGTAGAATAAAAATGTCTTCGCCGATGTTTTCCCGCTTTTCCAGGGGTATAAAGGATTTATGTACCCACGAATATACATCATCTGTTCTGTGCGTTGTCCCTCTATGGTACTAACTGCCCACCATGCGTCGCTTCTCCCATTTTCTTTTGCTGTTCGTTTCCGCCACTCTTAACTCGGGGTCACTCGCACAGAAGGTCTCTGCAGATCGACATGCGGCTCTGTATCCTGATTATACCTATGTACCCTCCGTTGACGCCGATTACAAGCCGAATCCTCCTAAGATTCCAATATCTCACCGCAACTTGACCATTGATCCCCTGGTTCCCGGATTAGTCCCTGTGCCATCGATTCCGCTTCCTGGTCTTCCTCCTCTGGGCGCTCCTTCATACCCTACATCGTACTGGTACGAAGAGATCGAGCATAACGGTATCTCGCCCTTCATAGTCAACGGTTCATCGTGGAAAGTCTTTCGCAATGTGAAAGATTATGGAGCGAAGGGAGACGGAGTCACAGATGATGCTCCGGCCATCCAGGCTGCGATTGACGATGGAGGCAGAGGAGCAACTGGCAATAGCTATGGAACTACAGGAAAGCCAGCTGTTATCTACTTCCCCGAAGGAACGTATTTGATGGAGAACAGGGTCCAGTCATATGTGGATACAATGTTTATCGGAAATCCCATCGAGCGACCCACGTTGAAAGCCTCGTCCAGCTTTAGAAATTCGACGCTTCTCTATATGAGCGATCCTGCTTACGACGCAACCATCAATTTCTACATTATCGTCAAGAATTTGATACTGGACTCAACTGCTTACCCTTCAAGGAAGACGTTCACTCTCATGGATTGGTCTGTATCTCAAGCCACCCAATTGACCAATGTCCTTTTCAATATGGCTCCTTCCTCACAACACACTGGTGTTTCGACTCCAGAAGGCGGGTCAGGGACGTATATGGGCAACCTAGATTTTGTGGGAGGCGCGATCGGCATCAATATGAACAACCAGCAGTACAGCATCAAAGACTGTACTTTTACCGGCACGAGGACCGGGATATACATCAGCCATGGCTTTGATATGGTCCTGCAGGGCATGGAATTTACCAACTGTGAAGTTGGAATTAATGCCACTGACGGTGGTGCAGGAAATGTCGGAAGTTTTGTTTTGCTCGACTCGATCGCAAAGTCCGTGAAGACGGTGATAGTCACGAAGAGCCAGAGCGCCTCTCCAAATTCAACTACGGGTGATGATTCGGTTGTCATCCAGAACCTTCGAACAAGTCAGGTTGACAGCACTGTTGTCGCTGGTAATAAGGTCCTTCTGAAAGGGGATGTTCCAGAAACGTGGGTATATGGCAACGCATATCTCACGGGGGGTCCAGCAGCCGGTATACATGACCCTGGTACAACCTATCAAACCCCTAGATCGTCAGTCCTACTGGAGTCTGATCGTTACTTCACGATGGCGCCCCCCACATACCAGGAACATGACGTGCAGCAAGTGGTGAACATCAAGACGGTGAAGAACTTCCCTGTCTACGGTGACGGCCAAATGGTACGCTTCTCCCCATCCCTAATATACAGACATACTGAGGGTTACTTTTAGGATGATACGCACAACATCAATGCAATTCTCGCCCGTAACGCAGGATGTGCAATCACGTTTTTCCCGGCAGGCACTTACCTAGTGTCAGATACCATCTACATTCCCTCTGGATCCCGAATTGTGGGCGAGGCCTTTGCGGCCATAAGTGCTACAGGAGCTAAGTTCGCCAACGCCAAGTCACCGAAGCCCATGGTGCAAGTCGGCAAGCCAGGAGAGATTGGGGTGGCTCAGATCTCCGACATGCTCTTCACCGTGGCAGATGTCCTACCGGGATGTACCCTGCTGGAGGTGAATATGGCGGGGGTTTCTCCAGGAGACGTCGGCATTTGGAACAGCCATTTTCGTGTTGGAGGGGCCGCCGGATCGGCTGTTGAGACGAAATGCCAGGGCCCAAGCCCCTGCCAAGCGGCCTTCTTGCTCCTTCACCTGACGCCCAGTGCATCGATATATATCGAAGACATGTGGGGTTGGACAGCCGACCACGACCTGGATGGAAATTACAATCAACTCATCAGTACCGGCCGAGGAGCACTGATCGAATCCACCCGCGGTGCATGGCTAGTCGGCACCGCCTTTGAGCACAATACCCTTTACCAATACAACGTCGTCTCCGCCTCGAATCTCTACATCGGGATGCAGCAGTCAGAGACTCCATATTGGCAAGGTACCGGCGGACCTGCCCAAGCTCCTGCACCGTGGACCCCCGATGCTGCCTATTCTGACCCTACTTTCTCGAGTTGTGGCTCGAACGATCCAAACTGTCGGATGGCATGGTATCAGCGTGTCGTCTCGGGGTCAGAGCTATATATTTATGGATCAGGATTCTGGACCTTTTTCAATGATGTAGGAAACTGTCTCGGTGTCAACGGAACGTGTCAGAACAATGCGGTAGAGATCGTGGGGAACCCGACCCAGCTCTATTGGTGGAATTTGAATACGAGAGGATGCCTTAACCTGTTGATTGATGATGGAGAGGTTTTGGAGACACAGAACAATAATCCAGGCAGCTGGGGTGCGATCGTAGCCGCCACTCTCACTCATGCTAGGTTGCATTAGGTTTGCCATTGTGAAGGGATCTGAGTCTATGTTAGTGTAACAGTTAGATAACGAAAGCATATTCAGCACCGTTGCCTTCATTGAGGATAGCGGCACGTACGTTTTATTTGATGATGTCAACTGGCGAGCATACCTGATTCTGGGGAAAGGATCGCCAATACATCGGGGTTGCATGATATGACAGAGATATCTTTGAGCGGCAATAGTAGCATCTGCACGAACACAATATAACAAAATTTCTATATACCGCATAGACATGGTCAAGATATCTCTTGATTGTTCCTATTCATGGCCAGAGATAGATTAAGAACGATAAGGGAATGTATATTACTATGCTTGCACGTGGAGTATTTCAAATTGATTTCGATTAGGAATAAGCCTACGGATGATCGCCCTTCGAGATATACAAAGAGTATCCCGTTATCATGGCATAGCTCGTGTGACCATGGTCGCTCCTGTGTTGTGTTACATGTGGATACAATGCATCTTTCCCATCAGTAGCCATAAAATGATAGCTTCTGCAATTGTGAAGCCCTCTGAGTTCAAAACAGCCGGCACAATGAGCGACTGTGTTCTTGTCGTGGGATCTGCGTCACTTGAATCTGATAGTTCCAAGGCACTGAAAGGGCATCCCTGTCGATTACTGCACTCTAAAGTCTAGATGATGACATGTAACGACCATTCTTACAGCTTGCCTCTTAATTCCACGCCCTTGGCTCGGCTTGGCTCGTCTTCCAATTCAACAAGAAGCATGCCTTCGGCAACATCCTCCTCCTCGTCTTCCATCTCATACACCCAGTGGACCTTCCCTGCTCGAGGGCTTCTTACTTCCAACTCCATCTTCATCTGCTTCACAAACGCAAGCACTTGGTTCTCCGCAACGTCTTCTCCCTCGACAACTAAAATCTCTATGAGCTTTCCCGAGAGAGGAAGGACCACATGTCTTGGGTTCTTGGGATCACCACGTCGGTGTGATGAAGAAACCAGAGCTGACGCGGTAGTCGAAGTGGTCTCAAGCTGCATCCGATATGGAACGGCAGTCTGTGATGACGGAGTAGTGTACTCAATTTCAGCCGCAAGGGAGGCGGGGAATTCGTTGCGAAGCACCCGGGAAAGACGAAGATGATGCAAGATCTTATCTGTCTGCTGGGAGCCATTCTTTGACAGAGGTTCCAGTGTGATGGACCATGCATCGCCTTTGCGGAATAACAGGCTAGACACTGGCATATTACCTTGCGCGATTGGTTGCTGCAGAGAAGAACCGACCGGTCCTTCCTTGTTGCGGATTGCTTTTGATAGTTTCTCCCCAATATCCACAACTTCGTTAAGTTTTGATGCCAGCCACTGCGTGTCAACGTTGCCGGCCATAAAATCCGCATGAGCCACAATTCCGCGCAAGAGGTTGATGTTCGTTTTTACACCAGATATCCGAGAGTCATGCAAGACACGTTGGGCTTTCCTGACAGTTCCTTCCCAGCTAGATGCGGTGACGATGACCTTGGCGAGGAGATTGTCAAAACTCGAACCGACAATCAACGGGTTATTTCCAGATATGTTGACATTGGAGTCTACCCGAATCCCGTTTCCAGTAGGAATATTAAATTCAGTAACCTTGCCAATACTAAGAGCAAAATTGTTGCTTGGGTCCTCAGCACATAGCCGGAGTTGGATTGAGAAGCAATTGGCCGGCGGCGATGCTTTGGCGTTGGGGGCTTGAGCTCCAAGCCTAAGGTCACTTAGGGAGTAACCTTCGGATAGCAGCAGTTGTGTCTGCACCAGGTCTATCCCACTAATAGATTCGGTAATGGTGTGTTCCACTTGAAGACGCGGATTGACTTCCAAAAAATAGAACTCTTCGCGTTGTTCATTCACGAGAAACTCGAATGTACCTAGAGAACGGTAACGAATCTCACTCGCCATCCTCAAGGCTGAGTCGATCACTCGACCGATCAAATCTCGGTCCTGCATTAAGGCTGGGGCACACTCAACAACTTTCTGAAAGCGGCGTTGCACACTGCAATCTCTCTCCCATAGATGACGAACTTGGCCGGTCCCATCACCGATGATTTGTATCTCGACATGGTGGAACCCATGCACCGCCGCTTTCTCGACGAACACCGTACGGGATGGTGACTCACCAATGGCACGCTGGATACTATTATCTAGCTCCTGCTCCTCCTGTACAAGGCGAATACCCCGACCGCCGCCGCCATCAACAGCTTTAATCATAACAGGGAACCCGACCTGCTTAGCGAAGGCGTGAACCTCGTCCATGTTCCCAGTAGGCTGGTCCATAGCCCTTAAGACCGGCACGCCGCATTGCTCTGCTAGACTCTTGGCTTGAAGCTTGTTCCCCGTGCGAGCGAGGTTCTCCCAGCCTGGGCCTATTACGATAGCGCCTGCATCATGCCACATTTGATGCGAAAACTCTGCGCTTTCGCTAAGAAAGCCATATCCCGGGTGGACAGAGTCGATAGAATTCTTCTGGGCAAGACCTACAAGCAGAGATATATCGAGATATGATGAGGCAGATGGAATCTCAATTGCATGATCCGGTCGTCCTATTTCGCAGTGAGAACGGTCGTCCGATGTGTACAGAGCAAACGTCTCAACCGGATGGGCCAACTCCCGGGCGGCATGTAAAATTCGCACCGCAATTTCGCCTCTAATGTGCAATACATAAGTGCCTGCGAGGGTCTCAATTTGGCGGATTCATACCTGTTGGCGACTAGGAGTCGCTGGATGGGCCGCGAGTGCGGGGATGACGACATTGGGAATGAAGACAAAACGGGAGCTTCAAATATGATGAAAGTGTACGATCAAAAGATGTAAGTTTCCGCAGACATGAATCGTCGCCAGATTGGTGTAACACAGAACTTGTTCATGGTAGTTTTCCTTAATAACTGAGCGACCTCGGCCCTCGGACTTCCCCGCCCCCTCAGCGGACTAGCCCCAACTTTCTCCAGGCAAACAAAGATAGCAATAAAACCAACTCAGTAGAGCAGCAAGACAGAATGGCACACGACGGCGACACACCACCTCGCGACGGAAGTGGCAATGACCAGGCCGCACAGCGGCTAAACCAGGTCTCGTCGCATATATCTTCACCGCCAGGTGCGCAGCAATCGACTGAATCCAAGCGGAAGCTCAAGGCAGCGAGCTCTCACCTGCCAGCAGACCATTCCGATGTTCTCGACCAGATTGCATTGCTGCGCTCCATTGCTGCAAACCCCGATCCCAACCACCGGGGCTACGTGCGACAGAAGCAGGCCGGCAAACTATGGGTTCGCGAGCGCATCGAGCAACTTTTGGACCCCGACTCATTCCAGGAAATTGGTTCCGTTTCGGGAACGGTTACATGGAAGAAAACTGCTCCTATGCGAGAAAAGCCTGTATCCTTTGTTCCAAGCAACAATGTTCAGGGCGCGGGATTGCTACGAGGCAGGAAAGTCTTGCTCACGGCGGACGACTTTAGTATTCGGTCTGGCCATGCCGACGGAGCAAGTGCCGGAAAAACAGTCTATGTTGAAAAGCTTGCAATTGCACTGAGACTACCAGTAGTGAAACTAGTGGATGGAAGCTCAGGCGGAGGCAGCGTGACAACTATTCGCAAAGAAGGATGGAGTTATTTGCCACATGTCGCTCCGTTCAAGCACGTAATTCAGCAGTTGAATATGGGAATTCCAAACCTGGGCGCGGTTGTTGGACCAGCTGTAAGCTAATAATTTCCATTTGTTTACAAAATTCGGGCTAATATTCAGGGTAGATTGGTCTCGGAGCGGCACGAGTAGTCTCCTGCCACTTCTCCGTTATGGCAGCAGACATTGGAGCGTTGTTTAATGCAGGACCAAAAGTGGTCGAAGGCGCAACTTTTGAAGAGGGTCTCGACTTTCAGGATCTGGGTGGGCCGATGGTGCATTGCATGAATGGTACTATTGACAATCTCGCCGCAAATGAGGCCGAGTGTTATGAACAATTGCGAACTGTCTTGGGCTATCTTCCAAACTGCGGGAGCGAGGCACCCCCAGTGGTTCCATGTATAGACCCTGAGGACCGTGAGGATGTGGCTCTGCGCAGCATCATCCCGCGACGACAAGCGCGTATGTATAATCCTCGGACAATCATCGTGTCCGTCGTCGACAAAGACTCCTGGTTTGAAATTGGTGCCCTCTGGGGCCGAACTGCTATTAGCGGCCTTGCACGCCTAGGCGGACATCCGGTCGGCATCATTTCGCTCAACTGTGAGGTGAATGGCGGTGCTCTTGATGCGGCCGGCAGCCAAAAACTCACACGACACTTGAAGATGTGTGATGTGTTTAATCTGCCTGTTTTGCAGTTTCTTGACGTCCGTAAGTTTATCGCCTCCTATCTCCAAATACTAGTCAATGTTCTTATCCCTCATAGCCGGTTACGCCATTGGCACTGTCGCCGAGCGCACCGCTACTATGCGCTGGGGGGTCGAATTGGCAAAAGCATACTACAGCACTACGATGCCAGTCTTCAATGTTGTGACTCGGCGCGTATTTGGAGTGGCTGGTGGTGTCATGCTCGGCTGCCGCGACCCCGTCATGCAAGTCGCATGGCCGTCCGGACAATGGGGCTCGCTGCCGTTGGATGGAGGCATCGAGGTCGGACACCGACATGAGCTTCGCGAGGCGGAGAAAGTTGGGAAGAAGGAGGAGAGATACAAAGAGCTGGAAGAAGAGTATCTACGCCTGATGAATCCGGTCCGGACAGCCAATGCATTTGGAGTGGAGGAGATAATTGACCCCAAGGATACAAGAAAGGTCTGCTGTGCATGGGCGTCACATATGTATGAAGTACTTCTGAGGGAGAGGCTAGCGGAACGGGCGTCTGGGAAGATTCAACCATCTTTCGCATGAATACTGTAATGCATTGCATGAAACACTAGATATCAATCTAGCCGTACAATTATATGCATAGATTCTCAATTTACATTCAGCAAATTTCGTAACCTTGATATTTGATCCATTCTGGCAATCACCAAGTTGGCGGCCCGAATGTCTCTCCTTTGGGGACAGTCTTTTGAATTGCAGTATACAAAGCGTCCTATAAATTTCTCTTCGTCAGCCCAACCCCACAACATCCCCAAGAGCTAGGTTAGACACTTACCATTGTCTCAAATGGAGCTGTATTGCCCCACCAGTTTGGAACGCTCACACCGGGGAAGGTGATAACAAAAAAGATAACAATGGTAGATAGAATGAGACCAGTGTCAAGGCCTGCAGCTGTGATATAGTTGTAGTTATGCCACCAGCCGCTCCACCTGTTCCGAATGTAGTAGTTAAAAAGGAGACCGAACATAACCCATGAGAAGTAGCTGATTGGTGTGGCTCTATTGAATATTTAGTTAGCGTCACTGTCATGATGTATGCTACCCAAATCTTAAAAACTTACGGAGGCAACCAGGACATCGCTCCAAGCATCCTGTAATCAAATTAGCAGGAGTAATTACAGATATCCAAATCCGTTCACTTACACAGGTGCGTTGAGAAGCCTGGCCTTTGATCTCGGGAAGACTCGCATGAGAATGTAGAAGGCTACCGGGAGGAGAGCTCCGAGCAACCAGAACCATTGGACCTTGTTGTATATAGCGCCCGGACCAAACATGCGCTGCGGGCCAATGACTCCTGTTTAAAAGGTCAGAAAATTGACGAGAATAGTTTACCCTGCAGACTTACCCCATGTAATGCTGTTGGAGAAAAATGCTCTACCATTGGGACAGGTAAAATGAGCGGATTGGTCACTGGATGGTATTTAAAAATCAATAATCCACCAATGTAACTTCAGTGGGTAATCCACGTACGGGGTGCAGACTTGGTCGATATTACCCAAAGTCCAATTCATGACAGCTATCTGAACGAAACATGCCCAGATGGTTGGAATAACTTGGCACCAGAAAGTAATACGGGGTGGCACTTTCATATAGTGGGCGAGCTGTTAATTAAATCAGAATATGATCAAAGGTATGCCATAACAAACCTTACCTTGAGATCTGAACAGTAGATTTGGCTGATGAAGATATTAGTCCTTGTCTCTGGCGAGGATATTCGGTCTTACGCTTGCCCGAGCGTAATGGTGCTAAAGACTTTGAACACCATAACGGCTATGGGCTTTCCTGGAATCATATATCCAGCCAGAAATGGAGAAATAACATTGATAGCTGCAAATGTTAGTTGGATATCGAGAAAATTGGATGCAGAAGGAGCAATACACAGTTGGATGTTGCTAATCCCCAGAATCATGCAAGTGGGAACCTATTCCTATCAGCGATAATTTTTCAATTGGCAAGGCATAACGCACAATAAATACCAGAGCAATGATAATTGACACAAAGAAGCCCCACCCTGTATCTTGAATTAGCGGCTTTCTGGTCAAATCAAGATATGGTACTCACAAGGGAGCTGTGAATCATATCCTAGAACACCACCCAGTCCCAATGCAATGGAGACCAAAAACAGCACCAAATACCACCATTCAGGTGCCTCCTTATACTCCTTCATCAGTGTTAGATGGATATCGGGCTCTTGGTTTCGAGAAGCAGTAAGGCGATGCCAAATCTCCTTTCTATGAAAGAGAACTATATGAACAATAACCGCTATGAGAGCGGCGAATGAGAGCCCATAGTTCAATAAAAATGTCGGAGCGAGGAACATTGGCGAATAATTTTTGTATTTTGCTTCGTCAAAGCTAAAGTTAGGTCCCAGGATGCGGGACACATTGTAAACCGCTTGTGTGTTGTCGTAAGTGTCGGCGGTGTTGATAGGAAGATAGGCAGAATAACTATGATTTTGTTAGTGGTTTTCTTATCTTGCCTAGAGATAATCTCATACAAGGCACCAGTATAAGAGATTCCAATGGTTGTAATGATGACAAAAACCATAAGTCCAATGAAAGTGTTGACAATTGCGTGGGCAGGTGCAAGTAGTGGGTCCAAAAGGTATGCTGAAACATAACTGCTCGGAGTCAGATACATCCATGAAGTGTGTCTTTTAGCAATTTCCAAAACTTACGTCCAATCAAAAGTTATGGGAATTAGCGAAAGTCCCGTGAAGCCCCCAAATAACTGGTTCAAAACAACATTGTTCGGCCGAATCCCTGTATACAAATAGTTATTTTCCGTATATTCAGAATGAAAGATAAGACCCTACAGGTGACAAAGGCAAAAACTGATAATCCCTGCCATATGACTCCAGGTACCCTGAGTAATGTTTAAGCGTTGATTGAAGCCACGCTGGTACTATGGATCCTTACCAATACCAGGCGAATGCTCCTAACATCACATACAAAAAGTATCGATAGCGCGAAATGCTCCAGCCATTGGTCTCGCTAGCGTCCGATCGACTTTTATCGTGAAGGGCATAGAACAGAGAGGTGTTTGCAAATTGCCCAGGCCACATAATTGCAGCAGGCCTAGAAAGTGGAGTGTCAACGGGTATTGTTCCAGACCGAGACATATTGGCTGATTTACCAGACGAGGAAGCGGCGGAAAATGCCAGCCAGCGAGATGCCGATTATCTGGCTGCTCAGTGCAAAGAGGAGCTGAAACCCCCACCCAATATCTAGGTTGTACAGAGCTGGAGGACATGTTAGAAGGAACGTCGTTGGATAATCGATCATACGTACGCTCGGCTTTGAGAGCCAAGAGGGCATCCGTGCAGTAAGCGTACCCAATTGAGACGCTATATACCGCTTAATAGAGATTCAAGGTTTTTAAATTAGTCCACTTACTTTGCCATGATCTAGAAATGGTCAGCCTTCAAATCGATTTGAGACTGGGCAGGAAAACATACCGTGATGACCGTATGCTCCTTAATTGTGAAAGGACCTGTATTGAGTGTCCATTTCACCCCAAAAGTGGTGAATGTCCTCGTTGGCATTACTTTAGCCCATAAACAACCAATTGGGTAAACAAGAAGCTGCACCACAATGGAGGGAAATGAGATAGCAGGGCTCCTGTATTCTTCTTCGTCAGTGAAATACTGTGGGAGATCAAAATCAAACCCACCGCATGCTCAGGAACATATTCAACCCACTCCCAATAGTCGTGAAAAACATCCCAAGCACCCAGGCGCGCACTGTATTTGCAACCTCCCCTCCGTCCGTATTGCGCACGGCTGCACGCACAGACTCGTAAGGGGAGTCCTCTTGGAAAGATTTGTCCAACTCGGCAGCTTTCTCCTGGTCATCGGTCTTGATTGCCTCATTGATTGCATCGATCTTTTCCTGGGGGAGGTTCGGATCCCACTGGTGCGACTCTTTGATCTTGTGTAACTCTTGGACCTTATCGCTGGCTTCTTTGTCGTGGTTAGTCAAGATTTCCGGCCGTGCACACGGCTCCATGCCGTCGATGGTAGGTGGATGAGAGGCCATTTTTGCTCAAATTCGTTTGCATTAAGGTAGTAGCTCAGGCAGGGATAGACTATAAGCAAAATGCATCGGCTTCTGTAGCTCCTCTTCGTCTATCTGCCACCAAGCCCTAATGTAACCATTGAGCTCTTCCCCGCAACACCGGGTGTAGCCGCTCAACACTGGCCGATAACAAAACCCCTAGTTTGGTAAGAATGCGGAGTAAGGCGACGCAAAAGGAAGGCCGAGCACTTCGAAGTGGTATTAAACCCACCACTCGGATCGCCCAGCGACATTATTTGGCATTTTATCGGCTTCTAGGCCCGACAAAATAGTAATATCCTACTGTGGTACTCAATTATTGCCGATAGGGCCGTTGGTTGTCACTTAGGTCTACCCGGCCTCTCGCTGGTCGGAATTCCCTATCTTCTTCAACTACCCATTTTCTGAGCCTGTCTGCACCAATCCCGGGACACTTTAACTTTCTCCCCAACGATAACAGCATCCAAGGACGAAAGCTCTCGTACGCATTTAGCTGCGTCATGGTTTCTGCCAATTCGGATCGTGGCATAGCCCTTCGGCGCGCGCAAGGGGACACGATCCGCGACTGGATTGAACGCTTCAATGAAGACTTGAAGGATATCAAAAAATTCTTTCCAATCAGAATATCCCCAAAGAGGGCTGACAAACTGCGCCAATTTCTCATGTCTGAACTCGATGCCCTGCATGAGCAACCTTTTGATCTTTACGACCAACAAGAGAAAGTCGACTACCTCCTTGTAGAGAACTACATCGAAAGACAACTACGGCAAATGCAACTCGATTTCAAACAGGATTATAGAATGGCACCCTTGCTCCCGTTTGCAAGCACGTTGGTGGAGCTATGCGAGGCTCGAGCTCTAGTGCTTCCAATGGATTCAAAAGATGCCGCACAGAAACTCTTCGAGACGCAGGTACAAATTACAAGCTTAATTGAAAAGATCGACCAAGGCTCCGATGAAGTGACCACGAGTAAGACAAGTGCATTTCGTGCCTCGAGAACTATCGACTCTCTTAGAGGCCATCTGAAGGAGTGGTTTGGCTTCTATAAAGGATATGATCCCTCGTTCGACTGGTGGGTGGCACAACCTTACAACGCGATGGACAAGTCTCTTGAAGATGCTTCTGCCAGTATTCGCGAGAAGCTGGTTGGAATACAACCAGGCAATAAAGATGCAATTGTGGGCGATCCCATCGGGCGCGACGGATTGGTCGACGAATTGCTAGCCGAAATGATTCCTTACACGCCGGAGGAGATTATTGCGATTGGCAACCAGGAATTTGACTGGTGTATCAATGAAATGAAGAAGGCATCTCGCAGCATGGGTTACAAGGACAATTGGAAAGCGGCCCTGGAAGAAGTTAAGGATGACTATGTTGAGCCTGGCAAGCAGATTCAGCTAGTCCGGGACCTGGTGCAAGAAGCAGTCTCGTTTGTCGAGGACCACAAGCTAGTCACGGTCCCAGAAATTGCAAAAGAAACTTGGCAAATGTTTATGATGACGCCGGAGCGCCAGAAAGTGAACCCTTTTTTCCTTGGTGGAGAGTCAATCATTGTCTCGTACCCTACTGACTCAATGGACCATGAAGCCAAGCTGATGAGTATGCGTGGAAACAACATCCATTTCTCGCGCGCCACGGTCTTCCATGAGATGATCCCTGGTCATCACTTGCAAATGCACATCAATGCGAGACATCGACCATACCGACGTCTCTTCGACACGCCATTCTGGATTGAGGGATGGTCCTTGTACTGGGAGTTTATTCTGTGGGATGACGATCGGTTCAAAAAGACGCCCCAAAACCGGATCGGAATGCTGTTCTGGCGACTCCATCGATGCGCCCGTATTATCTTCTCTCTCAACTTCCATCTTGGCAAGATGACCCCACAGGAGTGTATTGATCTTCTCGTGGACAAAGTTGGCCACGAAGGCGCTACAGCTGAAGGAGAGGTGAGGCGATCGTTGAACGGCGATTATTCGCCTCTGTATCAGGCTGGGTACATGCTGGGAGCATTACAAATTTATGCCCTGCGGAAGGAGGTTGTTGAGACAGGTCGCATGGCGGAGATTGACTTCCACGATCGGTTTTTGAAGGAGAATCGCATGCCGATCGAGTTGATGCGAGCATTAATGCAGGATCTGCCACTGAGCCCGGACTACACACCGTGCTGGAAATTTTACAGCTTTCGCAATCACTAGCACCGAGGCTCTCTTGAGTTTTTTTTTAAAAGAAGCTCTGTGGGATTTTAACCTCCAGCAGCGGCTTATCTGAGAGAGCTGTTGCTGAATGCCTTGTGTGGCGCGGTTTTTTGCTTTTGTTTTAGCTGCCCAATAACATCCAGATAATCCTTTTCCGATGGCCTCAGCGTCACGCCGATCTGCCTTGAACAACCAAGGGAATCTGCCTTAAAAGGGACCGGACTCATGTTGCGTATCCTCTCTTTGGTTTAGCTGTCGAGATGATCAGCATGAGCATGTGGAGTCGTGGGGGCTACCTTCTCCTCTTCCCTGGCGCGCCTTGCCATTCTGGGGCGATGTTTCAGGGGTCTTGGCTAGTTTCGGTGGCAATGCAGCATTGCAGAAAAAGGCGCCGGAGTAATCCACATCAGTAAACACCGCGGGTCTGGAGAGTGTCACATATATAAACACAGGTAGTACTCTCGCACTCGATACCCCTGACTGGTCGACTTCAACAAACATAGTGTCAACTAGGCCGAACATACTTCAACCATGGCACGCAGAGCACTGTTTCCAGTCTTATACACACTCCTTTTTAATAAATTGGCGTTGGCCGAGCCTGTTCAAGTACTAGACACGGATTTTCCAGACCCTTGTCTGATTCAGACGACTGATGGATACTATGCTTTTGCTACCTCGGGTAATGGTGTGAATGTACAGATTGCCTCATCGTCAGACTTTTCCACGTGGGAGCTTATGTCCGGTGTGGATGCTCTGCCAGGCCCATTTCCGTCATGGGTAGCTTCCTCCCCTGCAGTGTGGGCTCCTGATGTAAATCAAATGGTACGTTCATTAATCTCAAAAGTAATTGTCACAATAAATATTCACATTACCAATACAGGAGGATGGCACGTTTGTCATGTACTTTTCCGCTGCCTCCAGTGAAGATGACAGCAAGCACTGTGTCGGAGCTGCCACATCCAGCAGCATCACAGGGCCCTACACCCCAGAGGATAACTACCTAGCCTGTCCACTGGACCAAGGCGGTGCCATTGATGCAGACGGGTTCAACGACGGAGGCACATACTACGTCGTCTACAAGATAGACGGTAACAGCCTCGATGGCGACGGCACCACACATCCCACCCCCATCATGCTACAAGAAGTCGAGTCCGATGGTGTCACACTATCCGGTGATGCGACTGAGCTTCTCGACCGTGATGATGCGGATGGACCGCTCATCGAGGCTCCCAGCTTGGTGAATGTGGGTGGGACGTACTATCTCTCCTTCTCGTCCAATATGTATGACACAACGCTGTACGATGTGAGCTATGCAACGGCCAGCTCTGTGACCGGCCCATATACCAAAGCTCAGGCCCCAGATGCGCCACTTCTTGTGTCTGGAGATCCAAGCAATGTTGGCAATCTAGCGGGACCTGGCGGTTCAGACTTCTCTTCTGATGGCACCAAGATTGTATTCCATGCTTTTCTGAACGGCGTGAATATCAGTGACGGGCGGGCTATGTGGACCTCTGGCATCAGCTGTTCCGGGGGTGTGATCAGTTTGGCTTAAACATTGATTTTAACCAATTATACTTTAAATTTATGTTTACTTTCAGTGAATGGAAGAGAAAGTGGTCGATTCCGATTATGTAACACCTCGGTGTTCCACGTCGTCCTTCGATCCACCTTACTCGTCAGGCCATTCTCCGAATACTCAAGCATCAGAAATTAAAGATCCCCTCGCGAGATGGCCTCAGTGCAGATTCTGGACGGTGGCCTGGGAACATCCTTGCAAGACAAATACGGAGTCAAGTTCGACTCCTCCACCCCACTCTGGGCATCCCACTTGCTGGTCGCTGATCCAGCAACCCTACAAGCCTGCCAGCAGGATTTCGTGGCTGCTGGCACAGATGTGCTTCTGACAGCAACCTACCAAGTATCTGCCGAGGGGTTTGAACGAACAAAAACCGCAGATTTCCCAAGTGGCGTCCCGAAAAGTGCAATCGGGCCTTTTCTTCGTACCGCGCTAGATGTTGCAGAGCAGGCAAAGGCCAGTGCAAACACCAAGATTGCTCTCAGCTTGGGCCCATATGGCGCGTGCATGATCCCAGGACAGGAGTACAGTGGCAAATATGACGTTGAGCATGATAATGAAGAGGCCCTATTTCGCTGGCATCTCGATCGACTGCGCCTCTTTGCGGGAGGCTGAGAAGAATCTAATCCAGCGTGTGCAGTATGTTGCCTTTGAGACATTGCCGCGCCTCGATGAGGTTCGTGCTGTTAGAAGAGCAATTCGTGCTGCGGCGATTGAAGTCCCGTTCTGGATCTCGTGTGTCTTTCCTGAAAAGGATGATGTTCTACCAGACGGGAGTTCAATTGAGCAGGTTGTCAGTGCTGCTGTGGATTTAAGAGAAGGTGCTGGCGCTCCGTGGGGCATTGGAATCAACTGCACGAAAATACACAAGCTTCCGAATTTGGTGAGCAAGTTCGGCGACAGTGTTGCGGCCAGAGTGGCTGCTGGCCATCTGGCAACTGCCCCTTGTCTTGTCTTGTATCCCGACGGGACCAATGGCGAGATTTACAACACATCCACGCAAACATGGGAGAGGCCGACCAATGCCAGAGATGACGCAAAAAAACGGGTAAGGACAGAAATTGTGAGCCTGGTAGAAAGATAGGCAATGGCTAATTCGATTGCAGTGCCCTTGGGAATTACAGCTTGCTCAAGTTGTCCAAGATGCGACAGCAAGTGGAAATTTTCACTCGTTCCTTGTTGGTGGCTGTTGCAAGGCTTCTCATGCAGATATTGAAAAACTTCATGATCGACTCAAAAATCAGTGATTTATTCGAGCTTCTCATAGATAACTACAGAAATATATTCATGACGAAGAATACCAGGATCCTTTTCCCTCTTTTCCCTTCCTCGTTCTTGCATCCGACCCTAGTCGTCATATGGGGTCGAAGCAAGCAAAAGAATAGATTAACCAGAGGATGGGGTCAGGCTACCTACCAAATTCAGGATTAATTAAAACGGTGGTGATTGAGCTTTTTAAGAAAAACCGCAAGTACCTTTTGTATGGGAACCTCACACAAAAGGTAAAATGATAAGTGGACTGAAAGATATTTAGTCCATCAGCGAGAAAAATGAGGGCCTGCGAAGGGGCCGGTATAACGAATATCAAGGTGGCAAATAGATTGATAAATAGGCTCAACTAGGCACGTATATATACAAAGGCCTAAATTCAAGCAAGCCAGTCAAGAAATCGCCTCCACGGCGTTTGCGGATATTCTTGTTCAATGATTTCACCCTCCTGGAGACGGCCAGACCATAAATCGATAGTGGCGGCGCGCTGAAACTTGGTTCGTTTAATGATTTTCCAGGCAATGATTGGAACAATGAAGATCGGAATGCCAATGTACGAAGCGACAAAACTTGACGTAGACCAGTTACCCTTGAGGAAAACGGGAAAACCGGCAATGAGAGTGATAATGGTCGAGCCGATGAAGCCCACCCATGCCGCATACGGTTGCAGGGGCGACTTCCAGGGCAAGGTATCTCGGCTAATACCCTGCGCCTTCATCGCGGCGTAAAAGCGAATGTAGCAGAAGCTGAGGGTGGCCCAGGCGATTAATCCGGCAACTGTACTGAGGTTCAGAAGCCAAGTAAAAGCCTGTGATGCACCGCCTTTCCCGAGACTCAGATACGCTAACGGTCCGAAGAGCCAGGCGGTAAAAACAGCCACGTATGGCACGCCCTTTTTGTTGACACGACCAAATATTTGGGGTAGCTGATGATCCGTAGTCATGGCCACGATCATGCGTGAGCCAACCCAGCAGTAGGAGTTGCCCGCGGACCACGCAGCAACGAGAATGCAGGCATTCACAATAGAGGGCAGAGCACTGATCCCGGCCTCCTTAATCGCAATAACGAATGGCGAGCTGTTTGCGTTATCCGCGGCTGAGACAAGAGCTTTGTTATTTGGGTTGACAATGATCCCAATAAGGAGAGCACCCAAAACGTAGAAGAAAGCAATGCGGTATGTTACCCGACGTGCAGCCTTTGGGATCGCACGGTGCGGATCGACAGATTCGGCAGCCGTGATGACGACAGTCTCGACACCAATGAAGCTGAACGAGGCGTTGACGAACGAAGACAAGAATCCAAGAAAGTGACCCGTTGGGCCGGTGATGCCGTTATAGTCCGTCCAGGCTCCAGGATCGTGCCAAAAGCGGAAGCCGATGGTCTCATGGTTCGGTCCACCACCAGCGGTTATGACGATGGACACAATAACCAGGCCTAAGAAGCAGAGGACCTTAATGGCGCCACCGATCACTTCGGTTTCGCCATAGAACCGGACGCTCATTAGGTTGATGGCCAAGATCAGTACGAGTCCCACAGTGATGACCACGGCCGGTGTCAGATCTGTCCAGTAGGAGACAATAACCGCAGCAGCCGATGTCTCCGAGGCGATAGCGATAGTGTAACAGTAACCGTATGAGATAGCGAGTGAGAAGCCCACGGATGGATCAATGAAGCGGGTAGCCCAGTGCGGAAACGATCCGGCCGTGGGGAGTAGCGTTGCCAACTCGGCGATACTCTGCATCACGCACCACAGTACCATTCCGACGATGATGAACGCCAGCAGCAGTCCAGCCGGACCGGCTTTGGCGTATGCAGCGCCCGTTCCCACGAAGAGACCAGTGCCGATGCCGCTGCAGAAACCGATCATGGTGACCTGATAGTTCCGCAGACGTCGCTGCGTGGCTCCACGGCCACCGACATTGAAGTGAATCTCATCCTTCAAATTCGCTTCATAGTCGCCAAAGTTGGCCGTAGCCGGCTCGATGGCGTCTTGAGCAAAAGCGGACTTCTCCATGGCGGGTGATGTTGAGACGGTCATGATCCACCCATGCAGGATCTGCCCCGGATGAACTGCAGGAATTCTAGAAAGTTGCTAGCAGGTGAGAACAGCTGTATATATTTTTCTTTTTAGCTTCTGAAAATCTTCAATCACGACATTTGGTTCCGACTCTGCACCACATTGACTTTCTCCACTTAACCGAAGCTCATTGGGTCGAATCCTTCACGACCCCACTTAATCTTGAAGATGGTCAAATCGCGGAAGAAACGATGAAAGAGTGCGTCAGTCTTGAGACAGAGCACGTTATGGGAAAAGTACAGAATAATAGGAATACGCATGCATCCGTGCTACCTACCCAGTTTAGTGACAGCCCACGTTGAGATTGCTCCGATCTTGCCATGATTCTTGTCTCTGTGGAACCTTGGAAGCGGGCCGGAAAATGCTTGGCAGGGTCAAGATTATTCACAAATTCGTGCGGCTGGGATAGTGTAATTTTAACGAGTGCCTGTAATTAGGGTTGACAGCATCGGGCGGCAATATAACACAAATTGCGAAACAACTACAGACCAACCGCCGAGATGGCTAGACCGTTAGTTACATATTTAATGCCTAATCTTTCAGGCATCAATATTTAATGTCTACAATTAATAATTGATGACACGCATTATTATTGTTATGCACGTAGATTTAGTATTGTGTTCTATCGAGCCATCCACATCTGGATCTTGGCAAGACCAATTCCTTTGAGAATAGTATTTAGACCAACCTGCTCTCAGAAAGGGGTTGGATCTATCAAGGCCCAACAGAACACAACGATTGATTTTGTGCTCTCCGACTCGCACCGGGCCGGATCGTGCGAAGATCAGCTCCAAGCAGAGCAAGTTGTGGGCTGATCCGACATAGGGAAAGGCTTCAGGGGACAGCGCAGGCGTGGGGACCAACCGCCAAGGCTAATGTCCCGATCGCAATCAGTAGCGGCCGATCATCCTTCCATACTTTTCGGGTTCCGTAATCAGCCGGGTTTGAACCCCTCTCATTCTTTCCGGAGACTGCGAGGAATGCTCCTTTCCTCTTCAATCGGCTTCATCGGGATCACCTCTGCCAATTGAATAGTGGTCTCTCGCGAAATTGATGAGCAGCGTCAACTGACCTCATGTCCGAGGCTCCGCGACAAAGTAAAGTCTCCCATGGGTCTTCGCCAGGGACTCCGGCCGACGAGACCACTCGACCAGCCCAAACATTAGCACCGGTCGCCAACCAGAGGAAACTGCCGGGATGGCTAGATCATTTCAATGCGCGCGACCTCAAAGTGTTGTTTCGCTGCTCGGTAGCAGCATGGGTCGCGTCACTGTTGATCTTCATCGGGCCTTCGCATGATCAGATTGGGACTGCGACTTTTTTCGCGACGTGAGTTGCCGCGTGTTATCATGTCACAATAGTTTCTGATTGGCTTTTCAGCCTTGTTCTGTTCATAGTGCCTCCTACCGGTATCGTGTTCGTCTTCATCCTGGCAGCCCTGACGCTTCTCATCGGCATGGGTCTAGCCTGGGCATGGGGTACCATTGTCATGAAGGCTGCGATAGCCGCGCGACCGTCGTCTGATACCGAAGCTAGGCTTCAGGCCCTAGGGAAACAGGCCTACAGCCAGGCCAATGCGACAGGACAGCCCGTCTCAGCCGTTGAACAGAAGCTTATTTATGACGGCTGGATGCTGGATGCCCGGGTGACTGCTGTCTACTTTTCTCTCATATGCCTGTTTATCTATGTCTTGGTTAGTGGTCTGTGCTAAGTGTCCGTTTCAAGTGTGTTGACTGTCTCTCCTAGGCGCGTATGCGGGCTAAGAACCCTAAGTTCACGCTTACACAGATTTTCGGCACCATCATCTCGGATCTTTTCTTGACCATTGGCCCCCTGCTTCCCGCATTTAATGGAACTCTGCCCAAGCTCTTGATTGAGCCCGCAGCAATTGGAATAGGGATCGGACTGGCTTGCTGTCTGCTCTTTTTCCCCAGATCGACGTCCCACACAGTGCTCGCCGGCTTTGAGGGTCTGGCACGGCTCTTAAAAACACCTTTGGACTTTACGCTAGCCAGTCTTTCAAAAGACGGCGATCCACTAATTCTCCAAAGTCTTCGTAAAAGCAAGGCGGTCACGATTGAAGCATATCGGGGCATAGAGCCAGCGCTAGCATTTTTGCCATTGGACTTCAGTCTGGGATGGTGGAACGCGGACGACATCCAGAGTCTCAAGGAGCCGATCAGGGAGACTCTGGTTAGCAGTGTGGCTCTTCTTGAGCTTCACGTCGCGCGTTTGAGCGGGGCGACAAAGCTTGAGAAGCTGGACGAGATCATTGCCGGTCACAATCACGATTCGGACACTGAGCCCGGAAATGCCGAGCACGACGAAAAGAAGAAGAACAAGGATAGAAAGAAGCCGCATGAGGTCGGCATGCGCCAGCTACTGGATACTGTCGATCTTGTGAACGCCCTTCGCAGTCCCGAACACGAGTCTATTCGGTTGGAGACCGTCGAAGCTATTCGAGAGTCCAGCAGAGAGATACTTCCCGCTTGTCAAGAGGCCACTGAAACCGTGGCCCAAGTCATCCATGTGGTCAACTCAGCTCGATGGTTTGGTCGGCCATCTCAACAAAACTTAAATGAGGCATTGGAGCGCAGCCAATCGACCCTTCAGGCTCTTCAGGCCGTACGGAACTCATTTGCCACAGAAGCTACAGAGAGGCTGATTCAGACCTATGCGGACATCTTTGATGAAGCTGGCAAGCTGAAAAGACTTGACCAATCTACTTCCCTTTCGGTTAGGGGCATCATGATAGGAATGATTTTTGAAGAGCATATTCTCGGTGTCGCTGACTCCTGGGAGAAAGTTCTTTGTCAGATCACTGCTCTTCTGAAAGAACGCCAGAAGATCCGACTCTGGCTACCCAAAGGAGTGCGTTATGCCGTCAATTGGGTTTTCCGAAGAACCGCTGTGGCCCCGGTCATGGCCACGCAAGGGTCCGCAACCGATCCTGATATCGAAGAATCAGAATCAAAAGCAGCCCAGCAGCGTCTTCGTATCAGCAGAGGATACCGCGTGAAACGGCGGAACGGTCTGGGGCGAGCCATTCTCGGCTCGTATCACTGGCTCATCAACCCAGACGGCATGTATGCGCTACGAATGGTGGCCGTGACAATTGCCCTCGGTATTCCCGCTGTCATCCCATCAAGCGCAGGCTTCTACTTCAGGGAAAAGGGACTTTGGGGCCTCATCATGGGCCAGACAACCATGCTTATCTACATGGCCGACTTTACCTTCTCTGTTATCTCGCGGGCTATTGGCACAGTCGTCGGTGGTATTTTAGGCTTGCTGGCATGGTACATCGGGTCGGGCGATGGACCCGGCAATCCTTATGGCCTTGGCGCCATCATGGCAGTCGTGATTGTTGTTCTGATGTGGGGACGCTTATTCGCTCCTCCCGCTTTGCTCCAGGGCTGCATGATGGGCGGGGCCACTTGCATTCTCGTCGTGGGTTACAGTTACGACGATACGTAAGTTGCGACTAATTTCTTGTGTTATAGCGGCGCTGACCTAAATCTCAGGCACATCCCACAGTACGGCAACCCTGGTGTAGGGTACAACGTGTTTTGGCGACGACTCGTGCTCGTTTTCGTAGGGTTTGCAGCTGCCATAATCGTGCAACTCTTCCCACGACCACCCTCTGCCTCGCGGCATATCTGCAAATCGCTCTCAAACGTCATCCGTTCCCTTTCTGACCACTACGCCCTTCTTCTCTCATGCTGGGGCCAGTCCGATCGCAATGCGGGGCTGGTAGCCGAGAAGATCGCGGTCGAGCTTGGTGAAATACTCAATTCACTGAACGGACCTATTGCGATGCTCCGCTTCGAGTTCTCCGGCTCGCCATTCGACAGCGACCGTCTAGCCCAGGTAAAATCCCTCTGCGAGGATCTAAACCGGAACGTCGCCCGACTGTTGTATCTCTCTGCGTCGCTCCCAGAGTACCTGCAGGCACGTCTCGCACGTTATGTTGGTCTTCTCGATCACCGCAATATTGGCGATATCATGGTCGTGCTAGGAGTCGTGGAACAAGCGCTTAAAACCGGAGACCCGCTACCGGAAGTCCTACCCACTCCACTGCTTAAACGCTGCCACGAGTTTTGGCAATCACGTCATGTGGATATTGTGCTCAGTACAGAAACGATCCGTGATGAGAATTACCGGAAGTTCTGCGTTGCGGTTAGCTCCTACCTTAAGTTCCTGGCCGCCATCGATGATCTGGTGCTTGTCATGAAGGGCACACTGGGCGAGTCTCATATTGTTAGCCGAGAGTTGATGCACGACGAGTACGGGGTGTAAATATAGCCTCTCTATATAAAGATTCTCCGTGACGGACGAATTGAGTGCCTCATGTTACTTAGCATAAATCCCTTGTCGCCTCCCCGTGGCCTCTAGCTCTACAAACAGTACTAGAAGCTGCCAGTTTCAAGTTGCAGAGATCTTCTAGCTGCCAGTTTCAAGTTGCAGAGATCCTAGGGCTGAGTCCACGTTGTAGAGTACTCTCTTCGAACAGCCTCAATATCGAATGTTGAATAAATCTAGTGATATTCTCTGCCGAAACCAATATTGTTGGATATAAGCGTGGCTAGTTAAAGCCGTTGACCGAAATTTCTCCGCACGCCATCAGTTTTTCTCCTCAGTGGGTCGGTTCCCCTCACGGCGGCCGCCGAACCCTTAAAATGCACGGCCTTCCCCCCAACCGAAAAAAAAAACACCGAACACCATCCTTGTTTGGCTTTGCAGCATGCCCCCTTCCCGCCTCGCCCGCCTTCCCCCGTGGATGAGCCACTGGCTGGGCTATCGCTCAGAGACCCCAGCGCCATTAAACAAGTACATCGTGGCTGGCTGGTCCTTCCTAGCCGCGTTCTGCGGTCTGTCCGTCTTGCAGGGCCTCTTCAACTACTCGGATTATTTTAAAGAGCGCCATGTGCCAGGGATCATCGCATCCTACGTGAGCTAGACCCATCTTCCCCAGGGCTCCGCACCGGTGTTGGCTAACGAGTTCTTTAACCAAATAGGGCGCATCAGCAGTCCTAGTCTTTGGCTCCATCGAGGCACCCCTGGCGCAGCCGCGCGCCCTAGTCTTTGGCCACTTTTTCAGCGCTCTGATCGGTGTCTGCATCATCAAACTGTTCAGCCTCATGCCCGATGCTGAGCGCTTCGAGTCATTACGCTGGCTGGCCGCCTCCCTTTCGACTGCCATTGCGATCGTCGTCATGCAGCTAACCGGCACCACGCACCCACCCGCCGGAGCAACAGCTCTACTTCCGGCCACTGACGAAGCGATATATCAACTGTCTTGGTACTTTTTACCTGTGATCTTGCTTTCGTCGATGTTGCTTTTGGTGTGTGCCTTGCTCATCAACAACTTGCACCGTCGATACCCTGTTTTCTGGATTGCGCCTTCTGTCCCGGCGAAACCTGCGCCTGCGCCGGTTCCGGCGCCAGTGGAGGACCCTGTACAGGACTGTGATAAGCCTCCTGAGGCATCGGTTTAATACTTGGCGACTTAGAACTTGGTTACTAATTGTGGCGTTGAGCATATATACGGGGACATAATAGAGGTTTGTATATATATTGTCGGCTGAGAATTCGATATTGAAATGAGTGAACAAATAATCTACACACTGTCCGAAAAGGCCATTCCCTTTCTTTCACAGCTGCACCACGATCTTCAGGCAACTGACACCAGCGCGCAACTCATCCAAAGCCTTATTGGCCGACTCCAAACCCCCTTCCACCACCTTAATCTTCGGACTTGGGACCAGGCTGCCACCAGCCAAATTCTCCTGCAGCCAGACATTGAATATCCAACTGGACCACTGGTTCCGCTCTGCAAGATCCTCAGGTGGGCGGACAAATGTTGTCTCCACGGTCTCTGGCGGCTTCAACTCAGTGTCGACAAGGGGCGCAATAGCCAGTTTTGCTCTCGCCTCTTGACCTTTTAATTCATTCATCAGATCCACCACAAGCTGCTGATCTCCCTGCGCCAGATACCCCTTTGTTATGTCGACCCCATCCTCCTTCGCAGCATTCTTGATCTGCGATCCAACATCCTCAGCCTTGTAGTCAAACATTCGCGTGGCGCCAAGGCTCTTGATGTAGTCATGGTGCTGCGCACTAGCCGTGGCATACACTGTGTACCCCATCACCTTAGCGGCCTGAACGGCAATGGTTCCGACACTGGTCGACGCGCCCCAGACAAGAACAACTTCCTTTTTAGCACCTGCGGGTGCCGAGAGAGGGGCGAGGGGAACGCCTGTGAAATTCCAACCATTCCAGGCCGTGAAGACCGCCAAGGGGAACACACTCCCCTCGACAAAGGACAAGGCGTCGGGCAGTACGGTCACACACTCGGCACGCACGAGGACGTAGCGCTGAAGGGCACCATAGTTCGGGGATCCCTTGTAGTAGAACGAGGAAGCTAATGCCACCACTCGTACTCCGGGCTTCAGGCTGGTGGACTGAACCTCGCTGCCGATACTGGCAACTACGCCGCCAACGTCGGAGCTCACGATCGATGGGTACTGTTCGATCAAAGGAAAGCCCATGTCTCGCTGGTAATAATCGACAGGATTAAGGGCGACGGCATGCACTTCGATAAGCAGTTCGTGGGGACCCGGGGTTGGTGTGTCGCGCAGCTCAACGACCAGTGGTCCACCCTTTTTGGGGGAGAATGGCGGCCTGGTGCTGTGTGGATGAAGCAGACATCGTTATAGATAGTTTTCTTTTGCTTGTTATTGTAACTTAGTTCTTGATACTTTCACTTTCGAGTGCATATTCGTCGCTTTTATAGCTCCGTGTTCTAGCTAGTCACGACGGACCCGTAAAACTATTAGTAATGCCGGTCTTTACCCTATCTCCGTCGTATGTGAGCCAGAGCCATGGAATTTTTTACGTCTACGATTATTGCAGATGATGCTCCATGATACCTTGCAAGACGGTGGCTAAGGAAATCCATTGGCAATTCGGAAACGTCTATCCCCGATTCCCGTTCTCCACTTAGTCGTCGGGGTCTTGATGCCCCGATCAGCTCAAAGTAGTTTAGGGATTCGAATTGCCCAACATCACACCTGAATGCGAAAAGAAAATTTACGGAGTTTGCAGACCAGAACACACGGAGATATGTCTCTACATTTTAAAACGCTAAGCTAGATATGGAGCAGCTATATGCAAGCCCAAAAATTGGGATTATGCTACATGAGCCCATCCACGAGGATGGAGGACCTGCATCTCATTCACGAGACAGAAAACACCAGGCTCGTGGTTATGTTCGCTCTGTGCAGCCCACTTTTCCACCCGATTCCGGATGGCCATTTCTTTCGGCAACGGAGAACTTGTCCAGCGGCGCAGACGATTACTCCATAGCCCCCGCAGAATCTGCCATCGGGATAGCCACTTTCCAGTCGGATTCACGGCATCGTAGGCATCGCCGTTGTACCCTACGCGTACACGGGGGTTGAGGTAAATGCCCAGGTATTTGGATAACCGGTTGTCCGCGTGGATAAGGCAACACTCCGAGCCTTCGAGATGAGCACTTGCGAGGGAATCGGGGATACCTCGGAATCTGAGTGGTGACTTGGCGTAAAAGGGACCTGCTGGCATGGCGACTAATTATCTGTTAGCTTTGAAACTGAGAGCTTTTTCGCAAACTTACCTAGGCCGTTCCAGCAACTAGTCACTGGGACAGGCGCCATGTTCTTGATAGCACGCCGAGATGACGCCGCACGGAAATACGGCCATTGCTGCATTACCGTCTCATGGCCATCAATATCTCGGAGCGCAAAGGTGTCATAGTAGTCGGGTGGCTTTGAGAAATCCAGCGAACAGGCAGCGGCATAGTTGCCCTTGTTGGTATTCAATAGTTCGACTATATCATTGCCCTGAATGGCAATAGCATAAATCAGTACAAGCATGTATGAGATGGCAGGAACAAAACCAACAGTGAAGACAACGTCGTTCAAAAACAAGACCTTGTCAAATATGATTCCCTGCTCTGCCAGCTCTGCCAGCGGCTGGAGACTCAAATTCCGCATTCGAGACAAATACGGAATTCGCCTCAGCTGGCTCTTTCCTGAAGAGGTCTTGACCCAGCCATCGCCATCGTGTGGTTTGTTCATTTCGTCCTCGTGCGTAACCGGCGAGGTAGTGATATTCCGAGGTACGTGAAGACGATCTAGCTCCTCGTCCAGCTCCGCCAGCGCACCCTTAGTCCCATCCGAGCTGCCGCTCTCGTAGATACTGATAAAAATTTTGTCGGGTCCCAACTTCTGAGCGAGGTCAAGCACGGCTTGATTCCAGTGGTTCCGTAAAATAGACTCGCTGTTCCAATTCACACCGGCGATGTAGACTCGCTCCCGTCGCTGTGGCAGTTCAATCCGTCGCCGTGGCTGTTCATGGTGAATATCGTCTGCTTTGAGTAGCCGTCGGTGGACCCAGTGGACTTCTATCCAATTCCATAATACAGAGAGGATAATCAGCGCGCGGAGTATCTGGCGTTGGCGCTGGCGGCGGCGGCGGCGGCGGACTCGGAGGCGGGAGGAGAAAGGCGAGAGGATCATGTCATGGATGAGGATTCCGGGAATGCATAGAGCCTAAAGATCAGCGCATGCTAAATTTGAGAGCGTTTGCGGAGTCGTCGACAACGTTAAGAGAACGAAGAAGAGGTGGTCATTATTGCTAGAGGGACTAGTCAATAATTAGGGGGACCCTTGTCCGAATCCAGAATAGGCGCCGCGGACCTGGTGACTTGACTAACTAAATGATTCTCGCTATGAAATTCGGTTTCAACAGTTCCTATTGTTAATTTACAATCGCTGGGAGGATAGTACCGGCGACAGCGAACAAGGGAGGGAATGTAACCCGAATTAATCAACACAACATCTCTTGCCAAGCTACCATGTGGGCTTTGCTAACCCAGCATATGACCAAACATGGCTAGCGCGGTCACTGCCACTGCAAACTTCAGTTTTGCCCCTGAACGAGTACGACTTCCCATGCCCGTTTGAGTCGCCGATGCAATAGAGCCAGTCGGAGTGCCACTCGTGATGCGAGTACTAACTCCTTGTACCCATGGCTGGCCCGGGAGCGAGTCAGAGCTCTTTTCCACCTCTGCTACACTTAGCACTTTGTTCTCCAGCAAGGCACAATCCACCCTTGTCAATTCCGCTCTAATACTGTTGGTGACCGAGATGGGAAGGTCAAACACGGTGTAGTAGTCGGTGCCGTTCCAGCGAAAGGACTGGTGCATGGAGATATTATATTCTCCCCGATCAGAAGAGCTGCCGCCGTTGCCGACCATGCAATTGGGCCACTCCCAGTTCACATGCTTGACGGTGGAGGAGGGCTCAAGATCTAGTACTGGGCCGACATACCCTTGGAGATTGTCTGATGGCACTGTGCCATTGGAGATGGTGAAATTGTGCGAGAGCGATTCGGATGTCAAGAATAACGTGATGTTGTGGAAGAGAGTGGGGGAGTTGGCGGACTGTGTGGAGGGTGGCCATGGCAGCCGTCCGTCTCCGGAGACATCAATTGCGACTTGAAGGTATTCTGTATCGTGGGTCAGTTAAGATGTCAACGGAGTTGGAGAATCGATGAACGCACGCCCACCCTCGGGGGTGTAGGGCTGTGGGGAATCGACAATCGCCAGGCCAGGCGTGTAGATCTGGCCGTTCACAATAGTAAAGTTACCCATGGTTTGGCTGCGTAGAACTCCCAAGGTTCAAGATCGAGATGATGAGTTTGGGGGAGGTTTTCGCTGCCAAGGCCTCATTTCCGGGGCCTCCGTCTCCTCCTTGACGGTTTGAGATTAATTAATTTCGACGGTTGTTGTGGTCGGCGGCGCCACACCGTCAAGATAATCAAATTCTCCGACCAGAATAGTTATGCCCTAGAACACTGGGTATCCGTTTAGGATGTAACGACATACAAAGTAAGCTTTCTGACAAGGAACTGCTTCAGGCACGTTACTCCACATCTCGGTACTCCACGTCCCCCGAGGCCCGACTGATCATCAGCACCGACTTCATCTCGGCGCTGCCGAGAACAGCACTCTCAACAACTAACAAATATGGCCTCAGAATGGTACTGTACCGTTTGTCCCGCTACCTTTACTCGCGCAGAACATTTAAAACGGCATAATGCGTCTCGTTCGTCTACCTACCAATCCTCTGGTCCGACACTGCTGATTGATCCGATGTAGACGTTGACGACCGGCCACATGCCTGTGCATCTTGTGGGAAAACGTTCAATCGAAGGTATTATATGAACGGTACCTGTATCTATGCATTTTGGATATGAGATCTGATCTTTCTTCCTAGGGATATACTCCGGCGACATGAAAAGACCTGCAAATCTCGAGTCCAAGCACTCTCCGAAAGTGAGGACCGCTTCCAATCAGATGAAGATAGACAGCCAAAACGACGTTGCTCAATAGGGTTGAATGATCCGACTATCTTGCGTTTACCCGAGCCAGATCCACTCGCGCTTGATTTTACTTTTACTGGTTGTGGCTATGCTGAGCCAACAGGGGTACTGGATTTACTTGAGCCTAACTCCAGAAGCACACCTGAGCTGGACAAGTTAGATAGCTCCACCTATATCACGGGGAACCATCTATTGACAGACATTCCGTCACCTCTGGATTTCTCCACCTTGGATCTTCTGTATTCTCCGCAACTGACCTCAGATATCATCCTTGCTGAGCGACTGGAATATCTTGCATATTTCACTAGCACACGTGGAATGGCAACATTTGCAGACCATGAATCGTTCCGGCGAAGTCAGAAGATCGTGGTAGATGCCTACGAAGCCAAATTGCAACAGCGGCCTGCACCAAGAACCAATCATGCGGATGGCCACTCCGATTCTACAGCAAAAGAACCACATCACGATTTAGACCCATCTCCAACACAAGAGTCTATCTCCCGTTCGTTAGACGCCAAATCTCACCAGCTTGTCGATAGTCTCAGAACTGTCATTTGCGGAAGGCAAAACGACGATGTCATCACCCTGGATTGGTCCTCATCTCTGCACAAGCTATGTCAAGAGTTCTTCTCTCCACCCAACATACGCCGCTTTCTAGAATATTTTTGGTCATTATGGTACCCCCACTGTCCGATTGTGCACAGGCCTCTTTTCGATTCATATGCAGCCACGCCAGCCCTACTATGCGTGATGGTGGTCATTGGGGCATGCCTTTCTTCGCGCGACAGTGACAACCAGACTGCCAGGATGTGGCTTGACAGCGTGGAAGAACTAATTTTTAGCCATGCCTGTTTTAGGAAGAGCCATTCTCAGGGCTATGATGATATTGTTTGGAAGAAGGAAATGCTGCAGAGTATTCAAGCGGCATATCTTGTTAGCTCTTTGCAGAAGAGAGAGGGGTCTGTGGAAGCTCAGGCCCGCATTCGACGATATCGTCATGCGTCCATGGTCGCAGTGAGTTTGAAAACAGTTGTCTTTTCCGTCCATCCATACTGAAACCATCATAGTTGGCAAGACACATCGGGCCTGGAAATGCTTCTCACCGAAATCTCCACCTTCATGAAGCTTCGCTACCATGGTGGAAGCAATTCGCCGAGGAAGAAGAGCTGATCAGGTGAGAATTACCAAACTTCTGACCGTTAAATCTGGCTCATTGCTCTAGGACTCTCATATTTGTCTTCTTGATTGACACAGCCCTTGTGATTTTGCACAATTCACCGCCCCGAATGGTTATCCCCGAGATGAAGATGGACGTGTCATGCCCCGAGGCGTGTTTCCAGGCCATGTCTGCATCTGAATGCCTCGTCCATCTTCGTGACTGGGCCCACACCCGCTTCTGGAGGGACAGACTCTCTGTTGTATCAGTGGTTAAGCGCATTTGCCAGAGCCAAATGCAAGATACCCTGGTCAACGAGTACGCGCAGTTGGGGACACTTAATCTTTTTACAATGGTGCAAGGTATGCTTGACTTCTTTAAGGTATTTTAATTTACTGACACCACCAAAGCAATTCATTCCCTCATGTTCCACCTGCAAAACTCCCTTGTTTTCGAATCGACATTAGCACCCGTCCAGACAGGGCTTGAGAACTGGAGACGGATCTGGAATGAAAGAGTCCCCGAAGATCAAAACATTCCCGATACCGCTGAGAACATATGGAAAAAGGTCGGATTTCTGCGCCAGGCATCGGAATTTTGGCACCTGGCTCGGATCTTCGCGGCCAAGGTCGGCTCAACGAGTAACTACTTTGATGACCACACAGAGACGGAGTCATTTCAGACGCATACTAGCTACGATCACACAGATATGGGCGACGTGAATGGGCTTATTATGGAGTATAGGAGGATGAATTTGGGTGTTAGTTGAATGCTCTATCACTTTGCTTCTGGGGTTTGCATTCTTTTTTGCACACGGACTTCGAAATCCATCGGTTTGACAAACCAGAAGTTCTCCGTATGCCATGTCTTTCGTAGAGGAGTGAGGTTGAAGTCACGCACAAGCCGTGGAATCAATTTAGACATCTCGAGGATAGAGATGTGCTTACCCAAGCATGTTCGGGAACCTAGGCCGAACTATTTTTAATGTTAGCAACAGTACCATCTTATTTAAGGATTGTCACACGTACAGGCATATACATCTGGTTCATTTCCTTTAGCCGCTCCGGATCACTCTCGGCTTCCAACCATCTCTCTGGTCTGAATGTCTTTGCATCCGGGAACGCTTTTTCATCGTAGTGTGCCACCCAGGTATTGATGCCGACTACAGTGCCGGCAGGGAAATGGCGCCCACTGATTTCTGCACCGCCATCAGGGACTACCCTCCACATGGGCAGCCCGGTAGCGCTGTGCATGCGTAGCGCTTCCTTGATAACAGCCTGGAGATACGGCATATCCTGACTTTCCTTGAAAGTGACTTCCGCGCTGCATTTCCCCTGAGCAGTAAAATCGTCGATCTCTTGTCGCAACTTCCTGAGCGTCTCGGGGTTGTGAAGCAGATTCCACGCAATAGCCGACAGACTGATGGCCGTGGTATCAGATCCGGCACTGACATTTGACAGGCCCATAATGAAGAGGTGATAATCCGTCACTTTCTCCGGGTCCTTGTCGCGCGCACTCATCAGTTTCTCAAGGAAATCTTGCGTCTTGAATCCATTACTCGCTGGTTCGGGATCGTTTCTCTTCTCTTCGTGGAGTCGGATCTTCTCTTTCACGAAACTGCTGAGATACGCTCTCCCACCCGCGCCAGACCATTTGAATCGGCTTAATGGGCCGAAGAGTCGCGGGTGCCATTCTGGATAGATCCCGACCAACGTGCTATACATCAATACGTTATCCAGTGCATCCATAGCTCCATCTATATCGATTCCATCATCCAGAAATCCTGTGTTGCCTTGTTAAACTCCTTCCACCTCTCGCCGTTTGAGAACTCACCGAACCGTTCCCCAAAGGTGATATTCCCAATGACATCAAAAGCATAACACTGGAACCAGTATCCAAGATTGAGGGATTCTTGCCGGTCTGCAAAACCGGCCAACTTTCTCAAAAACAGATCCGCGCAGTCATCTGCCAAAGCCTCGTAATGCACCAACGAGCTCATCGAGTACAGACTCGTAAATCTTTTTCTCGAATCGGCTGTTTCCCATCATTACGAGCATCGTTAGTGAGTCCCGCTATAAATCAAAGAAGAAGAGGACTAAGAAAACCAACAATGTCGCTTTATATCTCGATCCGCAAACACCGTCCACTGCGCCGGGTGTTTCCACCCATCATACCACGCCGACTTGGCGAAACGCGACCCGGTCCCGTAGACCGTGCGGACAGCGGAGAGGTCGCTGATGCTGTAGTGGTTTGGGGCAACACGCACAATTGGACCGTATTCCTCGTGCAGACGGATATTGTCGTGTTCGAACTGGCCGCGGCGCACACGGTTGAAGTACCATAGGCTTGTGAACCTGGCGCTGAATGGGCCAGGGAGTGAGCGGAGGGGGCCGAATAGGGCTTTTCCTACGCGGAGAAGGAACTGTAAAACCACCACCAGGATGGGAATGAGGATGAGAGTGTGAGTATGCATGGTCAGTTGTCTCTATCCGATACCTCTCCTACTCTTTCGGCATCCTGTCATCGTCTTTATATGTTTCGAGTGATCGTCAGGCCCTCCACCCCCGCCCCCGCCGCCACATCAGTTGGTAAATACTGTTCAAGTATTACGGATTTTGTGCAGCCGTAATTAGTATCTCGTTTTATTCGTCTCAATCTTCATCATCCCGGGAACAAGGCAGGGAAAGAGTGACGATACAACATCATAACACGGGAATAGTGACAGTCGTCCACAACAAATTAAGCAGATAATTCAAGGGAAACATCCAGTATTTCGCCACTCGCCAGAGAGAACACAAAAATAACACTTGAGGGTTGACGGAATAAGCCTATCATCCGCACAGATCAAGATCGATCGCCCCAGAGCCCGACAATTCCCATCGACAGCGCGATACCAGACAACCAGGCCCGAATACACTGCAGACGGCGCTCTGCAACCATCTCCCGCTGGATCGTCTCACCATTGACGTCCTCCTCAGCTTCCACAACAACCAAGTCCTCCTCTTTCTTAGCAGAAGACTTGCGGCCCAGCGTCAGACCGCTTGTGTCCCGGAGAACGCTGAAGAACCAATTCTGCAAGCCGATCTGGCGATTGAACCAGAAATCCAGGCCGTAGGAGGCGAGTGCGGAGGTCGCGCACATCCACAGCAGATACGGGTGTTTGCGACGCGGCGGGGAGATACAGTAGGCGAAGAGGAAGCAGGTGTTGGCCAGACTGGAGATGCGCAAGACATGCTTGCGATTCAGGCGCTTGACTTCATGGAGACACCGGGACGCCGTGGTGGATGTGGGCAGCAGCTGCAGTGACGGGACAGTGACGGCGGAGGTGGAGTAGGATAGGCCCTGGAGGGTTGCGATTGTCGCGTTAGCGGAAGTGGGGGAAAGCGAGGGAGATCCAACTTACCGTCAGCAGACCGAGTGAGACTGTGCCCACGAACTTGGTGACGGTGATAGGGCACGCCATGATATTGTGGGAGTTGAAGGTGATCGCTTGACCTATCGTTGTGTTGCAGAGACAAAGACGAGTGGAACAGGCGGAGGTGACATCAGTCACGCACGGGCCATCCAGCAACCGCCCGGTTTCTAAGATGGGAGGAGCAGCAGGAGCGGATTGATACGCTATGATGATTTGAGAGGGTATATCTCGCTATAGTCGAAGGAAATAGTGATTAACGAGAGAGGTTGTCTAGGTCTGTGTGGGGTTCATCTGTGACATGCGGAGTCTGGTATCCTGGACCAGCTATACATGCAGTTGAGCTTCGCTGCTCCCAAATGCTCGTACGGAGGAAGTTGAAGCAGACTAGAAACCACCCTCAGCCCATGTCCTTGGCATAATAATAATAATAATTGTTAGCAACATCAATAACCCGTTGCAGGATCGATTCCCAACAATCCCCTTGTTTTAGTATAGTTACATGAGACCAATCTCCGAATTTAACGCGTCCACGGGTTGGGGCGCGGTCTAACTCCTATTTCTTTTCGTCTTGCTCGACAACCTTTTGCCGCTTTCTCTTGGGCTCTGGCTCATCCTCCCTGCCAGAGTGTCCGAAAACTTTCTGCCATGACCCATCCCTGACCTGCTCATCATCACCATACATTCCCACGCTATATGCCCTTTTCATATTTTCCATGCATATTTGTCGTCTTTCGTCAAAATTGAACATTGGTTTAGGGTAGATCGATTCTCCTTCAACCGACGTATTGTTCCCATCGCCTGTAATCCGGCACCCCCACTTTCTCTGGTCTGATATAGGTGCTTTCCAGGGTTCATATATATATTTCTTGTCGAATTCTGCCAGCTCAGGGCAGTAGCGTCTGATGAGATTGCCGTTTGGGTCCCATTTCTTCCCAAATGCAATTGGTGAATAACAGCGATAGAACTGGTGGAAAAAGGCCGTACATGAGAGCCACATCCAGTTCCCCACATTACTGGCTGTTTCATCTGTGGCGTTGGTCAGAGGATGAGATATCTTTCGTAGACGGCCGCAACTCACGATCAATCAACAACTCCTCAAACACCTCTGCGCCCCTCTCCCAGTTCACATAGCAGCCTCCCCTTGTCAAGAAGCAGGCAACACTGTGTCTTCCTAAGTGATGCATCCAGCCTTCTTGCTTCAGCTGGCGCATCAAGGCGTCGATCCATGGAAACCCAGTCTGACCGTGCTTCCATCGCTGAAACCACGCCTCCGCCTCTGGAGAGTCCACAGTATAAGTTCCATCCAGAAGGCCAGTTGTAGAGAGATTGGAAGGCAAATGCCAATCAATAAATCGGACAATTTTGTTTTTATAGGTCTGTGCGAATTCATGACCGATGGCAGCTTGAGCTCCAAAGTACATGTCACGAAAGAGCAACTGGCCAGGCAGGTTAGTTGGGATAGATGAACTTGATTTCTTGTTTTGTCTGCGCTTTTCCAAGATTGATTGCACATCCCACCAAAATTTTCGAACAGAAAGAGACCCAAAATGGAGGTGGGGCGAGAGAAGAGTTGTCGACTGAGGTTCGAAATCTGCTGGGGATGTCTTTGGCTTCTCGAATCTGCCGATATACTCTTCATCCTGAATACATCGATCGAGGATGTTCAGAGCTTCTGTCTCTCCTCCATTATGAGGTGTCGTTGCGAGAGAATGATCAATACCAATTTCCTCGAATGTTGGAACACCAAAAGAGTTCTCTGGGCCCATAATATGGCTGTACTGCCTGTCCCTTGCAGTACGGTGAGCTTCGTTGAAATCCGGTTTCGCATCAGCAACGTCATGCTCCAGACTGCTGATGTCCATTTCCTTCGAGTCCCAAGGGTTTGGAAGGCTGTCAGGAGACGCAAGTGGTTTTGCTGGCTCTCCTTGGTTGATCCGCTTGACAGCCTTTTCAACCTGAGCCATGCTCATCGTAGGTTTCCCATTGTTCTTCTGGACCAGCTCGTCCGGATCGAACAAATTGCGGCCCATCTTCTCGATGACATGCACCCCGGCTTCTTTTGCCATGCACATTATTTCCTCGTCTCTATCTCGGGCATATGCATCTGTGTCTTTCTCAAAGACTAGATGTGTCACTTTCCACTTTTTCCAGAGCTTAGGAAGAACAGTCTGGGGTGCCTCGCGCACGATCCATAGTTTCTGATTCGAATTCAACTTGGTGTATGACTTGCTAAGATCATTCTGGCAGTCAAGAAGGAACTTCCAGCGATTGGGACCAACCCTAGCTCGGTAAACATAGTGAGGATCCCAGGTCCAGATTGGGATGAATACCGAGGGTTTCAACGACAGAGCGGCGTGCAACGCTGGGGAGTCATGGAGTCTTAAGTCGGTACGGTGCCAATATAAGACGACGGAGTTTGAAGCAGTATTGGACGTCATCGTTCCCCTGGTCAAGTATGTCTCAAAGGCTTAGCACAGCGTTGATCTTCTTAATTGGCCTATTGGGTTTGTACGCCGAGAGATTAAGCAACACGAAAATCCCAGTCTTTTATCATCATACATTATTAAAGTATCTATTAAAGTACCGAGTTCGTGGAATCTGGATCGTTTGCGACAGCGTGACGTCATCTGGGGTTTGCTGCAAGGTACTACATTCCCTGCTTCTAACCGGAACAAGCTCGGTTATTTGGGTTTGAATCAGTAATCGTTGCCAGCAGAAGCACCATATGCTACACTCTTCTACCCTATACCTGAGTAGCGAAGGAAACTCGAAGTGGCCCGTCTCTGATTGGTGCGTGGGCCAGGTCCAGCATCCACCCATCCACCGCGTCGAATCCGTAATCTTAGTAGGCCAATCATTCTGAAATCGGAGTATGTTATTGAGCGACCTAAGATCCCTATATGGTGTGAGTTTGAGCTTCAAATTCGGATGGAAAGGGGTGGTTTCGAGGGACAGAAACAGATCAAGTTCGAAAAGTGTTGGGTATGCCCAGGTATTTACCAATGATTTACGCGCACCTACTAGGGGCGAAGTATAATACGATGTATTATTACTACAATATAGGGGGACTCTGTACCGACCATGAATCAAAAAGAAGCCGAGGTCCACGGCTGTGGGGAAAAGGCGACGGGGTGATAGCTAATAGTTTGGTTTTGGTTATCGATAGTTAAATGGAACTGGACCCCTGCACCACTTCTCTTTTCCACCGCCCCCAGCGTCACCACAATGCCACTCCCCAAGTCAGATTACATGAGCGACTCCTGGAAGGATGGCCTGTTTGGTCTGTACCGACTCCCGAGGTTTTTACACCGCGAGCTGACCCAACCCTAGCGAACAAGGTCGTCTTCTGCACCGGCGGCGCGGGCACCATCTGCAGCGCCCAAGTCCGCGCTCTAGTCCATCTCGGAGCGAATGCTTGCATCATCGGCCGCAATGTGGAGAAGACAGAGCGCGTTGCTCAGGACATTGCGACTGCACGACAGGGTGCAAAGGTGATTGGGATTGGGGCCGTGGATGTGCGGAATTTCGAGAGCTTGAAGACGGCAGTGGATCGCTGCGTGGAGGAATTCGGAGGCATTGATTTTGTCATGTAAGGCCCGGACAGTCCCTCCATTTTTTTGCGACCCAATACTGACGTGATGACCGTCGACAGTGCCGGCGCAGCAGGCAACTTCTTAGCCTCAATCGAGCAGCTTTCCGTCAATGCGTTCAAGTCGGTCATGGATATTGACATCCTGGGCTCGTACAATACCCTCAAAGCCACCATTCCACACCTGTTAAAGTCGGGAAACAAACACAAAATGGACTCGGGGTCGCGTGAGTTACACTTCTTCTCCCTCTGCTCGTCATGCTGAACCCTCCCCAGTCCAGCCATCTCCCCTCGGCACCGGCGGAAGAATCATCTTCGTCAGCGCCACCATCCATTACCGGGGCATGCCCTTCCAGACCCACGTGTCGGTCGCGAAAGCCGGCATCGACGCTTTGTCGAACAATGTTGCCATTGAATACGGTCCCCTCGGCGTGACCTCCAACATCATTGCCCCCGGCCCCATTGCTCAAACGGAGGTAAGTCATTTTTACAACCCTAATAAAACCAAACTGACTCGATCTACTTCCCAGGGTCTGGAGCGTCTCTTGCCATCCGATGCCAAGGCTGCCTACACGCGATCCCAGCCCCTAGGTCGCGTCGGGCATGTTCGCGACATTTCCGATGCGACGGTATATCTCTTTTCTGACACAGGGAGCTACGTGAGTGGCCAGACGCTCGTCGGTAAGTTGTTTTTTCCCCCTGTGATATACCTGTTTAGATGCTAAGATGGATATGTCATCTAGTGGACGGCGCGAACTGGCGCATGTCGGCTAGTGGTGTAGCCGGTGCCGGGCTGAGCTACCCGGATTTCCTACTCTCAGGAATGGATGTACCCAATGTTACGGGCAAGAAGAAGTCGAAGCTGTGAGACATAGGTTTCATGGGTAGTGTTATATAGACGGGGACTCTAACGTTTTCTTTGTTCTATATTGACGTTATATCAGGCATTTGTGCCGGGATATTCCGGCATATTCTATTTACATTGTTCTGGTCTTGTTGCTATCCAGTGCTTTGTAACCGTGGTCGGGGTGCTAAGACAAGGACAAAGAACCCACAAGACATCTCTTGACACACTTGATCCAGATAGCAGTTGGTAACAAAAAATTGGACCAGAACAAAGGACTCAAGCATAACTGAACAATATGAGCTAGCGCTGCTCTAGAGTCGACTAGGTCCGACGTCACTCTATTGATGGCTATCCCTATCAATAGCTATATGCTCAAAGCGAATGGGAACGGGGATCCAGGATACAATAGAGCCGGACTATATGTAGTAAATAATGGATGGCCTCTCCCTCGTTTATTCTCAATGGCTATTGTCCCAGAGATGCCCAGACATAAAGAACCCCTGCTCAAAGACGGAGTACTTCGATCTACAACGCCAGGTTTCTGCGGAGAAAACCACCCCAATTCTTTTCCAAAGACATAAACCCTCGAGTGCCTATTGCAATTCTGCTGTCGCTCCAACCCTCCGAGGAAGCCTCCCACAGCGGCCATGGCACCTCCACACCAGATGCCTGCTAGATCGCCAGGCAGTCGACTCCCGCGCGCTGATGTTCCTCGTACGAACAAGGAGACCAACAAGAACAACCTGGCGCAATGGATCCAGAAAGCGCAGCTGGAGAAGCAAATCTCGGAGGAGGTAGCCAACACCCAGGCAATCAAGGAAAGAGCGCAACAGCAGCAGCGGCAGATCTACCTGTTGGGCAACCAGGTTAGCGAGTATGAGGGCATCATTCACGGCGGCGAAACGCGAGCTGATGTGAACGCAGCAAAAGCCAAGGAGCTTCGAAAGTCTCTGACGCGGGAGAGGAAACTGGCGCAAACCAATGAGGACTACACGCAGCAAGTCGAAAAGCGGTGCGACGAGCTTCAGATGATAAATTCGAATCTGCGACGATCTGCGGCGGAACGGGAGAAGACCTGGAAGAGGCAGTTGGCCCAGACGGAGAAGAGGGTTCACGATCTGGAGGAGGCGCTCTCGACTTCGTCTTCCGGTTTGCAGACGTACAGGCAGCACGTGCTCAAACATGTGGAGGGATGGACTTTATTGAAGGATGCGCTGAGGGAGCGCAATGAGCTGGAGCATCCGGAAAAGGAACGGCTCGGTCGTCTTATGGAGAATGTCTTGCAGGTTATCAGTGGCTCAGAGACCCTGTGTCAGTCTGTCATGGAACAATTACGAGTTCGACGGAATGGCAAGAGCGGTGGGCAGCCGAGAAGACCCGAACGCCTGTCTACGGCATTGGAAGATGTGAAAATGAGTGGCTCCTTCGACAGTTCGGACCCTAATCACGAATCGACAATGCCCAAACCAATGAGTATCTGCTCCGTTATTTCAGACAGTCCTTACGATGGGGATATCAACATGGAGAGCTCAGATCCATCGACGGACTTCGCCATGTCCGACTCCACAGACACGGATTCGATGGTGCTGGACTCACAGAGCTTCAACAGCTGGGATTCCGACAGCCACCCTCGCTTTCCGAGTCCTCCTGGGAGTATTCGCTTTCCCTCCCGAAAGCGTGCTGGGTACATCTGTTTCCCGGACAGTTCAAGTTCATCAGAGCCCGAAGATGACCGTCTCAAGTTCAAGCACATCAGGATGGTTCCCCGATCCTTGCGGCAGGCCAGGGAAGGCATTCCGAACAGCAAGGAAGTGGAGCGGGCCAAGAGCTCTTCTGTCACGCCGACACAGTTAGGTACGACTTTGGCTTCTCGCAGTATCAACCTGCGGGTTGTCGACGCAGTGACTGTGTACACAGTTAGCCCCACGTTCCCCAAGCTCCCTCTGCATCCACCGCTTCCGCCATCGTTGTCGTACGGAACGCAGACTGAAGAGCCGCCGCGTCTGGAAAATCATGTTGCTGTATCCGTTCACTCCGATGGCCTTGACCGAAAATCTAGGCAGACGCAGACCAATGTTCCCGAGTTTGCGCCCCGGGGGGTTCAGATGGGCGAGTCCCTCGCAGGATACATCGAGACCAAGAAGCAAGTCGTGTCCCGCCCAAAAACCCAGAAGCGCACAACTCAGGCACCGTCCGTCGACGAAAGAGTCCGCAGCCTGATGCCATGCACATGGCCACAACACACCACCCCCGAGCCGGGAGATCATCCATCGACCACGATGATGGGCACCCAGCGACATGTCCTAGCAAACCAGGGGAAGAGAGTTCGCCTGGCACTCACCCAATGGGCCCTGCGCATGGTTCAGAAACATCGCCACGACCTGATCTTAGGCATGATCAGTCTGATCACGCTGCTGTATCTCTGGCATGGTCATCGGGTGCATCGGGAGTGGATGATGGTGAACCAGATCCCGCGTACTGTCATGGCCGAGTTGCGCCACCGGCGTGTTGGGGAGTTTCGATGGATGGAGTCGATACAGTACGAGTTAGCACAGTGGATGGACGTGGACCGGGTGTCGTTGGGCTAGTTCAAGCCATCCGCGCACTTTATGTCTAGATCTACAAGTTTAGGTAATCCGACTATTCTGGGAACGGAAAAACGTGATCCGGTAGGGGGTGACGCAACCAGCCAAGGCCCAATCAGCGCCTGGGCCGCGCAATGATCGCCTTCTCCTTGTCTCGCCCTTCTTTGCTCTGTAATCATTTGATCAATCACCCCAGATGCTCTGACTTCTTCTTCTTCATCTTAACACTCAGGCACAATACAACTTCCTTTCTTGACTGCACCTTTAATCTCCGCTTGTTGTCCTTGACGTCCACTCTTTACCACCATGTTTCTTCCGTCCGTCCTGCTAGGCGCCACCGCCCTTGGCGCGGGCGTCAGCGCCGTACTGATCACCCCCGACATGGAGCCCCAGGTAGAGGCTGTGGAGGATGGCTTCCTGAATGTGCATCCTATGGTCGCCCAAGAGACGCAGCACGCGTTGGTCGACTTGCCCTGCACCGAGTGCCTCTTCCGCCAGATCGCAGACAACGGCGAACCCAGCTGGACTGATGGCCACTCTTCATCTCTGGTATGGCCAACACCACCACCGTTGATTGACATCCTTGGCTAATCCACTCCCTTGCTTAGATACTGGACTTTTCGATTGAAGACAACTCTTTGCTGGCCAACGGTCGTCAGATCTTCCCGCCCGTTCCGCCGAGCCCCATCATGGCCGCCCAGGAGCGTGACGATGGCGAGATGGGCGCCCCGGTCACAGTTGGATACGCCCTCGAAGTGATGCCGGTGGCCAGCACATCCGACAAGGAGCCCTTTGATCTTCTCGATGTCCGTTTCACCATCCTCGATCTGGAAATGCTCCCCGTCCCCCTCGACACAGTGGAGATCGCCCTCATCGTGGGCCCCGATGGCAATCTGTACATCGCCCGAACTGAGATCGAAAAGACCACCACTGAGCCCGAGCAGTTGTCCTGGAGGCAGTGCAACGGCAATCCCAAGTGCCTGCAGGCACTTCTGGTTTCCCGTGTGCGGGGTCTGCTAGCGGCGGCGAAGGAGCGCGTCATGGGCATGGCCTCTGTCTCGAGCATGACCGGTCCCAAGGATTGCGCCAAAGGCAAGCACATGAAGGGCAAGCACCACGGCCACAGCAAGGGCGACAAGGTGGGCCGTCCTCACCGCCACCACATGCACCACCCTCACCACGGTGCCTTCTCTCGCACCTTCTCCCGGGTGGTTCACTTCATCGTTGTGCCCGCCATTCTGGGTGTCTTGGCCGGCTTGACTGCCAGTGCCGTCGGCATGCTGGTCGGACAGGTCGTGGTCTTTGTCTGGCAGCGCTTCCGCGGAAACCAGTCCCAGGAGCACAGGGCTGCGTGGGAGCAGGGTGAAGCGTGCGAGAAGCAGGGTCTGATGACCGAGGCCGCAGAAGATGTGCTCCCCGAGTACACCGAGGCTGAGGCCCGGGGATCCATGGACAAGAATTAAAGAGGTTGAACTATTTGTTTAATTGGCATTGTCCTTCATATCTGCTGCGGGAGGCAATGACTATTGTGACGTGACTTACCGTATGAGATTGCTATCCGTCTGGCTCATGGAGCCATCCGTTATGTGACAGCTTGTACAGCAGCTATTTCCTCAATTGATTCGTTCTGTTGGTCTGTTCTTGAAGTGTAATCATGTATAGTTCCGACCCCAATCCGTAGTAAGGCTGAGAGCATCACGTGAGGGATACCGCCAACATTCCCCCTCATAACAAGAGATCAACACCTCAACTCACCCCCCGTGGATGCCAACTGGTGGCCAAGGATGCTCTGTTTGACCCTACAATGACCTTTCCCCAGACTCATTCACACTACATCATACCTTCCATCCTCTCCTCCCCCGAGTCTGCTTCCTGGCTGAGCTAGCTCTGCTCCAACGTCACATAGCCGTACCCGGGGCCACCTCTACAGCTGTCCCCCCAACCTGCATTGGGACCTCTCCACCACCACCATGCTCCAGTCGTTCGTCCAGAAGGCGTCATCGCTGATCGATCCAGCCAATTTCAACATCCCCGCGCTCTCTTCTTCCGACAACAATCCCTCTAAAGCATCACTGTTCCGCCAACAATTCCGCCTCCCGGACTCGCAGAACCCGCTGCAGGAGATCACTGCGGACCTTGTTCTCCCGCTTCCCCATTCATCCAGCGGCTCACCGAGCGATGGCTCTCGCCGCATCGACCACGCAGGGAACCGCTACAACGGCCGTCTGCACATAAGCGAACGATTCATCTGCTTCTCTACCCAGCCGACTAGCTTCGTTCCCTCTGCTACACATAGCGCTTCGACCAATTGGACAGGCCAGACACATGGGACCGGTCCCTCAGGCAATGGCTTCACGCTGCCACTTTCTTGCATCCGTCGTGTGGAACGTTTACACAGCGCTAGCCATGTCTTCTCTTTGGCCCTGACTACCTGGAACGGCTTGTTGATCAAGTCACAAGAGTTGAGCCCGGCACCCCAAAGACTCATCCTCCAACTTGTTGGCAGTCGACAGGCCTGTGAGCGCTTCTGTGATTGTCTCAAGAAGGGCCTGCGTGAAGCGATGAAGGAAGTGGAGAGCTTGCGCCTTGTTGTCTCGGACTGTTACTCGGAATACCTTCTGTCGAACACCAAGTCAAAGCCTGTGGAGGGAACCGAATCAGATGCTCGTCAGCCACCTGATGCCGGGTTGGGTATGATTTTCCGCTATCCCGGTGATGCTCGCAAGCTCCGTGATCGCAGTAAGATGAGGCTTTGGGGTGAATATTTTAGAGGTATGAATCTGAATCGCTCACTCTACCTGGATCTTCTAACGCAGAATCTTTAGAGAATGGCCGCAATGCAACCCTCGTGCGCCAGCCGACCTTCCACAAGCTGATCAGAGTCGGCCTACCGAATCGATTGCGCGGTGAGATCTGGGAGCTGACAGCTGGGTCACTCTTCCTTCGCCTTAGGTCTCCTAAACTGTACCAGGAGACGTTGGCGAAATTTCAAGGCCAAGAGTCTCTTGCCATTGATGAGATCGAGAAGGACCTCAACCGCAGTTTGCCTGAATATCCTGCATACCAAAGTGAAGAGGGCATCGGTCGACTGCGTCGAGTCCTAACAGCCTACAGTTGGACTAACGCCGAAATTGGTTATTGTCAGGCTATGAACATTGTCGTTGCAGCATTGTTGATGTACGCTTCCCTGAATCTCAGCTGTTTAACACATACTAATCCAAGCAGATACACATCCGAAGCCCAGGCATTTTTCCTTCTGTCCGTGCTATGTGACCGTCTAGTGCCAGGCTACTACTCCACGACCATGTACGGTACACTACTCGACCAGAAAGTCTTCGAGTCGTTGGTAGAGAAAACTATGCCGGTGCTCTGGGATCACCTTGCCAAATCCGATGTACAGCTCTCCGTGGTCTCCTTGCCATGGTTCCTCTCCCTTTATATCAATTCGATGCCCCTCGTCTTTGCTTTCCGAGTCCTGGACGTCTTCTTTCTGGAAGGACCCAAGGTGCTTTTCCAAGTTGGCTTGGCTATTCTTCGCATCAACGGCGAAGAGCTTTTGGATATCCAGGATGATGGATCATTTATCTCCATTCTGAAATCATATTTCGCTCGCCTAGATGAATCTGCACACCCTCGATCCGAGAACCCGAAGCTGCGGGCCATCACTAGGTTCCAAGAATTGATGGTGGTTGCTTTCAAAGAATTTTCGGGTATCACCCACAATACAATTACCGAGCAGCGTGAAAAGCACAAGGATGCTGTTCTCGAGAATATCGAGAACTTTGCCAAACGCACCTCCATTCGCAACCTTGGGCCAGAGAGCAAGCGTCTCAGTGTGGACGATCTGGGAACAATTTACGACCGCTTTTATGAGACCCTGTACCAGTGGCAGAAACATCAAAGATCTCTTGAAGAGGAGAGAAAACTCCAGGCGAAGAAGAAATCCGAGCGTCTCTCCGCGCTTGCGCACCCTGCAGACAATCAAGTCGGCCGCGTGGGTCTTGGCCCAAGCCCAACTCACATGGACTACGAAGCCTTCCGTGAATTCCTCGCGGCTACTGCAAAGTGGGCTGTGGCTGACTCGCCCGCACCATTGAGGAAAGAGTCAGAAGCAAGCTACCACAACCACAGCCTCAAGGGCAATGGGAGATCGTTGCTATGGGCGAACCGCCCACAGCCGGCTGACCATGAGTTCATGCAGCGTCTGTACCGGAAATGGGCTACTGACCCTGAGGAAGGGTTGAGTCTCCAGAATGTGGTGAATGGCATGGCGCGTCTCAAGGGATCACCCGACATCATGAACAACATCAACTACTTCTTCGATCTCTATGATGACAGTGGAACCGGACTTGTTGACCGTGAGGGAATCCTTCGAATGTCCGAGGGCCTGCTATTCCTTTCTCGTCGCGGATTCGAAGGGGTCATCAACGTCACTCAACCCCTGGAGGATTTGAACGGACCCCGGGACCGCGAGCATGTCGAACAGAACAGGCTTTCCGCCGAAGAACGGTTCCTGGGTAGCGTCAGCGCCTTTATTCGTCGGTGCTTCGAATACGCCGACCCCAGCAACCCTGAAAATCAAAAGGCCGCCATTCAGAACGCCACCGCCGAAGCGACTGAAAAGCTGGACTCCTTTGCCATCGGCGACGAGGAAGACGAAGAGGAAGATCTGATCGACGTGGGTGAAGAACCCAAACCCGACTCCTCCTCGCCCACACTCGAAACACCATCCAAACCAGCGGTCGCCGCACGAACCAACCGCCAGGTCTCCGAGTCCGCCAATCCAGCCCTCGACCCCAACAACCCACTCCACATCACCCTCCCAACCTTCCGCATGGTCGTCCTAGCCGATGAACTCCTCGAACAATTCTTTGAGTCCTTCTTTCCCCAGTCCTTCCACCTATCCGACCACCCGCACCCAGCCTCTCTGGCCGCCTCCTCCCTCTCCTCAAACCTAACAACCTTCTCCAACATCGGCAGCGCCCGCCCGTCAAACCTCACAGCCGCTGGAACCGTCTCCATCGCAGGCGCATCAGGCGGCATCGTTCCGCCGGGCAAGGGTCTCCGCGGCGTCCTCGACAATATCGCCACAGAGGGAATCCGCATGGCCGCCGAAGTCAAGAAGAGGATGGACGACGCGCAGCGTGAAATGGAGCGCAATGCTCTTGGCCGCGAGGAGGAGGAGGAGGATGAGGAAGAAGATGATGAGGATCTTCGTCGCGATCTTCTTGAAGGCGCTGAGGTTGTGAATGTTCGTGGAAAAGATGGTGCTGCTTCTCCTGGTGCTGCGGGTCAGGCAGGTGGAAATGGGGGCTCTGATGGTGAGGTCGTCAGCAAGGTTGTTGAGTTCGAGTCATGATGATATCCCAAGTCAATTGTTCGTTTTCGCTTTGCCTCGCCTTGCCTTGTTGTATGGAGCGAGGGAGAGGAGTTGTGTTCTGTCTGCCTCTTGTTGTGTGTTGTCCTGTCTTTGTCTTTGCGTGTTAAGCTGAGCTTTTCTTGTTATCATGAACTCCCTGTGTTCTTGGACTGGACTGGACTGGACTGGATTGGGCTGCTTGCATCGCTTCGCATCGCATTTCCGCTCTGCTCTACTACTCTCCCCCCTCTGGTGTGTTGACTCGCATCCATTATATATCTCTCGCTAGATGAAGGACTATTTGAGGTATTTGGAATCACAGATGGTTTTCTCTGGTCAAAGTTCTTGCGATGGCAGGCATCGGGTTTATTGTTGTTGGCGAGCGTGTAAATATTTATATATCTTGTGCAAATGGTGGTTTCGAATCGCCGTGATAGAGAGCAAATACATAAACTTAACGTCCGTTGAGGTTTAGATACTGAGGAGTCACTTCTAAGAAAAACTTGACTTGAGGAATCAATCTTCAGCAGCGAATAAACGATATGGCTAAATAGCGTGGGTATGTACAGAAGGTGTCGTCAAAAGCGCCCAAGTCAAGTCGCTGACCTTGCCCCAACAATTCCACAAGACGATGCAAAAATCAAGGGTCATCAAAAGTTTTTGCTGTTGATTCCATTCAAACCAGCATGCCTTCCATTTCCAAGACTCAACTGAGAAAAATAAAGATAAGAAAAAGAAAAGAACTAAAGGGTATAAAACAAGGTCCCAGACGTAAATCAGAAAAGACAGTTACAACCCCAACATAAAAGACATGACTGTCGAATTGCACCACCGATCACTCCTTCTGTCCCTCATTCTCCACCAGCTCCAAAACAATCTGGCTGCGCTCATACTGCGGATGCTGCATGCAAATCTTGACCGTGTGCCCGGGGATCCCGCCAAACACTCCGTTAGCACTCAGCCCGCTCGCCAGACTGATAGCACTACCGGGGCTGGCAAGAGCCTGGCTAGCCTGGATATGGTTTGAAAGGGAGCCAGGCAATTTATTGCCATCATCAAGACAGGAGACGCTGTGGCCGGGGATAACCTGTCTCAGCCGACCGTTCATAGCATTGCGGACCTCGACGAAGTCGTCATTAAACAGAATCAGGAATTTGCCGTACAGACAAGCGGAGTGTGCGCTGCCGACAAACTCCATGACCACGCTGCGTGAGACGTCGCCGTGCTTGTTGACGTACACAGCGCATTCTTGGTACGCGACTAGGAACTCGCTGTCGCTGAGGCGGAACATGCCCAGGGGACGGAGGTCTTTGATGCGGTTGGCTATGCCGTGGAGGGTGTCGTGGGCGTCGGGGGTTTCGGAGCGGAAATCTGGGACGGTCCAGGACTGTTTCTTGTCCAGAGTGAGGACTTCGATGCCGCGGTGGGTGGAGATAGCGAGTGAGGAGTGGAACATGTTGATGTGGTAGCTTTCGGCGGGGATGTAGAATTCGTCGTAGTCGCGGAAGAATTCGGTTTGGGAGCGACGCGACTGGAAAAGTTTGGATTTGTTGCCGGATGATTTTTGGAGGATGGGTTCAAGGACCTTGTTTCGTGTTAGGAAAGGCGGAGGAGGGCTTTGCTGAAGCATACCTTGAAGGTGGACGAAAGTCCGTCTCGCTTCTTGTACAAGACCAAATACCGGTCATTCATGCGTCCTGCTGCGAAGAAGCCCACTTCGCGATTCCCAGATAACTTCTGCGGAGCTCGCCGAGCTGAGTCTTGCGACTGAGATGGAGTACCGCTTGCTGGACACACTACATCAAGGTGATAGGCAATCAAAGAACGGTCTGAAATGAGCAGGAAGAGGTTAAATTCCTCGAACACGGCAATCTGAGTGACCCGCATAATGGGAATAGCCTAAAGAAGAATGTTAATATTATGCGCCGAGTGGGAGAAAAAGCGCATAGCACATACCCGATACCAACCGCGCGGGTTGTTATGCTCGGCCAGATAGACTCCATTGTCCGTCCCGATCGCGTACATGATTCGACCGGGGGGCTGTTGGAAGACTGTTGCGCAGTTGACTGCAGTCCTACATACCGGAGGTGGACGTGATTTCGAGCTCTCATATCTCGTTTCAACCTCCTTGATCGCGCGGTACAGAGGCGTTCCCTTGATGGTGACGCTCTTAGAGCCAGCCGAGGCATCGGAATAGGCGAACGCAGTGTCTGCCAGTACACGAAGTCGAAACGGCTCTGCATTTTGAGAAAAGAGAGCAGCGGCATGTTTTGTCTTCGCCTCAATGATCTTCTCGCACCAGTCCTTGCGACTCTGCGCCGAAAAAGCGTAGAGCGTGTACGTTCCGTTCTTCCCCAGGTGCTTGATTTTGAACGGGTAGAGGATCTTGTCATCCTTGGAGCTATCGAGCGATGTAATGGGCACAATGGCTTTACCAGATGATGGAGCGCCTGGGGAAACCCCGTTGCCTGCGTGTCCCATGGGAGTCACGGCACCTTGGGAAGGCGTCACGGTTGAAACGCCCCGCACAGAGGATTTGACAACGGGGTCATCGTTTGTACTTTCGAGAACCAACAGATCCATTGGAACAGGTAGCTTGGACACGTCGTATCGCTCGTACTTGGCCGTCCGTGCTGAATCGCGCGTGCTGAATGATTTGGCGAGCACCAAGTAATGGTCAAAGAGGATGGCGTGAGTATCGACAAGGAACCTGGTGCGAGTTTTTGGACGCTGCAGGTCACCACGGTAGATAATCTGGCGCCCCAGATGCTCCAGGTTAAGCTCGACTTCCTTCTGCATCTCCGGACGCAGCTGCAATTTAGCAGCGAGCTCCATCAGGTCGGCTTTCTTGTTCATCTCGCCCACTTTGTTGTCACATTCCAACGCAACAACCTTGATTTCGTCAATGGCCTGCGCCAGGTTGGTCTTTTCTTCAGAGTCTTTGGGCATATTCTTGTGGACCGTGGCAAGCAAAAGCGTATACCGTTGGATACGGGTGATCGGAGCTTTGAGGAAGGTGTCCCAGCTGAGACGACCCGACAACTTGTGTTCGCGTACTTGATTCAAGAACTGCTTGAAATTGACGTTTCGTTCGGATTCCTTGCGGACGAGGTAGTTTGCAGTCGGGAAAGTCGCGGCGTAGTCGATGTAGGCGTTCTTGGCCTTGCGGATCCACTCTCTGAAGATATCGCTGAAGCCGACAATGAAAGGACCCTGTTCCTTTTGACGGTATTTGAGCTGCGCTAGCAAGAAATCCTCGTTGACTTTTTTCACTGCGTCCACCTTTCCGAAGACATCCTCCAGAAATTTGCTCAGACGTTTGACCGGAATGATCGAGGGGTTCATGTTGACTAATTGATCGCGATACAGCTCTCGCAGAACATCCAGCTGGCCGATATAGGCATCTTCAGTGGTCACAATCTCATGCAAGTTGTTCTGCCGATCGATCTCTTTCTTTGCGTGGGACTCCAATGCCTCCTTGGACACTTTGTAGAATGTCACCCAGTCCTCCACCTTCTTCTGTGGTGCCATCATCTGCGCTTTCAGATTCACTTTCTTCAAGGTCCTCATACAATGGTGAGCGTAGCATCGTCCGAAGCTGTCCGTATCCTGGATATGTATTTCCTGATCGTGAAGCTTCGACGAGTAACACCCAGTTCCCGTAATTTGGAAGAGAACACCCGACAGACCACCCGAGCCGAACTTGACCCATTCTTCCTCTTTGACCAATGCTCCTTCTCGGAGCATTCCACAGGTAACGCGAGCGGCCAGCGTCTCAGCATCAGCAATGTTCATAGTCGGAACTTTGTGGGTAAACAGCGCCACAATTGCGTCGGTAATCGCCTGCTCCCTAAGATCGGTTTCATCCTTGCTCAAATCTTTAATCCAGGACAGGACAGAGCTGAGAGCCCACGGCTCAGTGCATTTATTGAATTGCTCAGAGGACAATTTCGCTGGATTAAACCTCTTGCGCCGCACCGAAGGAATGGCAGGCAAATCGAGAGTGATAGCCGCAGCAGCAGCCTCGGACGGAGTGATTTTGGGGAGGTCCTTGTTTTGGAGATGCAGAAGGAACGCCTGCTGTTGCTTGTATTTGATACGGTCTGCATCGGTTTTTGATCTGATGGGTGCATCAGCACGAGGTCCAATAGGCGTGGACATAGAGGACGATCGCGGCACTTGAGAGGGACTGAGGATGGTCTCCCCGCTTGATCCTGCAGAGGTCGGTGGGTCTCTATACTGTGTATAAATGTGCAAGTCACCAGTTTCCGGAGGTCGATATGTCCCGGCAGGCATGAGGTGCGAGACAAGGTCATTATTGGACGGTTCAACGGGTGCAGGTGGCAGCGGCCGCATCCCGGGGTGGAAGAACAAGTCTTCGTGTGCGCCCCCATAAGGGCTTTCGTCGCCGGAGTGATCCGCGTCATGGTGTTGCTCGTAAGGGCTGTCGCCCTCTTCGCCGTAATCGAAACTCATTCGCCGGCTAAGGGCATTAGGTGCTGACAGACCCCCGGTTCCTCCGGCATCAACCCTAGCGTTTGGTGGAAGATGGTGTAGGCGATGGGCATAGTCGTATGCGATTCGTGGGTGCTCATAATCATCGAGGTATCCTGCTCGTTCGTCGGGAGAGAAATTGGTACTCCTGAGTGAGCCAGATCTTGCGTTGAGCCTGTCGCCAAAGGCAGTGTCAATGTGTTCCTCCGGACTGAAGGTATTGTCGTCGCCGTAGTGCATATTGCCCGCGTGTCCTCCTTCGTAAAGTGCCAGATCTTGGGCGACATAATCGCTATCTTCATTCGGATCAGAATGCGGTGAAGGCCCTCGGTTTGACATGTAGGACCCGCCAGAGCTCAGTATGGATGCATTCGTCGCTCGCCGTTGGAGGATGCGTTCTTCGCGAGCTTTATCCTCTTCCTCGGCCATTCGCAACATGGCCAGGCCTGCCTCCGCCTCGGCATCACTCTCATCACTGTGGGCAGCGTAATTGATCTCATGGCCAGTCCCTGTAGCCATGCTGCCATTTGTGTGTGTATGCTGCTCGTCAGGTGAGAGGCGCATATCTGAACCATGTGATGTTCTTGAACTGTGCCGCCGAGCAAAACTGCCCTGGGGGTCCATCACTGCTGCCTCCACCTCCTTCATCAATTCCTCATATCGGAACGAACCAAAATCGTCGCCGTCGGTGTCGCTGTCCGCATCGGGTGGCGGTCCGGGCAGAGGTCGTGCTTGAGGATGGCGTGTCAAAGTGTCTGTTCGTCGCGGCGGCACTTGGGACGAGCCCGACTGCACTGGCAGATCCGGTAGAGTCCGTCCAGATACGCTGGGCCGGCTATAAAGTCCATTCGCATGGGTCTGATGCGCAGGCGGTTCCGGAGGCCGATCATCGTAGGAAGCACTGGGTCCATGAGAGGCATATCCAGACCCTTGCGATGAGGAATTGTGAGGGCGTGATGAGGGTGGTGGCATGTCACCCCCCAATTGCGGGCTAGCGGGAAAGTATGTTGGGGCGTTCGGTGATGAGGCACTTTGGTATGTGACTGGGGTTGTTGTCGCCGGCGGCTGACTTGTAGGGGACGATCCATACGTCGACAGACGGCTCCCGTATGGATGGTCAATGCCTCGAGGAGGTACCGGTGGCGGCTGAGAAGAATATCCATAGTTCTGAGGAGCGGGAGGTGGTTGTCCATACGGCGAAGCTGCACTTGGCCGTCGTGCAACACTGGAAGCCCCCATGCCAGGCGCTGCAGCGGGTTGGTATGCCGCCGGATTGTAGGGCTGATGGGCTGAGACCGGGGCAGAAATCGAATTGGTGTAAGCCATTGGATTATATCCCAAGCCATGTTGTGCTTGCGCCTGCGGAAGGGCATACAGCTGCGGATTGTAGGGAAGCTGGCCCGTTGGTGTGGCGGACGAGTATTGGTGCTGATAGTTGGACATGGTCGAGGTCTGGGAGGTGCCGCGACTGGGCGACATAAGAGAGGTGTTCTCGGAGGAGGTGCGCGAATATCGCGAGTCGATCTCATCGTCGTACACGCCGTAAGCGACATTGTAGCTCCCTTGCCCGCCGCTGTCAACATAACCAGGACCGCTTTGGACCGCGTATTGCCCGTTCCCTTCAACCGCTATCTCATTGTGGGAACTGAAGTACTGCTGCGAATCATCTCCGGCGCAATAACTGGGCACTCGGCGCGGCAGGCGTTGGCTCTGTTGCGGTTGGGCGGGGTTGTGCTGAGATATGTAGTCGTCGTAGCGACCCGGAGCGGGGGGGCGCTGGGGTGGCCGTTCGGATATTGTGACATCGTCTTGAGCGAGTGCAGATTCGGTTAGAAAGAATGAGTCGACGAGCTGTTTGTGCGAGTGCGAGGGGCCACGCCGGCAGATGTTGGGCTGCCGGGGAACTGCTGGCATTCCCAAGCTCGAGGGAAATGGAGAAAAACGGTCGGGATTGAGGGAACACCGATCGTCACAAATGAGGGAAGGAAATTTGAAAACGAAAGGAATCACAAGAGCCCCTGTGAGGTGGGAAGGGAGAGAGCGAGCGAGCTAGCGAGCGAGCGGTCGGGTTGGGGCAGGGAGGACGATGGATTGATTAGAGGTGCTTACCGATGGAGGTAAAGGACTCGCGACACCGCCTGGCAGACAACAAACACCCCAAACTAGAGCTCTTTAGTTCACTGCCTTCTTGCTAACTAACCCACTTTGATCATTCTCCGGGGAAATACTGGCTTACAGCATCCCCCAGCGCCCGATAGACAGACCAGAATGGTTAGCTTGGAACTAGCCCCTCGAGGATGTCGGGGCCCACCAGCGCTTCGGTGGCCAGCACAGGGCTGAGCTGTGGCTGAGCCCCAAGTGGGGAGAGAGCACAGGCAACCTTGGAACTTGACAATGACGACACGCGATGGGGTAAAAATAGTAAATTGCATGCATAAGAATAGTATAGGAGCAACTTATTAAAAAAAAACCGCAGATGAGCCAGAACAGTCACAGAACAGGATATGTAAGATAAAAGAAACATCATGGCTCACCGAGAAAATGCAGACAGGGTCAAACAAGACAGAGAAGATCATCAAACAAACGTACTCAACTTCCGCATTCCCAATGCCTCAAGTTTCAGCGCCTCTCAACTCTGAGGCAGCTCCCCATCTGGCATTCGGTTACTGTCGAACCTGTCATTCCAGGAGTCGAGTCCCTTCGCCCAAATCGTGTTCATTTCTCAGCCGTTACCAACAGAAATATCCGGTAGCCTCGGGGATAACGATTCCAAATTGCCAATGGAGGAGATTGCCAAACGCTCTATGGTTGGGGCTTCGAATAACCTCTTATCCAAAGTGTGCCTGGGGAGGAAATAAGGGAAGGGAGAGTTAGGACTTACCCAGTTTTTAAACACCTGTGCGTAGCCCGCCCACCGTTGTTGGCAGGACCATAGTTCATTATTTCGGTCGGATTTGTCCTGCTCGGATACCGGATACCATCTTCTGGAATAGTTGCAGCCGAGGGTTTCGGAATGGGTGTTGTAATTCCGCAATGTACCCGTGTTGATTAGCCTGCTGCGGGTCGTGCTCGGCTTTACAGAGGGAGCGAGGGGTGAGCACCAAAACGGAGGGCAAATGCATCGAAGGCCAGAGAAGATCCAGTACATATTGTCCCTACAAGTACTTAGCGGATTTTCTCTGGCAGGTGGGGCTTTCCCATTTGAGCCCCCCGCCGCTTTACTGAGGGGCTCAGGCTCCGGCTCATTGAATAATAATCTGTACACATTCAAAAAATTCTCATAAGTAGTGTTCATTGCCTTATGCAGACACAGCGACGGACGGAAGATGCATAGCGTCCGAGTCACAATCATATTCAGGCAAAGCTTCATGCCTATGAACAGGTATTCCGGATGTTTTGAGACACTCTACGTAGCAGATTCCTCTGCTGAGTGAGGGTTTCTGTTCATGCTGTCTTACTGCAGTATGAAAGGCGGAGGTCATTGCGTCGAGATATTGAGCTCTCCACCTTAGATCAGTCTGGATTTAACCACGTTTTGACGCTCATCCCGCACTCATCCCGCAAGAGACTTTGCAGGTATTTGTAGCGCGAGGCTTAACCTCGGGGGCTTATTTTTCAGCACCTTCAGTCCTAAATCACTCGACCTACATCAACCACCCTGCTATTTTAAACCGAACCACCAGTTATTTTCTTTCTTGAGACGTAAGCGCGTTCAGTGATGGCTTCGAAGCGCAACCTATCTTCGTGGAGTTGGCGCGATGGCTCAGGCCTTGGGCTCTCTGGTCAGACAGAGATTCCTACCAAGTGAGTACCGCTGAAGATGGGCCAAGCGCTTCGGACCTGTGCAATTATACCCTCACTTACCCAAATGATGCAGTATCCATCTGGATCTATTGGCGGCTAATCTCATCCCGGACCCCTTCGTGGGCACCAATGAAGCAGACCTGCAATGGATACATCGCAAGTCTTGGGTATATACAACCACGTTTGAGGCTCCATCTGTGCCTGAAAACGAAAATTTAGACCTTGTTTTTGAGGGCCTAGATACGTTTGCCACGGTACAGCTGAATGGACAAGAAATCCTCAAGTGCGTGTGCAAAACCGTCCGTCGCGTATGTTTCAAAACTGACACGGTGGTGTAGATGCGAAAACATGTTCATCAGCCACCGACTTGATATCAAACATTTGATTCGCCCTCAAAACCATCTCGAGATCTTTTTTGAGTCAGCCTATGACAGAGCAGAAGCTCTGCGCGCTGAACGAGGCGAGTTGATTTGCTGGAATGGTCATTATGGCAGAGTCTATGTCCGCAAAGCTCAGTATCACTTTGGGTGGGACTGGGGCCCGTCACTCGTAACCTGCGGACCCTGGAAGACGATTTATCTTGAACAGTACTCGTGTCGCATTGAAGAAATGAAGATCGATGTTGGGCTGTCAAGTGATCTAAAAAAGGCAACTTTGACTGTGGACGTCAACCTCGAGCCAAGAGACATCTCGAGATTCATCGAAGTTGAATTCAGGGATCCAGAAGGAACCGTTCTTGACCGCCAGACTACCCAAAGCAGGTCGGTCACGTTCCTTCTGGATCAACCCAAGCTGTGGTATCCCCATACGCACGGCGATCAACCTTTGTATCAATTCGTGGCGATAGTGAGATCTGGGCGGGATGTCCTTGACTCAAAGACTCACAACATCGGCATACGGCAAATCGAGCTGATTCAGTCACCTCTCCAAGAAGGCTCTTCGTTTTATTTCAAGTGCAACGGTATACCTATGTTCATGGGCGGGAGTAACTGGATCCCAGGCGATCAGTTTCTTCCCCGAATGACGACACAAAGGTACATAAGATGGGTCGACCTGGCTGTGCGAGGGAATCAAAATATGCTTCGTATATGGGGCGGAGGCATATACGAAGAAGACGTTTTCTACGATGAATGTGATCGGCGAGGGATTCTTGTTTGGCAAGATTTTTGTTTTGCGTGCGGGCAGTATCCCTCAGATGAAGAGTTCATCGGGAGTGTGAAGGAAGAAGCAAGACAAGCAATCAAGCGCCTCAGATCGCACCCCTCTCTGGCCATCTGGGCTGGCAATAACGAAGATTACCAAGTCGCAAATGAGGCGCTCCATCACGACATGACTATGCCAGAGGACCAGTGGTCAGGGTCAACCTTTGGTGCGCGAGTAATTTACGAGAAGGTATTGCCAGACCTCGTAAAGGAACACGCTCCCGGTAGCATCTACTGGCCAGGCTCACCATTCGGTGGCGTGGATAACAACAGTGACCGTACTGTCGGTGATGGGCACATATGGAATGTCTCCAGCGGCATGCTTTTGCCTTACCAGCGATATCCCGACATCACGGGTCGATTTGTGTCGGAGTTTGGAATGCCATCATGTCCTGCAGTGGAGACCGTCATGGCATCCTTCTTTGGCGAGAGTGATGACCGGAACCCCCAGAGCGAAGCGTTTGAGTTTCACTGCAAGATGACATCATATGAAAAACGCATGTTTACTTGCATGGGAGAAAACTTGCGCATGTCATTCGACCTTGACGCATATGTGTATCTTTCTCAGCTCGTTCAGAGTGAAGCGATGCACTATGCTTTCCGTGGCTGGCGCAGACGATTTGAGGGTCGAGAATGCGGGGGCGCTTTAGTCTGGCAGGTAAGAGGATAGCATACCTGTAGCCAGATTTGGAAACGAAGACAGTCTTGATAGGATACTAATTATCTGCAGATGAACGATTCGTGGCCTGTTGTCAGCTGGGCTATTGCAGACTATCATGAACGGCCGAAAATGGCTTACTATGTCATTGCCCGTGATATGAAAAATCTCGCGATAGGCATAGAGCGAAAGCCCAAGATCAATCCCAAGCCGAATCTACAACATGAGGCATTCTGCAGAGGTAAAACCAAGGCGGATTCTGCTAGTGTCATCGCTCATGCTACCCCACACATATATCCCGCCAAAGAATCCTCATTCTATGTCTGGGTCGCAAATGCCGCAGTAAATTCGCAGCAAGCGGATATCCGGATACGCTTCATTAGCGTACGGACTGGGCTGGAGGTACGCAACTCCATCGTGTCTACGGTGACAGCAAAGGGTACAGGTACCCATGAAGTCGCCAATGGCTCGACTCCAGAAACAGAGCCTACGGTGGTTGTCTCAGAGCTTTACGATCAAGATGGCAAGCTTCTTGCGCACGATGTGGACTGGCCACAGCCCCTTAAGCACCTCAGGTTTCCCCAACGCGGTCTAAAAGTGGAGGTGCATAGGCAGGAGGAGCTGGTCGTCTCGGTAGCTCGGCCCGTCAAAGGCCTGTTCTTTACGAATGACGGCGTTCAGTGGAGTGACAACTGCCTTGATGTCGCGCCAGGACAAACCCTAACTGTAATTGCCAAGGGCCTGAAAGAGTCGCCAAAGTGGGTATATTATGGTATGGACGACTGATTGGTGTATAACAGATAGACTTGATTGCGATTTAGATCTGTTGCTTTTTTCGGTGAATATGTCAATAGGAAATACGCTATCATATACATATGAACTCATCCCTGCCGTTTTGGAGCCTCCTCCCAGGTAGGAAAGACATACTCCATCTTGTCTGGATCTAAGTCAGGGTAGTTTGCTTTGATAGCGTTCAGCACCTCGTCGAAAACCAACTTGTATCCTTCAGGTGATAAGTGAAGACCTATGAGGGTATCAGTGAGGGACCAAGAGTCATATCTGACATGCCCACCGTCGTAGAAGAGATTTTGGAGAGTTTCATTGGGAGTAACATCCCGGCTGCCCGGAAGAACAAGGCCTTCCGCCCAGCCGGCGTGTTTGAGGAATGAAGTCCATATATCCACCGTAGGCACGTTCAACCTGGAAGCAGTCTCCTTGCATGCCTGGGCATATTTCCGTGTATTCGTGGCTGTGCGGCGTATCTGAAAATATCCTTTGCTTTGATCCGCCAATACCCGCTGATATTCGTCAATCGGGGGTGGTGTGACTAAAAGGATACGAGGCAAATGGGCCTTCACCTCGGCACAAGTTATCATGGCAGTCAAATTTTCACAGTAAGCTTCTAATGGTACGTGATGACCCGTGGGGTCATGCGGAAGACAGGAATCATTGGCGCCAAAGCAGACAATCTTCGAAGACGTGAGCTGAGCTTCAACGAGGTCAATGGGTCCACTAACCAGCAACTCGACCTTTGCCTGGGCCGGTGTCGGCATAAATATTGGGAGGGCAATAAGGCCATGTTCCGTATTATAGCCCCTGGTTAAAAAAAAAAAGATAACGTCAGAAGCTCTCCAGTTGGTAGGATCCGAATTGCCGTAGAGGTTCACACAACTGAACTTACCCGAAACCTCGATTAATGACATCCAGCCGTCGCCTAAAGACTATTGTGTGTCAAAAATGCATTTTCCTATCACGATGCGCGTGACTGAAGCCCGCGCAAAGGTCTCAATGGACAACAAGTGTCATACCATGTGCCATAGCTCCACCATATGAGAAACCGGACCCGGCACCAAACGCGTGCTCAGTAATGGAATCACCGAATAAGACAATCTGGCCATACGGACCGTCACTCCGGACAACGGGGGTGAGATGAGCTGACATTGGAGCAACAATAGCTAGCTTTTTTATGTCTCCGTGAAGAAGGCTAGTGGATTAGGGGTGATAGAATGTTTATAGCAGCGAAACTACCGGCAGGTGCAGCAGGATGCGAACAGCATGAGGATCCTATCAAGTACGGAACAAATTCCAACGGTCTAGAAATCAAAGGTCAAATTTGTAATTACAAAAGCCTGAATTGCCCCATTCGCGCGGGAGTTCGGCTTCCCTTACCAAAGTCACCCGGCGCGTCTTTCTGACATTCATATCTCGTTCGTTACCCTACTCCGAAAAAAGATGACCAAGTGAATCTTAAGAGCATGCATTGCGTAGCTGTAATTACCTAATAATCGATTGGAAGTGCAAACCCCCCTTCTCCCAAATTAAGACCACTGTGCGAAAGCTCGGAATGTTTCGAACTATCGCATTTGAGGTCACAATAATTTGGGTCTCTCACTTGACCACATTCTCCAGGCACCGATGGCGGAGTGCGGGGTGCGGGATGAGTGCGGGATATGCGGGATGAGATATAGCCACAATCCAAGGTGCGATCTTTCCCTCTTCCACCAGCGTTAGAAGCAGCCATGCATCTAGCCAGTCTGACAGGCGCTCACCTCCCCCACTACCCCACGGCCTAGTACAAGCCCCTTTGACTCCCCGTGGGGTTGGCCAATGGTAGTTGAGAACATGTTCGTGCCGGGACTAGGAAGGGTATAAAATTTCAACATCAAGTTCCCCAACTGTCATCGGTCGTGCTTGGCTTAACATCCTTTGACTCTGCTACAGCCATGGCCGCAGCATCTGTTAACAAGACTGGCGGAGACCACTTGATGCATATCGAGGTAGGGCAGGGTTCCGACAGCAGGAACCCAGGCCACGAAATCGGCATCATGCTGGACGACCGTGTTGTGACCCTAGACAGCGACGAACTGCGTGACCAGGTGGCAGCCCAAGTCAAAAAAGAACATCTCAGCTTCACCTCTGCGGCATCCCTTCAACTTTTCTTTTTTGGTTTATTGCATATTGCAGTAAGCTGCCAAGGACCCAACCTGGATGACTCGGAGCGTTAATCAACTATCACAGATTCTTGGGGCACTGGTTTCGACAGCTCTTTGATGGGAGCAATGAACTCTAATGACCGCTGGCATAGCGACCTCGGTATTCCCAAAACTGGAGGGTATCTGGGGATTGTCACCGCCATCTACACAATTGGCAACCTCGTTGGTTCTTTCGTAGCTGGTCCCGTATCGGACAGATACGGGCGACGAATCGGGATGTTTGTAGGCTCAGTTGTCGTCTTGGTCGGGGCTATCGTCATGTCCACTGCGCAGACGTCCGGCGCGTACATGGCTGGTCGCTTTTTATCCGGCTTCGGAGTCGCATTGGTCAGGTCGGCTGCGCCAGCCTTCGTGACGGAGATCGCGCCTCCTCAGTGGCGAGGACCCGCTACGCTCCTCTACAACTCTCTCTGGCTTATTGGAGCAATCTTGGCCAGCGGTGTGGCCTACAGTACCGGTCCACTAAACTCCAGTATGTCCTGGAAGATACCTCTGATTCTGCAGGTAATTCCGTCAGCTATTGTCGTCATTTTCAGCCTCTTTCTCCCGGAGTCACCTCGATGGTTGGTTGCCAATGACCGTTATGAGGAGGCCAGGGAGCTACTAGTGAAGTATCACGCGGGCGGCAATGAGAATTCACCGCTTGTCGCGCTCGAAATGGCGGAGATGCGAGCGAGCATTCGGCAGCAGGCTTCTGATAAGCGGTGGTATGACTACTCCGAATTGGTCAACAGCAAGTCCAGCCGCTATCGAACGTTCCTGGTTTTCTCCATGGGTTGCATTGGTGAGTAAACTGAGTACACTGCTTGGGTACGTCGGAATATGAATGGTCTGACATTCACTAGGGCAATGGGGAGGATCAAATCTCACGGGTTACTACCAGGCCAATATCCTTCGAAGTATTGGCGTGGAGGCGCAGGCTTCTCTTCTCGCCTACAATCTTGGCTACTACGTTGCGGCACTCGGAGGCGCGACTATCGGTTCACTCACCTGCGATATGGTCGGTCGACGTAAGCTGTTGATGTTTGGCTGCCTGGCCATGTGCTGCTGCCTAGTGGCCTTGACGGGCCTGACATCCCAGTACCATTCCACCCAGTCAAGCTCGGTATCGAACTTGACGATTGCATTCATCTTCTTCGTCGGCATCTTCCATAGTGGTGGTATCAATCCTTTGGTCGTGGCTTATCCTGCCGAATGTCTCCACACAAACACTCGCGCCAAGGGCATGGGCTTGAACAATTTCACTCTCAATGTCGCCGAATTCGTCAACACCTACGGTGCACCCATTGCACTGGCCCGCATGGGGTGGCGAATTTACATCATCTACGCCGTGTGGAATGTGGTGCAAACTGCTTGGATCTACTTTTTCTTCGTCGAAACAAAAGGCCGTACTTTGGAGGAGCTGGACGCTATATTTGAGTCGAAAAATCCTGTCAAAGAGTCATTAAAGAAGGTGAAACTTGTTGAACCTGTTACTTCTGCGCAGGTCAAGGGCGTGGAGGTCTGAAATTATGGCTGCTCTAAGCTACTCTACTTGGACGTAGTATTTATTGTGATTTTTATTCTAAATTCGTTTTCTCTTTTGCGGCTATTGAGCTATTGTCATATCCATCAATATAGGGATTTAGCGGCATTATACAGAATCCGGTAATTTACTGATTGGATTGTTTGCTACATGCTGTCCAATCTGTAGGTCTTGTTTCCTGGATATTGGCAGATCCATGGGACGTTTGACATTCCAGATCTGTCCTCTCATGCCAAGAGAGTCTTGATGATAATTGCACGGAGATATATACGGTCAACGATGCTGTCCAGGATTATAACGAGCACAATAAATGCGGGGACGTTAAGCGCGGTATCATGCAATCTATGTCACTGTTTCTCGGATCCGTTCAACCGGCTCGCCCTCAGCCACTCCCATTGCAAAGCGCTCCTTTCCTTCGCCCCAACGCCCTCTTCCCATAGACAGGGATCGTAAATAAGTACAGCTCCTTGGTCCAACAGTTCACATTGAAGCTTCTCAATGTCGACATTCTCCGCAGAGACATTCTTGTCCAAGCACAAAGCTGCAGCTATGCCGGCTGCTTGCCCGAGAGCCATCCAGCACGGCTCCATGCGTAATGTGGAGAATCCAACATGTGTAGCAGATACTGGCACGGGTGCAAGAAGATTGCTGACAGGGGTGTTGGGCACCATCACGCCATAAGGAACAGTGTATGGGGAACAAGGATAGCTGAACATGCCGTCCAGATGAACACGACCTGGCTCACGCTTCCGCACAGGGTGAGAGTCCAAGGCGTAGTGGCTCGCGGTTATGCTGGTATTGTGGTCTGGGGGGCTTTGAATAATGTCAACACCTTTCGCTGTGGGATCTGTCTTTGGCCTGCCATTGCAGTCTTCTTGGCGCTTAGCTAGCGAATCGTTTGCCGTGAAAAGATACTTTCCCTGCATTCTTCGACCCTCTCGGACGTACAGTTGGCGCGGGAAGTGTCCGTTCTCAGGGTACTCATCTGCCGCCCAGCCCCATTGTAGACAATCTTCTCGGAAATAAGCTGGCAGCTCTTCATCATGCTGTGCAAAGTACAAAAGGCCCTCTGTGTATTCTCTCAACCGCTTTGCAAATGCATCTCGCCAGGCCCAGCCAGATGTTGAATATGGCCAATTTTCCTCGGGGAGGTCGGTTGATATCAACGCAAAGTGTTGGTTGTTGCCGTCGACCTTGTCGTTTGGTAAAGTGACATTGCTAAGAAGTCGCTGAATGCCTTCCAATTTATATGGAATTGGTGGCAAATTCTGCGCAGCTCGCTTGATATTTTGGGCAGCCTGCTCCGCGGATATGTCCAGAACGTCCACTCCAGCATGTAGGCCAGTCTGGACATCGTAGATCAACGAAGCAAACTCCCTTCGGCTGTAGTTCTCTGGCCGTTGTATTTCAGCTCGATTTCTCGGGTTTTTGGTGAGGCATAATCGGTAGTTGTAGGCCTGCACTGCGTTATCGCCGGCGTGAGTGCTACAGGCGAATTCTGGCCCATACCACAGTTTGTAAACTCTCCCCGCTCCAATTTCACCGTGAACGTCTGCTCCTTCGCGACCGACGTAGAATGGCACCCCACATGCGGCGATGAGATCTCCCTCGTATGTGGCATCCACAAAGAAGCGGCCGCGAATTGTCTCCGGTTTTCCTGTGCTCAGATTTGTGACCTCAATTGATTTGACCTCGTTCGCATCGTGCGTTACATTTTCGGGTTCGAAATCAAATTGACGGCAGGTCAGGACTTGGATCTGCGGGTACTCCAGAAGCCATTGGTGGAACACATGCTCTGCTACGGACGGCTCAAAGTGATAGCCTTCATCGCAGTCGCGGACTTGATCCGAGTCGAGCCCATACACTTCGATATAGTGGGCTTTTATTCGATCCACAAATTCCAGAAAGAGCCCTCCCGTAGCGCCGCGCGTAGCAATATCTGTTGCACCTAAACCATTTGCTGGTAAACCGCCGATAAACGGCGTCCGCTCTATCAAGACACTGCTTTTCGAGAGACGAGCTGCTGCGATTGCTGTCGTAATGCCTGCGGGTGTCGCCCCGAGGATCACAAGATCGGTTCCAGCTGTCATCTTTGGTGCCTGAGATATGCCAGGGAAGATTAGCCGATTGATAATGGCGTCGTATCGCTTTTGAGGAGCTTAGATTGCTGCTAGGAATAGAGTCCTCGTTCGAAGGAATTGAGAGTTGGGCAAAGGATGCGACAAACCTTTTTTTCGCATTTCAAAAGAGCTCTTGGCGTAGAAGTACTTTGCACACTATGATGCCAGCTAGCCGCAATGCAGAGTCGAGACGCGCCTGTGCTCTCCCTTCGTTGCGGGTTGACACTAGACGATCATCCCGCATCAGGTGGAGCTTCCATGGTAACACGCAGATGGGGCATCCCGCACGACCACTACACCATCCCGCATTGATGTGAGTGTTAGTGCTTAGAGATTTGGTAATGTCATTCGAGACACATCCGGTTGGCTAAACTTGGATATATTCTCTTAAAAATGTAAGTGGCGTCCACGTATTCACCTGGTTCGGAATTTAACGCTCGGTCTTCAGCATTATCACCAGAGTAGTCATTCTCGGGCCTGTGATACCATGACAGTGAAGCAAAGCCCCAATCGAGTGTTCAAGCTCAACAATGGGACCGCCATTCCTGCCATTGGTTTTGGAACCTGGAAATCTGCGCCTAAAGATGCCTACGATTCAGTGAAGTGTGCACTGCAGGCAGGATATAGACACATCGACACTGCCTTTGTGAGTCTACCCAGCTTCAGATACCTAATTATTCTATCCCATGGAACCTTTGGATGAATTCTTCTCCATTTTGTACCCAGGTTAATCATTGCACTCTAGAATTACGGCAATGAGGAAGAGGTGGGAAGGGCTATCAAAGACAGTGGCGTGCCCCGGGAAGAGATATTCCTAACAACCAAACTGTAAGTGAGCCTGGCATATAGATCATTGCAAGTGTTAAGACGCAGAAATGGGACTAAAATCTATGAAGATGGAGCACCTATCATAGTCGTGTAGAAGAGAACTTGGATCTGTCCCTGCGTCGACTTGGGGTGGATTACGTCGACCTTTATCTCATGCACTGGTACGTACAAAAGCCAATTGCTGTACCAGGCGTCCGAAGTTGTTCTGACGCAGGCTCTACTAGAGAGTCAATTGTTGCTGATATGTGAGCAGGCCCGTTGCTATGAATCCCAATGGCACCCCCCTATATTCCCACTGCTGCCAGATGGAACCCGTGATCTCCAATTAGACAGACATTTCACTTCTACTTGGAGCGACATGGAAGCACTGCTGCAAACCGGCAAAGCTCGCTCTATCGGGGTCGCAAATTTCGATGTCCACAATCTCGAAGTCCTCAGGAACGAATGTACCGTTACGCCTGCTGTCAATCAGGTCGAGCTTAATCCCTACTTCCAGCAACAGAAACTGAAAGACTACTGTGATGCCCGAGGGATTCACGTTACAGCATATTCACCGTAAGTACGAGCCTTGACTTCTCAAATTATCTCTGAAGCAAACAACAATTTGCATTGCCCCCAACTGATCATTTGAACAACCACAACAAAGACTTGGATCTGCTGGGTCTTCGCTCAAATCGGAGCCATCTATCTTAGAGCTTGCTAAAGTTCACTCTTGCGACCCTTGTGCTATCATCCTCTCCTGGGGAGCGCAAAAGGGCCACAGTGTCATACCGAAGGTAAACCCACCCGTTGCGCCTGTTGAGCACGTTAGAACGTATTAATCCTTGTGGAAAGTCAATCACGCCCTCTCGCATCAAGAACAATTTCCTTGCGATCAGCATCCGCCTCACAGAAGAGGAAATGGCACAAATCGGGGGCCTCGAGAAAGGACTTCGATTGTGTAATCCTCCATGGGGTATAAAAGTATTTGTGAGTTCAAATATGTTACATCATTGCGGTCCAACCTCATCACTAACAGCCCATCTCTTTAAGCACGATGAATGAATGAAGGAAAGGACAGTCAGATTCCAGGTGCTACTCTACTTAAACACGCGAAGTGGAAATTAAGGTGCTGATAGAGATCTGTGATGTCGATGGAAATGCGGCAGGTATCGGCATATCTGTGTCTAAATTACCATCCATATTATTCTATAGACTGAGGTTTTCGCTCAAGGAACTCAAAACATGACTGTACTCCTGTGCATTGTTACTCCACCTTCTGCTTAATGTGTCTGTAACAAGCTGCACCAGGATGCACCAGTAGCTTCGACATGCCTGGCTATCATCGCGATCTATGGCAGACTCCATACCCTGCAGTATTTCCGCGACCGGTGCCCGGGCTGAACAGCGCAAGCTCGTTGTCTGTGGAGAATTCAGGTTCGCGTCAGGGAGATAAGAGTTTCTCTGTGGCCGAACGTCGCCGTCATCGTCAAGGCTTATTTGGCAAGTGATATAGCCCCACAGTGTCAGCGCTCCAAAATATAAGGCAGACGGCTCGTATGGTGAATAGCCGGCCATGGGTTGAGAATGAGAGGGTCCAAAATATCTCTCGCACTGTTGGCCTGATAGAAGGTCTGAATTTGCTAAGGGCAACAAAAACAGTTTCAGTAGCTGTAATGCGTGACGCGCTGGCTTGGGGCCGACTTTGTGCTTAGTTAAGAGTCGAATGATGGCCGCTCGAGTATGCTGTTTCGGCGTGCGTCCTGTACGTGAAAAGCCGTCGTTGGCAGCTCGCTCGAGATCGTCCAATGGTGTGCACAAAGCAATAACGGTTATGTGGTAGAGCGCTCTGCCACGGACTTTCGTAGAGCCTTCCGGTCCTGATATTAGCCGGTTGTTGATTGCAGGAAGCACTGAGCTCAGATGAGACAGCGCTTGTTTTGTGTCAAAGAATGGATCTTGCCGGCGTTGAAGAAGATCTAGGACAATGGAAGCAACGCCCAAAAGAATGAGGAGGTTAGATAATTGGTTAAGGTTTAGAGGAAGTAACGTATGGCCTTCCGCTGTGCAGAGGAGAGCTTGACATATATGGTGGAATTTCGGCTGGTGGACCGTCTCGTGCTGCCTGAGAGGCTCGCTGTGACCCGGAGTTCTCAAACCGACATTGTCAGACGGAAGGTCAAGTTTCATAGGGTAGAAAGAGAGTCTGCTACATGGTAAGCGAAAGCGTATGGATAATGATCTGATCTACCAGCCGTACATGCTCCGATCATGCCCAAAGAATAAGGCGTGCTCAACATCCAAGGCGAACACTGAATACGCAACCCTGCGCCAATTAGTTTCCGCAACTCTGTAAGATATACATAACTCCATTGCTCACCTTTTTACAGTCTCGTACTCAACCAAACCCTGGCGATTACTCCCTTCAGTGGACAAAGAGGCTGCGCGGCTGTTGTTGTAAGAAATCTCAAAGATGCCGAGCCTCCGAGAGAGCGTGACCAGTGTTCCGTGAAATATGTCACTAAGCTCCATTGCTGTCCGATCCGCCAGGTACATTCCAGAAAACTCGACAAGAAGCCTAGCGTAATAGTGAGAACCCATTGTCAGACGGGACTAGAGGGCTCCATACATTGCCTGCAGAATCTCCATATCCGCGAGATATATGGTTTTCTTATTAACATGCTGAAAACCATTTAGCGAACACTCTTGTTCTCCAACGCCGAAAACATACCTGAAGCAGTTCAGCTCGTACTTGCCCTAGTAAAGTGCAGCCAAGTTGATGTAAGACAGTATCATCATCTATAAGCAAACCGACGCAGAATATCGAAACACAAAGTTCTCTTTGAATGACCTCAAAATTAAATGTCGGTTGATGGAATATGGGAAGAGATTCCATAATAAACTGAAACGCATTATTCAAGAGAAGACCGGTCCGCTGTGCAGTGAAGTCGCGACCAGATTCGACGACCTGTTTTCCCATTAGTATGAATGATAAAGCGGCTCCAGCCCAGCCCCGCGCGTACGGGACGCTTACCGGTCCCATGGTGGTCAAAAATTCATGAACCTGTTGACTAACGTAAAAGTCTTGGTAAGGGACAGGGTATATCCAGTCATCGTTGAGACTCGACTGCACTAGAGTTATTTGATGTATTCACCAACGACTTGCGTATGGAATGTAGAGCTCTTACCAGCCCCGGAACCGCATGTTCCCCGTCAATATGCCCCACCTGGTCAGAGTTACCTGGGAAGGCCGGTAAGGAGTTTTGATGAAGCCAGCTCCAATCTTGGGTGAGATCGAGGCTGGGAGTTGGAAACGGGAACAGGTCAACGGGGATATGCAAAGCTCCATCGTCAGCGCCAGCCATATTCTCAGGAGCATCTGCTGCTAAGACAGCCATATTGGATGGATGTCCTGGTCTCACAGCGTCCAGCAAATTATGCCCCGAATGGACTAGGTTATTCGGCGCGACATCAGGGGACGTTAAAGACGCATCCAAGGATAGTACCTCAGAATCAGCCGCCCGGTTGGCCCTCGTACCTTTTCCGTGTTTCAAAGTCAGATGGCGATGCAGCAGGTCTCTTCGGTAAAACAGTCTGTCGCATTGAGGGCATTGGATTGTGGCATCAGTGTCTGGGTCTCCATCAGAATTGTACTCAGCAGTGAGGCCTGCCCAGGATGAACACTGCAGGCGCATGGGGCGATTCTATTGGTACATACGGTTTAACTTGTGGCGGGTCAAGTGCTCCGCCCTGCGGAAACTCTTCCCACAACCAGGTTGATCGCAGCAGTGCCGCGGAGGTGATCTTCCGCTGGACATGAATTCACGTCCCACAGATGTGACTCGAACTAATGAGGAGGAGGCAGGGGCAAAGGCTCTGTAAGGGAAGATAGATTGAACGGTGGCTTTTGACGGAACAAATCCTCCGCCATTACCATTTTGCGGGGAAGGTGAGCACGGTGCTTTCCAGACTGGTTTAGGTTTAGGGTTTAATACCCCCGGATCGTACCATTTCAAAAATCTATGCTGTGTTTCAACCCTTGCATCTGCCCTTCCATGTGGGCATCTTTGCTTTGGAAATAAATAGAAAACTCCTGAGCTGAATTTGTCCAAAATTTCACTAATATTAGTAAACAACTAACCTACTGCAGTCTCTCGGCCTGGACTAAACCCTCATGGAATAAGCATGTATTAAGCATTGCTAAACTAACTTTCTAGAACGTGAGACAGGATCTGATCGTCGAGCTTGAACGCGCCTAACCCCAGTCGGAAGTGCTAATTATACGTCGATAATTTTATCAGTCATGGCGAAGAAGAAGAATTGATACAAGCAGTAGCAGCCCTAGAGTCAAAAGGTAAAGCCATGAGGTGAGACGTTCATTCATGCATCATCACTGCCCATTATAGATCTGGTCGGGGCTGAGGGTGAACTGGCCTTTGTACAGCTCGTTGTCGTTAACGTGGTCGGGCTTGATATATCTCGCCGTCAGGGCAAAGCGCATCTTCTTCTCTGGGACAACCGAATGCTGAAAGAGGTCAGAAGGCGTGTCAGATAGCAAGAAAGTGGGCCACATTACCTCAAAGTACCTCTGCAGATCCTCTCCGTGCATCACCACCAGGTCGCCATTATGGAGCTCCAGTTTCATCCTCGGAGGTGCTTCTCCACCCGCGGTCATGCCCACCTCCAGTAGGTTGTAGAGCTGCTCCCTGTAATGAGACTGTGAGATCTCTCCGGTATCTAATTGCTTCTTGAGGTCCAGTCGTCTCTCTTCATATTTACAACCCTCCAGAACAGGATCATTGTCCACAAGATGCTTGACTTTTGTAAGCCCGTGATAGTATTTGTACTTCATACGGATGGACATGGTAGAGGGTGCACCGAGCGAGAGAGTGGCGATTGTAGGGCCGAGAGAGGACTCGCCGTCGTCGTGAAACTGCGGATCATAATTAGACTTGTATTCATGCTGTGTAGCCATGAACATACTCCGATCTTCATGTCCTCAAAGTAACCCAGCGTCAACAGTTCATTCGGGGGAAAGAAATAACCCCCGGCGCTAGTGACGGCCTGCTCCGTTGCCCATGTCAAACGGCCCAGGGCTCGGAGGACAGGATCGGGGGCTTCGTCAAACCCTTTGGAGTCCACTGAAACAACGTACTTGTACGGCATGCCCTATTCACTGTCAGTCAGCTGCAGACTACACATCTCTGGCTGGGACTTACAAAGTTGACCGCAAAGTGAGCGGTCAGGGTTCCGGCAACTGATTGCGCAGTTAGCTCGCATGTGAATATCTGGATTATGTGCGAAATGTGCTTACCAACACTCTGCTGAAGACGGTACCGTCTCAGCCCGAGATCTTCGCTCTGGAGAGCCGTGAATATGTCGTTTGGGCCACCATGCTGAGAATTGATCGCTCGGTTGGCCACGAAATGAGTTATGGAACCAACACCTCGAATGCGGTAAGTGAGCTTCCGATACGGGAACAAGGACTCATCATCAATTTCTGGGATCGCCCTTTTTGGGTTGAAATAGAGAGCCCGCTGGATTGGCCCTAGGTCGAAGTCATCCACCACCGAGCGAATCGACACAGGGGGCATGTTGAAAAGCTTCTGGAAGGGACAATGGTGCTGAGGATCGGTGATGGTATCGTCTGTGCATTTCCAGCCTCGCCAGAACATTCGAGGGACGCATTTTGAGCACAGAGGGCAAACAATGGCCTTCCATGCGATACGCATGGAGCTCACTTCGGGATCGTCCTCGCTGATGGATCCCAGAAGATTAGGGACAAGGCTGTGGTGGGGCCGCATGTATCTGTCCGGACGAGACCGAGCGTTCAAAAAGTCTGGGTGGAAAGTAAGAGCAACTGGACGATTGTGGTTGATATACCAGAAGTCGGTGCAGGTTGGTTGTAGACACATCCACCCTTCATTGTAGATGCGCGTACTCTTGCAATGGCACGATTGGCACTGGATAGACTCTGGCCTTGTGCTAAAGTCTCGTTTTTCAAAGGGCGGCGGGTTAGGAGAGCCCGGAGCTGCCCACCAGCTCTTTTCCGAGAGGTCAAGCTTCTCAAAGCGGACTTTGACACCAGTCTTCTCGCCTACTCTTTCGTACCAGACATCAGTGACCTTGAAATAAGCCATGACATTGTAGCGATGTGAGAGCTTGCGCTTGAGCTCTTTGTTCTTGTTGCCTGTAAATACTGTTAGCAGGGTTGGATGTAGATGTAATTCTCCAGGCTTACCGATCACAATACCGACAGGAAATTTGAACTGCTGGTTATTAAGGAGGCTTTTGACAGTGACATTTTTGAAATCTTGGTCTCTGACAAGAGTCAAATTCCCCTCCTTGTCCTTGGTGCAACCTCCGCCACTGAACAAGTCAGAAGATTAATTTTACTCTGAGCGATGGTACTCACACTCGAGTGATGATAATCTCCTCGTCAATGTATGTGCGTTCACCACTGTCAGAGTCCACGAGAAAGCCCCAGCATAAACCATTGAGGTGGTAGAGGCCTCCTTGGGTGGCACGAAACCACGGAAGGGCATCGCAGAGATCTGGACGCTTCTGTGATAGGAATCAAATTCAGCTTTACAGGATATGGAAGACGGGCCCAAACCTCTGACCAAGCTGGCGGGTTCCCATAGACTGGTCCCAGCTCAGGGTCCGGTTTCTGCATCTGCAGGCGAAGGACCGTAGCAAGTGGCTCGATCGGACCTGTTTGACATTAGCGATCCGTGGTATGAAACTGAAGGGTAGTACGATCGTCACTTTTATTTTTCGTCTTCTTGATTCGATTGACGCGACCAGATTGAACATCGTCTGATTGAACAGGTCCCGCCATCGTGGATCTGGTCGTGGGAGCCATCCTGCTCAATCCCAACCAGTTTCCTTAGGAAAGCAAAGCTTTCTTCCCTAAAAGGGGAAGGCAGACAAAGGATGTATGGTTGATGGTGATGATGGAGTATCTAGTGACCATTATTAGTGGGTTAAATCCACGGTCACAGAGTTGATCGTGCAATATCAATGGCCCCATATAGTACATGCTGCCAAAGAAACTCTGTGACCTTGGGAATAGAAGAAGACCCACTAGGTAGCTCTGCAAGCAGGAAGACTTGGAAGCAGGTCCTCGAGTGATGGTCAGATGAGAGAATGGTCTGAATTGATGAGGAAAGGTGGTGCACGACCCGAATGCACCGGTGTAAACAAGAGGTAGAACGGGGTACCGATCGAGATGTGAGGTTGTGCGAGATGATGGACGGTCTGAAACTCCCGGGACACGAACAAAATTGATGAAACAAAGATGGTGAAGATGAAAGAAGCAGTGAACTGGACAGGTGGGAGACAAGGAAGAGGAAGGAAAGAACATCGGCTGGTCATGGTGCACGGGGACCATGGTCACGGGCCAACCAAAGCAGGCGCCAGCGAGGTATAGAACAGGTACCAACCAAGGATACTTACACTACAGACATGGGTGACTTGATGGAAGAGGAATATAACAGCATCGATGTCATGCCAATTGATCTTGCCAACCCGTGGTGATGTTTATGCAGATGCCCGTTGAAAATCGCAGCAACAAGGGCATAGAACGATAATGAAGAATTGATGATCACAATGAAAGGACAAGGAAATGAGTGGATGGCAACTGTCATGCACTTCACCGGATGCTACCTTGGTAGCAGGAGATGTAGTAAACGTCGTGATGTAATCAGGGTGCTCAATCCGGTGAATCCTCAAAAAGATGAATATAGGCACCTTCAGTGGCATTTATAATGCTCTTTGATGCCTTGCTTCTTAGGATTGAAACTTGTAGCGATTAGAGGTGCTCCATGAGAAGGTGTTTCCCTCAGCATTGTCTAATGGAGGTCAGGGTGTGAGGTTGAAAGGATAATCTGTGGCTATTTAGTATACCTGAATAGCACTCCATTGGATACATTGAACTTTTAGTATATTAGTGGAATATAACGTGGACCTGGACAGTGAAGAGAGGACAATGGTCGCCGCATTAAGTCATGCCGAGGGAAGAAGCCCAGTCACACGGAAGAATACATTCCTCCTGCAACTACGCGATCAATGTGCACAGACTCGGTAATATTTAAGCACCGACTAGTGCCGGCATTCAAATCCCGCCAACACGATAGTTCATGCCTAGGCAATGATCGGCTACCCGCAAGAGTAGTTACCGAGCTTCCCCGCACATAACCTATTTCCCCGACTTCCCCGACTTCGTTTGTTTTCTTCCACATCATCTCATATACAAACAGTTCACTGGACACGAAAGGACAATCAGCATGGTCTTCTTGCCTCCAAAGCATCTCGGCCCGCTCGGGCATGTTCCTGACAACATTCCCATCAGCGAGTTCATGCTCAATGAACAGCATGGGCGCGTGCCACATGCTGCGTCTAAGGACCCCTATACCTGCGGTCTCAGCGGCAAGACATACTCATCGAACGATGTCGTCGATCGAGTGGATTTCATTGCGCGTGGCCTGGCGAAGGAGTTTGGCTGGACACCGAATCAGGGGTCTGAATGGGATAAGACGGTGGCGGTCTTCTCCGTGAACACGGTATGTCGTGGCACCTTGGCAAGCTACGTCAAAATCTAACAGCAATTGTTTGCGCTGATCAGATCGACGCATTACCGTTTTTCTGGGCGGTTCATCGGCTTGGTGGGATTATCACGCCCGCCAACGCAGCATACTCGGCGGACGAGTTGCGGCACCAGCTGGTCGACTCTGGGGCAAAGGTCCTATTCACATGTGCTCCATTGCTGCCGGCTGCATTGGAGGCTGCGACCAAAGTTGGCCTTCCCAAGGAAAAGATCTACTTGCTGGATGTGCCAGGACAGATCCTCGGAGGTGTCAACCCCCCGACAGGGTACAAATCCGTCTCCCAGATTGCGCGGGCGGGAAGATCTCTCCCGGCTTTGGAGCCTCTGAACTGGGGCCCCGGCGAGGGTGCCCGACGGACTGCTTTTTTGTGTTATTCGAGTGGAACCTCTGGACTGCCCGTAAGTAAATTGCAATCGTTGAATCTGGTCCATCTTGCTGAGCACGGATATAGAAAGGGGTAATGATTTCACACCGAAATGTCATCGCCAACACGCTACAGATCACCGCCTTTGAGAAGACCTGGCGCGAGTCGAATAATCTTCCCGGAGCCAAGACTCCTTTCACTGATGTCTCCCTCGGCCTTCTGCCCCAGAGCCACATCTATGCTCTGGTGGTTATCTGCCATGCCGGGGCTTACCGCGGCGATCAAACGATTATCCTCCCCAAGTTCGAGCTGAAGACGTACCTGGCCTCTATACAACGTTACAAGATCACTTCGCTATTCCTGGTTGGTTTTCTTCAACTTTACGGCTGCAGGTTGCTGATACCATTCACCAGGTTCCTCCGATCATCATCAATATGCTGCGCAGTCATGAAGTCTGCTCCAAGTACGATTTGAGCTCCATCCGCACTCTCTTCACTGGTGCAGCGCCGCTGGGCATGGAAACGGCTGCCGATTTCCAGAAACTGTACCCCAACGTGATCATCCGGCAAGGCTATGGTGAGAACATTCCCACAAAGCTCCAAGATTCTTGGAACTAACTGTAACACAGGTCTAACGGAAACATGCACTGTGGTCAGCTCAAGTCATCCTAAAGATATCTGGCTCGGTTCATCCGGCATACTCCTCCCCGGCTTCGAGGCCAAGATCGTGACGCCGGAGGGCAAAGAGATCACTGCATATGATACGCCCGGCGAGCTTGTCACCCGCAGCCCGAGCGTGGTGATCGGGTACTTGAACAACGAGAAGGCAAACAAGGAGACCTTTGAAGACGGATGGATGCGCACAGGAGACGAAGCGGTGGTTCGCGTCAGCCCCAATGGCACCGAGCACATCTTCATCGTCGACCGCATTAAGGAACTGATCAAGGTCAAGGTTCGTGATACCACATCATCTATTAAATCTTGAACCATGGACTAATATTCTCTTGAACAGGGCATGCAAGTCGCACCTGCCGAGCTGGAAGCCCACCTCCTCACGCACCCGGCCGTCGCAGACTGCGCTGTTATCGCCGTGCCGGATGAGGCTGCAGGCGAAGTACCCAAGGCCATTGTCGTTAAGTCGGCCTCGGGAGGCGATGACGAGGCTGCTATTCAAGCGATAAAGAAACACGTCGAAGACCACAAGGCGCGACACAAGTGGCTCAAGGGTGGTGTGAGGTTTGTCGATGCCGTTCCTAAGAGCCCAAGTGGTAAGATCTTGCGCCGATTGCTACGAGACCAAGAAAAGGAGGAGCGGAGGAAGGCCGGGGTCAAGCTGTGATTCTATGTCTACTGTTTCCTTAAACTACAAGTGACTAAGGAGAACCTAGAAAGCGAGCAAAATTCTTATACTTTCTAACGTACAATCAGCCTCCACAGTTCTTGTTTATTGACTTTACACCCTTAATTAGCTCTTCTCTCCACGCTTTGAGTAAATTGCAATCAGCCTCTCTAGTTAACATCTCAACTAGACTCAGCCCTTCCCCCCATCTCAAAATAAATGGCCCTATGGGGTGGTATTCCCTTTTAGTATAGACTAGCGTGGACTGAGTAAAGCAGAGCCGCTCACTGACTGGGCACTGAGCGCGGCTGCCTATTCTATCTGAGGTATTCACTGATTCTTTGGCAGCTGCAGTCAAGGGCCCCGGCGGAGCGGCCATCGACTTGCTCACCCCGCAGAAATTGTGGAGTTGTTCAGTCCTGGGCTTGCGTATACATATCCGATGGAGTCGGCAGTAGATCCGTTCCGATGAAGCTGGCAATAGATCCGATGGGCACATACCAAAAATGCGGAGAACGGAGAAGTTTTGAGAATGCTAAACCTTCATCGGCCCAAGGCATGGGTCACAGGTCCGCCCTACGGTGGATCTTCACGCGGGTTGATCCAACTCCCCTCGCACTCGTAGATATATTTCGAATGGTGAAGATACCGTACGAACTAGGAACGTCTATTCGGAATAGATGGAAACACAATCTCTGGATCCTCGGGTACATGCCTAAGTCCCCCCGAGGTATAATAGAGTTTATAATAAGGTCTCAGGACGTGACCTAACCTCCCTGCAAAGACAGCGAGCCGCCCATGTTGGAAGAATCCAATTCCTCCTCTCTCCCTAGACGTTCCCTCTTAGCCTCGCCGGTCATCTTGCCATAATAAGAGACAGCGCAGGAAGTAGATCCGAATTCCACAGAAAGATGCCAAGCAATCTCTCCATCTGATTGGTTCTGACTAAACCTTCTTTCCGACACTAGTATGAGCTTATCAAAAATATTTTTCAAAACAGCCTGTTCGCATATGCAAAGAGGGAGGAGGGTTGGGGGTGAATATTAAACTAGGTTTTGACTGACTTTCAGTCCTAAATACTAGGGGCATAGCCCATAGAGATCCTGTATCTGTTTTATTCCCCACGTAATCCTTAGAGTACACTGACTGCTTTGTTGTTTAGAATTTTCATAATGCCTCGCACATGGTCAGTCAATTTCTGAAGGCCTCAGGTGACTGAAAATTTAAGTTCGTACATCCGATGACGGTCCGATAGGACTAGTGCTACTGCTCTCTCCGCATTTCACTTCCGTCCTATTGAACTTCCCCGCAATCCTCCTGTAGACCGAGTTCGGGCTGATCACCGAGCTCATCCGCATAGGAGGCTACATTGTTCGTTTGATCGGAACTGATATAGTTTGCGCATCCGATAATTCGGATGGATAGCCCTATGCCTGACATAATCGGCTTCAAATACCATAGATATAAGAAGAGGTGAGTTCCATATGATGGTCTAAAATGACAAACAGTCTTACGCATTCGTAGAGCAGCCAGCAGCTTCTCTTTTATCATTTACTTTGCACAAAACCAAAATGGAGGCCACTACCTCTAGCCACTCCTTGAAGATATACGCTGTCTGTATAATCCTGGCAGTATTTATTCTCCGTCTGCTGTCAAATCGATACAAACGCGGACTTCACGATATTTCAGGTCCAGCACTTGCAAAATATACACGGTTATGGAAATTGTACAATGTATGGAAGGGTGACCATCACAACACCGCCATCGATTTGCACCGGAAGCATGGATCCCTGGTTCGTATCGGCCCAAAGCATGTGTCTGTTGGCGACCCGAGTGCTATTCCAATTATCTATGGCCTAAACAAAGGATTCACCAAGGTACGTATCTGCTCACGAGCATTACTAAGAACCAGTCTGTCTTCCAAAAAAAAAATAAGAAGGCTGGAAATAATGGCTAACCGTCGCAGACGGCTTTCTATCCTATCCAATGTATATCATGGAACAAAAAACCCCAGATGAATCTCTTCTCCACTCGCGACGAGAAATTCCACCGTGATCAAAAGCGACCAGTGGCCAACGCCTACAGCATGACTTCACTCCTCGACCTCGAACCAGCGGTTGACTCATGCACTAAGATTTTGATTTCTCAGTTGGGCAACTCCGCTGATCGAAAAAGCCCTGTCGACTTGGGAACCTGGTTGCAATATTACGCTTTTGACGTAGTGGGCGAGTTTACGTTCGCAAAAAAGCTGGGTTTTCTGGAAGAAGGGCGAGACATTGATGGGATGATGAAGGCCATTCAGGGCATGCTAGCCTATGCCAGCTTGTGCGGCCAAGTCCCCGAAATGCATTCTCTGCTTCTTGGAAATCCCCTGTTCCCGATCTTCATGCCGAGCATGGAGACTTGGAATCAGGTTCTTCAATTCACACTGAAAGCGGTAAACTCCTGCGCGACTTTGCGGCGTGACGGCGATCTCGATGAGAGCGACAAAGAGGGCGGCAAGGACATGCTGTCCCGGTGGACGGAAATTCACCGTTCAGATCCTGAAAAGCTTTCCACAAGAGATGTTATTGTGCATCTTTCGACAAATGTATTCGCTGGTTCCGATACAACGGCCATTGCTCTCCGGGCTGTCCTATATCTTCTCATGCGCCATGAGGTGGCCATGGCCAAAGTCCAGGCCGAGATTGACAGCGCAGCCTACAATAAAAAACTCAGCGACCCCTTATCGTATCGAGAGTCCGTCACGCACCTTCCCTACCTTGGTGCGGTCCTCAAGGAGGCTATGAGACTACACCCTTCCGTCGGATTGATCCTCGAGCGTGAAGTCCCCAAAGGAGGAGTCTCCATTTGCGGGAAGCACATCCCGGGTGGGACGATAGTTGGCATCAATGCATGGGTTTTGCATCGAAATAGTCAAATATTTCCTGATCCAGATTCATTCATACCCGAGCGCTGGCTCGAAAGTCCCCCTGAAAAACTCAAGGAGATGGAACAGAGCTTTTTCACGTTCGGGTCCGGGTCGCGAACCTGCATCGGAAAGAACATCTCCCTCATGGAGATGCATAAAATAATACCGCAGCTTCTGCGCGAATTCGAGATTCGACTTCACTGCCCGGAGAAAGAGTGGAGGACCTTGAATGCATGGTTCGTTCAGCAAGAAGGGTTGATCTGTGACCTTGTGCGGAGGAACAAGGACATTTCGTGAGGCTCGGGGCCTTGTGCCAGAAAGCCTCATATCCGCTTGCTGCTATCTTGTGTACAGGCTTTTTCATATCTCTGCGCTGCACCTTTAAAATCTACCTCGCCAGACTGTATTTAGCCTTTTCGTTTTAGAAGATGACCTGAATAAAACATCTATACTAGGAAATGTACTCTTAATAGCGGACCTGTGGATTTCCTTTTTGCGGTTAGTTTCACCGTTTTACGTCCTTGCCTCAACTTCTCATCCTCCCTATGACTGCTCTACTATCCAGGTAGACAATGTTCGATATAACCTCAACGCGTTGGGTGGTGAGTACGAAGTTGATAGGTTTGTGGATCGGATCATAAACTTGGAGACGACGACGTTGGAGGCAACCCATGTAAAAACGCAGGGCGCAAATGGTGGTGAAAGGGTGCTTGCAAGTGTTGTCGGAGATGCGTGGCAATCGATTCGTTAATCGAGACCAGGTTCCCCACCAACCCTGTGAGGTCCGTGCATTTCCCAATACAAACATAAATAGACCAGTGAGCCCCCAGAAGGACATACTTTATAAGCACCCGCCTTGCATTTTCAGCGTTTGAAACGCTTGATCCAACCAGGAAAAACCATAATATCTATATCATTATGACGGCATCAGACAACCGCGAAGATGACCAGACCAGTCTCGAGCCACCCGCAGAGTCAAGAGAAGACTCTATATATGAATGCAGACCGGACCACAGCTACAACTTCGACATCCCCCCAGGTTGGAAGGAGAATAGGACAGCCATGTGCGCGATTACCTGGCCTTCCGAAACCCCTTTCACAGAGATATCTGAATGCTGTACCGGACCAGTCCAAGTATCCAATGCATGCTTTCACTACTGTCCAACCGACTTACCGAGTCACTTATTTTTGACGTGTGCGCACAAGCATATGGATGCTAAGCACATTGGTGTCAGGTGCAATACTCCTAAGTCGTCAAGTCATGGAAGACATGGACAGACGACCGTAGCATTGATGAATGGATACAGTGTATATCTTATTGGTGCTGTGTTTGTTATGCTTATGGCTTTCTTTGTGACCCAGTACATATCTACATCTGCTAGCATGCGAAGGAGGATCTGGAGTTCCTTTGCCATGTTCTTGGGCCTTTTAGTACTCATGGCTCTTTGGGTACAGGTATGGGCGGTTGAGAGAGAGCAAGGGGGATGATGTAATGAGAGCGACTGGAGCTAAGAATATGTAAGTTCTTAATGTTACTACGAGCACTGTGAAGGGCCAGTTTAAATTAGGAAAAGAGTGCAATGCAATAAGAATCTTGAAGTTAAAAAAGGAAGGAAAGCAAGGGAAAGAGGAAGACCAAATGCATTTGTGCATCAAGAATCATATGCCGCCGGTTATATGTCCTCACGAGAACGGTCTAACCTAACAACCAACTCTCGCATTGCATAGAAGAACCCTAAGTGGCTGCCCACCTAAACAACAATATGCGTCTAGGATGATAACCGAGGCTATCCAGCCACTCAAAAGGTTTTGTCTAGGACAGACAACTTCAGGGCTACTAAATGAAGGAGCGACGAAACAAGTAAGAGAAGGCTACGATCAAGCTACGATCGTCGGCAGAATGACTACTACGGAGGCGCAGAGCGTTTATGGCCTAGCCTAAGCGAATGTAGTGAAACGAGATTGTTCGGCCTTCGAAGATTCGAGTGCAACCTCGAACGTCTACATTCCGGTCGATGCAGGCCAACATTTGAAAAAAAAGTTTTGCTCTCCTAGGTTTTAGTGCGGGTCTACCGCTGGGTTCCTGAGTGCGGCTAAATTAGTCGGCAGGTCTTGTTTTCCCTTTCTCTCTTTCACCACATTTGACCCGCAATAGACCTCAGAGCTTTGAGCAGGTCATCGTCACCCTTCTCCAACAGAACTGTTGTCCTATCGCCTGGTAAGCCAAATGGTTTATCGTAAACCGGACACAACATCCCACGAGTTGGAAGTATGCCGGTTTGGAAATAGCCTCGAACTGCTTTCGCGGTGCAAAGGGAGGGTGCCGCAAGTGACAGATGCTAAATTTTGTCATAATATTAACTGTCATTATTCGAGATTGAAAGAATATGCTTGACTTACACCTTCTGACTTTTGTTGGATGAGACCCGATCCGGGAAATTTTTGACTCATTTTTTTGGCACTTTGCAAAAGAGCGTGTTAATCCACATGTACGTAGCCGACTGCATGGATTTAATATCAAAATTGGCATACTTATCAAGAGACGTGACGGGGTCCAAACTGTTTCCAATAAACAAGATCGGCTCTGTGGGGACTCCAATCGGCCCTTTAGAAATACCATCAGTAGTCAATCTATGTCGAAGAGCCAGGGCATATCCAGAGCAGATGGGATTTCCTACCAGAGTACATGAATTCAGGCCTAGCTCTCCAAAAGAGACAGAGCAGTCGATTCTGACTCCACCGGTCACCAAGGTAGATACTCTGATGGCGCATCTTCTGCCAATATTCCATAAACTCCTCTTTTGTTGTATTGCCCTGGTCAGGGCCATCGGAGCAGGATATAGCTCCAACCACCTCTTCTGCATAATCAGCAGGTTCAAAGAAAACATCCCGTGGTGATGATGTTTGCTTTCGATTCGCAATGATGCTCCCATCCCCATTAGCTAAGTTATATAATGCTCGGGCGAGTCCTTCGAATTCCTTGAATGGCTCATATAGTGAATCCCGAATGACCTTCTGCACATCACTATAGGTAACAATCTCCGGTCCGTGTGCCGATAGCACGGACTTAGTTGTATTTCTTGCAAAAGCGACAATATCGTCAAGCCAAGATTGGATATATCTCGGACCTTTTTCAGAGAATAAATGACATTTATCAGGTCCTGCTTGATAGCAATAGATGCTGAATCGCTCCATGATAGCATCTGCATCGTTAATGTTTCCGTCCCAAGTCCCTATATTTTTTTCAGCACTCAGCAGCAGACCAGTCTAGAATGATACACTTACCAGCATAATGGCGATCGCTGTCAACAACACCATCCAGTACCAGACGGCCCACGAGGTGTGGATACATACTTGCAAATGTTTCGCCCAACAGAGTTCCATACGAAAATCCCCAATATTGCAGCTTGTGTAATCCCAGTTCCGACTTTTCCGAAGGATTTTCTGGCTCCCGAGTTGGATGGCTAGACGGAGTCCACCCTCCTCTCCATCGCGCAAGAGCTTCTACAATCGCAGCCATATCCATCGCAACGACCGGAGTATTCATTCGTGCGCCAATCCCCTCGTTCCCTACTTGGACATAGCAAGCCTCAGCAAGGGCCTTCTTTCTCGCCCACATACGGCTAAACGCCACATCTGAGCTGCCTAGTAGTCCATCCGTCTCGGAAGCAACTTGCCATAATAACCTCTGCTGGGAATTGGCAAAGCATGTGAATGGTGGGGTAGTAAAGCCGACACCTCGAGGGTCAAAAGCTATGATATCGAAATACTTATCTGCCCACGTTGATTCTGCATCATCGGGGCTGAGTGGAGAGTCGACGATCTTTTGAAGGTTGGTGCCATGAAGACGGGCAAGGTTAATGGCTGAGCCTCCTGGACCACCTGAGGACGCTGTATTAGCAGAACTGGGATAGAAATCGATGAGCATTATAGATACCTGGGTTGATCAGGATTGGGCCGCCGTATCGTGGGTCGCTTACGTCTACTTTTGCGGGCAGTCTAATTAGCGCAATAGCAACTCGCTGTGAGTCGGTGGATTCATTCTTCCAGTCCAATGGGACATCAAGACGGGCGCATTCAAAAGTAGCATAGCAAGGGTGGAAGTAGAGATTTGCCGAGGGAACAATCTAGAGAAAGGATTCAGCATTCGATCGCGCATCGTATCTCATGATTACGGGGCTGTGTCCTACGCGATCCCATATTGAGTGGTGCTGAGGATGATCCGGGGACTGCGGCGATACCAAGAAGATGGATGATTGGACTAAGTCCCATATGGCTAGAATGAATGGTATCGGGGAATACATATTTTGGGTGTTGAAAGAGAGAGGTGCTCGATTCAAGGGAAAGGGAAGAAAGGCTCTTTCAAATTGATTGCGAACGACAGTAAATACTGGTGACGCTTTAGTAAGCTCCGGCGAAATATTCCAAAGACACAGACATAAGAGTACATATAGTCTGGAGAATCGCTAGGTTCGCGTGCCACCCAGTTGCTTGCCAAGTCAACATCTCATGTTTCTCTTTGATTATTCCTGTACCTGCCTGGTCCAGTAACTACTAGTGCAAAAATAGCCTAAAGTGGGATTTTTCGACTCTGGTTTGCTTCCTCTGTAGTTCAATAAAATACACACAGCATGCGCCTGCTGGCACATTCAAATCCACACCCCCCTACAGGTACAATCCCTCCACGGGGCCGCCGTCCTGCTTCGTCTTCATGATGCGCTCGCGGGCGGCACGGAAATCTTCCATCTGCACCCTCATCCGGCGCTCACGCAGGGCCATTAGACCAGCTTCGGTGCAGATCGCTCGAATATCGGCTCCGGAAAGATCATCCTTCTGGTTGACGAACTCGTCCAGATCAACGTCGTCGCCAAGGGACATCTTCGACGTATGAAGAGTGAAGATCTTCTTCTTGGTATTTTCTGAGAACGGTTAGTATCTATGTTCAGCATTGGTGGTATGGGGGATTTCATACGATCCGGGGTCTCAAAGAGAATCTTCCGGTCGATACGGCCCGGTCGAATCAGGGCCGGATCCAGGGTCTCAATCTTGTTGGTGGCCATGATGACCTTCACATCACCACGATCGTCAAATCCATCCAGCTGGTTCAAAAGCTCCAGCATGGTTCGCTGGATTTCTCGCTCGCCACCGGATGTTGACTCGTACCGCTTGGTACCAATGGCATCGATCTCATCAATGAACACGATGGATGGGGAGTGCTCAGCAGCAACCTGGAAGATCTGCCTAACCAAACGAGGGCCATCACCCAGGTATTTCTGAATCAGCTCACTACCGACGATGCGAAGGAAGGTTGCGCTTGTCTGGTTCGCGACGGCCTTGGCGAGCAGTGTCTTTCCAGTTCCCGGAGCACCGTAGAGAATCACACCCTTTGGTGGTTTAATACCCATCTCCTCGTAGAGCTCCGGGTGTAGCAATGGCAGCTCCACGGCCTCTCGGACTTCCTGGATTTGAGACTCCAGACCACCAATATCTGCGTAGGACTCGGTGGGTGCCTTGTCCAGCTTCATGACGGAGACCAGAGGATCGGATTCCTCGGTCAGAACACCAACGACGGAGACCGACTTGTGATGCAGAAGGATACTGGCACCTGGCTCCAGGAGATCTTTGTCGACGAACGACATGATGGACACGTAGTATTCGGGGCCAGTGGCACTCGACACGATGGCATGGTCATCATCGATCAGCTCCTCCAGGTTACCGACTCCCATCGGGCTGCCTCGCATGTCATCAACACGGCTCCTCTCGTCGGCATTCCGATCCATCACATCCAGATCGCCTCGGCTGACCGGATCTTGCGTCGCTTGAGCCTTGGCCTTTCGCATGCGCTCCATGTTCTCTACGTATTCCTCCTCAAGCAACAAATGGTCATGAACGCGCTGCATGCGGAGGTACCGTAGCTTACATCGCGACGTGGGATAGATGTCTGGAAGCTTGGAGGCTGTGCTTGGGCCGGCGGCCTTGCGCTTCTTGCGACCGATGCGGGTTGTGGGTGGCGGAGGGGGTTCGTATTTGGGCTTGTCCTTCTGCGCAATTGTGAGCGAGGGCCGCGCTGGTCTAGAGCAAACCATGTCATACCTTCTTGTCTTTGTCGTCCCGCCCATCACCACCGGGGCCTCCGCCCATGTTAGACTGCTGGTTACCCTGTTTTGAGATATGTCAGCACACACAAACATGGGGTTAGGGGACGGCGGATGTAGCAGGGTCACGAACCATGTTTGCAGATCAGGGACTTGGGCGCAGTCACAGTCCCGAGGGTGAAAATGAATCAAAGATAGGAAACGAAGATAATAGCGAGCTTTGGGGATACCGTGGACGATGGAAACCAAGGGTTGGAAGGGATGGGTTGGCAGATGGCGATGCTCGGAGATGAGATGATGCTAAGCTGGGAGCTGTTGTCGGTTCACGTGACTCACAGCCTCAGGCCACCAATGACGTTGATGCCTCAGTGCCTTAACGGGTCCTGCCTCTCTTTCTCTTCCTGACTTGAATGTATGATCCATTTTTGTTCCAATCCTGACTGGACTGGCGAGCTGTATACTTGAGACACCCATCCACTATTGTGCAGCTTACAATCTTCCTTCGACCAGAAAAATAGGTCACCCAGCTTCCTCAAACCTGGTCATTCATACTTGCCCCGCCATAGGTGAGCTTGCTGCTTCGGTCCTACGCCCTCGGAGGAGCACATACAATCATGTGCTGCCCTTTCTTTCAAGCTATATTCTAACTATATTGCTCCTCTACTAGTATATTCTACCGATCTTTCCCCCAACCTTCGACCAGTGGGCACGAGAGCTTGTCCGATGCCGGAATAGCTATCCTGCTGTACACAGACACATTCCACCGTTTGATCGAGTACACATCCATTCGCCATGGCCAGCAACCGAATTCGGCGGATGAGGAAAGAAATTGCCGACATCCACGCTGACACCCACTCGCGGATCAACGCAGAGCCCGTCGGCGCCGAGGACGATGTGACACACCTCCGAGGTTCATTTCCCGGGCCACCGGGGACACCCTATGAGGGAGGTACATATAACATCGACATCAGGATTCCCGAGATGTATCCATTCCGTCCACCCACCATGAAATTTGAAACCAAGGTGTGGCATCCGAATGTCAGCAGCCAAACGGTTAGTGCGCTGCCACAAGTTCCGGTATTCCAAAGCTAATGCGCATTGGAATAAAAGGGTGCCATATGTCTCGACACATTGTCTAGTGCCTGGACACCCGTCCTGACAGTGAAGTCTGCCCTTCTTTCGTTGCAATCTTTGCTCTGCACTCCGGAGCCCAAAGACCCTCAAGATGCCGAGGTGGCCAACATGTTCCTACGGAAACCCAAGGAGTTTGAGCGGGTTGCTCGCGAATGGGCAGTTCTTTATGCTGGTGCTCCCCGTGGAGAAACCAGCGAGGGCAGCAGGGGTGCAGCAGAGGAGACTGAGGAAGCAGCACAAGATAATGTGGCCCAGTATGTCCCCCACGCTTGTAAGAGGTTTAAGCTCACATCATCCCGCAGATATGACGGATACAACAAAGACTTGGTCGACCGCTTCTGTAGCATGGGATTCGACGTGGAACGAGTCGTCGGTGCCTTCCAACATGTGGGAGTGGACCGGCGAGGAGGGCAAGACTACGAGCTGAACGAGGGTCAGATGGGGGATGTTACTTCACAACTTCTGGGGGAGTGAGATGTTGCTATTTCTTTTACATATGACGAAACGTACAAATAATGTAGCTCTGTATCTTGTATTCTTTCTTGCTTTCGTTATTTCGACTTTGTACCTCAAATAGTTGAGTCCTTATCGATAAGCCACTTCATCTTCTCTCTGACTGCCTGGCAAGGATCATCCATCCCGCACACGCACCTCTCCACGATGATCGAAGACGACATCTATCGCACATCCTCCCAGTTCCGGTTATGGTCCTACACCGAAACTTCTTTACAGTCTCTACGCGCCAAAACCAATGCCGCTGCCAGCGAACGCGTGCGGACGGCCCTACGCCGGGCCCGTGAGGCGCAACAATCGACCGCATCCTCTGCGGTAGGAACGCCGATGACGAGCCAGCCGGAGAGCGAAAGTGAAGGCAGGGGAAATGAGGAAAAGGAAATTGACTGTTTAACCCCCGAAGAAGAGCTGGTGTTTGTGCGGTATTACTGTGAGCAGTTGCTGGAGCTCGGGGAGACCTACAAACCGCCACTGCCGACACTGGTCCGGGTAAGTCTTTCAACCCTGTAGATCAAATATGGAATCGATAAACTGACTAGTATCATGTATGCGACAGGCCACGGCAATCCAGTACCTCCGCCGGTTCTATTTGTCCAACTCGCCCATGACCTACAACCCTAAACAAATCATGGCGTGTGCGCTCTTCCTTGCGACCAAGACTGATAACTATTACATGTCCCTACGGCAATTTGCCGATGGCATCCCAGGAAACACGACCACTGAGGATGTCATTGCCCCCGAGTTCCTGCTCATGCAGGGACTGCGCTTCACATTCGACGTTCGACACCCGTTCCGCGGCCTCGAAGGAGGCGCCATGGAGCTCACAGCCATCGCCCAAGGCAATGGCCAGCCAGCGCCTCACATAGCGCACCAAACACCAGAAGACCTCCGCCGGGGCCTAATGTCTATCGCTCCACCTCCCGTTCCCTCTTCCTCAATTACAGACCGCATCGGACGCGCGCACGGCACCACCCGCGAGATGCTCAAGTCCGCCGCGCAAATGACAGACGCCTACTTCATCTACACACCCTCCCAAATCTGGCTATCAGCGTTTCTCCTCGCAGACCGCCCTCTCACCGAATTCTACCTCGACACCAAACTCGGTGGACCGCTCACAAACACGACTGCCTCAGCAACGAGCCCCAACAACAACCTCCAAAACCCACTCTACGATCTCCGCACGAAAGTCCTCGCCATCTTAAACGACTGTGCTGCCCTCCTCCAATCTTACACGCCTCTCTCGTCCGACCCAGTGCAAATGAAGAATCTCAAGCGCATCGCGAAGAAGCTCTATCACTGTCAGAATCCCGAAAAGGTCAATTTAGCCGCGATCCAAAAGCGCGGATCTCAGGCTCCTCCATCCCGGGCCGCGTCTAGTGCTGCTGCTGATTCTGGGCCCGTGAGCTCTGAGAGCGAATCGGATCGTCTAGCGAAGAAGCGGAAGCTGGAGCGAGAGCAGAAGAATCGCAACGCCGATCCGTTTGGGCCGGAGCTGGTGACGGAGCGGACTAAAAAACACTGATTGCGACGATAGTCATAACTGCGCTTGTTGAGGTTTTGCTGGGCATCTCAACAAGAGAACTGAAAGGCCCATATTCCCTTCTCTGCGCGTACCCCGATACAGAGTGATACCGCAGCTGTCTCGAGGTGTGGACGTGGCGTGTTTCCTTCCTTGATAAGTCGCCGGCGCACGGAGGAATGAGTGAGATTTGCATTCGAACCCTCTGGGGCGGCGGCAGAACTCGTCATCCTAGGCTTCATCGCCAGAACAAATCAGAGCATGACTCCGCTTTGAGTGTGCTACATTCGATTTGATTGCTGGACAGTCAATCTTGACAACTTCCTCATTTGAGCCATATACTGCAATCTACTACCTAGCGAATAGCTCTCAATCTAATAAACACCTTCAATATACGAGCCACATAAGCAGATATAGAACTGGCATCTCTCACTCAGATTGACATCAGGAAAGACTAGATACTGCCAACCACCATGCATGGCGTCTATCGGAGATGCATAGGAACAGAACAAAAACAGCACTTGGTTGCCACCATCAGGGTAATGTAGTGGATGGGGTTTCATGAGACAACAAAAAGCCAGCAACAAGAGAGAAAAGGCCAGCCCCTCCAAAGCGCACAAAATCTAGTCTGGAAGGAAAGGATCCTCGACGAAGTCTAATAATTAACAAAAGAAAAAAGAAAATTTTGGTGACCTCTCTCCTTCCATCCTGCCTCCTTCCAATCCTCAAGACTGGGCTGGGCGCGTTTTCTTCGCGCTCGTGTTCCATTTCCATTCCTTCAGTTTCTCATCTAGCATTTCGTCGTCATCAGAGGGAATCAAAGCAGGAAAAAACAAATCAAACCAAAAGAGATTGAGAAAGAAAACCAATTTGGTGAGATCACTCTAGACAGCGCCGGCGTCCAGCATCTTCTTGCGCAGGTGCTTCTTGTACGCGCCGATACTGCCGTCCCAGCGGCGGACGGTCTTGTGCTCGCAGACCATAATATCCTTGGCAATCTTGTCCAGGAGACGGAAGTCGTGGGAGACGACGACGACACCACCGCTGAAGGCGTTGATGGCATCCGCCAGAGAGTCAATGGTCGGGATATCGAGACCGTTGGTGGGCTCGTCCAGCAGGATCATGTTGGGGGACTCGATGGCAAGCAGGGCGAAGACGATACGGCTCTTCTGGCCCTCGGACAGGGTGCCCATGAGCGCAGTCTGGCCCTCGCCGCTGAGACCGTAGCGGCCCAGCTGCTGGCGCCAGTACTGGTAGTCCTGGGAGACGGAGGAGAACTTGTCCCGCACGAAGTCCAGAGAGGACTTGGTCAGGTCGAGCTGCTCAGCGGAGTGCTGGCTGTACACGCCCAGCTTCAGGTGAGTGTGACGGCTGACGGCGCCGCCAATCGGGGACAGCTTGCCGGTCATCAGGCGCAGCAGGGTAGACTTGCCGACACCGTTGGGGCCGACCAGGGCCGTTCGGGAGTCCATGTCGACACCGAAGTCGAGGTGCTCGTAGAGCGTGTCATCCCACGAGCCGGAGTAGGAAAAGCTGACGTCGTCAAAGGACAGGACGGGAGGAGGCAATTTCTCGACATCGGCGAAGCGGAAAGTGAACACCCGGTCGGGGATGACAGGCTGGATGAAACCATCGGCTTCCATCTTGTCGAGAATCTTCTGGCGCGACTTGGCCTGGCGCACCAGGTTGGCGTAGGTACCAGCCGAGGCAATGAACTTCTTGATGTGTTGGATTTCCTCTTGCTGCTTGTTGTACGCCTTCATCTGGTTCGTCTCCTGCTCCTCGCGGGTCTTGCTGTACGAGTCGTAGTTACCACCATAGTAGAGCAGCTGCTTCATGCGCATATCTATCATGGTAGTGCAGACACCGTTCAGGAAATCCATCGAGTGCGAAACCAGCACCAGCGTCCGCTCCCACTTCTTCAGGTACTCTTCCAGCCACACGCAGGCTTCCAGGTCCAAATGTGCGGTGGGGTCATCCAGCAGGAGAAGCGAGGGCTTGACGAACAGGGCCTTGGCGAGGGCGACACGCATCCGCCATCCACCGGACATGTCCTTGGTCTTCTTGTGGATGGTGACCTTGTTGAAACCGAGACCGGTCAGAATGAGCGATGCACGGGTGTGGAAAGTGGACGGGTCCATCTTGTCCATGCGCTGTACGATGCGTTAGTCTCCGTCTTTTTGACCAAAAAAAAGTTCCATGAACACTCACATCATAGAGATCCTCGAGGATCGGGCTGTCAGGGCCGTCGTGCTCCAGAATTTCCTCGGCCTTCTTCTCCATCGCGTCGAGCTGGTTCTGTGCCTCCCGAACAACCCACTCCAAAGCACCGAGATCCGAGGGGGGAGCACCCTCGTTCAACAGGTAAATATCGATGTGATCGGGGATAGGGAATTCCCGCGAAGCAATGGACTTGAGCAGCGTGGACTTGCCACAGCCGTTCTCACCCAGCAGGCCGTAGCGACGACCGAAGTTCAGTTCGAGGGTCGAGTCGGTGATGAGGACCTTGCCGTGGAACACTAGCGAGACCGAGGTGATCTTGGCGTCACGAGAGGAAGGCAGAGACGACAGCACACCGGTGGTGACCCGGTCGGACAGGCCGTGTTTGTCCATCTGGGCTGTGAGCTTCTCGACCTCCTTCATTTTAGCGTCGGTGGTGGCGGGCTGGTCCTCGGCGGGCAGAGGGTTGCCATTGCCATCGAGCATTGGAGGCGTCTCAGTGCCTTTGCCAGCCTTGCCGCCCTTCTTCTTGGAATCATCGGCACGCTTGGCCATCCGGGCAGCCTTGGACGCAGAGACCATGGTTGCGGTGGTGAGGGTAAAGCTGGGAGGGGAGAAATGGGGAGGGTGGGTGGGTTGAGGAGGAAGAGAGAGAGACAGGAGAGGACTCGAACAATCTCTTTCGATGTGAGAAATCTAAAAAGGCTGAGTGGATCGAATTTGGCGGGGCGGAAGATAGAGGGGCCACTTGGGTCAACAGCCTCTACTTATCTGGGGGTAGTGTCAGTGGACGAAACCGGGTAGCAAGTCTCCAAGAGATTGAAGCAGCACCTACTGTATATTGTGGTGGTGTCTACTGTTGAACACCGGATTCGAGGGTTGAAAGAAAAAGAGAGAGACAAAAATTGTGTTCGGTGGGGCTGAATTCTTCGGGCGGAGACGTCATGGTGGCCTGAGGCAGCCGGCTAGTTCGCCACTCAGGGCTAGGGATTGCAAGGGCTATGAACAGTACTCATTTATCGCCGTGTGATATCGACCAAAACAAGCCCAATATTAAATATACCACCTGCCAGTATCAGATGAGCGCCACTAGGTCTCACATAAGCATAGACCTGGCATACACCCATAATGAGTAATGGGACGAGTGCTGCCCAAACCTTAGCACAGCGATAAATTCCAAGAGTTAGTCGGTACTCACAGCGTCTCTGACCTGAAAAGAATGTCATGCAGGTAGACCAGATCAAGAATGCAGTAGACCCCAACAATATGACTATGGATGAGAAGTCAGTGTCATATTTAAGCTCGTTGGAGAAGCAACCGACGGTTACACGCGAGCCCTTTCAACGATCGATGCCAAGCACGATCTTGATCCGCGCGGACACTTTGGAAAATGCAGAATCCCTCTTCGATCCCAAAGAGTCCCTGAAAATACTCCAACGTGGCATCGTGAAGCTCAGAGCCTCGCCCTAATCGCCATGACCGGGATACTTCTTCGGCAAAGTCGTGGTCTGCATTATGCTTCAATTTCAGAGCCTGCACTATGTACTCTCGAACGTCTAAGGAACTTGCAGATCGATCGGGGATTTGAGCCATGGGAGTTGGAATCCGAAGATGATTAACCAAGGGAGGTGTGGACGGACGAGATGGTCGTATTGGGGGCTGGCTATGTAAGATGCGGCTGAGTCGGTGGATTTTACTGTTGTTCCGGCAATCCCTGTTGCAGTTGTTTTCGGATGACTATTTGGGGTTTGGATGTATACTAGAATCTTAGGCCCATGCTACAATGCATTATAAACGCTCGCTAATCTTCATCAGCACCCGTCTCTCCTCCTCGCTCAGGTACACTCCATCGGGGATCAGAACACCACCCTGCTCAACGACCACTCTCCTCGGCACGTCCGTCAGACTCGCCTCATAGTGACTAGGAACACTAGTCTCCCCATTCTTGGGGCGATTCGCTTCCTCATCCTGTCCTGGCAGAGCCAATGGATGCGACGTCCACCAGTACAGCGGGAAGCGGCGCTGGATGTTGTTGATCAACAATGCAGCAGCCTGCATGAGCGCGATGCCCAGCAGGATCACCGGAAAGAGGAACCAGCCCAGCCCCGCGGTCTGCGAGTTAGTCACTGCCAGAAGCGAGGTCGCGCCTGCTGGCGGGTGCACCGTGTTCGTGAGCACCATGGCACCCACCGTCAGGGCGCAGGCTAGTGCACCGCCGAGCTCGATGTAAGCCTCTGCGTGCAGGCTTAGGGCGAAGAGCTTGGAGATACCCACGCCGATGGTGCAGGCGAAGATCTGGCTGAATATTGCGTTGCGGGGCTGTGAGAAGGGCGAGTCGATGGCGCAGAATTCGAGGACGGCGGCGGCGCCCTAGTAGAGACGCGGTGTTAGATATTGTTCGACATTTGGTGTAGTTCAGTGTCAGGGCCAACGGTGCGGTGGGCGAGTCTTACAAAACTACCGATGATTGTCGGTGCATCTCTCGATTCAAACGATGGCACTCGCTTCGATACTTCCGCCACCAGGGCCAGGCCACAAAAGACGCCAATAACCGACCAAAAGGCAAGGACGATATTGCCCAGGCTCTTCGGGGTATTCTCCCGGTGCCCAAGCATATGCGCCAGCGGCTTAGGGATCAAATGCCATCTTGGCGCCGGAAGAAATGGGTTGATGAAGCGATCAATATCAAAGTGCCATGTCGACGGCCGCGACAGAGACATGACCGGACCATGCGGTGAGAATTGAACCATGTTCCCCAGAACTCGGATTTTATACCCGCAGTGCCAGACCAGGCCAGGGGGAGATCTCAGGGTTATAAAGCATTATTTAGTAGTGCAAGCCAAGCGTCGACCCCAAGGCCCGGGCTGGTGGAACTGGCGGATATCGTCATCTGGCGACCGCGCACATCTTCTACATATCTCCGCGGACACGGCTGGACAATTAGTTAGGGCCAGGAACAACAGAATGACATAAAGGGCTAGGATCAGACAGTCTTCCACTAGCGGCATTTGTGTGTGGTAATAGAAACCCGGATGCGGTTTAGCGGGTGGAATAGGGCATCAGTGACTCGGCATCTATTTACTTCGAAGTTCGTGGAAGCCAGGTTTAGAATAAGAATTATTGAAGCAAAGAATGGAAAGAAGATAATAGGCTGCGTTTTATAAATGTAGGGGAGAGGTCCAAACTCAAGTTTGCGGTGGTTGAAGTACCGTAACGGGTTCCACAACCAAGACTGCCGACGTAAGGCTGAGCGATGCTTGCCAGCTAGGAACATGATTGTATACTTGGATGTACATGAGGAATGCCTAGTGGCAATGACATCGGGCAAACTGCATTAAGATCATTAAAAGCTGTGGTGACATAAAACAAAATATCCATGCACCAGAATAAACCTCCGACACGATATACTTTCTACACATCCACGATATATATCTCCCAACCCTAACCACCCAACCCAACACACCAAGCTCTTGGAAACACCATCCCCCACCTCCGCATCAACCCCACCAACTCATCATCCCTCCCAGGCACAACATTAACAAAGATCCGATCCCCACTCGCCACAGGCTCAGAATGCACAGCACCGTGCTCCTCGCCAATCTTCAAAAAGACACATTCACCCGGCCTCGCCTGTACGATAGCATGATCTTCCAATACCAGCGCTAGGCGGCGCCGCACCGACTCCGCGGCCATGGCACATCCTGTGCACCGCACGGAGTGGCAGATTTGTTCGTGGTGAGCCGCGCGGGCGTCGGCTTTGGCGGACGCTTGGGCGGCGCGGGCCATGGGGCTTGTTTTGGTGGGAACGAAGAGTGTGCCTGGGCCGAGGAGGGTTGTTGTTAGTTTCCAGTTTGTGGGATTAGTGTTGGTTTTGTTGGTTTTGTTTGGGCTTGACGTTATGTGGTTGGTGTGGGTGCTGATGCTGCTTATTTTTTCTTTCTTGGTGGTGAGATGGCGATACCGTCTCGACCGCAGCGTCCTCGGCACTATCACCCTCGACCACAAATCGGACATAAGCCTCGACCTAGAAGCGTCCGGCTCTGGCCTTGCAAAGAATAACTCATCCGTATGCCAACGCGGAACATCAAAGTCATTTGACGCTTGGCTAGCCCGGATCGTAATCCAATAGTTCGACAAACCGTTTGTCTCGAGGAACTCGTGGACGAAGGCCAGGAATGAGAAGAGCGGGTCGAGCACGCGCCCATTAATCGTGGCTTGTGCCCAGGTGTGGAAGGAGGGTGGGAGACCGCGGGCATCGAGAGGTAATAGGGGTCCGCAGTATGTCCATGACGACGAGGTCTTGAGGGTTAGTTTGCTTGTCGGCTCTGCTTCTGGTTGGGGTTGTGGTGGAGTGGTACTAGGGTAGGATAAGATCTGGAAATCGGGAAGTGAATTGGCGTTCATGTTGATAGACCTAACTTGATACTGGTGTGAGAGGAGGACTAGGCATGTAAAAAGGAAAGGGTGCACGGACAGAAAGATGGCTCAGACCCCCCTCCATTCTCTTACCGACACAATGAACTGGCTGGCTAGCTGGCAGCAGTATCTTGTTCGATTCAAGAAGGAAGGAAAAGCCGAATCAAGCGAGTATGCGTGCGTGTTTCACATGAACCCAAATGTGAGACGTCAAGAGACAAATCGACTGTGGTCCTGCGTCGACGATCTCTGACTCCAGCTTGGGCCGCACGCTGGCTGGGTGCTGACTGCATTAGTTGTCACTGACGGTGAATTCTAAATGCCTGTTGTTGTGGTTTGCCACCCGAGCTGTCGGGGCGTATGGTAGGCATTATGCTTATGCCACATGGCCCCCATGTGCTGAGCTGTCCAACTTCAATGCTTACCTAGGCGCCCTGGCAGACCGTCTGAGAGGCAAATAATGGAAACAAAATTGAAAAAAAAGAGGGGCTTCGTATTTTCATCTAGTTATACTCCTACTACCAGCGCATCCAACTATTTTTGCAGATCATTGCTCATCACCCCACTTCATGTCCAGTCCCGACACTGTCACTAACTAAACATCCAGGGTCCGCCCAGTCGCCGAGCTCTCCCGCGCCAACTCGATCAGGCGAATGACCTCGCTCGCCTCCGCGCCGCTAGCCGGCAGCGCGCCCTCGCCACTCAGGGCGCGTGCGAGCTTCCGGTAGTACTCCGTGTATGTGGGCGGCTCCACGGTGGGGACGATCTCCTTGGTGGGTGAGCCGTTTTGAATGGTCGTTAGGGTGCCTGATGCGGGGGAGACGAGTTAGTTAACATGTCAGACAGAATCCCAACAATCCCCAAAAAGAAAAGGAAATAGCTTACCGTATCTCTCGCTAGGCTCCCGGCCGTATCCGTTGTCAGTGGGCATGATACCAGCCTTGAGTTGGTCTTCCTGGATGTCAAGGTGGAACTATACACACCGGGGGTTAGTAACTGAGTGTCTAGACTGACAGAAAAAGAATTCACTGCGCACCTTCTTAAAGCTTCCCTTCTCACCCCGCACCCAGAACCGCAACTGCTCCTCCTCCGGACTAACAACCGTCGCCTTAGCGGTAACCATTGTGCCGGTAGCATAGTGCAGCAGCACGGTAAACGAGTCCTCAAAGCCAGAGGAATTGGCACTGCGAGCCGAACCAATGAAGGCCGTGATCCGCTTGGGCAGACCGAGCAAATGCACCGCTTGGTCTAGGAGATGGGTGCCCAGATCGTAGATCGCCCCGCCGCCGGGCATCACCTTGTTCTTCCATTTCGAGGCGTCGGCTGCGGGCTCCTCCGGACGGTGCCGGTCGAAGTGGGTTTCGAACTCGGAGATGCGGCCCAGAGAGCCGTTCTTGACGAGTTTGGAGAGGGTGACAAAGTCGGCATCCCAGCGGCGGTCTGTTCCATATCAACTGTTAGCGAGATTTTCTCTTCACTTTCCTGCGGGGAAATGACGTACTCTGGAACACGGCCAGCAGCTTGTTCTGCTTCTTGGCGAGGGCGACGAGCTCATTGGCCTCCTTGCTGGTCGGGGTGAAAGGCTTTTCGCAGACGACTGGCGGGGATTAGGACGGTTAACTTTCCGGTAAGAAGGAGGACATACCGTGCTTGCCCGCATTCAGGGCGAGCTGTCCCAGGGCAAAATGAGAGTCCGGAGCCGTGGTGATAACAACCACATCGACGGCGGGATCCTTCACCAGGTCCTCGGAGGTGCGGTAGGACTTAATGCCCGGGTGGTCCTTCTCGGCGTCGTCGTCGGGCTTGGGGGTGCGCTGGACGATGGCGTGGAGTTTGAACTCGGGGACTTGGGAGATGAAGGGGATGTGGAAGATCTTGGCGCTGAAGCCGTAGCCGATGACGCCGACGTTGTAGATCTTGGAGGCCATTTTCGTTGGTGTGTGGTGTATACGGAGTGGACAGTGACGGAAAGGAAAGGAAGGAAAGAGCGCAGAATATATAAAGCGGGCGTGCGGGGGGACGGAAGGTCCTGGCGACGGCAAAGTGTGGCTCCGGTGGGGCAGATGCCGAGTCGGGGTTGATTCGGGTTCCCGATGACATGCTATAGGCCATACTACAGGTCGTACTACAGGGGTCGTAGGAGAGAATCATGGTCGTGCAAGTTGGTCAGTCCACTACTATATTGGATTTCTAAGCAGTGATGGGTCTAGAGTCGTGCGTGTCCGCCTCCTCACGGGAGGACCTTCTTCACGGTCAGTCGGAGTATCGCCGAGTCCACCGGCTCTCAATTTTTCCCCCTCCAATTTAGCCACTTTACGCCTCCTGCACTCCCACACACCGCGTCACTTCAATTGCATCCTACCGGGAATCAGCGTGAGTCACTGGAATGTGATTTGAAATCAAAAGAGAAGAAACTCACCTGCGACCCCTCCGGCTGCCGGAGCTGACTATCATACACCAAATCCGGGTTGCCGACAGTCTCAAAGCTGGGGACGTCATTCGCCGGCATAAACGACTGGGCCGTGCTGCGGGGGATCCCCGTGGTGTCATATCCTTTAGCCGGCCCTTTCTTAGCCGCCTCGCGTTTCTGCTCGACTGTGCTGCGCACGTACTCCAGGTACGGCGGGTTACCCGGGTGGAGCACGTTATCGGCCGCGAGCACAGAGCCCAGCGAGATCATGCCGAGGTGCTCGCACAGCTTGACGTCCGTCGTGTAGGCGGGTTTGTAATGATCAATAAACATCAGCTCGATCCTGGTCAGATCGCCGGATGTGTACAGCTTGTGCAGGGAGACGTCGCTGCGGCCGACGAGGATGCGCACGAAGTCGCGAAGGCCCGCTAGCTCGACGAGCATGTTGGCAATGGCGGCGAATTCGGGGTTCAGCTCGAGGCTGAGGTACCGCTGTCCGCCGTTGCGGCGCACCCGCTCCCCGAAGAGAATGGCGGAGTAGCCCACGTAGCAGCCGAGTTCGATCATGGTCTGTGGTTTGAGCTCGTCGATCAGCTCAGTCACGATCCGACCTTTGGCGGCGCCGACGTTCATGAAGTGGTACTCCTTTTCGAATTCATGGATCAGGTCGATCACTTTTTCGGGGTGGCCACGGATCTGGTCGAGATTGGGTTGCCCGTAGATGAAGTGGAGGAGCTTTAGCTCACGGCCGGATTCACGCTATTTTTGCATTAGATTTGTTCTTTCTAGAATTTATGTAGCTATGTATGCTGGTGGGTTGCTTATTTACCGACTTCTCGCCGGGGCGAGGATGCTGACGTGGGGGAGGCAGACGGTCTTCGGTGGACATTGCAATTGTGTGGAGGACAGACGGGTTGAAGGGAGAAAGAGAGAAGGAAAAGAGAAGGGAGGAGGAAGAAGAAGACAGAGCCGAGCATGAGACTGAATCGGCCTCGGGGATAACTGAAGAATAGTTCCTTCAGGAAACTCAGCCCGATAAGGCATGTCCCCTCGCTTTGCATCATCGACGCCACTCCAGGGATGGGATCCCTTTCGCCATGACATGACTCTCCCCAAGCAACAGACCATGTCTCCACACGCCCTCGACTCCCTCGGCGCCCGCATCTTCTGGCACCTACTCCGCATCTCCCTGTCCTTCTCACTGATACTGCTGGACAGCGCCATCCTCCTCTTCACCAGCAGCGTAGCCCACCTGGTCCCCGCCCGGCGACGCAAGAGCTCGCAAGATGTACACTTCTACCCAAAAACCATTCTAATCACCGGTATCGGCACAGCGCCGGGCCTGGCGCTGGCTCGCGCCTGGAACGCAGCGGGCCACCGCGTCGTGGGCGCCGACGTTGCGGACCTGGACCTGCCCGTGCGCTCGGGCGGCGGCATGTCGCACACCCTGCTTGTCTTCTACCGGATCCCCAAGGACCACTATATCTCGCGCTTGCTGGATATCATCCACCGCGAGAAAGTGGATGTGTGGATCCCTTGCTCGCCCAAGGTGGCCCCCATTGAGGATGCGACGGCCCGCCAGGTCGTGGAGAGTCGGACGAGCTGCAAGTGCATTGCCTTTGATACGGAGCTGACGGCGTGCTTCTTACACCCGGCCTCGTTCCGGCATTATGTCATGGACAAAGGCTTGCCCGTCCTCGAGCAGCATCAGGTCCAGTCGCGCGATTCCATACACAAGATCCTGCACCGATCGCCGATGAAATCCTACCAGATGCGTCGCCTCAACCCAACCGCTAACGAGAGCGCGGTGATCTTGCCGAAACGCACGCTGAGCAGGACGTACTCGGATGTGAGCGAGATCGAAGTCACCAAGGACCGGCCCTGGGTTCTGCAGCAGCAGACTCGTCTCGGTGAGTTCTTTGCCGACATCCTGGTCGTGCGTGGCCATGTCCACGCCATCAAGGTCCGACTGGTGGATAGTCGTGCATGTCAATGGGGTGCGTCGCGTCTGGACGAGGCGCTGGCCGTGGCCATCCACAAGCTGATGCAGCGCTTTGCGGCAAAGGCTGGCATCCGCATGACGGGCCATGCATCGGTGAGACTCCTGGTGGACGAAGAGTTCGACGCACACTCCATCCGGCACTCTATCCACATTGCAGAATGCGCTCCCGGTGCCGAGGCCGCGGCGAACCTGCTGCGCGATGCTCCCTGTCCGATCGCCGGCTATCTGGCCGTGATATCTCCAGACCCGGCGCCTGCACGGGTTTCAGCGGCATTGTCGCCGCCTACTCCGCAGTTGGTGTCGCGAATTGCCCCATATATCCCCGCGCACAAGCATCTCCGGTTTCTGCGTCCTCTCGTACCACTCCTGGAAATGTTGTATACCGAAATCTCCCCATTCATATTCTGGGAGAACCCCCTCTTCGCACGCCAGGACCCTTTGCCCTGGTGGTGGCATGTTCATGTCTACCAGCCCCTGCGAGAGATATGGCTGCTCATGAAGCAGACCCGGGAGTCTGGCCTGACCGAATGATTTTCCTTTTTTGTTATCATTTTCGCCCATTATCATCAGCGTCATACTATTAACGATATAACGAGACCACGAGCTAAACCAAAACAAAGATTTCCATGCATTGAACATCTCATCATTATTGCCTACTCTATGAGTATCTATCTAACTAGAGACCGGCCCTCTGACTAACATACAACGACCTCGCCTCCGCCTTAACCGCACCACCTTGATCCAACATCTTCGCCTCAAGAAACCACTTCCTTCCCTCCCTCCTCCTCACCCACGTCTGAATCTGCATCACGCTCGGCGTGAGCACGGGAGCCCGATAGGTAACCTCCAAACTAGCCGTATAAAGCTGGGCTGTCTCATTCGAGCCATTGTTAAAAACCCGATACCCCTCCGCACAAAGCCCGAGGGCCTCATCGAACAAAGCCGCGAGAACGCCTCCGTGCGCCGTTTCTTCCCACCCGTTTATCCCGGGCTCGAGCTGGGCGAATACAATGAAATGCGGCTCAGACAGGTCTTCATTATTGGGTGTAATGTCGGGTTTGCGCATGAACGTCAACACGCGTGGGATTGTGTCGTGCGTGTTGATGGTTTTCTTAAAGAATTGATCGTATTTCTGTCCTCTGTCGTACCGGGTTATGAAGGGGATGACTTGGTAGTGGCTCGTGTTGCTCAGGTAGGGTTGAACGGAGGGAAGGGCGGAGAAGAAGGTTAGATCTTCTTGGGGAATGGGGAGGGTGTGGATTAAGTCTCGGTAGGTGGGCATGATTCAGGATGGCAACTGCAATTGTGTCGATCTAGTTATTGGGGGGTGTATATCACGATAGTTATAAGTTCCATGTTCGGAGAAGAAGTTGGGGGTTAGTCCCCGCATCGGTACTTTAACCTCGGCAGCGTAGACGAACTAGTGGAAAGACACGCGAAGCGGCCTGCTCAGTGTTGCGGGTTCTGTGATATTGACTATAGTGATCCCGAGACCAACTATCGGAAGAGAAAAGCTCTTATAGTGGGAGGTGCTTACTTGCCGGACTGAGGGAGACGTAATGGAAATATAGATCAACCAAACCCAATATCATTATTTTCGCAAAAGATCCGTTAGATCAATTGTTTGCCACCTCGAACAAGGAACAAGACTCGAAACTGGGTACTCCGTAGTTAATTAAAATCTTGCCGCCTTGACATAATGCTGTGGAATCCAGCCCATGTAGATCGGTGACAGGCTGAGTGCCGGCTCCACCGTGGCTGAGGGTTCCCAGAATAGTACCGCCTCGTCGCCCCGGTGATCACCAGTGTCCTCGACATTGCTCTTGTTCTGGGGTATAGAGGGAGCAATGGAAGAAGACAGTAGACAGGAGAACTAAATTGGTTTGAATCGGTGAATTTTCAGGATTCTCTTATTATCAAATGATGGCGTTGCACCGCAGTTTGCAGTGCACTGGGCGAGCCACAAGACGAGGCTCAGCCAAGAAAAGCGGGCGCGCGTCCGTCCTCTGCATCATTCCCCGAGCCTCTCTCGCTCCTCCTGGACACTACTTACTTCCACTTGTGACCACCGACACAATCCTACAGCTCCCCTGTATTATTTATTCCTGTGATCGCATGCTGATCTCCCTGGTCCATCTTTGAATTCTTCCTTCTCCCTTCCACGCTGGGCTGAACCCTCCCCTCCTACTCCGACCAACCAAAAAAAACACTCAACATGCGCCTCCCGCAACCCTCCGGCGGTATGGGCCGCACGAAAAACCTCATTCACTTCGCCCAGGCCCTCATCATCTTCATAGCATGGGCGATGACCATTGCTATCTGGACGAAGGGCGGCTCGGGTATCGACGGCCGGACAGGCTGGTTCTGGGCTTTGGTGAGTTTCACTCTCTCTTCTTTCCGTGCCGAACAGACCGACGAACTCGAGAGGGAATGAACCTTGCTTCTTATTAATTCTTCGACAGTGCTGGTTCAGTATCCCCGGTCTGGTCTACCTCGTCGCCGTGCCCATGTGGCCGCGTGCCCGCCGCTTCGGCAATGTTTACGCCTTTGCGACCGTCGATATCCTCTATGCCGTCCTCTGGTTTGCTGCATGGGCTGCCGTGGCTGACTACGTGGCTGAGGGGAAGAGCAAGGGCGCTTCTTCGTCTTCGGATAGCAGCAATACCAGCAGCAACAGCAACAGCAAGGCGACTCGCGCGGACAAGAGCAGCTCCAGTGGCAGCAGCGGCAAGTCCGGCTGCGATAACTGGGCCTATGGCAGCGCCAGCAAGTGTGAGTTGAGCACAGCCACCACCATTATCGGCGTCGTGATCTTGTAAGTTGGACCCCCTACCCCCAAACAACCGCCCCATGCTAACCTTCTCTCTTTCTCCCTTAGCCTCCTCTTTGCCGTCACATCCTACCTCTCTTTCCGCAACGTGATGCACTTCCGCCGCACCGGCACTCTCCCGGACGCCGTCTCAGACCCGACCTTCGCCGCGCAGAGCAAAGCCGCCTTCTCATCGAACCCGGCCCACGACTTCGAGGAAGAGGACGACTTCCGCTCCGGCCGCGCCGGCGGAATGGGCAACCAAGCCGGCAGTGACCGCGACGAGGACTATGCCCTGCTACAGCAGAGCGAAATCGATGACATGGGCAACCCGAACGGCCGGAGTGCCCTGCACGGCGCCTACGATCCCACCGCCCCGGCTCCGTCCAGTGTCCTGCACGACTATAACAGCTCCGGGTATAACCCGTATGGAGGCCCGCCGCCTGGCCAGCACTATGCTCCACCGTCGGAGTATGGGTCATCTATGAGTGGGTATGGACGTTGAAGTTGATGGGTATGTGTGATGAATGACTGGTAGACGGGGATATCGAACCATCAATACCCCAAAATTTAATCTGTGTCTTGGTTGGACATGGCCATGGAGCGGTGTTGTTCAGGCGCATGTTTTTTGATCTTCTTGTTTCTATCTGGAGGGCTTCGGTCCTGGTTGTTTCCTTGTTGATTTCTGTTCAGATGAATAGTTGCTGGCAAATCTATTATAAACATGGCCTGTTTCTGTGCTTGGTGATATGAATCAGTTGAATCAGATGTTTTATCTATCCTGAAAAATATTAAGTACCAGTGAACCTCCCTGCCTCTCTCCATGTAAGCTGCTCAATGTAGGTCTCGGCGGTATGGGGATAGTTGGCAGATTCTCACCGCCCAAATCATTATGGCCAGCTTGCCCGATGGAGCACTTGAATAAACAACACACCGGACAGACAAGCATACTCCTGCGTATGTCAATCATGTTACCCCATCTCCCTTCAACTTTCATGCTAACCTACCCATGAATGACAGATATCCCTCGTCTACCACAAAGCACCGGAGCCAAAAGTCCCAGCCACGAGCTACCGCCCATCATGGCCAGCGAAGTCGACCTCTTCAACGAGTACCCCCTGCACCTAGACCCAACCTCCAAAGCAATCAGCCTCGCCTCTTCCTCCTCCTATACCAGCGCACAACAAACAGATCTGCACGCCGAACTCCAAGACCTAAACCAGCTGCACCGCGCCCTAATCGCACTCGACCCGCCCAACATCCCACCTCCCCCACTGCCCATCAACCCGAAGCGCAGTGCCCAAATTACCAAACTCCGCGATAGTGCCAACACAGCCTATCGCAAGAACAACTACGCCGAAGCAGTTCGGCTGTACACGTACGCCATCGAGATGGCGCTTGCCCGGCCCGGGTGGGAGCCTGTCACGCTGGCTCGCGACGAGATGGCGGGTTTGTATGCAAACCGCGCGCAGGCGCAGATGGCACAGCAGGCTTGGCCTGAGGGATTGGTCGATGCTAAGGCTAGTGTTGATTCCAAGCCTGTGGGCAATGTTAAGGCTTGGTGGCGTGTTGCGAAGTGTTTGGCGGAGATGAGTCGGTTTGAGGAGGCGAAGCAATTTTTAGTTAAGGGGTTGGAGATTGAAGGGAAGGCTGGTGAGGGTGGGAAGGAATTGGTCAGTTTGTTGGAGGATGTTGAGAAGGAGTTGCAGTCGAAGTCTGCTTTGGCTTAGATGTGTTTTCTTGTTTCTTTTACATATTCCATGTTAGGCGTTTGGGGTGAATGAATGGCACTATTACTGTAAGCCGGACTATTCTGTCTTGTAACTATGTAGCGTGTGTTTGTTCCAAGAGTGAAATGGAACAACCCAACATGTGTGTACAATGTAGACGCTTGATTCAAAAAGTAAGTAGATTCTGAATAGAGGTAATCCATACTTAGCTGTGGTTGAGACCGGGGAAATTCCAGAAATATTAATTGACTCCCACTATCAACAGACACTACTGCGTAAGCTATAGAACGAGAAAAACAACCAAAAAAATGCTTGATTCTTAAAACACGCTGGGCCAACTGGTAGGAAGCGACATCCAGACTAACGCATCGGAAAACACCAAGTGAAGAATCGCTTCATTATTTCCGTAACTATGGAGAGAACATAAATTCCCCCAAAATAGAAGCTCACAGTACATAACCCGCCATCCCACGGATTTAACAGACTAAACTTGAACACTCGACCCATCATTCTTCTTACAAGCACACGCATTCGCCCCAGCAGCCACCTGAGATGGAGAACGCGCATAACTAGGCGGAACATCAAGGACGGGATTGCGGTCGAAGAAATTCCGCGGCCGCAAAAGGAGTGTCATGGGCTCAGCGGGCATAATGGGGTAATCCTCCGGCGAGGGGAAATGGGTTAAACCGAAAGTATGCCACAAAACGATGTCGGTGTTGTCAATCGAGCAGTCTTTGCCGGCGGCTTCGATCCAGGCGGGTAGGCCTTGCGAGGGCTCGCCTGAGGTTTGGGGAACGTGTCGGCCGGCCGGGTGGATCTGGTCGTCCGAGTCTGTGGTTTAGTTTTGTGAGATTCACGTTTTTTATTCTCAATCAAGAGTACATAGGCAGAAGGGACGGAGAGAAACTTACACTTTGTGACATGGACGGCGTGTCGTGCGAAGCCTGCACGCTTCCAGACCAGTCCTCCCGCCTTCGGGAGCAATGGAGGTACATCGCGGCTGACCAACTTATAGGTGACGGGCTTCTTGCTGTGCGGGTTTAACTTGGACGTATTGGCGATCTCCCAAGTACGACCCGTCGAGCCATCGTAGTCCGACATGGCCTCCAGAGGAGTGGAGTACTTTGTCTTTTTGGCGTAGAAGGCATTTCCGTACTTATTCTCTGCACTTCCAACCTCTCCAGGCCCTTGGACGGCGTCTACTTGGAAGACGGTGTTATTCGGTCCGTCGATGTTGGGATCAACCCGCAGACAAAACAGATGCTGGTGGTTATGCGCGTTGACACCTGGGTACACTTCCGTGCCCCAGCCCTTTGTATCCTCGCCCGGATTCATGGCGTATGTGTTCAGGATACCAGTCAGCTTGATCTCGAGCTGGACCGTTCCATCCTGGTGGAAAATCCAGTAGACGCAGTACTCGTAGTTGGCCGCTGTGAAGATGTGGGAGATGATTAGCTTGCGGCCACGAGTTACTACCACCGAGTCGTCGCGGAAGTCTGTATGTTTGAACAAAATTCCCGCATCTTCCTCATGGATACAGATAGCGTTCTTGATGGTCGTGCTCGCACCGGCGCGGTTGACAAACGCCGCGTCCATGTAGTGGATAGCTCCCTTGCAGTCACAGCCCAGGGACAGGCTGTTCGTCATGTATCCGCCGCCATACTCGCCCAGGTCAAAGGCATGCTTGCGCTGATGCGGATGCTCTGGGTTGCCGTAAGGAACGACCATCTCCGCCAGCGAAAGCCGATAGAAGACGGGCCGGACATTGCCCTTATCGTTAAATGTGATGTTGTTCAGAACAATCCCCTCTCGGTAGTTGAACCCTACGTGGATGCTCCAATTCTGCCACTCGATGGTGCGGCCCTTGACCTGGAACGAGACACCCTCGGGCTGAGTGATGTGTATGGGCTTGTTGTCAGTGCGGAAGCCGCCTTCTTTCTCAATTGCAGCCGGATAATAATTGTTAGGCGGGGCCTTGTTGATGGGCCTGCGCACCGGAGGCACATCGATGTGGATGATCTGCTTTGTCTCTGCGTTGTAGATGGGACAGAAGTCCAGCGGGTAGGTGTACTGCGAGTCATCGATATGGGGCCGGTAGTACATTAGGGCTTGCTGCAAGCGGACACCGGCTCCAAACCGCTCGTCATATCCAATGGTCCATGCTGGATCTAGGGTAAGCACCTTGTCATCGCAAGAGCAGTTCGAGTCGACTTACGGTCACAGTATACTTTGTGCATATCCTCCTTGGGAATACCAATAATACCGCACTGCTCAATAACCTTCGGGTCCTTGCGCACAACATGCTCGACCTCTTGCAGATCCTCCATCGTGATAAGTGGCTGCACGTCCGGCGTGTGTAGCCACTGAACAATCTTCTTCTGGTCGAGGTCCACCATGCCGTCGTACACCTTGCCGCCTGGAGCGATGGCAACAACATCTGCTGCTCTAGCTGGCCGGGGAGTATTCTCCGGGTCTGCTAGCCAGGCCATCATCTCGGCCTTGCGAGGTTCGTATAATGTGACGGCATTGAAGTTGAGCTGCCCATGCTCCTTGCGAACGAGAGCGACCGCTGCATCGATCTCAGCTGTTGACAGAGGGTCGAAGGGGTGTGCGGGCGGCGTCGTCGCGCGGACCTGGTAGGTCAACTGCTGGAGCCGGTCGTGAACCATTCCGTTTCGTGGTGTGCTGGTCTCTTATGGGATATATATCGGTTTGGAGTGACGAGTTTCAAATGTTTGAGAGCGTGTAAATCACCCACCCCAATGCACAAAGGAAGTCGATAGATCACTTAGTTGTCTTTTGCAAGGCTCCTCGCTGGGGTATTTAAGCCCCCAGTCGCATCACTGTTGTTATCTCGAAGCGCAGCGATTAGATCAAGCACTGCGGAGGCCGGATCCGTTGACTCGATCGGGCATAGCGTGAAAGCCCAAAAGAGCAACTGGATGCTCCTTTGCGGCAACTCTTGTTGATGCGATTCCATTTGTCATGAGGAACTACGTACTGGGACTACGGTTCCCAATACATAGGGTGTTTTGCGAGTTTGACGGAAATGGAAGAAACGATGGTAAAAAGCGCATCGAACTGTACATTATTAACTGGAGAACAAAAGATGCTTCGCCAATCTACCTGCAACCCCAAAGAAGCAAACGAAGTAGTCAAGATGACCATGCTAGAAGAACGACACCTGGTAGAGAAACGAAGTGAAAACGCCCCAGACATGGATTTAGATACCAGCCAGATCAGAAGAAAAGAGAAAAAAACAAAACAGCACCGTACGCCCTTCCGGCGCAACACCTCCGTCCAGACGCAGACATATGCGCCGGCGAAGAGAATAAGAAAGGAAACCCATGCAACGCGACAAGAAGAAAAGCAATGCCGAAGATCGAAGAAAACCAGCACCAGATTTCCCCTGGGCTTATGTACATGCAATCATATCGTATCAATCCTCAATTCGGTTGTTTGTAGACTCAGATCTTGCCCATCTGGAAGGCCCCCATTGATCCACCGGGGGTCACAGCCCCGAAGCCTGCCCCATGGTGCTGGGGAGTGTGAGCTCCACCAGCATGGTGGCCTGTATTCGGTGTGCCGGGAGTGCCAGCGGCAGAGTAGATCGTGGCCCCATTGAGATTCGGGGTCTGGTGAGGCATGTGGTGGGTCATGGCGGGCATCTGCCCATTCAGCCCCCAGATCTGGCCGGAGTATTTGCTCTCGTCGATGGACCCATTGAAGACCAGCTGCCGCATCTTCCAGTAGATCTCGCCAGTGACCAGCGAGTCTGACCCGGCCTGGTGAGCAATCCCGACGCGTTTCACGCCGAGCTCGTCTGCAACATCTTGCAGTCCAGATTTTTGCCCCAGGTTGGTAAGGATCTGGGCAGCTGCAGGGGTCAAAGGGGAGTCGTTGACTGCTTGGTTGCGGCCAGCGTGTTTCATGAGGTACTTGATGTCATATAGCGATGGGAAGAAGATGTTAAGGAGCTTATGGAACTCCTCTTCGCTTTCGGGTAAGGGGGAGCAGAGCATTATCTTCATCAAGTAGCCAAAGTCGTATCCGGAGTGGAAGGAGACCCAGTTGACGTCGTCCACCAGCACCAAACCCGAGCTGATCAGGAGGGAACCAAACTCGAAGGGGTCGATGCCGTTCTTCTCATGCATGGAAAAGTCAATACCGGACTTAGCGAGCATGGCCGTTGACTCCTGCGCATACATATCACCTTCCAGTGAGAATCGGAAATTGAATTGCCAGGTGCACGGCGCAGGGACCATAGCATTGCTAAAAGGTTGTCCGTTCGAGTCTGCGCCGGTAGCTGGCGGCACCTCTCCTTCGGAGTTGAAGAGCGTAATTCCCAGTTGGATCATTTTGAGGAGGTCGACGTTGCATCGGAGAGTCTGGTAGTGGTAGTCTGCTTTGTTCGTAAATGAGCCAATCGGTCGCGCAACAATCCCTGGGAACTCGGTATCCTAAAATCGCAATCAGTACCACGGTCATATTCATACATCAATGTTTGGAAAAGATGTTGGCTGCTTACCATGCTGATATAGGGATACTTATCCACCAACTGCCTCAATACCGCCATCTCATGAGCCAAGTTGTGCTTCCACACATCCCGTATCCGCGTCTTGACCGCGCCCGCTTTCGTCTCTAACGCCAACCGGCCATCATGAGCCTGGTGCAGCTGCTGTTGTTGCATCTGTGCCCCACGCGCAAATCCCATCTGCGCCGCATGGCTCGCCAGCCCGGTTCCACCACCATCAGATGCGCCGGCACCGGCGAATCCGGCAACGGACATTCCGTTCGCAAGCCCCGCACCGGAGAGGGTGAAGGGATTGATGTTGGTATTTGGGTTTCCTGCAAAACCAGGGTGGCCACCGAGTGAAGGGGGAGGAAGCGCCGAGTTGGCGGAGGGAGCATGGGCGGGGTGGTGTTGGGACTGGACATGCTGTTGTAGAGCATAGGGGGCACCTAGAGCCGAGGGCCCATATCTGCCGACAGGAGGAGGCATTTGTGGTGAACGATAAAATAGGTGGGTGTTTGAGGTGAGGGCGAAGATGGAATTAATGGTCAGTTTTCGGTCCTCGAAAGGCGGGCAGCTCTGGCTCGCCGAGTTGGGTTTAGCGCCTCCGTTCTGCCCCAGCACAGATCTCGCTCTCTCTTCCTCTCTCTCCCGCAACCGCCCAGCTAATTACCACCTCAGTCACCCCAATTGCACCCGTCCGAGGGCGTTGATCTCGTTTGTTTTCATTTTATCTCTCCTGACACAGGCAATCTATCCACAATGCCTGCCCGAAACCCCACCGGCTTCGACATGGCCCAATTCAAGGCCGCGGCCTCCCCATCCTCCGCCTTCGCCAAGCGCGATCCCTGGGCTCGCAAGTACGATTGTTCCTCCTATAGGTGGCATGATCGGGTGCTGACAAGTTCACAGTGAAGCATGGCGGTATTACGGCCCCTTCAGCCGCTTCAACCGCTTCAAGGGCCTGTTCCCGGGGTTCGGCATCGCTACTGTCGCTTTTGCGGCATACTGCACATATGAACACTTCTTCCTGAAGGACGACCACCATCATGGTGACAACCACGGCGAGGGCCACCACTAGAGAAATTCCAAGGGAGGAAATTTGCAAGGAACTGCTAGCCGACAGACGAATGACGGAGTGAAATGCGGGCTACTCGGGATACCCTATAAGACGAGAAACGGGATGTCTTTTGTCTCATCAGCCGGACAAATGTCTGTCGGAGCAGGTCGGAGATCTGTTCTCATATTCAAATGAGAAGCTGTCGGCGCTTTGGGTTGGCTGATTCAGGTGTACATAGTCCATGTTCAATTACCACTTAACGTGTTTTCTTTTTTATTCACACTATCGGGCCGTTCCTAAGCTCCTCGATATATCTTCTTAACAAAGATAACATCCCCTCTATGAGTATAGCATGATATCATCAGACACATTAATGCAGAGAGAGAAGCGTTACTCCTCAAAAACCAAGGCGACGCCATCATCACCGGCAGTGACAATGCGCTTTCCATCAAGGCCCTGCACAAATCCCATAATGCCGCCAGCCTGTTCGCCATCCTCATTTTCCGTAGCAGGTAGATGCCCCTTCCACTCCTGCAACAATCCCTGCGCAGCGGCAGTAGTTCCACCGCGAGCATCCCAACGTCGGACAACGCCATCCAGTCCAACCGATGTGAGCAAATACGACCGCCCTGGTTGGGCTGCATTGGCAGAGGCAAGAGGACCTGAACGCGGAGCAGCGGTGGGAGCACGGCTCTGCAGGAATTCTACCTGGACGACGGCACTGCCTTCGTGCGCCTCCTTGATATGCCGGCGGACGGCAAACCGGTGAGCGGCATCGTATAGAGCAATGGAACCGTCCACTGACCCGGCAGCGAGAAGAGTCAATGGTGGCTGGGAGAAGGAAAGAGTCTCAATGCCATCGGTCTGGGCCTGGAGCGCAGCCAGGATCGTGCCCGACGCAGAGGCACTCGTAGTAGCCTGCGAAGTCGGGGCAGCTTTGCCCTTGGCCTTTTGTACCGGTGCCGCAGCAGCAGCCAGACGCGGTAGACCGACGACCTTGATGTGTCCATCGGCACCACCCACGGCCGCAATGCCGCCGCCTGGTGAAACGGCGACAGAGTACAATCCGCCATCCACGGCAAATCGCTGATCCTCTGCAGTCAATCCAATAATAGCGTTCGTACCCTGGGATCCAGAGATACCTGCAGCAGCAGCCGCGCCAAAAACATCATAGACATAAAAGCTGCCATCCTCGGAGACCGTCGCAAGCAAGTTTCCGTCGGGCGTCCATGCGCCAGCGGTACATGATGCAGTGTGCTGGAAGAAACTTTGAATGATGACAATGGGCTGCGTAGCATCCGTATGATCAATGCGGAATACCCACGCGCTGCCATCATTGGCACCAATAGCAACCACATTGCGTTTCTCCTCAGCGCCCTGAGTATAGGGACACACAGCCACCCAGTTGATCTCCTCCACCTCCTGTGACTCAGCGACCAAGTCCCACGCGAGTCCGGTCGTCTGCGGTGTGGTATCCCGCCATGCCCGCAACTTGCCGTCCAACCCCGCTGTCACGACATATTCTCCAGCTGGCTCGGTGAAAGCAACTGCATTGACCGTGTCGGCGTGACCATCCAGCTTAGCCAATGGATTCAGTGACTCTCGCTCTCGCGGTTGTGGGTTCGACTCGTAGCTCTGCGGAAGGACCGGGCGAGGGCTCGGGGTCGAGTCGAAGATGTAGGCTGTGTCATCGCCAGCACCAGTGATGACGATGTTGTGGTGGATCGGATGCTGAGCCACGCAGAAAACAGAGTCATTGTGCGAGTCGAAATGTGCAGCGGAGTCGTTTTGGAAAGTCTGCTCCTCGTAGGTCATGGGTTGGTCCTCGTCGTCGTCCGGGTCGGAGTCCATGGGCTGATCTTCGTCGCGCTGAAAGATCTCCTCGGCCTCGTCGGCGTCGACGAAGGCAGCCTCCTCATCGTGAGGGTTGGAAGAGGACATGTTTAAAGGGTGGTATGTATATTAATTGGATATGAATGAAGGAAGAATATCTTTTTTCTTTCGTCGATTAGAAATCCACATCCCACGTAGACAAACAGTGCAAACAAGCTTGTTCTTATCGGCCTGACTTTCTTCGTTCTTGATTTCATCTAGACAACCAACCATGGACGGCTTTGACGAGGAAGCATTCAAACAGTTTTTTCCTTCCGGCTTCGGCAAGCAGGAGAAGACGGTTGACGTCGACTCTCAGATCAACCGCTCGAAGCGCGCCGAGGTCTCCGCGCAGCCGAAACCGCGAGAGGACGAGGGTGATGGGAAAGAATTGACCGTCGATGATCCCGCTCTCGAGGCGGAAGAGCGCCTCGACGAGCGCAAAGAAAGCGATGATGATGACGATGATGATGACTCTGACGATTCCGACGACGAGGACGACTTCCCCGTGTCTCACGAGCTTGTTCTCAAAACCCATGAGCGCGCAGTGACTACAATGACTGTAGACCCTTCCGGGGCGCGATTAATCACTGGCTCAATCGACTGCACCTTGAAGCTTCACGATTTTGCTTCAATGACGCCTTCCACAATCCGCGCGTTCAAATCTGTCGACCCTTCGGCGAAGAAGACCGCTGCTGTGCAGGATACCCATGCTGTCCACTACGTTGCATTCAATCCGATCTCGCCGGCCTACGTTTTAGCGGTACCAGCGACAGCTCAGCCTCGAGTTCTCAGTCGTGATGGTGAAACTCTGGTGGAATTCGCGAAAGGGGACATGTACTTGCGGGATATGCACCATACGAAAGGTCACATCTCAGAAGTTACCACCGGTGCCTGGTGCCCCACGGATGAGAATCTGTGCGCTACTGCCGGGACAGATAGTACGGTGCGCATCTGGGATGCCAATGTGGGCCGCTCGCAAAAGGAAGTCATTGTGCATAAGTCCCGGGCTGCTGGGTCCGCTGGCCGCACCAAGATGACTGCTGTCGCATGGGGCTCACCAAAGCAGGGCGGGTCGAATGTTCTTATTGGTGCGGCTCTTGATGGCAGTTTGGCTCTGTGGAGTGGCAATGGGCCGTTTACGCGGCCGAGCGCTGAAGTGCGGGATGCGCACACGCGAGATACTTGGACCAGCGGTTTGGATATCAGCTTCGATGGACGACTTGTTGTCAGCAGGGGCGGAGATGACACGATCAAGCTCTGGGATACTCGGAAGTTCAAGATTCCGATCACCACAGTCACACATCCCTCAACATCCTCCCGCTACCCTTCGTCCAACATCCAGTTCTCCCCTACATCTGCGAATGTCATCACGGGCTCAGAAACCGGCCATCTACACATCCTGAACCCGGCCACGTTGAAGGCAGAGCTGATTACTCCCGTCACGCCTGGATCGCCGGTGATCTCGGTTTTATGGCACGAGAAGCTCAACCAAATCTTGACCGGCTCCGCCAATGCCGAAACCCACGTGCTCTACAACCCGACCATGTCTACAAAGGGCGCGGCTCTGGTGATGTCCAAAGCGCCCAAGCGCCGCCATGTGGATGATAGCGCGAGCTTCACCACTGATGTATCCCAGGGTCTCTCCGGCGACTCGGTGGTGGTCGGCACCAACGGCGTGCCTCATTACAGCTCGGCAACCTGGTCTGCACGACATCCCACTGTTGGTCTGACAGCCTCGGGCCGTTCTCGCGATCCCCGTCGGCCACATGTTCCGCAACAGACCCCGTTTGGCAAGTCTACGCCCGATGAAAAGCACATCCGCGAGAACATCCCTCTGAGCTCCATGCGCGACGAAGATCCGCGCGAGGCGCTGTTGAAGTACGCGGAAAAGGCGCAGAAAGACCCCATCTTCACCAAGGCATACCAGGAAACACAACCAAAGGCGATCTATGCCGAGCTCAGCGATGAGGAGGAACCCGAGCCGGAGAAGAAGAAAGCCCGGCGATGATTTAATAATAACAACTTGGAACTGTATACTAGCGTTTATCTGATAACAAAAGGACATAATACCCCAGCCATCCCTTGCGTCCAATCTAATCATCTGTGCAACTGCTTTCTTTCCCCTCCTTGCGATCTACATATTCCATGACGTTCGTCCGCGACCCAGTCGACGCGAGCGTGCCGGCTCGCCAATTAAGCCACACGAGGGTTCGCACGGACATTCGGGTTCTAGTGTTTCAGTGGCGCATTATTCGTCTCGTTAGCAAGCGTAGTCTAGTTCATCTGAGTCACTAGTTACGTTAACGTAGCGTGCTTAGGCAATAAATGATGACTGATGCGCTTCCCGCCCAGCTCCGCCCGCTTCACTTCGGCATCGCCTTCTTGGTCGTCGCTGATAAGCTCGCATCGAGCTGAAACAACATGCTACGGGTCGCATTGTGACCAAATGCTTACCGCCAATATCCGGACCTATTCCATCATCGACTGTAACTGTCGGACCTTCTCCAAACCGTGCGGGGCGAGGCTCCAGGGGGATTTGATTATCTGTCTGCGTCTTTGGCAACCGTGGATGCCACCCGGTAACTGCCAGCGAATGCTTTGACCCTGGGAGTCGGTCATTTGGCGCGCTCTGTTTGACTCGCCTAGATGGACTCTTCACAGGAGCCTCTCGTAACTGGCTTGCTCACGACCCTGATTTCCGCGACTGTCGCGCCACCCACCTCGACCCACCCAACTCTTCCGATAGACTCGCCTAATCATGACGGCCAACCTGGTGGGATACACCACTGGTCATCGCTGATCGGTATCGTGACTGCATTGATCGGGAACGTCCTGATCTCCTTGGCTCTCAATATCCAGCGCTACGCCCATATCCGCATCACGAGAGAGTGGGAACACAATAATACGCAGAAAGAGGCTGCCGGGAGACGGTCACATACGGACTTGGGGTTGGCGGGCCCCTATGGGACTGTTGGGATACAGAGAGGAAGATCGAGGGAGCATTTTGAGGAGTATCGTGACGAGGAGGAAGAGACTGCCGAAGACACAGATGGCACCTCGCGCTCCCAGAATCGTCGACGCGAGTCGTTCACGTCAGATGGAACTGCTCGCCCAGGAGACAAAAAGACCGCGCGCGCAGAGAGCAAAAAGAGCTACCTACGGTCCCCTTACTGGTGGGCGGGACTGGTGCTGATGTGTTTGGGCGAGACGGGCAACTTCCTGGCCTACGGCTTTGCGCCCGCATCGATCGTGTCGCCACTCGGGGTTGTGGCTCTGATCTCCAACTGTATCATCGCGCCGTGTTTGCTCAAGGAAAAGTTTCGTAAACGTGATTTCTGGGGCGTTCTTGTCGCTGTTGCTGGGGCAGTGGTGGTTGTCCTTAGTGCCAAATCGTCCGAGGAGAAAATCGGGCCTCATGAAATTTGGGTCATGATCACTCGCTGGGAGTTTCTGCTCTATCTCGCATTGTCGGTCATTTTGATCATCGGTCTTATGTGGGCGAGTGGCCCGTATGGTCCGCGGTCGATTCTGATTGATATTGGGCTTGTTGCCTTGTTTGGTAAGTGTTTATGTCTCACTCCTTTTTGCCGCAAGTACTGACTTGCAATAGGTGGATATACGGCGTTGTCTACTAAAGGCGTTGCCTCGTTATTGTCCTTTACTTTGTGGCATGTTATCACCTTTCCGATCACTTACCTACTCGTGTTCGTCCTCGTCTTTAGTGCTTTGATGCAGATCCGCTACATCAATCGTGCTCTGCAGCGCTTCGATTCCACTCAAGTGATCCCGACCCAATTCGTGCTCTTTACGCTCTCGGTAATCATCGGTAGTGCAGTGCTCTACCGTGATTTCGAGTCGATTCCAGCTACGCGTGCAGTGAAGTTTGTCGGGGGCTGTCTGTTGACCTTCTTGGGGGTATATTTCATTACAAGCGGCCGGGTTCGGGGCGATGATGCGTCATCCTATTCATCCGAAGATGAGGAAGAAGCTATAGGCCTGCTGCATGGTGAAAGGTACCAGGACAGAGTCGACTTGTCCCCTCCAGGTCAACAGCTGCGAGCCCAAAGAGCATTGCGGACAGCGCCCGAAACGCAGCGTGGTCGGTCACCTTCCGGTTCTTTGTTGAGCCAAGGCATTGAAGGAATCGATGATGGACAGTCCACTCCCAAAGGGGCCCTTTCCGTTGTCACGTCTTCCCCTGGTGGCTCTCTCACCACCCATTCACCTCTATCCGCTCCGTTCTCTGATCACCCGTCACCATTGCGACCTCCATCTCACATGTCCAATCCTTGGGCTGACCACCATGAACAGTCTGTGGGTACCGAACGGCCAACTACTCCCCCAGAGCAGTCCAACGAAGCTGCCCCGAGCTCAACGGTCCAGCTTCGTTTCCCGCCGGCCCCCGGCGTGGAAGAGACCCCGCCGCTGAATGAGGGTCGACGGGCCTCCACTCCAACCACTGCGGACCAGCCTCATCTTCCTGATCGGAGTCATACAAGTGCTGAGACCCCTACACGACACACACTGCGCAACTCCATCTCAAGTCGTTTCTCCCCCGGACCGTTTTTTCCCACTCTCTCTGCTGGTTTCAGTGCTGTGGTTGCGGAATCTCTCCGGCGAGGCGAAGGAATTTCATCAGTCAAGGATCGCACCAAACGGAAATTAGAACGTCGGAGAAAACTTGACGGTGCATTCAGAGATGCGGTCGCTCGCTATCACGATGGGGAAGATGGCCCTGCCGATGCCGGCGGCGATGGCCATGAGACCCCGGCTACGATTGCCACCGCGCGACTTCAGTCTGCCACGAGTCTGGCTGTTGCCCCTGCAGAGGTCGGGCGATCCTCTACGCCAGCCCTCGCAACCGAGATCCACGCCTTGCCAACGCAGAGCGCACAAGAGGAGGCCACTCGTGTTCGCAGCCTCAGTGACTCTGTGAGTGGTGGAGTTGCATGGTTGGGCGGTGTTCTACGCAAGACTCATGCCGACATAGGCACCGAAAGCGCTGCTGTATCGCAAGGGACATCGACTCCGCCAAATGGCGATAATGGACCCAGTGATACGGGTGCCCAGGCGGAGGCGCGGCAATAATTTGCACCGGAACATGTACTATGGCAACGATGGGAGAGTGGCTGGGTCACTCGAGCTATACATACTCACTTTTTCATACTCTTTTTACACCCCCTCTCGTTATCTGCTTTCGCGGGGCTTTTTTCTTTCTATTCAGAAGTATCTATTTTGGTTGATAATTGGCATCATTGCATTCGGCGGGTACATGTGATGTCACTGTCTCTTTTAATACATATGATTTCGATAGTTTAATCGACTTGTCCTACACCGTCAGGTACAATTGGCCTGGTAGTTCTAGACGTTTGGGGTGAATGAATTAACTTCGTTTACCTCTGCTCCAGACGTGGGAATTCCGGCGGGGGAACTATGAACGAAACCCTAATAGGTGGAAAAAGGAGCGAAAAGCACGCCTCCGCTTCCCCCATGTCTGCAGAAGCCCCCACTGGCATGTCCTTGAATTTAGCCGCCGGATTGCCCTCCAATCCGAGGTATCGGATCATTAGCTTCACACAAAGAACAGAGACTAATCCATGCCACAGACGGGGCGGAGATATTGCTCCGTCTCTTTATAGTCCTAGCACCAGAGCCAAAGCTAAGCTCAACACCCACGCGGCCTCTCATTAGACACAAATGCCGTGTACTACTGCGGCCGAATTTCCGAGGTATAACTTATTTGCGAGACTAATACAGATCGAAACTTACCCCTATTCCGTTTGGTGGCGATGGAGATCACGGCGTGCTTCCGACAAACTTCTCTTGCGTTGAATTTCCCCGCAGATGCAGGCTGAGGAATAAACGAGACGGGCTGACTAGAAACGTGCATATTTAATATACAGAACCGCGCTCGCTTTTCCTCCCGTTCCTTCTTCTGTACTCATGGCTAGTTAGCTAGTCGGATAGACTTAGCATTAAGAACACAAGGAACACTTTCTGTCTGCGATGGTCAATCTGTTTGCCAGCGGGCTATTGCTTGGGCAGCTCTTTGCTGCGCTGGTCACTGGTCATGGCGGGACTAGTACCCCCCTCTACAAGAATGCAAAGGCACCGGTGGATGAGAGAGTGAATGATCTGCTGGGCCGAATGACTATCGAAGATAAGATGGCCCAATTGATGCAAGGTACGCTATCTTTTCTTTCATCGGTCACTGTCTCGAATACTGAGCATTTCTTTCTTGCAGGAGATATCACCAATTGGATGAATCAGGATACCGGGGCGTTTAACTATTCCGGTCTCGAAGCGAATATGGCTGAGAAAGCGGGCATGTTCTATGGTATGAACCAGCCGCAGGCTAGACATGTGAGAGGTGTTTATCTCTGACTCGATTCACAGTCGGATACCCTGTGTCCTGGGAATTGCTTGCCGAGAATATCAAGAGAGGTCAGGATTACCTCCTGCAGAACACTACACTGGGTATCCCTGCGCTGGTCCAGACGGAGGGTAAGTTTCTCCGGAAAGGAATAAGGTGGGTTTAATAAATAAACTGATCGATTCGTCGGGGTAGGTATCCACGGCTTCCTGATTGGCAATGCGACAATCTTCAACTCGCCTATTGCATATGGCTCCTCATGGAACAGAGAGGTAAGTATTTGATCTGCTAATAGCATGTAATTGCAGCGTAGGTACCATCTAACATGCTGTACCTGTAGCTCGTCCAAAAGATGGGAGAGACCATCGGCCAACAAGCCCGCGCGCTGGGTGCCAACCAGCTTTTTGCTCCCATCGTTGACTTGGCCCGCGAGCCCCGTTATGGTCGGGTATGATAACTATAATACGTGTTGATTAGATGCAGAGCACAGCTAAGAAAGGGTCGCAGGTCGAAGAAACCTTCTCAGAGGATGCCTACCTCGCCGGAGAAATAGGGTATAGCTATGTGAAAGGCATTCAGAGCAAGAAGGTCTCTGCAATGGTCAAGCATTTCGCTGCATACAGTAATCCAGAGCAAGGCATCAATACTGGACCGGTACATGGCGGCGAGAGAGAACTGCGGACGACGTACGTTGGTCAGCCTTTGCCGGATTTTTGATACTAATGTTTACTCCAGATGGTTGCCGTCATTTAAGAGGGCTATTATCGATGGCGGTGCTTGGGGTGTCATGGCTGCCTATTCATCGTACGTTTTTAGAGAAGGACCGACCATATCTCATTCTGACTTTTTCTAGCTATGATGGAATACCAGCAGTCGCCAACTACCTCACCATCACGGAAATCCTGAGAAACGAATGGGGTTACGACTACTTCGTCATGACTGACGCCGGTGGGAGTGACAGGCTGTGCATTAACTTCAAGCTCTGCCAAAGCAACCCGATTGACATGGAAGCCGTCACTACGCAGCTTTTGGATGCCGGAACTGATGTTGAGATGGGCGGTGGTTCATTGTAAGTACGGCACAAAACGGCAGTGCAGTATGACCTAACAGCCACATAGCAACTTTCAGAAAATTCCAGAGATGGTCGAGTCCGGAAAACTCAGCGTTGACCTCGTGAACACCGCAGTGTCCAGACTTCTTCGGACCAAGTTCGAGATGGGTCTGTTTGAGGATCCGTACACTATCGCACCACAAAGCGAGTGGGCCAACATTCTGAACGGCCCCGAAGCTAAGCAGCTTGCAAGGGACTTGGATAAGGAGTCTATTGTCCTGCTGGAGAATCATAACGAGACGCTTCCGCTGGAAAAGTCAGGTAGCATTGCCGTCATTGGACCGATGGCGCATGGCTATATGAATGTAAGTTCATTACTTCGCTTCCCATATCTCCTGTTGGAATACTGTCTCACATGTTTTTCGCTAGTACGGTGACTATGTTGTCTACGAGAGTCAATGGCACGGCGTCACTCCTTTGGATGGTATCAGAAACGCCGTCGGCGACAACGCCCAGATCCACTACGCGCAAGGGTGTGAGCGGTGGAGCAATGACCAGTCCGGCTTCCCTGAGGCTGTCGAAGCCGCGAAGAAGTCCGAAGTGGCCGTCGTTGTGGTTGGAACGTGGTCGCGAGACCAAGTCCAACTGTGGGAGGGACTCAATGCAACGTAAGCTGAGCTGAACTTTATGAAAATACTTTAGACTGATAGACAACCCAAACCAGGACTGGCGAGCACGTCGACGAAGACGACCTGTCCTTAGTCGGTGCCCAGGCCCCCCTGATTAAAGCCATTGTCGACACCGGCGTCCCGACTGTCGTTGTTCTCTCCAGCGGCAAGCCCATCACGGAAGTATGGCTATCCAACACGACCCAGGCCCTGGTGCAACAGTTCTACCCATCTGAGGAAGGCGGCAATGCGCTCGCTGATGTTCTGTTTGGTGACTACAATCCTTCCGGCAAGCTATCTATGGGCTTCCCGCGATATGTCGGTGACATTCCGGTTTTTTATGACTACCTGAACTCGGCTCGTGAGATAACAGACTCGGGCGTCGAATACCCCAACGGGACGCTCGTCTTCGGTCATCAGTATGTATTCGGAAGCCCGATTCCCTGGTATGAGTTTGGTTACGGCAAGAGTTACGTGAACTTTGAGTACAGCAATATTAGCGTGGATCGCAGTACGGTCTCTGCGTCGGATACCATTATTGTCAGTGTTGAAGTTACTAACACTGATCCGCATCGCGATGGTACCGAGGTCGTGCAAGTGTACATCTCTGATGACATTGCTACCGTGGTTGTTCCAAACCGCCAGCTCAAGGGCTTTGAGAAGGTGGTCATTCCAGCTGGGAAGACCGTGGATGTGAAGATTCCTATTCCGATTGAGGACCTGGGGCTTTGGAATACTCGCATGAAATATGTTGTCGAGCCTGGTTCTTTTACCGTTTTGGTTGGAAGCAGTTCTGCGGATATTCGAGGCAATACCACGTTTACTGTACGGTGATTGGATTTGGAGTGGTGTGGTCACAGCAACTGGCTAGTCCTGTTGATTTTGAAAACTTGAAATACAGAATGTAGAAAAAGATGGAGTGCGCATTCCACTATCGATTGCTATCCAACAAGGCGAGAGTTGCTAAATCACGGACTCGTACACTTCATAAATGATTGTCCCACGATACTTACAGCTTCGGCTTTTCGACCCTAGGCCTATTTCCAGTGTCCACTTCAGACCACGACGGAAAAATTGGCGGCGCATCCTGCTCCAGCGTAGCCTTGGAAATCAGGCTTTCTCTTTTCAAAGAAAGCGCCCACTTCTTCTTTATGGTCCCTACTCAACATCGGCGCTATAATTCCAATATAAAGAAGCGAAAGACAACATACTTCCCGCTGAACATATGTTTAAGCACTACCGAATCAACCAGGTGTGACTTTTTCGCCGAAGCAGGACCCCTCCACATCAACGAATGATTAGATACAACGCCAGTGGGCTCACTTTCTCCGTAACCTCAGTTGCCAGTTCCAGTGCCCGCGGCAGCCTGTGTTCTGCATGGGTAGAGTCTCGACGAAAAGAGGCTCAAATGCTTGGGATTTTGCAGGGAAAAGACCACCCGTGGTTAGCAAATCCATTGCGCGCGAGAAATTCCCAAAAGAGGGGTATAGACAGTACAGAGTTCATTCAATGAATATGAATCACTGGTGAATAACCTTGACCCGTAGAATCGGGTTAAGGGGCCAGCGGAGTTCAGCCGACACCTCGTCCGCCACACCGGAGTATACACCGGCCTGATTCTTGACAAGGAATAAAAGGGACAAATCACTGCCGCCAACAATCCCGATCATTATTTATTTTCTCTCATTTAAATTTTACTCCATTGATCTCATACAGTGTTATCCAAAAAAATATGCAATACAATTATAAGCCCTCATGGATGGTATTGCTGGTTCAACTCCTTGCCATTTGTCCTGCAAATGTTCTCGCGGAAAGATCTTCATCCAGTCAAGCCCCTCAGATGGGATGGAATTCGTAAGCGGCGGAAAATGTAATATGTGTATCCAATACTAATTCTAGGGAGATGGAATGCTTACGGTTCCAACATCGATGAATCTGTCATCAAGGAAACAGTTCAACTCTTCGAAACTCTCGGCCTGAAAGATGCTGGGTATGAATATATCAGCATCGATGAAGGGTGGTCCGCTTTAGAGAGAACCTACGGCGGATTTTTGCAGGCAAACGCAACTCGTTTTCCCCAAGGAATGGTGAATCTTGCGGATTATGTTCACTCAAATGGACTAAAGATAGGCCTTTATGGTGACAGCGGGGTGATGACGTGCGGGTTCCATCCCGGAAGCTGGGGATACGAGGAGAGAGACGCTCTCACGTTTGCCGAATGGGGAATTGACTATTTGAAATACGACAACTGTGGAGGATTTGCTGCCATGGTAGAAGCACCGGCGGTCCGTTTTAGTGGTATGAATTTCATGCTCTCACGCTACTTTTATTATGAAATGAATCTAATCGACATAATGCTACATTTACAGCTATGAACAACGCATTAAAGCTCTCTGGGAGAGATATAATGTACGCTATGTGCGAATGGGGATATCAATTCCCATGGCATTGGGGTGAAAGTGAGATCCCATCTTGTTTGTAATATGAAGAGAAAGTTGACAAGCCATCTAGACATCGGGCACTCATACCGCATATCTGGGGATATCACGAACACGTTCATCAATGAAACAGGCTGCGCCTGCAAAACAGCATATTGCCTAAACACCGGCTACGCGGGATGCTCTGTTGTGACAATAATCAATAAAATGAAAGAGATCAGCCACTACCAGACTCTCGGGCACTGGGCAGACATGGATGGCCTCGAGATCGGCAACACAAACATGACAATCTATCAACAGCAAACGCATTTTGCCTTCTGGGCAGCGTTGAAGTCTCCCCTGATTATTAGCACTGACCTTGCTACCCTCTCTAAGGAAAGCACAGCGGTCCTGACGAACAAAGACATTATTGCCGTGAACCAAGATCCTCTGGGCAAAGCCGTGAACTATATCGAAACTGCAAGCACAGAAGGTTCGATCCAGGTATGGGCAGGGGAAATTCAGGATGGATATGTGGTTCTGCTCTTCAATGAGAAATATCTTGAGCAGACATACACTGTCACATTCCATAGCTTAGGGTTGGACATCACTGGGCTTACGGGTGTCAAGGAGCTTTGGTCCGGAGAAAGTTATGGCAAAATCCAGACCATAAAGACAAACCTGGCACCATATCAGACGCTTGTATTTAAGTTGAAAATAAATAGTGGTCGATAATATAGGCAATTTGACAATCGAAGACCTTATCAGACTTTACCACTGGCGTACCAGAGGCCCAACTGAGAAGTCCTTTTATTTCCGCATTAAATAGTAATCAAGAAAATCAAATTTAAGAAATCAATGATACTAAAGTCTTTGATTGTGTTCAAATAACTGTTCGCATTGGTTCATATTCTCGACTTTGATCAAATGCTAGATGCTTTAAGATTCATAATGCTCAAGTGGGTAAATTTAGGTCTTTAATGATAGTGTTGGCTTAGAATTGTTTCCCAATTTTTTGTGGGTTAACATTTTGTACTAGGGCATATTTATTATCCGACATACATTTATCAGTATATTGCAGCGCGTCCCAAGGATGATAATTTCTTCCCATTCCTCGTATGATACTGGTACATTCGAAACTGGCTTCCACTTTTACAAAGAGAAGCCATCTTGAATCTTGGCGCCAAGAATATTGCACATCTAGTTAGACTATTAAACTAGATTATGAATTACATTATCAGCCACCATCGCTATAGGAAGCTAATTTCAAACGTAAGTGTATCCCTATTAACAGTAAGGAAGATACTCATTCGAACAGCTCCCCGGAATAAAAGCTTGCGAAATACCCGGAAGGTCACTGTTGAATATTTGCGCCGAGGGATCCAGGATCTTGTCAATAATGTGAACCACGCCCTATTGAGTAATGAGGAAAAATGGATATTTGACAAAGAAACATGGTTATGCATACTTTAGTAACTTGGAGATCGCCCTCGACTACTTTTGCCACTTGGTTGAGTGTGAGATCTCCATCGATAATCTGGGCTCCAACATAGAGATAAGTGGCAGTCTGTTGACTAAGTCAGTGAACCAAGTCCTGGACAGCGAAACCTCTTTGCATGCTGGGGCTACCCTTACCTGAAACCTTTGGTACGAACTGTTGAAAGTAGATAGATCCAGGACTGTATTTGGCACGTAGTGATGAATAATCGTATTACCCACCCACCACTTGCCCTTCCTGAAGCCTGTATCAGCTTATGGCTCAGTAAAAATTTCAGGCTCAGCGATCGCTCACGGAGTCTCTGCATTGTTATGGAAATATGTTCCAGTATATTGCTCAAATGCGTCGTTGTTAGGTGCGAAGAAGGTATAATCCCATGTCGCGTCAGTACTGAAAGCCTCTGTAAATCCACCACAGCCCTCCACCGCGGATGCTAAGGAGCTCAAATCCGATCGAGATTTGATAAAGTCAAGCAGCGTAGTCACGTTTGCTGAAGCGGGTGCTTGATATGCACCATTGATGTTCCGGTAGGCTATGGGATCCGCTGTCGTTGTAGCTGATGTCCTCGCTGCGCATACGTTAAACAGGAACACGAATAACCAATATCGAATTAGAATTCGATAAGAACATCTGAAGGTCTGCATTTTCTTGAGTAATTCTGTTCTGACAGAAATGACTAAGACGTTCGTGAACAGAATAGAAGATCAAGTTCATTTTGGCAGCGGAGCAAGTATAAAAGTATGCTGAGGCGTTTAACGACTCTCGCGGAGGACGGGGTAAATGCCGGGCTTGCCACCGGCGAGAGCACGAGCAACGGGCGAAGAAGTAGTGGAACTTGGCGCCCGCACGGTATTTGGGAAGATCTTGTTTCGGAAACAATATTTGAAGGAGATTGTGTATGCTTTTTCCTAAGCATTTCTTATTTCGTTGGGTTGAGATTGTCCCTCACTCTCGGTCTCACCTTCTGAGCGTTCCTGAGTATCGCAAGCTCTGGGCTTGATGAAAACCGCAAGAAGACATTCAACATGTGTGGGCAAGATTGGCACTGGTAGCTGTCTGGTTTTATTTCTTATTTCGCTCTGCTTCTCACGGTGTCTTACAAATGCTGTTGTCGACAATCACTTCAAGTTCAAGCCGGAGCATAAATGACCCCTTTGGTCTCGGTTTGTACCACCCTTTTGATGGGGAGTATGTTCAAGATTGTTGATTCATCGAGAATGTGAAGGAAAATGCTAGTCCGCCATATAACCAGCTTCACCTCATGATATACGTGCCGGGCGATAATTTGATTTCCAATCCATGCATAACGATATTCAACTACTTAAAAGTTTCTACCAGTTGCTCATTACTTGGGCCATCAAGCTCACACACTCTCTTTTGTATGTTTTTCGAGAGTAAACCTCTGATGAGATATGGGGAGGTACTGTGTCGTGTCAACTGCGGCAACAAGGCTAATTCCTCAACGTGCTATCAGTATGTTACATCCTTCGGTCGATATGGCTCCTCTATATATTTCGCTTCGCTTGGCGATAGTTTAAAGGATATCGAACAGAGAGCCTCATCTATGCGCGCGACACTTCCCAGGCCGGTGATTGGATACATTCCTTGTTGTAAACACCATGCCAAGGCAACCGTGGCCATCTTGCAGCCTCTCGTTTCTGCAATCTCAGTAACGCGTTGGATCACCTCCATATCCGCTTCATTCTCATTCTGACGGACAAGGCTCTGTAACAGTTTGTCTGTCTGCTCGCGAAAAGTGCTTTTTTCCATCCAGGAACGAGCCAGCACACCTCGCGCCAAGGGACTCCATGGCAACAGTCCGATTCCACTGTCACGGCAGAAGGGGATCATTTCTCGTTCCTCCTCACGATACAGGAGATTGTAGTAATTTTGCATAGATATGAACTTGTGCCAACCGTTTTTCTCAGCAATATATTGAAGTTTTTGGAACTCCCATGTCGCCATGGAGCTAGCGCCAAGGTACCGCACTTGTCCGCTTTCCACGACTTCATTCAAAGCCTTCATAACCTCAGTAGGATTGACATCTTTGTCGAACCGATGGATTTGCAGGACATCAATATAGGTTCCTAGTCTTCGTACACTTTCGGAAACTGCAGATAGGATATGCTTGCGCGACAATCCCACACGATTGACCAAGCCTGGCTGCTTTTTGTCCATCAAACTAGCGATTGGACTTTGGCCGTCGGGGTCAAGCGCGTAGAAGATTTTTGTGAAAATCACAACTTTCTCCCGTGGGATGTCATAAACCTTAAGTGCCTTGCCAATGATTTCCTCCGATCGACCATTGGAGTAAACGTCGGCCTGCAGACATTATTTTAGCGCTAATGCGTATAAAAACATGCAAAAACGTACCGTGTCCCAAGTATTGATTCCAACATCAAAGGCATGTTTAAGCAATGGCAACGCATCTTCCTCGTTCAAGACCCAGTCTTGCCAGCGAGAAGATCCAAAACTCGCGGTACCGAGGATAATCTTAGATACGTAAAGCCCAGAGTCTCCTACCCTTCAGAACCTATGAGTGTTACGAACCTCAGCAACTGACTCAAGGAACTAACTCACTTCGCATATTCCATTTTCTGCAGCCGCCACGGCAACGATATTTGTAGATTAACTGAAATGATGGAAAGGGAGCCAGTGGTCAATAATAAAGCATTATAAATCTTTTCTGGTTTTTTAGCTTCTTTGCGACCGGACGATTCCCGGAGTACCTCCGACCATGAATTACTACACTACAGTCTGTAATCGCGCGCCACGACAATATCCTAGCAGCGAGGGCGGCAATGACGGTTAAATTTCCTATATAACATCTCTCATTTGAACATAGATTGATTTTCTTTGTATTTTCTTTTCGTTGAGAGCACACAATGACTCATTTAGCGAGCAGCATAGCGCTGTGCATTGTGATAGGCTAATTAAAAAAGAGTCGTTCGGTGAGTTAAGAAGAAGCCATGATTAGCAGCACGATTTTTCTATTCGAATCATTCTTTAAGAGTATATAACCGTTCATTGTAGAGCTGTTAAAGACTTAAATCCACAGTCAAAGATATGTTTTTCCTTTCCTAACTTATATTACAGGACTTAATTTCCTGTACTTCTCAGTCCACCAAGATTAACGGCGATGGAACAACCTAATAGGCAAACACAAGGGAGCCCCAGCTAGGCAAGTCATCCACGTTTGTGAAGACACGGCCCTCGAAGCCCTCCACCTTGGACGCCTCGGTGGTGTAGGGGGCATGGTGACCTCGCTTGACAACATACTCGTAATACATCATGTCCCAGATGGGTCGCTGGTTAGTTATTCCTCGATCTTCTTCGGAAATATCCTTCCATGGCCCATCCACGAGCACCGCCTCACAACGATACCAGGAAGGGTCGTACTCGACCGTGTAATTTAGGTTATATTTGGCCGTGTACTCGGATCCTTTGAGCAGAAGACTGTCTCCCAGTTCAAAGAAGTCTGAACCCTGGCTCTGTGCGGTTTTGGCTGCAAGAGCTGTCCATCCAATGCCGGAAGTTGCGTGACCTAGTAATCCATAGGTTAGTTTGCCTGAAAGACATCCGGACAATGTTGGATAAATACTTACCTTGGTCACGACCCGACTCCGAACTTTGGCCCGTAGTCGGATTGTAGAGCGAGAATACGCCAGCACAGCGGTCGTTTATGTATGCGTTGATAGCATAGTTGTACAGATCAACATCGTCAAGGTAAACGGCAAAGCTCAGAAGAGACTTAATGCTAACCATTCCATAATTGGCTTGGCCGATAACTGACGCCTGGCGTGAGAATAGCCAATATAACTGGTTACTGAAGCCAGAACCTCCAGACCAGACGGCGCCGGCCTCTGTCCAGTTACCTTCCCATCGCATAATTTCGGCAGCATTCACAAAAAGGTCTCCTTCGAGACCAACCAGAAGGGACCGGTCAATACCCACAATATCCACCAACTCAGACCCCCAAGCGTTCAAGATATCAGAAGTCAGCTGCCAGTGGTCCTGGTCCTTGGTGATATACCACATTATAGAGTTCTGCCATGCGGCACGAACGTCGTTAGTAAATGAGGTGTAGTTGCTAACTAAGCCACGAGAGAGATACACCTCGGGCCCTTGAATGGAGTAGTTGGCCTGAGAGTAAAAATCGTCGCTGAACATTTTGTATGCGGATGCCCAGGGTTCCTTGTTTCCTAGCACACCGTTGCGCATGCGCTCAAGATCTTCGTGAGTGTGCCAAATTCCCGGGTGAACAAAGTCTCCCGGTTTTTTCTTAAAGTACGTTATTGCGTCGACGCCACTTTGAGAGCCAAGTTGTTGAATGGGTCCAAAAATACCTGGAATGTCCAGGGTGCGTGCATTGCATATGGTTACCCATGGCATTGCCATAGCCCAGATGGCAATGGAAATGAACTGAGAACTCATATTAGATTAGGGGGTTTGTTAATCATACTTCAGAATGAACAGATAGAATACTGACCTTCGACATGACTGGTCAAAATTGGTTAACAAAGTTAAGCCCGAAGCACTTAGGTAGTTGTAGAAAATGCGACCACTTGCGAATAGCAGTATCTATATATACCTGCCAAAAGCACATGGGAAGTTTAATTTGGCTTGCAAACAATGCGGAGTAAAGATCGGAGTGTTAGGGCCTCGTCAGAGGTTTGGGGCCTAACCCCAGACTCATGGAATTGTAAGCGCCCATGACAAACTCGAGGCTAACTGAACGTTAAGCCGCAAAGAATATTTGGAATAAACGGACCAGTTGCTGAGAGCACAGTTCGTACTTGGAGATCGGGTTAATGGCCGGCGACTGGGCCGACACGTCAAACTGGTAATGTGGGTATTGCAAGAGGTCTGAAATTCCAGGCCCCCGGGCAAGAGATCAGAGCAAACGGCATAAATATCATGACCAAGTAGTTTAAAGTGTGGGAAAGCAGCAATTTGTTCAATACTAAGAGAGGGAGTACCCATGGGAAAAGAAAAGGGAATTAGCGATTTAAAGTCCCATTGATTCGCGAGAGTTCCCGTAACGAGCGGAGGGCTGCCGCAAGTACTCTCGCACTTTGGACAGTAATAGCCAAAACGTAGTTTGCCTCCGTGATTTAGCCCGTATGCCGATGGTGTCCGCGTATCAAGGGCAAAAAGTTTGCCAAATGTGTCCACGAAAATTCTCTGGTAGTTCAACCAAACAAATCCCCCCCGGAAAGTACGGTGGTTCTTGACTCGCTGAGCGAAATTGAAAGACAGCAAGATATGGCTCTTGCGAATCCGATTCTGCCTGGATTCAATCCAGACCCCTCGATCACTCGTGTTGATAACGACTTCTTTCTTGTTACTTCCAGCTTTGAATACCTTCCAGGACTGCCCATATACCATAGCAAAGATTTGGTTCAATGGAAGCTCATCGGCCATGCCTTGACTAAGAGGAGTCAAATCCACATCGCAGCCCCTGAGCCAGGAGGAGGTGTTTGGGCACCAACCTTGAGATATCACGATAATGTGTTTTACTTGGCCACGTCCAAGTTCGACCGATTCCGTCCCCAACAAAACGAGCGGGTATTTCCACGAGGTTTCTATATTAAGACAACGAACATATGGGACTCGTCATCTTGGTCAGATCCTGTGTACTTTGATGTGGTCGGACTCGATCAAGATGTATGTCTGCGACTATTCTATTAAAGCTTCACAAAACATGTATTGTCTGCGCAGGAGACGCTAATAAAGTATTCAGCTCTTTTGGGAAGACGATGGAAGTGTATACCTGTCTACCACTCACGTAAAGGTCAATCGATCACCTGACGCAGACATATCACAACTCGACTTTGCCATCCACACCTGCAAGATAGATTTAGAGACCGGCAACTCGATCTCCAAATCAGTGATGATTCGCGAATCCCCATCTGGGATTGCCGAAGGCTCCCATATTTATCGACGCGGAGGGTATCATTACCTTCTCACAGCAGAGGGCGGCACTGGCTTTAGGCACTCTGTGTGGGTGTTCCGGAGCGAGAATGGCGTTCTGGGGCCTTGGACACCTTGCCCTAATAACCCTCTGCTGAGCACCTCTACCAGTCACGAGGTACAGAACACTGGCCATGCAGACTTTGTCGAGGATGCGAATGGACAATGGTGGGCCGTGTTTCTTGGAGTGCGGCCGATTCGAAAGAGCGACGGCGTTTGGCAAGATTCCGTTTTTGGTGAGTGTGCCTCGTGAAGGCAAGAGTCCGGAATGGAGTTGCTAATATAATAGTCTTCAGGGCGTGAGACATTCCTTGTCCAGGTGCAATGGATTGATGAGTGGCCGATGATCAACCATGGACAGAAAATTTACCTCGGCCCAGAGCCGGAACCTCTCACCCGTGTTCTCTGGAAAGATGAATTTGCCGAGCCTTCTTTGAATTTGGGATGGTACAGAAAAAGTACGTAGGTAGGGTCTCTTCGCCAAACAGTTCTACCGGCTATCCGCCCTTCTGGTTCTTTCATTCTCGTCTAAGCTCTGACCCTGCATTGAAATAGATACAACGGATAAGACCGACTATTCTATTATGAACAATCCAAGTCGTCTTCGCCTGCATGGTGGGCCTTATAACCTTTCCGTCCCGGCTAGCCCGACCTTGCTTCTGCGCAAGCAGACACACAGGTTCTGTGTCTGGGAGACCAAGCTCTCGTTTCACCCAACAGCTGAACATGAAGAAGCGGGATCAGTGGTTTGGTGGAATTATCTCACTTACAGCAGTATTGGAATCCGCAAAGTGGATTATGGCAACAACGGAGATGCCACAGCCAAAGCGAGAATTATCCGCTTCAGATCAGCAGACTGCGAGGTTGTCGAACGCAAGCTCCATAGTTTTGACTCAGATGTTGTTCTATTGATCAGATGCGGTGACTCTAGATATGAATTCGGGTTCAAGGAGCTTGGTAAATCTGAGAATGAGATGTTAGAACCTCAGTGGTTGGGGGGAGTGAGTAATGAGACCATGACAAGACCGCCACCTATTGGGCTGGCTTTCTCGGGTATGTTGCTGGGATTGTATGCCTTCGCTGAGTTTCGGAAGTGCACAGAGCCAGCCGATTTCCACTATGCGGAATTTAGATTGCGCGATTAATGACAGACAAACGATCAGATTTATGCAATAGAAGAAAGGTATACTCTTGCCCTGATAAGAGAGAAACAACAATTTATGCAATTTACTTAATTTAATCATGCTCAGACTGTCCACTCCATGGCATGTCATTAAAAGACGAGCACTCTGCACAAAGGCATGCGGCATTATCGCTAATCAAGGATCCCCTTAATTTCGGGCCACAATCCGGGAAAGGAGATTCTCAAGGCGTGCGTTCCAGGCGAAGTCGAAGCTTCAACGGTAGGAGAGAATTCTGATGTCCGACAAAATTACGAGGCTAGGATGGAGACATCAACTAACATTACAGGTAGATCATCCAGTCCCGCTGCGCCAGCAAAACCATGTCCTTATTTGCCCCAGAAGCAGAGTTTACAGATGTTAGAAGTTTGGCATTGCTATCCATGAGAAATTTACAGTATATAATCTGCTGAAATCTAGTAGCTTCAGACTTATCATTACCGGCTGTCGTGGATCGTCTCCGTGAAGCTGGATGATCTGGCTAACTGGCATTCCCGTAAGCATTGACCTACCAGAAGTAGCATATCGCTCGCCGGGTACGCCGCTTGCGGGTATCTGTGACCAGTGCTCTAATTCTTCATCCAGCTAATAGCAGACATCAATCTGGGATTCAAAGCCGGAGAGGTATGATCAACGTTCGTGGCGCCAAATATCAATTACTTGATGCAGACCTTAAAGTTTGGACTAACTCTCCCAGGGACAAGTTGGTACTGATGGCCAGTCAATGGCAAATAAACCATATCCTGCTCAGGACCAATCGTGGTGGGATAAAGGTATGTTGTGGGTAGGGCCTGGTAATTTCACCGAAGTCTGTACCGGTGAAAATGTTTTACGAAGCCGAGGAGCAAATGTTCCCTTTCGAACACTTTGCTGGGAGAATGTTATATAACTGACTCCTCACATACCCTTATCATTTTGGACGCCGTGAACGTGTATAAGATAGCACTCTCGTTAATTAATCTACGCCTGCTGGCGAAGTTTTCCTCGTGGAAGTTTTTATTGGTGCACGCTGAAGACTTAAGGCCTAGCCTATTCTGGCCATTCCTCCGTGCGATCTTCCGGTCGGGTTTTAGAGTCGATCCAGACGGCTCCGCTGAATGCTCCGACATACCGCAGTCAGAGCATGAGGTGAGCATAGACTTGCTGGGTATACATTAATACCAAGCGTAGCGAACTCACTTTTGATGAGCCCCAGAAAACGATGCTCAGGTTACTTGTTGTCTTGTCATCGCTTTCGACATCTGGTACATCCTGAAACACCTTCGTATTCGAATACGTCTCAAAGGTTCTTGCAGCTCCTGATTACCGACATTTCATGGCGCCAGTCATTTTCATCGTTCCTGGTTTGTGGGAAGGCCCTGTAGCCTTTCAACCGCTGAAGAAAGCACTCGAGAATGCCGGCTTATCCGTCTACACCACACATCTTGTTAGCACCGGCTCTACAGCCGCGGACGGCCTCACAGTACAAGATGACACTGCTGCTATTGCCCGAGACCTTGCTGCTACCGTCGAGATGGCCGGATCGGATGGTGTTGTTGTCTTCCTGCATTCTGCAGGTGGGTTTCTTTGCAGTGCGGCTATGAAAAATCTCACTGCCGCTTCAATGCATGCTGCCGGCAAGGAGGGTGGTATCAAACGCATTATTTTCATGTCATGTGCGTTTGGGCCGGAAGGATTTGAGACTAAGCCAACATCAACAATGCAATTCTTCGTGAGTATAGCTAGCTACCTATCACTAAAGCCCCGTTTTGGATACTTTTCTATTGTATTAAACATAATGACATTGACTTACACTTTGGCAGAACAACAGCTACTTCACATGTGTTGACCCTCGAAATCTTCTTTTCAACGACATGGCCGATTTAGAGGCTACAAAATGGATCGATAAGCTGCAGTGCCAGCCAGCCAAATGGGACGGAGTCACAACATACTGCGGGTGGCGGGAGGTCCGCAGTCATTATATTATTCTCGAGAAAGACAAAGCAATCCTGCCTGAGGTCCAAGAGCAAATGGCAAAATTAGCTTCCAGCAAGATTGTCCGTTTAGAGGCAGGGCATATGGCCCAGCTGACGAAGACGACCGAAGTTGCCGAAATTATTATGGGGATCACCACAGAGTTATGACAACATGGCACAGGCATCAGGTAAATAATCTCGAATTCAAGACATATCTGATTTCCAAACTTCTGGGTTCGAGGTCATTACCGAGGTCATCAGTATGATGTGTCCGTAAAGTAATGGACCAGACTTTTCGCGCTTTTGAGATTTGAAGCGGGCAGGGTGCTCACATATTCATATTCTTATTCGGCTAATTCAATGAGCTTCAATGTGGAAATTATTTTCTTGTGAACTCAGGGAAGAATTGATCTATTCGCGTGTAGCTCTTCAGAATCCCGCTTTGGTTGGAGGTGGGTACTGTAGGGGCGGTTTCTGATATCGTTTCAACGAACTTCCTCAAGGTTTCAGGCCGGTGAATGGGCCGGTTCCGGAAAATAAGACAAGCTTTAGTTGATCATCTAGTATGGTGGAGAAATTCCGGGAAGGTTTGCGGAGCTATTTCCAGCATAACGATGTCCGAGTCAAGGTAACCAACGGGATGCGGTAAGGTACACAAAAGATCCGAGCCTCTTTCAACGGTATAGTCTCGGGATAAAAAGAAACATCCACTCTTCAGTTCTCTCATGATTCTTGCGAACAATATCCAAAGTCCCGCAGCCTTTATAGGATTCCTAAATTCGATGCAAGATGGTCAAGTTCCTCCTGTTATTCCTGTCCACACTCCCCTTCATCGGGGCTTCTTTTGGTCATCGCGGCGCCTTACACACCGCCGATGATTTTATACGCATGGCAAATTATGTAAATGCAAAATCAATTCCCTGGTACACAGACTGGAAGCTCTTGCTAAATAGTACGTATGCTCAAAGCACCTATAAGCCGCAGGCTGTCTCCGCTATTTACAGGGGCTCTGACGGCATTCATGCCGAAAACTACCAGCTTCTCTATGAAGATGCTGCTGCCATGTACCAACTTGCCAACACTGCTGAAGTAATGCGAATTTACCCTGGCTGGTCCTCGACAGACATCACAACCTTCCAAAACATGATGGAAGATGTTTTTGCAGGGCAGAATGAGTTTTTTCTTAGAACTCATAATGGGTCTGCAGATATTCCATACGCTAACTGGGATTTATGCAACATGGCCTCGATGTTAGCCATCAGCATTTTGAACGACAATTCAACTAAATTCAATTGGGTAGTGGACTACGTCTACGACGGATGGGGCCACGGAGCGGTCGGAAATGGTACGAACTTCATCGTAGCCAGTTATACCGAGTCAGGGTCGAGAAAGATCTTATTTCAAGGTCAGGAGGCTGGCCGCGATCAGGGCAACGCCACTCTGGATTTCACTCTCGCGGGAGTCTTAACTCAACAGATGAAACGGTTTCCGCATATTGAGCCGATTACCAGAATTACATAAAATGAAGCAGTTTTGCTAGGTCCCATAGCGACTGAGATCACTGTCGGCAGGTAGTCTGCTTAACGCTTACGGCGCTTTACTATATTCACCAAAGCTCCAACTCGGGAGATCAAACGTTTTAAAACATTTCATACAAGTCAGAATAATTCTTTGCCTGAACGTCAAAGTACAGCTCTGTTCATTATTTACATTGCTCACTAGTCCCCTTGGCCCTCAGCCCTCGTTAGTGACTTCTACTTGGTCCGTGAAAGCCTTCCTCTCGCGAATATTGGCGGCTGCATGCTGCTCCTTGTAATGTTTGGTGATTGCCTGGGCACCCGTCAAAAGCTCGTCGCCATCGAAAATTTCGCCAATTTCTTCAAGACCCTTGCCCTTAGTCTCTGGCAAATACCACCACGCAAATGTGCATTCAAAAGCCAGAATGACACAGGCAACTATATAGTAGCGCCAGCCAATGTTGTCCATAGCAATAGGGTTCACATAACCGGTAAAGAAACTTGCTGTGTACCCACAAAATTGGAAAATCATAGCTGTTTTTGACCGGAGAGAGAAAAGAGAACACTCCACGACATAAGGCACGGTGGCAATGGCAAAAGGTTGGTAGCCAAACTGGAACAAGAAAATCATAGCTACAACGGACAGCGCAAGAGAGTGATCTGTAAAGTGTCTCTGCTCGTTGATAGCCGAACAAATCGTCCATATGATAAACACAAGAAGCATGACAGTCATACCGAAGGTGATCAATCCTCGTCTTCCAACACGATCGATAAGCATGGCAAAGAAGATCGAGCAGCATAACTGCCAGATAGCTGCAATGGCGTTAATGAGCAGCTGAGTCTGTGCATCTGTAATGCCGATACTATCAAGGATCTTGGCGAGGTAATATCCGGTCAGACCAAGGCCAGATAACTGAGCAGCGTAGCCAATAAACAACAGGATCCAAAGACGCTTTCGGTTTCCCTGGGTTCGGATAAACTCGCTCCACTGAATTGCCTTCTGCTTCTTTTCCTCTTCCAATGTCGCCTGGATTTCAAGCATCTCAAAGCGAATCAGTTGAGAATTCCGATTGCCGCTCGCATGATATTTTGCGAGCACATCCAGAGCCTCTTCTTGCCGGTCTTTGAAAACAAGCCAACGAGGTGATTCCGGTACGAAAATACTTAGCACCAGCTGCAGGATTGATGGAACACCTTGCAAGAGACTAGGAAGCCTCCAGCTCCAGGAAGAATTCATTTTGAAGGTGCCAAATGTAGTCCAAGCTGCGATCAAGTAGCCCTAAGTAGAAATTCTGTGTTAGCTCCCGTACAATTGGTAGAACTCCAGGCGTAATTGGTATCTTATTTGGTAAATAGAGAGACTCACAACCACCCACTGGGTCATATATAGAGAAACAATCTTTCCACGATGCGTTGGATATGCGACCTCCATCATCAGCTGGGGAGCGGCGACAGCCACGATGCCGGTACCCAAACCGATGATAATGCGGCCAGCAATAAACATGCCTAAGCTTTGCGCACCACCTTGAAGAGCAGAGCCAATAGTAATTAAAGCTGTACCGACTGTAATGGGTTTCTTCCGTCCGAGAATCTCACACATCTGGGAGGAGAAGGTTACCGAAACGAGCACACCAATATTGATAGCATTGACCAAAGTGCCCAGCTTGGCACCATCCTGTTCGGAGTGTTAGCAGTTGAGTTGAGGACCCGAGACGTGGCCGACCTTACCGGGTTACCAAACGCAGCTTTCCACGAAGGCAAGGACTGCATGCCATTCAACATGCTACCGTCAAAACCGCAGGTAAACTGAGCCAAGAAGGCGCAGAGTAACAGCAGATTCAGTTTTAGCAGGGACGGATACTGAAACCACCATTTTTCGAGCTTAGGGGTAACATCTGCCAGGAAAAGGCCTTCAAACTCATCGAGGTCAGCCAGGTCTTGTTTCGCTTCCTCAGGTTGCGACATGTTGGTAGTTTGAGGTTCGTTGCTGACTGAAAGTAAAAGGAAAAGCGAAGGCCTAAAGGTTCCAGGTCTATCGACTCTCGAAGGATATCTTTTGCGCTGATGCAATCCGTCAACGGGCCTGGTCTTGCAAGGACGTTGGCTGCGCGCGGGTTTATATTAGCTGAAATCGCGATAGAGTTCCTCGACTCCGGGACGTTGTCTCGCCGCCGTCTCCGCATTCAGAATACCGGGGTAGTACATGGAGATACCAGGCCGTGGAGGTTTGGCAATATGTCTAGCTCCAAAAACAACCGCTTTCAAGTGGGTCGGGCGACGGACATCCGGAGTAAGGGCCGGAGTGTTGTCCAAAACCAACCACATCGCCGCGTGATTGGTGGTGCCAAGTGGGTCCATAGGAGTTATATCAGTTGCAAGCCGATAATTATCAATACGGGCTAGCCGATCTGCTTTTGCTATGAACTATATAGCTATGTCACTTGACTGGTCTGACAGATGCATCTCTTGTCCGGCGCCAAGCCGACACTTCGCCGATCACTTGAGGATCCAGCCACGCCTGCGGTGCCAACCATTTCTATAATAGAAACCAAATAGATCGCTTCATGATTTGCCCCACCTGCATATTCGGTGGCATAAGGATTGAGAGGCATTATGTGAGTTTGATATTATTTTATAAAAAAGAAGAAAAAAGGCTGTGGGTGCAAATCTGGCGAGAGAGAGTTGCTCCCTACTTCTCCCTCAGCTCTTAGATGGCCAGCATGGAGCACGCGCGGTATTAGAGGAACTATACGCAGAAATTTTATCTTTACTGCCGAGGCTTATTGAACACCACAGCAACCCAGGATCTGATAATGTATATGCATACACCACGTTTAAAATTTGAAGAGAAACAGCTTGCTCTCTCTAAAGAGGGCTCTAGTCAGGACGAATTAGACCTTTTTGGCAAATCCTATGGGAGTGGGCGGACGGGAGATGGGCTCTCCTGACTCCCCTGGTTGTTCACAGGCAACGCTCAGTGAGATTCATATGAGTTTCTAGTCAGCGAGAATAGATGGCCTGAGTTAACGAAATTCAACAGCCAGGTAGACACCCAAACACAAGTGCACTATTTTTATAACTCGATACTTCAACAACAGCTACAAGTTACTTTAGTTTGGGTTTTAGTATTATAATATCCAAAAACATGATAAACAATATGAACTGGGTGAAATGGGGATTTGGAGGTTATTTTACCCAAATATATATCGAACCACTACGTCGCAAACGTTCTTAAAATTGTATAAACAGGCTAGATATACCTTAATAGTACCATGATATAATTCAATGTCGTATTAAGTTATTGCTATTACCAGCTGTATAATATCGCCTTTACTATAGTGTTTTGGAGTGACCAGCTCTCTTGTGTGGCTGGCTCGATTCTGAGTCGGTTTAATTATACTGTACTAGTTGGCTTTGGTTTTCTACAATAACCCCGCGCGGGAGACCCTCCGGTAATTCCCCCATCACCCGGAATTCTCATTACGCCGTTCTGCGACGGATATTCGGTTAATTACAAACCAGCTGGGGTTTAATGGGCCAGGCACACAGAATCACAAGACGCGTAAACTAAGATTCCCCTGGGGAAAACTTTCTCTCCCGAAACCGGATGGCCACTGCGGGACCACGCATGTCTACTTTCCCCGCAGCGCGTCAATTTGCTCGCTTGCAAGGAAACTACCCCAGATTTGCGAGCGCATCATTATGCGCACTTGTCTATTGCGCAAGCAACTGATATCTTTTTAAAGTGGTCTAAATGCCGACTAGATCCAACCATGCTCCCAGCGGCGAGCCGAATGGCCAAGAGCCACCGGAAAGACCCAAGCCCGATGATGAGGTGCCCGCCTGCCAGTCCTGCCGCAAGAAAAAGGCCCGATGTGATCGCGCTCAGCCTTGCTCGCAATGTGTACGATTCAAAGTCGCTTGCGTGTATGATGACCGTCGCATGAAGCCTGGCCTCCGTGCAGGCGCAGTTGACCAGCTCTACCGTCGCATCGAAACCCTTGAGAATATGTTTCTCGGCCAGGAGATGCTCTGGCAGCAGATGTGGCAAGCGCTCCATCCTAACTCTCCACTTCCAGGATCGACAGACCGACCGACCAATATTGCTGACCTGGCTCAGCGACGTGAGCAACTGAAGGCTTCTCTCCTGCAATCTGTGTCTCCAACCTCGCAGAGTGACGGGCAATGTGGGCCCCAGAAGGATGCTGTGGATATGGAAGCAGATTTACGCGCAGAAAAAAGACGAAGGATACAGGACATGATTCCATCTACCCTGCCGATTGACATCGACGGCGACATCACTGCGATTTTGCCAGCAGATGTCATGACCGAGCTCGTAGACTTGTACTACGTGAACATCCATCCTTGGATTCCTGTTCTACATGTCGCCAGATTTCGCGAGCGTATGAAACTGCCAGGTGAACGTCCACGTATTACTTGCGTCCTTCATGCTATCATCGCGGTGTGCGCCCGTTTCTCTCGGAGTACATTTTTACGAGAGGAGAAGACAAAATCACGAATCGCAGAGAAGAGCCGGCAAAAAGTTATCCTGGATTGTACCGAGTCTTTCTCCGTCGAGAACCTGCAAGCTTTAGTCATTATTGCATTTGAAACTGTCAGAATTGACCTTCCCCCACGCCCCTCCTCGATTTGAATCCAACTGACTCCGACTGAGTTCAATGCAGATTGGCCGCGGCCGCGGGCCTTCATCATGGTCTATTGTTGGAAGCATGGTGGGTACAGTGGAACAACTGCAGTTGGGCGTCGAGGACGACGAACCGAACCATGCATCAAACCCCGGGGAGACACTTATTCGACGCATGGTCTTTTTGAACCCCCCTAGGTCCTGGAGCGAAGCTGAGGAGCGTCGTCGGGTGTTCTGGACCGTTTTTCTGATGGATAGGTTTTGTAGCGTGTCAACAGGCTGGAAGATCAGTCTCACCAGCGCCGATGTGAAGCGTCGCCTACCTTGTGAAGGTGCTCTTTGGGAGAAGGAGCAGGAGGTCCGTGCGCCGTACTTTGGGATTGCGGACTCGAAGGATACAGCATCAAGCAGTTCAGTGGTCAACAGTGACCGTGGGTCGATGAACGGAGAGGATCAGGATGCTATCGGCGGCTTTGCGTATAACATTGAAGCAACCGAGTCACTCGCGTTAGTGACCAATTTCTTTCTTCATCATGCCTTCATCGTTGGGGATGCCGAGAAGGCCCAAAGATGGCTGCTGAAATTCAAAGAGCTTGATCTGCGACTTATCCAGTAAGTGTTTAAACCATCTTTCCATCATTAAATATTTTTGTTACTGTTTGCCAACATGTTTATTTGCTCCAGATGGAAGTTGTATCTGCCTCGGAAGTGGCGAGAAGCCTCCGTGCTCAATGTCGATGGGGTCATGGACCCGAATCTCACCCTCGCCCACATCACTCACAACACTGCCGTGATTCTATTACATCAAGGAATTGCCTATCCGCCGGCACATTGGCAGTCTTGCCCCATCAAACTTCCATCTGCCTCGTCAGCAGAGACCTGTCTGGAAGCCGCCTCTGAGATCGCGACCATTGGCCACCAGTTCTTATCATTCTCGCGAATATCCACGGCCCCCCAATTTTCATTTTGTCTTTTCATTGCCGGAAGGATGCTTTTGGCACATGCGAGATATAATCAAGTACCGATACCTCCCACTCTCGACACCTTACTCGCATCTCTTCTGGAGATTTCTCAGAGGTGGTCGGGAAATAGTGAGACCACTTATTCCCGAGGCGATAACCTTGCCTCGATCTTTGCAAAGCGACTTATCGAAGGACCAAGCAATATGATGACTGATCCCCGTCCGAGCCTCGACATCCGACAGACGGCTTACTCGGACGAGTCGAAAGATCAGCCAAAAAAACAACTCAATACCGGTATGGATTTTTCTGTAGCACCTATATTCCCGGCAAGGGCCGCAATCTCCGTTTCTCCAGCTCGAAATATGAGCAGGGAATCAGTACAGGAATTGTCCAGCCTCGATCCGTTCAGTTTAGCTTTCCCACCACTTCCGCCAGCGTTCCAGCCAGATTTTATTGGACTCTCAAAATCCGATCCCCTTTGCATCTATGACCAAGCAACTGAGAGCCATGCCCCTTCACCACCGGGCATACAATCCTTACATCACCAGCAATCTGCTATGTGGCAAGGCCACGCGCCTTTTACGAATGTGAGTCCACAGGAGGATTTGTCTTATGTTCTTAGTCTTGCATCTAGCCCAGGTCAGAGAATTAGCCGCTATGGTGGGCCACAGATTCAGGATGAGAGGAACCTGGGAACTGGGGGAAATAACAATGCAGTGGATATATAATAGCTACAATTTACAAATTTAAGAAGGTTGCTGGAAGTAAAATGCAGTTGCGCAAATATAGCAAGGCCTCGTACGGAGTCGCGACTCTCCCCATTCGATCCGGGTCAGAACATGATTTGTAGCGGTTCCAGCTCCCAGACCTTAGAGTCGCGTTCCGTCTGTATCAAGGTTAGGACCTGAACGGACTCGCAGGTCCTAAAAATAAAACAAACCTAAGAAATCCCGTGCTGTTGCGTAACACGAAATCGGTCCAACTGGGACATCTAAATAGAGGAGATCAAGGTTCCGGATACCCGGCTCTGTGGGCAAGGTGTAATGTGAGGTAAAACTGGGGGAAGTGTGGAAGATTTCGTGTAGACTGTGGATTGTTGTATGAAGTGTATAGAGCAACAAAAACTGTGGAACGATTTTTGGTGCGAACGTTCTGTCAAGGTTATCTTCAGTGACAGGTGGAAAATTGCGGTGTATCGATCACATCCAACTCAAGAAGCATATTGCCGAAAAGAAGGAAGTAATAGTCAGCGTAGACCAGCCCATGGTTGGACCAACGTCTTGGTGCAAACTCATAGTTGTTAATAGTTGCTCCATCCAATATAGTGTCGTGGGATTTAGAATCAGAAACATCCACAATAGATAGAATATCGAAACCGTCGCCATATTTATCGTCAATATCGTCTGCTTGAAAAGTTGAAACTCGAGAGGTATGCTGAGTAGACTGGAACCTAAAGGTCGGTGGGTTCAAGAACTTTGTGACAGTGGAATCAACAATGTGAATAGCCTCAGACAGATAGTGATCAGCCTCTGAGCTGTTTCTGAGCGCCTTATAAATACGCAGCATGCCACAAGCGGCGATCATAGCAGCCGAAGTATCCCGTGGGCTGGAAGCAGTAACTGGGGCACCAAAATCCCAGTACGGTACACCATCTGCCGGAAGATTTGAAATAAAAAAATCAGCCAGATTTTTCGCCGTGTCGAGAAATGATGAGTTTGCCGTCCATTCAAAGGTCTGCATGAATCCCAGAATCCCCCATGCCTGCCCACGAGCCCAGCAGCTGTCATCATTATATCCCTGATTCGTGAACTTAGCCTTGATGTTCCCAGTCTCTGCATCAAAATTAACCACGTGGAATGTGGTATTATCAGGGCGGATATGGGTTTTCTGCGTCGTGAGTGCGTGTGCCAGAGCAATTCTGTAAAGTGACTTATTTGAAGTCTCGTGCGCTGCCCAAAAGAGGAGGTCCAGGTTCAACATGTTGTCAATGATAACCAGGAAATCCTGTGATGGATCTGTGAACGAGTATCGGCTCGTGATGCAGACGTCCCAGCTTCGAAGGCATTTTGTGTTGGCGTTGAACCGACTAGCTAGCGAGTGCGCTGCCATGATGAGAGTGTTGTATGCAGCCGGATCGCGGTAGATGTTCCAGGCCTGCATGGCCCACGGGGCGATCATGAAACCTAAGTCGTGGGTGTCACGTCGGAGTGCATTTTGATGCAGGCTGGCTGTCCACCACCGGCACAGATGCGCCAATTGAAGGAAGTGAAGACGGTTTTGGTGGTTTATTGCCTGAGGATACTTCATTTGACGCTCATGGATAAGGTACAAAGATCCTGGGAAAAAGCCGGATGTCCAAAAGTCGAGGGATCGGTAGACGTACGTGGCGCCATCTTCGCCGGTGTACTCGGGGTAGAGAACAGGTGGCTTACTCTGAAATTGGGTAAGTTTTTGAAACCAGTCAAAAATAGCCTTTTTGGAGTGACCTACGCTTCTGAGTGCTCGGGATGCGACATTCCACAGCTTTGCCATCACGGATTCTGAGAAGAGCGCCTCGATCACCCGTTCTGTCGGAGTACGCATTGACCTCTTGATACCATTTGTGACATACTGTCCAGTTTTTGCCCGCTTTGAACTTGTTTCCTAGCTCAAATATCAGATCACGTTACGTTGCGGCAAGTGGGAAGTTCAACATACTGTGATGGGTTCATCATACATAGACATGGCGAAGCGCTTAAGACAGCGACGTTAACGGCCTTCGTGGAAAAAGGAGAAGACAGATAGAAGTTCTAGGGACAGAACTACGTTAATATTTCTATGGGATCCTTTATTAATCTTTGTGGATCATACGAAGGGGCCTATGTTCGCGAAGGACCCGGCATCTCTTCCGCAACACGGAGGGCGGCTGTAGGCGGCTGTATTGCTCCGGCAAGGCAACGTCGAATGTTTGAGTCCGAACTTTCGAGAACCACCAAATACTGACAGGAGGGCAATATTTGGTAGGTGTGTGATGAGTGCCAACCGCGACTTTCAAGCTCGAAACTTCCGACAAACAAACTGGATTTGAGGGTCTGTAGGATTTGGTCTTTGCAAGGGATTCTCGAACATTATCTGATGGCAGTCAACGTTAAACACCCGAAAGATAATGATCGAGACACACACCCCCCCGTGTCTCGACCACCGGAGCTTCTCCCGGAGACCCTCCGACGCTAGCTCTTGGCCCACGATTTAATCTATCAGGTTTCGAAGGCTTATAGATCGTCAATCCGACCTCTGGGTATTATTCTGTACGGAAATTGGAGTACACAGGAATTGTTGCTCCTACCAAAAATGAATGAGCAATCCGAGCCAGGAACACTGGATCTCAGATACCTTAAGTGGCTTCAATGATTTCATAAGCGGGTAGATTTAACGGACAGATTGTGGATCGAGTAAGATCTGTCCCACCCTATAATATTGTGATTGGTGATGAGAGGGCTTGGGCCCCCAACGTCCATAATAGTAGATATGCTCCGCCATTAGCCGCATATAAACCAGCTGATACGCTTCTCTCTCAAACAACAGCCGCACGAAAAATGAACATCATCCCAGACTGGCTGCTGTACACCGTCTACGGCCTCCCTGCACCAGCAGGCAAACGCCGAAAGCCCATGCAAGTGCTAGCAGTAGGAATCTCCAGGTCAGGCACAGAATCGCTACGAGAAGCACTGCACGTCCTCGGCTTCGATCACACATACCATGGCTTCGACACGATCCTGCCACCTTCCTCATTAGAAGCGACATATCGCCTTCTCCAAAAGAAATATACCACGGCGCCAACTCCAGGCGAGCAATCCGCCAAGCTTACCGCAGAAGACTTCGACACAATTCTGGGCGACAGCGTCGGCGTAAGTGACCTGCTAGCAGCGGAGTTCGCGCCCGAGCTCATCGCGGCATACCCAAACGCCAAAGTAATTCTGAACGTGCGCCGCGATCTCGACGGCTGGTACCGCAGCATGCAGCAGACAATGGGCTATTTCGACTCGAACCCTGTGGATTGGGACTGGTGCAAGTCATGGTTTAGCGCGGAGTTGTTCTGGGTTCGGCAGGCGATGTGCCGGACGCTGATGCCGCGGTTCTTTCGGGGAAGTTTTCATTCTAATGGGAAGTGGGTGTATGAACAGCATGTTGCTTCTATCCGAGGATTGGGTTTACCGGATCATCAACTCCTGGAGTGGTCTGTTGATGATGGCTGGGAGCCGCTGTGCCAGTTCTTGGGCAAGGAAGTGCCGCAGATGGATTTTCCGAATGGGAATCCGCCCAAGGCGTGGGCGGAGCGCATTGCTATGACCATGGCGATGCATCATCGGCGGGCTGTGAGAAATATGTTGATCTTTGGAGGTGTGATGGCTGTAGGGTTGGCCTTGCTTGTTTCCTACTTTCGGTGAGTTGGCTGGCAACTTCAACGGTGTAAAAAGCAAGTTGTTGGATGATACGTATATTTCTATCATAAACTCATAATTCGCTGACTGGATCGAATCCACGGATAGCAAAAAAAAATTGAATGACAAGAGTGGGATTCGAACCCACGCCCCTTTCGAGACACGGAGATTGATAATAACCAATCGGATTCGGGTGGACCTGAACCGTGCGCCATAGACCAACTCGGCCATCTTGCCGGGATGCTTAGGACACTCAATCCGGCCGATCCACGATCCCGAGGTGCATTGCTGCAGTGTTCCTAATGAGGCAGTGTAACGCACGATCCGAGAGACACATGCCTGATGCAGAAGGCTAAGTGTCCCCGATATCCATGTGGAGCCCGGCCTCCGTTGCAGGGCTACCCTCCACGTGAGATTTTGCTTTGGAACTCACTCCCGTATCAATGGTTGGAGAGACCAGGTCTTCTGATTTCTTGGGCGTATTAGGGCTGGCGGCTGGAGGATTGCCTTGGCCATCACCACCTGCCCGGCCCTCTGCTCGCCGGGTCTTGGCGCCCTCCTTCAATTTTTCCCAGCGTTCTCGATACCGCCCAAGCACGTTCGTCAACTTTTTGTTCTCGCGGCCAATGCGCTCTAGCTCCTGCTCACCGCGGCGAACGATCTCTTCCAGTTCTTTGACCCGCGCGTCTGATTCCGACATGGCTGGAGCGCTAGAAAGTTGAGCTGTCGGAGATGTAGCTATGGATGAAGAATGTTCTGGAGACGGGACAGTCTGGTGGTGCATCGCTCTCAAAGATTGCTGCAATGCCAACGATGACGACTGAGCGTTGACCTCCCACATATGCAACCGTTTAGAAAGCGTGTCGGACAGATGTTTCAGAGCTTGGTTTTCCATCTGAAGTTCTTCAAGAGTCTTGGGGTTTTGGAGATTGGTGATCGTCTCAGTAGCTCCCCTCCGCAAGGTCCGTGAATTGGAACCCTGGCGCACTTCTGGGGAAGAAGGGGTCTCGCGTGCGTCCACAAAGTCATCATCAGCATCATCCAGACTGTTTCTGCGAGCCTCCTTCTCCGCTCGTGTCAAGATTCCCGCATAGGACATTGTGCCACCCGTAGTGGGGACAACGTAGAAGGACTCATTCGGATTTCCTGGGCTTGTTCCTGGAGTGTCCTGAATTGAACGCAGCGCAGCTCGCGAGAAGAGCCGACTCACATCTGGCTCAGCCGAAGAAGTTGATCGATCCGAAGTCGCGGGATGACGGTCCAGTTTCGCCTCAGCAGCAGATTTCCGACCTGTTAGGGTAGTTTTCCTAGGCTCCTCCGACCCCAGAGGGAGCCCCGCAAAGGCCAGTGGCGCAGAAATCCTAGAAATAAGACCCTCAAATGTTGAATAAAAGCGTTGGAATGGTTCATCGGCCATTGAAGTCTTGTCCTTCGGGGAGACCGGACCCGCGGTACTCGGAGACGCCGCTTGCTGAGAGGCAACTTCCGCAGCGCTCGGCAAAGGAGGAGACCATGGTTGTCGAGGCGCAGATGCACGGCCCCCTCGTCGCCCCTTAATGGGAACCTCCTGCCATCTCGAGTCTCCCGTCTTGATTCTTGATGGAGCTTCTGCCATTTTCGCTCCGGCCTGCTGAGAGGAGAGCGTTGGCGATACAGGCGATGCGCGTCTCGGATGAGCCGGGATACCTCGTGCAGAGGCGAGGTCACTGGCGATCGAGGTAGTCTCCCGATTCGACACGCGAGCATTCCCCGGCAGCCTTGGAGGCTGGTTCTGGGTATCTGGGGTGATAGGAGTGGTCTTCATGGCCCCGACATCTGTTGAGGTTGGCTGAGACGCGGGATTCGGCGATGCAGCATTCGTTGTGGGCTCTGCATTTGCGCTCACTGGATGTTCATGTTGGAATCTTAGGATCTCCGCGAGCTTCTTGTGGTGGCTTTCGAGTAGCTGGAGGGTACGCAGTGCCTTTGGGACATCCACCGGTCAGAGCTGGAAATGACAGAGGAGACTAGAAGCAAAACTCACTTCGTGATCGAGGGTACTCTGAGCTGCAGCCGCAAACTCACCCGCCGCCAGATCGTGTTCCTCGCTGGCGGCCACCGGGTTGGACTTGCGAGTCTCGAGCACCGCATTTCGGGCGTGGGTATGCGCCTAGATGGATCAAGTCAGCGGCAAGAAGCAGGCAGATCGGTCAGCCGTTCCGCATACCAAGGTCAGTGGTGCAGCCTCCATAACGCAGGGCGCGCAAGAGAGAAGTCCGTCGGAGCGAAGTGACGCCATCCGCTGGCGGTATCGGTATGTATGGTTGGCAGGTCACATGCTCCTCTCATACTTCGAAGAACAATAACTAATAATTCTTCGATAGACGAATGGATTATCTATTATTGTGATGCGATGCGCCACAAACTACATGATCTAGCCCTTACCCTCAAAGCAACCTGAGACAATAGTTGGCGAAGGTAGTTACTGCTTTCAGGATATGGACACCCACACTCCACCCGATGTGACATCCACATTCCTGCAGGGACTGACAGTACTACGCAAGATAACTAACTACACCTGGGTTGTTCGCCAATGCAGCAAAGTGTGGATTAATTCATGCTCATAGAGTGTAAGTAATTAGAAGAACCTGTTTCCCTTTAATGCAATTAGGTAGAGACCAACGAAGTGACTGCAGCTGACTAAGGTGCGGAGACCACTCCCCTCTTGCGTCGCCAATTGCTACCTACCTCATCTCTGTCGCTGCTACGGTGTTTCCCTCCATTCATCATGCCTGTGCCCACCTAAAGACAGTACTGTGTACCACATCCCATGCTGTGGTCATCTTCGTTTGTCTCTGATCTGGTCCGTCGCTAGTCTCTTGGACACATAGCAGCCACGGCCAAAATCAGCGCATCGCGCCCCGCCCCCTGGTGTCCTTCCGATCGGAACACCATGGAGGATTCCACCCCCCAGGACTCACCACCCTCCAGCATTGCAAGCAACAGCAGGGCCCGTCGCTCGTGGACGGTTTCGGCGGACTCAGAGGCGATTCTGAGCTCCGGCCGGAGCAACGGGCAGTCATCCGTTGCCTCCAGTATCGAAAGACCAAAAACCCAGGATGGAGAGGCAGGGGATTCCGCCAGGGCTGGCTCCAGCAGTTTCTCCAAATTGATGAATGCTCGTCGGAGGCGCAAGGAGAGAAAGAACAGTCAAAAACCGTCGGAGGACCTGCAGCCGGTGCCAAGCGGAGTGGTAGAACGAGCTCTACGAGCAAGTCGGTCGAATGAGTCTCGAGATAGCACCTCGGCTGCCTCCTCCTCATCCGTAACCGTCGAGTCGTTACCCCCTGAAGGTGATGTGATTAATTTACTGACAGATGACTCCGAACCTGACAAGTGAGTCGTTTCTTTGATATCTCAAGACCCCTTCTGACCGGCTCTGCCAACTTGCCTAGGACTCCTCCTCTTACCTCTCACAACTCGCATACCGGTTTCTACACCCTGTCTTCTCCGCTCATTAAGACCACCTCTGTCGACCCCTCTGTCGACCCGACTGACACCGACGGAGCTCACGCCGATGTGGACTCTGTAGTGAGCGGCCCGAGTGCGACTGGCTCGGAGTCAAATACGGGCGATAGTCTCCCAAGATCTGCGGCCCAAGCAACCTTGGAGGTTCCAACAGATTCCAATGGAAAGAGGCGTGCTTCAGCAGCGAAACGTTTCAAGGAAGCTATTTCCTCATCACAGGACAAGAAAAGTGCCAGCGAGGACTCAGAACGCGCATCATCTAAGTCCGGGGGAACCCGAAGTGGACGGAGTCTATTCAGCAGTCGGCGAAGCAGCCTGTCATCAAAACGAGCTCAGCCGAGCCCGGAACCTGCCCCGCCAATGCCGGCGCCCATTCGGACCGACTTCACGGACGAAAAGTCAGTCGCAGAACAAAACCCTACGTCTCCTGAAAAGTCCCATGCCAAAACTCCGTTGCCTACAACTCCCCGCCAGCCAAGCCTCCCAGCACCGGAAACAACAGTGACCCCACCAACGCCTACTGAGAATCGCCTGCTCGGTTCTCATACGATGCCCAATGTGACAGACTCCCCCGAATCACCCAAACCCAGAAACTCCCTTTCCTCCGCTGGGATTACGGTGAGTCCCTCTGGGAACATGATATCACATCGACGAGTGAGATCTGCTTCTGCAGCTCATGCCCCGAGCAAACTGTCTACTTCGACATCATTGAGTCCTCTCGAGGAGGCAAAGCCCCTTGCACATCAACAAAGTGGCTTCTTTTCGTCTGTGTTCTCCGTTGCCCAGAACGCAGCATCCTCATTAAGCAACACCCTCAGCACTCAACAAAGGAATCGACCCGTCTCTCAAACCGCCACTGCTTCTGCGAACAACTTGTCTGTCGAATCTGCCAGTGATGAAGCTGATAAAACGTCCAGCATAAGTGAAGAAGGGAAATCAACGACTGTGGAGACCCTTGGGGCCGGTGATCTAAGTTTCAGCCATTTGGATATTGATACACCGCCAGGCGAGGTGATCTCTACCACTGATGGGGTTGTTATTACCAAGCCCAGCTCGCCTATTGAAAAACGGAGAAATACTGCTGTGTATCAGAGGGACGAGGAGGCTGCCAAGCTCGAAGACAAGCGTGCAGCACGCGCAGTTCACATGGCCTACGAGAAGCCTTCAGATCCCATCTTGGCTGGTCCGACAACTGAAGATGCCCTTGATCTTCAATCTACCGTCTCCCTTCAGGAGACGGCACCATTACTGGTGATCATACCCCTCTGACAGGCAGTATCATCGACGGCGACCTGAGCGGTATCAAACGTACCGGTAGTGCCCGCAGCCGACAGGCTCGGAGACATCGGGGCTCTTCTGGGGCGACAGGATCGACGGTCGCTGCCGCTGTCGCTGGTGCTAGTGCACTTGCATTGGGTGCATCTGGTGCCAATTCCAGTGTTCCTCGCCTGACCGGTTTTGCTGTCGCGAGCAAGAAACGCAATAGGGACTTCCACCAGCTTTTCCGAAGTGTTCCGGAGGATGATTACTTGATCGAGGATTACAGCTGTGCACTTCAACGGGAAATCATCTTGGCTGGTCGCATCTATGTCTCCGAAGGACACATTTGTTTCTCCAGCAACATTCTCGGCTGGGTTACCACGCTTGTGATCAGTTTTGATGAGGTTGTGGCGGTGGAGAAAGAAAACACCGCAATGGTTTTTCCGAATGCAATCGCCATCCAGACCCTACATGCACGACATACCTTCCGCAGTTTACTTAGCCGTGAGTCCACTTATGATCTAATGGTCAATATTTGGAAGATCAACCATCCTTCTCTCAAAAGCTCTGTGAACGGAACCCGTGTGGCGGGTACCGGTGACAAGACAGAGAAGATTGGCGACAGTGACTCGGAGACCGAGTTGTCCGACGAAGACGACATTTACGATGAGGATGAAGAAGATGACAACGCCGATAGCCTTTTCGAAGCTGGAGATGCGAGCATGAACGGTAGCTCAACATCTTTGCCGGCAAGGGGCAGATTGAGCCGCCAGACTTCTGGCTTATTGCCGGCTGCGAACGGATCGCCACCTGCTGTTGGGTCGAATGGCGAAGCCAAGAGTGGCAACAAATCATCGCTCGCCAAGGATGCTGAAAATGATTTCCCCGGTCCGCCTACACATGCACCCACTGAATATACGGACTCCGATGGACAGTACGAGAAGGTCATCAAAGATGAGCTGATTCCGGCACCACTTGGGAAAGTGTACTCCCTAGTCTTCGGTCCCGCGTCTGGAGATTTCATGACCAAGTTTCTGGTCGAGAACCAAAAGTCAGGCGAGCTGCAATTCGAGGGAGGCATGAAGGGCCTTACCAATGAAAGCCGCACCCGGAAGTACTCATACATCAAGCCTCTCCCTGGCTCGATCGGGCCCAAACAGACGAAATGTATCAGTACAGAAAATCTGGACTTCTTGGATCTGGAAAAAGCCGTCCTCGTCACGTTGACTACTCAGACCCCCGATGTGCCTAGTGGAAATGTTTTTTCTACCAAGACCAAATACCTCTTTACCTGGGCTGCTGGTAACCAAATGCGCTTTCTCATGACCTGTACAATCGAGTGGACGGGCAAAAGTTGGTTGAAGGGTAAGTCTATTTCCGACGGTATATTCAGAGGCGTTGGACACTGATCAGTTATAGGTCCAATTGAGAAAGGTGCAATCGATGGCCAGACTACATTTGGCAACGAGCTGGTCAAGGCCCTCAAGATGGGTGTTGTTCCTCGCGGGCGTGCAGCTCCTGGGCGGACAAAAGGCCGGCGCAAGAAGGGTGACGCGGCAGCTCGTGAGGCATCTACCGCAGCGTCATTGAAGGCAGCAGCGGATGCCAATGCAGCCCAGGCGCAATCTTGGGGCTTACTTGAGCCTGTTCGTTCGATCCTCGAGCCCTTCGCCAGCTTATTCAAGCCGTTATGGAGCGGCAACATCGCAATCTTGGTCATCGGCGTTCTACTATATATGGTGTTTTTCCGGTCCCCATCAGGGTCATCTATGCTCTCGCATGATTCTGGCTGCCCAGGTCACAGCTTACCTCAACGCCTGGCCGCATATGAGGAAATGTGGCGACGCGAAGAAAGCGAGCTCTGGACTTGGCTGGAAGACCGTGTGGGCATGGACGGCATGGTTTTCCCGAATGTCGCCACCCATCGATCATCTGGGTCACCCTCTGGCCGCAGTTACTCCCGATTCAATAGCGCAGATGAGCGTGATCTAACTGCTCGACTGCGCGAGGAGCGGGTCTCCGATCGAGAGATGGACCATGCAATTCGGACCACCCGCCAACGGCTCGATGTCCTTGAGGAGATGATAAGCAGGAACAAGGAGCGATTGGTCGTTGACGAAGAGGCGATCCGATCCGAACTGTGAGGGCTCGACTCAACCTAAGGCCCATGCCAGGGCTTTCCCCCATACACTTGACTGGATATTTTTTTTTCTTTTCCCTGTATTGTTTATGTGTTCTTTTTTTGGATTTTGAGAGCGATTAAGCGTTTTCACCACGTGCAGTTTGCATCACTGACACTGGCTCTCCCATTCCTTGCCTCTTCCAGGTCTCTTTCATATTTGTTCATGTTTCCGATGATGACTTGTTGCACCGGAAAACTCTCGAGTCACAAGGGACTGTTCGACTGCAGGACTCAAGCAGAGCCTTGTTACCCAATTGTTGCCATTTGTTTTGACTGCTTTTAGCCTGACTCAAGTCACCCACAGTCATTTTGATCGCTATTCGACCCTGCCTTGATCGCGGAGGAGCGAGCTTCTCATTACCTGTATATAACTGCCAACTGCCTAGTCTATACCAATGTACGCCAGAGCGGGTCCGATCCCAACCTGCTTGTGGTTTCTTTCATTAGTGTTGCAATATTTCTTTCATGATTTCAGCCTGCAGTCTTTAAATCATCCTCGCTAGTTAAATGGTTTCTTTTTTGCATATATCCTATGAGTGTGGGTGGATTGCTGAGTTCTTAGATGGTATACCGGAACCCTTCATGGCCCTCCAGAACTATCTCCCCTCTGTCTGCCCGCTTGTTTTGTAGACGAAAGTAGATACTGAGAGCAGCGACAAGTGCTACTACCAGCAGCATCAGACCAATGCTTGCCCAAGTGCCAGGAATATAGCGTGGTGCATCCTGGGTACGAAATATTAGCCCGCCCACAATTCCACCGATACCACCGAAGCCAACAATTGAGGCGCTGGAGAAAGCCCGGCTCCATTGGCCTCTGATGTTGTTCGCCTGGTAAGTAAGAATAGATGGGATACTCGAATTGCCTCCAGCCGTGAGCAAGAAGCAACCGACGAACTGAACTACGGCTGACTGCCCATAGGCCATCAGGGCAAGTCCACAGACAGCCATGAGGCAGTTGGCCACAATGATTGGACCGCGGATGTGGTAACGATCTCCAATCCAGGCCTCGGCAGCCATCACAATCCCAGCAAAGACATAGGGAGGTGCAACTAGGCACTGAGATGCGCCCACACTAAAGCCCATGCTTCCCGACAATATAATTGGAAGAAAGTAGGCGACGGAGTAACACACTGCTGTAGCGGCGCAGAATATAATGGCGAACGCCCATATCTTCAAGTCCAAGGCTGGCGCGAAGAACTTGGCCCATCGAAATTCCTCCATGTCTTGGTCGCCTCGGTCTTGCTGGACACGGTGGATCATGAACATGCACTCGGCACGGCTGAGGAAACTCATTCTGGAAATCGACTTGCATTCATAATCAGGAAAATCGGGCAGAAAGGCGTAGCAGAGACCGCCCACAAGGCACGTCAGGATCCCCTCTATGATGAAAATCCAGCGGAAGCCGTCTAGGCCTCCAACGCCTTGCATTTTGGTCAGGCCGAAGGCAAGAATGCCGGAGAATGCCGATGCAACCATTCCAATAATATAGTATCCTGCATATCGCTTCTGTAACTCGTACCGAACATACCAAGTCGAAAGCAGGAAGATGATGCCAGGGAAGAACCCGCCTTCAAAAAGACCGAGGAGCAAGCGAAGGGCTGTCATCTGTTGCCAAGTATGCAGGAAGCCAAAGGCAATCATGGTAACTCCCCATAACAGGACAAGGGTTGATAAGAACCATCTTGCGCCGAAGTGGCGCACGGTGGCTGTAGCAGGTGCTTGCCCAAGAACATATGTGATGAAGAACACCAGCACCACTACCGAGTATCGGTTGTCCTGGGTTAACTGCAGGTCTTCGTTCATGCCCGCAATTGCGGCACTAGAGATGTTCGTTCGGTCCATCAAACTGACGCAGGCTGTGAGACCGCACATGGTAACAAGACGTCTATCGACTCGTCGGATGATCTTTTTCTTTTCATGATCGGTAAACTCAGTACCGGGTGTGTTGGCTTCGATATTGTCCAGGTGGTCTATTTCAAATTCATCTTTTTCTTGAGAGGACCTCATCCTGGGCGTGATGTGATGTTATCGGTGAAAGATGCCGGAAGGGAGCGAGATTGGCCAAAGTATTGGTAAACATACATAGGCTAACCACTCTTTTGAGTACATACGTCCCTTTTTATGTCTGGGCAGCACCCCATACCCCATATTCCAAGGAGCCTCGGTTCTAGGCATCAGCACCCCGCATCTTAGAAGATAATGGTTTCATTTTGTAAAAGATTTGGATATTTGGTTGATATTGCTGGAAGGTCCATGCGACAACTGGGGCATCGGCCAGCTGATCAAAATCGGCGAGTCGGCCAATATCGGCCAAATCCTAAATGGCGCTGCTATATGACATAAAATGACAACGAAATAGATGTATGTGACAGATGTAGATATAAAGTCTACGCTGTGAAAGAAAATATAATGAGAGAATAATACGAATCAAGATAATAATTCGGAGTTCTCTATCTCTTCAACTGTGTTGAATGATCTTCAAAGCAAGTTCTCCTGCACCGTTTAGCATTTTGTTCCAGTCAAGCCAACGAATGAGCCGGTTGGATTTGTCGACCTTCAAGTGGTTGACTTGGCACGATATGACGACGGTCCGGCCGCGGGAGCTGGATTGGTGGAGGAAATCCGTGTCGTCAAGATGACCCAAGACTTTCTCGTCCTAATCAACCATGGTATTGAGGAGTGAATCGATATTCGATGTAGGACTACAAATACGATTGTCAACGGACTCGGTTGTTAAATTCCAAGATTCCCCCATACAATAGGCCGAAAACGGGCTATAGGGAAACATCAGCCATTTGATGCGAGCCTCGGCAAATCCATTACTACCATGAAAAAGGCCAATGTGATTGCTAATTTTTGTCTTCTCGGCTGAGTTCATCATTTTTTTGGTCACAATCCTGCCACTGAGTTGTGAGAATACAGTGAGCTAATGAACGATGTCGAGTAGGGCGCTTTTGATTGGAAGCTGAACGGCTCTAACCGTAACCCAGACGTAAGCTATAAGCTGAAAAATACTGATTGATTTCAAATGCACATAATTGGCTGAAATATCGAAAGACAAGTAATAAATTATAAGGCCTGCTCAGTTTGACTTCTCTAATACTGGTTATGAAACAAGGGTCTTTGAAGGCCTCGGCTGGTCTCTCGCCACCACAGTAGGGAGTTGTGCGGTTCGGGGCTTTCCCGCACAAAGGTAGTATATAGCGCCTGCATTGGCCGATGTTCGGCCAATTCCCTATACTATAGTTTGGAGCCGAATGTCGATAATGCCGCTGGGAATCCAACGTCGTCGAAGGACAAAATGAATATGAAGTTCTGATCGATCTCTAATCCCGCTATGGCGTGGTCCCGAACTGGGATTGGGCTGCGTCGTCTAGTTGCCGTGGGATGGTTGTATAACTCGCATATTGAGAAATACGTATATTTGTACAGATGGTTGGAAACAAAAAGAAAAACAATTTAATCAGCTGAAACCTGCAGCCTTCTCACCCTCGGGCTTTTGCTCAGCTCCTTCTTTGGCCATGCTCTTTCGGGCTTTTCCTCCAGTGCGACTGAATGTTTTATTTTGAGCAGTTGAAGTTTTCCATGCTTTAATTCCGGAATTGAAGCTATCGTCAATCTGTTCAAGTGTAAGACGAGCTGTCTCTGGAACGAGCAGGTAGACCAAGACCACTATGACCATAGTCACACCAGCATAGAAATAGCCAACATTGGCGCCCATGTTGCCGTATTTTGGATCAAGCATATAAGGTGTCCAGAAAGTGGCTGCAAAGGAGAATATCCCGAAGAGCATCATCGTGTTTGCTTGCCCGTATGTGCGCAGAGAAACACTATGCATTTCAACAGCAGCGAGCGAGGCGCTGGGAGCCACAGTTCCGCCAAAGATAAATGCCCACAGGCAGAGAAAGACAACTACCACCATCCGAGAAACCATATCAGCCATCCCCAAGGCTGTACTGACAGACGAGAGTACTAGCATGCAAACTCCCATGGCGGTGTACCCGAACAGAAGGGCAAATCTTCTCCCACCATATTCAATAACAAAAGGTCCAATACAGGCTCCACCCAAAATGCAAAGCCCAATAATAACATTGATCAGATATGGGTTGCTTATTCCCACCCCGCGGAGGAATATCGTTGCATAGGGTTGCACAAATTGAATTCCCGTAATTCCTAATCCAATCATAATAATCGCAGAAGCACCTGTCCGACGAATGTAGTTTGGTCGATAAATTGCGAGCCAGGACTCAATGGCAGTGCCAGGACCACGCTCGGATTCAATGTGGCTTTTGACATCGTTAATTTGTGCGGTTACCTCCGGCGAGTAGGGATCCCTTTGGTATAATCTGCCAAACGACTTTCGTGCTTCTTCTTCTCGATTCTTATTCAAGAGCCAACGCGGCGACTCGGGAAACATCAAGATCCCGGCGCCGAGAAGGATTCCCAAAGGAATTTGACAAATTATTGGCGTTTTCCACTGCCAATTGTTGTCAGGCGCCAGCTTCGCAGACCCAATGCACACAGCAAATGAAGCAAAATTACCCAGTGCCAAACCAATGTTGTAGATCCCAAGCCCAAAACCACGTCTCTGAGCAGCAATGCATTCTGAACCGTAGGTGACACTTGCAGACAAGAGTTGTCCAATTCCTGTAGCACTGATGCACTTGCAAACCATATAGTTGCGGAAGCTACCTGCTGTCCCAAGCATGCCAGCAGCGCCAACAATGGCCATTGCGCTCCCGACCTGGATTGACCATCGACGGCCCATATATCTGCCAGCTATGCCGGAGAGACAGCCTCCAATTGATAGAAAGAGATAGCTCAAACTAATCAGAGACTGTTGTATTGCCGTAATATGGCACTCCTGTATCACAGCCCCAGTCGCTAGATTTTGGACCTCGTGGCAGGTTCCGAATGCCTTTCGAAAAGCCGGCATTATTAACACGGTACCGGAATATCCATTGTCGAAATTCGAAATCCATGCAGCAAAAGATATCCATATTGAAAACCGTATCATGGATGCTGATGAGCCTTTGGGGCTTTCCTGCCTTGCTGTAACGCGAACTAGAGGAGGAAATTGAGGTGCCAAGTCGTCTCTGCAAGTAGAATTTTCACAACGCATTGTAGAGTGGCTCTGAGAATGCCCAGAGAGAATAAGAATTCGTGAGTTGATCTTGTGGGCTTGGCATTATCCCTTGGCCAACGCTCCAGTTTATATGCTGCTCGTTGGGGATCTTGCAGGGCCGTTCAAGGACCACGCACACTCCACATACCAGAAGCCACGCCATACATACCTACCTGAATCACAAAACATGCCGGTGCCTTGCAATGCCCAATTGGAAATATTACTTGATGAAGAGAATTAACGCATAATATAGCTTTATCCAGTATTCATGCAAGACACTTGCATAAATTTTTCCCTCTGGGTACATACGAGATCAGAATATGTGTCGGGGATTGTAGGGCTGGTGTCATGAAACTTCAAAATATGGACACTTATTTCAAATGATCCTCAAAAGCACTGCTGCTTGGCCATTGGCATTAACAGGAAATTGCCGCTCATTTATTATTCGACAAAATCAGACCGTTCTATCGCACGCGTTGTCTTATGCTGAATGAAGAGATGCTTGTCTCATCAGCTTTCATACTGTCCCCCTTTATCCCCGAATGAATGTCACACATCCCTTGGCTTTTGTTATGCACTGCTACCTAATCAATGTTTGACTTAAATTTTTTAGTCACCATGTTAAACCTCACACCCAATATGTAATTGTAACCAATGCAGTATGTACTGTTACCGCGCTATGTGGGGCGCTTCCAGTTGCGATGAATAGGAACACTTTAAGATGATCGATCGAGTGATGTTACTCGCGAATTAAGGCAAATCGATTTGTTTAGATTACTATTAAGACTAGATGCATAGCACACCATTTCTACATGCATCTCATATGTTAGCGGAAGAGTATATGTAGCGAGTGGTCCCGCACGAGCAATTAGGTCCCGCAGCCAAGCCGGTCAAGCTGCGGGGAAATATTTAGGAAGCGGCTTATCCTCCAAGGCTCGGTTTTTTTCCTCCAATTTGACGTTCTCTAAACTCAATTCTTGCAAACATGGAGAAAGAACTGGAGAAGCAGTTGACGGAACAACAAATCAAGTCACTCCTTGTTCGGGAGAGATATTACCGAGATACGGCGCAGTGGGAAAACCTGCGGAATTCCTACCACCCAGATGTCTCAAAGACAGCAATCAAGATTACTTGGTATGACCCCAGGCTTACATTAGCATTATTTCACAGTCCACGCTGTCTAATATACTCCCCACGTTTCCAGGTTCGAGGGAGACGCGGATGGATTTGTTGCTGGGTCCCAAAAGATGGCTGGCGGCGGCACCAATGTCACGCACACTATCTGTCCAGTGGTTGTCCATGTGAATGATGATAAGGCCGTGACCGAATCTATTGGTAGCATCAACTCCCGCTTCAATCTGGAAGGTCACGATTATGACTGCGCATCTTACACACGATTCATTTCGCGGCTTCAGAAGGTCAATGGAGAATGGAAATTGTTAACTCTGCATGCTATCTATGAACGGGATACCATTACGCCGGCCGTTCCCATGTCCTCGCCTCCGGCCAAGTTTGACCTGACGGGTTATCGTCCAAGCTATAACTGTATTGGTTGGCTGCTGGCCCGTAAAGGATTTCAGATCAATCAGGACTTGCCGGGATCGGACCGTCCCGAACTGATTGCACAGCTGATGGATGAGGCGTGGAATTGGTTGAAATAAATGGATAAGATTGTTCCGAAGTAAATATATATCTTTGGTCGGAAGACCTCGTCGCCAATGCTGAGCAAGTAGTTTGGATTATATATTCAAATCCCTCGTATATCAGCAGACAGTATCAAATATCTGTAGAGTGTTCAATCAATGTTTAATTAATATTGGACTTGTATAGATGAAAGTCACATGACCGCCAACCGAATTAAACCCGCGACCGAACTGGCAACTTCAACACGACACAATCTCGCCCACCATGGAGCTCAAGAACATTCTGATTCTCACATTCCTCTACATCGGTAAGAATAGCACCAAGAGTTTAAAGGCATGAGCTGACACTATCGCAAGCATTCCGCATCTACATGTCGCGGACGTCAGGTTCATCCACGAGCACCGAGCCCCACGGGAAAGTGACCAACGTTGACAAGTAAGAGAGCACCACAGGCCCTACCCTTTGATTTTGATATTTCAAATCTCACATTTATGCAAATAACAGCGAGGCTGTCTTCAAAGCCCTCACCTCCTCCGGCCCCGTCGTTGTCGACTTCTTTGCTACTTGGTGCGGCCCTTGTAAGGCCGCGGCCCCCAAAGTCGGCGAATTGAGCGAAAAGTACGGAAATGTCCGTTTTATCCAAGTCGATGTCGATAAAGTACGCTCGGTGGCTCAGCAAATGGTTGTGACTGCGATGCCGACCTTTGTATTCATGATGGATGGAAAGGAAATCCAGCGGGTTCGTGGTGCTGATCTCAAGGCTATGGAGAAAGCAATTATCGATCTGGAGCGTAAACGTTCCTTGGATATTCCCAGCGAAGGGAAGGCAGTTTAGTGGCCAAGTATGAGCGAAGTTTGCCTCACCAGGTAGCAATGCGAAAGACCTGATGTTGTTGTTTCTATGTTGCACGAGCCCTACATTCTCCGCGAGGCTGGTGGCATCCGCCGTAGCTACCCTACACTGCAATTGATATTGACTACAAGCGTGTCTCAATAATTGCGTCACGTTATTCTAAACAGGAAGATCCCAAAGGCGATAGAAGTGAGCCTCGCTGAAACTATTCTTTTTGATCAAACAACCCGAACATCGTTCCATTAGAACACGGATACTTAACGGGGTTTCCCGCAAATCAACATGTATGCTCACTCGCGGCCTCCAATTGCTCATTGAAATTACGATGTAGACTGATAAAAGGATTAAAACCAATAGAATGGCTGTAGCCAAGTGCATGATGCGAAGTTTTGAGCCAAGTAGAACCCGAGGCAGAGTTACCTAACAAACGTCACAACGTCACCGTTCGTCTTCAATATACTCCGTACTTGTACTAGTCGTGTTTCTAGGTCTCGCACCCACACCTAGTGCGGGAGAATATATTCATCAAAAGTGATTTTGTTGGTGAAAACTGAAAACAACGGCCGGATACCCTTGGCTTTGGATCGAAGCTATTGGTCTTGATCTTAGATGCGCCATCTCTCTGGTTCGTCATAAACATCGACCACGTATTTTCCACACTTTCGATGATCAAGACTCATTGATATCATTTTTCGCTCGTTGAACTTGAATTCCAAAGTGTATTCTCTATCGCCGGTTTGGCTTAGCGTTGAGGAAGCCAGGATGTCCAGACTATACCCAGCATTTCGTCTATCCTTAATTAGGGCCACGCAATCAAACCTTTGGCCCAGATAAGTCTTAATCAAATCTGCGATCCGCTGCCATATGAGACGAGTGGACATCTCAAACAACATTTCCCCAGTGTTCATAGGGCTGATTCATAGCATACCCCACCAACTCTGCGTCGTCGTTTACCCATTGATTTGGAGCCTTAATGAAATTGTTTGCTTCTTTTGAAGACTGATCATCGCCAGTAAAATTTTTTCCCATTAGATATAATTCTTCTTCTCGAGATAGGAAGTCGCGCCGCTATCGACCTCTCCTAAACCTTTTCCTTAGTGCTTGGATGATTAAGGGTGAGCAGAAGTCCGGATATCAATTATTCAGATAACACTCTAACAAACACAGGGAGACAGAAGCTAGAGACGGTCTACATCTACACAGCGTGAGTCTTCGAGACTAAGCTCAGTACTCGGCCAGGTCATCCTGATGGGCCGTGTCCTTCGACCGCAGTGGTTGCTTCACCCATGAATACTCATATTTCCGATCGACAAACCTCAAAACCTCCGGATTCACATTACTAGTGTTAAGGCCCATTTTGTACTCTCCTCCATCAGTAGGCGGCGGTTGAAGCGGCCACCAATACAATCTACACTGCGTAAGTATCTCCCAATCAAATGGGGCGAAAATTATTTTTCTTACACGCATCCGCAAGTGTCGCAGAAGTTGAATGAGATGTCCCGGTCTCCCCAGATGTACTGCTTAGTAACTGCATTCGGCTTTGTTTCGATTTTGACTTCGTCTGGGTGGTAGTATCCCCACGCTGCCCCATAGCGGCGACAGATGGTGCATTGGCAGTGGTTAATGTGGTCAGGCAGTCGTGGGACTATGACGGTGATTGCGCCGCAGTGGCAGCTGGAACGGATGCGAGTGGATTCGTCAGCCATGTTGTCCGGATCTGCCTCGTTCTGGGTTTTGGGGGGGGGGGGGGAGAGAGAGAGAGAGATGAGTTCCGGCAATGCGGAGTCACTTTGCCAGTGGGCATCTTGTTGTTTGCTCGGTTTGCACGGAACCTTTAGTCACCCATGATTAACCCAACAGCGATTCCGGCCAATATACGCCCAGCAAGAAACATGCCAACATTGGCGGCTGGATGGCGCATCCAGTAGTGACAGAGACACATGCTGCCTGTATGAAGCGAATACGACTAGGTTTATCGGCTGTGAGAATCCGTAGAACCGCCCGGTTTCGCCGGCAATGTATACAGCCACAACCTGTAACATGTTAGGGCTTAGGCACAAATGTACGAAAGAAAGATTAATACTGCATACAGCATCAGTGAGTAAATCCGATTTTGGTGGACGATGGCCATGTATTTGGTCCGACCGCGGACTTGCTCGATGAAAGAAACAAATCTCTCACCTGCCGTTGCAATTCCTGTGTCGAAGCCCTTGAGATTCAATTAGTACATAGACGATAACGACCACCCTAGGAGTAACACACATATAGTATTGTACCTAGAGAGGCCACAGAAGCGACAAACATGGTGTAGTTATTAGCAGACATGCTTGCAATTCTATCATGTGAAATGCTGGTCTGCAGGCTGTGGACAAAGCAACGAAGGAAATGAAAGGATACATTGAGTAAGGGATATCAATATACTCAGAGAAATTCGATTGCCCATTTCTTTGGCCACCAAGATAGATCAGCTAAGTGAAGTCGGCCCAATATTCTGGCTCCTCCGGACCGATATTGCGCCGGGCCGGTTTGCAAGCCGATTGTCGGTCCTATACTGGAGATTCGCGTACTATCATCATTTTGACAACAAAATAATTGGAAAAACACACCCATTATCATACATACAGATAGCAATACAAAAAAATTAAAATAAAAGTATACATGCAACAGTCAGGATTCGCTGGTGGTCACCCACCCAACTACTAACTGACCGGCGTGTGGCTTAAGTACGGCTGAGCGGACGGGAAGCCCTGTTCTCCACACCCTGTGGTCGCATGTATTCTATTATGCGAATAACGAAATTATATGGCACTTAGGACTGGAGAGTCACAATAAACAGGTGGGAGAATCTGGGTGAGATAATTATACGTCGCGATCATCGCACGGACCGCTCATCTGAGACACCGGAATATTATTGGATGGCAGCTCTTCTCTTTAAAACCTCCCCTGGCATCTGCTCACAGCAACCACGTGAGATGGCTCAACAGAAAGATAATCAGGGTGATTATCGTAAAATAGCTCGATTTCTGTAGGTTGAATCGAGACCTCCCTGTTGGAGAATGAGTTTTCGCTACTCCCTAGGGTTGTAATGGCTAATCATAAGCCCCTTGATTTCATAGCCGTGACTGTCTACTTTGCTGGCGCGGCCCGTGCCTTGTGGATGACGGCTTAGCTGACCCAATCACTTTTGCGCGTCCCGCTTGTAACATAGAACAGCAAGGGTTTCACCAATCACGAGGTATCAATAGTCGCCGTCTTGCGTACTTGGAGTGAGAGAGGCAATTGGCTTACGCAGTAAGAGGGTCTCCGCACACCGCTCTGTCCTATCATTGGCAAATTTACCTCCACTGACTACTGCATTAAGCCTGTAATGAAAACCACGCGGCAGCTTAGTACAAAATACCAGTCACTTGCAGCGTTCTATATTTGTTTTCACCTTTTCACCCCTATACGTCGCGTCGCTTGGTGGAGATGAAAGCTCGCAGACAAATCATAGACAAATACGATGGCCACTAATCCAGGGTCCCTTGGCTCTCTAAGGAACCCAAATAGGCGCCGCTTGGACCTAGGCGTCGCGAATGGAACTAGTATTGACTGCCTTCTTCGATCCTTTTGTCTTCGACCTTTCACGAAGCTCTTCGTTCCTTTAATCCTGCCCCCATCCGCGCCCTCGAGATGGTTTGTGCAGCTTGCTGCCCTTATATCCACGAACACTGAGAATGGCCTTATCTACAACCCAGCTACACTGGGGACGACTACTATTAGTTACGCTTGGGGTTTTCATCTTGTTTTATAGGATATGGCCAGCCTCGCGCGAGCATTTTTCTATTATCAATCCCCAGCAGGCTCGGGACGACCTTATGGTCATCGAAAATCAAACATTGGGAGTGAGTGTCCATTTAATCTGTATCAGTAGCTTCTTTCGCTTACTCCAATGCAGTTCGGGAAAATTTTTGCCATCAATCTACCGAGCCGGCCGGATAAGCGGGACAACATTGTTCTGGGCTCGTCGGTCTGCAACTTCCTAGTTGACTGGATTGATGGTGTACTTCCAGAAGAACTCAGCTCCAAGTCTTACCCTTATGTTAGTCTTGATTAAACCCGTTACCCCGCCCTGTGTCCCCTAATTGTTTTCTAGAACTGGAATCATGACCATAAACCGGCTGAATACGCTGCCCGTCGGGCACATATGAATGGGATGCAACGGTTCGCAATAGATATTTCTCCAACAAAGTCGAGCACTCACGGTCTAACGATGTAATAGCATTGTCGATAATAGGATAGGTAGCGCAATTATCATGGAAGATGATGCTGATTGGGACGTCAATATCAAAATACAACTACGAAGCTTCGCGATCGGAATCCGGGCCCTCCAAGGCACAACCGAAACACCAACTACCTCTCCATATGGTGACAACTGGGACATCCTGTGGCTTGGGCACTGCGGCATTGAATGCAAAACCGACCTTCCGGTTTACCAAACTCCCAATGACCCTACCGTCCCTGAACCCCGTCATTTCCTTCCATATTGGCGCGACCCACCCCCAATCGAACGGCCCGACCACTCCCGACTTATTTGTACCGCCAATGACGGTGTTTGCACAAGTCTTTACGCCGTCAGCTATCATGGCGCACAACGGATTCTCGCTGCATTATCAGTGAATCCGTTCGGTCTTGCTGAGGAGATCGATATTGGCGCGCAATTCGACGTGTCTCTCGGCCGCATGTGCGGAAATGGATATTTGCGGTGTTTTGCGCCCTATCCCTCCTTGACTGGGACTTATCGCTCTGCTGGTGCTGCGGGAAAAGTTTCTGATATTCATGACGAGAGCGGGGAGACGGTGGGCTTCGCTAGCTGGGGAGTTCTGTACAGCACAATGCTAAACGTTAAGCAAATCCTTAGGCAGGAACCTGTGCATACCACGTGGGATGACGTTGCGAGGCCGTGGATTTTTCCAGACGATATCAACATTGGGGAAGGGTCGATCTACAAGAAAGGAGAATATGGGCTACGCCAGGTTGCCTCTGTCCCTATTGACGAACGGCAACGACAGCATAGAGCCACCTATGTACGCACGTAGAGTGACTGTTTCCCAATGAGTATTAAATTACATCCTATGTTTGGATGCATCCTTTCTTCAATCATATCACATGCCTCTTTTGAAAGAATACAATAATAAGGGCAGTCAATTATTTAAGCCGCACCTAGAAACTCAGGGGAGGATCGATCCACACTGAAGCCAAAGCAGCCAACTGCCAGGGGGAGATAATTTGATCCTTGAAAAGTACGACGGCCAACACTTGAATTGATCAATAGCATTGCAGTAAACAACCTTCAATTTTGACACTAACACAGTCCAAGCTGTTAAGACTTCTACTATCAAATATTTCTCACATCTAAGTTTGTCCTCATTGTACTGTACCCTATGAGGACTGCGGAGGGTTTCAAAAGATTTCCGAGATTATTTCGGTCAAATACAGCAATACCGGTAACGGGAAGAGAATCACCCTAAAATTGGGCAGCGGACTTCGGGCTTTAGCTCCGCATAAAACCCCAATCACCTACGCTAGCGCTGTGGCGCAGGTACATAAGATGGCGCACTAGGGCGATCCCAGTAATAAGCACAGCTCTCGAGGAGCCTCCTCGCAATTCTGAGTGAGCGTATTTTCTTGAGTATTGCGAACTATTAATGAGGGCATCAATAAAAGAACATAACAATCTTCCTTTTATATTAACCTTAACTTTCTTTCTTAGCCGTGCCTATTCTCTTCTTTGTCTATATTAGGAGGCCGGGCTTTCACGTCTAGCCTAAAGCCCCCTGGCTCCTTAGCGCAGCTCCGATGGACCATACACGATTGTTGAGCTGCGCTAATCCCTACTCTCCGCTTGTAACGAACACGCAGCTAGTGGATTTAATCCCTGACAACGTACATGATCCAGTTCGCTTGAGGCCTCGGTGGCGGTTTACAAATCACAGAACGCGCTGGCCTGTGCTAAAGAAGGTGACTATGGTCCCGCTGGGCTGCGACCAGTGTCGCCAAGAATAAGGCTGATTTCTTTCCCGCCAACCATCTCATCCTTTTCTCGAAGTCATATATGTTCCTGATTTATACGAACTCTGTCTCTCTTTCGCTCTCCCGTGAATGTCATCCTTACTATAGTTAGGGACCTCCTATCGCCATGTATTTGACCCAGTCCCTGATAATCTCACTCCTTGAGATCATCTTAGTCGCTACCGCAAGCAGCACCAAAAACTACTTCACCAGCCCCGCTTCAAACACTGGCATCAACCCTGTTTTCACATTAGGAGATAAACTTTTAGTCTCGTGGGTAACCGAGCTAGGCGAGTTTAATGTCTCCTTCTGGCAGCAGAGTCTTGTCCAACAGAGCGCCGCGAGCCAGGGGAACATCTACGGTATGTCTGGGAAGGGGATAGAGGAGAAATCCGTGGAGGATAATAGTGAAAAGAACCTGACATTATAAAGCCAAAATACATGCGAGTGATAAAGTCACGGACTTCACCTGGGTTGTCCAACTCTACGGCTTTGATCTATCATACTCAAATGTATTCTTCCTTTGGGTTAATCCAGACGGACCAGATGGTTTCGTTTCGACCTATTTCAACATCACAGAGCCAACTACAACCACCACAACTACAGCTATAGCCTCTACAGCCACCTCTATAAATACTCCAAACCTCGCTTCCCCTAGGTCCTCAGCTTCGGTCTCAGCCTCGTCTTCCTTCGAAAGTGCGCCCTCATCCTCCACCTTAACAAGCACCAGCAAAATCGCACTTGGAGTTGGTATCGGCGTTGGGGTACCAATTTTATGTGCTCTTGGAGTTATTATTTGGCTCAAACCAAGGAAGGCCAGCAAAAATCTGAACAAGGAACAAATGGCGGGGCCGACAGGCACAATGCCGGTTTGGCCGATCATGCAGCAGCATCATATCAGTCCGCCGTTCCAACTGCAAGGTATGCAGCCGAATGAGTTACACAACCACTCAAGCACCCCTTATGAGTTAGAAAATTCGCCATATAAATAAGATAAATAGTTTGTCTTCGAAGACTGGAGGTTTCAGTCACTGTGTATACGAAAGGGCGGGGATTTGTATGTAATCAGGGCACTTTTCGTGAAGGCGTGTCGTTCATTTGCACAGAATAATTCATCAATAACGCTGCTCTTTACAGTATATCCTTACCCCATATTCATACCATGACATCGAAACTTTCGCAATTTGCAAAGAACAATGCGAAAATTTCGACGCACGTTCTCTGTGGAGTATCTCCAAAAACGAAATGCTGCCATCAGACAAGGATTAATGCTCCATAGCAGACACATTTTGATGAAATTAAGGATGTTTCTTACATAGTGAAGTGGGAAGTGTTGCACAGTGGCTTGTCAGGTCAGAACTGACAGACCGGGAATTGTGGCTGGCACTGAGCCGAATACTGCGACTGAATGGAATACTGAAGCAGTCGAACGTCTTATTGCAATCAAATAATTAGTGTTGTGTATGATAATAGAATCTAGTAAAAAGGAGTTCTGTCCTCCAAGCATGTTGATGCCTTGTCTGTGAAGCTAAAGAATATCACATGGACGCTGGGCGACAGCCCGGCTGCAATAGTTATTAGATAGTTAAGTAGTTATGTTATATCAATCTCCCTGTCTTGACTTCGAGGCACAACAATAACGTAATCATTGAATTTAACTGGTATTCAGGATTTATATCAACTGAGCGAGAGACCAGGGCCTCCTCTTACTGACTTGTTCCCTTGCTACTCCGTAATTCTGCCGGTGACCCATTCTATATCTATACGTACCCACACCTTTCGAGACACCTTCCCTGCTACCAATACCATGTAAATAATGCAAGAAAAAAACATGCAACAGCACATGTATGATGGTGGTCACCCAGGGTCGCCCTATTGGGCATGGGCGATCCCGCCGCTCTTCAGGCGGCTTCAGGCGGCAATTCAGGACCCTGAATACTCTTCACCCATGACTGCCTGAAGGCTGAACCTCGTAGTTGAACAGGTGCATTTGCCCCTTATGGTGCAGGAAAGTCTTAGCGATCCTGCAAAGATAAAACCCAGCACCATGCCGCTGGGTGGCCACTATCCTATATTATATTCCCCTACTCCTCCCTCCACCCGTCATGTCAAAAATGAAATCTAAAGACCCATTTATCGAGATTTTCTCATCTTGTTGATTTTGGTGAGCATGATAACTCGGAAATCGCTCGAGCTATCCTCCCTCGTACCGGAGACCAGTATGACCGTACACTTAACATTTTTGACAAGTTAGTACTACTAGCATCGTTTCCTTTGGAGTTATATTGACTTACTCAATTTTCTGTTCATTTCAGGTTTATTTTGCTGCATCCCCAAGCTAAAAACCCTCTAGATGTCAAGACCTTTAAGGCCTTCGTAGAGGTTGCAGCGCGCGGGATGAAAGGTCGGATCAAAGAGAGGCCTACAATTAGAACGGTTGAGGCCTTTCGCAGAGATTTTGAGGCAGGCATGTCCCTTAGGAGAAAATACAACTTCCCGAAAAAGGTGTCTACAACACTGAGAGAGGTACGACGTTCCATGTCCAACATGAAATTTGTGTCAAGATTGACGAAGTCGGCATCTGGTTCAGTAAATGTCCCCGTAAGGTTAAATCGTCCCGTTCGTATTGATGTCGAAATCAAATTGAGATTATCCTCTACTTTTCCATCTAACGGCCGCAGCGTCCACCTAGAGGGCTCGAGGTTAATTAAATACTCGCTGCTATTGCTCGGACATTTTTCACTCACGGAGTAGACTCGAAGACCCATTCGACAGACTCCAAACCGCCATACAATCGGTCTCGCTCCGCGGTTGCTATAGAGACTAGCCCAGATTCCGAAGGACCAAATAAAAGAGACGAAAAATTGAAACCAGGTTTCCAGAGGGTCAGAAGCACATTTACTGGATTAGACCCTATATTTTGGGGCCCGCGCTCGGTGATGGCTAGGAAAGACTCGAATCGTGAGGTGTATGTTTGGTTCATAATATGCTTGCATGATTTATAGCTCGATCCTCTTTCAATAGATTCCGGCGTAAGTTCGACAGTTGCCGTTGCATTGTAGTACCTATAAGCAATAAGAAAGGATATTGACTAACGGGACTAGGGAGAAAAACTAACGATCCTACCCACGCATAAAGGTATGAAAGTCCCGTGACGTTCCTAGGGCGAAAAGGGAACGACGGATTGTAATTCGGATCGGTCGCTGCAAAGGTCGTTAAAACGAACACCAAGATGAGTCGAAGCGGTGTAAGCTTCATTTTAGTGTGGAAGTCAATTATCAAGATTCATATAGTACTCTGCCTGCTTTTATCCTAATTCATTGGCAGATAGGTATTAATAACGCTGGGAAAGAGACTAATTTCTCATCCGTATGAATTCCACCCTAGCTGATTCAGAGTTACATTCAGAAGTGTCATATAGTCGCGACCGCTATTGCCTAAAGGCAGGGTTGGCGAATCACGGTAAAAGCCACTAACACTAAAAGCTCTGAGCCCTCCTTGGCGGCTACTCGTTGATGGTTTGCTTTTAGGGTCTGGGCCTTACACCGAAGTCTTAGCCTACGCAACACCTTGGAGTTGGTAGGACTATGGATTTTCTAACCTGCGACTAGTAGATGCCGAAGTAGTTTTTAAGTTTGCCGATAATCGATTCCATATAATGCACAACGGTTCGTGATAGTAGCAACTTCGGAAGCTGGTAGCGTTTTGGCACTCGCACTACTGAACAGCTAGACGCAATTCACGAGTGCGGCTGAGCGGCTGTGATTTACGAACTGACCATCTGTGCTCAGCCTCTCACGGTTTACAAAAAAGTGTCTAGTGAACGCCACGATGTCGTTTTAATCGTACTTGTTTCGTACGATTAGCCTGAACACAAGAAAGTAGCCTACTTCTTCAATGCCCCACACGCGTTCGCGAAATATCTCTTGACGAGTTATTACAACTAGAATATGAGGACCTCTGTGATTCACGCCCAAAATTGCCACCTTTCCACTCGTAACAACCAAGAGCGAGTCGCCGCTTGACCGCCCACCATCTGTGCAGCACCGCTATTCTGCACCCGCCCAGCACATTAGTCACCCTCCTAAGCTGATGGTAGCGCTCGACTTTAGCATTGGACAAAGTCTGTCAGCCACCCATGTCTTGAAGTCAATGATAGACGTATCCACTAGTAAATCTACCATGTAGTCAAATGTGACAATGATGAGAAACGATGGTATTCAGTCTATCTATCCTGTCTATATTCATAGGTGCAGAGAAGTGAGAAAACTCTGCATTGGTTTAGAAACCATGACAATAAGAGTACAGAAGCTGTAATGTCAAGCCCAGATGCAAACGAAATTCCTCTGTGAAGGTTAGCCAGCTCATTTGATAATAATTGGTAAAGCTCGGGAGAAACTCACTATTAGCTGTGATTGAAGCAAAAGCCGGGCGTAAGTTTTAGGATAGCTAAGAACAGAAGCCTGTCCATATATCGGCCAAAATAGCTTGAATGTAACCCTCTCATATAACACAGGGACCACGCTCCAACCAAGCAATGCCAACGGACATGCCATCATAACTGCTGTGCAGCCCCGATGATAACGTCTGCGGCCTTCTCACTAACCATGTAGATCGCCAAGCAGATAAACTCGCCTGGGATCTTCGGGAATATGGACGCGTCGACAACCCGTAGGCCATCAATGCCCCGAACCCTGAAGTCACTGTCTAGTACGGCCATGGGGTCATCATCGGCGCCGATAGGGCACGAGCAGCTGGCATGATGGCCCCACGCCTCGTCCTGGATAAATTGCTTCAGGTCGGCCTCGGAGGAGACATTTGTGGGCGGCCAGACGCGACTGAAGCTGCCGTCGAGAGGCACCACGGCATCCATAGACTTGAGCGAGTACTGCACACCCTCGTACATTGCCTGCAGGTCCTCCTCGCCGCCGTTGCCTTCAAGCAGGCTGTGGAACACGATCTTGGGCGTTTCGAGGGGGCTGGCTGACGTGAGGTTCACTGTGCCAGCGTTGTTGCGGCTGTGGGCCTTGAGTGTGTACCACGCCCACGCCTTGAGGTGCGTGGTGGCATACTCGGCGTAGCCTGGGTAATAGCCGGCGAAGAAGGTTGGGACACCACCCTTGAACAAGTCCGGGTCGTCGTTCTCGGCGACGGAAGAGTGCCCGAGCGCACCGAGGGCAATGCCGCCCGTGGTGTATCCGCCTTTTGCGCCGCCGATGTTCTGGGGGTCCGCCCAGTTGTCGTAACATGGGTCGTCGCCGTTTAGGAACCTGCACTGCTTCAGCAAAGAGAACTCGGTGGGAGCGGAGCCCACCATAGAGATCTCATAGCGGTCTTGCATATTCCCACCGACCCCTGGAAGGTCCACAATGACAGGGATTTCGAAGTTCTGAAGCTCTGCTGCAGGACCGACACCACTGAGCTTGAGGAGCTGCGGTGTGTTGAAGGTACCGCCGGAGACAATGACCTCGTTCTTGGCGAAGACGGTGCCAGAAGTGCCGCCATCCCCGGTCTTGCTGGCGCGTGGGTCGGCACGGTAGAGGCTCTTACCGACAAGGTAGTCGATGCCAGTAGCCTTGGGCTTGGCAGCCGTGGTGTCAAATTTTACCTTGGTAGCCAACGTGTTCAGGGCAATGTCCAGCTTATACTTCTTAGTGCCGTCGGAGCTCTTGGCTGTGGCGACCTCGTACAAAAAGTCTCGGGGGGAAGACCGGCTAAAATCATCCAACTTGACTGACATGGGGATCTGATAGATCTCCTCGGTGTGATCACGGTTAGGAGCATCATTGTTGATATCAAGGGCAAGGATTGACGACAGGCCGGTAACAGTCGAGAGTAAACCGCCAAGCAGGCCCTTGCCCATAGCCGTGGCGTAGCCTACGATAATGGATGCGAGCTTCAAGTCCTCGGCGATTAGGATGAGGGGTGTAAGTGTAGTCTGGAGCCAGCCGTTGAAACCATGCCCACCACCTAGATCCGCCTGAAGGTAATTGCACTTCTCAAGCCGCTCAAAGTATTTGCGCATGTTGGCGTTTTGCCAGGAGTCGTCGCCAGTAAGCGCAGCAATGTTGTCAAAGTCACTCTCCTGAGGATAAACCATGGCCTGGGCGTTGTGTTGCGTGCAGCCACCGAGAGCGGCAGTACGAGGGTACAGGATACCGAGCTTCTCGAAGTCTTCCTGCGGCCAAAGACCCGTGTAGTAGTCACCTTCAGGGGTGAGGTAGTTCATCTTGCTGTCGCGCCGAGCCTGCGTGTCGTTCTCATAGTGGTCTACGAAGAAGTCCCACGAGATGGGGCGGTACTCCGAAGCCAAGGGGTGTAGGGCGGGGACCGACGTCTGCCGGTCTCTCCCGTGGTCTTCACCAGCCTCGATCAACAAGACACTGAAGTCTGCCAGAGCTAAGCGGGCCGCCAAAGGCCCACCGCCAGCTCCGGACCCGACGACAATGTAGTCGTAGGTTGAGTTTGCCACGGGACCGGATGAAGGATACTCATCACCCAGAGGCGGAAACAATTTATCTGGGGCGTTGGGAGAATAACGCGACTCAGTGAAGGACCCGGCGAGCTGGCAGCTTGACCAAGGTTAGTGGTTCTGCTGGAGTGCGTAGGCATAAAAGTTCTGGGAAAATGGGCTGGAACAAAGCGATTTTCCATCACGGTCGATAATACGGAACATACCTGACAGTGTTCGCAGAACCTAGCAGGGCCGCATATGATAGGAGTGACCTCATGATTAAGAAGCACCTTGAAGATATAAACAAACTGTCATATGTAAAAGGAATGTTAGACAGTTTTTTAGGACAAAACAGAATCCTCCAGCAAAAAGAGCGACAAGCGGCGTTCGTTCAAGACCCGAAAAATTGGCGAACGCTGAGCTGAATGAGCCGAGGAGAGAATGACAGTACACAAAGGCGGGCGGAATGGCAGTCGATGCCCTTCGCAGGTGTAGCTCTTTTTGTATAAGGACCGGACTCCATAATCAACATCAACAAGGGCTTGGCCATAACGTTCCAGACTGCGCACTTGGATAATACAGCACTACACGAGTCGTGGATATTGGGATCCACGCTGATCATCCTTTCCCTATATTTTAGTCTCTATTTACAGGGATATCCAAACATCACCTCCTTCCTATTCCGGATAGGCCTAGTATCGCATCCACGTCCAAAGGAGTAAGAAATCTGCGCGCCAGGGCCACGCGCCTGGCGGCTGAAAAGGGGGATCATCCACCGGAGTCTGGGAATGCCCAGAAGAACGTTGACTAAGCATGAGCCACGGAGTCCAGGAAGGATCCTACGGAGGAGTGTGCACCAAAACTTCTTGTGCTGCGCTAGTAATTCTAACCCACCTAGTGTGTATGCGCTTGTCAAGGGCTCAATCCAGGAAGAAGAAAACGATGTCTAGATTCAACTAGCTAGGCAGCTGGACACGAGAACAGTCAACATGAGGAGAAGAGAGAAGGAAAGAAGAAAGGTGATGTAAAGCCAGATCCAACCTAATATACCTTGTGCAACCGTACATACAGCAACTACCTACTACAGCGTCCGTACCTAAGCAGTCACGTACAGTGCACTGTTCCATTTTTTGGTAGACCTTTTTAGCAATGGGAAATGCAACACCCCATGATGCCCGAGTTTCTCAAGCCAGAAGGAAGTGACCGTTTCATGTCATGTCTCTCTTAGGAAGGTAGCCCCCCACACGGAACCTCTGCCGCAGGATGGGGCCGAACTCTTTTAGTTCCAATTCCCACTGCCGATCCCTGCTCCAACGTTGATCGTCAGGACCAAGCGTTGTCCATATTAGGCCTAGTTCCTAGTCGAAAAACTTATGTTCTGTCCGTCTGGATCTCGAAATCCGATCAAGATATTTCAGGCAGTCTCATATGAAGGCCACAGGAGAGTGTGATAGGGTGCAAAAGTAAGAATACTTTGCGATGGTGAAGATTCACGTTCTTCAGACGGCCGCACTGGTTGCGTGTTCGCTGCTCCCAGAGCTCGTTTCTTCTATGGATGCCTCTGCGGCAGCCGCTGGAGCCTCTGGAGCCAGCGCCCTCCAGACGGCCGAAGCTGCTTATCCTCCCTGTGCTGTAAGTCTACCTCACCAACAGAACTCCTTGAACCGCTTTTTGAAGCCGGTATTATAATGATCGAATTTGTTCTCACTGTCGGCTGCCGTGCAGCTCGAGTGTCTCGCAAGGCTCATACCGCAGTCCGCGTGTGGGGCGACGGACGTTGCCTGCCTTTGCACCAACGTCCCTCTCAACAACAACATCACTGTCTGCGTTTCTCAGGGTTGCAGCCTTGTCGATGAGCTAGGTATGTTCTTCGCCTAGTACTTTACTGCCCTCGTGAGCACGCCACTGACGCCCTCAAGCAACCAAAAATGCCTCTCTCACAATGTGTGGCGCCCATGTCAGGGACAAAACTGGCATCCCGGGTTTGGTGGGCGTGATTGGTGGTGCCTTTGCGCTGCTCACTTTTTTTTTTCGTATGGTCGTGTGCTCGCCGTGGATAGGACGCATAGCGGGTTGGGATGACTACACGATTGCGGCCGCTGTTGCGCTGACCGTCCCGCCGACGGTCTTTTCGGTCTACCGTGAGTTTTGTTCACATGATGCCTGACAGATTTAGCTGGATACTAACGAAGCCTCAGTTGGGGAGAATGGTCTCGGAAAAGATATTTGGACGCTTCCTTTGTGGAAGATCGAGAACGTTCTTTTTGTAAGTTTGTTGCAACTTCCGTTTCGTTATTGCAAGCTAACAAGCAAAAGTACTATTACCTCGGGGAGCTTTTCTATGTCACCGCTCAAGCGATGATCAAGTTGTCGCTTCTATTCTTCCTCCTTCGAGTGTTCCCTGATTCAAAATTCCGGATTGCCTGCTGGGTCATCATAGGCCTCACCGCCGCCTACGGATTCACATTTTTCATGGTAACACTGTTGCAATGTTACCCTATCCCCTACACCTGGCTCCAGCTGGACGAGACTCAAAATGGGAAATGTAACAACGAGAACATTCAGGGCTGGTTGAGCGCCATTATTAACATAATTCTTGATCTGATCATTCTGGTGCTGCCCCTAAAGCGATTGTATTTGCTGAATATGGGGTTAAAGAAGAAGATCCTGACCATGTGCATGTTCGGCTTGGGCGTTTTGTGAGTGAGCTTAGGCGCATTGTATGATAATTTGATGCAGGAAGCTGACCAATATTTCAATGTAGCGACACAATTGTTAGCATCGTTCGCCTTCACTCCCTCATCACCTTTGCCAATTCCGAGAACATCACCTGGGCCTACCTTGATGCCGCGTACTGGAGCACTATCGAGCTCGACATCGGCATCATCACCGCCTGTCTTCCTGCTGTGCGCCTCTTCTTTGCCAAGCTGGGTGTTATGAATCTGGCTTCGACGCATAAGTCCATCAATTCGCGGTCGTTCGTCAACACTGGGGACAGCAGGGAACCAATATCGGAAAGCAAGAGGCTGCAGCAAGCGCTCCGGTGCGGCGACAATTGCGACTTCATCCCGCTGGTAGATGTCGAGTCTGGAAAGTCCGACAAGAGTTGGCTACGACTGGCCCCGCCGGCGCCCGGGACGGGCACCACAGAAAACGGGCATTGTGCAGGATGACAGCTTTGCCAGGACGGAATCAGCATGGGCCAAGGGCGCGCCGTCAGGAGGCAACAGGCAGGCTGAGAAATATGGTGTAGGAAGAGCGACGACTGGTTGTGCTCGCCACTAGGGCCCTCCCAAGTCTAATTATATTAATTGCCCTTCTTGTCTACAATGAAGCCATTTACAGCGCCATTCGCCTCGTATTGATGTAATAGCGTCGCTCACTATGTTTCGATGTTGGTCTCGTTTGCCTGCAGTCGGTATAGTTCAAGTTGCGGCCAATAGCTGCAAGACCTGCCAAATAGGCATCGTCTATTACAATAACGGGGGTGCATAGCGAACGCTCCACTTCACCACGCCCACGCGACGCATGTCAAGTCAACCCCACCAAAAAGTTATAGCTTCTACTACAACCTGACAGGTGAGCTACCACAGCGCCGAGCGCGTGTCTCAGTCCTTAGCGTTCGACTACGGAGTACTTGTTGTGTCAGGACCCACAACGGGCGGCCCACGGGGAAGTCAACCCGTGCCATACTGAAATGAGAGGAAGGTCCCGCTCGGAGCGACTTGCCGTTCGCGATGTGAACACATTGTCACTTCGACGTGGCGGGACAGGGTCCCTGCTTAGGTTGCCCTGGAAGCTGTTCGGAAGACCTAGGTAGCTGAGCCGTTCCAGACCAGACCCCTGGCCAGAAGTTGTCCGACAAATTTTCCTCAACGTCTGCGCATTGCCCGGTCACATCCTCCGACTCGGTTCTGCCTCGTCCCGGACGTGGGGCATGGACGGCGTTCCCGGCAATTTTTGGCCCGTTTTAGTTGAGCTGCCAATCCCGCTTCTCAATTGAAAAAGTGGCTACTGTAAGTGGTCATTCCTGGTAACTACCCCGCAAGGTATATACTTCCATAAAGCCCCGAGCTTCACAGCGCACATCCAAGTCTGTCGTATTCCCTGGAATCTATCATAATACCACTGCAGCCATGCCAAAACAAGAGGACTTCCACCTTCACCCTTCCGGGTGGGAAAACGATCCCCAGGGGGAGCGATGCAAAGTCTCCACACTCGACCAATTGTCGGTCAAGATGGACTGGAAACAACCGAGTTTACTATGTGGAAGCATGAGGATCAATAGGGCTCCTTAATTTTGCTTCCGCACGTCAAAGGAACACTAAGACCGCCACTACAAGCCAGTTCCCCACGCAACGCCCAAAAATACTTGGACCGGAATTCCTTCCCGCTTACCGTATTTACGCACTAGAAAACATGGCGCGTTTATCATGTGGTTTGGTTTTTTCAGGCACTATCCCGTCCTTTTGGTTTAGCCCGAGACGGCAGACCTTGAGGCACTGGTAAACCCACACTAAATGTTAGTACCTCGACTACCATTGACCACTGGCCTAGTCTCTTGCCAAATTCGAACATGATCTGCTCTTTCAGGATCTTCTCGGCTGTCTCAGAAAGTTATCAGGTGGATTTGAACCCCTGAATATGTACTAAATACCCAATTTCATATTTTTGTAGGCAATAACCCAACTCGGAATATCCAAGTATGCAGTCTTCGAACGGCAAAGCTATTATGACGACTGCTTCGGATCACTCAGGCAGTCGATCTCCTACGCATGGCTCTGTTCGTCATACTATGCTAAGGTTAATATTTGCAGGCATGATCAGCAACAATTATTATCAACGATAAAAATAAAGTCATCCCTTCTGTCTGTCCACTGGGAGTTGTTTGATTTTTAACCGAGGCCTACCCCGTCAAGCTCAAAACCAGTCGCTCGTTTGCTGCGTTTATTTCAACTCTCTTCAACTCATCGTTTTGTTCAGAGCTACACACTCGTTTCGAAAATGCGGTCGTGGAAGTGGATTATGCCAGTGACCCTGCTGGGCCTTGGCTTAGGTCTTGTTGACGCTTGGCCTTCGGCAGAACACCAGCACAAGGGATCTGGTCATGTTCACAAGAGATGTCCCTTTGCCGACATTTCCAAAGGGGCTAAGGATGAATTGTACAAGCGCTCGTCAACAAATTCCATGAAGATGCCAATTGACAGTACGTTAGCTGAATATTTTCTAATCATCTACGTAAACCACTAAAAAAACAAAACAGTCACCAGGGAGCACGAATTCGTGCCACCCAACTTTGAAAATGGGGACCAACGAGGACCTTGCCCTGGCTTGAATGCGATGGCAAATCATGGCTATATCCCACACAATGGTGTTGTCTCTGTAAGTGACTAATGGCGGCTAGCTGAGTGCCTTGTACTAATTCCTAGCCTAGTTCGCCGAGGTCATCACTGCAGCCAATGAAGGTTTGTTACCGCTCAGTCTCAAACCTGATAATCTATCCTATTAATTGAATCAAGAATAGTCTACGGAATGGGCATTGACCTTGCCACTGTCCTCGCAGTGATGGGCACAGTCTGGGTGGGTGATCCAATCTCATTGGATCCTAGCTTTTCCATTGGAGGGGTTTCACCTACTATGAGCGACCTCCTAGACAACCTAGGTGGTCTGTTAGGTACGGTTAACATCGCGTCTTGTTTATATAAGATGAAGTTCCGCTAACAGAAAAGAGCAGGTACGCCTCAGGGTCTCATCGGATCTCACAATTTCATCGAATCGGACGGGTCCAATACTCGCGACGACCTCTACGTTACAGGAAACAACTACGGGCTCGATATGGACAAATTCCTCGAATGGTACCATATGTCATCGGACGGTACATTTGACATAGACTTGATGGCCGAACGGGCAAATATTCGTTTGAAGCAGGCAAAGGCAGCTAATCCCAATTTCTTCTACGGCCCTATTACTGGACTTGTAGCGCGCAACGCGGGTTTCGTTTTCCCAGCTCGACTATTCGCGAACTACTCAGAGGAGAATCCAGATGGAGTTACTAGTAAGTACTTGGCTTACGACTACATATGATCCTATCGCTAAAATGAACGCCAATATAGCCAAGGAGACTATCCGCAACTTTTATGGCATCTACGAGGAGGATGGTAAATTAGTTAGCAAAGAGGGCTGGGAAAGGATTCCTGAGAATTGGTATAAAGCACAAACGGACTACGGCCTGCTTCAACTCAATTCGGACATTCTTGAGTGGGCGCTGAAATACCCAGAGCTTGCTAGGTAAGTGACATTTCTCTAGCATCCCCAAATCGTCCCGTCAAATTCCTAGGTCACTTTCACAAAAGTCTAACTTGAATGAATAGCATCGGAGGCAACACTGGCACAGTTGACAGCTTCACTGGCATTGACGTCACTGACCTCTCTGGAGGAGTTCTGAATCTGACTACTTTGCTGCAGGGCAACAACTTGCTCTGCCTGGTCTTCGAGGTTCTGAAGCTTGCGAGCCCTGATGCCCTGGGCGGGCTGTACAAGACTCTGTCGGTTCCATTGGGATTGATCGAAAATGCCATTGCTGCGCCCCTGCTAAACATGTCGTGCCCAGCCTTTAAGGAATTGCAGATGGGTGGAAAGCCTTTCTGGTCGACTGCCCTGAATGTGTTCTCGGGCGCGAAGAAGAGCGGTTCCGCGCTTTGAAGAGCCGTTTTTGCAACATTACTCATACTTGGCTCTTTCCATCTATTCTGTTTGTCTTCATGCTCCAGGAATGGGATATCGAATCCATTGTCTGTGGCTATGAATTGCATTTTGCACGATTGCTCGAGGAATACGTGCTGTTTTCATATTCTCAATTCACCATTCATATAACAGAGTATGCAGGAGCTCCTTGAACCTTTTTTAATATTTATCTTCGTTTTCTTTGAACCAAACAGGTTATCACGAAAGCAATAATCACGTTTACAAATGCAGGAAACATATATACCGTTTGATGATCACCAATTCCTGCTCTCAGTGGCTTTTCTCAGTTGTCTCTGAAAATTCGAAATAAATATTGAGAGAATGTCATACGAATATATATCAACAGATGCAGGTACGGGTGTTCCTCGACGTGTCTAAATCTGACAATCTACTACACCAACACTCTTCCAAGGTTTTGGATATGCAGTAAACTTGAGCAATCACTACCGGGAAATGTTCACACTCTGGGCATACACTATTGATTTGTTTTCTCCTTCGTTTTTGCATACTTGAACTGAGGTCAAAGTATGGAAGGTGAGAACTAGTAGAGTAATGAAACCGACACTCATTTGTTGCTGTCATGACTGAGTAGAGTCCCCTCGGTCAATGTACCGTATTGCCTGCTTCTGAGGGGAATCATGGCCTATCCCTTCTTGCTGGCCCGGGAGTGATCGACCATTCCCCTTCAGCGAGATGCTCCCTTTCTTGAAGATACCATGCAAGAGGTTCGTTGAATACCCCATGGATCGCACTATGATGCTGAATGCCCAATCCAAAATCAAGTTAAATTCTCATTTTAATGTCTTGTGAGATATTTTACGTTTCCATTCTTACGTATCGGGCGATTTATAGTCTAGCTTACTATAGCTTAGATTATTGCACCATCATCTTGGCGTTAGGGCTCGGGATATTTTCTCTGCGTAAAAAACATGGAAGCCAATGTCGAAATTCGCAGTAACTTGAGCGTATCCTTTTGCGAAGCAGTCTATTGCAGAAAGGTGTAGCCAATGGGGGATGTCAGGTCGATGTTAGTAGAGCTTATGTCGGATGGGGAGGCAGGTGAACAACGAAAGTTGCCAGGTGTTGGTGCATATTGTGATGTATCGTCCCATGGGTCAAACGTTTCACCTTTTTGAACACCGTAGCCGTCATAGCTTATGAGAGAATTGGGCCTCATGATTCTGGGCCCACTGTAAAGACAGACTTGTGGTGAGTGATTATTAGTTGAGGCCTACGCCATCCGCTGCTGTGGGGTTTTTGTTCGCCAGCAAACAATAATAACTTAGTCGAGACAGTGTCCACCGATGATCGATCCGTGAAGATGTTTCCTAGTTTTAAGGGACACCTCTCAGGAGTTACGGCAGGCGCATGCAAGACAGAGAAAGAAAATCGAAGTCGCCCAGCGGGTCGTCCTGGTGGTCGATGCAAGGTGGACCCTCTTCGGGTGATGTGCAGGGACCCCCAATCGGCTTCCATGGAATTCCATTTTGGTATTTTTCGTAGAGTAGGAAGATACCGTACCATACATGGTGCACTTGAATGATCTGCGCTAAGGTCTTGGCGGTGGGGCCAGGAAAGAGTGATTGAGTGTGTACTGGTCAAGCCGATTTCGAGAACAGTTCAGATGAAGGGCCTAAAGGCCTGAAGGGAAAGGGCGCTAAACCCGAAGGGTGTGATCACACTTGATGGGATCTCAACGGGACCGCGCTCGACGGGTCTGCGCTTGACGGGACCGCGTTTGGCATCACTGCGATTGAAGACTGCGTTTGAAGACTACGTTTGAAGACTGCGTTTGACAGGTGACACAGGACATAGACTGTTGTAGATAAGTAGAGACTCTTCTTCGGTCTCTTCTTCCCTTTCTCAACTTGGATCTCCCGTCGACTACGTTCTCAAATTGAATTCTTTATTGATTTTCTTTCTTGATCTGACATCCGGTCACAAAGGGGGCAAAAAAGAGATGAACCCCAACATACAACAGTCAGGATTCGCTGGTGGTCACCCACCCAACTACTAACTGACCGGCGTGTGGCTTAAGTACGGCTGAGCGGACGGGAAGCCCTGTTCTCCACACCCTGTGGTCGCATGTATTCTATCATGCGAATAACGAAATTATATGGCACTTAGGACTGGAGAGTTACAATAAACAGGCGGGAGAATCTGGGTGAGATAATTATACGTCGCGATCATCGCACGGGCCGTCAGCTGAGAGGAAGATGGCAAATCAATTGATGAGATACGGCAGCAATTATGGCATGTCATGAATTGGAAAGACGAATAGGTCCACTTTTGCGCTTTTCGGCCTAGAAAACCTTTCGATCTCTACTTTCCATAGTCACGAATGCAGACGCACGAATTCAATTACTCCGGGATCTGTTCGATACCTGCTCTCATCTTCAGAATTCGTGATTCGTTTTAGAACCTGGGATGGTTTGTGGATCTATGCAGCAGTAACAGCGGGAAGTTTTGAGTCGTCCACGAAGACATGAAACGGAAATGGTGAAGGAGTATATTTCGCAATGATTGGCTAGGGTGTCCTAGACTATTGCTTAAAAGCCCTCAGTTTCAAACCCTAGCTTGTTCTCTTTAGAAGGTTTCTTCGCTAACGGTGTTCGAACCAGTATCGACTTAGTTTATAGGTTAAGTAGCTACATGCTCTTGAAGGCCAAACTCAACATCATAATTGCGTCTAAGGTTCAATTTAATCACCTGGTTATTGATGATGCCGACGAACTTGCAAGGGTGTCACCGTTACTGTCTCTTCTAGAAAAGAGCTTGATTTCTATGCTATTGCGAGGATATTCTGTTTTGGGGCGTCTTCAAAAGTCTAAAGCTCTTCTAAATTTTATTGCGGCCATCCAAATATAACAAGATAGATTGACTAATATCAGGACCCTCTTAAAGCAGCAAGTGGTTATTGCCCTCGTATGGATGATAATAGTGAATCAGGCGTCCATCCATCATCTATTAGAAGCTTCGTTCCTTTGTTTGCAGAGTGGCATATCATATTGAGAAGACACTTTTCGACTCCGCGACGCGCATCTAGGCTCAAAGTGCTGAGAACATCGGCCAGTTCCATGATATAATTTACCTTGTATTCCCCACCTGCCTGGAATCTCACCAGAGTTTGAAATATAACCGAACGCAAATTTTCAATGGAGCTTTTCCATATGCTTTCGGACTCCGCCAGAGCCTTGTCCAATATGGCTAAAGTATTCGATCGAATAGGCATCGCAGAACTGGTGTCGTATAAAGGAGAAATTGACTCCTGCATCAGGACACTTATAGAAAACAAACAAGCCAGTCTGTCATGGTCCAGGATAGAGATAGCTTGGTCGTGCGAATCGTTTGCAACGGTTAGTTGACAATTGTAACGCAAAAGCAAGACTGCGTCATAAATGGACGGAAATGACGATAGTCCTCCATAGAAACTAGGAAAAGATCCCATAAATGTTCGCATATCTTGTATGAAAGATATCAACCAGAGACAACGGACTTTTTGGATATCAAGGCATGGGTCAATCAAGGTGAGGCGTAAAGAAGGGTTGGATATTTCGCCAAGATTGTTTGTTGACTCTAGCCATGACGGCTTTGCCATTAGAGAGACACTGCTCCTTATCAGTCCTGCGGATTTTACGTCAATCAGACAAGAAAAATGCCCACAGATAAACCACAAGCTCCAGCCTCCAGTTATCGTGTAGATTTTCGACTCCGCCTTTCGCTTCAATCATCCCTTTGAGACCATTACGGTGGACATTCCATTCTGCCTCTGTTCCCCAGTATCTCTATATGGAAGTTAGCAACAATCTTTTACGGTTAAAATATATATCAGGGCTTTGCTGAAAAGTACCAACCTCAAATGTGAGAAGACGAATAACAGCAGCGAATGCATCGTCGCTCAGCTTCTTTCCAGGATCGGCAAGCCATAGGTTTAGTATTCTCACAGCCTCTGCCTTGAACATTAAAGCATCAGAGGAACTTGTCTCTCGTCCTGAACTAGTTCCAGAATAGAGGTGAGCTATATGGGCAGCTGAATGTGCCATGACGCAATTGAAAGACGAAGCATTTGAAAGATCCAGCGGGAACCAGACATCCTTCATCGGATTGAAATCTGTTATATTCAGATCTTCGAACATCATTGCGGCATGTGTGCTTATCCCTAGATCCTAGTAAGCCTGCTTTCAGCTTCACAGCCATTGCATTTGCTAAACGTACAATGATGTAATAGTTTGTGATGTTGGGGTGTAAGCTGAATAGGACATGTTTGGAATGGGTCAAACGTCGAAGTCGATAGAGCGTGATCGAAACCGCGCAATAATTGTAGAGCAATACTGAAATCCGACTGTTTATAAACTCCCACTTGGTCATCGTCCCCTTGGTCATCTTCTATATTGAAATTATCGCGTTGTCTGCCAACAAGGCCGTTTGTGTCGTTTTTCTTAGGTTTAGAGACTTGCGCTTTCACCATAGGGCCCGGGAGCAATTTTCGGCATGTTTGCTTGTGATGGAGCTTGATCTCAGAATTGCGTCTCTGTCGCCGTCTCCAGTGATGCCGCATCGCATGACTTCGAACCTCAGATTTGCTGCTCTCAGAGACAAAGGTGACAGGCGATGATCCATCTGATGAAGAGGAATTTTGAAAATGTGGCATCGTTGTTTGGTTTTCCAAGGCCATGGCTGCTGTACGGTGGATGAAAGGGGAATATTCTTTATACAGATCGGGTTCTGTCTAAAACCACGTCCCTTCTGCTCACATTTGAATTATGATAATCCGAGAACCAGGTGATCTCTGTAAAATTGCTTGGAGGAAAATCCGCGTAGATGGAGTAGGTGCGTGGACAAATTGTGGCGAATCGAAATGGTGGTGAGGTGAATCCGTGTTACGGTTGTAGCACACCGCTTACCCAAGAGGAAACTCTACTCGTGTCGTCATATGAACCAAAAATGGACTTTGAATAGTCTGTCTCCTGGCTTTTCGAAATAACTAATAGCCGACGAACTATTGCTTAGGGTTTTGAGTGTTTCCCTCTCTTACACGAGGGTTTAGCAGTACGTTTTCTCTCTGAATCAAAAGATCGAAGGGGATTCACGTGCAGGGTTGTGAATTATTAGACGGTACAACTCGAGGCACCTCTGAATCACCCTGTCCCAAGAAACAGTGCCATCTTTGCCCCATTTTCATTTCGACACCCTTGGTTTCGAATCCATGAGTTCCAATCAGTAAACTAGCGATTTTATGTGGTTCGTCAAAGTCATCATACTTAATATGACTTTGAATCGTTCGCAATTTCTCTTACCTATTTCTTGAATCTAGTTAGTAGGCTCAATATGCTAGGTGTCCCTCTTTTCAATTTCCTATATCATTTAGTTGGCTCAATAGAAGACCCACATGGTTAAGATCAGCACCATGGCTGTTCTCAATCTCCTCCTCTCTTACCATTCCTTCGGAAAGGAGAATACAACGGCAGCCCTCTGCACGTTCCTCGGGACGCGCTGGTAAGCCACACCAAACCAATAACACGCGGCATTTGGATACACAAATGCCTTTCCAAACGGACTGAAATGGATGTTAATCAGGTAATATTTTCTGATGGCATGTCCCACCAATTACCGCACCAGAACTGATGATGAGCTCGGGATGAGAACAAATTGTGCTGCGTCGATTACCAGCAGTCTACCCCGTACAAAGCATGGTCGTGAAAGTTCAAAGCCTGAAAGCCATCAGCCCGGCGGTAGTGACCAAATTCACGAATATTTGGTCCAAGGCTAAGCTTTTGCGGACTACAGCTAACAGTTTTAAATGAAAGCAGAGTGATTCATGTCATTAGCTTTCAAAATCCAATCAAAGTCCCGTAAAATAACGTGGGCTATGTCATAGGTAAAAAATGATCTAGATCCCACACTATAATTTGTTCATTAATATGCTGTTCTATCAAATCTGAAATCTCGAAATGGCTAACTTCTTCCATCGTTAGCCGTCTCTTTGCCCAACCAGACACCTCACAAAGCTTTTTTGGGTCTTCTCCTGAAATCGATAGTCTCGGTCACCTACTACGTGCCAAAGAAAAGACATAATTTTCGTTATGGTAACTAATTAACTAATTGGAGCACGTGTCATAATTCACCCTAAAACTCGCATCGAAACTCGGATGAGCGGAACAGAATGCAGCTTCTGATACTCGCGTTTCGGCTAGTCGTACTGCGAGCCCATCTCCCACCAGGTTCCTGATAAAACAGCGCACACTTTCATCATTAATATTGATAATCTTACGCGTATATCTGGGATGCCCTTGGTTGCCATACCCGTTGTGACCGACAAATAATGAAGCACTACCAAATATGAATTTATATCTGCATTCTATATCGAGGAAGTTTACTGCAGAAGAGTAATGAGATCATGTATTTTTAGAACTGAGTGGAACCATGGTTGTATAGCCTCCAAATAGAACTACTATCTTACCAATGAGATTTGCCTATTTAGTTCATATGATCTATTATCTTCAAAGTTAGATCAACTAAACCTTTTCGTAATAGAACCTCCAATGAAGGGACGCGACTGCATAGATAATGAGGGAATTTATTTCAACACTTAATTCGCAGTCTAGACGTCACTTGGATGATACAAGCTTCGAGATGATCTCACTTTCTTCTAGAAAGAAGAACGGCGTCAAGATATAAAAGATCATAGGAATCAGGAGTACACTCTCTTCATATTAATAATTCTTCCATTCTCAAGTTATACCAGTTGATGAATCATTAAACTTAACCATGACTGTTAAGGATGGTGCTCGTTTTGATTTTGTCGTTGTCGGGGGCGGTACTGCGGGCAATGTTGTTGCAAGCCGCCTTGCCGAAAAACCCGATGTCACCGTTCTGGTAGTTGAAGCTGGCGTGGGTAACTCCCATGAGATCGACGAGATTACGACCCCCGCGGAGGCGATGGAACTCCGCAACAGCAAGTATGACTGGGGCTACAAGACTACAATGGTCAAGCGCGACGACTATGAGCGAGTCGAAAAGCCGAATACCCGTGGCAAAGCTCTTGGGGGCAGCTCCTCGCTCAACTATTTCACCTGGGTCCCTGGCTGCAAGCCGACCTTTGATTTGTGGGCTGAATATGGAGGCAAGGAGTGGACCTGGGATCACCTTGTTCCCTATCTTCGAAAGAGTGCTACGTACCACGATGACGAAAAATTGTACCCTGATGAACTTAAGAAGATCGGTGCAGGCGGCCCTATCCCTATCTCTCATTCTGAGCTTATCCCAGAGATGGCTCCTTTCCGTGATCTCCTCACGGAAGCCTGGAAGTCCACAGGCCAGCCGATCACCGAAAATATCTTCGATGGCAAAATGAATGGCCTGACCCATAGTGTCAATACGATCTACAAAGGTCAGCGCTCTGGCAGCTTTTTATGCCTCAAAAACAAGCCAAATGTTACTGTCGTCCCTGAGGTTCACTCAAAGTGTCTTATCATCGATGATGCCGACCGCACCTGCAAGGGCGTCACTGTGATCACTACTACTGGAAAAGAACTCAACTTTTATGCTACTCGTGAAGTCATCGTCTCTGAGGGCGTCTTTGAGAGCCCTAAGCTATTGATGCTTAGCGGTATTGGTCCTGCGCGGGAACTAGCCCAGCATGGCATTGATGTGATTGTCGACTCTCGCCACGTCGGCCAGCACCTACTTGATCACCCTGGTGTGCCCTTTGTTATACGTGTTAAGGATGGGTACTGTATGGACGATCATATCTTGCGCCAGGGTCCTAAGCGCCAAAAAGCCGTATCGACTTATAAAAAGAACCACGGCGGGCCTATGGGATCTGGTTTCCTAGAGATGGTGGGATTCCCTCGCATCGACCAGTACTTAGAAAAGGTCCCCGACTATCAAAAGGCAAAGGCTGCTAACGGTGGCATCGATCCCTTCTCGCCATATGGCCAGCCACATTTCGAGCTCGATTTTGTCTGTATGTTCGGTAGTGCCTTCCAGTGGCACTACCCGACTCCTAAGAAGGGCGATCACATTACTGTGATGGTCGACCTTGTCCGACCAGTATCTGATGGCGGCGAGGTGAAACTTAACAGTGCCGACCCCCTCGAGCAGGCCAACATCAACCTGAATTACTTCAATAACGACCTAGACATCATTGCGATTCGTGAGGGGATTAGGTATAGCTATGACGTTCTCAAGAATGGGAAAGGCTTCAAGGATATCATCGTCGACGAATACCCGTGGGAGATGCCATTGGACTCTGATGATTTGATGAAAAGGACTGTGTTGGACCGTTCTCAGACTTCATTCCATCCTTGTGGCACTACGCGCTTGTCGAAGAACATTGACCAAGGCGTAGTGGACCCCAGTCTCAAAGTTCACGGTATCAAGAATCTGCGTGTTGCAGACGCTTCTGTCATCCCTGTTATTCCTGATTGCCGTATCCAGAATTCGGTCTACATGATAGGTGAAAAGGGCGCGGACTTGATCAAGCATGATCATAAGGATCTGTTCGTCCATTGAGTTTTCTATACGACGGGCTGTGTTTGATCGGAGAAAAAGAGGTTTGCAGTTCCTAGGTGCCTAAAAGCCTGAAATTTTAATTTGTGTAACTTGCTGATTACGTTTGAAAATGTTGGGTATTTTGCCCTAAAAGTTTTCAATAGTTGCTGTGATTTGTTATGACTGGAAGTCCTTCGAAAAACATAGCGGGACCCTATTGGTATCGTTCTAAAAGGCTCCCCGCCACTGGAGATTTTATAATAATACAATCAATCGCTTCATGACACGAATAGTAACCAATGGATATGAGCATAATACATCTCCAAGACGCAAAAAGTGAACAACTCAAATGTAAGTATTATATTATAGGATGGATATTGATATTTTTCTATGCTTTATCATCAATGCCGTTGGGTTGGAGAACTTCGGCCATCAGCAGTTGCCAAGGACCATAACGCGTAGCATCACCCGAACATCCCAAGTATGGAAAAAGGCCTAGGATATTTTATGAGATCGCCCACTTTGCTCTATCCTTTTCATCGCGCGCAGCTTTCGTCTACACCGGTGCTGGTGCTGTAGAGATCTAACCCTAGCAGTATATACGCTTTGTCTCCGTGTTTAGTTACTATCTCCTATTGCAATGTTCTTTGTTACTAGCAGCCGAGGATATCAAATCAAGAAGCTAAATGAGCCGTCTAACGAATGCTATTAGATGTAGAGATATTCTAAAGCCCGTATAGCATCGATTACATATCTCGTCATCGTATGTAGCTTGACATTTCGTTTCGACTTGTTTTATAGATCCTCCCCAAACCCTTTGCGAGAATGTGATACGCTATTTAACTGGACCGATTTTGGTCACACTGTTGAGAGCGTTCATTTTTCGCTGACCTCCAGAGATGTATATCCACAATCAAAATAGTCTGTCCACTAAGTGCTCTGCCAGACATCAGACAAAAGTTCCTGTTGCATATCTATAACAATATTTGACATTTTCATCAACTGCTTCGATAGCGAAGGTGCATAGAAAAAGAAGCAAAAGGAGGGAGCGAAAATAAAACATTTTCGTTTTCAATATCAGTCCTAGACCCGCATAGCAAACTGTTTCAGATACAAGTAGTCGGGCATATTCTGGACAACCGTCTTGCGAATCATAGCCGCCGCCTCTTCGCCATATTTTTCACGCCACTCGCTATCGAACTCCTGCTCTGATTTTGGAGCACGCTTCTGTAGCGTCATTTGTCAGCGCTTTCTGGCCATTTCTTGTGTCAGTGGCGTTTATTACGACTTACGTGAGTCCTCGCTTGAAGCCCCTCGGAATCGAGCGCATCATCGTGGAAGCCACGCCATTTCTCAAATTTGTCCTTTGCCACTGCATGATCGATTTCCCTATCCCATTGCAGCATTCGAGGGTCATACTGCAGCCCGACACTCTTGCAAAATGCCTCGATCATGGCTGCTGGCGCGTCTAGTAGGTCATCTGCATCGACAACACATATTTCGTGGCCGGTGCATTTCTTCAAGTCCGACTCAGCGTTGGCCTCTTGGCTGCTTAAGTCGGGTCGTGTTGCTACGTGCGGTCCGACAAGGCCAGTATCTTTCAGGTAATCGAAATGCCGACGAAGCTCGTCATATCCGGCTTCGAGTGGATCAAAATAGAAGTTTGTGATCTCACGCAGCGGTGGGATGGTACACCGGTAGTAGGATGGCACGCTATAGTGCGGATCGCGGATGAGGAATGTAAAATGAAACATTTCCTGTATTGCACGCGGCATCACGGTTGGGTTTCCTGGCTCAGACAGGGTTGGGTATTGGCTCAACTCCTTCTGAGTACAGCCGTTGTTGCTTGCCGCTTTGCTGGAAAGATGACCACCTGTGGTAGTTCTTAAAGATGGGGCGATACTGGTAGGCTTCCGGTCAGGCGCAAAGAGATAATAGTCGATGTCCTTGATGAATACACGCTTTCCCTATCGATATGGTAAGTATGGCCTCGGCTTACACAGATTCGCGTCCTACATGACTTGTGCAAATATGTAGTTATAAGTTTATCGTTAAAATCTGCGACGTACTTGAGGGGAAAATGGGGCAAACGGTGAATTATAGCAGAGGGGTATCTATGGTAGGGGCTCGCAGGCAAAAGTGTCGAACCTTAGAAGCTTCTCGCTTAATTCCCTCCAGGACCGAGCCATAGGTAAACTTGCTGAATCCACTGCTCAAACGGGTTTGTTCATCATCCGCAAATCGGGTTGAGAGTCGCTCTGGGCCGTAGTAGAAAGCGTCACCAAATGGCTCATGAACACATTGAATAGTGTCATGTTGAGTCATAAATACGCGCTCGAATGCCGTGGAACACGCTCGGGGATGCGCAGCCACAAAAATTGGCTTGTCTGACATGCCGGTTTAGTTCGAGAGCCCTGCAAGGTGTGTTGTCGTTAGTGCGCTGTTGCTTCAATGGCTTCACAGGTTAACGGGATGGCGTGATAGGGTGGATGAAGCGCGTTGTGAAAGGATAATAGCCGCTCGGATTGGGGAAAGGGGAGGGGCAATCGGAGAGGGCCAATGTCCGATGCATGACCGATGACCTCGGTAAAGCCGTAAAAGTCGGAACAGTGAGAGTTTTTCATGGGTAGTGGAGCCCTGCTAATGTACTTAAGTTACTAGCAAACCAAGGGATATATATTAGAAATACCGTACTGCATTATAGAATATGATAGGTTATTTAAAAGACAAGAATAGAGGATAGAAAGCTTAAAAAAAGAGTACGGGCTACGTAACTCCCTGCGGGAAGCTGGCTGTTTCGGGTTAGTGATGGTCCAATTGGTAATTGGATAATTAAAACAGTTATAATTCTTGGCATCCAGATTCGCAAATCTATTTAGAAAATTTTCTTTTTTGAATAATGAGTTGAAAATTTGGGAAAAAGATGACGTAAAAGTCTGGCGCTCTGTAAGAATTCTTAATATGTCTTCTTTTGAATGATGAGGTCGCCTTTTAGTCCTCCTCAGCTAGAGTGATGTGAAATAGGCTGACAATGATTGTTTAAATTGGATTAACGGCTTTGGTTATCATATGGGACCCTTTCCCTTTATCTCAAAGGATTCAGGATGTACGAAGCCCAGGGAGAGCCTTTGGTATACATGTGGCCGGTGGATCGGGTGAATGTACATTGTGGAGCCAAAAAGTCGTGAGGTCGGATGCTCCGATAGAACGTCTCCATGTTTCCGGAACCCCCGAAGTTTCGACATGCTTTACAGCTGTGGCTAGCTACCGTATTAACTATCTCACGCCACACAGAGCTTCTCTCTTGAGGTACCGTAAATCAAATATCACCTTGAGCACACCAGGCGCTCAAACAGAAGCCATGGGGGACAACACCGAGAACAGCACCACCACAGAGCAGTATATGAAGCCTGCAACACGGCTACGAAAGCTCCTCTCTCAACCAGGTGTCTGTATTCAAGCCCCGGGAGTGTACGATGGCATCTGTGCGCGCCTCGCCATTGAGCAAGGGTTCAAAGTCATGGTATGTCTCGATTATTTCACCGTCGCCTCGTTGTCGTAACAGACAAGACTATCGTGTGGGGCTAATCTACCCGCAGTATCAAGGTGGCTCTATGACTACAGCGGCGCGCCTGGGTAGAGCAGACCTCGCATTCGCATCACTGAACGACTTCGCACAGAATGCACAGATGATCGCCAATATCGACCCTCGGATCCCACTCATTGCCGACGCGGACGTCGGATTCGGTTCGCCGCCAAACATCGCTCGCATGGTGCAGACGTATGACTCGTGCGGAGTTGCAGGCTTTCACATTGAGGATCAAGTATCAAATAAGCGATGTGGTCATTTAAAGGGCAAGGAAGTCGTGGACATTGAGTAAGTCCCCAGGTAGAAATTTTTGGGACTTTGCCGAGCGAGAATTTGGTACTGACGCACCCTTTCTGCGCTGAAAGAACCTGGAAGTCAAGAATCCGCGCGTGTGTTATAGGGCGGGATTCAATCTACGGCGGTAGCGACATTCTCATTATTGCGCGAACAGACTCGCTGGCGGTTGAAGGATACGATGCTGCCCTTGAGAGAGTATGTTTCATGCTGATCAGCCCCTGGCAGTCTATAGCACAACTAACAATCTATTGCAGCTTATCGCAGCGCGGGAGTGCGGCGCTGACATGGGCTTTTTGGAAGCCATTGAGACGGAAGAGCAAATCAAGAATGCTGTGAAGGCTCTCTCACCAATGCCGGTAAGTTCAATACCTAAGTATTTCGCTCGTGAAGCACTCGATGATACTGACCTGGCCAGCTCATGGTGAATCTGGTCTCCAATGGTAAGACCCCATGGTTTTCACCTGAGCAACTGGGTGAGTGGGGAGTAAAGGTTAGTACTCTAATCATTTACCTCCCTCGCAGAAGTTTAGTCTAACACAGAAGTAGCTCGCCATCTACCCTGGTGCTGCTGGAAAGTCGGTTTTGCACACCATTCGACGTGCGTACAAGTATCTCATGGAAACTGGCAAAGATGATGCAGCGGCACAAGGCTTGGATCCCAAGGGATTCTTTGATGTTATGGGGTTGCAGAGAGAGATGGAAATTGATCGCCTTGCGGGAGGCGTATCATTCGCGAACGGCGCATAAAGGCACAATATGTAACACGAATTATGCATACTTACAGTAGATTAATGATCCAACTGTCATCTATTGTGCTGTTAGGGATCTCGGTCTTTATATTTGACGTGACTTGTAATCGAAATAAAATCACCTAACCCACTAAGCTTCGCGTTGGTACTTCCGAGCATAATAGTGTCCTATGAACGACCATCTAGTTTAGATTGTTACAAGTTCAAAGAGTGCTGTGGCAGAATGATTTTTTCCTATTAAATTTCCGTTTGGTACGTGACATTGACATTTTGTTTCAAACCTAGCAAAGAACAACGATCCATATATATGTGCTTCCCAGTAGAAGCAGAGGTCTAGGCACACGATATATAATAAAAAAACAAGAACAAAAGATAAAAGCATAAAATTAACCTTTAATCAATGTACATAAATACCACTGACAATTTCCCATCCGTTCTAAAATGGCATGATCTTTTAGTTCGCCGCGACAATCTTACTCATCTCCTCTTGCGTCACGAGTGGCTTGAACCCAGTCAGAGGCATATTCATGGCCTCGGCCTGACGCTTCTCATATTTCAGGAAGTCATCAGTGATGGCACTCCCCCGGACACCACCACGAACTGCGCCAGCCCGGACGTCGCCCCAGTACTCGGCCCACTGTGGAGGCAGAGGCTGAGAGGTGGGAATGGAGAGCCACAGGCGCATGAGGTGACGCTTCTCATCTGGCAGCTCATAATCCACAAAGGGCGTACGCGAGTGCAGCGTCACGAAGCTGTTAAGCAGTTGCATATCCCCGACTTCCAGTTCCATGCTATAGCAATACTCGTCCGTCGGCATGATAGTGTCGAGAAGATCGAGGGCTTCTTCCTGCTGTGCAGTAAGCCGCGGCACTTCAGAGAAGTCGCGCTGCGCGGCAACGGTGTTCTTGCGGTTGGCACGGGCGCAGAAGTAAGCACCGCTCTTCCCGATGATGGGGCAACGGTAGTAGGGGGGCTGGGTAGGATCTTGGGCGTTCTGGAAGCTGTGGAACCAGTTGTTGGACTCGAGAACAGGGAGTAGATCAGGGCGTAGCTCAGCGACACGGTCGCGCAGCGCAATGCTGCTCATGACCTTAGAGGTTCCTCCCTCCTTGGCAGTGCGGCGGCACAAAAGGGCCACCACGTCCGCCGAGTCCTGGTGGAAGTCAAGACCGGCATTGGTGTTGTATCCACGGCCGCCCTTGACTTTATAGCTCCCGCCGGCATCCCGCACGTCATTGATCACCTCACTTGCGCGGTTTTGAGTACGACCAACACCCATATAAAGACCCATACCCCAATAGGCAACACGCATATCTGCTTCGGACCATTCGTTGGTAGGGAAGCCCTTCACTAGGCACATGCCCCAGCGGTCTTGGGTGGTAGCGATGGCGCGCTGCAGGGCCTTTGCAGAGACCTCTGGCAGCGGGTAATCGGCTTGTGTCATGTCAAGGAGAGCCTTAGGGTGTGCCTTTGCGTGGGCAAGCGCGGTACGGAAGCCCTCGACTTCCTCGGAGGTCAGGCGCAAAATCCATGAATTGTCGCGCTTGACATCCTCCGTCTTCCACGCTTGGGGTCCATTTCCAATTGACATTTTTGTTGAAAGTGAATGAAGCAAAGATTTGATGGTGTGTTGCAAGCAGGAAACTGCTCCGAAGAGGATTCTAGGAAGCTGAAGGCTGTAATATGGATCTGCGAGTTGCTCTGTTCTTTTCAGAGTCTTATTCCAACCATCAGTTGCGATCTGAGATATATTTATTAGTGACACTTCGGCAAAACGTCCCGAACACCAGCTCTCATCAAATGTCGGACTCGGGAGAATCCTGACGTTGTTTGCCAGGGCTCAGCGACTTCATCGGAGGTCCCGTGTCTCCGCCCATATCGGAGGCTCCGCGCATAGCAGCCCTCGAGGGTGGCTGCATGTTAGACGCCACCCCCATGATTTCATCCGCGTGGTATCATTGCGGGGAAATGCCGATCGCTTGTCACTCGGCATTCGGAGTCTCCAAGGACAAATATTCAAGTATACCAGTAATATCGGCCGTTTTAGTCCTCAGTTATCATTCCTCTTTCTCTCTTCAGCGCGCTTAACCAAAAAAAATTTTGAATGTCCGGGCTAGTCAGCTCTACGGAACGGTCGGATTCCCCAGTTTCTCAGCCCCATTCGGGTGATATAGATAAAGAGATAGCGGAATATCGAGCAAGTCTGAGAGATTCAGATTATTCTCGGTATTTTGTCCTGTAGTGGGTTCGGCCAATCCGCATATCCTCGGAGCCTCCGCTAGGGCTTGGGAGAGGGAACAGGCCCCACACGGATCCAAACTCCATCGTTATCGGGGAGTACCCAGCCCCTTACCAGGGGGCATCCCGGTCGGCAATTATGCCTTCGCGTATCTTTGCAATATTACTATTGAAGCGATGTGACTGGCAGAAAATGACTGATTCTTTGTAATTATTCTCAACGCCAGGGCTCAGATCATAGATGTTCCGTATCTATCTCTTATCCACGAATAAGGTTTCACTACAGAATACTCGGTACGAGCTAAAGTGTCTCTTTATCTGGGGTCCCCCCGGGGAAATAAGCTATACTTTTTTCTAGCATAAACCTGGAGTGACCGCCGCGTCTGTCCACTCGCTGTGCTGTTTTTCTATCGATTTCGACATAATGACCTGGGCTATACGAATCAAAGAAGCCTGTTCCTCTCGGAAAGCTTTCCTGCAGGCTATCGAGGCGAAAGAAGTTGATGGGGAGGAGGCCGCCTACAATGAGGATTTGCTGCCAACAGAACCTGGTAGAGAACCTCTCTACCGAAAATGGGCGACTGACATGCTGATAATATATGACAGAACGTCGATCATGGGGATGGATTCATTTTTTCACATATTACCTGACAACATCCTTCTCACCTACGAGCTACAACCTTGGAGCTTCTCTGGCCACCATTGGCCTGGTGAGTGATAAAGAAACCCTCTTAAGCTGGAGCCATTTAAATGTTCTAATGGACTTTTTTAGCAATGGTGGCACACCCTCATTGCTGCGACAATCGCCTCCATCTTCCTGTCCATCGTAGTCGCTCTGAACTCTCGAGGTGCGACACGATATCATGTTGGATACCCTGTCATGGGCCGAGCGTCTGGTGGCCCGCGTGGTGCTAAGTTCTTCATCTTCATCCGCGGCGCTGTAGCAACGATCTTCTTTTCGACCAACCTCTACTATGGCGGAATGCTTATGGCTGTCCTGCTACGCTGTATCTTTGGCTCAGCGTGGGACAACATCCCAAACCATCTACCCGCCAATGCTGGTATCACAAGCGCGAATCTTTTGGCCTTTTTCATCTACTGGTTTTTCCAGATGGGGCTGATGTTCGTGCACCCGGTTGTGCTGAGGCACATCTTCGTCGTCAAAGCATTCTACAGCACCGTCGCCCTGTTCGCCGTGCTGGGCTGGGCTATCCATCAGAATCATGGCTCACTGGGTAACTTCCAATTTGACGGGCAAGTCATTCTTTCAGGCTCGAGCCTCGTCTGGCCCATGATTTCAGCCATCAACTCCGTCTGCGCAGCTCTTTGTCCTATTTTGATCAACCAGCCTGATATTGCGCGGTACGCGCAAAAGCCGTCTCAGGCCACCTGGTCACAGACCCTCGGTATCTTCATCAGCAAGATTCTGATCATGTTCCTCAGCGCCGGAACTACTAGCGCTGCGAAGGGGTTCTTGGGTACTTCCTACTGGAACGTGTGGGATCTCTACGACGCCATCCTGACCACCTATTGGGGCTCAGGTGCCCGTGCTGGAATTTTCTTTGCCTGCTTCGTAAGTCACTCTGCTACCAATTTGTTTTAATATCCAAAAAAAACTAACTCCATTTAGGGAATGATTCTTGCTATTATGGCTACCAACGCTGGTACTAACTCACTTCCGGCGGGTGCCGATATGAGCGGTCTGGTGCCCCGGTATATCAACATTGTTCGTGGACAGATCATCTGTGGTCTTTTGGGGCCCTTGTTCTTCCCCTGGAAGATCATTGCCAATGCAACTAGCTTCCTGACCTTCCTGTCGTCCTACACCGTTTTCTTGATGCCAGTTTGCGGTATCATGGTGGTCGACTACTGGCTTATTCGGCGCGGTAATATCCACATCCCATCACTGTATAGCCACGAGCCAGGCTCTCCCTACACATACTGGAAGGGCTGGAACCTCCGTGCCATTGCAGCCTGGCTTGCAGGCACGGCATTCGTCATTCACGGCGTGGCTGGCGCCCTGAAACCTGGCCTGACGGACCAGGCCAGCAAGAACATGTACAAGATGGGCTTCTTCCTGAGTTTCCTCATGAGCTCAGCAGTCTATTATGCTGGCAACATGCTCTTCCCTACACCGATCTACCCTGAGGGCAAGCAGGATACTCCTAGTACGTGGGAATATATGGCGGACTCCGAGGGCTTCTTTGAAGGAGAAAGCGTCCTCACTATCAGGCTGGGCAATGGTGCTGTGATGTCGGAGAAAGATGTTGTTTGAGCTCTTCTAAAGACATATAGTATTTGAATGTATTGTGCTCAGGACTTTTGAATAATGTGTTTCTCTTCCCGAGGAACCACCCGAACCGACTGCAGTATCATAATAGCCATTTCCGGTCGGTTGGGCTCGTAGATTAGCATTACGTATTGCACCACTCTTGGCTCCATTCTTACGAGTTAGATCGAAATTATTATATTAGTGATCATTTCTAGAAGTGGTTTTGTTCTGTCTGTGATAACGCCCAAGTGGAGTGGTGGCAAGTCCGGGCCGTCCATTGGTTGATCGGTTGTTGCGCCTATGCATGCGTATCTTCCGGATCCTCCGCTTCCCCTCCACCACCTCGATCATCAGCACATTTTATCCACTAGGCATGAGCTTCGCCGGGGTAGTTCCACCTAACAATGGGCCGGGCTCTCCCACGACGCCGGGCGGCCAGATTTCCAGTCACAACCGTAAACGTGGGATGGGGAGGACAGCCTGCTCGCGTTGTAAAACAAGGAAGCAGAGGGTATGCTCATTCCGCTAGACTTTCTCTTGATGGCGATGTACAACTCCTTGATATTGATAGTTATTTTCAATAGTGTGATGGGAGGTTGCCCGTCTGCTCCAGCTGTACAAAAGCAAGGGCAACATGCGACTTGCAAAATATTCGCGGCGAGGACCTGGTCGTGGCAAAGTGTGTTCATTCATGAGATGCCTTGTTGGAAAGATACTAAATTGATCTAGGTATGTTCAAAGCTTGGAAAATAAGGTCGCCAACCTAGAGATCCAACTCCAGCGGCACCAGCCCGCGCGGGCTGAACAGCCGGATGCGAGGTTTCCTCCGGGCGGGTTGCCGGGGCGTATCAGCATTGGCGATATTCAAGTCAACTCTCTTTGTTTCGATTTACCCGATACATCTTCGTTTGCCGACTCCTCACAGTTTGGGCTTCATCTTGCCCTTAATCTCAGTGACGTCGCGCAAGCATCGACGGTGAGCAAGGCAGGAACGCCCAGCCCCCAGTCAACCGGGGGTTTCCATTCTCAAGATGATCGTTTGGATACCTCGCCCAGTGCGGGAAACTATCCATTCACCGCTATTATGGACAGCCGCACAGAGGGTGCTGGACCACCTCCAGAGGACCTGGGTACGAAGCTCATCGAGACCTACTCGGAGAGACTAGACTGGAGGTATCCTTTCCTGGATCTGGGACAGATTTTGGAACTGCACGAAGAGAGAGAAGCCCTCTCGCGTGTAGAACCACAGTCCCTGACAGTGAGCCAGCGATTTGGATTATTCAAATTGTACCTCGTGTACGCTGTAGGGTCCGGACTGCTTGCTTTAACAGAAAAACAGACATCCTCACCGACGCCGGAGGTCAGTCTCTCATGAAAATACCGTTTTCCCAACCATGAAGCTTTTTGCTAACTACCCAAACAGGCTTTTTATGCAACAGCCATACAGCATATTTCAGCGGCACGAGAACCTCAATCGCTCGAGAGCATTGAGGCCATGGTTCTTCTGGTGATTTTCCACCTCCGCTGCTCCCTTAGCCAAGAGCTATGGTACTTAATTGGGTTCGCCATGCGTACCTGCATTCACCAGGGGATGTACCTTTCCCGGCGCGAAGTCGATTTGCCCCCTGCGACCATTCAAAAACGACGAAAACTCTTTTGGACTGTTTACTCCCTTGAGCGCAACATTTCCATCGCACTCGGCTACCCTGTCAGTCTCCCTGATCGGTTAATCGACGTGGATATGCCCACTGTGATGCGAGAGGATGACCACAAATTGCGGCAGGCCATTCATATATTCCAACTCAGGAGAATTGAGTCTCGCATTCATCATTCTATATACCGCAACGACCGCACCTTGCAAGATCTATTACCCAAGACGAGAGGACACTACCAGCAGCTGCAGGAGTGGAAGGACCGTATAGTGGCGTCTGTGGATCTATACAGCAGTCGTCGCCTAGACTACTTCCTTCTTCACTATCACCGGGCCACGCGCCTCCTTATCCAGCCTTTCCTCTCTATCTTGCCAAGCTCTGACCCTTACTATAAAGCCTGTCTAGAATCCGCGGGTCAGATCTGTCAAATTCACAAGAGACTGCATCAGAACTCCGATTATGGACACAGCTTCATCGCCGTGCAGACCGTCTTTGTTTCCGGCATCGTGCTGCTCTACTGCTTGTGGACGCATGCGAGTGACGTGTGGAGTGTGCGGTTAAGCAATAATATTCGAGCATGCTCGAGCGTCCTGTTCGTCATGGGAGAACGAACTCCATGGGTACGACGATATCGTGACGCATTTGAGGCGCTGGTGAGCGTGACCATGGAGAGACTGGAAACACAACAGACAGACGCTGGAGTAGATGGTACGGGAACCACAGAAGATATTCCCATGAACGATACTGCAGTCCCGGTGGTCCAAAGTACTGAAATTGGTGGAAATGCAGCCGTCTCGAGCGGGGAGTTTATGAATGGACCCGAATCTGTCCCAGGAGAGCCTATGCCGCCGCCGCTGCAGGTATTACAGGATCGATGGATGGAGTTCGATACCATGGCGGTTGTGAACGAGCTTGCAACTTGGGCAGATCCGGACACCCCTTCGGCGCAAATACCTTGGACACTCGGTTATGGGAACTTCGGCGATAGCTGTTGGGAGGAATGGCAGTTGCCATAGTTAATCAAGCCGTGTAAGTACATAATACGATAGCGATACTACTTGAATATACGACCACGGAGAATTCTTCTTGGAAGCTACTTGGATCAACAGAGTAGTTGGGGTCATCACTATAGATAGTGATGGAATACAAAGATCAAGCCTTTATTCCTCGGCTTCGTCCACGTCACTTGGACTGGATATACAGGCACAGTGCCCTCATTACTGTTTCCTGGCGTCCTCAACCCACTTTCGGTCAGGTTGGTAAGGGAACTTAGACCGGAAGTGCTTGGCGATATCTCGTCTGTTCGTCACCCAAACATCAGGCTTGTCGGCGACGTACTTCATGAAGTTACGAAGCGCTTCACATCGGCCGGGCTTGCCGATGATACGTGTGTGAATGGGAATGTTCATCATCTTGCCGCCCTCGCGGTACAGCATGTCGAAAGTGTTCTTGAGATATTTCTCATAGCTCTCGCCTGAGCTTGAGCCGAATCCGGGCGCCATGTGAAATTTGCCATCATTGCAGTCGTACTAGTCCAATGTGTTAATACCGGAACGAATTGAACTCGATCGAAGAGGATGGACTTACGTTGTATGGAATCAAGAGCATACCCTCCCGCTCCTTCTCGGGCAGGTCGTTTTCCCACGGCAAGTCAAGCCAGTAAGGTACATCGTCATTATAGCACTCCGATGACCAGAGGAACTCTGCACCCAGCTCCTTCCAAACCTCAGGAAATAAATGATGTGTCTGTGGGGTACCACGCCCAAAGTAGGCGCCAGCGGGCATCTCGCCAGTTACCTCCTTCAGCAGCAGCAGACTCTCTTTAATGTACGCCTTATCCTCCTCCAGATTATAGTCCCAGAAGTCCTTCCACCGCACACCGTGGGTAGCTATTTCGTGACCGTCGCGAACCAAGGCTTTGGCAAAGGTTGGATTCTTCTTCAGGGCCATCGCAACTGCATAGGTCGTGAAGGTCCAGCCAAACTCCTTAAACAGGCGGATCAACCGCCACGAGGCCACTCGACTGCCGTATTCAAAGTCGTGCTCGGCATTGAGATACCGGGCGTTGTCACGGTGTCCACCGGACGAGCCCTTCTCCCACAGGTACGGCTCCGACATATTGTCGCCGTCCAGAATACAGCGCTCGCCACCCTCCCTGGAACGAGTTAGTCTTCATGGATCTGAAACTGTATTCAAGTGGCGCAGTCTCACTCATAATTCAGCACAAACGACACCGCAATACGCGCACCGTTGGGCCATTTGGCATCAAACCCTTCCTCGCCGTAGCCCTCGAAGTCGCGGGGCACTTGGTACTTTGGCTCGATGTGGACCATTTTGAAGCCGAAATTGTGTTAGACTAGGGATGAATTGGTATCTACCCTCTGGAGTCTATTTGAGATCTTGACTGAATAAATAATGTGTGACCATTGGTTGTCGTTATCAACTCGGGGAAAACTAACCGATATCTGGCGGGGTCGGTACCTCCGTCGGAGCCTCCGGCGCGCATTGGGGAAATTAGTTCTCGCGGGGCATAAAGCGAAACACGGAATCAAGCCGGGCGGGGCGGGACTGACTCGCGTCGGTAGATACCGAAAATTGATCAAATCACTCAACATGATTCTTGTCGGGCAGCTGATTATATCTTAGCGAAATGGATTGCGATGCCGAGGTTATAGCTTCTGTCGTGATAACGGCTTGATACAGGAAGGCATCCAGAGCGAGAGCACAACCTTTCACTACGCTGCCAGCAGATTAGAACAGCAATATTTTGACAGAGACAATCATGGCTCCGACCCGGGAAGAGTTGCTCTCTCTGGCAAAGGGCCTGTCCTTTGAGATCCCGGAGCATGAGATCCAGGACTATGAGACGCTTCTTGCGCGCACGGAAAAGACATTAGAAACCGTGGCCGCGATGGACGGCAAGTGCTGCACATTTCGTTTGGAACATCAATTCGCTAACGATCATGCAGACTACCAGCCAGAACCTGACCAGACTACCAGCCCTAGACAAAACATCCATTTTCCGCAAGCAGCGGATAACCCGCTTGGAGCATGGGCCTGGCGCTTCGAGCTATCCTCTACGTCGCCAAATTCGGACATCTTGCAAGGCAAGACCTTGTGTCTGAAAGACAACATCTGCGTCGCCGGTGTGCCGTGTTTACTTGGCACTGACACTTTCCGCGACTGGATTCCGCGCACTGATGCCACTGTGGCGACGCGCATCATCGATGCTGGCGGCATCATCATCGGCAAGGCCGTATGCGAGAACCTGTCGCGTGGGGCTGTCAGCTCGAGTGCAGCAACAGGCCCGGTGCACAGCCCATACGCGCGGGGGTATTCGGTTGGGGGCAGCAGCTCGGGCACGGCGGCGTTAGTAGCGAGCGGTGGTGCGGACATGGGCCTTGGGTGCGATCAAGGGGGCAGTATTCGCATCCCGGCCGCCCTGACGGGGCTATATGGGTTCAAGCCAACGGCCGGGCTGGTGCCATATACGGGAATCGCGAGCAACGATGCGAGCTTGGATTATGTTGGGCCTATAACCACCACATGTCTAGACAATGCGGTGTTGCTAGAGGCGATTGCCGGCGCGGATGGTCTAGATGACCGCTCGGGGCCAGGAATCCCATTTCCCAAAAATGTGCCACGTTACTCGCATTTGATTAGGCAAAATGCAGCAGCCGGAATTGAGGGGCTGAGGATAGGTGTGTTGAAAGAAGGCCTGCCGGCTGATATCGACCCGAATGTGGAGAGAAAGTTCAGAGATGCGGTCAAAGTCTTCGAGAAGCTGGGAGCTAGCGTGCAGGAAGTCAGCGTCCCACTTCACGCTCATGGCAGAGGGGTATATTCGGTTCTCAGCAAAATGGGGAATCATATGGGAATGATGGGACAGGCAACGGGCAGACGACAAGCGATGCTGACAGATCTATATGAGAAGAAAGGCCTTCCCTACACACCCGAAGTGGTGAGCAAGGTAAGTCCAGGACAGAAATTATTCATTGAACCCCGCTGACTTTCGCCGGTATAGATGAGCGTTATGAGCAAAGAAGGCCTCCTCAGCGGCGAGTTCGCCTGGCAACGCTATGCAACCGTGTACCCGAAGGCTGCGAACATCATGCGTAAGCTGAAAGATCTATATGATGACGTTCTCTCCTCGTTAGATGTCATAGTGATGCCCACGACGTTGTCGCCCGCGAATCGCCTCCCAGGTGTAGACGCAAAGCCGGTGGTCCAAATGGAAGCGGCGAAAGGAAAGACGGAGAACACATGTTCATTCAATGCTACAGGGCATCCAGCATTAGCAATGCCAATCGGGTTTGTGCCTGCAAAAGAAGATGCGAGCATCAAACTACCTGCTAGTATGCAAATTGTGGGCAGGTGGCACGATGAGTTGACAGTCTTCCGAGCTGCGTATGCGTGGGAGCAAACTATCAACTGGAAAGAGTTTTAAAAATAGCAAGAACAGCATAAAGAAGTTATCTAGAAAGCGATCTTAGTTATATTTGGCAATTTAGTATAGGTTCCATCATGCGACATTTCTAGTTCATCGATGACGAAAAGGACCTGTCTGAAATTCAAGTCTTGACAGATCTATAGTAGAAATTACAGAAATCGATAATGAGACATTGGCTAATTGAGATACGCGCCAGCGCTAATGCAGGGAAGGTACAAGAGAACTAGGCATGTTCCTGATCCTTGACACGGTCATGCTCTTCGCGCAGGACCTCCGGATCATTCATTTCAAACTGGAAATTCCATAGCCTTGCCACTGAACCTGTTCTGCTCGTCTTGGAGCTAGTCCGTCCGACGTGCTGCACAATGCTCGGTGTCACAGCCCAGCGGATCTCATTATACTTGTCTGCAAATTCCTCCGTAAGACTATCCGCTTCTCCACGGCCTTTTTCGGTGTACCAACCCACAATATCAGGGACTCGTGTACGGGGAAAGACGAATGCCTGCGAGCAGCAGGCGTAGCGTGGCATCTGGTGGACACCTTGTGGAATAGGGCGGGTCGTCACTTGTCCGGCGGCGAAGAAGAGCCCGATTAAAAGAGGTGTACAGATCCCACATGCAATAAGGATCATCTCTTTCGGGATGACAGTGCGCAAACGTGTATTGTATTGTCGACAGCCAGTAAGTGAACAAGCGACAAAGGCGACAGTGAGAACAGAGTAGGAGAGAAAGACGGGCCAGTCTTCGGCATTCCAGTTAAGAAATTTTTCGGTATAGAAGAGACGAAGGTATAACCCTAAACACGGGTCGTCCAGTCGGTTAGCATGGTTCCCGAATCTCGGCTCCGATCTGTATTATGAAAGGGGTTTCCTTACACTTTGAAGCCTCAATCTCCTTGGTCTGCTCCTCTGCCGACTCTATGGCAGCTCGAGTTCGGTGGTACCATCCGTCCTGTGCGACGATATCGTCTTCCATCATGACCACATAAGGGGCACCGACTTCCTCACACGCCTTCAACAAGAATCTATAGTCGAAAAGGGCCTTTTCTTTCGCATCCTTCTTTGCCTCTTCCGACTCAAGACTGCGAATATGGTCGATGTCAACGTCCATATCCACGCCCGTAGAATTGTAGAGCAGTACTCGATCCGACACTTTGTGCAGCCACGTCTCATTATACGCCGGGTGCTCCAACGGATTTGTGTGCGCAATGAATGTAATCAGGTATATCTCCGCGCGCTCCGTTTCGCTCAAACCCTCGAGGACCGTACCGACTGCGCTCCTGAAATAGCGCGGTCCGGGGCGGGCGATGGTCGCGAAACCGACACATAGCTGTGGGTGACTCGATGCTTTTGTTATCTCTATGTCTGGATTTTGGTCCACTTTGTCGATGAAGGCATCGGCTTCTTCGAGTCTCGCAGCGGAATAGGAGAGGTCGTAGGAAGAGGGTTGGAAGAAGACCGACCCCGGGTCGCGGGCTGACCGGGCTCGCACATATAGGGCAAGGAAAGTGTAAAACAATAGGAAGCAGAGGAGAAAGCGAAGGGTAGGAGAGTTATACTTGGTCGTTGTGTATCTAGAGCCGTGTGGAATGCCCCTTTCCAGCCTCATTATGGGCAACAACAGTAGTAAGAGAAAGCTGCTGTCACTCCCTAAAAAGCACGGTGAGTACTTTGGCCCCGACAAGGCTACATAATTCCGTATTAAATAATAATGTACATGGAACCCTGTTCTCAACATGCAGATCGAGCCGAGACCCACCCACCATCTGTTACAACGTAAGTTGGTTAGTCATGGCTACTCTTGCCATAGTTAGTGCTCTTGAATACCTATCCAGTCCGGGTCCAGACTGACTATGAAAGCTCGGCAGTGAACGGTAATAATACGTGGCCAAGGTCAATTCTCAACCCGTTTTACATACGCAGTCGGGACTAATTATTGCGTGCAAGGTGTTGTCTTCTTGGTCTTCTAATCAAATGGATGCGGCTTTTCTCTTGCGACAGTTTGTTTTTGATTCCTTTTTAACGAGAGATACTCATTATTAACCCTATAGAAACTCTTTCCACTTGTTCAATACCGAAAACTTACCCAACCGCAGATATTATAATGTGAAAATTTGAAAGCCAAGTACAACACCATAAAATACGATGTCTCAATTCCACTGCCCTATCAGAGCCCGACTTCCAGTAAGCACTAACGGAATTTGATTTAGGGCAACAATTTTCTCCACACATAAAGACAAATAGGGATTATCCTTGCCATTTCTGGCCGGCTTGTTCAGCTAGGTGGATGGCCAAGGACTATACATTCCTCAACAGGCACACGGCCAAGGCCACTAGGAAGCTCTACCAGATTACCCGTAAAAAATGGGAATTGTACTCTTAATTCTGCAATCCATACAAATCGAAGGGCTGGATCACTATCAGAGAAGGGATACAGAGAGCTAAGACTCGAAGTCTATTTTCAGGAATTTCGAGTTAGCTTCCCATGTGGGTGTCAAAATCCATATGGAACATCCAGACATATCAATCTGCCTGTCTGTATGAAGACTGCAGTACTTGTAAGGAAGGAAAAGGGACCAGGAACTAAGCAATGCAAGTCCCAAGGACTCTGGTTGTGATTCATGCTCTACTACTCAAATCTATAGCGTAACACAGTTGACTCTCAATGGGACCAACAGCGAAAAGAAGGGTAAAAAAAGATATTATAAAGCAATATGCCAAAGAAGATCCTGAGATTGTCTCCAGGCAATGAAAAAAAAAGAACAAGAAACGCCGGGTTTCCTGATACCAAATCACCAAGCATGCATGATGTAATGTAGCAAAAGGTCGAAAGCTAAGGTGAACTATACAGTCGGGATTGGAGGATATCTGCACAGGCAGACAGATATCCAATCCGAGGTGTTGATATCGATGTCGTGACAGTCATGAAGGGGGATGGGGTGGTGGTGTAGTGGACGGTTTACGTCCCGTCATACGGCTGTATGCGCTCCATCTGAGAACTGCGGCGCTCCTCCTTGACTTTCCGCTTCTCTATCTTCTTCATGGCTTCCTCGGTCAGTTGCTGACGAAAGAGGCGCTCGACGACATCCTTCTTTCGAGACCGTCGGTCACCGAGCATGATCAGCACGCCGCCTGTTATATTGCAGGTGATAGAACAGCAGAGAATGACGGTGGTCAGGGCGAAGGGTCGATGCTTGGGCGGTTCCATGCTCCACGTGCACACGCCGAGAGCAATCTGCAGAATTGAATGGCAGTCCAGGATGACGACGATAGCGACGAGCATTCGCAGCGGAAATGCGTGGTGGGTCACTGTCTCGTGGGGCTTGTAGAAGGTGTGCGATCTGGAGAACTTGTTCTGGTGGTGAATCAGTCGCAGCTGTTGGCGCTGGTCGAGCACCGAGAACTCATATTCGTCTTCCTTGGGAGTGTCGCCGAATTCGACATCGACATCGATCTCCCGCTGCGCTGGGAGATCGTTTTTGTTTTTCAGGTCAGGGAGGCTCCGCTTGCGACGGATCTTCCATGTCAGGTGCGTGTAATGGGCGATGAAAATCATATGGTATGTATCCACGGCTCGGAAAGGAGCTAATCCGTCACCCATGATGGCAAACAAGCCGACCAAGATGTTATCGATAATGTTGATAACGTAGTCCTCTTTACCGCCGACATTGATCCAGCCTATATGAAATTAGTGGTCTATTTACACGTCGTAGGTGGGGATCAGGAGTCCGTACCGATCAAGAAAAGTACCCACGCAAGACCGAAGAGGGTAATGAGGGTCGCGTAGAGAGTCACAAGAAACCCCAGCGCTGTTGCAAGATAGTCAGCTTGTTTTCCTTAAGACATCGTGAAAAAGACGTACGCTTGCGCAAATATTGACCGAACCCCTTCATGGCTCGCCTGAATTTGGATCGGCGAGAGTGAAGCATGTGCCGGACGTGATCGTTCAGTTCGGCGAAATCCTCCTTGGTCCACCCATCCAGATCGTGCCCATCAGGGAGCACAGCAAACCGGGGACCCGACACGACGGAGGACATACTCGTGAATGGACGCAACTGCTCAAGTGCCGGTCTTTCTTTCTTGGCATCTTCCGAGAGCTCGGCTTCATCCGTGGTAGTTCCCTGCTCTTCATCGGAGGAGGGCGGAGGGCGCGAAATAGTATAGGTGGGCATGCGGTTGATAAAACCACCCAAGTTTGGCACGAATAGTGAGTTCTGAACATTGGTGAGGGTGGACAGAGCCGACACCTCCGGATCTATCGTGCGTAAGTTATTACCCCCTTACTCTATATAAGGAGTCAATCTTACCAATCACATCCAGAACATCAACAACATGAGGTCCATACTCGCCCATCCGTTGAGAAACCTCTCGGGTTAGTGTTGGCGGCGCTCCGGTCACAGTTGATGCGCGGTTCCGTGAGAACCGATTCAGAGCCGCTTGACTGGTGCGGCGCAGAATACCTCGGTTGTTCTCTGGCCGTGGGATAACGGGTGGAGGCGGTTGCAGAGTATCCATTTCCTGCTCCTCGAGGGGTAGTCCTGAAGGGGTAATTGCAACCGGACTCTGGACCGATGATTCTTCGGTTAGGGGCATCATCCGCATAGGAGTGGACATCCGCGTAAGAACATCCGGGGGGGGCGACGACCATCGTCCCGGCCGTGGCTCCGAGTTGCTGCGCCGACGGCCCTGCCATCCATCATCATCATCATCCTCTGTGGGCACATTGGACCAGGGAGATGGTTGCCGGCTGATTGCCGGCGCTGCCACTTGCTCGGGTTGGGCCTGTAGTTGAGTGTTGACGGTATCCAAGGACGAATAGGACGATAGGCGGGAGAGGCGAATACTCGGGCGACGCGTGCGATTTGAGGGGGCTCGCGGGCGTAGTGTGGCGAGCGGTGGACGCGATGCAGAGGATGCAGGAGGGGCCGGGTGTGCTCCGGGTTGGCCCTCCTGGGATGCCGAGTCCTCGACGGGCTCGATGCGATCCATGTTGGGCTTCTGCGGAGGACCCCGGGAGACGAAAAGATTTCAGGAAGGGCGAGGGATGTGCGCAGTCGGGGGGAGGATGGAGGACACTGGCGACGCAAAGAATGACAAGCACAGAGGTAACTTCCTTTAATCCATTGATGGCAGGGTAGGAAGGAAAACCCCTGTGAAGGAGAAAAGTTGAAGGGGAGCCAAACGAATCGGGGATGCAAATTAGGCAAGCCTGACTCAGCAAATCTTGTTTTCGCGAGTGACGGGGGCCAAGACTACTAGCAGCGTTAGGCGGTCGATCCCGGATTACCTACCGTCTGTACCTCCAGTGGGGTTGATTAGGAGAGACTGTGGTAATGCTGGCGTGTGGCAAAATATCATAGTAAGAGGGGCAGACTGCATCTCTGCGGTGGCAAATATTTAGACGAATCTGGCTTCAAAGAGGAACTATACACCCATGAATAGGTTCAGATCAAACGGTGGGCGCTGCATCAGGACCACTATAACTATGATGCCCAGGTCCTAAAAGACGCTTTCTCTCCTCCATCTTTCCCACACTAGTCAATCCAGATGCAAACCACCCCGAATGATTTTGTCACTAGTGACCCACTGATAGAAACCCCACCTGCGCCCATGACACCGGGCTCTCCGACCCGGCGCAAACGATCGATCTCGGTGGAATTCGTGTCGGACAGACCGAGTAAACAGCGGGTGGTACGACAAATGGTTTCCTCAGCGCCAGATGCCGTCGAAAAGCCATCGACTGACTTCCAACCATGCTCCTTTACAAACGAATTTTCAGGAATGTCGCGCATACGATTGCCCACACCTTCCCCTTTGGGAACTTTGCTCGCACGCACAATTGCAGCCTCCCAGATGTCACCCATGCCATTAGCGCAGTGGTTCTAGCGCCGCTCCGACGGCCGCATCTTCTGCTGAAAGAGAATCTGTCAGTGTCGGAGTACAGCCAGATTTTGATTGCTGAGTGGAGGGCGCGCCAGCAAGAAAAACGGGTGAGTTGCTCAAGATCCACGCTGGTTGCAAGCGCTGACACAACAGGCAGGCTTGCGTTACCGCGGACACGCCTGCCAGATCCCAGGCCTCAGAGGGCACCCGAGATTGGGTGGACGAGCCGGACATCAGGCCGTGGAGAAGTGGCACGCCACGGTCACCGGTCATCCGAACCGAAGTCGAGATTGATATCTGGGGGGATTACATCCCGGTGGAGAAGTGGCAGGCCGGGCATTTTCAGTGACGGCAGGAGATATAGTTGGTGATCCACCACTTCCACCAGCCACCGGCAATACGCACACCGCCTTTCTCCTTTCCCTGTCGTCCCCCCGTCGACCACCTCTCCTTCCCTTCCTTCTTCTTCTTCTCCCAAAGGTCAACTCTACTTGCAACTTCAATCCCATCCCAACGTCACCTTTCAACCGGTATCTAGGGCACCAAGCTACCCTGCTCCTTCCCCTCCATCGCTCCCCTCGTCAAGTTCTTTCCATCCTCCCACTCACCAAAGGCAAAAATCAACAAACAAACACAAATCCATCATCAATCCTCTTTTGTGTCACCGCCCATTCAAGATGTCTGCTGCTGTTGATACCATCACTGACAGCGTGGCTGCCACCAGCCTCAACGACGCCCCCGCCACGAACGGCGCGGCTGCTGCGGCTGCTGATGCTGCGGCTGCCAGCGCGGATGAGGGCCGTCGTCTGTACATCGGAAACCTCGCCTACGCGACCACCGAGGAGGAGCTCAAGGAGTTCTTCAAGGACTATACCATGTAAGCTGCGACCACCGCTCATGCATCCTCGACGCGGCGCTCGAACTTGAAGACGAATATGCTGACTCACTTTGATCCCAGCGAGACCACCTCGATCCCGGTGAACCCCCGCACCAACCGCCCCGTTGGCTACGCATTTGTAGACCTCGCCACTGCGGCGGAGGCTACTGCTGCCATCGAGGGACTCTCCGGTAAGGAGATCCTCCAGCGCAAGGTGTCGGTTCAGCTAGCCCGCAAACCCGAGCCAGCCGAGGCCAAGGAGGGGGCTACCAGCGGCGGTGAGGGTGCCAGCGGTAATGAGGGTCGCAAACGCACCGGTGGCCGAGGCCGGGGTCGTGGCCGTGCTCGTGGCCGTGGCGGCCGTGGCGCTCGTGGTCAAGCTGTATGGTTCTTCCACCTCATCAACTTGAAATGACACTAACCTCGAGGCAGGGTCAGGAAGGTCCGGAAGGCGCTGACGGTGCTGTCGACGTCCCTGCTGAGACCGCCGAGGGCGAGGCTGCTGGCACGGAAGGAGCCAAGAAGGAGGGCAAGCCCCGTGTGGCGCGCCCCCAGAAGCAGCGTGGTCCTCCGGAGGATGGTATCCCGTCCAAGACCAAGGTCATGGTTGCTAACCTGCCCTACGACCTGACTGAGGACAAGGTGCGTTATCTGTCGGACAATCACAGATTGATTTACTGACCCCCGCCCAGCTCAAGGAGATCTTCGCCGAATACTCGCCCGTGTCGGCCAAGGTTGCCCTGCGTCCCATCCCGCGCTTCATGATCAAGAAGCTGCAGGCCCGCAACGAGCGCCGTAAGACTCGTGGCTTCGGTTTTGTCAACCTTTCCTCCGAGGCGCTGCAGGAGAAGTGCGTTGCCGAGATGAACGGCAAGGATATCGACGGCCGTGTGATTGCCGTCAAGGTGGCCATTGACAGCCCCGGCAAGGAGGACGATGTCAACGAGGCAGCCGACAAGTACGAGGAAGCAAACGCGCCGGCTGACGAGAACGCTGCTCCTGCCGTCGCCCCCGTTGAGGCCTAAATCCCTTTCAACCAACACACTCATTTGCTGATTGCTATGGGGATGGATGTGGAAGAACCGTATTGGTACGCCAAGGTCCGCTGTGAATATCTTAGTTATTCGACAGGTGTGGTCTGAGAGAGCGAATTCGCTGGGCACGGGAGATCTTGTGATGGAGGATGATGACTCTTTTTAACGGATGCCATGGCCTGAGCCCTTAATAGGCCAGGCCTTTCATCCCTAACGACTTTTTTTAACTTCTGTACTGTATCTTAGCCCCAATTTAACCCCACGGATTGATGATATTTTCGTCTGTTGCTGTTGTAAATAGTCAAGGCGGGATGACGCTAGTTGACCCTTGCGGATCACCGCCAAAGCGGAACTTGTCTTGCCCAGTACAACAATTTCCCCTCTACACGATTCTGGCCTCCATTCACCACTCCTTCTCATCTCCAGTCGGAAAATCTATCTTCCACTGTTTACCCTGTGCATCGGACGCAGTAAAACCAAAAACAAAATACTCAAGGGGCAATAAGAGGGCGGCCCGAGCACAGCCAACCAGATCCCGCAACCACGCCAACAACGGGTGCTGGATCGAGCCACGCTCTCTTTCCCTCGTGATCGGAGTTTCTTCGTCAATCGCTTTACGACTCTCGCTTTCTTTCCTTGAATACAATGTCTCGCATGTGGGAGGTTGATCCGGAGACGAAGACGAAGGTGCGCAACTCCTGGGATTGCAAGTGGTGTGGCGAGAACGACACTGACCAGGCAACAACACATAGCTCCTTCGAATCTCCAAGACGAATGGAAATGACCGATGTTGCGATTGCGGCGCTCCATCACCTCAATGGGTTGGTTTCCCTCCCTTCTCGCAGTTACCCAGGATCTTCTTGCCCGAATTCATCCTTAACGACCTACGCTGTCCACAACACCGTAGCATTTGCTCACTCCCTTGTCAATTATTAGGCCTCCCCCAAGTTCGGAACATTTATTTGCCTCAACTGCGCCGGCACCCACCGCGGGCTGGGTGTGCACATCTCATTCGTTCGCTCAATTACCATGGACGCCTTCAAGCACGCCGAAATCCAACGCATGGAACTCGGGGGCAACGAGCCCTGGAAGTCCTTCTACGATAACCATCCCGTCACCGTATCCGAGGGCCGCACATTCGAGGACTCGACGATCAAGGAACGATACGAGGGTGATGCCGGAGAGGAGTGGAAGGAGCGGTTATCTTGCAAAGTGGAGGGCCGTGAGTACGTGCTCGGCCAGGAGAAGAAGAACGCTGCCGCCTCGCGATCTAGCACACCACTGAGCACTGCGGGCTCAGGCGCTGGGATGGCCGCCCGCTCAGGGTCACCTGCCACTTCCTTGGGGCGATCTGATAGCCAGCGCGGTGGACCGGCGAGTAAGAAAGAGCAGAACGAGTCATATTTTGCGAAGCTGGGGTCTGAGAATGCTACCCGGTCTGACGCACTTCCGCCGTCACAGGGAGGAAAATTCACCGGGTTCGGGGGTGGGTTGCCTCCACCTGCTGCGAGTGAGCGTCGGTCATCGCCATTTGGGGGATTTGGAGGCGGGAACCTAGCCTTGGATGATCTCCAAAAAGACCCCATGGGCACACTGACCAAGGGCTTTGGATGGTTTGCCTCGACAATCGGAAAGGGCGCGAAGACGGTGAATGATTCATACTTGCAACCCACAGCGAAACAGGTACGTCCCTTTTTTTTCCCTTTTGCTTAATATCAGAAAGTTGACTCGACTCTCTCCCCACTGCAGCTCGCAGAATCCGACTTTGCTGCTCAGGCCCGCACGCAAGCCGCCAGCTGGGGTCAAAATCTACAGGCCGGTGCTAAAGGTGCCGCAGACCAGTTTAATCGGTTCGTCGAAGGAGAGGATGATAGCCGTGCCACCAATCGGCGTTCTCGCATCGAACCCGAGCGCAGGGATTTCTGGGACGACTTCTCGTCGTTGGCCTCGGAACAACAACAACAACCCTCAGGGCATCAGCGCAGCGGCTCGCGGTCTGGTACTATTGGCACCGCGGCCATGCGAAAGGGCCCCGTGCCAACATCGTCGCTGTCCAACACTTCCTCTGCAGGCGATGCCGCGGCCTCGTCCGGTACCGGCGGAGTAGAGGGCGCGGAGGGTGCTGCTGCTGCGTCTACGGGTAAGGGGAAGGAGGACTGGGATGAGAACTGGTAGTAAATATATATACCTGTAACCAGTGTTATCGGCCGTTGTTGGAACAAACAAGACTCAATATATCTAGCGTGACATTTTCTACCAAGTATATTATCAGGTCAAATATCTAGTCCACCATCCCTCCTTTCTCTTCAACGACTCATAGATGGCCTTCTGCCCAATCCATCCATGTCCCTCGCCCTCAAACTCAACCACTTCCGCCACTCTCCCCTGCTCAAGCATCGCACTAGCCATCATCCTCGCCTGCGCAACAGGAACAACGACATCCTCGGTCCCCTGCAACAATAGCAACGGCGCCCTCATCCTCTCAGCATAGTAACATGGACTCCTCTTCACAAGTTCCCCTTCTCTCTCCCCAGCCAACGTCCCGCTCAAAAGCAAGCGGTCCACATCCTGACTCTCAAATTTATATGAATCCGCCTGCAGCGCACGCACGTCGCTGATCCCGTATGAACTCACTCCTGCCGACCAGACTTCGGGGTACAAGTGCAGCGCTTGCAAAGTGAGATATCCGCCTGCGCTGCCGCCGTAGATCCCTACGCGCGATCTATCGACTAACCCTTTCTCAATCAGGTAGTCTACCGCGCTGACTGCATCGCCTACATCGACCAGTCCCCAGTATCCGGATAGTCGCTCGCGGTATTCGCGGCCGAACCCCGTCGAGCCGGTGTAGTTCACCGCACAGACGGCGAAGCCGCGCGTCGTGTAGTACTGGATCTCGAGGTTGAGCGCCGGAGTGACGCACCCGTTTGGTCCGCCATGGACATGGACTAGGACCGGGGGAAGGGGAAGAGCGTTGCTGCTGTCATGTGGCGAGAAGTCCGGGTTGCGGGGTGGGAAGAAGAAGAAATGCACAATGCCGTCGGTGCGCGGACCATGTTTTTGGGGTGCTGTTAGATGCGTTGCGTGGGAGATGTATTCTGGTGGTATGGTGAATGAGGCTGTTGATGCGAGGACGGTCCTGTGGACTTGGTTCTTGTTGTTGGTGGTGCTGATTGATACTAGGGCTAGTTCCTGGGGTGCGGTTGTTGATGCGCCCACGATCGCGGCACTATTGGATGATACGCGGAAGATTCCGCTGCCTGGGTTCCCGAAGTCCACGTAGGGAAGGTCGAGGTTGTGGACAGATAGGGTAGATGTATTGAGGAGGACGATTTTGCTGGTGGCATTGGTGATAACTGCTGCCATGATGGTTGTTGCGTTGAGGGATATATAGGTTGAACTACATAGACGGGTTAGGCTTGGTTCGGTATTCAAGAAAGCGAACAGGATATACCTTCCAAGCAACCATTCCGCAATGGCAAAGTCCGACTTTTCCAAGCTCTCAAACTCCAAATACCGCACAGACTGATTACCGACGTTAAACGAGTACAACTGCCAATATCCAGTGCGATCACTAGCAAAATACAGCATCCCATCAAATGCCCATTTCGGCTGCGCGATACTCTCCTCCTTCGCTTTGCCCGCTACACGAGTGATATTCTTTAGACACCCGTTATCCCATTCGGCAACGTAGAGCACAGTGCCTGTCCAGGGCATATCGGGATGCGACCATTGAATCCAGGAGACGTATTTGCCGGAGGGATCAAACTTGGGATGCGAGTAGAAGTCATCGCCTTGCGCAATTGTTATTTCTTTGCTGGAGGCCGTGTCTATGGCAACTAATGTATTGTGCACATGCGTTGCTTGGGTTTCAGGTGTTGCATCACGGTGGTCTTCCTTGATAGCGATGATCCATTGGCTGGCTGTGGGGTGGACGCTGAAATCGGCGTAGCGAAGACCCTTGATCGCTGCGTGGAGGCGGGTGGTGTGGGATGAAACTGGATTTAGGAGATAAATGCCGCACGATTTCCGGTCTGAGAAGACAATCTGGCCATCCGGTCTGATTGCAATGGAGCCCCCGCCTAGCTCTTGCACACTTGCCTGCGCACTGAATTCTTTGAGCAAAATGTCTTGGCTATGCCCGTTTAGATGCTGCACAATGGCAAAGCGTCCATTCTCGGTTGGACGGCACTCGACTGAGTAAATGGCGCCGCTTGATTCCTACATAGTTTGATCAATTCGCGTTCTTGGGAAGGGAATGCGGTTTGTCGGGTGGACTCACATCGACAGCTACTTCGTGGAGCGATATGCTGTCTGTTGATAAATGCTCTGCGGTGAGTGGACTAGTCCAGCGGCCATATGGCGCACGCTGGGAGGGAGCCATTTTCACTGGTTCCCAGATGAAGTGTGTTCGACGGCGGAATGCTTAGGAGATTAATTCCGGAAATAATGTCTGGGGTTCTCACTGGATGACTCACCGCGATCCAGATTGGCAAAACTGAGACATTTGACAACTGATAGTCAGTTGAAGCTCTGAATGGGTACTGAGAATCATGTTTTTATTGAGATATTCAGCGGGGTTTCTGATGGGTGTCAATGATGGGTAAGAGAAATGCCACCTGGGTATTCCGAAGACGGTAAAAAGAATAATGTAAATGAGAGACCGAAACATGATATGCTTTTTCTAGTGAAGACTAGGGCATACAACAAGGACAGTAAAACGATCAACGTTCCCTCCCCCGCAAACGCGCACCCCATAAAAGCCACAGCAACTTCTTTTTTTACGTAGTTGAGGTGTAGAGCTGCAGGTAACCAGTCCATACAATCCTTCGATGGTGACTGCCTTGGTTATCGCAGTCAGTGACAGGTCCAATTCAAAAAAAAAAAAAAAACGCGAGACCAGTTTCAAATTCCAACAGTCATAAGAGAGTCGATGTGCATGGTAGCCACCTAGGTATAGTCCTGCTCACGGGCAAAGATCGAATATTCCTGAATCGTCTCCCAGGATGAATCGCTCACGATTTCGGGTTCCTTCTCAAATGCGGATAGCATGTTTCGAATTGAAGGCGTCGCGAGATGCATACTGTTTGAAGTCGCCTATATCATTATCATTGCTTTCCCCTGGCCTTAATTGATTCACACTAGGGCCGCATTTTAACACAATTTCACTGGCCCCAATTCTTAATTGATCCTTATTTGCCATGACGCCCAATGCGATTATAACATCCTATAACATTCATTATTTTCCCAGAGAGAGGTGGTGTGTCAATAGCACATTCTAAATACCGGACTCCTCTAGATATCCAATCCTACACGTTGAACTCCCCGTAGAACTATATACAGATCTGCGTCATTTAAAATTCCCCAAAAATCAACCTATCAAGAGGTATGCTCCTCATTAGAGGTCGGCTCTTTCTTATCATGATCCGGACGAAGGAAAATCGAGCCAACAAGATTGAACACATTGTTCACCCGTAGCCACATGCAATAGGCCAATGTAACACCAGTGACAACAATCTCATCCCGCACAGCAGGGTCATTCGCCTTGGGGCCAAGGAACTCGATCTGTCCCACTTTCTTAACAGCCCACATATTAGCCGAGAACTTCGCCACGGCAATCTGGTTCTCGTCCATGCAGACAAAGTCCCACGTTTTGAACCCGCTGTTACTGGTCCACGTCATGGTAACAGGGGAGTCCGTGTTCGAATATGCGTGCGATTGGTGCGTGTACGCTGTTTTGAACCGCTTCTGGGCCTTGATCGTGCCCTTGAACCCGTTTAGTTCGTAGTCAGGGCTTATGTCGACTGCGTGCAGGGTGCCTGTTCCGACGGTTGTGTCGGTTTCCCCGGACTTGAAGGTTAGATGGGGCGGCAGGAGCATTTGGAAGCCGACGATGTAGAGAGGTTTCGAATGAGGGTCGTTGGCGTCGGTGATGAGGCCTTTGAATTTGGACCAGGCGAAGTCTACCTTCAAGATGGAGGACTGGGTGACAGCTGGGTGAGAAGAGTCCATGGTTGATTCAAATTGATGACAATAGTTTAATTTGAGATGATGATGATAATGGAACTCGCAGTCCACCTGCGTGCTCTTATATTCTTCGAGGGCTGTATACTTTGCCGTCGCCCTGCCCCCAACCCAAACTAACCGCATTCGGTGCGATATGGCGCCCATCCAATGAAGATGCGATGCCGTGATGTCATTGCCTCTTTGAAGATGATCTGCATCGTTTATGAAGGAACTCGGCGAACCACAGCCCTGGGGCTATGCTTAAACGTGGCGCTCGCGCACCGTTTCAGACAAACTCGAAAAGGGCTGGGCGAAGCGCTTGGGTCGTGGACCCCCAAGGGGCGGAAACCGCACCATGTTAACTGATTATCGGACAATTGCGGTCAGCCTTGGATGCGTTCTACATTAGGTACGGTTGGCAATCCCCAGAGTTCCAAGGGTGAGACTCAGCCTCATGAATTTTATGCGCAACTGCCATACACTTGCTACCACTGTGTGCCCCTCCTTCCGCCCTGTCCACACCCAACAGGAAACTTCTTCACGTAATACTCTTGAGTGTCTTTGGTCCCTGTAAAATGGCCCGACTTCCTGCTTCAAAGCTGCATCTCATCCGTGATACGATAGAAAAACATGCGCTCATCACGCTCAAATGGCCGAGGAAACTGAATGCAGCGAGCACACAACGTTGGGATAATTATGAAGCGTCTACCTTCACTCACTAAGTCGAGAAGACCAGGAAACGAAATTCAATGACACTTGTTTTATTGTAGGGGCTCTCTAGCGATGCACATGCTTTAAAAACCGAAGCTCAAATAGAATAGCTCCTAGCTCCATATCCACTCCCTGAGCCACATAATGGCCCCAATTGTGGCACATGTTCCCAAGAGCTTCACAACATGTTTTGTCGAGAAGGGCGTTGCCTTCTCATAACAAAAGCCTTGCGGCCTTGTCCTGAATCCCTGTTCCGTACACGAGCGCTGCAGCCGTCTTGCCGTACGTGACCCATGAGTCGTGCTGATGATATCAAATGGACTTATTCTCGCTCCGCTGGAATGCAGGCACAGATGCGGGCCTGGATCATTCGTATAGAGATCCGAGCGGCCAGAACCAGCAACCAGTATCCTTTGCATGGGGAATAGGCCGACTATGATAGTCCCTTCCGTGCCAGCTGGTGACCGCTCCGAGTATCCCCTGATGAATGTAGTTGCTTTGTCAAATATCCGCCGCTCCATACTATCATCCACGAATATGATGAGCTTTTTATGATGCCCACCTTGGGCCTTCTCATCTATTGGCAGTGGAGCATGACATTCCAGAGCATGCTTCACGACTTCGAAAATATATATCAATCGGCCTAGGCCTGCCACGGTTGAAGGCTGATTCCCTCGGTCTAGGTGTGTAAAGAAGTCTCTCCATTGCGCAGAATCCGCCCCCTGGGTTTTCAGTGCAATCAATAGTTCCTCCAAAGAGGGCATGACTCCGGATGGGACTCTCTCCTGGAGCAACGCGACCGCTGCTTCTGCTGCAGAGGCGAAATTCACCTCCACGTTACGAATACCTCGGTCCATCAGCATTTCATCAATAGCAGAAGCCATCATGTTCTGGAGTTGGGTTTTTCTTCTGCCGATCACAGCCATCCAGCTTTGAACATAGCTTATCGAGACCAGCTTTTGGGCAAAAAGCTCACAGGCTGTCCAGTAGTACTGGAAATCAGGTACGTCGATATTGACACTAAGAGCAGTATGCTGGTTGCTGCATCCTCCACATAGTGCTGCAACATCTGCAACAGCCGAAGAAAGTCGAGCGACAGTCTCCAACTCGTAGAGGGTTGGATCGTCATTTTGAGGTATCATAGGAATAATGCAATTATCATCTTGACCATGGCCTGGGACCATTCCCAGGACGGCTTTGGAGACCAAACAAATACCGGTATTGATGTGAATACTTTTAAACCGAACAGGAGATGTTCCATCCAAAAGTGCGGGCTTGATTGTCGGGCAACGTGCGTTAAAATATTGAGTTGATTTGACTCCATTGCTGAAATGGAGCTGAGTCTCGTGGAATACTTCGGACATGATGAGGCTGCCGCTTTCTTCTGACATCTGAGGACTGCATATAAAGGCGCGTTTTCCAATCTTGACAGCTGGATTGTCCGTTGCCGAGACATTTCGAAGGAGGTGCTCCAGCTTTTCGATTGCACTCCTCCGAATATATTTTCGAATTTTCGTATCTTCAATCTCACTGGTATCGTTGAGGAGCTTGTAGCCAATCACTCCAGGGACGAGCTGAGGGTGTCCGATATCATGACCAAGGGAGTGGTGGTCTACCGTCGCTGGTCCGACTTTGTTGCAATGTATGACCGATAATACCGTTTTGGAGTCACGAATGTCTCTAGAATGGTCGTCTAGTGAATGAGGTTCGCTTACGGATACCTCATTCTCCGTACCGACTAGAGAGTGTAGAATGTTGAACATGATCTCTTGTTTGTTTCATTGATCAAATAAAAATAACACATAAGGCTATAGATGCCAATTCCACCCATTTCCTCCCATTATATATTTTTACTTCACCGCCAGTCTATAGCCAGAAAGCCATAATAATATGCTCTTTCACATTTTCAGTGGTCCTTACTTGAACCTCTTACTTGTGATTGGTTAAATCTTCAAGTTGCACATTTGCACACTATACATATTAAGGCCGATCTTTTGTTCTTCGTATCTGATGACGTGTGTCTCAATGAAGATCTAAATTTTCTAAGCAGGAAGTAAGGAGCTCTAGTGATTGATTGTCGATTCAGAATAAGGTATGTATTGGATAGTGAGTGTGGCCTATTGCGTAGACCGGTTTTCATTGGTAGGAAGGTCCCCTTACCGCTCTTCAGGGACAAAACACTCGTCATCCAAAGTGTGACCTAGTACAGGATGTAGAGGACTCATCTGCTAATATTAGGGATGTTAGGTGGAATTTCAAGCGTATGAAACTTTCACAGATTTGTTGAATCTTGAAATGAGTTTCTTAAGATTGAATTAGACACTAACCTAATAATATTTTGAAAATATTTCGAAATGGGTTGGTCAGTTTCGAAATTACAACATCCCTAGCTCTTAGCTAATACCTCCGGATGGGGGAGCTGGAATTGGGCACAAATTTGAACCGTTAGGGTGACATCATTTTCAACGGTTATCCATCATTCCAGTCAAGTCCAGTCAACAATGCCAACAATTCCAGTAGGGATGGAGCCTGAAACATGGGAACAGAGCTCGGACTACGCACCAACCTCCGGCCACTTAGGCAGCCCGTATGTAGCGCGACCTGTCCTCAGTCCCTCTCCTCTAGTGGACTTGAAGATGGATTCAGAGCCTAGAAACAAACACGCCTGAAGATGAGCCAATGAACTTCTAATTGTATTATAGTAGACTTTTCGTCGACGTGAGCAAAGGAACTCCATATAAAATGTAGAGTGATTCACTGTTGTTGCGCCATTGCACGGACATTATAGGTGTGATCCTCGGGCCTTATCCCTCCCTACTTTATGATGTATCCGACGTAAATTGCTCCTATTCATCGATGTGTATTTTCCCTTTGAAAAAAATTTTGATGTATAGAGTGGCATTCCGGGGATAGTATTTACAAGTTTTGCATTGTAAAAAGACTACAAGCGATGACGGACGTATTTCTGAAATGCCTAACGTAAACATTTTATGCCTCTCGTGTTCTGGAGAGATAGATAGATATGTATGATAACGGAGGAAACAGATGCTAGGCCTCTATGTAAATTGGAAATTTAAAATATTAGCAGATAAAATCGCGGTCAAAAAGGATATATTCTGTCCAGGAAAGTATCAAGGGCGGCCAAAAGTGATATGTACCGTCCATCTTCTAACAGCATTTTCCTCCACTACCACCGTCTAAACTCGAGACCTGCTGGTCTATACTGATATTGGAGGCACCGTTCTGTTCGCTCCTCGAAGATTCCATGGTCTTCTTGATGTCAGATGCAAGACTGTAGAATGCCTTCTCGATGTTGATGTTGTTCTTCGCGGAAACTTCCAAGAAAGATATACCAAGCTCATCAGCAAGCTGCTGACCCTGTTCGGTCGAGATGGCCCGCTTTTCTCCCCAATCGCACTTGTTTCCAATCAGGATTTTGTGCGCACTCTCGCTAGCATGTTGCTCGACGTTAGATAACCAAGTTCGAATGTCTAGCGGCGAAGATTAGATCACGTCATAAAGGGTTATATAGACGAAATGGAAGGCGGAGCCATTTACTATAGAATGAACGTTCATCGGTCACATCATAGACTAGTAGGATCCCCATAGCGTGACGATAGTAAGCTGTTGTTATAGTGCGGAAGCGTTCCTGGCCCGCCGTATCAAAGATTTGTAGGGCTACACGTTTCCCATCTAGTTCAATATTGCGAATCTTGAAGTCGATTCCGATGGTAGTGATAAAGGAGGGAGTGAAGGAGTCTTCAATAAAGCGCAACAGACAGCACGACTTGCCGACGCCGGAGTCCCCAGTCAATACTAATTTGAACTACAACGCATATCTTAGTATCTCAATAAACGAAATATAGAAATATAGAAGTTAAATGGACTCACCGCGAAGAAATCATTCCATGTGCTTGCCATAGTGAGGTTATTTAGATTTAGGGAAGGTCAATGGCGAGGTTACGTGGGGTAGGCAGCGGTTGTCGATATTCTGAAGTAGGATTCCGGACTTATTTCAAACGAACAAGGTGGTAAACAGATTGAGATCGGGGCTTTTTTAGAGTTGTCTTCCTGGGTTGCCGTTGTAGCCTATATCCAAAATCGTGAATTGTTCGGCCTGGTCAGGCAGGTTGGATGGTTCTGCTTCCGGGGACTGTATCAGGAGCCTTGGACCTAGAGTGTGAATCGCTTGCAACACAAAAGTATCCGATGCACAGACTTATCATCCTCATGCTCAGAATAGCTAGATTTAGGCAGCAATTTATTGGTACAGTGGGACCGAGTTTTTCGACCACCTAGGGTATCTTTCTTTACCCCCTCCTTATTGAAGACGTACCACCAACTAAATGCAACTTATAGGCGGTGGGGCTATGCTTATACGTGGCGCCCGCGCACCGTTTCAGACAAACCGGAACTAGGCGGGGCGAAGCGCTTGGGTCGTGGACCCCAAGGGGCGGAAACAGCACCATGTCAACTGATTATCGGACAATTGCGGTCAGCCTTGGATGCAGCGTTTTGTCGGTGGCTTTGGGCAGAGAACATTCATAATCTGCTTGGTAAAGTGTCACGTTAAACATACAATTTATTCATACCACAAGGCGACTTTGTCTCGACTCGATGAAACCCAGAATTTAAGACATGCAATCAACTATTCTTACAAGTATCTAATCATGAATATCTCTTCAGCGGACTATGCATTAGCCCTCCGCTGCATTTGATGCCTTTGGATACGCTCTGCCATGCTCATAAACTGATTATCTCCTTCAAAACACTGATATTTCCTCAATCCTTGCAGCGGTTTCCCTCCTCCAAGACCAATCCTTCCAACAGGGCTGCTCTCGGTCCCTGAAGCATGGCCAATTTCGCGAACAACACCGGGGATCTCGTCAAGCTCTCTAATAGCGTTCTTATCGTACGCAACGAGCATCGGGAAGACTTCTTCGCCCATCGACGCGCCGAGCCGCAGCATGGCGAACGAATCCAGTCGTCGTGTCCAACGCGGATACAGGCTCGCGTAGAGTGCTAACGCCACTAGCGGGAGGAGGTACAGGCCCATGAGAACTGAGACCGCGACGATGCCTCCGAGGCTGATGTCCGGGATCTTCATCTCGGTCCCAAGATCCTGGTGAATAGCCCATGAGGCTTGCATAGATTCAACGAGATTTTTGTTGGAGAGGAAGGCAGCGGACGTGAAGGCGTTAGGTATATTTCCAGGGTTCAAGTATATAGTAGCGATCCAGTCTTCAACAATGCCATGGGCATTGTTTTCACTGGGATCTGAGAAGTCGATGTTGATACAAAACTCGTTGTCATCTGAAGAATTGCTGAAAAGGTTCATGGCAGGTGCGAGTGCGATGCAACCGTAATAGCTATGTTCGCCGGTTGCGCTGCTTGGGATGTTACCCCCGATGACGCTGAAATAGGCAGAAAAGGTCTCGATGAAAGATCCCGGGCCGAACATGGCATGCGCTGTCGTCAGCAGCGGGCCTTTGTTTATCGTCGAGAGCCCGTTGGTTGGAGGGTTTGTAGCGTTGCCGGTTGTGGTGCTGGCGCGGCGGACACGCTTTTTTGCATAAATCCCAATGTGCTGTGCATAACAATCCGCGCCGCAGAGACTAGTCGTGGGGTCACTCTCGAGCAACGGGCCCGGCATTTCGTCGTTCATGTAATTGGGCAACTCAAAAAACCCTGCTGTCGTAGTGACATTGATTTGAAACAGTGCGCCTCCGGCGGGTGTGTCTTGGCGTTCGTATATGTCGGAAACAGATATATTGAGATACAAGGTTTCGGTGAACTCTTGACGGTCTCGGGTTGACTTCCAGGGCGACTGGGTGACATCTGCCGGCATACAGGCGGTGATTGCCCAGCTTTCATCTCCATTAATAACGGATGAGTAGTTGGCAAAGAATGCGTTGTCGATAAGGTCGCAATCGGCCGGCCACTGGGCCGCTTTGATACTGCTATATGTGGTGCTGGAGTTGACCCGGGGAGCAAACTGACGTAGAACTCCCGTATTGAAACCTGTGGGCACCTCGCAATAGAAAGGGTCGGCCATACCTGCAAAGCTGCTTAAAGTGTTGAATTGTTGTCCACCTTTTCTCTGCCACAACTGGGGGAAAAATGCACCAGGATCTGCCGTTTCGAGAGCACCACGAACCATAACCACATCCATGCCGTAGAACGGCGAGTTAATTCCTTCGTAGTCTGATGCGCCAATGTCGCCCCCTATAAACGGCTGGCTGGCGGAGTTAGGGACGTAAATGGGCTTGCTTGTCAGAAATATTGACTGGATTGGGTAGAGAATTGCGCCGATGAAGTGGAGGAAGACGCCCAAAATTAGCAGGGTGCTACCACATCGCTTCCAGCCAACCTGGAATACATCCTTCACCAGAGAGAGATCCATCCACCGATTATCGGCCAGGGCCATAACATGTCGCATGCTCATGCTCATCCCGTCCTTTTGGTTCTGCACAAAAACAACCGCGGCACTAGCACACACGGCTGCAGTCAACGGAAGCGTAAGCACACTGACAACGCTCTGTATAATCTGCGCAGAGCGATAGAACCGCGCATCCACCGCGTAACTCATCGGCTCCCGGTAGTACATATCATAATAGTCAGTGTCAACCATGTATGCTTGCCATGAGTGTTTGTCGATCGGACGAAACGAGAGGCGAACAAATATCACCCAGGAGTATAGCGCCAGCGCCGCGTAGGTGACGGTGAGAACCAGCGCAAGGACCGAGCGACGAAGATACGTGCTGTCTCCACCTCTTATGCCCGCAAGTTGATTCGGGGGAGAGCGCGAGTACGGCGGAAGTTCCTCATGCTCTTCGTGATGTACAGCAGCAAAATCGGCTGAACCGGAATGTCCTAACGTTTCGTCTTCAGAGCTGACATCGGATTCAAGTTCTGAACTCATCGCACTCCGAGGAGTAAGCGGCGACAGAGAGACGGCACCGCTGTGGTCTTCCATCAGTCACGGGGTACTGATGGTATCTACACTTCAAATGATGCTGGCGGGGAGAGTAAACCCACAACCCACACGGGCGATGGGCTCCCATATTTAAGCCCATGAGCCGGCAAGCCAGGCTGGAGCTCTGGGCATTAAAGACCGGGTTCGTTAGCGCCCACAACCCCCTGAAATATTACAGAGCGGAAGCGAGCAGGCTTGCACAATGCCTGCGTCTTTGAGCGAATCATCATGAACTTCAATTGAGGCTGAATGAAGCTGACTAGCCGAAGGGAATTGTTGCCCCTGGAACCTGGCCAGTCAACGCACCCCACGAAGATCGCTTCGGGCTGTGCAAGTCCATCGTGCTTAGACCGACGGGGGTTGCGATTTGGGTGATGAGAATAATATACAATGTCAGATTATGTGCAGGATATGCCCGGATGATGTCGTTTTATGTGTGCCCGATTTACCCTAAATCAAAAGCCACCCCTCAGCTCCGCAAGCACAGCCTTCTGCCTCGGAGCGGTCATATTCTCGAATCGATCCACACTCATGACGAATGTACCACGGCCAGCAGTCAGACTGCGCAGGTGCTTCAGGTACCCAACCATTTCTTTCAGAGGCACTTTGGCGATAATGGTACGCGGACGGGAAGTTGCTACAGGTATATCGCCGCCGACAGACGGCGACTCGAATGGATCCGGGGGCGCGTAGACGCGACGAGGGTCAATCACAGGCAGCTGATCTTCAGACGCGGCAGTGTCGGAGGTTAGGGAGGCATCTGTTGCGGGAAGAGGTACTTCCTCGTCCAATGAGACAATGTGGCCACCACGGGAGGATGAGATGTCATGGACAACAGAGCCAAGGCTGGCCTCGTCGACGCTGATGATGACGTTCATGACGGGTTCCATCATTGCTGTTCCGGCTCCAGAGACAAGATCCTGGAGCGCCGCGGCGGTGGCCAGTCGTGCGGCGGCGGAGAGCGCAGAGGCGGTGGTTTCATTGCCAAATAGATGCGCGCTGGGGTCGAGAGTGAGAGTGACTCGCACGCTGTGCATTGGGTATGTAAATTGCGGGCCGCGAGCCAGCGCAGCAAGAGCGCCATTCTGTAACGATGCTCGCACCGTCGCCGGATCCAACCCTGGAGGCAGAAATGAGCTTTTCTCGTCGTCGCTCTTGGATGCGCGATCGATTTGTAGGCCAGGTGCAAGGATGACGATCTGGTTGCCATCGTGTGAGCCGATGTGGAGAACGGCCTCGTCTGAAACAGACTGTTCGGAATCCGCATCCTTATTGTCAAATGGCTCTACCGTAGCAGTACACCCAGCTTTGCCTCGCCGGCCGGCAATTTCCTTGTCGAAGATCTTTGTGACAGGGCCAGCCGTTCCGAGCGCAGCTTCTCGGTAGCCGATCTCGATATGACCGATCGACGCCTTAGCTTTGAGGTCGTTAATGAGCCTGTCACGCGCGATCTCAAGATGCAACTCTCCCATGCCACTCAGAAGTGTCTGACCCGACTCTTCGTCCACATTGACATGTAGGCTGGGGTCTTCACGTAGCAGCAGAGAGAGACACTCATGGATCCGCTTTTCCTCGCTCAGACTGTCTGGCTCAACACTGGTGAAAAAGACAGGTGGTGGCACATCAATTGGTCGTAATTGGAGAGTGGTCAGAGGCTCCGGTGGGCTGGCCTTGTTCCCTGCGTAGGATACGAGAGTATCGCCAGTCCGAGCATGTTTCAGCCCAACCACGACTCCGATATGGCCTGCAGGGATGGAGTCAACCTCCACGGCGTCATTGGCGTACATCTTCAGCAGTCGTGGTGCGCGCTCAGAAATATGAAGGTTGGTATTGAAAAGGAGGCTGTTGCGGTCCAGGGACCCAGAGTAGACCCGCACGTAAACCAACACACCACGTTTGGCGTCATTAACGACCTTGAAGGCGAGTGCACAGCTCTGAAGCTTGCCAATCGCCTCTTTGGGATCGGTTTGTTGCACGGATTTTCTCCTCGCTTTGCCTTTTGCAGGGCCAACAGCATTTTCGTTCTGCTCAACGATTAACTCTCCCGAGAGCAGTCGCCGCAGACTCCCTTTCACCCCGCCTATGCTCACCTCCGGGTCTGGTGTCTCAAGTGGGCTGGGCAGGAGGTTGACGATGGCATCCAACAAGGGCTGCACGCCCATATTTCGGAAACTTGCACCAGCAAAAAGTGGGACAATTCTGCTCGTTGGATCCAGTGCGCACCGCCGCAGGCTGTCGATGATATCATTTGGTGGGACAGCAAGATGGTCTTCCTCACACTCGAAGAATTTTTCGACGATATGGTCGTCATATTCGCTCAGTAATTCCACCAGCGCAATTCGTGCCCGTCGAAGTTCCTGGGCCAGTGGCTGCTCTTCTGCATCCAATTGCTGCAGATCGACCATTTTCACTGTCCGTCCATCTTCTCCTTCCTTCCAGCGGAGACCCTGGAGATGAATTGCGTCCGCCACGCCAACAAAGGGCCCATTGCCTTTGTCAAACCAAGGTATTTGACACACTGCTGGGTACGCACTGAGACGCGAGCTCACTTCTCGCACCGTCCGGCCAAAAGCAGCGCCGTCGCGGTCCAGCTTGTTGACGTAGATCAATCGGGGAATCCGATATGTACTCGCCTGGTGCCAGACCTGCTCGGTTTGTGCCTCGACCCCGGCCACGCCGTCCAGAATGCAGACCGCGCCGTCCAGAATTCGTAGAGACCGCAGCACCTCGAACGTAAAGTCTGCATGGCCGGGGGTATCGATGAGATTGATAGTGTGGGGGCTTGCGGAGCGCGGAAGCGACTGATCTGTGATGCTTGCATTGACCTCGCCTGGAGGCCAGTGAAAGGTAATGGCCGCCGACTGAATCGTGATTCCGCGAGCTCGTTCGGCAGGAAGGAAGTCGGTAACGGTCGAGCCCTCGTCCACATCGCCAATGCGCCGGGTGAAGCCGCTGTAAAACAGCATGCGCTCTGTGGTAGTGGTCTTGCCCGCGTCGATGTGGGCGATGATGCCGATGTTTCGCGTCCGTTCCAGAGCGGCGTCGTCGTTCGATAGTGTCGCGGCCGTGGAGAAGCATTGTCGCGGTGGCTGGCATCGTGGGAAGGTATAGTGATTGAGCCTTGAAGATAATCGGAAGACCATCGAGCGCAATCCCGTGGGGGAGCGCAACAATGGAGCGACGACCATCAGCAATCGTTGGGTGTACAGTGCATACACACGATGTATGAACAGTTCAGAATTATTGCGGCCGGAGCTCCCAAGTCCCTCACTCACTGCCCAATGCCCGGCAGGCTTGGCATCCATTCCTCTTCTCTACCACTCTCTTCCTCTTTCTCTCATCTCTCTCTCTTTCAGGATCAACGCCCAAATCTTCGATTGACCTCAACTGGAATTGCAATACATTGTCCCTCCTCAGTGTCATGCCCTTCTAGCCCTCTCTCGTCCATCCCAAAGGTACGTTCGTTCGGCCGTTGCGGTGGGGTCAGCCCGAGTATTAACCCGGACGCCAGGCAGCTCCCCCTTCTTCTTCTTCCTCCTCCCTCCAGCCCCAGAGACAACCGACCCTTGCATCCAAGATGGACTACTCTGCCATTTCCAACGACCCCGAGCATTCCACCGGTTCCTCGCCCTGGGGCTCTCCGCGTGCCGACCGCACCACATTCGCCGGCAATGACATTCCGTCATCACCGTTACCCGGCCAGGAGCAATCGGCGGACGAAGCGGAGCAATCCCCAAACCTCTCAGCCCAGCTGCAGCGAGCCCAGCTGGCAGACTCAGAAGAGCAGGCTCAATTTGCGACAAAGCAACCCCAGGATGCGCCGCAGCAGCAGCAATCATCACACCCCGCACGATATCATCCCGGACCAAGGTCGACCGCCCGGCCACCTGCGCCAGCCTACAAGATTCAAGGCAAGATTACCAGTCTGGAGCGAACGGGGAAGAAGGACCCCATCCTTCGGTTCGATATCCATGTAAGTTAGAGAGCTATTGCGCGCGCAGACCCGTGGCTGATTCTCCGCGATTCAGACCAATATTCCCAAGTTCCGCACCACCCAGTACCGCGACGTCCGTCGCACCCATTCCGAATTCGTCAAGCTCGCAGACCACCTGATTTCTGCCAACCCGGAAGCGCTGGTTCCCGCCGTGCCACCCCCGGTGACTCCCGCAGGTGCAGGCACCGATGAGGATGAGATCCGGGTGAAGTCGTCGATGCAGCGGTGGCTCAATTATGTGCTGAGCAATGATGTCCTCACCCAGGATGACGAAATGGTCCTATTCGTAGAGAGCGATTTTGGGTATAGTCCTGTGGTGCGCATGAAGCAGCCGGCAACCGGAGTGCGTCGCAAGATGTTGAAGCAATTTGCGCCGCCCCCAGATGACACCCCCGAGCTGCAGGCCGCCCGTCCGACGGTCAAGATGTTCTACTTGGGGACAATGGACGCAAACCACAAGGTTGACCGTGTGGTCAAGGCTCGCCGAGGTATGTGGTGCATTGCCTTCCGCTGTGATCCGATGCTGATTTTCTGTAGGATTGGGTCTCGCTGAATCTGACTTCGGTGTCAAGCTCGGTCAGATGCACGTTCAGGAGACGCATCCTGGCCTGGCCGCGGCCTATCGCAAGCTCGGAAAGATCATTCAGACCGTGGGAGACTACCATGCCGTCCAGGCCACGGCGGAGGCCACTACTATGGGCGATCCTCTGGGCTATCATTCGTCGGATGCTTTCATCGTCAAGGAAACTTTGACTAACCGACACATCCTGTTGCGTGATCTCCTTCAAGCGCAACAGAGCGCCCGCAGCAAGCGCGCCGCGGCTGACCGATTGAAGGTCAGCTCGTCTGTCCGTTCAGACAAGGTGGACGAGGCGATCAATGCTCTTGAGGAGGCACAAAGCCACGAGGAGTACCTCACCAAGCGCACGCAGCGCGTCACAACGAATCTCTTGCAGGAGAAACGTCGCTGGTTTGACCGGACGACCAACGACCTCCTGTTCAGCCTGCGTGAATACACCCTTCGGCAGATCGAGGCCGAACGGCGCACCTTGGCTACTCTGGAGAGCGTCCGGCCCGATATCCGCGCCATTGATGCCTCCGGTGGCCTGAGCCGATTGGGCCGTGAATCCCACCCGTCGGCGCGACGGCCGAACCTTGCATCGAGCCAAGGCCCTAAGGGCGACGCGTGGAGTGGCGTGCCCCGTCGAAATGACAGTCTCAGCCGCAGCATCAGCGGCAGCGTGAGCGGGAGCTTCACGGCACCTCCAGCGGGCGAAGAAGAAGATCAGGCGAACGGCCAGGGCGCTGACAAGGGTCGTGTGCGGTCGACTAGCCAGGTCGGGTCGATTGCGGAGGAGGACGATGACCGGTTGGATGCGCGCAATGCGGCCAGTCGGCTCGCTACCAGCACGTTCTAGTTCGGTATCCAGCATGCAAACGCTGATGTATATTCATTCAAAGCCGGGCATGAGATATTTTTGAGATTCCCCTGTGTATTGCGTATTCTTCTGCGTGGTCTATTCTTGAGCTATCAATCCATCCTCTGATCCTATTCTTCTATGATTGTGTCCTATCCTGGTAGTACTGTGACATGTAAATGTTCCCCCACTGACATCATGTGGGTCGTCGTCGATCACTCGATTGGATTTCAAAGCAATGCATTCCTTCTTCATTCTCTTTCACTTTCTCTTTCTCTCCTTCAATTCTCCTACTATGGCTTCCCCCAAGGTCTTCCTGTAAGTATTCCCTATTGACCAAATGTACAATCATCTGATCGTCCCAGCACTGGCGCCACGGGCTACATCGGTGGGGACGGCCTCTACGCCGTCGCCAAAGCCCACCCCGACTGGCAACTATCGGCCCTGATCCGCAGCAAGGATAAGGCGGCCCAGGTCACGGCCCAGTACCCCAAGATCCGCGTGCTGCATGGTGACCTGGACTCGACTGATCTCATTGAGGAAGAGGTCAAGAATGCCGATATCGTCTTCCGTAAGTATATCTTCCATAAAATCACCCACCACTTACCCACACCTTCCGCAGACTTCGCCGACTGCGACCACGTCGCCTCGGCCACCGCGATTGCCAAAGGAGCTCAGCACCACACCCCCGAGCGCCCGGTTTGGATCATTCACACCTCGGGCACTGGCATCCTAACAGTCGAAGACCAGCGCGCTGGCTCGTATGGCATCGAGCGGCCCAAGGAGTACAATGATTGGGAGGGTGTAAGTGAGCTGGTCAATCTACCCTCGGATGCCTTCCACCGCAACGTCGACGAGATCATCCTCGCCGCCAACAAGCAGGACCCCGCCGCCGTGAAGACGGCCATCGTCTGCCCGCCCACCATATACGGACCAGGCCGCGGACCAGTCAACCAAAAGAGCTTTCAGGCGTACCACCTCGGCGCTGCAGTGCTGAGGCGCAAGAAGGGCTTCCTCGTTGGCCCGGGCCAGAACGTTTGGCACCAGGTCCACGTTCAGGACCTGAGCAACGTCTACCTTGCCCTGGGTGAAGCAGCCGCTGTCGGCGGTGGGAAGGCCACTTGGAACGACGAGGGCTACTATCTTGCTGAGAATGGGTCTTTCGTTTGGGGCGATATCCAGCGCGCTGTTGCACAGGCGGCTTTTGAGAAGAAGCTGATTCCTTCGCCGGAGGTGGAGCAGTTGAATGATGCCCAGGTGACGGAGATTCTTCCGGTAGGTGTTTATGCTTGGGGCACCAACTCTCGTGGTCATGCTATTCGGGCGAGGAAGCTGTTTGGTTGGGAACCTAAGCAGCCGAAGCTGATTGATCTCATCCCGAGCATTGTTGAGCTCGAGGCGAAGGATTTGGGCTTGCTGTGAATCAGCCTGGCATCTTTCGTATATCTGATGGATATTGGTACAAATGCCTTACAAATAGCCGTGAGGGTTTGATGAAATGTCATTTTCAAGGTTGATATAGGGTAAAGCGAGTGACACTAAACCTGCCGGGCGATCGGCTCTGAGATCATGGGGTGAACCGCTCCCTGAGCAACTGAGCGCTCAGCCTGTCTTATCTCCTCTACCGTAATGGCAACTCAAAGTGTGAAAATACAAGCGCACAATAGGTCCCAACTATAATTATCAAGCACTGCCGAATCACAATTTAGATTGAAGGCAGGTTGACACAGCTTCTGTTGCTCTTCGTCCAACGCAAGGCCACGAAACTTGAGACAACAACCGCACGTCCTAGTACAATGGCCATGGCCGTTGGACCGTAGAGCACTCCGCGGTTTCTCACAGCATCGACAATCCCGGCCACAACAACCGCCCCGTTTCGCACAATCCTTGCATAGCCGGTGTAAACCAAACAGATCTCTATTCAAGTTGCGCGATTATATGTCTCGGATAGTAAATTAGAGATATACTCAGAACCTGGAGACTGTGTATAGCAAAGTAGAGCAACGTAACGTAGATCTCTAATGAATGTTATTAGATGCGCTTTGAATTACTCCCAGAGTGTGATTGAAGCAAATAATCAGTTGATCAATTGTAATAATTGATCAATACAGTTCATTCTAATTTGCCTCTTTGAATGCCGCGCCCTCGACACCTCAGGCAGCACTCGACGACTCGCCCTACCGTCTGGGTCTTTCATCCTTCCACCCTCCGCCCGTTCCTCTCGCCCATCACCACCTCCCCCTTCCCCTTCTTCTCCATGCAGTCCTCTCGCTGGTATACCTTCATCCGACCCCCACTTCTCGGCTTGCCGCCCTCTCCTGTTCTGTCCACAATCGCTAACCATCCTGCCTCCGTATTTACAGAATCAACAACCCCATGAGCTGCACCCTCCCGGCATCGCAACCCACCGTCTCCGCCTCGCGCGTTTAACCCGGCTGCTCTCTGTCCGCCATGGCGCCCGGGCACGGTGGCAAGAGAAAGCGCGGCGAGCGCTCATGGTCCAATGATTCCACAGGCAACGACAGCCCGAGACCCTCGCCCCATCGGCCTGGCTCGCTCAACATGGCCCACCACCTTGCCAACCCCAGCGGTGCACGATCCAGCCCGTCGAGAGACGGTTCCGAACCTCGCGACAACTCCCATCGACGTTCGTCCCGCGGAGGTGGCCGACCAGGCTCGCGTCGTGGCTCTCATGATAGTCAGAGTTTTTCTAGCTCGCAGCATATCGAGCCCGGTGCCATGTCTCACCCCTCTGTGACTGCGACGAAAGAAACTACTCAGACATCGCGAGCGAATGGCGATTCGGCAGCTCCGCAGCCGACTCCGTCTCCTGCACCCGTCACTCCTGCCACGCGCCGACCCTCCTCTCCGCCTCCTCCCTACGCTTACGAATTTGTGACGGATAATGTTGTAGAGGAATGGACATTGACAGGAAAACAGAAGGTCGTGGATGAGGGCACCGCGGCCCGCGTACAGCAGGACCTGGCGCGGCTGGCATCGGTTTACCAGGAGCTTCTCCGGTCAGCGATATACGGCCGTCTATCTCCACTGGAGGCGGGAACAGCCGTGAAAGAAATTATAGGTGAGGAGGAGACATCTCCTGATATTGACATGGAAGGAATTAAGACGGGTCTGGATCCGCGCTCGTTATTCCTCGATATCCTTTCCATCATGACAGATGCCGACACATCGAATCTGGCCCTCAAGCCTCTCGTGTTTGCGACCGGAATCTCTCCATCTCTGATGCGTCTTCAGCTGGATACGCCCTTGCTACAGTCGTTGGGATTGGTCCGGGAAACTTTCGCGCGCATGGGAATTCGCAAGCAAACCAATTTGCTTTACCGGCAGTCCAATTACAACTTGTTGCGCGAGGAATCTGAAGGATACTCCAAGCTCCTGACGGAGCTCTTCACCACAAGCAACAACGAGCCTCCATCAAGCGATGTGGTCGAAGATACATTCGAACGTGTCAAGGCTATGATCGGTGCATTTGATATGGATGTTGGACGTGTTCTCGACGTGACTTTGGATGTTTTCGCTGCGGTCCTTGTCAAACAATATCGTTTTTTTGTCAAGCTGCTCCGGGCCAGCTCCTGGTGGCCGACGGTAGAGACAAGCCCTACTGCCGAAAGTCGTCGTGGCACAGGTCTGCCGAACTGGGCTCTCCCCGGGTCTGGTGGCTGGGTAACTACAGAGGAAGACCGAGCAGCAATCGTGCGATCCAATGAACAACGAGACCGAGAATTCTGGGACCGAGTGCGTGAGGTCGGGATTCGGGCCTTCTTCGAAATCGGCCGCAAACCACTTTCAGAAGATGAGTTGAAGAAGGCGCTCCCTGAAACCACCGGCTTGCCTGAAGGAGAAGACGCGACGAAAGCATGGATTGAGGAGACGGGGACGCTGCCACCCAAGGGCAACCGAGTCGCGGCGCAGCTTCTCGGATTCAAGCTTCGATTCTACTCCTCATCTGCTCGTTCCAAATCTGACGTTCTTCCGGACAACCTCATCTATCTGGCAGCCTTGCTCATCAAGGTGGGCTTCATTTCTCTTCGTGATCTCTACGCCCATCTCTGGAGGCCGGATGATTCGATGGACACCTTGAAAACCGAGAAAATGGAGGAGAAGGCAGAGAGAGAACGAGCGGCTCGGCCAGGAGGTGGTATAAACGCCTTGATGACGGCTGGTGCCCTGTCGGACGACACTCTCCCCACGCCTCGTATGCGCGAATCAGAATCACGGGCAACTCCATCGAAAGATCAGGAATCCGATAAAGCGGCTGCGACCAAAGCAGAAGATGAGCTTCCAGACCCCAAGGATCAGAAAGTGTTGCTGCTCAAAAGCCTTCTAGTCATCGGTGCTATCCCCGAATCCTTGTTCGTCATGAGCAAGTTTCCCTGGCTATTGGACCTTTACCCTGAATTGCCTGATTTCATTCATCGCATCCTCCATCACTCCCTCAGCAAAGTTTACACCCCGCTACGTCCCTTGTCATTTTCAGACGACTTCTCCCAACAGCAGCAGATCCTGAATCCGGACCAAAGCGGCGTGGTAAAAGGACAACTTCGCCTTACGTCTCCACCGGCAAGAAGGACTCTGCGCTGGGCCCAACTGGACAAAGAAGACACAAACGATGCCACTGATTACCGCTTCTACTGGGATGATTGGGCGGACAATATCCCCATCTGCCAGTCCGTCGATGATGTCTTCGCTCTTTGCTCCTCTTTCCTGAATCTGTCCGGCCACAAAATCGGAGAAGACGCAAGCCTGCTGACGAAACTTGCGCGAATTGGCAAAGACAGCTTGGCCAAGGATGGATCAGATAAGAACAGGACCCGGTGGCGAGATCTCTTGAAGCGTCTCCTATTGCCCGCTGTCAGCTTAACCAAGGCAAACCCTGGTGTGGTCAACGAGGTGTTTGACCTTCTCAGCTTCTACCCTCGCGAGGTTCGGTACAATATGTACGCCGAGTGGTATCAGGGACAAACTTCGCGGCTCCCGGACATCAAATCGGCGTTTGACCTGGCCAGAGCGGAGACAAAGGACGTCCTCAAGCGACTCAGCAAGACCAACATCAAACCAATGGCCCGCGCACTGGCCAAGATCGCCTATGCCAACCCGGGAATCGTCATCAATGTCGCCATCAGCCAGATCGAGTCCTACGAGAACTTGATTGAGGTTGTTGTCGAGTGTGCTCGCTACTTCACCAACCTGGGTTACGATATCCTCACCTGGTCACTCATCAATTCACTCGGCCAAAAGGGACGGAGTCGTGTGCAGGAAGGTGGCTTGCTTGCTAGTCGATGGCTGAACGCCCTATCTACCTTTGCGGGTCGAACCTTTAAGCGGTACTCGGTTATGGATCCCGCGCCTGTTCTGCAGTACGTTGTGGAACAGCTGCGACAAAACAATTCCACCGACCTCATTATTTTGGAGCAAATGATCAGCTCTATGGCTGGTATTATCACCGACACCAACTTTAACGATGCCCAGATCCAGGCCATGGCTGGTGGAGAAGTTCTTCAATCACAGACCATTTTGCAACTGTTGGACAAGCGCCACGAGTCTAAGATCACTTCTCGGCGTCTGTTGAAGTCCCTGACCCATACTCGGCTTGCAGGCCAGGTATTGGTTGCAATCGCACAGGAGCGACTGACTTGTGTTTACAACGAGTCAACCTCGGAGCTCAAGTTGTTGGGTAACATCTTCGACGAGATCCACCGTATCCTCACCCAATACTTGGACCTTCTTCGCAGCAACCTGTCGGTTGAGGAATTCGATTCCTTCGTGCCGGATTTCTCTTCTCTCATTAAAGACTTCGGTATCCAACCCGAAATCGCCTTCTGGATTCGGCGGGTCAGTGTGTCCAAAAAGATAACCGACATCGAACGCCAAAAGCAGGAAACAGAAGCTTTCACTAAACAAGCTGATGCAGCCACCACGTCGAAGCCTGCCGATGAGAATAAAATGGACACTGCTGAGGATAGCGAGGCGCCTGCCAAGACAGAAGAAGCAAGTACGGAGAACGCCATGGATGTCGACAAGGAAGAAAAGGACATTATTGATGCCACTGAGGGCAATGATTCCAACCCCGCTCCTCTGGCTGCCAACCCTGTGATGCAAGAACTGATGGATAACGTCAAGTCGGTTCTGCCCTCGGAGACATGGGACGTAGTAGGCGTGCAATTCTACGCGACCTTCTGGCAACTTTCCCTCTACGATGTGCATGTTCCTCAAAAATCCTATGAAGACGAGATCGATCGACAGAAACGCCGAATCGTCGTGATCAACAACGACCGGTCTGACCTCAGCTTGGCCGGCACGCAACGGAAGGATAGAGAAAAGCGGCAGATCACCCAGTTGCAAGATCGGATCCTTGAGGAGAACAAGAGCCATTTGAAGGCATATGGACATACTCGAAACAGACTGCAGAAGGAGAAAGACCGTTGGTTCGCTGGCATGCGTCTTAAGCACGATGCTCTCAATGTCGCCTTACTGGAGCAGTGCCTCCTCCCCCGACTGCTCCTGTCGCCTCTTGATGCGTTCTTCTGCTTCAAGATGCTGAAGTTTCTGCATAGCTCGGGGACTCCCAACTTCCGAACCGTCGGCTTATTGGACCAGCTTTTCCGCGATCAGAGACTCACGGCTCTTATCTTTTTGTGCACCTCAAAAGAAGCAGACAACCTGGGCCGATTCCTGAACGAAATCTTGCGTGATCTTAGCCGATGGCACTCCGACAAAGCCATCTACGAAAAAGAAGCATTCGGAGCCAAGAGGGACCTCCCCGGATTTGCAAAGAACGTTGACCCCGAAGGCACGCCTGTCAAGTTCTTGGAGTTTGAAGACTTCCGCCGCCTCCTCTACAAGTGGCATCGTCTGCTCGCCAACGCGCTCAAGACCTGTCTTAACGGGGGCGAGTACATGCACATCCGCAACGCCATCAGCGTTCTCAAGGCCGTTGTGCAGCATTTCCCCGCTGTCAACTGGATCGGTCGTGACATGCTGACCGCCGTCAATACTCTGAGCAAGACTGATGAACGCGACGACGTCAAGATTCCCGCTGCTTCACTGATTGGTGATCTCAACCGGCGGGAAAAGAAGTGGATGCTTCCACAGGAGTTCAATCTTGTCCAGGCTCAGGCCGGTGCTGGCCAGGGCAGGGCAGGTTCTACCGTCGATAAGCCTGGGACTTCACGACCACAATCAGCCACGCCAACTCCGCTCAATGCTGCGGCAACTGAATTTAAGCCTCCTTCTGGAGCTCATGGGTAAGCTTTTCTCGCTAGACCACTCGGAATTATTAACAGACGCAATCCGCTAACTCTGCGACTTTCAGCTCCGAGGGTGCCGCACCAAAGGATAGGTTGGAGGTGGAGGATGGTGAGATCGAAGATGCGAAGATGGCCGATGTGCCAGCGAAGGAGACAGAGAAGGCTGCGTCTACATCTCAAATCGAGTCTACGGCGGACACCAGTCCTGCCGCCATGGATACGAGCGCCGATGATACTCCCAGCGAACGCCCGACAAGCGCTACGAATGAACCTCCTGTGCGACCACGTCCAGGCTCTCGGGCTGACTCCGGCCGTCAAGGCTCAGAACGCCCGGATTTCGAGCGTTCTGCATCCAATGCCAATTTCCGACAACAAAACCATCGTCCTGGCCGACCTCCACGGCACAGCGATGGCAGACTGCCTCCGCGTCCTGAGCTGATGGATGACCGCCGAGACAGACATCCCGATTTCGGACCTGGTCCTCGCGGTCGTCACGGCGGTGGGCCTGATCACGGCCGCCCTTTTGATGGCCCGATGGGCGACCCTCGAGGCCCTGTGCGCATCAATGACCGTGACCGCGATTTCCTAATGCGACCACCGCTCGATGACCCCATGCATGGACCTGGCTATCGCGATGGGCGACTGCCGCGCGATCCTGACTGGCCTGCTGGGCGTTCGGGGCGTGTGCGTCCCGATGGATTCCATGAACCCGACCTCCCTCCTCGCGGCGATCTGATGCCTGAACGCCATGATCGAATGGGTGATGGGCCCCGGCGTGGTCCTGGTCCTGGTCCTGGTCCGTCTTCGCAAAGGTCCAATTTGCCTAACCGACCAGACCGACTTCCGCCTCGCCACGAGGATTTCCCGAGAGGTCCTCGCAGTGACCGGCTTCCGCCTGAATCAAGAGCTGTGGCGTTGGGTCTAGAAGGTCCGCGCCAAGTCCCGGAGTCCCAGCCTGATATCCCATCTGGACCCCGAGGTCAAAATGCGCGTGGAAATGCGCGTGGGCGTAATGTCTCTGGCCAGCAGCCTCCACCCTCTACTCCAAGCAATGGCCCTGGGGCGCATTCTGAACGGCCTGGTAGACAACAAGATACCGGGAGACAGGTTGGGCGAGGCGGTCTTGAACAATCATCTGCTGCACCGCCCTCTCCGACTACTGGTACCTCAGGTATTCATCCCGATCGGTTAAAGCACATTGTCCAAGAACCACCATCGGCTGCTCCTATGGCACCTCCTTCTGGACCTCGTGGCGGGACCGCACCGTCAAACCAAGCCATACCGCGTGGACCGCAGGGATCTGGCGGTGATCGACGTGGTGACAAGCGGTTTCTGGGGATCAACCATATGCTTCAGCAGCAAACTGGCGGACCTGTTGATCGCACTCCCTCTGGCCCATCGCCCCGCGGACGTGGCTCAAGGCGCGATTCCGAAAGTATGAACATTCCTTCTCCGCAGTCCTCGAATCGTCCGCCCATGGGCGCGGGACCGCCTGGAGATGACGGGTCCTCGCGCAGTCGAGCAAGTGGTGGTAGCCGAGGCGGTGGTGACTTGATCGATGATGCTGGCTCCGAGACACGACGATCCGGACGAACCGGTGACCGTGAACGAGACCGCAAGCGCGAAGGCGGCGACAGCACAAACATCAACGGCGGCAGCAATCGGCGCGACGACAACCGCGAACGACATCGAGACCATGAGCGTGAACGCAGCCGTCGCAGCGACCCTGGTGGTGGTGGTGCTGGCCGTGAAGACATAGAGCGCGACCAAGACCGTCCTCCCACCGAGCCACGCGAGTCCCTCCGCCGAGTCCCGAGTTCGCGCGAGGAATTGCGCCGTCGAGATCGGCGCGAAAGGGACACTGGGCCCGCCGACGCTGGTGATTCGCCCGCGCCCAGCGCCAACAATCCGCACGAACAAGAAGGGCGTCTTCGTCCTCCCTCGTCAATGGGCGCGCCGCGTCCCCCGCCACCACCGCCTCCTCCAGGTGGCCCCCCTCCGCCTGACGAAAATGATCGTCGCCGAAACGCAGGAGGGGACCGGGGTGGCCGGTCCGACAACCGCGATCGTGAGCGCGAGCGCCGAGGCGAGCGCCGGGAGCGGGATCATCGCGATGGGGCTAGCGGGCCCGGACATCGCAAGCGTGGGCGCCCTGGCGCTGAAGAAGGTGGTGCTGGTGCTGGTGATGGTGGCCGGGGTATGAGGACTGGGAGTGAGAATAAACGTCCTCGGCGTGGAGCGTGATGATGGTTGATTTGTTCTCTACTTTACTTTTAGGTACATCCCCCCCGGGCACCTTGCCGCTTCTCGTGGACTTGTCTTGACTATTTCGTCGTGTATTATCTCGTGCATCGTGGCTGGTGTTTGGCGACAACTTCCTCAACTGTATTATCTTTATTATTTACCACCATGGAACACAATTTCAGTACTATTGGACTGTTATCTTCTGCTTCTCCGTAGTTTAGCATCACCGGCCCGATATTCCGCCTGCCCAATATCCGGCAAAACCTCGGGCTGTCCTCCGTGTTGCTTTTAACCGCTGCCCTTGGCGTCATTATTCTCCACTCTGTAAGGCCCGTTGGGTATCATCACTCCCCCGGGCAATTATTATTCTCCTCGACTCCAGTATTTCCCCGACTGACAGCGAAGTCCTGGTTCTGAGCGTGTGTATAAGTACAATCGGTCGCGCTGTCCCCGCCAGGTTTAGTTTCTGGATTGTTACTCCAGCTAGCTCGCAGAGCTTCGTGCACTCTTCATTTTTGGTCACCTGGTACTTCTGGTAGGAATCCGTGTGAAAGTGATCTTGTCCCTCAATTTCTCTTCTATATTGATCGCAGAGCAATAAAAAAACATCGCATCATACATCACATTAAACATTATGGGCAAGATCGATGTCGAGAAGGCCATTGAGGAGCTGACGCTAGGGGAGAAGGTGGCTCTGACAGCCGGTGTGTAATTCCCGGTATCTCCTACTCCGACTAATGCTAACGCTTCACACCAGGAAGCGACTTCTGGCACACAGTCCCCATTCCGCGCCTGAACATCCCACGCCTGCGCATGTCCGATGGGCCCAACGGCGTGCGCGGAACCCGCTTCTTCAACGGCATCCCCGCAGCGTGTTTCCCCTGCGCCACAGCCCTAGGCGCAACCTGGGACACAGAGTTACTAGGCCAGGTTGGCCACCTGCTCGGCGAGGAAGCCATCGCGAAGGGGACGCACGTCCTGCTCGGCCCAACCATCAACATCCAGCGCTCGCCGCTGGGCGGACGCGGCTTCGAGTCCTTTTCTGAGGATGGCGTGCTCTCCGGCACACTGGCGGGCCATTATACCAAAGGCGTCCAGGAAAAGGGCGTGGCTGCGACGCTGAAGCATTTTGTCTGTAATGACCAGGAGCATGAGCGCATGGCTGTTAACAGTATTGTTACTGCACGCGCGCTGCGGGAGATTTATCTCATGCCGTTTCAGTTGGCGATGCGTATTTCCAAGAGTGCGTGTATTATGACCGCTTATAATAAGGTCAATGGCACACATGTCAGTGAGAATAAGGCGATCATTGATGATATCTTGCGGAAGGAGTGGGGGTGGGATGGCCTAGTTATGAGTGATTGGTATGCTATTTTATGTTTCTGCGTTCGAAGAAGAAGTGGTTGATACTAATACTATTTGGCTTCAGGTTCGGTACCTATAGCACCTCCGATGCCATCAACGCCGGGCTTGACATGGAGATGCCCGGCAAGACTCGCTGGCGCGGGGAGGCTCTAGCTCACGCAGTTTCGTCGAACAAGGTCGCCCAGTTCAAGTTGGATGAGCGTGTGCGCAACGTTCTCAATTTGGCCAACTGGGTTGAGCCTCTAGGGATTGGCGAAGATGCTCCAGAGAAGGCACTGAACCGGCCAGAAGATCAAGCTCTGCTGCGACGGGCAGCGGCCGAGTCAGTCGTGCTCATGAAGAATGAAGGCGGAATTTTGCCTCTGAAGAAGGAAGGGTCGGTGTTGGTCATCGGACCCAATGCCCAGATTGCCGCGTACTGCGGCGGCGGATCCGCATCGCTGGCTCCGTACTATACCGTGACTCCGCTGGAAGGTGTCAAGGCAAAGAGCCAGGGTGAAGTCACCTTCACCCAGGGCGTGTACTCTCACAAGGACTTGCCAGACTTGGGTCCTTGGATGAAGACTGCTGATGGCAAGACCGGGCTCGCGTTCAGGGTGTACAACGAACCGCCTAGTGCTGGTCAGGAACGAAATCTCGTCGATGAGCTGCACTTGGTCTCTTCGTCTGGATTCCTCATGGACTATATTAATCCCAAGATCAAGTCGATGACCTTTTATGTCGATATGGAGGGCTTTTTCACTCCTGAGCACGATGGAGTGTACGACTTCGGCGTGACTGTTGTGGGTACTGGCCGTCTACTCGTCGATGGCGAAGTTGTTGTCGACAATACCAAGGACCAGAAGCAGGGTTCTGCCTTCTTTGGAACAGCCACCGTCGAAGAACGAGGCTGCAAGGAGCTCAAAGCCGGACAAACATATAAGATTCTGTTTGAATTCGGCAGCGCCCCAACATCTGATATGGACACACGCGGCATTGTAGCCTTTGGACCTGGCGGGTTCCGGTTCGGCGGCAGCCGTCGTGTGGGCGAGGAGGAACTGATCTCGACGGCGGTCGAGCAGGCTAAACAAGCAGAGCAGGTCGTCATCTTCGCGGGACTTACCCTCGAGTGGGAGACCGAGGGCCATGACCGTGAGCACATGGACCTGCCACCAGGCAGCGACGAGCTGATCAGCCGCGTGCTGGCGGCGAATCCAAACACCGTGGTGGTGATCCAATCTGGCACACCGGTGACAATGCCATGGCTAGACTCAGCCCGGACACTTGTGCAAGCCTGGTTCGGCGGCAACGAGTGCGGCAACGGCATCGCCGACGTGCTGTACGGCGACGTCAACCCATCCGCCAAGCTGCCTCTGACTTTCCCACGCCGACTGCAAGACAATCCCTCATATATGAACTTCCGCTCCGAGCGTGGTCGCGTCCTGTACGGTGAGGACATCTACGTGGGCTACAGATACTTCGAGAAGAGCGACCTGGCGCCAGCATTCCCCTTCGGCCACGGTCTTTCATACACGACCTTTACGCGTTCCGACCTCAGCATCACTACAGTGCCCGAGCAAGCTGTTCTAGCCGAGTCTGGAGAGCCCATCACCGCCACAGTCAAGGTGACCAACACCGGCTCTCTCGCCGGCGCGGAGATCGTTCAGCTCTGGATCGTTCCGCCCCCAACGGCTGTCAACCGCCCTGTACGAGAGCTGAAGACTTTCACCAAGGTGTTCTTACAGCCTGGCGAATCGAAGTCTGTTCAGCTTGTTGTCGAGAAAAAACTCGCTACTTCCTGGTGGGATGAGGAGCGTGATCAGTGGATCTCCGAGAAGGGTAAATACCGGGTTCAGGTTACTGGTACTGGCTCTGAGGAACTGTTTGGCGAGTTTGAGGTTGGCAAGACACGGTTCTGGCTTGGGCTGTAGATTGGACTGGATTATGGTTGTTATGGGTGATGGTCTGATGAAATGAAATGAATAGACTGTTTACATACGAGGCAGTTAGATGAACGTTTTAGTTAAGGTTCGGAAGTTCAACTTGGTTGAAAGGGGCAATTTGGAGTACGTAGATGGCTTTCGGATGTTTTATATCTGACCCTGTCGGATAGTTTGGGCATCTGAATCACATTATTTAATACAGTTGAAGCAGTCCACATCCCTTGATGAATAACTTCCGAAATAAAGTGAAACACCCGTATGTCTCAGAATGTTCTCGAATATCATTTGAAGATGGGTCTGTTAAAACGCAAGGGGTATATACACTGAAAATTAAATATCTACATCGAGACAGAAGAAAGAAGCGTGACTCGCACCGCTAACAAGACAAGAAGCCGTATCAAAAAGGCAAGGAGAGGGCATTGTAAAAAAAAAAAAAAATTGAGAGAAAAGAAGAAGAAAGGCCTGTTGGATCATACCATCATCAGCTCAGCAGTCATCACGCACAAGCCTGCATAACCCGCTGAGGGGGTCTCCCCCTTTCAATCGGATCTGATACTTTCCTCCGCCCAAGACCAGTCAATTTTTTCAGTAATTGCGAAGCTCTTCTCCGCCGGTTCGGCGGTTGATCGTCTGCAGAGATAGCCACTGAATAGACCGCCTCGTGGTGCTTCACTAGGTCTGTGTGGTAGGTACCAGAGAAGTTACGGTCAGGCCAGCTCTGGTCGGGAGGAACGTAGCGAGGAGACCAATCGTCTTTTTTCTGCGCGTTTGCGGGGGAAAAGATTCGTGCTGATGATGGACTTCGGGATATACTTGAATCGCGGCTGTACCATGTGTCCCGTCCTGAGGGTTCGGGAACCTCCATTGCGTTTGAATGGGACCAGCGAGCACTGTAGAAACGGTTGCGGGCGTATCCGAGTCCAGAGCGGGGAGTGGGTTCCAGCTTCTCTCCGCTGGTTCGTGGCGAATACTCCGTTTCGACGGCTGGGAAAGGAATACTGCTCTCTTCGTCCTCGGTTTCGATATTTGCGCACAGCCAGGTCATTCCAGCTGCGCCAAGCTCTGCTTCGACGTCCTCGGAAAACGAAGTTGTTTCTTTAGCCTCACGGGCAGGCTCGGGCTCTCTAACATCGAATCCAAAGGAGATCGGTCTTGGCACAGTCCATGGGCAGCTTAGCTGGGGAGGACTATACGGGAACAGCGACGGACTGGGGGACCGAGAGCGGGGCCCATTTTCTGCATCGGCACTTTGTCCTCTTGAGCGTCCTCTATCTGAAGATGGAACCTGGTACGATCCACCTGAAGCACGGTTCCCATAGAATCTCGTGGTGGCGCTTGCGCCAGCGGTTCCCGAAAAGCTAGCCCGATAGGCTCTTCCGGATTTCCCTGAAGACTGAAAGCTGAGACCAACTCCCGAGTCCTTGCGTGCATCTGGACTGAGATCCATTCCTTTGGTTGAAAATAGATTATCGAATTGAGTGTGCGAATCTTCCAATAACGGTTCGATGCTGGAATTCCGGATATCCGTAGACCCTGCTGCCGGTTTTGGAGATTGTTGTGTTTCGTAGGAAGGTCCTGATGGAATGCCTCGTTCGATACTGTGCGAGAGTAGAGTGCATGCGTATTTGATGTTCATCTCCAAATCTTCTTCAATGGGCTGTCGGTCTATCAATGGGGACGCGGGTCGAAAGTATCCTGGTTGGTCGGTGAAGTTATAGTATCGGCTTCGGTCGGTTCCTGTCGACGGCTCGCTGGCATGATTTGAAGAGACGGGGCTTGTAGCTGAGCGGGGACGACTGTCGTTGATGCTGCTCTCTTGAGAAGTAGACATTGTGGAAGCCCGATCTCGTCCTTGTGTCGTACGAGAAAAGGGAAATCGATGGCGCCTTCTGTCAGCCTTTTGAGAAAGCTTGCGCTCCATCGCCGAATGGTAATGTAGAGATATGTAGTGGATAATAGAATCTGGATGCGCGGTTTATTATAGACGGCGATAGGAGAGCAAGCGGCGATCAGAGATGACTCCTATGCATTTAATAAAGAAAATGTTGCCAAAAGTCGATCCAGGCCAAACAATGGAAGCCACCCCCCAACCCGGGTTATGCGGGCACAACCGTCACAGGTGCAGGATAAAAGCGAAGGTGGCGAAGGGGGAGACCGGCCGGCTGAAGAAATCGCAAAATGACAGGCTCTCCTCCTCACCGGAGATTTCAGGCGGCAGACTGCAGTTCCGAGTTATGTGAGGACGGGCAGAGCAAATGTACTGTCAGAGGTAGCACCGGGGCCCGCCGTTGGCCGTGCGACGACTGGAATGCAACGAGACAAACGACCGGGTAGTACTATGAAAGAATGCAGCAGAAGATCGATGGCAAAGGGAAGCCCCTGGAAGCGCCAGCAGGGGACGAAAAAGCCGATCAAAGAGTGATTATCATTGACCTTTCAGCTCGGCTCCTCGCGTGGGGGCGTTCGCCAGTCTTGCCTCGGGGGTGTCCAGCCGACGGGCTTGTGGAGAGACATGGAAGAGGTCCGTGTCAAGGAGGCACAAGGCTGTAAACTAGTAGTAAACCATTCCCGGCAATAGGGAATCAGCGATAAAGGATGGCCATAGCTGGGATGGGGGGTTTGGTTAAGGCTGACGACGGCCCTGGATTCGCTCTCCACAGGGGGTCCTCGCTGGCAGCTACGGGCCCTAATCCGGATGTGATCAACTAGCCGAAGACAAAGCAGGAGGAGGAAGCGAAGGCGAGTCTAGACTCGAACTATCGAGGCCCTTCCTGCTTGGCATCGCGCCCCTTTTGGCAATGCCGAGTATTGAGGCTGACCACTATGACTGCCACCAAAGAAATGTCCGGTTAATCGCTTGTGATAGACAGACACAAAGATCCTTTTTGATTGGCGTTTCGATAAGATCGAGCTGGCTCATTCTATGTATTCGCATGCTGCCTCAGGCCTCCTCCCCCTGGTCAAGGGTCCAAGCACACCCTGGCCGACTATCCTTACTCGTCCTATAAGTCCTACCCGTCCCGGGGTCCCACTTGGTCTACCCCCGCTGAAAACAGTCTCCGTCTAGCCATCTATAGCAGACCGACTGCGAATAGTAAGAGACTCGCAAGTATTATCTTACTTGAGCTATTGATCTCAGTAGATTGATTTGAAATTGATTGTCAAGGATATCAAAAGCACGCTCGTCAAAAGGAAGATCAAAAAAAAAAAAAGCACCAACTATTAATTATTTGGCTAACTATAGCCAACGCGACTGTAACGTGTCAATTATCAAGCCGATCCATAAACGCCACCGCATCAATAATCAGTCAATCAGCGCGTCACAAAAGCACTCTCCGTCTCAAGCCACGTCGCGAAATCTTTCAATCCCGGGTGCTGCTTGCGCAGCGCAGCAATATCAGCCCCGAACCCTTCATCGTGAAACCAACGGAACATAGCCCCAATGTCTCCCATAACACGCAGGATTGCGCGACACGGCAATTCAAAGGTCGTAGGCACAGCGCGGCCAGTCTTCGCCTTGAAGATATCGTCGACTTGGTCGAACGTCAACTCATCGCCCGCCAGTGAGATAGATCGGCCGGCGAACTGATCAGGATGCTGAAATGCCTCCGCAGCCAGGACACCAATGTCGCTGGTAGCAATAATCTGAAGCGGCTTCCCCTTCAGCGCTACCCGCCACGACGTAGCGAACATCTTCCCCATGAAATCCGGGGTGAACCCGTCCATGAATGCAACAGGACGCAGCACGGTCCAGTCCATCTCGCCGTTCTTCGTGTTATCAAACAGATGCTGCTCGATCCGGTGCTTCGAAATAAAATGCGGGATATCAGTTGGGTTGGATGATGATTTGCTGTCGCCGCCGCGCTCGACGGAACTATACACGAAGTACTTCACGCCCTGCTTGAGCGACTCGTCAATCAGCGCCTTGCCCTGGCGCTCCTCGGCGTCGACTCCGTTGCCCATCACCGTTTGTACGCTGTAGACGCCCCAGATCTCCGATGAGGCGAGCTGTCGCGCGCGCGTGAAGATTGTCGCGGGGTCGTCCATGTTGCCTTCGACGAGCTTGACCTTGGATGACTTTTGGGCGAGCCGTTTGGCTGAGCCCGACTGTGGGTCTCGAGTTACTGCGAGGATCTCGAATGGGGCATCGTGCTCAAGGAGGGCATTGATCACGGCGCCGCCTTGTTTGCCTGTGGCTCCGGTGACTAGGATTGCCTTCATCTTGGGTGACGATGGTGTTGGTATTGTCAAGCAGCGTAAAAAAGATAGACCTGAAAGAACTATTGTCTCTATTTAAATCAGACTCCCATATAAATTCTTGGAAGTGTTTGTTTGTGAGGTTTAATAATGTCGGTGCGAATCCAAGGCCGAGCATACCATGACCATTAATCAGCAGATGAGATCATCGTCCGACTCCGTGGCGGAATAATAATTAGATCATATTGGGGGAAGTTCTATTTTTATTGTTATGGTTTAATTTAATGATCGAAAAGCGACCGTGTCGCAAAATTGAATTGACTGTACACAGTCACAATGACCCATCACCCCCGGAGCGAGTCTCCTCGGAGAAAATGACCCAGAGGGCGGGTCTGATGGAGAGCAGTTGGATGCTTCTTTGACAGTCTTCTCAGGCATGGAACAAGGCCAAGCGAGATACGAGAGAGGCAGTTGGATGCTCATCTCCCTGACTGGCGAAACGGATAAAAAGAACAGCAACCTTTACTTCTCTGTGACGCCACGGCGTCCTTCTCGACGTGAACCTGAATCCACGCCCAGGAAAGGCGGCAGGGAGTTCCTGCGCGCAAGTGCTTCTAACCTCTGGAAGAAACTATTTACCACGCGGTAATGTCTTCCACCTCTGCTTCCCCGAAGGTGCTGCTCTTGGTCAACTTGTTGACACTGGCCACAGCCGCGGCACCATCCGCGCTAACCTGGGCCATGATATCCGGTAACACTTCATGGAAGAACTCCACAATGTGGTGATTTACCTGCTCAAATTGCAGCAGGAAAGCGTCATGGCCTTCTGCACTGTCGATACGCTTGAGCCGAGAATCAGGGATTCCCGCAGCAATCTCTTGCTGCTCCGCAAAGGTAAAGAGGCCATCTGATTCAATTCCTAGAACCAGTGCCGGCTGCTCAACGCGTGAGAGGGCCTCGTGAACGGGGTCCTCGGCCGTCGGACTAGCACGGTGCCGAGACACGTCGTGTGTGTCCAGCTTGCGCGTCATGGCAATATAGCAATTGGCGTCGAATCGCTTGACAAACTTGTCGCCTTGATAGCGAAGATACGACTGGGCTGAGAAATAGGTGGGCGGTCGTGGGCGACCGACAGAATCGGTTCGAGGCTTGGTCTCGGTCGACACGGAGAAGGTCTTCGTACCCGAAAACTGTGGGTCCATATATTGGACCTCGGTCTGAGGGGCAGGTGAATTCTGCCTGCTTCCAGACCGGGAAGACAGCCCGCCTTTATGTCCGTCATTGTGAATTGCCCAGTGTTCATTGGGGGGCGTGGGCAGTTTCTCGGTCCCGTTGATATTCTGCCGCTTCGACGGGTCCGGCACGTTTCGACCGAATCGCGACTCAAACGAGTTGCGGCTTCGATAGGTGAGGAGAGCAGACATGCGAGCCGCTCCGAGACCAGTAGCCGGCGGATCATCGAACGCATAGTACCCGTCGTCATACTTCGGGTCACTGTAAATGCTCTGCCGCTGTGCCTCGCCCCAGCTAATGCACCATGCGGAGTGGCGTGCGGAGGTGGCAATGGGTACGATGGCTCGCACGTAGTCTTTGCCGAAGAAGGAATACTCCAACGTGAGCATTCCGCCCATGGATCCCCCGACAACCGCGGCAATCTGCTTCACGCCCAAGTCGTCCAGCACCAATTTGTGGATACTTTGAGGGTCTTAGCATTCTGGGTGGGAGTTTCAAGAGAAGAATTACATACTTTACATCATCGCGGACAGTCGTCAGCGGGAATTCGGGCCCGTAGTAACCGTTGTCGGGGTTGCCATCCTTGTATGTCACTGCACTGGCGCTCCCGTAGGGGCTGCCCAGACTGTTCAAGCAGACCACGAAGAACCGCGAGACATCAAAAGCTTGGCCCGGGCCACCGAGGAGGGGGCCCCACCAGTCTGCGACATCGGCACTCCCACTCAACGCATGGCAGATCACCAGAACATTGTCACCTTTCGGCGAGAGTGTTCCCAAGGTCGTGTATGCCACGGGGACATTGTAGAGAGTGACACCCGACTCGAGCGTAAAGGATGGGATGACCGCAATGGATTGATCCTCGATCAACCCCGCATAAGGGTTTTCAGGCTGCGCAGCGACTCTCTCTACGGGATTTAGTAGCTGTTCATGGAGTGAGGGCGGAAGGTGGAGACTGACGGAGGGACGCATGAGATGCGCTATTAGACTCGACCATGATGGCGAGTCAATGTCAAGAGAGACGAATAGAATATCCACCAGAAAGAGAGAGAAAAGAAAAGCAGAATCGACGGAAAATTATTAGTTGCTTCGCTTGACTCATCCATGGGCCCTCGGACGGGACAGCCACTCAGGACGCGTCGCTGGGTTCACCGCCTTGGATGACCAACCAGTCTCTCTTGTCCTAATCAGGAAGGTGCAACGGTGAGCCAGGAGTAGTACACAGTATAGTCGCTATAGGGAAAGAGTTGGAGTCCTTGCCTAGGTATGTATATGTAGGACACCCAAACTACCTATCTATAAGTCAAATGTATCCCCTCCCTCCGGTCCCGTCTGAGCAGCCTCCAGTCTTGCCGGTGTCGTCTTATAGATCCGCGGTAGCCCAACCTCCTCGAACTTCTTGCCGTCTCTGACCATCTCCGCAATCCCTTTGCCGGAGAGAAAGACCACTGGCATACCATGTCCATTGAATCCCGCGCAAATGAATCGGCCGGGCTTGCCTGGAACCTCACCAATCTGCGGGTGAGTATCGTAGGAGTAGCCCATGACTGGATAGGTCAGTACCACATTGGAGGATAGAGGGAGAAAGACGTACTTCCAGTCCAGATCTCTTGAACTTTTGCCTCGCTGTCCTCCCACCCTCGGAATGTGCGCTGCATGTAGGTGTCGTAGTAGTGTTTTGCCGGCTCAATCAGAGTACTATCGTCCACATTGTTGTGCCAGATTTCCTTCTGCTGCGCAAAGCTGTACTGCGCCCCACCGACAATAATGCTCCCATCTGGTCGTGAGATCAGATAGCTATCACCATTTCCTTCCTTATTCCACACAACATAGGTATAGGGCAGGAAAGGGGGTGTTTTGTTCTCTGGCGTCGTGATGTGGCAACAAATTCCCTTGCAGGGAACGATATTTTTGGAATATTCGGGCAGGAGCCCCGCGGTGTATGCATTGGTTGCATAAACCACTTTAGATGCACGAATTGTGCCTCGAGGAGTTTGGACAAGATGAAGGGGTCCATCGGATGTCACAGATGTCACCGGCGTCGTGGTTTGCACATTGACAGAGCTCGACTTGACCACCCGCAAAAGGAGTCCCATCACGAGTTTGTAGGCCCATAAGTTGCCTGCTGTATAGGAGAGACATGCCTTTGCGTCTTGAACTCCAGAGACCTGTGAGTTCGTTATCAGCATGATTCAACATCCTCGAGAGACGATCTTACCCCTTCTGCATTTTTCTGCGATGTGTAATGGATGTCATCGACGTACGACACACCCTGGTCTCGCAGGACCTCGTACGCCTGTCTTGCCTTCTCAGCATGCTCTTCATTGAGATACACGTTCATGCAACGGGTCAGATTGAAATCGCAATCGATATTCTCTTTAGCGATGGCCGCTTTCACTGCGGGGATGTGGGAGACCTCAAATCTCGCAAGCTCAGTTGCAGCCTCGATCCCATGTCTTTCAAGGCACAATGCAATAGTCTCGTAGACATCGGGCCGCAGATGTCCACCTTGGTGATTATAACATCAGATTGAGGATCAAAATGTGCATTTGGGATGACTCACCATTTCGCCCGGTTGCTCCAGAGCATATCTGTCGTGCCTCGAGAAGTGTGATAGAAGGCGGAGGCTGACTTCCTGATTGCTGAGAGGTTACCAGATGATACGCAATGCTCACTCCGGCATAGCCGCCACCAATTATGACGATATCACTTTGTTCTGGTAGCTCGGAGGTGGTACGAAGGTTATCTAGCTCATGCGGCTCCTTTCTCCAGAACGGTACCGTAGGGTTTGCTACTGGAGCAATGGAGGGGAGATTGTTAGAAGAAGACATCAGGATAGCCTTTCGAAGCTGTGGCCCTGGAAGTGTTATCTCGATGATGGTGATGTTGACGCGGGATTCCGGGCTATTTGACAAAATATGAGGGAGATGCGGGGCAAGGATTCACTAATCTCGGGGTTTGCCTCGGAGTAAATGGCAACGATAATGACTAACATTGTTAACTAGTATTTATTGATGGAGAATCGATGGGTTTATTGGCTTGAAATTGCATACGGGGTTGGTCGCCGCGACTTGCTGATTGTGTATATTTCGTCAGGTCGAATGGGGATGGATGGCCTCCGCTAAACGCATATCCGAGATAACTGATAGATGTGCAAGCTTATTGCGCCCAATTTATGTAATTTATTAAGCTAGCCATAGCCAGTACTTTACTGACGAACCAATCGCCCAATTTCCTGTCAAGTACTACAGCGCATCGAAATATCTGCTCAGTTGAGTGCTGCTTAGGGCCTGCTTAGTCACACTTCGGTGTTCCAAAAAAATTTTGAGTGCGAGATTCCCCAACTCTTTTCAAACACCTAGATTTCAACGACAGCCCTCAATAAGCGCTACAATGGCCAAAACCAAGAAGTCTGGCGACACACTTTCGTCCCGCCTCGCCCTTGTTATGAAGTCGGGCAAGGGTGCGTTCGCCTAGTCCTCGCACTCGAGAGCAAATTGTTGACAATTCTGTGCAGTCACAATGGGAACCAAATCCACAATGAAAACGCTTCGCTCCGGAAAGGCGAAGTTGATCCTCATTTCTGGCAACTGCCCTCCCCTCCGCAAGTCCGAGCTTGAATGTATGTCTCCAATTTACCTACGATTGTCGCATCAAATACTAATCCGACTTGCATAGATTATGCCATGCTCGCGAAGACCCCAGTGCACCACTTCAACGGAAACAATGTACGTCACCTAACCATCCTGTTCCCCTTGGACGACACCTTTATCAGGCGTCGTCCCCGGAGCCAGCTCCACTACTCAGCGAAGAAGTTGGTCCTCGACCACTTCGGAGAGTGAAGTTGCTCAGCGATGGGATTTCCTAATTGGAATCCTGGAGAGCGTAAATCGACTAATACTAGTATAGATTGAACTCGGTACCGCGTGCGGTAAACTTTTCCGCTGTTCGGCTATGGCCGTGCTGGATGCGGGTGACTCGGATATTCTGAGCCGTGAGGCGTAAACAAGCCTCAGCTAATCTCTGTGGCTGATACCACACATGTGCATAAATAACCTCGCATCATCTCTCTTCAGCCCACTCTCTTTCACATTGCCCGTTGAAGGCACTGCAATTTTATGCTGGGGTGCATGTTGCTCCAAACTATGACCTAGACGTGCTAGAGAAGGTATGCTTATTTTTGAGAAATAGTCTCCGATGTCTTGTGTCTGGAACCCTTTCGCTGGAGACATTACCAATCAATCAGATCGATTCTGAAATATTTTGTTGTCCCTGTATCTGGATTTAAATTTAGCCGAGTTCATTTCCTTCAAGGTTTGCCGAGTCACACCCCTCTTCGCAACGCAATATTTGCGGAGAAAACCCCGAGCGCTCCACCAGTGGTGTAGAACCAATTCATCTCCGCGCGCCGATCAGTCTACATAGCCTGAAATCCTTGACATGTAGACCGAAACATTTAGCCTGAAATTTGCATATTGCGTCTTTTTGCTTTCGCCGACTTTGACAAGCTAATATAAAGTAGTCGACCAGGAAGTCTGAGCTATCATGGCTCTTTCCAGTCCGTAGATGCCCATCACTATGAAATATCTTCTATTTTTCGCCTCGCTCGGTCTCGTTGCCGCCGAGGATGGCCTGAAGGGCTGGCTACGCTATGCATCACTACCATGCTCCAGCCAGTGTCGTCGCAACCTTCCGTCCGGCATTGTTGCTCTGAATGCCACCGAGACAAGTCCGGTATACGTTGCGGGCTCAGAGCTGCAGAAAGGATTAAAGGACATCTATGGCAGCGACGCTCATATCACACACAATCAGTGCGAAACCAGCTCCGTTGTGGTCGGCACTATTGACCAGTACCGTCAAACTTGTGGCCATGGGGACGAGCTTCCGGAGCTGGATGAAGATGGTTTCTGGTTGAGCACCCGTGGCCAGGGTGTTCAGATCCTGGGTCAAAATGAACGGGGTGCTCTCTATGGCGCCTTTGAATACTTGTCAATGCTTGCGCAGGGAAACTTCTCTGAGGTGGCCTTTTCAACGAACCCGTCTGCGCCTGTACGATGGGTCAACCAGTGGGATAATATGGATGGTAGCATCGAGCGTGGCTACGGAGGAGAGTCCATCTTTTTCAAAGATGGGGGTATTGTCAATGACTTAAGTCGGGCCGCCCAATATGCTCGCTTGTTAGCCTCTATCAGGATCAATGCGGTGGTTGTCAACAATGTGAATGCCAACGCCACCACCCTAACACCCCAAAATATCGAAGGACTTGGTCGAATTGCCGATGTCTTCCGTCCCTATGGTGTACAGCTTGGAATCTCACTCAATTTCGCAACGCCCCAGATTTTGGGTGGCCTCAGCACCTATGATCCCTTGAATAAATCCGTGATTCGGTGGTGGACGAACGTCACAACCCAAATCTACGAGCGTATTCCCGATATGGCAGGCTATCTTGTCAAGGCCGATTCTGAAGGTGAACCGGGTCCAGAGACATACAACCGGACCTTGGCCCAGGGAGCGAATCTTTTCGCCAAAGCCCTCCAACCATACGGCGGAATCGTCATGTTCCGTGCCTTCGTCTATAATCAGCTCAACGAGTCCAACTGGAAGGCAGATCGTGCCAAGGCCGCAGTCGACTTCTTCAAGCCTCTTGATGGCAAATTTGAGGAGAATGTCGTCGTCCAAATCAAATACGGACCTATCGATTTTCAGGTCCGCGAGCCTACGTCACCGTTGTTTGCGAATTTATTCCACACCAACACCGCCCTGGAGCTAGAGGTCACGCAGGAGTATCTCGGACAACAGTCGCATCTGCTTTACCTGCCCCCACTCTGGAAGACAGTCATGGACTTTGATCTTCGCGTGGAACGACAGCCTTCTGTGGTCCGTGATATTTATACAGGCAAGCGGTTCAACCGCAAACTAGGTGGTTCGGCGGCTGTTGTCAACGTGGGTTCAAACGCAACCTGGCTCGGAAGCCACCTCTCCATGTCGAATCTATACGCATATGGTCGTCTGGCATGGGACCCAGCGGAGGATGCACAGGAAGTGCTGGAAGATTGGGTCCGTTTGACATTTGGCTTGGACAGTGAAGTCCTTCAAACTCTTACAAAAATGTCCATGGAATCGTGGCCGGCCTACGAGAACTACAGCGGTAACCTGGGCATACAGACGCTGACGGATATTTTGTACACCCACTACGGACCCAATCCTGCTTCTCAAGACAACAATGGATGGGGGCAGTGGACCCGTGCAACCCACAAGGCCATTGGCATGGACCGCACCGTATCAAAGGGTACGGGTTACACAGGCCAATATCCCGCCGAAGTCGCGGCCATCTATGAAAATCTCGACACCACCCCGGATGACCTGGTCTTGTGGTTCCACCATGTGAACTATACCCACCGTCTACACTCTGGCAAAACCGTGATCCAGCATTTCTATGACGCGCACTACGAGGGCGCGGATACAGCCCAGACATTCCTCACCCAGTGGGAGTCTCTAGAGGGCAAGGTCGATGGAGAACGATACGAGGATATCCGACGACGTCTCGATTATCAGACTGGTCATTCCATCGTCTGGCGCGATGCGATTGTCAACTTCTACCACAATCTGTCTATGATTCCGGACGAAATGAAGCGTGTGGGCAACCACCCCTGGCGCGTCGAAGCTGAGGACATGGATCTGACTGGGTATGAAACCTACGTCGTCAGCCCCTTCGAAACGGCCTCAGGATCCATGGCCATAGTCACGAGTTCCAACAGCACTACCGGCACAGCGACAACAACACTTGATTTTTCCTCTGGGGTTTATGACCTCGCAATCAACTACTATGATCTCTACGGAGGCGTGTCTCAGTGGGAGGTTTATCTAAACAACCACACCGTTGGAGCATGGAGTGGGAACAATGAGTACACTCTCAGTCACACTCCTTCAATCTACTTAGATGGCCATTCTGCTACGCGCATCAACTTCCGAGGAATTCAGGTCAATCAGGGTGATGTTCTCAAAGTTGTCGGCAAACCCAATGGCATTGAGCCGGCTCCACTGGACTATATCTCAGTGCTCCCCCGGGGAACAGTGGACTAATTACTTTTAGAAAATTGACATGGGCACTGCTCCATCGTTTCTTATTATAGCCATCGGCTGCACTAGTCAGGGCCAAAGCCCATAGATGGATTCCATTAAATACTAAGAATAATGTGCATAGAAAATATCTCAATACAGAGGGAAGAAGAGAAAGAAGACAGAATAGCTAATCGAGGGCCCTACGGCATATAACCGACCCCAGGCTATGACTGAATAGACAGGCTCACACATTTGTAGCCACCGAGACAGTTAAGAAAGAATGATCGTGATTGAATGAACGATGCATAAATTATTAGGTTCAAAGAGTTAGATGAATCCCTCCACCCTCCGAAAGTCCATTTTAATAATAAATAATCTTGTTAAATATTTATTGATCTTCTGATGATTTCTTAATTTCACTCTCCAAAAAAAAGTTGTTGAGCAGTTTCCGATGCGGGGAATTGAACCCCGGGCTACCGTGTGAGAGACGGTGATGTTACCACTACACCACATCGGATGGTACTTGAACATTCCGCAGCCAGTATTAACCTTGTCCCTGTACACCTATCGCTTACCTTATCTGGGACTCTAATACATGGATCCGTTCCCATTGACCTGCTCTAGGAGCAACTGGACCCGATATACTCGATGATAGAGAAAAAACATGGAAATCTGCCATTCTTCATTTAAAAATAACATTCAACACGATAATGCACTGGTAAAGATTAGTAGCAGGTGAACCAAGTCACGCTAAACCCAGAACGGGCGTGACTCAGCAATGCGGTCATCCTTCCATTCCAGTCGCGTTCGCGTTCTTACTTCTTCATGGCCCTTGTTTCCATGCAACAACTCAGTGAATGCGTACACAATGGCTGACTACTCCTCCTTGAAGGTAGCCGAGCTGAAGGCGGAGCTCAAGAAGCGTGGCATCCCACAGACCGGTCTGCGCCTCAAGCAGCATTTCATTGACAAGCTCGTGGAAGAAGATGCCAAGGCACAGCCTGAAGCAGAAGAAGAAGCAGCCGCTGTGCCGGAACCAGCTGAAGAACAGCAGCAACAGCCCGCCCCAGAACCTAGCCCAGCGCAAGAGCCTGAGCAGCCAGAAACAAAGGAAGCAAAACAAGATGCGTCGTCTGTTGTTGACAGGACACAGGAGGCAGAGAAGCATGAGAAACAGCCAACTCGGCAGCAGCTAGGGATGGTGGTCGATGCCCAGCTGCAACAACCAGAACAGCCCCCTGTTTCCACCAATGGAGCCGCAGACGAGACTTCTGAACCCAAAGTCACTGACAATGCCCAGGCAGCGGAACCGGTTGTGCAAGCTCCTAGTGATGCAGGACAGGCACCTCCAGCTGAAGAGCCTGAGACCATACCTGCTGCAGTATCTGACAAGCTATCTGTCCCGCCTGCTGTTCAAACCTCGGAAGCAAACACCGAGCTGTCGACGCCTATTCCCACAGAAGAAACGCTGGAAGACACGCTGAAACGGAAGCGACGTAGCCAGAGTCCTGCGCCTACAGCTGAGGATCTTGCAACTAAAAAAGCTCGGGCGGAGGAAGAGGGCCCGCAGGTCGTGTTGAAGGAAGACGAAGCCTCAATTTCTGGAGTTGAGAGAGCCACCGATCACCCTGCAGGCGAGCAGAAAGAAGGACGTCCGGTGAGACAAGACGCTCGCTTCCGGGGGCTCTTCAAACCTGCTGAACCAGAATCTCTTCGGCCTGCTTCTCCACCCAAGGAGATGGCGCCAGCAGATGGGGACGCTGAGCCTTCTTTGCACGCTGCCACGGATGCTCTATATATCGATGGGATCATGCGCCCGCTCCAACCCGCGGCGCTGCGAAACCATCTGATCAGCCTTGCCTCCGTTCCCGGTGGCTCTCCCAACCCGGGAATAATCCAGGAATTTTACCTAGACCCGATCAAAACACACTGCTTTGTCAGTTTTGCCAACATTGCGGCAGCTTCACGGGTCCGTTCTTCCCTGCATGGGAGCGTGTGGCCGAACGAGCGGAACCGCAAAAGCCTATGGGTGGATTTCATTCCCGACCAGCAAATCCAAGACTGGATCCGGACGGAGGAAGCGTCTCGCAACCGGCCCGGACCTCCCGTACGCTGGGAAGTGCAATATGAAAAGACCGAAGACGGCACCACCGCTACACTGGCCGAAGCGGGACCAAATGGCTCTCGTTCGGCTCCCTCCCGACCCCGCGAACCGGGATTCAATCGCACTCCCCCGCTAGGTCCTCGTGGCAGCGTCTCTCAGACAGACCGACGACCCTCCAACGTCCCGGCGCCTGCAGCTCCTTCATCGCGACCCGGACAGGGCTTCAAGCCTCTGGACGAGCTGTTTCAGTCCACGACTGCCAAGCCCAAGCTCTACTACCTCCCTGTACCGCGGCGAGTGGCGGACAAGCGACTGGACCAATTTGATGAGCTGTTGCAGAAGGGCCCATTCCCACGCCGTGGCGGCGACGAGATGCGCCGCATCACCTTTGAAGATGATGATTACTTCGTGGATGTTGGGCCGGAATACAGCGCCCAGGCTATCCGTCGCCGCCAGGCCCGTGGTGGACGGATGGGTGGCATGCGACGAGACTGATGGATGGGGCTTGATGCACGTTCTGTCAAAAGTATCTTCTGCCGTGTACGATAACTGTTTAGTGTAACTATACCTCCTGTGTTACTAATGCTATGCAACGATGCGAACTGTGTTCTAGTTCCAGAAAATCCTGCCTAGACAAGAAATACGTGACCCGACTAGGGCTTCACCTCTTTATCTTCAACGACCTTGAGGTGTATAGTAGTGATTTATTTTTTCTGTCACAGTGGATAACCCGAACTGCTCTATCTTTTGTGGTGCCTTGTACCATGTTCCTATTGTACAGTCCAATAGTGGATCGGCCCGGAACGAGGCTGAGCCAAGCCAAGCCCTACCAGGCCCCCAAAATAGGCACCAGCGCCCCTAAAAAGACTTCGAGTGAACTGTTATTGTTATGCCTGGGGCGCCTAACTCCTCCGAGTGAATCCTTCCTCGTGCCCTTGAACAAACAAGTCGTTCGTGGCGGTGGCGTTCTTTATCCTCTCCCGTCGATAAGAGATAAACAGAAAATCCTCCCTCCACCAACCCCTGTCTCAGAGACAGCCATCACACACCAGCCAGAATGGGGAGCTGGACGGTGTGCAATGCCACCTTGGAGAATGCGACAAGTATGTCGTTTGTTCATCTCGCCCGAGAAAGGGCCAGCCAGGCTAACGTGGTAACAGTCAACGAAGCCCCTCTGTGGGATGGCGGCATCACCTTCCACCGTCTCAGCGAGTTGGTCGGCGCTGTGTTCGCCCTCGTCGCCTGCGCCGTGTCGTTCTTCCTGATCATGGGCCATGCAACCCACTACAGCAAGCCGGAAGAACAGCGACAGTAAGTGCCTGTCTGCCCCCTGAACGCGCGTGGGATGCATCGCGTCGACTAACCTTGTCCCTTTCCTGTCGCAGCATCATCCGCATCTTGTTCATGGTCCCCATCTACTCCCTCGTCGCATGGCTGAGCATCTACTTCTACCACTACGCCGTCTATTTCGAGGTGATCGGCGACTGCTACGAAGCCTTCTGTATCTCTGCCTTCTTCGCCCTCCTGTGTCACTACATCGCTCCCGACCTGCACAGCCAGAAGGATTATTTCCGTGGGGTCCAGCCAAAGCCGTGGCTTCTCCCAGTGAGTTGGTTCGGCGCCTGCTGTGGTGGACAGCGTGGGATCTGGAGGAATGCTCGGAACGGCCTGACTTGGTTCAACGTATGCCTACCTGTGTGAAACGTCGGTGGTTCGGAATATAGGTTGACACTTACAGATTGTCTGGGTCGGCGTCTTCCAATATTGTGTTATGCGCGTCTTGTTCACCATTGTTGCGGTGGCCAGTGAGGCGGGTGACCGTTACTGCCAGGACTCGCTCAGCCCGGCCTTTGCGCATGTTTGGGTATGTCCGCTCTGAACTCCAAGATTGGCATCGATGGATTGACATGATTATAGGTCGTGACCTTTGAGTCGATCTCTGTCTCGATTGCGATGTACTGCCTGATCCAATTCTACCACCAAGTGAGCAAGGATATCAAGGAGCACCGTCCCTTTCTCAAAATTCTCTCCATCAAGCTGGTCATTTTCCTTTCCTTCTGGCAGTTGGTGAGTGCACCCGGGGAGATCATGCCCGCACCCGCGGGAGCTACGAACTGACACTTTGTAGATCGTTATCGACTTGCTCGTCTCGGCAGGCGCTATCAAGGGGACTAAAAAGATCCAGGTCCCGGACCTCAAATATGCATTGCCCGAGCTACTGATCAACATCGAGATGGCGCTTTTCGCGGTCCTGCACATCTGGGCCTTCTCCTTCCGACCGTACGCCACCAGCCCGGCCGGCGAGGTGAGCGATTTCTATGGCAATGGCAAAGTGACCTACGAGGGTGGCAAGTTCGGCGTCAAAGCGTTAATAGATGCAATGAACCCATTCGACCTCATCGCAGCCATTGGCCGCGGTTTCCGTTGGCTTTTCATCGGCCGTAAGAACCGCAAGCTGGACCCCAGTTACCGTCGTCCCCACGACACCATCGGACTCCAGCCCACTGACGAACCGACGGAGCTCGGCACTGCCTATGCGGGCGCCGGTACCGACATGTCTGGTGGCCGCACCGGTCGCTACGGGTCCTCGCCAGACGAGGAGGGCGAGATCCTTCTTTCTCACGCGCAGCCCAACCCCGAAGGCGACCACTTGGGTCCTTCCTCCTACCCCTACGAACTTGACGATGGAGTCCACGACCACCCTGCCCGCTACTACGGCCAGGGCGCCGCCTCGCCTTACGACGACTCAGAACTCCACAACCCGGAGTATCCGGCCGGCGGCACGGCGATGAATCCTTACCCAGATAATGGGCCCTTACGCGAACAAGTCCCCATGCCTATTCCAGATCCTTACCGGCCGCCGCCACCGTACCCGGAGAACGAGAGCCACCAATCATGATTTCACAGCAATGGATTAATACCCTTCTGCCACCATTTTTTGATACTATTATTTCTTATGGTTTCCTCGAAGCTTGCGAAGAGGCTCCAAGATATTTTGTTTTTGTGTTCGCCTTCGTTTTCGCTGCGTTTCATTGGACACCAATACCCATCTTCTCTTTCTTTCTTGATATTATTTTTTTATGAAGTCGTCTCGTGTTTTTGCATCGAGGTGCATTTGATGTCTGTCATGCGGGGTTTCTCTTTGGTCAAAGTGTGTACTGATTATAGACTGCGGTTTGGGTGTGGGATGATATGGGGCTTCTATTTATACTGAACCGAACAAAAGACTTTTTTGATACTTCATCCTCGCACTAAGAGAATTTCACAGGCATAAGAAGAAAGATAGTTAAATTCGTGATCTCGTCTAGATGGATATGTCATAACAAGCAAGCCCAGCACAACCTATACTACCCCATCGAAAATGCTAGGAATACATCCCAGCAGCAGCCGCCCCTGGCCCACCCATGCCCTGCGCAAAGAGCTCCTCCTCAAAGCGACCCTGCATGAGAGCAGGATTCTTGCGTGCAGAACTAGTCTGGCGCGCACTCTGCACAATAGCCGACTTGCGACCAAGCTCGCGCATGGCCTTGACGTTCTCACCGAGCTGGCCCAGAAGCGAAATCAGGAGGACGTCGTTGCTCTGTGAGAGGACGTCGACGGAGAGGGGACCGTGTTCCTGTGGAGAGAGGATAGAGAGGTGGGAGAGGAGGGAGTTGATGTTGCGGAGGATTGGGTGGGAGAGCTGTGTGGATTGCGTTCCTTCTTTGTTGTTGGGTGTGTCTGAGCTAGGAGCGTCTGCCGAGGAGATGCTGGAGACGTAGGACTTTATGAGCGAGATGCGGGATTCAAGAGTGCGGATTGCGTTGAGGCGGGTGTTGAGGCTTGATATTACTGCGGTGAGAAATACAGTGTTAATTAGCTGAGGTGATAGAGAGTAGGACCCTCTTCGGGAAGAGCAACATACACTCTTCCTCTTCCTGCGAGAGCTCAGGTTGCACGCTCTTCTCGGCTCCCTGCTTCGAAGCTGTATCCGGTTTCTGCTGTTTCAACCCGGAAGCCTCCTGGGCCGGAATATCATTCGCAGCAGTGCCAGATGATTTGGCAATGGTGTCAATCCCGATCATTTCAGCCTCCGCCGTCTCGACAGTATGTGGCAACTCGCGGAACCGGATGTTCAGCTGGGGCTCCTCTCCATCCACCTGCATCTCCTTCGCTGAATCGGTGGCATTCTCGCCCTCGTACACGCTCTCGTAGACGGTCAGTGGCAGCTTGGCAGTGTGTGTCTCTGATTGCAGCTGGGATGGGTGGAAGGCTAGGAAGACGGCGGACTCGTTGTAGTCCTGGAGAAGCTGTCGGTGGAGCGGAAGGTGTGAGGCATCGGGTCCGGTCGATGGAGCCGTTGACCACCAGCCCACTATATCGAGAGGCGGAGCTTTATGCACATCCTTGACTGTAGATGGTGTTATCAGTATGGATACGAGCGAAGTGGGGGGTTGGTGTCTGTCGACACTACTGACACTGCTTTACTCGCTCTTCGAACCATGCCTCAGGTAGAAGAACCTCGCCGTTGGGACCGTTTGTCGTTGGGCACTCGAATGCATGCTCCAATGTTATCTCGCGCCCATTCTGCTGGCCGAGCAGAGCACCCACGACGGGGCCTTGTTGCTGGCGAGCGGCGTGACGGGTGATGTGGTCGGAGACGGTGAGGAGAACGAGGGGATGAAGTGAGATATGAAGACCCGAGTCGGACGACTTTTGAGAGAGCAGTGAGTTCTCCATGATTGAGTCGAGTCTGTCTGTCTGTCTGGCTGGCTGTCCAGAGTTGAACGTCAGGGCGGTATGCTCTCTGTTTGGCCTGTTTGACTGCTGCCTCAGGCACCAACCGAATCAGCTTCCCCCGCTGAACCAGCGTCCGATTTCAACACAAGCCACGACGATCTCGTGTCAGTCGCCATGGCTGTTCCTTCGTGCTTCGAGGAGGTCAAGACTCACCTTGCCCAGGTCCAGGAGGACCCCTCCACGCCCTTAGACATCGCTCTCATCGACAAATTAAAGCTGCAGCTGGTTGAATCCACTCCGCCCACCGTCGCCGCCACCCTCTTATCGCAGATCTCAGCTCTGCTCCCCGTCCTCCAAGAAGACCCAGAGCCTCTGACAACCTTAGGGATAAAGGCCACGATTCCCTTCAGCTTCACCGACCTCCGCGTCATTGATCCTCCCATCGACTTCGTCGCAGGCTTCAAGGCACCTTCCCCGCCGATCAACCTGCTCGCTCTATCCCTGCTAGGCAAGGCAGGACAAGCATCCAGCGATGCGGCCATAGTCTCGGGAGACTCGGATCTGATAGTATCGCTTGTGGAGCTGTGGCTGTCGACTTCCTCGGCTGCTGTCGCGCAGGCGGCACTCGACACGCTATGGGCGCTTCTCGAGGTCGACTTGGCTAGTCCCCTCGAGACGGAGGAATATGACCACACCGCCCAGAATGTCCATGCGGGACAGGGGCTGATGTGGCGGCGGGTATTCACGGATAAGGATGTCTACGGACTTCTCTTTGGCCTGTGCAGCCTCAAGGACGATGCACCAGGGGATCTGAGCAAGCGCAACCGGACCGTGGCCCAGGCCAGGCTTATGGTCTTCCTCACAAAAGCTGGAGGCGTGCGGTGGGACATAATATCGCAGTCCCAGGTGCCAGATATCGAAGCAAAGTACGACAGCAGCAGCCTGCTCCACTTCGCCGCCTGCCAGATGGTCGATCAGAGCGACGTGTTGATGCATATGACTTTGCTGAATTTCTTCCGTGACTTGTTGGAGATTGATGCCCCCGGCCTCGTAGCCCGGAGCTATGTACAGTCTGCATCAACCTTTTCATCACCCGCGCTTGACTTTTTGAGCTCCCAGAAGCTCCACCGGAAGGTGTTGGAATACTACCTTGATGAATCGAAGTTAGATGTGGTGGATGCTCGCTTTCTCGCTGGACCGGTCATGGTTTATGTGGCACGATATGCCGAGTCATACCCCAATCACCTCTTACAGAATCCTCCTCCACTTCTTGATGGGATCATCTCGCGCATTAATCGAGCTCTCGCCATTCCCTCTGCTCAATGGGCACACGGTGAAGCCCCCGCCGGACATCTCGCTGTCTTGGCCTCGCTGCCGCGAGTGCTGCTTGTGGAGGCTGGCAAGCATGGTGCAAATCCGATTCTGAAAATCCCCACCACGCCTCCGAATGAAGAAGCCTTGAATGCATTGGGCAAGATCTTCCGTGGTCCACTCCGCACGGAAATGTCTGATTCAATGGATCTCAACACGTCCGGTCAAACCCCAACAGACTGGCAGCACGAAGCAGCCGCAGCGCGCGTGCTTTACTTCCTCTACTTGAACAACCGACCTACCTTTTGGTCTGACGTTGTGGCAGCCGCGGATATCATGGCGATGAAGGATGTCGCTCTGGCAGCAATCAATTTCATGAAGGCCGTCGTTATCGCCAACTGGCAGCCATTACCTCCTGCATCTCACGTGTCTAATGCCTCCTCGTCCCGGTACCAATTGCCAGCAGAAGAGAGTCTCGGTCAAGTATCCCCCGCCAGCAGCGGACTGCTACCTATATCCGGGGCATGGGCTACGCTCACTCCGCCGGCACTGACAACACTGCTACCTTACCTGTTCAAACCACCGAAATCATACGCGGATTTTGTGGGTGGTGGTGCGGGTGATTCTCAGAATGCAGTGTGGAAGGTGGCGACTGCTAAGCACGACGTACTAGTGGCACTGTATAGCCAGCTTCGTGAGCAGGGCGGGCAGATGGAAGGATTTGAAGATATTATGCGGACCCTGCGGCAGCGGGTGAACGAAGGACCGTGGGGACCAGTCACTGGCGGCGCCAACCAGGTAGAGGCTGTCGGACTATGATCTACGAGACTGTATTAATCCATCTCTGTTCTGGCAAACTTGCTGTGGTTCATTATTATTCCTATTGTAGTAGATCTTATCGGGGGGAACCCTAAGCCCTACTTTCCCGTTCTAGGCCATGGCGGTGAATCACTCCGCCATCTTTTTCTCCCTCCAACCAGACCGAACTACTCGACGACTTGCTCCAGAACAATAATAATGGTGATGTAAGACTTTTCATACCTTACTCTATCTCCTCCGACCATCCTCCTCAACCACCAACCATGTCCCGCTTCGGCGCCAAAAAGGGCCCGCGCATGCCCGGCGCCGAGTTCACCTTCGACGCGGATCCAGGCCGCGAACCAGTCAACGCTCCCACGCCTCTCTACCCGGTATGCCTCAACCGCAACCCTTTTTATGCCGGTTGCTAAAACTAACTCGGCCGTTTAGAAATACGTCGTCCCCTTCAATCGGAAATTAACCCCCCTCGAACAAAAACAGGTAGATCTCTACCGGGACGCCCGCGCACGGGTTCATGAAGGACCGTACTACTCCGTCGTCGACGCGGCGTCTTTAACAGCCAAGAAAGGAAGCGCCGCGCGTGCAAACTTCGATGCCTTCCACGGCATGCCTACATTCTCGAGTCGGTATCTGAAGAAACCGCGGACGCTGCCGAAGATGAATGAACGGCCTTATGGTGAGCATACATAGCATGGCATTCTTCAGTAATGTCTATGATTATACAGAGCAGAGACTAATGGGTGGACGGACGACAGTCATGAAACTCTTCCCCCGTGAGCTCTGGCAAACCCTCCAACCAAACTTCCAGCCCGGCGCAACGATGGACGGCTACGTGCCCCAGAAGCGAGTCGGTCTCAAGCGCGGATTCGAAGATGATGAGGACGATGCTGTGGATGATGCTGCGGCGAAGCGGCGAGCAGCTGGTGGCGGTGGAGATGAAGAGGAAGTTGATGCGGACGCGGATGAGAGGGATGTTTTGGATGGAGACGAGGAACCAGAGGATGAGATTGTGGACGATGACTTTGAGGATGATGATGATGAAATGGGAGGCGACTATAATGCGGAACAATACTTTGATGGTGGTGATGATGAGTTTGGGGATGATGGGTTTGGGGATGGGGGAGGAGGAGGTGATGAAGAGACTTATTGATATTGAGATACCCTTGCTTGCATCTTGGTTGAACTACTCAGCCGAGCGATTCCATTGGAGCTATTTTTATTTTTTCTATTCCCATCTTGCGCCTGCGCCAGATCGACCCTCACATAAATATACACATGTAGGCGATGTCGGTCCTGGATGACGTCAGCCGCTCGGCGAAATCGGCATGAACTTATCGTGCGTTGCTGTTTTTTCTCCCTTGTGCACCAGTCGAGACGCAGCATGAGCAGTCCTCAGCAGTTGCGTTCAGCACTCATCCTCTATGGCTCTGAGACCGGCAATGCGCAAGAGGTGGCTGAGGAATTGGGGGCCCTGACCGAACGCCTCCGATTCGCGACGCATGTGTGCGAGTTGAATCAGTCCAGCCCGGTATGTGGTCCTCCTTTCTATTACGATATCGTTGAGACTAACTGAATCATGGATATAGGAAGCGCTGCTCTCCTATTCCATCACCATATTTGTCGTCTCGACCACTGGCCAGGGTGATCTTCCTGCGAATGCGCGGACATTCTGGAAGTCGTTACTGTTGAAGCGGCTGCCGGCCACATATCTGGAGGGAGTCAATTTTGCCTCTTTTGGACTGGGTGATAGTTCCTATCCGAAGTATGTTCCTGCATAGACTTTGAGGTTCTATATTGACAGGAAGCACAGGTTCAATTGGGCAGGGCGCAAGCTCTATAAGAGATTGTTGCAGCTAGGCGCGAATGACACTTACCCGCCAGGTGAAGCTGACCAACAACATCCTGAAGGGTCAGTACTTTCTCCTCCATCAATTGGCATAGCTAACTTCTTTCCTATTGAACAGACTCGAAGGCACAGTCATACCATGGATGGCGGGATTTCGGAAGCATTTGCTGGACAGACATCCGCTTCCCACGGGGCAACATCCAATCCCAGATGATGTTCAACTGCCGCCGAAATGGATCTTACGTCCGAATGAAGGCGAACCTTGTAGCGCTGCAGAGAACCCCCCAGTTGCAGAGAGATCCGCTACGCTGCTCCACCTGGACCACGATACCAGACCCCTTCCACACACTCTCTCTGCCACATTAGTCGAGAATCAACGGGTGACGCCACCCAATCACTGGCAGGATGTTCGGCACATCTGTCTGACTGTGCCTGAATCTGTCTCCTACGTCCCTGGTGATATGATCGCTATTACTCCCAAGAGTGTCCCGGCCGATGTCCAAACCCTTATTGACTTGATGGGCTGGAACGAGCAAGCAGACCGACTGATCTCGCTCGTTCCTACTGGAAATATCCCAGCACCTCCTCCAATCCCCGATCTCGACTCCTACCCCAACCTCACCTTACGCATGCTCCTCACCGACTACCTCGACCTCAAAGCCATACCCCGGCGATCCTTCTTTTCCACAATTGCACACTACACAAACGATTCCATGCATAGAGAGCGGCTATTAGAATTTACCAACCCGGAGTATCTTGACGAACTCTGGGACTACACGACGCGGCCTCGGCGCAGTATCTTGGAGGTACTGCACGAGTTCGACTCGGTCAAGATCCCCTGGGAGCATGCGGTATCGGTACTGCCCGTCGTGCGAGCGCGCCAGTTTAGTATCGCCAGCGGTGGAGAGCGGAAACGTACACCAGGTGGCCACACACAGTTCGAGCTGCTCGTCGCCATTGTCAAGTACCAGACCGTGATCAAGCGGATCCGGGAAGGCGTCTGCACCAAGTACTTGTCCGTGCTGCAGCCCGGCAGCACACTACGGGTGCAGCTCCAACGCGGCGGTCTCAACTCCTCCGTTCAGCAGCTCACCGGCGCAACCGTGCTCATCGGCCCCGGAACCGGCGTGGCGCCGCTGCGGTCAATGCTATGGGAGAAAGCGGCGCTTGTGAAAGCCTACCGCGAGCAGAACCCCGGCGTCGACCCCCCAATTGGACCTACCATCTTGTTATATGGCGGGCGCAACCACACGGCCGATTTTTTCTTCCAGGAGGACTGGGAAGAGCTCCGTGGTCTGGTGCAATTGCAGGTGTTGACTGCCTTCTCCCGCGACCAGCCGCAGAAGGTCTACGTGCAGGATACCATCCGGCAGCATTTCGGGCTGTTCTTCCAGCTCCTGCATGACATGGAAGGGTCGGTGTATATCTGCGGCTCCTCGGGCCATATGCCCCAGGCCGTCCGGGAGGCGCTCATTGAGACGTTCCAACATGGAGGCACGTCGGGACATCCATTCAATCGGTCCCAGGCGGAGGAGTACCTGATCGGAATGGAGAAGAGCGGGCGGTACAAGCAGGAGACGTGGTAGTTAATTCCATCCCGTAAAGGTCATCAGCATGATCATCGCATAATTTAGTCCCCCCATACCTGGTAGGAGTATAACAAGCATAACCTCGGCAGGCCCCCAGGGCGGTGAGGCTATACTCGGGCGGCGTCGGCGATTTGACTCGGTTCCCTCTTTCTCTCCCACTTCTCTCCATCGTCTCGAGAGCAATTGTTCCCCGACTGCTCGTTCCCTTCATTCACCATGGCCAGTAAAGGTTTACGGATATTGGTGCCCGTCAAGCGGGTCATCGACTACGCGGTAAGTCATTTTCTCTCCGGCCGGTCGGTCGGTCAGTTGTGCACCAAGCCCACCGATGCTGTCACAGGACCACCCCATCGACATTGAAATTGTGAAATTCATCAAGCCCGAATGCTAACACTGCCTGCTCTCCAGATCAAGCCCCGAATCAACAAAGCCCAAACGGGGGTCGAAACCGCCGGGGTCAAGCACTCCCTGAACCCATTCGACGAGCTCTCCATCGAAGAAGCCGTCCGGCTGCGCGAGCGCAAGGGCCCCCTGAAAGTCGAGTCGATCCTGGCTCTATCAGCCGGCGGCCCCAAATGCGCCGACACGCTGCGCACAGCGATGGCCATGGGCGCTGACAAGGCGTTCCACATCGACGTCCCCGAGGGATCGGGCGACGGCGGGCCCGAGCCGCTCACGATCGCCAAGCTACTGCGCAGCGTCGTCGAGAAAGAGGACATTAACATGGTTCTGCTGGGGAAGCAGGCTATCGATGGCGACCAGGGTCAGACGGGCCAGATGCTTGCCGGGCTGTTGGGCTGGCCGCAGGCTACGCAGGCGAGTAAGGTTGAGGTTAAGGATGAGGCTGGGACGGTGGAGATTACCCATGAGGTTGATGGAGGTGTTGAGACGCTGCGGACGAAGTTGCCGATGGTTATCACGACGGATCTGCGTCTGAATGAGCCACGGTATGCTAGTCTGCCGAATATTATGAAGGCGAAGAAGAAGCCGCTTGAGAAGAAGACGCTTGCCGACTTTGGGGTTGAGGATACCCGGCGGTTGAAGACGCTGAAGGTTACCGGTATGTTGTTGTTTCTCTTTCACTGCTGGGGTGCTCTCCCGCTGACTGGTCTCTCGCAGAACCCCCACCACGCACGGGCGGCGGCAAGGTCGAGGATGTCGATGGTCTGGTGTCCAAGCTGAAAGAACTGGGTGCGCTGTAGGAGTGTGTATATACCATCTTTTTCTTCTCTCATAGTGTGATCGACTATACAACCCAGAATGGTCTAGCCTCACCTGGTCACATGATCACCTTATTTGTACCAGGAACCATTATTGCCATCCCGCCTGAATGAACCTAGAGAGCCCTCGAAGCCGACCGTCTGAACTCGAATCGGCTGCAATCCTAGTCATATGGCTCTTGACTGGTAGGTATTTCGGCGTCGTGACGGACGCGTAGTTGGTAATAGCCCTGGTCTAGATCCTTCCCGCTTTTGGCTCATTTAATGGAGGGGCGGTGGGGGTGATCTATTGGAGACAACTATATAGCCTAGCTAGTTCGAGGGAAGTGTGATCGAAGACAGAGCAATCAACGACAATGAGAATAATAATAATATTAACAATGGCATTATGGCTATTATGTAGAAAGTCGACAATTATGTATGTCTACCTAATCCCTTGCTCCCGCAAGTCGATGACGTCCACGCCGTTCAACGGATCCACGGCGCCACTCGGGCCTACTTGACCATCTTCTGTCTGCCGTCTGACCCGATCAGTATTAACTAACCCGCCTGCCTCCTGGAATTTCCGGCAGTACAAGATACACATCATCAGGTACCCTTGACTTCCCAAGGTGATCGATCCCTTCCTTCACTTCCTTCCTGTCGACCGTCCTCCCGTCAGCGGACTATATCACGCAACATCATCTGTTTTGCCATCATTATTCCCAGCCACCCGTCCGTCGTTGTTTTCACGGTAACCATCAGTTTCATAATATACAAACCCATCATCACCCTCACTCACACATTCCCCGCCACATTCCGGCCACCCGCCGATCCTAGATTCCTGCATCCCGACTCGCTCGCGCGCGCCATTCCAACCCATCGAGCGAGAAATCTCGGGGAGAGAGCGCCCTCCCACGCCTGCTGTTCGCAGGAGGGCTTCGACCGTGTCCTGTCTCTCGATCGGCACTAACGTCCGCACGTTTCTCAGTCAGCCCACCATCCCAACCAACTCAAGATGCCGCCCTTCAGCTGGGACAAGACCAAGGACTACTCGAAGCGCGGCTTCGACAAAGCATGGCACACCGTCGACAAGCTCGGCGGCCCCGTCAACCGGCTCTCCAACCGCCTCGGCGCCGAGGCCTTCTGGCCCATGTCCATCGACAAAGAGAGCGACAAGGCCGCGCGCATCCTGCGTAGCTTCTGTAAGGATGGCTTCTATGCCCCCGAGTCGGAGGTGACGACCGATGACCAGGGCAAGATTAATCGGCCCAAGGGCAAGCAGCGCGTTATCAAGAAGATTCCCTCCGATGTCGTGAAGCAGGCCAAGGGGATTGCGGTGTTCACTACGATGCGCACCGGTCTCTGGATGAGCGGGTCGGGTGGGAGTGGTGTGCTTCTTGCGCGGATACCCGAAACTGGTGAATGGAGTCCGCCGTCTGGGATTATGTTGCACACCGCCGGCATTGGGTTCTTAGCTGGTGTCGATATATATGATTGCGTGGTGATTATCAATACAGTCGAGGCGCTCGATGCCTTCAAGAAGGTGCGCTGTACACTGGGCGGCGAGATCAGTGCCGCTGCTGGGCCAGTTGGTATGGGCGGCGTGCTGGACTCCGAGGTACACAAACGCCAAGCGCCGATTTGGACTTACATGAAGAGCAAAGGTCTCTATGCCGGAGTGGCCGTCGACGGGACCATTGTCATCGAGCGCACTGACGAGAACGAGCGGTTTTATGGAGAACGCCTCTCAGTCACCGAGATTCTGGCCGGCAAAGTCAGACATCCGCCCGACTCTATCAACACACTCCTAGAAACCATCAAGGCAGCACAAGGCGACGGCGACGTCGACGTAAGTCTAGTCGCGCCGGCGGGCGAAACACCTGGTGACATCGAGCTGCCTGATAATGATGGTCAACCGTTTGGCGTGCCGGCCGAAGACGACCCTGACCCGTACGGAGTGAAAGCGCTGGAGGCCGAGGGCCTGTTCATCCGGGAGGCCGGCACCAAGGTGAGGCCAAGCCTTGATGTTTTTGAGTTCCGACCACACCACAACAGCCCCGTGTTCACCACGCTCTCGCGGCGCAGCGCGGACAGCTCGCCGCGGAATAGCTGGCGCACCGGCAGCTGGCGCGCGAGCGTCCAGAGCTACACGAGTGCAGACCGTGCTACCCAAACTGATGACGCTCCGCTAACTGCGCCAACATCAGTAAGCCGAGCATCCTCCCGCAGCGCGAAGGCGGAGTCGACCGAGCTTGCGGCACAACCGAGCCCGTGGGATGAGGATCCCGCCCGTTGGGATACTGGGGAAGAGAAAGAGCAGGATGACGAAAAAGTGGATGGTACGAAGGAAATCGACTCCGAGGATGACCTGGAAGTGCACGAAGTGAGCAACGCTACCGTCAGTAAGCAGGAGGCTGTCGTGACTACGCCGACCCGGGTGGAAGAGGAATCCAGCGACTCCAAGCTCATGTCGCCCACTTTCACTCGTGCTCGCCTGGTCACCATCCCGAAGACAAAGCGTCCCACGCCGCCGCCACTGCCTCCCCGCCATCCGCAGCACATCTGGGGTTCGGAATCCAGCCAGGATTCCACTTCTCCAACCGGCCTCTCGCACTCCAGTCGCAGCACCGAACCCACCGAAGCCAACGAGCGTTCTGAGTCTGTTGAGCCTGTCGAACCTGTTGAGCCTGTCAATGATCTTCCTTCCAATGTTAAAAATCTGCAGGTCAGCTCAGCTCTTCCTGCCGTTACCGATGAAGATCTTGATGAAGACAATATGGAGTCCCACGAGCGTTCTGAGTCTGCTGAACCTGTCGAACCTGTCAATGACCTTCCTTCCAATGTGAAAACACTGCAGGTCAACTCAGCTCTTCCTGCCGTTACCGATGAAGACCTTGATGAAGACGATATGGAGTCCAACGAGCGTTCTGAGTCTGCTGAGCCTGTCGAACCTGTTGAGCCTGTCAATGACCTTCCTCCCAATGTGAAAACACTGCAGGTCAGCTCAGCTCTTCCTGCCGTTACCGATGAAGATCTTGATGAAGACGATATGGAGTCCATTCCTGAGACACCGCTTGACATGGACGAGTTCCACTCTGTTGATGGTGATCACGAGTCGGATGTTGAAGACGCTACTATCGTGGAGGACCTCCCGACTGAACGGAAAGAGTCGGTTGAGACTGTCTCTCCAGACCAAGAGGAGGCTACAGCAGAACAAGCGCAAGCACATGAAGACAGACCCGAGACACCCAGTGAACTGCTTGACCACAAACTGGGAGAGATCCACATCGACGAGTCGCATCCCGACACGGAAGCTAACACCGATGCGGACAAGGATGTCACTAGCTCTGTCTCTGCCGAGACTGCTTAGGGTCAGAACTGTCTGTTTCTTGTCTTACCCGTTCCTTGTCATTTATGTCTTCATGATACCTCGTGCATACGGTTCTGGCTTTTGGAGTTTATTCATGGAAAAGTTCGGCGTGCTCTAACTACAAGCACCATCTCTTGAAGAGGGTTCCGGTTCATCTATGAAATTTCTAGCGTGCTGTGCATTATTGGGCGGTGGGGGATTTCTCGGTCATACAGGTTGGTTGGGTTGTGCCTCGATGAAGGTCTACTTTCTTCTATCGCGCTCTGGGGTATCTTTATCAGGATAGAGCGTAGTTCGTTACATATAGTCGATCTTGCTCTGAATTTCGGACTGTTTTCTCTGCGATGAGACACATTCATTCTGACATCATCACTTCGACTAGCAGCCAATACCCCTTTCAAACCCTATTCCCGACCCAATAGATAATAAACACCTGCTACCAACCTCCCTTCATCCCTTTCCCCTCATCATTACTGCCTTATCAGCTCCCTTAACATTTTCTTCTGTCGAAACCAGTGACAGAAACCTGAAAGATCGGCGTGGAGAAGCTCTCTTATCGCCGAGCTCTCCTCTAAACTCCGAGAGTCGGCAAAATCAACAAGGGAGGCCTTAATCCAATCTTAGTCTCTCTCGGTTTCTTTCTCCACCATCTCTCTCCCAGCAAAGTCTGTCTTCTCAGAAACTTGCAACAATGCCCTCCGAAAAAAGCGTCAAGGCCGCTCTCGCCCTCATCGAGAATGACAAGTCCAAGCTCCTGGGCTTGAAGGTGGGGCAGCACGCGAGCGTGGAGCCGGGACAGTATATCCCTCGAGCTGGTAAGTTTTTCTTCACCTACATATACCCTAGGCAATAATTATTCTTTCCCCCTATAATACTAACATGATACAATATAGACGCCCAATCCCCGCCAGCCTTATCCTTCCCCTCGGCATCCCCGACAAAAACCTACCTGGCAATCAGCCTCGACATCGACGCCCCCTTCCCTTCCTTCGACGTCCTCGGCCCAATCCTGCACTGGATTCAACCAAACGTGAAAGTGTCGGGCGAATCGCTGAGCACAGACGCCCCCTTCGTCGCGAACTATATCGGTCCCGCCCCGCCACCGGGTAGTTCCCCGCACCGGTATACCTTCTTCTTGTATGAGCAGCCCGAGGGCTTTGATTATAAGAAGTATGCGCCTGCAGACGGAAAGACGTTGGGGAATTGGAGTCGTATGCGCTACGATCTTGATGCGTGGGCCAAGGAGATTGGGTTGGGGGATGTGCTTGCTTTTAACTATTTTACTAGTAATTAGGCGAGGGCAGGCTAGTTAGGTGGATTTGTTGATGTGGGGTTGTCAAGGGGGTCCTTGTTCTTCTCGGGGGTTATTATCTGTCTTTTTGTGTTCTTGTTGGATTGGTAACTTGTCTGCGGATAGTCTCTGCTAATGACAATGAAGGTGCAATTGCTGACTCAATCCTATTGTGCTTCTTTCTCTGCTACCGTAGCTTTGCTCCTGCTAGTATACTTGATATGTGTTTTTTAAAAAAAAATTGAGAACGGGTGGTACTGGTATATATAGAGAGAGAGCTGCATTACATCCAAATATAACCCCCTACTGCAAACTCTTCCCCGATGGTACCCGTATACACTTTTAGATGACACTGTACCTAGTGGTTTTTTCTGTGGTAAAAGTCCCCAGATATTTGGCATTCCAAAGCCTACTTTACTCATACCCAGCTACAAGAACGATCAAGTATGTTGGACAAGCAGGTCGCCGTAGAAATAAGATTCGCAGATTGCTGGGATCGGCAGGGCGACCCGCAGCAGTTGTACGGCAATAATAACACCGTGTTCAGGCCTGTCAGGAGGCCGACGGCCTCTGCAGTAATGCAGTTGAGGATGCCTATGTCATGTACTCTGGGAGAGGCTCCTACGATATTTTGCACGTAGAGCTAGGTCCAATCCCGCCAAACTACTTCCTGGATTTTCTGAACCAGCACTGGGTGCAGCAGGCATTAGGTGTGCCCATCAACTATACTGAATCCTCGAACTACGCCTTCTCCGCAACGAGCGACTACCCACGTTCAGACGTGCAAGGGTACTCAATGACCTGGCGTATGTCCTGGATTCGGGGAGGCTCCCGTATACGGCGACCGGGACTACGACTGTAATTGGATTGGACTAGCACGGGAACTTTTCGTTCACTCATGTATACGAAGCCGGCCATGAGGTTCCTGCGTACCAGACCGAGACAGCATATGAGATCTTCTACCGCGCTCTGTTCAATCGGGATTTAGCAACGGGTAAAATGGACATTGTTGCCAATGGCTCCTATTTGATTCGAGGAACAGGTCCCCGAGAGCCCAGCGCTGGTGTGTTATATTCCTCTGAAACCGACGTGGACTGCAGATAAAACTGCCCGTGTGGTTAATGGCACTACGAGCATTCGGGATTATATTGTTGTGGAGGAGGGAGGTTGACCGGATGTGTACATCGTGGTAAGCAAGTGGGGCATGATGATGACATGGACCGGGAGCTGTCTGGTATAGTCGAACAAGCGTTAGAGAGACCATTGCATACAAGATAGAGTGATGGAGAGCGTTAGGTGTATGAGTGTAATTCAGTTCTCTTTTTGCTTCTTTCGTTCTTTTGCTTTTTCCGCATTCTCCCTCAACGCCATCAATACCGAATCTTCCAGAAGCTTCGACGACGTCACACGTCACTGCGCTTCTTCCCCACGCTCACCCGCTCACCTCACCGGTTTCTCTTCATTTCAACCGCTCCTCACTCACTACTAATTACCTCGGATCCTTCGCGTGTCCCGCTACACTACTCTGTTCACCATCCCCCTTCGTATCTCTAATCCCGCCCTCTTCTCTATCCCTTCCTACCGAACCCTACCGAACATTCTCCTCCCTTCGAGAACCCTCTCTTGCATGCGACCGGGTGGCCAGTTTCCAACCCTCGCTTTTAACTTCCCGCCTCACACTCAATTGCTCCCAACCTGACCTCTCATCCACACACCACACACCATGGTTGCCGAAACCAAATTGTACGATGCCTTGAGCATCAAACCCAGCGCGAGTCAGGATGAGATCAAGAAAGCCTATCGGAAAGCAGCATTGAAGTGGCACCCCGATAAGAACAAGGACAACCAGGATGCCGCAGAGAAGTTCAAAGGTATGATATTTCTCTATTCTGATGGTTAAGTAAGCACAACTAACTATGTATCGAACAGAGGTATCCCAAGCGTACGAAGTGTTGTCAGACCCCGAGAAACGCAAAGTCTACGACCAATTCGGCCTCGAGTATTTGCTCCGTGGCGGCCCTGCCCCTTCGCCTGGCGGTGGTGCCGGCCCCGGCGGCGGCGGCTTTGAAGGAGGTATGCCGGGAGGATTCTCTTCGTTCGGCGGCATGCCCGGCGGTGGAGGAGCGCGCACATTCCATTTCTCGACTGGACCCGGTGGTGGTGGCGGGTTTCGATTCAGCGCTGCGGATGATATCTTCCGCAACTTCGCCAAAGCCGGCGGCGGCGGGGGCTCGGGCCTTGACGAGGACGATATATTTTCGATGCTGAATGGAATGGGCGGCGGTGGCGGCGGTGGCTTCCGGACTGCTCGCCCAAGTAGCGGTGGTGGATTTGCGCAGAGTTCTCGCCGCGCACCGACACCTGAGCCTACTGTCATCGAGAAGGATCTGCCGTTGACTCTGGAGGAGATCTTTAACGGGACCACAAAGAAGGTGGTCACGAAGAGTAAGGCGTTTGATGCGAGTGGGAAGCGCAGTGTTCAGGACGTGACGCTGGAAGCTAACATCAAGCCTGGTCTGCGGGCTGGTTCGAAGATCAAGTACAAGAATGTTGGGGATCAAGAAGAAGGAGGTCGACAAGATGTGCACCTGATTGTCAAAGAGGTAGGTTCTTCCCATATGCTCGATTTGTTTGAGATATGAAACAAACTAACGATGTCACAGAAAGAGCACCCGGTCTTCAAGCGCGTCGGAGACAACCTCGTCGTCACGGTGGACCTCACTCTCAAGGAGGCCCTCACAGGCTGGGAGAAGATCGTGCGCACCATCGACGGCAAATCCATCCGCGTCCAGAAGCCTGGCCCCACACAGCCGGGCTTCGAGGAACACTATCCGGGTCAAGGCATGGTGGTCTCCAAGAAGCCCAGTGATCGCGGCGATCTGGTCGTGCGCGTCAATGTCAAGTTCCCCACCACCTTGACGGCACAGCAAAAGGAAATTCTCAAAGATGTCCTCCCATAGAACATTTGTGTTCTGGTCTTTTTTTTGCATATCTTCGGCGTTGGTGTGAGCGTGCAATAATTCTTGTCTTCTCGGAAGGGGTTGAAACAACGACAGCGATGAAATGAATATTATTTTTGTTCGACATGCAGAGACAGTGTGAAGCAGTTGGTTATTTTGCTGTAAAGTCCATTTGACTCCCTACCACATAGGAATGCAATAGTAAAGAATCCATTTAAACATGATCTATAAAAGTAAACATCAACAATCTACACTAAACCTATTTAGGCTCCGGCAGACCTCCACTTCACCCAAACATGAAATGCTTAAGTTATCCTCACATCTTCTCCCCCAATAATTATAACATGCCACAAAAATGAAACGCCGAATCACCATCGTCCAGCCCGAAAATGCCCCCTTCCACCCATCTCAAGCCGAGCTGACCACTTCGGCCCTGTCGGTCCGCGACCTCGACGGCGCGCGCGAAGACCGAATCACCCTCGGACTCGACGAACTCCCGGAGGAGGTGAGAATCAAGCAATACCCCGGATGGTGTCGCTCCTAGGAACGGAAAGTCGGCTAACGTTAAGAGAGTACCAGCTCCGCACCGTCCTCCGACAATCGCACGAGCTTCATCTCCGCTGGTCGACCGAGCGGTCCTACAATGCCGTTGCGCCCTTTGCCAGTAGAGTCTCGCCCGGTCTACATGTGTTCTATACCCCGCTGTCCTCGGATCAGTCCTCGTGAGTTAGACGTCAGGGCCCAAGTTTACAAATGTGGGAGACTGAAAGAGTGTGAATCTTGGCAGGGAGACGTTGTGTCCGCTGCTCCGCGCAGTGTTCGGGGATGGGGTCGACTGCGCAAATCCGGAGGTGAGTCTTCAATGTATTCTGTCAAATGGGCCAGTTCTGACCGCACCGCTTCAATCCAGGAGTCATTCATCACGCCCCCTCTCCTCTCGACGCGGTTCGCGGCCTCAGCCTCGCTTCAATTCCACTCTCGGCTTCCCTCGTTGGAACAACTAGTCGATTTCATCGGACGCACGGCCTGTGAACCGCGCAAGGAAAGCACGTGTCTCGCTAACGCCCAGTACCTGCTCTCGGCGGACTCGCTCGATATCGACTATGACAGTATTTCGCACACCCTGACCCTGACAAGTCTTTGGACTAGTCCGCCGAGTGGAGGCTGGACGGAGGTGGTTCGAAAACCGACCTCGAACGCAGACCAAGTCGAGTTTGGGATTTTGAGCGGCGACAAGGCTGTTGATCTGGAGGATTTGAAAATGGGCGGGTTACTAGCTGTGATTGGGACGCACAAGAAACTACGTAAGGACGGGCCTGTTCTTCTGTTCCTTCACAGGGCGCATCAATAACAATAAGCTGACCTCAAACCACAAACAGAACCGACGATGTTCTCATTTCCATCGCGTCACCACCCGCTGCCCAAAGAGGCAAGCTATACAATCTCCTTCCCGCCTCCAACAGGGCTGCACCCAACACTATCCATTTCAATGCCCCAATCCTCCCTCCAACGACCCCCTGCTCCGGAGCACGCAACCTGCGCTCTGCACACATACCTCACCCTGCCCTCCACCATCTTTGGAGACCAGTACCAGTTGGGAACATCCGATCCCCTCTTCCTCGAATCTCACAACCTCGTCGCCCTCCGCGCTCTAGCTGGTGAAACCGACCTTGAAGCTCCAGACTGGGTAATCCCGCGCTGGGGCTCCACCTGGCTGCTTGAACTCGCCACTCCTAAGGCGGAGTCAACTGAGGTCAATTGGACCGCTACGATCCCACTCCACCTGCGATATCTGGATCCCTCGGAATCAGGCTATCGGCCCGCGGATGTACCCTGGCCCGTCGTCTTCTGGGCCTGTACTGCCGAGGACGGCACGAAGATGGGGACTAACCCGTTCGACCGCACGAATCTAGGCTGGGATGGTCTCTTCGGCCCGCGCACTATGTTCTTCCAATTACATCCTTCTTCTTCCTCTACTTCTTCGGCGAAACTCGTCGAGCATATCGATGTCCCTGTGCTGCGTCTCCGCGGTGCAGAGGGCCTGTTTCAGGCGAGGAATATCGAGCTAGGAACTGTACTTGTGGTTGGACTGGGATTCCTCTGGGTGGTTCTCAGGCTGGTACGCGTGGCGTGGTCTTCTGGCGTGGGTTCCAAGAGACACCGGGGGACACTGCATACGAAGAAAGATTGAAGCCGCTGCTGTTGACTTGGGGGGTTATATGTTAGGACCACCGTACATCTTTCTTCCTGTCAACCGCTTGCATAGCCCTTCGTCCGCACACTTAATGTATACGTAAATGTTACAATCAGCTCCCTAACCTTGTAATTGAGATCGCTTTCGGCATTTAGGGTTCTTTCTGCGCCGCTCCTCAAGATGCCACTCTGAAGATCATTTCTTGTCCATCAACAATCGGGTGATTCATTTTTTGCATTTTGACCTATGTTTATGGTGTTAAGGAATTTGGACCTTACGGATGATGGTCAGGTATGGACGGTTTACTCATTGTTTCTGGTTTATTGGTTGCGATACAGTAAAGAATGGCTTCAAGGGTCATGAGCGTTATTGGAAAATCTGATGGTGAGACCAGAAAGCTAGAAGCCGAGGCAGTATCGTGGTTGCGATACCTAAGATAATCCTCGTCGGCAGATCATCCAACCGAATAGCCATTCCGGTGGCACAGGCTTTCCTTCTCAGTTGAATAAAAGAATGATGGCGTGCATCATATGGTGGGGTATTGTAGTCGAGCGTCTTCACCTTTCAGGGTGGTTCGCTTCTCTTGTTGAACATTCGGATCATTTGAGAACCAGACCTTTTTCTCTCCGTAACGGTGTTAGGCTAACTTGGCACAAAATCCGCCACAAAGCCAAGGCCTATAATTGTTCTTGAGTGTCTCTAAGGTCATAGACCCAGCCAGCTGCATTGAAATACCTCCAGATTTTGCTTTGCTAATCTCGAAATGTCCGGGGGAAGTAGCCACTAATGTTTGTTGGCCGCCACAATAGGCCTTTTCAGGACCCGGGGACTAAGGCAATGTATGACTGTGTCATGGAATGTCTTCCTTTATGCATTCCAAGTGGGTCACAAATATCGATCGCTATACTGTTCGTCAGGTGATCGGGTACGGCAGTGATAAGTGGCCCGGCAAGCTATCTCCGCCACTTCCTCAATCACTTTCCCCAACCCCGACAACAGTTTTATTGTAGTACAAAGGCCAAAGAAGAATGATGCCAAGGTAACTTGCGCAGCGTCTCACGCGCCGTATAATGGACTCTTCCAGCCGCGAGCGAAAACGGGCGCACGACCGTCAAGCGCAACGGGCCAACAGAGCACGGACACGGGCTTATATCTCCCAGCTTGAAAGCACCATTGCAGAGCTCAGCCATGTCTCAGGGGCAGAGCGCCCAACAGTATGGCAAGCGCAGTTGACGAAACAACAAGATGAAATCCAGCAGCTAAAGAAAACATTGAGCAAAATTACAAAGTTGGCTCAAGGAGTCGATGGTTGGCGATCCCTTTCTGTTTTCTCCCAGCACATCTCCTGTAAGAATACCATTCAAGATCAGACTTACTGATTAGGTGCAGACGACGCTCAAGAAGCACAAGCCGATAATCAGAACCCAGAAATTACCAGCCAGGGGATAGATTTAGACATCTTGCTCAGCCATACCTCGTGCGCCGGAAGCTCATTTCACGAAGGATGCTCAATGTCCGGTGCCTATCCGTCTAGCAATGTCGATGGTGCAGGGCCAATTTTGCATGAACTGGGAAATAAAAACTTCTTTATGATGCTGAATGATGCCATTCTTCGGCTGAAGGTGTCTTCTGGCGACGCGTCTTTGTCAGGAGTAGAAGATGACAATGATATATGCATTCGAGCTGTACTTCATGGCTGGAGGGCAACTGAACAGAAAATCCCTCTGGACTCTGCCTGGCAATTACTCCGCGAAATAGATCAGAAAATATTCTGCCACGCTGGAATGGTTGAAAGGGTTGCTGTACTTCGCGTTACGAGAGCCATGTTCGTGGTATGTCCTCCGATGCGTCTTACTCAAGGAAAGAGAAACATTCTTACTGACGATATCTCTTAAGCAAACAATCAGCCCTCCTCTCCAGCCTCAACGAGAGATCCCTTCCTTTATGAAACCAAGGTATTTCCCTTACGGTACCATGGCGGACAGGAGGGACGTTATGTCTATCAAATCTAACATTATCTTTGTTGCGCAGTGCCCTTCAGGACATTCTGGAACATAATATACTGATCGACTTTTTCTTCTGGTAAATACAAAGCGCACAGTTCTTCACCACTAAACAGTCTACCAAGCTATTTACTCTACCATTACTGTCAAGTGTGAACTAACCTGTTTATGGATGATAGGCCCAACTTCCGAGACTTCCTCATCCTCGCGGGTTGGAGTTATGCAGAGGAAGAACACGCTAGAGATTTTGCGACTCACCTACGCTTCCGCTGGGGCTACGAGTTCCGTGACATCTACCGGAAAAACAAATCAACTGGAAATTACTCGTTTTCACAAGAATTCAGCAATACCTATAATGATCTGCACAACTGGGAAATGCAGTCCAGCAGCTCATTGCCATTTGATGTGTCGGTGTTTTCAGCTTCTACAAGTTCAACGAATTCTTCCAAAATACCTTCTCACCCAGTTGCACTTGCGAGTGAGCGAGGGTACATGACGAATTGCGGTATGCCTGACGGCACAATTAACCCGGTGTTTTTGTGATTACAAGTATGACCTAGTCCTTTTTCGGAGGCGAGATATTCGGTCTGGTGAAGATTTTCTAGATGGAAAGTTGACGGCGATGTGGCAAATTATGAGGAAATCCTAATGTGTCACCTGGCTATCAAGGCGACTAATAGAGTTGATGTACTTTACCATCAGACTGGCGATGAAACCACTTGAAAATCCGGCTTCACCCTTGCACGGAATAACATTTTTTTCACGAAAGTATCGGCTGCTGTAAATAGTCCTTATGGATCCAAATTTGGATGGGCCTCCCATCGTGGGTAATCAAACAGGCCTTCATTTCAACATTAACCGACTATGGACCTTGGAGAAAGATACCATATCCATTCAATGAGTTCAAAGCGGAAAATTGTCTTCAAATACGCAGTCCTAATTTATCCCACGTTATTACTACAGGCCATAGGCACCGGAAATCCACTTTGCTGCCCCGTTCACAATACATTCCACTGTCCTCAACTCATCCTCGTTCCTGGGGGCATACACCATAACGAACCCCTTTGGCGCAAGGCTAACCACGAATCGTTCACCCCAGCCCTTTTCGATAATCGCCTTTGCGTCCGCCTCACTTAACCACACATGTAGAGAGTTATCTTGCGGATGGACATGTGCAATCTCTTTATCTAATGTAAAAACCGGCTTTTTGGCAACAGGATTCAGTTTGGGATTGTCAGCACGAGCATAGAGTGCGGATGTAGTGCCTCCTTCGGTTTGACTAGTTCGGATCTCAAAAAGGTCAGGACGCGACGATCCCAGGGTGGGGATCAAGGCGTGGAGTTTGTCCTGGAGATTACTAGACAGCTCTTCAGGAGCCTGCCGATGAGGCAAAGGCGGGAAAAGGATCCGGACAGCTGGTCCTTGTCGTGTCGGCAGTTCGTCATCCGGTATCAGTCTCGGGGAGTTTGTTGCAGAGAGTGACGAAGTATCTCGAGTATTGTAGAATGTAATCTTGTTGATGAGGCCAAGAAGCAAGCTTCGAGAGTAGCCGAATGGATTAGGCGGGCTCCCGCCGACGCCAAAGGACCGCCAACGTTGATAATCGCGAACCACCCACATGCCGGCCACCAATGAGCCTGTGGCAATGCCGACCGCAGCTGCGACGGGAACTCTATTGTCCCTGAACGAAAAGCGTTGCTGAAATGAAAGTATGTGGCGTATGAGGCGATCTTTCCACATCGTCTAGCAGAGTGAAAGTATACACCGCAGGGGGGTTCTCAAAGGGCTTTATTCTATCGAATAAAACAGAGGGAGGCACGGGACTGAATAAATAAATGTGACAGGGAAAGCCACCTTTTTTATCAATGACCATGGAGGAACAATTGATCCATGTCAGTGCGGAACTAGTTAACTTGGCTTATAAATGGAGAATGCCTTTTGGGAACATGGTAGATTAGTCCCGATAAAAAAAGGTTAACCTTATTTGCCGGAGGTTCGGGATTGAGATTCAGAGAGATCAGCTCCCTTGGTTTTTGCCATGTCTAATTAAGAAATGGTAGTGGAAAAGAGTAAAAAGAACAGAAATCCGCGTCGCATGCGCATAGGTACGCCAGCATGCGCATAGGTACGCCAGCAATTCACTAGTATGGTTCTCTTAGCGCGGATGTGGGCGGTGGTGGGGTGTCGAACGTGTGTAGATAAGCGGAACGGAATCGGGATTGCAATTGTGCCGGTCCCCACTTTTGCGACGTCGACTTTCCTGACTCGCAAACTTCGGGTTAGTGCTTTTCATCCCTATGCAACTCCACATGCCGTGCCGAGCATGTGGGCCAGGCAGTCTAAATATCAAAATACCACACACAGTCATCATGTCCACATTGCATAAGTTACATATTATAAGAGAAATTCTCTTTGTAATCTCCGTTGTGGCGTTTGCAAATCCATCTTAGGGATGACGGAGGAAGATCCCTTCCACGTGAGAATATCAACTAGGGGTACTAGACTGGAACTATATAATGCCGTTGTTTTTCGTTATCCTACTCTACAATTAGTCCATTGATTTTCCAGAACCTTGTTCTTCAACTCTCACTGTGGAATCGGTATAATCAACCAATTTCCGTGCTAGCTTCATCCCGAGACACCTCGTTTTCTAGACACGGGATTTCGACTTGTGAGAGACAATGCAAACCGTTGTCGAATACCTCCTTGGCTCAGTGCCACAACCGCTGTCGCTCCATCCGAAGGCCATTGTCCTCGGAACAACTGCCATATATTTTCTGCTTCAGAGGACGCTTCGATTCTTGCGTGTTAAACGTATGATGAAAAGTTATCCGTACAGGAGTATAGAAAGTCTTGCCAATATGACAAATGACCATGCGTACGAAATCCAACGGGATATCTTTCAGCTCGAATTTCCATACACAGCGGCAAAGGCGCTGGGGTACGCTCTATTCAGGTATGAGGGCATTTTGTTGCTTATTTCCCTGTCGCAACTGATTCCTCTTGCAATGATTCTCATCTCGTTTTCAGAACATACGGTATCCCGAGCATCAGTAAGTTATTGGTGCAGACCAGACAACTGTCGGACAAAGCAAACGCTGGCAAGGTAAAGTTACCCATCGTCTTTCACAATGTTCATGGCATATACTAAAGCTCATGAAGCGATCGGCAGATACTGGTGTTCTCATACTCGAATTCCTGACCTCACCACCAAGTTCGGAACGGGCAAACGCTGCAATTGCGAGGATGAATTGGCAACACAGGTACAGTGTTTCATAGGCATACTACTATGATGGGTCATTAGGCTAATAATACATTTGCAGCAACTACCAGAAAGCCGGAAAAATCAGCAACGATGACCTGCTCTATACACTGTCTTTGTTTGCGCTAGAGCCGGGTAAATGGATCCAACGTTATGAGTGGCGGTCACTTAATGAGATGGAACAATGCGCTTTGTAAGTCTACATCGAATCTCTTTCCTTTTAACTCTTAGTAACCCGTGGCTCGTGATAGTGGCGTGTTCTGGAAATCCATCGGCGACGCCATGGAAATATCGTATGACGATCTTCCTTCCGCAAGAACAGGCTGGAAGAATGGCATTCACTGGCTCCACGAGGTTGAAGTCTGGGCCGAAGCTTATGAGAAAATCAATATGGTGCCGGATCTTATGAGTCACAAGACAGCGAACGAGACAACAGCGCTATTCGTTTATGGCCTGCCAACCTTCTTGCAAAACGCAGGGAAGCAGTTCGTCACGGCCATGATGGACGATCGATTGAGGGAGGCGATTATGTGAGCACTACCCTGTCGCAAGTCCAAACACCAGGACAAACCCCCATGGCTAGCTAGCAAGTTCCGATACTAAACGAAGATTGCTATCCTCTAGGTATCCCCCTAGTCCTTGGTACTTCACTGCGATTGTCCAATCGGCTTTCGCTTGCCGCAAAATCTTCCTTCGCTATGTTGCTTTGCCTAGATTTACGCGGTTGCGCGTTTTGTCGGAAGACAAAGACCCAAAGACGGGGCGGTATCACATGGAAGTCTATGACTCTGAGCCATGGTAAGTGCAACCTCATCACATTGTGCTACGGGAAGATACCCCTTCTTGCTGGTGACAGCCTGCTGATTGTCGTTTTTCGAGGAATAAAGGTATGTATCGGACTCCTTTACCCACCGTTGGGGTCTTAAAGCCATCCTGCGACGCCTTGTTGGCGCGGGTTATCCGTCCGAGGGATTTATGCCGCAAGGCTATCTGATCGAGGAGGTTGGACCGATGAATATGATTGGGAAGGGCCTGGAAGAATGCGATAAAGGAACAAGGAGGTTGATTAAGGCGGACCGAGGTGGCTGTCCCTTTGCTGTTTCTAAGAATTGAGGCCGTAATGAACATTCCATGTGGAAGTTTCGTTACTACGCGGACAAATTCTAGAAGGTACGCAAGAAATTCTCTATGCATCATTGGACAACAAACGATGGGTCTCACTTCATGGAAGGGTGAGAGATGGTTAGGAAGTTGGGAGTTGGGGACATTTCATGGTTAGACATTTAACTGGGTCGTTGGCTACATAGTTCACGCTAGTTTCGCAACATAATTGGGTCATAGGTGTTCTGCCCATCACATTATTGGAATGTTCAATCCAAATTCCAGCATGAGTTACTTGGAACAGCAGCTGAATCTTCTTCTAAATATGGAATCTCCTTATATGCCCATCTCAGGCAGTGGCCAAGGCACATCCGTCATGAGGAACTGATCCAGATCGAAATTCTGGAGACTAGGCATATCGATAACCAGATCGCCCAGCCAGGAGAGCTCTGCATCAGAGACCGGGCCATTGGGCTCAGATATTTGAGGTGGCTGCTGAAGTAGTTGAGGCTGAGGCTGCGCGGCCGGTTCACAGGATACATCCTGGTCTGCCGTAGTGTTGCCAGTGGTTGCGGTAGGAGGCGCAGCCGCAGCGGCAGCATTAACACGCAACACCTCAGCTAGAGCATGCGTATCGTCTTCCTTGCGCCGCTGATGCATGGCGATGAGCAGATAAGCAGTCGAATAAGCCTCGCGCATGACCGGTGTGTCATAAGCAGCTAGAACCTCGCGGAGGGTGCGCATCGCATCGGGAAGAAGATCGAGAGCTGCGCGGTTATCAATGGCCAGCAGCGTGCAGACAATCTGGAAGGGAACGTTGGCGACCTGGTGCCACGGACAGTTGGAGGCGACCATTCCCCTCGCTGCGTGGAGGGCGCGCCTAGCTAGTGCGAGTACGCGGTCGAGTAATTGACCGGATAATAGTGCGTGAGCGTTTAGAGCACGCAGGCGCCGGTAGATGCAGAGCATTAGGTTGCATTGCACTAGGATTAGGGATGGGCCGGGGTAAACGAGATCGAGCACTGCGGTGAGGGCTGTCTCGAGTTCTGGGAGATCCTGCGGTGCTGGGCCGGTTGGGTCGAGGCTTTCAGAGAGGGGGAGGAGATGGAAGAGGTCTGCGCGTGCGCCTTGGGGTGCTGCCATTGGTGGGCCGCGGGGGTTGGGGGGAGAGCCGTGGCGCCGTGGAGGACGATGCGCGAGCGGCCGAGGTCAAATGAGATCCAGGTGTTGAGGTGACGTGCCATGCCGAACAGCCGCCGGCGGGTCTCCTGGTTGCTGGAGGCGGTGCTGTCGCCGTTGGGGCGAGTGGCGAGGAGTCCTGCTGCCTCGCGGTCCTGGGGTTCGAGATGGAGACCAGCGGCTTCGACGAGGTGCATCAGTGTGCAACTGACCATCCAGGCTGCATGCGGAGGGGCAGTCATGCGAAGATACGCGGCGCGGAGGACCCAGCCTGATACAGTGTCCACGGAAGGGGTCTCGGCGGACAAGACGCTCTTCTCCAGGAGGATGCGCGCTGCCTCCACGAGCTGTAGTTCTGTTGCTACTATCTCGCGTTGTGAGAAGAGATGTCCCAAGGCTGCGACGCCGCATAATACCGCATCATAGGATTGATCTGGCGAGTCAATGGACCATCGCTTTGCGATCAGGGCGGAGACAGTCTCCTTTTCCAGGAAGTTGTAGCATGAATGGATCTTGTCGAAGAAAACCCCGGTCAAGCGCTGCATCTCTTCTTGTGAAACAATCTTGGTGATGGTCGACGGTGTCGGCGCCGAAACGGACAGTCCGGGTGACCGCCGCCGCTCGCCGACGTTCCATGCGAAAAGATGCAGGCGCGGCGCGTGCGCCGGGTCAATTCGCAGCCCTAGCTTTCGCACAAACGCGGCGCCGGAATTGGCCTCGAGCGAGTAACTTTTGCCTGTTGCTCGAGTTTGGAGTGCAGAATAGCCATCCAGGGCTGGTCGTTGGTCGTCGGGCGCAGAGAGGCTTGGACGGTACAGACTGTTCGATCGGGCGCGCTTCTTGGGCACGGTGCTGTAGATGCATTCGACGCCAGCTTGGGCGCAAGTTGAGCATGGCTGGTCGCCCGAGCATTTACGCTTGCGGGCCTGACAGGAGACGCAGGCGGCGCGCGAACGCTTGCGCGGCGGCGTGGAGTCAGTCATGGCGGAGTTGGAGTTGGAGAAACCGGCCCGTCCCCGCATTTCGCTTGATGGCTTTACAGCAGGCCAAGGCCATCATCTACGTAGAATATAATTACCATAAGAGAAGAGTAATGGAGCTTATATATCGGTAGCTCTGTGTTGTATCGGATCAACGGTTTCCGACTGTCACATAATAAGGCCCACACATTATTTATTTATAGGGTTTAAACACTGTTTCTTGACTACTCTTCATACTTGCTGCCATTTGGATATCCCATCAACTTCTCTAACTCCTTCATATCCGGCATCCCCGCTGGCCCCGGCATATACTGCAGATTGTCGCGGAACGTCGTCCCATTCCACCAGATCTCGTTCTTGTGCAGCGCCTCCATGATCCGAGCAGCATCGATGTATGTCCGAATCTCAACCATCTGGCCGTGATGACCCCAGCGAGTCACCCACACGTTGACGATGTCGAAATCATCCCCTATTGTTCATTGACTGTAAGCAACGCTGCTCTCTACAGAGAGTATAATATATCTTACCAGAATTCATCACTCCCCGAAAATTCACTTCCTGCACCGACCACCGATCATTGCACCCGCCATGGATCGCCTGGGGATGTATCTTGAACTTATCTGCATGATCGAAAAACAGCACGCTCACCCGACGCAGGGCATTAACGTAGAAATGCATCAGGTCATGGTAGTGGCCGGCAATTGGATGATGTCCCACCACCGTGAAGCTGACATTCTTGTGGATCAACGTGAATAGCTTGGTCATGTCCTTCTCCAGATCCTTGAACGAGTCCCAGATGCGCATCTGCGTCACGTACTCGCAGTCGGTCGACGGATTCTCGAATTGAAATCCTTCGCGGTCCCGGGGAGGTGGGTCGTGGATGAGCCCGTCGCCGTTGCAGCGGCCGTCTGGATCGACCAGACCAGTCCCGCCGCACCCCGGCTGCTCGAGAGGCTTTTGCGTGAGGGCGTAACCGAGAGATCCCAAGAGGGCCCAACAACAGAGATAGTGTAAGACATGCATCATTAGTTAGTTCCATCATCAACGCTACTTATTGTTTGTCTCATTTATACCCGCCCAGTACTTCGGGCCATTATTTCTCTGTCACACCGAAACCGTTCGGTGACTTTCCACCGGCACATTATGATTTATTATATAGTCCATTGCCCCACCCTTTCATCTGAACCACAGTTAGGGCGCAGACCATTTAGAAGTATAGAAAGCAAGACTGTTGCTATTGGAAGGGCCGGTGACAGTTTCCGTCGTTTTGCCAGAGGATGCCTTCCTAACATTGCAATGGAAACGCTTGCGTTTCTTTGCCACGATGACAAACTGACCATCCGAGCCGAGAGCCTACGGTTTTTTCTGCTATTCTCTCTTCTTAATAGACCTCTATTACCTCGAAATTATCTCTCAATAGAAGTTTCTGTGTCGCGTACAGCTTCGGCGGTGGCCTGTCTAACTTTGCCGGATATCCAGCAACCTGATAGTTTACCGCTATTCCGTCTCAGATGGACTTGAATTTCGGACCGTTTACCCATAGTCCATCCTTGTCTAATACGTATGGGTTTGGTCGTCTCCCGAGAGAACACAGTATTGTCTAGAAGACCAAAAGTGAGGGCAGCCGCCGCAATACCAGTTGCAGGATCTTCTGCATAGCCAGACGATCTCGGAAATTGACGTGCCTCAACGAGTTGGTCTTGGGCATCGAGGACGGCATAAGGATACAACCCAGTCGAGTCAATCTTTTCACATATTTCGCGAACGAAGTCCGGGTTTGGATTCAGCCACTCGAGAATCTCGCGGCTCTTCAACGGAATTAATGTCTTGGTCCGCGATGTACGACCGTTTTGTACCTTGTAACTCGGCGCTAGGTCACCCTCGGTGATGCCCAAGCAGGATGCAATGTCGAGAACCTGGTCGGAAGGTAAATCTTCGACCGAGCCTGCCGGCTGAGATACACGAACGGCCGGTGACCCGTCTTCCCCCTTGAGCACTTGGGCCTCGACGACGCCCGATCGAGTCGAAATGCGAAGGGTGTCAGTTGCAGGCAGCAATCCGAGACGGTCCATCACCCAGATGGCACCGACGGTAGCATGACCGCACATTTCCATTTCGTGATTCGGGACCCAATATCTTAGGGTTAAGTGGCAATCAGCGTGTTCTCCGGCTTGCCCAGACAGCACGAAACCACACTCGTGACCATTCTTCTTGGTCAGAGACTGCATCTGTGATGGGCTCAGGTCATCAGCGCCGAGGAAGATGGTGGTTGGATTACCGCCATCCTCCAGAGTGTCCAGTGAGTATGGGAAGACCGAGAGATGATAGGCCTGGACGTTCTCCATTGTCCATAGAAATCGTTGAATGCGCACAATTTGAGTCAATGCGGGGCGAGGGGAAGTTCATGGATGGATGTCGGGATCCATTTCTCGGCCCGAGTCACAACGGTCAAGAATGAATGAATTCTGTGCCATATAGATGACAGCTATATTAGTTTTTGATCAGAGGTATGAGTTTTTGCTTCCTTGGTTATTATTGTCTAGCTAGACCTATACAGGATCAGATTAGGAATGAATCTAGGCCATCCAGATTTAGAAACGCCCCGTCAAGTGCGCTGCTTTCACCTTCTGCGATAACTATTAGCTCCATCTGGTTCCCCCAGTTCATAGCTGCCCTGCTAGTTAGGTGCCTTGCTGGTGACCTCCGTTGGACATGATAGTAACTGACAAATGAGCGCTTGGTGCCTTATCTTGGTGCCTCGAGTGGCGCATTACCTAACCCCGATCTCGCTGCCCTCTAATTGGCCGAGCCGCTAGAGTCGGTGAGGCGACCCCCGATCGTCGCACTGAGTCACTTGACTTGACCGCCCGGAAAACTTTTTCTTTCCTCTTCTTCTCTTTACCCCCCAACCATCAACTCAGGACTATCCACTCTACAAGAATTGTTCCACCATTGCTCACCTCTATGTCCTACTAAGCGGCATACTTCTTCTTTTCTGCTGACTGGTCACCCTTCCGTCGCGCTTATGTGTTTGGCACCTTCGATCTTCACCTCCCAGGACTACATCTCGGGTATGTGACACGCCTTCTCACGGAGATGGCATTGACTGACCTCATCTCCGATAGACCACCTCTGGAAAGCCTCCAAGAACTGAATTGACAACCCTCAATTCGCTTTTTAATTCCTCTCTCTATCAACTCTACACAACAAAAATGTTCGCCCATTTATTCAAGGCGGCGCCTGCCAGGGCTGCCGCCTTCACCACCGTGAAGCAGCCGGTTGCGTCCCGCTTCATGGCCACTGTTCGCCAGCGTGCTCCCCTGGAACCGGCCACCTTTACCATTCGTGACGGCCCCATTTTCACGGGCAAGTCCTTCGGTGCCCGCTCCAACATCTCTGGCGAGGCGGTCTTCACCACCTCGCTGGTCGGCTACCCGGAGTCTCTGACCGACCCGTCGTACCGGGGTCAGATCCTGGTCTTTACCCAGCCTCTTATTGGCAACTACGGTGTGCCGTCTGCGGAGAAGGACTCCAACGGTCTTTTGAAGTACTTCGAGTCTCCGCACCTGCAGGCTTCTGGTGTGGTTGTCGCCGACGTCGCTGAGCAATACAGCCACTGGACCGCCGTCGAGAGCCTGGGCCAGTGGTGTGCCCGTGAGGGTGTCCCCGCGATCTCCGGCGTCGATACCCGTGCCATTGTCACCTACCTCCGTGAGCAGGGTTCCTCCCTGGCTCGGATCACCGTCGGCGAGGAGTACGATGCCAACGAGGACGAGGCCTTCACGGACCCGGAGCAGATCCACCTGGTGCGCCAAGTCAGCACCAAGCAGCCCTTCCACGTGAGCGCCGCCGACCCCCAGTGCCACGTTGCCGTCATCGACTGCGGTGTCAAAGAAAACATTCTGCGCAGCCTGGTCAACCGCGGCGCCAGCATCACCGTGTTCCCCTTCGACTATCCGATCCACAAGGTGGCCCACCACTTCGATGGCGTCTTCATCTCCAACGGCCCCGGTGACCCGACTCACTGCCAGGACACCACCTACCACCTGCAGCGCCTGATGGAGACCTCTCAGATCCCCATCTTCGGTATCTGCCTGGGCCACCAGCTGCTGGCTCTGGCTGCGGGTGCGCGCACCATCAAACTCAAGTATGGTAATCGAGCTCACAACATCCCCGCCCTGGATCTGAGCACGGGTCGCTGCCACATCACCAGCCAGAACCACGGGTACGCGGTCGACGCCTCGACTCTGCCCTCGGACTGGAAGCCGTACTTCACCAACCTGAACGACTCGAGCAACGAGGGCATGATCCACAAGTCCCGTCCGATCTTCAGCACCCAGTTCCACCCGGAGGCCAAGGGCGGCCCGCTTGACTCGTCGTACCTGTTCGACATCTACCTCGACAGCGTGCGCAAGTACAAGGCCAACCAGTCTGGCCTCTACCCGGCCCGTGATAGCCGTCCCGACCCCCTGCTGGTTGACCTGCTGGCCAAGGAGCGTGTGGGCGTGCAGCCCACCACCGGCATGCAGAACGTGGCTGCTGCCGCCGCTGCCGCTGCCGCTGCGTAAATGCAATGACGTTTTGGATGGAGTCTTGATTGTGTTCTTTTTTGCTTATGTGTCTTTCGGGTGAATATTACATTATCTTAGCTTGTTCATAGTTGTTCAAGACCAGATCAATTTGAATTAAAAAAAAAAGGGTCTTGGCCGTATTTATTGGCAATTCATATCATTCGTCATCACATCTCTCTCCCTCTCGGGTTGGTTCAATCTATTTCGCTACGATGGAAACCACATCCTCATCCGCCACGACATGGCTCAATCCTACCCGCTGCGGAACATGTCGCGCACTCGCCCCCCACACAAGCGCATACTTGAACGTATCCTTGAGCGTGCGATGGATCTGGTCGCACACGTCCTCGATGGAGGAGTTGCTGCGAACGATCAGAGCTTCGTCGAAGCCAGGTTCTTCTCCTTTGCTATACACAGAAGATTTCCGTGTCAGTCACGTCACATATATAACGTTTGTAAGATTTGGGATCATACCGCTTCGTGTACAGCCGCATCAGACGCAACTCCTTCCAGATCCGCTCAACCACCTCCTGGACACCGAGATCGAGCTCGCAGCTCATGACGGCCGTGTACGGCTCGCGGGCTAGTTGGTCCAGGAACTCGAGACTGACGCTGTCGATCTTGTTGTAGACGTAGAGGCTGTGAATGGAATATCAGACTTTAGGTCTTTAGAAGGTACAGAGAGTGGATGCTTACCAGCGGATGTATTTTCGGTGATCTTTCATGATCACGTCGATGAAATCATCAATTGTAGCTGCGGGGAATACAGTCAATACTAATGTCGGAGACACTATCCAGACGGGAAATGACATACCGTTCTCATCTCGCACCAGAACCTCGCAGTTGAGCATCTTGTAGTCGCGAAGAACATTGTAGATCATTTTCTCGTCCAGGTTTTTGGGCGGGGTCTGGAAAGTGATTTTCATGCCGCCGGCCTTTTTCTGCTTCAGATAAATGTTCCTGCGCAGCATGTCAGCATCTGCATATCCTAAAAGAAGAGTCGGGAGGGATAAAACGTACGGAGGCTCCTTATTCAGTCGAATCCCAACGGCATCCAACTCCGCTTCCAGCAGAGCCCGCTGTTCTGCCCGCTTAGTGGCATCCAGAATCATCAGGATGAGATCACTGGTCTGTAGCAACTGTTAGAACACACTTGGGCCCCTCTAAAATTTGTTTGGGATATATTATTGCTCACCTTCGCAGCAGAAATAACCTGCCGTCCACGACCCTTCCCCTCCGCGGCACCTTCGATGATACCCGGCAGATCCAGAATCTGGATCTCAGCACCGCCATACTCAAGTACACCGGGAATGGCAGTCAGCGTGGTGAACGAGTACGACGCAGCCTCGCTCTTGGTCTTGGTGATCTTGGACAAGAACGTGGATTTGCCGACAGATGGGAATCCGACGAGTGCGACGCGCGCATCGCCGCTTTTGCTCACGTCAAACCCTGTGCCGCCGCCTGCACCTGCGCCGGCTGCTGGTTCGAGGAGTTGCGCTCTTAGGCGGGCGAGTTTTCTGATCAGTTGGTTAGCTTAGTGTCTTTTGGTTTGCGATTGATAACCCGAAAGGTGGGCGAGTGAGTAAGTACCCTTTCAATAGACCAAGATGATATTCTGTCGCCTTGTTCTCTGCAGCGTAACGGGTCAGTAAGAGCGCGTGGGTACTTGGGATCATTGAGTATCGTACTCTGCGTCCTCCGCATCTCATCCTCGATCCTGTTAAGCGTCTTAGTAGCTATCCTGTAGGAGTCCTTCCAGAGAGGTACCTACTCCTTGATCTTCTCCGTAATGTTCACCATCTTGACTACGTGTGCTGGACTCTGCAAGGATGCAAGTCAATACAGCCGAAAGTAAATGCCAGGACGATGAAGAGGTCCGTTTGTCGATCCACAAAATGTTTCCATGCGCATTATGTAAGCACCGCGGATTTCTCGAGCTGCAGCCAACTACCTCCCATCTTTCTTGCCTCACTCACTCCCGACCACACAAAACACACGCAACCATGGCAGATACCGCAGTCGCCGAGCCGTCATCGGCGCCCATCTCCAACGCCCCTCCAGACGAGGGCGCGCCGCCGCAAGAAGGAGAGCAACAGCTCCAGCCAGTCAAAAAGACCAAACTCATCCGTCGCAAGAAAAGACCAGCGCGCGTGCAGGTCGACCCATCCTTCGTCAAGAATCTTCAGCCGCAGCAGGATTCCGGGACGATGTTCAACATCTGGTACTCGAAGTACGAAGGCGGTAACCGGGGGAGAACAACCAGTCGAACACGCCCGCCCCGGGAAGATGCAACCTCGCACAAGACAGTGGCTACACTCGGGCAGACCGTGTGAATGGGTCTTTCTTTTGTTTGCACTTTGCCCGGGGGACTTGCCCGAACGGCGCGGAGTGCCAGTATCTTCATAGAGCGCCCACTGTCATGGACATTTTCAATCCCAATGTCGATTGCTTCGGTATTGTTTTCCCCCCTGCAGAACCTTTCTGCTAGAAAGGAAACGGGCTAATTCTTTGGCAGGCCGCGACAAACACTCAGATTACCGAGATGATGTGAGTCCCCTACGCGAAGTGCCTTTGATCACAACTGACTTCTCTGATTAGATGGGTGGCGTTGGATCTTTTATGCGGTACCGTTCTACACTTCAAACTCCTGTAATAGGGAGCAAAAGTGCTAACTACTTGACAGGCAGAATCGCACGCTTTACGTTGGCCGTATCCACGTTACGGTATGCTGTCTCTTCTCCAAGTTTTGTGTGATCAGAGAGCTAATTCATTCTTTACTAGGATGATATCGAGGAAGTAGTGGCGAGGCATTTTAGCCCATGGGGACAAATCGAGAGGACACGCGTATTGACGGGCCGTGGAGTGGCTTTCGTAACCTAGTAAGTCGGATATCGCTGATCTTGGACGGGAAAGGGCTGATGAGCTTTGTTTGCAGCACAAATGAGAGTAACGCTCAATTTGCTAAGGAGGCAATGAGTAACCAGAGCATGGATCACGAGGAGGTTCTCAACGTGCGCTGGGCGACTGTTGACCCGAACCCGATGGCTCAGAAACGCGATGCTCGCAGACTAGAGGAACAGGCTGCTGAGGCGGTGCGGCGAGCACTTCCAGAGGCATTTGTGGCTGAGATTGAAGGGAGGGATCCGGATGCAAAGAAGAGGAAGAAGATTGAGGGCAGTTTCGGCCTGCAGGGCTATGATGTTCCGGACGACGTCTGGCATGCTCGGAATCGGCAGTTGGAGGATGCGAAGGCTGCGGCTGGTCAATTAGAAGCGCCGGAGCAGCCGCTTATGATTGAAAATGCGGGTCAACAAGCCGCGCTTCCTGAACCGGAATCTCAGAGCGGCGGTATCTTCTCCAGCTCGGCTGTCGCTGCGTTGCGCGGTCTTGCGGGTGGAACGGTCACGACTCAGTCTGCCCCCAAGTCTGCTGGAGGACCGTTAGTCGCCTACGGAAGCGACGATGAGAGTGACTGAGTGTTCACTCACAATGATGCCTGTGATTTCCATGTATAATACTAGCGATACCTCTTAAAATATTTGAAGAACAACATTACTACTATCTGATACTTGCATATGTACTATAATCGAACACGGAGTTGGGAAATTATGAACAAAGTAGGTATGAAGCACGGGTGACCACCTAGGTAACAGATGCAATCCACCCATGCATGCGAACAAAAAGAAATCATCCACTGTATCCGAGGTCATAATACACACATGAACCAGTGCGGTAGTTGTAGATAAAGGCGTTTGTGTAGCTCTCCTTGTTCTCCCCGCCAGCACGGCTCTCGGCTGCTAGATCCGTAAGCAGCTCGTAAACCTGGCTGAGATATTTGCGTTCTGTCAGCGGCGCATTCTGAATGACAGTGCGCCAGCTGTCCGGGTCGGCGAGGCGCGTGTCGCGGATAGAATTGAGGACGTCGTCGCGGGTGTCGATAGCAGCGATGGGACCGTTACGCGCGTTTTCGGCGACTTCGCGCGAACTCAATAGGGCTGGCGGGTCATTAGAAGGACTTGTGAGAAACGGAATTGGAAGGAATGAAATACCTGACTCAACGATGTTCCTCCGGTTGGTCTTCTTGCTCCGGTGCTGTGGGACGAGAATACGCACATCATTCGCCTTCTCATGCGATGCCAATGCATCCTGCTGGCTCGGCAGACGAGACTGGCGTTGATCGACTGTTCCCTCGCGGTGATGGCGTGCAAGGACCTCTGCGCGAAGCCAGGACACGAGTTCTGCGCTGCGAATATCGAATTCCTCCTTGCGAACCAGGTTGCGAACTTTGAACCCACGCTCTTTGCTGTCTTGTTTTGCGATGACGATCCATCTGTGATTATGGTCTTTGTATTTGGCCAGAAGTTCTTCGAGAGATGAGGCATCTACTGCCAATTCGGCGCTGATGTTGTTTGTCCAGAGATCTTCGATCAGCTTCACCCCCGTTGTGCGGAGGACCGTAGCGTCGAAGCTGGCGACGAGTACATCACACTGTTTTTTCCCTTAGTAAATGGGCGGAGATATTAGCGCATCACTTACCCTTCTGGTTGTCCAGTAGAGCTCAGCACCCGCTTCAGAATCTTTTGGCGGAGCTTTGACTTTCATGTAGTCGGTCATGGAGGATACGAGACGATCAGAGCTAAGGTTGAATCCCACTGCGTGCGCCTGCGGGCGACTGGACAAGACCTTGGGTGCGAACTCCTTTATCAGGCCATCATATCGACCACCCGCTGCGAACACATCTCGCCGCTTGCTGTCAAAGATCAACTGGAAAAGCACACTGCCTCCGTAGAACTTGTCATGCAGGCTGCTGAGCGGATTGATGTAGACCTTTGTCTTCACACCAAAGCACTGGATGTAGGTCATGAGAACATTCAGTCGCGCGAAGATAGGAGCAATCCGCTCTGCAAATTCAGTTCCCTCCATGATAGTCTGGAGCTTCCTCTGGGTTCCTTTCGGGGAGTCTGAAGTAGTGTGAGCAGTGATAGGGGAAGCACTTAAGAAGGCTGCTTACCTCGGAAGTCAAATCGAGCAAGATCGTCCAAGGAAGTTGAAGCAACGCCAATGGCTGGAGATCGAAGTTCGCTTCGGATCTTCTGCATCGTCCATTTCCCAACATTCAGTTTGCTGATCACTTCCTTGACCAACGGGATCTGAGAGGGTGTAATGCGACAGAATTCCATAATCAGTTGCAACAGGTCGGAGTGATTGACAAGGAAACACATTGGAGCAGACCGTAGCGGTGGAAATTCTTCAAGGACCTCATCCAGGACTTTTATCACCTCCGCCTCCTTCAGTGCTAGATCCAGTGTGTTGTAGGAGACGATGTCAAAGTCGACTTCACGGTGAGATCTGGGTTCACTACCATGAGTAGACTCTCTGTAGACTGTGCCGAAAGCAAAAGTCTTCTCCAATGATGGATCCTGTCGCGGAATAGCGCGGGCGTTCGGCACTGTCAAGTCGAAGGGTAATTGTAGAAGATTGCCAGCTGAATCCAACAGTCGCACAGCTCCACCTGAATAATGCTGAGACCGAGGGAAAAGCGTTTGACGGGGTGATTCCACAGCACCGTGTCTTCGGAATATCGAAGTCAGTTTCTTTTTGACAAGCCCTTGAACAAGCAGCTCATTGGCTGCTGGTGCACTGTGGGAATCCATGTCCCAGGCAATGTCTTCAAATTTCTTTGGAGATTGAGAGAATATGGCCGAGAGGATTTTCTTGTAGTCCGGTGAGTTCGGGTCTGACAACAAATGCACGATAGCTCTCCTGAAGGTTTCTTCTTCTACCTGGAGAGGGATCTTGCCCCCGCGAAGCAGCTCGGATGCCGAGGGACGCTCATCCGGGTTGTGGCTCAAGAGTGATTCTATGATTTGACCCTGGACTGCTTTTTCAGAATCTTGGAATGTAGCTGGTAAGACATGGTTCTTTTCTCTGATTGCGCGCAATGTTTGGTCACGTTCCATGTTCGTGGGCAGCGGCTGGCACATTTCGAAGAAAATGACACCAAGCGAGAACATCTAAAGTGGATAAGCATAGATCGGAAGAACTGGGGAAAAAAGCTTACATCAACTTTCTCGTTGTAGTGTCCGGAGAATCCAGACTTCATCTCCGGTGCAACATAGTACGTCGTCCCAAGGCTGCGAGTGAAATTCCCTTCGAAGTCTGCCGCTGCAGATGAGCGAACGGCGGTTGTGAACTGACCACTAGTAGCAAGACCAAAATCTCCGATGCGAGGGTTATTGGCTACATCGATGAAAATATTGTCTGGTTTGAGATCACGGTGAATGATGCCATGGCTGTGGATATGGCTCAAGCCATCAAGAATTTGTCGAAACAGACGCCAGGAGCGATCAATATCGTCATACAAGCCATTCTTGATCAAGTCGCGCAGGGTCTGGAGAAATATTAGCCTTTAGGTTCACAAACACATAACAAAAAATCTCACATGTCTCTCGCAGTACTCCATTTGGATGTAGAGTGTCGTTAGCACGGGCCGTACATAAGACCCAGATCTCACACGGGCGAGCTCGGCGCCTTGTCCAGTGCCAGCTGTAGAAATTCCCGGTGTCTCTCCGGTGCCTTGCTCAGAAATTGTGCCTTCGTTTTCCTCTTCACTATCTGAAGCGGCGAATTCAATTTTGGGATAACCACTGGAACTTATGAAGTCAAGACCGCCTGTACTGAAATCGTGGCGGCCATGGCTAGCGAAAGGATCGCCTTCTGTGGAGGAAATAGCCTCTTCTTCAATCTGATTGAAGTCTTCTTCCAACCATGCGGTGTAGTACCGCACAACGTAGGGATGGTTCAGTCGGGACAAAAGCATGATTTCCGATAGGGTGTCTTTTAATGCCGCAGCTGAGGTTTGCGAAATCTTCTTAACAGCGTAAAAGCGGCCATCGAGCTTATTTCTCGCTTTCACCACTTGTCCAAAGCCACCACGACCCAGCTGCCCTGCTTCATCAAAGTCTTGGTGGTATCGCGAAAAGTTTGGCATAACCCCGAGAGAGTCCAGCCGTGGCCGCCTCTGTAGTGAAACTGAGTTCGAAACTCTATCCCGCATAGTCAAAGGAGCATCCACGCGGAAAAATTCAGAAGGTAGCAACTGGAATGCCGTCGGACGCTTGCGTGGGTCTGGACGGAAGAATTCACGGAGCAAATCTTGCAGTGGCGGCGAGAGTCCCATTGACACCATCAATTGGTTGGCTGAGGTATACCGCTGGAGAACATCCTTCCCAAAGCCCATTTGAAGCAGGACGATACCCAAGTCCCAGACGTCCGTCTTCATGGTAGCCGACGCACCATCCTGTGTCAGCTCCGGAGGCAGCCAGAGTGGCGACTTGGACGTTGTCAACGAACGCTTCGCGCCAGGGCTTTCTGGCAAAGCCTCTTCGATACTGGATTGCAACTTCACGATGGTTCCACCAGAAGGATTTCTGAAGAGCATCACGCGGCCACAGTGAATGTTGCCATGGACGAAGCCACTGCGGTGGTAAAATTCCAGGGCCTCTAGAAGTTGAATCATCCAGCCACGGAGCATCTCAACAGCCACAGTGCCAACAATATCAAGGAGCTCAGAAAGTGATCCTTTATTTGCAAATTCCAAGAGAAAAAACACGGTCCAAGAGTTATCAGGTGAATCGTAAGGTGTCGGCGGGCGGTCAATCTTGAATCCCACAAATTCAACCAAGTTCTGATGCCGTAGTCGTTTCAGTCCTTCTAGCTTATCCTCGCTGGCACGCACTTGCTCCCTGAATGTCAAAGCGTCTGACCCCTTCTCGTCCACGATAATCTCTTTGAGGACGAGCTGAGGCACACAGGAACGGCTTTCGGAAACGACGGGTCGCACAATAAACGTCTTCTTGAATTGCCGGCTTTGCAGCAGGGATTTTCCATACACGGCGCGGAAGGCCATAGGCTGTTCGTCGGTGTCATTGACCTCTAACGGTGGGTCAAAGGTGATGGCACCAGGGGTACTTTCTGTAATATCGCCGACCTCATTCGATTCCACTCCGCCGATTCGACTCTTGCGTCTCATACTGCGCGCTTTGGTCCGCTGTCGAATTGTATCCTGGATCATTTCCTGCAATGCGCGATCTTCTTCTGCATTTGCGGCTTCCTGCTTCCGGAGCTCCTCTTGTTTTTCCAACTCGGCTTGTTGCATGGCGGCAGCTTCCTGTTCCATTCGCTCTTCCTCGAGGCTTGGTAGGTCCTTGTCCTGCTCTCGGGCCTGAGCGACGTCCTCCAAAACATCTTGGATTGACACCGCCAGCTCATAGATCATTTCACTTCCCAGAAGTGTCTTCGGTTTGTTCCGAATGATCTCCTGCACTCTCGAACGGGCTCCATCGCGTAGATCGTTCAGGTTGTCCAACGAGAGATTGGGGACTGTTTTTGGATATGTGGCGGGCAGCTCAACCCGCAGGACAAGGAAAACACCCGGGTTGGAGGAGGCTCGCAGGTGGAGTTTAAATGTCACATCAGAGGATTGCTGTAAATGTTTCATCGTCAGTCGTGCCCGCAACGGGCAAGCCATGGGGGCCTTACCTGCCATGCTGAGCGCCGGTTCTCAACCTGCTCATAGTCATCGCCATATATGGACTGCAAGGCCTCGACTTCGTTCTGGTGGATTTCGCGGTAATTGGTTGTGGTCTGCACGGGGGACGTCAAGGTCGATGAATCAGAGGAGGCCTGCTTGTCGCGGATGGGCTTCTTCTTGTGCTTGGGAGGCATAGTGGCAGCATCCAGGCGTGCTTTCGCAGCCCGCGCTACATACGTCCCTGGCCGCACGGCATAAAGGGCATTGGGGAAGGTCAAGGGTGTGTTGTCGTGACAAGAAGACCTCTGATTTTCTGCGGAGACAAACAGGCGGTCAGTGGCTTATCGATAACCGCGGGGACGAAGCTTAGTGATAGTGACATAGTATATTTTCATTTCATGGTTGTGCTTGAAATGGACAAGAGACGTCTATTAAGATTGATGATAGTAGATGGCACAGGCAGCTATAGCCAGTTCCCAAATGGTCTTGATAGTGGTGCGGTTGTTTATTCCTGGAACATCTGACAAGCTATATCTTCCAGGCCAATATATTTTAGCTGACAGCATTGAAGCTGACACAGATCAATAATAGGCACGATGTGAGAAGAAACTTGATCGTTAGTTAAATACAATCATAGGCGAGATGTTGGGCAGCGTGTAGGTAGGTATAGTTCCCGCCTGGACTCGTGACTCCTAATCGATAAGCCGCTCGGCGCTTCTGCTTTTCCGCCAAAACAAACACTCGTGGCTTGCCTCTCTTACCTCACCTCACCTAGTCAAAATGCTCGACTGGATGACTGGGTCCGAGCAACCAGGTTGGTTCTACAGACTATTCTTCTCCTCGACGCGACCCACTGACGCGATTTTCCTCTACAGACAACTCGAGGCTGCTCGAGCCGCCCGAAACCCCGGCTCCCGTGTTCGCGATCCGCGCGTTCAAGAGTGCCTTATTTGGCACGCCCGCTGCAGAGGAGGAGGAGGAGCGCGTGTCACAGCCAAAGAAAACCCTTGGTCACCAACGAAGTAAAAGTGATTCGGCACCGTCACCCGCGCGCAACGTGGTCGAAGACGAAAGCTCCAAAGCATTGAATGGCGACGCGATCAACCCGGGTTCTCCCACGAAGAGCATCCTCGTCACACCTGGCACGATATCCAATCGGCGCAAGACTGTTTCTTTCGGTGAAAGTGTTGTCGACAACGAGGGCAAAAGGAATGGCAGCTCGAACAAACTGGTCAAGACGCCTCCCAACCCGTCGGGCAATCTTAGCATCCAGTGGATGTCAGGCTCATCAGACGGAAGCTCAAAACCGCGAAGCAAACTGACCCAAACACTACTCAATGCACGCGACAACGCGTCCAAAAATGGCAAGTCCCCGCAATCATCGCCCGCGAAATCCCCTACGCGTTCCCGAACCAAAGAAGACACGAGCAATGAGGATATCACGATCAACCTGGAAGAGCCATGCTCAGAGTCGGGCAAGTACTGGAAGACGGAATTCGATAACTACCGCATCCGAACCAATCGCGAAATCAAGAAATTGATCCACTACCGGTCGATCGCTAAGTCTTATGCGCGCAAGAAGGACTCCGAGGCCCTGCGATTGGCAGATAAACTTCGCGAAGAAGAGGACAAAGTCAATGAAATGGAACGCCAGGTATCACAGCTTGCGTCTACCATGGTGGAAAGTGGCTCGCCGGCAGATAAGGAGCATTTGATTCAAGACCTGACCAAACAAACGGCTCTTGCATTGCAATACAAACAACAAGTCTCTGATCTCCGCAAACTGCTTGAACAACACAACGTGGTCAGCGGTGATATGGTCGATGAGCCTGACGAACCGGCTCCACGGAATTCAACAGATGAATCACGTCAAACCCAGCTTGCTTTGAACCAAGCAAACGCCAAGCTCGCGGAAATCAAATGCCAGCCAACCGACCTCACCACTCTCCAAGATCTGGCCCGAAGTTCGGAAAAGAAAGCCCAGGAATTGGAGAAGGAGAACACTCAGCTCAAACAGACTCTAGCGCGTGTCAAGCAGGAGATGTCGCGCTATGAAGGCCGACGTAAGGACAAGGAATCCAAATTCAAATCCCGAGAGGCAAAGCTGGAAGCCCGGATCCAGGAATACCGGGACCGACTCAGGACGACCACACAAGAGCATCGCAAGTCCGAAGAGACTCTGAGAATCACGTTCGATGAAGAGCGCCAGTGCATGCAAAACCAGATCGATCTGCTGAAGCTGAGAGTTGCCGCGACGGAGCAATACTCTTTCCGGCCCGAGGGACGGCACTCCCTCAGCCCGCGGAAGAATTACACAGGCGTCCAAGTCCAAGATTTCGGCGGCCACAATGCGATGCTGGAGATTTCAGAAGACGCCACCGAAGACCTCGATGCACCGCCCAGCCCAAGCCCACGCTCCCAAGGCCGTTTCACCCGTCATTCTACGATAGGAGCAGTCGACTTCCGGCGCGCTGCGCGGGAGATTGCCGCCGAAGACGACGAGGTCACTCACTACCTGAACGAAATCCTTCCAAAACCTCACCAGACACGCACATACCACAACGCTGACCTCGCCGCAATGCCCCCGTCATCACCACCCGATGCCGCGGCGCTGAAACTCCATTCCCATTCCCAGGGCCGCGCCAAGTACCTGCATACAGGAGAAGATGGCCAGCGCACCTACCGATCTCGCTACCTGACCGAGACAGACGAGCGGGGACAGGTCCAGACATACGCCCACCACCGCCAGAGATCACCCATCAAGTCAACTCTGGATTCGATATCAGGGCCGCCCGCCTCCCGCACCGGCGCCTATGCCGGATCGACAATTGCAGGTGGCGAGCGGGTTGGCAAGCGGTATGGGCTCAGCGATCTGCAGAGCGAGTATCTGTCTCCGGAGCGTGCTGCGGCTGCCAGGTCAAGGCTCATACAGAAACACGATAGTCGCAAGAGCAGGGCGTTGGGCAAGGAGAATGTGCGAGTGGCTCTTACATCGGGTGCTGGGGCCGGTTGATTATGGATTATGGATTGGGACTTGTTTCAAGAAGAGTCGGAGCAGAGATCTTTGGTGCTGTATTTGGCGTGCGTTTCCTGGGCTGTATCTTTTTTCAGATCCCCTTTTTCTTCTTACTTTTACTGGTCGAAGGCATAGTTGTGCTCGGTTTGTCTTTTTATATTCGTAGACATGTCAGGGTAGTGTTCTCTCACCGTTTATTCAGTAGTTATCGGCTCTTTGCTCCCACTCGACCGTGTACTCAGTCGGCTAACGAATCCAGCTCTCAAGTTTTGGGGGTTGATTGGTATATTAACACGACGCTCAATATATTTCTATCAAGGCATAACAACATTGAGCTTAAGTCTTCTCTATCGTCTATGTCCATGTATATCAAACCGCAGAACCATGTATCAAGCAAGCTTGCCTGATTCAGAACATCCCACCCTCAAGTTACCTCAAACCTGACCATCCGAGAACGAAACAACGGCCCACTTGCCACTCCATGCCCACTTGCGGCCCTCCGAACCACCACCACTCGGCATCTGCCGCAGCTTTTCATCCAGACCCGCCGGGAGACCGACGACGGTATCAGCCTTGCACGTCCTGAAAGCCAAGACACGAATCCCTGACTTCGGGCCCATAGGACCGATAGCAGTCGTGAAGGGGGTGGTGGGGTCCCAGTCGGCATCGTTGGTCAACTTGCGGTAGTTAAGATCACCCTTGAACAAAACCAACTCGCTTTCCTTCAGATCATTGAACAGCTCCGGTGCAAGGTGTGGCATGCGCCAGTAGCCTCCCGGGGTAGTCCAGAACTGGTGCGGGCGGACGATCAGCTGGCCGTCCTGGTGGAACTGGCTCCATTGTTCGAAAAGAAATTGGACGTCTGAGACCTCCGTGTCTGACAGCGCCGGGTAGGTCTTGCCCGAGTCGTCGGGGGCAGTGTAAAAGGCCTGCGGATCGACGAGGGTGTTGAGCAGGTCTGAAAAGTCCTTTGGTGTCACGTCGGACACAAACCAGGGGAGGCGCTTGGGGTGCAGCACGATGGTGGTAGCCAGTCCGGCAGACAGCAAGTACCCGGCCAGGATCAGGTCGACGAATAGCTCAAAGCCGGAATTGTCGAGGACAATGTCGACGCGGCGTTCGCCATCTTTCTTCTCGCTGCGTGCCTTTTGCAGCGCCGCGAAGGCAGCGTCGAGATCGTTGACGAGGATGTTCTTCTGCGATGTCTGGCGCGCCTGCGAGCCCTGCAGCTTCTGGATATCCTCGTAGGTGAGAGAGGTCAGGAGCGACAGGTCCGTCGCATTGCCCCACAGACAGATCTCACACATCTCCGAGAACAAAAGCCTTTCGGCTTGCTCAATTTCTGAAGGCGACCTGCCTTCCTGGCCTTTACCAGTCTCAGCTTCGTGCGCTAGTTCGCGGTATCGCGAAGCCAGCTCTAGCACGGCAGGGCGGGAAGACTTGAAGGTAGACATCTTCTGGCGCGCAAACACGTCATATCCCTTCCAATATTGGGACAATGAAAAGAAAGTCTCAATACGTCGGTCTGGCAATTGTCAGAATTGTCTATTTCTGAAAAGAAAGGGGGTATCATACAGAGGTAGCACTCCGAGTAGAGCCACGCCACATTGTGCCATTTAGGGGTTCCGCGCTGCTGCAGCTCCTCGTTATATTGGGCAATATCGGAGTGGCCATCATCGATGAGGGGCCTAGTAACCAGTTCATGTCAATTCTGATAACAACCCGGGAGAGAATCACTCACGTCAGCTGCCGATCATGCTGCAGCTCGTACTTGAGCGTGGCTAATTTCTCAATGATGCTCTTGCCCTCTCGGCACTTCTCCTCGTCATTGACACCGCCGACTGTGCGGTGCAGATCATCAATGGCACCGGTCTACATTCGTTACATCTAATCAGCGCCGGACCTTGAGTCTGAAGCGGGAAGCTTACGATGATGATGGGCCAGCGCTCATGGGCGGAGACAGAGGCGAAGCTCGACTTGTCTGAGGTGAGATATTGGGCTGGCGGAGTCAGCTGGGCGGCGGAGTATAGGCGAGGCGACAGACTCACGGGTCTTGGGGTCGAATTCCATGATTATTGCGGTGAGATTAACTCAGGATAGGGGAGAGGAAGAAGAAAAGAAACGGAGAGAATAAAAGATGGAGGGGCAGAATGGAGGGGCAGCACACCGCCCTCGTGGATGATGATCTACGCAAAGTAGGACAAACAATAGCCAGCCCAAGTGGTATCCTCCTCATACATACAAAGAAGCAATTCTAGGGTCTGATCAAACGCCAAAAAATTCCTGATATATCATTTCATCTGGTCTGGTCGCATCACATCATCGACGACATAATCGAGTTTTGCGCATATGCCTGAAACAGATGTCAGCGATGATTTCGTCCAATTGAGAGCACGGACTGTACTTACCATGGGCTTAATGTCCGGGTGCGGCACCGCCTCGAATACCTGGTACTCCAGCTTGAGGTCGGGCCCGACATTGATATAGGCACCCTTGTTCTCCGTCGAGTCGCAGTACTTGGGGGCTGAGAAGACCGTGATACACCGGCCGTCGTGCTCGACTTCATATCCATTCATGCGGACTTCGTGCGACCGAATGACGGCCTCGAGGCCGTTGTTCTCGCAGAAGCGCTTGGTCACGTCCGGACCGAACTGAAGGCCGACACCGCGCTTGCTGGGGCCGCGCCCGGGTTCGGTCTGCGGATCTGTCCAGAGCATCTCCATCATCAGGCCTGACTGACCCGGCTGGCGTTGGTTGTGGCGGTTGAGTTTCCGGATATCCTGCAACGTTGTCTTGTCGTCAGAGAAGAGACCGCCGTGCAGCACGAGGTACTTTTCGCCGATCAAGGTGGCCAGTGGCAAGGCCGAGAAGGACTCGGAGAACACCTTGAATACCCGCTCATTGTACTTGGCGCGGCACTCGCCTTCAAACCCGTATACCTTGTTCATGTCGTCTGTCTCGTGGTTACCACGGTTGAGGAAAAGACCGTTCGGCCGCAGCCATTTATATGCGTAGAGGAGCAAGGCAATCTCAGTGGACCATGACCCACGGTCGACAAAGTCACCATTGAAAAGATAGGCGTGGGTGTCGGAGGGGTGGCCATTTCGACGGAAAATCTCCAGCAGATCGAAGAATTGGCCTATAATCAAGTAAGCGATAGTCCTCATCTTCAACATCATTCCAAGCATACCGTGCGTGTCACCGCAAACCGTCAGCTTCTTGCCCGCATCCACTCCAATTTCCACCATCGTCGGCTCGGCATACACGAGATCTTTCACACTCTTGATGATCTGGAAGACATACTTGCGGTGGATCTTCTTGCCATCCTTGAACCGCTGGATCATGTCATCGATAAACTCCTGGGTCATTTCGCTCCCGAGGCGCACGCCGTCGTAGCCATCCTCGACCTTGATCGCATCGATGTCCAAACCCTCGAATGCAGATGGTGGATCGGACACCTCAATCGCCTTCTCGAATTCTATCCGGCGCACCAGTTTCTCGCATTCGGCCAACTTAATCTTCGCATCGCGGTTGCCGGGCTCGCGCTTCACTACCGCTTTGAAATCCTTGAGGGCCGCCTTGTAGTCGAGGATGGCCGTGTTGGCCAGGGCACGACGCCAGTAGGCCTAGACAAACAAAGCCAATTTTTAGTTCTGCATGACTCGGTCTATCTGCAGGTACACAGGGGACCAACCTTGACATAGTTGGGGTCCAATTCCAACGCCTTGGTCGCATCCGCAAGGGCGTACCCAAAAGCCTCGACTTTGATTTGGGCCTATTCATCGTCAGAGTCAGCAAATGCCGTCCGACGGTGATCGCGGCCACCGGCAGATCGTCACACGCACCTGGGCCCGGTTGCAAAAGAAAGACGGCTCTTGGTCGTACTTGTCGATGGCCTGAGTATAAAAGTCGATAGCCGTGGGCCAGTCATGCTGGGCAAAGGCCTTGTTGCCTTGCACCTTGAGCGCGGTGGCGGCTTCTTGGTCTGAAGCCATTGGGAGGGGCACGAGACCGGATCGGGGAGATTTCAGGGAAGGAGGAAAAAGAGAACGTGGGTGCGGTTGGAGAGGAGAGAAAGAGAAAGGGAACTAGAACAAGTCAGAGTCCCTGTTCGGAGGGGTAGAGAGTGAAAATGAGGGAGAAAGGTGGAAAGAGAGAGAGAGAAAGAGAGAGTGTGTTGCTCCAAAAAGTTGGAGGGCGATTCCGTCCGGGCTTGGCATCCAACGTCCTTCTGGAAGCCTCTCTCTCTCTCTCTCTCTCTCTCTCTCTCTCTCTCTCTCTCTCTTTTTCTCCCTTCCTTCACCTCACCTCATTCCCTCCCACCATGTCCTTCTACGCAGCACCAAACCACCAGCGGAGTCTACGCGCTTGCATGGTCTGCTCCGTCGTTCAAACACACACGGTAAGGCTTTGTCAATTCCCCACCTCCAGCCCGACACGGACACTGACCACACGCCCCGAGCAGAAATTCATGCGCGACGGCTGTCCAAACTGCGAGAACATCCTCCAACTCAGCGGAAACACCGACGCCATCCAAGAATGCACGTCGCAGGTCTTCGAGGGGTTGATCTCTGTACGCGACCCGAACGCCAGCTGGGTGGCGCGCTGGCAGCGGTTGGATAACTATGTCCCGGGGACATATGCAACCAAAGTGACGGGGACGGTAAGTGATTTCTCGCTGGGTTACGGAGGCAAAACTTGGGCTAACAATTGCTATTTGCGTTCACTGTAGCTCCCGGAATATATTATCAACAGCCTCGAGGATTCCGGTATCAAATACGTTCCTCGCGATGGGAGCACCGGTGAGGAGGAGTCATGAATTGTTTGTCGTCGATACCTTTTTTCTACTACTCACCCAGCCATCCTGTCGATAGCCCGCTTGGGGTTCTCACATTTTTGCTAGTTTTTCGGGTCGTTCAGGAGTTCAAGGTCGCAAGCATCGGGACTGGCTTCACATATATTTGTCTTCAATGTTGCTAGGGAATGGGCTACTCGGCTGCATGGCTGCTTTCTTGGTGAGCGTTTCTACAACTATCGGCCTACGTGTCCCATATTATATAACCCGCGGGCTCTGGCAATAAACTAAAAGACGGCAATCAAGGAGCATGTCTTGTCTATAAAATGATCCTTTTTGAATTGGCATGAACTCGTGTCAAAAAGATAGTAGAATAAAACAACCAAATGCGCTCATTAGTTTTCAATAACAAAGGAAAGAAGAAAAGTCCTCCATCAGTCTACAGAAGCTTGATGATCTTCTCGATGCTCTCCAGGAGGATATCGGCTGTAAAAGAATGTCAGCGAAGCGATTCAGGATACGAAGGAGAGGGAAAAAACATACCGTGGTGCTTCTGGAAGACCAACATGGGGCGCAGACGGACAGCGCTCTGGCCGCTGCCACCAATGTTGACACCAACCTGCTTAGCCTTGGCCACGAACGCATCCCGCTGGGGAGTGTCCCAGGCAATGAAGGTACCCTGGCCCTTACCGCGCAGGTTCTGGAAGTGCTCGGGGTACTTCTGGGCGAGACCCTGGAGACCATTGTACAGGTAGTCACCGGTGATGCGGGTGTTCTCCACCAGACCCAGGCGCTCGACCTCCTCGATGATGCCGCGGAAGATCAGGGCGCGGGAGGGGTCACCCATCCAGGTGTTGAACTGGCGGTAAGGCTTGTTGGGCCGCAGGGCCGGGTTGCCAAAGTAGTAGCCAGCGGTCTGAGCCTTCTTGGAGAAGGTCACCATGTCGGGAGGGGTCTCGAGATTCCAGTGGTCGTGGGCCCAGAACTTGCCTGTGGCGCCGACACCGGTCTGCACCTCGTCGACGATGAACAGCACGTTGTTGCGCTTGGTGATCTCACGCAGGCCGCGGAAGAAAGCGGGCGAGGCGTGGTTGTCGCCGCCCTCGGACTGGATGGGCTCAACCATGACCGCCGCGACGGGGTTGTGGAACGTCTTGATCAGCTGCTCCACCTCCTGCAGGCAGCGCTGCTCCTCGGCTGCGTTCTCCTGAGCGTGCTCCTCCAGAGGGTACTTCAGGGTGGGGAAAGTGGCCTGGGGCCAGTCGAAGGCCGGGATATCAAGCTTATGGATGGGCTTGCTGCGGGTGGTGGACAGGGAGCCGAAGAGACGGCCGTGGAAGGCCGACTTGAAGGAGAGAATGGACAGCTGGGGGGAGCCAGGGCCCTGGTTCTCCATGGTGGACTTCAGCTCCTCTTCGGTGAACTCAACCTGCGGGCCACCACGCTGCAGCTGGCGGTAGTACATGAAGGCCGCCTTGTACGCGGTCTCGTTGGCATCCGAGCCTGCCATGGCGGTGAACACCTGGTTCAGACCCTTGGGCGCGGCCTTGAGGATACCGGTCTTCAAGATGTGCGCCCAGTCCGCGGAGGGGAAGTTACCCAGTGCCGGGCGGTTGATCAGCGAAGTGATCATCTCCGGCGACTGCGCGACCTTCTGGAGGTGCGGATTGTTGTACCCGACCGGGATAGAGGCGATCTGAGCGTAGCTGCTTGCAATTAGCGGGGGCCAATTGGATGAAAATAGAATCAAAACTTACACATCGAGCAGCTTGTTGCCGTCCAGATCCGAGATGCTAGAAAAGAGAGAAGAGAAGAGTCAGATTCCACACTGTGCGGAGGGGAGGGACAAGCATACTAGTTGCCAACGGATTGATTGTAGTCGGTCAGCATGTTCAAGCTGCGCACGTCAAAGACTTCATCCAGCTCGGCGGCTGCAGCCTTGTTCTTGGGGCCGGGAATGGCCGTGTTGACGGAGGGAGCGGAGGGCTCATTGGGGAAAAAGGGCTGCTCCGCACGCAGGCGGGCGGTCGTCGACAGAGCACGAGCGGCGGGAAGCCGGGCGGCACGCAGCTTGGTGCTGCAGCGGAGGACGGAAGACATGGTGAATTCTTCTTCTCTTCTGATGTTGCGAAAGGGGAAAGGGAAAAAAAAAGTCGAAGACGAGGAGGGCCGGTTTATATCCAGGCGCACCCCACACGGTTATCAGCCATCAGATCATGGAGCTTGGACCTGCTTCGGCGGTGTGGGCGAATCAGAAGCCCCGGATACTGGCAGCCCGCCGAGTGCAAAGATGTGGGGAGCGTCTGCTTTGGGTAAGTCTACGCTGTGGCAGCGGGCGGTGATGAGGTAATTCGGAGACGGAGTCAATGGCTGCGACGCAAAGTGCCGAACAGTGTGGACATCCCAACCCGAAAAGACCGAGGTGAATCCGGGGGTTGTTAGGGTTCTGCGGTGGTTGAGCCCGCCATGTCATGAGACGGCGTGTGTATTAGAACAGGGCACGGTGGATCAGGTGACCTTTTTCCAACTTGGAGCAAATCAATTGATTGTTGGGTGTTTCAATAGTAATAATAATAATCTCCACCACAGTTGGATAGCAACCCATATTCTGTATATTTATCTGCTATTAGTCTTGATGAATCTCAAAAGTGCCTGGACCGTTATAGTCACTGGTTCCATAACTCAGTTGGTTAGAGTGTGGTGCTAATAACGCCAAAGTCGAGGGTTCGACCCCCTCTGGAACCACGTTTATCTTTTTGTTTTTTTGGTGCGATGAATCGAAGTGATTCTATTTTTTGGGATCTTCTCGCAGCAAACTGAATACTAACGAGTGATAAGGCTGAAGAAGGAATCGCCATGACACAAGCTAGGAGAAAGACCCTAAGCCGTCAGGAAAGCCAATAATAACGGAGATAGTGAAACCTCGGACAGTGATATATATTTCTATGGCCAATGGCTTTACGGCCTTCTACAAATGTTGACCACCGCGTGGTATGATTGGTTTAATTGCTCAGCTGCCCCCTTGGTTGCTAACCTATGACCTTCAGCCAGATGTCTACTATATCCTTCGTTTCGATGGGTTGAACACTGATGGTCCCATTGCTGTCAATTCTTAGCGCTTGATCGACAGTCTAGATCTGCTGTTACCCTGGCCAATGCCGAGAATAGTTGAGAGAGAATCAATTTGAAGCAGTAAGAGTAACTAGTAGATCAGCTGCACCCCTGGTGACGTGTCCCGTGTCTTCAGCTGAAGAAGGATTCACCAAGACATAATAAGGCTAAAAGAGAAAGACCTTGGGGCGGCACTTGTAGATCGCCCTGTGCCCATCACTTGATCCTGAAGGATCCACCTGTAACCTCATAAGAGAAGGTGGTAGTTACGTCAAAATCCTTGAAGGAATTGATTGCTTTCAAATAATATCTCAGGAACAAATTCGTATCATTAATTCAGCGCAATGTCATCTAATAGCATACCAACTATACGCCTAGCCGCCGTATCACAATATACAGTTAAAAGAGCTTTTATATGGATATCCAAAACCAAAGCCAAAACTCACAAAGAAGAGTGAACAACAAAACCCGAGTGGTCGTATAAAAAGACATAAATCAATTAAGAACCGCGCCGATCATCAAATGGCGACCCCGACCCCATCTCGCGGCAGCGTTGAAGAAGAGGCATCACTAGTCGCGGATGTATATATGGTGCCGCTGTTCTTCCGCTCAAAGATATCATCTGGCGTGGTGGCACGGGTCCTCTCCGAAGAGATATTGTAGGCATGACTCGAAGCGCCCTTGCCAGGAGTGCAGGCCTCCACGTAGTGTTCCATTTCCACAGTGCGCATGATTGCGAAGCGGTCATCGTAGCCGGGCTGACGAGGGTCGTCGTTGATGAGGCGCGAGTTGCGCGAGCGGCCAGTGGCGGTAGAAAATAGGTTGTTCTTGGAGCGGGTTCGAGGCCCGTAGTTGTAGCTGATGTTGCGAGTCGATTGAAGAAGATGGGGGAGGAAGGCTGCAATGAGGGGACGGAGAGACGGTGCAGAGCAGCAGATCTGAATTATGTTAGTATGTATGCCATTGGCCAAAGGGGAAAAAGAGAGAGGCATACCAAGCCCAGGTTGATTTCAACAGCCGCTGCAACCAACACTGGCCATCCCAGCCAGGTCGAGTCGTACCCGACTACCATGCTCTTCCACACATACACGGTCCGGACGGACCCGGCAACATTAACCACGACTCCTAGTCCGAAGATGGAGATGACTGCAAGTCGCTGCCGAGCGGGCAGCTTCAGGCTCCAGATCAGCGGCATGGGTAGCGCCGTGACGAGCAAGTCGGTGAAGATATTGATGACACTCGCCGAGAAGACGATAGCTCCGTCATTCATGCAAGTATATGGTTCCTTCGGGCTCACCTGCCAGTATGCTTTGATAGGACTGCATTGGAAGATGCTGATTAAAGTGAACGTCGCGCAAGAAAGGCCAACGAAGATCATCGCCCCGATAAACGCCCAGTTGAACAACATAAAGTTGCTCTTGCTTGCTCCCAGCAGACGCCGACAGAACCATAGGAGCGAGATCTTGGTAAAACCCGACGCCATTGAGAACATGATTTGGAAGCAAAGATTCAGCTTCTGCACGGTTGAGAGCCACGGCGTGGGGATGTCCCAGATGTGCCTATTCCAGCCCCATTCCTCCGTCGCCATCGAGGTCACCACCGCCATGCCGATGGAGAAAGCCAGGCCAATGACAACCAGGACGTCGTCAACGCCGGCACTGCATGTAATGCGTAGGCGGGTAAAGATTCGGAGCAAAACCACCACGAATGCTAATGATATACAGACGATGTTCACAACTAGGACGCCGTGGCCGCGGGTAGGAGGGTCAATGTAGTTGGGTGTCGGCCATGTTTCCATGACCGCCATCGGAGGGAGTTTCATGTCGGGTGACTGGGGTATTAGCAGTCGCTATAGGGTGGATGATTTGGTCTCTGTGTACTATCACCGACGAGCAGCAACCACGTCCATGGCCCGATCAAATGCTGGGTAGGAAATAATAAAGAGTGAAGATAATAATGAGTCGCAGTGTAATCTTGCGCTCACATTCAAAGAGAGAGAGAGAGACAGATAGACAAAAAGAGAGAACGAAAGAAAGAGAGCGGAAATATCACCCTCTCAACCCCGGGACCCATGCAGACTATATGAATTCCTACTTGTGGGTGGTTGATCGCATGGAGGCCCGGATCTATACTACTCCACCATAGTGGAGGCTAGGCGAAAGGGCGTTGGGCGATTGGCCGATCCCTGTCCATGTTAACTTTGCCAGGAGCGACTCAGCGCACGGAGTCGGCCATCTCCATAATTCGGATGTCGATGGACCCTAGCCAGCACTTTCAATAAAAATCCACCAGTAACCGACGCGAGTGCGAAAGCAGTAGCAAGACCGAGGCCGACCAGAGTTGAAAGGCGATGGGCGGGCAGCGATAGGCAGATCCAGAGCCCCATCGTGCGGCTGGCTCCACCGTCCAGTACAAAGAGGCTTGTGAAAGCGAGGCGGGGCAGCACTCGATCCCTGGCTCTCCGTCAGGAACAGACGAACAAATCGCCATCGTTTGGGTCTCGTGTATCCGACTGCATTTTCGCCAATTGCTGGGCGCCGCTAGCGGTGCCTGAAAGTCCGGCCAGAGCGTGCACACGGAGGTGCCGGCTGAAGTGGTCCGTCCGCAAGTTTCAGTTGCATTCGCGTAAAGGCGCTAGCGGGATCGTCAATTGCCACCCCAGGACGAAGGAACAATAGAGATGGCCCCCATTTGCATGTCGTTTTCATTGCTCGTTAGACCTTGATCGAATACTCGCCAACTACAACCACGGTAAAACATTATTCTACCCCTCCTCTGCCCTCCTCGAGTCAACCAAGCCTGAACGGACACTCACGAATCGATCGGGTGGTACCGATCATGTCGGTCCACTCCACACTGGTTGCTCCGGAACAATGCGGAGTCCGGCCAAGTCGAGCAGATCCAGACACGGTGAGACCCCAGAATAAGGTGGAAGACGATCGATTGATCTACACACTAGGAAGTATCTTTCAGTCCACCGTGTTGATCGACAAAGTTCTGGAAACCTTCACTTCTTAAGCATCTGACTCGAGTGTGGATATAGAACACGTAGCACATTCACTATCACAGTTGTGGGTCGATTGTGATGATTTGCATTTGTAGATCATGGAGCAAATAGCATATGCCGATAACAGTCAGCGTAATTATGAAATATTCAGTCTCTTGCTCCCGGAAAACCGGGTTGCAAGATTCATGCTAATGATTGTGCTGCGCACGCACGCACGACACGCGCCCGTGCTGACGACTCATCTCTACAGGGAGGGTCGAAAACAGATTTTCCGACGGGCACACATCGATTGTTCCTCGGCCCGTACTTGAAACCACGCTAGCCCAAATCTGCAAAGGTTGTCAATAGTCGTTTTCACAGGTAGAATATGAGGATCTGTGAAACCGACACCTAAAATGTCCGGATTCGAGGCTAGAAAAGGGAACCTTTCCACACGGAACTTCTAGCGGCGAGCGGGCGGGTGACCGCCTACTCCACTATACTATACTAATTATTTTGCACTAGCTAAGAACTGCTAGTTGTAGACGTACTTAATGAAGTCGAAACAAGCTAAAACTGTCACCCTGAGACCGGTGCTATAGAATTTGGTTGTCTGGGCCGCAAGCTGCGTGGTAAGTTGCTGTAGGAGTGTCCACGGTGGTAACTGTTTCAGTTATGATCTAGTAGGTTTGATCAGCATTTCATCATGTTCAACAACCTCGAAATATGATCTTACCTCGGTACTTGTGGTTCGGGTTGTTAATGTGGTAGACTCTGTTATAGTTGTGTCAAATGTCAGAGTGGTTGAGGCAGCAACTGGAGTACTCGTGATTGTTAGTGAACATATATTAGATCCTATTTAGAAAAGGGATATGAAATAGAAAAGTCTTACTCGACGTATAGTTGGTTGTTACGGTAGTAGTGAGGGCAGGTGGTGTGCTAGTCACAGTCAAGGTCTTCGCTGCTGTCCTAGTAACTGTGCTTGTACTAATAACTTCAGTAATGCCGATGCATCTTTTCAAGGCAGAGAGGACAAGGAAACAAGTCAAATTTAGAATTCGCGAAAGAGACAATATTTGTCTATAAGGCTTTTTGAACAATCTCGCTAACAAAACAAATGCGAGGACCCACACGCTATCGAATATATGCCCGAAATATCAATCTTGATTCGCTCAATCAAATGCACCACAACCTTCTGTCCCCCTTTCAATCCTTCTTTCATAATCGGCGGTAGACCCTCCTTTTGGATCGAAATTTAAACAGACGACGCAGATTTGGTGGTAACATCCACAACAACAGTCGAAGCATCTGAAGCAGCAGATACCGGGCTGGCAACCACCTTCGTCCGAAGCGCGCCACGGATATCCGTCATGCTGCGCTCCTTCCAAGCTGGGAAACCAGACTGGCTGAGCGGGAACAATACCAGATTATCTTCGCTATTTATGAACTCGTTCACATCTGGCCGCGGAGTGGCTGTGATTACGTCCAACTCCACGGCAATTTGCCGGCAGTACGTATCCATGGGTAGATCATTCACGTCCTCGCCGAAAGGATTTTCGATTTCGCTGCCGATAGTGGCAAGGCCGAGGATGATGTATGCCGCCACTTTTGAAGAACATCGTTAATAATCAGAAAAATTAATGGTATTTTGAAGTAAGAATGGAACGTACCAATTGAGGCTGGGATAGTGACCCAGCCTAGCGACTTGTATAGCTGGAAGGGAAGGACTAAGACATAGATCCATGATATCTGGGATATGGCAATGGTGTACGCCATTGGTAGAGGGGTATCGAGCACGCGCTCGGTACCTGTCAGAACCTCGTTTAGTGAAGACATCCCGGTAACTGATATATGGTTAGTCTTTAAACCAAACAAAAAGAGAACTTTAGCTTCAACGTACTGACTTGTCCTTGATGAAGGCTAGAAGTAAGTGTACCATTCGCCACGCACGAGTCAATATAAGCAGAGAGATGGTTGAGTATTTCCAGAGGCAAGTGACCCAACGGTTTCTTAGACCGCTTGACCAATTTGCGCGGGTTGGACGTCGCAAACGACACACCCAGATATTCTCCAGCGGCCTTCCACAGAGTCTTCGGTCGTGGCTGAACAACATGACTGTCATGAGCATCGCGAGCGAAGGTGTTTAGGTGCCCAACGAGACCGGCGATATCATCGTATGCGATATCTGGCTCAAATCGGAGCTTGTGTTTGAGAGCAACGGCAAAAGCCAGGAGAAGATTCATCGCCGTACTTTTGATGATTCGGGTTAGTTAGTTATCCATGATTTTGCTTGGAAGGTCACATACAGCTTTTTCAGAAGATCCTCTTTGCCTTTTTCTCCTTCTCGTTCAGAAGTATTGACCCAGATCGTACGAGCAATGTTGCGAGAGGTCTGGATTAGAAGGGACCAGTACTTTCGACCGTCTGCCCATCTTTGATAGCATCGAGGTCAGCCACTATCGTTGTAAGTTGACTGAGAACAATACCTTTCATATGCCGTCGAGCTGCGAAATGATAGTGCCAATCCCACCACGAAACCCAGCACGGTGAGGAGGATGTCATTGACCCCAACTAGGTGACAATTGCATCAGTAAATGAAATATAGGCCCAAGGCTTTCTGGTAATCTCACTGTTATGAATGTATTTGCAGAAGCAAGTAATGAACGTTGACCAAGCCCCCACGAAGAGAATAGGCAGGATCATCTTCGGCATGACACTGCCATGCATCCGCATGAAAATGGGCCATTTGGAATGCTTGTCCATATTGCGCGGTCCATGCTGTGAGCAGAAACCAGACATCGTCAGCACTAAATCGCGTTCATCTGCTCCAGATTTGATAACATACAAAGTAATGCTCCAGCTCGCTGGTGTTCCGACGATCGAGATGGAACTGCGAGTCCCGTGAATTGGCTAGATGCTCCATGTAGGTCGGTCGCGGTGTCAGCCGGCCAATTGACGGTTCCTGCTCCTTTTTCTCATGATGCTGGACTTGTTCATGATGGACGTCATGCGAGCGCACCTCGGCTGAGACGGGAGCAGGTCCATTGTCGGAGGAGGAATTGGCTTCGGAAGCTGGCTCACTTTGGACTGGCGGAGGATTGCTATCTTCTGTCATGACGAGGGGAATTTTTGGAGATTTTATCACAACTAGAAAAGATGGGTCCGCAAGAAGGGTAGGCCCGGGTCGGGATCTTGTAAAATGAGGGTGAACCACAAAAAGGAAACGAACTCAGGAGAGAAGAGAATGTGATCCGGGGTGAAACGAATTTTGTGAAGATATGAAATTTTGAAACGGTTTTTGACCCATTGATCAGGGGCGTGTTTCATCGCGATCTAGACCGTGAGGCAGAGCAAAGTGGGGCTCTGCGCCATTATTGTCCTGCTAATTATAGATGCACCGAAGATGTGTTGGTCCAATTGTTTGTTCAGGAATGGGTTTGTAGGATCCACAAGTCTATGTCCGTATGCTGTTTCACTTTCAGCTTTCAATTGAACTAAGTTTTCTTTTGGCGTAACTGTCACAGTTTTCCCCAGGCACACCCGCGGGAGACCCACACGCCCGCCATGGTCAGCCAAGCCACTATGACAGTTGTAGCGGGTATTTCTCCCGAATGGCTTTGCCATATCTGGAAAAAATAATGGGTATGGGAACGAATGCCAATGAAAGGAAGCCCAGCAGTGAGTTACCCCATCCATAACCAAGCGTCGCAAAAAGTTTCGGCCCGGCCAGTGGAAGCAACGCACCCACTAATGATCGGGAAGCCGTGAGAGTTGCATTGCCTGACGCCGCGTAGCCCGGGTAGCAGTCGATAACATATGTTTGAATGGGGAGGTACAAACCCATCATGCCAAAGCTAAAGGGCATCATGCCGATAATGGGGACAATCCAGTGAACATCCTTGTCGACGCTCCAACCGTACCAGAAGAAGCTGATGGGACAGAAGGCAGCGTAGAAAATCATCATCGGCAGTCTCATTTCTGGCTCGAATTTGCCGCCGTTGCGCTTTTTCATTTTCAACATGGTCCGGTCGTTGGTGAGTGCGGTCGATATTAACCCGGCAAAGAAGCCAACGCCGATGCCCAAGTATGCCAGCCCTGATAACCCGTTAGAGAATCCGTACTGTTGCTTGAAGACCGTTGGAATCGTCGTGAAAAATAAGTAAAGCATTCCGTATACCACCGCCATATACATTGAGAGTAGGAAGACGATGGGCGACTTGCAGAATAGCAAGATCGGCCGCATCAAGCCAACCTTCAACGTCGCTGTGACAGAATTCGTATCGCCTTCCTTTGCATATGCACTGCGGAGGTCCCCCCGAGCAAGCTCTTTTGCTAAGCGCTCGGTTTTCCACCGGATGAGAACCGAAGCATAAGTCTCCTGGTTGAGGAGTTCAATCCCGGTCGACATAACGCCTCCAACCATCAAGAGCACCCAGAACACCCACCGCCAACCGATGGTCTCGCCAATGAATCCTCCACAAACCGGTCCAACCACAGGGCCAATTAGAGGACCCGTGCTCCATAGAGAAGTTGCCAGACCGCGCTTCTCGATGGGAAAGAGGTCAGCGATCACACCCGCTCCCAAGGTCAAGCAACCGGAGCCGCCAATACCGGCAAACAGCCGAAATATAATCAAGCTCTGGATATTGGGCGCGAGGGCACAACCAATCTGCCAGACGACGAAAAACCAGTTGGCTCCGCTGAGCACGATTCGGCGTCCATAGATCTCGCTCAGGGGGGCGAGCAGGAGTGGACCAAACTATACCCACAATCAGCATATCCCCTTTAAATGGCAGACGGATACATACAGAATATCCCAACAAGTAGATACTGATACTAAAAGAAAGCAGCGTCTCGTTTTCAACCCCCAGATCTTCGCCGACATAGCTGACAGTCGGCGAAAACATGCTCGACGCGAGCGGCGAAACAAAGGTGATGCCGCTCATCAACGCAAGCAAACCCCATTTCTGGCCCGAGGGGAAATTCTGAGGGTTTTTGGGGTCATCCTGGCTGTCCCAGCCAACAATTCCACGACCGAGATCGGTTTCTGGAAAGCGGGGTGTTTCTGGGGTCGCGGCTTCGGCGTCTTTCGTGTCTTTTTCCGTGGTTGAGGGGCGACCGACATTGTCGGTGGTGGAAACGTTTGTCTTTATAGACTCTGGAATGGTCTTTTCGGGCACGCTCTCCTGCGTTGGAGGGTCCATGCTCACTAAGTGCGAGCGGGAACAATCCCGAGAGTAAAGCTTGAGTTGGGTCTAGATCGGCGGACAAGCCGAGTGTCCGGACTGTTCCCTGAAGACCGATGGGATTGGAGAGGAGCAAAGATCAGACCTAACAAGTGCGGAAACAAGAATCAGAACCAAAGCGCATCTCCCAGATGTATTTGTCAGGGGAGCTCTTTCTTAGCGGGCACGTTACCAAGCTATGTATACCGTCTATGGCTGGGTTGCGGTTCATAAGCCGATGGCAGATGCATAAGGCCCGCGCATAATGGGGTCAGTGCGCACTGCATCTCTTGGCGTGGGATGCAAAAAGAGCGCAGGACGTTCTTATCCCAAAGCTCCGGCCGGTTATGCTAAGTTGCTTTATAATACGCACGCAGTTTTCTTCGTACCACACCAAAAGACCACTATAAGAATTCTTGCTCCTCAAACGCATCCCAGGTATCCTGTCTCACAGGTCTTGTCCTAAGCCACAGCCTTATCATGGCTCGTGGTGTCGAGCACTCATCTAGTTCTCCAGGATCATACTGGAAGAGACCAAAACCGTTCACAGATTCCAACCCGTTCTTATGAGTACTATCGTACTCGATATTGTTCACGTTTATATGTTCATGCGAATGGCTTTGATTCTCCGTGGTAGAAGTTGTGTGTTCGATTTTGACGGACAAAAAGACCCTACTCCCTTGGAGGCAGCATATATGGTCTGACAATTGAGAAACAAGACCTGATAGTCTATATGCCCAATTCAAACTAGGGAATATCTTCCTGAAGAGGAATTTCGACCGGTGGATAAGCCAGCACGAACATGATAGGGCTGTGAAGCGGGGAAAAAGTTTCCCATACCGGGCTTCGAATGAGCCAGGCAGAACCCCCGCTGAAGCCTGACCCCAGTAGACAGATCGGATTCCCAGGATCAATATAGGGGCCCTCCGACTTGGGCAGGGTGTGAATGCAAAAAAGAAGACCGAGCCGCACACACTGTTCAAGGAACGAACAAGTCACGGCCAGACCCGGCAACTAGCGCACCCAGAAAATTTCCCTTGGCACAAATTCTCCATGCCACACTGACAGCAGAGGAGCCACCGTTGCTCCCACCAACCCACGAGCTCAGCGCGGCTACCACAGCAGCGGCGTCCTCGCGCGGCACACGGACCCAGACCGTATCGCATCTTTTCACATTCTTTGATTGTGCCGTAGATGTAGGCTGCGCATTACTATCCAGCAATTCATTTTCTATCTTCAGGATATCAATTGGAATGGCAGTACCCGTGAGACCGAGGAACTGGGATAGCGCGGCGGAGAGGTATGTGCGGGCGGAAAGAGCATCGAGGGGTTGAGGAGAGGATCCGGGTTGTGGAATTCTAGTATTAGTGGCGTTAGCTGAGATTGTTTCACAGGGATGAAGACAGGAGAATCGCTGCTGCGTACAGTCGGAGTTTGAGATAGGTCCAGGGCGGATTGCGGGAAGTGAAGTGGGTGACTTTTGGCTTGGAGGCGTCGGATGCTTTGCGCTTTGTTGTTTTTGTGGCAGGAGGATTAGTATTTGCCACTGTTTCGCGCTCGCTGTCTGCCATGTTCTCGGCGGAGATTGGGCTGTGGAAAAGTGAAGTTGAAAGAAACGCGAAGGTGATGAGTGGAACCTCGGTCACGGGATGCCGATCGCCAGATCTATGACAATAGGCCGGAGAAGACATGCTATTATATGAACCTGGGTTATTCAATTATCACTGTTTGGTTCTGATAAATTAATATTTGGATTAATATTTTTGAATTTCCATAACACTTAGCCTGCGTATGCATAGTGTATTGGTTCTGCCAACATGGAGGACAAACCATTTTCACACCGTCTATCGCCCTTTATTCTTTTCTTCTTCTTGTCTCAATTTATCTCTCACCTTCTGCAAGAGTTCTTCTTTCCCATCGGTAGCAACATCCATATCTCTCACACAAACCGTTTCCTCTCGGGACTTAAGCCCACGAACCACTTCGACACTAGATTTGGGGACGTTGAAGATCTATGCATTTCCTCGCAATGACATGAGTAACTCATGCGCTTTGCCTTTTTGCAGTAAAAGCACATAAAACAAGCAATGGAATAACAAGCGTACCTCAGCGAATATCTTCGAGACAGCAAGATTGGCCGCCCCGTCGCGCGGAGGTTCTGCGACTGAGACCTCGATCCTGTCTGAATCGACTGCTCTGATCCCCGCTCGCTGGGCGGAGGCGTTTGGCTTCACGGAGCAAGCTATTTGGAGGTTGTAGCTTTCGCGAGAGGTGTTCCCGGGTTTGGTCGTGGATTGGACCAGGCGGAGGAGTGCAGCGGGGCGGATTGACATGATTATAGGGCTTGGAGAAAGACACCGAGTTGTCCCGCATTGGTGATAAAATAGTTGCTGGTGGGAATAGTAACGGAGCGGCAAAATAGGAGCCCCTCTTTTTCCTTAGCTTTGGGAATCAAAATGTTGATCTTTACTAATTTCTTAGTCAAGGCATGCCCAGGGCTACTATGGAAGAATGTAAGGTTTAAAACCAGAGCCTTCATGGCATTTGGAGCTTCAAAAACAGCACCTAGGACAGATCAAGCTTCTCCATAATCAAGTCTCTCCGTGACATCGGGTGTCTCCATCATTTTTATCGCTCCGTCATGGTACAGTTAAGAGCAATCTGCATCCCTCGTCCATGAAAATGTACCAGTTAACCCACCACGGCAGAACCTTGGTCAGCTGGGGTTTGGCGTGCGTTCTTATCGGCACTCCAAACACATAGTCGATTTCCTCAAGGGAGCGCCACTTGGTCTCGGGCATGAAGCGGAAGATCAAGTTAAGTGCAATGAAGTTCAGACAGGCATAGAATCCAAACGCACCCATCGGGTGAAAGCCCGCGGCATAATGGGAAATTAAGCGATATAATCGATGGCGCCCAGATCGTTGTTGTGGATGTATTCTTCGTCGTTCATCAGCCGGTCGCGTGGGACCCCCTCTAGGGAGGTAGTATACACTTGTATACTCCGTTTGTTATTATCTCGATCTATGGGACCCGCTTTCCACTCACATGGTTCGCCCCTTGATCTGCAACTCTAATTTTTCTTTATTGCGAACATGCACATGTATTCTAAGACTCTCTTATAGATGTGTATCCCCTCCCCTTTTCTTTTTCAAAAAAAAAGCATATTGTTTACATCCTCTTCTACTCTAGATCCTACTTGACTGGCTGCGGTGCCACTGCATGGGCAAGTAGCACCATCTGCGCCTGCGTGACCAGCTTGCCCAAGTTTCAGGGACCGACAACAACTACCTTATCGCAAATATGCAGGCTATAAGAAAATGACCTCCTTAAGATTCGGTGCGCACCATGAACGATGACTTGAAACCACTTGTTGATCTTCTAACTGCGATTCATTGCTTCAGTGTAAATATCTACTTGATCTAAAAATTAAAATAGGAGAATGCTATCCAAGCTAGAGAATCCAGCGGCCACCCCTCCCTCATTCACCTCCTTTCCTTTCGTCCTTAGTAACCATCCGCCTTGCTCGTTATGAAGAATCTCCCCTGTGTTGTCCCACAGGATAGTACCGTACACACCGAGCTCTGAAATAACATTGCCACGGAGGACTTCGCCATCATTTCGTAGGGCGACATTCTTGGCGTGGGCTGCGGGGTTGATCAGCTCCATGAGAACCCACCCCTTCCAATCCGATTCAGGAATAGACCGCAAGAACTCAGGAATGTCGGACTTGTAGATGTTATTGCCTCCGCCTTCTCGCTGGGGTTTGAGCACATGCTTCATGGCCGTCTCGAGGTTGAGGGCGAGCTCTCTACCTTGACCCTGAGTTGACAAGTCATATTGCGGAGCAAAGGTCTCCCGCAGTCTTGCAATCATGCCGGGATCGGTGCCTTTCAGGAAAGCTGACAGATGATCGGGTCCGGTGGGTTCCGCCAGGACTTGTTGCACCTTCTTGCATCCGGACAGCTGGTTCAGAACTGTGGGACACTTGATAGCCGCTGACCGCTCCAGGTGTGTTCTAGCCTCCCAGTCCCGGGCAGATTTGTATTCATCGGGGGCATAGTAGGCTCGAAGATAAACGGTTGTCACTTCGAAAGCTGACTCTGGGGCATGAGGGGGTCGATACACCAAAGGACGAGCAGGATTCGAGTTGGAGATAGATGTTTGGTTGAGGATCTCTGAGCTGGCCACACGGAAGACTGGTATCTTGTGGTGCGCGGTAAGTCGTTTCGAAACCGCCAGCTGGTCGAAGATATTGCGTTCGCCGTCTTGAACTACGAATGCAATACCCAGTGGTAGACTAGGAGTGGATCTTGATGGCCCGTAGGCTTGGTGTGCTGCCGCCAGGCCAGCCGCCAGGGTTTCCACAGCTGAGTTTTCTGGTGGGACCCCGGACTGCAGCAGAGGATGAGGCGGGTAGCTTGGAGGAGAGGTAAGGAACTCGGTGTGCAGAGATCTGACAAGCGATGACAGTCCTCCAAAGGAGGACGAGATGGTGTTAAATTCGACCTGCTTCAAAGATGGAGCCTCATTGGCCGAGACGTGGGCCATGTAGTCGGACCGGAAGAGGCCCAGGGAGAGATTCTGCACATAACCCTCTTTCTGTACTGCCAGGTGCACTTTCCAGAGATTCGACACGAAGTCATCCACATCAATCAGGCTGCGGACGATTTAGTTTGAGGTATCTGGAGGGTCGGCCGCACTCTTACTCTTCGATAATCTTGCCCAACCAAGCCTCGTCGCACGTAATCGCCGCATACAGCTCATTATACACAGTCTGCAGCGCATTTGCCTCCTCGAAGCATCCCTTAGGAAAAGGACTCGGGAACAGGGTCACTGGCGCATTGGTCGCCAACACCCCATTAGGATCTGCACCCGCGGGGAGAATAGTTGGAGATGGCCGAACAGCGAGGCCATTCTGGATAGCCCAGTCCTTGGCTGTTCTCACCAGATATTTCTGCTGCTCAGGCGACAGCTCTGGAGGATAACTCGAATAGATTGACTCCATGGCTGTAGTCAGTATCTAAAGCAAAGAGAAGTTTGTAGAATTATGTCGAGTCAGTCCGTCCAACGGGTGTTCATCCCACATCTATTATTAATCAGATTCTGGCTTAGAGTGGGCGGTGAGTCTCATTCTGCCGGCATAAAAAAAAAGTAGCGCCGCGCTTAGGCAGAGAAGTCAACAAACGGCCTTTACTTCTTCTACTTCTCTGCTATCCAATCTCTTCTTGCCCGATAAACGCATCCGTCCCTGTATTCTAACTTTTTTGCACACCCCAACCCTTTTCTCCTAAAGCTTGCCGTCTGATTGACAGCTTATGGAATTACATTCTTGACGGCCACGGATCTTCCTTGGTCTGGGTGCCAGGCCGATGGTGGGTAGCCTGAGGCTTAGAAACTAGAAGGAGAACTGTATTTTGACCTAGTACAGATACATATCCTGGGGTAATGGTCTCTAAGGTCCCAGACCCAGACCCAGCTGACTGGGGAGTCGATGATGTCGTCAACTTTCTATGCACGGGCACTGCTGTGTGGTCGCAGGCCACAAACGCGCCCCGACCAGACCCCGCCACTCTCGAAACTGCACTCCGTGATAACCTTGTGACTGGAAGCGTGCTCCTCAACCATGTCAACCACGAAACTCTGCGAGTCGACCTGGGCTTAAAGCCGCTGGGGTACCGTAGCAATCTCCTGACTGCTATTGACTACCTTCAACAGCGATCACCCAAATATCAAGACTCCAAGGGGATTACGGATGATATACACCGGCCCGTCGGTGAACATGCAACACCTACGTTTTCTCACAGCCCCGCTTCTCGTACCCCGGCTTCTGCCCCAGGCCTACATGAAGCAAATAGCAAATCTTCACCTCCAAGCACCTCCCTCGATCCCCCAAGTCTTCCCACCCACGATACCACGCTCGCGCTCACCCATACTCAACAAGAATCTCGGAGGATCGTGCCTCAGAAAATCGCGGAAATCAACCAGGCAGATCGGGGCCAATCATCAGGCCATGTTTCCCAGGAGCAAAAACCTCCATTACTCCAAAAGAAGGAGCTTGATTTCCGTTTCCTTGAAGAGTACCTGCTTGAGAAGTACCCCCCGGAGAGGGATGAGGAGAATGCTCTCCCGGCATATGGTGACTCTGGTTCCGAAGGACAGTACGATGAGGACACTTGGGAGGAGATCGTGCATGAGCACCCGGAATTCGCAAGTAAGCCTACTCGTCTTCCAGACGAAAAATATGATTCTGTTGTGACAGAGTTCATATCCCAGCACGAAGAATGGTGGCGGCAAAGCCAGTTGCCAAAAGAAAAACGGAAAGCGCGCCGTCGCTGGATCAAATCTCGGAACCACGACTCCGTGGACTTGGAGAGAAAATCCGAAAATCGTCAACTGACTCTTCTCGAGGGACGCTTGCAAAACCTTCGGAAGACGATAGGCGAAGTCGATCATCACTCGGTGGACGGGTTGAAAAAAGCATGCGGGAGTTTGGAGAATACCATCTCGGATATATGCAGACACAAGTACACTCTGTCAGTCCTGGATCAAAAGGAATGCCCGCCCGACGTGCCCCGAGCTCTACGGGCTCAAGGAACGAAGAAATTCAAGTCACAGTCTGAAGAAGAGGAAACATTGAGCTCAGAATCCCCAGACTCCTCGTCAGAGCAGCCTATCAGCGACTTTATCGTTGAAGACTCTGATGATGCTGAATTCTACGTGGGTGGGAGTGACGGGCCTTTGATTCCATCAGGGAGGCGCTTGTCTGCGGCTTCGCATGATGCTCCTCGACCCCTGGCCTCTTCGTCACCGTCAACCTCCAGTGAAGATAGTGAGCCTCTCAGATCGCCCCAAAAACGACTGAAAGTCAGCGAGGGGGCCTTGGTCGGCCTGACCATTTTTGACGATGAGAATGTCGAATCTGTGGATCTTACCGGTGATACACCCGGGTCGATGAATATGGACGTTGGTTACGAAATCGCGACCCCTCCAGTCAATCCAGTTCATTCACGGGTGGCAACCAACTCCGGCCTGGACGACGAGGTTCATATTGAAACGCCTCTTTTGAACCAGCTATCGATTGTCAATACGAGGTCGTCAATATCTCCTGCACCGGACCTAGGTCCCAACCTGCTCCTTGAGACTCCACCAACGGCCAGGAAAACTGTTCCGGTCCCAAAAAGGAGTGTTTCCGACCAGCCACGCTCCACAGAGTACGCAAAAGAGCTTGATAGAGTTGCGAGACTCGGCTGGCACGAAATCCATGACCAGATAGGGATTCTGGCAAAAAGCGTTACCTCTTTGCCTTCAGACGAGCTCGCAAAGTTTTCCAGGTTCTTGTCTGGGTTTTTTGAGTCGAACCATCGGGGTTTAGTCCAGGAGGCACTGCTGTCATTCATAGATGAAAATTGGGAGTTACACACCGATCAGGATGAGAAGGAGTTTGCTTCGCGTATGGCAGCGTTGTTTATCTCTTGGGTGAATTGTGTCTCACTGAAGGAGAAAGGCCTCGATCCACAGCATGCCGAGAACGCGCTCACAGAAATCGATCCGGACAGCCCTGAATTTGCGCAATTTCACCTCGCACTAAAGGGTCTCGTCCTTTCTTACAAGCCTGGGCAGTTGAAAACGATCCCGGGCAAAGAAGTTGTTGATATCTCCACCGATACATCGTCCGATGTAACTACTCCGTCCGACGCCTTGGACTCGCAGTCCAAAAAGCGGAAGAGACATGTTGCTGTGAAACAGGAGACCAAAAACACGCAGCGGCGAGCGCAGGCACGGCAGAAAGAACAGAGCAAGGCACGAGAAGCCCTGCTCAAGTCAAGAGAATTCATGGGCATTAGCAACAGTGATCCAACCAATCAGGCGGTCACTTTCAAGGATCCGATCATCTATCTTAACCCGCATATTGGAGCACAAGTCAAGCCACATCAATTGAAGGGCATCCAATTCATGTGGAGAGAGCTCATTGAAGATGAGACCGGCACAGGTTGCTTGCTCGCCCATACCATGGGACTGGGCAAAACAATGCAAGTGTAAGTCAATGTATCGTATCGTGTTTTGACCTATTCCCCCTAACAAGCTCATAGGATATCCCTTCTGATCACCATCGCAACTGCTGCGGCATCAGAGAATCCCGAAATTCGCAATCAGGTTCCCGTTAGACTTCGTCGTTCTCAGACGCTAGTCGTATGCCCGTCTTCATTGATACATAATTGGCGTCAAGAATTTATGTTATGGACCTCGACGGACGGCCATCTCGGTGCAGTGAGGTCTATCGATATCACGAAACAATACGGAGACTCCAACTCCCGAATTGAAACGATACGAGCTTGGGGTGAAGAAGGCGGCGTGCTTATCATTAGCTACGATATCCTTCGGCAGCTGGTCCAGAACAAAGAAACCAAGGCTAGGGCGAAACCACTTACTGATGAGGTCCATGAAGAGATCAAGGGTTATTTGATCAATACGCCGAACATCGTCGTGGCTGACGAAGCGCACAAGATGAAGAATCCGGGAAGTGGAGTTGCTCAGGCCACTAGCACCTTTAGGACCAAGAGCCGCATTGCTATGACCGGTTCTCCTCTTTCCAATTGCCTCGAGGAATATTACTACGCGGTTGACTGGATTGCACCGGGCTATTTGGATGACCCTGCGACATTCAAGCATGTCTACATGGAGCCAATTGTGACAGGGCTTGACATCGACAGTACTCGGAGCCAACGAAGAAGGGGTCTGATGAAACTGAAAGTGCTGAACGGGATCCTGGCTCCCAAGATCGACCGCGCCGATATTTCCGCGATCGCGGCGGATGTTCCTCCCAAGAACGAATTTCTCGTTGCTGTGGCCTTGACGCCTCTGCAGAAAGAGATATACAACACCTACGTGGATGCTGTGATGAAAGATGGTGAGATGGCAAATACCCAACTCTGGGAGTGGATTGGCCTTCTGCAGATCCTCTGCAACCACCCGTACGCTTTCTGGGAAAAACTCATGAATAGAGCCGTCCAAAGTGCAAAGAAGGAAACAAATCCTGAGCTTGAGGAAGGTTTAAGAGACCCAAAGCTCCCACCCCTGGTATTAGCCCGGCTATTTCAGCTTCTCAACTCCGTTCCTGACCTTCAAGACCCATATCTGTCTAACCGAGCCCTTTTACTCGACAAAATCCTTGACGAGGCATACAGAGCAGGTGACAAGGTCTTGGTCTTCACTCACAGTATTCCTACCTTGGATTTTCTGGCGAAACAGATGGACAAAGCGAATCGAAGTTATTGTCGCCTGGACGGACGGACACCAGTCGCCGCACGACAAGAGGCCACGCAGAAATTTAACCAGAGCGATAAGCATCAAATCTATTTGATCTCGACCCGTGCTGGTGGCCTTGGGCTGAACATATATGGGGCAAACCGTGTGGTAATTTTCGATTTTGCCTTCACCCCAGTATGGGAGCAACAAGCCATCGGACGTGCATATCGTCTTGGACAGAAAAAGTGCGTCTTTGTCTACCGCTTCCTTTCAAGTGGAACGTTTGAGGAGGTTGTGTGGAACAGGTCGCGCTTCAAAACCCAACTTGCTACTCGGGTCGTGGACCAGAAAAACATGGTGCGCGATTCCTCTAGTAACGCGGCCGTGTACATGTTCCCAGTGAAGGAAAACCAGCGCCAAGACTTTTCTTCCATGTTCGGAAAAGACCCAAATATTCTGGACAAAATTATCACCAGCAGCCTGAGCGAGGCAATCTTGGATATCTCCCTGACTGATTATCTGGACGATGAGAACGACCGTCTCACTGAAGAGGAACGCCAAAGCGTGGCGAACGAACTAGAAAGGGAACAAATCAGGCGAAACGACCCAGATGAGTACAAGAGACGGCAACAGGCAGCAGCCATAGCGGAGCAACAAAGACATCAGGCGGCGCTGGCACACGAGAAACTGCAGCGGCAGAAGCAGTATCTGCAAACTCTTCAGCAGAACCGAGCTCAGACAATGGCAGTTCTAACTAACCATTGCGGAGATGACCCTAGCCAGCAGATCGTCAGACAAGATGCTCAGCGACAATTGGCCATCATCGCCTATCAACAGAAACAACTCATGGAGCGTGGCCTGATGCTGACGATGCCGCAGGCACTACAGATAATGCAGACGGCTCAGCCCATGCAACAACATCTGCCATCCGCTCACTCTCCTGTTGTTCTTTCCAGTGGACACAGCGTTGGCCCACCTCCCCTGGGTCCAGATCAAGCAGTGGGTGGCCCGATCTCGCCGTCTGAATTCCTTGGTCACCATTCGCCGTCTCCGCTGCGGCCCGATGCAAGTCTGATTTCTCAAAATCCATCCCAAGTGTACCCTGGGCTCGAATCACCCGCCACAATGGCACAGACAGTATCCCGGCCCGCTTCTCAGAATCCCTACCAGCTGCAAGCCGGCGCCCACCCTCTGCCCCCGCGGCCTGCAGGCGTCAGCCAGATCCGACAGGGCCCACCGCCCGCCTTGGCTAAGAATCCAAATCCCACCCAGTCCGAACAGCGACCCTTCGCCCGTCATGGGAGTGACGCATCGGTTCAATCGGCACCGATGGAGATGAGTGACGAGGAAGGTCAGACCACTAAATGACTCTTTTCATCTTCTTGCGTTTTTAAAGCTGCATTTACGGCTTCGATGACCTCCCATACCCTTTGCTTTTCTTTCTTTCTTTTTTGCTTTGATTTCAAGATGATACCCCTTTACGACTGTATGATTAGATGTCTTCCTCTTTCCCCCCTGCATTTCTGCTTGTCAATTCGCAGGATCTTGCCTGTGGATAGATCCAGATTCTTCATTATCACTAATACCAATGAATGTATGGTGTATGTGTGGTTCTTTAGTAGCATGCAAGTGTGACCGTAGTATAGAATTCTTGCTGGGGATCAAAGAGATAGGTGACAATTGCAGCAAAGTAGACTTGGATTTGGACACAGTAATGGGCAGTAAAATCAACAAGTGAATCTAATCATACAAATCAAATGGAAATGCAGAGATATCCGGTGGAAACAAAGTATCAGGATGCAACAAAGAAGGTAATAAGACATGTGCATAGAAATGCAAACGGAACCACATCACAGAAATCAACTCCCCATCAAATATACACCATAAAAAGTCAACCCAGCAAACTCTCAAGATCCGCAACCCGAGTAGCTCGATCCTCAGGCCTTCTCTTCCCCGTCTCCCGGAAAGCAGCCAGCATGAGACTGCGCTTCCGTTCCTGGACATCCAGCACACGCTCCTCAACGGAGTCCTCCATGACAAGACGCCAGACGGTAGTTTCACGCTTCTGTCCAAGGCGGTAGACACGATCCACGGCTTGGTCTTCAATGGCAGGCGCCCACCAGCTGTCGGCCAAGATGGCCTGGTTGGCTGCGACTAGATTCAGGCCGACGCTGCAGACGCTCAGACTGGCGAGGAGCACGGTGCAAGAAGGGTCGTTGGAGAATACCTCTGTAGAGTTGTCGCGTTTCACGGATGTCATCTTGCCGTCGATGCGGGCGAATTTGATGCCGCGTTGCTCGAGATGAGGCTCGACGAGGTCAAGGAATGAGGTCCACTGGCTGAAGACCACGCTCTTGGTACCGGGTGCCTGGCCCTGGGCCGTCAGAATCTTGACGAGGGCTTCGATCTTACTGCTGGGGTTGTTGGGGTCGGCGACAACTTCGTTGGTATCTTCGCCGAGTTCGACAGGGGAAACCAGAGTGGAAGTGTCGTTGATATCGGCACGGCAGAGCGGACACTTCCGTTGCCGATCGATAACTTGTTCAATGCACCCTCGGCAGTACGAATGGGCGCAAGCTGTGATCACCGGCTGCTCAAGATTGTCGAGGCAGATGGCACACACTTCCTGGCACTCGATCTGAAGTTGCAGCATGGCTTGGAGAGCCTTGACGTTTTCTGGGGTCAGAGGAATAACTTTGTGTTCGTCAAGCGTGTCAATGAGCTTATCAATCCGGTTCTTGCAGAGGGCCCAGTGATTGCAAACTTGACGCAGCCGGAGAATAACCTCAAGAAGATGAGAGTACTTCCCTTCCTTGTCCTTGAACTCCAGAAGAGCGCCTTTCGCCTCTTCCCTGAGATTGAAGTTAGCATGCAACATTCCCATAGGCAGAAAAGAGGCTTGTAAGACGTACTGGAGTGCGTTGTATTTCTCTTGTTCATGAGCCTGGAATTTGACGCGAAGGACCCGAGATGTCATCTCGGGAAGGCGCAAATTGATGAAATTCATGTCCTTTCTTCGCCGCAGGCAAATAGTGCCCATCAGAGCCTCGAGAAGCAGCCGAGCTTCGGGTTCTCCGGCTGTAAGAGGGCGAATCAGGACGCTATTGAATACTGCCATGTCTTCCAAACCACCGGTAAGACCGAGGAACCGCACCTGTGAGTACAGGTCCTTGAGTGTGTTAATGATCGGTGTGCCAGTCAGTGTCCAGCGCGAGTCTGCGCGCAAGCCGCAAGCAGCGAGAGCACCCTGCGACCGAGGGTTACGAATAGTGTGGCCTTCATCGAGCACCACACGACGCCAGTGGACGGAAAAGATGCTCTCTTTGGGCAATGTCTTCGAGTTCAATCTAAATTCCGTAACAAGAGCACCGTAGCTTGTAACCACAACATCGTACTGGCTCAACTTCGCGGCCTCCTTTTTGCCAGAGCCATGGTAGATCAAAACACGGGGAGCGGTTTCACTGCGGGTGTGATCTTGGATTTGGTTTCTCCAATTGCTCATGACACCGACCGGGGTGATGATCAAAGTAGTTTTGCACGAATGGGAAGTCCGAGGCTGAGGATTGGCAAGAATCAATGAGATAATCTGGATAGTCTTGCCCAACCCCATATCATCAGCCAGGATACCACCGCTCGCAAAGGGGGGTGGAGTGGATGTGGAGTAGTTGGTTGCGACATTGGTGAACATATTCCCATTCCGCTTCCAGAGCTGCACGATATCTTCAGAATTAGCTGCCGGAAGATTCGGAGACTCCTTATTGATCATCCAGGCGAGGCCTTGGCGCTGATATGGCAGTAGCTGAGTGGCCAGACTAGCCGGCGTATCGGCCATGGGCAGCTTCTCCAACTCGGATTCCTTCTGACCAAAGTTCTCCACCACCTTACCCACATCTCTTGGGTTGAAACTGCTACTCTGGCTGAGAAGTTCTTCCAGGCTCTCGCCGTCTTCGCCATTACCGGTTGGAGTGGAGAGGTTGGAAAACATGGGGTTATCTGAAGCCTGCCATTGTGCTGCAGCTTTACCCAGAGCCATAGCACGGGCCTTCTTCTCGGCATCTTTCCGCTCTTTTTCGAGCTGTTTTTCCCGCTGGCGTTCTTCGCGCTCTCTGCCGTTGATATCAGTCAGAGGAAGTCTATCCACTTTCATTCGGGCTTTGAGCCCAGCTCGTTGAACTGGATCATTGGTTCCAAAGAGTTTCAACGCAATCGGGCAATCATATACACCGATATGGCCTGTTAATACACCTTCGATCAGAAGATCCCTGGCATCCTACGAAAGACAAGTCAGCCATTATCAAAGTCATAGTTATAGGATCATCATGCCATGTATTTGGCCAGCTTTGCTGCTATAGTCTTCGGAATGTGACCGATCTGCATGCCCATGACGTTGTCTACCCGAATGGCATTGCGGTCGTATGGATTAGTAGGCTCCCGCTTGAGCGTGACATGCTCTCCTGGGTTGGCATATCCGTTGTAGAAACGGACCCCGACAATCTTTGCATTCAGAAGGCCTGCCATCACGGTTAGTCTGCAAATATGTGACGTCAGAGGAGCGAGGTACCGTAGAGAACGAAGCTGGCAAGCGAGGATTCATCAACATCTTGGCTGCTTTGGACCAGGTCTGCGGCTTGAGCATCCTCCTCGTCCGCACCCGTGACCTGCGACAGCTGGTTCAGGGGGATATAATCTGCGCTTTCCCCGAATCGCTGCGCGGTGCTGATGCTCTGCGGGTCCAACAAAGATGAGCCCGTGCGGCGGGCTTTGGACGTATGAGGTTCAGATGCATCATCGGAGTCGCCTGTCAGATCCAGCACGTCGGACTGGCGCTTTCCAGCGTAGACGGTCATCTTGCCGTTGGAGAGTACATGAGAAGGGAAAAGGAAAGTCCAAGAAAGGTGCTTGGATCGGGCCTAGCGCCAGGGGAACGGCGCGTGGAGGACACGCTTGCACGTGACATTTTAGTCAGTAGTGATGCGTCACTTTTCGCTGTATTTTGTGGACTGAGACTTGACAGGAACGAAAAGCAAAAGAGATCCAAGTACTTTAGGTCTCGACCCTCGTGGCTTTTTCAGCTCTGGTCGTCACCCCCAGTCCCCCAAGCCCGAAGACCCCGGCCGGGGCGCGGCCTGTCTTAGCGCGTCCGAGCGCGCCGCTGCCACATGGCCGGTCCCCAGGGACCCTACTGGGAGATCGTCCAGGACTATGAACACAAGCTCGATGCCTTACTCGAAAAGGGCATTTACAAACCAGTTTTTCTTTACCATGCAGTCCTCTTCAATATCCTGCCGTGGGCCGGCTTGGTCATTCCCCGCCGCATCCAGTATGCTCGGCCGTTGATCTTTGCGCTCTGTCTCGCTCTAGCGGCGGACATCTTCAGCAGCCGTCGAGCCTTGCTCGGGGCTAATGGATATATGATTGGACTGATGACCGCGTGGTGGCTCGTGTGGAGTACTACGCTCTTTGTGTTTAGCGACCTCGAACATGATTTCCAGCGGATTGAACGATGGTCTGTGGCAGACGGCCAGTCTCTTGGCAGCACCGAGTGTGTGTCACTGACGAAGGTCGACAGCAATCCGGAAGATGAGCAAGACTGTTTGCTCCTTGAGAAAGAGGAGTATGCTCATGACCAAAGCAATGGAGGTGCCGTTGTCAGGCAGACTTCCCAAGATCCCAACGCCACAGCGATTGCAGCATCCGCACGACAAATTGACCATTTTCATTGGCAGTCCTACCCCCGGAATCCGGGACATCGCATCGAGTGGTGCGCCGGCCTCCTGTTCAATCTCCGGGGACCCGAATGGAATTGGCGAGCGCCCCATCTAGGACCTCTCCCTCGATCCGTGCATGCCCAACTCCATCCGGGATTCGGCTCAAGCAGACTGAAAGCATCGGACGACACCACGTATACAACCGCCAAACAACGCCTCCAAAATGCCTTTCTCACCTGCCTGAAAGCATACATCTTGCTAGACATCCTCAAGGTCCTAATGATGCGCGATCCCTACTTCCGAGGCACAGCTCCTCCGGACTCCCCGCCGCCATTCCCATTCCACCACTTCGCTCTACATCCTCTCCTCACGCGTTTCTATCACCTAGCGTTTAGCTGCACTGGTGTCTTCGTTGCGCTCAACTTTGTGACCTCCTTCAACCCGCTTATCTTCCTGGGCTTGTCACTCGCATTCCCCAATGCATCCCAAGCTCTAACAGCTGCTCCGCTCGATGCCCCCTGGCTCTACGGCGATACCTTCGGGCCCTTTCTCTCCCCAATTCTCGACCACGGCCTTGCAGGCTGCTGGGGTCGATGGTGGCATCAGCTCTTCCGCCACGGATTTACCGCAACAGCCAACTGGGTCATCTCTCACCTCCCAGAACACTGGGCTTCACACGTGCAGATCCGACGTATAACGCATGTTGTAGTGGCGTTCTCGCTCAGCGGCTTCGTGCATGCTTGCGGAAGCTACACTCAGCTGACCGACACGCGTCCCCTTGCGGGCCCGATGTTGTTCTTCTGCATGCAGAGTGTCGCTGTCATGGCGGAGTATGTGTTCAAGACATCTATCCTCCCGAAACTGCCTCTTCATGCCGCGCCGCGCTCATTGAAGCGCGCGGCAAATGCAACCTTTGTTTTCTGCTGGCTGTTCTTCTCGGGCGCTTTCATTGCGGATGATTTTGCGAGGGGTGGTCTATGGTTGATGGAGCCGGTTCCTGTCAGTCCGCTTCGCGGGTTGGGGCTCGCAAACGGAGAGGGTTGGTGGTGTTGGGGGAGGCCTTGGTTTCGGTATTGGAGTGATGGGTCCTACTGGGGAAGTGGTGTGCGAGTGATATAACCCACACAGACACAGAGTATTGTTTCAGATTATACGGAAAATAAAAGAGTTTTTGGTATCATTGTCTGTCTATTCTTACATGATGTTTCACCCCAACATGGGGACATCGTCATCTTCGTCCTCCGAGTCAGTGTCGGGCTCGATATTCAATGTGGGCAGCTCTTCGTCACTGTCATCGACAGGTAGTGATGCCGCTGAAGCAGATGCAGACGTTTGGAGAGTGGATGGAGGTTGTGATTGCGCAATCGGCATATCAAATCGGGTGCCAGTGGTCACGGGCGTGGGAGCAGGCACTGCCTGTGAGACCGAAGTGACAGGCACTTCAGTCACAGGTGTTTTCCCTCCTTTTGGAAGACTTTCTCCGAACCTTGCTTTCTTGGGTTGCACATCGGTCTTCTCCGATGGCTTAGAGGAGCTGGCGGTCTGGATGGTGGCTTCTTCAGCGTATGCCCGCTTGTGCAACGATTTCGAGGCATCTGCCACGGTGGAGGACTCCAATGCCGGGCCGGGGGGAAGTACAGGCGCAGGCTGTCGAAGGAAGTCGGCAGTTTTAGGGGCGGCATCGTACATCTCCTCCGGCATGTCCTCATCCTCATCCTCATCTTCAGCATCAGCCTGGGCGTCGAGCTCAGGTGCAGTCATCAACACCGGCATTCTCGGCCGAACCAAGGCCTCCACCTCCATCCGATCGGCGTAGCCCCGAACCAGGAACGGCATGATACTTGTTCCTGCGCCGCGGCCCTTGACGACCGGGACGGGGTTGAGAACGCTAGCAAGCATGGCGTTCTTGTCCGCAGTTAAAATGATCGTGCGGTCGATCTCGGCCCGCAGCGAGGGAGTAAGGAGTTCAGCGGGTACAGAGACAAGCACGGTCTGCAAGAGTCTAGATGCTGCTTGTCGGAGTTCAGGGAATCGTGAAGACAATTGCGCAGCGCGGGCTTTTTGTAGTTCGGGATTCAAAAATGAGTCCGCGTTTGCTGTAACTTGGCCCGTCTTCGACTTTGACTTTGAATCAGACTGTGCGTTTTGAGGCGGGGAGGATTCTTCAGTCGAACACGAGACGTCAAGACAGCAAGCGCGAAGGACATTTGCGAGAGAATTCACGTTCTGCTTCGTCATTGCTGGGCCATTCACAGAGACCAAGGAGTGCAGTACGTCGTATATAGCAGAGCGAATATCCCGGCTAAACTTTTCGTTGCGAAAGACCCATGTTGCCTGATCCAAAATGGCCTGCATCACGGGAGTGGTGCTGCTTTCTAGCAGATTGATCACATTGCGCATCAGATCCATACATGTAGTATGAATGCGAGGAAGCTCAACCCACAGCATTTCCCGCTCATCACGGCTAATCTGTGGGTTGATTTGGATGCTGCTCTGCGCGGGATCTGAGGTCTCTGGTGGCACAGTCACAGAGGTAAGCCGCGAGGTCAAATCGAGGATGGATCCCAGTGGAATAGGAATGGCAGATGTGGAGGGCATCGAGATGAAGTCTGACAGAAGTCCCAGGAGCGTAATTAATCTGTCAGCGCCTGCGTGCATTCCCCTCCATCCTGGAAGCCCCAACAAGTCTGGTTCCGGGTCACCAATGTCCTGGCTGTAGTTCAGCCGAGTTGCAATCAACGTCGTGTCAACGGACTCCCATTGCTCAACCACTGCCCGGAAGAGGTGATCAGCAGTCCGATGAATAGATCTAAGAGTCAACTTGCAATCCTCATTCCAGCCCGCGTCCGATTTATCCTTCGGGGCGCATTTGTGCAGAGACGCGAAAAGGTGCTCTGCCGCATCGACCACATCCTCTGGGAAATAGGCCGGCGGCGAGGATCCAATAATCTCCACCAGTAATGATCGCAGTTGAGGGATAAAGGGGCGGAAGATTGTTGGGTGTCTGCTAATCAATTCCAGCAGAGCGTGCAGGACCGTCTCCATAAATGGGCTGTTTGGCTTCGATTTTCTGCTCGATCCGGACGGTCCTTTCGTCAAGACAGAAACCAAATTCAAAGCGGCAGTGATGAATCCCGGTAGGTGTGGGGTGGTGATCTCTCGTACAAGAGTTGGGTACTGGTAAGTGAGGTGGAAAATGCGAGTCAAGGTGATGATGCACATCTTCCTCGTCGAGATGGGGTCCGGTTTCTACAAGCCAGATCTGTTAGTACACTTCCACTTTCCATAAGGATTGCAACTGCATACCGCCAGTATTCCAATCAAATTGCGAACGATCGGTTCGTATCCCCGGAGAATTTCCCATTGGCCCGCCTCCACCGCGGCCTTGACCAGCACCACCGCAGTCCATCTGGCTTCGACGCTGCGATCCTGCAGCAAGCTCGCCAGTCGAGTCTTCAGCTTATGAACTTGCACGGCATGGTCCGAGTCGGATTTGCCCGGTTTCTGAGTCTGCGGCGCAGAAAGAAGCTCGGCACAGTCGCTCAACGAAGTCGCCAGGAACGAGGCGATTGGGGGTAATTGTTCGACAGGAGTCGTGGTCAGACGATGCGTGACTGCGCGCAGTGCAGTCGTAGTCATTTTGGGCCCGACACAGCTCGAGCGTGGGCGTAATTGAGTTGGAAAGAAAAAAAGAAGAAGTAAAAAAAGATGAGAAGCTCGGGCCACTGAAGTGGATTTGAGGGCGGTAAACTATGGGCTTAGTCATGTTGATCATGTTTACGCAGTGCATTCACTCCTTCATCTCTATCTTCTCTTTCCCTGCATTATTAGGCCCGGACGTGCCTCCTTGAGGGACAAATACAACTAAGCGGTCTCGGTCCTACTCAACACCCTAAACTCGGAGCCAAAGCTCACTTACCCAAGTGATGACCTCACGAAACTGCGAGTTACTCTGGGATCGTTCGATCCTAATGACCAAGATTTCCTTGAGTCAAAGACCTGTCGCTTTACCCCTACGTCCTTGGAAGAGATTAAGGAGCTCTCTCTAGACCTTTTTGAATATCCTTCAGCCACTCACTACTTGTGCGACCAATATGACGAACTATACCAATGTCCTACGGGTGAGACAGACTCTCTACCTTCCCTCATCAAGAGAGACAACGCAGAACACGTCTTCCGCTACCTGAGGAGACACTACGAGAGTTCGTCAAAGAATATAACGCTCTTATCTCCTAGATCGTTCAATGATGTTCACGCATTTTTCGCCTTGTACCAGTGATCCGAAAGCGAGTAGGTCAGCAGAGGTTTGCGAAGACTTCGCTTTTTAAAGTATAGTACCAGTAGAATTACTGGGCTCTCGCATGTATGCTATCCCGATATTATATTATATCTATATAGTTTCAATTTCTGCCGTCCTCGTAGTACTCATACTGTGTTGGATCCATCACGTGAAAGTCGTAGCCTCGGAGCCGATAGTGCCTGACCGCCCGCTCGTGACCCCCCTGGATCGGCGCGCCCTGGTGCTTGTGCGGAACGCCTCTTAAGCAATGGCTGTCTCCTTTCTGCCGTCATCCAGACTTCTCCCCTGAACCATGGCGGTATGATACCCCTTGTTACTCTTTACTGCTCGCTCCATTTTTGACCGTTCGAGGGACCCTATTTCCGCAGCCGGCTGACACTCGTACGACCAGGGAGGCAATGTTGAGAAAGGCAATCGCTACATTGCGGCCTTGGAGCTGGCGCGCAGCCAGGGAAAATGGGACGAAGTCCCCGAATTGATTCGAAAAGTGACAAAGCATGCTGCTCAGCGAATTTGTATGCCGACGCCCAGTGTCAACAAAGAAACGCAATCAAACTAATCAGCAATAGGTGTGATCCAGACCGCAACGGCGGAATCGCGAGTGATCGTGTATTTGCAACACAAGGCTGGTGCCGAAACCACTAAGCCCTCTCCGAACCTCCTCGAGCTGATTCCAGCGCTGTTGACAACCATCGGAAACAACGACGGGAGCCCGCAAGAGATCCTACAAGCGCAGGTCTGTTTGGGATGGATCCATTGGGCGTTGAACGAACCGGCATTGGCCGCGGCGCGTCTCCCCAAGGACTTTGCGGCGACAGTCTCCAGCCTCACCAGCGAAGGCAACGCTCTAACCCCCTGGACGGAGGTGTGTCTGGTGAAGGGATGTTATATCAAGGGTATGCCAGTTCCAAGATATGCTGGAAAATTGCATCTGACATCGACGCAGCAACTGCCCAGTCGACTGTGGGAGGAATCGACGAGACCCTAGATACATTCGCCTCTCTCGAACCGTGGCTTAGTAGTGGGAAGCAGGCATCAGTCGCCAATGCACAGTTCCAGAATTGGTCCGAAAACCTTCTCGGGAAAGGCGCTCTGATGGCAAGCAAGGAGGCTAGCAAAAACTCACCATACTCAAACCCCAGGCATGTGGAAATTGCGCTGCGGCTATTCCGGCAGTGGGCTGTCCATCCGGCGGTCAAACAGGAATTTGCCATGCAAAAGTCGACCGCCTCAGATCTTTCCACCCCGATTTCGAGAACATCACTATGGAACTCTTACTATGGGTTTCTGACAACAGTCCTCCAGGATAATCTGACATATCCTCCTCCCTCTGCCGACGGGCCAGGACGCCCCCAACAAGCTGCCGAGCTGCGTCGTATAGAAACAATCTGCGAGAGCAACTTGCTCCGTGAGGTGAAGTTCCCGACGGCCAGTTCCGGAAACTCGCAGGTGGAAGAATGGGTTGAGCGCGTTATCAGCAACTGGGAGATTATCTGCGGGCCGCATTGGCAAGATGACGATCTTGGAGAAGGGGGTCAGAATGCGGCAAGCCGCAATGTACTAGAAGTGAGTATCTGATGACGAGATTCGCGTCTTCTCTTCTTTGCTGACATGGCTTCTTAGATGCTGTACCGTGCGGCCACCAAGACTTACCACTCCCATCTGATCCTTCGACGGCTGTTTCACGTTCACGCTGCCTTAGCAGATTTTGATCTTGCCATCCAGGCTTTCGACTCTTATATTGAAATCGTTACCGGGGCCAAGGACCGAGCAGAAAAATCCGCGGAGTATGGAGAGCTGGAGAGAGACGAGATCTTCCTGCAAACTCTTTCAGAGGGTGTTATGCTCTTGAGCTGCCTTGGGTCGTTCGAAGAAGCCGAAAAGGCCAAAAATATAACGGCGCTGATTCGAGAGTATATTAGCAAGCACGTCACGGATCAGGCCAATGGCGAGGCCAACGGTAAATTAATGCTCTCAGACGACCCGGATTCGCCCAGAGCACCAGATGTTTCTCTCTTTGTGCTTGCCACCGCCTACAGAGCAGTCGGTGTCGGTCTTGCCAACTGGGCCAGCTGGACGCCGATGAACGAGTCCAGGGACGATATCCGAGCAGAGGCGATTGAGTTTCTGGAGAAAAGTATTTCCCCAGATCTGGGGAACGCCTTGAACAATTCCTCTATTTACACGCTTGCCCTTGTTTTGGCCGAGAACAGAGATATTGATAGCGCGATTGACTATGTCAAATCCGCGTTGTCCTCAGAAACCTCGTCTAATGTGCCAACGCAAGGTCTTCACAAGGAGCGTGACCTGGTTTCTCTGTGGCATTTACTTGCACTCCTGCTAAGTGCCAAGCATGAATTCGATATTGCTGAGCATTCATGTGAAGCCGCATTCGAGCAATTTCCCCGGGAAGTCTTTTCGACGCACCAACGTGAAAGACGGAATTCAAGGCATTCGCATCATGCTAAGGATTCCACTGGGCGCTCTGTGATCAGCCAATTGCAAGGCCGAGAGAAAGAGCGCATCATTCAGACCCGTATCACACAGCTCGCATTCGTTGAGATTCTCGAGGGTCCAGAGGCAGCTGTCAATCAGAGCGAGCAGTTGCTCAGTCTTTTTGGCTCTTTGTTCCATGATCTGAATCTTGAGGTCGAAGAAAGCAAGACTGGCAAGCAAGAACATTTGATTCCACCCAAGACTTCAGGCACGACAAGAAGCTTCCGAGGGAGCATCTTCCATCGAAACCGAGCATCCCAGATGCCAGATCGACGAACCGATCGCTCTGCAAGTCCAACCGTGCCACCGATCCCCACGGCCCCGAACGGCCAAACTAACGGCACAGAGGCGCCTTCAATTCAGGTCACAGATGAAGATCGCCACAACCGTCATGAGCGTTCTGCTCTGGGGCGCTCAGATTCAAAGAAATTGCGGAAGCGCAGCCTTAGTGCCCAGAGGAACGAAAGGCCACGGACTTCAGAGCCACCACTTCCCAACGGGGCAAGCGACTCTCTTGATATGGTTGGCATCGCAGTGTCGGGGAATACAACACCTGTGTCAGCAACTCACTCCCCGGTTGCCAAACAACCATTGCGTCCTATTGGTCATAATTTCAGTCACACGCAACAACCAGCTCCAGTCGGCCATGAGAAGCAACCTCCAGAGCAGGATGTGCGGCTTTCAGTCTCCCACCGGTTCAATTCGCCGACTAATGCCATTACTAAATTTTCTATGGTTCAAAGCCAGAAGTACGCTCTCGGCCTTCTGGTCAATATCTGGCTGATTATCGCCGGTCTCTATCGTCGGGCATCTCTCTTCGATGATGCTCGTGAGGCATGCGAAGAGGCTTCCAAACAAGCCGGGCGAGTCGAGACACTTGTCGCGTCACAGGAGTCTTCGGCTCGATCTTTCAACAAACGCGGCTGGGGTGCCGCAAAGAGCTCCGAGGAGCTTTGGGCCGACGTCTACGCCGAACAGGGTCTCTTGGCACAGGCTCAGTCCAAGCCGCGGGAGGCAATCAAGCATTTTGAAGAAGCGCTCCTCCGCAATCCCAACCATCCGACGGCAACTATCGCGCTTGCGAACCTCCTCCTGGACATATGGGACCAGACGATGTCTCCGGAGCCTGTCAACGAAGACGCCGATATCAACCTGTCCCGTCTGTCATTGCTCGCGGATACTCCTAAGCCCAAGAGCGCGAAAGCCATCTCAATCGACGAGCTTAAAGCAATCGATACGGTGCAAGATCCTCCACCCGCCAACGCTGCCTCCTCCGCCCACGACGTCGACCCCAAGCTCCTGCACCGTCTGGCCGCTCGGGATCGGGCATATGGCCTGCTCTCGTCCCTGACCAAGCTCGGCAGCTCGTGGGACAACTCCGAGGCGTGGTATGCGCTATCACGGGCCTACGAGGCCGGCGACCAGATCGACAAATTGAAGTCGGTTCTCTGGTGGTGCATTGAGCTCGAAGATCGGCGCCCTATTCGGCATTGGTCGAACATTGGATCTGGTCTGTATGTGCTCTAAGGTCGGAAGGGAACCAAAACAAAGGAAAAGCAATTTCTTCCGTCTTTCTTGTATCTATCTAAATGCTTTGCCACTTTTTGGCAATTGTTGTCTTCTTCAACAACTATGATACCTCGTTCATACCCTGTGAATTATTATTTCTTGGAAAACTCTGGAATGAAAACGCAATAATTTTGGAGATATGGTTCTCTTTTTTTCTAATCAATGGAACAGTACTCGGTCGCACATTGCTTATGTACAGTTCTCCAGAATGGATGATGTTCGGAGAGGATAAAAGGAGAGAGCGGGCAAAAGCACAGAAAGTCGGGTTCATTCAGCTACTCATTTACCGCGGAGCAGCAGTCGGAGTCCAGGCAGCGTACTTGGGCCGGGTGCTGTGAGTTATCTATTAGTTTAGGTCTGCACACAAGTTGGTGGTAAGACTCACGTCGAGTAGGTCTTGAAAGCAGTCCGGGCGAGGGTCAGGTTGGGCCGATGCTCCGGCAGCTCCCAAGGGCGAACACCGGTCTGGAGAACCTTGTCGACAGTCGGGGGCGAGTCAACCATGTAGGAAATCCAGGCATGCCTATATTTCTCTGTCAGTTGTGGGTGTGAGGTCGGTATTGCTTTTCCAGCTTACCACCCAGGCTCAATGTGAGAAGCATCGAATTCGGCCTCCTTGTAATCGACCCATCGTGTCCGGACTAGTCGGAAGTCAATATTCCCCTCCTGCGCTGTCACTGCTTGGCTTGCTTACGGGGCAGCTCCTCCTCCATGTTCTCGTAGAATTTGTTTCCGAAGCGGTCGACTCCGATCAGGGTTCCGGCTTTGGTGTCGCCTGCAATCGCCAGGTTAGTAAGGAATTGCACGACGGCATCAAACAACATACCAATGTACTACAAAGCAGCAACAGAAAACAGCTAGTTAGTCCCATGGCCAAGCCATTGGTCCCGTCGGTCGAGGAGTCGCGAGCGTACCTGCATCTGGTGGCCGTATTCCTGCACGGGAGTTAGCGAGGGATCTTGACCCACAATGACGCAGCACAAACCTTCAGTCCAATCCGGCGCAGATTGCGCAGCGTCCTCAGGATCGTCGACATCGCGGCAATGGAGGTGCGAAGTTGAAAGTCGTTACGAATTGAAGTCGCAGGAGGTTTACTTAGTCATGGTCATATGATTTGCTGACTAACGTCACGGCCACATGGTTGGCGTTTGCATTGTTTGCACTTCATTTTCCCAATTCAGCACGAGAGCGACAGTCAGGTTTCTTTGCTCCGTGCTGCATTTCCACCATGCTCGGTCGCATTGGGGGCCAGACGCTTCGCTGCGCCATCAGAAGACCAGTTTCTCGTCGTCTATGCGATCGCAAGTGCTTTGCGTCCAGCGCCAATGGTTCTGCGACTGCGCCATCCACATCCTCGCCGCTGGGGGCCATCACCGTCGAACTCGATCGTGTTGCGCCGCGATTTGAGGTCCCAGCATCTCAAATTACGATCTTGGATTCTCCGGCCAATTTCTATACAGCTCTGAAGGTACATGGCGCTATTCTCTGGCCATGCTGTGCACCAGCTAACTTGCGACTCCGTAGAACAAAATTCGCAACGCCCGTCGCCGCATCTATCTCTCGACATTGTACATTGGCAAGACTGAATACGAACTTATTGAGACCATCAATCAAGCCCTGCGCGACAACCCGAAGCTCAAAGTATCCATCCTGACCGATGCGCTGCGAGGCACTCGCGAGACGCCAAATCCGTCGTGCGCTTCTCTTCTCTGTTCGCTTGTCGCAGAACATGGGCCGGAACGAGTTGATATTCGAATGTTTCACACGCCAAATCTTACAGGACTGAGAAAGAAGTGGATTCCTCGGAGGATTAATGAGGGATGGGGTTTGCAGCACATGAAATTATATGGTATTGACGATGAGATCATTCTTTCGGGGTACGTTGTTGCGCTCTGGATGCTGTCCGGGCCGCGCGATGCTAACTTTTCCTCCCCAATTCAGAGCGAACTTGTCCCAGGACTACTTCACAAACCGTTTGGATCGATACCATGTGTTCAATTCCAAGGCGTTGACGGACTACTACGCCGACATCCATCATGCGGTCTGCAACCTGAGCTTCAAGGTCTTGCCGGACCCTCACAACCATTCAGGCTATCTTTTGGATTGGCCTACCTCTAATGGAGCACCATCGCCGCTCAACAGCCCTGAGGATTTCATTGCATATGCATCCACGGTGCTCAATCCACTCATCCAACCATCCGAGCAAAAACCAGCCCTTCCATCCTCATCAAGTCAGACATTCGTATACCCCGTCTCACAGTTCACTCCACTCTTGAAACCCGACACCTCCACCGAATATCCAGCCGTCACCAGCGTCCTGCGCCTGCTGTCCGAATCTTCAACATTCACAGGCGCCCGGTGGCTTTTCACAGCCGGCTACTTTAACATCCACCCCGTTCTCTCCTCCCTCCTTATCTCCAGCACATCTACCAGCTCGGATGCCGCATCCACCACCCAGGGAACAGTCCTAACCGCCTCGCCTTGGGCCAATGGATTCTATGGCTCCCCAGGCATATCCGGCATGCTCCCCGCGGCTTACACGCATCTTTCAGCTCGCTTCCTCGACCGCGTCGCCGAGGCCCAGCGCACAAACTCCATCCAGTTGAAGGAATGGCGCCGCGGCACAGTCGGCACGCCAGACGGATGGACCTACCATGCCAAGGGTCTATGGATCACCCTCCCGCGCGAGGAGCATCCCAGTCTCACGTTCGTCGGGAGCAGCAACTATACCAAGCGCAGCTACAGTCTTGATATTGAGATTGGTGCTTTGGTCGTCACGAATGATCAGGATCTGAAGCGAAAACTTGGTGAGGAGACCGAGTGGCTTCAGAAAGACGCAAAGACTATCTCGCGTGAAGACCTGAGACGCACTGAGCGCCGCGTTGGGTGGAATGTTCGGCTCGCTATGTGGATTGTGGAGAAGGTTGGTGGTGCGCTTTAGCTGTGATGATGCACTTGTATATATAGATGAACAAATTTGGTCAGAGAGAGATTTTTTTTTTTTTGGTAATTATATTTGAGAACTATGCTCCACGCATGTATGAATATGGCCGTCAGCCTCACATCTCCGCAATGGAATCAGATCACGCCATTCGATTTTACATCTGAGTCATATCAACATTTGCTGTCAATACAACTGTACAACACCAATATCTAATTGAGACCTCCAATACCACGAGAAGAAAACATGTCATCCCAAATCTCAATCCATTTCCACACCAAAACATGGTTCGGCTTCGACCTCGACGACACACTCCACGACTTCCGCGCCGCCTCAAGCCAAGCCTCAACGGCCGTGTTTGAAAGAATCCACTCCTTAACAAGTGTAAATATATCCGCTCTCGAAACTACATACACCGAGATCCTACGCACATCCACAGCCAGCGCATTCACCGAAGGACGCTTATCAGCCGAGTATCGGCGCGAGCGGTTCTCTCGTCTCCTGCAGGCCCACGGCGTGGCTCAGGCTGTTAATGTTGAATCTCTGCTGGATACGTATCAGACTTCGCTAAGGAGGCATCTCAAGCTTAAACCTGGAGCACAGTCCCTTCTACGGACGCTGCATGACCAAGGGAAAAAGATCTTGATTGTTACGGAGGGGCCGCAGGATGCGCAGGTGTGGGCGTTGCAGGAGCTAGGGTTGACGCCGTGGGTGGATGTGCTGGTTACGACGAATGAGATGCGGAGGTCCAAGGTTGATGGGTTGTTTCAAGCTGTTTTGGAGAAGCATGCTATTCCTGCATCGGAGATGGTTTATTTTGGGGATAATCTGGCGCGGGATATCGTCCCCGCTAGAGAGCTGGGCATCTCGGCTGTGCTGTTTGACGAGAGGCAGAAGGCGAAGCTGGATGATTTGAGTGATTTGCGGGTTGATTCTTGGGGGAAAGTCCAGGAACTCATAGTAGAATATCGCACAGATCAGGATATATTGTAGGTAACTTTTGGTCTAGCCATCATAGTCAAAAAAGCAAATAGAAAAAAAGCCTAACGCCGAGTCATGTTGGGTTCACGTTCGAAGTCGTATCAATATGCATTTCCATCCACCACCCTATGCTCGTCCGGGCACCCCGCGAGTACTGCCCGACACACGCGCCGGTCCAAGGCCCTGGCGAACCTCGTCGAGCATCCGAATTCCGATTGCCTCATTGCCGTTCTTGCCGCGCTTCGCCTTGGCGCCCTTTCGCTTTGCCTGGGAGCTGGTTTTGTCATCGAACCCAGCCAGGAAGTCATCCATGACGTTGTGGAAGTCGCTGCGTGAGGAGACGACTTCGCCATTCGCGTCGATAAGACTCGGCGCTTGAGATGATGCCATAGACATGCCAGTCATCCCCGTAGCACCGGTCATTCCGCTGACCATGGACATGCTGTCGTCGTACTCCTCATCCTCGTCGAGCGCGTACAGTGCCTCGACGCGGTCAAATCGGTCGTCCAGCAGGCGGTGGCCTTCCGTACGTGCTAGAGCAGACGATGTCATCGAGTAGGCGGAGGGATTGGTCAGTGCGCCCTTACGCTTCTTGCGGCGAATCGGCGTCCCACCGGCTGTGAAGATAGTAGACGCAAGCGTGCGCTGCTCCGAGGGTGCAATGGTTGGCGCGGCCGGTCCAGGGACGTTGCCTGCTTTGGCGTCTTTCTTGAATTTGGCGAACTCCTGCATCCATCCTTGGTCCTGTGGAGGAAGATCCGGGGCTGGATGGTCATGCTCGGGCAGCTCGCCGGGCGCAAGGCTCGCTGGGGTATCATCATCTTCGAGGTGATTTTGGGCTTCTGTCGTATACGCCTGCACGGGTGCCTTCTCGGTGGCATCCGACTCCCACCCGTCGTCCTCTTCATCATGGTCAAACAGTGTGTCCTCCCAATCACCCGCTTCAATCTCCTCAGCATTCGCTGTCAGTTCGCCGAAGATGTCATCATCGTCATCATCCACGTAGGCTTCGTCTTCCAGAGCCTCCAGAGCCTCTCGCAACCGCGGGTCCATATCGGGTTGAAAGCCTGCAATGGCATCGGGAATGTTCTGCTGGTCCTGATATGTCGGTTTCCGGACATACGAAGATGCTGTTGACCGCATGTCACCATATTGGGACCCATACACACTCGGGCCACCGAAAGCGCTCTGTGATTCCTCATCCAAAGAAACCTGTCGCAGGGCATCTTCCAGCTTCATCCCCTTGGCCTTTGCCTTGCCCTTTTCCGCCTTGGCATCGACAAAATACGAATCGCCCCCTCCAGTACCGAGTTCCCGCAAGTGCTTCATGTAGTCATACTTGGAGTCGTCGTAGAAAATGCCATAGTTGGCGGCCTCGCCCTCATTCTGGCGGACGGCATCCGAGCCGAATTCGGATGCTAATTCGGATAAATTGCGCGACGGCTTGCTCGATGCCGTTGATGCGGCTGAGGATGGGGCCGGCGCAGGGCCGGAGACTTGGTGCAGCACGCGGTCATCGGCGTACGGGTTGTGGATCAATGGGTCATTTTGGGACCGGTGGAAGAGCTGGAAGGTGCTCGCGGTTTTCTTGTCACTGTAATTGGGAGTTAGTGGGTCTAATGTTGAGCAGCAGGGTCACTTCACGTACATCCACTGCTTGCGAGGCGGCATGGTGTGTGTGTTGTTGGAGAGTTGTCCGCCGAAGAAAAAAATCCCGTGGAGTGGGGTGAGATAGGGAGTCACGTGCGGCTTATCGTGCTCTGGGTCTTTATAGATCCTTTCTCTTTACAGTGCATAGGAGTCGGTACTGGCCTATCTCTGGCTCATGTCCAAAGGATAATCATATAATATCATTTATGTGTCCATTTTTCTCTATCTCATTCTTCCTTGCTAACTCTACAGTAGAGACTGACGTCCGTCAAAGCCTGCTGAGTCAGCTAGTATCTTATCGCCATGTGACTCAATCTAAAAGAATTTCGCCTTCATCAGGCGGGGCTGCCACGATTTTCTCTGTTCAGCAACAATATTCCTCGACAGCATCCAGCATCATGGTGCTGGCAAAATCCAAAAACAGCGTGGGGCTGGGCAACAGCCTCATGAACGATCGCTTCGGCAAGGGCAAAGCATCCAATCTGAAGAAGGCCTCGCACAACAACGCCATTGCCCGCAAAGGCATCAACGGCGAGACCTACGTCACAAATGAGGCCAAGGAGGCATCATGGGTGAAGATGCGCAGTATCACAGAGCAGGCTGCCCTCGATGAATTCCTGAGCACTGCCGAGCTCGCCGGGACCGACTTCACGGCCGAAAAAATCAATAACGTCAAGATTATCCACACCGACCAGAAGAACCCCTACCTCCTTTCCGCGTCCGAGGAGAAGTCGGCTGTCAAGAAACACCAGAAGAACAAGGGTCGTCTGACCGTTCCCAGGCGGCCGAAGTGGGATTCGTCCACGACCCCGCAGCAGCTGGAGGCAATGGAGCGGGAAAGTCTATTGGATTGGCGGAGAGGGCTGGCAGAGTTGCAGGAGAACCATGATCTGCTGATGACTCCATTCGAGCGCAATCTGGAGGTCTGGCGGCAGTTGTGGCGAGTGATCGAGCGGTCGGATCTGATCGTGCAGATTGTCGATGCGCGCAACCCGCTCCAGTTCCGTTCGGAGGATCTGGAGAGATATGTCAAAGAGATTGATCCACGGAAGAAGAACCTCTTGCTCGTCAACAAGGCAGATATGTTGACCGATAAGCAAAGAGAGGCCTGGGCGGAGTACTTTGAGGCGAACGGCATCAACTTCCGTTTCTTCTCGGCCCATCTTGCCAAGGAGCGGATTGAGGCTGAATTGCAGAAGGAATCTGAGGCGAACAGTGACGATGAAGATCTGGCAGACTCGGCCCAGCAGATGAACCTTCAAGATGAAGAGGACGAGGAGGACAGCGAAGAGGAGGAGGAGGAAGAGGATGAAGAGGACGATGAAGAAGTCAAGGCCAAACTGGCCGACCCTGACCAGTCCTTGGGCGCGCATATTCTGGACGTGGATGAACTGGAAGAACTCTTCCTGGCAAACTCGCCAGACACACTACCGCAGAACAACGAGGAGGGCGAGCAGCCGAAGCAGAAGACGACCATCGGTCTAGTCGGCTACCCTAACGTAGGTAAGTCAAGCACGATCAACGCCCTCCTGGGCGCAAAGAAAGTGTCTGTATCTGCCACCCCTGGCAAGACGAAGCACTTCCAGACTCTCTATCTCTCGCCCGAAATCCTCCTGTGCGATTGTCCCGGTCTGGTGTTCCCCAACTTCGCCACGACCAAGGCCGAGCTAGTCGTCAACGGCGTTCTGCCCATCGACCAGCAGCGCGAGTTCACCGGCCCTGCGGGTCTCGTCGCGAAGCGGATCCCCAAGCACTTCCTGGAGAACGTCTACGGCGTGAAAATTCTTACCCGCCCACTGGAGGAGGGCGGCACCGGCCTTCCAACCGCCAGCGAGGTCCTGCGCGCCTACGCCCGCGCCCGTGGCTTCTCCACCCAAGGCATCGGTCAACCCGACGAGTCCCGCGCAGCTCGCTACGTGCTCAAGGACTACGTGAACGGCAAGCTCCTCTTCGTGCACCCGCCCCCAACCCCAGAAGGCGAGGAACCCATCGACGCGGACGTGTTCAACCAAGAGCTCTACGACATGGCCCACCTGCCCCTAAAACGGCAGGAGATGCTTCTCGCCAAGGCCGCCGCGGACGCCGACGACGAAGACCTGGACTCAGACATTGCGTCTTTCGTGGCAGGACACACCGCCGGCGCCGAGCCGCAGGGCAAGCGCTCCTGCAACATCGACACCGGCTTCTTTGGGACTGAAACCGGCCCGTCGGCCGGCCGTCTCATGCTGCCCTTCCAGGCCCAGTACACAGAGCAGGGCCAGCAGATGCGCAAGCAGCTGACCGGCCGCAAGGAGCGGATGATGGTTGCGCTGGAGCGAGGCGTCGATGTCTCCGAGGTGCGCGGGGCAGGTTCCAAGAAGCATTTCAAGGGGAACAAGCGCCGTGCTAAGGCGACGCGCAAGAAGGCCGAGGATAATGATTATTATTAAAAGTGCTTTCTTATTTTCGTTTGTGGGAGGGGAAACGGGGTAGAGAGGTTTAATAACTCGCGGGCGAGTCGAGTTGACTGCGTTTGATTTGATACCTGATCGGAGGAGGAAGGGGAGGAGGATAAACCAAGTGGGTGCTACATATGGGAATTGCATGTCATGTCATTATCTTCCCGGCGTTTATTTGAGTTGAGCTCTGTTATATGCGACGCATGGATCTGATCTAGTAAACCGAAACGAGAGTATACATTCATTTCTGGGCTAGATAGACCCTTGTATGTACTGAATAAGACTATTTGATATCAAGAAGCGCTCACAGACGGCTCTTAGGCTTGAGGCCGGCAGCGTTCAGGAGGCGATCCCCCTCATCACGTTGCCAGTTCAGCTTCTTGGTGACCGCATCCTTCCGGGAGCGGTTCTCCCGACGACCAAGCTGCTGCAGGTGAACCTCATCGGGCCCATCCGCGATGCGCAGAGTCCGGATCCCAGCCCAGAGGTAGGCAAGCGGCGTATCCTGGCAGACACCGGCGGCGCCGTAAGCCTGAACCGCGCGGTCGATGACGGCAAGCGCGGACTGTGGCGCGAGGACCTTGGCCTGCGCGATCTCCTTGAGCGCAGACTTCGCGTCACCCTGGTCGATCTTGACCGCAGCATTGAGGACAATCAGGCGCGCGGCATCGATCTCAATACGCGACTTGGCGATCCACTCGAGAATCACCCCATGCGCCGACAGTGGCTGGCCAAAGGGCTTCTTGCGCTCGTCGTTCACCCGCGTGATCAGCCACTCGACCGCCTTCTCCGCGGCACCGATCGTCCGCATCGCATGGTGGATGCGTCCGGGGCCAAGTCGGCCCTGGATAATTTCGAACCCGCGGCCCTCGCCCAGCACCATGTTGCCCAAGGGCACGCGCACGTTCTTGAACGTGATGTGTCCGTGGCCGTGCGGCGCGTCGTCGTACCCGTACACCGTCAGCATCCGGTGTACCGTCACTCCCGGCGTGCCGGCGGGGACTAGCACTACCGACTGCTGCTTGTAGGGATCGGGGTTCTTGGAGTCCGTCTTGCCCATGACGAGGTAGATCTTGCAGCGGGGGTCACCGGCGCCGGAGGACCACCATTTCTAGAAGAAGGGAATTAGGGCATGTCGTTGAACAACATAAGCAAGAAAGAAAGACACACCGAGCCATTGAGGACATATTCATTGCCTTCTCGACGAATATCCAACTGGATGTTCGTCGCATCGCTTGAAGCAATGTCGGGCTCCGTCATCAGGAAGGCCGAGCGAATCTTGCCGTCCAGCAGGGGAGCTAGCCACTGCTGCTTCTGGGCATCATTGCCGTATTTGGCAAACACCTCCATGTTACCAGTATCCGGGGCAGCGTTATTAGTAGCCTAAACCATGAAGAGTCAGCAACCCCATTCTATTTGCGAGAACGAGACCATATCAAGCCCACCTCAGAAGCAATCTTGCTCTTGCCCAGCATTTCAGCCATCAGGCCGTACTCGAGGTTACTGAAGCCCGCACCCTGGGAGAAGTGGTTCTTGGGCAGGAACATATTCCACAGACCCAGCTTCTTAGCCTTGGCCTTCAGTTCCTCCAGCACGGCGGGGGTGGTCGTCCAGCGCTTCTCGCCCTCGCCCAGCTGGGCCTGGAAGACCGCTTCTGCGGGGATGCAGTCATTCTCGACGAATTGCTCGACCTGTAAGGATGGAGGGTGGGTTGGTTAGTTGGGGGGCTGGATCTTAACAGAGAGATGATGATGGGTGGGGGGGAGCGCACCAGGTCGAGAGTCTTCTTGGCCCGGTCGCTGACAAAGGGCTGGGCGATAGGAGGAATACGGGTAGAGGCGGCCATGATGGGTAGGTGTATTGTGTGTGATGGGAGAGTAGGAAGAAGCAGAGAGGCAGAAAGTAGTGACTTTTAAGGGTTCTGGCCGAGGATTGCGGAGAAGGCGTGGAGAAGCCGAGAGCGGTCTTTGCCTCGGCTCGACGCTTACTGAGTAGGACTACAGGTTACTACTGTGTAGGCCCTGTTGGATAGCCTAGGTTATAAAGAAAAATAAAATAGTCCAGGTCGGTCGGTCGGTCGTTCTAGATCGTCTTATCATTGCTCTCCAATTTTGCGACACTCAGCGTAGGTCCTGAGATGCCGGGGTGGTACCTCGGTGATGTAGCCGGCATTGTCATCAATCGGTAAAGAAAGTGTTAAAGTCGCACATCATCCAACGAGGTCTCTGGAATTGACCGCCAGGTGGCAACCGGGTTCCCAGTCCGATAGGTTTCTCTTCGGTCCTTCTGTTTATAATCTGTGTAGACACTTTTACAACCCTTCACGAACCGAACTAGACAAAAAAGACCTCGATCAATGCAAGGATATTCCAGTTACAGTGCAGTCTACTAAACACAATTACCCAAGTCCATAGCTAAGCCAGAAAGAACCCCCAAGACACAAAAAATCCCGACACAAATAGACACACAAAACAGGCAGTCATACAAAGGAAAAAGAGAAGGCATTGCAGTCATGACAAGCAAGAATCACAAAAAGAAATGAAGGAAGAGAAAAAGAGTGAGAGAGGAAGACATGAAGGTGTCCGAGGCGTAGACACACTGCAGGCAACAGCCGAGTGCATCTATCCATCCAGTGGCGGACCGGCGCATTCGGAATGAAACGACACGAGAAAGAGAGAGATGCCCGGCAGTCGAAGAGAAGAGAGCACCGACAGACAGAAGAAATGCAAGACATTGACGCGTGTATTCTATTGGGCGGTACGGCCCTCCGTCGCGGTTGAGGTCGAGGCAGACTGCTCGTAACTCTTCTTGCCCAGCTTGGCGAACAGAGACTGTGGCTTGCCGGCACTATTCACGCGAACATGTTAGCATGGAACCACGCTCAAGAACTAAAAAACCAAAAAAAAGATCGAATAACATACTTCTTAAACCGTTTGCCCTTGAGATCACTCAATTTCTTCGTACAGGGACTCATGATATCGTCCGAGGGGGAGACGTAGGCGGTTGGCTGTCTGTATATCAGAGATGGTTAATAAACAAGGCTTTCTTCTTGTTGTCGGTAGGAGAAACTCACTTGTCGGCGCTTTCCAGCTTCCCCTGCAACATCTGCCGGTGGTGGTCCATGGAAGAGAGGTCGCCCTTTTTGTCGGTGGTGGTAGTGGTGCTGGCCAGGTGGGTGTTTGTGGATCGGTCGGCCAGAGGCTGGGATGTTGCAGCGTCCATTTTGGATCGGGATGTGTTTGGGTACGGGTCTGAGTGAAAAGCAGAGAGGATGGGAGCTCAAGGTCAGAGAATGATGAGGAAAGAGGAAAGTTCTGGACCGGATAAGGGTTGTTGGTGTGCGCGTGCTGAGACCCAAACGGGCGATTGTTGTCCGGGCAACGGATGACGCAGAGAATGTCTAAGACAATGAATGGGAGCAGGACTGTAAGGACGAACGACGGGAAGGAGAGTAGGGGAAATCAATCAATAGATCCAGAAACGATCAACTATGTAGCACCAATATTGAATACATGACAATGAAAAAAAAAGAATCTAGATCCAAACGCTTATTCCAAGAACATCCACGCCAAACCTCCAACCCACCCAGCCACAAAGATAGCGGTCAGGATCCCCGCGCCGGCTCGGTCTCCCGTGGTAATGGGCGCCAATTGAACTTCATTCGTGTTATCATTCATGCCCGCGTTCGGGTTACTCGTGCTCGAGCCACCGGTCGATGAAGTCAACGGCCCCAAGACCTTCTCGGGCGTGGGTTGGATGAACGGAATCAAGTTGACCGAAAACAGATCGCTAGCGGAGATCTGCTGCTCCATTCCCGTGCGGCCGTCGAACTTGCTCTGGTACCACGCACTCCCGCACTGGTTGCCGTCCTGCTCGGGGCCGGTGCAGGCGGCGGCGGCGGCTGTGGCGGTCACCTGCAGTTTTGCCATGATCTGGTCGTAGATCTGTGGGACGAGGAGCGCGGTCCAGCCGAGCCAGGAGGAGGTGTGGCCCTTGAACAACAGGTTGTTGCTGTCGAAGCATTGTGTGGGGAACGGATCGCAGGTCGGCTCGTATTCAACGCCGCCATACTTGGCAGGGAAGTATTCAGTCAGCGTCTTGTTGGCGAGTCCGTAGACGGCTTGCTCCCATTTCGCTTGGGTAGCGCCCGTGGTCTAGCGGTGCGATGGTTCGTTAGTTAGGTGGTCCATCGAGAGAATGAAGGGAGCGGATAGGAGGACGCACATGGTTATACAAATAGGCCAACCCCATGAGGAAGGAGGAATAGTTGTATGAATTCTCACCCATGCCCTTCACCTTGCAGTCCTGGGTGGTCGTGACCGAGTCGGCAATCACCCAAGTCTGGTTGTCGATGAGGTACTCATTCGACCAGTCCCAGATCTTCTCCGCCCACTGTGCATACTGCTCATCATTGGTGTAGCGGTAGAGACGAGCCGAGAGCTGGAACAGCAGCCCATTCGAGATGGCATTCTTCATGGTATACCCAGCCATGTAATTGTACTGCTGCCACCGCACGCCGCCGCCACAGGTCGAAGCATCCCATCCGGAATCGCGCTGCGTCTGGGTATTAAACACCCCCTGGGCAAGCGATAGCCACGAGTACTGGCCGTAGTCGGTGAGGTTCAGCTCCGTAGCCGTCATGGCGGCAGCACCCCAGAACCCCTGGTCGTCATTCCCCATATACTGAGACGAGTTCGCCGGCAGGTAGTCGCCATTCCCGGATTGGTACTCCATTCCGATGCGGACTTCCTCGTTGTATGTCGTGTCGCCCGTGAAATGCCAGTAGTACATGGCGCACATGAACAGCACCGACCCTTCGTACCAACTTTTCGGGATGAAGCCTGGGCTCTGGCCCGTCTCGTTGCCGGTGTAATATGTCATGGCGCCCCATGTTGTTATGCTCGCCGCATTTTTGAGCGATGCTATTTGTGACCAACTCGTTAGCCGATGAGGCGGGGAGGAAGAGACGAGACCGGGGGGGGGGAAGGAGGGTTCGCGCTCACCCTCACTGTTGACGTCCAACTCGATGGCCTGCGCGGGGGCCAGGAGCCTCGTCCCAGCCAGCAGGCCGGTCAAAGTACCCAGTACACGCATTGCTGTTCAAGTCCTCGTTCAACCTAGGACACAGGGGGAGAAGTAACTAAGTCGGTTTGGGGAGAGAAAAATACGGAAAATGACTGCCTTGCAAGTCGATCCGACGAGCAGCCGGTGGGCCGACTGGGGGCACGCTAAGACTTGGCAGACGCATGGCGTGAGAGGCAGTGCGAGTGCTTCAGGTCCCGTCTTGGCATTGGCCGTCGCCATGTCTCAGACTAATCAGCCCTCGTTCGAGGCTATTATTAGACGCTGTCGTAACTCACTCACTGCCGATGCTGACAGCGACCAGATGCACACACATTTACACACACACTCTCTCTCTCTCTCTCGCGGATCCCCAGGGTGGTGTGATCCCCCTTTTTTCCGACTGTAAGGGCACAGGGGCTCAGGCACGGACCCTTACCGCGTCAGGGGACACGCAGCAGACAGATGATGTAACCGGTGATCCTGGCGCGGGAACCGGGGTGCTCTTTGTGGGAGCTATTATTCGATAGAGTTTCTGCTGAAGATCCCATGTTCTTCAACGATGTCCAGTGTGAGGCTTGGGATTCCCCCGCCCCTCCCTCCAACACCGCGGGTGTCGGCATTGTAGGGATGTCAGGATCCACCGGTTCATAACATGAACGTCTGAATTGACCCACGCTGGAACATAGTTGGACTGGAATGGTACATCTAGTCAGGCACCGGGCTACAGTACGGGTTTCATAAAGGAGGAGGATTAGTGAGATTAATCCGATCATACACTGCACGTAGAGATGAAAAAGAGAACAGGAAAGAAATGATCGCTCGAAGAACAAGGACAATGCAAGACGGCGGTAGAGACGCCGGGAGGGATAATGTTAATACAGTCAAAACATCGAAAACCATTTACAACGTGGGTGGCAGCTCACGCGCGGACTTAGGCGGCTCCGGCAGCCGCAACCCTCCTCCTCGTCCGAGTCCAGGCCCGTCGTCATCGCGAGGTGGCCGCCAGTTAAAACAGGCGGCGTGCTTCGGGGCCGGACCTGCGGCGGTGCTATCTCTGGCACGGTGGCGAGATCCATCAGGTCCATCTTTTCAACTGGGACCACATCCTCCATCATCTCCTGCGAACTGTCCGAGGTAGAGGTTGGTGTGGGGGGGATGTAAGCCACGGCTGGGTCGACAGACGAATCAACGTCATTCTGCAAGGACGAGCTATCGGAGAGGTTCCGATTATGCGTGGCATTGTTGCGATACGATGAAGTAGGGCGCGTGGGGCCCGGGCTTGCAGAGGGTGAACCAAAGAAGGGCGATGACGAGCGTAGACTGTGTGACCGCTCGACAATGCGCTGCACGCTGGGGAACTCCATGTAGTTGCCGACGGAGCTGCGGGAGAACAACACCAACGCGAAGCAGCAGAGGACCATGATGCTCTGGATGACGGTGACTCGTTTCTGGAAGACGAGCTCGTCGGCTAGGACACCGAGCTGGGCGCTGAGGGAGTGCACTTCGCGATGGTATTGCAGGCGCTGGTGCTCGAATTCCAAGGCGACGGACTTCCAGACGTGATCGTACTGTTCGCGGAACTGTTTCAGTTCGCTGAGGACGGTCACGTTGAGATTCTCCAGGAAGGTGGATGTTTTGGATAGTTGGCGCTTCTCGACTTTGTTGAATGCATCACGGAGGATCCGGGATTGTTCTTCGATGTAAAGTAGGGATAGCGTCGAGTTGGACTCCAGCATCTGGAGTCTCTTGTGGACGGATTTGAAGAATGATTCTTGGGTGGTCGGGTTGGCGGATGGAGGTTGGGTGTTTGTGGATCGGACTGACTCCGGAGAGGTATTGGTTTCGTTCTTGGAATGGGCGGTGGTTTTGCCGGTGCTTTCAGTGGCATTCTGTGCTGTGGCCTCCGATACCACCGTCGAGGAATTGGAGGGCGCGGACAGGACTTGGCCAACTTCCCCGGTCTTTCGCGTGTCCACTGCAGCGTTGGGTGGGACAGAGGATCCGGGCGGCGTCTCCGCCGTGCTGTCTCCGGTAGAGGTTGTAGAGTTCGCATCTGATGGGGGCTGTATTTGTTCAACGGTAGCTTGGCCCTCGGGTTTTTCAGTGGGTGGCCGGTCGGTGGGAGCACAGAGTGGCTCCTGTCCAAAGAGGAGCAATTCCACCTCTGATAGCGGTTTGGGGCAGACTTGACCAACCAAGGTTTCCTCATCAGGGACATGAGCCGGCATTTCCTGGCGATCGGTCTCTGAATCACCCGGTTGCTGGTCCGTCTCAACCGGCTCATCGATCATCTCAACGTCGACATGGCCAGCCCCCTCGTCGTGCTTGTACTCCTCCATCATGGTAGTTCCATGCACTCGAATGAGACTAACAGGACAGTAGAACTCATGTCCATAGTGTGTCAGGAATTCAATCCTCAGATACCGAGCCCAGATGAGCGCGTTTTCAACTGCAAATGCCTGCACCTCGCGGGTGTTCCGAGCCTCATAGACTCCAAGTTCCTTCCACTGGTCCGGTTTCGCGGGATATCGGTCCGAAACACTGACCCGGAATGTATGAAAGATGGAGCTGAAAAACTCGTAGTTCGCAAGCACGACAGTGTCCACCAAGATGTCATCGCATAGTTCCAGGATGAGGAACTTGTTTTGAGCACGACACTCATTCAGCATATAGCTGTCCTTGTTCTCGATCAAGACAGACGGGGGACCCTTGCACTCCGGGTTCGTCTTGAGCACCGTGGCGGCACAGTCAAAAGAGGCGTAATTGAACCGTTCCTTGCAGGTAGTTCCAGCATCCTTCCGACGAGCAACGTCTGCCCCCGGGCCACGACTACCACCACCACCCTGCTGAACATGACGATCGACCTCTGCCTCGCCATCCGCACCATCTTGACCCGCCTCTCCTCTTGCCGGCATCCAAGTCGTAGGATGCGCCGCTTCTGGCGTCTCAGCCCCGAACCCACCAAATTCCAGCTCAATCTCAGTATCGTCTCCTAATGAATCCAAGGCATTATTGATCCCCGCCGGTTGCCGTCTCCCTTCCTTCCCAGCCGCAGCAGACCGTCGACCACCCCCAACATTCTCAGCAGACTGCCCAGCCTTGGCTAGATTCTGCTTCTTCCAGTCTTCAAAGGAGAGGAAGCTCGCACTGTCAAGAAGCGAATCTGTATCCTCCTCAGATGTCGGGACCGTGGTGTTTTCCGCTGTCCCGCTGGACGAAGACGCAGTAGCAGTCGAATCTGCAACCGAGGTGCTGTTATCAGCGGCTGCTGCATTCGATTCACCTGAAAGTCGTAGAAGTTCTTGTCCTCGTCCCCACCGTGTCTCAAGACAGATTGGAAGCTCGAACAGCTCCCGTTCCACGGCCCACACGTTCTTCGCCGGGCATGTTGGCGGCGGCGTAGTCCTGGTTTCGGAGGGCAACGGCGTGGTGATATTTGTCCCAAGCGGCTGCTGCACATCGCCAATCACAGTTCCGACGAGTGCGAGAAGTATCGAGGCACGGTGGAGCAAAAGGTTCCATGACCGACCCGCGGCCAACATTCTGCCTGCAGCTTGCGGGCGCACCAGCGCACAAGATGTCCGCTTCAACCGTCTCTTTCTTCCTCAGTAGATTAGATCAATCTCATTCTCTAGGGCATGTTCTGGAGGGAAAGCGGCGGCACAGGCGAGGGTACTCGGAATCCCGCAAGCAGAGGTAGATAAGAGAAGTGTCATCTGGGGTGACCGCCTTTGTCACCGCTGGGCAGAATATATGCCTACGGACTTAATGTAACTATCCCGGAGTAGTGCTAGGAGGTACATACATGGTTTACTAGTAGAGCAAGTCTTCACGGATATGATCAATTTTCCCTTCCTTCGGTCCCAACCACTAGTTACAGTACACAGATCAGGGGCACCTCGGTACATCGAACGAACGAAAGAGAAAACGGCCGCGGATCTTTTTCCAACTTCACCGTCGTCAACTAGCTCACGCCTCAGCGTCCAGCTTTTTTTTCCTTTTTTCCTTTTGTGGCTCAGCGCCGTCCAGTCGATTCCCGTATGCGAACAAAAACGTCCTCCGAAAAAATAAAAAATAAAAAATATGCAAAAAAGGCATCTCATCACCACAACAACCAACCCCCTTCTAGTCTTTTTGAGGTGCTCGACGTCTCCGTCTGCGATGTCCTGCACAACCCACGAGCCCATAGTGTACAGAAAAATAATTGAAGAGAAACAGGGTCAAATGGCTCGGGGTGAAACAAAGCGGCGCGGTGACAGAAACGGGTGGCTGACAGCTTGACAGCACCGGAGAACACACACTCCAAGGTCGAAAGCAGAAGGAACACAAGACAAGAAAAGAACATTAGTTTATAGTCGGCAGTTTTTGAACCTTTTTTTCCCAACTTGAATCAAAACGTCGCAACGGGGCACGGGGAACTGGAGAGAGAGAAAAACAAGAGAAGAAAAATGCAGGGCGAAGAGGTGAAAAGCAGGCGGCGACGGAGGTGTTACAGGTGAAGGTCATGCCAGCCACCCACAAGGTCGAGATCCTCGTCCACGCTGCCGTCGTAGGCAGAGAATTTGATAGGCGACGGTCCCGGAACTTCCACGGCATCACGGCGCCAGTCCTTTTCGAGGAACAGCTGGCGGCGACGATCAGTGCGCGGGGTTGAAACCGGCTTGGCCTGTTGTCCATGATCGAACCCGGAAGAACCAAGCCCCCAGTCGCGACGCCAGTTGCTGGCGAGTGCGTGCCGGGGCCCAAACAGCTCACGAGGCTTGTACTTGCGACGGCGATCACCAAGCTCGGCCCATTTGTCGCTGTCGGCCTTCTTGGGGGAAGGTTGCTGCAGGGGCCGCGGCGTGCTGCTGGACGAATCACTGTTACCGTCTAACGATCGGGCGCGGATCTGACGCGGCTTGGTCATGGGGGAAGCTTGTGGAAGGGAACGCTCATTGAGGAAGGAGGCGGAGTCCGGCTCGCGCAGTCCCGCCAGTGCAGTAGTCGCAAGAGGCGTGCTCTGGCTCTCTTGGCTCCAGCTACGAGAGTTCTGCTCACGGCGTTTCTGGAGTTCAAGATCCTCGTTCTCCGATTCCTCCTCCTCCCAGAGATCGCTCCAGCTCTTGGAGATCTGGTTGCTCTTGTTGCGTCCAAACACCATCGACAGGGACGGCAGGGGCTTGGAGGCATTGCTGGGCAAGGAACCGGTGATCGGAACCGGATCAGAGCGAGGAGGGAAGGGTGCCTCATGCTTGCGCAGGAGGTGGAGAGAACGGAACGAGGACCCCATGGTCGAGCCCAACACCGAGGCCATCGACGGGGTCTCCGCGAGAGCGGAGAACCACGAAGTGCCGGCAGTCTCGGACGGCGGGAACAGGTCCTCGGTGTAGCTCTCGGTGTCGGGGATGACGGAGAGCTGCCGGACAGCCTGGGGGGGCTCGCCTGCAAAGCCTTGGCCCAAGGGAAGGAATCTCCCTGGTTGACATGTGGGCTCTGGATGGACGGCGTGCGGAGAGGCTCGCGGTTGGCACTGGCGGGGACCACCTCGCGGTCTTCGGTGCAGAAGTCATCCAGGGCGTCGTCATCTGTAGTAAAGGACACGGCCCGCAGGATGCACTCACGCACACCGGACAAGGAACGCTTCTCGGGATCAAGGGCCAACGCATGGGTCAGAATCTCGTACGTGTCCTGAGACATGTTGGGGAAGATGTCGAACAGCGACTGACGATCGCGAGTATAGTCTGCAAAGAGCACGTCGGACTCGGTCGGAGTGACAAAGGGGTTCCGTGCAAACAAAATGTTCAACAGACAAACACCAATCGACCAGATATCGGCCTTGGCGGGGGAGTAACCGGCAGCAGTGGGCTCATATTGCTCGGGAGCCATGTAGCGGTCACTGCCGACACAGGCCTCGTGGCACCAAGGGTCGCGGGATGCCAGACCAAAGTCACCGAGTTTCATGGAACCATCCTGCGTCAAGAAGATGTTCTCTGGCTTGATGTCACGGTGGTACAAGCCGTTAGCATGCATGAACTCAACGGCGCTGACCAACTGCAGCATGAAATCCCGAACGTGCTCGGTCTCCAAAGGACCGCGGTCAAGACGGATGGCCTCGTACAGATCACCATTGACACAGTACTCCAAGACAAGATAGGTGTGAGCCTCGGTCTCGAAGGAGTGGATCAAATTGACAATATTGGGGTGATGGGCGAGGCGCCGATGGCACTCGAGCTCTTCGAAACGGTCATCAACGGGGGACGGGGCCGACGGGTCGGTGGACAAAGGTTTGGTCAAGCACTTGATGGCAACATCTTGGCCGGTGGTGTTATCCGTCGCAAGGAAGACCATGCCGAAGGACCCATGGTTGAGAGGGGCGACGGTGCGGAAGCGACCATCCAAAAGCTGGCCCTCCACAAACAAGTCCTTCATGCAATCCACGGTCGACATTGTGCAAGATAATTTCAAGAGATTGGCGAGAGAAGAGAGATATCGAGAGTGGCGGGAGCTCTCGAGAATGAGAGATAAAACAAAGATGAAAAAGAATCTATAGGTCGCTCAAAAAAGAAGGTTCGCACGTATCAAGCAGCGATGACGCGAACAGCAGCCAGGCTAATGGATGATTAAGTAGAGGCAAGAAGAGAGTATCAGGCCAGGTATCCCAAAGAGGACAGGGACCAAAGGCACCGAGCGAGAGGCGGAAAGATGAAAGGTTGAATGGTTTCCGGTCGTCGGTTCAAAAAGGTGTCACATAAAATATACCGGAAGGCAAGTCGATCCACAGAAAAAGAAACGAGAAAAAAGGAGACGAAGTGGCGCGACGGCGCGAGTTGAGTTGATACCCGAGGAGGGTGATGGACGTTCAAGGAAATTGTAAAGACCGTTATGTGCTCATTTGTATGGCGTATTCGTAGTAAAGGCGACGGGTGGCCAGGTCAAATAAAAAGGAAAAATGGACGAAAAGATGTCTCAGAGAGAAGGATCGACGACGAGAGAGTTATGGACGACTGATACCGACGAACGGTAGGAATCGAATGCGGACTGAGTTGAGATATAGCGCTGCGTAAGATCGTAAATCAAAAGGTGGAAAACAGGTATGGCGACAAGCAAAGGAGAGCCTTTGAACACCCGGTTCAAGGTTGGCCGTGGCCGTGACTCAAAACTGGCGGACGAGGTGAGTTACTGAGTCATGGATTCCCGGCTGGCGGATCAATGAGATTCAGAGAGAGTATATACGGTGGAGGGAGAGCTTGGGAGGGTAGCAGGGAGCACTGTTCAAATCCGAAGAAGGAAGAGTACTCGAAGCCAGGATCCCGCCCAGATTGCAATACTCCAACCGAAATCGCTCGAAAACAATGCCCACCCTTAAGAGGGAGGTGCGGTATGTGCGCGATGAAGGACCTTCGTGAAGGGAATTGGCAAGACGAAGGTGGGAAGGCGGCCGCTCCGGGGTGACGGTGTCCGGGTGAGTCACCGAAGCTCCGGGAGTGCCCCAAGGCCGGTCGAAGGAGGAAGGAGGTCGAAAGCGGGAGAATTGAAGGCAGAGGTTGCACTCGTTGGATCAGAAGACAGGGAGCAGTTTTGGGTTTGATGGGGGCTGCCCGTGTTGTTGTTCTGTCCTTTGGAGTTGATGATTGTTGTACTCAACGAGGGCAATGGGGGCGGAAGGCGACGGAAGAGATGAGCAAGAGGAGGAAGCGGACGAGATGGGAGGAGAGCTGGGAGAGAAGGAGAAGGAGAAGGAGAGAGAGAGAGTGAGTGATGGGAAGAGAAGGATGGGAGAACGAAGGGAAGGAAGTAGCAGGGTGAGTTGGAGGAAGGCAGTGATGGACAGGAGACTGTTGATTTGATGGGGGGCAAGTCTGATCGCTGTGACGGTATCGATACCGTCACCGGCCCACGAGGGCCCGTTCCACCTAGGATCGACAGCCAGTGCCGCCGGTTCTGGTGCTGCCTGTGTGTCATTACCGTATCGCAGGAGTGGTCCACGCAATGCCCAGCGAACCTTCGAGACACATTCTTGGTTGTTTGGCCGACTCTCCCGAATTCCCTCTTTCTTCGGTTCGCTGCCTCTCCTGGACCATGATCGACATCCGACGTGGTCTGCTGGACTCCGAACACATACTTGGCCAACTCTGTTCCCCCAGTCCATACTGTATTGTCCATCCCCTCTGCCGGCCGAGGGCGGATCACAGTGGCAACGCTAGACCGGATGCGGTGGCGCCGGCAGTGGACTCTGGGGCAACCACCAATCAGAAGCATCCACTTTGGCGCTATCGCCCAGCTGCATGACGCGATGCATTCGACGGGCGTGAAGGCTGCTGACTGGGCGATGCCTGAGGTATCCAGGTACCTCGGCCGGGGCCACGAAGGCGTGCTTGTTTCGGCCCCTACGATGGTAACGAGGGCGCGAAAGTGTGAGACACGATTTGTTACGGGTTGCGGGGGGTGCCGATACCCAGCACTACTAGTGAACTATGTCGCTCCTCAGGGGTTTCTGGGAGTCTTCGAGTCCAGCGGTGAAGGGAAGACCCTTGACCGCCTCCTGCAAGGTGGTCTTTCCCCATGCAGCCGTGCACGGCTCAGCGTCGGATCTCCCCCTCCATCGTGAGGGAGTTATCGTGTGATGCCGGCGATCGTCTGAAACGTGTCTGCTGTCGGAGCTGGCGACCCTTGGATAACACGCAGCTCTTATCGGCGAGTCCAGCGTAGTGGAGCCACTCTCCTCCAAGCAGCGTCCGAGAGTCCCCTATCTCTCTCTATCTCTCTCTCTCTTACGATCGCAACTGCTCCTCCAGATCAGATAGACAACCAACTCTCCATCGTACCCCGCACGGGTGACTTTCAAACCAGTCAGGCGGACAGTATAGCATTCAAGCCCAAGAATGTCCTGGAAAGTATGTGGCACCAGGGCCGATAAAGGAGATCAAACAACGGAATCAACCAAGCTTCACGTCATCACCAACCAGGGACCGACAGGCAGCTAATGCCTACTTCGGCCCCCTACCCCAGATTCTGGGTCCCAACACACCCCGAATGCGGTAACCCACGAACCACCAACTCGTACTAGTCAGCCCTAATCCGCTTCATTGGACAGTCTCCCTCCAACCAGCATCGGGGCGCAGAGCCATGACCCCGTCTCCCCCTGTCGCGTGCCCCCCGGGAGTTCAACTACGACCCCGTAGTCCATCGTGGAATCTCCTCGAAGAGGAGAGTCGATCGCCGGCACGTCGCACAGGACCGCTGCTGCAGAAGCGGGCAGGGCACCGCATTACTTCATTCTACAGGACCCGGAGAAAAGGAGTTGAGGACCTACCGGACCGCCCTGCAGCCGGCCCAGCAAGGGTTGTCTGGGGGCAGCTGGGTGCTGCGTTATTACTGGTGCAGACGACTGACTGGTCGATTTGGTGTCGACTTCGGATAAACGGTTGCCGCGTCAACTTGATCGTGCCTGACGAGGCGCTGTCTAGAACCACCCCCGGCGTCAGCCCAACAATCCCTCTGCATCGTTTGCCACCGGCAGTTAGCTGTTGTCGTCGTACATCTGAACTACCACTCCTGTGTCCATGGTACATGATATGTGCCGCAGAAGTCGTTCATCAATCCACATTCCACAGGGGTCCATCAACGTCACCCACGCTCCGTCCCTTCCGTCTCCGTCCCTGCTTGCCACATTGCAGTGTTTCGCACCGGTTGCCCTGGTGGATCGCAATGACACCAGTCTGACTCGATTAACTATGCATGCCCACCTGTCAGACAGTTGCACGTACATCATCTGTGTACGACTGGGCACAAGTCGACATGTCTGAAACGAGGCCGGAGACGCCCGGTGGAGACCGGCGCCAAACAACGGGTTCTATTCTCGTGCTTGCTTCTATTTTCTACACGGTGATTACGTAGTAGCTCCGCTCGCGGCCAGCCATGCTTACAACTTCGTTCGGGCCTCGAGTTTCTCTTGGTTCTGGTGGCTGTCCAGTACGGCGTAATAATGCGGCATTGTCGGTCCGGCTGCTAATGCGTGGGCAAGGCAAACGGCTCTGTCGGAGGCGGAGACTGGTCTCACATTAGCCTGAATATATGTGGTAGGTCGGAGCTTGCTTACACTATTGCTGGACTTGGAGCTGGAGCTGCAGCTATACTGCAGGCACCTAGATCGGTAGTCGCCACAGTGAGAACCTGCTACTGGACAGATTTGGTAGAGGTGTGTGATGCTCTGCAGGCATAGGACAAACGAAGTAAAATGGCTCTCATACTGAAGTCTACCAAGGTGTACGCTCCACGATATATATTTCCGCCCCGACATTCCTTACGCCGCAACAACTTAACCAACATTAAATCTTTGAGCCACAGTCAATCACTAAAATCAATTCCATGCTTCATATTTAATTTATTTACCCAGAAAGTAATAATAGGCTCTTTAGTGACACTACACTCTACCCTGCCTCACCAGGATGAATCATCCTTCCACCGCCGGGCCGCGAGTAATCGCCCCACATGCTCGAAAAAAAGACCGACGCAGTATAGCCGCCGCCAGCCAATCCAGGCACCATGAGCAAGCGCTCGCTCGATCCCATGGATGCGCATCCATCTCCCTTCGAGGACGGCGGCCTGCATCCCCAGGATCTGCTGTCGGCCGATGAACAGGAGCAGTCCCACCCCGGTCCGTCCAAGAGGCCCCGGAACTTCATTGCCTCGGTCGTAAGTACCCTGACTCATCCATCTCTCGATACCATACATGGGACCTGACGATCTATAGGCGTGCGAGACTTGTCGGCTGAAGAAGACAAGATGCGACGAGTCGAGGCCGAAATGTGGGCTGTGTAAGTCGTTAGGTTTGGAGTGTGTCTACAAGGAGCGCAAATCATCCAAGTGAGTTGCGAGCGGACCTCTGATACACGATGTAGAAATGCAACTAATGGACCAAATAGACGAGATCAATCGCTCTCCATGATTATGAGCACTCTTCACCGGCTCGAGACGAAGCTCGAGTGCATGCCATCGTCCATCTTGAATGATCTGCGCGGCCAGGTCCACCAGGAAGACCTCCTCAATGAGCCGCCAGGACCACCAGTCAAGTCCACACCAGCAGCGTCAAAGTCCACCCCCGCCACCGTGCGGGAGACAGAAGATGACTTTGACTTCGAAGAAGCAAACAACACCACGCCCGACTCCGCCGGCCGGGTCTCCATCTCATTCAGTCAGCACGGCGTGATTCTCTGGCCCGGTGCACGCCAGATCCTACCGGACTCACTCCTCAAAGCGCACGAGCTGCTGGGCAAGAACTATGTCATTGGACTCGAATCAACGCGGGACCACCTACCCATGTTCACCGGCCCGTTCCCGCTGCAGGCCGGCGAGCACTGGCTGGAGGTTCTGCCACTGGCCCTGGTCAAGGGTCTGTCGGATGCTTTTTTCGCTGTGTTCAACCCCTTCACGCCCATCATGGATAAGACGTTTTTCTTTTCCTTTACGCTTGGCTCCGCCATCGAGAGCGGCTTTGGGTATACCGTCGAAAGCTGCCTGGTGCTCAACGTTTTGGCCCTCGGGTGTCTTGCTGTTCTGGCGCACCGGGAAGGCGACTATCCCCTGCCTGGATCTCACGGTCACGGATTTGACGCTCCGGAGTGGATGAACGTCGTCTATGAAGAACAGCCGGGGCTGCGGTTCTTTAATGAAGCGAGACGGCGCATTGGGTTCTTGATGTGCGATAATGATATCCAGAGCTGCCAGTTCTATCTCCTCTCTTCGTATGTACCCCTTCCTAACAACTTGGAGCAACGCTGACTGACCCCGGCAGTGTATATTACAGCCAGATCCTCCGTCCAATGGACTCCTGGGCCATGATCCACCGCGCAGCGACATGCTGCCTATCCATGCTGACCAAGTAAGTCTTTCTCTTCTCTCCCCTTTTCTCTCCTCCTTGATCTAACATGCACTAGTCACGACGTGAACTACGACGAATGGGAAGGCGACATGAAGTCGCGCGTGTTCTGGAACACGCTAATGAACGAGACCATCCTGGTGCAAGAGCTCCATCTCCCGCCGAGCGGCCTCTCCCGCCTCGAAGAACATGTCCCCATCCCTAAATTTATCGGCTTCGAGACGACGGGATACGTCGCGACCCGATACCCTTCCACCAGCGTCGTCGACGACTCGTACTTCCAGTATCATTTCCTGGCTCAGGTTGCACACCGGATTATCCTGACGCGGATTCGGCATTCGCTCTACTTCTACTGTAAGTCTTTTATCCGCTCCATTCATGTCGTTCTTAGGGAGTCACTAAGTCGGAGTCCTCTCCAGCCGACTCAGGAACCTTCCCTCTCCCAGCCGTCAACGCCGAACTTAACCACCAACTCGAACAATGGCGCACCAACCTCCCCACCGCCATCCAGTTCACTGACCAACTGGCCCCATCCCCGTCCAGCAATCTTCAATCCCAATCTCCCGCTCCATCCCCTCTAAACCCCATCTCTCATCACCATCACCACCACCGCAATCGCCCCCTCTCCCCCGCCACGGCAGTCATAGACGCCATGCTCCGCGGCCGATACATAATCGCCCGGTTCCACATCGGCCGGCCATATCTGTATAAAGCACTGCGCGCGCCATCCTCATTAACAGACGAGGACTTCGAGCAGGTGAAGAGCGGCCTGCGGAACGCGATGGATTGGCCTGTTACGCAGGGCGTCTTTCGGGAGATGAAGAGTTGCATTCCTATTAAATTTGCTTTTTGTTCTCAGTGAGTGATTTGATGCTGCCCCCACCCTCCTTCCCCTTCAACCCAATTTTCTTGTTTATGATCAACTGACTGAGGAGTGATTGTTAGATTCTTCGGCCAAATCCTCCTTTTCTATTGTATCGCTCACTCCCCCAGCCCGCGCGTGCGCGACACACTCCCCGCTGGCTGGGAGCGCTGGAACGAGGAGATGATGCGGTTTCTGGAAGACTGTGCGCCGCATAGTCCGGCTGTTGCGCAAGATCTGGAGTTGCTGCGCGAGCTATGGCCAGCTCATGACTGATTTTTTTTTACTTTCGCTTCATTTTGGTATATTTTGTCCGATATTATCTGATTATATTGGTGTGGCGTCTTGGGAAGAGAGCATATGGACCTCTCTGCATGGCGTTGGTTTATACCGAGATTCTTTATGAAAAGAAGTAATACAATAATTGAATATCCAAGGCGAATCATATGAGTTAGTTATCGCAAGGCTATATACGGGGAATATAAAAAGAGCGGGTATTATTTGCACAGGCAATGAAAAAAGAAAGCTGCCACACGAGTATTCAAGGACAGGCCTGCCATGCAATATAGCCAGCACTGTGAAAACTCGAGCGACCCCAAACCTCGAAAAAGAGTACGAGCGAACCCGGCTGCCCACCAGCGAGTTCCCTTACAAAATCCAGTCATTATTGACCGCCTCCGAGTCCGTGATGAACGGCTTATCGATTTGCTTGATGGCGTGGTCACCACAGAGAATACTGCATAGCACCGATCAGTATAGAATGCGGGGCTGGAAACAATCGAAGGAAACTTACCAAGCCTCAGCGACCAGCGCATCCAGCTCCTTAACAATCTCCTCTCTCCTTGAAGAAGACAGATCACCTTTACTCAGATGGGCCTGCAGGTCCCGGATATACTTCTTCTTGCCCCCAGCACCCTCCAGCACCTCCCTGCCCAGACAGTCACTGTGAAAGGCGTGCTGGCAGGGGAACACAAAGAACTGACGGCTCAGCAGCGGCAGCGAGCAGATCCAGCATTTCTCACCGGGCTCAACAATGGCATAGCGCGAGTCCAGGCCTGCGATTTCGCCGCGGATCTGGTGAGCCGTCTGCGCGGAGTTATCCATTTCCTGGCGGAGAGCGTCGATGTGACGCGAGTAGTCTTCCAGTGCGGTGCAGATCTCGTCTTTAAAGTCGTCGATGACGACAAAGTCGGGGAAGAAGGGGATTAGATCTTCGATGCGGAGAAGCTCGCAGCGGCGCAGGAATTCAATCGCGTCTTTGATGCCTGTTCCGGGTTGCCGAATCTTCTTCTCGGCGACGAGGAGCCAGAGCTTCTTGCGGAGCTTGTCGTTGCCCTCTGGCCGGTCAGCGACGATGGCCGCGAGCTCGATGTCGTTGTGTTCGAGTGCCAGTTCCACTGCTTGCAAGTACTGGCCCATTGCGCTGTAGATGTGGATGCATGACTGCACCCGTTTGTGCTGGATACATAGACGCAGGGCAAAGTCTGCGTCGTATGGGGGTGGTGACGAATGCTGCGATTGGAGATAGGTGAGCAGCCCGGCCTCTGAGGGCGATGGACTTGAAGCATGAATTGAAATCAGGGTGTTGTGGACGGCCGCTGAGGGTTTCGGATGGTGGAAGATGATGAAGTTCAGGTAGCGCACAGCTTGATTCTGGTCAAGAGAGACATTGGCAGACTTGTTATAATTCAGCAACGCGGGGATGAGTCGTTCGATTTCCAGATTTGTCTGACGCATCAAAATTTCAATCAGCCCTGTAGGCGCGTGTGTCATGAGCACGCTGCTGTACTTGTAGAAAACGTCGGGGTCACTCTGCCGCTGCAGAACACCCAACGCTTCCGACCATTTCTCGCGCTGGATCCAGTACGACAAAACGTAACTGTGATCGTTCGTGGCGGTTGCAAAGAAAAGCAGCTCCTCCTCCCGGCCATGGCTGCTGATGATGGCATAGACCGTCTTCTTGTCCAAGTCGGATTTGTGCTTGTTCACAAACTCTTGGAACTCAGTGCGGACATTGCCCAGTTGCTCTTCGAATTGCCCAGGACTTGCACCTTCCGCCAACTCGGCCTTGGTAGCGATGTTATCGTCGAGGGAATTCAACTTGGACATGAAAAGCTCCACAAGCCAGCTCGCAACCATAATCCGTTGCATCGTGGACGCTTTCTTGTATGTCGAGAGTTGCGAGAGAAGATACTTCCGCAAAGCATCGTGCTCTTTGTGGTCAATGAGTGTCAGACAGACTTCCTCAAATCCTTTGCTGCTCTTCCCCCAGACTTTGGCTGCCTCGAAAAAGTTACCTTTTCCAGCCAAAAAGTCACCCGAAGCAGTCAACACAGCATCTCGTTGCGCAGCGCCGCGGGCATATTGGAGCGCTTCGTCAAATTTCTGCTCATGCAAGTAGGTCTTCCAAATATCTCGATCTTCGTCGTTAGCCACAACTTCGTAGATCTCTTGGCCTGTGAAAAGCCAGTACGTCTTTTGCGTGACATCCGTCAACAGGCCCAGTGCGTGCTGCCCGGGCTCCAAGACTGACTGGTCATAGACAATTTCCTCGCTGAGACGGTTGACAGCAACCACTCGACCTTCGACGAGTGCCAGTACATGCCACTGCGATAAGGTCATCGCGGATATTGGCTTCTGCACCGTTCGTTTGCCTCCCCGGTAGGACTCGGTAGCGGGGAAAACTGAACGCTGAAGCATCTTGCCATTCTCAAATGGGGAGTCCGATTCGATCTGGCCGTGATAGATCCCTTGTGAGCTGAGCCATGCAAACTCCTTTTCACTTTCTTCGTCGGTTTGATATCCCTCCGAAATAGAAGGAGAGACCATCAGCACGGCAGGCGCGGAGCCGGAAGGGTTCTGGACCTCATGGATCGAAAATGTCCCATGCTGGAAAAGGTGTGTGTAGATAGAACCGCCACCTTCTCGTCCATGTCTCGCAGTTGCTGTCCGGCCGAGGAAGTGGACCAACTTCGCATAGGTGGCCACAAAAACCCTCCTGTGATCGGGCTTAGAGGGTACTAGTTCCGCGCAGACTCCTATCACAGGCGAGGCATCCGGCACCTTGTAGACAGATGCGACGTATTTCTCTTCACGGCGGTAGAACTCCGAGGACGGCTCGATGTAGGTTTCGTAGACATTGCCATCGGTTGTGCCCAACAGAATCTCCCGAGTTGACGCAGTTGGTAACGAAGGATTCCACGCAATGCTTTCAATAGAGACACCCTTCAACTTGGACAGCGCCTTCGGCTGCCGGGACTGGGTATGGAGGTAATAGTTTTCACCGAGGGTGGTGCTGACGATGAGATGCGAAGCCGATGGATCGAGGAACATGCGCCGGATCAGGCCGATTTCGGAGGACTTCTTGGGGAGATCGATGTCTGTTGCCGTTGTGACACGAGGTTAGTTCTCGTGTGCGGGGAAGAAGGGTTGTCGAACAGCTCACCATCAATGTCTTCTGGGCTATCGAGATCGATGCGAAGAATCCGGCCCGTTGAGAGGGCCAGCACTAGCACATTGTTGGCGACTTGGGCGGCGACGAAGTCGGCGGCGACCTGGAACTGGAGCTGCACCCGCTGGACATCGAACATGGGCAGGGAGTCCGAGGGCTCCTTCAGGTTGCTGGGAGCAATATAACTGCTGGATCCGTCCAGCGCCATGGTGCGCAAGCTGTGCAGAGACTATCGCATGCCGGATCGAAGACGGAGGCAGTGAGAGCAGATCCAAGGCGATGATGCAGCACGGAAGGGAGCTGGCTCGGCGGGCAATGTTGCGTGGTGGCTGCCTGGATGCCTGAGGCCCGCAGCCATCACTACTAGTAACCCTAAGTGCAGAGACAGACAGAAACCAATAATGAAAGACTTCGAGATAACAATATTTGAAACAGAATCATACACAATGAGAGTCGCTTCATAGATTGGGGGTATCATTCATCATAAAGATATGCAACGAACACAGTCGTAAGTCGTCAAACATCGCAGCATCACATCACCAGGCACTCCCGCTCCAGCTTCTTCTCCTTACCCTTCTCCTTCTTCTCTTTGAAGCGGTCATATTCCTTGGAATGGGCCCTGCCCTCAGAATGGATAGCTACGTCGCCAGGCATTGCCTCATCACTGTCCAGAGCCAACTCATCGACCTCGCTGTCCGCAGCCGACCCATCGCTGCTGATCTTGTCTCTGCTAAGTCGCCCGGCAAAGCGAGAAAATGTGGAACTTAGGCGCTTCTCGCCTGACTGACTAGCTGCACGGCTTCCGGACTGACTCTTCGTCGCCGAACGGGATCCACGTCGCGAGAACGAGAACTTGTTGCCTTCTTCTTCGGTGGTGGGCGCTAGTCGAGGCGAGGTGGACGGCATCGAGCGTGCTTGGCGAGGGCTGGTGCGATCCGAGAAAACTACGCCAGGTCGTCGATTTAGATTCCTCATCAGCTGGGCCGTGGGACTGTTTGGAGCCGTCACTTCGAGACTGGGTCGACCAGAGGTTGGCTCTTCGGTGTGGTGGCCATCAGTGTTTTTGTTGTCATTATCCGACAAGGCGAGCAAGTTCGCAGAGACATCCGCCAGATTCTGATCCACCATCGCGTCCTCCGACGCCTGCGAAGATGGTGCATGGTGTCTGTTTTGGAAGTAGGAGGTCGACGCATCTTCGGCAATGGGAAGGATCTGATAGAAGAGTAGATAGGGAGACTCCGTCTTCATGGCCTCCTCAATATCGACAAGCGTCACACGTTCAGCGGCAAGGTCATCAAATCGTATCCAGAACCTGCCCGGTTCCACGCCCACGGGATAGGAATCGGCAGTTGTCCCTCTGACGATGGAAATGTAGTGCCCGGAATCCACCGAGTTACCTCTGTGGCAGACCATGGATTGCAAGGAGAGCTTGAAGTTGCCATACAGACGGGTATCTTGATCGCCAAGTTTGTCATCCTTGATGAAACATGGAAGTCCGATCTCGGTGGGGATGTCGATGAAGGTATTCAGACGTATGGCTCGCCCATTTGGCAGGTAGGAGTAACGCTTCAAGCAGATGCCGAGGATTGGTCTCTGAGAAGAAAAGTGGTCGGCGACCTGAGCGTCATTGGTCGGTGTGTTATCGGTGTACCAAGCTGGGAAGGAAATGTCAGTTCGTAGTTCGCTGATAATATCAGAGGAGTACATACGAATGAGGCTGAAGAACTGCCACGCAGGCATCATGACCTCCTTGCGGTAACTACCCTTCCGGGGCTGTGGCCCATGCCTTTTAGCATCAGCCTTTTCATCGGTGGGGTCAGGAATAAATCTTTCGCGGACGATGCTGTCCCGACGAGGGAGAGTCCGAGTGGCCGTGCCAGTCGCATCCATCCCAGCGGCCGACGACGGTGGAGATGCCTTGGGAGGCTGCGGACTGTTGGAAGGAGTCGGAGTCATTGTTCCCGTAACTTCCTCAATGTGTGCGGAGGATCCCTTCGAAAGAGATTCTGTCGATTCGGCTGAGCTGAGAAGACTGTCCCAATTCTCCTCAAGATACCGTTTCACTTCGATCCGGTTATTGAAGTAGGCCTCTAAGCAATCTTCTAGGGTAAGAGTCCGCCCATCGGCACGATCAGGCGGGATAGCCACTTCAAGCAGCCGTTCATTGATGAACTTGTGATCGCTGCTCAGATCTGTCTTCCCCCAGTGATAGATGCTCATCATTAAGGTGAGAAGAGGCAGTTCAAGCTTGCCCGTGATGAAGGTAAAGGCTTCAGAGACATCCTGCTGGCGCAGCTCACCAGCTGCGGCCCAGCCGCACTCGGCAAGGGTATTCTGCAGATGCTTGGTCTAAGAACATCCGCGTTAGCACCCGCGGAATCAAAGCGAAGCTAAAGCAATCGCCGTAGATCTCAATCGAAAATCACTCACGATATCTGTAGTGATGAGCTGCCCGGATCGCAGCATATTCACCCAGTACCGGATCAGGACGGCTAGCTTGTTGCGCGGCTCCTCCGGGAACTGTTTGTACAGGACGGCCTCAAAGCAATCCAGACGCACAAACATGGCAAAGAGCAGCGAGTCCAGCCAGCAGGTGACCCCTTCACGGTTCTCTGCACCAAGGAGTCTGGTGGTAGGAGAGTAGGGTCTGATGATGCCCTCGATGGAATCCTCAAGCAGGATCAGGGAGAGAAATGCCCTGTCTAGATCCCCTTGGGTGGATAGCAAGGCATAGCTGCAATTCTCTTCTCTCAGACCCACGATCCCAATCTCTCTGATGCGACGTTCTAGCTCTTTGACCTATGTACGAGTCAGCGGGGTAGACTGAACATTAGAGATCTCGGCGCGTACCTTCTTCTTGTGTTCTGGACCGTTCTCCGGAATCACCTCCGATGTGAAAAAGCCCTGAAAGAGAGGCTTGGAAAGCATGTGGAGAGACGACTATAGCAATCCAGATTTAGTCTTTCACAGACAAGTATACCGCTACATGCCAGACAAGCAGGTACATACCTCCTCTTTGCCATGCTTCTCATGTCGGCCGTGCCGATCGCGTCGGGCAAGAAACCGGTGGATGCCACTCATCGTAACAAATGTAGGAGACGAAAAGAAAACAAGGAGATCTTAGAAGGAAAGAAGGACGCGTGAAGAAGTGCAAGAATGTGGAGTGACATGAAGCGGGTGAGAAAGTTGGAGACTAGCACCGAGCTAGAAAAGGATGCAAGATGACAGGGAACATAAAGAGCGTATCAGATGGCAGAACGAACTCTTCTGACCGTACCACAAGCAAGGAATCATACCAACAAGATCACAAAGGCAGATCACATGGTGGATCTCGATCATTCGCGGGGCACTAAACAGAATGCCTGGTGGGTAAGGCCAGGAACACGTGACTAGATGGACCCGTCAAACAATTTTCGGGAGGCAGAAGACACTCCATCTCCGATCGGGTGCTCACCACGTTCGTTCGACACAACATGGCTGCCCGAGAGCCATCAAGATACCTAGCACGGACATTGCCGCGGGCGATTGTTCCGTCGGCTCGTCCGCAGACCCTAGCATGCCGGCGCAATGCCTCAGATGATGCGCCAGCCAGGCGTCTGTCCAACCATCTGGCCGAGCTGGAGACCGAGTCCTCCCTGGCCACACCACTGCCAGAAGAGGCAGTGAAATCATTCAACCCAGTCGCAGCCGCAAAGTCTCGCAGAGCTCAGCTCCCACGCAGTCGGTATGTCCTATGTCCCTGACAATTCCCCTGGATCCTGGTCTTGACCTGGATCTTCTCGGCAATGCCACACTCTTTTACTGCACACATATAGCCTCTAACATGCAACCCTAGATACCAATTCCGACCCCCAAAATACGACCGAGGTCCCCTCCATCCGCATCAACCACCACCGCCATCAGACCCATCCTCGCGCGTCTTCGTACCAGGCCCCTTCTCCCTGCCACGCGTCCAACAAACCTACGACGCAACTATATCCTCCGACATCCTCACGCTGTGCTACGTGCACAACCCACCAGGCTTCACCCCACCCACCAAGGCGCCCCGTCTCCGCGAATGGGACGACAGCTCCCCCTACCACAAGAACCGTCCCCTCCGCGGACCACGCGGCGGCGATGTCCTACGACTCCTGCGCAAGCCAATCAAATTCAACAGCATCCCCCAGCTAGAGCGCATTACCATCCACAGCTACGTTAAGCAGGCTGCTCAGGAGAACTCGGGTTGGTTGCATGTTGCCGGGATGGCCGTGCAGGCTATCTCGAATAAGCGTGTCGAGACGTTCAAGTCCCGCGCTAGTGTGTCGACTTGGAGCATCGCCCCTGGGAGGGATACTGTTGCTGTTAAGGCGGAGCTGCGCGGTGAGGATATGTATCATTTCTTTGGGAAGTTGGTTGATGTTGTTCTGCCGAGACTGAAGGATTGGCCGGGTGTGAAGGGGACGAGTGGTGATAGTAGTGGGAATATCACCTTTGGACTGGAGCCTGAGCAGGTTGCTCTGTTTCCTGAGATTGAGGTCAACTATGACATGTGAGTGCTACGCATTACCCCCTTCGGGTTGGTTGGATCTAACGCTGTGCCAATAGGTACCCTCCGAAGATGATCCCTGGTTGCCACATCACCATCCACACCAGCGCCAGGGCGGACAAGGATGCACGCCTGCTCCTTAGTGCCATGGGTGTGCCTTTCCATGGCAAGATTGTCAACTAGATGAGCCTGGAGTTAGCCTCTAGTCCTCTAGTGAACCTTTTTCTTTGTTCAATATGTAACGTTAGAGATGGCCTGCATAGTGGCCAGTGTCATTGGCGGATATGTACTATTTGTTTCCTATGTCAATTCATTCCCATTCAGCATATCCAGATTCGAGATTATACAGAGTAGTCTGATAAAAGTTGGCCAACGCGATAACACTCTACATACCTTTGCAGGCAGCAATGCACGCAACTACTTTTCAGAAACGGGGCAACAGCCTACAAGGGAAGTATTATTAGATATTGAACGAATGCTTCATTAGAGTTCCATGTTCATCTAATCAACCAGGCAGAAACACAACACGAAACCAGCTCGAATGTATTTCCACCGTCACCCCAAGACCGAGAGAGAGATATCCACATTAAACAAAAAAGAAAATGACAAACAAACAAATCACCATCATGCGTCACATCATATTACAGAGTGGATAGGTAGTATAACACAGCCCCCATCAAGGAAGCGTGTTGGCCAAGAACTTGCACTGGAGCAACTCATCCGCACTCGGGCGCAGCTCGTAGTCGACTTGGAAGGTCATGTCCAAGAACTCGACGGCCTCCTGGCTGACGTGCTCTGGAGCAGGCGGACGGGCCTGGTTGCTGCCAATGGCAAAGATGGCCTGCAGCTGGCTGCAGTCCGGGAAGGGATGAACGCCGCTCAGCATTTCGACGACGAGACAGCCCAAGCTCCAGATGTCGGCCTTTTTGGTGTGCGCTGTCTGGCGCACGACTTCGGGTGCCATCCAGTACACGCTGCCCTGCAGGGAAGGGCGGTGCAGATGGCTGCCTGCGCCGCCGCCGACGCTGGCGCGAGAGCCCAGGACCGTGGATGCCTCCACGCGTTTGGAGATGCCGAAGTCGGAGATCTTGACGCCGCCCTTGTTGTCGACGAGGATGTTGGCACCCTTGATATCGCGGTGGATGATGTCCCGGCTGTGGAGGTAGGAGAGACCGGTAAGAATCTGCCGGACGAAGTTCTTTACCAGGGGCTCCTGGAAGGTATTGTATTGTTTCAGCATCGTTGCGATGGAGCCGCCCGGCACGTACTCCAGGAAAATGTTGAGGTACTGGTCATCGGTCGCGGTGCCAAGGTATTGCACGATATTCGGGTGGTGAAGCCCTTGTAGGAGTTCGATCTCGTGCTTGAGGGCCGTGACCATGCTGTTCTTCCGCTGGTCGAACTCGGTCCCTTTCGTGGCCGAGGGGATCTCGACTTGCTTGACAGCCATGAGCTCACCGGTAACGGCGTGGAGGGCAAGGAAGACGCTTCCGAAAGAACCTTCACCAATCAAGGAACCCTTCATCCAGTTCTTGGGCGCAAAGTTATTTCCAGCCAAGAAATCGCTCAGGTCCGCGTCCTCTTCCTCGCCATCCTCAGCTACGAAAGCGCTCAAACGGTCGTTGAACGAACCACCATCAGTAGCGGCGACGCTCATGCTCTCGTCGAAAAAGCTCTGGCGGGCAGGGTTCGGCTCATCGGAGGAGCCACTGTCAAAGGAGACGTACGACTTGCGATTCGGCTCCACAGGAGACTCCTCTTGAAGAGGCTGAAGAGAACTGGAAGCGACAGAATCCCGATATGAGGATTGAGGGAGGTTGAATTTGGAGACTGACAAAGGCCGTGAGCTCTGTTGGTTGGCCTGTGCTCCAGGTTGGCCTTGAAGCCAGCTGTCGGCAATACTAGGAATTGGGGGGATTTGAGGTAGAGGCGGTAATGGAGGCGCGTCCTTGAGACTGGATGCGTAGCTGTAATTGCTGACAACACTCATGCGGCTCATGCGGCTTGCTGCGCGACTCAGGCGTTGGGATCTTCGGACAGACATGCGCATCGTCTTCTCGATGTCCTCCTTGTCATGACTGGGGAAGAAGGATGGAAGTTCGTGAATGATCATCTCACTCGGAGGTCGTTGTCCAAAGAACGAGCGTAGCTTAGACACCGGATGACGCTCGGGATGGCGTTCGATAGCAGAGGGTGGCGGGAGGGCATCTTGATCGGTGGAATTAGACGGACGATGCCGAGGACCAGGGCCCCGGGGAGAAATGGGCTGCTTGATATTATGCCATGATTCACCCGTCAGCTGTTGGATCTTGAGCTGGTTGCGCATGTTCGAGCCGCTCAAAGCACTCAGATGTTGTGCCTGACTTTCGTCAACGGCGAGCTGAGACGCGCGGCGAATCTCGTCCATGTCGGGTTCCCCTGCATGGACTTTCCGAAGAATCAAACGGCCTCGTTCAGACTTGTTAACACCTTCACAAATCTCCATAAGCTCCTTGTCCGTAAGTTTCCTGCAATTGGACAAATCCGGATCCAACCCGTCCAGCACGTAGAAGCAATAGTTTCTGTACTGGTGCTCAGGAAGCTGAAGCTTCCTCAATACACACAGAATGACCTCGTCGTGCGTTTTACAGTTGCGGATATCGAGAACCTTGGTTTGACCACCGGTGTAGATGACCCGAATCACTGGGGAGTTTGGTGGGAGAGCGCCCATGGTGATGCCATCCAGACTTGGATTCCGTGGATGCTTAGCGTCGCCGGTACTCAGGTTTCGGCCATTGTTGTAGCGACCAGCACGGAGACTAAAGTCTCCGCCAAGCGGCGAGTAACCATCATCAAGCTGGGACAACCGGCGGGTCGGCAGCTTTGTGGCCAATGCTGCCTTCTCCAGTGCAGCCAATGTTTGCTGTCCTCCGGCATCAGCACGTGCTTCATAGGAAGCAGGGGAATCTATCTTACCATGTTCTTTGCTCGGCACGTCGGACCGGTCTTGGTCCGGAGCTGCTTGATGGCAACGAAGATGCGCACTCGGTCCCCGACTTTCTTGATGCCCATTTCCTGCAGGATCTTTTGGTCACATTCGAGCAAGTTATCCCCCGTGAAGTTGTTGGCTGTCCAGGATTAGCCCCCATCGCAGTGGTACAGGGGAAGGGGCCAGTCATACCTTTAAAAATAGGCTCATATTGGCCACACTTGATACCATGAAGCCAGGTGATCACCCGCTTCTCATCCCACGCCCTGTGTAGAAAGATCGGTTAGCCCGATCATCGCCATGGCATCGCTGCTCTCAAAGATGTCGGGGTCGCACCTCACGGACGCCAGTTCGTCCTGGCCATCTGAAAATTCCGACTTTGTCGGGCTGCTAAACCCCACGCCCTCCTGGGGTTTCGTGTGCATCGTCGGCCGTTGCGATGTCGTAGACATGTAGGTTGCTGCCGGTGTCTGGGTGGTCGGCCCGCCCAGAGGCACCGAATACGGTGTTTTGGAAGCCAACATGGGATCCCCAGCTCTTGTTACTGGCCGATGCCTGGCTCACACTTCCCTCCTACTGCAGAGTCCTGATCTCCTCTGGTGTGGGATGATTCAAATAGAACGTCGTGAGGAGAAGGGTGACGTAGTCAATGCATAGTCTCGACAACCTGCTCTTGGTCGGTCAGCCGGGAATTGCATTAGTGTTGATGGCGTGTGCAAATGAGAAGAGATGGCGGTTGGGGGCCGGAGGGTGGTCAATGGCCGGCGTCGGCCCGACGTGTTCAGCAGGGGCAAGGGGTGGTGTATTACTTACCAGGGAGTCGCAAAGGGTCCACGGAATGAATGACTGGGCTGGGCTGGATTCAAATGGCAGACGAGATGACAAAAGAGCAGAAAGCGAGCGGCGTCGAAACAACACCACCTTAGTCAGCTCGATCCCGTTCCCCACGGGTTTCAGGGCTTGTTTCATCCCTTGCCCACCTTTGCGACGCGTCGCATCCGCCGGACATGCCGGCCTGTTTCGTCGGAGAGTTGTCTCATCGACGCACGAAGCGGTGAGGCACGTATGACGAGTATTGTTCTTGACATTGGTTCGGATCGCCTCCCGTATCGAGTAGATGTAGTGGTGCCTAGGCCGAGCGTAGAGTCCACCGCCCAAGCATGGCCCACCGGCTCCGCCCGGACACAGAACGGGAGGCCTACGAATCATCATGGAGTCGGTCGATCTGATACAATCTTACTCTCTCGCCATGATCTCCTCCGCGACCACGATCTCGCCATGCCTCTCGCCCTGACTAACGAACAATACCACCTCATCGCAGTCACATGACTCCCCCCTCATCCCCACAGATTTCCCCGCTCGACAGCCTCAAATTCTTCCTCTCCACCTTCCTGCGTAGTCGCTGTGCTCCCCACCATGGACGACAAGGACGAGGTCAAGATCAAGAAGAAACAGGTGCACCGCAAGTCCCTCTCCTGCGAGTACTGCAGCCGCTCCTTTGCCCGGCTGGAACATCTCCAACGGCATCTCCGCACCCGTTGAGTAACCCCCTGGCGCCCCTCGCTGGATTTCCATTCCTAATGTAGGACAACAGATACGAAGGAGAAGCCCTTCTCATGTGACATCTGCTCCAAGTCCTTTGCCCGCAGGTAATCCCGCTTCCCCTCTTTCCCCCCTCTCCCCTCGCTGACGGAATAGCGATCTCCTGGTGCGCCATGAACGTCTAGTCCATCCCGCCGAGAGTGCCGCCAACCGCGAGCATCGCGCACAGCACAATGGCCACGAGAACCACCACCAACGCCACCATGATCTCCCCATCCAACCCAGCATCATTCATCCCCCGCATCACGAGTCGCGCATGCTAGAGTTGGCCGATGCCATCCCCGTCCACACCCAGCCCGTGCCTCCCCCGCCCCCGCCAGAAATCTCGGTCCAGACACCATCGATCGTCGATACACCGCACTTCAATCCGTCCTGGGGATATGACCTGAATCTGCTGTCGCATGCGGCGAGCCATGTGGCTCTGGAGGGCCAACAGGAAGGCCTGGAGTCGATGAGGAAACCCACGCACTCGGCCAGCCAGTCGTCACAGCCACTTCCACAGGCCCAGGAACGAACCATCACAGACAATTACGGGGTCGAACCCTCGATGCTCGACCTCACGGACCTAGGAGATCCCGTTCAAGATTTCACGGTCTTTCTGGAAAGCGTCGGGCTGTCCTCGGATTGGGACTCGGGGGTATTCTCATCGGTGGAGGAACCGATGCTGCCGCAAAACATGGCGATCGACTCCAAACCACCGGTTCGGGAGACAACGCGACCTGGGGGGAGATGATGAATGACCCGCGGGTGACCGATGACCCGCCATCGTTTTCGAATTTCGGGTCTCGGTTGCCTTCGCTCCAGCCGGAATCCCACGAGATTGACGACCGCGTTGGCCTGTCGGATGACAGCCCCCGACCGGCATGGGATATCTCTAATTCGGACCGGCAAGTCTTCATCTCAAAGCTCGAAGAGTTCTCCTATATTCTCCCCAAGAGCTTTGTTTACCCATCACGACATGCGCTATCTCGGTTCTTCGCCGGGTATATTAATGGACTGAATGAACATCTTCCATTTGTACACGTTCCCACGCTTTCGATTGCCAAATGTTCACCGGAGCTGACGCTAGCGCTGGCCGCAGCTGGCTCCCACTACCGCTTCGAAAACAATCGCGGGATTGACCTATTTTATGCGTCCAAGGCGATTCTTCTGGAGCGCTTGCGCCGCAGAGACAGCAAGCAAGTGGCTTATCCATCATGGAACTATTTCTCTCCCCCAACCGGAGTCCCCAACTCGCGTGGATCATCCATGCTCTCCAATACGGCCAGCAGCCCGTTCCAGCAGCACCATCAGCAGATGCCGAATCCTCAAGTGTTCTCGTCCATATATATGCTGGATGATTCAGACGCACATATGGAGGTCATTCGGACGTTCTTGCTGCTGACCGTATTCGCATCCTGGGAGCGACATCCGGAACTCCTGCGGGAGATTCTTTCGCTCCAGAGCACTTTGGCCAGACTCGTTCGAGAACACGGCTTATCCGAACCCGCTCCTACGCTAGACCCAATCACCTGGGAAGAATGGTCACGAAGAGAAGGCAATCGACGAACGAAACTCATCGTGTACTGTTTCTTTAACCTTCACTCGATCATGTACAACATCCCGCCCCTGATTTTGAACGGGGAGCTGAAGTTGAACATGCCCTGTTCGCATGAGCTTTGGAAAGCCAACAATGCCACTCAATGGCGACGAGCGCATCGGTACCGGCTAGGGTCCGACGTGCCCTTCCAGGAAGCGTTCGCCCGGCTTTTCATGAAGTCAGCCACGTCTGTCCCCTCGGCACCTATCTCGCCTCTGGGCAACTATATCCTTATCCACGCTCTTATTCAACAAATCTTCTTTGCGCGGCAACTATGTCTTTCCGCTCCGACAATGCAAGGAACCAGCTTGAGACAGGAAGATTTGAACGTGCTGGACGGTTCTCTCGGTGCCTGGAAAGCTCTGTGGAAACGCACGCCTGAATCCAGCATCGACCCTCAAAATCCCGCGGGCCCTATTGCCTTCACATCCACCGCTCTCCTGGGCCTTGCGTACATCCGCCTGCACGTCGATCTCGGCCCCTGTCGCCACCTCATTACCCAAGACCCATTGCAAATCGCAAGCGCACTAAGCTCCTCGCCTCCCATTGCCCGCAGCCCACGTCTAATCATGGCCCTCCTCCACTCCGCCCACGCTCTTTCCATTCCCGTTCGTCTGGGCATCGACTTTGTGGCCCGAACCCACTCCTTCTTCTGGAGCATCCAGCACTCCCTCTGCAGTCTTGAATGCGCATTCCTGCTCAGCCGTTGGCTCCTCGCCATCCCCGCAACGCAACCCGAGCAGCGCCTGTCCGAGCACGAGCGCAAACTCCTCCTGTGGATCAAGAGCATGATGGACGAAACAGACATGGCTGTTGATCCGCCCGGTGCTCCTGACCCGGAATTCGTGGCTAATCCTTACAAGGTCCGCCAGCTTAGCGTGGCCATCGTCCGCGTCTGGGCGAGGACTTTCAAGGGGAATACCAGCTGGGCTATTGTCGACCTGGTTGGATCTAGCTTGGATGCTTATGCTGATCTCCTGGAGAGCTGATCAGGTGCGCTGTCAGTAAGCCGGCATGCGTGCAAGCACGCCCTTTTTCTTACCTTCTCTTTGGTCTATATGATATCTCATGGCGTTTATGTATATGCGGGATGAGGAACCGGGTGTTTGTCTTCTCTTATTGCTATTTGGTTCAAGTTTATTGTTGGGCTGGTTTGCATGAATTACGACCCCAGCACTTTGGTTGCTGCCACCTATACCCCCCGGTTGATGCGACGCGATTATCTCTTATGAGCCGGGGCATGTGGGATGAATTCTTCGGTTGATTTTATTGTTATTAAACGGATCTTGAATTCTTATGATAGCCACTTCTGTGAACTGGGAAGAAATGAATTACGGCGCATTTCGTTTCGTCTTTTATATATCTGGGTCCTTTTCAGCTCTTGGTTTCTTCGTTCATGGAGAAAAAATTCCAGTTATACCTTTAGGTGAAACTGCTATACACATCGCCGCGTTCAGGCGCCTCCTTTTCCGAGGCAGCAATCAAGGTCTCACCTAAAGGTTACCCAATATTAAGTTACATAACATGGCTCTGAGCCTTCTGCCTCACGTCTCTATCTCACCCATGATATGATATAGAGCCAGTCCGTCACCACGTCTTATACGGCCAAAGAAGTCGAATACAGCAAGTTTACGATCATGCATATTCGCAAAAACTCACGACAATTTTGGAACCATCCACGCGTCCAGAACCCGAGTAGGCCGGGAAGTCCACTATTCTCTATTTGTTGCCATAAAGACACCATGAGCGTGATACACGCGATATCATAATCAGCCCTTGTCTTTCCGAATACTTTTCCGAGCTCAGATCTTTTGGGATAAGATGCTCATCTCCGTTTGCGATGAGAGCTTCAACAAGAGTCGCTCTCCCGGCGTGTATAAATCCAAGACGCCGGTACAATTCCACAGTAACATCGTTTCCCGCCTTAACAATAAGCCGTACTTGAATTTCCCGAGGAGAGGGCCGATATGATCGAAGATAATCAAGGGACGCCTGGCATAGTTTGCTCCCAAGTCCACGGCCGCGATGTTCCGGAAGGGTAAACAAGCTCAGCATCTGCCATCTCTCTTCCTCTTCGTCGGATCTCTGGGGTGGCTGGCCAGCCTCCAGGGGTAACTCGAAATCAACGCTGGTTGCAGGTCCTCGCAGAGTGACTTGACCGACCCATTGGATGCCATCGGGACATAACGGATCATGGCCGAATGGTGTAGCGGCGCAAATGAAGACTTCTCGATCAGGGACAGTGAGACGGTCTACCCAATCGGCATAGATGAAAGCCGCTTCGATATCGTAGGTAGATGAGAAAGAGCCAGGTGAAGTCTTCAATGCTTTTAAGCGCAGTTCTCGATATTTTTGAGCGGAGGCGTAGACTCCATCGGTCTTCGAGACACGAAAAAATGAGTAGTTATAGTTGGAAGCCATGGAAAGGATTTGAAGGCAGGTAATGTATTCGTGTATTCGACCGGCATAGCTCTCATTGAGTATTTATCTGCGATATTTCTATGACTCAGATATAGCAAACTGCGGCCAACTGAAAATTGACCGACTTCGTTGCTACGGCTTTGATCCACTTTTCTATCTTCCAAATTTGACGCGGCTAGAGTATGAATAGGGATTGAATCTGCGTAAAATAGAATGTCAATGGGTTGTTTACTATTATCGTCACATTAACTATAGCGTAAAATACTAGTTAAATTTCAGATCGAAACCTCAATTTGGCATTTTGCGACCTCCATGCTCACCTAGTCTCTTGCAAATGGTCCTGCCCCTCCATTTATTTATGAATGGTTTACCAGGTCCCAACTGCCGTGATTCACCCGACCCCACGTAGCCAGACCGAAAATGGGACATGTAACATTTTTAAAAATGATCCAATCTTTGGAAGGCCACTGTTGACTTGGGAGACCCAGGTTCCGGTTGAAGCTAGCAATGAATGAGACGTGCACTAGATAGCAAAAACCATGAAAATAAGAAAGAAAATAATCCTCCCCTATTAGGGTTTAATTCTACAGTATAAACAAAGCTTTCTTGATGTATTATGACTAGAAGACTGCTCGCCAGTCAGATATACCACCTAGAGCATGATCTACGCTACTATGCCGATGACCCCTCGGCTGTAACTTCGTTAACTAACTACTATGGCATTTACTACTACAGCTCTGCCGACATTTACAGAGCGTCGAACTAAAATGGCTTAGCTTGGCTCGGATACGTGCACTTAAATCGTGAGAGCGTGGAGATGAACCTGAATTCGAAAACAAGTGTATCATTTTCCCAAACTAATCCTCTCCAACTGTACGGCCGAAACTACTTGATAGGGCTAGTGCAGGTAGAGCCCGCCCCCGGACATAATAAGAGAGGGGGAGAGGAAGCGTCTAAGTTGATCCATAAATGCCGCCTTATTAACCCCTCGAGCTCATTGATTATTGACGTAGCAATCCGGAATACGGGAAATATGTACATCTCCGAGCCGGAGATCCTCGCTCCAGCCGGAGGAGCTCGCTTCAGGTTGGGGAAGACTAGCTTCCTTGCCTTAGGTTACTAGCCAATACTGCAAGTCCCGGGTAGACTAGTTGAGCACCTAGACACCAGCCCGAGCGGGTTTTGGTACCAATCAGTATTCATTTCTGAACGTAGTTGCATCATTCATATCCTTTTCTGCGGGTCTTTTGCTGCGCTAGGATCACGGTGGGAAATACTTCTCCCGTTTGTGGCCCTCCATCCCCTCGGTCTATATGAACAGACCCTACTAGGGTATTATGTAGTTTCCTAGTTGGGGAGTGCATGTACGCCATTGACGAATCAAGGCTAGGTTCCATTTTATCGGGATGAGCCGACTCTGAGGAGATGAGAATATTTCATTTCTCCGAAGCGGGGGAGGTTAACAGACTGAGAAGTTACTTGGTCTTGACTTGATTAATGACAGGCAGGATTTAACATAAAAGGCGAGGCTGTGGCATTTGGTCTTGGCTTCTGCTGCATACAGGTAGACACTTGAGGTGACTACCAAGTTTAACTTCAAAAGACTGGTTTCTGATAAGCATTGTCTCGCCATGTATTCCGCCCTAGCCGCGTCATTGTTGACGGCGACATTGCTGTTAACGAGCCCGGCGTGCGGTGCAGCGCATCCACGCATCACTCCGCCGAGCGTCAAGGTCCGCAATGGGTCTTACCACGGCATTCTGAACCAGCACTATGACCAAGACCTGTTTCTCGGGATGCCCTTTGCGCAGCCTCCGGTGGGAGACTTGCGGTTCCGCCAGCCACGGTCATTGAACACGACTTGGGACGGCAGTCGAAGTGCCACGGCTTATTATCCTGAGTGTTTCGGGTACAGTAGCGACGATTGGGTACTGGGCAACCCTGTCTCGGAAGACTGTCTTGCCATTAACGTGGTGCGCCCGCATGGTGTTGCAGAGGGTGACAAGCTGCCCGTCGCAGTGTGGATCTATGGCGGTGGATGGGTGGCTGGTGGAAGCCAGGACCCGCGGTATAATCTTTCGTTTATCATTGAGCAGTCCGTGCAGATGGATAAGCCGATGATCGGCGTGAGCCTCAACTACCGTCTCCAGGGATGGGGATTCATGTATGGCGAGGAGGTTGTCAAGGAAGGAGATGCCACCAATGCGGGATTGCATGATCAGCGGCTTGCGCTGCACTGGATCCAGGAGAATATCGCGGCGTTTGGAGGTGACCCGAGTAAGGTCGTTATTTGGGGACAGAGCGCCGGCGCAGAAAGTGTGGGTGCGCATCTCGTCGCCTATGGAGGCCGAGATGATGGGCTCTTCCGCGCCGGTATTGCAGAAAGCGGCACACCCGTTTCGGCAACGGCGTATGTGACTGCTTCGGAGTGGCAGACACATTACGACGCCATCGTCAGCGCAACCAACTGCACCGGCACGCCCGATACGCTCGCGTGCCTGCGCAGCGTCGATACATGGGCGCTCAACGACGTGTTGAACAGCTCCATCGTCAGCAACGAGGCATACCGCCCCGTCATCGACGGGGAAATTATCCAGGGATCCACGCTCACGCAGCTGCGGGAGGGCAAATTCGCCCATGTGCCGCTCTTGATCGGCAGCAACTTCGACGAAGGCACGAACTTTGCGGGGAAATTTGGCACCATCAATACCACCGCTCAATTCCGGGATATGGTCCAGACCTGGGGCCCGAACGACACCGTCATTGATACCATCGACGCACTGTATCCGGATATCCCTGCCATCGGAATCCCCGCCACGCTGGACGGCCGACCCCCGCCCAACCTGCAAGGCGAGTATGGGTACCAGTGGAAGCGCGACTGTGCCTTTGTAGGCGACATCCAGATGCATGCACTGCGCCGCACCACCACGCAGATGTGGGCCAAGTACGACGTGCCGGCGTATTCGTATCACTTCAATGTACTCGTGAACGGCCAGCCGCCGGAGATGGGCGCCACTCACTTCCAGGAGGTGGCCTTTGTCTTCCACAACATCCACGGTCTTGGATATGAGACTGCTGTCGCTGTGAACCCGTTCGCAAATGAGACCGAGACCTTTTTCGAGCTCGCCACCATGATGTCTCGGATGTGGGTGAGCTTCGTGAATCACCTTGACCCGAACCAGTCGGGCAGTATGTTTATCTCTCCTATAAAAATCTGTAGACATTGCTGATATCTGACCACCAGCTACCCGAGTGCACTGGCCGAAGTATACCACAGAGGCCCCACGGAACATGGTGTTCGATGTAAATGTCACGAATCTGGCGTACATTGAGGAGGATTATTATCGGGCGGCGCCCATCGCGTATCTGCAGGAGCAGTTGTCCACCGCATTCGGACGATAGTTGATTGCGGTACTAAGCGCACTCTATTTGTATCCACAACCAGACCAATTGGTATGCACTTCAAGGCTGACCCCGAGGAAGTCTCTCGCGGTTTCTTGTCACACTCGTCGGGACAAATTGTAGCGCAGACATAGACTTTTCCAGCTCATCAATCTCCATGTCCTTTGGTATCCCCGGCTGAGCCGCCAGGGGCGGCGGGGGAACAGGTGTAGTCGAGTGAGAAGCAGAGCTCCGCCGCCGCAGTCTACCTTCCTGGGCAGACGAGACGGACGTCATAGACATGCGTCGTCGGTGGCTATTCAAGGGCCGTAGCAGGGACGTCTGCTTGTCAATGCCATCATTGACGATGTAGAAATTGTAGGTCTGGTGCGAGAAGTGTCAGGAAGATGGCTTGTTGAAGTACTTGGTGGTACTACATACCCGGGGAAACATATGTTTGTCTATCATATGTAGTCTTCGTTTCTGGGGAGTGGAGCATTTCCGCTCGCATGTCTCAATGAAGCAGCCATACTTCTCGGAGTCGTCAGTCAATGCGCGGTAGGATTGAAATTCAATTGCAGACTAACCATCTTCTCCCCTCGTGCTTTACGAGCAGCAAAGAGCGGGTCATGGTTTTCCTCGATGTGAATATTGAGTAGATGGCTGGTAGGGAAGTTCTTGCTGCACTCCGAGCAGCGATTGACATGAGTCTGGCGATAGTGGACCTCGTAGTCTTCGTAAGAAGCAAATGAGAGCGTCTCGCGATGGGGTGGCAGGGAACAGTGCATGACTTTGGATGTATTCTGGTCTAAATTGGGCCGCTCATATGGTGCTGGAGGTGGTGTGGCTGTGGTTGATGATGGAGTTGGAGACCTTGAGAACTCCGGCTCCTCGAGATGCCCCTCGCTTGAGGGGCTCCGTGAACGCTTGGCCATGCTGCTTTAGTGTCCTGCAGCACTATGTAGGCTGGTTAACAGGCAAGATGTGCTCGCATCTGAAAGATTGAGCGGTAGCACACTGAGGTATGTCGTAGCATACCGTCCTGTGCAGCTGTGAGGGATATCACTAGGATAATAATCATCCAGCCACGGTCCCTGATCGTGTACAAGCACAAAAAAGCATAGCACAAATGATATAACGGTTCACCGCCCACCCATTCTGCCAATCACTGCCCTCTCTTTCCCCCCAGTATTTTCCACCTCAGGCGCATGCTTCTGTTCTTCTTGTTTTGCTGCAGCGGTTGCTCTCCTTCATCTTCTTTGGTTCGTCCATCTGGCCATACTGATGGCTGACCTACTTCTGTCCTCGCCCGACGTCCAGCCATTAGCCATCTGACAGGCGAGGTCATCGGACCGGGCTTCCCATAAGCATGGCATCCTCATTCCAGGATTCGTGGCAGTGAGTTCTCTTTTTGCCTCCTTCTGCCATTGCAGGGTGAGCGGTCGCTGATCAGTCGCATCATCTAGGATTGCGCTTGCAGCCGAAAGCGTGCTGTCCAAGGGCCTCGCTGAGAAAGAGAAAGGGCCCGCGTTCACAGACTTATCCCACTTCTTGTCCGAGTCAGTACCTAGAAAATTGTACACCATCTGGTGCGCATCACTGATCTGACATTGTTGCTTGTTTTGTAGGTTCCGGATCGCTTGCCAGAATGCCATTCTTTTGGATTTCGACTCTGCGCGTAACGCCAATGTGGAGGATCGTCTGTGGGATGCGCATCTGAAGTTGAACACCCGGTTTCGCAAACGGCTAGCTCGGGTGAGTGGATATCTGTTATATTACGTGTGGCATTTCTGATCAGTAGCGCCCCAATAGTACCGCGAGGAGACCACAAAGAAGAAGCCGGTGGAGAAACGCAAGCTCGAGAAGCATTACCTGGACTTTATCAAATCGAGCCAACGATTCTATCGGGGATATATCCAACATCTGTCGTCGCACTTTGGCGGGATCTTGGAGTTGGAGAAGGTGGCGCGGAAATTCAGCTTCGAGAGTGAGCCCTTCCTCTGCTATCAGTTTAATTGCCCGGTCACCAGGCTAACAGCGCTTCATACAGATCTCTCGGCGCAGCCTCCAACTCGCGTTTCGAGTGATCTGCGCAAGCGCATTCTGCAATCATGCCATGCGACGCTCATCCGCCTCGGAGACCTCTCCCGCTATCGTGAAGCTGAACTCGTGAGCAAGGATCGCAACTGGGGCCCGGCCATCGGATACTACGATCTTGCTTCGGTGATATATCCTGCGTCTGGGGCTTCCCATAATCAACTGGCCATCATTGCTCTTGCAGATGTCAATCACCTTCGGGCTACGTACCACCTGTACCGAGCACTATCCGCCCAGGAACCTCATCCGTCGGCGAAAGGAAATTTGGAAATTGAGTTCAAAAAGGTGATGAATGCATGGGCTAAAAGAGAGCTGATTCGCCCGGAGGATGCCGGCATTCCAGGAAGAGCATTGGCTCCTTGGTTTGTCTATCTGCATGCTCAATGCTACAAGGGAACCGACTTCCCTGAGCATGATGAGCTGGAGAGTGAAGTACTCAGCCAACTTGCTGTTGATATCAGAGAGCGTTCGCTCGAAGGCACTCTCCAAAAGTTCTGCCTGGTTAACATCGCGGCAGAAGCCTTTGCCCGCACGCGAGCAGCTGGTAAGTACTGGAAGCAATGCTCTTTCTAAAGTAGGCGCTAATCAAAATTTCAGATGGACCGGTTTCGAATGCGAGCGTCTTCTTTCAGCGCATCAACGTGAAGACCTTTTTCACCCTTCTGCAAATCCTCTTAGTCGAATTGGAGCGATTTGCCGTCGATGATCCGAGCAACAAAGAGAACAAGAACGGCCCGGATAAGGTGACGGTGGTTGCTCGCCGGATTCTGCCCGCACTTCGGCACTACAGTTCCTGGCTCCTGACGACCAGCGATTTCCTGGCTACGCAGAAGGAAGAAATTGACTCGTCTCTTTCCATTCAAATAAAGGAGTTCTGGAAGATATATGCGAGCACTCTGTCGCTCCTCGCGTCTACATTTGATATTGTGCGTCTTCCCGAGATTGATTACCTCCTGGAGGAAGACGAAGAAAGCCTCGGGTTTGCGCCTTTAGATCAGGAGGCTACTTCCCGCCGTTACGCCGGCATAAACAACCAGCCAAAACCTCGCATGAACGATTCTGGGGTGGAACGGAGCCACCCAAACATGGAAATGCTTTATCGCATCCGCGAGTTCGTAATCGATGGACTCGACCTGGTTGTCAGAAAGGTACGAACCATTCTTGTCATCTGGATGATGAGTTTAATTAACATGATCACAGCAAATTCCTGTCGCTCTTGTCGACGACGAAGACAAGAAGACTTTCATCTTCCAGGAAGAGGGGCTTCCGTCTCAATTTTTCTCAAGCCCGCATGGTCATCAGCAGACACTTTCGACCGCGAGCATTGAAAGAGAGGACATCCCGCGAGAAACCCAAGATACGAACTCTGTTGCAGAGGGTCGGAGTATGTTTGGTGACTCTCAGTCAGCCTCGGTGTCCATGTCTGCCAATATGAATCGCATCGTCGAAGGTGTTGAGCGGCTGGTCGAGTCGGACACGTACGAGAACCCAACCAATGACCAGCTTTCTTCCTTCTTAAGCGGAGCTGCAACCATGCCGACACCGACCCAGATTGGGCCTGACGCCAATGCTTACCCATTCAACGATCGCACCCCGCAGCCCATGAGTACGCCTATCGGTCCTGAAATTGGTCAGCCAGCCGTCAATACTCCTCGGGCCGTCCTGTCTGGCTTCCCTAGCATCGGTGGCCCGAGCATCTGGAGTACTGGCTCCCCTGCTTCCGCCTCCTCTCGCGGGCCGCCTCCTGGTTTGAGCCAACAGGCCCCTCTGAATTCCATGGCCACCAGCAATATGAATATCCAGGAACATTCTCCATATCGGGGGCTGGCTCAGACTCGATTTCCTGATATCGGAAGCCCGTTTTCTTCCTCACTAGTGCCCTCGGAAAATCCGTCCAGCATGGCCCCTCCTGTCGGACAAAGATGGGAACGGAACGCAACCAGTCGAACGACATTTGGCGCTTTCGACGTCCCTAGCCAGCCGATGTCGACTGGAACCACAAATGCTTCGTGGGCCAACAACGCCTTCATCGGCAGCAGGCTGTCTTCTGGGACTGATCTCCATAGTTCCGGTCTCAATGGAAACCGCAAATCCGGCACTCAAATCAATGCCATTGGCCCGACCCCGCCGTGTGGTCAAGGTGGTTGATTCCACAGCAGTTCTGGATTGTATGAAACTTTCGTGCATGCAGATAGCACAAGGATAACCGATGACTCTATTGTGGGCAACCTCGCCCTTAGGCTCGGCTCTTTCGACAGAACCAGTAGCTCGGTGATGTGCTCCCCTGCATTGCTCTACATCCTCCATCCAAGCCTGCCATGATCTGTTCCCAACACCGTCATGAGACTATTCCCAGATTGCATGTTCCGGGACGAAGCTCAGCCCTAATCACAGGGTAAAAAGTAACGTGATGGAGCCAGTGGACAACCACGGATCCCCGGAACTTGATCTTGAGATCTTCCTTTCATTCCCTGTGGCACTGTCATCGTTGATAATGCATGCATTGCGCGTTCAACACGCGACACAGAGGGAACTCAATGGCCATCGAGATAGTGCCGGCGCCGTCTTCGACAGGTCCTTATTGCCTCGTTCAGTTTTTGTTTTCATCTTCTTTTTGGCTTCCTTTCATGCGAAATGACCCCTGGTGCAAACTGCAGAGACCATTATTATCCCCAGGCACTTGAAAATAGCATTCCCATATTGCCATGCTTTAATCTCTTGAACCTTGTAGATATGTCATTTGCGATGATGCGAACCCTTTTGTAGGTCACCCAGCAGGCAGAGACTTGAGGACCCCTGTTGACTGCGCCGCATCTCGGGTAGCTTGAATCATAATTCCCTATTTTGTCTCACTAACTCATATTAACGCCAAGATCACCCGCTTACTTCCTGTGTTTCCTCCTACTAGACCATCCCCTTAACTACATGATCAATCGGCCAAGGGATCCAAATGACGTGCATCGAGAGGAGAACTAGTGGTGCTGCAGGTTGATTACTTGTGTGTGTGTACGTTATGACTGAAGCTATTGTCCTTTCTTCAATTGGTTCGGTTTTCAAACGAGTAGGAACTCAAGATATGGGACAAAAGAAATTGAAAGGAAAAAGGGTATAGATAGAGGGTTGAATCATCCGGCGTTGAGGGGAGTGCGGAATTCAGGTGTGGAGACATGAATTCATTGCACGAGGTCAGTCGTGATATCGGGAGGTTGAAGATGATTTTGTGTTGAAGGGCGGGAGTTTGAGATAGTTAAAGGGGATGTTTTGGGTGTGTCTTGTCTATGTGTTTCTCCGTTTCAAGAAAAGAAAGAGATAGCGGCCCTTTACGAGCGGGAGTAGGTTTGCTTAGGGAGGGGGAACCTGTAATCAAGGTTAGTCTTGTTCATCACGGGCATATCCTGATGGATAAAACTCACGAGGGTCCCAGCTCCTGGATGCTCTTGCTGGCCAGCCACTGGCCCATGTCGATACTGTCCTCCAGAGACTTGCCCTGCAGGACACCAGCACAGAAACCACCAGCGAAAGCGTCACTGAATGATTGACGGGTCAGCAAATATACAGAGCTTGAGAAGATAGGGTCATTGCTCACCCAGCACCAGTGGTGTCCTCAATAGCCTCCTTGGCAATCTCACGAATGGGGAACTCCTTGAGCTGGACGTCACCGTTGGCCGAAGCAATGCCGACCACAGTGGGCAGAGTGCCCTGGGTGACAATGGCGATTCTGGGACGCTGGGTGTTCTTCTTGGGCAGCTGAGCGAGCTTCTTAGCGATCTCGGAAATATCCTCGGTGCCCCACCCGTGGCTGGCAGAGAAGGCAAGGGCCTCCGTCTCATTGCAGAAAGTGTAGTCGGTGTAGGGCATAACGCTGTCCAGCTGGTCCTTGAAGAACTGGGGGATGAAAGGAGCGGAGAGGGAGAGCATGAAGACCTATATCAAGCCCAGTCAATCAGACAACTTCTTCCAACAACAACCAGCACCGGAATGGAACGTACCTTGTTCTTCGCAGCAGCCTCTTCAGCAAGAGCCAGGATGGCGGGCACACAGACAGTCAGGTGGTAGCCACCGACGTAGTACACCTGGGCCTTCTCGACCAGCGACCAGATCTGGGGCTGCTTCAGGTGCTCGATCTTGTACTCGTTGGCAGCAGCAAGATGGGTGCACATGCTACGGTTGTGGCCGGTGATGACAACACCGCACTTGCCAGTGGGCTGAGCATCATCGACACGGTACTCGGTGTGGACACCGGCCTCCTTGCAGGTCTTCTTCAGCAAGTCGGCATACTTGTCCTTGCCGACACAGCCGATGAAGACCACCTGGTTGTCGGGGAGCATGTACTAGAAACAGAGAATCGTCAACGACTGGACCAACACTAGGTTCAGAAGAACTGCTATGCTTACCTGGGCACCACGGGCAGTGTTCTGAGCAGCACCACCGGGAATCAGCTTGGCATCCCGCGAGAGCAGGTCCTCGTAGATACCCATGTGCTGCTCCTCGGCCAGAATGGCATCGTTATCCTTCAGGCCATACTTCTCAAGAAGGGCGGCATCACTTAAGCAACATCTGTCAGTTCCAGCGGATTGAATTCGAGTCAAATACCACCTACCCACGAGCCTGGATGTCTGTCGAGGGGTATGTTAGTATGAGTTGACGTTCCATGTCTATCCAGGTCTTCTACTCACCAAGGAGAGGGTTCTCCAAGCACAGAAGAGGGTATCCTTGGGGAGCAGCCATGATTGCAATGAAATTTGTGCAGATAAAAACACAATTGTCGGGATGGAAAAGAGGAAGAAATCGAAAAGGTGGGCCTTGGAGGGGTCGGCGTAAGTACTTTAGCGGCAGAAAACGGGAAGGCGGAGTACGGAGCGGCCTGTTTTCCCCTAGACATCGACATCATCGGCGGTCTGTCTGTCCTTCGCTACGACGTACAAACAGCAAAGCATCATGGCTGACCACGCTCTGGGGATCGCTGAGACCATCCAAACTGCCTCGATCAAGCGGCATCCCTCCCCAACCCACGACATCAACCCATCCACTGCCGCTTCGGAAAAACAACCCGTGGTCGCCGCTCCTGCCTCCGACGCCGGCAGCATTTCTTCAGACATCGTCGATGAGAGCCGAGTAATCCGTCCTCTCCGTCGTCAACAGACTCTTCCACCTCTGCCGGACCTACGCTTCGAGCAGAGCTACCTAGCCAGCTTGAAGGGTGCCGAGACTTGGGGACGAGTCGGGTGGATTACCGTGAGAGATCAAGTATGCCAACACGCCTGCAAAGCACACCCAAAAAAGAGAGGCTATATGGCTAATGCTTCAATCGTATTGTTTAGGTCCTCCTACCCCTCATCCAAGGCACGATATGGACCCTCGCGCTGTCGGGGTGGCGGTTCTGGAACCGCAATGCCTCCGTCAGCGGGCACACGCTCGGAAGTAGGATCCGCAGATGGTGGTACGAAGTCAACAACTGGCCTCTGCCTCAACGGGGCACCCTTCGCGATCCGCAGGTAGCCTCGCAGGTGGAAGAAGTGAGCTTTCCTTTTTAGGGGGGGTGGATGTACCCGTATGCGCTTGCGGGGATTCAAATATAACTGACGCTATCGGAGTTTTTGCAGTTCTACACGACACAATTTTCGAATGCGGGCTCGGATTAACTGAAATTTTGGTGTGATAGACTGCACAAGGAGCGTTTTACCAGGGTTGATGACTCTTGGGTTTTGCATAGTTGGCGTTGAGGGTTTGGGGTATTTTCATTCGCATTTCTATATCTCTCGTTTTGCAACAGTTTGGATCTTTTAACTGTCTTCACTGGGTTGAGGATAGATTCTGTGGGTCTTGATTTACATGTAATATCACATACTCGACTTGGGCTAGATGGCATGGTGGCTTACAAGAAGAAATTGGCATGGATGAGCTTCTTTTCATTAGCAAGATTTCTCAAGTATAAAGTACAGCAATTGGACGATAATCGCCCTCGTCACGCAAATCCCCTGCCGAACCAATAGGGCAAGAACTGGCTGGATCTGACCAATTCATTGAATGGATGAGATATCCACTCCTGATGGAGGGTTCGAAGCAGCACCAAACAGCACAATACGGACCCCTAGTGCGGCGGATTTCCTCCATGAAAGAAATGGGACTGCGTCGGAGGCATCCCAGGTGGATAGTAAGGACTAGGCTGAGCTGGTTTGGCCTGCGACACGCCATTTGGTTCCACCGATTGCGTATGTTTGGATGCCTCGAGAGGGGCAGTACCGCCCATTGGTGCAGACAGCATTGAAGGCGCTGCCATTGTCGGTCTCTGGTTATCAGCCACATAGGACGGGGGAGGCAGAGCAGGTGGCCCCGGGTTCATAGCAGATGCATTTATGGCCGGAGGTCGAGAGACTGATTGAGGCTGTGGAGCGGGAGGCAAATTTGCATTCAATGGGGGCAGCTGGGGTCTGGCCTCCAGGGATGGAGGTATAGGCGGCAGGGGAGAGGCATTTATAAATTGTGCCGCCTGAGGAGCCCAGTGTGGTGGTGGAGCTGGATGCATTACCATGCCAGGCACGGGAGCTTGTCGCATAGCTTCTGAATGGTGTTGCGGAACAGACGCCGGAACGAGTGGTGACTGGATAGGCGGGAGAGTAGACGAGTTCCCCGGTAGTCCCGTTTCCGTGATGCTCTTCGCCTGCGTATCTTGTGCAGGGGGTGGCGGCCTGTCGACTGGGACATTGGGGGCATTGTCTTTGCCATAGCGAAGTTGTACAACGAGGCTTTGGGGCTCCCCGTTGATGATTGATTCATCTCCGCTCACGTCTTCCTCATCTTCATCGTCACCTTCCATGTCAATCTCCTCCTCTTCATCTTCACCACTCTTCCACTCGTTGCCGCTGGAATTGCCCTCAGCTTCTGACGCATCTTCCAAGTCATCGGCATTGTATCCCGAGTATCCATTAGGATTAAGCGAAGTCCGAATCCTTTGCGACCTCGGAGCGTCGTCATCTTCAGAATCTTCCCTCTGGCCACTGTGCAATGATGCGCCATAAAGGCCTCCAGCACGGGATCGGATCTGCCGGCCACTCGCGGTGAACCGAGGAGCATCCGTTTCGTCTGCTGAGGGTGCATTGCGATTTGAGCGTCTCGTTGATGGTAAACCATCGGAGAAGAAGTCCTCATCGTCGGAATATGTATACTTCAGCCTCTTCCCACGCGTGCGACCTTCGTAAAGAGAGAAACCCGGCTCGGGCCGAGAAAAAGCAGCTTTGCGAGCAAGACGATAGTCACGGCGTTTCCGTTTCTAGTGGATGTGCATTAGTACAGTTAATCCGGTCACTTCAATGAATTGACTTACCTCTTCTGATGCCTCAAATCGAGGAATGGCGGCCCGAATTCTCTCACACAGTTTCTTCGAGTTAGTTCCTTTCTCCTCTCCAAGCTTGTCTGCAACAGCCTGCAGCTCTGGAATAGTCCCTGCGATACTCCACCAAGTGATATGCTTCAGAGCCGGATTGCTCTCTCGATACAACCGAAAGTTAGTATCATCTTGTCCCTCAATGAGCCAATACCGGCGTTTGAGGCTATCTCGGCCCCATGATTGAACGGATAAAGGCTGGTTGAGATCATCGTCGTGACGCGCCTGCTTGTAAGATTCCTTGAGCTTTGCCTGAACCGCTTCCGATGACGACAGAGACCAGAGAATCAGAGCTTTAAGCAATTGCAACTGTACAAATAATTAATGGTGTGGAAAAGTGGCGCTAAGACCGTGAGACCTACCCGCTCTTCGGGCGACAGGGTCGCAAAGGTGCGTCCGCCATGAAGGGGGTTCTTGCCCTGCCATTCCTTTGGCCACTGCGCCGCATGTGTCTGGACTGCTTCTTCGAGTGGGCGCGTGTAATGATTCCGTCTATAAAAGCCAATAAACTGCATTAGCCTTTGTTCTCCAGTGCAATTGGTGCTCCGTGGTAGCTTCGACCTCTCCCCACATCGGGGGAGTACTTGGGTGGCGACCATACTCAACATCCTTCTTGCGGTTCAGCACAAGTCCCAGCAATGCGCATAGTAATCTCTCAATATAGTCGCCCGGGGGAGACTCCTCTACGCCTCGCTCGATATCCTGGGGGCCGTAATGTGGCACATGGCGAGGGAACACATCGTGGAAACGCGCGCGGAACATGACAATGAACTAAAAGTTGCGACAACTCAGCAAACGTGTCCCAACACAGGGTGAACGCGTCATGGACGTGTCTATCCAACAAGGAAATCTCTCTCATACTCACCGCGATGCTCGGGTGGTCCGCTATAACGTATTCATGTGGTGGTGAGGGCTCCCGTTTGGGCGGCGGTGTTTCGGACTTCTGCTTCTTGAAGTACTTGGTGATGCCGACCGGCTCCTCATCTGCCATGGCTTCGTCGTCTGTCGGCGGTGCTGACGACAGTGATGAGACGTCTGAAAGAGACATGGTTGGATGCGGTTGGGGGTGGTGGTGTTGAAGGGGGAAGGAAGGTGAGTTGAGCCCGAAGTGAGTTCCGCGTATCGCGCCTTCACTCCAGCGCCCGATCGATATTTCATAGGATTCCTACGCAACCAAGGATTGCTTTCTCATTGGTTATTCTGCACGGGAAATAGGTATCTGCTTCTTTTTTCATTATCAAGAATTACAGACTCTTTTGGATGCTGTATATCGATCTATAGCGCCAGCACTGAGCACGTTGGCCGACTCAGGATGTTCGGAACGACTCAGTACTCCTTTCGCGATCACCGCATCGGTCAAATTCCATCGCCGAACCGCTCGTTGTTCAATCACTTTGCATCCTCGCTCCTCTGATCTCAACCCTACTTGGGATCATGGCAGATCATGTGATCTCGGTATTATATAATCACTGACTAGTCCTATTTGGGCTAGGTTAGCGACCGCACGCAAAAGCCCACACAGTCAGTCCGGGAACTCGATTTTCTCAACCCTCAACAAGCCCATCACATCAAGGTACGCCCACCACCACCACTTTTCCTGCTACCACCTACGACGATACTAACACACACTCCTTTCAGACAGTCGCCATGGGTCGCGTCATTCGCAACCAGAGGAAGGGCCGTGGTTCCATTTTCAGTGAGTTCGACCGCATCAATCCGGGATGAAAGTGCGCTGCAACGTCGAGCATGGAGCAGCGAGGAAAAACTCGAGTCTGGAACAAAATAAAAAAAAAGGGAATTGAGTGCTGATGTCCTTTTTTTCTCTACTTGCAGCGGCCAACACCCGTCTCAACAAGGCGCCTGCCCAGTTCCGTACCCTCGACTATGCCGAGCGTCATGGCTACACCCGCGGTGTTGTGAAGGAGATCATCCACGACGCCGGCCGTGGTGCTCCCCTCGCCAAGGTTCAGTTCCGCCACCCCTACAAGTTCAAGATGGTCACCGAGACCTTCATCGCCAACGAGGGCATGTACACCGGCCAGTTCATCTACGCCGGCAAGAACGCTGCCCTGACCGTCGGCAACGTCCTGCCTCTGGCCTCCATGCCCGAGGGTACCGTCGTGACCAACGTCGAGGAGAAGGCCGGTGACCGTGGTGCTCTGGGCCGTACCTCCGGTAACTACGTGACCGTCATTGGCCACAACCCCGATGAGGGCAAGACCCGTGTCAAGCTGCCCTCCGGTGCCAAGAAGGTGGTCAAGAACACCGCCCGTGGTATGGTTGGTATCGTCGCCGGTGGTGGCCGTACCGACAAGCCCCTGCTCAAGGCTTCGCGCGCCAAGCACAAGTTCGCCGTCAAGCGCAACTCGTGGCCCAAGACCCGTGGTGTTGCCATGAACCCCGTCGATCACGTACGTTCCCACCCATTGGTTGTTGTGTTCATCTCTGACATGCCCTTCTACAGCCTCACGGTGGTGGTAACCACCAGCACATTGGTAAGGCGTCGACCATCTCCCGCTACGCCGCCAAGGGTCAAAAGGCCGGTCTCATTGCCGCCCGGCGGACCGGTCTGCTCCGTGGTACCCAGAAGACCAAGGACTAAGGGTATTCTGGCACGGAGTTTGTGTTGTGATGGGTTGAAAATGGACTTCTGCTATGAGACTTATGTACCTAGGCGACTGCGGATGAGCGTCCCACGCACCCTTAGCGAATTAAGGCTGTGGCCATCATCTTTTTCTCAACCTGGGACGGAAGCAGAAGCAAAAACGGCCCGTGGGGGCACGGAAATGACATACCTTTTCGAATCTTTATTTATTTCCCTTGTAGTGGGCCATTGTAAGGTTCGGTGTGCATCCAAATGTAGCAAGCTACTGTGTATGTAGGAAGCGTCATTCTATGGATGGGTTGTTTTAGAGTTGTGGTTTTCATCTGGTTTTTGCGATGCCTGAATATATCATGCTGATTGGGTCGAAAATATATATCTGATGCCAGTTTCTATACAACACTTGGAAACAAAACCACCATTGGCCATATCTATCCATATCTAAAGTGGTAGTAGTGCATTAAAGCATCTCACCGTCCCAAACTATCCCCATGAACCTATCAACGTCCAAGTGGCAGTGACAAAAGTCGTTGATCTCAAAGTGACCAATCAGCGGCCACTACCGCGCCCATGATAAATCACCTTCCATCAGTGTCTTCTCTTTCACTCTCACCACCAGCGACAACCCAGAGAGACTGACATACAATAATCTAAAACCATCATATCATCCCATCATGGTCCAACCTTCAAACCCACCACAAAAAATCCCCCGCCTTCCACCATCAGGCCAAACCCTTGACTCCGCAGCCCGGTGGCAAGCCGTCGCAAACCGGGACCCCAGCATCAACACGTTCGTCTACGCAGTCCTCACCACCAAAATCTACTGCCGCCCATCCTGCTCAAGCCGTCTGGCACGCCGCGCCAACGTGCGGTTCTACGACACGCCGACCCAGGCCGAGCACGCCGGGTTCCGGCCCTGCAAGCGCTGCCACCCGCAACACGCGGAGCTCACGGCGGCTCAGAGTGACCCCCAAACGGCGCTGGTTCAAACCGCCTGCGCGTCCATCCGTGACCTCCTGGCGAAGGGCCTGAAACCGCCGCGGCTTTATGATCTGGCTGCTGCAGCGGGCTTGACGCCGAGTCATTTTCATCGCGTGTTTAAGAAACAGGTTGGCGTTACGCCAGGTCAATATGCGGCTGATATTATCCAGTCGCGTGTGAGTCAGAGTGTTGATGGGGGCTCTTCTGATACATTGTCGGCAGGGAGGCTTGACTTGTCCTCATCACCGGCATCCCCTCTGTCGGGGCTAGGTGGTGGCGGGGATGGCGAGCGCCTGGATTGGAATCTTGATTGGAATCTGGAGGGGGAGAAGGGAGTGGAGGGGGTTTCAGACAGTCTCCCAGTGGACGAGGCACTCCTGTGGAATGACTTTGATGTGTGGTTGAGTGGTGAGCCGGCCATTCACATTGATCCGCGGATGCTGGGGGGCATGGAATCAAATCCATCAATAATCACAAGTAACATATAGCAATGAACACCCAGTCTATCTTGACTCGTAACCACCGCCTAGCTGGCGCCTTTCTAGGAGGCTGTAAAGGTGAAACCGTCCACCAGCATCCCCGGACCCGCATCCGGGCATTCATCAGTGGTGGCAACATCCCAAATTTTAACTGCACACTTATAATTAGTTCACCAATAGGCATGGCTCCCCCCACCACCCCCGGCCCACCAACGCGTGTCACGGCTGTGCCCGTCTCACTGGATTTGTGGTTGTCCCCTGAAACACTGGCTCTGGGAGTTTCAGTTCTGGCGTTGGCGGCAACCAGAAGGGCCAGAAGGGCTTGGTTGGTCAATCACAAGAATCAGAATCATCGTAGGGGTAAAAATATCCTAGCAATCATAATCGACGTCAACCCGCGTCCTGGAGACACCTCATAGTCCCCACCGATCAACCTGAATGCATCCCGAATAATTTTGGTGGCGCCAGTCCTTAATCAATGGGCGCAACCCCTTGGCATGACAGCCTCCCTTCTTTGTGTTCTTTTCTTCCTTTCTTCCACAACACTCTGCCCTCCCCCTTCCTTTCTCTCTTTCTTCCACTCCTACACGCTCTTTTCATCCAGTATACCAGTATCTGTTTGCAATTCATCTATCCCACTGCCTTCCTTACTTACCGTCAGACCCCCCGATCGGCACCGATCTCTCTGCCCCACCACCACATCCACCATGAATGTCAACAAGCGCATCGGTCGCCTCAAGCAATGGGCCGGCGAGCGCATGGGCGGCGAGGTCAAGACCAATCTCTCCGATAATTTCAAGGCCATGGAAACGGAAATGGCCGTGCGCCATGAAGGTATGACAGTATGGATGAAATGGCCCGGAATTAGGGCTGACGCCAGATCTTTCCAGGCGTCGACCGCATCCACAAATCCATGACCGGATATGTTAAGGCCCTCTCGAAGCGCAATGAGGGCGACGACAAGGAGAAGACCCTCCCCGTGGCCCACCTGGGAAGCAGCATGATTGCCCACGGCGAGGATTTCGACTGCAGCTCCGAATACGGCCAGTGCTTGACCAGTAAGTGGTGACAGAGACATTCCAGAGTGCCATGATCTCTAACTAGCAGATTAGTGTTGGGTCGGACGGAGGAACGCATCGCACGTGTCCAGGAAACCTATATTGCGCAGGCGACTTCGAGCTGGCTTGAATCCCTGGAGAGATCGCTCGCTCAGATGAAAGAATACCAGCAAGCGCGCAAGAAGCTCGACAGCCGACGATTGGCATATGATACCTCGCTCTCGAAAATGCAAAAGGCGAAGAGAGAGGATTTTCGAGTGGAGGAAGAGCTGCGCACGCAGAAGATCAAATACGAGGAGGCCAATGACGACGTGCTGCGCCGCATGCAAGATATCCGGGACTCAGAGCCCGAAAATGTCATGGATCTGGGCATGTTCCTGGACGCTCAATTGGAATATCACGAGCGGTGCCGGGAGGCGCTCCTTCAACTCAAGAACGATTGGCCTGGCGGGTAAGATCGGCGCTCCTAATCCTCTCCAGCCAATGTTAATCCCTTTTACAGGTCCAGTGTAGGGCAGGCTACGGCGCGCCGCTCACGAGCCCGTTCCAATACCGGCAATTCGCTCCCGCAGCGATACGACCCTCTTCAGGAAGAGATCGCGAATGTTACGGAGAGTCGACCCACGATCCGCTCCAACAAGACCATGTCGATGTATATTGCCGACTCGCCTGCTCGCGAGGCTCAACCGATCAGCAATGGGTACTCCCGCCCGGGTTTCAACCGCACGCCCACCTTTGAAGGGCCCACTCAGCTGCGCCAGGAACAGTCTCCATCGCCGTGGGTGCAGCGGGCTGCCAGTGACCTGACTGCGCGCCACAGTGTCCATCTCGGCAGCGGCAGATTCCCCGGTGACCCTTACGCCGACTCCGAGGGCAGCTCCTACGGCCGGTCTAGCCCGGAGCGCCTATATGGTAACAACCGGTCGATCTCGCCCGCGACCTCGCACTGCAGCAGCGTGGCCTCTCGACGACCGAGCTCGAATGCTCTGAATGGGACAACTGGCTTGGCCAAGAAGGCGCCTCCTCCACCTCCGCCTTCGCGGGCCAAGAAGCCCCCGCCTCCACCACCGCCCATGAAGCGCAGTTTGGTAGCTGCTGCTGATGCCTAGGGTGGATAATGACGAATCGAGTTTGGTATCGAGCGTGGGGTTTGGGAGTTTGTAATGTTCTGATGGGTTATGATTGGGTATGATGATTTGGGTTACGAACATTGTTATCTGCATTCGTTCTTTTATTGGGAGATGGCCGCGAGTATTGCTTTGCTGCTAGTATAGTTAAAACAAACCATTGCTTCAAATGAATTGTTACACATTGGCAACATTGCTCTCACTACAGTAGTGATTTATATGAGTGAAGGTTCCTCCCATGAAATCAAAATGGGTTGTCGAAGTTGTCAATTATGAGCTCCAGGAAAGAGGCAAGTATGGACCGCCAAGAATCATCAACGCTTGGATGATTGAATGTTTCTTGAAGTTGTAAGTTTTCTTCAGGGTTGCGCTCAAAGCTTGCTCGCAACAAGAACACTCCATGGTGCACTAATGGCCGGCTGCAACTTCCCTGCTGATAGGCTGTGGCGACATAGACAGCACCCACAAATTCTTTTCAGTATTCCTGCTACGTGTTAGTTAAAACAGGCGTGCTTCGAATTAGGTGTTCCAAGTATCACTACCTCGATCTATAAGCCGTCCGGGGTCAGGACTGCATGTACGGCGGGCGCAGTACATGGCAGTCCGCTGACTCAGCATCACCTGACCGCCACACTGAAATCTTCTCCTCCGCCTCCTGTTGTTAGTCCACTACTCAGCGAGCACCAGCCCCGTCCAGCGAGTCGCGCAACCCGGTCCCCTCCATCTCCATTTCATCCATTTTTCCCTTCAACGCGCCCTCCCCGCCGCGTTTCTGCCACTTGGGGCCTCCCATCCCATCCCCGCTGCCTCCTTTCCGGTCTTTTCCATTTTCCCTTCTTTTCTTGACTCATCCGGCCGTGACCCCCATTGGGATTCCTGCCCATCGCCTGGCATCTCCGGACCTCCGACTACGGGCCCAAACATCTCCATTTCCATCGCCAAGGATCACGACTAGGCCCTTTCTAGTCGCATCGGTCCCCCCAAATACCTCTCACCTTCGTCGCGTCCCTACCCTCCCTTCCTCGATCCTGCCCCCTTCTCTTTCGCGGGCGCGACCTGGCAATAAGTGGAGACCGCGACAACTCCCAACAACATCCGCTTCGATTTTCTCGGTCGCGTTGCCCTGATCACCCACCCGGTGCCTGGCCCATGAATTAAAGAAGCACGCGTCTTAAACATGGCTTCCTTGCAGTCGGCGCCTAACATGGCGTCTGGCAACGTGAGCTTGCCGCCTCACTTGACGCAACAGCACGTCCAGGAGGTTCTTCAGGTGAGTTGTCGCTACACCATCCCTCGACCCTCGACACCCATTATATCCCGACATGCTAACCTCGCTGTCGCGCAGAAATTCAAGCAGATGCAAGAACAAGGTGTCCGCCATGACGACCCTGAATACCTCAAGGCGCACAACCTGCTCTCTGCCATCCAACGGCAGCAAGCCTTCCAGAAGCAACGAATGCAGCAGCAACAACAGCTCCAGGCACAACAGCGCCAACAGCAGGTGAATGGTGCTGGCGCGGATGCCGCCACCAATGGAGCCCATGGTAAGCCCTCGTCGCGCGTCGGTCCAATTGTGATGATCCGCTAACATTTCTCACCAGTGCGCACCGGCTCGACTTCGTCTACTACTGGCGCTATTCGAGAGTCCTCCTCTACGCCGAACCAGGCCCAAGTTGCAGGACAGAAGAATGGCCCTGGGCCCAGCAGTAGCTTTTCGCCAGAGCAATTGGCCACTCTGCGCAATCAGATTCTGGCGTTCAAGATGCTCTCCAAGAATCTTGCTATCCCGCCTCGCGTCCAGCAGCAGCTTTTCGCGTCCAAGAAACAACAGACGCCGACGCCTACCGAGAACGTCAGTGTGGCCGAAAATGTGGTCGAAAATGCGCAAAAGATCTCTGCGGATAAAGCTGCTAACGCAGAGCCCGCTGCTCCGGCCAAGGACTGGTATGGGAGCTTCGAGTCTCCATACGACTCGCTGTCCAAAACAATCAGCTACACAGATCACGCTACTCGCGCGAACCGCGCACGCATCCCTGCTCTCATGCCCCTTGGCATCGACTTGGAACAAGTGCGCGAGGATCGTGAATTGATTCTGTACAACAGGATCACTGCGCGGAAAGCGGAGCTTGCTGAGTTGCCTGCCAACCTTGGCGCATGGGATACCAGCAAGAGTGATGCGCCCACCGGTGACGATTCTTTGAAGCTGAAGGCGCTCATTGAGTACAAGATGCTCAATCTCTTGCCGAAGCAGAAACTTTTCCGCAAGCAAATTCAAAACGAGATGTTTCATTATGAGAACCTTGGCATGACTGCGAACCGCTCGAGTCATCGTCGCATGAAGAAGCAGTCTCTGCGGGAGGCCCGAATCACTGAGAAGCTTGAGAAGCAACAGCGTGATGCTCGTGAGACCCGCGAGAAGAAGAAGCAATACGACCAGTTGCAGGCTATTCTCAATCACGGCGCTGAAGTCGCCAACGCCACTGTCCAACAACGCACTCGCTCGCAGAAGCTGGGTCGCATGATGCTCCAGCACCACCAGTTCATGGAGCGTGAGGAGCAGCGACGTGTGGAGCGGACCGCCAAGCAACGTCTTCAGGCTCTGAAGGCTAACGATGAGGAAACGTACCTGAAGCTGCTCGGACAAGCCAAGGATTCCCGCATCTCTCACCTGCTCAACCAGACCGACAACTTCCTGAAGCAGCTGGCTGCCTCTGTCCGAGCGCAGCAACGGAACCAGGCCCAGCGCTACGGCGATGAACACGACGATTTTGAAGAAGAAGAAGAGGAAGACGAGATCGGTGGAAGTTCCGACGAGGAGACTCCCGGCCAAAAGAAGATTGATTATTACGCTGTGGCCCATCGCATCCGAGAGCAGGTCACTGAGCAGCCTTCGATTCTCGTTGGTGGTACTCTGAAGGAGTACCAGCTGAAGGGCTTGCAGTGGATGATTTCTCTGTACAACAACAACCTGAATGGTATCTTGGCCGACGAGATGGGTCTTGGAAAGACCATCCAGACCATCAGTTTGATCACCTACATCATTGAGAAGAAGCGGAATAACGGCCCATTCTTGGTCATTGTACCTCTGAGTACGCTGACCAATTGGAACCTTGAGTTTGAGAAGTGGGCACCTTCGGTCAGCAAGGTCGTCTACAAGGGACCTCCCAATGCTCGCAAGCAGCAACAGCAGCAGATTCGTTGGGGCAACTTCCAGGTCCTCTTGACCACCTACGAGTACATCATCAAGGATCGTCCCGTGCTCAGCAAGATCAAGTGGACACACATGATTGTTGACGAAGGTCACCGGATGAAGAACGCTCAATCAAAGCTGAGCAGCACTTTGTCCACATACTACGTCAGCCGTTATCGTTTGATCTTGACCGGTACTCCGCTGCAGAACAACCTGCCTGAGCTGTGGGCCCTTCTCAACTTCGTCCTGCCGAACATTTTCAAGTCTGTCAAATCGTTTGATGAGTGGTTCAATACGCCGTTTGCCAATACCGGTGGCCAAGACCGCATGGATCTGAGCGAAGAAGAGCAGCTGCTTGTGATTCGTCGTCTGCACAAGGTTCTTCGTCCTTTCCTCCTCCGCCGTCTGAAGAAGGATGTCGAGAAGGATCTGCCTGACAAGCAGGAGCGGGTTATCAAATGTCGCTTCTCCGCGCTGCAAACCAAGCTGTACAAGCAGCTCGTGACCCACAACAAAATGGTGGTCAGCGATGGGAAGGGTGGCAAGACTGGAATGCGTGGTCTGAGCAACATGCTTATGCAGTTGCGAAAGCTCTGCAACCATCCGTTTGTCTTTGAGCCCGTGGAAGACCAGATGAACCCCAGCCGGATGTCCAACGATCTTCTGTGGCGAACAGCAGGGAAATTCGAGTTGCTTGATCGGGTTCTGCCCAAGTTCCGTGCCACCGGACATCGTGTCTTGATGTTCTTCCAGATGACCCAGATCATGAACATTATGGAGGATTTCCTTCGCATGCGTGGTCTCAAGTATCTCCGCCTTGATGGCTCCACCAAGTCTGATGATCGATCCGATCTGTTGAAACTTTTCAATGAGCCGGGCTCTGAGTACTTTTGCTTCTTGCTCTCGACCCGTGCTGGTGGTCTGGGTTTGAATCTGCAGACTGCCGACACCGTCATCATCTACGACTCCGACTGGAATCCTCACCAGGATCTGCAAGCCCAGGATCGTGCTCATCGTATCGGTCAGAAGAACGAGGTCCGCATCCTGCGTTTGATCAGCTCGAACTCTGTTGAGGAGAAGATCTTGGAGCGTGCACAGTTCAAACTCGACATGGACGGCAAGGTTATCCAGGCCGGAAAATTCGATAATAAGTCCACCAACGAAGAACGAGACGCCCTTCTTCGGACGCTTTTGGAGACTGCCGAAGATGCGGAGCAGCTTGGCGACCACGATGAGATGGACGATGACGACCTTAACGAAATCATGGCTCGGTCTGAAGCCGAGGTGGGCATCTTCCAGCAGATCGACAGGGATCGCCAGAAGAACGATGCGTATGGCCCTGGACACCGCTACCCTCGACTGATGTGTGAAGAGGAGCTGCCCGAGATCTACATGCAGGAGGACAACCCAATTACGGAGGATCCCGAAATCGAGATCGCCGGCCGCGGAGCTCGTGAGCGCAAGGTGACCAAGTACGATGATGGCCTGACGGAAGAGCAGTGGCTAATGGCGGTGGATGCCGAGGACGACAGCATTGAGGATGCCATTGCTCGGAAGGAGGCAAGGGTTGAGCGGCGCAAGTCCAACAAGGAAAAGCGTGGGAAGAAGGGAGGGGCCGAGTCATCTCCCGAGCCGCCATCTCGCGAAGGTTCCGAAACTCCTCAGCCCAAGAAGCGCCGCCGTGGCCCTGCACCGAAGCGCAAGGCTGAAGAAGTTGCCGATGACACCCCGCAGCCCAAGCGCAAGCGTGGTCGCCAGCCCAAGACCGTGGACACGTTGAGCAGCGCCGACCGTGCCACCCTGACTCGTATTCTTAATAGCGTGGTTGACTCCCTGATGGGAATGGAGCAAGAGCTTCCGGCCGAGTCCTCTGATGACGAGGATGAACCCGTCGTTCGCGCAATCATGGACCCCTTCATGAAGCCGCCTCCGCGCTCACAGTATCCGGATTACTACATGATCATTCAGAATCCCATCGCGATGGACACAATCCAGAAGAAGATCAAGCGGGACGAGTACCAGAATCTCCGGGAGTTCCGCGAGGACATCCACCTGATCTGTCAGAACGCTCGGACATACAACGAGGATGGCAGTTTGCTCTTCCAGGATGCCAACGACATCGAGGTATGTTTTTATATTGACAATTTCCATCCACAGTACTGACCACAACCAGGCCAAATGCTTGATGGAACTGAAGAAGCAAACCGAGGGCCACCCGGAGTTTGCCAACTTTGACGACTCGGTTTCTGCCGCTGGAGATGGCATGTCCGCTCTTTCCGGCACGGAGACCCCGATGACTGCTGGAACCCCTGGACAGCCCAAGCTGAAGCTCACCTTCAGCAACGCAAACCGAGACAGTGGCGGCAGTGCGAACGGCGCCGAACTGGACGACGAAGAGTAGGCTGAATGCCCTCTCTTTTACCCATCATTATCACTCATCACGCACGATCCATCTGTTATCACCACTTTTAGGAACCCTGTGTAAAACGAATTTACCTTTTTATTACTATTTTTGTTTTCATTTTTTTCTTGTTTCTGCACTTGGACAGGGCGTTTTTTGTGTTTCCCGAATTCTTCGGCTCTGGAAATCCTGGCGGTGGATGGCGCAGCTTCTTGTACTCTTGTTTCGTTCACGCGAGCGATCTCCATGTTTTCGTCTATTGCCGTGGCCCTGTGTCATTGGTTTCTTGTATGCTCGATTATCTACTGCTTGCAATTGATAGCCGAATTACCTGTTACTACTACTACATACTCCGGACTCTTGGGTGACAGTGACCTGTTGCTTTATTATAAAGCGCGATGTTGTCCGCAATTGCCATTATCACGCATGTGGTAAGGACCAGTGTGTAGCTGCAGTATGCAAGCAAGCAAGCGTTGAACTAGACGAGCCCAGACCCCCACTACACTCGTTAGACCTACAAGTACCTACACAGATCATTCAAAATTCATGTTAACCCCCGCTTTTCTCCAATTCTTGTTTCCAGACTTTATTTCATTCACTTCACCATCGTAACATGTCTGCCAAGGACCTCACCGGTAAAGTCGCTGTCGGTATGCTCTCCTCCCACTTTATACTTCCCCTCTACCTCATCTGCCTTCCCGTAAACAAACCAAAGAAAGAGAAGAAGAATTAACCAAGAAAACAGTAACGGGCGCAAGCCGCGGCATCGGCGCAGGCATTGCCATCAAGCTAAGCCAGCGCGGCGCCAACATCGCCATAAACTACGTCTCCGACGCCTCTGCCTCCGCCGCCGAGAGTGTCGCGGTGCAGATCCGCTCCGCTGGCGTGCGCGCCCTCGTCCTCCAGGCAGATGTCTCCGATGAGGGCGCCGTGCGCACTTTGTTCGAGACCGTAAACCGCGAATTCGGACGCCTGGATATCGTCGTTAGCAATGCTGGCATTGAGTTCTTTGGTGATGTCGGCAGCGTTGCCGGAGAGGATATCGATCGTATCTTCGCGGTTAATGTGAAGGGCCAGTATTTTGTTGCCCAGGAGGCGTATAAGTATATGGCTGAGTATGGGCGCGTTATGCTGACCTCGTCGATTTCGGCGGTGAAGGTAGGTGTTTTTTTTTTGGCTTTATTTCACCTACTATACAAGTCCTCTCCTTCACTGCATTGACACTTTGCTGTCCGCTAATGAAACTGAATATAGGGTGTCGCCGGCCACGCCGTCTACGCCGCCTCCAAAGCGGCCGTGCAGGGCATGACAAAATGCCTAGCCGTGGACTTTGGAAAGCGCAATATCACAGTCAACTGCATTGCCGCCGGCGGCGTCAAGACCGATATGTACCAGGAGATGGCGGGCAACTACGTTCCTGGCAGCGACAAGATGACACCCGAGCAGATCGATGCCGCGATCGGCAAGTGGTCTCCTCTCGGTAGGCCGGGCGAGATTGAGGATGTTGCGGGCGTGGTCTCGCTTATTGCTAGTCGCGAATCCCAGTGGTTGACTGGGCAGACGTTCCAGGTTTCTGGGGGTGCGTACATGTCTTAGCTTTGGGTTGATTCCTTGGGCTCTTTTTGCGTTGCAGGTTGTGGTGTTTCTGTTTGAGGATGATATTATCCGGAGCTATCTTTTTCGTATATGCATTTCGGGTCTGATGAGTGAGTGAGTGAATGAATGAATGAATTGTTTTCTTCTGATTGTTATCAGTCTAATAAATGACTTAAGTATATGTCGGTTAGATAGTGAGGAAGATCATTGTGGTATATGGTATATGTAAAAGACGAACTGATCTTACAGAGATGGGCACAATATATACAAGACCATATTCAGCAAACATGGAATCCAAAAGCAAGGATATACAAACGTAGCTGCCATCATGGTTTCCCCAACGGCGAACTAGTAGGCTGAGCATAGTGCTTACGCAAGGCAGAGGTATTCGAGACCGCCGCATCAGACGTAATGCGCGTCTCCAAACGACCTGCTACATCACCATTCTCAGCCTGAGCGCTCTGGCTATATGCCTCGAGTGCCTCAAACACATGCCCGAACACCTGGCGATCGACGTCGGAAGCCCACAGAAAATCAAGATGCTCGTATTTCGGAATCGCCTTGGCGACTGTGCCGGTCGGTAGACCTTGTAGCATCACGCCGATATCGACGAGACTGTCGCTGCCGCCGTACAGCAGCACAATCGGGGTCTTGATGTTGCGCGTTGGGTATTTGACGGGCTTGTAGAAACGCTCGCTGGCGACGATGCTGAAAGGGGCGTGCAGTTCGTCGTCGTAGAACTGAAAGCTCTTGTTACGGATGATTTGGAACCAATGCACGACGGACTTGGTGCTCGTGAACGAGTACAGGTGTAAGTATGCGGCGATTTTCTGAGTGCGCTCGATGTTGGAGCATTTCCAGTTGAAGAGGATTGATAGCGCTGTGTCGATGATTCGAACGTAGATTGGAGGATAGAGGATCGTCTGCCACATGGTGGTTGATGAAAGTATGCTGCGCCGACCGAAGAGCAAGAACAAGAAATTCGGGGATGCTTTCATGAGAGAATCGACGATGCGGTTTCGGAGGCCCGATGGTGCCATGGCGGGTGCTAAGGCTACGAACACATCGATTTTTTGATTGAGAAGTGGATGAATGGACAGCGTTGCGAATGCCTGTGCCGTGCCCTGCGAGAACCCGATGTACGACAGCGACGGCTGGCCCGTGACATCAAGGATATGCTGGATGCTGTCGGGGATATCGTGAAAGGCAAACTGGTCCATGGAAAAATCCCAGAACTCGTTCGAGCCGGGCGAGGTGAACATTGATTTTTTTGCGTACTTGTTGCCCCGATTGTTGCCCAGCCACACGTCGTAGCCCTTCTCCACGAGCTGGAAGGGAAGACAGCGCTGTTCCTCGGTAAGGGCTACCCATACCTCACTGGACATGAGTAGGCCGTGGTGCAGGTACACGACTTTCTTGCTCAGCCCGCCCAATCCGTGGTTGACGCGCAGTCCTTCCTCGCCTTTCCGATATGGGAGTCGGTGGAGGCCCAGGAGGTACCCGTCGCCTGTTTGCACGATATGTTCTTCGGCCTCGTACCCGAATAGAGCGCACATCTCAGTGAAATCGGAGGCCGCCGCGATCGAGGCGGCGAGAACCTCTTCTCGGGTACGCTTATCGCGGGCTTCGGTGGAGATGAAGAGGTTGAACAGCGCTTTGGACTGTCCATAGCAGAAGCGGATGACAGGTGTTGCTGAGAGGAATCAGTAGGGTCGTAAAACACGTAAGAGATCACTCACGCAGGCAGAAGGTGATCAAATGAATGACGGTCTCGAGGAGAACGAGGACCAGTGACGCTGCGAGGGCCAGGTACTCGAACCTGTGCTGCAGTCAGCTTTATGCCATCAGGTTGGATACGGTCTTCGGACCAGAATAGGCGTCCAATGACGGGAACGCGCGCCATCTTGGATGCATATAGGTATTTTTGGGACTTGAGAGTAATAAGTAAGTGAGAAGGAAAGAAAGACGATCCAACGACGTCACTGCCCAGAGGAGGTTCATGGACCGCTTACCTCATCATCTGGGGAATCTTTTCAGTCAGAGTTTCTGTCTTTCGTGAATGTTGACCATCACACCAGCAACATGCCTAGCTCATGCAGGGATATCCGTGAGCCACAATCTACCCAATATCTATCCATCTTGTCCACTAACTTCCCCCTGCTCCCCAGGCGAGGCCCTCGCGCAATGCCTCCAGGAATCCGACTGCATCATGGTCCAGCGGCACACCCCGCGCGAATGCCTCAGCTCGCCGCTAGCCGAGGAGTTGCCGACAAAGTGCCAGCAGCTGAGCAAGGGATTGAGCGAGTGCAAGTGAGTTTTGAGATTCCCAACCTCACAACCATCTCCCATGCGGTCCCGGCGATTAACGAGCATCCAACCCCGACAGACGCGGCATGATCGATATGCGCAAGCGATTCCGCGGTAACCAGCCCATCGCCCTATCGAAGGAGTTGGAAGGCGGCAATTCGAACTCTGGCTCTGGGCAGCAGATGTATGCGGGCAAGCCTGCGTTCCAGTCGGTTAAGGAGCTCAATGGGGATGAGGTGCAGATGGATCCGGAGAAGACGAGGGGTCTTTAGATGTTGGGGTGAAGAAGATGGAAGCTAGGGGAGGAATATTTGTTTTATTACTGGCATGGGCTGGAGTTATGATCTGGATTTATATAGTGGAAAGCGGCGTGACAATGGCCATCGACTTTTTATGAAATATAAGCCGACGCCCTACAGACCATTCACAATCTCGCCACGGCGTTAGAGCGGCCAGCAAACTCTCAAGTGTGCAGCCATCTCACCCGACTTATCCATCGGAGACCAATGCGCGCCGTCAAGCACCACTCCCTTCAACCGCGGCACAAGGCCCCTACTCTTCGCCGGCGCCATCCTACGACCCGCCAATTGAGCTTCATGTACAGCGGAATACTTAACAGATGGAATCTACGCAAAACAAGATACAAAATCAATTCACATATGCATTGCAAAGCACATCACTCCTCATCTACTGTGTCTTCTTAAGCTGCGCCGACTTAGACGCAGGCTCGGAGTAGAGCCAAACAATGACGAAGACCAAGAATCCCCCAATAACCGACCACAAACCCGCAATCCACACCCAGCCACCGCTGATAGCCCAGCTGCGCGGGTACTCGTCGTGAGCGAAGTGGCGCACCGTGACCTCGTGTTTCTCCTCGACGTTGGTCAGGAAAGGCCGCTTGTAATTGACGCGGAAGGAGAAGATGCCGTGCTGGTCTGGCGTGACGAACTGCGTGCTGAATATCGTGCTCGTCTCGGTGCGGCGCGTCGGCTGCAGGGAGAGTCGGTGGAAGGGCGACAGCATGGTGAACTCCAGCTGTAGGTCGTCGGCGGGGGGAACTTCGAAGGGAACCCATTTGTCGTAGACGTACTCTGAGAGCTCAATGCTGAAGTACTGGTGGATCGTTAGTAATAGTACGTTGCACAATTATACAGGAGGAGTGACGTACGGTTTCGTTCTTGATCCGGTAGATCTTGGGGTTCAGCTCTGCGGGAGCCTCACCGTCCTGCGTAGCGAGGTGGTGCTCAATGGCTCCAACCTTGAGGACACCGGTTTCCTTGAAGGTCCAGGCGGTCAACTGCTTCGCGAACTCGCGGTTGACCGTGGGGGTCTTCTCCCCACCGGGTGCCTTGACCGTAGCCGAGAACCACTTGTCCTCCAGCGCCTCCACGGAACCCAGGACGGCGAAGCGCGCCGAGTTGCGGGCCTGCATGACAGACACAGCATTCAGCTGCGAGCCGGTCGCCTGGATATCCTCCGCAGCCGGAATCTCCTCCTTGGGGTTATAGCTGTACGCGGTCGCCGGGGCATGAAGCACCGGCGCAACGAGGACACTGTCGCTACCCAGAGTCTGGGGTGCGACGCGGGGGAGAGCCAGGACGCCCTCGCCATCGAAGAAGGGCTTGATGTCCGGACGCAGAGGTCCCGGACGCGGGAGCAGGAGAACATCGTGCTTCTCAGCGGCCGAGATCGTGTCGTAGTTGAAGTGGTCGACGACGACGGCGGAGCGATCCGGCGACAAGTGGATGTCGGCTTCCAATAGCAGCGAATTGATGGCGCTGGATGTGGAGGACTTGCCTGAGAGGGCGAGAAGGATGTTGCCGTCACGGTTGAGGAACTCGAGGATGTTCTTCGGGGTCAACGCGGGGCCGAGGCCTGGTCATTATAAAGTCAATTGATGAATTCCCTGAGCCTGAAATCAGGAACCGCACCTTTCGACTTGGGGGGGAGGATGAGGAGATGGTCGTAAGCTCTCTCGCCATGTTGGAACAGGGAGAGGTCGTCACTCTTGGGCGATTCGAAGGACAGATCATAGCCGCGGCCTTGCAAGTGGGTTAGTAAGAGCATTGAGAACACCAGGAAGAATGCAATACCTTCTAGGTCGGCCCACAGGGTCGAGTAGAGGCTCTTCTCGGCGGCGTCTTCCAGGACCACCAGCAGGCGGCTGCCGGAGCTGCTCAGCGCATTCACCGCAGCCAAGAAGCAGCTGAGAAAAAAAGCCAGACACCACCGCATCTTGGATCAATTCCGCACAGCGGAGCGGAATCCAGAAACGTGAAAGAGAGGAAAGATGGGGGAGCGTGATGGGGATGATATGATGTATGATGGGTATAGTTAGAGAGGCGACGTGTTTAAGTGAACGAACGGAGTGCCAAGACTCTTCGCCGCTCTCCACCTCCCAACTTCCAACTTCTTCTTCTTCTTACTTCTCGTTCTTGTCCAGCACCACAACCACAACCACACCATCCAATTGCCCGCCCAGACACTTTCTATTGGGTGTCTCTCTCGGGCATTGATTTCTACTCTGCATCAATCCCTCGTCAATCCGCCGCAACTTCCCCCAAGCCGCCAACATGTCGACCCCTCTATTCTGGTCTACCCCGATCCGCTACCTGCGCTGGGCCTCCCACGAGAAACCCGCCATCTTCTATTCTCTGCTGATTGGATCCATGGGCCCCGTCGCGCTGGTGACTCTGCCTCCGCTCCGCCGGGCTCTCGGCGACGTGGACCCGGAGCCTATCCCCTTGTCATATCCCAGTAAGGATTTCCCGTCAGAAGGTCGAGAGAGCGTGTGGCTAATGACAATGTGTAATTTGTGTAGTTCCGAAGGGTCCGCGGGTTATCCCCACGGGATATGAAGATAAATAAAGAGATGGTGTTGGAATACGATCGGTGGCTGAGTCCCCGGAAATCATAGGGTGACCTGACCTGACTGTTCCGAGTTCGGTGGAAATATCGGATTGGACGGATACTGGGGTTAAACTGCTGCCAGCACGACCTGTTGGGTTGTGTGAAGGGTTTACCGCGGATCTTGGTGATGGAAAAGACTTGTTTTTTGTTTGAACCCGCCGCTTCTTCTATGCTTAAGGAAGTGGTTTGATACCAATTATTGTTGTGCACGCGGGCGTCGAGGTGTGCTAGAGTGTACATGTATGTTACTATGCTTGAGAGGTCAATATCCGACATTGTGTCGTTTTCCTATGTTCAAGTTTGATTGAGGTGTGGATACGACCGTTCTGCATCGAGTTTTATGTTGCTCTGAATAGTGACAGTCAGAGGAGATATGAACATTAAGGCAAGTAGTTCTACACAATCAGGACAAGAATCCACGAAGACAGGTATCAAATTGCTAGAAGAGCCAGTCAAGAAGGATCAACGCCGTATATGCTCATATCTACAAAGAGATCACCCACGTCACTTTATCAAAAGTGCAAAGCTCCCCCAACAGTCAAAAGCCAACCAAGAACAGCACAAGCTCCACTCCCATAGAGATCAGAGATAATAAAAGAAGAAGACAAGCCACTCCTTGTACACCGTCGAAACATAGAAAAAGAGTATCCGATAAACCTTCCATCAAGGACGAGGAAGTTTATCCGGTACTCATCATTAACGCAGAGGCAGTCACATAGAAAGTTAAAAAACAAAACCACCCTTGTCGGATCAATCAACAAACGACGCTCCTACTCCTGGCTGGCCGATTGCACGCAATGAAAATTGAGAAAATTAAGGGGAGGAAGGAACCCGTCCCCAGTATGACCGAGACTCTGGATACAGGGCAAGGCCGATGATGAGTCCAATGGGATCCGCAGTCCATGGGAAGAGATAGCAGGATGATGGCATTCATATATCCAAAGGATTGATTTGGGCCATTTCTCCTGACGAGTGGTGGATTGCAATCAAAACATCTCCACGGGAAGATTCCTGGACGGGCAAAGAACAATTTGATTTAGAGGCGTATGCAAGTATAGTCGATGAGTGAGAAAAACGCACGGGGTTGTCCAATAAGAAAGAAAAAGGGGTTGGTCGACATTTATTATCATGATTTTGTTTCCCCCCCCAGCGGAGATGCTCAGTCCAGGGAGAGAGAAAAAAAGAAGCATCCAGTGGGCCACAAATGGAGGAGAAAAAGGCAAAACCGACCCCCCGGGAATCATCTTTGGATTATTCATCACCGCCGGCGATGCGGTTCTCTTTCCCTGGCAGCCTGTGGCCTACTGGTGCGATCGTATTCTGGCGTGTATCTGGGTTCCATTCCTATCCGGGGATCCGGGGCAGATGTGGTAGGATACGGAATGCCAGATGTCACGGGGGAGGAATAGTCTGCCTCGGCCTCGTAGCCCGGGCCCGGGCCCGGGTACCTGGGAGCAGTGTTTCGGTTACCCTCGTAGTTGTAGCCGGTGGGGGTATAGGTGTAGGAAGAGTGCATCTCCGCGGCGGTCACCACGGGTTGGCTGGGTCCAGAATAGGAGACCTGTGGTGGAGGATAGGGGTTCTGGCCTTGTCCGTATGGCGAGTGGGTGGAAGGGTATGAAGAAGGAGCATTGGAGTATTGAGGAGGAGCATTCTGGTTTCCACTGTAGGGACTTTGGGTATAGGGATCCATGTAGGGCTGAGCAGGCGCCGCGCCATATGTGGGAGGCGAGGGCCCCGGTTGTTGCGGTTGGCGACCATCATGGATCGTCGACCCGGTATAAGTTGCTGGAAGGGTGTTAGGAGGTGCATGAGTTACGTTCATGTCTTGCGTGTAACTACCTCGCGGATAGCCTTGGTCAGCCCGACGCGATACGTCCGCCTCCCAGCGGGCGGAGTCGGCCTTCAGATCAGCAATCATCTCCTGGAGTTTGTGGTTAGTTTGGACGGTCAGTCGCTCAACGCAGCACTCACAGAGGTGAGATTCCGATAAGCACGGATGAAGAACCCTTGGCGACCCTGTTGGATTGTCGTTCAGTTAGCTGCACCCGGTGGATAAGACGAGAGAAAAAAGACGGACATTATGGTTGCCAGGTCTCACGAGGGCATCGTTTCCAAGGTAGCGACAGATATCTGCTTGAATCACTTCTCGACTGATCCCGTCACCTGGGATAAAGTACTCATTCTGACGCTCCGGGCGTCCATCGTAGCGGCCTGTCATTATGTGTTTCCGAGGCAGATAGATCAAAGGTCCGGAATTAAAAGAATTAAGCCTCGGGGGGTGTGTTTCCTCAGTGGCCAGCCAACAGGTAATAATCAATCCGGGGCAATGGCAGATATCCCGAGGATGGGTGGTTTCCTTTAGATCGACGAATGTACAGCAGGTCTCTATCAGGCGTTCCGCACAGGTTCAAAGCGACCAGTCACGACTTAAAAATCGAAGGAAAAGAGCGGCAGAGCATCCACGGAAGAAAAAGTGGCCAGATAAAGTAATATTGAGTCCGTTGGGCAACAAAATGGGTCCTCCTATCCAGTGGGTAATGTGGTCAATCCAGGGAGTCCGCGATGGTTGTCCGAAATTGGGGGCGTATATGTCCTGGGGGAGAAAAGACGGTTGACGGGTGCCCGACAGGTGTCTTGTGACGGAGCGACACGAGGTTGGGGGTGCGAGAGGGGACGGGAGCGATCCGTCAGGGGAGAAGGGATTGAGAGGAGGGAGGGAAACAGGGGAGTTCTGACTTAGGGGAGAGACAGAGAGAGAGAGAGAGAGAGAGAGAGAGAGTAGAGAGAGAAGAAAAGATGAGAGTGAGAAGAAGAAAAGGAAGAGGGGACACAAGTGGGCTTGACTCTATTTGGGTTGGGCTCTTCTTTGGGCTGGTGCCACGACTTGCTCTCCCCCACTACTACTACTGTCCAGGCCACGCTGCAATACGTGCGACCTGTGAGTAGCCGCCAGTTGCGAGAATAACCCCGTCCTTCTTCTTACCTCTTATTATGATTGTTATGGACCGACGATTCCAACCCGCTGGTATGCGATTGAACGACGAACGACTCCACTACATACTGGGATATCCTCCTCGGTGGGCCAGCAGCAGTTCTCCCTCGATCTGCAACCCGGACGGAGCAAGGGCCAGCCGATGATCAGGCGGTGGCCAGCACCGCAGGAGTCGCCACACGCGGGTGAGGCCCCCGTTGGGCACAAATGCGTGCTTGGGCACGGACGCTTCCCAGCACGACTATGGGGGACGTCTGATAACCAAGGGTGGTGTGAAGATCTGACTCAGATGATCTAGACCGTCGCAGTAGTAACTACTAAATATCGTGTAACTCGGGCGTGAAAGTAGATCGAGTCCAAATAACGCTAACCCCATTAAGCTTGTCGCTTCCACGGTTCATAGCAGCTGGACCCAGATCATCTCTCAATCCCGTCCGTCACCTCACTTTCACCTATGTTCCCCCCCCATCTACATCATGACCCGAGCATGTCAGACCCTACCGCGTCCCCGCCGACCCTGACTCCCTCACGTTACACCTATCGCCAATTGCAACTACTGCGCCATGGCTCGACAGCGACCCCTCTACGCATCATCGCGCACATCGATCTCGATGCCTTCTACGCGCAATGTGAGATGGTGCGCCTCGGCACCTCACGCGACACGCCCCTCGCCGTGCGCCAGTGGGAATCGCTGATCGCAATCAACTACCCGGCGCGCCCGTTCGGCATCACACGCATGCTCTCGGCGGCCGAAGCTCGCAAGCTCTGTCCAACCATCGTCCTGCAGCATGTCGCAACCTTTCGGGAGGGCGAGGGCGGGCGCTGGGCGTACCGGGAGGACTCGTTCAAAAATATCAAAACCGACAAGGTGTCGCTGGATCCCTATCGGGCGGAATCTCGCAAGATCCTCGAAACTATAAAGGACGAGCTGGCGACTTGGTCTGAGGATGGCCAGACCAAAGGGTTCTCGGCCAGCGTGGAGAAGGCCAGCATCGATGAGGTATTTATTGATCTATCTCCCCTGGTCTTTGGCGTCCTGCTGCAGCGTTATCCCGAGCTCCGAGCAAGCTCCCAAGACGAGAACCGCGATGCTGAGCTGCCTCGTCCTCCGACCACGGCCGTGGATTGGAACGAAGACTGCCTCATCGACCTGGACTCACACGAAACGGAGGAAGATGATCCAGACTGGGATGACATTGCGATGCGGATAGGATCGGAAATCATCCGGTCTGTTCGCAAAGCCGTGTGGGAAAAGCTCCACTACACTTGCTCAGCCGGCGTGGCACGCAATAAGATGCTGGCGAAATTGGGGAGCGCGTGCAACAAGCCGGACAAGCAAACTGTGGTGCGCAACCGGGCCGTGCAGATTTTCCTTGCGGGCTACAAGTTCACCCAGATTCGGATGCTTGGCGGGAAACTTGGCGATCAAATCAGGACTTTCTTTGGGACGGAGCAAGTGAGTGAACTTTTAAATGTTCCGCTCGACCAGCTGCGTGCCAAACTTGATGATCACACGGCAACCTGGTTGTATGGTACTATCCGCGGGGAGGACCGGAGCGAAGTCAATCCTCGGACTCAAATCAAGTCGATGTTGAGTGCCAAATCATTTCGGCCAAGCATCAACTCGATCGACCAAGCGGAAAAGTGGCTGCGGATCTTCGCAGCTGATATCTACGGCCGGCTCGTGGAGGACGGCGTGCTTGAAAATAGACGCCGCCCACGAGTCATCACGCTACATCACAGGTTGGCGGTGCAGTCCCGATCGCGCCAGATGCCTATCCCGGCATCCAACGTGATCGACGAAGATCTGCTCTTTGAACTTTCCAAAACTCTGATGCGGCAAGTTGTCGCCGAGGCACAGGCATGGCCGTGTTCTAACCTCTCCCTGAGTGTGGGGAGCTTTGAGGATGGCGTCAGCAAAAACAAGGCGATCGAGAATTTCTTCGTACGAGGGGATCAAGCCAAATCATTGAGTCATGCGGGAAGACCTCACGAGACTGACGGCCTATCTGATCGGCCACCGGAGAAACGGAGGAAGGTCGACGAGAATAATGGTATCAAGCGCTTTTTTACAAAGCCTTCCCAGCCCGGCGATGACGGTGCTACATCACCCAGAGCAACTTCCGAGCTGGAACAGCTTGATCCCACAAGTACGGCGGAGGCACCTCCGCTGTTTCCCTCGGAGGAAGGGATTGAAGATAGCCCAACAGCACAGTTTACTTGCAGTCGATGCTCCCAAGTAATCTCCGAGCAGGAAAGAGACGAGCACGATGACTGGCATTTTGCCAAAGACCTGGCCAACCAGGACCGCGAAACGGCGAGGACTATGCAACCGCAATCGCGGATAGCTCCAGTGCCCAACGCCCGATCTCCCAACGTCCGAGGACGAGGGAGCCGTGGCGGTCGTGGTAAACCCGAGAAAGGGCAGAGACGACTAGCTTTTCAGTGAGAAGCAAACTAGTGCTATGTATTATCTATAGATCTGTAGTTAGAAACACTCAACCAAAGATATGCAAAGTCGGCTGGTTCCACGTATGCTTTCCGAAGGTGATCCATGGTCCAGATCTATAAACAGCTCAGTGACATCAGCGCGGGGTTGGTCGGTTGGACTGCTCAGCCTCACTTTACGTTCGTTTCTCATGTCTCTCTGCCATATTCTCTCTTGGTGTAGATAGCTTGCCTTTTATTGATTCAAGGTGGACCCTCCGAGATCCCAGCTGGGGCATTTGCACCCGTTTGTCGCTCATCCACCCACTCAACAACTGAACTGGTGATTGTCTTCTGCCCAACCCAATTAACACCCCACCCCGCCCACCACAACAGCACCCCAGCAGCCTACGCTCACAATTCAATCGATGAACTCACATCTCCCATCCACTTACAGAGATCAAAACCACCAAAATGTCCCGCCGACCCCCGCCGAGGGAGTATTATTCCAGCGAAGAAGAGATCTACGAAATCGACCGCTCCCGCGATAGAGAACGAGAACGACCTCCGCGCCCTCGCCGACGAGACCGGGACCGCATTATCGGAGATGATGTAGACGTTGAGGTAGACTACCACCGCCGACGCAGGTCCTCGCCTCCGCTCGAGGATGACCTGGAGAAGCGCCTTCGTCTTCGCGAGCGGGAGCCGCCGCGGCCGCGGCCAAGGTCCCCGCGTGACTTCATGCGCGAGGTGCACAGCAGTCCGCCGAGAGAACGAGAACGGGACCTGATGGTTAGGAGGCGGTCAAGAGAGGGGCTGGATGAGGACTTCTCGACGGAGAGACCGAGGCTTGTTTCTCTGCCTGAGCGGGAGAAAGAGATGGAGAGGGAGAGGGAGGAGAAGGTATATATTCGTCCACCTGGACCGCGGCGGAGACCTCGATCTCGTTCCAGGGACGTGGATGTGGATGAGGAGGTTCTCTTTGAGAAGACAGAGATATATAAAAGTGGTGGGAGGAAGGGTCGCTCCACTCGGGAGCTCGAGATTGAGGATGATGATGTGGTTTTTCGACGGAGGGAGGGAGAGGGGAATCCTTTGCGTCGCTCGACACGGGAGCTTGAGATTGAAGAGGATGATGTAGTTCTTCGAAGGAGGGAGGAAAGGGATCCTCGTCGTCGTGGGTATGAGACTGAAGAGGAGATTATAATACGGGATCGCAAGAGGGCTGGTGGGAGGAGACACGACGACGAGCGTGATGAGGAGGTCTATTTACGCTCATCCCGACCAAGGCGCCCTCCTCCCCGCGAAGTGAAGGAGGAGATAGTCATCCTCGGCGACAGTGATGAGGAGAACAAACGGAGCAGTAGGGGACGCCGTGGAGAATTCATGCTCGAAGACGACCAAGTGGTCATTCGGCGCAAACCACGGGAGCCACCATACCGCAGCCCTCGATTCGAGGATGATCAGTTCCAGCCCAGGTTGGTGAGATCGGACGATGACGACGATGAAATTGATCTTCGAAATCGCATGCCTTTACGCGATAGACCGCGCCCTCGGCGTATAGATTCAGAGGAAGATGACGAGGAGATCATCTTGATGAAAAAACATGAGAAAGATAGAGCTCGGAGAGAAGGCAGGAGGGACGTTGATGTGGATATCCAGTGGAAGAGAGGTAGGGGGTCTGCTCGTGAACGGTCGCCTTCCGTGGAGCCTATCCGTGCGCCTCCGATTCATCAGGATGTGTTTACTCACCATCGACATATTGATCATGGTGAGACAACATCTGCTCATTCTCAGAAACTGTAATTTTGCTGATGAACTGCCAGGAATGAAAGCGTCTCGCTCAGTTCGGGGACCTAGCCCCGAGTTTCGGTCTGGTAGGGGTAGTCTCGATGAACTGGAAATACACCGTCGGTTAGTGCGAAGAGAACACAGTGTGAAGTGAAGATGGTAAAAGCTAACTGGATATGTAGAAGCACTAGAAATGGAGTCAGATCCGAAGAAGACATTGTCCTGAAACGGGATGAAGAAGACTCAATTTCACCATCTAGTCGACCACCAGCGGAGTATCACAACCCTTGGGAACACGGTGAAACTTCTTCCTCACGGAACTCGAACAAATCTGTCGTCGACGAGAGCGAGGTGCTAGTCGTTGAGCGCCCCCAGAGTCGATTAGGGAAAAGTGCCCGGAGCGTGCGTGATATCGAAGAAGAAATGACAGTTCACAGCAGCCGCAAGGAAGATATTGAGCAAGTGAATGATACTACCGACGAATGGTCCGTCGTCCGTTCACCCTTGAAATCGGATTCGGTTGAGATGACCGGCGCCCTGACCTCTCGAGGAGACTCGGAACGGGGCCTAGGACGAGGTGCACGCGTTGGACAGCAAGTCATGGATATCAAAGACGAGAGAGACTCGCGATGGACAGAGATTACCAAGAGTCTAGTGGTGAGGGAGGCGATTGAGCGGATGGGATATGAGTATGAAGAGACGAGGATGTTCTACTACATCTTCTCGTACCTCGAACCGGTATGTCTTCCTATTCTCTCACATGTCACGACAGCTGAACTGACTCCTATCTCAATAGCGGGATATAGATGAGCTCGTTGATCTCTCTGATGAGATCCGTCAGGCTCGCCGGCGCCGCATTCGTGAGATCCATCGCGAGCGTGCTAGTCTGCCACCACCGTCTGCTTCACTGGACCGCCTCCCGCCCCGACCGCGCTTGATAGAGGAGAAGCTGATCCGCGAGCGCGACTGGGTTGTAGATGCACGTCGAAGGTGATCCTATTCCCAATCGCCCCTGCCATTATTAGCCATGCGTGGATGGCCCAGCCTTCCTGAATGGGAAACATTTACTCCCCCATCTACAGCGCCTTCTGTCTCTCTACACATGCCTGCAATCGGTCTCTAATGGCCACAATCACCCCAATGATGTCTCGTCTTATCGAGACAAGCGGCGGACTAGTCCGCTCCATGCAGAGGACTTTGTCTGGCAGGAGAAGTCGGTCTTTGACGGCTGTCCGCGTCACCGACGAGCTCTTCAACCTCCAGACATCACAGCGAGCAAACCTCATTCGGCAACTCAAAGAAGCGCTAGCCGACGATCTCGTGCCGGCGCCGTTCTGGGCCTGCGTCCAGGTGTGCGACATCGCCAACCTCGAGTTCATCATCCAGCTTGCACAGCTGTCGGAAAAGGCTGTCTGTGTCGTCACAGACCTCTGCTGCACCCTGCCCTACAAATGGATGCAGCGCCCATCCTCATGGAACGACCTTCGGACCGACCCAACAGAATCTGTCTCCAAGCCCTGGGGAACCTGTTCTCGAAGTGCCCGCCTCGCCGCCAGAGAGCGAGACGGGCAAAGATGCGTCCTGACCGGCGCGCGCAACATCTACCAAGTCGCGCATATCTACCCAACCTATTTCGACGAGAAATCCTACGACTCGTCCTCGCCCCAAATCTGGAATTTCGTGCGCTTCTTCTGGAACGCCGAGACCGCAGAGCGCTGGCACAGAGCTGTCTACAATGATCCCCGCGACCCGGCGAAACCGCTGGATACCTGCGCGAACCTGATCTGTCTCCGGAACGACCTGCGCGCAGCTTGGGCGAATGGCCTGTTTGCACTGCGTCCTGTTTCTCTGTCCGATGATGGCACATCCATGGAGGTGGAGTTCTACTGGCAGCCGAAGGAATCGCACAAGCCATATGGATTGGTAGATATCGCCAAGGAGCCTGGTTCATCGAAGGACATCTGCAGCGTCGATGACTTGAATGTTGTGCTTCCTATCAGAGACCATGACAAAGATACTTTTCGTCCCATTGAGTCAGGCCACATGTTCACGCTGCGTACGGACGATCCAGCGAAGCGCCCGCTCCCGAGCTACGACTTGCTCGAGATGCAGTGGCATCTCAATCGGATTGTGGGCATGTCTGCGGCGGCGGCACTCTTTCGTGAGGATGAGGATTCCGACGACGATGAGAAGGAGGAGGATGACGATGGTCGCACAGTAAAGCCGCTTCTACCGCAGGAACGGGATGTGGTAGAAGATTGGATCCAGAAAAGCTCCACTCTTGTTTGGGATCGAGCGGATGAAAAGGATTCATGGGCCACACACGAGAAAAATAAAGATGGAGGGACCAACTTAGACTATTCTGATCCCAAGCAGATTGGCACTTCCTTTCGTTCGGACAATAATTTGTTTTGGGAATGACATGGCATGGGAAGTCTGGACCACGGCCGTGGACCCGGAGAGGGAGGCTATTAATGTCAGGCCAGCCACACGGTCATCGATTGATATTTTTAGTTCTGGTGCTACTTTTTCGGTAGCTCTTTAATGCATTGTCTTTCATTCTTCGTATTCAGTCAGGTACACCAATTAAATACAGAGGCTTTGCAATCGACCATCCGAAGCTATCAAGCATCTACAAATCCTTCACGTTTTCTCCTATGTTCTCCACGAGCAAGACCAAAGAAGCAGCAGTAGTAAAGCTGCCCCTAATCCACAAGGTAAACCCTCCGCACTCCAGCCACTATTGTATTTCCTTGAGCCATGTTTCACAACAGGGTACAGCACGGCAAGCTACTGTACCCACCACTCTGCAGCATCTAGAACCAACTGCCGGCCCCGCCGACTTCCACAATTATCCGAATTGGGCCCTCCGTAGAAAGGATCTGGATCTGACAGCTCACGGGCTGAAGCTGAGTTGCCCGAGATCGTCGATTAGTATATTCCAGGGCCCTGGCCTTCGGCCGAAGATTCGGGATTCATCAATCACTGCTTCCACGAATCCTTGGCTGCTATCGCCCAGGGTCTGCAGTGTGGGTTGGTTGTACTACTACTACTTCATGAGTATGCACAGATGCCCCCTTCAAACACCGCCCCCAACCATCAGCCCTGGAGGATTTAACTATGGCGAGGGTGCATGTACAGTTCCTAGTATCCTCTGGAACTGACAGGGTGCCCGAATTTAATATGAAACTGGTTGGGTGGCTGTACATACTCAATGTAGACAGCAATAGTCATTACGTGTTGGTTAGGGTTTATCATAAATATCATGGATCCTGCTGTCACCGAACAAGACCGTTGTTCCACCGAAGACTGGTTCCTCGCCCTTGGCAATTTACCTTGTGGAGCCCCATCCACTTTTTTCGCTCCTCCGACAGTAATAATGCATGATGAATCGGGCGACTGCGATCCACGGCTGCAGGGTAGTGGTGATTTCACCATCTCTGGCTGCTTCTTACTATCGTAAAGTCTAACTAGTTAGTGTACAATTTAACTAATAATACATAGTAAGTAAGCGCGTTGCTACGTGCATGCCAACTACCACTTGGAGCGTGCGGTGGCGGCGAGACCGACCGGGTTGATAAACTTCGGAAGCGAAAACAAGGCAGTTAACCAGTTGCGCCTCGGCGGGAATTTTACTCGGATTGCCTCTGCATATTCTTCCGACCTGCCAAATCAGACAAGAGGGCCTGTCCGCGAGTCGAGCGTCTCTGTATGGATCAATCACAGGTTAACCGAGCTGGAAGTTCGAACATGTGCCCGCGGACTATGACTCCATCGTACATGAAAGGGAGCTGTGCGCAACCTGCGGTTCCCGGTCAAAGCTCCAGCCTTCATCCATGGTTGCTGGGCCACAATCGGGTGGTTGTGATTTGCGGGAAGGGCAAGGGGTAGCCAAAACACATTCCTTGTTGTGGCAGTCTTTCCTTTTCCCTCTCTTTGTTGTGTGGCGTAAAAAAACAAATAAGCTGAGACAATAATAAGCATCAGCGAGTCCACTGCCTATTACATATAATTACGTACGCCTAGTCGTTTTGTTAGTCCACCGCGCTATCACCAGGCGAGGACCAATGGATGCGCCGCGGTGACCGATCGGCGCGCCATCGTTGAACAATTGTTTCGGACAGACTCGCCCCCCCTCTCAGTAGATCAAAGTATGGAGGGTTGCAGCGTGACAGCGTCGGGAATGTTGTGTTCCTTCTCTGTGTGCGCCCGAGGGAGTCGACGCGTCGGCATGGCCCAGATGGGGGGATTTAGTTCTGGTCGAATGCTGCACCAAGCCAAGCTAGAGAGGAGTCATCACGCACGATGAAGATGTGTCCAACGGCCACGAGCTGCTGTTGTGAAGACGGGAAGAGGGAGGCAGAGAGAGGTAGTACTCGTAGTAATATGATAGTAGTCGTAAGTAGAGTAGAAGAAGAATAATTATGGTTGGGTTGTGATCATTACAGCCAACGAACATACTCCGGGAAAAAGTGTCCCGGCGTCTCTCGCTTCCCCTTCCCCTTCCTTCTCTCTTCCTTCACCCAACCAACAACTTTCCCATCTCATTCTTCCCCTTCCTCCGTCTTCCTCACTACCCACACCTCCCTCCTCCATCTCCCTCTCTTGCCTTCCCTCTTCCCCTGTCGAGCATCTCCTCTGCTCGACACTCCCTCCCCCTCTCCCCGACCGTTGAGAGGGAGACGATGCGCCTGAGGTTCTAACACCAGGACACGTTTTGCGAGGTTCAGAATACTTGGGGGATCAGCAACCCGAAGACAGTTGCGACCGGCTGGGTTGAGTGACTTGGTACGAGAAAGCCATCTGACCCATCGACTGGCTACCCAAACATTGGCTCATGGGTGATCGTCATTAGAAACGGCCGACACACAATCGAACAAATTTCGTCCACACTTCTCTCCCACGACTGCCATCGACACGCCGTCTTCGGGCATTGAGTGAGCCTCATCAATTGGGGTGGTTGGGTCGACAAATACCGGTTCCCGCAAGCCACCATGCACCTCTCGCTGTCGGTGTCCCTTGCGATCCTGCTGGCACGACCCTTCGTGTCGGCGGCATCCGATCTTGCTTATTGCTCCTCAGAGAACACTGGATCCTCATTCTCGGCTGGTGCGTGATATGAAATGCAATTCTACGCCGGCTTTGAACTAACCCCCTGAACAGTCCTCAATAACTACCAGTCGAATGGAGCTTGTGAGACCACCTGCAAAAGTTACGCCTTTGGTGTACTTCAGGGCAAGAAGTGCTGGTGCTCTAACGTAGCCCCGTCTTCGAGCTCGACGTCCAAGACTTCGAACTGCGATACCTCATGCCCCGGTTATCCCAGCGACAGCTGCGGTAGCGCAGCCCAGGGCGTCTACGCCTATGTCGCCATCTCGGGCAATTCGGCAACCAGCACGGCAAAGGGATCTGGCAGTAGTACTACTTCGACATCGGTGAGTGAAACCCCTCTTGTCAATTCGTTGAATATGCACCTTGACCCTGCCGAACCCTGATTCCCCTCCCTTGCCATGATCGAGTCGCTGCTCTTTCGTGGACCTGTTATTTTAATAGCTGGGTTAGGCAAGCACATCCTCTGTCAGTGCCTCGACCACGTCGAGTTCGACTTTAACCGTACGCCATAACCGAAATTGGATCTCAGCACGCTAACGTTTGGCTGCAGACGTCCACCTCCGATCGCGTTGTCCAGACCACCTCGAACGGCGAAGTGGTGACCATCACCAAACCGGCCCCGAGCGCCACTGCTGGTTCTAGTTCGTCCAACAGCGGCGGCGGCTCCAGCCTGAGCGGCGGTTCAATCGCGGGTATTGTGATCGGCGTCCTCGGTGGCCTTGCTCTTATTGCAGCCCTTGTATTCCTGGTCTTCTTTTACCGGCGTCGATCACGCGCCGTGAGCCCCGCACCCAGCCAGGACATGACCGACAACCGGACCAGCCAGGGCTCTAGCTTTATGCGTGGTGTCTTTCCTCAAGGCGGCCATATGCACGACTCGTCCGCCCAGTCGGGTAACGGGCGCCCAAACCAGTTCACGGATAACCGCTTGAGAACTGACGCTGTCGTCTACTCGCACGGTCGTCAGGACAGCAGCACATCGCTCCAGGACAATGAAGACTACTCGCGCCCAGTCCTTCGCGTGAGTGAATTGGAATTTCCAAGTTATCTTTTCCTTGCTGATGTGCTCTCTAGCTCACTAACCCCGACTAATTGGTGGTTCGATTACTTGCATCCCTTTGACCATGGGCTATCGGACCCTCTCCACTAATTCGCCGCGACTACGACAAAAGCCGTGTTATGATACCCAATTGTCATTTGAATCTTTGATTATCTCTGTTGTCGGACAGCAAACAACTGAAAGGGGGCCGTTGATTTCGTTCGAGGAATTTCCCAGAAGTAAACGCAGAAGGGAAAGGACGTTCGGGGCCTTGGCCTGAACTATGCGTGACTAGTTTTGAGTCAGGCGGGAATAGGATGGGGCGGTGGACAGCTGCTGAGACGAGTTCATGAGCCAACATCATACATATTTTGCATACATATTACCGCATGGGGTGCCATGGGTGTGCGCACAACCACCCGAGTACATACAGCTCTTCTCTTTCCCCTTTCTGGCCATCTGTCTTACTCTAGTCGCCACAGTTCTCCTTGTATCACATCACTCATCTTAATCCATATGCTCTCTGTCATGTTCATGTCGACAGCGCAGCGTTCCAAGCTTATTATTGTGTTCGAGTATTAGACTTCTAGTTACATAGAAAGTAAGTCTTATATAACCTCATCCGCCGGAAACCACACTCCAGTAGTGCGGGCTCCCTGCGCTTCTCGGGATTTGAGACTGTATTGCTGCCATGTAGCAAGGGACCAGGGATAAATTGCTTGGACGATTGGTCTCTGGCTCAGCCACGAGTTCATCCGTTTGAGAGTGAGGCTGTGAGCTTTCGACTCTGTCATCTTCCAATCCTCTCTCCACCATCTGGATATTCGTTCCATCAAATAATGGATCGCGAACATGGTCCTCGTAGGCAGGGGGCGGCTGGACTCCATTGCCGCACAGAGCGTATAAAGAAGGGACATTGGGTTTGCAGTCCGGTGCTGAACATATAGATATAGGAAATTTGGTGACAATCTATAGACACTTCCAGTCAGCACGATCACAAGCAACCCGAGTACAAACAGCCTTGGAACATACCTCAGAGTAATGCCCATCGGAATTCAACAGCCTTACCCATATCTTCAACGTATGCGTAACATCAATAATATTCGTTCGGCTGCTGGGAAGACACTCGGGTGTAGACCTCGGAATCCAAATACAATGCGAAGAAGCAAGCCATTCTTCTTCCTGCGGCTGCCTTTCACTGGCAACAGTATTCGTGTCCAACAAGCACTCCCCAATCCCGGACTCATCCTCGCAGATAACGCGTTCCCTCGTGCGGCCGAGCACGGGGTTGTTGTACAAATGGATCGAGTGCTTTTCTACCAGCTGCAGTTTTATGGTTTTGGGCTGGATCCCTTTCGTCAATGGCACGTAGCGGAAATCGAGCTTAATAGGCCCGCCCTTGTTGAATGTTTTCCCGGGCATGCTCATTTGGTAGATTAATTTTTCGGGCCAGATGTTTTCGATGCTCTAGAATTTGCAAAATGTGGCCGTTAGATAGATCCAATTAAGCCCGCAGTGTCGCAAGGAATAATTCTGTACGTACCTCTGGCTCAGGCAATGCGAGATGGCTCTGCGATCTTGACACGCTCATATTTCTGGATGTTGTGACGCGACCAGCATGACCGCGGAATATCGTTGCCGTGAGGCCATACCGAATATAACAATCTTCCAGCCCTTCAACGCTAACCGGCATGCTTCTGTGCAGGCTAACCGAGAACGGGAACTCGTAGTTTCCAGGCTCGAGTGTTGTCTGAGAGGACCCCTTGGAGGCGTTCAGGAAGCTCCATATTTGGCGGTAGAAGGGGATCTCTCGCCATGCTGCTCGCTTATGTTGTCCGTCCGGCGTCCTCCAGTCCCAGTTGACGTAGCGGACGCCCTTGGCGTGCAGTTTTATGTCTTTCACTGCGAGGGGCTTGTTCAGGCATAGGACTACTGTACCGCTGAGGCGGCCGTAGGAGGTGCTTTCGCCGTAGCCTGGGAGATACAATGTGTCTTCGTCCAGTCTTAAGATTGATTGGTTGGTTAGTTAGTTGGAGTTAAAAGAAAGTGTGTGCGAGGTAAGAGACGAAAGACAGACCGGATGTCAAAATAGGTGAGAGCATTTGGAGAGCGGCGGTTACCGAATAACCGCGAGACAATACTCATCTTGAGCTAGCCAAGTATCGCTAAATATGAATAATGAAGAGAGGAAGAAAGAGCAGAATGAGATGGTCGAGGCAATGATGTTTGCGTGTCACAAACCTCTCTCCCCTGTTTTATTTTATATCTGATCACCCTACCCCAGTCTAGGGCTTACCAGGTCAGGCACATTCCGACCCCTGCCCCGCCCCTGCGGGTAGTCTGCGGTTTAGAGGATAGGCCTTATCAGCCCTTGAATTCCGATCCTTGAGTCTCATTTGTTATTGATCATAGTCGCAAGGAGAGGGATCCCTTGATCAGAAGGGCACGGTGGGCGGAAACTTGCCTAATGCGGAAACCTTCCCGACAAAGATGTATTGCTTTTGCTAATGATGTAGGCAGGCTTGCCCAATCTTGTTCACCGAGGAAAGGGCATATAGGGCATTTTCTCGAATAGATGGACAGCTTGATACATGACAGAACGATTCGGGGGGTCGCCCTTGGGCATCAGAGTGTCGTCTCATGCTTCCCTACGTTTCATCTTGTGAAATTGTATAGAATGTTAAGCTCATGCTTCTTCAAGCGTGCACTACCATGTATGTAAAGCTGAGTCGCAACAGCAAAAGTGAGCAACAATTACATGATGACTTGCATATGGTTAGTTACTTTGAATTGAGCTTTAGCGGCGTCGCTCCCGCCCTCAGATTTGCTGATGGATTTGGCTAGCTCCCCACCATTCCGCGGGGGTCAACCTCGGGCGTGACTCACCATGTTTTGGACCCCAATTACTTTTCAAATATAATACTATTGTACCTGACGGATTTCCATGATCTCAAAGGTGCTGTTCGCCTATCTTCCATCAAAGCACATCGCTCTGGTTTGATCCCCACAACATCATCTATTCATCGGATGCCTTCTGCCTAACCTCCCGCTCACACTTCCTCGATATTAACCTCACCTGCTTCGTCAACCATGGAGCATTTCCAGCACACGGCTCACATCGGAACCCACTCACTAAGCTACGCTCTGCGGGGTAAGAAGAGGTCACCTGGGGATCCCTTGGTCGTCATCATTGCTGGAATCACCTGCAGCGCATTGGAATGGAGCGCGGTATGTCGGCATCTTGAGGCCGAGGCGTCAATTTTATTATACGAGCGATCGGGTTACGGACGCAGTGAGGAGTCGCCAAACGAGCCTGACTCCCTCACCGTTGTGGACGAGCTTAACCGTCTGCTGGTAGCTGCCGCCCTAGATCCACCGTACCTTGTTGTGGGCCACAGCTGGGGCGGTATTCTCTCCCGAGAATTTATTGCTGCGCGACCTCTTGAGGATATCTGTGGCCTTGTTATGGTGGACCCTGTACAGGAACGTATGCGCTTTGAGACCTGGCCAGATCCCAGCATTGAAGCAGTCACAGAAGGACTAGACTACATGGAAGTGACTGGACTGACAAAAAGCTATAAATTGACGGAGCTGGAATGGAGCGAACTCATGGCAGAGGAAAACAGCGAGAAACACGCTCGCCAGGCAGTTCGAGAGATGCCATACTTGCAAGTCAGCCGCGCTGTAATTGCAGAGAAGCGGCAATTAAATCCTGGCCAAAATCTGTTAAAGGGAAGGCCTGTTGCCGTGCTCATGGGGAACTCGAAACGTGACGTTGAGCGTCTATACAAAGCGGGTGTGGACAAAGGACAAGGAACAGAAGCCCAGCGAGCGAGGTGTCGTGAATACTTGGACCAGTGGGATCAGACCGAGGAAGACTGTCAACGGGAGCTACTTCATCTATCGACCGTGACGCGCTTCTCTACAGCAACACTGAGTGGCCATAATATCCAGATCACGGAGCCAGAGCGGGTCGCAGATGAGATTCGTTGGGTGTTGCAGAACGTCAATCGCCAGCAAACTGATCCTCTCACTCAATGACAAGGTAGTCGACAAATCTCAACATTACATAAAGCAGCCTTGAAACGTTTGTTTAAGAAGAGCTATGTGAAATATCCATTTCGTTAGATACAACTCGAGATCATACCACGGGTAGTTGTGAAATTATTGCTAGTGACTAATGTGCAAGAGTTTCTGGAATATCTTAGATTATACCTAGAGCGAAAGATTGGATCGAAGTCCTACAGCGAGGTACTACCCCCTCAACTAAAGTACATCCGTTTTAAGTTGGTTTTTCCTATCTATCTTTCTCCCCGATGTTAAACATCGTTCATTCGTAGCCCAGTCTCATTGGTCCGACCTATCGACTCGGAGTCCGGAACTGCCAAGAACCAAGGCTTGGGCTCCGAGCTGACTGATACCCCTTCGAGGTCCGAACTCCGATATTTTCCCCCTCCTCAACTTCAGCTACAACTGCTTGTTTGTTATGTAAAATGTGTGTGAAATGTCGACCACTCGCCGTAATGGTCAGCTCTCTTCTTGTGAGCCGTGTCGCAAGTCCAAGTTGCGATGCGATCACTCAACTCCGATATGTGGCCGCTGCGTGCGCCGGGGACAGCAGGATCTATGCATGTACCACCCGGCGCCGATGACACGACTTGGCCTACTTTCGGAAAAGCGAAAACGGCGCCATCGGCCCAAGGAAACCCTCCAGGGCTCTGAGACTTGGGACCAAAAGAAAATATCGGCATCTGCACCTGGATTTCTCGGTCGTACAAGCTACTGTGATGTCTTCCTGGAAACCGACAATGACCTGCCGACTGGGTACATATCCCACTTTAAAACCACAGACCCAGGTCCTATTGATGCACAACGAATTCGCCTGGGTGCACAGATTCTTATGTTATTGAAAAATCAAGACCTGTATCGAGAAATCGTCGAAGAGAGATACAAGATCTGGAGAGGTGATTACTACGCCTCGGCCACAAGTGCAAGATAAAGCTCTTTGATACTAATATATACAGGATGGACTTTCGGATACCCGATGACCAATGTGATTTTCAACAGCGTTGAAGAGATGTGGAAGGACGCAAAACAGAAAATAAAAGACGACAGTGAATGTGCGCTGGCTCTTTCCAAAAGCATCTTCAAAAACTATACCCAGCCGATCCAGCTATCTTCTACTACGTCATGGGAAGATTTTGCATCTTCTGCCTCACATAGATGGGAAACAATCGGCTTGATGTTTGCAATAATGGGGATAGCGACGAGATACATATCACACGAGCTTCCTATGTTTAAACGGAAGGGCTCGCCAGATCCGAAGAGTCTAGCTATCACTGCCACCGCAGTGGGTGATATCTGTCTGCAGCTCTGCGACAGCACGGGTGTCATGAACGACTATGTGGTTTTGTTGCTTCTTCACCATACTTCGCTTCTGACGACTATCTATGGAGAGAGTGGTATGTTATGCACCGTTTATGCGTGTTTATTTTTGTGACGGTATGTTTTAACAGCTTTAATCTACTAGACTATCGGCCTTGGAGGAAACTAGGGGAGTTGTCGACAGCTGTATTTGCACTCGGGCTGCATCAAGAGTCATCCAACCTGCCTTTCTTTATCCGGGAGATGCGAAAGCGTGTTTTAGTAGCCGCATATGCCATGGACAAAACCCTGGCAACATTTCTCGGCCGACCACCGCTTATCAGCTGTCGCTATTGTGATATAGAGTTCCCGCTGGATTTGAGTTGTGAAGAGATCGCTGCACCTCCAGAGGTTCGCAATGCTGCTATCGCGAAGCTGACTCCCGATGGCTGGAATAGCGAGGGCAGCTTGGTGAAAGGCTCATGGGCACGGGTCTACTTCCTCACAAGTATTCTCCGAGAAAAGATTTTGGAATTGTCACTCAGTCGCCAGAGTGATAATCTGGCTGAACAGGTGGAGTAAGTGGGTTTCGAATTCATCATAGTTTCAGGAGACTGACAGGGGGCAAGGAATCTATCGCAGGAGTCTCATAAGACGTACCAAGAGTTACCAATATGGCTCCATTGGACCCCCAACATCGGTTACCCAACTCCATCCGCTCTGCAGGACAATATTTTGTTCGACCTGTACCTCGACTTTCTTTACAATGACTTCTTACTATACCGGATCTTGGCGAAACGAACTCAAACTCAACCAGACGCGATCATCAGTGCATCATGCAAGATTCTGAATGCATCACTTTCCATGTTGACCAAAATCGCGAAGTTAAAGGCACCTGGCTGGGACATAGGATGGCATGTATGTGATTTCCAACTGCCCGATATTGAACTGGGCTGATTAGATGATGACGACCTATTAGCTGTGTTATGCTGGACTCCCCGCGGCAGGTGTCCTTTGCGCCGAGTTACTACGTCGGTCTCGCTCTATGCTACCCGACACTGACATCTTTCAACGCTCCGAAATTATCCAGAGCCTCAGCGTCTTTGCCTCACACCTCGGTACTATGATCCAGCCAGATGAGGGAAATTATCGAATCGCCGAGCAGGGACGACGGGCCATCCGCCATGTCTTGGATCAGGTTCTTTCTGTGGATAGCCTTTCTGCTATCCCTGCAACTTCAGACGAAGAGCTTGATATCCACGAGCAGATCTCATTTGAGGAAAGTCTACTCAATAATGTCGATATTGAGGACCGAGGTCCTTTCTTAGACTGGCTGAATGGGACTGCGGAGCAGTGTCACGAGCCATGGTTGACATGGATGAACTTTAGCTGATATGATAATGTTCGGAATAAACTCGCGAAGCTTATGCAGAATTAATTAATACCTTTACAAAGACTTCCAATCATGCCCGACGTGCTCCCCTATGCCGATTACATGTAGACAATCTATTGTGTGTAATGCACAAAAAACCTACGAAAATCTCAGAATAGCGAATTAATATTCGTTAAATCGAGGAAATTTTTTTATGTAACGTTAGTCGGAGCTACACGGTACTAATGCTGCGACGCGTCGCGTCTTCGTGCATAATTTTTCGGTGACATCAGTTTCTCCATTCGAACGGCTCGATTATCCCAAAGCTCTTTTTCTCAAATTCTGCAATGGAAATTTCCTCTTTACTTCACTCGGGCACGACAATGACAACATCTGCTGAGGAATACACCGACATTGACTCCGCAGTTGACTGTGCTTCTAAAGAAGTCCTCACAGCAACAATCAAAGCTATCTACCGTGACATTCCATCAGCTAAAGATGCTTTGATAAGAAAGCTTTTTGTACCTGAGGATTGTGTTCCAGGTGTTCCTGAATCGGCGGATTCGGACACGGAGAGTAGCGAGGATGACAGCGATGAAGAGAGAGAGGGGGATAGTACGAGCCCACCAACCGCCCAGACGACTACCGGCTCTAAGAGATTACGGACTCGCTACGCCATTTGCGAAAACTGCGAAAAGGAATTCGATGTCACAAGTAATACGAGCAAGAGCTGTTTCTATCATTTCGGTAGGTCTTAAACGTTAGCAAGATATACGGATGGTAGTGACAAAGCTATGTGACAGATATTAGCCAGCCAGATTATGACGCATTCGCCGACCATGATGAAAACTGCCACGGACCAATTGATACCGACGAGAATCGTAACGAGTATCCGCAGTTCTTCATCTACCAGTGCTGTGATCGCGATGGTACAGAACAGCCTTGTGAAAATGATTGGCATCGTGAGAAGGAGACCTTTAAAAAGCCGAAGGTTGAGGTATGAGCAACGGTTAGGGGGAGACATCTTTGAGCTGGTTCGCTTCTTCCTTGTATGACTAGTCGTTCTCTCGATTATCAATGTTTTTCCAACGAATCAAGATGATCAGCATCTTTTGGTCTCTTCTTAAGAGCTAACTTATCTGACAAATCCGCGATTACAACCTACTCCTGTCGTCGAAGTTGACTTCGCCACAAACATTTATAATGAGGCTGGTCTCTTTACAGATATCTAGGGCCATATTATAGGTGCAGTTTCGTGCGGTTTCGGCTGGACCTAGGTTGGGATTGCCAATGCCGCATTGTCAGCTTACATCTGGTTAGCACTATTATCAAGCGCATAGTATCACCTCCGCCATAATCAAGACGAGAGTGAAAGATAGAGGTCAAGAACCATTGAAGTGTTACCCTGGGCCTTGAGAGACATATAGTTCGACTTTTCCAGCTTCAATACACGCAAAGCGCGCAGATTATTTCATTTCTGTGTTTTGGTGTACCGAATATGGTGACCAGCATTCTTTGTCCGCTGTTGTGGCAAGATCTTCCGTATTCCGATTCATCTGCCAAAAGTTGTATATGCTAAAATCTGGTTATAGTATATGAGGGAGGTTGAGGGATTTTCCCCTCTCTGCCACGTCCTCATGGATGCCTACTGAGTCAATTGGTCAACAGAATCTACCGCACTTGCCCGCCGACTTTCCCTCATCTTCAACTGTCTATCGCCAACCGACAGCAAAAGAAATGGCGTCTATTGCCCAAGCCCCGAGGATCCCGCCGACCATGCGTGCCTGGGTGCGCCCGCGACGTGGCCCCGCATCCAGGGCGCTGAAGCTAGACCCCAGTTTCCCCACGCCAGCCGTGCCGACGGGATCTTCGCCCGACGTTCTGATCCGCGTGTCGCACGTGTCGCTACAGTTTAGTACCGAGAGTTTAATGAAAATTCTGCCCAAACTGCCTCTCACCGGTCCATGGATCCCAGAGCTCGAGCTGTCTGGCGAGGTGATCGTGGCGGGTGAGGGCGTCCCGCCTGAGGTGCGCGACCCGGGCACGCACGTCGTCGCCTTTCAGAACATTGCCGCCATGGTCATGGGCCACGGCGTGCTAGCGGAGTACGTGCGGCTGCCTGGCAGCCAGGTCGCGCGCATCGACGCCTCGGTTGACAAGGCGTCGGCCTCGGGCATCAACGGCGCCGGGAGCACCGCGCTCAAGATGATCCGCACGGCGGGTGTGCGCGAGGGACATACAGTGCTAGTCAATGGGGCCAGCGGGTCAGTCGGCTCGGTGCTCGTGCAGCTGTGCAAGCTGCGCGGTGCTAAGGTTGTCGGCGTCGCTAGCGGCGGCAACGAGGCCATGGTGCGCAGCTTAGGCGTAGACGAGGTATGCAAAAGTTGCCGCCGGGTTACACCAGAACATAACTAACCCGCGCATAGTTCATCGACTACCATAAGGAAGACCCGCTGCCAGCCTACCTAGCACATAAGTACAGTGACAAGCCGTTTGACTTTGTGCTCGACTGCGTCGGCACGCAAGCGCTCTTTGTCAACTCGCCGGCCTACCTTAAGGCCGAGGGCGCTGTGGTCAACATTGGCGCGCTCGAGGGAATCCTTGTGACGGCGCGCAACGCTCTGGTCAACCTTTGGCTGCCGACCTGGCTAGGCGGCGTGCCGCGCCGCTACATCATGTTTAGCACGCCGCCGGCACGCGACGACTCTGTCTATCTAGCACACCTGGTGGAAGAGGGCCGTCTGCTTATCCCCGTCGACTCCATCTTCAATATGGAGGATGCAGTAGATGCCTACGAGCGCATCGCCTCCAAGCGCGCGCGCGGCAAGGTCGTGATCAAAGTGCGCAGCGACTAGGCCGCGCGTGCGAGGGTTTTGGGGGAGACTGTTTACAAAGATCAATTGAGTATGGCATGAGTCTTTCTGGCTGAAAATTACTGTCTTGTAATTGTAGGCGCTCGAGTTGCAGACCAGACTAGCCTTTCACAGCGAGGACAGAGTCGTTTGGCCTATATCTATGATCTTGGGGGGTTATGAGCCTAGGTCGCGCGCTGCTAGTCATCTTCTTACTAAGAGTTATCATTCCAGGTAGCTCCGGACACTGCCGTCCTAATTGCATAATAATAAGTTCATTGTCTCGGATTTGATACCAGTGCAAGTCAGCAATAGCGAGCAAGAATTACATTAATTACAGTCTCCTAAGCCTTAGGATTCCATCCTTTAGGTCCTCCCCAAGTGCCTTTGACAAAAGAGTTAAAGTACACCCACGGGAAGAAATCCTTTTTAAGATGGTAAAACGCACGCCGAGGCTCTATTTGGTCGATGCCAAACCAGTTGCCAAATGTCTCCTTCGGTTGTCCACCATACTTGAACTCGGCAAGCAAAACCTTGCCGAACTCCGTAAGCAAGGGGCACGACGTATAGCCGTCGTAGATCGCCTGAGGCTGTTTCCCTTCCATTGACAACAACATATTGTGGACGAGAACTGGCGCTTCAGCAGTAACCGCAGCCGCTGTCTTCGACGTGGGTAGACTGGATGCATCACCGGCGGACCAGACGTTGGGATAATGTTTGTGGCGAGTGGTGCCATCATCAACGTCCACAAATCCAGCGTCGTTCGCTAGAGGGCTTTCCTTCACGAACGAATGGGGCCCCATTTTTGGCACGACATGCAGCAGATCAAACTGTTTTTTGACCTGCTTTCCTTCTGGGCCAGCAAAGATCGCCGTGTTGCCCTGGATGGCCTTAAGATCATGTTGAAACAATCCTTCGACCCCTCTCTGTTGGCGCAATTCCTCGAGTTTGGCACTGTATTTTGGCACACCAAACATTGTTGGGAGTCCCGTAGCATAGCTGATCTTGATCGCCGATTTGGAAGGATCTTCGACGTTGTATAGGCCTTCCCGCTTCCAGTAGTCCAACGCAAGCCACATAGCTTTTTGCGGCGCACCTGCGCATTTGATAGCCCCTGCAGGCATCGTGAAAATGGCGGTGCCCTTCTGCAGTTTTTGGATTGTACCGAAGACTTTGTCGCAAGTGTCGTAGCCATATATGGTCGAGACAAGAGATTTAGGATCGGCGAGAGCTTCAGTCAAACCTTCAATCCCTCCATAGTTGATGTTCATGCCAGGAACGACGACAAGATTCTCGTAGTTGACTTTTCCACCATCATCCAGCGTGATGGAATTGCCCTTCGGAGAAAAGGCGCGCACCCCTTTGTTGTAAAATTTGAACTTAGGATCAAGAAGGCTCTTCAATGGCCTCTCAAGTTCGTATTTGGTTTTTAGGCCGCCGCCCACTAGTGTCCATCCAGGCTGGTAGTGGTGCTTTGTTGCCGGGTCAATGATGGCAATGTCATTTTCAGCGAATTTACCAGATTGAAGGAGCTGATGGCTGATGGCCAAGCCTGCGGTGCCGCCACCAACGACGACCACCCGATGTTGCCCACTGACAGAGCCCACAGGAGAGACCGTTGCAAACCCACGAGACGTTAAAGCAGCCGGTCGCCTAGCAAGCCGAGCTACTGATGGGAGAGACGCGCAAAACATGATGAACACTTAGATGAACAGGGAATGTAGAGAGCAGGGTAGCATCAATGTTGAGGTCAATTGAGGTCTGCAAAACGAAGGACAAATTTATAGACGAAGCTCCTCGAATGGGTATAGCCAGGGATGGCGCAATCGACGAGGTGGTGAGAAATTTGTTCGCCGACCCGCCAATCAAAAAGACGGGTCGGAGGGTTGTGGGTCCGTGGGTGATTGGCCGAAGCATGATCTCACAAATTAAGGACATAACAAACAACAGTAAATTCTCTAGGAATGTATCGCGGTGTTGGCTTGACAATAGATCAATCTTACTTGCGCTATATATTAATTAATGATCGAGGAATGGATTCCAGCAAAGGATATAACACAACGGTTAGTAATGCATGAGTGAGTGAGTGAGTGAGTGTGTGTGTGTGTATGTTTCTTCTTACCCCGACCTCATCGAAGCAATATGCCAATCTATAACAACAACTATATATATCCATGTATCTACAGCCAGGGTGTACCATTTCCTTGAAAACGAACCCGCGAGAATGGTTCCGTTCTGTATGCCATGTACGCACGTGGTCTAGTCTGTGCTTAGCTATCTCGCTCCCTCACACACACACTCTTTCTCTGTGCTTAGATATTAATTGATAGGGTTGTAAAGTATTTCACAAGCAAATATGTTGCACATTTCAACTCATCAATTTAAGTGTTTGTTTCCACTTTCCACTCCTTCATCGTTTCGGGGCCGATGCGCGTACCGCAATCACTTCAGCCATGGAATCCAATTTTCGTCGATTATATCTTTGACCAGTTTGAGGATAGGACGATAAGTCTAAAAGCCCACTCAGCGAGAAATTTATCGCTACAACTGGTGGTGGAGGGAAGGGACTGGGCTATCGGCTTTTCACACACTGAGCGCAAGCAACAGAGCCATTTTCGTCACACTTGATCCTCCGTCACACTTGATCCTCCGTCACACTTGATCCTCCGTCACACTTGATCCTCCGTCACTTGCACCCATGGCGACCATTTCGGGGTTTCAAAAGCTTTCGTCGTTTTGGTGTGGGCGACATTATGCAAAAGGATCAGCAATGGAATATGGGCAGACCAAAACGGCGGGCAGAGCATGCCCTGGGATCACGGGAATTGACGGAATCCAGTATCAGATGCGCGACTGTCATCCCTTTTCAAACCTTCGTCGACTATTTAGCTATTTGAGAAATTGGCAGTCTTGTTTTTCAATTCTCAATTTTGGTTGTCTCGTGGTTCTTTAAATATGCCGCAAGGAAGCAAATCCATAACTCTGCCTCTTCAGCCTTCTCTACAATTTGCTTCTCTCCATTTCGATGTAAAATGCGATCGCATATCAACAAAAGTTCGACTCTCAGCAGCTTTTCGGTTATATTTTCCAACGCGAAACTTTCCGTTCAAATACGTCGCCTCTCCTTATACATCTGAAGCAAATCTGACAAATGAATTTTATGTCACAGGCAATAAGCCCAATTACGGCTGGATTTAGGATGTAGCGTTAGAGTACTTCTTACGAAACTTGGAAATCGAGCTAAAGCCATACAGACCCTCGCAATATTATGAAATTGCTTGGCACTGCCAGCCTAAAATGGTAAAACCAGAAAATTTCAAATGCCAATAATCGGTTTTTTTTCTTCTACGTACTAGTCATTTCCGGCTAGACCCGAGCCGGGGATTGGCTCCTGGCTAATGCGATCGCTCCAGAGAGGTAAGACCCTGGAAAAGTGATTTCTTCGTCTATTTTCGCTGACGTTGGAAAATCCCGACCGTTTGCCTAATTAGCCTAACAAAAAGTCAAACGGGTCTTGTGTAACTGCCTCAAGTTCACTGTCTAGAAAACATTGGGCATTTGGTGACCCCAGATTTGCCAGCTGAAAATCCGGGGAGAGAATGGCGCTAGCCAATGACAGCCCTCGATTGCGCTTTAGGGCCACAACTACGACTTCCTCGGCCAATCGCTTAGAATCGCCTCCAACTTTCCCCCGGCTTTGGTCACCCAAAGTCACATTAAACTGTCACGGGCAATACTCCTCTCATACTTTCCCCTTCCTTCAACTTCTTTAAATCCACTTTAGCCTGAATTAGACCCTTTGGGTCACGGCTCACAATCCGTGTCAGGTTTCTTCCCCCGGCATTTGTTGCTTTGCCCTTACAGTCCCTGGTGGGTCCGTGCGAGCCTATCTTAGCCTCTCCCCTGAGCTTTGTTGTTCTGCCATTCTCGGTTGCCAGGGGTATTTGGTTTTACGTTATTGGAAGATTCATTTTACCCTACTTTGCCGCCAAATCAGAGGCTATTCCGCTTCTAGGCCATACACTTTTGCCCCCCTCGTGTTTAAATACTTCAGTGCCGGCTGCAACAGAATGGAGTCACATAAATTTCAACTTCGTCGGAGTACTCGCTGTCGTCGGCCCTATTTTTCTTAGATTCCTGTTCTTTTGGAATCGTCGGCGGACTTTTCAATATGGGCAAGAATACTTTCCGGCTTGCCGGGCAGGACTGGCCCAAGGTAACATGGTGGAAGATGAAGGGCATGCGCTTTGTCTATCTCACACTTTGGGCGGCCATGATTACCTCCGCCACCAACGGTAGCATACCTATGGTCTCTTTACGCACTGCTCATTGAAATACTGACTCGGTCATTCAAGGCTATGACGGCTCCCTGATGAATGGATTGGAGTCCATAAAATCTTGGAATGTTTGTAAGTGTCGAGATCATTACCGGCCAGAAACAGTAACTCACGTGTGCATTCAGCCTACAATAACCCACACGGGGGAACTCTTGGTCTTCTAGCTGCAGCCATGTCAATTGGTTCCATGCTTGCCATTCCTGTGGTTCCATACATAGCAGACATCTTGGGTCGACGTGCTGGTGTAGTTGTTGGCTGTGTGATCATGATATGCGGTGTCGTTATGGTTTCCATCGGTTATCATATTGCCTTGTTTGTCGTTGGCCGCATGGTCCTTGGATTCGGCCTGGGAATCTCACAGGTTTGATTGTGCCCAATATGCTTTTGGATATTCGATAACTAATTGTGGCTTCAACAGGAATGCTCCCCGCTTCTTGTGATTGAACTTGTTCATCCGCAGCACCGAGCCACGTACAGCAGTATTTACAACGCACTGTGGTATGTGGGCAGCTTGATTGGTGCCGGTGTCGCCTTGGGTATGTCTTTTCCCTCATGTATTATATCGCAGATATCTAACACAGATCAGGAACGAACCACATTCAACATAGCGCTTGGGCCTGGCGTGTTCCCTGTCTGCTGCAGGGAGTCCCATCTATCTGCCAGCTGATATTCATCTGGTAAGCCAGTATCTCGGCTCCTTCTTTCGGACAAAGCGGGATTCGCTTACTCTAGTCTTCTAGGATGGTGCCCGAATCCCCTCGTTGGCTCATTTCAAAGGGAAGGCTTGAACAGGCCAAAAAAGTCCTAGCATATGTTCATGCCCAGGGTGACGAGGACGATGCTTTGGTAAACGTGGAGTTTGAGGAGATTCAACAGACTATTGCACTCGAGAAGGAATACACGAGAAACGCGTGGACCGAATTCCTGTCAACCAAAGGCAACCGTCACCGCACACTGATCTTGGTTTGCATCGGCTTCTTTTCTCAGTGGTCTGGAAACGGCATTGTCTCTTATTTCTTGCCTCAGGTATGTTTGCATCTCTGGCAATTATCTGCCTGTATCACGAATGCCAGCGGCTCACAGAATTAGGTTCTCAAACTCATTGGCATTACTAACTCCAATACCCAACTTACCATCAATTTGGTTCTTAGCGCTGTTAACTGCGTTTCTGCCATCGGAATTTGCTTCTGGGTGGAATATTTTGGCCGACGAAAGCTTTTTTTGACATCGAGTATCTCCATGTTGTTGTGTTATATCGCCACAACAATTGCTCTGGCTCTCTACGCAGAGGGACCAAATGGAAACCCGGCGGCCGGCCACACAGTTATTGCGTTCATTTTCCTCTACTACATCGCATACAATATTGGATACAGCGGTCTCTTGGTATCTTACTCGTCTGAGATTCTGCCATACCACCTCCGTGCCAAGGGCCTGACACTCATGTTCTTCTGCGTTGATCTCAGCCTGTGGTTTAACCAATATGTCAACCCAATTGCCATTGAGGCTATCCAGTGGAAGTACTACATTGTGTACTGCGTCTTCCTGGTTTTTGAAATTGCGATTGTCTATTTCTTCTTCGTTGAGACAAAGGAGACTCCTCTGGAAGAAATTGTGAAGATCTTCGACGGCGAGCAGGCTATCCTGGGTGGCGCGATTGCATCGGAGAAAGTCCAGCAGCTTGCTTTGGGTGGCGATGATACAATTAGAGTAGACAAGGAGAGAGCAGTCGCATCTTCGGTCGAGATTAGAGGTTAAGCGTGTCGAATGGCCTCATGGTTTGGGCCATGCTAAATGGATCTTTTGCTATTGAACTGGGAGATTGATTATTATGTACTGCCTCTATGCTACTATGCCTTTTCCTGGATAATTTATTGAACAATAATGGTGCTGAGCCCTTTGCATTTGCCTCTCGTCAGAAATTCACAGTTCACTGTTAAACAAAGGTTTTAGTCTACGGGATTCTCTAGTGATCTCGTCTCATAATTGGCTCTGAACTTGCCGAAGTCAATTCAATGTACGTCTCATGTAGGTGGGCTTTGCTTCCGGTAGATGACCGTCCAAAATTGGGAGGTGTGTGACCCATATGCGGAACAAAAGCTTAAATAACATCTGAGAGATTGAGCCCACAAACAGTTGGTGCTGGTCATTGCTCAGATAGGGCCACTATGGGAAGCTAATTCAAGTAAAACCATATGCATCGTATCCGGAATTGTAATTCATACCTTCTTGTCACGGCTATTCCGGTAGAATAGAAAAGGCATGGCTAAATCGCTTGAGGCTTGCACAGCCGAGGCAGTAATGCTGTTTTGGCTCCCAATGCCTCTTCGGGCGTTTTTTACGTCCTAATTTAATTAAGCAAATTTAAAAAACTGTTTTTCCCCGTGGGTCTCTTCATAAGATATAGCCTAAACTTCTCCATGCTTTCCCCAGAAAATCTCCCGCAGTCAACAAACACCTAATCTTCAGGCTGGAAATATTAGCGCCGTGATTTTTACCATTTTCCCTGCAATTGATTTAAATCACTTGCAATCCCCAGACTTTGGGGTTAACTTCTCTCATCATCTCTCCATTTTATATTACTACTTTCCAAAATGCGCTCATATTTGGCTATTACGGCTTTACTTGCCAGCCTAACGCAGGCGGTACCTCATTTAGGAGATCAAATTCCTATCGATCTTAATGCCCTTGCTCACCACCGTGATAAATTATGGTTTGGCACGGCTGCGGATATCCCTGGAACTTCGGAGTCAACCGATTACGCATACTTGAATGTTTTGCGAAAGAACTTTGGAGAGATGACTCCCGCAAATGCAATGAAGGTATTCTTAATGAACCTTCTTGCTTCTTATCTATTCTGACAAGCTTTTCCCCAAAAGTTCATGTACACCGAGCCTGAACAGAACGTCTTTAATTTTACTGAAGGCGACTACTTCTTAGACGTGGCCGAACGCTTCGGCAGCCAGGTGCGCTGCCACAATCTTGTGTGGGTCAGCCAATTGTCCGATTTTGTCACCTCGCAAAACTGGACTGCCGAAGCTCTTACTGCGGTGATGAGGAACCACATCTTCAAGACAGTTCAGCACTTTGGCCGACGTTGCTACTCCTGGGACGTGGTTAATGAAGCCCTGAACAGCGACGGCACTTTCTCTTCAAGCGTCTGGTATGACACAATTGGCGAGGAATATTTCTATCTTGCCTACCAATACGCGCAGGAGGCGTTGGCGGAGATCGGTGCCAATAATGTCAAGCTTTTCTACAACGATTACGGGATTGAGAACCCGGGAGCCAAAGCTGATGCGGTTCTCCAGCTTGTGAGTGAGCTGCGGAAACGCCATACTCGAATTGATGGTGTTGGGCTTGAGTCGCACTTTATTGTCGGTGAAACGCCTTCTCTTGCCGATCAGCTCTCAACCAAACAGTCTTATATCCGGGCCGGTCTAGATGTGGCTATAACAGAGCTGGACATTCGCTTTTCGGAGGCTCCATTTTACTCTGCTGCTGGTCAACGACAGCAGGCTGCGGACTACTACACCAGCGTTACCAGTTGTGTTGAAGCTGGCCCCCGTTGCATTGGTGTCGTTGTATGGGACTTCGATGATGCTTATTCTTGGGTCCCAAGTACCTTCGCCGGGCAAGGCGGTGCAACCTTATTTAACAGTACTCTCCAGGCCAAACCAGCCTATTATGCTGTTGCCGAGGCTCTTGAGGGTAAGACTTGCAGCGTTTGCTAATTTTGTGTATATTCGTGTGTATATATTCACGAACCGTATCGGGCACAATATTGGGAAAATTGAATTTATGATTTGTAAATTACGCAAGAAGGTAACCTGCTGAACTAGTCATCAAATTCCTCACATAAAAGTAATCCAATTAAATAAGGCTTGTAAATTTGTATGTTTTCCTGTCGATTATGCCCTACGACCGTCCTCGCACACGTGATTTCGAGACAAACAAATCGCGACCGCTGCAGCCGAATTTCACGGCGAACATCAACCGTCAACAAGAATTCCATCGAATCATACTACTATCGCTGGGCACATAATGGCCAACAAGTTGGTAATACTATGCTTTGGCGACTCTTTGACGGCAGGCTACTATTGTTATGGACTGCACTACCATCCATATGCGGGGAAACTCAAAGAAACACTCGAAGCAGCATTTCCCGGCACCGAAATAGTAATCGACGTGGATGGAGTTCCTGGTGACTTTGCCATTAGTCCGCCCGGAGGCTTCCTGCCTCGGATTCAAGACAAGTGTTTCAGTTCTCAGTATGACTGGGTCATTGTCCTCGGAGGGACGAAGTGAGCAGTTCTCCATCGCCCTACTTTCGGCTCGATTACAAGAGTGCTAAAACCTCCCGTTTAGTGATCTTGGATATCGCCATCAACCTGATGACATATACTCTGCGTTACAAGGCAGTTGGAATGTGGCTCTCGCTTCGGGCGCAAATGTCCTTGCCTTAACTGTTCCTGAATGTGCAGCCAGGTCCCAGGAGCTCGACGATAGTCGTGACAAGTTAAATTCACAAATTCTCTCACACAAGGCCGAGCGATTGTGAGTGACCTGGAGAACATGGCGGTGCATTGTACTGAAGGTTTATAGCCATGCATTTGATTTGCGCCGTGAGATTCCATGCCACAGTACGACGGAAGAATTCAGGCAGCTTGTCTTCGACGATGGCTTGCACTTAACACCTGCAGGTTATGATATGGTCGGAGAGTCGATTAGAGTGCATTTGGTTCAGTTGCTGAACTCAGAGAGTGACAAAGAGAAACAGCAAAATTAGACCTGGGGGACTCAGGATATGGAACAATTGACCGAAGCCTTGATCTTGAAGGTGAGATGAGCATCCCCCAAATGAATGTGGCTTTGTTCGTTCTCCCACAGAACTAGCTAGCCTTGTGCTATATGGACAAATTTGCTTTAAGAACGAAATCTAGACCGATTTCATCAAAAGGCCATCTAATCTTATCCTTTGACTGATCATAGATATGCAGATCTTGATCTACAGGCACTGGTACTGATCTAGATGTTCCCATTATTAAAGTCGTCAGATAAACTCAAGATCGCCCTGTAAAATACAATCACCGACTTAGATTGCCATGTTTTGAACCTAAGGGCCACTAAGGTACTAGCCAGTGCGCATTTCTCAACATAGGGGAACTCCGAAAATTGCTTGGCATTCGAACATGATGAAACAAGAAAACCCGGTTCGTCCAAGGCTCGCGATCCACTTTCGGCTAGACCCGAGCCGGGGACGGGCATTCGGGAGATACGATTGGTCGATCCAGATAAGCGAGAACACCCCATGGGGGGCCATTTTTGTTCATGGCCGACACCGGATGAACCGGCATTTGCGCGGTCGGGGGCCCGAACAGTCTAACAAGGAAACGCGACGTGCCTCTTCAGCTCGTCTGCGCCCTTCCCTGTGCGGGCTAGAAATATTATTGCATCGTCTGACCCCAGGTTTGCCTCCCCGAGTTTTATTCTCGGCTCCATTCACCTTTTTATCGGCTCACCGAGAGTCTGGAACTAGGATGGCCTCGGAGGAGGCTGAATTCTTATGCGCCGTGCTAGCAGGATCACCATAGCGTGGCAAAGCGCTGAGACACGCGTCGTCCCGTGTGAATCGGTTCCCCGAGTCTTGGCTAGGCACGTCTGGACCGAGAATTAAAAAAAAGAACCTGGGTGCCGACGCATCCAAACAAGGAAACGGTCTGATCACTGCATTCCCTCTAGTGTCACTCTGGAAAGTCAGTCTATAGGCTGACCAGCACACAACCCTGCCCTTTTCCCCACACAAATTGTTTGGTGGCGCAGGGCCCCCCGGGGTCTCTGGAGAAAATTGCTAGGGCAAGTCACCACACGCGCTACTCCAGAATGCTACCGTGCCTCTGCGCATGGCCCGGTGAAAAGCAACCGACTAATCTGGATGTAGAGCTAGGCGCCCTCTAGCAAATTCCAAATGGAGCTTGATATCCGTGTAGATTCACGCTATGCTACTTTTCTAGAACGTTGGCAAATTGTTGGGTCGGTTCTTTCGCTCCTGGTTGGACCAGCTTAGCCGTAGTGCTTGCTCTCTTCTGTTCTGTCAATGCCGACGACGGGACATAGTCAGTCACCCTCCCTACCCCGCTGACCTCTAAAACTATGGTCGAATAATGTTCCCACTGGCTGCGTTGATCAGACGTCCCAGGGATCACGAGAGCAGTTCGTCGCTGACTTATCTGGGCTTCACAGCGTACCAGCACCGGTCAAATGTCGGACAGGCGGGGATGAGGGTCTCATTGCATGGACTATTCGCCGTAAGCACTAGACCCCAGATGCTTCGTACAGGGGACGCAAATGTGGGTTGGTAGAGGAATCTGTCGCTGACGAGAGAAGGACGAATTACGACTCGTCAAAGGGAGTGTGCAGCTGGAGCGTGGCGCTTTCTCGGATCCGCCGCGTGCTCTCGGCTCGTGACAACCAGTAAACAGTGCAGTTTGGGTGAAATTGCTTCCTTTTGGCATGGATTGGTGGCGTCCACTAATCCCTAATGATCTGATTTTAAATGTTTCTTGCCAAAGCGGAGTATCGCATTTCCGACAATTTTCCTCCCACCCCGGCCTTACCAACCAATCTGAGCCTTAGCGTACTCTTGGATCGCCTGAGTGGCACATGGATATCTAATTCTAGGTTTTCATATGCCGCCGTTGGTGATTGGCAGGCGTTCTGGAAGCGAGAGACGTGAAACGATGCGACTATATAATCCAACACATCCTTCCCATCCTGGTAAACTTTTTCACCCTCTGCTCGTGTATCTTTCTTCTCCTTTACCGAGATCCCTTGCATACGCCTTCCAATATGGCAGTCAGTCAGTCGGTGGTTGGCCGCGCCAACGCGGAGAAGCCTCACGGTATCGTGGGTATGATAAAGAACCCCTATGTCTTTTTGACATGTTGTTTCGCATCCCTAGGGTACGTTCACTTATTTTCGAGCCTTGTTGCCTCCTAATTCCTATATCATGACTAATTAAAACTCCAGGTGTATCATGTACGGATACGATCAGGGAGTGATGGGTCCTATCCTGGTGATGGAGAACTTTGAGAACCATTTCCCCTATTTTCAAAGTTCAATCATTCAGGGCTGGCTGGTTTCTGCACTGGAACTCGGTGCTTGGGCCGGTGCTCTCATCAACGGTGTTCTGGCAGACCGCATCTCGCGTAAATACGCCATGATGGTTGCTGTCGTTATCTTTACTCTGGGAACTGGTCTCCAGGCTGGTGCGCAGACGCCCGCTTACTTTTTCTCTGGCCGGGTCATCGGTGGTGTCGGCATCGGCATGTTCAGCATGGTTATTCCTCTCTACCAGGCTGAAGTTGCCCCCCGGAGTTGCGTGGATCGCTCGTCTCTCTGCAGCAGCTTTCGATCACTATCGGGACCACCATCGCCTTCTGGCTCGACTACGGCATGCAGTACGTTGGTGGCACTACCTGCAACCCCGAGGGCATTGCCAATCCTTACCTGCCCGATCATACTTACAACGCCGCCCAAAACAATGGCCACACTTGCTTGGGCCAGAAGACCATTTCCTGGCGCCTTCCTCTGGCCCTCCAGATTATCCCTGCCTGGATTCTGTTCTTCGGCATGTTCTGGTTCCCCTTCTCCCCTCGTTGGTTGATGATGAAGCACCGCGAAGACGAGGCCCTCGCTGCCCTTTCCAAGCTTCGTCGCTTGCCCGGTACCGACCCGCTAGTGCGCGCTGAGTTCCTTGAAATCAAGGCTGCTGTCATGTTTGACGAAGAAAGTGAGCGAGAGGCTATTGGAAGCGGCGGTGCCTTGGCCCCATGGAAGGCTCTATTTGCGCCAAACATGTTCAAGCGTCTGATGATTGGCTGCTGCACCATGGTTTTTCAGCAATTCACCGGTATTAACGCTGTCCTGTACTATGCGCCTCAGATTTTTACCTCCTTTGGCTTTTCGTCTACCAAGACCACCCTGCTCGCTACCGGTGTGACTGGTATCCTTCAGATTATCTTTACTCTGCCCTCTGTCCTCTACCTTGATAAGTTTGGACGCAAAACCTTCCTGATCTGCGGTGCTGCGGGCATGTTTATGTGCCACATTGTTGTGGCCATTGTCGAGGGTCTGTTCGAGGATAAGTGGAATCTGCACAAGGGATTGGACCAGCCGCAAGGCTGGGTTGCTATCGCATTTATTTGGCTGTTTGCTGTCAACTTTGCCTACTCATGGGGTATGCTTTTTGGCCCCCCCCCCCCCCCTTTTTGCTGCGATTGGATGGTTTCTAACATATATTGAAATATAGGTCCTGTCGCCTGGGTGTTGACCCAAGAAATCTTCCCCAACAGCCAGCGTTCTCGTGGTGTCGCCATCGTCGCATCCACCAACTGGATGTTCAACTTCATCATTGGCCTGACGACCAAGGATATGCTCCGTTCGTTCCTCCCATCACCCAATACACATAAGGAGCAGTCACTAATGAACTACAGTCACTATGAAATATGGAACGTATATTTTCTTCGCCGTCTTCAGCGGTCTTGGCGGTCTCTTCATTTGGAAGTTCGCCCCTGAGACCAAGGACAAAACCCTTGAGGAGCTGGACATTTTCTTCGGCGGTAGTAAGGAGAGCATTGCCGAGGCTGACCGTCTCCGCATGGAGAGAATTAACGACCAGCTGGGTCTTGGTGGCGTCGAGACCCTGGAGGACCTGAATACGGAGAAGCAGATCACTACCCAGCAGGTTGAGGTTAATACCACCTCCCACGACGCTTGAGATAGTACTTGATCCTGTGAATCATCCGTTTCTGCTGGGCAGGTGCGGGATATGAGCCAGTAAATAATTTGATGTTCTTATTCCGCAACTGTCTTGTATCCAGAATTTATTTACGTCTGGTGTCTTCACTTAAATAATGCCATACTAGGCAGTGGCTGATAGAATTTCCTGCTTTACAGAATACATGTTATTATGTAGATCTCATGGTTTAAACCCTGTTTGGTGTTTAGAACTGTGACCTAGTACTCATCAGCTGCTAAAAGTAGCAACGGGCTCTATAGAGATCTATAGTGATGGTCGCCTCGTTGTTGTTTCAGTAAGTTCTATAATAAGCTCCTTTCGTCCGTTTCAGGGAGTTTCTGAGAGACGTGGAAGCCGAAGCGCATGATATTTGTCTTTGGAGCTCCCGGCCAAATAGCGACCAGGTTTTCCAACTATGATGCATACAAGCATTGAGTTAACTGAATGATTTAAACATGATTTCGTCAGAGGACTGGACTGCAGAGGGTTGATATTAGGGCTAAGATGGTTCGACTTTCGGGATATACTACGCAAATATTTTTGTAAGACCTCCCTCTCTTCTCCTCATCTACTTTCATAACTACTTTTCGGTTCTCAATCCACATGCCTAATTGATCAGTGGTTTGGTGACTAAGAGTGCCATCTAGTCGGGACATTTTAACCGTTTCGGGTAAGGGAAGGACGTGCCCGCTTCTGTAGAGATAGTCCAGTCTTATCATTGTCTGAAGCAGAAAAGAAAATTTGAGATGGCAAAATGCTCTGGAAGTCTTCGGAGACTTGAATCAGTATCTAAATATCAGGCCATGTAATTCATCAAGCGTCTAAGTAATGTTGAGTGGCCTAACATAAGAGGATAATAATGCATCTAGAGGTACATCGCCTCCCTATACTCTATCAAGTACAAGAGGCACGACATGATAGCAAAGGGACAGAGCCATGATTATTCCACAAATACATTTGCTATCTCTCCGCATGTCGTCATAGCCGTGCATTCCATCACCAAACAGGGAAAAAGGATTCGAGGAAGTGTCGCAAACCTTCGGATGCGTATATCTTGTCACCGTCAATCGGGGAAACTAAGACCTCGACCCCCGCATTGAGATCTTCGTAATCTATGAGCGATAATAGGATATCCCAGATTGCCCAGCCATCTAGGCCGGGAATACTTATTTGGGCTCCTCTCCTGGGGAGATTGGTGGGGAAGTTATATGAACATCAGTATCGAGGAATCACAACACAACATACTTGGATGCCAACGCGCCATTTGCCAGGATTTACAGCCGCATGAACTGAGACAACATGGATCAACTGCTGAGTCCAGAGAATATCTGGCTTGTCAGCCTAATCCTAGTTGCCGCGACCGGACTATCCTATGCCCTAAATCGATCATTCGGCAAAACCCTCCTGAGCAGAATGACCCTGCGCGGCCGTCGAGACTCAACAGCCAAAACCCCACCGCGCTCATTCTCCCCGGACAAAGCCCAGCCCAGATCACCCACAAGCTACCACTGTGCCTTACCGCCCCAACGCAGAGCAGCTCTGGCCGACGTGAAGAGCGATGTTGTGCCCTGGCACGAGGTAAGTGAGGAAGAAGTATCACGACAGATTTTGCCGATGAAGGCAGATTATAGAACAAGCCCGGGCAGTCTTTACACTCCAACGGGGTTCTCGGTACAAGAAGTCAAAGCCCTAGGCGACTTTCCCGACTATGCGACGCTTAGCGGTGTTCCGCTGCCCAGTCCTTATCCCCAGTTTGATATTAACAAGGCAATGCCCAGGCCATATCGTCCGTTTAGATGGGCCTATCATCAGACCATGTGTATGTCATGTTCTTCTCCCAACCGAACTCCGAACGGACATTGCTTACCCTGATACAGCCCTCACAAAGCTAGACACCGACTGGTGGATTGAGCTTGAGAAGACGTACAAGAGCCGCATCGCCCAGCGCAAGGAACTATACGCCAAGGAAGGAAAAGCAGTTCTTGACGCTCTTCCTGGTTCCGAGCTAGCCTGTAAGGAGCTGATGGAGGTTGTGCTGCAATTCATCTGCGCGCGATATCCGCAGTACTTCTCACTCGTGGACAATCGCGTACTGCATAATCGCATTCTCGGGACGGAGCAGGATATCCGGGCAAAGCCTCCACTCGAAATCCTCCTCGACAACGTACCGGAGGATTTTGCGCTCATGCTGCGTGATGACAAGACGGGCTTCTATATCCTCCGCGCCGCCGTGATCTGCTCAGCCCTAGGTTGGAACGTGGCCGCGAAGATTGACCGCCAGTTGCATGAGATCCACGCACCGATCCCGGACTACAAGGAGAAAATGCAGTTCTCCATGGACAGGTATGTTGTACGTCTCTTCAAACGCAATATTCTGATAAAGACAGATACTTTACCAAAATGCCGACCGAAAAGCCCATCCAGCGAGGCTCATGGGGCCTCGAGGTAGGAGAGCCGCTGTACATGGCACCTGGCGACCCGCTTGAAGAGGAAAGAGGAAAGCAGGATCCCAACCTGCGCATTGGTGAATGCACACTACGCGTGGATTGGCAGACCCTGCGACGCCTTCCTCTTTCCGGGGCTGTTGTGTTCAACTTCAAGGCGCTGTTCACGCCATTGGTGGAATTCCGTGATGAGCCTGGAGTGCCGGGCCTCGTTGCGAAGATTTTGAAAGAGGGAAAGAAGAGTTTTATGGAGTATAAAGGAACGTGGCATGTTCACCATGTGGTGCTACCGAAGTTGGAGGAATGGGCACAGGAGCAGGAAGATAAGGGCCTGGTGCCGAAGAACTGGGAGGTTGCGACTTTAGACGACAGTCCGTGGTTTAAGAATTGGGAGGAGAAGTGGCATCGCCAGCAAGGATTTTAGGGTGCAAGCTTTTGGGGATACTGTGTATATAAACGTGATTTCATCATGTCATTTCGAAATTGCCGCGGAACTCAATTCGAGATCAGGGACACGTCGCAGCGAGGCTATTGTACATACAGTTTGTGCGGGCGCCCCAGGAAAAGAACCATATATATCGAATGGTTCCCAAGGATGGCCATAGTATCGTGAAGCTTACCAGAAACAGCCGTAATATATCGTTACGCGCAAAGTCACCACGTCGTCGATAACAAGAGCCGGCGCTAGTTGACTCAGGCTCGAGTCAACGAATGCACCAGACGTCATCGGCATGTTGGCTAGTCTGAGTGTTTGGTCGGTAGTGGTTTCAGCCGGGCGCGTGGACGCAGTTGTTTCACTGAGGAAGGAGACACGCTGATGACTCTGAGAGGGTGTGTAAATGGAGGATTGGGCCAGGATCGGAGTGTTCAATCGTCGCCGTCGTCAAGACCCCGTGCAGACCCGTCCTCACTGCCATTTCTGCTCTCTTCGCGATCCTCTGCATTACTTTCTCGATCCAGTTCTTCCAACTCATCCTGCAACGGACTAACCCGCACATCCAATAACTCCAAGTCTTCCAACTGCTGTCGTGCTGGCAGCTTCCACAGACTGGTACCACAGACACGATCCTTCGTGAGCAGATCATCGACAAACTGATCCATATACGTGAGCACAAAGGTATCGCGGACCCTGCGCTTCAATTTCCGATAATCAAGCAACAGCGGCTCTAACGTCTTGTACACGTCCACGGCATCAAAAGTGAGCCGAACATAGAACGCCGCTAGTGCGCGCAGATACTTGAAATCGCCGCGCTCCTTGACAACCCCGTTTTCCGGCTCGGCGGCCTCGGCCTCGTCGTCGCTGCCCGGGTCGCTGAAGTGGAGGTACTCGAGGATCACGTCTCGCTCGGGGTTGAGTTGCAGCAGCTTGAACGCAAGGCACAAAAAGGGCGCAGGTTTTTCGGAGACACCGTATGTGCCGCCGAGGGAGGTCAGTTCGGTGGCACGGTCGCACAGCGTGGCGGCGTTCAGGCCGAAGCATTGTTCTTTCCAGTAGTAGGAGTCGGTGATGCGGTCGCGCACGGCTTTCTCGAAGAGGGTGATTGGGTTGACGCCCCGGACCAGAGGGCCCGTGTAGCCCCGGTTATCGAGAAAGGCACTGGCGTCGGCGCGGTGGGAAGCCATTGGAGAGAGTCTGTGAAGTAGTGAAGTCGAGGTTTGTGGAGAGAAAAAGAAGTCGGTCCCGTGCCAAGCCAGCTTATCGATAGTCGCACGGCCAACCCGAAGTACATAAACAACAATCTGACATCACCGATGGTCGACATTCTAATCAATCTCACTCTTTCTCCCATTTCCAATGCAGCCTTCCACGTTATTCCAGCCATGGTGCTCTTGACCTCTTCAACCGTCTCGGCCATCGTGTCGATGGGGGTGGTGTGCATGTTCACCCTGGCGCTGTTTATGGCCGGCTACGCGCTACAACAGCAGTCCGTCAAGAACATCCAGCATGCCATCCGCGTGGTACCCGACAATGCACCCGTGGCGGGGTTCAAGGGAGATGGATCTACATTCCACAAACGCGGGCTATCAGATTCATCTTTATTAGCGGGCGATCCGGACGTCTTACAGGACAGAGATAGAAACTCGCAAGATCATCACCCTAGTTCCTCGAAGGGCAACTATGCCTACCTCCAACTCCTCTCTGACCCCGACCCATCCAATATCTGCTCCGCCGTCCTCTTCTTCAAGCAACTCGCGACCAACAACACCGCCATCCAAGACCGTCTGTTCATGTACCCCGAAGAATGGGACCGGACGACCACGAGTAATAAACTCAGCAGACCCGCCGCCGCCGCGCTATCCATTCTGCGCGCCGCAAGCCTAAAATATGATATCTGGCTCCTGCCTATCGACATGACCGCCGCTACGAAGGAGGGATTCGCGCCTACGGATTCGAAGCTGCTCCGGCTGGGCCAGAACCAGTTCATGCAGTATGACAGCGTGCTGTATGTGCACACGCCTGGTCTTCTTCTCGACAGCTCAAAACTAGATGACGTCCTTCTGTCCCGGCCATTGCCGCTTCGACACGATCGGAACCGGAAGGAGTCTTATAATAACGAAGCTTGGATCCCTGCACCGCTTCGTCCAGCCCGCGATCCGGACATACCACCCGTCTATCTGATCGCGGTGAACAATGTTGGTGCCGGAAAGATCGAGACGCGCACCCATATACCGAACATGGCGTTGCCGGGCTTCAATCGTCTGGTTACTGGGCCGTGGGGCGTCCAGGACAAGAACACGGAGCAGCAGGAGGAGCCGGGCTACGTCTACTTTGAAAGTGATGCCGATGGTCGGGTCAAGTGGTCTGGGAATCCGCTGTTTGGCGCTTGGCGCGCGCAACAGTCTGAGATTTGTGATGGGCTAGACCTGGATTCGGTCTGGCATGATGAGCAATGATTTCCTCTTTCCTCTTCTTTGTTGGGTTTCTTCTCTCTGTACATGTTTGGCCATATGGATTGGAGGAATTGGCGTTGGTTGCATATAGTTTATCTTATTTACGAGCATCCAGGCCGAATTCTGCATTGAACAAAGAACTACGGTCATGGCCTTCTTCAAGTTCCTCATAAATTCGTTTGACGCCCGATATAACTAGTTGGTATACACGTCTGGTAGAACGAACAAGATTACTGAGAAGCCCCAATCTCATATCCCAGCAGCACCTCGGTCGTATTACCCTCCCAGCCGCGATTCCCACTCGTCGAGATCATAAACCGGCACGCATTATCGACAAACAGCTGGGAAATTGTGCCCGTGCGATGACCGGGGATAATCAAGAACGGTACCGTTGAGTGTCGAGATGTCTCTTCGTGTTTCAGGTCGTAGAGGCGGAGGATATCATGGGAGGCACTGCAAAGATCATTAGCACTGGAACTGAATCGAAATCATAATTAAGTGGAGAAAGCTCACCAGACAAGATGTTGCCCGTTGGGCATGGCCTTCAGTGCTGTGACAGGCCCGCTTCCCTGTGGGAATTTGAACGTGCGCTCGGCATTGCGGAGTCCCTTGTGCAGACTGAACTCCTCGACTGTGCCGTTCCGGCGTCCGGCATAAATATAGTTCCCGTCGGGGGACCAGCAGGCATTCATGCACCATGGTGGTACATTGCGGGGAGTGATTCGGGCGACTGGGTCGGGCTGTCGGCGGTCCCAGATACGGATGGTTCCATCAATAGATGCGGCGAGGAAGGTGGTGTCGGTCACGACGTTTTGCTCTTGCTGCGTGTTCTGAAATGGCTCTCCGCTGAACGATGGCGTTTCGAGATCTTCGGCCTTGGGGAGTCCGTTGACGGCTGGTTGGTCCGGCCCGGTGGGATTATCAGCATCGGGTATCTCTGACTGTGCGTTTCCGGTATTGACAGTTATATCATCGGGTTGTGTGGGTTTTCCTTGGATGGAATCAGAAGGGGGTGGCATTTCCGTGTCAATTTCTCCCGGTGCATCATCCGCGTCCACAAGAACGCCGTTCCCCAGTGCGCGACCAAACTCGTCGTCTTCATCCCCGCCAAACACCCCGCCAGCAGAGGGCTCTCCACCATCTGCGACTCCACCGTCCGCATCGCCGAATAACGAGTCCGCGCCCCCGAAAAGCGAGTCCGCTGGTGAACCCGCCTGCGGGTTCTCAGCGGCGGCCGCCTCTCCGGTATCCTGCGAAGTATCCATGAAGCCGAAACTCTCGTGGCCACTGGCCCCGTAATTCGATGCGTATGTTCCATTCGATTGTTGGGGCTCAACGGTATCCTGCGGCACCGGGAGCGTAGAATCAGGCCGGATTTGCACAGCACAGATCTGTGCTGCGCTGCCTCCAAAGGCACGCCGCACCTGTCCCGTATTCAAATCCCAGTCAAAGACCCGTTTGTCCCAACTACCCGACAGCACGGACTTTTCATCCGAGGTCAAGTTCAACGTGGACACCGCCGAGGTATGCTGTCGTAGCCGGGCAATCTCCTTGCCCTCTTCATGGCGCAGAGTCTGTAGCCGAATCACTCCAGACTCTAACCCAGAGAGCAACCACATACCCTCGCTGTGGCTGGCCAGGGAATACACAGGTGACAGATTCGTCCCATCCATATTCTCCCAGTATGTCATCAGCACACCTGCCTTGACCACACTATCCACGAATGGATGTCGTTGCGCCACAGTCAACATTAGCTTGCTGTTAATGGTGTCCGCCCAGTTGAATTTCCGCACATATCCATCCGACCCCCCACTGAAGACCCAGCGCATATCCGCCGTAGCTGCGATGGCATTAATCGACGTGCTATGTGGCGCGGCGGTGGTGGGCGCGATATCGTAGGATTTGGCCGTCAGGCACTCGGGACGCACAGGCGGGTGGTAGACGGAGAAAGACGACTCTTCTTGCCCGGGTCCTGGCGATGTGCCTTCCGTGCCGTCCTGGTTCTGTTGCTGTGAAGCACTGCCGCCGCCCCCCTCGGACGCCTGGCTGGCGTTCGAGGGGCTATCTGCGTCTTGGTCTCCGTCGCCATCGGCATCTGGTTCGTTATCTCCCTCGGCATCGTCGGCATCGCGCATCGTCTCGTCGATATCGTTGTCGGAGCTTCCATCTTGAGACCCTGGGGAATGCGAGCAGGGTCAGCGGGGGAAGGTGACAGATAGAGCAGCTACATCAAAACCATGCTTACCGGCCAGATCGCGATCATCCTCCTCCTCCACGAGTGCCGACATGGTGAGAGGGCGCTGATGTACAGGAAGAAGAAAGTAGCCCTAGGGCGCAATGCAGGGCGGGCAGTCACGCGGGGAGCGGGCGAGAAATGGCCCAGCGTCGGCGGAAATGGTCAATGGCGAACGAGGGCTCAATTTGTTGGAATGGCCGTGCGCGACCGAACCGGACCGGTCTATATATAGCGAGCGAGTGGGTAGGAGCTGGCAGAGTCGGCCGGGCTGGGGATGTCTGCGGTCGGAAGGTCGCGATGATCGCCCGAGATCTATGTGCTTGGCGCTTGATCTTGACCGCTCGAGAAGACAATACGAGTTCACTATTCGACATGATTCATACTCCGTATGGAACAAACTACTGGAGCTTGGCTTATATCGTGCACCAAGTGCAGATAAATTCTAGAACTCATGAATCAACGAAGATACACCGCGGAGTGGAAAATATGGATCTACAAGTAGGAAGAGCCGCGCAGTAAAAATTGCCAGATACCGCAAAAGCAGTTATCCTGTGATAGCATCATCAAACGAACCGAAAAAAGTAAGATAGTTACAATGTACCTTTCTCTAAACGCAAACCAACCAGACAACTAAGAACCACATGCACTTGTCACGTGATTATATCACATGATACACAACTTATGTTGGACTCCAACGGTTGGAGGACAATCCTCGCAAAATGTCACGTGATTCTAGGTCCGACCTCACTTAGTCAGCTCATAACGTTAGTCTAGATAACTAACGTTAGTTGGGCTGCCCCCCGGGCCCCTTCCAATTGGACACACATTCACCAACAACTTATACTCGTCGCCCCTTGATCGCATAGTAGGCTCTTCAGTGATAAGTCTTAGATTAGACGCATTGCATTGCTATCAATTTCATCAAGTATTCACGCTGATTGTCATGGTATGGACTCACAAATAGCGGTTCCAGCGGGTTTCTATGACTAAATCTCTGACTGGCCAATTCTGCCACCGTCCGAAACCTAGATACAATGGCTTGTAGCTCTGACCCAGCATTTTGACACTATCATGGCTATCTGTATTTAGGAAAAGTTGTCAAAATCTGGACGTATGAAGTCCCACATGGAATTGCAAATCATGAAGGAATAAATCTCTAATTATCATTGAAATCAATCTGGGGATGTCCAACAATCTAGAGGGTGAACTAACTACATAATAGTAGCCGATACACAATAGGAAATCGTGATGAAGGGTAAAATCCCTGTATGTGACCTGTAGGGATTCCAATTCTTGACAGAAGTAACTATAGAAGGTAGGTACGGAGTATGTAATTCATGATTATTGTAAAAGATGTCAAGAATTGGAATTCTTACAGGTCACATACAGGGATTTTACCCCTCATCAATATTTCCTATTATGTATTACTCATTTATTAGTTAATTCGCCCTCTAGATTGTCGGGCATTCCCAGATTTATCTGAATCAGAGATTTACTTCTTCGTGATTTACACGTCCATGTGGGACTGTCGTACGCCCAGATTTTGACAAAAGACATTCTATAGTATCGCTATAGTAATAAGCTGAAGTCCTAAATCAGAATTTGAAACCCCTAAAATAGGAATCTCCTTAATATTTGCATAAAAAACTAATTATTCATAATATATACTAAGATTTCCTCGCTTGGGAGCACCCAGAAGAGTGGGTCCAAAATGACAGGGTACATTTAGCGAATTCCTTGGGTACTCTTAGCTGCGAGCCCCTGATCGCATGTATGAACGCATGGACGAGCGGGGTAAAGAGTCTATACATAGATACCTCGCTGACACCTGGTTTCAGGGCCAGCGATCAGTCTTGAAATCATACCGAGTCGTAACCATCTCCGTTGCCTCAACCTGTAAAACCATCAACCCAGGGGTACTACTACTGTGATGCTCCCCTGACTGTTTCCCACATAGAGCAGCTCTGAAAAGAGCTTGGCATTGGGCCACGGAAATCGAAAAGCCCCCAGTGGAACATGAAAATTTGGATCTACAAGGCCTCTAGATTGACTTTCGGCTCGGGGACGGACTTTTCCGCAGACACCCTTGGCTATTTTAGATACCCCTTCCTGTGTGGATCAGAAAAACTGATTGCTTATCGTCCGACCCCAGATTTGGCTCCTCGAGTTTCCCTCTCAGCTTTCCGAGAGTTTGGAACTCGAGACGGCCTCTGTAACGCGTGGCTAAGCATGATTGCTACGTACAATATTGTGGCACAGCGCTAAGACGCCTCTGCCCATGTGAACCAGTTGCCCGAGTCTCGGCTGGGCACGTCTAGACCAAGAGGCAAAAAAAAAAACAATCTAGGTACCGAGGGGCCCAAAGAACGAAATGGTCAGATCTCTGTATTCCCTCTAAGTGTCATTTCGGCGAGACAGGCTACAGGCTATCCAAAAGACAGAGCTGTGTGTTCCCCACAGACAAATTGTCTAGTCGCGCGGGGCCCCTCGGGGCTTCTGGAGTGCATTATTAGGGCAAGCCACTCTATGCACTCAAAAATGCTACGGTGCCGCTGCGTACGGTGCCGCTGCGTTTGATCTAGTGAAAAGCAATTCGCTAGTCCGAATCGTGAGTTTGCCGCCATCTAGCAAATTCCAAGTGGAGTTTGATACCCGATTCGGATTCGCGCTACACTACTTTTTTGATCGCTGGCAAACTGTTCGATCCGTTTGCTTGCCTCCGAAACTCCTCGTTGGACCAGCCTAATGGCAGTGCTCACTATTTGCTCTTCTTCCAATACCTAGGGCGGGGCATTCTGCCCTCGCGTAGTCTGCTGACCACTTAGAATCGATCAGATCCTGCTCCCGTGGATGCGCAAAACAGACGGAATTCCAGGGAAGCGCATCGCTGATTTACTTGCCAGGGGCCTGAGAACGAACCAGCATCGGCTAAATGTCTGGCAAGCGGGGACGAGCGTGTCACTGCAAGGGCTGTTCTTCGTCAGCACTAAACCCCAGGTACAGGCACACAGATGCGGGATAACAGACGAATAATAATCTGCTGCTGAAGTGAGAAGAACGAATTGCGAACCCCCAACACTAGCGTGCAGCTGGATAGTAGCGCTCTTCCAGGTCCGCTGCGTGGTCTCGGCTCATAGCAGCCACTGAACGCTGCAGCCAGGACCCAACGGCTTCCAAATTCGACTAATTTACCAAAGAGCCCAAGTAAGCTTTATCCGGGCACATGCGCCACACGCTCGTGATAAACAAAGGTTTCGACGCGATGTGACCCTTCCACAGTCCAGAATCGCTATTCAGCGTTAGAACCCCATATGAGAACGGCCCTCGGGCGGGAAACACCTCCGGCAGACAATCATGTGGTAAGATTTCTGGCAAGTGTACTCGACAACACGGATAGTGCCGCCGCAAACCCTACGACCCATCCCAGAAATCTACAAAGAGAGGCATTAAGTTTCTCTACCAATATATACTCCTCATTTAATTCACATGCATGTTCTAGTTCAGTATGCAAGCAATTACTACCATCATACATCTCACTACTATTGCTATTCAATTGGTAGCAAAATTGCACATCAAACAATCATGAAGCCACAATATCTATACAAGGGTCCGAGACTGAGAAGGGGTGGATATTTGGTAGAGAAGGTTTTTTTGTCCAAAAAAAATACCGCTAGACCAAAGAGTGCCAGAGGCACCTTCTGGGTCTATACAGTAATTTTCCATTTCAACATGTTTTTTAAACTTCTCTCTCTATAAAAGCATGCTCCATACCCTCAGAATCCAGGGTATACCATCTACAACTCACAATCGAGGACAAAAGCCCCTCCGACTCAAAAAGACCTAAACCGTCGCACTCCTGAAAATGTTCGGGTAAGCCCCCTCCCCTTTTCATCTTTTGAACACATATCTATCCACCCCCAGACAAAAAGAAGACAACACTCTACTAACATCCAAACTAAAGCCCTAAAACCCTTTTCCTGGCTGCCGCCGCCCTCCTCCAGACCATCCAGGTCGTCGCCACCAACTGCCAGGTTATCCTCACGGACACCTCGATCTTCGACGGCAGCGGCGTCATCGAGAACGAATCGCTCGTCATCTACAAGAACGGGGCCGCAGTCGGCTATCACAAGGGCAACCCCTACGGGAATTGGATTGATATCGATTCCTCGCTGCCCTGGGTCTTCGTCTTCGCGGCCGAGAGCGACGGCGCCGGCGTAATGGCTTGCGTGGGCAAGTACGCCGCCCAAACAAACCTCAAGGGCAAGGTCTCAGGTTCCGGATTGCAGGCAGATAGCAAATGTGTGATTGACTTCAACTGTTAAGATCTAATCTGCTTGTGGGAGCACGGGACGAGTCTACAATTTGAAGTTAAAGGGGATCTAAGAGAAGAGATGTATTTGTCAGAATCTGGGCATACGACGGTCCCACACGGAAGTGTAAATCACGAAGAATTAAATCTCTGATTCAGATAAATCTGGGAATGCCCGACAATTTAGAGGGCGAACTATCTAGTAAACAATGAATAAAAGTATTAGTACAAAATAGGAAATATTAGTAAGGGTAAAATTCCTGCGTGTCCTGATGGAATTCCAATTCTTGACAGTATCAATTAACGGAACGAGATTTTGCAGTTCCTTGACCGTCAAGGAACGCACCAATAATCGGGCTTGATCGTTAGACCGCACGACGCTATTGATAGACCAAGTGAGCGAGATCTAATTTCGAATATTGCTGTACTGGCTATTTTCTTAATACATCAGGCACTACAAGTCGTATCCTTGCTCGGACTGTGCTCAGTGAGCACTAGACCCCAGCTTGGACCGCAAAACGATCCTCCGGAGTCCGCGGTTAACCTCGCCTCAAACCTCTATTTGAGGGTGGACGTTTGGCCCTACCCCCTAACCTCGAGCTTATAGAGGTTTATCAAACTAGAAAAGTATCGAAAATTCGTGGCTACATTATTTATGAAGTATTTAGCGATAATTTTGCGTATTACTCATACAACATATATATTGGCAAAAATCTTTTCATAAGCATCATAAGTCCATTAAGCAACTCGATCTTTCTTTACTAGATAGCACTATTCTGGCCTTATTTCATTACCCTTTGAGTAACCTAGATGGCCCCCTGGTTCTCTGGCTATATGCCCTAGGTAGTTTTGCAGGCAGTAGACGAGTTCTATTATAGTTATCATCATCATCGGTATCTCCTAGCTCCTAAATGTTCTTAACTTTAGTTAAGGAGGCGGTAGTAGTAATTTATGTACTGTATACTCTTGTTCAAAGTCGTGCGTGTCGACGCTCCCTATAATTATGGAGCACAATAACCGTAAAAACCAACCAGAATGTACAACCTGCAGACCATTTCTCTACCGACTCGCAGGATTCCCAGTCGCAACGCCCTGTAACGTAATAGGCGAATCATTGCTACTCGGCCTCCGACGAAAGAGACGATCCACGAAACGACGACAACTGGCTAGAATGTTGAGACGACACACCCTTCCGTCAGCAACAGGACAGAGACCTGGCAGGGAATCATTTCGTACCGGGAGGTGGGACATGGCATGTCTTCTGGTGGATGACCGTCCCCACTGACTGGACGACGCGCGGTTGTCTGGATGGACACTTCCGTTTGCTTCTATCAGGCAATAGAGCCATGTAGACTTACTGCCGCTTTATGTAGATGCAGAACCTGCACAGTCCATAGCCCAGGAGGAGGAGGAGGGCGATGGCGCCGACGAACTGCCACCAGAAATTGACGATGGCAGCGACGATGCCGGCTTTAATGACGACGAAGTCGAGGGAAGGCATTGTTTCTGGTGACAGGATGGATGGATGAGGTGAGATGAGATGGAAGAGAAATCGCGAACAGAAAGAAGTGGTCGTGCCTTCCTGTCAGGGACATGCATGTACAGTCAATGGAACCTGGACCTCTATTGATTGAACTGAAGCAGAGAGAGAGACAACTAATAATTCACAGAACATCCTTGATGCGACGAACATCCGCCTGCTTCTCCAGATCCCAGCACCAGGCACTCGCACTCTCGGTCCGCTTCTCGCCCAGGACAGGGATGCACTGGTCGACAAACTTCTCCGTCAGCAGCTCATCCGTCATCGGCACCTCCAGACTGCCCACCGCATGGTCCACATGCTTCACAATCGGCGCACTCTGACCCTTCACCTTCACAGTGAGTCGACACTCATCCGCCCGCAGGCTTGTGTCCGCCGTCGCCTTGATGAGAGACCGCAGAGCCACGACCGAGGCATCGTTCACCACTGCATCCTCATACTGCGCCGGCGTGCCCTTGCCGAACAACAGCCCAATAGTCGCGCCGTGGTAAACACTGAACTTAGCCTCCAGCCCATCCTTGGGCGTCTTCTTCCCCGTCAGCTCCAGGACGAGCGGATGCACATCAGCGTGCACCTCCTCGATCTGTGCCGGGGAAATACCCTGTTTCTTCATCTCGGCATGGATCCCAACACACCCGTCGATGATGGGGTGCACGACAATCCCACACGGGAACGGCTTGAACGCGTTCTGCGCGATCTCCCATCGGCCCGCCGGACCAAGCGACGCAATCTCTGCGTCGAGGTTGTTGATCGTGCTGGCGACATTCGCCCACCCGCGCTTGGCCTCCAGCGCCTGCTCAGAGCTGGTATATCCCTCTGCAGCGAGCAGAGCAGCCAGGAGACCGTTCTGCGCGGCCCGCCCGGGGTGGAAGGACTTGGTGTGCGAGCCGAACATCTCCCGCAGACCGGTGACCTGCGTTGCGGCAACGCCGATGGCGTGCGCCGTTTGGGAGGCGTTCAGACTGAGTAGCTTGGAGACTGCCACGGCGGCGCCGATGGAGCCCGTCGTGCTGGTAATGTGCCTGGAACCGTGTGTGTTAACAAAACAAATGCCACGACGAGGCTCGGAGAGGAAACGGGGAAGAAGTACCAGCCGACATCATAGTGGTCCGGCCACACGGCCTTCCCGATCTTGCATTCGGCCTCAATGCCCGCCACAAGCGCAGTGATGAAATCCGGCCCGGAGCACGGCTGATCTCTTGCTTCGGCCATGGCGAGCAAAGCCGCAGCCACAGGACCCGTGGGGTGGATGATTGTATCCAGATGCGTATCGTCGTAGTCATGCACATGCGAGGCAATGCCATTGAACAGCGCCGCATGCATGGCATCGACATCCACCGATCCATCCGAGCCCAGAAGGCGTGAGGTAGGCGCCCCAGAGAACCGGGCCAGCGCTGTGCGCGCAATTGTCGTGGCCGGATGCGCGCTTCCGCCGACAGTACAGCCGACCCAGTTGTAGAAGCTCCGCACGGCGGCCTGGGTTACCTCTTGCGGGATGGAGGTGTACTTGAGGCCAACGGCCCAGTTGGCGAGGAGTTGAGTAGCCATTACTTTTCTTCTTCTTGGGTGAATTGCCAAGAAAGAAATTATTGGGACGTAGTTCGGACAAAGGAGCGAGAAAGTAAGAGGAAGATCCGATATGCGGAGGAACCCCCATGTGGGGCAAAGAGTATATCCCGCGTCGGCCTGGTGCGATGGGGATTTCTCAAGGTAGAGGTGGCGACATACCGGATTAAATTAGTAAAGTCGGCTATATGAGTGCAAATAAGGAGAAAATAATGGAAGTAAAATAAGCCATGTATCATTCCATGCCGCTGGTAAAATAATTGACGGCCCATAAATCGAAAATCCTGACAGAGCCCCCACGCCGACCGGTCCTTTGCGATGATGCGCCGATGATGCTAAACTAATTATGTGCGAGAGACAAAAACAACGCGAATGCGATACCGGATCGCCGGAGACCAAAATAGAAAGTCACTGTCCGGTTACTCCTCCATCTTCTCGTGATGGTCGGCCCCGCTTTCTTCATCTTCAATGTCACTGCCCGTATCGGGATCCCGATCCAGCGCCTCGTCGGAGTCACTCCCCCCGAAAATATCGCTGTCGACATCGCTGTCCGCCCAAAACCCTGGATCTTCTTTCTCCACTTCCTCCTTTTGCAGCGTCGATTCGTGCGTTGGCATGGTAAAACTCGCGGGGATATATTTCCTTGACTCCTCCACGTCCGCCTGCACGAGCCTCTGGTACTCCTCGGGGTTCTTGCGGAGCATGACGGCGGCGTCGACGTTGGCCGGCGAGGACACTTCGGCGTCGTCGAGCAGAGACAGGATGGAGATGAGGACGGATTCCACCCGCTGAGCGGGTGACCAGCGCTCGGAGGCTAGTTCGCCGGACATCTCGTCGTCGCCGGGGGAGTGGAGGATGGAGATGCAGAGCTTGCCGTCTTCGTAGATGTTGGGGTGGAAGAGGGGTTGCAGGAAGCGAAATTCTGGCGAGGATCCGTCAGACGAGCGTTGGGATGCACAGCAGGGACTCTGTCGGAGGGTACTACTTACTCGGTGGGGCGTAGGGGTAGTTCGTGGGAAAGGTCATGGATGCCCGAAAGTAGCCGCCATAGTACAGCGAGCCTGGATTCAGCACGATCAGGGCGACGTCCCAGTTGAAGATATCGTCATTGTGTAGCTGGGTCCCGCGTCAGCTTTCTCGGTCTGCGGGAGGGGGTGGATCACTCACTTCGACGTTGACCCATTTCTCCTGGCCCAGGGCATGGTATTCTCTCATCAGGATTTTATCTGCCATGGCGAGCGTTATGGTGATGACAAGGAAGGGGGAGAGCCGAGGGAGTCAGAAAGACAAGGAGGATTAGTGGCGTGAGAGACAAAGTGGCGGCGATAAGGAAATCTGACAGACAAGTGGGGAACGCGATAAGGCGCTGACAGTGAGGGAGGCGGCGAGGATTGCATGGTACAGGAGGTCGGATCAGCGATTCTGCAAAAGCGTAGTAGTAACGGGATCGCTAAAATGACTGGTATCTATAGTGAAGTATTGCCTCTCATCATCAAGACCGAGCGATCTCTACACCTACCCTCTATAGTGTCGGGCTCCCAAACGGGGAACAGACTAGCCCAACGCAGTAACCGTACCGCATCCAGCAATCCCTGCAGCTCCTCTTTTCTCCCCTCTTCTTACCTCTGGAGCCTGCCTGACTGAACCGACTGACCTGCATCCCCGTACTGAGTATATCTCTCACACTCCTCCTTCTCCTTCTCTCTCTCTCCCTCTCTCTCGTTACCTCATCTCCCTCCCTCCCTCGGCTTTGCTGCAATCTCCAGCTAAACGGTCCTCCGTCCCGGTTTCGCCTCCGACTTTGCCATGCCAGCCTCGTCTCGCGTGCTAGGAGCGGTCTGTTGCTAACTGGGAGGACCTCTCGGAGGATATCTTTGTCTCGGTCGCAAATCCCTATTCGTACACCTCTGGTCGAACTGAAACACTCGTTCGTGCCGGTTCCTCGCGGACTATGCTTCCGCAATGTTACGGCCCCGTCTGGGCCATCGACGATGTCTCTCGTTGCTTCCAGCGCAAGTGAGTGTTCTTCCCGGTGTCGGAGGCGACCGTGGGGAAAGAGGAGAGCTCGTGCTGATCGCATCGTGACCATAGCATTTTACAGGTCGCTCTGCCGCTTGCCGCCTGCGGCCTATCCCTGCTGCTGATCATCATCCGCCTCGCCCACCGCTACGTTGTCTCCCGTAAAGGTGTTGCGTACAAGGTCCTCCCGAACGATGGCTCCGAGAATGAAACTCTCCATGGCGTGTCCGAAAGCGAGTCCGACACCATGCTCTTCCAGGCGATGCAGAATGAGCAATTGCAGGTTGAGATCGATCGGCCACGTGGAGAGATCGCGGTTGTGTCATTAGAGATTGTGGCGCTGGTCGGCCAGGTCACTCTCTACATCGTGATTCTGTCGACCGATGGTTGGGGCCGCCATGGGACCTTTCCTGCCATTGCAGGCCTGGTATCCTGGGGTTACATTTTGTTCCTGGTGCTGGTGCGGTTCCTTCTGTCGACGATGGATCTTTTCTCCGCTCCGAGGTTATGGACCCATACCGCTATCCTGTATGCGCTGCAATGGCTATTCAACGTGATGATATTCCGGTCCGCCATTATCCATCCGATGTCCCGGCGGGCAACTATCTTCAGCGGCATTGAATTTGGTCTGGGTACGCTGCTGCTCCTGATTTCTCTCACCACTCGGCGCGGCAACAAACCGGTCTTGGTCGAGCGTGAAGATGGCCTGGAGCCCCCAAGGCACCCAATGGCCAGCTTGTTGTCCTTGGCGACCTTCTCCTGGTTGGATCCGCTGGTTTGGAAGGGATACCGCCAAGCACTGGAACTGGAAGACGTGTGGAACCTGACTGCCTCTCAGAAGGCTGCCACCGTTCTTGGGGAATTCCGCAAAAGGCAAATGAAGGGCTCTCTGGCTTGGAAGTTGCTCCGTTTCTTTTCCACTACGATTCTGCTGCAAGGTGCCTGGACGGTGTTTGCGAACCTGTTTGTCTTCATGCCCAGTCTTCTTCTCAAGGCCATCCTCGAATACGTCGAAGACCCTCGCTCGACGACCCCCAGTGCCGCCTGGTTCTACGCAATTCTTCTTTTCTGCTCGGCCACGGTTCAAGGTGTGGCAGACGGACAAGCCCTGTTCATTGGTCGCAAGATGGGCGTCAAGGTTCGCGCGATTATCATTGGCGAAATCTATGCCAAAGCATTGCGGCGTAAAGCTGGCGCCTCGGTGGAATCTGCCCACAAAGCCGTTCAAGAGCCGCCAATAACCAAGGACGCCAACAAGAAGAAGAAGAAGAGCCTTTTTCCCGCAAGAAGAAAAATAGTGACGACTCCGAGGCCACGCATAAACCAGAGTCGGATCTAGATGACGCCGCAATGCAAGCCAATGTCGGAACTATCATCAATTTGATGGCCATTGACTCCTTTAAAGTGAGCGAGGTCGGTGCATATCTGCACTTTCTATGGGCCAGTGTGCCGGTGCAGGTTATCATGGCGGTTACCCTTCTGTACCGAATCATGGGATTCAGCTCATTTGCTGGTATCGTCTTGATGGTTCTGATGTTGCCGATCAATCTAGTCATCGCTCGGCAGTTCAACAAAGTGCAGAACGAGATCCTTAAAGGCACCGATGCTCGCATCCATACCACCAACGAAGTCCTCCAGAACATCCGCATCATCAAGTATTTTGCCTGGGAACAGCGGTTCCATGACATCGTCAACGAGAAGCGCAGGGCAGAGCTGAAGGCGCTCCGCAAACGTTATATCCTCTGGTCCTGCGCTGCCACGGTTTGGTATGGTACGCCAATCTTGATTACCTTCATGTCTTTTTTCCTGTATACCGTTGTTGAGAAGAAGCAATTGACGCCGTCGATCGCGTTCCCGGCTTTGTCCATGTTCTCTCTCCTTCGGGTACCTCTCGACCAGCTAGCCGATATGGTGGCGCACGTTCAGGAATGCAAAGTTTCACTGGATCGTGTGGACAAGTACCTCAACGAGGAAGAGACCGGCAAATACGATCAGCTGCGCGATAGCACGGTTGCCGGTGGTCCCACGCACATCGGGTTGGACATGGCCACTCTGACCTGGGGCAATTCCAAACCCCAGCCTCAGGGCGGTTCCTCTGACAATGGCACGGACGGTTTCCGTTTGATCAATATCGATATTGATTTCCACATTGGGAAGTTGAACATCATCGCCGGTCCCACGGGTGCCGGCAAGACTTCTCTGCTGATGGCTCTGCTCGGCGAGATGAGACTGCTTGAAGGGCGAGTGCATCTTCCAGGCGGGGCGGCTAGCCGTGCTGATCTTCCCGTTGACCCTCAAACGGGCTTGGTTGACAGCATTGCTTACTGTGCCCAGGAGGCCTGGTTAGTGAACGCCACCGTGAAGGAGAACATCACCTTCGCCTCCCCCTACGACGAGCGCCGCTACCGAGCAGTTCTTAAGGCTTGTGCTCTGGAACGGGACCTTGCCATTCTCGATGCCGGCGACCAGACTATGGTTGGAGAGAAGGGCATTAGTCTTTCTGGAGGCCAGAAGCAGAGAATCTCTCTCGCCCGAGCTGTTTATAGCTCTGCCCGCCACCTTTTGCTGGACGATTGTCTCTCTGCCGTGGACTCACACACTGCCAAGCATATTTTCAACCAAGCCCTGACGGGGCCGTTGATGTTGAACCGCACTTGCATCCTGGTCACTCACAATGTGGCCCTCACCGTGCCCCACGCTGATCACGTTGTTATGCTTGAGAATGGAAAAGTGACCACTCAGGGTACCCCGAATGAGGTTGCGGCAACCGGGGCACTTGGCGATGAGTTCCTCAAGTCTAGACCGCAGTCTCACGCCAGCTCACGCGTCCTGTCTCGTGTGGCGTCCGACCTTGAAGAACGGCAACATGAAGCGGACGGTGAGAATGCGGATGCCGCGAACGGCACAGCCAATGGTACAGTAGCGAAGAAGGATGAGCAATCAAAGCTGACCGAGTCCAAAACCACCGGTAGCATTGAGTGGTCCGTGGTCAAAATGTACCTTCAGTCAATGGGTCCTTGGTATTACTGGATCGTGGCCGTCACCGTGTTCTGTCTGCAGCAGCTGGGCTCGGTGGCTACCAACATCTGGATTCGGGAATGGGCAAACTCGTATCACACTGCGAAAGTTGGGATAGAAGATAACGCAGGCCGCTATGCTGCTGTCACGAACCTGAAGCTGCCATCGTTCAACGTCGGCAGCGTGTCGAAACTTAGCACCATGGCTCCTCCCCAGCTCAACTCGCGCTCGACCGGCGCTCCGGATGGCGAAGTCAACGTGCTCTATTACCTGGGCGTCTACGCACTCTTGGGCTTCTTTTATATCGTCATTTCTCTTACTCGAGAAGGTGTTTTGTTCTGGGGCTCACTTCATGCATCGTGGAAAATTCATGATCGTCTACTGAAGGCTGTCATGCACGCCAAGTTCCGGTTCTTTGATTCGACTCCCCTTGGCCAACTCATGAACCGATTTTCCAAGGATGTGGAGTCGGTCGACCAGGAAGTTGCAGCCGTGGCGATTGGTATGCTTCACAGTCTGGCCTCCGTTATTATGATCGTCATTTTGATTTCCATAATCACACCTGGATTCCTGATCGCGGGCATTTTCATCACCTTGGTGTACACTGCGCTTGGCGCCGTGTATCTGAATTCCTCCCGTGACCTTAAGCGCCTCGAGTCTGTGCAACGCAGTCCACTATACCAGCAGTTCGGTGAGACCCTTAACGGCATTGTCACCATTCGTGCCTATGGCGACGGACCTCGGTTCATTGTGGACAACCACAAACGCATCAACGCCTACAACAGGCCCCACATCTACCTTTGGGCTAGCAATCGGTGGCTGGCGCTCCGCGTTGACTGGACTGGCGCCCTGGTCTCTTTCTTCTCGGCTACTTTTGTGCTTCTCAGCGTCGGAAAGATCGATGCGGGTGCTGCTGGTCTCTCTCTGACTTATGCTGTCACATTCACGGAGAATGTCCTCTGGCTTGTCCGCCTCTACTCGGAAGTCCAACAGAACATGAACTCCGTTGAGCGTGTGAAAGAGTATCTCGACGTTGATCAGGAGGCGGCACCTGTCATTCCTGAATCCCGACCCGAGGCAGACTGGCCCAGCCAAGGCGCGGTGCAGTTCAATGGCTATACTACACGGTATCGGCCTGACTTGGACGCAGTCCTCAAGGAGGTCTCCTTTAACATCCAGCCGGGTGAGAAAGTGGGCATTGTTGGTCGCACGGGTGCTGGCAAGAGTTCCCTTGCACTCGCTCTCTTCCGTGGCCTGGAAGCCGAGAAAGGTCAGATCATCATTGACGGTGTCGATATTGGATCCATCGGGCTGCGTGACTTGCGTGAGGCGATCACCATCGTGCCCCAGGACCCGACTTTGTTCACCGGAACCATTCGCAGCAATCTCGATCCGTTCGGCCTGTTCAACGACGAGGAACTTTTCACGGCTTTGCGGCGAGTGCACCTAATTGGGTACGGTACATCGGGCACCGCAACCCCAATGACATCCAGCACTTTCACCGCAGCTGAGTCCAACGCCCCCAACGGCAGCACAGCCACCATCGCCGACAACAAAAACATCTTCCACAACCTGGAGACCGCTGTATCGGAGTCCGGGTCAAATCTTTCCCAAGGCCAGCGCCAACTTCTATGCCTTGCCCGCGCGATGCTCAAGAAACCACGCGTGCTGATGATGGACGAAGCCACCGCCTCGATCGACTACGCCACCGATGCAAAGATCCAGGAAACACTCCGCGAGCTGCGCGACAGCACCATCATCACCATCGCCCATCGCCTGCAAACCATCATCGACTACGATAAGGTCCTGGTTCTTGACCATGGCCGAGTCATCGAGTTTGATCATCCCTGGACGTTGATCAATAAACCCGATGGCCTCTTCCGTGGTATGTGTGATAATAGTGGTAACATGGAAGTTCTCCTTGACGGAGCCAAGCGGGCCTGGGCACAGAAGCGCCTTATCGACGACTCCTAAGACATTCCTATCTCTCCCCCACCTCCGTGCAAGTACATATCCCTTTTTTCTGTGATTTATTTTCTTTCCCTTCGTTTGTCTATTATTACGGAGTCCCCTGGCGCCGTCCTCCTGACTCTCCAAGTGGGACTCCTAAAAGAACTTTGATCTCATTTCGTGGGCGAGTGACTCTTGTCCTTGCTTCTGGATCATTTTTATTATTCTGTCTTGCAGCACCATCCAGGCGTCATGGGCATCTTCTTTTTTTCATGCACAGAACCATGTGGCCCTTTTCCTCCCCCCTTCTTCTTCTTGTCAACCATTTTATCTCTTTATCCATTTGTACTCTAGAAACCCTTCCTTGCGCATAGAATCCTTTCTGGATTGCGTCATAGGGAGATGAGCGGCAGATTTTGTCTGCGATAAACATGAGATTGAATAAGTTTCGACGATTGGGCTTTGTTTCCAGTAGACATACGGAACCGTAAAGAAGCGACGACGTTGTCGATTGGGATCTCGGCACGGCTAAGAGTTTATAACCCAGCCAATCAGTTATTGGCGCACTCGAAACTTATCCTTTCTAGGCCTCGTATTGGGTGACTCACGAGTGGATCAGGATCCGACCTGCCCAGACTCGCTCGTATCCCGAAAATTATATCCCAGCAACATTCTTCAGGGCAGGGGATTCAAAACACCACCAAACATCCCTCAGTCTTATCGCGAAGGTAAAATCATATTGCACAACATGGACTCCAAGACCACCCCACCACCGGACTCAACCGAAAAGCTCATCATCCGCCGGATGACACCCCCCGATATCCCCACTATGGCCCGCATCGCCTGCACAGAATACTTCGACTCCCCATTGAATACATTCCTCTGTCCCCACCGCCATCAGTACCCAAACGACCTCCTCCGCCGCTTCGTGCAGATGATCCGGGGCCGATACCTGAGTCCCCGGAGTATCGGCTTCGTAGCGGTCTCGGCCTCTGCGCCCGGGATCCCACTCGGCTATGCGCAATTCATCAGGCTAGGAAATGACGATGCTGCGAAGAGATTAGTTTCAGCGCAGGCTTCGTTTTGGCTCAGTGTCAGGAGATGGTGGAATAGTCTCTGCACGACGATTGAGAATTATGTTTGGCCGGATAGGTCACTAGATGAAGATGCGATGCAGCAATTCGACGCCTCTGCTGAGATTGATGAACGGACGTTTTGGGGGTCCGATGAGATGAAAGCCAGGTATGGGGAGAGGTGGCATGTGCAGAGTGTGGTTGTTTCGTCGAAGTGTCAGCGCAGAGGACTTGGAAGGATGCTCATGGGAGAGGTGTTGCGGAGGGCGCAGGAGGAGGGAGTTGTAGTTGGGTTGGAGGCGAGCAAAGATGGAGAAAAGTTGTATCAGAGTTTGGGGTTTGAGCTACGAGGAAGGTTTTCGAGGAATTTTGGAGAGGTGGTTGGAGGTGTAATGATGTGGTCGCCTAAGAACTTGCAATAACGATGAGACAATGAGGGTATTATGTCGATATACTCGATAGACACGGAAAATCCACTGGCTTTTTAAGTACCCGAGGAACTACAGACGACATTAGAGGCGCTCCCACATTCCTCTCCTTCCCCCAAAGTGGAAACATGAATCTTCTTATTTGAATTGTGGTTGGCCAACCCGCCTTTTTGAGCGCCTCTTCTGCAGGATCCACTAACATCGGATGCATTGCCTAGCGAGGTCGTGCTTATGTAGCCTTCACGTACGGCCAGCCGTCTTCCCAGCCTAGCTGGTTCCAACCATACTTGAAGCCGGCGTCGCCATCACCGCCAGCCTCTTTTATTTTGAGCGGATAGTACTGATAGTACAGGACGAGGCCGAGATCCTCATCATGGAGGACACCCCTGGGAGCTCTTGTTAGCAGGTGATCCAGGTAGTGTCAGTGTGTTCCAGGGATATGGGCCACGTACTGGGCACCGGGGGCGTAGACCTGGTCATGGCTCGCCAGTAAGATAGTGCCGCCGGAGTTCAGGCAGGAAGTACCAGACTTGTCAACCTGTACGGAAAACAGTTAGAATCTCCTCACTTCGGTATATCATGGAGAAGAGCACTTACAAAGCCTTCCCTTCCAGTCATTGAGCGACACATATGGATCCGATACTCCTCGCCTGCAGCTGGGTACGTCGCCGTGTACGAGTCGGCAACACCGCCACTAAACAGGAGATAGTAGTAACTGCCGTGCTGGAACATGAACGAGGCCTCCTCACGGTGGTTGAGACTGGCGTTGTAGGCCAAGTGGTGCGGGGTCTGAGCGCTGACCTTCAGCGGCGTAGCCAGCTCGACCTGGTAGAGGTCCTTCCAGTAGGAGCCGAATTGTAGGTATTGCTTCCCGTCAATGGTGATCCAATTGGGGTCAATACGATTGTAGGCGCTGTTGGCAGGCAGGCCAATCACGCCGTGGTCGGTCCATGACCCCGGCTCCATGGTCCTAGAGGTGGCCACGCCAACTTCCGAGGTCTGCGTGCCGAGCTTAGACACCACGTAGTACATGTAGTAGATACCATCCGCGTAGTGCAGATCCGGAGCCTTTGGGTTTGATTTTAATCAGTATTTTGCATATATGTATGTTTTAAATTTGGGTTTCTACTCGCGTACCCAAATGTTCTTGCTGTCGACGCCGTCCAGCTGAATTTTTGATCCGTTCGGTAGCGCAGCTCCCACATCCACCCACGGGCCCTCGAGTGAGGGCGAGATCATGGTGTTGACACCCGTCCCAGTCGAGAAGCGGAAGTACATGCCATCCAACTCGCGCTGGATCATGGACGGATCATGTGTCCAGCAATCCCCCATACAAAAGCCCGGGGCCGGATAAGAGCTAGCACTTGAAGCCATATACACCGGAACAGCGCTGGCCAGTGTAGCTATACACAATATAAGAAGGGTGAACATAATGGCGGAGGTCAGCCGAGGCGAGAGGACGGCGGATGCAGGGCTGGAGCAAAGAGTCGAACAGGCCGCGAAAATAATTCGAGAAGGGGGCCATCTACGGAAGGGAGGGACAGGGCGTTATTTATGTTGCTTTTTTGCTTCTTCCCTTTAGGAGCTCATGGAATGTTGCCTTTAGGTCCGTCTTTTGCCCTGGACGTGATATTGGGATCCAAGGCATGCCAATAATCGCATTATCCCCTGATACCACCGTAGGAATTGCGTGAATTGAAGCAAAGGACAGAGGCGAGTGCTAGGAGAAGGGACGCGCAAAGACTCCATGCAGATTTCAAACAGATCACTCCCGGGCTTAGGAGTATACTACTGTACATTATACGTAGATACTCGATTGTCCTATATGGGAGATCAGACGGACTGCGTCAGCTAACCTATAGACTATCACTTATGTGTTGTCTCGCGACTGATATACATGCATAGTTTAAACACCGCTTCCTTCCCACAGCAAAGGGAAAGAAACCCGCCAATCCAGGTCGGAATTTTGTTGCTCCATTTCTGGGCACCAACAAAGGGTCGTCGCGCATGATTCGAAACCTGGAATGTGCGTGAACAATGTCGGGCCCATATTCCCCTGTTCAAGGAATGGAAATTGGGAAAGGCGGTCATAGTCAGCAACGTGATCTTCGGCACTAAATCTATGGGGGGTCTCGGCATCTAGGTTCGATGTCCATATTAGGGTTTTGGTGGGTACGGGGAAAAGAGTGGGGCGCCCGGGTACCTACACATTTGGAATATTCGCGCCTATGGATGTCTAGGCGCCGAGAAAGCTCAGTCGCACTCGGTCCGAACGGTGACCATGACTGCGTTTGACAAGAAGTCAGATGTCAAATCGACTATATGCTTCCTGACCAGTTTCGGAAGTTGACGTGACCCTAGCATTCGACATAATGTCAATATTTTGAATAAAAACTTGGCTCAGTTTTCGATGCGATGGTTTGTTTGGACGTATAGATAGGTGCCTTACTTGACACAAGCACTGACAGTAGATACGCAGCATGATCAATATAAACAGTGCGACCCTGTTGCGCGAGGGCCTAGCTAAATGGAGACTAGGCACCGTACCGCTTCAGCCTCATCGGCTGACAAGTACCTCCTTGTATGTATAGTATTCTGAACCTTCTATTCCATATAATCCAAGGGGTTCTGACATGGCATGGCACTTCCCCTTCCCTCTTCTATACCATACATAGCCAGCTACCAAACTGTGATTGTGGCTGCATGCATCAGCCAACCTACTCTAGTTCACCCCTCTACTTAATGATTATACAATCGTTTGACGTGCTAAATGTCCATGGATGGATTTTCCTACGACGTATGACAAGGATTAAAGTAGTCTTTATTCGATGGTAGGTATCTTTCTATCAGGATTGGCTCTAGGTCGTTCTAGCGAGAAGAAAATGGATGTTGAAGAGGTCATTACAAAGGTATATGACGTTATTCTTGGCATATTGCCCCGATTTTCAATGGGGAGTCGCACTGGTGCGAGGACCTTTAGAGGAATCGGGATCTCCAGTGTATTTCCTGTTCAAAGCATCATCGTGGAGGCGGCGACGACGAAGCGAGTGGTTGGTCTTCGCCATTAAGACCCTTCGAAAGCTGTTGGATGGCGGACTCAGAGCATCAGGTACAATCTTTGGTTTGTCAACTGGGCTGACACAGAGCCCGTCTGGAAACACCACCATGGTGCTTCCTTCGAGTTTTGATGGACATAGCCAAGACATATAACCACAAACACGCTGTGGAGTGATAGGTCCGTATAACCACAAACACAGCTGTGGAGTGATAGGTTCGTATAATGACGACACAATGAACCATACACAGCTCACGCCGCGAGCCAAGATTGCTGTCCTAGCTTGGGCCTGGATCGCAATGGACTCAACACAGCACAGGGGGGCGAAAACGATTGCGCGATAAATCAACACAATTGCGCCGATCAAAGCGATTGCGCAAACAGGGAGTACGCGCAAGCATATCGCGTCCGCTCACCTCCGACCCCTGACTCCGCGCAGCACAGTGATCACACAAACCACAGCAGCGGAAAGCGCCAAGAACGTCAGGGATGGCAGACATGGCACAACATGATGATTCAGGCGAGGGCGCATGCGGCCAGACAGCTCAGAAGGTGAAAACGTCCGTGCGTCGGCATGGGTGTCGATCCCGGTATCTCCAATCGCTTTCGGCGAGTCAGGATCCAATCCCGACGGCGGACTTGGCATGAAGCCTGCTTCGCGGAGGGCGGTTAATTTGTGTGTTTCCTTGTCGGATGACTGGATGTCTGGGTTGAAGAAAGAAGAGCGTTTGGTTGTGGAGTGGTGGTCTTGGTCATGGCCTGCGGGCACCCATGACGCGGCCAGGCTGCGGGTGGATGCTGGGGATGCGAGGTCGAATGCGACGGGCGCGCGGCTGTTTTTCAGGGCGAAGTTGATCGCCACAGCATTAGGAAGAGCTGCTGCTGAGACTCGAAGGCCCAGCAGTAGGAGCAGAGGCAATATTGAGAGAAAATGAGGGCCTGTCATGGTGTAGTTCGGGGGCTGTAGATAACGGTGGGTCTGGAGATAGGGCAACACCGAGTTGGCTGTCCAGGGCGAGGAACGTATCCAGGAAAAGGGGACAGTATTCAGGGACAGCAGGTGATGGGCATACTGGAGGGGAAACGAAGGGGAGAAAGGAGATAGGAGAGACTAAATACGAATCAACAAGAGTGAGTGAATCGATGCCGCACGTGGGGAAATGTACGGATGCGGATGACGAATGAGACCGGCCTAGGCATGGACCTAAGCTTCATGCGGGTGCATTGCATCCCCGCGATAAGCTGATTCTGCTAGATCAAAAAAGGGATCAAAACATAATTCCAGATATGGCCCATTTCCATCCGACCTGGCCACGACATGAGTGCAAACAAGATGTGTCAAAATTCATAATATAGTGACCTGATCACGTGAATAGCTTCAACGGAAATTTGGAGCTATGGCGACCAGACCTCATGGAAGTTTGCACCTACACTTTTACATGCGGGTGAATTCCACGCGTCGCGCCAGCCAGCACCCAATCGTAACCCCAGCCACGCTCCCCTGCGCATCACGCCGAACAACCACAGTCCAGTCCCCTGGCGCTGGCGCATCCAGGCCCCGAGGACAAACAAACACCCATACATCCTCGCCCAGGTATTTCATCGTGCTAACAGGACCACGGCCCAAATACCCATCGAAGGATCCATACAGCATAGCTCCCTCGCCAACAATGTGGAAAGTGGACTCGATTTCAGCGCACTGATAATCACCCTGCAGAGATGCATCCTTGAATTTCTCGTCACGGATGATCCGTCGAGCGTCGAGTTGGCGGTTCTCCTTCAACCGATGAATGCGCAACGAATCACCCTCGATTGTCGCGGTCATACTGGGAGATTTGCCGTGATGCGCATCACTCAGCTTGATAGTCTCGGGGTGACCGGCATAGCTGATAGAGATTTCCCCTTCCTTCGTACCATTGGCCACGGTAATAGCCAACTGAGTGTCTTTATCAAGAAAAGTGCCCACCCATTCTGCAGCAGGCTTGACGGGAGGGACCACGGGCCGTGGTAGATTGAGAATTGCTCTTAAAATATCCTCCGTCGGAGACCCGACGTCGGCTTCGTGATTAAACATGACCAAAACAGAAACTCGTTCGGCTGGTGCATGTTGGCGCAGCAGTCGATATCCGCGCAGTCCGCCACCGTGACCCCAAGTGTCGACGCCAGAGTAGCTAGAGAGGCCTAGACCATAATGATACGGTGCAGGGGTGCCGTCTGCAAAAGTCGGTTTCTCAGTGGCGGCGCGATACCAGCTATTTGGATCGGAATAGCTGCGATCCAGGAACTTCTCGTAGGCGATCATGTCATTGAGCGAAGCCACCAGTCCCGCGTCTCCAGACCATTCCATGCGGTTGGGGGCCGGCAGGAATCCACGCTTCTCGTCCCCTTCGTAGCCCACACACGGTCCTGGGTGTTTTCCGGTGTGAGGGCAGAGCAGCGCAGTAGTCATGCCCGCTGGAGCGAGAACTCGATCGGCAATCAGCTTGCCCAATGGCTCCCCAGCCACGCGCTCAAGGGCTCGTGCGAGAATGTGAAAGTTGACATTGCAGTAGGAGTATTCCGTTCCGGGCTTGAAATGGAAAGATTTCGTCCGAGCAAGCATGGGCGGACAATCTCTTTCAACCAAGAACTCCTGTTCCGGATGAGCACCCCAGAGAGTGGTCATGGCCCAGTAATCGCGCAGACCCGATTGCATGTCGTACAAGTTATCGAGTGTCAAGCCGCTATTTTGAATGATCTCCGGACCAAGCAACTCTGCCAACTTATCCGTAACCTGCTTCCGCACGTCTCCCTTAGCAGCAATAGCAGGCGTAGGATTGCGTTCCAGATCAAGCAACACAGCGCAAACAAACTGCTTGGTGATCGAGCAAATAGGCATCTGAGTCTCCGGTGTCAAGGGAATCCGCTGGTCTAAATCCGCAAACCCCCAGACATGCTGACCGACGAGCTTGCCATCCTGCAGAACGGCAATAGCACCACCCGGTCCGCGATATTTTTCCGGAATAGTCTCAATGACTTCCTGAACGGTCTTCTGGTTGACGGTCATGATGGTGAGCTTAAGTGTGTGGAGAAGAACACGGTGGTCTCAGGAAGAGTAATCTGTCCGAGTATTTATCTACCCGGGTAGTTTACTGGTCATCCGACTGCCGCATCCTGACGCTGGTGCCTAATATAAGAGCACTGCACCGAGATTTAGACAGATCTCACTATGTAATTATAGTTTTCCCGCTTCTCTAATATATTCACAGACATGATACTTGGACAGAATACCATCGATTTTATCATTGGTGATACGCCTAATCCCTATTTCCACAATATCCACGGATAAGGACCGTGCTCTAAACTTCCCACCTTTTGACTCATCGGTTTCTCTACACGAGCTTCGTGTCAAACTGCATTTTGTGAACTTAGTATCGATCTGGTCTCCGACACGAGGGTCAATTTAGCGAAAGGAGAGGTAACCCCTCATCTGACCCAGGAGCACAATTAGTGTGAAAATTTAGCGCGTACGACTAGTGTAGTGACAGCGCATTTTTATTGGTTGATCACATCTAATGTCGGTAACAAGGAGTATTAGTGCAAATACTATTAAAGTATGTAATACAAATTGCCCTGATTAGAACTAGTAGTTATGAAACGCATTCCAACATTGACCTTTCAACATAGAAGTACATTGCCACATTTTAACTAGATCTTGATCGTGGGACTTGTCGACCTTTCATTTCGCCGTTCTTTCTCTTGTGTAGAAACTCCACACAAGCTCGCTGCCCATTTAGCTGAATTCGCTAGTGGTTAGGTTCTAGACGCGGCTTTGGAGCGTTATTTGCTACAAAGGCGAAGAGTTCTTGATAGATCTTTATGTAAAACCCTAGTTGATTAGGTAGCTTAGATTCTTAGATTGCTGCTTCTGCTTATAGATCGATTGATTTTGGAAAGCATTATTTTGAGAGCTGAAACACTGACGATCAGGTAGGAAGGAATGAATGTGATGGATTGTCTAGAAGAGAGAAGAAAGAGCCTATCAATAAGACTATCTACACGGCTTGGCGGGGGAGGGAGTGCCATATGAGTGGATACCACGTGGTGACAACATATTGACAGTTGCAGCGTCAAGGAAGAATTAAAGAATAGGACACCAATTGCGTGCACCCTTGCGATGAATCTCATAGGAAGCCCTATACTGATTTGCGATATCTACCCACCCGTTTGATAGTTGTAGGCATTGACAGCAATAGAAATTTCTAAAATTTAATTCTACAAGGGACGCGCGCAATAATATCATGCATAGAGGGTGCTGTAGGCCGCTTCCGCTTAGTAGGAACAAAGACGTCTAGCGAATGGATAATAATTTAGTATTTAGAATGGATAATAGATAGTATAAATACTATTTTATTATCCTGCTAAGCGAGGTAGGGGACTCTGTGAGCTTCAGATGTATATAAATTCATCCACAGAATAGGCTTGATATGCTCTTTTAGCTTTAGCTTAATGGAGGAAATATCAGACAACGCGTTTAAAACCAGACGTGAATAACTAAGCAGAGATGTGAAGTCACTTTGTCCAATAGGAGCTCATATGTTTTAGTATTGCATCCTATTGGTTAGAGTAATACTAACTCAAACCACGCTAATCGTGTCCTCCCGAGACAGACGAGGGTGTATCTTACAATCCACTGCAGCTCTAGGTTTTCTCGCATTGCCGGCTCATCTTCCATATGCTCTGTACTGTATGCTATGAAATAAGTTGTGCATTTTGTGAAGCTATTGTGATTGACATTGGAAAACTTGTTTTTAAATCTGCTCCATTCTCCTCTGCCTTGACATGGCTTAGAAAACCTCGCCCATGAAACGCCGCGCAATGTCACTGACATAACAAGGAACACCGTAACCACCCGCGGCGACACTCAGGTCGTCTGAGTCGACACTGCCAGAGTTGTACTCACGGAGTGCAGGGTAGATGGACGAGGGGTCATCAAGGTCACCGAAGTCCTCCAGGTTCGACTTGATGTGCTCAGTACCACCGTTAACCATGGCGGAGGTATCGGACTAGCATCAATAATTAGAATATAGAGACGAAAGGAAGCGAGCAAGTCAACATACCTGAGGCAATTCGTTCTGGCCGGGGTAGCCAGGGCAGCCCTCACACTGCATTATACCACAGTCATTGCCACCGGTGCAAATGACGCCGACGTAGCCGCTGCTCTCCTGAAGAATGATTCCGAGAATGACACGCTCATCGACACCAATATCGGCGGCGGCATCCTCAATGGCTACGGCAATGCGGCCAACATCGTCCCAGCTTGAGCCAGCATCCACCATGGACTGCTCGTAAGCGTTGAAGATGTCACTCCAGGCCCACCATTCGCTCATAGGCGGGAAGTCCTCCCAAGTACCGCCGTAAGTGCAACTCTGTCGAGCCTGCAGGGTGTTGTTTGCTGCTTGGATAGGAGATGAGAATGCCACAGGAATGGTAGCCAGAGCGGCAATAAAAGTAGCTATAAAAGCCATTGTATGTCTTTGACTTGGATCAGTAGTACTTGGAAGAGTATTGGAAAATTGGTATATATTGCTGAAGGAAACAAACGCCATGTATCACCACGAATATCCCCCTATTTATACCTTTTTTCAAGATGCTACACTGTCTTCGTCGGTTAAAAGAACATCTCGAACATTGAACATATCATGGATCTATAGAGTAGCACTCAGCTAGGCCCTCGGCCAGGCCCTCATGCGAGCCGTACCGCATACAAAATGGGGTGAAGAGAAACCTAGCGCTGACAGGAGTTACTTGGCACCGCAGAAGAGTAGTCGAGGGAAATCTTCAGACCTGATAAGTAAGGGACTTCAAGAGAGATTGCTTAGCCAGTTGTAAATGCATACGATAGCACAATGCTCTGGAATTCAGTCGTGCCTTTGTTAAACTATTATCGAGAAAGGGTAAACTATTCATGAGAATAAACTGATCTGCGAGTAAAATGTAACACTATGAAGCCCGAAAGCCGAGATTATTTCGTTATGTGAAGGGGGTGTACAGCATCACGAGCGGAGGCTGACTGGCGCCAAACCAACAGTCTGACCATTTGCCTCTTCATGCGTAAATATCCGTTCGGCAACCCAGACCTTTGTCGTGGGACTTGTTGGAAAAACTAGGTACAGTAGTACTCAGGACCCCCCGGTCCTATTTTTTATAGGCTCAAATGATCTTGAGGTTTCACGCTAACCGCCCGAACCCTCGAAATTCTCACCTTTCTGCAAATTGGGAACGATATTGTTGGTAATGCTTTAGGGGAAGACAATCAGCAAGGTTGATCACACCGGCTTTCGAACCATTGCTAGTCAGGGCACTTAAGCAGCCACGGGTGCGAGCCACGGGCCCTTGCAGATCCGGATTTCTCCGAGGCAAGCAATTTAATACGCTATTAGTTAGTGTCTTGTGATATTTAGTCCTTCAATTCTTCAGCTCGACGTTATGGTTACATGTAAGACTGCTTAAGGCTGTTACAACCGGCCCCCTCTCTAGACCCCGCAATTATACTAAGTACGGCGCGGGGACCTAAATAAGGTAGATTGTCCGCTGGAACAGAGAAATATTTTAATTGCTATTGGCTGACGTGCACTTAAAGCGACGCCTATCACATTTCTGTTACATTCTTTGTTAGCTCAAGTTAGCTATGTCTACCTACGTCGTTAGTCTCCAGGTACTCCAATCACTGATTATGAGGCTTATAGTCTACTCTCTTCTAGGTCGATTCTCCTCTCACTAACTAGGAAGCTGAAAGGCTCGGGTCTAGACCGTCATTTCTAAGCAATCGCATTTCAGCTTCTGTCGAAAGATTGTAATTTGAGTAAATTGATCCCTGTCTAATTCCCGCATACTTCCCCGTCCAGATATACTTCCGCCAACACCGTTCGCGGAAGATACGACGGTAACAACTATGCTATCAAAGTCACCTTTACCACATTCCTAGTGATCGCGCTATACAACCCAGTCGAACTCGCCATCCTCAATCTTCTCGACCATCGGCTGGTATTTCATGGTCACCGGACAGGCCGTCGTCCTCTATTCACGGCTCAACCTCGTCGTACATAGCCCCAAAGTCCTGCACCATATGCTAGTTATGATCGTGTTCAATGCGATTTGCTTGCACATTCCCACCACTCTCCTGACTTATGACTCTAACTCCAGTACCAAAACCGCCTACATCAACGGCTATGGGGTCATGAAGCGCATCCAGCTAATCGATTTCTCCCTGCAGGAGTTCATAATCTCAGGGCTATACATTCTTAAGACGGTCGAGATGTTCCACTTGGACATGGAGACATACGACTAATCCCATCGCACCACGAACGTCCTGTACCAGCTTGTCGGCTTCAACCTGTTGATCATTATGCTCGACATTGTCTTGCTGATGGTTAAGTTCTTGAATCTCTTTGTCATCCAGACGACGCTCAAACCCATGGCGGTTTCTTGCTGCCCGTTCGAGTTAATCTTGGTCGCTGATTGTCTATCAGGCGCAAGTTTACTGATCTAGCAGTCGTACTACACAAAGCTACTCCTATTCATCGGTTGTATAGTAAAAATATGACGCAAAAACCTTTGCATTTGCACAACAGTGTAGGAAAACCTAATGATAGGGAAAACCTACACTAAGGCATTTATGAGACCCCTCGCCATCACCCAGCCAACAAAGATCCATCAAGACCACATCACCTTCTTGCTTATGTCTATCCGTGCCGTGCCTCCGTCAGTCCTAAATCCAGTAGTCATTCGTGCCGAATGAAGGATCATCACGCACAATCTATCAATGTCGTGCCTCTGTTAGCCCTATACGAGTAGTCATTTGTGTTCACTCAAGGATCATTACTTACATCCTATCCACACCATGTCTCTATCAGTCCTATATCCAGTAGTTATTCGTGCTGAATCAATATTCTCACTCGCAATCTATCCGTGTCTTTATCAGTCATATATCCGGTAGCCATTCGTGTCAAATAAAGGAACATCACTCACGAGCTATCCACGATATACTTCTATTAGTCCTATATATAGTAATCATTCGTATCGAATTAAGGAAAATTACATACTTCCTATGCATATCTGATCTACCTAACTTTATTGCTAGCATCAACGATCTTGTAAATCTCCCGGACATAGGCCTCGCTATTCGCATTTCCCATCACTCGATTCTCCATCTTGTTCATGGCATACCCGATGGTCATTTGCCGGCCGCGATCCATAATCAGCATAGACCCTCCCCAACCACCCCAGAAACAGATGCCTTCATCTTCTGGGATCCAGGGCGCGGCTATGGCAGATGGCAATGCAACCCCAAGAGCAAAACGCACGTATTGTAAGACAGACGCATCAAGCCCTCGGATATGCTCTTCCATCATTTTATCAAGTGTACTAGTGGCGAAGTACTGCTTTCCATCAACGATTCCATCCAGCGAGACCATTGACCCGATGCGTGCCAGTGCACGTGCATTTGAGAATCCGCCTGAGGCCCCGTTCTCGGACTTTCTGAATCCAGGTTCGTTGGGACTTGTAGACACGTAGACGGACCCCATAAAAGCCCGAGCCATGATACTAGACGGGTCAATGCCGGTCATAGGTGGCATCTCAAAACCGATCATTTCAGCGGTGCGAGACCAGTCTTCCTCCGATACTCCTAGTCGGAAGTCGGCGCCTAGAGGACCAGCAATCTCATCGGCGATGAATTGAGTCAGTGACTTGCCGGCTATGCGACGCACAATCTCGCCGATCAAATGGCCGTGGTTTGACATTTGATATGCGCTACGCTCGCCGGGGGTAAACCAAGGTGCTTGGGCCGCGAGTCTCTCAGTTGCTCCCTTTGTATCTTGTATATCCTCAAAGGTCATCGGGGCCTCCCAGGCAGGTAGTCCGGAGGAATGGCTAAGGATATGAGAGACCTTCACATTATCCTTACCATTGGCCGAAAATTCAGGCCAGTAAGTGGCTACCTTCTCGTTCACATCTAACAGGCCACGATTCACGAGGATCTGGGCGGCCAGACCGGTGACCACTTTGGTAGACGACCAAACCGCCACAAGCGTGTCTTTCTCCCATGGTTTAGTCCGGGATGCGTCTGCATAGCCACCCCATATGTCGAGAACATTCTTGCCGCCAATATTCACACAAAGGGAGGCGCCTCTTTCATTACCCTCGGCGATTCTTTGTTGCAACAGATCACGGACAGAATTAAAGGCGGGATCACAATAGCCGTGGACTCCGAGCATCGTGACAATCATCTAGTGACAGTGTGTAACAAGGGGAAATATACTGATCAGGCAGCAGAGAAAGAAACTAGAACGTGCGGGAATCGGTGAAATGAAGCTTGGTCGCGGTAGTGGTATAGTTAAAATATAGAAAGATAAGGACGAAGACAAAGACATATTTTTCTGCAGGCTGGAACGATAATACGCTTCTATCGGAGGGATATCTGTCCGCCCGGTAGATCCTCCGACTCGCAGATTTCAGCTTACCCGACGAAGTTTGGCGAATTTACAAGTGGGGGTGATACATTATCCCCGCTGTTTAGCGCTTCCATGCGACTCACGGAAGGGGGAGCGGCCCTACATACAGTGTACGGAAGGTAATTGTCGCAAAGGCCCAAAGCTTTACAATTGATCGTACAATATGCTGCTGTGAATGCAGTGGGAGGACAGAAACCCACAAGCTACCTGACCACCCAATACGCCATATTGAAGGAATTCGCGATATTTTAGAGCTAATTATATGTTGCCCTTTTCCTTTAATTGCTCCTTTTATCCACAGCGCCGATTTGGCTCGCAGCCAGCCACATCCAAGGACTCTTCGAGGGTGACATACGGTTGGATAGGCTTATGACACGCTTTTGCTCACTTCATGAAGGCTGCTTTGTACCGGGTCCACACATCCTGCGGACCGTCTCGAAGCCCATCTAATGAATGAAAACAACGTTTCGCCTCTCAATTTGCCACCTTGAGTTGCCGCCTTGAGTCTTCATTGAGTTGGGTTCTCAATATATTCATCTATAAATTGTACAACAAGATCTGCTCATCCCGTAGTACAACAGAAGAAATGTTTTTGTGGTATTCATCACCCTGAAAGGGCTCTATTAATTACCACTCGGCCTTCGCTCCCCATTACTAAATTCGTCACTCTAGTCTATTCGAATATAAGAATGGGACCGTTACCCTGCTATTCTGGGTTCACAGGAAAGTCGAAACGAGCACAAGGCGGTGGCTGTGAGCAAAGACCAGACTCGATGTACGGTGGTTGAGTATGTCATCTCCCAATTCCACTTCGGCACTCCTTAGTATCTCAAAGTACAACAGCGGCGCAACATCACATTTCTCGCAAATGCAACATCCTGTATTCTGGAGTCGATGGTGGTACAATTTTCCCATTTATTACTACCAGCCTATTTTAACCATTAATGGCTGCCAAGTTTTTTCGTCTCCGAATATCAGGCTGACCGTTCCACTCATTGATTCATAGGGGCTTAGTATAGTGACTTTTGCTCTGAAGTTTCACAATAACATGGTGATATTTTAAGCAATCATTCACGAACCGCGTGTTGTTGTGGTTCATTTTCGATCAACAGCTGGATTTGCCTGAACCTACTCTGAAGAACCGACGTGTTCGTGGAAGAAATCAACAAAATCAAACATGCTTCTCTTATACCTGCGCTCGAATGTTCCAGTAGTACGATTAACAGTCTGCACGCCGTATTGTTGAGCAAAAGAGCCGAACTCATTATTGTCGAACAAACTCCAGGCGAAGACACCAACCATTTTCACACCGTCTTCATAGATCGCTTTGAGCATCTCGTCAAGAAACTCGAGCAGATATAATGAGCGAGTGAGATCAAAACGCTGTGCATCCCCAGAAGTTTGCGCCTCGAATGCAGGATTGAATCCGAACTCAGTGATGGCGATTCCGCCCTGCGGTTGGAATGTGTTCCACACGTACCCAAGTTGCTGGCGAACGTAGCTAGGTGCCACCTTGCTATATGCATTCGAGAAGTACCCCATAGGCCAACTATCTTGCTGGATGCTAGTAATTTCTGCGCACTGAGGCCATAGTGGGTTGCTTGGGTTGGCGATACAGTCCCTCAGCCGCTGGTGGTCATTGGATCCGTCGCTCGAGTTTGCCTTTGGTGGGACTGTTGCTAACTGAGCCACGTACGGGTCCAATGCAAAGAAGTCACAGGTCCCGTTGATATACGCTATCTCATCGGCTGTCAGTGGCGTTAAATTCAACTTGGGGGTATCCAGTACGCTTGTTGGATATTGCTGGCCCAGGAATAGTGGGTTGCCCATGATCCCTAAGAGAAAGTCCTGGTAGCGGAGTGAGGCAAACACATCAGCAGTACTGCTCGGCCCACGAAGGGGTGTCGCCAGGTTATTTGCAAACTTGATTGAGATCTGGCCTGTTCCTTGATACACATTACGATACCAGTGGTAGAACTCAGCGTGGACGAGGAGTAGAGTGCGGAAGGTGTCGTATTTCTTGAAAAATAGACCGATGCCGCCATTGGGTTCACCGTACGTCAGCCATACCGGTACCCTGTCCCCAAACTTTGCCACTACGATCTTTGCGTAGTATAAGAACGCCGGGCCGAAGGATGTTGCGTTGTCATAATCGACACCAGTGGGTGAGTCGTCGTGCAGCAGCGTCACCATTGGAATAATACCATGCTTTAGGCAGGTGTTAATAACGTCGTCATAATGGTCTAGAGCCTCTGTGTTGACGGGTGATCCGGTCACACCGAATGGTATTACGCGTGTCCAGCTGATGGAGAAAGAGTAGTATGGAATCCCTACTGCCGCCAAGCGCGCGATGTCCTGCTTGTACATGAAGTAGTGCATGTTCGCGGTCACTGAGTCGTTGAGTCCATCCTGGTTTGGGAGCGCTCCAATGAAATCCAGCACACTAGGGCCTCGACCTTCGCTCATCAGCCCGCCTTCTGTCTGCCAGGCACTGCCGGCTAGACCCCACATAAAGTCTGCAGGGAGCTGAAGACACTCGGTACTAGCATTTCCCTCTCGTGTAGGACTCAATCCGGCCGCTGCGCCGGGAAAGGGGTTATATAATCGTGGTGGATAAACCAATTCGCTTGTGTGAATGGGAGTAGGAGACATTGTAGTCGTGAATGGCACATTGGAAGAGTAGGAGTAGGTCTTCCACATAGCAGCGTAGGCGCTTTGCCCGTATGGGTTGCGGTCCTGAGTCGCCGTTGCGTGGCGATCCAGCGAGTAAGTCGTATATGTGAGATTGGGTAGTAACTTGGAAGCTTTGTGAAAATGGGGCCCATAAGGGTTGACCTTGAGAGGACTCGGCAAGGGAGTGGCATAGCGCTCAGTCGTGACTTGTGTATAAGAGAAGCGACTGAAAGAAATTGCCGGCGAGGATTCAAAAGTGGAAGATGAAGAAGTCAATGATCCGCCATTATGATATCCCCCGTTTTCCGCCATTATAGATGGAAAGAAAACAGAAACAACTGCCACGAATCTGATAAGCTTGGTGAGCTGAAGCTCCTGAAATCTGGAGATCATTCTGCTCCTCATTCTTTTCGAGTATTTCGGAATTGAGGTAGAAAGATTTCGGTACGTATTATGTATGCTGCTGAAAATCTCGAATATTCTCAATGCAGGATGGAGGCATATATAAGATGGTTGAAACATATAAAGACGAGGACTGGCTTGGTCTCGGCGTCTTTGATTGTCTTAAATCGCTATGATCTTCCGAGCCCACCCACCACAAGAGAGAAGAAACAGTTCAGGTCAGACCTCGAACTTGCCTATAATAGGCAAGGGATCCGGCGCTAGTGGTGGCTCGGGACTGGTACATAGGTTCCATCTCGCTTAATGAGAGCCGGAATCAGCAAGTTCTTTTGGCAAACTAGGTGTGAGGGTAACTATTTGTGTCTTGCATGCGACTCTAGATGTTCGTGCAGCATGGGGAAAGTGGATTAGCCTATCAGCATCGTACGATCGCTCACCTAGTATTACTTTTACCATCTCATAACGCTTGGTCCCTTCATAAAAGTTAAACTGGTGCATACTTTCCTGTTGTTCCAGCGGCGAGGCCGATTGGCATGACATCTTGAATCGCTTCATTGTTCAACTACAGAGTAATGAAAACAAAACCTTGAAGATATTGACAGCGCAAGGTCAGTCACTTTCGTAAAGCACAAATGAAATAATCTTGAAGACAATATTTGGTGATTGGATTTTGCGGAGATAGCGCGAAGCATGAATGGGACCGGTGATTAGATAGTTTGCACTAGGGAGCGGTGAAAAACGAAAGCATCAGTTAAAAGGGATTAGTTTGACAGTCAAAGTATCCATCACCAGCCTATCATGAATGGGTTGAGATCCGAAGTTTACCCGTTCCCCGCATGATAGAGTCAAGCGTCTCGCCAGAATGCTACGGTGGCAGGGGTCTTCTTAACGAGTCATGGCTGGCACTAGCGGATAATACGAGGCTATTTATCCCCACTTTTTATATCTAAGTCTCGAAATCTCTCTTGACATTATCCAGAGAGTACTCCGACATACTGCAGCATGATTTTTCTTCGATTTGCTTTGGTCATTGTTGCCGTAAGGCAAACTTTTAGTGCTGCTTTACCACAGCTGGGACGTAGAGGTAAGCTCTGCACACCACGCAGCTCCTTTTCAAGATATTTCATTGACGAGGAAAGACATATCGCCAAATATACTGAATCAATTCTATCTCATGGCGCAATATGCTGTTGCCGCAAATTGTGGTGCTAATCACAATGTCTCATCGTCAGGTTTACCAGTATATTGCGATCCTGGTAAATGCCCTTCACTCCAAAAAGCAGATACTGAAATTACAAATCCTTTCTGGGAGTATGTTAGTGTCTATCAAATACTGGGAGAAAAGTCTCTTATAAGCGCTCATTTGCAGCTTACAACCTGGTGATACGACTGGATACCTCGCAGTCGATCGAACGAATAAGCTGATTGTGCTTTCATTCCGTGGCACTGTGTCTAATGAAAATGGACAGACAGACCTCGAATTCCAGCAGGTTGATGCATCCAGACTTTGCTCGGGTTGCTATGCTCACAAAGGATTCTGGGAAGCTTCCCTCGGTGCCTTTGACATTATCAACCCGGCTCTCAAAGCAGCGAAGACTAAATACCCGAGCTTTGAGCTGATTGTAACTGGGCATAGCCTTGGGGGAGCTTTAGCTACACTGGAAGCTGCTCATTTGAAGGCAGAGGGACATCATCTTGATATGGTCAGTGTGACAGGTAAAGCCCGTCCAAAGTGTATCTAAGTGACTTCCATATAGTATACTTTCGGTGCTCCATCAGTTGGAAATAAAGCTCTTGCCGAGTTTATCACCAGCCAAGGTTCGGGACAGAAATATCGCGTCACACATACCGACGATGAGGTACCAAAAGTCCTCTATCAAGCATCCAGGACAGTATTACTGGATGTTATTGTTCCAGAATACAGTCAATCTTCTCCTGAATACTGGATAACATCAGATGATGGGGTCTACCCTACGACGTCGGACATTCAAGTTATTCATGGTGTCGACAATACGACAGGTAATTTAGGTCAGCCTGGATTCGATTTGACAGCCCACGGGTGGTACATGATAAACACAACTGCATGCCAGCAAACCTGACTAGCGGGAATACCTTATTGAAGGCGAAAATGATTGAAGTACCAGCTACTCTATGACTGCTGGTCAACGTCGTAAATTAGTTAGTTAGCTAGAGGCAATGATCAAGCAAGTCGGGATTTACCAATCACCGAGCCTGACTATAAACCTATAGCTGACAAGATAACTAGTTAAAATAAATCCTTCATCAGATCAAAGGTACTTATTGCAGTTGACCGATTCTGTGGCTGATGTGTGCTTAATGGTCAGCCTGCTAATTTTCTGGATAGAGGCGAGGTTGCAGTATTCACTGGTCTCCGGCAATCTGATTCCTTTTCCAAGGTCTCTCGCAAAAAAAGGGCGATTTGGAGCTGCGGCTTGATTAAGTTCGGTTCTAATTTTCGAAGAATAGTAAAGAAATCAGTAATTTCATTCTGATCAAAGCTGCCAATACTTCATCAACCACAATATAGACGCAATGCAGGGACTTTATCAGTTGGAATAATTGCAGTTTGATATTACTAGCGAGAACATGAGTTGCAGAACCCCACAGCAACAGCAGCTTTTCCACACCAGACTCGATAGACAGTGGATGGCTATTGAAAGGTCCTGCTTGATCAGAGCCCGGAGAATCTTCAGTGTCGTCAAGGAGCTTGCTCACTCGGGGCACAATAAAAATGGATAACAGGTCGGTCGTGCCCAGAGGTGACAATAGGAAGGCGGTTGACCACAGATCCGCTGCCTGTGTATTAGTCCAGTTCTGCTCCCAAAATATTTAATGGGCGATTTCTACGCGAAAATTGCCTTTCCACACCCAAGTGGGCGAAATCAGCCAACGTTCAATCGAACAAGATGCAATGGGATATACCAGGTCGTGCCTGGCAGAAATACACCGCCCGTGCCCGAATTAGGTAATCCGGTGAGTGACGTTTGCGGAAGGCGGGACTGTTTTTGGGCCTGGATGAAGTAAAAGAAAGAACAGATTATTGTTTTCTCCTTTATCGCTGTTTCTTTCTCTCGTTCCCTGTCGTTTCCCCGTCATTGCTCGGATCCCCTAATTGAACTCGATAACCACAACCCCTTCCCCGTCACCTCCCCCACCTCCACACCAACACAACCATCCAATATGCAGGTTCCATTGCTTCGGCTGCAATGCGGTAAGTCGGGCTTTGATCCGCGAATGCGCGCATTAACTGACTGGCCCCTCACGCAGGCGTCAATAGCTACGACTGGGGTAGGATCTAACCACCAACAACGCTTAGTGCCCCGGCGCTGAATCTCGTCACAGGCAAACTCGGTCAAGAATCGTGCGCGGCCAAGTACGCAGCCACAACAGCGGCCCCGGATTTCACAGTAGAGGCCGAGAAGCCATATGCCGAAGTATGTGTGGTCGGATTCGCATGAAGATTGGGCTAACTGGTTCATCCTCCAGCTGTGGATGGGCACGCATCCTTCCCTCCCCTCCAAAGATACCGAGACCCAGCGCACCCTCCTCGATCTCGTCCAAGATAACCAGGCCCTTTTGTCGACGGATATCAGCGAGCGATATGGTGGGCGATTGCCATTCTTGTTCAAGGTGCTTTCCATTCGCAAGGCGCTCAGCATCCAAGCCCATCCCAACAAGAAGCTGGCCGAGAAGCTGCATGCGAGAGACGCACGGAACTATCCCGGTAATTTACACGTCCCTTTTTCTAACTAAGTATCATGCTCATTGATTATTAGATGACAACCACAAGCCGGAAATGACCATTGCCATCACCCCGTTCGAAGGGCTGTGCGGATTCCGTCCGCTGTCGGAGATCACCTACTTCCTGCAGGCCGTGGAGCCTCTCCGCAGGCTGATTGGAGACCAGAAAGCCAGTGAATTTGAGCAGATTGTCAAGGGCAACGAAGACTCGGATGACTTGGAAGTTATGCAGCGGAACAAGGATGCGCTGCGCTCGATCTTCACTTCGCTGATGGAGTCTTCTCCCGAGAGCATCGAGGCTGCCACCAAGGACCTGATTGCGGCAGCTGAGAACACGCCAGCCAGCTTCGCTACTCTGCCCGATGCCGCCGACGCAAACCACCTCCAACCGGCGGAGCTGGCCGCCATTGTGACGAGACTCAATGGCCAATTCCCGAACGACATTGGATTGTTCGTCTTCTTCATGCTCAACTTCGTCCGGTTGGCCCCCGGGGAAGCCATGTTCCTCAAGGCGGATGACATCCACGCCTATATCTCGGGAGATATCATCGAGTGCATGGCCTCCTCCGACAATGTCGTGCGAGCCGGGTTCACGCCCAAGTTCAAGGACGTGGACACGCTGACCCAAATGCTGACTTACTCGTATGCACCGATCGAGGAGCAAAAGCTGGAGCCGAAGGACTACCCGTACACTATCCTGAACGCCACGGCATATACGAGCGGCTCTTCATCGATCCTCTACGACCCGCCGATCGAGGAGTTCAGCGTCGTCAAGACGGATCTCATCCGCACCGGCGCCAAGGCGACTTTTGACCCAATCGGAGGTCCCAGCATTTTGATTTGCACGGCCGGTCGTGGCCGGATTACGGTGGGCAACAAGACCGAAGAGATCCAGGAGGGCTATGTTTTCTTTGTGGGCGCCGAGGCAGAGTGTGTGATCGAGAACACGGAGAGTGGTGGTGGAGATGACAATGTGTTCACCACGTTTAAGGCATTCTGCGAGCTCACTGGTAAGGAGGACATGGTCAATGGGCATTGAACTGTTCTGATCAATTCTAGCGCGGTCGCATCTCTAGCCCTAATTTCAACATTAGACTACCTCGGTCAACGCATCAACAGCACCCCTTCCTTTTTGTCTGCGAGATTCCACAGTAAAGGTATTAATCACCACTCCTACTCCTCCTTCCACTCGTTCTGCGGCCCGTGAATCGTAGAGCCGAGGCTCCCCAAAGCCGAAGCGGGGAAGATGGCAGGCGCTTGCTTCTCCACGCCTTTCTTCACAGTCTATGCCCACCCGGGCCGACATGTAAACTCTTTCCTCAGCATAATCTCCAAAACACACTGCAACATGGATGCCAAGTACGACGATACCCCCAAACTCACCCTGTGGGAGAAAGTCGACCTCCCCTTCGCCCGTTTCGCAATTCTTGCGTCGACACTGTATGCGGCGCTAACAGGCGTCTTCCGAGACAAGAGTTATCCCACCAAATTCAGTCACCATATCATTGCCGCGGCGGTGCGCAAGCTCGTTAATCGGGTGAGCGATCGGCAGAACCAGTGCGTTACCCTCTCGAGACGAGGCTGCCTATGTAGACTAGGGATATTTACGCGCAATAGATACTTGGGCCGTCCAACGAGCGATGTATATACCGCATTCATGGAAGGAAGCGGCCAGGCACCGGAGACGGTGAAGCTGGCCCATGGGGCCGTGGGGCATTGGGTTGGGAACAAGAATGCGAAGAATGTGTTGATATACTATCACGGTGAGCCCGAAAACGTTACACAACATGGAGAAATATCTAAATACGCGATGTACAGGCGGCGGCTTCGTCTTACCTGCTAACCCAGCACATCTCCAATTCGCCACGGCCCTCATCCAGGAACTAAATGATAATGGCCACGAATTGGCAGTCTTCTTCGTGCGCTACACACTCTCCACATGCCAAACTTACCCGACCCAACTGCGTCAAGCTGTTGAGGCTCTCCGGTACCTCGTCACTGAGACAAACCGCTCTCCGGCAAATGTATATCTAGGCGGCGATTCCGCAGGCGCGAATCTAGCCCTAAGCACCTTGCTTCACATATCACATCCACACCCAGAGATCGACCCACTGGCCCTTTCCGCGCCACTGGCGGGTGTATTTGGCCTGGGAGCGTGGATTGACTTTAGCTCCGAGGGGCCCTCCGTCACGGAAAATGCAAACAAGGATATTCTCACCAAGGGGGCCTTGGAGCGCTGGGCTAAAGGGTATCTCGCGGGGAAGGAGCCCGATAGTTGGAGCGAGCCAGCTCGAGCTCCCGTTGACTGGTGGAAGGACGTGAAGACGGAGAGGATTTTAATTCTGGCCGGTAGTGATGAGCTCTTGCTTTCGTCGATTGAGGAGTTTGCAAAGAAGGTCAAGGTATATCGTCCTTTCCTTCCCTTCCATGTGTCTATCTTGTCACTGACTTAACCAGTCTATCTTTCCCAACACCACTTATGTGGTGGGCTACGGCGAGTCCCACGATGCCCCTTTCTACACGAATCCTGGTATCGATGATTGTCTGAAGACAGAAACTGGGCGTAATGTGCGGCAGTGGCTAGCTGCGAAGCTATAATGTGGTCTAAGAGATGATTATGGAGATTTTTTGGTTAATAAGTCCACGCACAGCATAACTACAATGAACATACGATGCTTTTAGTACTGCAATTGTGTCCAAGGTTGTGTTTTGTAGTGGAACGCCATTATTCTATACCTCAAGCAGTTTTTAAGCCCGGCACGGACACAGACAGACACGGAGAACGGGGAAATGGCAGGTAATATAACTTGGGTTTGGAATCGTGGCAACTCGTAAGAAAAAAGAAAGACCAAATGGAACTACGAGGTCACCTTGGGCGAGTACTTCGCAGCCGCGGTGTCGAAGAACTCGCTCTTCTCCTGGATATCAGAGAGAAGAGGGTGCGAGGGGTTGACCTGCTGCAGCCGGCTGTACGGGGGAATTATTAGCAATGGTTATCACTCCCAGGAGGAAGGGAAGACATACGACTCCAGGTCCACGCTCGGCTTGCCCGCCAGCACATTCAGCACAATGCTGTTGGCAATCAACTCCGCCTGATCGGGGTACTTCTCCAGTGCGGCGGTGAGCGCGGCCTCAGCCTCGGGCAGGCGGCCCAGGTGCAGCTCTGCGACTGCCTGGCCGGTAATCGAGAGCGGGGCAGCCGTGCTAGGTGCGGAGGCGAGTTCTTCGTAGACGTAGAAGGCAGCCTGATATTTCTCTCCTCCCTGGATGGGTCACTGTTAGACAAGCCGTATCCCTTATTTGTAAACAGCACATACAACTCTCATTCCAACCCAGGACTCGGCGATGTTAATGAGCAGCGAGTCCTGCGCCCAGCGCTTGGCAGTCTGGACCTCTTTAATGGCAAGATCGGAGCGGTTCTGCTGGAGGTGGATCTGGACAATCAGGGCGACACTATATAGCATCAGTGTTATATCCCCCGCATGGCTTTTGACGGCACTCACGCCTCAATGTTCCCCTGGTGCTTAGACAACAGCGCCAGCGCCTCCTCGCTATGACCCTGCGCCTGGAGCAGCGTACCACCCAGCACCTGAACAGTCCCGTTATCCGGGTAATTCTCCGCTAGATCCTGGGCGAGCTGTAATGCGGCGTCTTCGTCGCCCGCCGTGTGCTGGGCCAGGGCCTTGGCGGCGGCCAGATCAGGGGTGTCCTCCTCGGAGGAGACTTCGGAGAGCACCTCATCGGCGCGACCGAGGGCTATCTTGGCGCGCAGCTTGAGCACGCGAGCGGGCAGCTGGTTCTCCGGGGAGAGGGCAGTGGTGTCGAAGTCGATCACGTTCTCGTACTGGCCTTGGTGGAAGGCATTGTGGATGTTGAGGAGCTCTGCGGGGACCAAATGAGGTCAGTAGGAGAAGGAAAGAAGACAGCTTGTGAGATTGCGTACCGCCCTCTGCTGAAAATGGGTCCATCTTGTTGTTCTGGTGGCAGGTGAGGAATTAACTGGACAGTGTTGGTGTTGATGTTGCGGGAGCCAAGTTGTCTTTTGGCATTTTAGGCAAGTCAGCCGAAACCAATATGGCAGGTGGGGCGAGCAGACTACATACTACTTAGAACCACTATACTCGAATGGAAACAAGACTACATATATTACACCAAAGGAGGAGCATGTATGGTCACTGAATATACTGGCAGTGAGATGTATCGCTGATGGGGTAGCTGGTGACCAACGTGGCAACTCACTATACTGCACCACCAGAACTAAGCCCATCTCCTGAAATATAAATAAATTTGAGACGGTATAAATAGGATGAATATCTTACACGGCTAGACAGGCGGCTAGTTTTTGATCCTACGAAAGAGTTGATCTTGTTTTAAACACAACTAGGATCGGAAAGCAGATGAAAAAGGACAGCCATTTAAATCATTAAATATATGGCGTCAACAATAAGAGAATCTCAGCCCTGCCACCGAAATTTGCCCTCTTGAAGCGTCTTCACCACCCCCAGCGGCATGAACTCCCGATTAACCGCTGCTAGACTGCCATAGGTACGCACCATCTCGCCATGGTACAGTTCTCCCACCCAGCGCCAGTAAGGAGTCATGTTCCTTGAGTTTGCAGAAATGGCACTCTTCTTGCTCAACTTGCCCGAGGAATTTCTCAACCCTGCTTGGCTCTTGACGAACCCGGCCGTCGCAGCCACGTTCTTCTCGTGTGGCACCTCGATTAGATCCTTGTACGCCTCATGGAGGGCCGAGCTGTAGGTCTCTGGGTACTGAGAGTACTCGCGGAACGACATAAAAGGAAGCGGCTCTCCTTGCTCATTGCGCCACGCGGTGGTGCCATACTCGGGTCCGTTCTTCTCGAAGTTGTTTTTGGCAATCCTGTAAGAGCCCTCATCGCTCAGCGAAGCCTTTTGGAGTCGTCGCTGAGGAGTTTGCTGAATGTTTTCGCGCATAGACAGGAGCCGAATGTATGGGTTGAGAAGACCCAAGCCACCCAGTTCGGCAGGGTAGTAGAAGAACCCCTCTGGAAGGTCATGGATGTTGAATCGGTCTGCGATCACCGATCGTAGATAGTCCGCGACGCCACTGGGTTGGGAAGTGTCACTTGAATCTTTTCCAAAGAGTGTTCGCTCAATACGGCTTAATGTCGATATCGCCATGTCGATGTGGTCTCGTCCAAAGCACATCGCCGGCCGGGCGAAGTTGTTGGCGAAGAAGCGCCCAAAGTAGCCATTCCATGCTTGAACCCAGGCAAAAACACTCTTGCAAGACGCGAGTTGTCGCGACAGTTCCTCGATATGCTGATCTACTTGTTTCTGGTCGATGATGAATCTTTCCTGCTTCGCATCAAGAACCAAGAAACCCCAACGGATGTCACCGACAGGGAGTGCCATGGCTTGAGTCTCTGTGGGCTCAGAGCTGGTCATGCGCACAGTTCCAGTCTTCTCCTGGTTGAAGGTGAGGCCCATGATGCTGGAAAACTCTGACATGGAGTTCCAAGCTTTCACACAGCCATACTCTGTGCCCCAGAACCAGAAGTCGTCGTGAAGCCGGTAAAGGAATGCTCCATTGGTGGCTTGGTTTACCGCATAGTCCATGCAAAAAAGGACAGACTCCCCGAAGCAGTCGGAGAGTGTATGGCTCATCGGGAGGCCTCGTCTGCGAACTTGAACAGGCGCATCTGGACCATCCTGAACGAAACGTAGAGGAGCCTCGAGGAAGGTCCTGAAGAAATTCAGCCACATCTCTGGCACGCCAAAGTAATCCATCACTGTGAGGATTGTTGAATGAGGCATCGAAGGTCCGAACCACTGGAAATCAGAACGGACAGCTGTGAACTCGCCGCGCTGAGTTTTGTGAATAATGGACTCGGTGACGAGGAGATGAAGAAGGGAGTGTTTTGTCTGAAGAGCGTTTTTGGTCTGCGGTCCATCGTCATCGTACTTTCTTGCACCCTCGTCTGTAGAAGTAGGAAGCTGGCTCATGAAATACTCCTTTTCGTACGTCTGCTTCCGGAGTTCATTCACGGTCTGCAGACCCGGGGCAGCTCGTGGCCCCAGGAAATACTTGCGCCTCTTTGTGTACTCGGCAGGAATGTCCTCTCGCATTTCCAACCACGCATGAGAGTGCAGAAAGCTCTCAAATACTTTTCGCAGCTTGACAGCCCAGGTAGTCCCTAGATACTGTAGCAGAAGACTGTCGAGAAGATCTTCGTCCATAAAAACACGGTACTTGCCGTTGAGCTGGCGGCGCATCTCAACGGGAATGCCCTGCTTGTCCCATTTCCAGCTTTCAAGGGACGCGAGGCGCATATTGAGCACATCCGCCACCTCCTGTAGGACTTCCTTATTCCGCATGAACTCCTTCAAGATGGTTGACTTCTCGTTGCTGAGCAGGTCGGTCTTTATCAACGCCTTTGAAACCCACGTAAGCTCATTAACATCAAGCCACTCTTGTTTAGCGGCGAGGTCTGTCCCAAACCTTTGGATGCTCTCTCTCAGGAGCTTGAGAGCCTCCCGAGACAACTTGGTCTTGGTGAAGAGGCCGTCAAGATAATCGCGGATCTTGACATAGTTGACAGATATGGCAGGTGAAAAGACTAGGGATTCCCATGTAGCTCGCTGTTCATGCATTTCTGCGCGACCGACGTTCTCAAAGCTTGTTGCGGACTTGCTCGATGCGGTGTCGTCTGTATCGTCCGCTGTTGGCAACGTAATGCGTTGATCTAGATGCTCCAGCCATTCAGTCACCAGCTTACTGTAGAAGTCAGCATGCTCGTGCTTGAGCTCCAGGTATTGTAGCTCGTTTTCAAGTTGCACAATCCAGTCGCGGATTGTTGCTTCCGAGATCGACGCATCGTAGCGGCCCTGTAAGAGAAAGCGCCGAATATTCGTGTGATCGGCGTGATGCAGTTGACCCATTCCGGGGGAGTAAATATCGCCGGCTTCGGAATCGGAATCATTGCCTGACGAGTCGACATCCAGGTCCATGTCATCCTTGTCGAGCGCGTCTTTCGGATAGCCTTTCAGGCGTGACAGGCCGTCTAACAGAGCATGGGCGCGAGCTCGCAAATCCGGCGCAGCATTGGCGGCGGAGAGGATCTCATTTTTGCGCTCGTCGAACAGTGCACGCTGCTTGGCCAGCTCGGTAATCTTGGTAGCCGTAATGGACTTGAGAGTCTGCGGCAGGGCTCCGTTGTACGCCATTGTGGTAGTCAATTAACAGAGATAATAAGTTCTAACAGATGTGACTGTGACCTTATTGTCGCAGACAGAGGACGAGGTTGTGCCTGTCGGGCTTGTTTATGGTGGCAATGCGGTCGTTTAAATATTGTGACCAACAAAGAGTCTCCACGCGCCAAAACCAAATGCCAAGGTTAGTTGACTCAACTTTTTAGGCAATCATGAACTTTTATTTCCAATATGACGCAGTTTCCAAAGGCGTGACTCTGTTTTGGTGAGGCGGACAACGCATTGGTCCTAGATCTGGGGCCGGGGTCCCGAATAGGAAGTGCAAGTTCGCCTCGTCGAACCAAATGTGTCAAAATCGTCCTAAAGCTCGAAAATTGATAAAAGACGCAGAAACATATAAATCGGAGATTTTTGACAGCAATTAATAAAAAGTTCATATTAACTGGGTGTGGTTTAAGGCTTAGCGCATTTCGAAAAGCTGCCCCGATCCTCTCTCCTCAGGCAACCACAACCTCACCTCGGCACTTCCGCGATGTAGTTGCGAATTGAAGATATTCTGCAGAAGAAGATGAAAGAGTTCAAGCTTGATAAAGACAATTTCATGATATTTGTCGAGTGTGTAAGTGAGAAACAGAGAGCACTTACGTTGTTTTTGAGGGAGGGATATGCAAGGCGAAGATAACAAGAAGGGGAATAGAGATGTCATGGATCAAGACGGTGATTGCAATAATAAATCCAATTGAAAGATTTCTTTGAGCAAATGGTTGAGTAGGTGGTATTTCGCCGAAGAAAGGACACTGCGAGCGATGTTCCCCAATCAATTGGAACTTGACGTCTCGTAGGGTTTTGAAAACCCCCCAGGATTGGTCTCCACATGCATCCGACGAAAACCTCCGAGCCAAATTATGGCTGAGAAATAAAAGCGGCAAAATCATCAGTTTCTCTGTGACTTATATAATATAATTTTAAACGGGAAAATCGATTACGTTGTAAATTCGATGCTTATCCCGTTCTGGCGCTTCAAAACCCGCCCTCAGTATAATGTCACAACAAGACGCGGTCACTACAAAAACGCTCTCAGGAGCTTCAGATGACGACAAGGAGGCCCCAAAGGAAATTCCCAAACAGAATCAAAGGGGCCCGAGATTCTGGGCCATCTTGTTCGTCCTCGCCTTGACCAGCCTCCTGACAGCCATGGAAGCCACAATCACCTCCACGGTCTTACCAGTCATCATCGCCGATCTGGGCGGCGGCGATAATTACATCTGGGTCGCTAATGGATATTTCTTGACCATGTAAGGCTCTCTCCTTCCTCGGATGAAAACGCTGCATCATCCAACGGGCCATGGTTATCAACGATTGTGATTTTTCAGGGCGTCTCTTCAACCAATGTTCGGACAAGTCGCAAACGTATTCGGCCGCCGGTGGCCCCTAATTGTGGCAACGGTCGCCTTCTTAATTGGAAGCGGTATATGTGGCGGGTTAGTGCTGGTTTCGAAACACTGTTAGATAGAGAAATGTGCTGACTATGAGGGAAATAGATCCACCAACATGGCCATGATGATCAGCGGTCGTGTCTTGCAGGGCTTTGGAGGCTCTGGCATCAGTGTTCTAGTCGAGACGGTTGTCTGCGACTTAGTTCCCCTCAGGGAGAGAGGGAATTACATGGCCCTGGTGTTTGGCATGATCTCTGTGGGAACCGCACTCGGTCCTTTGTTTGGGGGGCTCATTGTCAGCTACAGCACCTGGCGCTGGGCTTTCTATATGGCCTTGCCCATCGGGGGTCCGTCACTAGTGCTGCTGGTTATGTTTTTGCATGTTAATTACGACAAGTCGAATACTCTGGCGACCAAACTGGGGAACCTCGATTGGCTGGGCAATATTGTCTTCATTGGAGCTTCAAGCTCTGTTCTGATTGCTATTAACTGGGCGGGTGGCCAGTACTCATGGTCCTCGTTTCACGTTATCGTGCCTCTTGTTCTTGGCATGGTTGCGCTTGTGGGCTTCATCGTGCTCGAGGGCTCTCGGTTTGTCGCGAACGCGATGATGCCGCTTCACCTCTTCGCCAACCGAACCTCAGCTGCCACTTTCGCCCTCACTTTTCTCCACGGTCTCATCACGATGTGGTCTTTTTATTTCCTCCCGGTCTACTTTCAGGGCGTGCTTAGTGCGACACCATACCGGTCGGGCATTATGCTTTTGCCGACTATCCTCGCCTTGGTACCTTTCGCCATCATCGGAGGGTTGTTGCTCACCAGGTTCGGCCGATACAAGCCAATACTAATCACCGCATTCGCTCTCGTGGTCGTTGGATTCGGCATGTTCTCAATGCTGGACCAGAACTCGAGCGTGGGTGCCTGGGTTGGGTTCCAGATCATCGAGTCTGCCGGCGCCGGCCTGGCCATACCCACCCTGCTCCCTGCTCTACTAGCGCCATTGACAGACAAGGATACGGCACTCGCGGCGGGCACCTGGGCCTTCATGCGCAGCTTCGGCGTGACTTGGGGTGTCGCCATCGCTGGCGCCATCTTCAGCAATCGAGCCGAACAGTTGGCGAACTCTGGTGCCATAACAAACGCGACGGTGGCAGCGGAGTTCATGGACGGCGGTGCTTACCAGAGCGCCACGGCTAATTTCCTTAACTCTCTTTCGGCAGAGACACGCGCCCAGATTACCGCGGTGCAAAATAGCAGCTTACAACGATCATGGCAAGTTGCTATCGCCTTTGCCGCTACGGGCTTCCTCGTTGCTGCTCTCCTCAAGGAGGTGCCGCTTAGAAAAGAGCTCGAGAGTGAATTCGGCATGACGGAGAAGACGAACGAGAACGGCCCGGCGGCCGTGCCGTGACAGGACACAGCGTTCGTGTGTGGTGTGCGTATGGAGATGACCAGTATATATACCGAAGTGGGCAGAGACGTCACAATAACGGCTCAGACGTGCGGTGATAGGCGACTAACGCATGCCATAATGTAATTTCTTTTGTTTCCATGAGGGTTTCCGTAAACAAGCTCAAATATAGCACCTACCGTGTCCAAAAGGGGAATGCAAATTACGAATGAATTAATCTCTTTTGAATAAATCTGAAGATTAACAATTTAAGGACGAATCTTGCCAATAATCGACGAGTACTGGAGTTACAAAATGGAAAATCACGGTGAAGGGCAAAAGCCCTGTATGTGACCTATAGGAATTCCAATCCTTGACACTACGTCCAACATGGCTGCGGCTCCAAAAGGGGAACCTGGCTAGAGAGGGTACGGGACAAGAGGATACAGCTTCCGGACACAGTTCTGACTTTTGACGCCCGTTGATTCGATCCCAAAGCGAGAGCTTTCCACGCTAGCATGCCAATATCAGACTTGTTTTGGTCCATTAATTCTTCATGCTTTAAGGAGTCGCCTACAGGGTATGGGTCAACACCACTTCAACACAGCAGAGGTACAGGACCGTGCCACGGTCTGTCTTGTCGGTTGATCTATGGTGCCTCCTAGAACTTGGCCATAGATCTAGGCGATTATCATTTCGTACTTCTAATCCCCAAATAATGCAACCGTGTTGTTGATGTTTTCTCGGATCGACTCCACGTACGACTTGTTTCCTCTTTGTGATCTGACATCCTCTTGTGCCATGACAGCATGGAGCAACTGTGCTCGATCTACGTCGGCAAATATCCCTTTCGGCGACGCAGCTCCGTCGCTCGAGAGGCAATATACCGCTGGGAGCCCCATGCAACGCTCTAAGGTTTGGATGTGGCTTTTGATGACCTCGACTACTCCCTTGGCATACGCTTTTCCTGGCATGTCTTGCAGCGAAGAGAAACCAGCGATGCGGAATACCCCTTTGACCTTTATTGACTTGATAGTTTCCGACGAGATCTGACACAAGCATCGCTGGACGTCATGGAACAGAGAGTCGTAAAGTCTCATCAGCTGGAGGTACCTCGACAGTATCAGGAGCGTTGTTTCTGTGCTGAGAGACTCGGACTGAATGACTGATGACGCGGTAGGTGACAAGAGCTTGTTAGACGAGGAAGAGGGAGCGGACCGAGTGGTCGCCTTCAAGTTCTGGATAATGTCGACGAACTCTTCGGTGCACATGATTGCTATCGTGACCGGATTTTCAGTAGTCATGTCCATGGAGTCCTCCGGACAGTTTTCCATTATGTTGCGAGGGTCAGAGAGAAAAGCGCCCATGGCTGAGATGTGCCGTTCCATCTTTTCTCCGAATCGCATCAGCGAATTCGTTGCACTCGGGCGTTGAAAAGGGCGCGGACTTGGTTGGCGCTCGAATGAATCGAGGAAATCAACATCGAACATGTTAGAGTCCTGGCCCGCATACATCATGTCGAGGTTATCAGCTCCCCTTGGTAGCTCTTGGTGATGTAATACGGTGCTCAGGGGAATACTATCTGACGCAGAACCCTCCTCGCTCAAAGGAAAGCCAAACAAACTTCCAGCGCCGTGCGCTGACCAGGGATCCGAGTGGTCCTGTAACAATGCACCCTTTGGTGGATGCGCAGCAGGCTTCGAAAGCCCAGCGGCTCCGAGGTCATCCAGCAAATTCAACGACGTACCGGCCCCGAACCAGCTCGCCGGCGAGTTTACCGACATCGGCTCATCCAGCGCAGGTGTATGTAACTCGATATCGTCGCTGTCTCGTAGAGTTGCCCTGTACCCACGCAAGGAGCCATCGGCAGCGACCATGTCAGGGCCAGGAGAGCCATCGACGAGCGCCTTTCGTGGCCGCCCGGGATATCCCGGGGAACCAGTAACGCATGCTGCGGCGAGGCGAACACAGCGGGCACATGGCTCCGTGCTGTCTTCGGGACGGGGGCATCGAACTCGCTTCTCTCTGCACCGGTCGCAAGCGGATCGCTTCGCTGCCTTTGGCATGTCCACGAATGAGATGGCAGACCAGGCTGACAGAGGCTCTAGCCTGGTTTCGTGCTCAATGAAACATGAAGTTGAGCGCTGGCATACCTGCTTTGGGCATGGTACATTGCGCGCTACATTGGTTGTCTGCCGAAAAACATCCGAGGGACTTGATAACATCTCGGAGGGATTTTTAACGGTAACTTAGCGGGTCCACCGTCTTTCTTAGATAATCGACTTCCAACGCTGACACAAGAAGCGGATCAACCGCTGGACCTAGCTATCTTCACAATACCGAAGGGCCCGCCTTCCGTCCCTCAGTCAGAATGCCAGACCTGGATATTATTCGATCTGCGGTAGCTGAGCTCCCCAAGGGCCAGCCTTTGGTTGTTTGTCTAGTTGGAGGAACAACTGGAATTGGTTCGTATGTAGCCAAGAGCCTCGCCAAAGCCTTTGCTAGTGATGGCTCCAAACTTCGCGTTTATATAATCGGTCGCAACGCCACGCGTGCTGCAGATGTTATCGCCCAGGGCAGAAGTGCTAGTCCAGGTTCCGACTGGCGATTTGTACAGGCGACAGACCTCGCACTTATCAGTGAAGTCGATAAATCATGCACAGAGATCATCCGAAGGGAGACCGAGGCCCCCTTACACAACACACCGAGTATAGATCTGCTATACATGAGTCATTGTTATCCGATTCTCCTGAAACCAACAGGTAAGATACTGCTATATGCGGCCAGAACTTGCGCGAATATCAATATTAACGCATCTTAGTAACGAGTGAAGGCCTCGATGCCTTTATTTCGACCGTATACTATTCAAGAATCAGATTCATTCTACAGCTCTTGCCATTACTGACAGCATCCCCTCTGCCGGGCCATGTCATTTCAATCTATGCCGGGGGATTTGAGAATGGGACCTCACCAGGCGAGTCACCCATCGGCTGCCCTCCACCAGCAACGTACGGTGTGACTGGGGTTCGAAAGCACACGTGCTTTATGAAAACTTTTATGTTTGAGGAGCTTGCGGAAAGGAATGCTGGGAAGCTCAGTCTGACACATATTTATCCAGGCCTCGTTGATGGGCCCGGATTTTACAACCCTGAAATGCCGTTTTGGTTCAGGTTTCTTTGGCGGATCCTAAAGCCTCTGGCAATGCTCTATATGACTTCAGCGGACGACTGCGGCGACGTGATGACCTATCTCGCAACATCACGGTATCCTGCAAAGGGAACCGCAGGCAATAAAATCGCTGACGAGGTTGAGGTTGCCAAGAGCACGCTAGGGGAGCCTGGTGGTGGTTGTTATGCCGTTGGGCAAAGAGGAGACGTAGGAGTGAAAGGGATAAGCTATGAGACGGTTCGCAAGGACGGAACGAGCAAGGAGGTCTGGAATCACACCATAGAGACTTTGACGAAGGTTGAGAAGGAAAATACGAAGACTATGACTTCTTAACTTGCGATTGTATTATTCGTGCTTCACGGAAATGCCTGGGAAAGAAGAATGCATTAATCGAATATCTATTATCATGCACATCTAAAGCTGGTTCCCTAATATATCCACTTACCCAAACTCAATAGGGCGAGGACAATTTCACAGAAGACCCACAACTACAGTGACTCCTCAAATTCCCTATGCATCATGTTTATTATCCATCATTGCATCGCCTCGTTAGCTGCAACAGACAGTTTGCCATGGAAGAAAGCTGCTGTGGCTCTATCATTCCCAACTAAGACCTACAAAGGGCGATATGCCATATGTCGTTGCAGCGATTTCCTCTGTACAGAGTTTGCTAGCATCGGCCAGAAGTGTGTGAAGTTCTATCACCTTTGTAGTTTTGCCAAGATAGTTAACGTCAATCAAAACCGTCATTGCTTCTAGCGTGAGAGAGAGAACTGAGACATATTTAAGGGGAAGTCGAATTTAACGTATCGATAATTACTAAGGTAATAAAATGGCGGTTTTGTGATACGTTTAATGCGTAGGGAAGTTAATCAAGCCATTCATTCCTTAATAGTCTGCTGAGCTGTGTTATTAGGTGGTTAAACATTCCCTTTCAACGCATTCGGTCGCTTAACCTTGGAGACATCACGTGCGCTCTGCTTGGTAGCCGGTCTGGGTAACTAGTTAACTAGTTAACTAACTAACCAACCAAGGTGAGCTTGGTGGGGAATCTTCAGGCGGGGCGCGCTGGCGTACATTCTGCATGGGCTGCCCGGTTAATCGGCAAGCTCCCGCCGCAACCAGCTTTCGTCCCCTGCCCGGAGATAAAGCCTCGGCCTCGGACACAACTATGTAATTGCCACCATACATAACAAGTAATGTCCGTCCGTCATAATAGCGGTGTCTGTGGGAGTGCATAAATATTAATGAGCCCACTTTTTACCGGTTGACCTGCGCAGTTATGGATTTCTTCATCTTTGCCCACTCGTGATGTCAGCTATCACGCGTTTATTGTCCCACGCGCTCAATAAACCCTATCGATCTCGAGATATTCCCGAATCTGTACCGTGCCTCAACGAAAATGGATATGTCGACTTCGCCCCCGGCGACATCGAGAACCCTCACAACTGGTCGATGGCTCGCCGTGTTGCCATCACTATAAGTGCCGTTTTACTCGTCGTGAATGCCACATTCGCCTCAAGCTCTCCCAGTGGCTGTTTTGGTTCCATCTCCAAAGAGTTCGGGGTCTCGACCGAGGTAGCTGGTCTCACAATCACGCTTTTCCTGCTCGGTTACTGCGCCGGTCCCCTCTTCTTCGCTCCCCTCAGCGAGTTCTACGGCCGTCGGTGGGTTTTCTACATCAGTTTCACGCTTTATCTTGCGTTCAACTTCCTATGCGCCTTCGCACCCAATCTGGGGGCCCTGCTAGTGGGTCGGTTCCTCACAGGAACTTTTGTCTCCGCTCCTTTGAGCAACGCTCCAGGTGTCCTCGCTGATCTATGGGATCCGCTTCAGCGCGCCAACGCCATGGCCGGTTTTTCGGCAATGGTTTACATCGGACCGGCTCTTGGTCCCGTTATCGCAGGCTTTCTGGAGCTGGAGAAGGATTGGCGATGGAGCTTTTATGTGCTGCTCTGGCTCGGTGGAGGAACGGCTGTCGTGATGTTGACCATCCCGGAGACATACGCACCGATAGTTTTGTACAACAAGGCGAAGCGAGTTCGAAAGGCAAAGATCCCTGGGTACGAGAATGTGAAAGCTGAAGTCGAGGACGGCGATCGGACGCTTGTTGGTATCTATAAGGTGGCACTGACGCGGCCATGGATCATCCTTTTCGACCCGATTTCTCTACTTTGCGCCATCTATATGGCAGTTGTCTATACCTTGCTCTACATGCTTTTCAGTATCTATCCCATTGTGTTCCAAGAGAAACGCGGATGGAACTCTGGTGTGGGCGAGTTGCCATTGATTGGGACCATTGTTGGCGCGTTGATCGGTGGTTTTATCGTTTGGGTTGACACTCGCCTTCAGCAGCGAAAGATTGAGAGGGGTGAGAAGAAAATGGAAGATGCCGTTCCTGAAGATCGATTAACCTTAGCGATGATTGGTGGGATTAGCTTTCCGGCAACCATGTTCTGGTTTGCGTGGTCAGCTGAATATAAGTGAGTAGTACAATTCCCGGGTTGAGATAGTGCGAAGAGACTGACTTTTTCGAAGCTCTGTACACTGGATCGTTCCCACTCTCGCTGGATGCTTCCTCGCGAGCTCCTTGGTGCTCATCTTTGTCGCATACCTGAACTACCTTGTGGATTGTTATCTGATGTACGCTGCCTCTGCCATTGCTGCAAACACCATTGCTCGCTCGGCCTGCGGGGCTGCCGCTCCGCTTTTCACCAACCAGATGTTTACCGCGCTGGGTGTTGGAGGTGGAGGAAGCCTCATCGGTGGCGTTGCTACCCTGCTAGCGTGCATTCCTTTCCTCTTCTACAAGTATGGAAAGCAGATCAGAATCCGAAGCCGATTTGCACCGACGGCGGACGCTCACACGCATGAAATATCGGATGAGGAGATTGGTTCACCAGATAAGACTATTCAGCCTTCTATGTCGCAGTCCAGTGAGAGCGACGCAATAGAGCGGATAGAGGATTGAAAAAAGCTAATTTTAAATCAAACATGTTTATAGAGCAGAAATTGATTATAAAAATTCTTCTATCCGCATCCCTGGCAGTCAGTTGCGATGTGTTCTCGACTCCTGCTACTAGTAGCAATAGAGCTGAGGATGTGGATGATGATAATTAGGAAAACGGTAGTGAAGTGACGCTTCTACTGTGTCAGATACAGTCAGTAACGCTTAAGGTTGCTTAATGGATAAAAAACGTCGAACAAATAGTTTGATCGTTTAATTTTGATTCATTTAGGGTTATTAAATCTAAGAAAGTAGGCCTACAAAAGCTATAATCTATATACTTGAGGGTAGTCAAACTTAATCACTTCGGTAGTGGGGATAGACGTTAGAGACCTATACCTTCCGTGGAGATTCCTACATCTTATTCATGATATCATTGCCTGGCATCCATCCTTCTGCAGCACCACTATCTGAAGGTTGCTAGAATTAATCGTGCAATACAGCACCGAGATCTTACCCTCAAAGCTACACTTCGTTAGTGAGATGTTACACTTATTAACCACTTCTTCAACGGCTAACGCAACTGAACTCAGCGAAGAGACCAAAAGAACTCGCAAGTACTTCCCACTGCTTGGACTCGTCCATGCCCATTCATATTGTATGGTTCGGAGACTAAGCATAGCACCACCGATTCGAGAAGCCTCTGCAACATCAGCTTGAGCAGATGGTTCAGGCTACCACTTTTTCAGATGACTATTGCGAGATATAATAAGTTTTACTTTCAACTCTATTGCTATATATCGGTAGCTTTTATCATCTTGAGCGCGTTCTCCCATGACGCCTGATAGTCTTTGGGCCAATCCTACTGCTTTTTCTTTAACATAACCCTCTCACTGCACATATCATTAATATCCATACGGCCGCTTTCAAGTTCAACGTCGACAAACCCATTCCGGAAGTAGAGCTTACGAGCTGGGTAATTGTTCTCTATCACAGATAGTTTAAGAATGGTGGCACCAGTACCGTAGGCCCATTCTTCAACAGCAGCCACTAGTGCGTCTCCGACTCCACGGCCTCGTGCAGCAGGATCAACCCACATAGACACAAGCTCTGCAACCTCAGGCTCGTCAAGTAGAACTCCTCCGGCCATGCCAACTATCGTATCGTGGAGAGAAGCAACCACTTGGTAACCGCCATGTATGCTAAGCCGGTCGCGCCATCGTTGCTCCGGCGCACTCTCCCAGTCTGCAATTTTCGATGAAAATGCATAGGGTGCATTCGTAAGCGCAGCCAGTCTTTGATGTCTCCATATCTCCCATTCGTCGGGACCAATATTACGAAGCTTGATCATTCGTGTGGTTGAATATTAGAGAGCGGGATAGAAGTAAACACAAGAATGAGAATATAAGCCGGGTGCGGATAACGGCACTAATCAAGATATAATGAAAACCCTAGAGGTCAGCGTTAGCTCAAGTGGGCGGTACCAATTGAGGATAGACGCTAGAAGCTAGTAGAAGTGACAATAGAGAGCAAGAGTCATAGGAGAACATACTGAGAATATGTGGGCCTACCAGTGTCAGTCCTTTGCGGCAATAGTACAGCCTTCTTCACATAGAAGGTAAATAAAGACAAACTGTGGAGGATAATGGCGAAAGGTAGTGGGCGTAGATCAAGCCAGACAGCCAGATATCCCCCGCCTTGGAGATTTATAGTATTCTGCTATGACTCATTACAAGATGAAGTTGAATTCGCTATAAATCGCGATACCGCTAAGCAGGGGTTCTGTTTAAAATAATCCCATAAGGACTAGTGCGGTTCCGGGTACGGGCCGGGAAACAAAGCAACAATTCCCCGCACATGCGCTGTTGTGGGCGTAGAGGTTGGAGGCCCAACTTGGAGGCGAGTATTAGAGACATGCTGTTTATTTGCCCGCTTTTTCCAAAGGGGCGGGAGAAAAGAAACACCCGGGGGAGTCAAAACGTGAGGATATTCCACCATTAACCTCAAGGATGCGAACCGCAATAATACCCGGGTGCACCAGGTCAATGCTTTCATCCCAGCTTTGCTCTGGAATTTTATACAGAGTATAGTTGCTTTAGACAGCTGTTGCTCCTCGCTGTTTCTCGGGCAAGCGGTGTCTACATTGAGGACTGGACGGAGGCTACTTGGATGGAAGACCTGAAGGCGACTTGTGCGGAACTATCCCGCGAGCTATATTCTGACCAGGAAGATGAAAATCCGATTGCCCTGTATTATTGCTCTCTACTGCGACAAATCTGCGATAATGTTACATCAATTTGGAGGTCCCATGCGGAGCCGTACCAAGGATTGCCCGAGCGTTCACTGAGCACATTGTTCAACCACGCGAGTCTCGCATTACGACTAATGCTTGATGAGCGATCTGCAATTGAGATGTTACCATGGGTCGTTTCGAGCACTTATGATTTGGTAGAAGACGCTTTCAAAATGGCAATGGACACCTTTCTCGAGACAGCAGCAGCCCTTAAGCTTACCATGTGGGGATTGAACCGCCTTTGGTGGTCCAAGCCGGCCAGGATCCGGTTGTCGAGGGGCTGGCCGACGACATTAGAGGGCTCGAATTGTAGGGTAGAAGCAGTCTACACACTTTCTCCCTGTCGCGACCAGATTGTGTAGGAGTGTATCATAGACTAGCGTAATGTGAGCGTTACAACCTCATAGTTCTAGCGTGTTTCCCGCGCTGTAGCCGCGCGGTATGGGATGGAAAACAGATAGGCGGTAGGAATAGGGCGGTGAGTGGATGTAGGGATAAGGATGCAAATACTTTTGAAGCGTCACTGTAGGTTACACAGCATGTACACCGCCACTTAGAAGAAAGATGTCTTATGTCTTGAGCCTCCCACGTCTCTCGAAGACATGTGCGTCCCGTGGACTTATATCATGGGTCACGAATACGAAATCAAAGGTCACCTTTGTGAAGTGGGTCCCAGCTTTGCCAGTATGACCTGTTTAACACCACACTCTGCTGCAGAAAACACTTAATTTCGTGGACACTAGCCTCGTACTGATGCTACAAAAGAAGGGGATTCATCTATATACAAAGTGCTCACTATCACCTCGAGCATATCTGATAGATTAACTTGTCATTCTTATTTTTATTGCACCCCTCGACGAGGTGCATCTGCCCGCTTGACGGAAATCACCAGTCATTGTTCGCTTCCCACTCTCTATTGGAGGATCTACACTGCAAACAGTTCTAGCACATTCCCGAATCCAGACCGCTCGTTCTGTAGGTGCCATCTTAATCTTATTCGCTCTATATAAAAGAGACAGACCATTCCTTGATTTCCTTGCCGTTCCATTCTTTGTTATTCCAAAGTCGTTGAACAACCCACATAAGTACGAGTATCACAATGAACCAGACTCTAGGCGCCATTCTCAATGTTGAGGATGCCATTGCTAGGAAGTTGGGTCTGTCGACGTCCGCAATGGACAAGGTTAGAAACGGTGTCAATGAATGCATTGCTCAAGAGCTGGATGTGCCTCTCGAAAAGGTATGAGATCTCCTTGACGAAATATATATGGTAGCAGCACTAATGCATCGTGCGGCTCTAGGTGACCGACAAGGCCAACCTTAGAGAGGACTTAGTTGCAAGCGATTTGGGACTCACTGAAATGACACTTGCAATTGAGAAGGTTCGTTGGCCAGTCAACATAATAATCCAAGACGCAAGCTTTCTAACTATATTGTAGAAATTCGACATCTTTATTACAGATGAAGAAACAAAGCCTTGGAAAACAGGTATGTCATATATCTTATAATATGCTTTTGTGACTAGCTAACGCATCTCGCGGTATAGTGGAAGATGTCATCGAGACTGTTGCTAACAAGGTCCATAAGTAATCACATGGTTTAAATTTAGATCTTGATGTTGTCACCATAAGTGTGCAATTAATCTTTGACGCGTTAAATAGTGCTCCAACAATGAGGCTTTCATTTAGGTGGCGGGCCCTCGTTCACGAGGGCCTGAGATTTTATTTAATAAATGTAGCGCCTGGTTGTTAGTGGTCGTTTAGCGGCCGACTTCTCAACAAAGGATCGGACCTAGCGGCGTTAGTAGCAAAAATCCGCCTTCCCTAGCTGGTGGTGTTAGTGGTGTTAGCAAACAAGCTCCGCTTTACTCGCCTACAAAACAGTGAGGCAACCCATTGACCAAACCCATTTTCAAACCCGCATATTTTACACCCCAAGTACTATCTTCTGCACATTGAATTGTCGGTAAAGCCACATTGAACTTCTCGCCACGACAATTCAAATACCACGACTCCGACCGCCTTCATTCCAGGTTCAAGATGACATCATCCAGGACTTGGCTTATCACCGGTGCATCATCTGGACTTGGAGCCGCGATTGCTCAGGCAGCCCTCCAAGCCGGCCACAAGGTCATTGCAACGGCTCGCAACTGTTCTAAAGCGGCCGAGACCAACCCACAGATCTCAAAGCTTGGAGGCATTTGGGTCGAGCTCGATGTGACAAGCCCTAAAACCCCCGAAATTGTGGAAGATGCAATAAACAAGGCTGGTGGAGTTATTGATGTGATTGTTAACAATGCTGGGTACTCGCTACTGGGCAGTATCGAGGACATGAGTGAGAATGAAATTGAGACTCAATTTAGCACGAATGTTTACGGCCCCGTTCGCGTGTTAAAGGGAGTTTTGCCTTTCATGCGGGCGAGAAATGCTGGAACCATCGTCAATGTTAGTAGTAGTGCTGGGATTGACGGGCTGCCCACTTGCGCGATATACGCCGGAACAAAATTTGCTCTTGAAGGTGAGTTTCTTATGCTCACAATGAACTAAAGTCCCAAAGCTAGCTTTGAATGAATTACTAATAAGAGGTTTATAGGCATGTCTGAAAGCCTTGCGCGAGAACTAGCACCGTTTGGCATTCGAGTACTTATCGTCGAGCCAGGGTCGCTCCGAACGAATTTCTGGAGTGCCTATGTCGAGCCTGTCGCTGGCATGAACAAAGCGTATGCTGGAACGCCCCTAGAAAATGTTCTTCAGGCTTTCAAATCAAACAAAGGGACGCAGCCAGGCGATGCTACCAAGTGTGCCCAGAGGATTCTAGAAGTTGTGGACGGTACCGGCATGGGAGTTGGAAAAGGAAGTTTGCTCCGATTGCCACTTGGGCCGGATTGTTTCACTCGCTTTCAGAGTAAAATTGAAACCTTGCAGGAAACTTTGCTACAGACAAAGGAGATCGCATATTCGACGAGCTACTGAAGGGCCACATACCCACTTTGTGCAATGTTTTGGAGTTTTTAAGCAACGATGTTACGTATATTTTATATGGTGTTATCGAGGGCAGACAACCTTTAAGACACTTAAAAAAGCGAGATCTTGATTAGTACAAATAACTAGTTTAAACGGAGAGGGGCTTAGAAAAGAGAAAAAGGGTTTCAACGCCCAAATATGGGCCAAATATAGCTCTATGCCTTCTCATTTTGAATAAAGCAGAATGCGACTAAATGTTGAACTCGAGGGTGATATAAGACGAATCGATATCAAATGCCTCTATCGCAAATTATTGCCACAAGTGCAATCTAGCACATAGACCCTAGTATACTTAAGAGCATATCTACCTGTTTCAAAATGGATATAGCCTCTGTGATCTTATTTAGTAGCAAGACCTTATAAACCTTATAATCTTCTTATATAGTGGTTTGTAGAAGCTCAATAGAAGTGCTATTACCAAACGTTTGCCTTCGGAAAGTACCTCTTGCGTTGTAAATATCTTTAAGACGTGACTAAAGCAATAGGCTGCTCGTATTTGATTAGGGTGAGGATATTGCGGGGACTTGAGCCAATCTCAGACATATGAAACCTATTTTGAAGGCTACATGACTATAAAATTGCGAGTAGGTAGTTATTTAGCGAACTAGTTACTATGTTAGGTTATAACTAATCCTAGTGATTAGTAAACCATTAACCAAGAAACGTTATATTGATGGTATCGACCACCCCGTGGGGATCAACCATACATCCCAAGATTGTATCCTCTGATGGTTCTGGTAATCGGCTGAACGGAACATATTGCTGCGCCCCGATATGCGATGACATCACCAGTCAAACAGCAGTTGGAGATTGAATTGGAGATAATGATGCTTATCTGGGGTTTCCCCGCTCAGAAGAGCATGTAATTCATCATGCGCCCTTTATCTTGCCACCTTGCCAACGCCTCTCAATCCATTTTGCATCCTTGTCTGAAAAACTGATAGCACCATCCGCTATACGTGAACATCGCTCACCATGGGCCCGATCCAGCAAAAAGCCCTGATCAACTGTGATCTCGGTGAAGCAGTAAGCAACTTCCTTTGAACCCCCCTTTCTGTCCCAGCAGGCAACTCAACTCTTCTTTCTATGTGTAGTACGGCAACTGGGCTTGCGGGCCAGATGAAGATTTACTACCGATGATCGACATTGCAAATGTAGCCTGCGGTTTTCACGGAGGTGATCCCCTTATCATGATGGAGACCGTCCGGCGATGCAAAGCACACAATGTCAAAATCGGGGCCCACCCGGGACTACCTGATCTACAAGGGTTCGGCAGACGTGAGATGAAACTCTCACCAGACGAATTAACCGCTATCACGGTGTACCAAGTCGGCGCTTTGAAGGAATTTCTCGATCGCGAGGGGGTACCGCTGAACCACGTTAAGCCACACGGTGTTTTGTATGGCATGATGTGTAGAGACCTGGAGGTGGCCAAGGCTGTGATGCAGGGGATTCCTAAGGGAGTGCCGGTCTTCGGGCTGAGTGGTACATGCATGGAGCAGGCGGCTCATGAGCTAGGTGTGGACTTTTGGGCGGAAATGTACGGAGATGTCAAGTACGATTCTCGTGGGATGCTGGTTATCGATCGCAAGAAGAAGCCCTGGAATACGGCGGATGTCGAGAAACACGTTCGCCAGCAGCTCGAGGAGCAGTCTGTCACGGCTGTGGATGGATCGACCTTGTCTTTGCCGCTGAAGTCTTACCCGCTGTCCATCTGCTGCCACAGTGATTCTCCGGGTTGTTTGGAGATAGTTGCTACGACACGGAAGATGGCCGACGAATTCAACAAGAAGTATGGCTGGTAGTTCACTATTCTAGAATGAAACGCAATCTACTATAGCAATCTACTATAAAAAGCAGTACGTAGTGTGATCAGGAGTGAGAATCGGGATTAGATTCTATCGCAAAGAGTCCGGGTGTATACAGATTTTACACCAATTTCTTGTTCTCATTCGCGTTCAGTCCTAGCAACAGTATGGAAGGCGAAGGTAAAATGGTGCAGCTCGGAAGCGACGGCATTGGCAAAAGCAAGACCAGAGGCAAAAAAAAAGATCGAGTTGATTCGCGGGAGACACGAGCCGGATGTTCGTTCCCGTCGGTCTCCAACAAATTTACCCCAACTCGCCCTTCCCAAAGCATACAGCTGAAGCGGGGTCATTTTTCCTGCCCCACTGTTTGGAGGATTATAGTTTCTTTGCCGATCATTTCCTAGGTTGCATGACATCATGAGCCAGACTGAGGAGAAGTTTGGTTTGAATGGAGAGAATAAAACATATCCGCTCCGCCGCTTGGATCGGCGGCCGGTGATTAAATACCTTCTGCTGATGCCGGTTCCGTGATTCATGCTTGAACTTCTTTTTGATGGTGACCATGGAATCGCTCAAGAAACTGTTGATTGCCAATCGGGGCGAGATTGCTGTGAGGATCATCCGAACGGCGAAGTAAGTCTGCCAGCGCTTTCCAAATCATCGAACATTATCAACCCAGCACAGCCGAAGAGACACACTATTTGCGTTTCACCTTAGAACTAGGCTCCAGGTATTGACTTCATCAAAATAGGAAACTGAACATCCAAACCATAGCTATATACACCGAGCCCGATGCAGCATCCACTCATGTCCACCTCGCGGACAAAGCAGTCCTACTTCAAGGCCCCCCATCCAAGGCATATCTAGATGGGTATGTCAAATTTTCTATCATCAACGGCCTCATAAGATGAATCGCTGATTTTGCCCAGGGATCAGATCATCGACATCGCCAAGCAGCATCACGCGCAGGCCGTTATACCCGGATATGGGTTCTTGTCTGAGAATGCGGACTTTGCACGATCGGTTGCACAGGCCGGCCTCGTCTTCGCCGGTCCTTCGCCCGAGTGCATCGAGGCATTTGGTCTTAAGCACACTGCGCGGGAGCTAGCTACCAAAGCGGATGTGCCTATTGTTCCTGGCTCAAAAGGACTGGTCCAGAGTGAGAATGAAGCTATTGAAATTGCACAGGAGCTTGGATTCCCAGTAAGCCAAGCTTCGTTCTGTAGGAGGGAAGCTGCTGCACAACGGACGGACTGATCTAGACATAGGTTATGCTGAAAGCCACCGCAGGAGGCGGGGGAATGGGCCTTCTGACCTGCCACTCAGTGCAGGAAGTTCGCCAATCGTTCGCGACAGTCCGTTCGCGCGGCGAAGCACTTTTCAAGAATGCCGGCATATTCATCGAGCGCTATTACCCATACAGCCATCATATCGAAATCCAAGTCTTTGGTAATGGCCAGGGCAAGGCTGTAGCAATCGGTGAGCGCGAGTGTAGCATCCAGCGCCGCCACCAGAAGGTCATTGAAGAATGCCCCAGCCCCTTTGTGACTAAACACAGCGGGCTCCGTGAGAAGCTTTGTCAAGCTTCAGTCCGCCTGGCCGAGTCTATTCGCTACGGCTCCGCAGGTACGATTGAGTTTCTTGTAGATGACGAAACAGGCTCTTTCTTTTTCCTGGAGATGAATACGCGTCTGCAAGTGGAGCATGGCATCACGGAGCTTTGTTACGGCATCGATCTCGTCGACCTGATGTTCAAACAGGCTGCTGCCATGGTCTCAGGAAAAAATGGTCTTGATGCATCGGTGCTGGAGAACTTATCTGTCCATGCCCCTTCCGGTGCAGCTATAGAAGCCCGCGTCTATGCCGAGAATCCGGCTAAGGATTTTGCTCCGTGTCCTGGAACTTTGCAAGATGTCGAATGGAAAGAATTACGGGGTTCCAGGATTGACACATGGGTTTATAGAGGAATTGCCGTCTCTGCAAATTACGGTGCGTCTTCTGCCCATCCCACCTGTGATCCAGCCTACGATGATGATAAGCTAATAGAATTTCCCCGATAGACCCGCTTCTGGCAAAAGTAATGTATCATACGCCGACACGAAAGCAGACAATTGAGGGCATGCAGACCATATTGCGAGAGTCGCGTATCTGTGGCCCGCCAACGAACCTGGAGTTTCTAGCCTGTATTCTGTCAGATGAACGGTTTGTTGCTGGAGATACCGTGACGAAATTTCTGGATGACTTTGATTTCCGCCCCTCAGCAATTGATGTGATTTCTGGTGGCGCATATACCCTGATCGAAGACTGGCCTGGTCGTCCCACACTAGGCAGAGGCTTCTGTCACTCCGGCCCCATGGACCCGTTAGCATTTCGCATTGCCAATGCACTCGTGGGCAATCCTATCGGGACTGAGGCGTTGGAAATCACCCTCAGTGGGCCGGATCTGCGATTCCTGGGTCCAGCTGTGGCCTCCCTTTGTGGCGCGGACATAGATGCCACCCTTGATGGACAGCCCGTTGCGAGATGGTCTCGATTCACTATTACCGCCGGTCAGCGCCTCACTATCGGGAAGGTCACTGGAGGCGGCTGTAGAGCTTACCTTGCTGTGTATGGGGGTTTCTCGAACGTGGCGGAATGGTTTGGCTCCAAATCGACTTCTCCTATGGTTGGCGTTGGTGGATATCAAGGCCGTCAGTTGGCAGCAGGGGATTTGCTGTCTATTTCCCCCGACCCGCCAACTACTTATGGCAATATGTCACTTCCAGATCACCTTATACCCGAGTATCCCAGACACTGGGAACTGCTCTCTATGCCAGGTCCATTTGATGTGGGCTACATCGCCGACGAGAGCATTGACATGCTATTTGAGACAGAATGGAAAGTGTCCCACAACGCCGCCAGAGGCGGCATACGATTGATTGGCCCAAAGCCCAAATTCTCGCGCCCTGATGGCGGGGAAGGGGGTGCACATCCATCCAACTTGATCGAGTATGGTTATGGAATAGGCGCCATCAACTGGACTGGCGATGACCCTGTTATTTTCCCCGTCGACTCTCCAGACCTTGGGGGTTTTATCAGTAGTCACACGATTGTGAAAAGTGATTTTTGGAAAATAGGCCAGCTTCAAGCAGGGGATACTTTGAAATTCAGGGCTGTGTCTTTGGAGGATGCGATATCGTCCCGTCGGCATATGGAATCATTCGTGGATGCTGTTGTACATGCCTGCAATGGGGCTGGTGATTTCGGCGGTGTTGCGCCTCTGAACCGCTCTCTGCCACCCGAGTTGAAAGGAAAATCTCGGGGCACCGGCGTTGTTAATCAGATTCAGGAGCAAGGCAACAGGCCTCTTGTGACGTATAGACAGGTAAGACAGATCTTCACTTTGGTATGGGTTGTTACTCACGATTCCAACCTCAGAATGGAGACGACTACCTTCTGATTGACTATGGCCATGGAGCTTTTGACCTGAATCATCGGTGCAGAGTCACAGCGCTTAAGAAAGTCCTAGTCGAAGCCCATGGAGACATATCTTTCTCCAATGGTCTTGTCGGTATGGTAGGATGTGGAAACTGTAAGAATCTCACCCTGACCTCAAAATTTGAGTTCTAGCCAGCTGAAACCCCGACAGCGCTCATGCTCCATTACAATGGCTTGAGACTCCCGCGTGAGAAGCTTCTCAGCTACCTCCACTCAATCGAATCCGAACTGGGAGACCTTAGCCGAATAAGAATGCCCAGTCGTCTATTTAAGCTCCCCTTGACCTTCGAAAGCAAGAAACAGACAGAAGCCATTACCAGATACATGGAGACGCAACGCCCGTATGCGTCATACTTACCGGATAATATCGACTTCATAGCCAAGAACAACGCGTTCTCGAAGGCTCAGCTTGAGGAGATCTTCTTGACGGCCAATTTCATGGTTATTGCTGTCGGCTTCTTTACGGCGCTTCCTCTTTCTCTTCCCGTCGACCCACGACAACGTATGTGTTGTCCCAAAGCGAACCCGTCGCGGGTGTTCACGCCGGGCGGCTCGGTGTCGTGGGGAGGTAGCTGTATGGCGTATGTTTTTTCTCCGGCCTTTACAAACGTGAAGAGCACATTAATAACAAACGCGCTAGATTATACAACGTCGATTCTCCCGGCGGGTATCAAATGGCAGGGATGACAATCCCAGGCGTCGATATCCTCGGCTCCAAACAAGGCTATGGCGCAAATAAGCCTTGGCTATTTGAAGATTTCGACCAGCTGACCTTCTACCGCGTTTCAGAAGAAGAATATGGGGAACAGCTCGCCCTCTTCAAAAGTGGGCGCTACGAGTATCAATGGGAGGAAACCGAGTTCGATATGGCGGAGCACAACAAACTCCTCAAAGAGACCAAGGATGAAGTGTCTGCCATTAGGGATCGCCAGAGAGAAGCGCAGGCGAAGATGGATCAATTGGAGAATGATCTGATGCAGAAATGGGTAAAGGAGAAGGCTGAGAAGGAGATACCGAGTGATACGATTGAGACTTTGCTACAAGGTAATATCCTATCCTTTTCCCGTCTTACTTCCATCGCATGTTTCTCGCTGGGTGATTCTTGGGCATTGAAGGGGTTCAGCCACTAGAACTGACTTCATTTCCGTAATAATAGATCCCCAGATCATGCCTATCGAAGCACCTCTCAGCGCCAACGTGTGGAAGATTGAGGTGAAAGAGGGTGACAAGCTCGACGAGGACCATCTTGTCGCCATTCTCGAAGCGATGAAGCTTGAGATCAACGTCAGGGCTGAACCATCAGCTGTTGGAGGGACTGTTGACAAGATCCTGGTCAAGCAGGGTGACTCGATCGAGGCAGGGAAGCCAATGTTTCTGATTCGGAAACAAGGATAGCTAGGGCACTGTGGAAGAAAGGGGACTGGGGCAACACAAGCGACGTATGTAAGCCCTCACATATGATTGTCCAGACAGAGAATTGTGGAGACATCCATTGCACAGCTCCTGCTTCAGGTGGAAAGAGTTGGGCGAGGTATGGGTCGAGAATGAACGATTTGTGTGCTCGTTATCGGGATGGTTGATGGAGAGGTTGAGAATATAGAGGATTTTAAGCGGCCTCTACCGTGTAGAGACAAGGGTCCAAAATTTATACTTAGGTCACGAATGCATCTTCGCACTTTTCCTACTCTAGAGCGAAGGGAAATAGCTTATGGATGGGTAAAGAAAAGAGAACGTCCTACGGATCGGCTACCCTTCCACTTATTAATGTCTGAGTCTTTTGTTTCCAGAAACAACCATCTCATATTGAGGAGGTCAGAATTCATTGGGGACGCTCCATTGATAGCATTCATAAGAGGCTGATCGTCTTTCCCAACCGATCTTCTGTCCATATTGTAAATGGCAATTCTGTTCGACATTGTACTGCCAAGGATGAGCATGCAGCTTCCATAGTCATCTAGGGATTTCGGTTTATAGGACTACGTTGAAAGTCAACTTGTAATTTTTATTCATGTAAATATATTCTTTTAGGCGTCTTCGAGGCTCGGCGGATAAACTGGGATGACGTCAAGCCAGCATTGCGTAGTTGGCCGGATGCGGATGCGGCACCGGACACAGCAGCCATCACATTCACTTGCCCCAAATTGCAGCCGTGAGACAGATATTAGCACAGGGCGCTATAGGGCGCTACATCAAAAGCCTTAATTCCCGTCGCTCAATATTTAAGGAATCTGTGAAGCCCTCGATCCATACATCTAAGATTGGGTAAGATATTTTAATCTGTTTCGTTTCCCGACTGAGCTCATTCTTTATCAAACACCAGGGCATATTCCTGGTTTTTTTCTAAGGATTCACACAGAACCAAAGTCATGGATGCAGCTATTCCACTCGATGACAATGTTACGGCCCAGGAGCTCGCTGATATGTTACCGACCGGCATCGTCATCATCAACCACCGAGATGAGCCGGTTTTTGCGAACCAGCGCTTCAGGGAGTTAACAACATGCCACAGCGTTAAATCTTTTGAATGTTGGTCCAAATCAATTCATCCCGAGGACTACGACTTAGTGGCAGATGCCTATTTCGAGGCGTTAAGGTCTAGGAATGCGTTACGCATTGAATATCGCACCCGTGGTCAAATGTCCCTGTGGCGTGCACTCGTTTTGACTCCACTTGATGATACTGACATGCAGCGTCTTCGTTGGGGCAGCAAGGAAGGTTTTATCTGCACTATCGCCGATATCACTTTAGAGAAGACGGCCGAGTTATCACAGAGGAAAATTGCAGATGAAGCGAAAGAACGGAAACAGCAACAGGAACGTTTCATCGACATGATCAGCCATGAGGTCCGGAATCCACTTTCCGCTATATTGCATTGCACAGAGGATATATTGCAGATAGTCCAGAACAGCGGCGGCAATCAAGTTCCTCTGGCAGACATCTCGCTGGCGGCAGAGACCATCAGTCCGTGTGTTGCGCATCAAAAGAAGATTGTGGATGATGTTCTAATCTTTTCGAAACTGGACGCATCAATGGTCACTCTGTCACCAAGAAGTGTACAACCAAGACGGCATCTTGGAAACTCCTTGGCTATTTTTCGGCCTGAGCTTCGGAAACAGGACATCCAATTTGAATACAAACTGGACCATTCCTATACCGAGACCGGAATTGAATGGGTAATGGCCGACCTTGATAGGATGGGCCAGGTACTAATTAATCTGGTGTCGAATGCAATCAAGTTCACTGCCAAATCCGAGGGCACTAGGGAAATAAGGGTTTCCATGGGCGCCTCGCCAGAAAGGCCACCATCCTACCCCCCTAATGTGGTCTTTTTCAACTCCGATGAAGCTGCACTCCGTCTGGACGCTACCACTACGCCCGAGTGGGGTGATGGCCAAGTTGTGTATATTATGGCAGCTGTGAAAGACACTGGAATCGGAATCAGCGAACAAGCACAGAAAAGGCTTTTTGAGCGGTTCAACCAAGCGACTCCCAGGACGCAAAGCGTCTATGGTGGCTCTGGGCTTGGACTCAATGTTAGCAGAAAGCTATGTCATCTGCACGGTGGGGAAGTCGGGGTCAGCGCTAAGGAAGGCGAAGGAAGTACGTTCGGCTTTTTCTTCAAAGTCCGGCGAGCTAGTGCACCCCTTGTTGAAGACTCATCAAGCTACGATGGGTTCCAAATTGAGAAGTTATGTGCCGGGATCCAAGCCTTGAGCAATGAGGCTACCGAGGCTGGTCAACGTACGAAGACACCTGAAATTTCTGAAAGCCCCCCGTTACCCATGTTGAGGAAGTGGCACCAGGTGCTACTAGCGACAGCCGATACAGGCACACGTCAGAGATAGCACATGAAGCTTGCCAAGACCGGTCTTTGGCGAGCGGGCAGAAAAGCCGGAGTCCTGCTCCCAACGAAACAGCTCTGCCAAGGGATCAAGGGTCGCCCAAGCCGGATCGTGTTTATGAGCAGGTTCGGCTGACAACACCCGGCTCTCGGCACATTCTTGTGGTGGAAGACAATGTCATAAACCGACAAATACTTTCGCGCAAGTTGGATACCCTGGGTTTCCGTGTCTCACAAGCCACGAACGGCTATGAAGCCCTGGAGGCGATCCAACGCAATCATTTTGACTGCATCCTTATGGACCAGGAAATGCCCGAAATGGATGGAATCTCGGCGACTAAGGAAATTCGGAGACTTGAAGACAACAGTGCCTCACACGTTCCTATTCTAGGTGTAACTGCAAATGTCAGAGCAGCTCAGCAAACTGAGATGTTGGACGCAGGGATGGACGATATTATCCATAAGCCATACCGGACTAACGGACTCTTCGAGAAGATCAACCAGTTGATGATACTAGCGGAAAATGACAGACGGTGAATTGTCCTTCTGTCTGATAAGCATATATGAGCCAGGCGCGTCAATTAAGCTAATTGACCTTTTGCCATTTCGGATGTCGGCGCCTGTACAAAGAGGGGCAAGTTCAATTTCCTTTTTTTGGGTTTCTAATTGCGAAACGTCCCGTAACGGTACAGCGTGTGTGTTTTTCGTCGCCGAGTGATATGCTGGCTACCACTACTGTAAAGGATGGAAGGAGAAGGGTTGGGTTTACTTGCCAGGGGTCACATGACTGTATTGCTAAACCTAACCGGGGTAGGCGCTATTCACCCTGGCGGACCCACATTCAGCCCGCTGCTGTGGTGTCCCTATCAATTCCCGAAGACAAGAGTACATCGTAGCTCATAGTAAATCAGGTGAGTATCGCCTGCCGTAGGCAGCCCTAATACCTGAAGCAACGCCAGGTCGACTCCAGGGATACCGGACATCGAGATTCGCCAGGACCGAGAGGTGATCGTGAAGGTCGGACCGAATCGTGAAGAGATCCGCGAACCCTCGCCGTGGGAGCTGGTCGAGCGGGCGGTCTCCCTTTCACGTCTCGTCATTAAGCTCCTTTCCTCGCCTCCAAAGCCCAGATTTGGCTCTCTGCTACGAGTGTCGTCTCGTGATAAGCACCGTACTATCAAAGTCCATGTCCACAAGCCAAGGCGCCGGAAGGACGAGTCCTACCCAAGTTTTGATCAACGTGTACAGCTCGAGCGTCACGTTCCCTTTCCATGGATACCCCAGTCACAATCGACTTCAAGAGCCGCAACTACTTTTAACTTTGCAGATCTCCGGATCTCTTAATTGACTGCAACCCAACATGTCTTCAGCAGAGAAGAAACGTCTCCGGGATCGCCGGTCGCAGCAGAATCTCCGCAACAAGAGGTTGCGGCGCGCCACCGAGCTCGAAGAAAAGGTGGCCTATTGCGAGAGACACCATAGCGACCTGGGTGTGCAACGACTTCTCCAGGTCGTCGAAGGCCTCCGGAAGGAAAATGAAACTCTCCTCACTCGCCAGACGAGTCTCAGATCTCTTGTCAAGTCATGGGAGACCGACTTAAACACAGGCGTAGACCACTCAAGTCAGAATGTGCCCTCCTTCTACACGGGACCGCACGGTCGGGAATCGCTACTCCCACCCTTCCACCGCAGCAATGGCTCAAGCTCACCAAACGAGCTTGGCAACTTCGCCGACCATCGCATATCCGATTCAGCAACCCGGCCAACTCCACAAACATACCAATCTCCTGAATCCCTCCCAGCAGAAACAACCCCCCTTTGGACCCAACTCCCACCCCACAACGACGACTTCTCCAGCAGCCGCGCCATAGTCTCCTGCCCATGGTTCGCCTACCCGGAGCAAATAACCCCATGCCCAGATACCCCTGCCTCACCCCTGGATATCCTGTACGGCACAAAAACAAACCCACTGGCAAACATGATTCACACAGCCCTCCAACGACGCCCAATCCGGGATCCAGAAAGACTGGCTATCGGCTGGTTAACCTACCTGATGTCGCGCTGGATCCTCGCGGCCAGTCCGGCCACTTATGAGCGACTTCCGTTCTTCCTGCGCCCTGTGCAGGGCCAGATGCAGATTGCGCATCCGATGGTATTAGATTTCTTGCCGTGGCCGAAGCTGCGACTTAATTTGATTCAGCGATGGCATTTGTATGGAGATGATCGTGATGGATTGTTTGGGATGTTTGCTTGTTGCGTGAAAATTCGGTGGCCATGGGGTGAGCCCATTCTTGAGCGGGATGCACGAAATGAGTTGGAGATTAAGAAGACATTTTATGAGACGTTTATGAGTGAGAGTGGGTGGGGGCTAACGCCGGAGTTTATTGCGCAGTATCCGGATCTCATGACGGGGATTGATATTGCGACTCTTGTGTTTGAGGTAGTATAGGACTGAAGGGAATGACTTTTGATTGTGATCTATTAATGCAGTCTATATGCAATGTTTCTATGTCGTTCATGAAAGGAGAATGCCCCGAGGAAAGAAGACGGGAACACCAGGAACTTGTCAAGCCTCAATAACTTCACGCCTTCTTGTCATCAAGGCTCACGGGCCATTTTTCCCGAATACTCTTGCCCCACTTCGTAAACACAATGGGCAGCGGAACAAACGCCAACGCCACAAACCCAAGCAACGAGTTGCCCCAACCGAGACCTAGGACATCAAACATCCTCGGACCAGCCAGGGGCAGCAACGCACCAACAAGCGACCGGGACGCCGTTAGCGTAGCGTTCGCGGACGCTGCATATGCCGGGTAACAGTCGATGATATAAGTCTGGATCGGCATATAGACACCCATCATGCCGAATCCGAAGGGAAACATTCCGATGATGGGCACAATCCAGAAGACATGTTTGTCGGCGGTCCAGCCATACCAGAAGAAGCTGACTGGTAGGACGCAAGAGAAAAAAATCATCATCGGGAGCCGCATTTCGGGCTCAAATTTCCCGTTGTTCTGCGCTGTGAGCTTCCCAACGATGCGGTCGTTTGTCACCGCGTTGACGGCGACGCCGCCTAGGAAGCCGAGTCCGATGCCTAGGTAGGCCAGTCCGGAAAGTCCGACGGAGAAGCCGTAAACGCTGGTGAAGACGTCGGATATGGTGGTGAAGAAGAGGTACAGAAGACCGTAGACGAGGGACTGGAGAGATTGTTAGTAAATCATTTAGAGAAAGGCCACTTGGTTCGGATCAGGCTGCAAGCTCAAACTCACCATGTAAGTGGCTAGAAGGAAGACAATAGGCGACGTGAAAAATAGGATAAAAGGCCTCTTAAGACTCTTCCCGAGAACCTCTTTAACAGATGCCGGCTCCTTGCCCGTATCGTAAGCACTCGTCAAATCCGTCCGACCAAGCTCCTTGTTCAATTTGTCCGTCTTCCAACGAATAAGAACAACGGCATAGGTCTCCTTGTTGAAAACTTCAACACCGAAAGAAAACGCACCACCGGTAATAAGTAACAGCCAGAAAACCCAGCGCCAGCCAATAGTCTCGCCGATGAACCCACCAGCAATGGGACCAATGACGGGACCAAGCAGGGGTCCCAGGGCCCAGATGGATGTTGCCATGCCGCGCTTCTCGCGGGGGAACATGTCGGCGATGACGCCGGCTCCGAGGGTAATGCAGCCTGAACCGCCGATTCCGGCGAAGAGACGGCAGATGATGAGGGTTTCGATATTTTGGGCCAGGGCGCAGCCGATTTGCCAGACGACGAAGAACCAGTTTGCGGCGCTGAGGACGATGCGGCGGCCGTAGATTTCACTTAGGGGGGCTAGCAAGAGAGGGCCGAACTTCATTACAAAGATTGGTTAGATATGACATTGCATGAATGGAGATCTGTTCGTTGATATGGTTACGGCTTACTGTATATCCGAGAAGATAAATGCTGACACTAAAAGACAGGATTGTCTCATTTGTTTCGCCAAAATCGGCTGCCATGTAGGGAATTGCGGGGGAGAACATGCTCGACGCGAGGGGGGAGATGAGGGTCATGGCGCTGATGAGGGCGAGCAGTGCCCATTTCTTGCCATTGGTAAAATTCTGGGGGTTGTTTGGATCATCTCGGCCGTCCCAGCCGACGATGCCCTGATCAAGGTCTGTTTCAGGAAATTCCGTGGCTGGTACCAATCCCTCGGGGGCTTGCTCTGTTGCTTGCTTTTCAAGATCGGGGGTTTGCAGAGTAATGCCGTCGACTTCATTGAGGGTTGAGACGTTCGAGTCCAACTCATTTGGATTGGGTGGCTCCATGGTGGAGGAAGAATGTTAGAGAATTAGGTGATAGGAAAACAGCCGTCTAGGGGTGTAGAAATAGGAGTGAAAGGAAAAGAGAGTGGAAAGAAAAGTCAAGGAAAAGTCGGCATTAATATGGTTCTGAAGGAAAAGAAAGGAAGAAAGGGAGGAGATAAAGATCAGATATAAACGTGTCGAAGTGGATCGGTTATGATCAACTCGGAATTGGATCCCGAGTGCACTTAATTTATGAACGGAGCAGGCTAGTCTCTGGCCGATATATGCATTAAGAGAGGCACAGTCAATGCATCCAGCCTTGCGGAATTTTATGTCCATGGATAGGCGTTTCATAAGTCATCACAAGTCAAAGGTGGGTCTGGCCAGGCGCAGATCTGGATTAAAGTCAATGTATGACCTTGGAAAAATTCCCCATCCATTGATATATTAAAGTCAAAATTATTGTGAGGCAGGACTTTATCCCATATGTGCCACCATCAGGGCGAAATCAGCAATTCTTCGACGTTTTCAGGAAGGTAGCACAAAAGACATCAATAACAATAGGTAAGAAACCCCCCCCTTAATGGAAGAACTTAATCCTAGTGCCTGCATCCATGTAGTTACTCCATACTGTCGGTGATTCAGCGGCTTGATTACTCATGATAAACACCAATCAGCTATAGTAAAAATGCCAAGACTGTAAACACTGAATCAGCGCCCGACCCATTCGGGTCACCTGACATCTTTTAGCGCCCCACTAGATGAGATGAGCTTCATCTGTTACATTCCCTTCTGTTCGTTTCCATTTGGTCCTATAATCACGTGCGGTATCGTACTTATCTGCCTATTTGTACATATTCAAGACAATAACTTCTCCTCTTGGAATCTCATCCGGTAGCATGTCATGATCATGTTAGCATAGGAAAGAATCCCCTACAGATCATATAGCCTTTCATGTAATATACCAGTCGTTGAAGATTGTACATTGACAAAAGTATTGCTTGAGTCGAATGAAATACACTAAAACCATTGAGTAGAACCTCTGCGAAACAAACAAGACGCCACAGTATCTATAATAATCCAAGTCACTAAAACGACTAAACTCAACATTATACACTAGAATTGTTGCTGCTGACCCTGAATGTTCCAATCAGCAGTCAAACTTTGCGCTTGAGCCATTTCTTCGTCAGTTGGCATGTTGACGACCATTAGGTAGAGTACTTTCTGTATGCGAATGTCAGTGTCAACCAATCCGGCAATTAGGTGTAGAGTGAAAGGACGGTCGTACCGAACTGAAAAGCTTTTTCAAATTTAGACCCCCACGTGCAACAGTGCCAGCACCGGCTTGCTGGTATCGTTGTTGCTCCCCCCGCGCTCATCATAATACCCAAAGTTAGAACCAGCATCCGGCCCAGGGAAATAATTCCGATTGTATGGGTTTTGCTGAGCTGAAGAATATCCAGAAGATCTGGAATAAGGAGCAGGTGGATTACTGCGGTTATTGTAGTCGTTTTTTTGTTGGCCATGATCACCAACAGACTGTGCAGCTAGGCTGACCAGCCCGAGAAGACCACCACCTCGTCCTCCGAGGCCTCGTCCCATAGCGCTCCTGCCACCCATACCGCCCCTCGGGCCAAAGCCACGGCTCTGCTGTTGAGCTCCTCCCATCATGCTTCCGGATAAACCGCTATGCATGGGATGGGTTGGATCGGCGTATTTGGAGAGGAAGTTTGGTTTTCCGCCTTGGGTAAGATGGCTGTTTGGATTCTCAGTGAGCTATTAAAGGCGGGTCAATGAGTGAATCGTCTGAAAGAGGGTGATATATATATACTAACAAATTTAGTCTGCGCCCTCCGATCCATATAATCATCAACGAACAGCTTGCCGCGCTCCATCTTTTTCTTGAATCCCCTTTGCTCGTCCCTTGTTGCAGTAGCGAGAAAGTCAAGACCCGGGAAGATGAGTTCTGCAGTCTGTATAGACTCCATTCCATTGGTCACGCCGTTGGAAGACTGAAATTTGTGGGACATTCTCCCCTGACTGTCCATCGTGTTTTGAATGGTTGCGTTGACGTCGACGTTGGTGCGGGCATCAAAGGATGTGGGGTCCCATGTCATTACGAGGCAGTAGAGGCCGCGGGGACGGAAAAATTCATTGTTGAGTCTGTCGAGAGCTTTGTTTTGTCTAGTACATAGTGAAAATGTCAGCATGATTTCTCATCCTTTGGTGCGACAGAACTATAGGAAGGTGATTGATCTAACCGGTACCGACTCTGCGCCTCAATCGCAACATCCGTAGCAACCATGATCGCCATCGAAATCGCAGTCGAAATCGCAAAGGGCAGCGGGGAAGCCGCAATCGACGCCAAATTAATAGCGTTAATCCACGGATTCGCGAGACTGGCTTCATTGAGCGTCTCGATAAAATCGAACCAGGCCTCTTGGTCAATATCCACGTTTTGCAGATCTGGCGCGTACGCGCGTATAAACCCACGCTTCTTATCTTTCGGACGCCGTTGGGGTATAGCAACCGGGTACGTGAGTTTGGACACGAGATGCACGCCGTCTGGCGATGATGGTGATGACGATGATGATGCATGAGGAGGATGGCGTTGAAGAAAGGCGCCAATGACTTTGTCAGGGTTAGCGACTCCTTTTTTGCTTTTGTGAGGCTCAGAGCCTCCAACTATGACGTCTTGTGCTTCGTCGAGTTGCCATGAGCGCTCGACTTCTTCCTGAGCAGTGGTGGAGTCGGCTGCGCCATTTCCCTTCTTCTCGTCAAGAGTCCTATTTTGCTCTTCTAGAGGGTATTCTGTATATGGTGGGGGGGACGGAGAGACAGAGTGCGATGTTTCTTCTTGTTCTTGTTGATGCTGCCGCTGCTGCCGCTGCTGCCCTTGTTCCCGCTCTTTTCTGGCTGCTTTTTGCGCTTTTTTGTATGCGTGCACTTCCGTTGCGAAGCCAATACCCGAAGTGACTCCTTTAACCAGTCTGTCAAGGGGGTGTTGTGATCGATTCATGTTGGATTTGATATAGTTCAAAGTTCTTTGGTAGGTATGGATAAAGAATTGGGATTGGGGGTTTCATGGATTCTGCTGCCTTTTTGTAACAATCAAACAAGAAAGCCCAGCCCCCAAGCTGGATCGCCAGAGGCTACTATTATGAGCTAGATACTTGGATGCCTAACTACATAGCCCCTCTCGATGCATGATCTCGCAATGCAGTCTGTTTTTGTATGGAAACAATCAATTGTACAAGGGCCCAATGCATGCGGAGATTCAAAGCTCATTGGTGATGAAACAAAAACTTTAATTTTCATGGCTTAACTACACTAAGCCATATTGAGTAACCAGGTCGGTCTGATGAAACGCCAGCTGCGCCTCTCTTCATCTAACTACGTACCAATAGATCATTATCCAGTCTTGCTTATCAGGATCTACAGCTTCTCTGTGGCGCAGCCATGGTTAGTTCCGATCAAGTTCTGAATATTGAGTCAGTCGAAGTTCTGTACCGTTCTACGGCTGATTTCTGCCCCTGTCCTATCGTCTATTGGTGTGCTTCGACCCATCAAATCATGTGATCCATTGGGAAAGCTCGTCGGGCGCGCCCTAGATTGGGACAGAACGAAGCCTGGAGACCCTCTGAAAACTCCTCTGTGGAGACTTCCACAAGAACTGATTTACATTATTCCGAATAACCTACCCTATTCAGATATGATCAAGTTCATCTCCACTAGTAAACAGGTACTGAGCTAGAGAGACCCGTTCTTTCGACCCTTGCTAGCCAGTAACTGTGGGATTTTTGTTTATTTCCCCAGTATCTCAGAGGATTTTTAACTAGACAGTTGCAGATGAATTGCTGCAGAAAAGCCGGTCGTTCAACGATTAACATCTTTAGGTCGCCAGGTCGCCAGGCCGTTGCATTGGCCCATTTGGGATATCTTTAGTCTGTTTGATGCAGATCATTTGTCCTCATTCAGCTCAGCAAAGGGAAGTTGAAGAATTTTTATTTTGTTCTATTTTTCTTTCCCAAAAAAAAGCAAGGTGCACAAACCGCGTTGAGACATCTGGATGTTATGACCAATGAATCACAGAGCAGAGACAGAGACAAGCAATGCCCTAGTAGAATTAAATTAATCGCGAAATCCTAGTTATATATCCTCAAGTAAGGCTAATTTATCGGTCATCTTCTGCGAGCTACCTGAAGTAGCTGCTATCCTTGAACTCAAGAAGGATATTTTTGAGCCTTTGCTGTTCGGATTCTCCCCCAAAGATCGCCTCTACAGACTTAAAGCACATCTCCCACAGCTCCACACGACCGAGGCCGAAGTGTTCTGCCGCCAAAAGGTACTCATTAGAGACGGGGCTGCAGAAGAAACCCACATCGTCGGTCTGCGTGTATTACGAGGTTAACACCATTTCTGGAAGCAATCGTAGAAAAACTTACACATAGCGCTATCGGACAGTCCTCATGCCGCCAATATCCAAAATGATGATCAAGGAACCCACCAGTGATCATTTGTGCATGGACATTACACGACATACACAGTTCCAGACCAAGTTTCCGCCTCGCAATTTCCCGCCTGATATCTTCAGGGACATGGATGACGTGGCCTAGACGATCCGGACGGAAAGAAAGCAGGGTAGCTAGCTCTGCCGCCGAGGCCGAAGTTGCGGTCTCGGCAAAGTGCAGCGTGAGTCCCAGACCATTGGCTTTGGCGTGGGCAAAGGCATCCCCGTAGATGGTGACGTCTCCGTGCGTCGGATTTCCGCAGAGATCAACTCCAACAACCCCGCGCGACTTGTTATGGATTGCCAAGTCAACGATCTCTATGGCTTCCGCGGCGGAGGTGTTGCATCGGTCAAGGGCCAGAATCAACAAGACAGACATTTCTTGGTTGCGTGCTCGGAACTTCTCCACTGTGTCTAGCACTGTGGTAATGTACGCATCTCTTGTGACGGAGCCGTCCGGAGATGCTCGAGGAATCGTGCGCAGTTCCAGGTAGCGTACTCCATCGCGGAGAAAGTCCTCAAGAACGGAGTTGGTAGCGTATGCCAGGCTCTCAGTGTCGGTGCAAAGCTGATATATAGATCTCCCAAAGACACCGAAAAACCTACGATAATGGCTGTTAGTATCTATCTCGAAAAGATCAGGACATGACTGACGTTTGTAGAGTATAGTCGACCTTTCCTGGCGGCATCAGGATCAAGGGATCCTCTACCGAGAAGGCTGGGTCGCGATCTTTCTTGCGTTGCCATATTTCGTGCAGACACTGGCGACTGATACTACCGCTGAGGTGTGCATGGAGCTGATCAGCGTTAGTCTAAGCAGCATCCATTCGCCCACAGGGCATACCTCGATCTTGGGGATGGCCTTGGTAAAGTTGCGATCGACTGCACTAGAGCCCATTGTTGCGGTGACGATCGAGCTACACTATCAAAGCAGGTGATCTCGTGCCTGTCCAAACAACAGCACCTTCACAGCCTTGGAGCCAGGTCCGTTAGATTGTACCCTTTTAGTAGTGTAGTTGGTGGCGAGGACACCAGTTCCCGCACTAAGTTAGAGTGCCATGAATTGTGCGTAACGTAAACGCGGGGTATGCCTACAATTCAATGTTTCCAAAAAGCTTTAGTTGATTCCCTAGAAACACTCGATATGATCTTGAGATGATTAGGGGTCATTGGCATGGCATAGCCCATCAATCAGCTCTATCTACGGGCTATCGCAAGTTCCCCGGTTTTGCATAAATTGCTCATTCTCGCCGGTTCTCGCTAGTAAGGACTCACGAAAAGTGGAGCTACATTGAACAGGGGAAAATTTGGTATCTTTGACATGGTTTTTTTTTTACCAATCCTCAACCGAGTTACTATTGTTAATTGATTGTTTATTTACTACTTGTATGGACCCATACATTGGAGTGTTGGTTGAAGGACGTCCAGTATCTTGGCTGACACCAAGAATAGAAGCGCGGAGTGTGTTGGGTGTAGTATGGGTTTAGTCGCAGTGGTGTATGAATCCTGGCCGTGTTTCGTATGCGCGCGGAAGTGTGAAGCGTCTGTTAAAAAATGCGTTACTGGGGGCCAGCAAATCTATCGTGCTGTCTGACACTGTCTAAGCTTGTCCCAAGAGCAGAGCCAAGAGCGCCCAGAGCATGTTGGACACCAGTCCGCCCCATCTTGTAGTAGGCACTGTTTTTAGAACAAAAGCGCTGGCGATGCAAAACAGTCACGAGGGAAACCCGCCCCGTTCATTCGTTGGATCCCAGGATGCGGCAGTTGGTGTAAAAGGTGGCTGCACCTGAAAGTGAAACCATTCGATAAGATTTCTAGAAGCCACGTTGGTCACAGCTATATTGTGGATGGTGGGCCCGGAGATTATTTTTAGCCTCAGATCCACGGTAAATCTCGAATCCCACCAGGTTGGCACCGGCGGCCCCAGGCTATATTTTGAGGCCATCGCAGTACGGTACAGACCGCGAGCAGAGATCCGACATAATGTCTTTGAGAATGTCCTCGTAACGAATGGTAGCTGTCGTTCGTATCGTGCTTCAAATTGAACAATTACGAGGAGCGGGTCACGATGAAACGCGCCAGGCTTAAAACGGACGGCTTAAACACGCAATATGAAAGGTTATGGCCGCAAAAGATAGGGGATACAAGTAGCGTTACAATCAAGTTACTTCAGACGCTGATGTCAGCCACAAGTCACAGCGCTAGTGAATCGTAGGTTGAAGTCTACGGACAATGCATGATTCTACCAGAGCCGCGTGGAGACGAGAGTTGGGGTCGGACCGGACATGAATTCCCTTGACGTAGAAAGGGCCGGATCTTACCAACACTTGTCAAAATATAGGCTGCGTCGCTGGCGGAAGGGTTCGGTGCGACAGCATGTTTGCCAAAATAGAGCCACACGAGCCCATGTGTCTGGCAAATTATCCTACACCGCTGTGAGCGGCCCGCGGTGGTGCCCGGGTTCCCGTCGCAGTACCAAGTTGCGCATCAGACCGAGTGCTCGTCTGACCTACTCTACTCTAACGGGCAACCTGGTAAATCTGTAAGGCGTGCTTCATGCCGTCATTCTCGCATCGCATCTTTGGAAATCCCAGTGCAGACCGGGGGGGGGGGGGGCCGTCCAGAGATGGGAAGAAGTGACAGCCTTGAGTTTCTGCTATGCTTTGAAACCAGACCAAGCAGGGATATTGGTGGTGACACTACCGTCTGCGAAATATTGGTCACCTGGCTGGGCAGGCGGCAGGAATTGCAATGCTGGAAGCGTATCGAAGACGCATCGAAGCCTGCAAAGCGAATTTGTGGCCGCAGGTGAATGGTGACAGCGGAACATGCAGAAACCGGCTTTTTCATCCCTAGGAGATTCGTCCACGTTTTGTTTTTTTGCGCTATACACGGTACGAAATCGATGACGCTGACCCCGGCACAACGAGGCGCCAATGTTCCACCCGGCTGGGACTCGGTGTCAGGTAACGCTGTAACCCAAGGTATTAGTTCGAGTCCATAGTCAGTTCCCTGTATGTAGGTTGAATCCTCTGATCCGGCGCGCTGGTGTCGTCCATTCCGTCCTTTGCCAAAGGAGGTGGAAAAATCTCACTGGAATGGAGATGATAAGCCCCTTCTCTCCTGAAGATCAGACCCATCAGAGGAAGGAAGGCTGATTTAGATTTTTTTTGCCATCCCTTGAAAACTAATACTCGGGGAAGATTAAATAACACAAAAGATCAATGGAGGGAAAATCAACGAATAAGGATCCAGTCACTACCGATCAATGGAAGAAAGGACGAAGGGCAGGAAGCGGTAAGTCGTAAGTCCGGTACCACGAAGAAACAATACTGGGGTGGTAATTTACGGTATCTGACGCTGTCATAATGATGGAAACCAAGGGGAACATGGCTCCCGTTCATTTTCATGATGTCATCCACAGGCTTCCCATATCGTCTCCCTAGAGGTTACATTTGGCATCCAAGCATTGGTTTCCGATCTGAAGGAGTCCGAAAGAATAGACTGAAAGATGGGAAACACCAAGAGCGAAAGGATCTACTGTCTGGTCGGGCACCCGTTGATTTAGGGCTTTGGGTTGGTCATCCACCAGCCAAGCTCGGCTGAGACACAGGAAAAAAGGGGAACCCGCAGAATCACCAAAAAAAAAAAAAATTCCATTCACGCGAGCACTTAGTGCCACTCCATAGGGCATGAAAAAAGCGGGGGGTTCATCTAAGGCTGATCGGAGCAAGGGGTTCGGATGCGAGATCCTGGTACATATTATTATTACCTACATGTGGTATGATGAGGTGCATGCTGCTAGCCATGCCGGGTGGTATCTGATCTAGTTGCTTTACAGTAGTTAGCCAAACTATTGAAAAGAAATCGAACTACTCTGTCAAATAATAATAGGGTGGGCCGTTAACTAAAACGGTAGGCCCCCGCCCAAGCCCACGGAAGAACCCAAAAACCTGGAAGTAAATAAAGAAACGGAATTACTGAGACATCCGGAGAGCTGGGTGCTCTGACACCAGGACGGTCACCGCCGCCTATTTACAGGCCAATAACCGCTACTGCCCCTCGTGGGATCATCAGGATTGTCAAGGTGCCCACCGCGTTGGAACCCCCTGCGTCTCACTGACTGGCTGAGCGACTCTGCGTGATAGGGGCGGTCAGAACCCCAGCTCGGCCCGTCCAGCACTCCTCGTCTGGCTGTCATTCCAAGTGGCTTGTTACGGATTGCGCGGAACCTTGCCTGTCAGCACATGATGGGGGTTATAACCTGTTTTCTGTTTGTATCTCCAGTGCTATTGAGCGAGATGGACAACAAGAAATCCCGTGACAGATATGGTCTGTATCATGCCCATGGCGCCCGGATCGATCGGATGGCAGGGACAGAAGTGGTGATATGGATCGAGGAGTAGGCGAGACGTGAGTCACTACCAACCACGCCGTATGCCGGGCCTGCCAAGCAGCAGTGGAAAGGATAGTTACTAAACACTCCATACTGCACTCCACTGGATACGGGGGACTGCAGAATCGAAGGAGTTGGAGGAAGCGCCCGAACATCAACCGTCCGTACTTAGGCCGCCTGCACTGTATCCCACGACACGAGGAGGGAGTTTGTTGCTGGACAACATCGCCAACACACACCTGCGGGGTTGTTGACTGAGCACTCCCCGCAATCGTTATTCTTGGAGGCCGCCCATTAGCCTATAGTCTCTATCGCTTCCAAGCCTCGGCAAGGAGAGAAAAGCCTATCCAGCCCCAGACCAATCGGGTGAGGTGGCAGGATAGAAATGTCCTGGTCAGACCGCCCATTTCACATGGGATTTGACCCCGGGAAGTAGAGAAGCCAGAAAGAACTCTATGATTGTTTTGCTCAAACTCCGACGACGATCCTTCGCTGTTCCGTCCAACGGCTCCACAAACAGCCCCATCTGCACCGCCCAAACGGCGTTTCACTGCCACTGCTCCAGCCTCAGTGTCTCAGGGATGCGGATGCAAGGCTGAACTTGGCTGCTTCGGGTTAAAGAATGACGGTCTTTCTCGGGGGACTATCTCGATGTACTTCTCTTTGGCGGTGTACCCGCACGGCCACCCTTCCCTCCCCCACCATGATGTCGAATGAGCGGGAATGATGATGAGCATGCTGATCACCTGTGGCACTCGATTTTGTTTGCTGTGAGATGATCACGTATGCCCAAGAAACCCGACCGATATTCCGTCACCGTTAATCAAAATAGATCAAGTGCGCAGGGATGAGCGTTTCGCTGGTTGGACCCGACAAGAATCATCGTTACGTGACAAGAGATCAAAACGCAGGCTTCGCATATCTTCCTTTTCCCCAGGACCGTCGTGTCGGTGCCACAGGAAGGGAGGCGATGTGGGCCTCCGCTGATACAAGCCCGGTATGTCGTCCTCTCAGAGGAAGATTGTGGGGGAACTGGAGCCCGGGTGGACAATTTTAGAGTACAACGGACTGGGTTTTGTATCCACCATCTTGAGTTTGCAGACCTCATTATTGAATCTCTGCCTGGTATGGACGGAGTACCGGAGCATAAATCAGTAACTATACCAGCGACTATTGGGCGTGAGACGCTGGTGATTATCTCGACTAGCGATAGCATTCCCCAGGAGTTATAAGGATCGTCCAATGGCAGCGATCGGGATGTGCTCCTGCTGTTGGTCATTCCTAATCTCCGTCATCTCGGGCTGCTGGTCCTCCCGATAGGCACATAAGAATAACGGTGATGGATTCGTCCTTGGTAGATACTGGACTCGTAGTGGGTGCAATGCAGTCTTGGCTCGTTGCTATGCGGTGATTGTCCACCTCAGCCTTGACTATTTAATTCCCGCAGAGCCCTACCTAACCACTCTCTCTGAATCCCCTTCGAGCAAGCCATTCGAGAAATCCATCCCGTACTCGGATACGGTAACCGTCACGGTATTACATACCCATACGGCCCTTCATTACCAAGTAGACCCACTCCAGCTTTCCTCCCAAAATGCGGCATGGATTGATTCATTCGCGAAATTGAAACAGATTAATTTTCTCGCCCTCCCCCTTCTTCCGCCCTCCTCTGCTCTCTCCTTCAAAAAGCGCTTCCCTTCCCACCCCAGAGACCGCTAGTACTTTCCCTGACAACATCACCTTCACTCCCCCAAACGACCGTTCCGCGCATCCCCGAAACCCACTTCGACATCCTCCGTCCTGCCGGGCAACCACGTAATCGTGCAGCGTTGGACTTGCAGCTCACGGCGACACGCTTAAAACGGCAAAAAAGTCGACTCTAGCAGCAACTCGCCCTGAGTCGGGTCAGCCTCCGATTGTTCCATCCTTCCTCTTTCGACCGCCTGCATCACTGCGCTGGCAGCGTCGCACCTCCCGCCGATTATCATCATCGGAATTCCCCTACAGACGGACCGCGCTGCGCCCCGAAAACCCCAAAAACGTCCCTGCGCCCCCCCGGACGGGTATACCCATCGCGTGCTGCATATCTAGTCTGGTCTTGCGCCCAATCGTGCCCCGACTTCGTGGAGCAAGTGGATTTCTTCTCACTGCCGCCACTTCCTTCCGACAGCGCAGCCCGACGCTCGCTGGGGCTCTTCGTGATCCCGGCAACGATTGAGACTGCATGCGCCAGAGCGTTCAGACTCTGACGTGCATTTGTCGCTCCCCCTCCGTTTGCGTGCAGAGGCGCCGCACCCCCTCCCTGCTTCGCCTTGCTCGATCAATTGGTCCGTATCGCAACGGCCCCTCCTTTCTGCGCGAGACAGCTTCCCCCACGCATCGGCAGATCAACGAACAGAAGAGGGGTAAGACAGGCACTATCAAGCAGGGAACCAGCTCGCCTGAAACCGCAGAAACAGTGTGGACCATATCCCTGGTGCCCGGAGATCGTCAGCCTCTTTCGACTGTGCGTGTGACGTCTTGTTGGTGGTTAGCATCGGGGCTGAAAGGATCCTCGTGGCAGATTGACCGTTGCACAGGGCCAGTGCCCTTTGCAATTGTTATCAGAGGCTTTTTTTAGTCTTTCTTGCGTCTCCCGCGTTTCCGGTGAAGTGCTCTCCGGCAGGGCTCTCGGCATTACATCCGAACCAAGCCAAAATGCAGAGTTCAAGAACAGGGAATATCTGCTGAGGACGTGGCTGTTTCAACATCATTCCTAGTTATCTTCACCACACACTCTCAGACGCCTTCTGTTCTGACTTGGATTGCCTTGCATCCTACAGGAGGCCGCTCTCGGTAACTTTGACAGCCGGCTGGTCTTGCTTTCTGTTACCGATTCGTCCTTCCACAGAATTCGGGTGATTCGAGACATTGGCACGGTTCACGACAGGCCTACGATTGCACTGGTCGACAGCTGAGCTGTCGGTCTGATAACAGCACTATGGCCTACACTGCCCCTTCCTCGCCCCCGGCTCTGGATGCCGAAGCCCAATCCAGTTTAAAGCTCACAACATCTCTCACTCGCACAGCTTCACTACAACATGTTACCTCTATACCCCCTGGATCCAATCCTACTCCTGCCTCATCCTTCTCCACCTCTCCTACCTTCACTTCAACCTCGACCAATCTGATGTCAGACATCCCGAATCCTTTGACTCCCGCTGGCACTCCTCTACAACCACCCAGTGAAGGGCCTCGTGCCATACCTCCCTTCGCAATGCCAGCTGCTTTCGAGCTTGGCGAGTCCATGATGGATATCCCCGGAAGCACGAATATCTCCAGTCTGAACGACCCTACAGCACCGCCCAAGGCACCGGGGTTGATGCGGAGGATATCTCGAGGCGCCGCCAACAAGCTCACTAGACGAAGACAATCTACGTCTCAGAAGGATAAGCGGGATCGAAGTTCTGGGCCCGTGATTATGCGCCGACGCAGCGACAGCAAGACAAGCGCTCAACCCGCTCGTGACACGCCTCTTGATTCGAGCAACGATGACGATACCAATGAAATATTGGATGGGTTGGGTGCATGGGCCGGCTCCGAGGCTTCTAGTCTTCGCAGCGATAGCCGCATGGGTTCGATTCGCGACCCTCCCGTACCGACCGTCGCTGTTGTCGCACCCAAGGTGGACTCAGCTGTTCAGCGTGGCACCGTCTTGACAAAAGTGACCAAGAAACGCAGAAAGCAAGTGCGCTTCTTCCTCGATCTCGACTCGGCCAAAGTTTTCTGGGACCCTTCAAACCCGGCAAAACGTTTCTATATCGACGATATCAAGGAGATCCGAGTCGGCGCCGATGCCCGCAATTATCGTGAAGAACATCAAGTCCCCGCAGATGCGGAGGGCCGATGGTTCACCATCGTCATTGCGGATTCCGAACGTACCAAGGCCCGAGCAGTCAAGACCCTACACCTGATCGCCCCCAGTGATCGTATACTTGATTTGTGGATCACTACCCTTGAACACATCTCACGCTATAGGATTGGTCTCATGGCTGGCCTGGCTGGTTCCGGTCAGAGTGAGACAGTCCTCCAAGCCCACTGGCAACGTGAGATGTCGAGATTGTTCCCTCAGGGTCTGCGGCCCGGCGAGGAACCCAGCCTCGACTTCACCGCGGTGGAAAGTGTGTGCCGCAGCTTGCACATCAATTGTTCCAAGAACATGCTGCGGGCCCAGTTTTCCAAGGCTGATGCCGCGCGCACCGGCAAATTGAACTTCTCTCAGTTTAAAGATTTCCTGCTCCGTCTGAAGGAAAGGAAGGACGTGAAGGAGATCTTCAAGAGCTACGCGCAGGATCCCAAAGCTGGTCTTACTCAAGATGAATTCTTCTCCTTCCTTCGGGAGGCACAGAAGGAGGATGTGGATTCCGATACTGCATCCTGGGCTGCTCTTTTTGACAAGTTCGTGCGGAGATCCAGGCCTCGTGCGTCTGGACCGGTTGAGTCGCATGATGCCAACCCTCCTGCACCCCGAATCAATCTGGACTCTTTCTCCTCATTCCTGGCCTCATCCAGTAACGGAGTCTATGCCTCTCGTGCTCCTCAATCTAGTTTCGACCGTCCCCTGAACGAATACTTCATCTCAAGCTCTCACAACACCTATCTTCTGGGACGGCAGGTCGCTGGGGCGTCTAGCACGGAAGCGTACATCAGCGCCCTGCAGCAGGGATGCCGTTGTGTGGAGATCGACTGCTGGGATGGTGCCGATGGTCGCCCGATCGTGTCTCACGGGCGGACCATGACCACCAGCGTTCTGTTTGCAGACTGCATCACCGTCATCAATCGGTATGCATTCATCTCTTGCGACTTCCCGCTTATCCTTTCCCTTGAAGTCCACTGCAACCCGGAGCAACAGGTCGCCATGGTCAAGATTATGAAGGATACGTTCAAGGATCAGCTCATTCTTGAGCCCCTGATGACAAACTGCTTCATTTTGCCGTCACCTGAAGATCTGAAAGGTCGCATTCTGGTCAAGGTCAAAACCTGTGACGAGACCATTCCCGACCTTCATCAGGACACTACCAACTTCATGGCCACGCATGGCCGCAAACGCAGCGCAAGCACTCCATTTGTGCGTCAGACCCCACCGATGGAGCCTGGTACAGGGCTTCCTTCTCTGTCCAGTCCTCCCACCATCGGATCAGAGGACGGTGTCGGGCCGTTGATCCCTCAGGACCGACGCTCGCTCACTGCAACAAGCATGAGCAGCGCTACCGAGGACAGCGACGGCGCACTGGTGTCCGCTCGCAATGAGAAGAACAAGCGCCGTCGTCAAAAGAGCAAGATCACCAAACCTCTCTCCGACTTGGGTGTATACACCCGCGGGTACAAGTGGCAGAGCTTCTCGTCTCCGGAAAGCAGGCGGTACAACCATGTGTACTCATTCGCGGAACGCTCGTTTGAGAGCGTCTGCCAGAACCACGACAACAAGGTTGCCTTGGAGATGCACAACCGGAAATACCTCACTCGGGTCTATCCTTCGGGATTCCGGCTGCGTTCATCCAACTTCGATCCGAACAAATTCTGGCGCCGTGGCGTACAAATGGCGGCGCTGAACTGGCAGACGTACGATATCGGCATGCAGATGAACCAGGCCATGTTCGCGGCTGGATCAGACCGTACTGGATATGTCCTCAAACCCGCCAGCCTTCGGCTGCCGCCGACCCTCGGCGAGGGGATCCAGAGACGCAAGACAGAAAGGAAGTTGATTCGCTTCTCGGTCGATGTCGTCTCCGCACAGCAGCTTCCGCGGCCGCGCACCATCGGGCCTGAAGACAGCATCAACCCCTATGTCGAGATTGAGATGTTCAGCGCAGACGACCGTGGCCAGAGTCGAGTTTTCGGTGAGGGCGGCATGGACGCCTCTGCGCGCAACGGCATGTCTGGCATCGGGTATCCCCACCGCCGGCGTACCAAGATCGAACAAAGCAATGGCTACAGCCCCGTGTTCAATGATCGCTTTAAGCTGTCCTTGGAGACGAAATACCCGGACCTGGTCTTTGTGCGGTGGACCGTCTGGAGTTCCGTGGATGGCCGCAGTACGGGCAACAACAGTAGCGTTCAGCTTGCGACCTTCACTGCCAAGCTCACCAGCTTGTCTCAGGGCTACCGTTATCTGCCCTTGTATGATGCTAGCGGTGACCAATACCTGTTCTCCACGCTGTTCTGCCGGATCTCCAAAGAGGAACCTATCTCCGTCCAGCGACTGGATCTCGAGGAACTTCGGGCTGAACGCATGGGTATCTTGCGGCAGATTGGCCAGACTGTCTTCAAGCGCTCCTCCTCTACAGACCGCGAGAAGGACCAGAGCCTCGAACGCGCCAGTGGTCCTACAAGTCCTGAGGACAAGGACAGCTCGCCAGACTTGACCCCAACTGTTTCTGCAGCGTCGACTTCTTCCGTGCCATGAGATCGCCAATCTCTGACACATATTCACATCCATCTACCTCATCCCCACTATCTGGCTCCGACTTCCATGTTCGTCTGCATTGGCAGGCCAATGCACGTATCCGGCGCTCCTCCTTTGCATTAATCTCGTATTTCTTCATCTGTGTTGCTTACGTTGTCTCTTGGAGCTCAGTTGTTATCATTGCTATACCCATGACCGATACCCCCTATTTTGTTTTTCTGGCCTCTTCTTCATGTATTCGATCGTTTTCTCTTTTCATAATTCCTGTCTTGTTTGATCTTATTTGATCTGGGATATTCGGGTTCGACGAGCCAGCCCTCGTCACTCACATTCACCCATCGCATTTACTGGAGTTACCCAGGAGGGAAAGACCGCCGAGGCTGGTTCACAACGGAGCAACAATCATTATCATCATACATATGAAAGAATGGGGACATCGGATTCTCGGGAGTATTCCATTCGTCTACGGGCCGGATAATCCGGGGTTCATCATTCTGTTTTGTTTCGGCTTTTACCCAACCTCTTTCGCTTTCACTTTGCATAGCCCTCGTGTCGTGTTACTTTCATCTCGGCTTCTCTGTGAGAAGGTCCACTCGTTGTCAGGCACTCACTCTCTGTTTCTTCTTATACTTCCTGTTTTACTAGATGGATGACCTGCGCTGGGTCGCATGGATCTTGACTCGTTTTCTCTTCAGAATGTCGTGTGCATTCGTTCGACTAGTTATAGATCTACTATTATCAGAATATTATCTCCATGATATCCACATGTTTTTATTGCGTAGAGATTTACTGTGGAATAATGTGTTTCACCCACCGAGTTAGCTACTTTGCGCACTAAGCGGTATGGTATATCTATGTCTATTGTGTCTACCATATTCACATCTTCACGTCTACCTGTGTCAATGTGAAAAAGAGAACCATGTTTCTGCACAAAACCCGATTCTGCAATGTCATTGCGCCACAGCCGATTGATTATGTCCAGGCTCAAAATTCTGTAATGTACATACAAAAGCCACCCCGAGCCCCGTCGAGGAATCCATCCGAATATACATTCTTCAGAGAACTAAAGGGGGAATAAAAGAGATGACAAGCAAAAGAAAAGTCTCAAAAGTGTGGGATATCCGGGGCATCCTTTGACGAATGTTTCAGACCTTTCTGATCATCCTCCGGCAACGGATCGGAAATCGTACTCGAGCGGTCTCCATTCTGTCCATTCTCCTCATCGACAACGGGCTGTCCGTATGCAACCGAAAACTCGTCGTCGGCATCGATGTCGACTTCGTTCCAATAGTTGCCCATCCCGGGAATGGGGAAGAGTCGCACGAGGAGGTAGTACACAGCTGTGGAGACGATGAAGCCGGTGAAGTAATTCAGGTTGTAGATGTACTGGGCACCGGCGGGGACTTTCCGGCCGACGGCACCGGCGAAACCGACGATATTGATCAGGATTCCGCAGATGTATGCCGTGTAGGCGCGCCATGAGAAGCCGAAGGTGTAGTAGTATGGGTCGGATTTGCGGGCGCTGTACAGTGCTTTCACGTCTAGGTAGCCCCGGCGGACGATGTAGTAATCAGTGATCATGACGCCTGCAATGGCAGATAGGAAGAGCGAGTATGCGGAGAGGTAGGTTGTGAAGCTGTTGGATGAGGAAACAAGGTTCCACTACATATAGTTAGCATTCTTGTGCAAGTATCTAAAATGATATGGAATAGGCTTACCGGACACATGGCGAGGCCGATCGCTGCACATATATAGCTGCCACGGCGGATATTGAGCCAGCGAGGCATTAGTGCAGTCAGGTCTGTTCCAGCAGACACCGAGTTGGCCGAAATGTTGGTTCCCAGCTGGGCCAATGCGAATCCCAACGCAATGATGAAGATACCGAAACGCTGGCCTGAGCTAGCTCCGTCCAGGAACTTGCCGAGCAGGGTGAGCGGGTTCCAAACGGTTTGACCATAGATGACCTCGGACGACGAAGACACAATGATGCCGATAAACGAGGTGACCCCGAATCCGATAGGAATAGTGAGCAGCTGCGACCACAGCGCATCCTTGGGTGTCCTCGCGAAGCGAGAAAAGTCGGGATCATTCATGATAAGAGCGGCAAAGTTCCCAATGCATGACAAGATGGACTTGACCACGGCCCATCCGAGCGCGCTTCCGTGGACGGTGTTGGGTTGGTGGACGATCGGTCCGATGCCGTTGGCGCGTGAGATGGCCCATGCAAAGAAGGCAATGGCCGCGATTGGCGAGTAGCATGCCTTGACTGTGAAGAGGTGGCGGACTTTGTGGACGGGAAACCACAGGGCTGGCAGTGAAAAGAGCCAGAAGAGAAAAAAGCTAACGAAACCCTTGGTGGTGACCCCTGCGCTCGGGGAGATGGTGTTGGGCAGGTTACGATAGCTGGGCCAAATTGCCTCGATCATCAAGCTGACGCACTCGCCTAGGTAGAGCAGACCGTCAACGTCGGACCATCTCAAGTCAAACCAAAAAAAACAATCATACCTCCAATATATCCTTGCACTCCGTACCAAATAATGGCCATTACGACTCGATTGATCACCGGCCAGAAAGATCCCCAGATCCCAAACGATGCTCGCACTGTGACTGGGAAGGAGATATGGTAGACAGCGCCAATGCGACCAGTGAGGCAGACAAAGACTGCTGCGATGAAGTATCCCACCCAGACACAGATCCATGATTGCCACCACGACAACCCGTCAACAATCATAGAAGAAGAGATCATCCAAGTGTTCTTTGGAAAAAAATATATATTAGATATGCTTCTTTGTCCTCCAACTCCACCGGCTCCAACACTCACGATATTCAACGAATCCGCAATCCAGAAGGCGATGTAGTTGAGCCATCTCCATTGGCGACGTTTTGGTTCAACTGCAACAAGCCGAAGTCACATATGTCCACCGGTCAGCCTTACTTGCCTCGAGGCACATCGCGAGTGACTGATATGAGGAGAAGAGGAATGTAGATCTGGAATGAACCAGATCGTGGGGAAGAAGAATGCAGCGACGCGGGTATATCGGCCGGTCGGTTTCTCAGCAAGCGATCCTCTCACCTGGCCGCAAATCATAATTCGTCAACATCAACTCGGCGTTGGACAGGTCGGGATCGTGGGCGACGGTCGCCTTCTCGAGGATCCATCGGACGGAAGACGTCATGGTGGTGCTCGGGGGAGGAGTGTAGATTGAGCACCCAGAATGCACCGGAGGAAGGAAAGAGGAGGATGAAGAGCAACCGAAAACCAGCCGGGGTTGGAGAGGATGATATAATGGCAGTCTAGAGCCCCCAAGGGCATGTGGCATATCATCATCGAAATATCCTGTTGCGTAGGATCCCTGCGGATTCGCTCTGTGGCGCGATAAGACAACAATCACAGTGCCTCCGAGTGACGATCCGTGAGCGCCAGGATCCGCCATCCGCGATATCATTCCCCGGTCGGCCCTCTCGGGGCGGACTGAGCGTGCCTATCATTGCCCATTACCTGCAATGACGCTAAAGGAAGACGCCCGTTATCAGCGATAAGCGGGTCTCCTGAACCGGTTCCACTGTTCCGCAAGCAGGACGCGGGAGGACTAAGGGGCCGGATTGGGCTATCTAATCTCAAACCGTGGGAATTGATAGAGGTGGTGACAGATGCGATCGAGTAATCGGTCACGTGCGAAGTATAGAGGTGGAGGAATCTTACTATTATTGACGGTCCATATTGCCCTAATTAAGGAAAAGGATCATAGGTGCCCTCGCCATAGCACGGCCCGTCGATGGCATACCCGCTGGCGTTCTGCACGGGGACCCCATTGGCACCAAAGCGAAGCACGCTACCGCCATACGTATAAGGATTCCACCCGATAGCGGGAGGTCCATCCTCCGGGTCCTTCATGAATGCCAAAATATGATCCTGCATGGCCTCACTGGTCTTGATCTCTAGCGCAGTCGGCCCCGTAGTAGAGTTGGTCCGGTCATAGAAGTAGGTCCCAAAGTTCATCATCAGATCCGAGGAATGATACGCCCCCAGCCACGAGTACGGGTTCTGGTTGGGCCACACTCCCGCGAACTGGTAGCGATAGGTCGTCACATTAGCATTTTTGCGGAGAATGCTGGTCTTCGCATTAGGGCAGATAAATGCCCCGAGAGTTTCAGCATCGACAAAGGGCTGGAACGGCCCTGCGCTGGCATTGCTGGACGGCCAAGTGTATAGAGAAGCGTATTCATTCGCGGCGTCTGAGAAAATAGCCGGGCGGGGCGAAATCTTGCCAGCCGCGGCGCGAGCTGGGTAGTCGGAGAACACCACTTTCTCGTCCGGAATCGGTTCGAAACTCAGGCTTGCAGGGCCGTCGTACTGACCGATAAAATTCTCTATCAGGTCCACTGGAACCTGCTGCATACACTCGAGCTCGGCAGTCGGATTGTCCGGAAAATCGCAGCCCAGATTCTTGGCCACAGTGGTAAAACTCGAGTGCGAGAAATCAGATGAAAAAACCGGTGCAAGGGCTGTGCCCGACTGTGAGAAGCTTCCGTGTACAATTGGGTTCTCCCAGAAGGCGTAGTTGTGAATATCGGTGCTCATCGCACCAGCCGACTGTCCCCACATCATAATCGACTCAGGATCACCGCCAAAGGCAGCGATATTCTCATGTACCCATTCAAGAGCTAGACGTTGATCCAGGATAGCAAGGTTAGGGCTATCAAGCGCCCTCGCATTTGGAAAGCCAAAGATATTGAGGCGGTAATTGATAGTCACGACGATATGTTCCTGGGAACGATTCACCCAGGGAGCTGGGATCTGGCCAGGAACATCCACTCCATTGGATTGGAAACCACCCCCGGTCATGAAAAACGCAACAGGGAGCTTAGCGTTGGCAGGAGCATCATATGGGGTCCAGATAGCGAGGCTTAAGCAGTCTTCCGATGCTGTTTGGAGACTCAAGCCGCTAGAGTGGTTTTGGTTTCCATTCGGTGGTAATAGATAGGGCACGAAGAGATTCCAGAAGCTTTCCCCGCTGGAGATAAACTGAGGGCAGGAGGGGGGGAAGCGTGTCGAGTAGCGATGCTGGTTCGATGGGGGTAGCCGCTGGGGTGGTTGGAAGCGAAGCGAGCCTACCGGAGGCTGAGCGAAAGGGATATTGCGGAATTCGCGTACTCCAGTGAAGTCGTTATTCTGCAGACCAGTGAAAATCCCAGTCTCCGTGCGTACTGTTAGGGACGGGTCTGCGGCAACTTGGACCGCAGCGGCAAAGACTACACCGGCTCGGAGGACGGAGAAGGTCATGATGTGATCGCTACTGAAACTCGGAAATAGAGGATGCATGGAAGAAGTGCTTGGCGACTCTCTTTATGTCTTTGTAATAACTAATTTGCGGGGAAAAGGTAGGCATCGGCCCAATTCTGTCATCGCTTCGCAACCAGAATGGCTCTCTAGTGCCGGCTATTCCTCGGCACTTCCCCGCAAAAAGGTCATGTTGATAGGCAGCGAGTGCAGTACTATCCGTGTCATTGTATGAATGGATTAGGAGCTAAGAGGACTTGAATGAGTGCAGATGACGGGCTGCGGGTGGCTGATGAGTAGGGTCTCGCAATATAATAGTTTCGAAGACTTGGTGGGAAGAAGAGAGAAGAGGAGGAGGGAAGAAGGTGCGAAACGGCAAGGTAAACACAGAGTCGAGTGGGAGTAAATATGGGGGAGACGAACGTTTATTGCTGCCATCGTTGATCGTTCTGCTAACCAGCGTGCCTTTGATGCTATTGGTATATTTGGAACGATTGTCATCAAAGGCTTTCGACAATTTTCGACTCGCTAGCTTTGACTTGTCCCGTCGGCGCGATTACCGCGCCGGCCAACTTGCTAATTATCCGCAGAAGACTCGCTGCTGGTGACCGTCGCGAACATGGACCTGATCAAACGATCTCCCATGTCAAGCTTTATCCCCTTCTCGCGAGGAGCCATCGTGATCTCGGATGTTATCGTACAATACAGTTACTGAGAGGGTAGGATGTCCTTTCTCGTTCTTTAGTATTCCCGAGTAGCCGTAGGCCAGGTGCATTCATCACTCCGATATAGCTTGTTGAGAAAAAGGCCAAGACGACAGGAAGTGGATGAAGTGGACTGGGGGTGTTGATGGTGAGTGCAGTGGAAAGGAGAAGTTGGAAAAGGGATATTCGCAGGGGACGGGGCAGGTATTCATGATCGCGCCTGTCTGTCTTCCATGAAAAGAGCAAAGAATACTGCCTACCGGGATTTGCCGATTCAGTTATTGATTGCACCATACCTGAGCATTACTTGCACAGCACTGATAGGTCTTCATTACCATATAGAAGTGTCTACATGTAGTAGACAGCCGAGAGAAAACCTACGGGCTGTGAACTAGGTAATGGTGAGACGGAATGGTCAACAGAATGATCTAGCATTTTCTCTAGTCTCGACACCTCCATGCCAACGTCGCTGTACACTTGTATCGTACACGTGTGGAAGCCGTGGCTCTCTCTACCTGCGCAGCGCGTCGCGGACGGGCGAGTCACCTCGACGGAAGGAAGCTAGATGGGCACAGTTAGCTCACTTGGATCTTGTCGGGAGACAATCGGTCCCAGAGAAACCCGGACAGCTTCCAAGGCTGCCCCGGTGCGGAATAAGTGTCCAACGTACTGTCTGCCTCCTCCCAAGCACGGCCAGCGCCGAACCCGAGGCCAACCCACGCGGGCCAGGCCCTCCGCTTGAATAAAAGCACCGAGAAAACAACACCGAACGAAAGGCCCAGCGAGGACTTGATGATCATGGAGGAGATGGCGCGGTCCCACTACGCAAGCAGTTGGGCAGGAGTCAGCCAACCAATCCGAACCCTCGCCCTCCGCGGGCCAACGGTCTCCCATTCAAGATAGTAATGGAGATCGTCTCAACAGGGACAATAACTTACCTTCTCATTAAGAAGAGCTTCACTGACAGGTTTGGTGGACCGGGCGACCGGCCGGGACTCGGTGGAATCGGCCATTGTGGAACTGTTGAATCAACCGTCAATAGGGATCAATGGCTATTGAGAGTCACAATGGGTTCACAACCACAGTGGCTCTCAACAATAGGGTAATAGGACCACTTCACTCACAGTTTGGACAGCTGGACAGAGGTGACGAGGTAAAAGCAGGGAGAAAACAGTCGGCAGTCGGGAACTCCGCCAAGACGAAAGGCGGTCGGAGCAAACCAGCTTCTTTTTTTTTTGGTTCTACTTACTTTAGTCACTACTCACTCAACATTTCAGTCCTTACGACTCGGGTTCGAGATGCCGTCGATTGCGGAGGTGAGTTGGCTCTTTTACGGAGAATGACAGGCAAACGGTCTCATGCTAATACCCTGCGCTCATCCAGCATTCGTGCTCGTCGCAAGAGGCGCTCCTCCGCCTTGAGAAAGCCAATACCGCACCGCCGAGCACTCAACTCCACGATGCGGCGAAGATCCTCGGACTGGACTTGGCCCTCTGTGAAAGTCACCCAGAGACGCATCGCAGTCCTCCCACCATCAATGACTCTACACCCAAGGAAGAATGGGTGCTTCGGTGGTTGCTGAAACGCCTGAAGAGCGGCAAAAACTATAGGGTGGAGCCGGTTTCCTTCCTTCTGCTGAGACAACTGGTCGACCTGATCTCCCCGAAGAACCTGGCCACAATCCTGAAAGACCACAAGTTCCTGTCCATTCTGGGTGACACGGTTGCCGATCTGGAGGCCGACATCTTCGTCAATGTGGAACTTGGTTCGGATTCCGAGACCAGCCGCACCCTGGCCGGCTCTCCGCCTGACAACGAGGCCAAGGGCAGCAAAAGCAAAAAGAGGAAGAGAGTTTCTTTTGCGAACAATGCGAGTGAACGGCCGCAGGTCTCCACCCAGTGTTTTCTGACTTTCATTCGCGCTCTGGATTGTCTCTTCGGCGTCGTGACGCTTACACATCAAACCCTGCGCACTGACGAGGTTGCCCACTCCCATCTCAAGCTTAGTCTCAGGGGTGAGCCGGAAGAGGCCGCTTTGTTCCTGGGCCGGTCGTTCTGGGTGGCTTCCTGGACCGCCAAGCATTTCTCGCAGACTGAGAAGACGACCGACCTTCAGCACATGTTGTATGTGTTGCCTGCGGCTCTGGAATTGTGGGATTTTCGATCCTACCGCCAGGATGATACCGAGAACAAGTCCAGCAATGACTGCTTCGCTAAGTACTGTTTCGCGCACGCCCTCCGACTCCAGCTCTGCGTGCGTTCGCTCACACTTGATACTGACGAGCGGGCCCTTTTGCTTCATGCGGTTGAGCGTACAGTCGTCCTTCATGTGCTGCTACCTGCCCGGGGGCCTTTTTCGAGCGCGGTGGCTCTGGTATTGATTATTCCACCCAAGACAAACCCAACTGGGAAGTCGTCCAGCCCGTCACTGATTCCTTCAAATCCATCATCCACGAGACCCCTCCGACCGATTTTGCCTCAGAAAACCAGGAAGATTCTAAGCGTGCTTCAAAGTCACTCGAGCTCCTTCCCGAGCTGCTTGATATTGCTTCGCGAGCCGTTCCCAGAGATTCCTTCCGAAGCCAGACTCATGAGGCTCCATGGCTGGAGACCTTGTTTGTTGCCGTTGCGGAAATCGCATACTCCACCTCCAAGGGGGAGAAAGACAAGACAACCTTTTCCGGGTTTTCTCCTAAATTCGTTGTCAGTCTGCAGCAAATCATGCAGGTGGCTGTCGATCGAAATATCGGCCTGTCGTTGAATACCACTCTGAACCATTCCTGGTACACTGGGATTCTTCAGCCAGGTCTACAGCATGTCCAGTGGAATGTCACTGCTCTCATTGTGCGCCTGGGTGTGGACATCTTCTTGCCCAGTTCAGGGCTTTACGACTCGTGCGACATCTTGGTCAATTTGCTGGATAAAATTCTGCTTCACTGGCGCAGTGGTGTCTCCAAATACATCGCATCTTACCCCATCATCAAGAACGATATCGTCCTTCCTTTGCTGCGCGCATTCGTCGAAGCTCGAGATCTGTACACATTCACGTCGTTCTGGCATCATCAAACCATCCTTGTGGAAACGGCTCGCGCCAAGGACAGCAGTCTGACCCATTTTTCAGTCTGGGAAGATGACGATCTTTCAGAGCTTTACAGCAAACTCGTGCGAACCGCACCCACCGATCCACGCCTCGTAGCGCACATGCAGGCAGCTTCGAAGGACACCAGGGCTCCGGATGGCAAGCTGTCTGATGCTCCAGCATCATACGCAAAATTCATCGTTCTGGAGGCTAGCTTCCGGCGTCGTCCTTTCTCGTTTCCCGACTCCGAGGCATCTTTGAGCTACCTCCTCGAAACCGTCACTTCTACCCTATCATCCAAACAGGCCCTGCACTGGCGATGGCGCCTGTGGCGGTTCGTCCGAAACCTTGCGGAAAATGACAGGCAGTTTATGAACACTGCTCAACGTCGATCCGTTCTGGCTTTGGTTGATATTGCTGCAAAGACGATAAAGCGCAACCACAGAGATTTGACAAGGAGGGCGTCCGTCCTCGAAGCTTGGGAGGCGTACCAGTTTGTTCTGGTTGCCACCAGAGACCCTGATCAACTGAGTGCATTCAACACGGCAACACAGCATGTCACTGAACTCATCACTTCCATTCTTCCAGCAGATGCCAAGAAATCAATGGTTTCTCCATGGAACGGCCGAGCAGACTCTATGGACTCTCCAATTAATCTTGCCCTGGCTTACTTCTCGGCAATCTCGAAGATTCCCCAGGTCTGGAAACGGATTTCCGCTGATGCTCGTTCTCAGCTGTTCAAACAACTTCTGGCTCTGGCTGCGGAACAATGCACTTCTTCGCCTCTGCCTCTTGAAACCGTGGCCGATGATGCGAGATTCCTTCAAGGATGGGCAAGTATTGTCTCATCCGAATATCTTCTCCGCGCCCCTTTCCTTGTTCCTGATCTCGTGATTCTTCTGAAGGACAGCATCTATCGTGATTCTGCCAACCATCGACTTTACATCAACAGCCTTCAGAGAATCCCAGCTTCCTTGATCACCCGCGGAATGAGAGGGACTCTTCTGGACAAACTGCAAGATGTCCTTATTCTGCAGGACCGTTCATCCGAACTGACTGTCGGGCTCATTACGATGTTGGCTAAGTTGGCAGAGGAGCCCAAGTCTGATGCCGTGTTGACCAGTCATATCGAGCCGATCTGTGCCGCTGCCCGAGCCATTGCCCTTAACGGCACCGACATCGATCTTCAGATCATGAAGGCATTCCGAAGCTTGCACCGGGCGGTCATTTCCAAACTCTTGAATCTTCCAGACGACCAGAAAACCAAGCTTTTCAAAGAACTATTCTCCCAGATCTCGACGCAGGCTTCGAAGATGAGACAGATTGAGCGAGACTCCATGGCTTGTTTCCACTTGCGGGTTTCGCTGTCTCAGCTCTGGTTTCATCGCAAACAGCTCCGCTCGGCTTTCTCGGAGAAGGATCTCGCCACTTGCCGCCAGCGAGTGTTTGACCTGGTGTTGGCCGACGTGAAAGCGGTCAAGAGCCAGTGCAGAAAGCAGAAGCTTGATGAGACTATCACACTCATCAAGACCATTGATTCTCTGGAGGACTTTGAGGACCTGGCCATGAATAACCTCGAGGTGGAGAAGTTGTTATCGAAGATTGAGTCTTATGTGGAGATGTCGGTTGACTCCGGTCCAACGCGGTTGATCAGGCGCCGTCTTCTTGCCAGCAAAGAGCCCGACGTGCATATCACCGAGCCGGTGCTCCAGTGTGCGGAGGCTCTCTCGCTCCAGTCTCCATATGGCGAGGATCAACAGCTTTTCATCCAGGTCACCACGGAACGCTTCCATTCCATGAGCCCCGAGCAGATCACCCAAGCCATCCGCGAGGTTCGCGAGCTTGGTCTAACTGACGACCACTCCGGACACCGCCTCCTGGTCGTCTGCCTGGCACTGGCTTCGTTGCCCTCGGTCGAAGACAAAGATAGCATCACCGCTCGAGAACTCTCTCTCCTCTGCACCGCGCTCGCCGAAACCATCCCCCACAGCCCATCCGCGGACCACCTGAGCTACGCCGCCGAGGCCCTGGATCTCCTCCTGCGCACGCACACCCGCTGTCTCGTCCAGCAAAACATCGACAGCATCCTCAGCGCCATCGCCAACGCAGCCTCCCACGACGGTCCCCACATCCCCCCGCCTATGCACCAACCATCTACACCCGTCTGTGCCGGCTGATGGGCGTGGTGCTCAGCTTGCAGCGCTTGAAGGTGGGCGGCCGCTTCCACCTCGTTGTACACGCAATGCAGCGCCTGCTAGCCTGCCTCTTCGCTCGTTCGCGCAAACGCACCCGCGCCAACCGCGCTGGCTCTCCAAATTCCCTCCTCCAGCCCTTCTGGCTCGCCCCGCTGCAGCCCTCCCACGCCTCGCACTACACCCGTCTCCTCACCTCCCTCTGTGACCCCACCATGTCGGCCGTGCTGCGTCCTGCTCAGGCAGGGGCCTCGCGCGATGCCCTCACCGATCAAACCAAGAAGGCTAAGCGCATTGCCGGCCAGTACCTGCAATATGTTATCATGGAGTATGCGCAGTGCTCACTGCGCGGATCACTTACCCCAGAAGTGAAGACTGCTATTATGCCCGGTCTTTACGCAACCCTGGACGTCATGTCGCGCGAATCGATGCGCGCGCTGAACGCCGCGCTGGATGTCTCCGGCCGCGCTGTCTTCAGGTCTTTGTATGAGGATTACGTGAAGTTCGGAAAATGGGATAAGGTATAGTGCGGTGGGTTGTGTTTTGTACGATATCTTTTTCTATATCTCAATGAATAATGCATTGATGTGTAACGGAATTGCCTTTTCTCACCCCATAGTAAACTGTAGTAGCGTATAACTCGGTGATGATGGACAGCGGCAGTCAGACTGAAAGCCTCGATCTTGAGCCTTCTCAAACGCATCTTCAGGTGGCGGCAAACCTCGGTTCTTTTGCATTGAATGTTATTCAGGACCGCCAGGCTCTCTTTCAGGATTCAGATATGAGAGAAGTTTTAAAGGACACCTTCCGTAACGACCGAGCTCCTATTCTGGAAGAACTAGGGAAGAGAACAACAACATGGGAAGAGGACTTCCGTGTTTTCCTTCTTCCTACCGGGGCATCCAATATTGAGAATCGGTCATTGATGGCTACACAGGTGACTGATGATTACCTGGGTTTGAGAAAAGAGGCAAAGAAGAACGTCAAAATTGCAATGTGCTAATGTGCCATATTATAGCCTCCTTGTTTGATTGAAAGGGCTGATCGTAAACTAACAACGGCCATCTAATAAGAGAAGAGAAGAGAGTCTAAGAGGTGAGGGTATCATAGTAGGATATCGTAAATCATGCCCGAAATAGGTGATAAAAAAAGGGAAACCATCGAGACTCATCGGATCACGGTCCAATCGAATTAAATCAAGGATGTCTCCAACGTGCGCGGGCTCAGGCACGGGACTGAGATGTTATCCAGCACTGGGATCCGTGACGTTTGATGGTGAGAGGGGCTTGCCATGGTAGAATGAGAGGGAGGGTTCTGCTCTGGTGTTCCGGCGATGGATCCGTCCGGGATAGGGGATTCCAGTGGAACGCCGTTGTGGCCGCTGTGCGTGAGACAGCCGACGCAGCTGCAGTCGCTGCCGCATTGACAGCTTCCCGTGATGTTGGAACAGACACTTGGGAGCCCAACCGGGTATTCGAGGGTATAGTACTCCGAAGGGTGCATCAACTGATCGCTGAATGGATGGTTGGCTGACATAGGAGAAGAATAACCGTTTGGAAAATTTAAGTTGGGGTCTGAGTAAGGCGCAAAAGCGTAGTCCTGCTGAGCACTGGGATCCACTGAGGGTGTGTGCTGCATGAAGGAGAGGTTTAGCGGGGTTATTGTGCCTCCTGGGAATGGCGAGGATGGATGGGCGCTGGCAACCCCGTCCGGGGTCTGATCATCACTGTCGAAAGTCATCATGACACCCATTTCTTGGACGTGCTGTCGAGTTGTATTGTTGAAGGGGTGAGTGGAACATCCTAGGCATTGGCAATCGTCTCCACACTGACAATCGGTGCAGGATTCACCACCAACTGTTTTGTTGGAGGCATTCTGGTGCTGCATTGGAAAGGCAGTCTGATTGATTCCAAGTCCAGATAGTTGGTCTGGATACATCATCGACTGTGGCGTAGACATGTGTTGCGTGTGTCCGTTCATGTAAAACGTTGGTTGAGGTTGAGCTTCATCCATGCCGAATTCCATGAATTTCCCATGCGGAGACGAAGCGGAGGTCTGCCAGGAAGACATCTGTGGGGCTGAAAATTGTTCATAAGACATATTGGCCCATGATGAATGCTGGACATTATTGTGCTCCGGCAAGTCCGAGGGGACAGAGTCGTCTGTCGAGGAAGTTGCAGGTTTTCCACAGCAAGACCCATTGGGGGCTGGTGCAGGCATCTGAGATTTCTGGGCACAGCATGCGGATCTCTGTTGTGTTGGCTGCGGAGTGCTGTTGGCGATTTGTGCGGTATCAGACGATGCTCGGTCGCTGATGTCGTGGTTGGTGGTGTGCGCGCCGTCCAATTCAGGCTGAGACGCGAAATTGAATGACTGATTTGTCGCATCGTTTTCAAATTTCATATTGATCGGACCAGGCATAGCATCAAAGGCCTTGGCGATGTTCTCGGGTGCCGCCTGGAGGCTGCTTTGCCTTCTTCCCGATTTTTGGATCTTGCCCGGCGTGGGCGACGCGGTTGGAGCCATAGTAGACGGGGTCGACTGTGGCTCACCATTAGAATCCAAAGGGACTTGGTACAGTGGTCGACACAGACAACCAGAGCCTGCCGGAGTTAGGATTACTTCGACAAATGTTAATGATAAGGAAGGCTTTACCTTTCGGAATCCGGACCATGACGGCATAGGTCTTCTGGCAGCTGCAGGTTCCCTTGGGGTGAGGGCATTTTGCAAGTGGCCGGCCTGCTTTGGGAACTTTCATCATGAGCCGGTCGAAGTGCTGGCATTTGGAGGATCGGTGGCCGCGGATGCATGGTTCACTGCATGTAAGAGCGGCTGTTAGCATAGCCCGGGCGTATCCGGAAGTACGCGCATGGGAACCTACCAAGACCATTTGGCTCCTTCTTCGTCGAGAGGCATTGTCACCGAAGAATATTTGTCTCGGGGTCGGATGTTCAAGTGTCGCAAAAGTACGGCGGGGCGGTTCTGTTGGTCGCAAATGCTGAGATGAGATGGTTTGCGCGAGAACCAGGCGATATCAAACGTCTCCACCGTTTGCGATGCAGGACTGATTGGTTTTTGACTTTCGCAAGAGTGACTTGGCGTCTCAGAACAGCTTCACGGCCACTGTGATCGGAGTAGGACAGGGCGGGGAAAAACCAACGTCTGCCGGCGGCGGCAGACGTGGGGATGCGATGCTCGAGCAGGCAGCGAGACGAAACGGGGCGGGAGGGAGGAGGTTCGGATAGTGGGATAGATCATGCGAAATCAGAAGAGGCAGTGACTACTCTTGTTCCTTTGTTCTTTCGTGCCAAACCCATCAAGAAGAACGAGAAAAGAGCGCGGGGACCCGTTCATAGGCCTTACGTAATCGGCCTGACGAATTCCCGATGGCCCTGTCATGATTAAATGTTGCTTCTTCTTCTACTTACTGCCAAGGGATTCACAGCCATGCCTCCCAAAGGCTCCGAGGCCAGTCCACCACCAGACAACCCTCGCTCCTTCTTCACCGTCCCAACACCCATCAAGCAGCTCTTCGACAAATTCCCTCTCACCACATATCCGGCCAACGCCCTTCCGCAACACTCCCTGTCCCAAGCTACCGGCAACCAGCTGTTTGTCTTCACCGATGCGGCTGGTGCTCGACGTGGTCGGCCGTCTTTCAATCCACAATGTCTTAAGTGGCAGGTTGGTTTGCTTACTTGTCGATTTCTATGCATGCATTCGCGCTGACCAGCGTCGCCATAGGCCTACCTGAAATTTGTCGGGATTGACTTCAAAACTGCCCCTTCCAACAATCACGCGTCGCCGACCGGTGCTCTGCCTTTCCTCCTTCCGTCATTCCCCGAGGACACTCTTGTCCCGATCCCTGCACACAAGCTCCAAAAATGGGCCATTGAACAGGTCCATTGCGAGGAGGAGCAACAATTGAATCTCCGGTTCGAGGTATATGCTTCTCTGCTGGACCAGCGGATACGGAGTGCCTGGGTATGTGTGATTTGATTAATACCGCGAAATGAACGATACTGACTGGTGGGCTTCTAGTTATACATGCTGTATCTCGACCCTGCCAACTTCGAGGCCGTGGCACGGCGGCTCTATGTGGACCCTGCAACTACGAGCTCGGTTGTTCGGACTACTCTTGGCGTCCAGCTCCAACAGGCTGCCCGCGATGAACTCCTCCGCACGTCGCGATATATTGATGCTGGGGATCTGGAGGCGGACGCGGGGGCTGCGTTTGAGGCGCTATCAACACTTCTGGGGGAGGATGAGCATTTCTTTGGGCGACCGAAGCCGGGGCTGTTTGACGCTAGTGTCTTCGCCTATACGCATCTGATTCTGGATGAGGGTTTGGGGTGGAAACACAACCGACTGGCGCAGTTGCTCCGCGAGCACGACAACCTTGTACAACACCGGGCGCGAGTGCTGCAGTTTTTCTAGAAATATGTACTTTATATCCAATAACGCAATAATAAGTCTCTAGACAGTGGAGTAACTATAGCTAAGTTAGTTATTGTACTCTGTAGTTAGTCACCTCGGTTGTCTTCCCCACAGTCGTCTGGGGTATCACATGTCAGCTCCGTCATTCCTCCTCCTCACGTTCAACTCCTTGTTCTTCTTTCTTACACCTACACCCAACTCATTTGTTGTGATTCTTATTTCGGAATGCAGGCTCATATCAACTCGGGTTGACCTGCTTGCTTCCCTTCGCTTCGCCATGGCCGCCCAGTCCAAACTCCTCCCTCCCGAGCGCTCCGTCAAGCGGATCTTCTCCAGCCTCACCTCCCTTTATCTCCAACACCGCACCCGCATCTCGCGCGCCGTCTACCTCGCTCTCTTTGCCGCTCTTGCCAAACGCATCCACAATGCCATCTCTGAGCAAAAAGCCGCGTCGCAGAGACAGGTCGAGCTGCGCCGCCAGCCTGGAACCACCGGTCTCGAGGACGAACAGCCGCGCAAAAAGCGAGTCGAGATCAACCGCGAGTTCTTCAAGCATTTGATGCGCTTGCTCCGCATTGTTATCCCCGGATGGCGCAGCAAGGAATTGCGGCTGCTGGTTAGCCACAGCGTCTTCCTAGTGCTCCGCACGCTTCTGAGTCTGTATGTCGCCGAGTTGGACGGCAGGCTCGTCAGTAACCTCGTGCGCGGGAAGGGCAAGGATTTCTTGCTGGGGCTTGTATGGTGGATGATTGTTGCGGTGCCTGCTACTTTCACGAATTCCATGGTAAGTTCGTCTGCCCTTGGATGCGCATCCTCTGCTGATGAGACCATGCCAGCTCTCATACCATCAATGCAAACTTTCCCTCAGCTATCGGAAACGCCTGACCGATTATATACACGATAAATACCTGTCTAATATGACATTCTACGCCATCTCCGCCCTCGATGATCGGATCAAGAACCCCGACCAGCTTGTGACGGTTGATGTGTCGCGCTTCTCCGACAGTCTAGCAGAGCTGTATTCCAACCTGGCCAAGCCTATTCTTGACATGTGCATTTACAACTACTCTCTGTCCAAGAATGTTGGTGGCGAGGGGCTGTTCATTATGAGTCTGCTGGTGCAGCTGTCGGCCAATGTGATGCGCATGCTGACGCCCCCGTTCGGCAAATACGTCGCGGACGAGGCTCGCCTGGAAGGCGAGTTCCGTTTCCTGCATTCGAGACTAATCGATTATAGCGAGGAGGTGGCCCTCTATCATGGCCACGAGGCCGAGAAAGATACTCTGGACAAGGGCTACTTCACCCTGATCAAGCATGTGAACCGAATCCTACGCCGACGTCTTTACCACGGATTCATGGAGGACTTTGTCATTAAGTACTTCTGGGGTGCGTTGGGTCTGGTTCTGTGCAGTTTGCCGGTCTTCTTCAAGATTCCCGGACAAATCACCCAGAGTATGGGAGATCGCACAGAAAGTAAGTTCAATTCCTGCGAAGGAGAATCGCAAACTGACTGTGAATAGGTTTCGTCACAAACAGGAGGATGCTACTGTCGTCCTCAGACGCCTTTGGTCGCTTAATGTTCTCCTACAAGGAAATTTCTGAGCTGGCTGGGTACACGTCCCGTGTCTCGTCGCTACTGGAAGTCATGGATGATTTGGTGGCTGGACGATTCGAGAAGAAGCTCGTCTCGTCAGCATCCACCGAAGAAAATGCGGCCGTGCTGTCGGGTCGGGGCGAGGTCAAGGAAAGCGACTCTATCGAGTTCACTGACGTTCCCATCGTCTCCCCGAACGGAGACGTCCTCGTGCGCAAGCTATCGTTCACAGTCCACCCGGGCGAGCATCTGCTCATTGTCGGACCCAACGGGTGCGGCAAATCTTCTCTATTCCGAATTCTGGGCGGGCTCTGGCCTGTCTACGGAGGCACGGTCCAGAAACCGCGGTTCGAGAGCATCTTCTACATCCCGCAGCGGCCGTACCTGTCCCGCGGCACGCTGCGCCAGCAGGTGATCTATCCCGATGGCGTGCGCGAGATGCGCGCCAAGGGTGTCACTGACGCGGATCTGTATGAGATTCTGTCCGTTGTCGAGATCGCCTCTATTGTAGACCGGCCTGATGGCTGGGACGCCGAAGAGGAGTGGCGCGACGTGCTGTCGGGTGGTCTACAGCAGCGCATCGCGATGGCGCGGCTCTTCTACCACCGTCCGCAATTTGCCATCTTGGACGAATGCACCTCTTCTGTGACGCTGGAGATTGAGAAAGTCATGTACGAGACGGCGAAGAAGCTCGGGATTACCCTCATGACTGTCTCGCACCGACGCAGTCTGTGGAAGTACCACAAGAAGATTCTCCAGTTTGACGGCCAGGGAGGATACATCTTCACGGGACTGGACTGGGAGCGACGGTTGAAACTAGAAGAGTAAGTGCATTAGTACATTTCGTCGCCAGCTTTGACGTGCGAGCTAACCCATCCAACAGCGAGAAAGACGAACTCGAGCTCCAGCTCCGGGCTGTCCCAGAACTGCAGCGACGCGTCGCCGAGCTGACATCTTGAACAATCATGTATAGACAGTCCATCAGCCAATCAGTCGTATGTAGAAATGTATGATGAGCGTTTTCATTTTTCACCATCTTACTCATCATTGGCCTGTCAATTCCTGGGCTCGGGCCCGCCAGCCACCAACTGAGTCTTCGCCACTCACCGCGCACCACGTTCGGGCCGAGTCTCGGATGGCATTGTAACAATTGTTCCACTTCGACCCACACCCGATGATATGGTGGGCTTTGTTCTCGACGTCATACCCGCTGCTTATCTTGTTTGCCACGAAAGGGTTTTCTTCATGGAAGTGGATGAAATCCGGTTTATACAGCACGTTGGGTCTTTTTTCTTATTCAAAGCGAATCTCTTCTTGTACATCCAACTCTTCTTTTCCTAAGTCTAGTCACCCCTCAATTTACCCCTCTCTCTCTTAACACAAAAAACAAAATGGCCATCTCCAACGCCAATAACGCAGCCCAAAAGCGAAAGATCGTCATTTTCTCCGGTATGCATGCGCCTATCAGCAGATGATTTCTCCTTGCCACCCGCCCCCTCCAACCTATCAATAAACATTCCGCCCTAAATCACAGAATAAATACTAACAAATGAAAATGCAGACTTCGATGGCACAATCTCCATGCAAGACACGGGCCACATCCTCTTCGACACATACGGCTGCGGTACCGAAGCGCGCAACAAACTCGATGAGCAGATCAAGTCCGGCGAGCGGTCATTCAGGGACGTCTCCGAGGAGATGTGGGCGTCGCTGAATATCCCCTTCGACGACGGGTTCAAGGTTATGGAGAAGACGCTCGAGATGGATCCTGGGTTCCGGGAGTTCCATCAGTACTGCTTGGAAAACGGCTTTCCGTTTAATGTCATCAGCGCTGGCTTGAAACCTGTGCTAAGACGGGTGTTGGACTCTTTCTTGGGGGCTGAACATGTATGTTCATCTTTCCTTCCTTCTTTCCCCCTTTTCTTTGATGTTTTTGATTCCGTGTGGATGGTGTATGAACCCCTTGCTCACCAAAGTCAATCGTATAGTCTGCCGCCATCGACATCGTCGCTAACGATGCAATCATCAACCCCGACGGCTCACAATGGAAACCCATCTGGCGCCACGACACAGAACTAGGCCACGACAAAGCGCTCAGTGTAAATGAAGCCCGGGCCGCGGCTCAAGCAACTTGCTCTCCCGACGAAATCCCACTGATCGTATTCATTGGCGACGGCGTGTCCGATCTCGCCGCCGCGCGCGAAGCTGATGTCCTCTTTGCGCGCCGCGGTCTGCGGCTCGAGGAGTATTGCCGCGAGCATGGCATTGCGTATACGCCGTTTGATACCTTTGCTGATATCAAGTCCGAAATTGAGAAGATCAGTGCCGAGGATCAGAGTAAGACGGGTGGAGTTGGCAAGCCGGTCAGGTATAACCCACGGGCTAATATGTGGAGACGTATTTCTAGTAAGGAAGCGGTATGTTTTTGCTCGTTTTCCTCCGCTATGGATGTTGCAGATTTGCTAATGATCGGTTAGGTTCCTACGCTTATGGCGGCTGCGACGCCTTCTAAGGAGGAGAAGATGTTTCTCTGGCCCGAGACGTTCTCGGACTACAAACCGAACACTATTCAGGAAGCCGATGAAACATCTGTTGCTGCTTGAGTTTTTTTTGTGCATCTATTTTTTAATGCATAGTGTGGTGTTGTGTCGTGTTGAGTTTTATCCCAGTCTATCCGACTGTCTTTCACATTGTTACTTTCTTCCCTTGTATACTTTCGGCTCCCGATTTGATACATAGATGGACAGATTGCACGGCTCAGTGCATTATGCATATAGACTAAATGAAAAGGTGGATAAAAAAAGCAATATTAGTTATGTAGATATAATAAAATAGGCATGAATGGAAAGAGACAAAGTCACCAGCAGAAACAGAAACACAAACACAACTCCTAATCTTTAACTTCCAGCGGCTCTACGTTCCAAATGCTATCTGCATACTCATTGATCACACGGTCTGTAGAAAAGAAGCCCATGCGCGCAACACTCGTAATCGACTTAGCCAGCCACTCCTCCTGGTTCTGGAAGGCCTCATCTACCATCTCGTGCGTGGTAACGTACGAGTGGAAATCGTCAGATACGAGATAAAAGTCGCCGTGTTCCTCGATGGATGCTGTAAGGGCAGAGAAGTCGCCCGCGTCGCCGAACATGTTGCCCTTGATGGCCTCGAAGACCTTGGCGAGCTGTGGGTCGATCTGGAATGTCTTGCCATAGACGTGTCGGTGGCGCAGGTCCTCGACGTCTTCAGCTAGGGTGCCGAAGAGGAAGATGTTTTGTTCGCCGATTTCGCGAGTGATTTCGATCTAGCTGGGTTAGTAGGGGCAGGAGGAAAAGATGTAGCAGAGAAATATTTACGTTGGCACCATCACACGTTCCGATAATTAGTCCCCCGTTCAGTACGAACTTCATGTTGCTCGTTCCGCTCGCCTCTGTTCCCGCTGTCGAGATGTGCTCGCTGATATCCGAGGCTGGACAGATCATCTCGGCTTTGCTGACGTTGTAGTCCTCAATGAAGATGACCTTCAGCAGATCACCAACCTCCGCGTCATTGTTGACCACAAACGAAACCTTGTTGATGAGGTGGATGATTGTCTTTGCCATCCAGTAGCCCGGCGCGGCCTTACCACCGAAGATCGAGACCCTGGGCACAACTTTCTTTCGCTCCTCGGCCGACATGGCCTTGATGGTGAGGTACCGATGAATCACTCCGAAGATATTCAGCTGCTGTCGCTTGTACTCATGAATCCGCTTCACCTGCACATCAAACAGTGCGTCAGGGCTCACGCTAAATCCGGTCGTTTCCTTGATATACCGGGCCAGACGCAGCTTGTTCGCTGACTTGATCTCCGCCCACTCTGTCCGGAAGTTCTTGTCATCAACAAAAGCCTCGAGCTTGTCCAGAAGCGTCAGGTCGGTCAAAAATTCGTAGCCACCTAACTTTTCTGCAATCAGAGCGGACAGTCGCGGGTTGGCTTGGTGCAGCCAGCGCCTAGGCGTAATGCCGTTCGTTACGTTGGTGAACCGGTCTGGTCCATAGATCTCCACAAAATCTTTGAAGATCGTAGTCTTGATCAGATCCGAGTGCAACTCTGCAACACCGTTGACCTTGTGGGACCCGATAATGGCCAGATGCGCCATGCGGACCATCTTCGGATGCGACTCTTCGATAATTGACACTCGTGATAGCATTTCTCGGTCGTTGGGAAATCGCTTCTCAACTATCTGCAAGAAGAACAAGTTTACATCGTAGATAATTTGCAGATGGCGAGGTAGCAGATTCTGCAGTAACGGGACAGACCATTTCTCCAGCGCCTCGGGCAGCACGGTGTGGTTGGTGTAGCCAAAACTTTTGGTCACGATGTTCCATGCCTCATCCCACTCGAGACCTTCTTTGTCTATCAGGATTCGCTGCAGCTCAACAATGGCAAGCGTTGGGTGTGTGTCGTTGAGCTGGATTGCCACCTGGTCCGGGAACTCGCTCCAGGCCCTCTTGGTCTTCTTGAACCGCCGGACAATATCGTACAGCGAGGCGGCACACCAAAAGTACTGCTGCTTCAGCCGAAGCTCCTTGCCGCGCTCCAAGTTATCATTCGGGTAGAGAACGGCTGAGATGGTCTCCGCTCTCTGCTGATCGGCCACAGCACTTTCGTAATCTCCGGCGTTGAACTTCTGGAAGTCAAACTCGCCGCTGCTGGCCTTGCTGGACCATAAGCGGAGATTGTTGGTGGTCTTCGTACCATATCCGGGAATGGGAACGTCGTATGCCACGGCTTGAACAATCTCTCCGTCTTCCCATGAATGCATGAGCTTACCATTTTCATCTTGGTATTTGCGAACACAGCCATAGAACTGGATATCAACGGTGATCTCATGGCGCGGGAATTCCCAGGGATTGTTATCGAGCCAGTAGTCCGGGATCTCCATCTGGTAGCCATTTACTATCTCCTGTTTGAAAATGCCGTACCGATATCGCAGTCCGTATCCCCAGGCAGGGTAGTTGAGGGTCGCCATGCTATCCAGAAAGCAGGCCGCCAGGCGCCCAAGGCCACCGTTGCCCAGTGCAGCGTCATGTTCTTGGCCGATGACATCCTCGATGCGGAAACCGAGATCCTTCAAGCCGTCTTTCAAACTGTTAACCATGTTCGTCCCTGGATTCGTCGGGAAGTCCCACCTCGAGCTGCATCTTTCAAGCCCACATTCAACATAGCATTATCCAGCGCACGCCCCATCAGGAACTCGAGTGACAGATCTAGAAGGAACCAGTCAGACACACACGATCTACACGTGCCTAGCGTGCTGGAACCCACAGTAGACTCTTTTCTGGTCATTAAAGGTCTGGCGCTGTTGCGTCTTATTCCATTCGATGATCAATCGGTCTCGAAACGCGAGTGCAGTTCCGGAGTACGCGGCACTGCGGGAGTCAGGAACATGTCTACCCGCATGGGAGAATCACATACTGTTCGTCGCAGTTGTACAGCGACCGAGCCAGTGTCGTCTCAATGTGACGCACAAGCTCTTTCTGCGGGAGAGAGTTAGCCGGTAATTCAGCCCTCCATGCCAGCAGAGGGGCTTGCCTCGAACTCTTCGCGGTTGGTAAACTCAGCCGCCGACTAGATCCGATTAGTGCCAATTCCTTCCCTCACGCAGGTAAGAACCCGAGGAAGGAAGGCCATACATATTTCCGCCAGCTGAACCACCCAACGCACGCTCCAGTCAGCTCACAGAAATCTGCCATTGGGTCGGTATACTACTCACGCCTCGCGTAGGGATTCCGGAATGCTCGCTTCCACGTGCTTGATCTCTCCGGGACCAAACCCGGTGAAGGTGCGCTTGTGCTTGGGGCGACTGAAGCCTGGACCGATGGGGCCTTGGAGGTCAGCAATGGGCACGCCGACGGACGGTCGACGCTCGCGACGCTGCTCGTTGGTGGTCATGGCTGAGGAATGGAATCAGACGTAAGTCAAATGGAGGGACTGGGCAAATGGAGAAGAGAAAGAGAGAGAGAAAGATGGAGGGGCAATGGGAGAGAAAGAAAGAGGGGAAGACCGAAACAGGGAACAGTACATCGGATTACACCCCAGGAGTGGTGACACATGCGGTAGTACTTTGATCCTCTGTAGACTTCGTGATCGATGATGCTGAGTGGAGCGGGTGGATCCGATCGCCGTAGTTTAGATCCCTCTTGGTCCCCTCGTTTCTCCCTCCCCAACATCTTCATCCCGACCAGCAAGAGTCTAGACTACACGCCTCGCCAGATCTCCGGCACGGTCCAGGCCTGAGCGGGAGAGGTCGCTCTGCTCCACGATGCAGCTACATGGTCCGAGCTGTCCGTGCGGGTGGGGAACTGCAACTGCGCCATCCTCACTTCAATTACACGGTGAGACAGAGGGACAAGACCCATGTAGGCAGTCGCTGGCGGCCTGAAACGGATGGAAGGAACAGCACCTGAGTCTACAGGGAGGAATTGACCCCGCTATAAGGTTGGCGATCTTCCGCGCCACACACATCAGCGGGGTTTGTCTTTCAAGTTCCCCGCGATCACAGTTGGAGATCTTCAAACGATATAACATATTCTGCTCACGCCATTTCGACGGTATGGAGGGTCCTTCTAATCTAGACGGAATACCAAAGACTTCTATCACGCCACGATCGCATTCCCCTTCTGCACCACTGGGTAACTCCACGACCCATTGCGCAGGCTTTCCGCCGGAGCATAGAACCGAACTAAAACGCACCCCGTTAGCATGGACCCAACTACCAAGCAAGAACAGCATCACTTACGCGTCAGGTAAAAGTCGCCTCCGCCCTGAGGAGCTGGTAGCCAATTTGCCGTCCAATTCTTCGGGGGTATCACGTCCGCCGGCTGGACGAGCAACTGGAAACTGCCATCTGCAGGGGACGAAGCACCAGCGTCACCATAAACGCGCGATCCATTGGCGTAAGTGATATTTCCACGATCATTCAGCGCATACCGGTCCTCCGGATTGGGAACGAGATACTGTTCCGCGTCGTAGGCCGTCAGACTCCAGAACCCGGTCTCGTCCAGGGGCGGCTTGCTAGCGAAGGTGAAGATGTAGGCCTGTTTCGGGGCCAGATTGAGGGTCTTGTTCTTTCCACCTGCACTGTAGGATGGATAAAGAGCTTGCGATGCGTCGAGGGCAAGATACCCACTGTAAGCTACGAATGCGCGCATCGCATAGTTCGTGCCGTAGTCACCTTGCGCCGTGGGCGATAGACTGGTCCAGCCGTGGCTGAGGGTGAGTTCGTTCTGGGGCAAAGTTACCGCCGCGAAGATCTCCTGCTGAGAAGTCGTGTATGCGGCGGTTAGGTTTACGCCGTGAGGTGGCCGATAGCTTCCGTCTGGGTGGATACCGGCTTCGTGCAGCATGCGATTGACCCGGCCTAGGTCTGAGATGTCGCGCGGGGGATTGTGCGGTGCGATGCGGGCTGTTAGTTGCATGAGCTTGGTTGCTGGGTCGGAGGATAGGGAGGAGTTGAGCATGGAGATCGTTAGAGGCGGCGCGGTGGAATATTTGATGTTCTTCTCGACAGTGCGGAGATGGGTCTGGTTCTGCAGAGCGTGGAGCTGCGCCAGATCTTCCGGGGTGCCTTCTTTGACAGCGTACCGGGTGACGATGGTGCCGTATGGTGTTGGGGCGTTGACGTAGCCCTGGATGTGCCTGTCGCACTTCACCCGAGAACCTTTCTCTTTCTCGCCGCAAAGTTGGACACCGGGCTTGTGGTCGTGGTCTGCGCTGTACCGCAAGATATACGTGCCAGCTGTGTTGTTCGTCACGCTGCCGATATTGGCATAGTTGTTGGCATACCTAATAAACCCTCAGCAATTAACAAGCAACTAAGCAGCGCCGTGCCCGAGGCATTTGTGGAGTTACTCACGCATCGTAGAAAGGAAACACCCAGTACCGATTCTTGATGACGGGAATGTCAACAAGGACATCATGGTGCGACAGATCAATGACAGCAGTCGAGTATAAAGTGTCCACATTGGGGCGCACAACGTCGTGGAAGGCTGATGTGGCTAGCTCTCTCATATATTTGAAGCGATTGGTACCTTTTACCTCTTCGATAAGGGGGACGGCGAAGGGGACGAGAGCTTGGAGAGGGTATCCATACTAAATTGATGATCAGGGATATACATTGCGCAAGAGCATCCAGGTAGAAGTTAAACAACATACCGTCAGAGTAAATTGCGAGGCTTCGTGCACACTTGCCGAGGTACATACAGCACAGACCGCGGTGGCGAGCAAGTGCTGCAGCTTCATAATGCCAGGCAATCAAGTTAGTTGGAGGTTGGATTCTGTGAGAGCATTGCCCATTGGGGTCCATCCACTTAATAAATACTCCAAGGAAACACGGCTGTCGGTGGCTGTCGGTGGCCATCAACTTTAAAGTGATGCAACACTCTTGCAGGATTGCTCGTCATTCACTCAATCTCACTGGATCGATCGCCTTTTTCCATCTCCAGGGGCAGCGCATGGGTCGCTTTGCTTGCTTCGGCGTCGGCAAGTTCGGCAAGCAAGCGATTCCCCGCTTCTTCCTCTCGGCAATCTAACCAGAGGAGGCTACTCGAGGAGAAAAGACTAATACTGACAACGCGAGCAGGGTGGAGCACAAAGGGTATGTTGATAAATCGGGCGGAGCCACTACACATAAAGGACCATTACATCCCAAGACTATAAAACCAAGGACCGAGGAACCAAATCGCAACAATTCGACGCTGGTAAAAGTTCACAGGGGAAAAAGAAAAGGAGAAAGAAAAGAGGCTGGACAAGAACCACATGCATCGAAGCGCTTCAAAATCATTGGAGAGAAAAAAGGGTGTGGCGGGGAAGCAGCGCAGGGAAGCAAGCGAGACCCATAATATGCAACAGAAGACGGCTCAAAATAGAAACAAAATAAAGAAAGCAAGTATGTCGTAAATCGAGGGTGGGTGGAATAACCCATGCAGGGTATTCGAGAGAAAATAGAGAATCAGATGACCCAATCAGGATGAAACCCCCCCCCCTGGGGACTTTCTCTTCCAAAAAGGATCGGGGTCAAAGGAGGAAGGGCGTGGGTATCCAACAGCCCTGTTGCTGAGAAACAAAAATCCGGAGGGGAATACAAGTCAAGCCCGCGCCGGGGACACAGACCAAGAGAGCAGCGCCATCAACGCCTGCAAGTGAATCCGGGAACAAGAACAAAAAAGAAGCCGAAGAGAGATACGTGTGGTAATAGGGTAATCTGGAGCAGTCAGAAGCAAAAGGGCATCGATCGGTCTCCTCATTCCCGACGATGAGACCGAGCCCCGCGTGGAAAGGAATGGACCCCTTACAAAATACCCGAATCTATCAAGGCATTCTGCAAGATGGTCTCTTTGACCGCCGCAAAGACTAATCGAATGTTGGTAGTATCGGTGGCTTGGGTAAGGCTAGCGGGTAAACGTTAGAGACGAGATGTCGGTGGAAAAAGTGGGGACCTACTGTGGGTATAGATTCAAATGTGCTCGGTTCACCTGGTTAAACCGCCACAGAAGGTACTTTGCGGCGCGATTGACATCATTGCCGCCTGAATAGTCGGGGAAATAATTACTGAGGGGTGACCGTGGAAGCTTCTGTCGGAAGAGATCGACTTTGTTCAGGAAGAGAATGATGCTCGTCCGCATAAACCATCGGGAGTTGACCACGGAATCAAAGAGTACCAAACTCTCCATCATGCGATTCTGGGAATCTATCAGCCTCGCTGCCCTCAGTTTAGGAGGCCATTCCACTGATCCCTTACCTGGTTGCTCTCTTCCAGCAACGTCTGGTCATATTCGCTCAATGCAACGCAGAATATAATCGATGTCACATTCTCGAAGCAGTGGATCCATTTTTTGCGTTCGCTGCGTTGGCCCCCAACATCAAACATGCTGTGAAGTCGTTAGCGACATGTCCAACCTGACTAGGCAACGGGACCGACATACTGGATACTCAATTGACCCATCGTGAATCGCGTTTCGTAGATACCGGTGGTCTTGGTACGTGCGCGAAGCACATCCATGACATTTGGGATATATTCCGGGGAGGTTATTCGCCTGGCTTCCTCGAAGAAACTGAACGAGAATAAGTAAGCGCGCGGACTGGGAGACACCACAAGAGAAACTTACTAGGGTGCGGAGTCCATCAGGTAAAACTCGTTTTGGTGTTCCAGCGCCATTGCTGTACAGGGGTCATTCCACAGATATGTGATCGCATCGCCGACTTTCCCGTCGAGCGGCGTGTTGGGATCGGGGTCTACATTGTAATCTTCCAGGAAGGTGATGTAGTCTTGGACCTTTTGGCTGGTGGGCTCGAGCTCGAAGCGGTGGTAGGCCTCGATAAGCGATTTCGCGCAGTCCAGGAGGTTCTTGTAGACGGTCAAGCGGTACAGCGCAAGCTCTTCGACAGTGTAGCCATTCTGGTGAATAATCTTCATCTGTTTCACAATGGTCGACTTGCCACTTTCCCCGGAGCCTGTGGAACAGAGTTAGCCCACGTTCAGGAGAGCTAGTTTTCCCCGCGATTTGCGACACTTACCCAAGAGTAAGATCTTGCATTCTCTTCGTAGCCGCCGGGAATCTTCCTCGAGCTTCCGATCGATCATCTGGCTTCTCTTCTTCTGTTCCGCATCTTCGGTGGACTCCGAGCTGAGACACAGCCCCATGGTGAGATTATTTTCAGTCAACAGCCGAGGAAATTATCCATATACTGCGCGCAGAAGCTATCGGGAACAGCCCGTCAGTACGGCTGCCGGAGGGTTTGTGGGCGCCCAGGATAAAACTGGCAGACAACCACCCACCACCACGGAATTGACGTGACTAGCGAAAGACCGATGGTCGGGGAGTGGTGAGGGAGAAGATCGGCGCGATGGGAAGCGTGGTGTCTGGGATGAACGTGGGCGGTGGAGAGGCTGGGTGGTTGGTGTTGGGGGAGGTCGAGGGAGTTGCGGGGGGGCGAAATCAATCGGGTCGCCGGTAAGACAGGGACGGAGGGGGGCGGAGGGAGGATCGTGGTGAGAGGAGTCTGAAGGGGGCGAGAGCGGTCGGGACAGAGAGTGGCTGAGAAGGAGGATGGAGGGCGTCGAGGGAGTTGGGAGTCCGGTCGTCAGTCCGTCCGAGCTGGGGGAGTGAGAAGGAAAGAAAAGAGAACGTGGTGGTTGGTGTCATGCTGGGGAGGCTCATGGGGAATAATACAGTATGTAGTTACAGTGGTGTATGTAATGCCCCCAACGCGGTCAGACTCGGGGCCCTGGGAGAACCCGGAGAAAGAATGACACCGCCAGAACTGAACTGGTTTAGTTGACCCCGGGCGCCACGGAAGTCCTCTTCAATGGGATCGGGAGTCCGATTTTTCCCTTTGAAGGGGAGCGCTAGTCGAGCTACTATCTACACGGAGAGACGATATCGTATGTAATAATTCGGAGTTGGCATGGCCATTCTTCCGTTGGATGCAAAAGTGGTGACGCTAGGAGCCTGGTGGCCTCAGGCAGCGCAGCCACGGGGGCCCGTTCTATATGAGGGGGGACCTAAGCGGACTCACTAAGAAAGGTCTTTGTTCGGCTGTTTCAGGTCTCCCTGCGGTCTTGTGCAACGAGAATACACCCACGGAGAAGCGGTCAACCAAGGCGCCGGAGGCTGTGTCCGGTGGAAGTCTCTTCCGGGGGAGGTGGATGGGTAGAACAACTAACACCCATACAAATATGTAGGGGAAGTCAAGAGTGCTATTATTAGTAGAGAGAGAGAAGGACTACAATTCATCCTCGCAGTGTATATTTCATGAACTGGTTCGCTTGGGCTTCGAGTGTTCTAGTCCCCCAACATTGACCAACAGGAGGCTGAGTCAGCCGCGCAGAAACCTGCTCGGTCGCGGACGTCATCGTCCTTGTTTTCTCTTCGTCGTTGCGCCTCGTTTCTTCCCCCACATCAACGACGTGAATTCCCCTTTTTGCCTTCCTTTCCCCCTTCCAGTCTTTCTTTAATCCTAATCCAAAATGGCCGAATTCGTGCGCGCCCAGATCTTCGGCACCACGTTCGAGATCACCAGCCGGTGCGCAATGGCCCCCCACCGGACGGCTATCCCGCCAGGATCACTGACCCGGCTCTTCTAGATATACGGACCTGCAACCGGTTGGAATGGGTGCATTTGGCCTGGTCTGGTACGTTTCGCCACACACGAGTGTGTCGCATTGTGCCCCGGCACAGGCTAACCGGAATGCGAACCTGATAGCTCGGCAAGAGACCAATTGACCGGCCAGCCGGTCGCCGTCAAGAAGATCATGAAGCCCTTTAGCACCCCGGTGCTCTCCAAGCGAACCTATCGCGAGCTGAAGCTGCTCAAACATCTGCGACATGAAAACGTCCGTCTCCTCATCGCGGGGTGAGCAAGCGCCAAATCCGCTGACCATTCGCACAGATCATTAGCCTCAGTGATATCTTCATCTCCCCACTCGAGGACCTGTACGACTCCCAGATTTTTGAGTCGCCCTGAATCACAGGCTAATGAATGACCACAGCTATTTCGTGACCGAGCTTCTGGGGACCGATCTCCACCGCCTCCTGACTTCCCGGCCGCTGGAGAAACAATTCATCCAGTACTTCCTCTACCAAATCTTGGTAAGTTGGAGTCACCGTGGTATTCTGACCCATTTCGCTGACATGTGATAGCGTGGGTTGAAATACGTTCATTCGGCCGGTGTGGTCCACCGAGACCTGAAACCCAGTAACATCCTCATTAATGAAAATTGCGATCTCAAAATTTGCGATTTTGGCCTTGCCCGCATCCAGGATCCGCAGATGACCGGCTACGTCTCAACCCGGTACTATCGGGCTCCCGAGATCATGCTCACCTGGCAGAAATACGACGTGGAGGTGGACATCTGGAGTGCGGGTTGCATTTTCGCGGAAATGTTGGAAGGAAAGCCGCTGTTCCCCGGCAAGGACCACGTGAACCAGTTCTCGATCATCACGGAGCTTCTGGGTACTCCTCCGGATGATGTGATTGGAACCATCTGCAGCGAAAACGTGAGCAACGCCAGTGCGCGGCCATTCTTCATGATGCTAATCTTGCGGATTCTAGACTCTCCGGTTCGTCAAGTCGTTACCAAAGCGTGAACGCCAGCCCCTCGCCATGAAATTCAAGAACGCGGACTCCGATGGTACGTGATGGGTGAAAATTCTCCGGTTGGCCTTGAACTGACATGTTGCAGCCGTGGACATGCTCGAGCGCATGCTGGTTTTCGACCCGAAGAAGCGCATCCGGGCCGAGGACGCACTGGCCCACGCCTACCTGGCACCATACCACGATCCGACCGACGAGCCGGTCGCCCAGGAGAAGTTCGACTGGTCGTTCAATGACGCGGATCTGCCTGTGGACACCTGGAAGATCATGATGTACTCGGAGATTCTTGACTTCCACAACATCGATCAAAACTCGGAGGCAGGCCAAATACTGGTAGAGGGCGGCGTACATGGCAACCATCAGCACTCCTTCGCATAGTGGCTCAGGGCATTGGGCGAGTCCGGTGGTGGTCCAGGACTTTTGGATCATATCTTTCTTTTTCTTTATTTTGCAAATCTGGCGTGTGTTTGATTGGAAGCCATTTATTTTGTCCATAGTCTGGCGTCGTCAGAGCTGGTTGGTTGGTGATCGGAGAAATAATAAATTCACTCATCTTGATCTATTTCTGTAAATTATATATAGACCGGGTGACTTGCTCTTTCCGTTTTAGTGCTCACCCCTCGCTCCCTGAGTAGAACCGAGCCCGACCTGAGCGGCCTGAGTAAGCCCACCCCCCAATAAAATGCACCCTGCAGTACTCCAACTGTTGACACTGGTTTGTCGAATCTATGATCACTGTCCGTCCGCGAGCGATATGAATGAACAACCCAAGGCTTTTATATGCCCTGGCTGCAATGGTCAAACATAGATTGAGTTCAAGACTGAAGTATTCTGGTTCAATTCATTGTATACATTCTACATTCTGGTCCAGCAACAACAAGTTCTCTCCATTACTTCACGATGATCGATGTACTTTACACGAAACTGACATACGCCCTTTATCTCCATGCCTCCACACCTGGGCCTGTCGTTCGACTTTCAGCTTCTAGGATCTCTTGAGCGACATCTATAGTTGCGGCAGGCGACATGGCATCGAGACTCCATCCCTCAAAACCGACGTCTCATCCGTGAGATGATAGGGCAACAAACACAACACCTCATCTTCAAGCCTCCCCATGAGCCTGCTTATACTCCAACCAATCATCCTGTCTCGGAAAGGGGGTTGCAGGTACATCCAGTCCCAAAAACGCGCAAAGGGGCTCCCATCCGTCCTTAGCCTCGTACACCAGCAGCCTATTCTTCGGCGCAATCGCCCGGACATGAGCATTGTGTGTCCGGTACCTCTCCCTCCCATATAGGGGAAAGTCATTCTGCCACATATGGCGATGGTACTTGTCTGCCAATTGCCTCATAGGCGTGCCCTTGGGAGCATCGGGCGCACTCCACGCATGCCACAGGGTCGCCATGATGGAATCGAACCATTTGTCTTCATCCCGCACCGTAAGGATGATCTTGGCCTCGGGAAACGCCGCGATCAATTCGTCTGCGAAAATGGCTGCCGGGAAGTCCGACACACCCTTTGCTTGCGGTCAGTAAACCATGACCAGACCTCGAAGCCAGGTTTTTGGGATGGTTACTGCGAAGTCACCCAAGAAGCCCTCAAACTCCTTTCGTCCAAAAGGGTTACCGCGCCCCTCAAATTTAGCCTCCAGGGCAGTGATCCACTGGCCTTGATGGTTGTTCTTGCTCACATCGCGCATGTGGTAGATCGGACCCTGCCCGAGCTCGGCTAACGCGTCTGCGAGGGCTAGATGCCGGGTGAGACAGAACTAAACATCGAAGCTCCCAGCAGCTTACATTGGGTTCCAGTCCGGGGCATGCCCAGGACGAGGATCTTCAGATGGCCTCCGTCGGGAACTGTAGTCATGATGATAGGTGGTCGGGGACAGTCACTCTATACCTTCAAGCGGTCCTCCTGCTCATCTTTAAACCGACGTAGAGACTGAGATCAGCTGCCACAAACGGGAAGCTTGTGAAACTAACGGAGCGGACCGGGATCGACGGCCTTATCGGGCGTGCCGCACTCTTTATCTCCGAATACATCGTTCCAAGATTGACCTGTTTCGAGCCAGAATTGGGAACTGAGTCTCTGTAGATATATATAGTGGTGAAACTGATTTCGAACCATTCGTAAAGAGTTAGGCGTTTGGGATGAGGAAAGGATTGATCATATTAGCATATCTTACTTAAATAATCAATATTTGGAGAAGCTAGCTGAGAAGTGTTGCGTCTAGCGAGATTGTATTGGCTTTGATGTTTTCGTAGTTGGTTGGTTAGTGGGTCACAATGGATAACTACCACTAAGGCAGTACTATGGTCATCAGAATTGGATCACCAATTTTAGTTGAACTGGTCACAGATTAAAATCCGACCCTGGCCGGACTCCCAAGCCCATCTTCTCGTAGGTCCGGTCAAGTGTTTCCATCTGGTCAATGCTATCCTCATGATCGACCCAGACGCTCGTCGGTCTCCCTTTGACTTTATTCACAAATTCCTCCAGCATATATCGATACGTCGGCCACCAGTCTTCTCCTGATCGATTTCTCACCTCCTCCGGTGCATCCACGTCATCTCGATACTTATATATCTTGTAGTGTTTTTCTTCGGTCCAACGCTTCACGAGCGATCCATCGGTCTTTTTGCGCAGTTCAAGCGTATCCGCCACATCAATTCGATGGTATATATTCATCAGTGCCAAAGTATTCCACATCGTCACATTCCGCTGAACGGTCTGTATTTGTTCGTCTGTCGCCTTGTAGCGAGAATCGGTGCTGGGAAGTTCTTTCTTCGCACACTCCACCACGGCTTTCGGCCACCCGAAACTCGGCCAATTCATCGTCCAGGACGCCGGCAAGAACGCAGGGAATCCACCAGAGGACGCAAGATCCGCAACCATCGTTCCTATCGCACCACCATCTGCTGCTTTATACGTCGCACCAACCATCTGATCGACCTTCGACTGATCGCCGACATCCTTCTTCGTGGGCGGAATTGGTCGATACGTCACATCGACCGGGTCGAGTCGTGACCGTAGAATCTGTCGCAGTGCAGAGACAGTGTATGTCCCGAAGTCCATCAGGCATCCTCCTGCCAGCTTGTAGTTAAAGCGAATGTCGTCAGCACCAAAATATCCCTTGAAAAGATATTGTTGAACGTAAGCATTCTTAACCGGGCCAGCGCGAGGATCGGTGTGGATCAATGAGAGAAATTTCTGGAACGCTGGGTGGAATTTGTTGTGGAAGGCCTCGAGCAGGACAGGCGCGTCTGCTGCCGTTACCAGTGGGTGTCGGAAGAGGCGACGCGCTTCGTCAGCGTTCGATGTGGATGGTTTCTCGAGAAGGACATGTTTTCCGGCTTTGACGGCTTTGAGAGCCCATTCGTAGTGGTGAGAGTTGGGGAGGGCGATGTAGACGGCGGAAATGGAAGGGTCGTCCAGTATGTCTGCAGTGACTCGTTAGCGTTCGAAGTAGTCTTGTTTCCGACCATGACAATTCCCCATCGGCATGTGGACTCGGGAGTAATATACCTTGATAACTGTCATGCACGGTTGGAATTGAATACTTTTTAGCATAGGTCTCCGCTTTCTTGCGATCGCGGGCTGCTACAGCGGCGATGACAACCTCAGCATGCGACTTGGCAGGATGGATCAATGCCATGGGACTGGAGGCTGGTCAGATGGAGATTACTCAATTGTCCGGCTGTGGACCTGTAGGGTACTGACGCAATGTTTGATGCGCCCACCAATCCGAATCGCAGCGCGTCGTCCTTCTTCTCCGGGGCAGGCGAACTCGCGGTAGCCCAAAGCCGTTGGATGAAAGCAAATACCATGATGGGCAAAGAGAGCTACTCTCCTCAGTTCATAGATAGATGAAGATCCTTGTGGGGGATTCAATGTCAGCTCAGAAGTGGGGATCGCAGAAGCTGGGCGGCCCCGTTCACTCCTCCAGCGCACAGGCCCGCAAGTGAACCACCGCAAAGCCACACGTGATCAGAGTGATACATGGAGTCCAAAGGCAGTCGAGGAAGACCCAGGGGTTTCAGACAAGTCGACAGCCTTTGATTATTGTCATGGACGCCTTGAGTGAGTGTGAACGGGAAAACAATACAGCTTCTTTCACAAGCAGCTCGGGCTGAATCAACATGCTTTTTGAGGTTACAAGCAAGCCTCAGCTGCCAGCAGATCTGGGATTCAGGAAATTGAACACAGGGATTGCCAATATCTGGTTCTGCATGAAATCCCGGCAGAGGGTTCATACAGCTAGAATTGTACGCCAATTACTTGAGGATTTAAATATCGAGTTCATGCAATGGTTGCCGTACTCTCCGGATTTAGACCCTCTTGAAAACCTTGGGGCTCTTATGAAGCAGGAGATGTATATTCTCGATCCGGGGCTGAAACATGAGCCAGATAATGAGTAGACAACAGCAGATAAGATATGCGACTTCTGGTATACACTAGTTACGAACGCCTCCAATAATTTCAATCTGGAGGTCACGAAATGGCTGATCCCGAAGCTCTCTAGATTATCCTCATTTGATGTGACGTCTCTTGGCCTCATGATTATTTAATCACTCCCACCAGGAACGGCAGGTGGAAAATAGAGAGCGCCAGAAATGCTGGGCGTATCATAATCCTGTGTATCCAGTACATACACCGCCTAGCCCCGATCCACCGTATCGGGCGTGTTTGTGTCGATCGAGAGTGGGAATTTGTTACCCTCGTGGGGCATCATCTATCTCCCAACTACTACTACCTACCCTTCCCGACCTTGGCTCTACCTCGCATACCCCAACCCCCTTTCCGCTGATCGATACCGGCCTGGTCTCGTCCCACGTCATCTCCCTCTCGACCTCGTGTCGCTCGTCGAGATGGGCGCCCAGCACCGACAGGACCCGATAGTCCTGGTGATTGACTTTCACCATGCGAGGTGAGTGTCTTTGCCGACAATTTGAACACAGAAAATCACTAATAGATCCTTTCCCGGGTGCAGGGGACCGGAAATCGAATTCACCGTCGGCGACGAGGGGACAGACCCCGCGGCAGAGAACGATTGGTCTCTGCTGCCATTTATGGCCTTGTCGGATGGAGCACACCTGTAAGTAGACTGCCTTGCTGTCGGCTTGCTCCTCGAGGACTCAACTCACAAGGTCTTTCAAGGTCAACCGAGGAATTCTCCTATTTCACCCTCTGCCGAAAGGAATCCCCCACAACTCCCGCCACGTCCCTGTTCGGTATCGCCTGCTCCCGCCAGATGGACTCCAATCGCCTGATCAATCGTTCGCCGGAGGTGACAAGGTCAACGGTGCAGAAGGCTGTGGTGGTCGTGACGGATAGTCCGCAGAGCGTGGGACAGTTGCGGGAGAAGCTCTCCGTGGTGACCTCGGCTTGGTTTGCACAACGGTAAGGCAACAGTAGATCTCGGTTCTTGTCAAGATGCACGCTATGAATTGGAATGGGGTATACTGACTGGTGGGTAATAGGGATTTTTCGGATATTGAAATCTTGAAGGTAGGCCCTGCGATGAACCCTGTTGTTGAAAGATGGCGTACTCAATTGGCACGTAGAAATTCCGGGAGGGTCTCCGAATGAGTTTGCTGAATGATGATGGCGCGAAAGATCAGACCTTGGGTAAGATGCTCCAGGGAAATAACGCGGGTGAAGCTGATCGACAACCCAGGTTTATCTCTCCGAGAGATGATTCGTGAATTCAAACACCAGACCCTCGTCCTCTTTAAGGGACTATTACTGCAGCCCAAGATGCTCTTCTTCGGCTCTCGCTGCGAGCGTCTGTGCATGATTCAGTTCTCACTAATATCATTGATACCTGGCCTCATACACAGCCTCCAGGACTGCGCAGACCCAGCATTCGACAACTATGCGCAGACTGTCGAGAAGCCAACATCGCTCAAGACAAGTGACCGAGCTTCTCGTAGGTTACTCGAATCGTACCTGTGGACCGTGTACTAATTGTCTCAGTGTTGGCCTATATGGGCCTGCCATTGCAGATATTCGGAAAGGTACAGACCGTTCTCCCCATGCGCCTGAAGGTCTGATGTCTAACTCATTCTCTAGGGAAGCATGTTTGGACCATATACACCTCTCCAGCAGCTGGATCTGCTGGCGGATGACGGAACGAAGTCGTACGTGGTGGGATCTACGAACTCACTTCTTCTACAACAAAAGGACCGGTACAGCGACATCTTAATCAACGTAAGGCATTCTTTGGGCGTATTTTCTGGCGATGCTCATCTTTTGTGTTTTAGCTCGATGAGGACACCATCACCATTCCGTCGATTCCGCTTCGAACCGCTCTGGCTCTCTCTGTAGCTGACCGGCGCTGGATCGACCTTCTGACCCAAATCGTCAATGAAACCTGGGACGAGGCTCACCCGAATCAACCCAAAACCCACGGATTCATGGGGTCGGAAGAGTTCATTCGACTTCAGTTTGAAGAGTACCTTTTGGCATTGCTTTCTTCCATGAAATATCACGAAGAGCTCTCATCCACATCAGGGGATTCTGCCAACCGAGGCCGAGCACAGCTACAGAACTTCAATATCGAAGGAGATCCCGCGCTTGATTTCAATCCGGATTTCCTGGCCCAGTGGCGAAAAACCGCCAACTACGCCTTATTCACGCGCCTCACGTCCGACGCGCTCTTATTCTCTATCACCGAACCGAAGCACCCCAGTGCGGGCGGGCTGACGGTGGACGACATTCAGCGCCGGCTATCACAGCAAGTAGCCGATCTTCATCTGGATGAGCGGGTGCGCGAAGGCCGGGAGGCGCTCAACCGCCACCTTTCAACGGGACAGAAGAGAGTGAGTGCCGCGTTCAACAGTTTCTGGTCGGATATCGAATCTATGCGCGAAGCCCAGAAAAAACGGAACGAGGGAAAATCCTCACCGTCACAGCGCTCCTCCACTGATAAAGGTGGCCCAGGGTCTCCCCCACCCGAAGACAACACCGACGCCTCTGCAGGATGGTTCGCCGGCCGGCGAACAGGCTCCATCGACGTCTCCCAGGCCCAAGCCTCCGTAACCGCAGCCGGCCAGAAAGCAGGCTCATATCTCAGTTCCTGGGGTTCCTGGGCCAGCGAGAAACGCCGCGAATGGCAGGACAAACGCAGCGACTCGCCTGGTGGTGGTAGCGCGGGCATGACCACATCCCCATCCGCACCGACCTTGCCCGTGGTGAACGAGGCCGCCGAGTCAGACCGCGGTCGCCGGCGCTCCATGCACCGGCAAAGTGAAGACTCCAACGGTCTGAACCGCAGTCTCAGTCGTCGCAAGCGATGGAGCAATATCCTCCTCCGTCGTGACAGCGGCGAGTTCGCGACGCAGAAACATGATGAGAGTCTCGGGCCGGATTCGTCGAGTCTTGATCAGCCGTATCCGAAATCGCCTCTTTCGAGGGGCTTCCCGGCGTATGAGACTGAGAGTGAAGAGAGAGCGAAAGAATACGAGAAACCGTCTCAAAGAAGCGAGAAAGATATTTCCGTTCCTGAGATACCAGAATCACAGCCCGTGGACGAGGATGGCTTCTCGGCTGTCCCTCTCTCTTCCAATGAAGGCCTAGGAGTGGACTTGAAGAAAGATGAGGTTGTGACTCAGGAGAAGCCGGGCACACAACGCATCGCCGAGTCTACTCCCGAGAACTTGGAGAACGAATCCCCTCATCCTAAATAATCTTTGTTTTGGCCCACAGTGAAGTGCATTCATTTCAATTGGTTATATGCACATATTCGGAACATGTAGACATTGCATTGCATTACATCTCTGTTGCACAGCTTACCCCATTATCTCTCTTTTTCTTGATTCTGAATTCTTCTCTTCCTTCCTGTCTATAATAATATCCTGCATTTGTCTTTTGTTTCCCCTTCCCATTAACACCAGCCTGTGGATGGATATCCCTAGGACTGCCCATTGATAGCATATACATCGGGTTTTTTTTATTTCTATAACTGGGGTTGAGAAATAGAACTAGGAAAATTAATTGGTAATTCTCTTAGAAACGTGTCTGTGTCACACCATTCTACCCCAGGCCAATACACTATGAAGTAGTAACGCTTCGTCATGCCCATCAGCAAAATATCCTGACAAATTTCCATATTAACTGATGGGAAAACAGCGCCCCAGTTGGCAGCAGGGGCGGGCCATCATGAGATGGTAAGGCTGCTTTTGGACCGGTGTGATAGCGCATCTTTTAGGAAAAGTTGTAACCGGCGACGCTCCTCGGAACGCCGTTTCTAAACTCCTCGGAGGCGGCATTTTGCCCCCTACTACTCTAGGTATGCATACAATTCGTTCACAATTTTGGGAAGCGTGTCAAAACAAACAACCCTGTCAGACGCTTGTTTCCGCCATATAAGCGAAGCGGGTCCATGCTCAAAACAATGCCGAGTCCCTTGTTTCTTTACCTTCCTATTGCAGACGTCTTATCAACAAGTTGACAATAATGGCTTGGTTGGTACTTTCTTTATCTGTTTGGTCAAACCCCCACCGGCAATCAGTCTCTCTGCACAGTTTTTGTATATCCATCCGTAGCACAACAACAATCGACAATTAATCTCGAAAGTGGCCCTATTTTTCCTTCAGTCAAGCTGCTCCGCCCCGGCAAACATAGATTGGCCGCACGGATGGATCTGCGGTCATAGCTACGGAACCACGGACACGATAGTAATGCTCCACATCCCGGTGGGGACCGCCGATTAGAAGGACAACATTGACAGATAAATAATGAGAAAGGACGGCATTTACATGCGGCTATCTGAGAGGGGCAAATAATAACTAACGGGGAGGCGCCGAACTAGGGCGCCAGGGCGGGCGCCTCCACTAATCAGAAACTAATCTCCTCCGTAGACCCAATGCCCACTGTCGACTTTTCTGGGATTAGAAAAAACTAGCAAACCCAATGATACGAGAGCCAGTCGGCTGTAGGCATATAAAGAAACCAAAAACAACAGTCATTAGCAGCTACTTTATCACTCCTGCTATTGATGAGCATTGAAAGACAGAGGCCACATTTAAAATCATTATTCAGGTCGGGCACACAAACAGACCACTTTTGTTGCCATAGGGCAATCCGGGCTAAAATCCTAGTTAATACATAGCACCTGAGCGAAACGACTAAGGACACCGGGACAATGGCTATGGAGTGATCGACAGGAAGAATGTTGTAAGCGGCGTTAGGACAGAGTCGGGAAAAACGAGGCGTGGCGTCTAGAACGGGGCCTGCTAGGTCGTGCCGTGCGCCGCCAATCTGGGCCCTAGAGGCTAGTTAGGGCTTCCTTCGACTGGATTCCGTATTCCGTAATGTATTAATAAATCGGACGATCATCAATAATATGCAATAACATATCTCAAGATTCGCGTCAGGGAACAGGTGGTACAGGGAACTGGTAGTGGAGACAATTAATATCTGAAGCGATTAGGATTGAAGGTCCTTACGAACTAGCCGGTCCGTCGGGAACAGGGTCACGACAAACACGTTTTTGGCAGGGATGCTCGAAGGATCGTGGTTGGAACGCGCTAACTAGATCCCTGTCAGGGGCACTTCCCGTGCAAGTACACCCAAAATACCTAAATCTAGTAATTTTGGGGGAACCAAGATTTGCAAAATCGTGCACGTTCTCTTCGTGAATATACTTTTCTCTCGATAAACTTCATCGAGAAACATGTATAACCCTCACGCAAATGCTTGGTCGATGCGCAGCGCTTAGGAAATGGGCGAGCTATTCGATTTTCGGACCCAACCACCTGCTAGGCTGAGCATTATGTACTGTCACTATGGACCTCAGTTACGGCGCTAGTTAGTGAGCGGGTCCGCCGCCATCCCGTCTTGCCGTGGCCACCTAACCGAATTCCCGGCTGGATAAAGAAGAGGTTTGAGGGGATTTTTTTTGTTTTTTGCGGGGGTGGATGATTATTATTAGGCCTTTAGGGATCAAGTCCAGGCGCAGATCGAAAAATATTCGCCGAGACATTGAATTCTATCGAGCCTCTTCTCGCCCGGTCCCAACCCTCCCTACTCTCCGTCGTTGCTACTTGTCCTCCGCCAAAGGATGGGAGCTGTTGACCCTATCAAGGTGAGATCTATTCTCGATGATGTGCTAGTTTGTTAGCCATCGCATGTGAGGACCACGGAGCTAACCCGATGCTAAGATCGCGATTTTGGATTCGTCTTCCTAGGGCTGCACGTCACACCCGCAACCTGGCGATATTCCTTTCCCTCACCGTGTCCATCACGGCGCCCAGACACTCAAAACGACAGGAGCCCGACTTGTGAGCGGTCCGTTGCTCACCAGGCGACGCTCCAATGGCTTCTTCCTGCCCACACCCGTTTCTTGCCGAGTCGCTTTTTCCAGCCACCGGAGGAGGTGAGCAAATATGCGCCTCTATTTATGGCCGTATGTTAACGGCGCAATAGCTGTGTTAGGTCGATGGTGTGAGAAATTGGGAGATGTGTCCTGCTGCCTCCCATGTCCGTCCAGCTATTGGAGATGGAATACTGTTCAATGTAAACGCAATCCGGAAGAAGCTCTTATCATTAACTAACGCCGTCCAGGGCTCACTGATGATGTGCGAATAGAGCTATGGCCGAGCATCCCCGTTCTCATTCTACTCGTCTGGTTACTGGTCACTTATGCCATCTTCCCTGCAAATGTGACGGACCGTCATTATCTAGCTGTCAGTCCAACGATTGGATTTGTGTGTATTTCGGTATGTTCCTCGGAGGTTCTGTGACTACCAGAACGCAGTGAGACTAATTCAGCTATCAGATCGCGTTTATTAGCCCTAACAAGGGTCAACCGAAAAAGTGTTACAATGAAATCACTCCAAATGACATGGCAAACGACGCAAGATGTGCTTTTATGGCAGTCACCTTATTTTTCGGGGCGTGGGTGGTAATCCTCAGCTGTGAGATATCTCTTCACTCCAGCATCATGTTGGGCTATGCTGACAATTAGCAGGCTTCTTCAGATCCATCGCACTGCATCTTTCTGTCTTTTGGCAGATCAAACCCGGCCCCACATACAAGTATGTCTCGATCGGCCTCATTTACCTAGGATCTGCTGCACTCGTCGCCATCGCCTTGTCCATCACCGGTGCTGAATACACCTTCGGCCGGTCGACCTATCTGAGCCCAAACCACGCCGTAGCAACCTTCTGGGCTCCTTTCCTGGCCTTCTCCTCTGCCGCTCTGGTTATCCAAATCCTCACAATAGCGCAATGTGTCATCCTCGTTCTCCGACCGTGGTACAATTACCAGAAGCTAAAATGGTCGGGTTACACTCCTTCTGCTAATGAAGAGCGTATCATCGGTGCACAGCAAACAGCATCCAGAATCAGGAAGATTATACAGTTGCAATGGCGAGCCTCTTTGGTTACAGTTCTGATCACGATCTACGTCTGCTTCCTGGCCGCTGTTTTCATGCAGCTGCGCCAATTCCACGATTATCCCCTGCCAGATAGGCTCGCATGGTTCGAGTGCCTCGCGTCATCCAAGGGGGACAAGTATTCGTGCCTTCCTCTCGCCATACCTTTGGGGCCTATTGAACCAGAACTCTGGGCCGTTGTGTTCATGCTTGTGGTGAGTCTTTTATCTCTCCACCGGATAACCTCGAAGCTTGCTAACTTTTTGTTCTTCAGCTGAGTGGCTTATTGGCCGTCGCCATCTTTTTCCGTTCGTCAATGATTCGAGCCTGGATGAACTTACTGAAAGGGGAGAAGCGGCCGATTACTCCGGTTCATCGACTGAGTGAGCTGACTGACCCGCCCCGACCAGAAAGTGAGCAGGACGAGGAGAATGCAGCGCCGTCTGGCCGAATCACCTACGAGGACCTCTATGACTCAAACAGCCTGATGAAAAGCCAGACGGTTCCATACCACCATGTGAATTAGCTTAAACTTGTGTATTTTGTTGGATGGGAGTTCGTTTTCACTACTGCTGGACCTATAAAAATTCAAGATCCAAGATTGGGAATCTTGAGGATTTCACCAATACTTCTCGTCTGCTGTGCCGTCTAGTATTTATATATAATTAGTGCGGGTGCGAGTGAGTCGTGATTACTCTCGATGGCTTATCATGACTCATCCGGAGATATCAACGAGGGACGCCTAAGCTAAGATATGGAGATATTTGGGGGCCTAAACCACTATCTATAAAGATGTCCCCAGCCCTGCAATCGGTAAATCCCCAGTTCTCGACATCACTGCAATAATATACTGCAATAATGGCTGCCTCCGTACCCGAAAGTGCAATCTACAACCCCTTCCGCTCCAAGCGCCTCCTCTTCCGCGCACTAGAAGAGAACGAAAAAGACGACGCCTTCTTCAATAAGCTATGCCTGGAACCACAAGTGATGTTCATGGCCTCGCCAGTGCCGAGCACACCCATGAACGCAGCGGCAATAAAAGAGCTACGAAAGGAATTCGAAAAAGATTCCTTGCTCATAGTCTTGATCTGCAAACAGCCCGAATCGGCAGACGCGGAAGCCGAGCCCATTGGGTTGACGGCTCTCAGGAAGAACAAAATGGAGCATCATCGGAGCGCGGAGCTTGGGATTATGATCATGCCGGAGCACCAGGGGAAGGGGTATGGGCCTGAGGCTATTTCATGGGTTCTTGATTGGGGGTTCATCTCGCAGGGGTTGCATCGCATTGAACTTGGGGCGTACGAATTAAACGAACGAGCGCAGAAGGCGTATGTGGGGATGGGGTGGGTTGTTGAGGGGAGGAGAAGGGAGGCGTTATTCAAAGCTGGGCGCTTTTGGGATATCATTATTATGGGAATTTTGGCGGCTGAGTGGAAGGACAAGAAGAGGGCTGAGACCTAGACTTCCAAGGATGCAAGTCGAAGAATTCAATCGAGCATACACAAAGTGGCAAGGAGCTTGTCTGCGGTATGAACTCTGCACGAGAAAGGGAAGGAAAACCGGGTTATCATTGGTCTGTCGTCTCAGCGCTATGAAGATGAGAAGATAAATAAGAAAATTGCACACAATCCAGACAGACATGTCGCGCTCCGCGAGGCGGGTCCTTGAGTCCCAGTAGCAGACCCGACACATGCCCATTTTGCCATCAATGTCGCAGACATATGGTAAAAAGAAAGCTCGGAGATAGATGATCCACCAACAAAAAGAGGGGGGAACACACATGCAAGATAGCAAGTTTGGGAAGGGAGAAAGATGAGCAAGAGATGCGAGCAGGGCTTAAGCAATGTAGGAGATCTCGTCTCCGTCCAAACGTTCGATATAATCCTTTTCCATGAGAGCTTCGATGTTCTTCTTGATGTCGGGGATCTTGGGCGGGAAGCGCGACTTGACCTGCTGGATGACTTCCTGGACCAGCTGGACGTGCTTCATCTTCTTGCGCGATTTCATGATACGGACAATGGCCGACTGGAAAACGGGTTAATAATGGCTATTGACAGACAGAGAAAAGACAAGCTCACCTGCAATAGCAGTTTTCGATCCTCTTCTATCGTCTTATGTGTGTCGTCCGCCTCGACCTTTTGTTCGGACTTGATCTGGATGTTCAGGTTGACTTTAATTTTCTTGTTCTTGAAGTTGTAGTTTAGGGAGAAGGTGGTGGATGGGTCGGGCTTGGCACCCTCGGGGGAAGCCAGAAGCACCTTGGCCTTCAGGAGAATGCTGAGGTTGGGGTCGAGGATTTCAGGGCCGAGAGTGGTGGCCTTTTGGATTTCGGGATACGACAGTGTGTCGGTCTCGTTGAAGAGCAGCAAGATGCCCATTTGGTAGGTCGACACCTGGAAGGTGTATGGCACCTTGGTGTTTTTGATGTAGTTGGCCTTCACTTCACCTTTGCACAGCTGCCACAACCAGGTCAGTTTGCGGCCACTGTGTTTGTCGAAGTAGAACTTCTGGAACCGCTCGGCTGTCTTCACAATTTCCTGTGGTGCCAGGAAGACAGTGGTGGGCGGGTTGAGGGGCCAGAATCCGGTTCCCAAAATCTGGAAGTGCGAGTCGACCATCTTCTTCCGATCCTCATCATCCAGAACCTTTTCTTGCCAGTCCCGGTAGTTGGCGTTGAGATCCTTCGAGATCTGAATGTCTTGGAACATGCGCTGCAGTTTGTTCGTGTACTCGAAACCACACGCTTCCTTCAACTTGCTAATCATGCTGGTCTCCGCGTCATCGGTCACCGAGCTGACGTGCACCAGGCGCTTGGCCAGCATCTTGGAGTAGAACTTCTGGAAAACATCCTTGTCCTCGATGTACTTGAAGACGGTCATGATCTGCACTAACATCTCCTCGAGCTCCGACTCCTCGGCAGCCTTGGATCCCTTCTTAAGCAACGAGTCCGTGTAGCGGGCCAGTAGCTCGGGGGACTTGGTGGAGCTTGACTTGCAGATGCGGTTGCGGTTGACAAATTCTCGACATGCGTTGTCGAGAGAACGGACAAACTCAGACTCGCCGTTGAATGCCTCATCAACCAAGTTTTGATATCGCGTGTGAACCTGCAGCAGAGCGTCGACGTACAGCTTAGGCTCGAACGACTCGCCCTCTGCGGCAACCTTCTCGACCGCAGCCAAGCCGGCTCTCCTGACGTGGTTTTCAAAAGTGGCGCGCAGAGGATCCAAGCCCTCCTTGATGCGAGAAAGAAGTCGGTACATCCGAGCGAGATCCTCCTGGCGCTCGTTATCCAATAGAACCTGGAACTCATCTCGAAGCAAGGTTGAGTGGGCGGTGACGAGAACGTCCAAACAGGTCTCGGTAAGGATCTTGGTGACATCTGGATGCAAGTAAAGCCCCACACGGGCCTTCTCCTCGTCCAGCCGCGCCTCTGCCTTCTTCATGTATTCCACCACACTGTTCTCCGCGACAAACTGCCGGGATTCGTTCTCGTAGTACACCCGGGTGGCGTCGATGAACGGTCGCTGGAAGTATAGCCGGTAGACCTCGAGCGTAGGCTTGGTGCTGTCATTCTCATCCAGGCCAAGCGAGACAAAGGAATCCACGATACTCTTGATCTGAGATTGTTCGATCGTTTCGCCATTCCGCTGCTTCTCAATCAGGTTCAAGACCGCGTCCATGACCTTCTCATGGACATGCTCGAAGAAGTCATCCTTCCACTTGACCAGGTGCAGCGTATACACGTCGTAGACATTCTTCTTGCCCTCATCGATCTCGCGCTTAACCCAGTGGCGGTTAAGGTAGCGGAACAGGTGGTTGACGTATTTGGCGGCGGTTGTGTAACGGTTCCATTCGCGGATGTAGAATCCTAGAAGAGCTTCCTCGGAATGGCTCTGTGATTCCTTGTACACCGATTCGAGATGGCGCGAAAGATACCTCCCTAGTAATTTGTAGAGCTCTTCTCCAAGGAGATGTGCTATCCAGCGAGTCAGTATCAGTTCAGGGAATAGGAAGGGTCCGAACGAACCTCCACGATGTGTTTGTAAGGTATGACCCGTGGTGACCGCTTTCTGTGAAGTGCAAAAATTGTGCACCGCCCTGTTTTTAGAGTCAGCCCACATCCCCGAGCAAGATGGATGGTCGAAGAGATGTCGTACGTGTATAAGGCCATGTACTGGATGAGAGAAACGCATGTTAGTCGAATCACCATATGAGAAGCCTCCCGGTCCAGTAGTTAGACAGAGATAGCTTTGGGGAGCCACGTACAGTTTTCATATCCACTCCCTCTTCCAATTTCAGCATGACGCTGTTGATGCCCGCTTCCAAGAATGACCATCTGCGCTAATTTAGTCTCTGTTTCCTGCCGTATGCCATCACCATCGCTAACACAGCTGAGAGAGCACTCACGTTTCCTCAAGGTCATCCTTGTGAGGGGTTTGTGGCATCACTGGCGGCATGATGCTGTCGTGGGGCGGGAGGTCGGGGACAAGGGGAGAGAGAAATTTCAAGTCTGCAGTAACCGAGGTATAAGTTAATGAACATGCACCAGCATATTTATGGGCCCATATCAGGAGCAGACACCTCACGGTCACAGTTCAAGGGGGAGAGACCTCAGACGGTTGCAGCGGACAGAATAGACGCCTTGCAGACCGGTTCCGCAAGGACCATGCGCGCTGGCAAGATAGAATGGAATCTGCGAGAAACGAAGGACCTGAGCCAGAAGAAAGCCCCCCGAGAGTCCTGCAAAGCGAAAGAGAAGGAAGAGAAGGCCAAAGGATGTGGCGGGTGAGGCTGAGAGAGACCGTAGGGCGCGTGGGGAGGGACTTTTGGGCAGGCGGTCAGGGCTGACTAAGGGCATGGCCCAAGGACTACGTAGTTTGGATTGGTGATGAACGATGTATCAATGCCTGCTGATATCTCACAGACTCACGGGGGACAGGGGATTCCAGTTGGTACTGGCGAGGCGGAAGCTGGACAGTTCAGCGTCTCGTGGTAGGTGCACTGCTCCACCGGTCCCTCACGAGGCAGCCTGTTGCATCGGGTGGCCTTCTATAGTGAGTCATGTGAAACATCTAGGTGGCCGTCGATGGCGTTATCTCGTAGGCCCATCTGGTAATTGTCTAAATGACGCTATCTTCCGGTATGTGTGTAGGTGTCAATGTATGCTTCGATGTTTATCTGCCATGACGTCATGTCCAAGCTGAGAATAGGGTATGGATCGGTCTTGCTATACAACCACCACCAAACACCCTCCATCACCGAACACCATGACTGTCACCCCACAGTCGAACATCAAAGTGACCACCCGCCAAATCCCAAAATGGCACCGCATCCCCAACACCTCTATCCAGTCCCACCCACTCATGATCTACCATAGCGCCTTTGATACATCCGAGGAGCTGTCCGCGTGTCTGAAAGAGACCGGCGAAGTAGACCCGCAATGGGTCTACACCATGTACAGCCAGACCCATTTCCACTCCACCACACACGAGGTCCTGGGCGTGATCTCGGGCCGCGCCCGGCTGTGCTTCGGGGGCGAGGAGAATCCCGACCGGTTTGAGCCAACGGTGCAGCGGGGCGACCTCATCATTGTCCCTGCCGGGGTGGGACACCGACTCTTAGATGACCTGGACGGGAGTGCGGAGCCATTCAAAATGGTCGGTGCGTATCCTCGCGGGAAGCACTGGGATATGTGCTATGGGCAACCGGGGGAAGAGGCCAAGGTTGAGAACATCCAAAATCTGCCCTGGTTCAAGAGAGACCCGCTGTACGGAGATGATGGACCAGCTCTGCATGTCTAGCTGTACAAAAATGATCTATGCCGAAAGTTGGTGTGGTCGGCAGAAGCAAGGTTTCGCAACTCAAAATGCAAAATGAAAATTAGCAGAAAAGCAATGGGACTCGGTCACTTGGCCACTCTTTCAACGAGCCTATGAATATGTCAGTAAAGGAGCAACCCCAACGCCACAAGACTCAGGACATACCGGAGAACACTGAGGGCAAATGTCATAAGCCAAGCTAGTAGCGCGACCAACAGGACAGATGAAAGAGCTTTTTGTCGAACACAGATAGAATTGTTTTTTGGCTCCAAGGTATGGTTGACCTCGGCCTCCTTGCAAGAGCCAGTCACCTCCGCGAGGGAGTCAAATGCCAAACTCAGATTGGCCGCGTCGAAAACAATGAAGAAGAGATCCAGCAAAATCAGACGTGCTTTGGCGGAGGGGGACCGTAGACCTAGGGGTTTGGACGTGTACTCGTCAAACGTGATGTAGATAAGATAGACCAAGGCCACCGCATCAACAATAATGGCCATCAATGCCGACGGCCCCTGAGAACGATGCAAGCCGTTGGCGATGTGCTGGATGGAGCCTCCCAGCGCCAGGGCCGAGAGCGAGAAGCACCAGACCGTCAGACGCAGAACCAGAGGTACAATGGGGCTCTTGAGCAGGGAACTGTGGAAGCGCCTGAACCAGGCATCCCGTCGACGGCTCGCGGTGTGCAGTGGATATTCTGGGCTGTCGCCATCCAGGAGCTGGCCGCGCCATGGCTGGGAGTAATCGCCATGATTCTCATCCATCCATTCCGTCGTCACCCGATTCTCCTCCTCTCTGCCTGTCTCTCGGGGGTATTGGATCGCGCGTGAAAATGTTACCCAGCGCGATTCGCGGTCTTGCACGGTCGACTTGTCTTCTCCGAGCCGCTTCGGATCGCGCGACTCGGAACATTCGGGTCGGGGCGTATAGGGCGAATGGTTGTGTTGAGCGACAAGCGCATCGTTCGGTTGGGAGGGAAGCAGGCGATCGGTGGCGGTTGCTTCGTCGTCGTCGTCCGCCTCGATCTCGATTGACCGAATCCATGCTGTGTAGACCCATTGTCAGTCAAAACATCTTCACCTCCGGACTGGGCCGATCACCTACCGGGCAGTGTGCGCGTAACCTGTCGAGGCCCAACGACCTCCGGGATCATCATTCCCTCTGAGGTACGCAATGCCGAGTACTCCGAAGCGCTGTTGCGAACCGAATCACCCGCTTGGGTATCAATGCTCAGCTGGTTGAGGCGCGTAGCTGGGGCCCCTGGTCCTGAAGGAATGGGCATTTTCTCCGACAGACTCTCTTCAAAGACGCGCCCAGTGCCATTCTCGGCCTGGACGCCCTGCATCTCAGCCATGGCTGACGATGGGGAACACTGGCGAAAACAGCGAGACTGGAGGATGCAGCTTAATTGAGCCCAGGCCGCAGCATACCCCGCTGCCTACCGAGTGCCAATAGGTGGGTAAAAGATGCAAAAAGAAACAAAACAAACACGACCGAAAGAAGAACAGGCGAATGGGGGAGAAAACCAGCTAGGCGGAAGCTCTAGGCCGAACGAAGGTGCAGAATGACGTGTGGCGCGGGCGGACGTGTGGTTTCTGCCACTGCCTCCCAACTTGGTCATTATCAACCAAAGACATGCGGCTTGTTCACGACTGTTAGTTCCTGCTTCCCACCGATAGTCTCGATCATGCGCCTATTTCTGATCCCAATCTCGACGAGACGGGTGCTGATCTACGCTCGGCCACTGCGGAGGGATTCGCCCAAGGAGCTGTCCCTGCTGGACCGGGTCACCAGCAAAGCCGCTCAGACCTGGGCCACCTGGGAGGAAGCCGAGAAAGGCTGGAAGAAGCATCTCGTCCACTGGGGGAACCGAATGCAACAGCGCATCCCCTATGAAGAATGGGGACTGAAGAGCATCCCTTCGCTCAATGCGCAGCGGCGTCTGGATGACCAATATGGCACACACAAGATTGATGTGCTCTTCCCGGGCAACTCGGTGCGATTGAGCCGCATCCCCAATCTGCTGCGAGCGATTGCCACGGACAGGCAGGAATTGCATCGCAAGAAGATGTGGTGGAGCTTTGCGGCGGCGCCGATTACTGCGCCGCTGGGGCTGATCCCCATGTATGTGCTCTTTCGAAGCTGGTGGTCGCCGTGCTGATGGAGATGATGCAGAATCCCGAATATCCCCTTCTTCTATCTAGTTTATCGAGGCTGGTCTCATTGGCGAGGTTGGTGCTGCCGTCTCTGTTTATATGTATTATGCTGACCCGTGTCATCTGCAGCATTGAACGGCTCGAAACACTTGGAATATCTGGTGCAAAACGACCTTCTCAATCCTATATCCCTCCCCGAGCTGGAACGGCTATATGCCAAGCGCGCATCGTATGCGCTCGACGATACCCAGGTCGATACCCCGCCATCGGAGATGGTCGAGGACATGGAGCAGAGCGATGACCGGGTGTTACTGAAGATGTCCGATGCGAAGAAGCTGGCGTCAATTTTGGAGGCGCCCGAGCTGGCATTGGAAGCGGAGCGGGCCATTGTCCAGGTCAGCGGGCAGCTCAAAGCACAGCAAGAGCAAAAGGAGAAAGCTGAAGCTGACAAGAAGAGTCGCTGAGGACGTCGATCTACGCCACTCATCCATGTATCATAGATAGACACTAATCGCTCCTCTTGCTGCCTCCGTTCCAATTGAGTTTAAACAAGACGAAGAACAACAACTATATCCGGTATTACACCAGCTCACCCAGTATCAGCGTCGACACGAAGAGCAGTTGGGAAGTCACCTTGCTGTCTCCAATATTATATAATCAGACGTAAACAATGTAAACAAAGCTTCTCATCGGTATTCCTCATGGAACATCTCACCAGCAACTCTCAACCATGGATGATGAAAAATATACCCCGGAACAGATCGTATCGTGTTTGTCCTATCGACCTCGCCCCATAATGGAAGGAATGATCACAATTGCAGAGCCAGCCAAACGGTCATTCATCAAGCGCCAGGCCCCTTCGTCAGTTGGTTTCCTCGATCGCCTCCCCCTTGAAATACTACATTTGACGTTCAACCTTCTGGATTTTCAATCCTTATCATACTTTTCACGTACGTCTTTACAGGGCAAAACTCTTGTTGAGTCATTGCCAGCATATCGCGACCTAATGCAGTATGCGCCGCGCACTTTGAAAGCCCTAGGCCAAACTGGCCTTCTTCATTTTCACCCAGCTGCGACCATTTACCAAGCTATGCAGTCTAAGGCATGTATCTCCTGTGGAGAGTATGGAGCCTTCCTATTTCTTCTCACCTGCCAACGATGCTGCTATCACTGTCTGTGCGACAACACCGATCTATGGCTCATCTCATCCTCTCTTGCGCGGAAGTGCTTTTCCCTCACATCCAATGACCTGAAGCATGTTCCAACCTTACACAGCATCCCGGGAACGTACACTACTGACCAAAAATCACGTCGCCAACGCCTACGCCTTATCAATGTCAAGCAAGCCCGAGAACTTGAACCCAAGCTCCGTGGGCGCATAGATGCCCTAGGCAATTCCCGTATGGATATCAGATCCTTTCCAAGGGGAATGAGGAGTGTCCTATTCAGGTGTCTTCGCAAGGAACCTGTGCGGATAATAAATCAAGACCTCTCAACAGTGATGAGGGATCAGGTCGTTCATTCGGATGACTTTGAAGGAATGGGATCTATACCGTTTCCTTCGCTATCACCTACCCATGGTATTGATTATGGACTCTGGTGCTATGGGTGCAAATGGATGTTTAATAATATCCATTTGAAAGATCCTCTTCTATTAGACGTGATCGCCGATATAACACCCGCGGGCGTCAAACCATCTCGTATCCTTTTTGCTCGACAGAATCGCGCTCGATCCAAATCTGAGTTCCTGCAGCATGTACATGACTGCTATGGTGCGCAAAAACGAATGGCAAATCCATCGTCACGATTTCATACCTCCGACACAGACCCCGACCACTATGCAACCCTAGGATGAAAACCAATTTTGCCATAGAATCTAATAAACCTCCTCCATTGAGCATGAAATTGTACTTCAATAATCGCAACCTAACTTTCTGGGAGAAACTAAACACAAAAGAAAAAACGGAGTGGGATGAAAAAGGCGTGGGATATTCTTGAGAACCCCTAAGAATTCAAAAACGCCAGGGGACTGCGTATTGTATAGTTGGCTCGTCTTTGGGTCACTACTTGTTATTTGGGTTTAGTCTCCGCCAATAGAATATGGGATGTGCCTTGACCTGGGATCCTATAGAATACATGGAACAGAATAGCAGAATTAGGTGCGCCCGATTAGGGCATGATTCACTTCTTTTATATGAGACTGTTTCTGCAGCCCCCTTGTTGGAGTCCAGTCCCCGCAATTATTATATCGTGGGAGGCACCTTGACCTTTGGACCCCACAGAGCAGAAGAGGAGAAGGACAAAAGCATCAATGAATACGGTTTTTTCGGTTCTCTTGTTCACCACTGTTGTTGTTGCTGCCCACTCCGTTCACTGTGGCTAGGCCCCGCGGAAGTACCATAGTCCGACCGCCCCCGTCATTGCCCCAGTTCCTCGTCACCTTCTCACACTCCCCATCCACCCCGCCACCATGTCGTCCAAGAAGATCGAGCAATGGGAGATCGAGCGGTACTGGGAGATCTTCTCCTCGCTCGCCGGCGGGCAGTCGCGCCTGAACAGCTCGCAGGCCGCCTCCGTGCTGAGGAACAGCCGGCTGCGCGATGACCAGCTCGAGAAGGTGTGGGACATTGCCGACGTTGACGGTGACGGAGAGCTAGATTTCGAGGAGTTCTGCGTGGCAATGCGCCTGGTCTTTGATCTCGTCAATGGGGTATGTATTGGGTGCGTGTTACTGGAGAAGTGTCGTGCTGACGCTTTCGGCAAATAGGAATTACAAGAAGTGCCCGCCGTGCTGCCAGACTGGCTGGTCCCGGAGTCCAAGTCGCATCTGGTGCATGCGACGCGTGCCCTGAGTAGTCGTCCTGAGCAATTCGAGCGTATAGAGGACGAGGACGACTCGCTGGGTCTGAAGGATGGCTTTGACTGGTACATGAACCCCGGCGACAGGGCCAAGTACGAGGAGATCTACAGCGCGAACCGCAACCCCCGTGGCGAGACGACCTGTGAGTCGTTTGCTTTGTTTGAAAGAAGCATTGGCTGACGCATAACCCAGTTGAATCGCTCCAGCCACTCTACGAATCCCTCGACGTCCCCGACACCGACGTCCGCTCCGCCTGGAACCTCGTCAACCCCTCCGCCAGCGGCGCCATCAACAAAGACGCCACGCTCGCCTTCCTCCACATCCTCAATTACCGACACGAAGGCTTCCGCATCCCGCGCAGCATCCCCGCGTCGCTGCGCGCCTCCTTCGAGAACAACCAAATCGACTACCAACTCGACAACGCGCTGCCGGCCCAGCGCTACGGCACAGACGGTGGCACCGAGACCCGCACAGGGCGCAAGACCAAATTCGGCGACACCTATCTCAGCCGGCTGGGCGTGGGTGGCAAGGGCAGCTACCAGCCCAAGGGCACGGATTTCAGCGACACCATCCAGGACGAGGAGTGGGAGAAGGTCCGGCTGCGGCGGGATCTGGCGGAGCTGGAGACCAAGCTGAACGCGGCGAACCAGGCGTCTGATACGCGTCGCGATCGGCCGCGGAACGATGGCCGGCCGAACTGGGTGCTTATCAAGAAAGAGGCGCTGCAGTTGCTCGAATATAAGGAGCGGGAGCTGCGGGAGTTGCGCGAGGGCGTGGGGAGGAGTAAAGATGGTCAGGAACTCGAGCGCCTGCGGGACGATGTTAAGACTGTCGGCGAGCAGGTCGATGGCTTGAAGAACCATCTGGCGCAGCGCCGTGAAGTCCTGTCTGATGTGCGCCAGCAGATCGAAGACGCGAGGCGTCGATGATCCTTGTGTCTGTTGCGTTCATTCTACCGCATATATGAAGCTTTCCCCCTTTTCGTTTGCTCTGTTCTGTACAGCCGACCCTGGCGTTCATTGGGCTTCTCTGTGCTTTTTGTGGATTGTTTTGTTTGCATGGCCATAGGAGCCGCCTAACTTTTTGAATAAAATCCAGCCGTTGATATCATTGTGACCTATCTGAAGAGATCATCTAATAGTACACATACATCTATCCAATCCGCTCTGGTGCATCGCAATGCAATACCGCAAATCACGCCGGGAGCAATCCATCCCAAGATCAACGCTGACCTCTAATCCAGCAAGTAGAGTACAGCCGACGACAGTCAGCTAGGGAAATTCCAGAACACCACCAAGCTAAAACACCACGAACTCAAAAAGGATTTCAAGACTCGATCAGCCTCACGCCATGAGAGTCTCCCCACCATCCCTCTTCGTCTCAACAGCTACAAATGCATGACCAGCCTGATCCAACCCCTTCTCAGCGCGGGCATACGCCTCCTCACTTCGGTCAGTAAGGATATCAAGCTCTTTATCGGAGAGAATAGACTCGGGGTCTGCGCCGGCCTCGAAGCGTTCGAACTCATCTTCGCCGAGGACCTTGCGCAGCTCTTCCACGTCCTGGGCGGTAGCACCGGTCTCCAGTAAGGAACGGAACTTTCCCTTCTGGATCACCAGGCGCTCGAGACGGCGCTTGGAGTCTGCCTTTTCGAGCAGCGTCTGCTCGACTGTCCCCTTCGTCGCCAGCCGGTACACAATCACAGGCTTCTTTTGGCCAATCCGGTGAGCACGGTCTTGGGCTTGCAGGTCCTGCTGTGGGTTCCAGTCGGAGTCGAAGAGGATGACCGTGTCGGCCGCGACGAGGTTGATGCCCTGGCCGCCGGCGCGAGTGCTCAGAAGGAAGATCTTGTGCTGCGGGTCTGTGTTGAAGGCCTTGATCTGGGCTTGACGATCCGCCTGCGCGATTGCTCCGTCGATGCGGCAGCACTTGTAGGAGCGAAGTTCCGTGGCCCAGTCTTGCAAGATGTCCAGCTGCGTCTTGAACTGGGAGAAGATCAAAATCTTGTGGCCTTTCTTCAGGAGGAAGGGAATCAGGCGGTCCAGCAGGAGCATTTTCCCGGATGCTGACACGAGAGTCTCATCAACGGGCGATGACTCGTCTGTCCAGGGCCAGTAGAAATTGTGAGGAGAGTTACATGCTAGACGTGCTTGCATGATTGGGTTCTGCATTTTCTTTTGTCCAATCTCCTTTTCTGTTGGGATGAATTAGTTGCCGCAGTGACTTCAGCTTCGTGGCAGATACGTACTGGCAAGTTTGATTGTCTTGGCCCTTTCCAATTCCTCGAGTTCAGTCTCGCTTTGCTCGACAATCTCCGGCTCATCCTCGATTCCTTTCTCCAACTGGCGCAACTTGGCGTCAAAAGCGCGATCACTCACCTCTTTGTAAGAAGGCCGAACACTTCGGCGCCGACGAATAGAGCTAGTCGTACTCGTACTCGCTGGTGTGGCGGAACGGCTCGATTTCACGCTCTTATTCGGAAGAGAGCTGGCATCACTGCTCTCACGGCTGCGCTTGCGGCTCATGGGACGCGACAGACTCTCACTCTTAGCCGCCAATCTTTCAAATGCCTGTCCCTCAAGATACTGCCGGCCGGTTCCATTGAGAATCTCACGATAGAGGTCCTTCTGCTCTGCCGTCAGCGGGGCATACAGGATGTACTCTCGCTTCTTGGGCAGAGAAGTCTCCACATCAGTCTTGAGACGCCGCAGAAGGAACGGCTTGAGGATTGCATGCATCGTCGTAACCAGGTTGCGTTTCCGGCGCTCAATCAATTCAGCCTGCCCTCTATTATCCAACACAGAGGAAAAGTCAAACCAGCTCTCGAAGCTGTTGAGATCATTGAACACGTCCGGAAGGAGGAAGTGCAGTAAAGACCACAGCTCGGAGATGTTGTTTTGTAAAGGAGTGCCTGTGATAAGCAAGCGGTTTGCTGAGTTATAAGTGAGCAGCTCTTTGATAAGACGGCAGTTCATGTTCTTCAGGCGATGGCCCTCGTCCTTGATAATCGGATCAGTTGCCAATCATACTGGCCTGGAAGAATGAAACTTACCACAATGATGTACCGCCATTGATACTGCGCCAGGAACTTGCGATCATTCATGCAAATGTCGTACGAAGTACACACAACAGGGAAGTCCATCTTAGCCTGATCCCGCATCTTCATATGCTTTGACCTGATATCCGCTCGCGTTTCCTTGTCCCCGTGGTAGAGAACGGTCGAGATAGAAGGCGTCCATCGGGCAAATTCATCTATCCAGTTGCTCAGCGTGCTCAACGGAGCCACGATGAGGAAAGGTCCAGACGCTTGATTTTCTTTTAGAAAGGCAATCATCGAGATCGACTGGATTGTCTTTCCAAGACCCATCTCGTCTGCCAGGATTCCACAGAGACCGTTTGAATAGAGCGATTTCAGCCACTCCAGCCCTTCCAGCTGATATTTACGCATCTTTCCACCCGTGATCAGTTCCGGCTGCTGTGTAGCAACCAGCTCCTGCTCACCGAGGGCCGTGGGGTTTGCCTCGAACTCGTCCGCAGCGTGTTCAAGGGCCTCTTGCACTGTGGAGTTATGTTCTGTCACCTCCACGTCTGCTTTCTTAAAGAATGAGGAAATCTTGCTGTCCGCCGGTGTTGCTTTCTTTGGACGGCCGCGCTTCGATCCAGAGGGTTGTGTGGGTTTGTCGGCAGGAGGTTGCTCAGTCGCTTTGGCGTTCCGCGTCGCTCGTCTCTCAACGACGACAGGCTTCTTCTGTTTCTGCTCAGCGGCTGCTTGCTGCTGCTTGATCGCTGCCAGGCGGGCTTCCTCTTGCTGCTTCTTCATTTTTTCGGACATGATAGCCACAAACACCTACGCGCAAACAAACATAGGTTAGACTGTGACCACTGACAATGAAAAGGGGGGTCGACATACAGAGCTCGTCTTCAAGAGATGCATGAGGGCCTTGGCCTTACTGTCCATCCCTTCTGTGTCGTCGATGCCGCCGGCCGATTCATGTTCCTGGCCGGCTTCCTTCTCGGTGGACAGCTTCGCATCCTGGTTTTCGGTCATCGGGGAGGATGGGACGGTAGATTCGGGCTGATGCGAGCCAGCCCAGGATTCGGTCGGGGTGATGGGCGAATCTGAGGCCGACATGGCGAGTGGGTGTAGAGGGAGAGAAGATCGGGATCGAGAGATCGAGATCGAGATCGAGAGGGACGGGCTATCTTATGGCAGGAAGGGAAGTACGTCATCCAGGGAGGAATTCTGTTCGCCCCGTTTGTTGATGCTCTTGGGTTTTATCCGATACTAGATCATGATGGAAAAGAACGAACAAACGCAAAGAAAGAAAGGAAGACGCGAGGCGCGGGTATGCGCGTCGGCGCACGGGCCAGCGTTAAATGGACTCGGATTACAACTACATACAAATGACCCTAGATCTAAACTAGGGACCTAACTAGATCGATGACGAAAGATCAGAGAGAGAAGCCTCGCTATCACTGGTGTACTGCGCAGCCATCTCATTTATGTCCATCTCCTCATTCACCTCCTCCACGTCCATCAAGGCCGGGTCTTGGTCGGGGATCACGAACCCCTCATGAATGAATGTCCAGTCCGCTTCCTCGCAACCCGCAAGATCAGCCTTCATGGTCTCCTGCAGATCTCTCCAGATGGCCTCCTCTCTCTCATCTCGTTGGATGTGACGTTCTCGATGGGTCATATGAGAAACCATCATCGCGCTCGACGGAAAATCCTCTGCAGTGGGCCTGTACGGAGCCCGTGATGGAGTCTGTGATCCGGTGACTAGAGGTTCTTTCGCGAAGACCGGTGCAGCAATCCTTTCATTCTGCTCCTTCCGCTGCTGGTATTCGAGCCGGGCCTGCTCTATCTGCTGTCTGTATCGGGCTTGGCCAATAGCTGGATTCGCGGCGTTCAGAGACCATCTACCACCGAGAGTCCGCGTCAGGGGCATCTGTGTCGGCGGCGGTAGGGACATGGTGATGGTTCGGCTCAGCTGTCCGAACGAATGACTGTTATCGTACACCTTGGACGGTGTCGCTTCAAGACGTTCAGGCGGAGACGACATTTGTGAGCGTTGCGTCCGTGGCCGGACCTTAGCCCGGCTCTCCTGCATGTGCTGGATCTGCGCCGCGCCCTGCACTCCGACCTGCAGCCGAACCAGGCCGTCACGACGGCGCTTGAGGTTAGGGATGGGATATGGTTGCCAGTGTGGAAAGTAGCGGCCCCAATCCAGCATCGCCCCTGCATCTCCGGGGCGTCGAATCAGGTCTCTGGGGTTGACGCTGCTCTCCAAGCCGATGGTGTCGATGAAGTCCTTCCGTTCGATGGTGATTCCATCTTTTTGAACGTCATTTGTCTTGCCATCAGCCTCATCCAAGCTCTTCAGACCCCGAGCCAGATCTTCCTTCCACTCAAACGTCTCCGGCTTAAGATCATCATCGTCCGACTCCCGCAGCACCACCAGGCTATTGCCCCAACTTCCTGCGAACCGGCGCGGGATACCATGCTGGTGCAGGAACTGTCTGGCGGCCAGAAAATCCGCAGCGCGGCACATAAACAGGTCTGTATGGTAATTTTCACGCAGAACGCGCACCGTCTGGCGAAAAGTCTTGTTGATAACCAGTTGCGGCGGCGGACCCGTTCTTTGCAGGATGCTGTGGTCGACGCGCAGCAATGCCCGCAGCTGCTTGGTCCGCATGGCGCCCAATTGCTTGTTCTCGTGAGCGATCTGCTGGTTGCGCGTGTCCAGGTACGTGGTAAGTTTCTTGCGGTCCTCTAATCCGAGTCCGAGCTTGCGGGATGTGGTGCGCCAGCAGCCGATTTGGAGGAGGTTCTCAAGGATCTCCACCTGCACGGCTGGGTTCAGGTCGCTCCATTTGGGGTTGTTGGCCTGACAATAACCTGTCATCAGCCTATAACCGATATTGACTTTGAAGAGCTGCATACTTACCTTGGCGAGAAGCACCTCTGAGGCATCAACTCGTTCTTCAAGATCACTATCTTCCAAGTCCAAGAGCGACTCTGGAGTGTAACCATTCTGGTTCGATTCCGCATCCCCAGCCTCAGACATAACTGCCATATTTCTCGCATAAACAGCATTCAATGCCGAGTCACTCGCAGTCCGATTATCCACCTCATCCATCTGGACATCCTGCAAGCCGACACCATTGCATCTCTCTCCATTTTGGCTCGAGCAGGGGCTCTGCTGGTGCTGTAGCGTCTGCCCCTGTCCCTGCTGCTTCTCCTGGCTGTTCGCGTGATTTCCACTCCATGCCACCCTTGGGTCCTTCAAACTTGGAAACGCCGCCGGCTTTAGATTCGGGTTAAACGGAGCGATCCGCGGCGCACGCTGCGAGACCTGATGTCCTCCTGTGCTGCGAGAGTCTGCATCCGGCAATGAGGAGAATAGTGTCTCACCGTCTCCATCTTCGGACTGCGAGCGGGCACGGCGCATGGACTGGAGGACTGCGGCGGTTGGTGTTTCGCTGAAGTTCTCGAAGTCTGCTTCGCAGAAGCGCTGGGGGGCATGGATTTGTGCGCGGAGGTTATAGCCGCCGCTCATTGTTGTGGATTTGAGGAGGTTGATAGATGGGTTATGGCTGTATGTGGAGGTGTGTTTAGGTGAGGGTCTTGGACGCGTTTGGATGCATGGTTTGGAGGTTATGAATGCTTTTGAAAGATAGAGTATGCTCAGATGTGTGTGTATGAGGCAGAGAGAGGTGGTTGGTGGGCGGTTGGGAATATCAATTGGAAGGACGTGTGGGAAGAAGTAGATGGGTGTGGATGGCAGACTGGAGGACTCGGATTCAGGTAGGTTTGTTGAGAGGCAGGCAGGAGGGAAGAAAAAGAGATAAGACACTGTCGAAGGCAGAAAAAACCGAGAGAGAGGTAGGGAGAGTGAATATCAAAATCTCGACCATCAAGATAGATATGCCTGGCACTTGCTGCCTGTAGAGGATGGACGGCGTCTACACAAATATTACAGAACTACAATCAGAAAAAGAAGATCCAAAAACAGCAGCATGGGTTGGGTATTTCCGTCAAAGAAGAATCAAAAGGATGATTGCCTGCAAAAAGAAAAAAGTGATAAAGTGATCAAGCTCAACTGCGCCGTTCCCCTTGGATCCGCCGTGCTAAAGATGCAAACCCAGTCAGTCAATCAGTAGCAGCTAAAGCTAAAGCGCCTCTCGCTATTCGATAAAATATGTAAATGGCTCTGCCTGTCCATCTCCTGAAAAAAAGAGATAGAACCCGTCGAATCCCTTATCTAGACCACGCGATCTTGAAACGGCGCGATCGGCCTGCGCTCCGCAAGTAACTCCTCCTCGTCATCCAGATCCATCTCGCTATCTGCCATTACCTGATCATTGTCATCATCGTAACTCCTATCCTGGAAACTCCGTTTCTTAACCAGCGGCATAGGCATGGGCGGGGGCGCGAGATGTGTAGGCGCGGTGGCAGAAGGAATAGACGTGCGGCGGGTATGCTCGACGTCGCGCTTGGCGACGAGGATGGACTCGAACGCAACGAGGATGCGTTTCAGGGGGTCTTCAATGGACACGCAGAAGCGGTGCTGCTGGATCATGTGTGTAGCGCGCGCGGCGTCCATGTTCAGCATGACCATGAGATACGCAATCACGACGCTGGCGGAGCGTTCGTTGCCCGATTCGCAGAAGACGAGCACTTTCTTTTTCTGCTCTGGCGTCGTGGTGGGAGCTGGCGAGGAGTCGACCCCGGCGAGGTGGTCATTGATACGTCGGATCGCACGCGGAAATGCAGAGATCAGTTCTTGGTTGTCGAGGACATCGACCGTGTCGGCTATGATGCCGAGCTCGGCGGCGGCCTTGTCGCCGGAAACCAGACGCGCCTGCGCCGAGTGTCGATTGCGAATAGCCAGCAGCAGAGTGAATCCCTGGGCGTGTAGAGTAGCGCGCTCGCGCAGACAGGACGACGGGCCGAGCGAGAGGAAGGGAAGCACGGGCTGGGCCTCGCGGCGCATCTCGTAGCTCCATTGCGCGTGATTGAAGCGGCGGGTGAAGCCGTCGAGCTGGGCGCGCTCGAAGAAGCCCGGGCAGATGAAGTCGTCATCGGCGAAGGTGTGGGAGGCCGGGTTGAAGACTTTGTTGTCGACCACCACGGTGTCGGAGGAGGAGGAGTCGTTGTTGTCGTCCGCGGGAACAAAGTAGCGCACTGCCGAGTTGGACGGATACTTGGGGGCTGCCGAGTATTCATGAGTCCGCACATAGAGGGAGCTCAGGTCTTGCGACATGGGCGCCTCTTGTGGGGATGGTAATGAAGACATTATGCTGGCGGGGGGGGTTTGGTCATGTCATGGCCAGACAGAAAGTGAGGAGATTCGGCGGTGGAAGAGCGACGGGCATGTCCTCTTCCAGTAGAAAAAGGGCTCGGGGCAATTGCCCACCGCGTCAGGAAGACCGCCTGGGAGAGCTCAGGAGGTGAATTGACCCAACTGGGTATCCGGGCGAAGAAAGAAGCAAGTGAAGTTGACGGGCTCATGGATTGGGGCAGCTCCGGATTAGGTAAGACGTGGGGAGAGCTGCCTGTTGATGACAAGAACCACAACACACTATGATTATTGTTATTATTATTATGCTAGATGATTTTGACTCCATGGACCGACAGCAGCTAATGCAAGACATCCACATCATGTGACATCGCGTCCTCCACGCGCCTTGAACCCGGATCGAACCCAGTGACTCACTACTCGTATACCTCGGACTCCCGTCTGGGACATGAGGCTCCAGGCGAGTCATGGCGACGCAAGAGTCCGTCAGCCGGTCCGAAGCGATCTCCGCAGGTATCCGGGCCAGCCTTGTGGTGCTCGAGATGGGGCTGAAGGTGGAGCCTGATGTGGTGGGATGGGGGCCGTAGTTACCTACTAACTCTATACTACTACGAAACAACAATGCATGAGTAACCGAGTAACTAGCTGGATTAGATTACATACAATACAGAGAAGCAAAAGCCAACGAGCAAATTGAGAGTTCCATTGATAACAAAAACCCGTCAGAGCGACGCATACAGAATCTTTTGAACGGCAGAGAGAAGAGGAGAAAGGGGGGGCCACGTGCAAGAAGAACACCGGGGTATATGAGGCGCGAGAACAAGTATGACGACCCCCTGTCGGAGAGAGAGAGAGAGGGAGCAAACAGAACACCGCCCGGACCCATTAATATTGTTCACATTGGAAAAGGGAAAGAAAACACCTTGACCACAGGCCGGGTCCCCGGCCTTGGTCAATGCTGTGTCAGATTGGAGATTGCAGAGAGCAATCGGTCCAAGTCTGAAATTCAGAAAAACAAAACGCCCGCGGATGCAAATCATCACATAGCAGTAGAATCTAAACGTGAGGGGCAGCGGCCTGCGCAACGGCGGTGGCCAGTGGTTGCGACACAGGCTGCGGCTCGGGCTCGGGCTGAGGCATGGCCTGCTGGAGACCGGAGACGATGCGCTCCAGCTCCTCCAGGCGACGATCCTTCTCCTGGACTTCACGGCGCAACCGCTTCAGCTCGTTGTGCAGATCGACGCCATTCTCATCCGTCGCCGGAAGCTCCGTGTGTCCGTCGGGGAGTGCTTCCGCTTGATGCCGGCGGTGTTCGGCAAAGACGAAGCGCGCACGCCCTCGAGATCATTGCCGCGCTCCCATGGCATGTCGACGACGATGGAGCCGTCGTCTGTGTGCATGTGGCGGCGACGGAGATGCTCCCGCAGGTTCTCTTGACGCGTAAATCCGTTGCCAGCGCTGCGGTTGCAGTCGGCGTACGGGCACATCAGCGGCTTCTTGGCATCGGTGTTCTTCTTGTGCACCTCGCGCTGGTGGCGCAGGAGGCCGCCTGAGTACGTGAAGCCCTGGATTTTGTCGCAGCCGGGTTCAAAGCATTTGTAAGGGCGGTCATGTTTGTCCATGTGTTTACTGTGGCGCATGGTTAGTATGCATGGTCATCTTCGACGTGACAGGGAGAGGGATCCCAACTCACTTCCATTCACACGGGCGACGGAAGGTCGGAGGCGCAGTGTGGCAGTCTGGGTGGTCGCAGTAGATCTGGCCCTCGGGGTTCTTGGGAGGATCTCTGGCGCGCCGGACCGAGAGGCGCGGGCGCGTCCCTTCCATATAGCTCAGGGGAGCTTGGTCATTCATTCTGGCGATGGGGGAGAGGGAGTCTGGCAAGGCGGCTAGGACAGAGGCAGCAGTGGCTCCGTTGGGACCCTCACTTCGTGGACTAGGATAGTCAGAGCCGTCTCCCATATCGTGATGGTCGACCCCACCAACTGACGGTGATGGAATGAATGGAGCGACCGCGACGACGCGTCGGGATTCACAAACAACACAGACGCGGACGGTGGCGGATAGTCACCACTGGAAAGCAGAGAGAGTTGGTCTAGGGAATCCCTCACAAACTCGGATTTGGTGGTGGTGGGCGAAAGTGGGCGGATGGAAGTAGATCGAGTAGATGGATATGCCAGAGTTTTCAGGTAGCAAAGTCAGGCATCCACTTTGCTTTTATACGCTTGCGGGTAGGCACGTGACGTGGTGGCGCAGTTCGATGATTCTGTGTTGTTCTGCCGGAGACGCCGTTGCCAAAATCTCTACGCAGGACTAGACTTGTTTTATACTATGCATCGCTCGGCCCGACCGAACGCCCCGGGTGATCAGGGATTCGTTATATGGGAGTCAACGAAGAGAGGCGGAGTGACTCATACCACGCTGACCAAACCCGCTGTCTCTCGGTGTTGGCCTGCCAAAGTCCGACCAGGCAGCCATTAATAATAGTCAGTCATCCAGCGCGAGTGACAGCCCGGACGAGGTGGTCGTCGTACAGTCAAGAACGAGTAGTGGCAACCCATACTTGCTTTGCCACCCGCCACAGTCACCTGACCCGCCGCTGAGTAAGGGGAGGCATGCCCAACGACCCAATCGGGCAGGCAGTCGTGGGCTTCAGGCTGCCATGGATGCTGGAGCGGGACGACTATCTCGGTTCTGCAGGTGGAAAAACTACTTCACTCCACATCGACATGGATCGACAGCCATATATTCGTCATCCCGAGGCCCATCCCAGGGCGGTGCACGCTATTCATAGAAATATATCTGGGAACTATATACTTCGAATGGAACCAACACAACTTCCCCCCACCACAGGGACAGATCAAGGCACCAAATCAGGTCCCTAGCTGACCCAGAACCCACCGAATCTCCGCCGCCACCACATCCGGACGCACGAGGTGGACATTGTGTCCACAGTCTGGGATATGCACCAGATGCGTACGCGACGACAGCAGCAGCTGTTCCTCCGCCAGCGCCTGATCAATGCCGTCCCACCGATCCAGTAGATCACGAAACGCGCGCTGCTGCTCGGGAGTCCCATTGCCCATTGCCACACCCGTAGCATAAACCCGCTCATACTCGCTGGCGCTATTACATCGGATCACACTCAGCGGCCGGGACCCCATGGCCCTCCTTTGAAATTGGCTCTTCGCCGCCAACGTCCGACAAACCTCCACCAACGAACTCGTCTCCTGCTGCGCGGCACCATCTGCGCCGCGCGAGATATCAATCGCCCGCTGCCGCCACTGCTCTCTCGAGAGGACCGACTGGTCCCGCAACCCGGTCACCGTCGCCCAGCGTAGCTCCCCCATGACAGCCGTGATATCGGGATCCGGGACCCGGAAGTAATCACACACTCGCTCCGTCGCGCTCTCGCTCAGGACCATCCCCGCCACATCCTCGGGATAGGCGTGCAGGTACTCGCGGGCGACGATGCCGCCGTACGAATGCGCCACTAGGAGCAGTGGCGCGGCGGGCCCGATGCGCTGGAGCAGGCTGTGGAGGTCTTGCGCGGCGCTCACCGCTGTTGCAGGGTAGGGTGCGCTTTCGCTGTGGCCTAACCCGGACCGGTCGTAGAGCAGGATGCGGCTGTGGGCTGCTACGAGGGGCTCCACGGCGACGTGGGAGGATGCCACGTCTCCGGCGCCGGTGAGAATGATCACTAGTGGGTCTTTGGGGTTGTGTCGCTGGCCGCTGAGGTGGATGTGTAGGCTGTGGGTGCCGATGGAGATGAGCGAGGAGCCGATGTAGGTAGTCCAGTCGCGGGATGGAGTCATGGTGATTAGAAGAAGTAGTTTGGGAGGCTATGAGAGTTGTTGAGGTGGGGTAATACGGGAAGAATGGTTCTACTGGAGAGGAAACAACATGAAATAAAGACTCTCGATTGATGGCTCACGATAACCGGGATAGCTAAGCATCTAAGTGGATAGATGGGGGAGGCTATGGGATAATCGAGGGCAAGGGGGACAGGGTACATTCTGGACTGCGGCCCAGTAGTAGACAGATGCTACCGGACTCACAGGGACTGGAAATCGGTAATGGTGATGCAGATAATGAACACAACACTGGCTGACGATCACCATCCCTCATCCAGCCCGACGACCGGGCCCCGTGAGGATGCAATGGTGACAATGATGAGGTGTTGGACCAAAAGAGACTGCCACTCCGGACGAAGGTAGCAAAGCTCTGTTCAAGGACTCGAGGAAACCAGGCGGGTCTCCGAAAATGTCCGGGGTCGATGAGTAAACCTCCCTTGTGGTGGATGAGGAAGAAACCGACGGGACACTCGGGCGTCGAAAGAGCCCTGGTATCTCAAGCGAACAAGCGAACCTTTGCTTCTCTGAATGATGGACAAGTCGGCCTGTTGGAGGCCGCCCTGGAAATCCGTGGGACGTGGGGTAGATTCACTCAATCGTAATTACCCCCAACCTGACTGGCAAAGGCTGTGGAAACGCTGCGGGCGTCATCATCGTCGTGGAGGTTGTGGCCTGGAGCGCCCCGAGTCACGCGAATGCTGGCGGAGCTGCCTCCAAAGATGCTGTTGTTGTCAGGAACACCTGGCCGGTAGGGCTCGCGGCCACCGGACTCCACATAACGCTTCAGACGATCAGACTGACTGAGACTGGCCTGCTTGCCCATGTCGTTGATGCTCAAGCCACCGAGACTGACACCGCCCTGATCAACGCTTCTTCCATCGACGATGCTGCCGGTGATATCGGACTCGGTGGCAGCCACGGACTCGCCAGCCACACTCGGAGTTCCTTTAGCCCGGTTACCGTTGGCACGACGACCTCCAGAGATCGAGGGCCAGGGTTCGGAGAAATTCTGGAACATCGGGGGATATCCTGAGGGAAGGCCAACACCGCCCAGGGCGGAGGAAGAATGGACGGAAGAAACATCATCGGGGATATAGCCGACCACAGAACCAGAGTCATGGTACTCATTGCGCTGACCATTGCGACCATTCATGGTGCCGCTATTGAGATTGGAGGCCTGGCTGAAAGACGTCTGGAAGCGCTGGGGTCCTCGGTACGCTTGCTTCGGTCGGCTGAACTGGATCAGGGACTCCTGGAGATTGGACAGGGGCCCCTCCACAAGGCAGTGTCGCTCCTTGAAGTGCTGCAAGAGGAAGTTCCACAAGGGATGCTTGGACAACACCTTCGGGTTACCAAGAATAACCAGACCAAATCTCGCTCGAGTAAGAGCAACGTTGAGACGACGTGGGTCACTCAAGAAACCGATACCTTGGTGGTCATTCGAACGCACACAGGACAGAATGATGTAGTCCTTCTCACGGCCCTGGAAAGCATCGACCGAGGCCACCTCGATTTCCTTGTAGTGCTCCTTCTTGAAAGTGCCGGTCGCTTGCATAGAACTGACGATGTAGCTTCGCTGGCCCTCGTAAGGCGTGATGATACCAATGTCTCGAGGCTGCACGCCGGCCTTGAAGAAGCGAGTGACGATCTTCTCGACATTGGTGGCTTCGGTACGGTTGAGATACGAGGTTCCGGATGCCGAGATCTCTTCGTTGCCCAGGTTCGACCAGAACATCATGGGATCATCAATGATGGGCCAGGGGAAGTCGACGTCCCGACGCACACGGTCGGCGATAGTGATACCGTTCTGCAGCGAGCCCTCGTAGAACATGTTTGATGGGAACTCGGAAAGACAGGGGTGCATCCGATACTGGACGTTCAAGCGGATGGGCGAGCAGCCGAGAATGACCAGTCGCTCGAAGAGAGATTGGTTGAGACCGGCCTTGGCCGCTTTCTTGTTCATGATGACAGGCCCAAGTTGCTGGTGATCACCGACCAGAACAACTTGCTTGCAGCCCAGAACCAACGGAATCATACACTCGGGCTCCGCGGACTGAGTCGACTCGTCAATCAAGACCGTCCGGAAGTTGGATTTGGCGAGGCGAGGATCACCTGCACCGACGCAAGTGCAACAGATGACATCCGCATTGGTCAAGATCTCACGCTCAGCAGCCCGAGTGAGCTGCTTCAGGCGCTTTTCGTCCTGGCTGGACAGTTCGCCCAACTCCGACTTCAGCTGATTGAGTTTCACCAGCTCGATGTTGCTATCGTTCATGCGAACTTGCTCGTGCAGAGAAAGAAAACCGACCGGAGACTCCACATCTTCGCGAGACTTAGCAGTCACTCGCACAGTTTTGAGCCCTGTCTTGTGAATGCGCTCGCAGAGCTGGTCAACTGCGACATTGGACGGCGCGCACACAAGCACTTGGCCACCGTTGAGTTTGGCAAGGTGATAGATGATCGTGGCAGAGGTGACAGTCTTGCCGGTACCGGGAGGGCCCTGGATCAGACTCAACGGCCGTTGCAGTACACTCTTGACCGCGTTGATTTGACTGCCGTTGAGATCGGGAAGACCAGGAACGCTGAACTTCTTGGGAATCTGGGTCTTCATCGGGGCCGCTGCGACCTCATGCCCCAGGAGACGGTGGAAAATGTAGCCCGAAACACTCATCTCGTCCACCGCAAAGGTCTTCATGGCAAGCTGCATACGGTCAAAAGAGGTCGACTTCCAGACGTAGTCGGCAGTAAAGTTGTGCGTGCACTCTGTGGGGACCGACTTGTGGTCGCCCTTGGAACGCAATTCAATGGTGACCTCGTCGGATTGGTTATTGGGGATTTTGATCACATAGCCCACTCCTTCCCACTTGGAGCGCAGTTCACCCGTGTACTTGAGGCGCATTTCATCACCAACTGCCAGTTTAACGTCTCCAAGCTCGAGCTTCGGGAGCACAAAACCTGCGAGGTGCTTGTTGTTCAGACCAAGGTCCCAGCGCACAATCAACCCATCCTGGGATTGAGATTCCTTCAATTTCCGATCATAATCAGCCTCGATCTTGACGAGAGGACCGAAGATGTTTTGGTACTGGAAGGCGTCATCGTAGCGCAGCAGGACAGGAGCGGGCTCATCATCGACCGCGGTGGCTTTCTCGAGGTCTTCCAGAGTAGCTTGCGAGTTCTCTTTCCACATCTCCTCCAGCTTCGCAATCACCTGAGGGCTCAGATGACGGGCCCGAAGCTGTTCTTGGTCGGAGGGGGCAGCCACAAGCCAGTGAAGGAAAGACCGATCCTCGATCAGCGGCTGCCAACGGGACGTGTCCCAGTTCATATCCTTAGATGATGTGATAGCCGCACAGGGCTGTCGGCATAGAAGGACGACCACGGTATCGGACTTGGCTGGAATGAAACCAAGCAGGAACACATTCTTGGTGCCACAGTTGTAGCATTCGAGGATCGTGTCGCCCAGCGAGGATGCTGGATGCAACTGCACCTCCTTGTGGCGAGCTCGGACAAGATGGTTCACGATATGCGAGGAGGATGTATTGCCACGGGCGCTGCAGAACCACTTGCTGCAGGACAGGCATTTGACGACGCTGCTAGGGTTGTGGATACCACAGTACCTATAAAATGGGTGTTAGTGAACATAGCATGAATGACATCTCAAAAGTGTAGAAGGAGTAGACGTACGCGCAGGCGTGAACTGGAAGTTCTTTCTCCTCATCCGCACTCCCCTCGCCATGCAGGTGCCCATTGACCGGTGCACCGAGTGTACTCTCTAGGTCATCGTCTTCCAGAATATCCGATCCCTCGTCTTCGTCGTCATGTCGCCGTGGCCGCGGACGGCCCAGAGAACTCGCATTGACATGATCCAGATCGGCCATGGTGGAGGCATCATCAGCCAGCCCTGGACGGAAGTCCTCCATGATGTGGGCTTTCTGAAAAGGTGGGAGGGGCCAATCAGGAGATCAGAGCCAGCTGCAAGAGCAAAATGTGATCAAGACCGAACAGAAAGGGCAAGTTTAAATCGAAATAAAAGAGCGTGTAGGACAATCCGGCCGTCCTAAGAGTTGCGCAAGACCCGTTGTCAAAGCCGGTGGTTGTGCGTGCGTGAGGGGTAAAAGAACGGGGAGTCTAGGGACCGAGCAGAACAAAGTCAGTTGGGAAGGGTGGGAGAGAGGAAAGAGACTCCGAGAACATACCACCAGCACAGCACAGTCTCTCAGTCGAGGTTGGCTGGGATGGCGAAAAGCCTCCGCATCCAATCTTTGGGTTATCGCTGCCCACTACGGTGCGCCATATGTACCAACTGCGCAGCCCGATAAAAAAAAGTTGCAAGGAACCTTGTTCGATTAGCAACCCAATATCACAGAAGACACAAACACACCACAATGCTGGTATGTGCATACCATCATGATAATGGCCCAACCAATCACTAACTCCTGAATAGCGCCGCCAAACCCGTGAACGCCGTGACTATCTCTACCGGAAAGCCCTGCTCCTCCGCGATGCCTCTGTTGCGGAAAAACGAGCCCAGCTCAAGGCCGCTCTAGCCTCGGGCAAGCCCTTGGATCCCTCGATCGCAGATGACAAAACTCTTCGTGAGGACTTCAAGTACGATGAATCCAAAGACAGCAAGGACTCGGAGATGGTAGACGTCGACGACGAATACGCTCTGACATCCGGCCTCATCGACCCTCGCCCGCTGGTCACCACCTCCCGTTCTCCCTCTGCCCGTCTCGGCGCATTCGCCAAAGAAATCCGTCTTCTCCTCCCAACCTCCATCCGTCTCAACCGCGGAAACCTCGTTCTTCCAGATCTGGTCTCCAGCGCCAACTCCGCCGCGCTGACCGACATGCTCCTGCTGCATGAGCACCGTGGTACCCCGACCGCTCTCACCATCTCCCACATGCCCCATGGTCCTACTGCCAGCTTTTCATTGCATAACGTGGTTCTGCGCGCGGATATCCCCAATGCCGCGCGCGGGACTGTCTCGGAGAGCTATCCGCATTTGATTTTTGAAGGATTCAAGACCAAACTCGGTGCTCGTGTGGTCCAGATCTTGAAACATCTGTTTCCTCCGCGGGAACCGGGCAAGCTTGGCAATCGAGTGGTGAGCTTCGTGAACAAGGAAGATAGCATCGAGGTGCGGCATCACGTCTTTGTCAAGACGGGGTACCGGAATGTCGAGCTGGCGGAAGTCGGACCGCGCATGACCATGCGTCTCTTTGAAATCCGGGGTGGCTCGCTGGAGAAGGGATCAAGTGGTGATGTGGAGTGGGCGCTCACCCAGTACACGAGGACCAGTCGCAAGAAGGAATATCTTTGATCGAATTCGCATAATGGTGTCGCTTGCGGGCTTTGCATGAAGGGCATGATTCATGTCGATTGGCGTATTGGGGGTGTTACGGACTACTAGACGGTGTTCTTTCTGATTATTTTGTACATTGCCCTTGTCTCTATACCCTGTTGGAAGGAGGCCTGTATCCAATGATTCTCAGGATACAAAAGCCTCTGAGAGAGAAATTCAGATGCGAAGCAAAAGCAATTTCTCCAAAGATCTCCAGGATCTCGTATCAGGAATCAACCACGTAAATTCTCTATCCTCACTCATCCTAAATGGTATTGTCCAAAGACATGCCGTTCGCATCATCAAACTCCATTTCTCCATCCCCATCCTCACAGCAGTAGCCGTAGATCGATTCCTGCTCTTCGTCGCTGCTCTCTGACCGTGAATCCTCCATCAAGACAATCCCTTGGCCGTCCTGCGAAGCCGACCCATCACCACCTGGCTGAACATCTGCCTGAAGAGCAACCGGCTTCATAAGCCATTTCATGAGCATGGAACCCCTCGTCTCCAAGTGGTACCAGCCCTGATGTAAAGGCACCACGTTGTCCTCGGAGTCCGTTTTGGGCGGCGGCATGATGCCATTCTCTCTTTCTTCCCATTCTTTGCCTGCCTGAGTCCTAAAGAACATCTTGAATGTAGTCGTGGCGATGTCCAGATTGCTTTTCGGAGGAGCCAGAAGTTCCACTCTGGAAGTACCGGTTCGAGAGTACTTGACGTACGTCGAGTACGTGTGTGGCTTGGTGTCGGTCTCGAAGATCTGTTGGACAGTTATCTGGTTTAGTGTTTTGTTTCATTCACAGCTGAGGTGATTAAATGGCCGTACCTGTATCAGATATTTCTCCGTGGACTGTGGCGGTGGACCTTGACGAAGGAGAGTTGCTTGCCAGGACTCCCCCGTGGCTGAATCCATGTAGGGGTGACTCTTGACTTTATAATCGAATTAGTAACTATATGTCGAGTTCGGATGTAATCACAAAGAGAGAAATGCAGAGGCATACTCTTCGAAGCACCTTTCTTGTTGACAGCAAACGGGTCGACTGTTTTGAGAAGTATATATGAGTAAAGCACACTCGCGGAGCAGAACCATACATCAACCCACCTTTGGGACGTTTGGTTTGGTTTTGAAGCTGATCCGCCTTCCTCTTGCCCTTCTGAATCTTTTCCGCCCTCAAGATATTCTCCAGTAGATACGGGCCCTCATGCTTGGGCCGCCTGGATTTGCTAAGTAATGAGTCTTCCAGCCAATCGAACGAGACGATCTTGACCTTCTTGAGACCCTTGGCTTCCAAAACTGTTGCTTTCATGTCAGTACTCGGAAGTTGAAACGGAGAAAAAGGAACTTACCGGCTGACGCATCCTTGAGAAAAGCCTCCTTAGTCGTGATCAAGTGCGTCACGCCGGTGTGCATCTCTCTCGAGTATTGTCCGCCGTTGCTCCGGATCCACTGAGGAATCTTCTCGCCGTTCCCGTCCTTGAATCGGCCTATCGAGCAGGCATGTATGCCTTCGAAGGTCTTCCCCATTTTGGTGCGGGATGGTGGTGGTTCGGAAAATGTGCGGTTCGTAGAGGAGAGATGAGAACGAAGGAAAATGCTGGCAGGTAGAAGAAAGATTGACAGAAGAAGGCAGTGGTTAAGAGTAACGAGACGTGTGGGAGGAAGAAGGTAAGATGTGGCTGGCCCGGAGTGGTTGCCTGTAGGAGAGAAGAAGATGGGTAGATCAGAAGTGATCAGACGAGTGGAAGTCTTCAAAACCCGAGTGAATTCTATATGAGCCCGAGAACGAGGCGTGAATGCATGAAAATGGGAAACATTAACTAAAATGACACAAGTAGGGGAAGGTCAATCACTGCCGAACACTCTTCGCTGCCTTGATAAAAGCCCGGATCTTATCCAGATCCTGGGCACCGTCCGTCGATTCCACGCCCGAACTGACATCCAAGCCCACCACCTTGTGCTCCGACTGACCCAGCTTCTTCACCGTATCCACCACATTCTCCGGATTCAACCCACCCGCCAAAACCACCCGCAGCCCTTCATCGCTATCAAGAACCTGTTGAACCCCAGATTTTTCCAGTAGCTGACCCGATCCGCCGGCCCCGGAATCCAACAATGGAAGAGAGTGATATGCCCGGCGAGCAATTCCAATATCCCCTGGCGCGAACTTGCGGATGACAGGCACGGGAATTAAACTGGCCCACTCGAGAGGCTCTGAGCCGTGGAGTTGCACTACATCGAGGCCCAGTTTCTGCTGCTGAGCAAGGACGTAGGAGAGTGGTTGATTCATGAACACGCCCACAAGGAGCGCGCGGGAAGGATGGCGCAAGATCTCCGTAGATTGATCGAACCATTCTGATGGGGTTGCTTTCGAAACTTGCTGGGACAGTTCGCTCGCCTGGGCGTTGGGACGAGGAGTGGACTTGACCGCCTGAGCAATTTGTAGTGCCACATCATCCGGGACACACCGTGACCGGCCCTGAACTTGGATAATGCCAATCAGATCAGCACCAGCCTGGATGGCGGCTTTGGCGGCTTCTGCAGATCGAGTGCCACAGATCTTGACCAAAGGCACGACAGCGGATGCTGGTGTGGGCTTTTGCTTCGACCCTCCCAGGAGTTCCGCCACAAAGGCGGAGGTGTTGGGTGCGCGCATCAGTGCCTCCCCGACCAGAATAGCCTTGACCCCTTCCTTCTTGTAAGCCTCCACATCCTTAGGGCCCGAAATTCCGCTGAGAGCGCACACAATAGTGCTCTCGGGGACCTGATCCATCAGACGACTTGTAGTGCCCAGGTCGACCTCAAAGCTGGTCAAATCTCGGTTGTTGACACCGATCACCTGGGATCCCAACTCGACAGCAATCTTCATCTCCTCGGGAGTGTTGACCTCAACGAGAGGCTCCATTCCGAGGCTCTGCGAGTAGTGGTACAATCTCGTAAGAAGCTCAACGCTGAGCATCTTGACGATCAGCAGAACGGTGTCGGCTCCAGCCAACCGCGCTTCCAAGATTTGATACTCGTCAAAGACGAACTCTTTCCGCAAAACCGCAGGGCGGTTAGTCAGTCCTTCCAAGCTTTGGCGAACGGCGCGCAGATCATCGATGGTGCCCTTGAACCACTCGGGCTCCGTGAGGACAGAGATCACGCTAGCACCGGCTTTGGCATACTCTCGTGCCTGGGCGGGAGCACACACGTCGGCCGCGATAATACCCTTCGAAGGCGAGGCTCGCTTGATCTCGGCCATGAGGGAGAGAGGGTAGTCCGACTGTCTCAAGCGAGCAGGGAATGAGACTTGCGGCGGCGCGATGTTGAGGTCGTATGCGGCCTGCAGGGCCTCTGGCCGCAGCGCCGGGATTTTCTTCTGCTCGTCCACCGCAACCTTGCGATGGGCGTAAATTTTCTCCAAGATCGACATCTTCTTGTCCCCCGCAGTCGCAGCGGTTGCCTTTCCTTGTTTGTTCTCTGCCCAGGTGCCGGCGGTCAGCTTGAGGAAGTTTCTGAACATCGTTCGCCCGTATTCCGTCAGGATACTTTCCGGGTGGAACTGAACGCCCTCCACGGCCAGTTCCTTGTGCCGGACACCCATGATCACGCTGTTGCCGCTGCCATTCTCCAGCTCTGCCCACGAGGAGACTTCGATACAGGCGGGAATTGTGGAATGGGTTCCGGCCAGGGAGTGGTACCGCGTCACGGAGAGGGAAGTCGGCAGTCCCTCGTAGACACCCTTGGAGTCATGCTTCAGGACCGAGGTCTTGCCGTGCAGAATCTCGCCCGTCACATCAACCTTGCCCCCGAACGACTCAATGATACATTGCTGGCCCATACATACCCCGAAGATGGGTATCTTGCCCTTGAAGTGTTGGATTGCGGCGTTGCTGATGCCGGCGTCGGTGGCGGGATGGCCGGGACCGGGACTGATGACCAGCTGGGTGGGCTTCTTTGCCTCCAGATCCTCGACGGTGACCTGGTCATTGCGGTAGACGGTCACGGTGGCGCCCTCGAGGACGAGGTACTGGTAGACATTCCAGGTGAACGAGTCATAGTTGTCGATGAGGACGACATTGGAGGCGCTGTCCCGCTTGGCGGCCCTGGTGGGCTGGTGGGGGGAGTGGTCGACGAGGTCCGCCATGGTGAGAACGGAGGTGAATCGGTAGGGAAGGAGAGGAGGTCGCCCTGTCCCTCGAGATGTTCTTATTCACCTGACTTGGTGACTCAATGACCGGTGCAACGCTCTGTCTGTCTTTGTCCTGGGCTCCACTCAAATAAATCCGCACTCACCGCCTGCCACTCGTTCCGTCCGTCCTGCCTTGTTGACGCGGTGAATGAATTTCTGTCGAGAGCTCCTTCCTTCTGCCCCCATCGCCCGCTCATTCGCTCCTGCACTCCTGCCTGGGACCATCTTTGCAGTCGCTTCCTTCCCTGTCCTGTCTATGATGCTTTGATCGTCTGGCCAAATGGCTCCCGTCCCGGAGGCCTATTTCCCGTCCCTGGACAAGTGCTTCGCCGGGGACGCCCAGCTCTTGTACGCGCGCAGTCTACTGGTCTCTTGCGGTGAAGGAATTGCTAACACTGGACAGGTCCTGGCGAAGAGCCTTCCTCTACACGATTGATCCCGAGGCGCACACCGATGATGGCGGCAATCTCTACGCTTTTCTTTCACACCCCGAGAGCATCCACCTTCTTTCGCAAAGCCTCAATCCGTTCTTCCCTCCCTCCGCGAAATCCAAGACCGAATTCGATTCCAAGACCGCCGCGATCCATGTCGAGACCAAAAATCCCGGTGCTTTTAACCTGCAAGAGATCAAGGCGGATGCGCTCTGGCTGAGCCAGAAAGCTGGCATCGATGAAATCACCGCTCTCCGGATCGCAGTCCTTGAATGGCAAAACCGGCCATCGACGCGCCTCACCACGAGCTTCTCCACCGAAGAGGCGACGAGTTTGCAAAGCGCGGCAGGGACCGACAACTTCAGGGTCTCGCTGGCTGGCCCGAATCTGGCCGAGATCTTGAAGCGGACAGTGCGCGGAGATAGCGATTCATCATTCAATACGGAGGATAATCGGCGCCTGCGCCTGCGGAGCCTTTATCTCTTAGAAAGAAGCCATGTGGTGAAAACCTTCCGCAAACTTCTCGTCCAGTCCTTGCACGATGACATTTCAGATGAGCCAGCCAGCCGCGGAGATGATCGCAGAATTGCCTTATGCAACTTGGGCTCGACCATCTTCAACGACAAATCCACCGGCGACGGATTGGGTCAATTCCTCCAAGAATGCATCAACTCCGTACGCTCTCGACTCTCGGATTTGGAAGGAGATGGTGGTTGGCTCGGGGCAGCTGAGAGTAGCGAGGAGACGGAGGATATATGGAGGACGACGCTGGTGGAGGAGATTGTCCACATCATTCAGATCATCTTTCACAAGCTTCAGGCTTCGATCGAGATTCCAAGCGCGGACCTTGTCCTATCGTGGCTTCGTCTCATGGCTGATTACAGCTTTCTGGAGCCGCTGCAGGTGGTAAGTTGGAACACTGTAGGAAATCTACTCAGGCTAACTAACATCTTATAGCCGTGCCAACAGCCGTTGGAAGTGCTGCTGCCTCTTCAGGCTTTTGCGTCGCTTACAACCTTGAGTTTCCTCAAGCTTCCTCTTACCATTCCTTCGATTATCAACAGGACGCAAACGCCGCAGGCATCCTCAGCCAAGACGCCTTACTTTCTTTGTAAAGAGAAAATCTCTCAAATAAATGAGATCCTGCTGGGTGCTTGCGAGGATTCGAGTACTGCAAGCCCTGCGGCCTTTGCATGGGGCCTGATCCTACACACGATGAGAGAACTGGCGCTCAATGACAAGGAGACTCGAGAAATGGAGCAGTTCCGGAGCGCCGTGGATTCCTTTCAGTCCAAGACACAAAATTCGGGTCTTTCTCGAGGATCGGAGCAATCGCTCTACGAAGATTTGCTTGACTGCGCCCGGACACCGAATCACACCGTTGATGACGCCATTCCAATCTTGACATCTGATGCGGTGAAGGAGTCGGCGTTCAATGCCATCGGCACACTGGCCACCAAGGCTGGCTCTATGTCTGCGATTGATGACTGTCTATCCGATCGATGGGTCCGTTTAGCCCTTCTTGATCTTATTCGCGTGGCAATCGTGTATTTGGACTATTCACCGGAGATCGTGGAGTCTGTACTGGCGATCCTGACGGGTACCCCTGAACAATTATCATGGAATTTGCCATGTGACCTAGGACCTGCCAGCGACCCGAGGGTTGTCTTTTCCAAGGATGATCTTCTGATGGACAGCATTTTCCGCGTTGCCCGATCTCGATTCCCATACGAGACTCTTCCATTTTTGAAACTCTGTCGAGCGCTCATCAGCGAACACTCGCTCAACAGGGACGGACTGCCCGAGGTCCTTGAGGAACTGGAGAACATGGACACTTTCACGCAGATCGTCGCGCCGACCTTCTCAAGCTACAAGACAATCCGCGAAGATGAGAACGCCAACCTCGTGTCCCTGATGCAACCTCTTCCGATGTTTGAGTCTGCCCCTCGAAACCGTCTTCTCGAAAATGGAACGAGTAACGCCCTGATTGTGAGCGGTTCGTCCGAGATCCCAACGGCCACAGTTGGCCAGGTAATCTCCGAGTCGAAACCAGCGGTCATTATGTGGCAACACCGGTATTCGTGCTTGAGCTTTCTAGGCAGCTGGCTAGAAGGATGGAGTGAGAGCGGCGGGGGCTCATCCGAATGGATTGATGAATCTGGCACAGAGATTATTGGGCTTTTGGCGGAGCTGGTGGCCAATGCCAACGATCAGACGACACCAAACTCCCCTGGGTCAAGCGCCAAGAGGATCCTCGAAATGGCCAGTGACGGGCTTTCCCAGCAGGGAGACATCATCTCCGTGGTCTTTGACATCTTTGAACGCAATCTCCAGAATATCGGAGCCCGCGGCGAACTAGGCAAAGCTCTTGATCCGCTCATGGCGTGCCTTCAGTTTATCAAGGAAGTGTTGAAGATCCTGCCCAATCGAGTGTGGCCTTTCTTTGCCCGCAGCAGTTTTGTTGGATCTGACGGCCAAGGTGGTGTGATGACAGCCATCATCTCTGCGATCGAAATACCCGCAGGCGAGTATCCGTTCCTCTTGAGCTGCGTCGATCTATTCCAGGCTATTGTCGATGATGCGGCATCTCGTGCAGTATTGCGAAGAAGCCCCAACAGTGTTGCCAGCAAGTCAACAATTGCCTCCGACTGGAGCGCCGGCATCCCTTCGCACGTCATGAGGACCATTCTATTGAATTTCATTCGGACAATGGTCGAGATCTTCAACAGCAATGGGAATTGGAGGTTCAATCTTTCCGAGCAGCGATTCAAGATCAATTCGACGCTCGCCACGACTTTTGAACGGATCCTGTACTACGCCTATGGGACCAATGATGCCGCGAAGCTGGATTCAAAGCTGACCGGTGTATTCTCTGCCTCTGCTGAATACATTTTGGACATGCTGCGACCCAGGTCGACTGCCGACCTTCCTTTCAACCCAATTCTTCGATTGGTCTCCGATGGCCTTCAAACACCACCTACCCTCTACCTCAGATATCTCATTTTGGTTGAAGACCAGGTCAAGTCAACCCTGCAGCTGTGCATCAAACTTGTGCAGGCAGCACAGCTTGCAGAACAGTCCGGCTCACTCCTAGAAGAACAGCTTTTCAAAGCAGCACCAGTTCTCATCAAACTTTATGCCCTGCATGATGCCTATAGACTCCCGGTGGTATCCTTGCTCGATATTTTGATCACCAGTGCGGCGTCTAATTCGGACGATGAGCCCCCGTCTCTTGTGGGCCACCTGGGTGCCGAGTCCTCATGTCTATTTCTCGATGTGCTCGCCCAACTCGACAAGCCACTTAGTGACCAGGCTCTTCTGCTTTCAGTCTGGCATTTACTGTCTACGTTTGTTAGCAAGCGCCAGCAGTGGTTGGCTGTGTTTATTCTCACGGGAGCATCTCCCCGTCAGTCTCTGAAAAAATCGGACACACCGGGCACTCCGAGTATGCGCAGCGCCCCCTTCCTGCAATTGGCGCTGGACAAGCTCTCAAACATTGACCAACTCGAGCCACAAGCAGCGTTGGCTCTATTAGAGTTCGTCTCTCGCGCCCAAGAAAACTGGCCCTGGGCTACTCCGCAGTTGAGAAACCACCCTCATTTCTTCAATGGCATCGTGAGCCATGTCTCGAAACTGAACATCTCTTCCCTGCCCGTTATGGACCAAATCTTCGCGACGCGGATTGCTGCTGTTGTTGCTGACCTTTGCGCCGTGTACCTCCACGCTGCCAAGGAAGCGAACGATCGCAGTTTTGTCAAGACTTTGATCCCGCTGGTGTCTTGGTACGCGAAGGATGCCGTTGAAGTTTCTGCCTACAATGCCTCGTTGCACGCCAACCTGAAGAAGAATTTCGAGATGCGATACTCCGGGTGCAAGATTCTTGACTTCAAGAGAACGCCACTGGGAACTCAAGCACTGGGACGAGATTACTATTACGACCTTGACCTGGGCGAGAAGCTACTGTCCTACGACTTTGCCTGGGCTGGAAGCAGGAACCGAGGCTTTTCCGAGGAGTTTGAGCGGGCTAACGTCAATCTGTCTCTCGTTGAGGCACAGGTGGTAAGTTTTTTTTCGGTCTGCATGTTTCGTATATATCTAACCCCCCAAGTAGAGCCTTCTCAACAGCTGGAAGTTTTTCGCCATTGAGCATTGTGCGGACTTTATGCCGGATCGCGAAATACAGAAGTCGATGGCGGTGGTTGCGCAAAATTGTCTCGAGGCCAATACACGAAGCGTGCCACCGGAAGCAATCTTCGAGAGGATCCAGCAGGTGCGGGTTGACTTTGCCCAGGCGTTGCTCCAACGCTTGGTTGAGGTGGAAGCCCGAGGCGCTGAGGTGTTCAGGTTGCTTGAAGCTGTGTGGAAAGCACTGCGCAGCCGGCACCCAACATTTGAAGATGCCTTGGTCAATGATGACACCGAGTTCCATCGATCTCTCTTGAACGTACTGTTCCTCGCCCTCCAGTTCCACCTTGATGGGCCCAGCCGTTCGGCACCGGAGACCCTTAGCAAGAAAGCCGAGATTTCATCCGATTTGACTTTGATCATTGAAGTCGTCAAGGTTGCCGTGGCACAGGGCTTCAAGACCCTGACCACGTATCTGCACGAGCAGCCAGATAAATGTTTGCCGAAAGATTTCGCCATCATCACCGCCATCCTGCAAACCTGCTTGCAGGTGAAGAATGCCGACCGGCTTTACGAGCATATCGTATTCCACATCGAGGACAACGACACCGCGCGACATGCTACGACATTATTCTCATGGGCCGACCAGCTGGCAGTTGCGGGAGATCCCATCTACGGAGAACTCAGCGTTTCGGTTCTTGTCAAACTCTCCACTCTCCCCATGCTCGCCGAGCACCTTGCCGTTGAAGCGGTGTTGATGAAATTGTCAACTTGTCGCCTCGCGAACGGTCTCCGCCAGCCCAAGGGATTCGGCCCCTTTGACCCAGTGCCACGGCTCTACGCCATCTGGACTGGAGGGTTCCTGCCCCTGTGCCTTAACCTGTTGTACAATGTCATTCGCACCGCGCCAGAAGTGGCTGCCTTCCTCAACCAGTTTGAAGGCCAATTGACCCGTTCAGCAGAGGCATTTTCCACGGGACACGGCTCCGCCTCCAAACCCCCGGCAACGCGGTGGATCTGTCTGAGCATGGCCTCCGAGGCATACTCCCTGGCCCTCATTTCCTTCATTCTCGATCGGTTCCGGGAAGCTGGAGCCAGTGCAGGGGTGGATGCACAGTCGATCCAGGATCTTAAGTGGGATAAAGCGCACGTCAAGGACGATATCGAAGAACTGTTAGGACGTCGGCCGGCCTTGCGCGCGCGCATCGCCGCTACAAGTGACAAGGAGATGGAATGGTCTCGGCAGAAGCCCCTTGATGCCAACTCGGGGGCCGAGAACCGGCTGGAAGAGAAGATTGTGAGCGAGCTGAAAGCTACGCTGGCTTGTCTGGGAGGCGAGTAGGTAGTATAGAGCGAGTTGGGATCAGGTCCAATTCAATAATGACTGTCTAGTAAGGAGTAACAAGGGGTGACGGGTATGGGCATGGCCTGGCTGTGGCCAAGTAGATAGCGAATCATATCATCTTGATCGTTATACCTGCAGCAGTTCACCAGATATGTATCTTGTCGCAGTGATGACGCTTATATGCTGAATATATGGTGCTTACACGCTCTATACTGTCATTGCTTTTGTCGATACTCGCTGAAGACCATCGGCCAGTCTATTGCCTTTTTATTTAGTCTGGCATTCCCTTGCCGCCCCATTATACTTCTTGTTAATTTAGAAAGACTCTCAGCCAAACATGAAAATAGGGAATACAGGTATCAAATGTAAGACCCCTGTGATAGAGTAGACATACCCCAGTACTAGATCCCGCGCCAGCACCACACGATATTAGGCCTCGTAGTGGATTAGGGGAATGTAGTACCTACCCTGCGCTTTATGATGTCCTTTTTACCTTTTTAGGGGGTCTTTACAGTCTTTACCCACTTTGGTTATCGGTGAACTTCTTCTTCCGGCGAGGGGGCCACGGTCGGTGCCTCGGTGCTTCCGACGGATTAACCGACAATATGCGGGGAAATCTTGGTTAACAGGAGTTATGCATTATTATAAGGCCCCCAATGCAAGCCCTCAATCTGACACATTTCAATCACCTAGCTATCTGCTTCCCTATCGACATGCCTTACAAGTCCCGCTGGCAGGTCGACGTGCCAAACGCGCACCTTGCGACGGTGCTACTAACGTCTCCGACGGCTAAGCTCTCTAAGACCCACCGATGCTTCCTGGAAGCTGCCCGGCCGGACACCCACTACTTGACCACGCATTCCTTCAGGTTATGGAGTCAGAGATTTGCTTTAGGCCTGCAAAAGAAAGGCCTACACAAGGGCGACCGCGTCCTGTTGTTCTCGGGCAATGACCTGTTCTTCCCCGTCGTGTTCATGGGCGTCATCATGGCCGGCGGTATCTTCACCGGCGCTAATCCGACCTACGTAGCCCGCGAGTTGGCCTACCAGCTCCAAGACAGCGGGGCAACCTACCTGATCTGCGCACGAGCTAGCCTAGACACCGGCCTCGAGGCCGCGGAGTTGGCAGCCATAGGCCGGGACCGGGTGTTTGTGTTCGACGACACCCTCTACGATGGCCGCGGCGTCGGCGAGAAGGGCTGTCAGCACTGGGGTGAACTTGTAGCGTCACCAGAGGAAGGACAGGGTTTCGCATGGCCGGAGCTGTCTACTCCTGAACTAGCAGATACCATCCTCGCGCTCAATTACTCTAGCGGCACGACTGGGAGGCCGAAAGGTGTGGAGATCACGCATAAAAACTACATCGCGAACACGCTACAGTACACCCACATGGCCAGCCTCAACCCGGACTACGAGGCAAAGCTGTCCCGCGCCCGCTGGCTGTGCTTTTTGCCTATGTACCATGCGATGGCTCAGACCATCTTCTGTTCTGCGGCATTGTTGAGGCGTACACCAGTGTACATCATGCCCAAGTTCGACTTCATTCAGATGCTTGAGTATACGCAGAAGTTCCGCATCTCGGATCTCATTCTGGTGCCCCCAGTGATCGTTGCTCTGGCCAAGCATCCGGCCGTGAAAAATTATGATCTGAGTAGTGTCGAGGCTGTGGGGAGTGGCGCTGCACCGTTGGGGAGGGAAGTCTGTGAGGAGGTGGAAGCTCTGTGGCCGCCGGGCAAGATCAATATCAAGCAAGGTTGGGGCATGACTGAGTAAGTCATCTAATGGAGATACACCTAGGTATACTTATTGATTCTGTGATAGAACGACCTGTTCTATCTTGGGGTGGGATCCCACCGAGAAGAGTTTCTCAGCTTCTGTCGGGGAGCCGAACGCCAACTGTGAGGCCAAGATCATGGCCGAGGACGGTGTGACTGAAATTCTAGATCGGAATACGCGCGGCGAGTTGTGGGTACGTGGTCAGAATATCATGAAGGGATATTGGAATAATCCCGAGGCAACCAAAGCAACCAAGACGGAGGATGGGTGGCTCAAGACGGGCGATATTGCCTTTGTCGATGACCAGGGCAAATTCCATGTTGTCGATCGGATGAAAGTGAGCATTCTCATTCCCGTTTGAATTCTCAAAACTAATAGACCCTAGGAGCTTATCAAAGTGAAGGGGAATCAGGTTGCCCCCGCGGAGCTAGAAGCCTTGCTGCTCGAGCATCCCGGAGTAGCAGATGTAGCCGTTATCGGAGTTGCTATGTAAGAAGACTTACCCCTTCACCGCTTGCTACATAGCTAACTATGGAATATAGTAACAACGACGAGGCGCCCCGGGCCTACATTGTGCTTATGCCGGGCCAGACCGCCACAGCGGAAGACATCACGCGGTTCATGGATGGCAAGGTGGCAGCCTTCAAGCGGATCACCGGCGGGGTACGCTTTGTCGAGGCGATCCCAAAAAATCCATCAGGCAAATTATTGCGTAAGGCGCTGCGCGAACAGGCCAAAGAGGAGCTGAAGAAGGAGAACCCAGCAGCCAAACTGTAATTAGATCTGGACATGATGCATTTTTGCCTAATTGCCTCGTCCAACGCCAAAAAAAATACATACAAATGCTTTGGCGATCCCTCGCGGGGTTCCGTCCCACTGGGAGACCAAATCATTGCATTAGCCGAGAGGATTTGACTTAGCGCGAGCCCCAGGTCCACCGCCAGCTGGAAGGTAGCCGATCAGATCGGAGATGCAGGGTTGTAAGAGGCTGATGCATCGCGGATCGACTGCACATTTGTCATGAAGGATCGACTGCACAGCGTGTGCTTTTTCCACCCCCACGGCTCCGGAAAGAGGCCATCCCAGTCACTTGAACAGGGTCTCCGCGGTCTCACGTCCAGGGTTGTGCCCGGCTGGAGATTTTCTAGACCGCAGATCTTGACCCCCCCACCCTCCCTCGATTTTGTTCTTTTTTGTTTTGTTTTTTACCCTGGTGGCTGCAGCGACCGCAGCTGAACCTCGCAGGCGATCCAAACTAGGGCCTGCTCGTGGCTGACTGGAATGGAAAGCCAATTCCCGCTGTTCTTGCATTGCGCAGGCAGCCACGGGCAATGTTCAGTCTGTGTGCGCGCGTTGGCTATGCGACCTACTATACTTTCTAGAGCGAGTGCGCGAATAACGCCCGATGGAGTCTGATTCTCGGATCGTCCATTGATTCTTTAGTTTACTTTTGCCCTGGCGAACCACCGTGTCACCCCGCCATCATCTAGTGGGGGGCATTTCTTTTTTGGGTTGATGTACTTTGCGAACCATGCCGTCGTTAGAATGGACTGGTAGTATTTGATCGATCTGCCTGGATTTCTTTATAGTCCCATCCACCATCCACTTATGTAGCCCTCTCCGATGTTTCTTCCTGCTTTGAAAATCCTAAGTCTCTCAAGCCCTTCTGATATACTAGCCGTGAACCATCCAGCGTCCCTCCGACTGAGAACCAAGTCACTCATGAAAGGACCGGGGCAGGCAAACCATTAGGGCTAGGCTGACTTATCGAAAACGCCATGAACTTTGGATACGCCACGCGATCTCGCTGCCTCTATTTGCTATAGTAATCCTATAGCTTCTCGTCCACACGCTTTCTCGACTCAGCCACCCGGTGAACCAGACCAGTTGTTAGCTATTCAACCTCGTGGACCCAGACATCAACATGGACAGACGATTCAAGACCACGCCTCCGCCGCCCTCTGCACTGAATGTGCTGCGGCCACTGTCGGAGATTAGCTCGTTCCCAAGCAGCGGAGCTATTGCCGCGAAGGTTCGCGAGCAGAAGCAGAAGCAGACCGCAGACAGCAAATTAAGCGGAGATGATTCTGCTCAGAAGAAGTCTGATGCTCCGACCTCCAAGACCCTCGGGTCTTCAATGCCAACAACGACGACCTCGGTGCAGAGAAGAAGCGAGACCGTTGCGCAGATGTACGACAACGACGAGAAAGGAGGACGCACTTGGCAGAGGCTTATTGTTGAGTATAGTTAACTTTTTGCAGCTTGGATGGGTGGGTCGCTTTCTGGGTTAGCTTTAGAAATTGTTCATCTTTTCTTGGGTTTTGGATTTTAGTTCAGCTTGATGATGTTTTCATGATATCCACGAAGCAAGCAAGCATCGTCTAGAAGGAGTCCCTTATCAGCGGGTGATCTGGGTGGCAGAATGTCTTTCTTTTTCTTGTTCTCCTCATTCTTTTTTTTTTGCAAGTCCACTTATCTGCTTTTGATACTTTCTTTTTGTCGAGGTTGTGTATATGCAATGCAAGTATTGAGTTGAGATGCTGTGCACGGAATTGCTTCTTTATTTTGTCATGCTACTATCGCAATTTATCCACTGTTTGTGTAAGATGGCGCGCTTTTTATGTCGCTGAAGATAAATATTTTAAGGAACAGTTCGTAAGTAGATTCCCTTCCGAAGGCTGATGTCGTCCGCGCGGTTCATGGCATCCTCCAACACAAATAGAATTTGGCGCTTCCCGCTCAAGCATTCAAATAACCCAATCGGACACAACCGCACTTGTTTTGTCCCGCAGCGAACAATCATTGGATGCCCCCATGATCTTACGTACGCGCAATTGGTACAGGTTCCTTTGTGCAGCACCTGGCCATTGATGACCGAAACCACACAGCAAGAAAGACTAGACACAATGAAATAATGCATGCAATAATTTTTACCCTGACAGTGGCCGTTAAAGGCCAGACAATTTGGTATTACCAAGTCAGGCGTTCGACTTTTTCACCTTCTTCTCTGCCTTCCTGGCTGCCCTCGCTTGAGACTTCGCAACCTCTTCCGCAGTGCAGGGCCGGCGTTTTGTATTAAAGCACCGATATAAATTGTCGCAGATCACTCGGTTAACGTCATTTGGATGCCTCTACCATGTGTACATTGCTTTCGCATTGCAGACAGGGTTGTCATATGCCATGTGAAGACATTGAGCTCGAGTTATATGTATCGAGCAGAATCATTAAGACGGCCTCTAAGAGACGTATCAGCCATCCGCCATCAGCGCCGGGTGCGTGATCAACAGCTATAGCCTCCAGGAATATAGCGGGAGTTTCTTACCAACCCTTCAAGCAGAGGATGTGATCCGAAATGTGATACTTCTGCGTATATTCTAGCATCCGAATAAAGTCGAGCTTGAGCATGATAAAAACCGGTGTATTTCTAGCCAATGAAGCCGACGGTTGACAAGTCAGATGTACTGGCAAGGGCGCAACGATTGGGTGAGTCATCCGCAGAATGGCTAAGTAAGTTATATTAGAACCCACTCACCATCTTGAAGTCCCCGTTTCAAGTCACGACCTCCAGAGATATCATCATGGTGACCCAGGAACCCGATTATCATTTCATTGGCACCCACACCCGCTATTCTAGTAAGGTGCACGCGTATGGTTGCATACCCATCACTAATATGCCCTAGGCTGGACTGCCCGGGTGGAGGCTGTCCTGGAATACTTCCGGATAGGGCACACCCGCGAGTTTGTGAAGCTTTCTGATGTTCGGCTGCCACCTGCTAGGTGTACACTCATACTTACTGATGGATTCATAGGTGAAAGCTGTCTCACCAACTGGATTTGTCCCCCTCTTAAAATGCCGTCCTCTCGGCATTCTAATCGGCGATTCGCTGGCGATTTGCGAATTCCTCGCTGAATCTCATCCTGCGCTGGCCCTTTGGCCTCGAGACCGCCAGCTTAGAGCCATTGCCCGTAGCGCCGCTGCTCAGATGCATTCCGGCTTCCCCGCGTTGCGAGGCACGTTCCACACAAACTTCCTCGCCCAGTATACGGGTAATATCCCGATTCCCGAGGAGGCGCAAAAAGATATCGAACGTGTCTTGGCTATCTGGGATGAGGCCCGGAAAACTACCCAGGAACGGCTTGCGATGCTAGGAGAGGTCGACGAAGGGTTCCTGTTTGGAGAGTTTAGTATTGCCGATGCGTTTTTCTGGCCGGTGCTTTGGGTATGCTTTCTATGGTCCATGGTTTCATTTGATAGTGATTACTGATAATTTCTAGCGATTCCGGACGTATAACCTCCCCCTTGACACCGCGAGCCAAGACGCTCTGGCCTGGATGGCAAAAATGTGGAATGATCCGGTGTTCCGGGCGCTAGGCGAGAGATACTATCAGCAAGCTAAGGATCCGGAGAGTCGTGTTGAGCATTACGATGATATCTTCCGCAATAGGGGCGACGTGCAGTATAGCCAGTTCCCCGAGGACTGGAGGTTTTCTGTGCCGGGAAAGTGAAAGTGTGACCTTGTCGCGATATTCACTGAGCAAGGAGAAATCCCTGCTAGGAAATGAATCTATTCTGATCCCCAATCATTTGCTAGAGCCCCGTAGCCTTTCATCTGTATAGATATACTGTCGGACTAATGTGGTGTCTGCATTTATGCCCGCAGATTGATTACACATTTCAAGAGTAGGGTGGTAGATGATGATATGTAGAGCTAGAGCTGTTCTTGTTACGATATCGTAAGGATTTTTCATTATCGTATATCGTATAGTCAAGACTAAAATCCCTGGGATAATTATCGCACGATAATACCGTCAGACCAAAACCCCTGCGATCATATCATCGAGACCGCATATCGTGAACAGCCATATGTAGATCCGCAACGATGTTCTTTTTGTATCCCATTTGAGTCATGTATGAATGCTTTTTAGTTTCAGATGTTGTTGGAGAGACGACAAGAGCTGAGGCCTGAGGTTATGTTGACAGGTCACCTGATCCTCTGACTACCACGTATAACTGTACACTTGACTTAGCTCTGCTTCCTCCCCCATCACACCCAACAAGCATGGCTGTCACCGCATATGCTTCCCCAGCAGGGGACCCCCTCCAACTCAGCCTTCTCAATGTATCTCGCCTCTTCACTCGATTAGAGCACAACCTGCTTTCCCCAGCGACAGACCTCCACTCCCTCCGCCGATCCGAGTACCAGCGCGCGCGCGTGAGCAAGGTACGAGCAGGGAACTCACTATACCAAAGTCAAGTTTAACAAATGGAACTTAGAATGTTGATTATGCCCGCACCCTCCTCGCGCAGCTCGAGCGCTCACTGCCTCAACTCAAACCGCCAGCCCGGAGACACGAGGCGCAGTCGGAGATAGCGCGGGACCGGGCCCTTCTGAAGCGCATACAGAGTGTACTGGACGAAGCCGAGTATCGCGCAGAAGATGAAGATGAAGATGAGGAGGAATGGGGCACCTTGTTTTCTAAGCCTATGACGGAGGAGGTTGTTTCTTCGATGCCATCGACGGGTCAACCGGAGCGGGTGCAAATACACAACCAAAGGGGAGGCGACAATGACGAAGACATAAAAGAGGAGGTGGAATCAACACGGGATGTACCTGCTGCCGACACTACTATCCTCCCAACAACTACATCTACTACAACTGCCCCTCCAACAGCAACAACACCCCCGACATCCACCCTCCGCCACCGATACAACACCCACGAGCCACCATCAACAACAGCCGCAAAAGCAAAAGCAACAGGAACCAGCGCTTCGTCCTCTCCAGCAGCACCATCACCCGACAAGCTCGCCACAGCAGAGCAGGAGCTTTCCTCGGCGCGCCTGGAACAAGAAGACCTGACGAGCTCGCTGCTCTCGCTGGCCGGCCAGCTCAAGGCATCATCGCAGTCCTTCCAGACAACGCTCGAAAGTGAAAAGTCGGTACTAGATCGGGCAGTGCAGGGAATTGACAAGACCAGTACCACGATGGAGGCGGCGGGGAAGCGGATGGGAATGCTGCGGCGGATGACGGAGGGAAAGGGGTGGTGGGGACGAATGATGCTGTATGCGTGGATCTTTGGGCTGTGGGTGTTGGCCGTGTTGATTGTGTTTGTTGGGCCGAAGTTGCGGTTTTAGTTTCTGCAGTCCAAATATACCCAGAATAATCCAGTAATAAAAAGGCTTGAACTACATAATGAATAAAAAGACAAGTCTATCGGAAGCCCTGTTTCAAATTCCTGAATTCAGACGATAACCCAACGACCGACCTGGCATGACACATGAGAAGAGACATGAAAATCCCGCGGATCCTGCCCTTTCTTCCCCGTGCCCAATGCCCAGATGGTCGCCGCGAGGCTTCCAACGGACGCGAGACCAAGGATATGATGGGGAGGGTTGACGGTATGGTTACATACAAACGGCGACGAACAAACAGAAAGAAGAAGGGGGAAGAAAAAAAAAACCAAAAAAAGAGATGATAGGATATCCAGCATTCAAATCAAAAAACGGACAGAAAAAATGAAACTCAAGGGCCTGAGGGGGCAGCAGACGAAGGAAAATTTCCGGTTCGACGTCGTAGAGAGGATATCGGCAAGGTTGTGAAATGAATTGAGCCGATGTTGCTTAATCGTGGCGAAGGGAATGAAGATTAAATGAAGAGAACGAGAAAGAAAGAAAAAACGCCGGAATCTGGAGGAATGAGAATTTTGACCGCGCCAAAGAGTCGGCCTGATGAGACATGCGATCTAGATTCGACACTGCGACACGAGGAAGAGCAATTAAATCAGACCACACAGTCGGAGGTTCTCCTGGATGATGATATCTGCGGCATTTTTATTAGCGAGTGTATTTCGGTGGGGGACCGAGACAAAGCTTACCATTCACAGCGGCCATGACGAACCGGATCTGGGTGGTGTCCGTTGCGCAGGTGAAGTGGGTGTAGATCTGCTTCTGCTCGGCCTGGTTCAAGGACACGAAGCGGTTAAGGATGTAGTCGCAGGCCGCGGCGTAGTCACCACCGCCCTCGTAGTCGGGGAAATAGTGCTTCATGGGGCTGGCGGGAAGCTTCTCCTTGAAACGATCGATCTTGTTGAGGAAGAGAATGATCGAGGTCTTGACGAACCACCGCGAGTTGCAGATCGAGTCAAACAGGGTGAGCGCCTCCTGCATACGGTTGACCGTCTCATCCTCGAACAGCAGCTGGTCATACTCGGAGATGGCGACCAGGAACAGAATGGTGGTGACATTCTCGAAGCAGTGGATCCACTTCTTTCGCTCGGACCGTTGACCACCCACATCGAACATCCGGTAGGTCAAGTCGCCAATAATGAAGGTCGTCTCGGTGATACCGGTGGTCTTGACACGAGAGCGGAGCACATCCTGGTCGGTGGGGAGGTAGTCGGCCTGGCCAATGCGGTCAATGGCATCGAAGTAGCTAAAAAATTGTCAGAACAGGGAAAGGCTGTCACCCACACATACACTACTCACTATTTGGCAGAGTCGTTCAACTGGTATTCTCGGGACCGCTTGAAGCACTCCTGGACCCCGGTGTCGCGCCACAGAGCACCAATGGCGGTGCCAACCTCGGGCGGGATGCTGTCGCCCTCGATCTGGGCGGGCTGCATAAAGACGGTCTGCACATGATACTCGTTGCGCTGGTCCTCCAGCGGCAGCTCGAGAGACTCCATCGCCTCGAGGATCACCCGCATCGACTGCACCGTGTTGCTGTAAATGATCTCCTTGAACGACTCCCGTTCGTCGGGCGAGTATCCACCCTCGTGGATCAACTTCATCTGCTTGAGAATCGTCGACTTGCCTGACTCTCCGGCTCCTACACGGTTGTCAGCACAGTCCATCCGTTTTTGGGCCAGTCAATCCATCCTACCGAGCAGCAGCATCTTGATCTCATTCCGTTGCAGCATCTTGTCACGCTTGAGCTGGTTCTCAATCTCCTCGTTCCGCGCCTTCCCCTCCTTATCCTCAGTGCTCATTCCACAACCCATTTTGGCGGTGGTGAATGGGTCGAATCAACGAAAGTAATGGTCAAAACCGGAGGGAAATATCAAAGTCGCGGGGCGGGTTTGAATCAGTGGATCGGGGCTGGAGGATAGGACAGTCACTGTCAGCAATCAAGTTTCTTCTTTTCTTTTCTCCGACGAAACAATGTCAAGGCGAGGTGCGTGCGGTGGTACAAGCTTCCCGCTGACGATTCGACGGCAGGCCTCGACAACGCGCTGCAAGGAGGGGATTCGGAGGAGGCTGTCACGGCAACGCATGCAGTTTCAAGACCACACGAGCACGAGGTGACCGGGGAGATCGCTACACACCTGAATGTAAAGCCCAAACTGGAAGCGCTATACCGGGGGAGAAGATCGTGGATCGAAAAAGGAGAGAAGTGTCGGATAGCCGAGGAAAAGAAAGAGAGTAGGAAAGAAAAGCGACGAGTCCAATTCCGAGAAGGTAGAAGAGAAAAGGAAGAGTGCAGACCTGGCGAGGTGGGCAGGTTTGGAGGAAAGAGGATAGAATACCAGGCAAGAGGTAAGGGGGAAAGCGAAGAGAGGGGGAAATTGAGAAGTTTCAACCTGGGAACGGTAATACGGAGGCTTAACGTGGCCACGGTGGTATCTGACGCGTCCGATACACGGTCCGTTTGGCCATTGGCCTGAGCGGCGTGATTGGCTGGGGGCGGGAGTGGGGGCAGTACCGGGACTGGGCCAATGAATGCACTCTTACACTATGTCTGCTCTCTTCTGTCCATCGTCCTTCGACGCTCTCTGTTCGTGCGGCACTCTCTGGTCAGGCCAGTATCAGGCACTGTCCGTCAGCATCCGATTCTACCGGTCAGCAACATGAGCCGTCTCCAAGGCACCGTCATGGTGAAGAAAGTGCAGCCCCCCTGACCCGCTCGAATCAGGGGAATTATTAATGGATCCTGCAGATCGCCGCCTTGGTGGGGAACGGTCACTACAACACCTGTGCCCCGAAACACTAACTATAGTGACTCCTCAGGCACACTGGGCGTGGGGAAGAGAAGGGCTAGACAATCATCAGCTACCGACTGAGTGCGACGGAGTTTCAACTTCTTCCAGAAGGAATGTCGGGGACTCTTTCCGAGTGCGACCCAGGCGTGGCAGACTGGAACCTGCAGGTGTCGGTGGCACAACCACCACCTCCCAAAAATGGATGATGACAAGGGCCCCTGTCACATCCACTAGTCAGTCATAATCGGTTCGGCCAGGATGCCTTCCCCTGAGTGTGACGATGTTCTTCTGCACAGTCGGCATCCCTGACCCACCAGCTAGTGACTTCTAGCCGTTTTCTTTGCCGCGCGCTTTTCCTGTTTGTATGCCCGGCCGATGGCCCCATTTGACCGTCACTTTGCCCTCGCGCTATTGAATTTTTTTTTTATCTCCGCAGGATGAAGGATTGGCGGGCCTGACAGAGGAGGGCCTCGGTGCGGAATAAGCAAGTGCTAGTATTCCGGAGCAGGGTGTGTAGCCTGGTCGATCGAGATCGAGAACCCTTACCCTGCTAGCTCAACATGCTCCATGAACTATCGCCATACAATGTGGCCAGCCGACGGAGGGCAGACGGCGGACTATGATGTTCTACCGTGGTTCTCCCCCGATTGCAGAACCCTGGTCGCTCCGATCTGATCTGATTTTTCGGCTCCACCCGAGCTTTTCCCCCCTCCGGGTCTTTATTGATCGTCTTTTCCCCCAACATACTACCAACCCCTTGAACCCTGAGACAGGCGCAACCATGTCACACGAAATGGCCTACATGGGCCCGCGGGGTACGTTGCTCATTGCATGGTTATTATTGTCCATCTCAATCTGACTTCAACAAACAGCCTTCAATCACGAGCAAAGCAGTGACGCTGAGGCGGAGTACGACCGGCTCCGCGGCCTCGCGCGCCAGGAGGCCTCGAAGCGCAACGCGTGTTTCCAGCGTGTATGTTGATACCCGTCGCTCGCGACTTGTCGAGAATTCTCACTAATGTCGATCGGAACCAGTCGCAAGAGGCATACTCGAGCGGCGATGGCGCGGGCGCAAAACACCTGTCGGAGGAAGGCAAGGCGCACGGGCACAAGATGGACGAGTACAACAAGCAAGCCTCCGAGTTCATCTTCCGTGAGAACAACGCGTCAGGACGCGTGGCGGCCGATACCATCGATCTGCATGGCCAATTCGTTGAAGAGGCCGAGGAGATCCTGGAGGAGCGCATCAGGTACGCGAAGACACATGGGCAGAACCATTTGCATGTCATCGTCGGCAAGGGCAACCACTCTGCCAACCATGTCCAGAAGATCAAGCCGCGCGTCGAGCAGGTCTGCCGTGAACTGGGCCTGCAGTATTCCACCGAGGAGAACGCTGGTCGCATGTACATCAACCTCACTGGTGGCGCGGCGGTCATGCCGCCGCCGTCGTCGCACCAACACCAGCCCTCCCACCACCAATATCCTGGTCAACCGCACCAGCCTCATCAGCAGCCTCAGCAGCAGGACGAGGTGGAGCAAGTGGTCAAAGCAGTGCTGCCCAAGGTCATGCGCAAGCTCGAGAAGGCTTGCTGTGTCGTTATGTAAATTGGGAGGATTTCAACGGTGTTTGGGAGGAGACGCATGCCGATTTACTCTGCCTATTTTGGTCACAATACCCTGGATAACTTATAGCAACAAACATATTCCCATTAATGCAAATGCGCAGGTGCGAAACAAAACATTCAACATTCAATACATCGAGGGTATATCATCCATCCGAGACATCATAACTCCGTAGCCCATTCTGACAACACAACAACAACATTTACTCCTGCTCTTCCGGGTCCACCAGCGTCGTAGACACAATCTTCTCCACCATCATCCGCACCAACTGCCCATCCCCCGCACCATTAATCCTTGGGGTCGAATCAATCACCTCAATCAGCGACAGGGCCCGATCACGCAGCTCCCGCACCACCTCGCGCGTATGCTCGAAACTTCCCGTACTTTGCATATACTGCAGCGCATAGCGCTTCACCTCGTCATCACGTGGCTTCTGCTTGAGGATACTGATGAGCTGCAGGTTATTCGGGTTGGAGCGGATGCTGTGGATGATCGGAAATGAGAATTTGCCCTCGGTCAGATCCTCGCACAGACCTTTGTTATGGGTGTAGGTCGTATTGGACAGATTCAAGTAGTCGTCGCAGATCTGGAAGATCAGGCCCATGACGTTTACCAGCGGCACGCAGTCCTTGCCCGTAGTACTCTCGGCTTGCATCAACTTGACTGCGAGGCGGAAGAGTCCGCCCGTCTTGTTGCCCACCATCTCGAGGTACTCGTCCTCCGTTGGGCAGGTGAGTGTGTCACGCCAGAAGAGATCCATGCCCTGGCCGCGGTGCAGGTTCAGGAGCTCTTTGACATAGATGTCGAGTGCGGCGGGGTTGTTCAGACGTTGGACTTCCTGCAGGGCGAGGAAGTAGACGTAGTTGGCGGAGTTGATGGTCTGCGCGACGCCGAAGATGTTGTGCGCGACAGGGATGCCGCGTCGGAGAACGGAACTGTCCTCGACGTCGTCGATTCTGCATGTCATGATGGGTCAGTGAAGGACACGAGACAAAAAAAAAAAGAAAGCAAAAACTTACAGCAGCGACGCCGTGTGCAGCATCGTGACCACCTTGGTGATGATTGCCAGGCTTTCCGGCGGAACCTGAAGCCACGAGTCAAACGCGGCGATCAGCTGGCGACGCACATCTTTGCCTGGGTGTTCATGCATGTAGTCGTAGGGGCCCAGCACGATCTTTTCGTTTTTTGGCGACCACGTCCCATTTCTGTACTTTGTGCCGTCGACGCTGGACTTGTTGCGCCGGTGCTTCGACTTCGCCGGCACCCCGGGACGAGTCGATAGCGATTCACCCTCGGTGGTGGACATGGTTCGTCGGTGGACAGGGCCGTTTGTAGCGCTAACGGAGCTGGTTCGTGGGGGGACAGGACCGGGAGGTTGGAACGAAGAGCTCATGCTGGATGCCTGGACTCGCTTGTAGGAAGAGAGAATAGCTCTTCAGGGAGGAGAAGAGCGAAAGAGATGACGTCTGACAAGGCATCAGCATAAGAACTAGAACGAAACTAGCTCCAGCGCCACGAGCTGCAACTGATCCAGACGAGGTTACAATTTGCACATGTTTCGCGGGGGCCAACCATGACGCAAGGGCGGCCCGGCGATGACTAAGCATGGTTCAACGAGACCAAGCCCTAAGGTGTACGAAATGGGGGAATGAAGGATGGACTGGCGCGGCTGAGTGAGAGAGATGAAACACATGCAAAGGGTTAATTGAGGGTCCGTCGGCAGTCCCGAGATCAGAAATGCCCCACTGTTTGCGAGATCCAGCGGAGGAGCATCGGAGATGGAATCAAGGGCATCATCCTTCGCCATAGCAACTGGAAACAAGCCAGACAGTTTCACAGCCGGGGGACTAGTTATAATTAACAACATTAACCTCCCGTCCCTGACGCCATCGCGGACGATCGTGCAAGGGACAATCAAGGCAGAGACAACGAAGGAAGTGGGTGGCCCGGCGTCGTCCCGGCAACCATCTTTATTTACCTGCGTGGCGGAGCTGAACCGATCCATCTCATCTCATCGTCCGTCACGGACCACCCTTCGCATGATATGATAAGGTATATGCGCCCGCCAGCCTTGCTCTCTCTTCCGTTTTGACTGCGCCGGTGCTCTCTCGCGCAGCTTTAGCCCTCTCCCTTTGCACCTCTCTACCCATGGAGACGCTGCTGGCGCATTCGTTTGACTATCTCTCGTCTTACGAGCCCAGCAAGATCCGCAAAGGATTGCGCCAGGTGGAGGGCCTGCTGGCGCAGATATGTCTGTCCAAGTCTCGGGCTTCCGCCGCAGCTGCGGACCGACGGCGCTCGCTGCTCTCCTTTGACGCGCCGCAGCCGGTGCCCAAGTCGCTGTCCGAGCTGCGCGATGATCCGGCCTTTCGGGAATTCTTTAAGTTACAGGAAAGCTTCCAATGGAACGGTATGTTTATATTTCCGAGTTTGGTCGGTACAACTGTCTGATCTTTTCCTTTTAGTGGCCATGCGCTTGGTGGCCTGTCTGGAACACCTCCTCGGACGAGGCAGCAATGGCACAAACGACATGCTCATCGTCTGCACGCTGGACCTCATCCAAGGCGCGCTCCTCCTGCACCCGCCCTCGCGCACGCTCTTCTGCCGAGAAATCTACATGAATCTGCTCCTTGACCTCCTCGACCCAATCAACTGCCCAGCCATCCAGTCCGCAACGCTCCTCACCCTCGTCACCGCGCTGCTCGACTGTCCCGCCAACACGCGCACCTTCGAGAATCTCGACGGTCTTCTGACAGTAACCTCTCTGTTCAAGCAGCGCGCCACCTCCCGCGAGGTGAAGCTCAAGCTCGTCGAGTTCCTCTATTTCTATCTCATGCCCGAGACGCCCGTGCTTGCCAACGGCGCCAGTTCCCCCGGTCTCCAGCGCAGCCCTAGCAAACTCTCTCGAAACTCGCACGGGTCGAGGCCCGGCAGTGAAGGCGGCAAGCAAATGCCCCGTGACACGCGCACAACGGACGAGAAACAGGCTCTGCTGGGCCGATACCTGAATAATGTTGAGGACCTCGTGGAGGACCTCAAGGAGACTGCCCCATTCGGGGCAACGGTGTACTAAATGACCTTTTTGTTTCATGGCGATGACCCATACCAAGCCGTGATGATTGCTATTGTGTGCGATGACCGCTTCCGTTTAATTTCGGTGACGTGACTTTTTTTTTTCTCCTTTCTTATTCCCCCTTTTGTTCTTTTCTCCACGAACTTTTGAGTGATGATGTTTTTTTTCCCGTCCGAACGGCATGATATGTGATTCAAGATTGATGGTTTCTGCCTTCTTGCCATTCTCTTTTCTGTCTTCCTTTCTTCTGCCTCGTCATTCTCTTTGATTTCTGCTTTTCTTCCATTCTGGAATTGTGTCGACCTCTCGATTGGGCCCCTTGCCTGGCCCAGGATATTTTCCTTCTGTCTCTTTATGGCGACATGATTGTGTATGATTCTTCACTGTGATATTTTTAGTTCACCACAATATGATCTTGTACGATAATAATACTCTGCTGTGAGTGGGTGTAACATGGAGTGGGTGTTGCCGTCCAGTTCGCAAGTCGTTTACGCTTAACTCAATAAACAACGTCATTGGTAGGCCATTGCAGACACGAGCCATATTGACGACACACATTGATGTTCTCCGTACGGACTTTATTCATTGGTCGAGGTCCGACCGCCAAGCTCAATGCGCTTAGGGTCGATCGTGTTGACTCACTCGTCCAAACTATATAACTATCTCCACCTTCCTTTCCCTGCCTGATTGCCTCCACGAACAAACAGATTATACACCTGGACTGGACCAAAAGAAGCCCAAAATGACAATGACTATCCAGCAACACCTTGCCAACCATCCACCTCCACCAGAGACCCAGGATCCTTCTCAGAAGATCGAGTATCTGGACACGGTGGAGGCGTATGACAAGTGGGCCGAGGTATGTACTCGGATCACCCATGGCTTCTTTAAGTACTACGTGTTCTAGTTAACTGACAGTAAAACCAGGTCTACGACACAGATGGAAATTTCCTGCAACGGCTAGACACCATCGAGATGCGTAAGCTGCTCCCCCGGTTCCTGGAGCGGGTGCGGGCCCGGTTCGAAACGGACCACTCGTCGCTGGTGGATTTGGGGTGTGGGACGGGGAGGAATACAATCCAGCTGCTGGATGCACTTTCTGCGCAAGATAATGACAATAATAGCTTTGCCCCGGCGGTTTTTGGTGTTGATGCGTCGCCGAAGATGTTGGACGCTGCGCAGCGCGCGATTGACGCATCGATAGCGGCGAAGAAAACGGGCCAACAAACGACAGAGATCTCATTGGCGATCTTTGATCTATTAAACTTTGCCTCGAGCATCCCGCAACTACCGTCCGCACTCCGCGACGGGGGAGCTGTGGGCGTGATATCCACGCTGGTGCTGGAGCATATCCCCGCGAAGGTCTTCTTCGAAGCGGCATCCTCGATCATGAAGCCGGGGGCATATCTACTCGTCACGAACATGCATGCTGAGATGGGCGCGCGCAGCCAAGCCGGCTTCACGGACCCGGCTACTGGGGTGAAGATCCGGCCGACGAGTTATTGCCATTCTATCCCGGAAGTGCTGGCTGCGGCTGACGAGGCGGGATTCCAGGTGGAGGATTTGGTTGGGCAGGATGGTGACGGAGGGTTCTTGGTTAAGGATGTCGATGAGCGGTTAGGGGATCTATTGGGTGTCAGAGCGAAGAAGTGGGTGGGAGTGAAGGTGTGGTTTGGAGTGTGTTTTAGCAAGAGACAGTGATAACAGATCAGAATCATATCAACGATGCCCGCATCGGATCCTCTCGTTGATCCCTTCTTTCTATCAAACCACATCGTACGAATCTATCAGCCTTCTTGAGCTACCGCTCCGGGTCCCGTTGTAGTTCTGGCCGTGAGGCTGGGCTTCGGGGGTCGTATACTCGGATAAGTTGGCTGGTTCCACTGAAACCATACCTTCGATCTTCAGATGGGCAGTTTGGACTGAGGTACATGGGAAATGCTACTTTGTTTGGGCTGCTTGGTTGGGGTCGAGTCCTGTTGACGGCCTCTGTTGGTTTCTTCTTTCTTCTTCGTTTCCCTGTCTATTGCGAGAGGTATACCCTCCTTGTTTGGATCACTGGGAAGCGCTATCTCTCTCTCCCATAACAAGCTTCAGATACATTTTACAATATAGAATAGAACCAAATACAGTTAAAACAGTAGTAGAGGAAGGATAATGTAGCATGAAAACTGCAGAATACAGATATAGCTGGATATCACCGCACGAGGGAATTAGGCCGAGTTTCACCAGAACTGTGTCAAATGGTTCAAAACAGCAAGATGCGTTGCGTGTTCGTGGGGAGGGTATGTACAAAAATATTCTCGCTAGATAATAACATACATAACAAAAGAAACAAGAGATATAATAGAGACAGCTAGGACGAGGGCTCAGTAGGCGACCGCCGCACACCACTATTAATCTGCGCCGCGATCTGTGACTGGCGGAATCGCTCAAAGGCTTCCGCATCCTGCTGCTGCGCAGCCCAGAGCTCATCGACGGTAGACCCGAGCTTCTCAAACGCCTTATCCGCTTTGTCACCCTCGAACCCAGGCTGCTCGTCATGCAGGCGGTCGAGCTTCTCCCGGAGTGCGGCAACGCGGGACGCGTCGTCCTCATTGTCTTGATTCGGAGATGGATTGAGGAAGTCGCGGCGCAGGTTCTGGCCGAGACGGTGCACATGGCCTTCCTCGGAGGTCATGGCGCGCGAGTGCAGAGAGGTGATCGAACTGGCACGCGAGAGGCGGATGGCGTATTGGTCGGTTTCTTCATCATCAATGGCGTTTTCGTTGTCAAGAAGACTGTTGTCCGCGTTGGCAGCGGCGCTGGTTCCGTCTTCACCGTCGCCGGAGTGTTGGTCACCCGAATGCTGAGAGCTGGTGTCAGGGGCGATAATTGCAGGTGGACTTTGTGATGCAATGCGCGTTTCGGGATATTCATCCTCGAATCGCTGGATCATCCGGTGGAGTGTGAAGTCAAGGAATTGAAGACGTCCTGTAATCGAAGTGGTTAGATCTCAAATCCGACTCAAAATATTGGGAGCACTTACGATAGTTCGCATCATTGCCAGCACGATCCTCACGAATCAAGGCGGTTTGAATTCGGACCCGGATGTTGCGCGCCGATTCCAGGAGATTCTTCGACATGTCACGCGGTCTCTTGGTGACAACGTCCCGAGACTTGGGTCGTCGAGGGGTCGAAGTGCCACTGGCCAAAGGAGAGTGACTTCCCGGGACATTGATACCACCATGTTGGTCTAGATTGCTAAGACAGACGCCCAGTGCCTTCACGACACCTGTGCCGCCAATGACATAGTCCTCGTCCGGGGCGGTCTCGCCCTCCGCTTCCAATGGTTCTTCGGAAACGGTTGTGTTACCAACAATATGCTGTAGGATATCCGGTACGGGGACATCCTTGTCTGCGGCAGGGTCGATCACGTCTGACAGTTCTTCGGCAATGGCACCACCTTCCATGTTCCGGAGTGAGTACGCCACAATCTGTGATGCCAAGGCTTTCACGACCTCGTTGTTCTCTGCGCTGGGGACCTCGATGTCCACTGCAATGATCGTCCGCGACACACGGACAGCCGCCATCATCGACGCGTAAACGGCGCAGGCTTCTTCCTGTGTGGCAGGGTCGGTAGCAGAAGCCAAAGCACCGATCTGGGGGTTCTCCAAGATATTCAAGTGACAGAGACTGGGGCATTCGGGCAGAATCTCAGCCAGACTGATGGCATGGTCGGCAGAAAGGTCGACATCGGCAAGATGAATGCGCTTTAGCGCAGGCATCTTTGGCAAGAAACGACGGAACAATCCAAGAGCGTGAGTCTGCGTCGAAAAGAGCTCAGGGTTGTGCGAGAAATCAATAAACCGGAGGTTGTGGAGCCGCGCAAGGGCTTGAAGCAGTGGGTAAATAATCGTCGGTGTCAAAGAGCAGTCGGCCAGACTCAAGGCATACAGAGGTTGCTCGGCCTCAATGGCATCTGTCAGGAGATCGAAATCATCCTTGATGCGATTGCCTCCCAAGTCGAGACCCTCACACTGCCCAGCCTTGAGATACTCGACCACATGTTGCAGGCCTTCTCTCGTAAGGTTGTTGTTGGCAAAACCTAGTCGTCGCAAACCCATACTAGTCGCCGCCTCGCAGATATTTTTGACGTCATCAGCAGAAGGTTTGCATTCACTGAGCAGCAGCTCTTCAAGATGGTCACCGCCGAACCGTGCGGCCAGGGCATCGGCAAAGATAGTGCTGACCCCGAGGGCTGGATTGGAAGCCTGGCCCTCCATTGCCGGAGGTGTCTTGGGAAAAGGAATGCCCGACAGATCGATGGCCTTTAAAGATTTACAAAGGTGGATGAAAAGGCCGATGTGGCGCCACCCCTCTCGGCCAATCTTTGGGTTATTCTTCAACGACAGCTTCTCCACCACACCATATCGTTCGTCATTAGCAATGACCGCCTCCGGTCGTCGAGCTCGCCTCCGCCGATACCGCATCTGTTCGACAGTCTTGGTTGCTAACAACCCTGCGAGAACAGCCCGCGTGGACTCATCATTCATTGCGCAGTTCTCGAGGATGAGTTTGCGAACGGGAACTACTGCGAGCCAGTCGCTGAAGGTCGCAATATCTTGCGAGGTCATGGGGAAATTGCTGAGGTCCAGAACTCCCACCGTTCCAGGAGACTCGGCCAGCGTCGACGACGGCGAGGTGATCTCGTCAACCACTCTTTTAAGGACAGGAGTCTCACGTAGCTGGCAGCACCGGCGGTAAATGCGCACAGGGTCTGTAGTCGGGTGGCTTTGCGTTTTGCGTGAAACACCAGCCGTTGGTGTTCGTGGATCATCCTCATCCATCTCCGCATCTAGCTGCAGTGGCACCGAGCCATTGGCTACAGCCTGTCTTCGCTTCTTTTCCTTTCGCTCTCGTCTCTCCTCTTCGGACCGTTTCTTCTTCTCTTGCTTTCTCGTTGGTTCTTTGCCCTCGCCGTTTGGCTTTGCATCGGGCTTTGGATTGCTTGAAAGGTTCGCGTTTTCCGTGGTGGCTGGAGAGGCCTTTTCAGTAGTGGGAACAGCGGTGGGAACAGGGATCGGAGGCTGGGCGGCCGAAGGTTGGACAGCTGCATCCCCGCCGCCCTTAGCAGGGGCAGTGGTCGAGGGAGAGGCTTGCTTTTCAACCACAGCAGTCTCAGGATTCTTCAGAGCATCAGCTTCTCCTTTCTCCTTAGCCTTGGCATCGGCCTTTTTGGATTTCTGTGCATTAGATTCCGGTAACGGTCCTTGTCGTAGCTGGTTCGTTGGAGGAGCCTCCTCATCCGAGTCCCGATGAGACACGCCTGCGATTTCCACATCAACACAAAAGGCTACACGGTGTAGTTTTGCCTGGTTCAGATCCGCAATCTTGCAGCGGTCCCGATTCGGGTCCAGGTTCAACACGCGCCGCTGGCATACTCCTCCGCCTGGTGGTAACTTCGGAAGCCCACCCGAGCTGGAGGAGAATTTGCGCAAGGCATTGTGCAAGAATGAGGGACCCTTCGGCGAGGAGGAGGTCACTGGAGCACCGAACTCATCTTTCTTCTGTTGCTCCTCCTCATCCTTTGGACTGTACGCTGCCCCGACCGAGTTGTAAGAGTCGAGGGGTGAAGCCGCCTTCGGACTGGCAGAGCTGCCTTTGAGGCTGGACTGCGACGGAGGGGTCGAGCCAGACGAAAACTTCGAGCTCAAACTAGAGATCCACGAATTTCTTCTTCCGATGGGTTTGGGGAGGCTCCGCTGCGTACTCGGCGACGGGGTAGCGGGTTTTTGGTCTGCAGGTTTCTCCTCCGGCTCTACCGCCTTTTCTTCTGGAATCGGACCATTCTGCTGCAGAGTTCCTTTCGCCCGCTGCTCCGAGGGCGGGCACTGCTGGGCAGACGATGGGCGTGCCGGGCTACTGTTCGATCGGGACCTCCGGTGCGATTTGTCTGGCTTGGTGGTGGTCGCGGCGGTTTCATCCGCGTTAGGCTTGTCGCTGACCGTCGAGGAGACTGACTTGGTGCGAGAGAGATTATCTGAACCGGCGTGTTAGATGCGATCCGGCGTATCCGGGGTAGTATGGACCGTTGCTGGTGCAGATCCCAGCGGGACAATCCCAGCGAATGCGATAGACTTGCCTTTCTGCGAATGATGCAGCCAGCTCACATCCACTGTTTGACAACCCTCCATTTTGGACCTCCTTGCAAGAATAGCACCAGTCGACTGTGTATATAGTGGGGTGACTGCCAGCTGCGCGCTGGGATCGGGGTGTGTCTGGGTCCGACTAGAGCAATGGGCGCATAGTCGGCTGATCGTTCAGTATCCACAGAAACCCGAGACTATCGTCTCGTTTTGAGTCGGGTAAAATTGCACGAGACGAGGATGATCGCCGCGGGGTCCGGCGACGTCACAGCAGGGCAAGAAGATGGTAGGCACTTTTGTCGCACACCGCTACAGATGATCGTGATGCGAGAGTTTCACAACGACCGGGCGAAGCAGAGCAGACATGATGATGAAGGGAAGCGAGAATGGAAGGGAGAAAGTTAACTCGCCTACGCTAGATCAAGAAGACCAAGCAGTGAGTGGAGGTGACATAATCGACGAGGCACGTGAGGGATGGGGATCCACGGGCATTATTCGGGTGAGGTTGCATAACTATTGGAGCAGGGGTCTTTGACCCAACTACTAGCTTCCTCTTGGGTGGCGGGTGATAGGCCCTCCCAAGCCAGTCGCCTGTAACGACTCTCTCCGGTGGACTGGAGAAGGTGGGGGGGAGGGCTGAGCCGTACGGTTTCTGGGGCTAGAAAAAAGCCCCCCAAACTACCTACAGCCGGAGCACAAGACACAAAAATAACGGGTATTCCATTGCACGGGGAAAAAAAAAAAAAAGCCCCAACGCCTCCAAGTGTAAGATAGAACGCCGCACAGGATGCAATAATAAGGGGAAGAGACAGAGAGCCATCCCGAAAACAAGCCTTCGCCTACTCTGTGCTCGACGGAACATCCTTGAGGACTTCCCAGCCGTACTCTTCCTCCGGCTTCTCCGGGTCCATGCCCAGGGCACTACGGTACGCGCGGACCTCGTTCTGCAGACCGGCCACGATGCGGATGGGCAGCTCCTCTTCCTCCGAGCGCAGGCGATGTGCCTGGCGGATCATTTCGGAACACTTCATGGTCTGCGCATGCCAGTAGTCCCGGTCCAGTCGGCTCTCCAGGTGAGCATCCCGCTCGGCCTGGAGCAGGCTGTTATAGTGGCCCTTCTGGTATAGGAAATGCATGTTGTTGTTCTGGCAGTAGTTGCGGATCTGCTCCACCATCGTGCCCAGGCCGGTTTCGTAGTCGCCAATCAACTTGGTGTTCTCGATCTGTTCGCGGCGCAGCTCTTCGACGAGGCGCCTCTCCTTGGTGAGAGCGCGTTCGAGCTCCGAGATCCGGGCGGCGGAGATTTCACCGTTCATCTGCTGCATCGCTGCGCTCGCATTCTCCGAGGCGCCGTGTTTCTGGATTCGAGTTAGTGGCATCGCAGTTTTTTGTGGGGGATGCACATCACCCACCATGATATCCTCCGCGCTCGAAACAATGTTCTTTGTGACCTCCCGATTGTTCTTCAAGACCTCGCTCAATTCCAGCACCATCTCGTACAAGTGATGCAGATCCATCTGGTGACCGGCGTTCATGGGCATGCCCGTCGTAATGGCAGCCATGCCACCGCCGTTGACCTGAGCCGACGGGTGTGACATGGCAGGCGACAGACCCTGGCGAGGCATATTGGCCATGTTGCCACCGGGGGAGGTGTCGTAACTGGCGAACATGTTGGAGCCAGGGCTGCTGCCAGTCATTCCGGGCCCGCTGCTCATCGACATGTCGGCGGCGGCAAAGGCACGATTCAATTCTTCAAGCTGAGGGTCCAAGGGGTTGATACGCGAGGGGCCGCTATCCTCGTCGTACCAGGAGACGTGGTTCTCGACGCCCAAGACCTCCTTCTGGAACTTTTCCAGGTCACGGCGAGTCACGTGGGTGGAACGACGGCGGTGCCCACGGGCGTAGGATGCCTTGGCCGCGGAAGAAGAACTGCCCTCGATGATGGCGGATGCGCACTCAGGGCAGGCAGCGTGCGCGGTGTCGTGGAGATGATGCGAGAGTGCGACCGAGCTGGACGACGCGGTCGGGCCCGCCCACTTCGGGTTAGTCCCCGGAGCCTCGGCGCCCACGCTCCGTTGCTCGTTGCGCTGCTCCAAGTCCATGAAAAAGAGACGGTGGTTTAAAATCCAGAAGACTCGCAGCCCATCGTGGCCAGTTATCCAGAAGTGAACCAAATGTTTCCCGGCCGTTGTGCACGACGGGGGACCCCGGGGTGTAGGCGTAATCGACTTGACGGAAAAGAAACAAGAATCAGGCCATGTCGCAATGGATTGTCTTTTTGCCTGGCATCGTCGCGGCAGGCGCCATCGACTGGTGCCTGCCTGCCTGCCCCTTCCGCTCGACGTCAGGTGCCATCCACGACTATACGACTACGTACTAGGATGGAGGAGTAGTCTACAACGTTGATGAACTTGTGATGCGTTTCGTCATGAGGGATGATCCTACGTATCCAGCAACGCCGCCAGCCTGCGATCCGATCCCGGAAGCGAGTAATCGTCTGTACTCTCAACTCCTCTGCCACTTTTCTTCTGCTGTGCAATGCGCCCACTCACTCGGGCCACCAGCATGCGCATCTTCTCCAGCTCCTGTACCAGTTCTCCGTCCCGGGTGACAAGGTTCGGCTGGATATGCTTCTGCGGGTCCTGGAATGGCTCTAGCAAGTGCTGCAGGTGCTGCAGTTGGTCTAGGCGCCGTCGCTGCAGTTGTCGTTGGTCGTCGAGCGCAATGAGGCGCTCCCGGAGCTGCTGGAATCTGTTACACACCACCATGGTCAGACAGATGAAACTTGAATCGGAGCGTATGCGGATGGGTTGCAGTCTGACCGTGTCTTGTCCTCGTCGCTTGCCCCCGGCATTTCTAGTTCCATGGGCAAGTTGGTGATGTTTCTAGGCAGTTAGAGATAGGGTGTACCCGAGCAGACACTGGCCAGGTGTCTCACATGTGGCTGGACAGATCCACTGTCTTTTCGATGCCGTTCGCAAAGGCATTCCGGCTGCGCGTTTCTTGATTGACCGATGACCAGTACAGACTGGCAATCTGCTGCGCGATATGGTGTATGGCTTGGGAGGAATAGACAAAGCGGTTGTGTTGTTTTGCAGCGGCGTTGACTGGAGCCGAGTTAATCACGTAGTCTTCTCCGTAGTGATACAGCAACCAAAATCAACAGGACATCAGGCAATCATCTCACCTTTGTGTAGGACGTCTTCCACCACCTTGTCGCTCAGATCGCCCTCGTCGGTCTCCACAGCATAGTTCCTCCAGTCTTCTGGCAATTCAAGGCGCTCGGAGAGGATGCGGACCTGGCTCCATACAAATGCCGATTTCAGCTCGGATATTGTTCGTGTCGAGTCCATTTGTTGTCATTGTAATGGAACAAACCCGAGAGTCTCGCGCGCCGCCCATCTGAGTCGCGCTCTTATCATCACGTGATGTGTTCATATACTGCCGAGGGGCATATAGTCGAGGACTCTTTCTTGGACACAATTCGGAAGAATATTCGTTGAAAAAATGCGATAGATACTAGACAGCCATTCTCTTTGAACCTGTCAGTTCTGATTTCATATTGGCGGCTTCCTCGGTGTTTGGTTGTTCCCTGGGACAGTACCTCGGCAATCTGGCGGCTTAAAGTCCATCCTTCTCCGCAGACCCCAACCATCGTTAATTCACATCACTGCCACACGAACACAATGGCAGAGACCAAGCGGCCGGTGGGCCTTCTCTTTGACATCGGCGGAGTTTGTGTACGCTGGGCCCATGGCCTCCATGAGAAATCACACTGATAGATTGGCAGGTCGTCTCCCCTTTCCAGGCTATCCTCGACTACGAGCTATCGAAAAACATTCCTCCCGGATGGGTCAATTTCAGTATTTCCCGAACCTCGCCGCACGGTAGCTGGCACCGGCTGGAACGAGGCGAGATCCCCATGGACGCCGAGTTCTTCGCCGCATTCAACAGAGACCTCCGGAACCCTGACCTGTGGAAGCAGTTTCACGAGTGGCTCGCGAATAAAAAAACCAACCACCCCCGGCTCAGACGCCTCCATTGCCTGAAGTCGATGCCGAATGGCTCTTCTGGGAGATGATGAGGATCTCGCGCACCCCCGACCCGTACATGTACCCCGCGCTGAAGAAGCTGAGAGCATCGGGTCAGTTCGTGATGGGGGCTTTGTCGAATACGACCAAATTTCCCGAGGGGCATCCGTACAACAAGGATGTGTCTGGAGTCAAGTCGCAATTCGACTTTTTCATCTCGTCGGCGCATACCGGCCTGCGCAAGCCAGATCCGAAGATCTACCAGGTCGCGATCCAGGAGATGGATGCCGAAGCTAAGAAACGGGGGTTTCCGGGGGCTAACCCGGCGGATATCGTCTTTTTAGATGATATAGGAGAGAATCTCAAGGCAGCCAAGAAGGCTGGGTTACGCACCGTCAAGGTGACGCTGGGCAAGACGGACGGGGCCGTGCGGGAGTTGGAAAAGATCACGGGTCTGCAGCTATTGGAGGAGGATAAGGCACGGCTATAGTATACAGGGCGATAGAACAGATCATGACATCGGTCGCATATAGCGAACAATTCCATCCCGACATACTTACTTATCAGAATATCGCCGATAAGACCGTATCTTATCTCTTATCGATAAGGCAGTCGTCGCCAACCGCACTGGTGAGCGCGGGATGCAGGCCAGGCTAAGCGAATTCCCCACAAAGACAGACTCACACTTTTCTCTTCTTCTTCTTTTTTCTGTCCACACTCGGTCTTATCCAAGCACTCCGTCGACAACCGTCACAATGGTGAGTCCAACTGCTTCAGCAGATGGATGAATAATTCCATTCTGCTTTTCCGTGAAGCAAATTTTTTTTTCCCATGCCTCCCGTCAGGGTTATGCAAGATGCTTCGGTGGTTCTGAAGCGCAAATTGCTGACTCGATTTCCCTCCATGTAGCCTTTCACCAAGACCGTCAAGAACGACGCCTACTTCAGGTAAGAAAATCCTCCGTGCGCATTAAACACTCTTTTTGCTAACGTCCGTCCAGTCGCTACCAGACTAAGTACCGCCGCCGTCGCGAGGGAAAGACCGACTACTATGCCCGCAAGCGCCTGATCACCCAGGCCAAGAACAAGTACAATGCGCCCAAGTACCGCATGGTCGTCCGTTTCACCAACCGCGACATCATCACCCAGATCGTCTACTCCGAGATCTCCGGTGACAAGGTCTTCGCCTCGGCCTACGCCCACGAGCTGAAGCGCTATGGCATCACCCAGGGTCTGACCAACTGGTCCGCTGCCTACGCCACCGGTCTGCTGCTGGCCCGCCGTACCCTCAAGAAGCTGGGTCTGGACGAGGACTTCAAGGGTGTCGAGGAGGCCGATGGCGAGTACACCCTCACTGAGGCCGCCGAGACCGACAACGGCGAGCGCCGCCCCTTCAAGGCTTTCCTTGATGTCGGTCTGGTCCGCACCTCCTCCGGTGCCCGTGTCTTCGGTGCCATGAAGGGTGCCTCGGACGGTGGTATCTTCATCCCCCACTCCGAGAAGCGTTTCCCCGGCTTCGACATCGAGACCGAGGAGCTGGATGCCGACACCCTCCGCAACTACATCTTCGGTGGCCACGTCTCTGAGTACATGGAGACCCTCGCCGACGAGGATGAGGAGCGCTTCAAGTCCCAGTTCACCAAGTACGTCGAGGAGGAGATTGACGCCGGTGACCTCGAGGAGATCTACCAGGAGGCCCACAAGGCCATCCGCGAGGACCCCTTCAAGAAGGATGAGGACGAGGAGCCCAAGAAGTCCAAGGAGGAGTGGAAGGCCGAGACCAAGAAGTACAAGGTCAACAAGCTCACCCACGCCCAGCGCAAGGCTCGCGTCCAGGAGAAGATTCGCGAGCTTGCTGCTTAAGCGAATCGCCCAAAAAGCTTTTTCTCAAAACTCTCTGTGTGTGTGTTGGGGGATCAAGGCTTGGCCTTGTCGGCGTTTCTTTCTGATGTAGATTGATGGATCATGAATACCTCTTGTTTTTTTCTCTTTTCCGGAGCAATTAGTTTCTCAAGGCAATTCCGTTTCCCACTTCTATCTGCTCCGCTGAATGTCCATCAATTTCATTCCCTCACGCGCTTGCATCCTCTTCCTGTAGACATGAGGTCGTAGTATAACTACTCCGGACTGGGTCTTCCGCTCACTTCGACAACACGTGACCGATGCCTAACAATCCCTGTTCAACCTCATCCTCGACAACTCTCCAGCAAACGGCACAATGCGTATAGGTACCGCCTCACGATGAGAGTATATCTCATCCGCCACGCCGAAACAATCCACAATGTAGGCCAAACATGGTAAGACCAACGAGCATATAGGTAACTAGAGCGTCAAGCGCTAATTCAAGCGATGTGTAGGGCCGGAACCACCAACTCAGCACTGACGAACCACGGGGTACTGCAGATAGAATTCCTGGCCCGGCATTTTGCCGCGCAGTCGATTAATTTCAGCGCGGTGTTTGCATCCGATCTGAGCAGAGCACGTCTAACCGCAGAAGGCATCTGTCGTCTGCAGCCCGCACAGTTGTCGGTGACGCCCATCTTAACTCGGGATCTGCGAGAAAGAGACTTCGGGTCGTTGGAAGGACTGTCCTGGAACTCTTCTCATTCTTTGAGCGGCTCTGCATCATCATCAGCAGCGGCAGCAGTACCTACCGAATTCGAGTCTCACATCTCAATGACACGGAGAGCAGATTCATTTCTCGGCGAGCATCTCCTTCCACTTCTTCTTGACGAGCAGGATACGAATCACGAACGGAACGTGGCCATTGTAGCACACGGAATCATCCTGCGCGTCTTGTGGAACCGTCTCACTGGACTCTTCAATCCCATGGAAGTCCATATCGCTCCGGGTGCAGCGTTGCGCCATGGAAGTGGAAGAGCTGTAAACCCTGTCTGGTCAAATACAGGTTTCATGGCAGTGCATATTCAGCCCAGTATGATGACGCCGGAGGTCGCGACCCCGGCATTGCCATCGTGGGAGTTGCACCTGCCACGGAGATCTGGAAACAACAGTGCTGAAGATGTGACTGTACCAGCAACTTTCGAGAATGCAGTTCCAGGAAGCTTTGTCTCAGAAGAGGCTCTCTTGCTAGGGTGGAGAATGACCGTCATCGCCGTGGACAGCAGAACGCATCTTAACGGTCTGCACCGAACTCGTGGTGGAATCGGGAGTTCTGTGCATGATTCGCGTCAGAAGAGAATCGACCAGTTTTTCAAATGAATGGACACAATTTTCTACCAAAAGGAGAGTGAGTAAGTGAGCCAGCTTGATAAACTTGCGAGAAGCCATAGCGAACCGGAGTCCTTGTTGTTGATGATATTGGTCTTGTGGTTGGTCCAGGCCAACTGTCTAGTCTGGGAAACTCTTCTCCTACCTGGGTATTTAAACCAATAGAAGGGGGGAAACTAAAGAACCAGCGAGCCGGATGGTGAAGCGGTGTGTCATCTCTACATACTGAGAGTAATCCGGTTATCACACTCGGGGAGCAACGAGGCCTTGCCAGCCCCCGCGACAGGCATGACTGGTTTCTTTTTGCAGGCCGGGAGTTCAAGTCCAGGATGCTCTTTGTTTTTACTTTGTTTTTTCTCTTCACCTTCTCATATTGTTGGTCATATAATGTGTGCCCGAGGTACTACAGCACCTTCCACTTTGGGAGATCACTTAGCCAAGACTCACTGCAGCTGTATACTCAATCCGTGCTTGGAGCAGTGTACAAGCAGTATCAAATATAACAATTCCAATAATCAAAAATCAAGCGTGGTATTTAACAAGAATATAAGTACAAATATAAACATAAAAATAAACAGAAATATAAACACAGATATAAACACAAATATTGAAACGCGTCTGTTATACAACGCCCAAGCAAAATGCCGGCAGGCAACCGACATTACTTCTCGGTACGCGACCCACTAGCCTCAGGCACAGTGTCTGGCACCTCATTAGTCGGGTCCAAAACATGTGAAGACGTCGGAGCCTGCGCCTCATTTCCCTTATCAAACGATCCGCGGATCAAAGCCGGATCAGCCGGGAACACAAACTTGGAGCTCTTCCACGGCTTCACTTTCATGAGATACATAGTATCAATCTCCTCCAGTGTCCGACCCTGGCCCTCGATGACAGCGAAGTAGACCAATCCCGCCGCGAGGAAGAGGCATCCAGCGAAGACGTAACCAAACCGGAAATCAATGGCACCAACAATGAACGGGGTGAAAAAGGCGAGCAGGAAGTTCCAGAGCCAGTTCGATGCCGTGGCGAGGGACATCGCGCGTGCACGGTACTGCGATGGATACAATTCCGCAATGATTGTCCATACCATCGGACCCCAGGTACTAGCAAACCCGAGAATAAACAAACAGGCAAAGACCACCATGGCCACGCCGGCGGACTTGGTCTTTTGTGGATGTTCGCGGTCGAGCGAGAAGTGGCCTACTGAAGCGAAGATCATGAAGCAAACGAACATCCATAGCGCTCCGGCAATTAGAGATCGGCGTCGACCGTAGTTTTCAATCAGGTATAGACCGAGGAAGGTCGTGCCGAAGTTCACCCCGCCTAGAATCATCTGAGTTACGTAGCTGTTTTGGATGCCGGCACCTTGGAAGACCGTGGTCCCCTGTAGAGAGATCAGTTGATAACCTTATTTTCAGGATAGTGAAGCACATACATAGTAGAAGAAGTAATTGGCACCTGTAAGTTGCTGGAGAGCTTGCAGGGCAACGCCAACGGCTACACGATAGCCCATGGTTGGAGCACGGAAGAGCTGCTTCCACGAAACCACACCATTGCGGACTTCCTCTTCATACTTCTCCTTAATCTCCTCAAACTCAATCTTGAGCATGCGGTGGTTCGAAGGCACACCGTAAATCTTGGACAGTGTATTTATAGCTTTGTCGACCTTTCCGTGGCGGTAATCGTACCGAGGGCTCTCCGGGAACAAGGCCATGCCGGCACCAAGAACGACGGCCCAAACGTAGGTGATTCCCATGGGAATCCGCCACGCTGAGGGGTTGTGCCGAGCTTCAGTTCCAAAGTTAATACAATTGGCAACGAAAATCCCTAGCGTGATGAAGAGTTGGTAGGTGCTGGCAGATGTGAGTTTTGATATACCACATATAGAGAGGCTGAGCATACCTAATCAAAGTTCCTCGAATGTGTCTTGGTCCAGACTCTGCTTGATACATGGGTACTAGCAAGGATACTGCCCCAACTCCAAGACCGGCGATCAAACGGCCTACGGCAACTTGATACCACTTTGGAATAGGCGCCGAGATTTGGACTGTGACACCAATGCAAACCATCAGACACCAGCCGGTGATGGACCACTTGCGCCCGATACGGTCCGCAATGGGTGCAGCAACTAGGGCGCCAATCAAGGTACCAATAGATAGCTGGATCTTGTCAGAAATATGGTGCAATGCGTGGGAAATGAAAACTCACCAGTCCAACAATTAGACCAGCCCGTACGTTGGTAAAGTGAAATGCATTCCCCGGAGTATTACCCGGACCTGGCTGACCATAGCGCATCAGGAAGTTTTCCATCTCCAGGAAGCCGGAGATCTGGCCGGTATCGTAGCCGAAGAGGAAGCCGCCCATCGAGACAAAAAGTCCCATGACAAGAGAGCGCCATGTGAAAAGAGGAATTTTCGTGTCAACGATACCGCCTGCTAGTTTCTCATGGTCGGTGGTGGAAACAGACTCCCGAGGAACTTCCTCATTGCTAATCTGGTCTTGCGGCTGCTCGGCCCGCTTGGATTTTCCGAAGGGATTCTTAAACATGGTGGTTGGTTGGAGTACACCCGTGGAGGTGTGACAGGGAATATTGGATATTGCTCAAGTCGGATGGCCATGCGAAAGCCGAGAGTACCTTTATAAGCCCCACGACCACGAGAGTCCAGAACTGGGGATACGGCGCGTGGTCGCGCGGAAGGGAATTGATGACCCGTTGACTAAAAGCAGCCAATAGTCGAAGTCGGCGGCGATCTCCGTGAGCATGACAGAATCCGGGGAAGTGGGGAATCATGCAGTCCTGTTCTGTCGACATATCCATGGACCCGGAGGATCCAGACTCCATGGCCATATGAATCGGTCCTGTTCTTCACAAAACGAGTTTATGGTCAGCGAATCATATCGCCGAGAGCGAGGCAACTGACAAAATCCCTGACAACCGTCAGTGGGAGTGATGAGATAGGTGGCAAAATTGCGTGTGGATCCCCGAATCGCTACCGAACATTCGGCCGGTGAGGAAGACGCGGAAGGCGGAATGTGTGAAAGTCACAATGGCTATAGGGACGAAATCTTGATTAAGACCGGTAAATATTGCTGGGATGGATTGGACAAGCCACGAATGGTAGTTAAGTGGTAGTGAACGTTGATGCCTCAGGCAACAAGGCCATCGTTATCAAGCGCCTTTTGTTAGTACCAACCATGGACTAATGTGGTAGACGTACCCAAAAGATGTCTACATGAGCTGGATACTCAAATTGAATTAACTCAAGCTCAAGTCACCGAATGTGCTCTCGAATCCTTATTTATTGTCCACTCAGTTACGAATGCCATTGTTCATATGCCCGTTCAATGGGCCGTTTCATTCATACTCACATAACGTATATATACCGTAACATACATTCATCAAAACATCTATCAGCTAAGTGAGATGCATATCTCAAAATGAATGCTGAGGAAGGTCTGCCTCCTCAGACATAAACAGGTGGCGACAAACGTTTTCAAAACGAACGAAGAGGAAGGCCTGCTTCCTCAAGGATAATTATCAACCTTCGCAAAGCCCTACTCGAGTCCTAGAGCCTCACGTCTCGTCATGTTGGTGGACGTGCCAACATCAAAGTAACAGATAGCACTCAAGTCAAACTGGAAAGGCTCAAAGCCCGAGACATGGCCGCAGTAAGGCTCGCTATTCTGGCTGTTGTAGTCATAGCCATTGTACATAAACTGGATGCTGCAGCCTGCTTGGCCGCCAGGAGGGTTCCAACATCCGGTGACATTGGTTGCGGAGCTGAGACCTCCGCCGGAGAAGATACAGTTAGAACAAATGCCAGCTGACTCCGACGTGCAGGCGTCAGGGCTGATCTGAGTGCCCTGGGCGTTGAAGAGCAGATTGCTATAGAAATAGCTGGAGCCGCCTTCACCGGCTCCACCTTCTCCGCCAGGGTTGGGGATTGTGTCTCCTTCGCATTGCAGCACGAACTGGGAGTTGCCAGATGTGTCGCTCGGGTCACGTTTGATGGGTTTGGTGAGTGATGAGAGGGGGATAGCAGTCACTGCGGTCAGACTGGCGAGGGCTGACAGGATAGTGGAGAGCTTCATGCTGGTAAAAGCACATGAGCAAAGTGAAAGTAATGTCTTGATATTTGATGGCCAGGATAATTTGAAGACGACGATACGAATATTGATCCAATCTTGGGGCTTCAATTGCCTTTATTTCTACAGACAGACAAACAAGGATTTGAATTCAATTCTGATACGTGCTAAAATTCATAGTCCCACGAGATCTACATCTTACATGAACTCATAAATGGGTCATTATGCTTGGCCCCCATCGATATTGTAGATTGTGCTGGTTTTCATTACTCAAGTAAACTGCCATTCAATTGAAACAAGCTACGGAGCATGGAAATCCTTGCCAGCCAAGCCACGTGGGAACGATAGTTGCAGCGCTAGCTCATGCGTATCCTTCTGGTTGCTCTCAAATGCTGTGATATCGCTTGATCTTCACGTTCAAATCTGGTTCATAGCATCATTGTGTTGCATTGATAGTCTGAAGAGAGGTAGGCTGTCCAATCCGCAGTGACTCGCCCCCATCGCGACGATGTATAAGGTTTGATACTTGAACGATCTTACCATGTGTGAAGGATGTCACTAACTTGCATCTACTACTCCAATGGTCTGGGCATAGACAATTAAGATACAGCGGCCTGCACATCTTGCACATCGCCTGTTTCAGGATGGGGACCTGGAGAAAAAGAAAGTATGGAATAGCTGGCCTAGTCATTACATTACGCTGCAGATCAGTTCTGTTAGTCTTACCTATCTCAACTACTGCGGCTATAAGAATTGTGATAGAAAGAAGGAACATTTCGTAGAGTTTAGATCTTAGGGCCCATACGTAATTACAACAACCCAAACTACGCACTGAAATCCCATAAAGATGAGCGGAGTGTCTCGCATAGGCTCGTATATCTCGTCTAGATCAACTATACACGCCACAAAGTCCTGAAGATCATCGGCAAGTGGCTGCAGGGGTCACACCCTGGAAGCTCACTCTCGTTCCCCTCTTCCCTCGTTACGTAGAGTGTTGCACCCCTGAGATCTGGGGGCATGGGTCCCGAGGCCTACCGAATGCCATTAAGACACAAGTATGCGCGCGGGTGAAACTAGCCCCCAAACTGATCAACGTCATCGCCAGAACCACTTCCAAAGGGGCGTTGACACCAGCCTATCCGTCTTATTTTGAGCACAATATAGCTTTATGCACTTGGGTACTGTACCTTCCCAAAATGATGACTCGGCGTCGGGGTTCTTCGTGGCCGACGCTCGGCCCGCAAAGTGCCGGGTTTGCCGATGTCGAGGGTCAACGGCACTCCTCCCAGCGATCCCGTCCGGGAATTTCCCCAGCGTTGCGCACTCTTGTGATATGAGGCTTGTGCTGATCAGGAACAAAGCCGCAAGATCGGAATTAATTCCTGCACTCTCTATGCAAAGAAATCAACTTGGACTTCGTGATGTATAGATAGCCTCTTTGTATTCTCTCTGAAATGGAAGAGATAATCATTTTTTCTCTGAACTATAGCACGCACTCTTCGGCCAACCTTGATTCCTAAACGTAGTTGTATCTGCCTGCCATGTCTGAAAACAACAGCAGCTACCAGACCGAGATTTACGGCAAGGGTGCCTTGAGGAGCATCCCGCCCAGCGTCACGACTGATCTGCGTCTGCTGGAGGAGCAGGCTAAAAAGGCACTTGGGGAACGGTCATTTAAATATGTAGCTGATGGCGCAGGCGAGAAGTCGACTATGGACAGCAACCGGCTGACGTTTCGGCAGTGGAAACTGTAAGCTATTTCTTCTTAGTTATATTTGTCGGCTGTAGTCGCTAATTGAGGTATATAGAATCCCGAGGATGACGCGAAGTGTCGGTCCACTCTTATACTACAGATGTTCTATCAACAGCTGACCATGTAAATCTATCTTCTAGATGGACAGCCAGGACGTGTCCGTTAAGCTGTTCGGGCAGAAGTTCGACGACCCGCTGATCATGGCGCCCATCGGCGTCCAGGGCATCTTTCATTAGATAAGGATATCGGGCTCGCGGAGGTCTGCGAGGAAGTCGGGGTGCCGAGCACGGCCGGCACCAGCTCTATCGAGGATGTCGCTGCGGCGAATAAGGATGGCAAGCGCTGGTACCAGCTTTACTGGCCCCAGGATAACAACCTCACTTTGTGGCAAACTACGAGGTCGACTCGTGTTGGGCATGAGAATTTTTATACCACAGGAGCAGCATGTGGTGCTGGTGCTGGTGGTGGCGCTTGTTAAATGAATTGCGACAATATTGAATGTATAATGTTTTGACGAGATTGTATTGATGAACCCTTCATGACTTTGTTGTATGTTTCAGTCAATGTACACGATTCCCATCGATATAAAGATAAGTCACCGCATGCATCTCATCGTCTTCTCTCCTTTCCCTTTCCAACAACCTTGCCTTGAGCACCGATATCATCACCCTCAGCAGATTTTCGCTTCCCAGCCGAAGTAGCAGATTTCTTCCCCTCAGCAAGCATCAGCACCAATGCCTCGATCCGCTTCGCCCTCGCCGTCGGAGAAGCCGTCTGCACGCGATGTAGCATAGAATATCGCTCACTTTTATTCAATGTCCCGAAAAGCTTCTCAGCAGCAGGCTCCGCCGCAAGAGCGGTCTTGAAATCCTTAGGAACGGTCATAGTCGCAGGACTGGGGTACGCGCGGTCCCAGTGACCATCAGCCTTCGCAGCTTCGACGGCTGCCAGACCAGCGGGTCTCATGCGGCCATTTTTGAGTAGCTGCGAGACTGTATTCACATTCTTCTGGGACCAGATACTCTTCGCTCTTCGCGGTGTATACCGCACCAACCACCAGTCCGCGTCGTATGCGTTAGCGCGGCCGTCGATCCAGCCGAAGCATAGTGCCGTTTCCACTGCTTCGGCGGCAGATACGGAGGTGATGCCGGAGGCTTTTTTGGCGAGTTTGAGGTGGAATCCTGGTGCGGTAGTATGCTCGCGCTCGAGAAAAGATTCTAGGTCCTTGGCTGTGCGGAAGGAATATGTTGGAAGATCTGACGGGGGTGGTTTGGGCTTTGAAGACATTGAAAGCAATGCCGTTAGAGAGGTGGAATATCTAGCTGCGGCAGTAGCATTTATTTTGCCAATGCTTTGCATACGATCGAGTAGTAGTTGCAAGAAACATGGCTGAACAGGCCGCCATTTCTGCCTATTTGTAGAGTAGTATCACATGACAGAACACAGCAAAAAAAGTAGAAGCTGTAATACTCAGGCCCTGAGTTGAAAGGAAACCAAAAACTACCTAATTCATGGCTAGGATGAAGTATACACGCAATCGCAATCAGCGAAGGTCGTAATAGTGTTTCCAAACACTCATCTCCAAAAAATGAGAGACATATTAACAGTTCCAGCGCCCCATAGGTATCATCGTAAACTAAAGAAATAAAAAAAGATGCAAAGAATCATCAGGCGGCCAGCCGCCGATCCCAGCCGTTGACCAGGGAATACTCATCCATCTCCTCTTCGGCGGGTATCGCCAGGCCACGGAACGGATCCATCAAATTCATGTCATCAGGATGCACCTGGACATCCGCAAACGAGGCACGGTGGTCATCCGTACTTCCCAGGCTTTCGCCTGAGTAGCTGAGCACGCTCTGTGTAGCATTCTCCTGGTTCGGGGGAATGTCACCACTGCTCGCAGACCAAGCCTCCGGTGATAGGCCGTGCATAGTACCCATTGTAGGAGGGAGGCCGAGCGTTTCCTCCTGTGGTTTTTGGTTGTATTCGGCTGTGATGGATGCGAATGGCCCAGGGTCTTCGCCACAATCTTTGCCGCCATATATTCCAGTGAAGATGTTGGAGTAGCCACGATCCATGTCGCTAAGGACATATTCCCAGTCGGCCATTGTAATTGCACCATTCGCCAAGTCTGAAGAGGTAGGGCAAGAGAGTGTCCGTGAATCGTCGTATCCTATGGGTGTGAGCCGGGGATTAGAGGCAAGGTCCAGAGGTGAATGGGTCTTAGTAGAAAGATATTGAGGAGTCGTTAGTTGGTCTGCCTGCGCGGGAGGCAGGCTCGCCCAGCTAGGAGATCGAAGGTTCTGTGGTGCGAGCGGAGGAGTAGCGCCAGAGATGGTATTCCGACGAGAAGCTGCATTCTCTTTGGGCTGATCACGTCTAGCGCTAGGCGTGAAGCAAGACTTCAAGGACTGCAATTGTTTCTTAGGAGACCTGTTAGGTTTGTATGTCGGAGCTCCCATCTCCTGCGACTGCTTTCTTGATTTTCCACGGTCCAAAGAGACTAGGGTATTGGCCAGTGTACGGAATTCCGCTGTGGCTGCAGTAGATTCGGGCTCAAGCTGCTCTAGGACGTTGGCGAGCAGCTTCTGGCTTTCCTTTGCTAGTTTGCTGTCGCGCTTTAGACCCAAGACCTGCCATAAGAGTCCGAGTCCTGAGATAAACACTAGCTCTCTCCGGTTGATGGTGACGGAAAGACATAGTCGCCGTTCATCTAGCAGCTGCAAGATCTGAATCATATGCTTGGCTGAATCGGATAGCGCTAGGACGGAGGGAGAGCGCAGGTGCTCATCGGCAAAACAAACAGCCGGTCGATGAATCAAAGAACGGATGAAGTAATATACAAGAGACTAAGGAGGATTAGTACCAAAGCCCACAATGAAGCATTATCTTCGCACTTACCAAAAGCGGTGACCGGCTGCTCGTGACATTCGTGCTAGGCTTGTCCTGTGCAAACTCAAGATGGAGATGGGGAGGCAGATTGTGAAGCCATTCGTCTAATTCCCCTGCCACAGCGCGCATTTTTGCGACAGGAACTTCATAGCTGGATTTCGAAGGGAACAGTTGCTCTAGAGCTTTCGTCAAAATCCTCGAAGCCTTAAAAAGAGCAATAGCACTGGAGATGCGAGTGGATTCTCCTGGAAGGGACGGTAGGAAACCGGTCTCGGTCACATTCTCGTCATCTACATCAACAGGATATTCAGTCTGGATATCATCTTCTCGAAAGAGGACAGGAATCCCGGTCAAAGCTGAACAAAAACTGCGGCAAGAGTCAGCGAACCCCAACTACCAAGGATCTAGGATGCATACCGGTCCAACACATATTGACACCAAAACACTTTTTTGCGAGTCTCACCCTCTAGGGGTGTAAGCGCTAAATTTTCCTGTGGTTCATAAAGACCCATCTGATGACAGATATCCACCGCAAGAGCTCGATAGTGAAGCAGGCTGCGGTAGTCACCCTTAGTAATGCAATACATCTGAGCCAGAACGAAGCATTGCAGGGCCAAGATCGACGTGTCGCCAGCAAACGAGTTGAGCTGTGCCGACCAATTTTCTTCAAAGAAAGCGGGGTCTTGGTTGGTTCTCGGCTACAGAAATGCTCAGTATATGACCTTATATAAAGTGCATCGTGGTCATCGCTTACCATTGACGACAGAGCGGCAATGCCAAAGATCAAATTTAGTTGTGCTATTGTATGGGCATCGCTCTGCAGAGACTCCGCATTTCCCAGATATTGTTCGTAGGCCTTCAATATAGTCGGGCGGTGTACAACAGGGTAAAGCGGCGCCCATTCTTGGAAGAAAATGTTGATGAGTTGGTCGGATACGAGGCGGGGTGGCGTTTTGACTGTCTGGTTACGAGAACCACGAACAACAGGGGCAGACAAAGCCGTCAAAGACTTTGTCGAGGCTTGGGAGGACGCCTTTCCCTGCCGAACAAGCTTGTCCGTAAACACTCCAGCAAAGCCCTGGGTGCTTGAAAGGCCCGTAAACGGATTTCCCTCCGCTGGCCGAATCGACGACCGATCCACACGAATCATCCCCTCGGACGAATCCGGGCTGGTGGATTTGGTTGTTGATGGAGACCGCACCGAGTTCGTCGTTGAATTCGTTCGCTGCGAGGGCGAGAAAGAGTGAATGCGGGACAAGACATCGATCTTCTCGTCCTTCTCGTCCAGTAGGTTCTTCAAGTCTTTTACTTCCGACTCCAGCGCACGTACACGTTCTTCCAACGACTCGGTATATCCCCTTGGAAAGGCTCGGCGGCTCAGCTTGTCGCTTGTGCGGCACTCGAAGCCGACGTTGGCACACTGGGTACAACATGGTCGGACGCCGTCGCAACGGATCTTTTTGCTGCGGCAGCGATCGCAGGCCTGGGCAATACGGCTCTGGGTGCCGATACCCCCGACCTTGATCACTTTCATGGGCAGGATTCCAGGCATGGTGGACGTTTGATTCTCTCTCTGGATAGAGCACAGAGATGTGAATGAGGGAAAAGAGTCACCGGCCTTCGTCCCAAATAATCACGGGGTCTCCAATCGTGCTGACCGAGCGGGTGGCCAATCAGCGTCCATTCCGTTCGCGGGGTTTCGTCACGGTATTGTCAAACCTTTTTTCGTCCTCTCAAACAATAGAAATGAAGTGGACGGTGTGGCCTTGACGAGCCCGGAACGGCTCATGCTTGGCGAGGACTCCCTCCTAGAACCACTAGTTACGCTTCATGATGATAATAACCATAATAATACCGGGTAATCGACCACGTTGAATGGACTCGCTCGGATCCCGATCTTCGGCCCCAGCAGTCCCCGCCTACTAGAACAAGCCGATCCGACCCATTATTCATGGATTCCACCTTACTAGCAAGTGGCGCCGAGGGTGCTCGTCAGATTAGCCAAGCGAATTCAGGGGGGCATGTACCATAGCCTCCGATCAACCCGACGTTTCACCAACTGACGAGTTTGGGCCGAGAAAATCGCGAATCTGAACCACGGAGCTTTCTCCATACGGGTCCGCTTTGGGGACTCCACAAAGTTAATAATGCAGTGGAAGGAGAGATTACGAGGAATAACCAAGTGATTTATTCGATGATGCAAAGATCTTCCTCACAATAAGCTGTTCCATGACATGTGGCCCTCCAATCCCCATAGATCCCCCCTCTCCACGATCTTCTATGTTGACTTAATGAGTCTGCTCTGGCGCCCATGGAAAACGTCATCGGTGCATAGTTCCTTGGTTAGGTCCGATTTAAGCTTCGTTCTGGTCGAGGAGCCGTCTTGGATTTCGCAGGTAATGGCTCCGACACAAGGGGTATATCCGGGGGTGGCGAGAACCTTCCTCTCCCCCTCCCCCCCCGGCCCCGGGTTTTCGGTCTGAAGATTGGTGGGCCGATGCGAGAACATCCAGTGTAATACTAGTATCCGTGGCTTCTATGCACGGGTTGGTTCTCGACCGGTGGCGATCCTAATTACATATCTGTGCTTGATGTCCCACGTCATGAGAAGTCATCTGCCTCGTCTGCGTCTTGGGACTGTTGGTTCAGATAGGCCAGCACCGTGTCAGATTCCAGCAGCGTGTTTTGCTAGAAAAGAGTCGGCATATGAGATCTCAGGGGAAGGACTAGCTACTAACCTGATTCGTAAGAATCTCAACCTCCCCTTGAAGCAAACCAGCCTCCAGATCCCGGAGCCGTGAAACAAGACCCAGAACTTCCGGCCGAAATATCGTTTCAAAAGTGGGGTTTTTATCGCGAAGAGTAGATATGATCTCCTCAGTTTCCTGCATAACAGCGAGCTGGGTTTGTAGCCGCTGGAGAAGCAAGACAATGGCCCGAAGTTGGAAAATGTCCCACGAGGGATCAGCCGCTAGGAGCTCCCGGAGGTGGGTAGGTTCTTGAATTTTCGTGCCTTTCCAACTGGTTTCCAGTTCTCGCTGTCCGTCTGTGGTCTGGGCAACATCTATGTGAAGTCCATCTTCCTCGTTCACACATGCCCACCATATAAGAGTACTGTCCCAAGTAATATGGCTTGGAGTCTCGGATTCGGTAAATATCCGAATGCCTGGTGCCTCACGGCAGAACATCTTCTTAGCGGCACCGAGAGGGTCGTCGTCTGGAACTTCAAGGCCCAGAAAGACCTCTTTCGCCTCTGTTCGATCGTCCTCCAAGAATCCATACGAGAAGATCATCTCCGATGCAGGCTTCTCATCGCCGTATCTAGATCTGGTTAATCACATCTCTCTTGTTATCCTTCAAACCCACTTACGAGATAGTCAGCTCGTCGCCAATATGTAGACTCTTCCCCGACCGTAGCTGAAGAACAGCGGCTCCATCCGAGTCTTGATCATATCTCGCATTGACCGCGTCACCAAACACATGGTTGGCCATGTCAATGCATGGCACCATCGCAAGTCCGCTACCTGGAAGATCCACCATGCGCGAGCGATACGCCGCATCAACATATTTCCAATCATCTATTGTCAACTTGCCTGTGTCGACGGCCCACCACCTCTGTTGGCACCATACAATACCGTCCGTGGATTGAAGGATATGCTCAAACTCCCGTTCCAGGGAGGCAATCTTGGCCTCCACAGCAGCTTCCAGTGACGTCCCTCTCAACAACATTTGTTCTTCGGCCGTGTAAAATGTAGGAAGCGGAAAAGAAGACGGAAGGAACTTGATATATTCGGTCCAGGGACTGGAGACTCCAACTTTGTCCTGATAATCTGGACTGGAATGTGTTATTTGCACCAGCAGAAATATCATTATGGCACCTCTCGCGGTCTGTCTAAGTCAGTTCATCAGATCTCTCCACTAACACAACTATGGTTCATACCCTCCCAAAATGGCCAACCGCCTCAAGTACCTCGCGCAGATATCGATCGGACTTGGCATAATTATGCACCGTCTCCAACGACAGAATCAGATCGGATGGGATCTCCAGTAAAATCGGGGGTTCTGTCTCATTATCGCTGCTCATTTGATCTTGCGTTGCGACAATTCCAGAGCCCCTGGCGGACACGACTTTCTGGAATGCGACTCCATTGGCTTTAATTCCGTTGAATCGCAGCCAGGCAGGCAACGACTCGATCGGGAGAGAGTCGCGTTTCATTCTGCGACAATGAGATGGGTGGGAGTTGCCAGAAGCTCGCGGTCGTCATTGGGCCTTATCGATAAGGGCCCTAAGCCCTACATAGGGTCCCGAAAGGGTTGTTTGGGATTACCACATGGGCACGTCATGGTAGATAGATGAAAGGGTTAAAAACCACGGTCTTCTTAAGAGTAGAGTCTGAATACATTATCTCAACTTATTCTCTGTGAAGTCATTCGACATGCTTCTCTCACGACCACCTAGACTGTCGATCCTACCTCAACTACAAACCGTGAAACTCTCCGCGAAAAGCAGCACCCGCAACTCCTCTGTCTTCAAAGATTGGAAAGGGAGCTCACCAGATGACAACGCTGTCTCACGAGCCGAGAAAGGAGACAGACTTGACCCGGAAACAGAAGCCGCAGCCTCGGGGTTGGAAGAAAGAGAGAAGAATGAAGGTATTCCAGATAACACCAAGTCTCAAGCGAAGACAGAGCGAGGTGGGAAAAAGCAGGGGAAAAAGGCCAAGGCAGAGCACCCTAATGCCCCTGAGCCAATCATCGGAATGAATGATGAGCGGGCGGAGGTGAGAATAGGCACTGGCAACACCTTGGACTCGGGGCTGACCGTTGTTTCTAGAAGGGAGATTGAGCACCAAAAACAGGGCGTTTCGCCTTTTGCCATGCATATTCATTATCAACATTATTTCACAGGGAAATTGTACATAAACGAAGCGCTAGTGTCTACCGGCCAGGTTTGAATGATAAAATCTGCAAAAGTCAGACCCATGTCTAAATCCAAGCGAAGTAGTACTCACATCATATTTCCCGACGGTAACAATCTCGTCTTCCGAAACCCGGGTTCCTCCAACTCCCTCAATGTAGGAGATGGGCACGTCACCCATTACTTTCCGAGCGACTTCCCCCACAGTGGTGTTTCTATCAGAGGTTAGAGAGAAAGGGATTTGGTATGCGGGTATGAAAGCTCACTTCTTGACAAGCACGCAATCACGGAACACAGCGTTTCCAGCTCCGGAGCTGAAGGTGGAGACGTTGCGGACGGGAAATACGGGCACCAGGCCCAACAGCTCTGCCGACCTGGAAAGGCACTGGACCACTCCTGTGGAGCCGAAGCGATACAGGACCATGTCCTTTAAGTTTTCGACACGCCTGCTCAATCTGTTAGTGAGATTTATCATCCATCCTTGTTAGACTGACGTTTTCAATTTCTCATCCATCTCCTTGAGACCGCCTCCATCTGGATCTCCCATCTCAATCAGATCTTCTCGCGTGTCGACGAACTCGCTCCCTTCGACGTATTTGATGTAACCCTGTTTCGCTAACCGCCGTAGGAATACTTCTGATATAGCGGAGCAGAGAACAATAGAGTTGGGATCTTGCATCTTGGCAATCTTGCTAATATTCTGTTTTTTTTTTAGTACAGCGGCTCGAGGGATCTATCTGGGCAACCAACCTTGTCTGCATCCGGATGATCAATCTTGTTCAAAGCGAATACCGTTGGGAATTTTTCGTCGATGAATGTTTTCACGACCGTTTCTATCGTCTCATCAGACCATTCTTCCAGCGGCTCCTTCAGGCCGAGTTTGTCCAAAACCCGCGCGACGGTTTGTGGCGTACTGCCGTAACCGGAGAATTGGCCTTGTAATGTGTCGACTGGGTTTGCCTCTGCTTATATGTCAACATGTTGATCTGTTATCAAAATAGCAGTGAAGACTGACTCGTTGCGGTATGTCTCCGCTTGATGGACCCCCTATTGTTTAGCGGTCAGTAGCTGCATGGGCAATATGCCGAATCGCAACATACCATTTATCCATCAAGTTTCCTTGTACCCAGCGCACAATCTCCGAGCGCAGCCATTCAATGTCCACCGATGGGTCGTACCCTCGCGTAGCCTTACCTTCTGCGTCAGTCGTCCCGCTGACATCCACGACGTGAATGAGCGCGTCGGCGTGGCGTAGATCATCCAGAAATTTGTTGCCCAGTCCTCGTCCTTGGTGCGCTCCCGGCACAAGACCCGCAACGTCCAGCAACTCAATGGGGACGGAGCGTCGCCCTTCGTGGCAGCCGCCATAATTGGGCTGACATCGATCCGACACGTTTTGTCTTTGGCATGCGCATTCGATTTGAAGGTATCCGATGGCTCGCTGAGGGTCAATGGTGGTGAAGCTGCCAATGGATTGGGTCAGCGCAGCTCTTCAGTTCTTTGAGGCGGGGCATGGAGGAGCTAGACGTACGGAAAGTTTCCTGATGCACAACGATTGTTAGAAGAGGCTATCGTAAAAGAATGAATTGTGCGAAGTAAGCTTACCGACTTTGGAAGAAGCATCCGTCAAGCTGTTCAAAGTTGTGGACTTGCCGCTTGATGGCTTTTTCAGACTCGGTGTCAGCAAGACCCTTGTAATCGATTGCGCGAAGACCAACCTTTCCCACCAGCCCAATCAATGGATCTCGAGGCATGCTAGAATTGCTGTGGGATTAGACAAAGGCAACAGTGCCTCGCCGTCGATAAGAAACATTTCTGCCGAGACTCGCTCAAGGGAAGGCGGTAAGCGCGCCTTCCCGGTTGTACCTGTTAAGCCTCACTCTTTTGCTCCTTGTGCTCTTTAGACAGCTCACCAGCTCAGCTGTAGTCACATTCTACCGCTGGGTGGAGTTCCCTCCATCTCGTCTATTGACTCTATTCGATAGAGATGCTTATCACTGTCATTTCTAGGTACATTCATGTGTGCCAAATTCTCATTGGCTGCTTGTCAGCCCGGCCATACACCACTAAAACCGGACCTTCCAGTGATTGCATTTACTCCTGGCAGCACACTTCGTTTGTCTTACCCTTTGAATAAAGCCCAAGTATCATACAAGCACTTGCTCTTACTTGATCGAACATTCCGATGGCGACACGCCTGATCGCGAGGGATTGAAGCTTGTGCATGCCTCGTTACTAATCCTTGGGGACGCATTGTTTCTGGACCAGTGGTTGTGATGACATCTATGTCGTTCAGATCCAGGTGTAGCTTATCCTGGCTCTTGCCAGGCCAGTCAGGGCCTTGCGACATCCCCACCTGCATAGGAAGAAATTGTCCCGCCACTTGACGCTATCTCGACTGGTTTGCCTGAAACGACAAGAAATACTGCCCTGGAGTCAGCAGTGGAGCAGTGGACACCAGATGCCATGATAGTGTCGTCATCCTATTCGGAATCGCCACAGCGATCCATTCCTTGGCACAGTCCTTATATAAATCTACCTACTTCCTAGAAAGCAACTAAAACCCATTACTATCTGTCTAAATTCAAATTTCATCATGTCTGAACAAACCTACCACGTCACCCGCGAGGACCTGCGCAAGCCCGAGTCCCGTATTGCCGACCACCATCACGGCAAACCTCCGTCGAACTCGGACGTTTCTGCCATGAAGGTGAGCTGAATCAGCAACCCCTACCTAGCATATGCTAATTGCGTGATAGTCTTTGATCGACGAAAACACCGACAAGCCCCAGCAGATCGACCGGGTCAAGGCTAACCTGCCTTTGCCCGATCAACCCCCTACTGCTAGCGACTGGTCATCGTCCGACCAGCGGACCGTCAATGTCGGCTCTGGGGGCCTCTCCGGTCATGAGGATAGTGCTCTCCGTGAACCCGCGAGTGTGGAAAGCAGTGCCCGTATTTCGGGAGAGGAATTGCATAAGGCCACTGCTCCCGGTAAGGGAGTTGGGGAACCAAGCAACTTGTCTCATGAAGCGACGAGCCGGAACAAATGATAGATCAGCATGTGTACAATAAATAATCTGGGAGTTAGTACGAGTGAATTGAATCTGCAGTTCAAAAATAGACACGTTCCTTGCACAAAATGTAGCTGTAGATATTGTCGTCTACCCTTACAGTTGGCAACAGCTATCCAACATGTCCACAAGCTGCTCTAATTAGTTCAGATGGGGTTTAGATAGTTACGGTAGACATAAAATGATAATAGTAATAATCAAGGTTTGTCTCCTCCTGCTGTATAGATCTGTTTGCACTGTTTGCACCGTTTTGACGTCAAACCCTCGCCGCTGCCCAGTTTTGCTCTGGTTCCCGCAGCTCTCACGTCAACGAAGTAAGGCTTGCTGGAGAACAGTGGACCCGGTTACACTACTCGTCTTACCAGAAGCAGTTCGATGAATCACAGCAGACTCCACTAGTTTCCCTTGTATAGACTTCTTTATCCGCCACCTAAGCACAGTCGGGCAATGGCGGTGATCCTGGAATCTCTTTCAAGACCGGCGAATAGCGTAACTATGATATCACAATACTTGGAGAGCATTCCTTTTCTCAATTGCGTCGTATCTGAATGATCCTTCTTTCCTATATAAATTTGCTCTCTCAACCGATCTAGCATAGGTATCTTTTCCAATCTACCTTCCTGGTCTCTTGCAATTATTACTATCTACCATCACTTCCCTATATCAAATCACAATGGATCTCCAAGGCACTCCCATTCCCCCCGGCCACCGCAGCAGCAAGGTCACCACCGACCCTACAGCATCTCGCCAACCAATTAAAGAGCCCTCAGGCCCAGTGGCCAACGACTCCCTGGCTGCCGAGTCCGTCCGTCATGGCGGTGGCTTCGCCGACAACTGGGGCGCGGAGCCGTTGGGCGTGTCAGGCCAACAGTCTACCTTGAATAACACCGACACCTCGTCCGCTTCGACCCTCCGTTCCGCGCCCGTAGGCGCCATGCGAGAGGACCGCGAACGCCAGACGAAGTACCCCGAGGGCTTGGGTGGCCAGGGCAACTTCCCAGGCCGTCACCTGCCCGAGACGGGCTATACGGGTGGTCCCACAACGACTAAGAAGCAGATGGGCCAGCACGTCGGCGAGTACTCTGCTTCTGAGAGGATGGGCGGCCAGCATACTACTGCCGCCAGCAGCAGTGGCTATCAGAGCAATCTGAACCAGAAGCCCAAGGGCAAGAACCTAACGGAAGGCGGGTTTGATTCTAATGACAGTAACAACGCCAGCTTCAACTCTGAAATTGGCTCGAAGCAGGATCCTGGCCGTGCGGCGGAGAACAAGTTCCAGCGCCACGTCGCTGAGAGTGGGAACGATGTTGGCGGTCCTCGTCAGAAGGGTGTCGACAACCAGAACTGGTACCAGCCCTTGGAGCATGACCAGCGCGCTTAGGATTCTTTTTTTTGGTTAATAGCGAGCGAGTTTGTTTGAAGTCCCGTGTTGATATGGTTTCTGCAAAAGAATGTACGATAGATGATCGAGAGTCAAATTCAACAAGAAAACCTCGCTTGAAGACTTGTATTAAGATGATTATGCTTATGTACTAACTCTACGTACTGTATAATGCTCCCACTTCGCATCACGGAATGCGATACTTCTCCATATCACTTTCTGACCCGGAATCTGAGTCCGATTCTGAAGCAAGAATTTCATACTTCGAGGCCACAGGAACAACCTCAATTCGCCCAGGATTGCCCAAAGTGTCATAGGCATTCTTCCCACCACCGGACGGTACCACGCTGCAATCCGTTATGGCTGCAGAAGCGACCGCAGCCCTAGTGCCCCGTAGCTTCCGCCATAGGTAATCGACCAGCTCTACCAGTGAGACGGTCAGGATGACAATCCAGATCATAGCTACGAGAGTGATCACCGTTGTGAAGATTCCTGAAAGGGGCCGCAAAGGGAATCCCGGTAGTTCGAGGTGGATATGCAAGTGGGGGAGAGAAATCCGGTATGAGAAGAGTGAGAACGAGTGTCTGGATATCACCATGTATGATGCCGATGAACCATCTTCACGGTTGTCTTGTTCCGGTTCTGTTTTGTGATAATTCGAACCGCTGCCGGTGCTTTCTTTTTGCAGTGTATCGCCATAAGTCAACGGTATATATGCAAGTGCGTTGGCCAATTGAGTCAATTCATGCTGTTCTCGTTCTTCCTCTTGTTGCTGCTGTTGCTGTTTCCGCTTCTGCTCTTCGTCCTGTAGATGATGATACTGATACAGGAATCGATGGTTTTGCTCGGGTAGTATACGAGGCAAGATGGGAACCAAGACCGAGACAATTGACTTCCCAGAGGGCGACGATAACCGCTTATACGGACGATCCGGACTACCCGAGAGCGTGTATGCATGTTCTCGCTCGAGTGCTTCGTCTGGATTATCGCCAGACCAGAAGTGGTTCTGCAAGATGACCCTTCAATTAATAACCCAAGTTCTCACTGATATCAAAGGAAAAAACCGACCTGATTACTCGCTCCTGGTGTGTACTCGGACAGAGCATCGCGCGCTTCTCGTTGGAAAACCTTCCATGTACCCCGACCCTCTGCATCCGGATATTGACCTATTTTCACCCATCGGGCCGTCCGGATGGGGTGGGCCAGGGTCTCGTGGATGGTGACGAGGACCAAGACGGCGAGAAGAAGACATAGCGAGGGCATATCGGGACACTATCAAAAGTTCCTTTAGAAAAGAGAAAACGACAGGAAGTGAGTGAAAGAGAAAAATTGTCTCTGTCGTCGAGCCCTTGGGCGTTCCTGAAGGGCTGATCTTATAGCGTTCTGAGGCAGGGCAGTTCCCGAAAACAGCCCGCAAGGGCGGATAGTTTACAGGTCGACAAGTAAGATTGCTCAGACTAGATTGGGGCATTGTATTCTGATTGGCTAGACTCGATATCTTTTGGGTGGCATGCGGGTGTTCATCCCTTGTTGAGAGATGACATACTGGGAATGCTCACGCCACGCAGCCGATAGTGTGCGAAGTGATGCAAGGTTAAACCAGTAGTTAGTCCGCCCTACTGTTATAAAGGGGTTTTCAGATGATTACCGGTTTTGTGCAACTGGTACATTATTCTTGAATCCTTGAGTGAAGCAGCGGCTTCGGTGTCGCTGTGTGACCGGTCGAGGCTGCATTTCGATCTCGAAGAAAACTGATTGACGATCACTTACAAACGTCATGTGGACGAATTGAGACCAATACAGTCTATTTTTTCGGGCACTACCAAGTACGTGCGAGGGTTGGAGGTTGGTGATTTTTCATTGGGATCCTTCCTGCCCTTTTTCAATACACCATTGAAGAACGCCGAGCTGCAGTAGACAGAGCAAATATCATAAATATCCGTAGGCCAAACCCCCAAAGACATGCACTGTCTTAGCAAAGAAACAAAACCCTGTACATCCAGAACTCAACAAGCAAAATGGGAATAGTGAAGACAAGACAACGACATCTTTATGCCGTCAACTTCTTACCCTCCTTCTCCGTCAACTTGGTCAGTTCCTCGAACACCTTGCCAAAGTCCTCTCCGTCCTCGGACTCGCCCTTCTTGCCCTTGCCGGACTTGGGAACCACCATCACCACACTGGTTGGGCGCTTGGTGGCGGCCGAGGCACCGAGCTCGGCGCGAGAGGTGACGAACACATAGGGAATACCGTGGTCCTCGCACAGAACAGGGATATGCGAGATCACATCCATGGGCGAGATGTCGGCAGCGAGGATGACAATGCCGGAGGGCTCCGTGATGGTGGTGTTGGCGGGAGGAATGGGCGATTTCCGGAGAGCCTTGACGACTTCCTTCACACCACGCTTGAGAGACTTGTTGACCGCAGCTAGAAAAATGAAAAAAAAAAAAGTCAGCAAACGTAGGTAGGACAGCGGAGGATGGCCGCAACATCTGTGCGCCTCTCGCAGAAATAGACAATTGATTCCATTCGAGGCACGGAGTAGAACGTACCCTTCTTCACGCTCTTGAGCACCTTCTTGGCGGTCTTGTCCTCCACCAGCGGTTGGGCGAAAGGCACCAGGGCGCCCACGAGGGCCTCGATCTCCATGGGCTCGGCGACATCGACGGTTGTCTTGACCACTGCAGCCGAGGCCGCCTGATCGAGACCGTCCAGGACCTGGGTAGTGATCTCCTTCTCTACTGCATCAGCAAGAGCAGTCTTGTCCTTCTTCTCTTTCTTATCCTTCTTGCTCTTGTGCACACCGTCCTTCTCGGCGCGCTTCTCCTTCTTCTCAGCGCGCTTCTTCTCCTTCTCGACCTTGTCCTTGCCCATGGTGTCGGATGTGTGGTGGTATGGGGGAAATGGCGGTTGGGAGCGAGTGAATGAATGAATTCGGTGGAACAAGAAAATCCATCTTTTTTGCAAAATTTGGACGCTAAACCCCTTTAGGGTTGGGAGACAGAAAGCTCTCCGGTGCTGAGTCAGCACAACACGGGACCACGGCCATCAGGGACGCGCCTGCGTGAATCTCCAATCGTGGATGGGTCACTGCCATGGATACCAGCCAGAACACGCGCCCTGCGTCGCAGCTGGTGGCCGGCTTTGCGTCCCCATCTGCACCTGCACAGAGCGTGTTCCGACAGTCCACTCGGCCTGCTCCACCACCGCCTCAACAACCACACCATGATGCTGAGAAGGATGAGCTGCGGGTTCAAGTGAGCACTCTGAAATACGAGCTGGAGAACTTCAAACAGGAGCGAGAGCTGCAGTCGCTCCGACACGAAAAAGAAGTCCGGGATTTACAATTGAAAGCGGATGCGGATTTTAAAAAGGCGCAGGTCTGTCATCCCAATCATTCCCAGTCCTCCCTCGCTCATGTTTTCTAGGCTGCCGAATCGACAGCCAATCGCGCCACCCATAAAAGCGAGGCGCTGGCCAAAGAGCTTAAGGAAGTGCAAGATCAATCTTTGGACGACAAAACGGGATTCGAGCGAAAGATCAGGGCGCTACAAGACCAGAACCAGACTTTGCAAGAAGAGGCCTATGACACACAAGCTCAGCTTTCCGACAAGGACCGGCAATTCAAATATCAAATCAGCGAGCTGGAGACCGTTCGTGCCTCGCTACAGAAGACCATCGAAGAGCTTCAGAATGATCTGCAGACCGCCCGAACCACCCAACAGACCACGCAAGAACGCTTGTCTCAGCGCGAAGCCGAAGCCGCGGAGTTGGAGTCGGAGAACATTCGGCTCAAGGCAGAGGGCAGCGACTCGGAAACCCTCACTGTCTTGAAACGAGAACTTTCAGAGCAGGTCAACCACATCCGGAGCTTAGAGACGACAAACCGTGAACAGACAGTTGAGCTGCGGCGTCTGCGGAAGGTTCAAAAGAACGTGGAAGTTGTCGAGGAACAGAAGAGATCGCTGGAGAATCAGCTGCAGCTGATGAAGGGACTGGAGGCGGAATTCGAGACGTTGCAAATCCAAAAGCAAGTCTTGGAGGACGAGCGCCAGTCATGGACCAGCCTTCTCCAGGACAATGGCCAATCTGCCGAGATTGACTCCCCCGAGGCGGTGGTTCGGACATTGGTACAAGAGCAGATCGAAAAAGCTACGCTTGTTGATCGGCTAGGTAACATCAACGCTCAGTTCTTAGAGAAAGATGAGACCATCCAGGGCCTTGAGAACGAGCGAACGCATCTCAAGCAGGAACTAGAAAAGCTCCGTGCTGCAGGAACCTCTGCTTCTGGAAGCGCCGCGGCCGCAGAAACTCGAATTCGAGCCCGACTTGAGCGACAGCGCGCTCTCGCAGTCAAGGAAGTCGAGTATCTGCGCGCACAGCTAAAGATCTTTGACACCGAAGAAGCAACGATGAACGCAGAAGAGAACCGATTCGACGAGCAAAAATCCGAGCAAATCGCACAGCTCCAGAAACTTGTGGACGAGTACCGCGCTGACCTCCAAAAGGCCCACGAGGAACTCTCCAAGCACGATGCCCCACCACCGCAGGACGAGGCTCGCGGTACCAAACGTCCTCTCTCGCCAGCTGACAGCGAAGCCGAGAGCGAGCGGCTCTCCGTGCTGACCCGCAAAAACCGGAAGCTCCAAGACTCCCTCTCCAAATCTGAGCAAGCTACGACCCTCGCCCGCCGCGAGCTCGACGCTGCCAAGTCTCAGCTCAAGTCCCTACAATCCAAATCGCGCACACGAATTCTAGAACTACGCGACAATCCAACAGCTGAGGCAGAGAAAATCAAGATGTCGACCCTGACAGCTCTCAAAACTGAAAATCGGGATCTTCTCGTCCAGCTACAGCAGGGCGCCAACGCCGAGATCAAATCCGTACCCGCAAGCACGATCGAAAGCCTCAGGCTGGAGATGCAAGACATGGAGCGCGTGGTCGCAGACAAAGAGAAGCGCATGCGGCGTCTCAAAGAAATCTGGACAGCCAAATCTTCCGAATTCCGGGAGGCCGTTGCCTCCCTACTAGGCTACAAGTTGGACTTCCTCCCTAACGGACGCGTCCGAGTCACATCCATGTTCCATCTCTCACCAGCCTACCGCCACGGCGAGGGTGATGTATCCGACTCGCGTGGGCCAGGGAGCATGGGGAATGGCGAAGAGAATTCGATTGTATTCGACGGCGAGAATGGAACCATGAAGATATCTGGTGGGCCAAGTAGTCTCTTCGCGATGGAAATCAAACCCCTCATCAAGTTCTGGGTGGAGGAGAGGAAGGATATACCCTGCTTTCTGGCTGCGATGACGTTGGATTTCTATGATAAAACCACCCGTGCTGCGAGGATTTGAATTTGTCTGAGTGTAGCTAATACCTTACATTACTATCCATGGATTGATTCTATTCCCAGTTCCTTTGTTGTATGAACCCCCGATGCATGGAAATGCAGTGTTATGTCTATCTATGTCTAATTAGTCTGGCTGGGTTGATAAGGTAGTGGTATTAACGTATTGAGAGAGAGAAACAATATCCAGTTAGAAAAGAGAGGTAACCCCCGCAAGATTAGAAAGATACACAGGCGCATGTTCAGATATTTAGCTACATTGCCCAAATCACACAGGAAAATCGCTATTTGCAACCAAAAAAAAGAAAGAAAGAAAAGAGCTCAAAGCACAAACTCAACTTCCTCCCATCTCACCGTTTATGTCTTGCAACAACAAAAGACTGGCGGACACAATAAAAAAGGAAAAGATATTCCAGACAAGGGTATATACAAACGAGAGCGCGCGGACGTTGTGGGTCAAGTCAGGCCAGGCCAGCGTTTCAAGAAGAGACGTACTTCCCAGCGACCAATTTGCGGGTCGTCGGAACATCCTGCCACGAAACCGCCGCGGTAGAAGAAGACTGCTGCGGGTCTTTGGATCCAGCATCAGCGAAGGGATCCACCTCCGTCGCGTCCGACACAGCACGACTGATGCCCAGATGGGAGGTTCTGACATCAGAAGACTGAAGCTCGAACTTGGCCTCGACGTTGCCCTTGCGCGGCCCGCTTGTACTGGTCGAGAAGCGGACGAGAAACTTGCCGTCTGCATCAGCGCCGCTTGGGGGTTTGACTTCCAGCTCAGGGAGCCTCCAGGTGGCGGTCGAGTATTTGCGGCGGAAGGTTGCGCCGGAGTTGGGGTACATCATGGCAGTGGTAGCGTGGGCGACGGAGTCGCGCAGTTGTTTGGTAGATTCGTCCTCAGGAGCGACGTCAAGGCCGACGGTTAGAACGAGGTTCTTGAGGATGATAGACTCATTGGGAGCGGAGCCGAAGGCTGGATTCAGAGAATAAAAGATGATGGCGCTGGCTTGGTATTCTTCCAGGTTCCAGACGGGCTTGAAGATGACGGGGCAATAAGAAGAGGAATCGACTCCGTCCAGATGCACTTGGTACTTGAATGCCACAGTTGGCATGGGACGTCCGATGCTGCTTAGTTGGATATCGTATTCGCCTCGTTTATCGTCAGAGGCATCCTTGGCGGTTTCATGGACAAAGTGTGGGTTCGCCGCAACTTTCTCCAGTACCTGGAAGTTGTCCAGACGAACCCGCAACTTGTCTGCTGGGACACCGGCGGTGGCATTGTGTGCCAGAGCTAGCTCCCCAACCACAAAGGACTTGGTGACGACGCCGTCCGAGAACCATGCATTAATAGTTTCAATAATGGATGCGTTCAGACCGGCCTCGTGGAGTTCAGGGTGAAGGGCAGCTGCGTGGACCGTGTGTCCAGAACGAACCGAGGTGGTGTCTGACATGGCGTGATCATCCGTCGCAGTGCTCGGAGTCGCGGTGTGCTTGATGGGCGACGTTGGCGGCTGAGTCTCCGGTTTGGATTGGGTTGCCAGAGCCTCATTGCTGGGGTTAGAAACAAATACTGTGTTGCGAACATCGCGGCGTCCGCGAATGGTGCCGGCATTTCGTCTAATGCCCTGGAGTTCCCAATAAATTAGCATGGTATTGGCTTTCGAGAACAAGTTGACACAAACCATTCGAAGGGTATTCGCCATATCATCCATCGCCTGTTTCGCCTGGCTTTCGTCTTCGAAAATTGGCTGGTCTCGAATCGTCAAATTCATGGCGGCTTCATCCAAACTACAATTCACCATATCCGTCAGCGATTGCCGTTCCTTTTGATTTATAGAATACATACCCTGCTGCTTCTCTCTGTGCACGAGTAACTTCATCAATTGTCGAAGGTCGCTCTGTATATCCTTCGGAATCAACCCGCGGCCGAGTCGCATCACCGCGGGCCAGTCCAGCCTGCTCTTCTGGTGAAGTCGCGCCGTTTGTGGTAGTTTGTGCTGGCTGAGCTGCTGGGATTGTCGTAATTGTCTCCGCTGCATCACGATCCTGCGACACACTTGGGTTCCGGATCGATTCCTCTTCGGTCAAGGACGTTGCGGGGCGGTCTATAGCGGAGAGAGGGGGAGATTCAGGTAGCTGGATCTGTGCGTCTCGCGAAGAGTCGGATCTCTTGAAGGCGGAAAACGGACTCCGGTGCTTCTTCTCGGGCTTCCTCTCATAACTTCCGGCTGACGGTCCAATAACGCTCTTTCGCCGGTTCATGACCGTGCCCAGTCGCCGCAAACCTCCTAACGGAGTGTGTCGCGCTACCGGCTCTGGTGCTGGAGGCGTTCGCGCGGCCATTGAGGGCTCCGATCTCTGGGACCGCTGGCTGGCCGAATCGCTCTGAATGCGAGTAGGGGCCACAGGCGGTGCAGCAACCGGGGTTATTGCATCTACGGTGGGTGCGGGTGCGGTTGCGGTTTGAGGTGTCGCTGCCGGAACTGGTGCTGGTTCTGGAGTTGTGACGGTGGGCGTTTCCTCCGGCTGCTGCTGCTGCTGCTGTCTCGGTGGGACTGGAGAGCTTACAGTCCGGTTGCCGCTCACTTTGGCGGCAAAAGTCTTGATCTCATCCGCCGTCTCAATATTCAGAAGAACGTTCAGACAGCTCTCGGCAGACTGACGGCCGCGCTCGACCTGGTCCACTTCGTGCGTCTCGTACTGGGTGAGAACATCTCGAAGGTGGTTGAGCCGGCCCTCGTCTGCCGCCTGGAGCTGCTCAAACACAAATGGAGCCCTCGAATCCCACTGTTGGCTGACTTCCTCCACCGCGGCGACTGCGCTGGCTAGTTTATCTGCACCCTTGGGGCCTTTCTCCTTGGACTTTTCAACTTTCTTCTGAGCAGCCTCCACATTCTTGGCCAGCCCCGTGAGATTGCTCTGGATGTTGGGCATCTGTTGCATATCTCGATTCTTGGAGCTGTACTCTCTGAGCGGTCGCTCTACATCCTCTTCGATCTTGCTTGCGAAGGTCTCGTGCGACACGGCGAGCTTTTCAGTGGAAGTGATGATGCGTTGCCAGGGGATTTGGAAGATTCTGGTTGTGTGAGTTGAAGGCAAAGCTCGTGGAGACAAAGCTGAACCTACCCCAGTGCCGCTCCATCTATCTGGGGGCGATTTGCCAATTTCCGCAAGCTCACGGCATAGGCTTCCTCCACACGACGTCGTTCCTAATCCAACCTCATCAGTATCAATTCCTCGAACGTTCTGAAGGAGCTCGCACCTGAAGCCAATCCGCGATATCGGCATTGATCTTGTTGATGAGCCGGATACGATCGCCAAGGACGGTTGTAGCTTCGCTAGGTTGCAGGGTGGCCTAGTTGAGTGCACAATCATTGGCAATCAGTCTGGGGCTGCTCTCACGGGGGTCTCTTGGAGCTCGGGATAGCCAATCTTACCAGCAATGCCGGATATTCCTGTCGTGAGAGCTCCATGGCTGGGGCAGGGTGTGTCACAAGTCGGTAATGTCCAGGCGCACGAAGCGCATTACAAGAAGAGAGGAGCTCGCAGGAAGGAGAACAAGAGGACAACCCGAACTGGGGGAGGGTAGATTGAGAATGAAGTGAGCCTGACCAGATCAAGGGAAGCGTGGTTGGATTGCGCCGAGGACGGCTTTGGGGTTCGTAGTGACGGTGACGGAGCGGGGAACCGTGTATTACGGTACTTATCAGCACACGCCAATCACAGCCGGGTATGTTGGTCTTGGTTGGTTTCCGGCCCTTGCAGAAGCGGCCGTCACCTGACATCACTTTATCGATTGCCAAGCAAGTACAACAAACTAGTTCCATGATTGTTATTGTGAATGATTATGGCAAGCTGGAGGACGGAGCTGGGATTTACGGAGCGGCTGACGACCATCCAGTCTCTGTTAGTTGGACCGTGTCGACTGCCGAGGATTCTGGCTAATAGATCACATCTCCAGCACCACTGTCTACCAGCAGGCCTCTTCCTCGGCCGCATTCGCAGAGGCTCAGGCACAAGCCAAGCGGTATGAAAATGAAGCCTACGGCCAGGCCACCTCCAGGGAGGAGTATGACCGCATGTGTCAGCAAGCCATTGATGCCGCCGAGGCCACGGGCTCTGTAGCCCCCGTCATCAGCAGTCCGCAGCAGGTGCAAGAAAGCTTTCAAGACCCGGATCCATATGATGCACCATGGACGGGTGAGAAGCTCGGTCAGTATACGTCCTGTTTTCATCACTTCGATGGGCTGCATTCAACCATCTATAAATCCAAGGCCGACGATGGCACTCTCCGTGCGGTCAAGGTCACGATCCCGCATCTCATGACCGCTCCTCACGATGCGCATCGAGAAGCCCGATTGCTACGACAGGCCAGTGGCCCGCATGTCATCTCTTTGGTAGAGACCTTCACCCTCGACGGCGGCAGGTTGGTCCTGGTCTTTCCCTTCTTGCGGTACGACTATGAACACCTGCTCCGGCGTGATATGGTGACTGCTGCACAGACACGTTCAATCTTGAGGGATATGTTTCTTGCGCTGGCGCATATCCACGACATGGGGATCATCCATCGGGATATCAAGCCCTCGAACATTCTGTTGGACTCCCCGGACGGACCAGCATATCTCGCCGACTTCGGGATTTCGTGGAAGGCGGGCGATCCGGGTTGTGAGCCCGCCAACCTCAAGATCACGGATGTGGGGACGACCTGTTACCGAGCTCCAGAGGTTCTCTTCGGCTTCAAGGGATATGGAGCCGCTCTGGATCTGTGGGCCGCTGGATGTGTGGTGGCCGAAGCCATCGTGGTAGGGCATCCAGCGCTCTTTGACTCGGGGCCTGTCGGCAGCGACCTATCACTTATCTTCTCCATCTTCAAGACACTGGGGACCCCGGATGAACAACGTTGGCCGGTGCGTTTGATTCTTGTTTCGCGCATTTCAGGGCAGACACTAATGACAGGAACAGGAAATCGGTGTTCTGCCTGATTGGGGCAAGGTGGAATTCCACCCACTCCCGGCGCAGCCTTGGGAAAATGTCCTGAAAGGAGCCTCATCCAAGGGCCGCGATTTGGTGCGGAGCTTGTTATGCTACGAGAGCCGCGAGCGTCTCTCCGCCGCCGAGGTATGTGGCGAGCTCCAACCGCTCAGTACATTCCACGACGATCTCACAATCTTTCCAGGCTCTTGGGCATCCGTTTTTCTCCAGCCCATCATAAAGCGGCAATCATCCATGAAGGGCGGAATTGGCCGTGGGTGAAGATCATTATCCACCATGCTCACGCACCTCGGCGATCACAGGCTCGACCTCGAGCCCCAATCGGCCTCCAGCACCTTGGGCTACGACCTAGCGTTGCTATTCTTGCAAAAGCGATGTGACTTGGCGTTCTCCGCTATGACTGCCCCGTTCTCACTAACTCTCCCGCTTATTAAAGATCTTGGTGCGATCCAGGCATGATTTCTATGCCGGACGGCAGGCCCGGAAATTGGACGCCAATCGTCTCCAGCCAACGTGGATGGGCATTGGGCGAGAGGCCAGGGCTCGAGCCCCGCGTTGCAGGGTTTTGCTTAGCGAAATGGGCCCCGGGCGACGCTAGACCGACTTCGGGTGTGATGCTAAGGGGGCCGCCCGGTGGCTTCTGGAAGCCTTGCCAATGGCATCGTGAGGGATCCGGAATTGATGGAGGAGCGGATGGTGATTCGTATTGCAGAGAAATCATCTCGTTCACGACGAACAGACACAATAAGGACGATGGCCGAAGTAAGCAGCAAACAAACACGCGTAATGGACGGTATCCGCGAACCAGGGACCATACGTCATAGGCCAATGAGGACCCCTGCCTGACCCTGATCCTTCCCGCTTTCAGTTAAGGCTGTATCGGCAGTACCACCCCCGGCAACAGGAACTACAGTGCGCCGTCAGGGTCTCCCTGCCCTGACCTCCGGCCTCGTGCTTTCCCTTCTTGCCCATTCGTTCACCCGGACTTCTGGAAGTCGTCCTTTCCTTTCCTTGTTTGTCTTTGTCGTTCTTTTTGGACTCGTGCGCTTCGCCTGTAGTCATCCATTCCTTCCACATTCCAATCACCCACACGACCTACGCGAGTGCTCTGGAATTTAGCACCGCGCCCCTCTACCTCTCGTTCAGGACCGAGTTGGTGGCTTTCTGACTCTGGATCCCTTCGTGTGAACCGTCAACATGGCACACGGGCACGGCCATCACCTCCACGCTCGCAGCCCCGAAGAGCTGGAAGAGCGCGATCCTCAATTCCATTTCTTTACGGTCGAGAACAACGACAATGACCCCAAACCCACGGACAACAGTAACCCCCCGATGGGTGTTGGGCCAGCAGTGCAGGCAGCTCCGACAGAAAAGCAGCAGCCCAAGGAGACTGTGAAGAACCAGCCGGCCGAGACAGAGACCGATACAGAGAAGCAGAAGCCTGCGAAAGAGACGGCGAAGGACACCGACACCGAAAAGGCCCCTAAGCCAACCGAAACGGAGAAGCAGCCGCCTGCGCAACCCACCGAGACAGAAAACACCGACACTGAAAAGGCCAAGCCGACTGAAACGGATAATGAGAATAACAAACCGGCGGCGGCTCCCAAGACCGATGATGCTGCTGCTGCCGCTATCACACATGTCTCCAACAATGACCCGAAGCAGCCAGCCGGCAACACCATGGTGACAACCACATCAAACAATGTTGGTGGTGTCAACAACTATCTCGATGCAACGTCGACGGCTTCCGTCACAGCCTCACCCACGTCCGCACCCAGCTCAAGTTCGAGCAGTGGCCTGTCCACCGGTGTGATCATCGGTGTGGCTGCCGGTAGTGTCGCCGGCGTTGCCCTTATTGCACTCCTCGCCTTCTTCTTGATCCGCAAGAAGAGAAAGGCCCGGGAAGAGGAGGACGAGAAGCCATTCGGGGGCTCAAGTCTTCCCGCGCCGCCGCCGCCTTCATCGGCTCCACCGATGTCTGGCCCCAACGGTCCCTCGGCCGCTCCCCAGATCCGCACTGTCCCCAAGTTCTCCCCCGATATGAGCGCCAGCGCAGGATTCAACGCCAGCGCTGGTGGCTCTGCCGCCCCTGCACGCAACCTCACAGGCAATTCCCCTCCAACCACACCGCAAGACCCGTTCCAGGATCCAGTCAACCCGTTCAGTACTTCTACCACGCCGGTCTCCGAGCAGTCAGCTGCCATTTATGGAACTGCTGCCGCTGCAGGCGCTGCGGGTATGGTTGCCGGTGCGGCCATCGGTTCTGAGAAAGACCTTCGTCGTTCGCCAACCGGGGAACCGCGAGGCCCCTCGCCTCCCAGCCCTGCTGGCAGTGCGGATGCAGTATCCATCTCATCCGGCATGATGGGTCCCGGCGGTGGTCCTTCGAATGTTTACCGCGTGCAGATGGACTTCAATCCGTCCATGGAAGATGAATTGGGTCTTCGTGCTGGTACTCTGGCTCGAATGCTTCATGAATACGATGATGGATGGGTAAGTCTTGTTTTTTCCACGTCGGTCCATGCGTTTACCTGTGCTAATTATCTCTTAGGCTCTTTGCATCCGTCTCGATCGGTCTCAGCAAGGTGTGGTCCCACGGAGCTGCCTGTCGGCGCGCCCTGTGAAGCCTCGCCCGCGCGGACCTCCTGGAGGTGGTCCTGGTGGTCCTGGTCCTCGAGGTCCCCCGCCGATGGGCCCCGGTGGCCCGAGGTCACCAGGACCAGGTGGCCGTGGCCCTCCATCTGGGCGCTTCTACCCCCAGGAAGGCCGTCCACGATCCCCTGCCGGCCCTGGCTACGGCCCGCCGCCTCCGCGTCCCTACCCTGGTAGCCGGCCCATGTCCCCGGCTGGATACCCAGGTGGCCCGCCGCCCCCAGGACCTGGACGGGGTCCTCGCTCCCAGAGCCCCGGTCCCTATGGTCCGCCGGGGATGCAGAGACCCGTGATGCCCTTCGACCAGCGGCCACGAAGCAACAGCGCCGGCAACATCTCACCGTCTAATGGCCCTCCTCAGCCCCGATCAAGCCCGCTGGCCGACGGGCCCATGCCTCCGTCCCCAGCTCCCGCTCCTACAGGCGGCCTGCCCGCTATTCCGCGGAGCCCGGTGTCTCCCCCAAATTTCTAGTGGCGGTATAAACAAAAGCACCACCTTTTGACAGGGTCTGGAGACTGATTGTTCTTGCAAATTCTCTCACAACAATGGCTGGCGCATTCCCTGGAGTGAATGAGTGCCCAAGCGGCCTTGTCAGTGTAATCCCCGCTGGACGGCCTAACCGGTACTACGACTTGATCTTGTTCCCACACTTCTCTCTATGTCCGTGATGAACGAATCCCCCCACACATACCGTCTTGTTGATTGTGGTCCCGTATAGACGGGTTTTTATCTTCTTTACTACTTCTTGTTCTACTTGCTTTTCTTACTTTCTATACCCACAAGTCTTCCTGTGCTTGGCTTGGGTTTTAATCCAGGAATCATGTTACAAATCCCTACCCTTTTTTCCTTTTTCTCTTTTTTTTTTTCTTGTATTCTTTGGAAGATGCAAACATACATCTCCCTGGTTGGACTTATGGATTGGACTGGATTGGTTTGGTTTTTTTCTCTCGCTGATACATTGGACTGTGAATTGAGTTGAAATGGAATACCCGGGGTCTTCGTTCCCCCTGTAAGATCTTGTGGATTAGGCCTTGTGGCGGCTTTTTGGCCCTTATCTAGATAGTTTTATCTTACTTTATTCATTTTGTCTCTTGTGAGCTTCTTATTTGGGTTCTTTGCGGGGTCGTCGGTTTCTTCTACTTGTGATGTTGCCAATATCCACTTATTGTGCTAATCACACGAGCTTGATCATCAACCTTGAAGTCTTGATACCACAAGTGAAACGAGCAGTAGTAAGGTAGCATGCTTTGTCTATGTACACACGATGCTAATGTTTGGTAAAGATATATTATAGAGATAACGCTCCAAGCTCTAAGTTCAGAAATGTGGGACACGCCCACTGGCCAGCAGGAGATTGACAATACTCATGATACCCTCACCGAGGATGAGACCCGAGGCTAAGACGACAACAGTCGACGAGGCGGCGTCGGCTTTCTCTGTGGCCTGCTCAGCGGGAGATGGTTCCACGCGCGCAGGGTGTGAACGTGCCTCTGCATGAGCCTCTGTCGAAACGGGGCCATCGCCATGGGCGCTTGGTGCATGGTGAGGAGGCTTGGAGTGCTCGCGTGACCACCACCAGGCAATGATACCGCCAATGGCGCGTGCCAGTGTGAACGAGGGGACGTTGAAAATGCCAACCGCGACGGCGATGCCGCCTGGGATCCACGCTCTCCAGGCTGGTGGCTGGCCGGCGTGCGCGAAGGATGGGGATGCGGCTGCAATCCGAAGACTGGTGATGCCAACGAAGATGATACCGGCTATCATGGATGCTTGCCAGGCCATATCCGGCAAGCCTTGGCCTGTGACCAGGCGTGCGGTGAAGATCCAAACGTACGCGGTAGGTGTCTGAAACATCTCCCCCGGGATCTCGTATACGCTGACATACATCTTGTAGACCGCGGTGGACAGTACTGCACCAACGAGGCTACCGATCACCTGGCCGTAGAACTGGGCTTTGGGGCTTGCTCCGAGCAGGTGGCCGGTTTTCAAGTCCTGCATCATGTCGCCGGCTTGTAGGGCGCCGGATTCAGAAACTGCGCCAGCCAGCAAGTTCGTGACTAGTGCTGTGCGGCGTGAAAAATGGGATGAAGGCGTCGCCAGTGAGAAGAGCAGTTGGGTGAGTTTGCTGATCCCGGAAACTGGGTTTAGATCTGTCTCCCCCAGAGCTCTCACGCCCATGATGGATAGAAGAACGGCCAGAAGGGTGGCCAGACTTGAAAGAAGAGGGGAAATGATGTCGCCGAAGACAATGTGCATGCATATGACGTTCAATATGAGGGTCAATGGGAGCAGGAGCATGACAGTGCGGGTGGATATGAGTTGGGATGGCGGGGCGTCTTCGTCCTCTTCTTCGCCCATGGCGACATTACCATCGAGACGCGCATCATCGGGGTCGAGGGAAGAGTAACTGATATATGAATGATCATGTACCCCTGATGGTTGCAGTCTCAGTGTAACCCATCGACCGAAGCGCGTGGATCGGAGCTGGGCAGTCCATTTGGGCGCGCGAATTACCAGAGGTTTGATAACCAGCCACCCAAGACTGACCAGGGAGTCGGCAAGCATGATGGCCAGTGAAATCCACACAATCCATGCTTTGCTTCCATCTTCCCAACTATCCACGGGCCCTGGGGCCCAGCCGCGGGTCTTGGCCAGCGGAGACAGAATGCCCCAGCCCAAGAAGGCTCCGAAAAGCATATGCATACATGTCGACGGGCCCATGATGATTCCTTGACCAACATAAGCGGGGGATGGATTGAGAGTCCACAGCCAATTGTGGGCAATTGACACGCCGAATAGAGGAATGTCGCGAACCAACGGCACGAAGTATGAGAAAAGCGTCTGAGACGTTCATTAGCAAGGGTCTTGTGAATGTCAGTGACTGAAAGATAAATCTCACATAAACACCAGAGAAGGCGAATGCACCGATGAGAAGACGCATCTTCGACTGCCAGTCCTTTCTTTGAGCGGCGGTTTGGGCTTCGGTATCGGCATCTTGCATCAGATGGCCCGTCTGCTGTGCTTCTTGGGGTCGATGAGCAACATCATCCACGCCTTCCTGGTCCCTCATTAACGGACTTTCAGGCGCTGCAACCTTCTCATCATCTTTCCCAGCCCCATGGAGGACCTTAAGCATCAGCGCAGAGGCGGTGCCACTCGGAAACCGTAATTTCTCCCGCACGATCACTTCCTTCCGCAGTGGTACAGCAAAGACCACACCGAACAGACACACTCCCAAGCTCCAAAGAACCAGTTTCCAAAATCCTAGTTTCAACGGCCCCCCTTCGCCTTCCCCACCATCGCCCGAAGGTCCGTCTTCACCGTCCTTGAGCAGGAACTCCAATGCGGGGATCACACCTACAAACCCGCAGCCGAGGGGCATCGTACCCACCGCACCGGCTACTGTCTGAATCAAAACGTTCTCGATTGGCGTGAATGGAAAGGACAGGTACTTCGAGAGCACCTTGAAGACCGAATAGCCAATCAGGGCCGACGGCATGGCCATCGTGCTGATCCATCCCGTCTGCAGGCCGAAGTAGGTATTGGAGAAGGTAATGAGGGCCCCAATAATGAGACCAACCAGCAATGACCGCAGGGTGAAGCTCTGAGGGGTCGTCGTCGACGCTGGGTCCCGCGGATATGTCAGCGCAGGGTCCTCGACGGAGTCTCGTGCGTCGTCCGGAGACAACAGGCCTTGCGTTGGTGACCTCTCTGTCGCACGGTGGCCATGTTTCGGGGCAGAGCTACCTGCCATGCTGATGGACTGGTAGTTCATCCAGGCAAATCAGTCATGTCGACCTGGGGAAGAGAAGAGCCGAAAAGAGCGAATGGGGGGCGATGACGGAGGAGCGGCTGACAAATTATGGCCGATAAGATAACTGGTAACTAAGGAGGCGATGGATGGATGGATGGATGTTCAGCACGAGGGAAGAGATGATAATAATAATAATAAAACTGGCATTAGTGAGTTCAATTGACAAAGATAAATGGAAGTGCGAATATATATAACGAAGAGGCTATTGACTGCTGGTATATATCTGACCTGGGGAGATGCATGGAATTGTCTTGGATAGAACCTCCGATGACCGGTCGAACTATATTTAGGCTACGGACCTGGTCTGGAAATTGATCTGGCAAAAATTACGTTTCACTGAACGAGAGTTAAGGCTTACATTTGACCGGTCAAAGGTTATGGGATCCATAATTCCAGCATGACCTAGTGTATAAAACCACTACAAGATAATACAAAACACAGATTCCCAAGCCAGCTGGTTGCCATTCTATACAGTGACCTATCCTATTTAAGTACAAAAAGTTCGGATACACAAGAGATCCAATTTTCCCCGATCCCAGCCCCAACTCTCACCATCCCTAATATAGACGCATCCGATTCCGCAGAACAGACAGACGTCGGCGCGAGATGGTGTTGTTGGCCGTACCATTGTGGTGCTGCGTAAGATTCAGATGGTGCGTAGCATTGTTATGCAGGATAGATGTAGCATTTTTATGCTTGAGGTACTCCAGCAGCGCATTGAAGACAGACTCGGCCTTGGCATGGCCAGCGTTGTCAACACGCGCCTCATCCTCGGGCATGCGCCCAGACGAGTGCGCCGCCTGGGCCCGGTGCCAGGTCTCAGAGTCTGAACCCGGCGTCTGAGCGTGAGCGGCCTGCTCAGTCTCGGCGAGCTTGGCCGTGCGCAGCGCAACGTCAGCCTCATTGTTCCCGTCATGCTCGTGGATCACCACATCGTGCGTCTTGTCGCAGGTGAGCTTCACCCACACCTCGCTGTAAGACAACTGGCGCGCGGCACAGGTGCTCACGGCAGCGCGATGCTCAAGCGGCGTCGACACAAGAGGCGGGTCAATGCAACCCGGGACTTCGTGGAGGGTGACCTTGCAGCCGCAGTCTGGGTTGATCTCCACGTCCCTGTAGTCGCCGTAATGGTGGTGCGAGACTAGCTCTGCATCCAGCGAGACGTGATTGACGAGGTTGCGCTCGTACACGTACGACGGCACGGCGATGTTCTCGCAGCTGCCGATGGCGATGTCGCGCGGTGCGCCAGCCTGCTCGTAGTGTTCGTATGCGCCCAGATCGGTCGACGGATCACCGGGGCAGCTGGGGTAGAAGTGTGTCCAGACACGAACCGTGGTGGTCGCGTGGATTGGGGCGAGGAGGGAGAGAATGGAGATAGCGGTCTGTGTGATTGTTAGTCACTATATATTTGGGCAGTATTGTACTATACGAACCTTGGTATGCATGGCTTCAACGAAGTTCAACGTGATATCATGAATCAGATATATGATCAAGAGATGTACTCAAGGATAGATCGGAGGCAAATGGACCTGAGGTCTCCTTCCTTATATCTTGTCCATCATTCCACCCCAGCTGCCTGGGGAATATTGAATGGCGGGCAAGAATGACCAGCGGTCAGAGATATTAGGGCAGTGAAACGCGTCAGACACGTCCCTGACACTGTCAAGCAATCTCTGCATCATACTTGGTGATCAGCAGCTAGTCATTGGAGTAATTAGCACCAGTAGATGACAGAAGAGGCGCATTCCAGCCTTTAAGGGGCTGTCAGATGTTGATCCAAGACTGCTGTGGACCCAGCTTTGCTCTATCTGGTATGTGAGTCCTGTCCGTGCATTCCAGGGGGCGGCGGCGCGTCTATCAGAGTGCTTGAGAAAGGCTTGATCTTCAGGGTGGAGTCTTGTTCTGGTTCGAGGAGGGAATGGAATTGTGCATCATTTCATTGGCTCATAGCTGATCAATACTGGCCCTAGAATATCTGCTAGTCCGGTGTCAAGTTGGTTGCTGAACAGAGAGCAAAGTCATGCAAGGCGTGATACACAGAAAATCAAACCAAACTGAGATCAGCGCTCTTTCTTCCCCTCTGCTTTGCCGCTTGGGGTCTTGTAGTTCAATATTTTCAAAATTGATTCACCCGTCTCAAAGCCACTAAGCGTCTGCCGTCTCCCTCTGCTCTTCAAGGTCCGAATCTTCCGATCCACTTCTTCCAAGTCGTCCTCGGAGGGAAGCGAAGTGAGTCCCTTCAAGCGTGTCTGATCAGAAAGTCCACTAGACCTGCTGCTGCTACGCTCCCTACTTGAGGGCTCGCTCGGCGGGATACTCTTCAGATGGGACTGGTATGCATCCGCCTTGTAAGGGTCGGTGGGGATATCAGCATCGACATCATCGGGACGGATGCCGAAGCCAAGTTCGTCGATGGTGTCAGTGACCCGCTCCGACAGTGCCTCACGACTGTCACGGAGATCCGCCAAAGATGACGAAGATAGCGGATTCAAAGCCACCAGAAGCGGGGGCAGAGATTTGATGATATCCATTCCGATTTCACCGAATCGCAATGCGGCGAAGCTGACTGAAATCATCAAACCAAAGAAAATAACGGCGAATGCCCCAAGTGAAACGCTGTCTGGCACATACGTTCGTGCCACCAACCACCAAGGCACGGATTGGGTGTAGTAACCATCATAGCGATTGTATCGAAGCCATGCCGTTACAATAATCGTGTAGTAGGCGTAGAGCGTCGGTGCGAGTCCCATCGCGACGAGGATTTTCCAGGTGCTGACGACGTCGTGGCCTTGGAGTTTGACGACTGATGCCGCTAGCGCAAGCCGTCTTTTCTTCTCCGAGATCACTTTGGTCGTCACAAACACGGGCCAGAAGAGTAGAACGCCCGGCAGGGTGCCGATACTCAGAACAAACAGCTTGCATAGACGATAGAATAAGGTGATCAGCGTCAACCACCACGGCTTCTCCTCCAAGTTCCCCCACTCCACTTGGTGGTCTTTGACTCCAAGGGATTCCAGTCGCCGATTGTACTCCTTGACGGCTTTCTTCAAGCCCTGGATGCGTGGGTCATCCCGGTGTCGAGTATAGCCCTTCAACAGGCGACGGTTGAATTCAATGACCAACGGAAGCGGGAGTTTCTTGCTGATGGGATTGTAAAGTTTTCGTGTGGATTGAACGAGAATGAGTGTCTCGTGGTCTGGACTAATCTGCGTGACAGCCTCCAGGCCGTCATAGATAGTTTCAAGCAGAGATCCCACAGCATTTCGTTTACTGTTCCCTCCCAATTTGAAGGCTTCCACTTGATCGGGATGGACATGAATCGGCCGGCCGAATTCGATGACCGCCCTCGAGCGGAATTTATGCGCATGGAAATAGTTCATTCCACATGGAACGATTGACAGCCCACAACCCGGATCGCGGGCCAGCGCGCCGAGCGACATCAGAGCTGCGCCAGCTTTTAGGGGCAGCAGATTCGAGCGATCATGACTGCCTCCCTCGGGAAAAATGCCGATGCACCCACCGTTGGAGAGCTCCCTGTAGACCGCATCAAACATCTGGCTTTGGTCGACATGGGGCGCAATCTTGAAAGAAGTCCCTTTGCGACCGGGGTCATTTGGAACAGGAGAGGCAAATGCTTTCTTGAGCCGAAGGGCCGTGGGCCCCTGGATCTCTTCGATCGAGGCCGTCATCGGTCCATCGGGGCCTCTGACGGTCAGCGAACCCCCCGACATGAACGACGGCTGGGTGAAATCGGTGTCCACCCCGTGAATCAAAGCGGGGTCGCTGTGTGGGTGAGGTTGGTAGATGCTGCCTTTTCCCGGCTTGGTCAAATCCATGGACCGGACGACAGGGAGCGCGCCCATGCATGATGCGAGGGTTCCGATATACGGTTCATTCATAGACTTTTGGGCGATTAAAAGGACACTCGTCGCTTAGCTTGCGACTTGAGCAGGTGCATCAGAATGCCCGAGTCGACGAACTGGTTGGCATGGGGCGCGGCCACGATCAGCACCGGGCCCTTCTCGGGGATCCTCCAGGCTCCTCGAGGGTAGACCTCCCGGAAGAACAGGTCCAGACTCCAGGTGAAGAGCCACAGCACCAGATCGTACAGCCATGGGATCATGCGGCGGGAGGTCGAGCTGCCCGCCATATTTAACAATACGGCTCGAGGTGAAAGTGAAAGAGGAGAAAAACGGTGGGGCGGGAAAAACAGAGTTCCTCCCTCACAACAACAGGGAAGTACATTATTATCACACACAAAACTATGACCTAACTACTCCTCCCCGGGGAACCCAAAGCCGTTCAGCTGGAACGACACATATCCCGGCTCCAGGAAGTCAGGCAGACGCTGGGCCTCGGAGAATAAGCCATCCTCAAACGGCAGCTCATACACGGGCCCCCAGAGCAGTCGTCGTTTTCTAGACAGTCACACCCGAGCACCAGATCGAGTCATCGCCGATCAGGTTTGCGCGGAAAGAGCAGTTGTTGACGCTCCAGTCGCGGTTGACTGGGATATTGGCGCATGCCGGCAGCGGACTGTTTTTATAATAGAGAGTAAGTATACCATCAATAGAGATGATGGGTGATATTTATCATATGGGAGAAGTGCATCTGGGTTTGGGAATAGGGAGGTTTTTCGTGTCTGGGTGAGCTTCAATTGAGTTTGTTCAGCTCTCGGTCGCGTAGTAGCATAAAGTAGCATTGCTTCGAGGGGACCAGGCACCCGCGAAGATCATCAGCGTCACGCAAACATCCATCCAGCTTTTTTTTTGTCCGTGGAATGCAGGAGTTTTGAACGAGGGATTGATCCGACGGCGCTGAAAATCAGGCATGGGAAGACGGCTAAGGGCTGGAATGCGACGACCTGGAGAGCATCAGTGCCATCAAGGATGAGCAGATCAGCCTTATACAAGGATAGCCTGCGCTGCTCAGGTCACACTTCACATACTCTGCAACATCCCGATGCGTGCGAAGGGATAGCATCGGATGGCCCTATATAGATGTCAATATTTCTAGATCATCTTCACTGTCGAGCCGCATTGAGTTCTAGTTGCGAGAGATCAATGGAAGAACCTAGTTATGTAGTCTGTTCTAATAGTCTAGACCTCTATAATATCGTTTTATATACCTTTCAACTCGGATTTGGGCGACAATTCTCGGATCATCGCCCACATTGTAAACGGTTCCGCTGCGTCCCAGAATCCCTTGGGGCATTTCCGACTCCCCACCACGGTGAAACCCTGCTTCGTCCAGTAGCTGCTATTATTCTCTTTAACAGTGCGAATCATAATGCGCACAGAAGACTGGGAGGTCTTCTCGCTAGCCCTCTGCCGTCGCAGAATTTCCTCTTCACACAATCGGACGAGATGACCTGCGATTCCTTTTCCTCGGATTCGAGGATCTGGCGGGAGAGCCACAGTAGACAGCTCGTAGTCGCCGTCACAGGCGTGTTTCTGTAGGACCTGGGTGAGATCCTGATCCACCCGTTCGGCCATACTGGTCGGCTCGTCGTGGGGCCTCCACTGTCCGTCGTCCTTCCATTTCTTCATGCTCGCGGTGCCGATCACCTCATCTGGCTGGTCTGGGCCGTTTGAAACAAAGGCCACCACGGTGAACCCGCCCTCCCCCAATTCTTCGGACAAGGTTGAGTCGGTCTGCAGTCTTTTCTTGGTTGAAGCGAATTTGATTACATTGGTGTGGTTGACCATATAGCTAGCGTTGACCATGCGTGTGAGGTCGGACAGCCATGGTTGAGTGAGTAGCTCGGAGGATGTGAATAGTGCTGTGTGGAAGACTGGCCCGGTCATTGTTGCGTTGTCAATTGACAGTTGTGTGGGGAGGGGGGATTATTTTTTAACAGTTATCAAGAGCGGAATCCATCCGCCCGGCTGTTATCATTGATCCGTGAGTCACTCGGATCGGCCTACTTTGTTTGGTTGGAGGGTGGGTAATGGCGCGATCCGAAGGGTTCAGCCCCCGAGCTTAAATATTTGGTTTTTATTTGCTGCATATCTATATCAAATGATGTACAGGAATTTACATTTAGATCACGTACTGCAGTCAGTTAGCAAGGCTCTCCCCTTTACATCGTACCACCTAAACATACCGGGATAAAAAGGTATGGCACCTGCCTCTCATACTCCTTCCATGCATCGCCGTACTTCTGTCGACATTTGGTGATATCCCTCATGGCCCGGTGGGTGATCGTGACACTGAAGAACACAGGATAGAACCAAGGGAATGGACTGTCAAACCCGGTTACCAGACCCCATGAAAGAGCAAAGAACATATCGCACGTGTAATGAACCTTGCGGGCGAGTCCGTACCATCCATCCGCTAAGATCGTGTCGCCATTCTCGGCCACAATGGTTCTTGGATTGTAAACCTCCTTCCATGGAAGCTGCGGAAAGGTCTTGCGGTTTACAAAGGTGCCACGCTCCATCATTCGAAACGAGTTCTTCTGGCTGTTTGCCGTGTCCCAGACCCAGTAGACGAAAAGGTACGACACGAACAGCGCAGTTAGCGCATATCGATTCCACGCATATGTGGCCGGGTCATGGTTGGCGAGATACAGTGTGCAGTGGCAGTACGACATTGGCACACCGGCCATGTTCCAGAAGGTCAGCATGAACCCCAGTTTCTCTTGGTACATATCCCAAGTGGTTGTGATGAGATGCTCTGCCTTGGCACAGGCGTTAGCATAGGTGAAGTGGGCCATGACCAGAAACAGAACTTCGCCAGAGACATAGCCGTACTGCTCGTATTGACGGGTAGCTGCGGCGCAGCTGAGACCAAAGAGGATAAACCATGGGATGCGCACTTCGTAGAACATCTTGAAGTCGAGAATCCCTAGGCGCGGGTTGAGTTCGGCGCCCATGAAGAAGTCGTAAATCGGGTAGCCGGTGATACGATGCTGAGCACCGCGAGCAAAGGCAGAGAAGTAGGTAATGAAACTGCAGAGAAAGCCGGAAATGATAGCCACAGACATCAGCGGACCGAACTCATCCAGGAAGGTGTAGAGCGGGAACAGCCCAGTGCCGTGCAAAACAGCCATAACGACGATGGTCAAGTAGAAACTGGTATATGCCGAGCAATGATACTTCAGCTGCTTCCCACCCAGATGGAGTAAAGGCTTGCCATAACATGTAAATCCGGGCATGTATATGTAGCATGCAGCCTCGAAGATAAAATATGCCCAGTAAATGCGCCAGGCCCGGACATGAGGGAAAGCGCCGGTGTACACAAGATTCGCCAGATGTTTTCCAAACGCTATCCAAGACTGGCTGGCCTCAGGCAGAGGCCAATGTCCGTCATAGTAGGTCGCGCCAATCCACATGTAGTACATCAACAGAGGGAAACCGATCATGGCTGCCAGGTTGCCCAGTGAGCCGCCGAACTCGAAGTGGCCTGAGTAATCGACCTTGGGATCCATGCCTGGTCGCCATCCACCGGTGATGTGCTCTCTAGCAAAGTCATCTTGGGATTTTTCGTCTTTGTTGGTGAGCCGGGGTCTGACAGTTGTCTGAGCGGCCATTGTCGTCCCATTCAGACTGACCAGCCTAGGGTACGGAAAGGAGGATAAATAAGAAGGAGGAAGTAATTTAAAGGATTCCCAGGGTCTTAAATAGCCTCGAATAAGGAGATGTGTCTTAGCCAAGGCTGACAATAATCCGCAATGTTGGGTGAACGGTGTAGTACTATTCGGTCTTGGATCGGGCCCACTCTACATGGGTAGAATCGCGCTATTTACGGCGTGTTGCTGCCTGATATCCACTTGGCGCACAGAAGGATTCCGAGTGTTTGGGGCTGCCAGGCACTATGTCGTTGGTCGCCCGATCGCATCTCGAAGCCTGCTTTAAGAATTATGTCGCCGTTGGTCAGCGTTTAACTCGAGGATGAAGGCTGCATAGATATGTGTGTGATTACAGAGAACCGACAACCGACACCCATAATGAGCGTTGTTCACTTGGAGAGCTATACAATAACATTAATTACCCCAAAAGCCAACTAATTACCTCGCTCAAACAGAATGAGAGTTCGTGTCTTGTGGTGTTTAAAACACGCCACAATTAGTTGATGGTAAATCGGGGGTCAATTCATCATACTGACTTTCTGAAAGGTACGTGCGCTACTTGAATTTTTCCCCAGCGAGTTCCCGTCGCTAAGAAATACAGCTTAACAGCTTATTTTAAAGGGCATTGCTAGGTAATTCTTTCGCAGTCGCGTTTCGTTGTGTGGTGAGGAAGGCCAGAAGGGAAAACGGAGAGTAAAATTTACTAATATCTTCGAGTAGAAAAGTCGACAGACAACGACCATCGATGTCTCTTAGAATTGCACGCTCGATTCTTAATCCTACACTGATATGCAGAGTGGTATCTATATAATCAAGGTTAACAACTAATACATTACCCTGCAATTTACACTTCTCCCGACAATAGGCCATAGTGAGCTACGCGTTCCTGTATTGCAGCATACCCTCCCAAGCTCAGGAACTCGATATAGGCTGGCCGTAACCTAGGGAGCCTGCAGAGCAAGTTTTGTACTTGTTAGTTGCCTGAGTCCTTCAATGGGCAAATTGTCGAATGAGGACCTGTAGCCCTGGTTGACAACATAGAGTAAGATAAGTTTGGCCTTGCATTCTGTTTTCACTTTGCTGACTTAAGTTTCCCATTTTCATTCTCCTTGCATTCGTGGACTGGACGTTGTCCGCCAAGTATTATCGTCCCATCCCATACTTAATACTCCCATCATTTCCAACCACAAATCTCACATCCCAGGTATCCTTGCCCACCTTCCCCTGCACAATCTCCCAGTACGCTTCCGCGTGTGCGCCACCTTTGACAAGGTCGTATGGCACTGGGCCACCGTCATCCAGGATCTGCGACACGAAATAGAACCTATTCCAACGCTAGTCAGTAGCCAATCCACGTCATCACGACGACATATTTTATCTGGATCTATACTCCGAAAATGCCTCGGGCATGTTAAAAAAGGGGAACTCGCCTGTCGCCAGCCGCTTTGTACTCCTGCTCCGCTAGCTCGATCAGGTGCACGAGCGCCGCTTTCCCGGCCGCTAGCGAGGTCGCGATTGGATTTGGATAAAACGGCGTCACATTTCCCGTCGCGATAAACACCCCTTGATGTTTATGAGTAGCCGAGCCGCCCTCGCGAAGCCTCTCCCATCCACGGGTTGCTGCATATAGCGCCGCGTACCCACCTGTTACGTTGATGGCCGTGTCGTTCGCAAATGCCTCGGGCGGGACGCTGAACGGATCGCCCTGCCTAGGTGGAAATGTGAGGTTCGCCGCTATACACGTTGCATTCGCCATCAGCCACTACCTTTCATATCATCATCCCACCTTGTCTACTTCAGGGTTATTTACACAGAAGGGGGCTCATAGAGGGGGCTTCACCGTTGTAAACGACCACTGTCGGAAACCCCAGCTTGATCTCGACCTCCGCAAATGCCGCCTCGACAGACTGCATACTCGCCACGTCTACTGCCACAGGCGTCACGCCTTTGATGCCAACCGAGGCCTGGATGCTGCGCCGTCCCAGCGCGACGCTGTAGCCTTGTGAGACAAATTTCGCCGCGACGGCATGGCCAATCCGGAGGCCACCACCGAGAATGAATGCAATTGGCTGTGTCATTATGATGCTTATGTTCTGACTTTTAGTCTGCCTTTAGAGAATTTGAGCGTGGGTGTGGAAGATTCTCTACTGGCTATAGATGTTCCTGACCGGTTAACGAAAATCAGATAAGGCCGGCTTTTGTACTTGGTCCGAGGGTGGCGACGGCCTCGTTCTTTGTCCTCTCCCTTTTCCTTTCGTCGGTTCCTCTCGTCACGATTACGTATCCACGCCGTCGTTCACGGTCTCGTTCGATGGATTTATGAATGTTGTCGCTCAGCTCAGCACGGACTTCAAAGGGTGCCGAGCTCCGAATGCTTATCAACCAGCCAATCAATCCACCCTGCACTCCCTGTTCCCGTTCATCTGACTATGAAAAGTCAATAGTTTACATCGGTTTTGTCCAAAGTAGCCATCGCATTCGCAGTAATCAACAACAATTGGCGATCAAAAGGAGACGGGAAATGAACTGCTGGAATCGACTGCGTACTCAAGGGCGTGTCACGGATATACTGTACATGGGGCATACACGATGAGTGGAGGATACGACATGACGGACCCACATAGCTTATCTGGACTCGCAAGACGTTAAATATAACAGCAATAAGAATAATATACATCTTAGTTCCATGAAATCCACACAAAGTGTAATACAACATTGGCCTGGCCAGTGTTGATTCAACAACTATCATCTGTGTGAGTAACAGTTTTAACAGTTTCGATAACACGTCTTGCTCCCGGAAAAAGTCTCCAGGACTGAAAATCAGAAAAGGTCTGTCTACATTGCTTGAAGAAAGGCCTCATAAGCATTAGTGAAGTACACACGATAGCGACGTCAAGTTCAAGAAGTGTCCACAGCGCTTGCTTGGAGCCACTAGCTGCATCTACAATCAGTGTGGGTGGCATATAACTGGAAATGGAACTCACAAGTGACATTGTCTATGGAGTAGTGTTTGAGCTCCACTACCCGGAGTAGGCTGAAAATGCAGACCCTTTTCAAGAAAGGGTGAGTCAACCACGAAACTTTCATTGCATTGAATATACTTACAAACCACCGATGGAGAAAAGTCCAGTTAGCAGAATCTTCTGTCGTGTGGCGAGCTTTAATCGCCAGACAATAATGATGGGAAGGAGGAGAAGCAAAACATCCTCGGCGAGCGATATTGCACTCATCGAAACAAAAAAAGCCTCCTGTCCACTCAAACATGTACCCTTGACGCTGACTCGGAGCCAAAAGTGCTGAGGTGGCCAGCATTGGAAGATGTTGACTAAAACGAAAGCTGTTCCCCAGGCAACAGTGAATATGATGATACCCATAGTTGCAATGTGCCACTTTTTTGTAGCGCCTAGTAGTTGTCGGAGAAGCACAATGAGTGATAATTTGATGCAAACTTGAGACAGTGCCCAGAATAGTTGAGCGAGCCAAAATAACTGACGTTATGAGTTAGAAACGTACTCGAAATCATATCATTAATCAACATTACCAGTGAGGCACGGCCACGAGTCTTCCGCTCTAGGCTCCAGATATCTTGACCGACTCCGTTGAATGCAGCTAGAAAATCTTATTAGATGCAACCTGCGGATCGACTGTTTGTAACTCACCAAGTATTGTGCTTATAGTCACTCCGTAGCAGAACAACAGTCCAAAAGTCATAAGCAAATCTCCAATATCGAGATGTTTAATCAAAAATGCTCGACTGTAAAAACGTAGGATAAAGAATATGGTGGCTACACCCGCACCCACGGCTGGGACTACCACCAAAACCGCTCGCCAATAATTACCACTAGCCATTCGAAGACCATGATAGCATAATAATGGTCATGGATGGAATTTGAATCTCCTTTTCCAAAGATCATAAGTTTGAAGTCCTCAGACCACTTAACGTAAGGTCTCGTTAAATCAGGTATCGTTGACATCATCAGGCCCCGGTGTGGCGACCTCGGATTCGAGATGAGTAAGAACTTATGATGTTCCTGAGGGTTTGTAGACATCGTCAGATTTCCAACACTGGCAGACTATTTACCACCATGACGGAGACAAGCATCCGGAGTAGTTGGAGTACCATCAAATTGCAACTCGATGCGATGACTGCCGTGTGAATGGTTGTTTCAATCAGATCAGGCCATCTAATGATGTTGCGACCGTCTCGTTTGCATTGCTTAAACGATATGTCCTGAGATCGGTCTGTCCTGGTTTCTACTCCAAAGATCTACAAGTTTTCTACAAAAACGGGCGGGTGGTATGCGATCAAGCGGATGAGAAACTTCCTTTTACTACAACCCCGCCGCGTTCTAATCCGCCAATTCAAGTACTCTTCGCGGACAAAATAAGGGCCACAAAATGTCGCAAAAAGAAACTGAGATACTCGCACCCAAGTCGGACCCCCAACAGCGCTGCAGTACTCCGCAGGTTCCCCAAAAATGGCCGCGGAGTTTAGAATGGCATTTGTGAAGCATGGAGTGGCTAAATCATCCTAATACGGACTAAAGTGGGGACTCCTCCACGGCCAAGGGGAATGTATTGCCCAATATGACAATTCCAGGATCTTCAAGTGTGGTATTGTTACGACTATAAAGTAGAGCCTGAATTGCTAAGGACCCGAGAATGAAGAACTGTACAGTTGAAGACGAGAGTCTCTCCCTTTGCAAATCCGCTCAGATAAATCAAGCCATCCGACATGCGGTTTCTTGTCTCCCGTCTGTTCGCAATTGGCCTGCTGGCCACCGCACTCCCCGTCGCCGCGGGACATTTTACCAAGGGGTCGGCAAAGCTGCGCACAGTTGTCACGACTGACATGGAACAGGACGACTTAGCCTCGCTGATCCGATTCCTACTCTACACCAATGAACTCGACACGCAGGGCATCATCTATACATCTAGCCGCTATCACTGGGCTGGCAATGGCAATGGCACGGAATTGCGGTGGACTGGCACGCGGACCATCCAGGATATTGTCCTCAAGGCGTACGCTCAGGTGCACCCGAATCTACGCCGCCATGATCCATTATACCCGACGGCGGAGGAGCTATTGCCCGTGGTCAAAATCGGCAATATTGACTTCGAGGGCGAGATGGCTCATGACACAGACGGCTCTGATCTTATCCGATCGCTGCTGCTGAATGAGGACCCGCGGCCGTTATACTTGCAGGCCTGGGGCGGCACCAATACTATCGCGCGTGCTCTAAAGTCAATCGAGGAGCGGTATTCTGGCTCGCGGCAGTGGGCGCGGACTAAGGATACCGTCTCCCGTAAAGCTGTCATCATGGCCAGTGGTTTTCAGGACGACACGTACACGGATTACATTGCTCTGCAATGGCCGCAGATACGCGTCGAGCAGATGTCGACCGGCTATGCGACCTGGGGCTACAACTGTAATCTGGGTCAGGGCAACGTTCGTGGGCTGCCTGACGATCTCAAGTATTTCAGCGGTTACTGGATTAAGTCGTTCGTCGAAATGGGGCCGTACGGTAGGCTCTATCGTTCCTGGCTTGACGGTCAACACATGCCCGGGGACCCGGAGGACATCTTCGGCAATCCAGCCAAAGCGGCCTCTGGCTGGTGCAAGCCGCTTGCTCCGTACGATTTTCTCTCTGAAGGCGACAACGTGGCGTACAATCCTCTGTTAAGCACCGGCATCCAGGACCCAGCGAACCCGAACCTCGGGAGCTGGGGCGGCCGGGCCACGCAGAACAGCACATCACCGAATCTGTGGGTGATGGTCGACAGCGAGAAGAACCAGACTGGCACCGAAGTTGGCAACTACACAACAGACCGCTGGATGGCGGCCGTCCAGAACGACTTTGCGGCTCGCATGCAGTGGACAGTGACGCCGGAGTACCATGACGGAAATCATGCGCCCTCGGTTGAGATCCTGAATAGCAGTACGGTAAAAGGACATCCTGGGGGGACCGTGACGCTGACCAGCTCGGCTCGCGATCCGGATGGCGACAAGGTCACTACGTCCTGGTGGCAGTACTTCGAAGAAGGCACCTACCCAGAAACGGTGAGTATAGTTCAGCATGATCAAAATTGGGCAACCGTGACGATCCCGACCGACGCGAAGCCCGGTCAAACTATCTCGATCATTTTGCAAGGGACGGACGATGGGCAGTTCCCGTTAACTCGCTACGACCGGGTTTTCATCGAAACCACATAATCCGATGGACTCGGACTCTTATGTGACCGCTATTCTGATCCTTGCTAGAATTGTCCTAGTCATAAGATGCAGTGTATTCTTAAATAGTTGGACGCTGGGAACAGCAGCCGGACACTGATGTTTGATGGCTGGCGGGTTTCCAACCAAGAGCATTTCATCCTACGCACAGCACTGTCTCAACCTGGTCCACATCCTCCAAGTTTACCACGATAATAAACGTCACAATATAGTTATGTTAAGAGGGGGTCTTAGATAGACCTGCCTCGTTGATTGCGCGGGACTGGTAATACCAACTGCTCTCTGGGTAGTAAGCGCCTACGGTTCGACAGCGGATTTCTAGACAGACGAATGACAAAATGAGTGTACTTCATTCTAAGAGCAACGATGGTGATGATTCTGCGGGGGGGGGGGGTTTCCTTATAAATATATAAATATTTGAGAAAGGTACAATGCTTTCTCATCCACTCGACCAACTTCTCTCTCCACTTGTGTTTACAATTACCAAATTCGGAATGGCCCGCTATGTTTCCCAATACAGAGAGTCTAGCCACCATGCATGCATGAAGAAAGAGATCAGGCCAGGATTGTTAGGTTCAGACCTCAGCCTACGCAAAAAGGTTCTTGAATGGTCAAGAGCTCATTGTTTTGTATCCTTTGGCACTACGCACTTTCACTCCCCCAAACTCCAATCTCTCGACCTACGACCGCGCTATCCACTAGATTTTGATGAACGTGGGAACTATACCAAGGTGCTTCCATATTACCTGAACTCCGATCTCTTTAGATAATTCGTGTTGATATAATATTTCCATAAATAGTACAGCGGAATGTGGGAGACCCTAAACTAGAATCCGAAACTATCAAGCAGGGAATTGGCATCCGGCTCATGGAACATGGTCGGTGGCGGCTTGGGTTTCTGCGGTTGCTGCTTGGCCTGATCATCCTCCTCGGTCTCAGCTTTCGGCACCTGCGGGGTAGTAGTAACTGCGGGTCGTCGCACTGGCATATCGGCGACGACCAGACTGCTCCGCCGACGCAGCAGTTTCCGGTAATCCACCCCGTTCTCCTGTACATGCGCTGGAGTTCGTGGTGGCAGCGGGTGCAGGAATTCCCAGTGGCGGACCAAGTCGAGGGCGAGAAGGTCACAGCCCATCCGGTCGTAGAGTCTAGCGTTGCGTAAGACAAAGTCCCATTCTTCTCGCGGGTGAACTTGAGATGCACCCTTGATGGTTTGCAAGGTCTTCTCGCGGAGCTGTTGGTAGAGAACGACCAAAGCTGGGTCGTTGGAGAGATAGGATTTGGATTGGAGAGGAACTCGACCCGGGCTACCGGGAGAGGTTGGGGTTGCTGGCGAGAGAAGAGTTTCAACGGGAGATATCAGAGACCGGACAGCCATGTCCCGTCGTCCGAGCATCCAGAAGGCCCACGAGGCCATCCACCGATTTCCTCCTGTAGCTGCTTCGGGGAGGACCCTCTCTTCCAATATTTCCTTGAGGACACGCCCGCTGTCTCCCTCAAAAGCTCGTGCAATAGCAATCGCGAGCTGCAGATCCCCAACCTGGTTCATGAGGACATTGGTCGCATCGCGAGGGTGGTCAGCAAGAAGAAAAAAGGCCGCGGCGTATTCTTTGCACATTAGCTCAGACCTGAAAAACAACATTAACAGTCAACACTCACCGAATCGCCGTTTGCCTAGCAATGCATAGGCATTTTTGAGGGCAGATGTCTTCCACCGAGCTTCTTTAAAGTCATTGGCTAGCAGGCGCTGAGTGGCTGCTTGTTCGCGGTGCCAATGTGCGATACGCCACAAGCCTTGCAAGATATTCTTCTTTCCGAGCGCGAGATAGTACAGAGAGCAGTCGAGAGGGTTGCGTTCCTCGGTCTTCGTATACTCGTTTCGTGCCACGACTTCAAGCTGCGCTTTCTATAATAGCATGGTTAGATCAGATCTATACAGGACGGAAAATGCTCACCAAAGCCGTCGGGTCTGAGAGCCACATAAAGATGCCGCTCTCGCGAGCAGCCTTCCACGTCATCTTGCCATTGAACTGCCGCGAAACAAGATCGGTCAAAATATCTTGGCTGCCACTGTGGAAAGCCCAAACAATTTCTCGCCAGGAGACGGTGTCTTTATTTGCTACCCCTTGACTTCGTCGAAGCATATGCTGTCGAAAGAAAAGGAGATAGCGAGCTGCATTGTCATCCATCGATCTTCGGTGCTTCTCAACTGTTGCAACGCACTCGATGATATCCGCCAGGCGGAATTGTTCATGACTTGATAGTTGTGGCAATGCTACATGTGCTAGATTCTCATTGAGTGCTGTCGCGGAAGCTTCATCCATAACAGTGGACATCTCGTCCTCGACAGCATCAACATAGGAAGAGCGCATCTCCTTCAATGCTGCTTGCTGAGGGGCCTGCTCTTGTCAGCGTCATATTCTAAAATACAGATAGATAGATTCTTACGTCTTGCTCCTCGTAGAAATCTTCGAGCGGCATCTCTAGGATGCCATCCAAATCATCACCTTCCGTGTAAAACTTCAGCTTCCGATGCAAATTTCTCAAGATAGCATGCACCAGATTTGTCTTCCCAGACAGAATGCATTGTGCCAGGAATTGTGGATGAAAGACGGGTAAAGGTCCGTTGATACGACTGACAAGGTCGAACAGGTCAACTGATGGCAAGCCACGAGACGGCATGCGAAGTTCGGAGACAAGCCGGTCCCCGACATCAATGTCCTTACCATATACAAATAGCTGGTTGCCGGCGCCAATGACCAGATGACCATTTGTCAGCCAGCAAGAATCCCCGATGGGGTGCGGTGTGAGGTCTCTGATCCAGATCTCTCGAACTTGTGTCCACGACGGTCGAGAGTCGAGATAGTCATACCGAAGCTGGGATAGGAGAACAACCTTATGGGGGAAACCCACGGCAAGGATGGACTGTTTATCAGGGGTGGATGTCCAGTCAAGATCTCGAATGATATCATTCTGGGCAAAATGCTCTTCAAATTCCAGCTGGGCGTTGTTCGTGTCCCAGATTGTGAGATGAGTCCGGTCCGAGTCCACCAATGCAGCTTTCCGGATAGAACTCGCACTGGCCAAAGATGGGTTCTCAATGCCTGTCCCGACCGTCGATTTGAGTAGCCACTCAACCTGGGCATTTTCCTGATCGACTTTGGCGGTCCAGGTACGAACGACTCCGCTGTGCGTGTAGGAGAGAGCAATATCTGCAGAAAACGTGTCGAAGAATCCAGATGTCTTGGTCTTCGGGCCCGCGGGATCCACAGGAAGGATGTATGCCAGATCTTCCTTCAAGCCCATATTGAAGTCGCAAAACTTCCGCAATTGGCACTGATCCCCTTCGCTCTTGAGGCCGCCATTTTGGGCAGGCCATCGAATTTCCCACGCGATACCATCCATGTTCGCATCAATAGTTGCAATATATGACACACCAGTACCTGCTTCTGTTGGAATCGGAAGCACACATAGTGGCTTGCTTGATAGTGTAAACGGAAGGGAGGCGAGTTTTTTTGCGTGATAGGAGTTGGTGTCCCATAGCGAAATCCCATTGTGGTGGAGATTGACCAAAAGATTGGAATTCTCAATCACGCAGGTCCGATGAATGTGCTCGTCCGAGAGCAGCACACTCTTGTGGCTCAGGGATGATCCGCTGCCCCGACGCTTTTGCTTCCAAACCATGGCTTTATTCTCACTGGTTCGCGAAACGAGCGTGTCACCTGTGGCGTTTCGAACGATCTTCTTGACGGGGGCGGTATGTCCAGTCCAAGATGATTTCGGGATGATTCGGTTTTTTCGTGGTGCTGGGTCAAATAGAACGTCCACATGTGAGTCGTACCATTCAATACGGCCGTCAAAATGATGGACGAGTATGCTGAGCGTGTCATCCGAAGTAGTGCTCTGGAACGTATGGATTTGAGCGTAATCCTCCCCCTTATTGAGGCCAGGCAAGAATCCAAACTCCAAACCCTCCACATGCAGGATGTTGAAGACACTCATATTGGTCTTGACTCTGGAGCCGACATCCTCCAAAGCCCAAGCAGCCATATGACCCTGGCCGTCAATCACCACACAAATCTCCGGGCTCTTGTTCGCGACTTCAATAAGATGCTCCAAGGCATGATTTCCTTTGTTCCCGGTGTTTCTTTCCACCGCGCGCTCCGTAGCAGAGCAGAAATCGCGACTGTCCAAGATGAACCCATACCGTCGTTGGGAGCCTTGATCCTCCTCGGAAGCATTTCTAGGCTGAACCGAAGCATTCATATCAATATCCGCCCAGAATTGCAGGGGCGAAAGCGCATGATGATCCGTAACTGCCCACACTCGAATCTTGTTATCGGCGCACATGGTGTATAAGACATTATCGACAGATTGTTCCCGGTGGTAGGGCAAGCGCCAGTGCAACCCCGTCACGAGATTTGGATGGGGTAGGTACGAGATCTCGAATCGGATTTCATCTGCACTAAAGCTGAGCCGTCTCCATACCTTCGCGAAACGATCGTACGGCCCGACGGTCACCACCAGCGACGCATCGGGAGAGAACTGCGCGAATTTGACCGGAGTCGCAAGCTTCCGTTTCCAAAGTAGGCGCGGATCCTCCTTTTCATCCAAGATCCAAAGCGTGAGGCACGAATTGCCTACGAGGAGCTCGTTCGGGGAACCCCACGATAGAGTGGAGATCGGTTCGTCGTCATCGTTGGCGTGGAAGGTATGAACAAGAGACCACTGCATAAAGCGACATGTTAGCCCAGACCTGATCCCATATTCCAACGCTGTCTCTCCTCCATGAGACTCCGGTATACACACCTTCAAGGTCTCGCCTCTGAGGCCATACGGCTGATAAACAAAGACATCCGGTCCCCCACACACAGCAATCTTACCCGTAGCCTCATCAAAAGCTACCGCTTCGAGAGAGTCCGTATCATCGACGTAGATCGTTTGAAGGAGCGTCTGCGGGCCGCCGAGAATGACCAGCGCGTGGCCGGAGATGTACGCCTGTCGAGCAACGGGCAAGGGCAGCGGTCAGCGACAGAACGGAAATCAAAGAACTCAAAGCTGCAGTGCACCGCCAGAGTGTTTGAGGACACTTACAACAACGCGCAGGCCATCCCACAGCGCCGTGCTGAACGACCGGAGCTTGGCTGGGGGCCGCCCCGGCAGGACCGCTCGCATGGAGACGGTTGGGGTTCAAGGTCGGGCGCTTGGTTGGAGGGCGTGTTACACCATGGTCAGAAGGAGAACCATGCGGGTAGGATGTGCGGCGATAGCTGACGAGGTGTCGAGTCCTGGCCGGGGTACTCGAGGGGGTGGGGGTAAATGAGTTAGTTGTTGTAGCCAGAGAGTCGAAGGCGGGAGAGCTGGCAACTCGGGGATCCACTCAGTGCGACTCTACTCCAACAGCATACAGTGTTCAACTACTACGAATTAATTAAATAGTCATAAGTTGATTCATTCATTCATGTCCAAAACGACAAGTTGTATACCCAATACCCCGACAAATATTAAAAGAACCAGAAACCCTATCCAACCCGCTGGATATATGCTGCGCCTGAGGATGCAAGACGAAACCATGAGACAAGAAGATTGCAGACAAATGCGCGGAGAGAGACGAGCATGTATAGTGGTTGATGATGTACAAAATTTGGGAGGGGGGAAAGATCAAGGTCGTCGATTGGCGGATCTGCGCCCTTCGGTGGGAGATTCGGGGAGCTCTTCGTCCACGAACCGGACACTGGTTCCTATCGAATTCCTCCGGCCTGTGCGTGGTCGCCGTGAAGATGTTGTGTACGCTGCTGCTGAATTGACGCGAAGCAGACGGCTGGCAAATGGTGTGCGTAGTGGTGTGGCTGGAGTGGTGGACATTTGCGCGAGAGCTCGTGCACGCGCCGCTCGTTTGGATGGGGAGTTCATGTAGCTGGGAGTGGCCAGAGGGCTTGCAGACGCGGAGACTGGCTCCTGGGAGGTAGTGGTGAAATCGCTGAGCTTGAAGGGCGTTTCCGCCTGGTCCTGGTACCAGGGATCGAACAGAGCCGCCGATCCAGCGCCGTCATTGTCTCCGAAGTTAGAAAATTGCGCCGGTGTCAAGGCGGGACCAGGGGAGTCTCGAGCCTCGAGCTTCAGCCGCATATTTTCTACCCAGTAGCGGAACATGCCTCGGGAGTGTTTGCGCAGGTTTCGTTCTCTCATTGCTTCGGCGGTCTCAGCGGTGCTCTTTATTTGGAAAACACGCAGGCTAAGCTTGCGAAGAGAGGAACCCGCATAGCGGAGGACACGCGAACGGTAGAAGTGATCTGCCTGGTCTTCCAGTTCTCGATGGATCACGAAGGTCTCGGACAATTGCATCAGCTGGTCGAAGGCGACCTGGCGGAAATAATAGATATCAGCATCGCGGCATTCCTGTACTCTTTTGGCGGACTTTTCATGCCAAAGAGCAAAGAGGTCAGATCCAAGATGAAACATTTTCGCGCGGTCCACTTCTCCCGCTTGTTGGTCCATGTCCATGACGAGTCGAGTTCGCGATTTCCAGACGTCCATTGCCTTGGAAGCAAGATTGATTTTGATCTTCCGCCGGATCTTAGCATATGCCTCCTGCCGCCGTCGTTTGGCCGAGTCCCGCGTTGCCTGGTGCCATTGTTTCATCAGACGCTTCATCAAAAAGTAGAATCGAGCGTCTTTCGCCCAGCCCTCCATCTTTACCACCTCTGCATGCTTCGCACGCCAAACTGCAAGAGACTCTTCAGCTAGTCGTGGAGCATAGAACTCAAACGCGACATACTCTCTTTCGCGCTGAAGCAACATTTGGTCCCGCCAGATTGCGAATTTGGATCGCATCAGGTCCTCCGCATGGTGATCTTCATGAATCTCCGCATGAAAAAGCAGTCGAGTGTAGGTGTCTCGTGTGTTTGCTACAAACCGGGAGAATATCTCGCGTTTGATGCGCTGCTCGCGTATTCTTTGCATCAGCTGGAATCTTTCCATCAGAATCCACTTGTACATAGCCTCCATCTTGAGCCGTTCGTCAATTCGTGCGCGAAGAGCCAAGGAGCGGAGCGTGTCATTCCAAGATGTCCATGCATTGCGTTGGACTCTGAATCGGTCTATTTCATTTGCCTGATTCGCCATACGGGCCTTGAACACCCAATGTGACAGAGCACCACGAAGAATCCTCGTGCTCACCATATCAGACACGCGAGAAGCAGCGGGAGCCAACCTCGACTGGATTTGCCATTCGTCAAATGTGTCTCGCAGAGCCTTGTACCGTTGTGAGAGTTCCGCTTCCTGCTGGGCAGAAGCAACCCGTTTTGATTTTTGAGACCAAACCTGAAGCGCCCATCCTTGTGCCAACTTTCGGTTTTGGACGATAACTTCGTGCTCACGCTCTCTGTTCATTCGGAAATTGCGAAGCCAATAAAGAAGAGCGCGCCGTTTGAGTCGATGGTCATGCCATACCGGAGCACGGGTTTCATAAAAACACCAAAACCACTGCCAGTACGCATTACTTCGCAAATTTTTGTCATGGACAGCGACCGCCTTCGACTTGGCAATTTCCAGATCCTGGATTTTCTTCCGCCAGGCATTGAATGGTCTCTGCAATGCGAATCGCTGTGCCTTCAGCTCATTGACGGCGGTGATCTCGCGCCATGCATTGAAATATTTCACGCCAAGCACATGCCGACGTGCAGCAGATGTGCGAGCGACCTCTTCCGACGTCAGTTGCGCCCAGTGAGTAAAAGCCTTGGTCATCAGATAGAGATCTCGAGCGCGTCCAGCGCGTTCCTCCAAGTGTCTGAAAAAACGTTCCGTCCGGGCCGTGTGACGCTTGTGCTGGATGATGCCTCGCCATGGATCAAAGGCCTGCCGGAGAAGGGTGCCGCGGTCACGGTGAACAGCAACAGACTCCATATTCTGGCGGACCTGCTGAGCCTGGAACGCTCTCTTCAGCCATAGTGTTAGAATCCGGCGACAGATTGCTCGTTGGCGGTACATGTTAAATGTCGAAGCGTCCCGAAGGAGATCTGAGAGCTGTGGTCGATATAAAAACTCTGGCGGTGCCTCCTCCATCTCAAAGTCATCATGCTCCACAGGGTGTGACATGAGCGACTCTGCCTCATCAGACGCAGAGCTGTCCAACGAGCCAAACGAAGGGGACCGACGATGCTGTGAAGCTGCTGTCATTCTCTTGAACCGATCATGATCTACAGCCGATCTCGCCTCCAACCCGTTAATTAGCCCTTTGTTCGCATCTTTCTTCTCCGCAAAGTCGAATCTGCTCATCAAGCGACGACCAACTTCCAGAAACTGTGCAATCAACTGTGTTCGATCCGGCGAGGTGGGCGGCATGGAATCGCGCGTTTGTTTCGGAGATAGTTTGAATTTGGAAAACTCGGGTTTCCCAATCTCAAGTCGCGACATGGACGATCGAGAACTCGGCCGGTTCACAAAGCTTCTCTGAGTAACATCTTCGCCGATATCCAGTGTGGTGTTGAATGATGCGCGTCGTTGCGGCGTCGGGAATATCCCATTATCAGCAGGCGCATAGTCGTCGCGCTCGACGACGTGGTTCTCCGCAGCAGTCGCCGAATAAGACGCATCTTCAGCATGGGTCTCATTGAGATCGGTCGATCCATCGTCGCCCAGCTCCAGAACAATCCCTATCTGCTGCAGCGCACTCTCGAACTTGTCATAGAGCGTCTCTCCCCGCACGCCTTTGTTGCCCATCTTGAATAGGAACCGCAGACACGCATGGCCTGGATCTGCGTTGGCGCCATGTTCGCCAATAACCTCATCGTATGCCTCAAAGAGGGCGCGAAACGGGAGCCGCTCAACCTCGGGTTTGCCTTCGGCGCGAATGACGACTTGGTAGAGGAAACCAACATCTAGAGTAAGGAAAATGGATTAGAGCGATACAAGGCACAAAGAGAGAGTAGCTCATACCATCATCCGAGAGCGATGAGTTCTCCTCGGTCAGGACCCGGCGCTGGGAGGATATCGGAGGCATCGAAAATTCGCGACTCTACGGCGCGTCTGTCGCATCGGGATCATGGACACGGGCCAAAGAAATCATCGCGAACCAGTCATGAAGGATAAACATGCGCCGGTACAATGTCTCTGCACTCCGGGATGTGAAAATTACAAGAGATGAAAATCAAGGCCCTGTTGCCCGCGACTGCAGTGTTTTGTTTGGTTGGTTCTCGGGGTGTCGCGAAGGCATGCTGAGTGATCACGTGGGGAGTGTTGTGCTTAGGTCAGTGAGATCCACTGCACACGATTTGCCTAGGTAACCTGATCCTCGAGTTATCTCTCTTCACCTGCGAGGGAATCTCCAGATGCCCACCAAAACTCGCCCGGTCGAGAAATTTGCAAAGGCCACGGCCAAGTGTGCCACGGAGGTGTGTATACGATGATGTACTGTGCAAGACCACTCCACTGATGATATTGCTAGGCGGCGGCATACGGCAAGTGCGTGGTCGCGGACTACAACTCCGTCCACAAGGACATGTGCGCTAAGGAGTTTCTGCGGCTGAAGGACTGCTATCTGGCCGCATCCAAGAAGGGCTAGAGGTGTAGCTCCTAAATCAATCTCTTTGGGCTTGGAGACCTAGTAGAGAGGTCTTGTTGCAAGGATATTTTTGATACCATGCCTGTCCGGTCAATGAATCAAGCTCTTCGCGGGACCAACCCTCAAATGGTACCACGACGAGCATCCGGGTAGGCATTATTGTTCGATGCCTCAACCATCAAGGTTTTTCTACTAGGGAGGCAGTATAGGCGCTACGAACTGGCATTGTATAGTATCTAGGAATTCATTGTTATAGACTCATAATAAGCATAATCCATTTAATTATCAAAACAACGGGAAAAAAAGTGAGAATGTAGACTTGCTATCTACCAAGGTACTTAAATGCGTCTTTTTATAACCACTCACTCTACAACTTCACCAGCCGCAGCAAGAACGTCGCGTTCTGCACCTCCTGCTCTTCCTGCGAGATAGTGCCCGCCTCATCAGCGCTGGGGAGCTTGCCATCCGCAACGACACGCTCATCAAGCGGCCGACGCACCGCCTTCTCGATAGCCGGGGACTGAGATTTGAACGCCTCGCTGAGCCCGATGTTGTCTGGATCGGATAGAACGGAGTATTCCATCTTCACGTCGTCCGTGGGAGCTAGGCCGGCCTTCTTGCGCAGGCGCTGGACACGGTTGATGATCTCACGGCCCAGACCCTGGTGCGCCAGCTCGGGATGCAGGTTTGCATCCAGGATGGTCAGGACATCCGCGTCGGTGTTGGTCTCCATGCCTTCAGAGTTTGCGTCCTCCTTGATACCGCGCTTCACGACGAGATCACCCTCGACCAGTTCGATTCCGTCGACCAGGATCTTCTTTTCCGTAACATAGCGCTTCACGTCATCGCTTGACAGGGAAGGCAGAGCCTTCTTGACCTTCTGGACCTCCTTCTTCAGCTTCTTGCCCAGCGTCGGCCAGTCGGCATTGACGCTGTACTGGACATGGTATTTGGCCTCGTCAGACGACAGGACCAGGTCGAGGACATTGAGCTCTTCCAAAATGTAGCCCTCAAGGGACTTCACGTCATCCAGGTACTGTTGGTCCTTGTGGATCACTACTAGTGTCTTGAGAGGAGTCTTCAGGCCGATCGACCGGCGCTCACGAGAGATGCGGCCCAGATCGATGACCTTCTGCATCCGTGCCACTCGGCGCTCGACAACCTCATCGAAGAGTTCCTGCCGTACTTCAGGGAATGCAAGGAAGTGAACACTGCGGCTGTCCTCGCCGCGAAGCGACTCGGGGATGTGGGGGAGGAGGCGCTGGTAGATGTTGTCGGTCAGGAAGGGCGTGAAGGGGGCGAGACCTCGGACCAGGATATAGAGGACCTCGAAAAGGGTGTTCAGCGCATGCAGAGTGTCATCCACACCGTTCTCACCCTTGAGGCGCTTGCGGTTGAAACGGATGTACCAATTCGTGGTGTTTTCAATCAGCTCCAGCAAGCGAGGCACGACGGTATACAGACGGTAGCCAGCCATCTCCTGGTTGACGAAGATGAGCAGGCTCTGGCAGCTGGCCAGGATCCAGCGGTCCATGACATTGGTGTTGGTTTCCTCAGCTTTGGGGTCGAAGACGTATTCGATGTTGGAGGACTTTTTCAGGAGTGCAACCTGGCCTTCAAAGAACTTGAAGCTGTTCCACAATGGCAGAAGAACCTTGCCGACAATTTCTTTGACACCTGACTCCTTAAAGCGCAAGGGTTCGGCTCGAACCACGGGTGAGTTGATCAAGTAAAGACGAAGAGCATCTGAACCATACCGTTCCATGACAAGGTTGGGGTCCGGGTAGTTCTTCAAACGCTTCGACATCTTCTTGCCGTCTTCCGCAAGGACAATACCATTCACCACACAGTTCTTGAATGGCAGCTTACCAAACAGATGGGTGCCGAGAACGGTCATAGTGTAGAACCAGCCACGGGTCTGATCCAAGCCCTCCGCAATAAAGTCACCTGGGAAGCTCTTATCGAAATGCTCCTTGTTCTCGAAGGGGTAATGCTGAGAAGCATAGGGCATGCTGCCCGACTCGAACCAGCAGTCGAACACCTCGCTCACACGGCGAAGAACACCCTTGCCCTGTTTGCTTGGGATGGTGATGTGGTCCACCTTGTCACGGTGCAGATCCGTCAGTTCACCTTCGTAGCCACTCAGTTCCTTGAGCTCTGCGGCACTTCCGATTGCGACAACCTCCTGGAAGTCATCACTGACCCACAGGGGAAGCGGTGTACCCCAGAAACGGTTCCGGGAGATGTTCCAGTCATGGGCATTGCGAATCCAGCTGGAGAATCTCCGGTCCTTGACGAAAGAGGGAACCCAGTGGGACTCCTCAATACCTTGAAGCATGGTCGGAATGATGGGGCGGATCTTCACAAACCACGAGGGCACAGCGCGGTAGATCAGAGGTGTATCCGATCGCCAACAGAAAGGGTAACTGTGAGTAATCTGGCTGTCCACGAGAATACGGCCAGCAGCCTTGAGGTGCTTGATAATGGCCTTGTCAGCAGCCTTGACGTGCTGTCCAACAAAGTCCGGGACTTCGGCCGTGAAGCGGCCCTGCTCGTCAACCGGGTTGGGCGGATGACGAGTCTCGTTGATAACACCGTGGTCCAGAGCGACCTGGTAATCGTCCTCACCGAATGCAGGCGCCTGGTGGACGATACCCACACCATCTTCCGCGGTGACATATTCACCATTCAGCAATCGGAAGCCAGTGTCTTTGAACTCCTCGTAGAAATAATCGAAGAGAGGTTCGTACTTCCAACCCAACATGTCGGAGCCCTTGAGACGGTCGACGATCTTGAATTTAGCCTTCTTCGGGTCCTTGTAGATGGTTCGAAGTAGAGCCTCGAGAAGAATGTAATGCTTCTTGGTCGCCTCGTCGTAGATCTTCACATACTCGAAGTTCGGGTGGGCGCAAAGACCGGTGTGGGAGGGAAGCGTCCATGGGGTAGTAGTCCAGGCCAAGAAGCAGGTGTCCGGATCATCCAGCAGCGGGAATGTCACCACTACCGCAGGGTCCTGCACGTCCTTATAGTTCTGCTGGGACTCGAAGTTACTCAGCGGGGTGTTGAGCGCCGTCGAGTACGGCATGACCCGGTGGCCCCGATAAACGAGACCCTTGTCGAACAACTGCTTGAAAACCCACCACACCGATTCCATGAACGAAAAGTTCATAGTCTGTTCAAGAATCCACCGATTAGCCAGGTACAACCCGAGTGACACAGAGAGAACTAACCTTGTAGTCATTATCGAAATCAATCCAACGTCCCAATCGCTCAATGGTCTCGCGCCATTCCGCGGCAAATCGCATGACAATCGCCTTGCACTCCTCGTTGTACTTCTCAATGCCGATTTTCTGGACCGCCTCCAGACCGGACATGCCGAGCTTCTTATCGATCTCATACTCGATGGGCACACCATGGGTATCCCAGCCGAAGCGCCGTTCAACATAGTGGCCCTTCATGGCCCAATACCGAGGAATAATATCCTTGATCGTGGAGGCCAACAGGTGGCCGTAGTGCGGCAGACCGGTTGCGAAGGGCGGGCCATCATAGAAAGTGTAGGGTTTGCGGCCGCGGGACAATTCGACCTGGCGTTGAAAGGCATTGATCTCCTTCCACCGCTTGAGGACGAGCTCCTCCTCGGCAGGCAAATCGATGGACATGGTTGAGAGTGCGCGAGTGAACGAGTCCGAGGGGTCGCGGGGCTCATCAATAAAAAGTGGCAGGGTGACTCATCTTCCTGATTTTGTGCGAGAGCCCTATGACCACCGCCTGCCGTTTCGGGTTATATACAAAACTATACCGGAGAAGTTGCAAGAAATGGTCATTGAACAGGTTCGGTATATACGATTCACACTATTGTTCCTCATCCTCCTCTTCGTTCTCGTCATCATCCTCATCCTCATCCTCGGACACTTCTTCGCCAAGCTCCTTGAGGCGTTTCTAGCGACAAGTTAGTAGGTAGTTTCGAACGGGGATGATGAAAGAAAAAACACACCTTCTCCTCGTTCCTCTTGGTCTCCAGGTCTCCAAACACAATCAAGAGGTCCTCCAATTCCGTCTGGACGGACTGCCGTGCCTCTTCCTTCGCCTTCACCTCGGTCTTGGCTGTGTCAAGCTGGCTCTGGATGTCTTTGAGGGACTCGGACGCGGCCCGGGCTTGTGACTCGGCCTCCTTCGCCTTCGCTTCGGCCTCCTTGGCTCGTGTTTCCAGGGCGGAAATCTTGCTCGAGAAACCATCATTGGCGGATGCGAGGGCCTTGGTTGATTTGTCCCGGGCTTTGTCAAGATCTGACCGCAGATTGTCAATAGTGGTCTTGAGCTCAGTAACCTCGGCATCATTCTCTATCTTGGCGGCGGCAAGGTTCGACTCGATATCCGCCTTATGCTGCTCCTTGGTCGAGGCAAGGGTCGACTCCAAGCTTTGGACCTTCTGGTTGAGATCTGCAACTTGGCCGCCGTGGGCCTCCTTGAATTGGCTCGCACTAGATTCCAGTTCCTGAATCGTTCGTTGCATACTAGCAACTTCACTAGCATGTTGTCCCCGAATCGTGGAGAGCTTTTCCTCTAGCCCCCGGATGGTTTTTTGCAAGCCAGCAACTTCATGCTCGTGATGTTCTCTCACTCGGGTGCTCTTCATCTCATATTCAGCCGAGGCCTCCTTGAGCTGATTGTCAATGGCACGAAGCTGTTCGCCGTGTTGCTTGAGTAGCTCATTCTTTGCAACTTTATGCTGATCGTCCAGCTTCCGTAGCTCCTGTTCATGGTTCTGTTGGAGCGATCTGTTGGTCTGTTGGATCTTAGACAACTCGGCAGAGCCGGATTCTTTTGTCCTTCGGTGATCCAACTGTTCTTGGTCGAGCTTCCGCTGAATAGTCACAAAATCAGACTCTAGTTTCTGGATGGTTTGGTTGCGATCTTCGAGTTCCGCGCGTAGGGAATCAACGAGCTCGCGTGAAACGCCCTTTTCAACGCCGTTTGCCAAAATCGAGATCTCGAAGCCAGGTTCCCGGTCAATGGCTCGAATTAGCCGACTAAAGTTATCTTTAAGGAATTCCACGAAGGAGCGATCAAAGAACACCTCCGGCAGGCCGCCCTCAGGGGGGCCAGCTGCCGTTTGTGGCAAAACTTCAAAGTCGCGAACCAAGGGGTTCTCCCGTAACTTGGTGATCTTGTCGATATACTGCTCTCGTCCCAGTTGTTCAACCAACAGCTTGTGCAACGTCGCTCGGGGAATGGGGGAGTCTTTGGTAGAAAATTCATAGATGATACCCAACAAAACCGTGCAAAGGCCGGGCATCAACTTGCTGGGGGTCCGTTGGTGCTTAATCTCCTGCAAGAGAGTCTGAATGGTGCTGCCCTCGCCGAGAAGATCATTCACCACATCCGGGTCTTCGAAAAGCCATCCGGAGAGCAACATCAAGTAACCGACAGATATCCGCTCATCATCGCCACGCTGCATGCCCGTGATCAAATTGCCCACCACGAGTTGAACGCTGGTGACCACCTCTTCACCCTTCTCAGCATTGCCTTCAGTGACTTTCATGGCTGTTGCCTTTGCCTCGGCGTTGTCAAAAAGCAAATGGAACATCAACACACAAGCCATCCATACTTGATACGGATCTGCATTTCCTCGGGATTCCGGCGCAGTAAGCAGAACAGACAGGATGTTCGGAATCTGGTCTTGTCCGCTAACATGGCCTTCGATCGCTCTCCGAAGCACATGCATGCGGATCCCAGAGTGGTTTGCAAAGAAAGCCTTCATGCATTCACAGGCCGCGAGGCGCGCATCCAAAAGAGAGTTGGGGGCCGGTTGAAGGCTCAATTTCAAGAAGGCCTCAATGACATTAATTCGTTGGGGTTCCTCCGAACTTCCATTCGCCGTCTTCTCAGTCTTTGAAGGGGACCCCCAGAGGATTTCGATGTCTCCAAACTTTTCTTGTAATGGAGAGTTTCCACGGATGAGATCAGCGCAGGTTTCCAAGGCCTTGGAGGTCACGCCAACGCTGAATTTCTGCCCAAAAGCGATGCTGAGAACCTGCTCTGTCACGCCGTTTTGCCAAAATGCCGTCTGGTTGATGGGTGTGCTCATACCGCCACGAATCAAGAACAGCTGGATGATCGCCAGGAGACCCCAGACATTCTTGTCTCGGTGGACAAGAGTCCATTGCGGGGGCAGTGGCTCCTCTCCCTCTGGTTCTTGCTGACACTCGGCCAGGAGGGCGGTCACTTTCTTCACGCAGCCTGTCTCCCGGAAGAATGACTGGTTGGAGACATTGAACCGAAGAAGGTTGGCCAACAAAGATAGACAGTCCTCGACCACCTCGGTTCCGTTTGTCAGGGAGCCCTCTGCTTCAAGAAGGGCAAATATGATTTCAAAGGCATTCTCAAAGGCCACCAGTTTCTGTAGCTCTTGGGAAGCGGGTGTCAGGGCTATGAGCAACACCAGAGCCTCTGCAAGCAGACAGCATTGTCAGCTTTATCTCTTCCTAGAATATACAGATCCACATACCATTACGAACTGGCTCTCGAGAATCCGTCAGCACATTGACGAGTCTGGAAATCCCCAATGGTGCAGTGAAAATGCACTCCTGTGTTCGTTCGGGTCGTGCGCTGGAAATGTGGGACATCAATTGCAAGGAATAGAGGCGGGAGTAGAATTCGCGGGCTTCGAGAAGGTCGAGCAGGGTGGTAATATTGTCTTGTCGCTTTCCTATCGTGAGCACGGGTGTTTGGATGGCCGTGGGCCGAGGGAGCGTACCTGGGTGAATTCATCGGCCAACCAGAGGGCGATCTCGTCCGATGCTTCGGGCTAGAGCCGGTTCAAGTCAGCATTTCAGCATAGCAGGACGCAGAGGAAAGCACCCACGCTGGTCTCGTCGGGAGAGAATAGCATCAATAGGGTCTCGAGGACCACTTTGATGGTATCCACATCCTCCTGGTCGTTGCGCAAGCTACTGATCAGCGAGCGCAGACCTCCCGAAGCGACCGAAGCTGGGTAGATTTTAGCAAAACTCCGCAGGCCCTGGATGGCCGCGCGACGGTCCTCCAGCAGGGTGGCACTCTGCAGGCGACTGCTCAGGACATCGATGGTATCGGTGGCCGTCTGCTTGGCCGGAGCTTGCGACTCGAGGATTCGAAACATGTCGGAAGCACAATTGTCATGGTCACCGCCCGGGGGGGCACCGAGGGGAGTGTTAATACTAGGGAGAGAGCAGTGACCGTACTCAAGAGTGTAGAACAGCTGTTTGTTGCCCACAGGGGGACTAAACCGTTCTTGGCCGGGAGCCAGACCTGCCGACCGCGACCGCCCGGAAACAGAATGAAACTGACTTTTGCTCCGACTTACCATGCGGCTGGCTGCACCCATCGCCGCATAATCCACCAACCTTGACACTCCGCCGAGTGTCGCATCGCCATCATGGGTGTCCCCGCGCTCTTCAGATGGCTCTCCAACAAGTATCCCAAGATTATCTCGCCGGTGATCGAGGAGCAGGCCCAACAGGTCGATGGAGAGGAGATCCCCATCGATACCACGGGCCCCAACCCCAATGGCGAGGAGATGGACAACCTGTATCTGGACATGAACGGCATCGTCCACCCATGTACTCACCCCGAGGGCAAGCCGCCACCATCCAACGAGCAGGAGATGATGCTCGAGATCTTCACGTATACGGATAGGGTCGTGAACATGGTCCGTCCCCGGAAGCTGCTCATGATCGCGATTGGTAGGTGCCCTTTTTGAAATTTCTAGTGCCTGTCGCTGACCTTGAATTCTTCGCGCAGATGGTGTCGCCCCGAGAGCCAAGATGAACCAGCAGCGTGCTCGTCGATTTCGCTCCGCGCAAGAGGCTCAAGAAAACGACGACAAGAAGGAGGAGCTGCAGAAGATGATCGCGAAGCAGAACGCGAAGAAGGGCATTGATACCGGCATCCAGGAAGAAGTTGTCCAGAAGACATGGGACAGCAACGTTATCACCCCCGGAACCCCCTTCATGGATATCCTCGCCGCATCGCTGCGGTACTGGATTGCCTACAAGCTCAACACGGACCCCGGGTGGGAGAAAATGAAAATCATCATCTCCGACGCGACGGTCCCTGGAGAAGGAGAGCACAAGATCATGGAATTCATCCGATCTCAGCGAGCGTCGCCCGAGCATGACCCGAACACGCGCCATGTAATTTACGGTTTGGTATGTCTCCCGTAAACGTATATTTGTGGAAAGTACTAACATGAAATCTATTAGGATGCCGATTTGATCATGCTGGGCCTGGGGACCCATGAGCCTCACTTCCGAGTCCTGCGCGAGGATGTGTTCTTCCAGGAATCAAAGCCTCGGACGTGTAAATTGTGTGGGCAACCAGGTCACAAAGCCGAGGAGTGTACAGGTCGTGCAAAGGAGAAGGGCGGAGAATTTGATGAGAAGCAACATGCGGCTCCTCTTAAGCCGTTCATTTGGCTTCATGTCTCGGTATTGAGAGAATATCTGGCCGTCGAACTGCATGTTCCCAACCAGCCATTCCCCTTCGACCTCGAAAGAGCGTTGGATGACTGGGTGTTCATGTGTTTCTTCGTTGGTAATGATTTTCTTCCTCACTTGCCTTCCTTAGATATTCGTGAGAACGGTATTGACACCCTGATTGCCCTGTGGCGCGACAACATCCCCGTCATGGGAGGTTATCTGACCCAGGATGGGCATGTCGACTTGAAAAGGGCCCAGTTAATCCTGCAGGGATTGGCCAAACAAGAGGACGCGATCTTCCGGCGTCGTAGACAGGCGGAGGAGAGAAGAGCAGCCAATGAAAAGAGACGGAAGCAACAAGATCAAGAACGCAATGAGGAACGCGCCAGGAAACGAAGACGCAGCTCCCCGGCCTACGACTCGCCTACACATAACCGGCCGCGTGGCGGTGATGGCACCGCGCCTCCGGCTGGGCTTGAGTTGATCACCCCTGGTCGTGGAAACCTCGCCCGAGAAACCAGAGAGTTGACGCACAGCATGGTTGTCAACCGCGGAGCTGTGTACCGTGCCAACATGGAGAACAAGAGTGCAGCCGCTGTGTTGAAGGACAAGCTTCTGAGGGGCTCTGCAAACGGGACGGCTGCCGAAGACACATCGTCCGCTGCACCAGCTGAGGAGCCCTCAAACAAGGGCGAAGAGCCAACCTCGCCATCGGTACTTGGCAAGAGAAAGGCTGATGAGCCTGAGGTTCAGGAGGCTGAGACTGAGGCTGGAACTCCGGGCCGAGACACTCCTATTGTGACAAACAATAACAACAGCAACAACAAGCCTCCGGGAGATGACCTTCCAGAGGATACTGTCAAGCTCTGGGAGCCCGGGTATGCCGATCGGTACTATGAGCAAAAGTTCGGTGTTCAGCCCGATGACCATGAGTTCCGCCACAAAGTTGCACGAGCTTATGCCGAAGGTCTTGCTTGGGTCCTGTTGTATTATTTTCAGGGGTGTCCCTCGTGGACGTGGTACTACCCCTACCACTACGCGCCGTTTGCTGCTGATTTTGTGGATATTGCGGACATGGATCTCAGCTTCGACAAGGGCAAGCCTTTCCGACCCTTTGAGCAGTTGATGGGAGTCCTGCCAGCGTCATCCAACCACGCATTGCCTCCCGTTTTCCATCCCCTGATGAGTGATCCCGAGAGTGAGATCATCGATTTCTATCCCGAAGATTTCCCTGTGGACCTGAACGGCAAAAAGTTCGCCTGGCAGGGTGTGGTTTTGCTGCCTTTTATCGACGAGAAGCGTCTGTTGACCGCCATGGAGAAGGTGTACCCTCTTCTTACGGAAGACGAGACTAGCCGCAACACGCACGGGAAAGAAGTGCTTCTCATCTCTGATCGGCATCCGCTCTACCAGGATCTTGTTGCCAACTTCTATTCCAAGAAGCCCGGTCCCCCGCAGTACAAGCTGAATATGCGCGTGAGCGATGGTCTGGGTGGTATCGTTGAGCGCAGCGATGCCTACATTCCCCATAGTTCATTAACATCTCCATTGGAGGATTACGGTATGCCTGGTGTGGACGAAGATCGCTCCCTTACGTGAGTCAATCCATATTTTATTTAAAATCGATCAATGCTGACCTTACCCCCAGTGTTCACTACGCGATTCCCAAGTCCACTCACATCCACAAGTCCATGCTTCTCCGTGGGGTGAAGTTCGCGACCCCGATGCTGAATTCCGTCGACATTCGGGCTACGAAAGGCCGGGCTCAGCACACGGGCCGGTCTCATGGCGGTGCGCCGCTGGGAGGAGGACGAGGCCGGGGCGGCCAATTTAACTATGCTCCGGACCGCTCGGATCGCCCGAATCCATTTGCCGCCCATCTCGATCCCAATTTCGTTCCCGGCGCACCGCCCGGTGGTCCTCCGGGATGGGTTCCTCCCGTCCCCGGTGGTGGTGGCTACTCTCGCGGCCCACCTGGGCCTCCCCCGTGGAGGGATGCAGCAGGGTTACCCGCCTCCCGGTCAGCCGGGATACGGCCAACCCCCACCGTATAACAACGGGTACGGCTCCCAAGGGCATCGGGGCGGAGGAGGAGGAGGTTATCGCGGGGGCAATTACCGCGGCCAGGGACGTGGCAACCACTCTTCTCGGGGAGGCTATGGGCGGTATTAAACCATTCATTGTGTGACGACTTCTTCCTTCTACAACCACCGCTATTAGTATATCTTGACATGTATTTGGGGGGACCCGGGATGGGAACGGCGTTTATCTCTAGCCAGATGTCCAACCTGTGTTAAAATTGTCGGAATTTAACCAATTCTCTCTGCTGTATCTCCCATTATGCAATCACAGACCACTTTCCACTTTCTTTAGAACCCTGTCTATCATACTCGATCTGGCCATCGGTGGTTGTCATGCAAGGCGGTGAGCTCGACTGCCGCGAGATCGGAGGGGAAAATCAGAGCGGGAATCTCACTCATACATTGCTCTCGTCAGTTGCATCGCAGAGGCCGGGACTGCTGAAGTGCGATCGATTCCCAGGTGGGTGCAATTACTTCCTAATCAACCCGCACACTGTCAATACTTTGCAATAGTCGGCGATCCTTGCGTCGCCGGCGTTGCTGTGGCGGGGAAACGGCCCTGTTGAGTCACGGCAGGGCAAAGAAGAAAAAAAACCCCCAATATATGCACGAGCGATACTGAGACAAAAATAACAGAATGAATTGAGCAAGACCCGACCGCTGACGATCATCCACACACTCACTCTCTCTCTTTCCTCGCTCCGATTCTCGCATTCCCTCCCCCTCCATCATGAGCGAACCTACCAAGATCAGTATCTTGGGTCGGGAGAGCATTGTCGCTGACTTCGGCCTGTGGCGCAACTATGTCGCCAAGGATCTGGTCAGCAACTTGCCTTCGACCACCTACGTCCTCATCACCGACACCAATCTCGGGTCAATCTATACGCCCGGGTTCCTGAAGGCCTTCGAAGCCGCCGCCGCCTCCATCTCTCCTGCCCCGCGGCTCCTAGTCTACAATGCCCCGCCAGGTGAAAGTTCCAAGTCCCGCCAGACCAAAGCCGATATCGAAGATTGGATGCTGAGTCAATCGCCCCCATGCGGCAGAGACACAGTGGTCATTGCATTGGGTGGTGGCGTGATTGGTGACCTGACGGGATTCATTGCGGCAACCTACATGCGCGGCGTCCGCTTCGTACAGGTCCCGACAACTTTGCTTGCCATGGTTGATTCCTCGATTGGAGGGAAGACCGCCATCGACACGCCGTTGGGCAAGAATCTCATCGGTGCCATCTGGCAACCCTCGAGGATCTACATTGACCTTGAGTTCCTCGAGACTCTCCCCGTGCGCGAATTCATTAACGGTATGGCCGAAGTTATTAAGACGGCAGCCATCTCCAGCGAAGAAGAATTCACAGCTTTGGAAGACAATGCGGATACCATCCTCGGTGCCGTGCGAAAGGAAGTGAAGCCCGGTCAAGGCCGATTCGACGGAATCCGGGATATCTTGAAAGCAAGAATTTTGGCTTCTGCCCGCCACAAGGCCTACGTTGTCTCAGCGGACGAGCGGGAGGGCGGTCTCCGCAATTTGCTGAATTGGGGTCACTCCATTGGTCATGCCATTGAGGCTATTTTGACACCTCAAATTCTGCACGGAGAGTGTGTTGCCATTGGTATGGTCAAGGAAGCCGAGCTCGCACGGCATCTGGGCATATTGAAGGGCGTTGCCGTGGCTCGCGTAGTCAAGTGCATTTCGGCCTATGGACTTCCCACGTCATTGAAAGATGCTCGCGTGCGGAGATTGACGGCAGGCAAACACTGTTCTGTGGATCAGCAGCTGTTTAACATGGCGCTGGACAAGAAGAACGATGGACCCAAGAAGAAGGTTGTTCTATTGGCGGCTATCGGGCGCACCTACGAGCCCAAGGCTAGCGTTGTGTCCAATGAAGACATCGGAGTGGTCCTCGCTCCGAGCGTTGAGGTTCACCCCGGTGTCCCTCAGACTCTGAATGTGACTTGCGCACCGCCCGGATCGAAGAGCATCTCGAACCGAGCTCTTGTACTTGCTGCGCTTGGCTCAGGTACTTGCCGTGTCAAGAATCTGCTTCACTCCGACGACACCGAAGTGATGTTGAATGCCCTAGAGAAGCTGGGGGCTGCGACTTTCTCCTGGGAGGAGGAAGGCGAGGTGCTCGTGGTGAACGGCAAGGGAGGAAATATCACCGCTAGCCCATCGTCCCTGTACCTGGGCAATGCTGGAACTGCCTCTCGCTTCCTGACTACTGTGGCAACCCTCGCCAGCCCGAGCAGTGTCGATTTTAGCATTCTTACGGGCAACAACCGGATGAAGCAACGGCCGATTGGTGATCTCGTTGACGCTCTGACTGTCAACGGTGCCAGCGTTGAGTACATGGAGAGCCAGGGCAGCTTGCCTCTCAAGATTGCTGCCTCTGGTGGTTTCGCTGGTGGCAAGATCAACTTGGCCGCCAAGGTCTCTTCTCAGTACGTGTCGTCTCTGCTCATGTGTGCTCCGTATGCCAAGGAGCCGGTGACCCTGAAGTTGGTCGGTGGCAAGCCGATCTCCCAGCCTTACATCGATATGACCACGGCAATGATGAGGTCCTTTGGTATTGACGTGCAAAAGTCCACAACTGAGGAGCACACTTATCACATTCCCCGGGGTAACTACGTGAACCCTGCTGAGTACGTCGTCGAGAGTGATGCAAGCTCTGCTACTTATCCACTGGCCATTGCGGCTGTCACCGGCACTGCCTGCACGGTTCCGAATATTGGCTCCAAGTCGCTTCAAGGTGATGCTCGTTTTGCAGTGGAAGTTCTGAGGCCCATGGGCTGCGATGTCAAGCAGACAGATACTTCCACCACAGTCATTGGACCCGCCAATGGTGTTCTGAAGCCGCTTCCCAATGTGGACATGGAGCCGATGACCGATGCCTTCCTTACGGCATCTGTTCTCGCTGCCGTTGCTCAAGGCGAGGGCTCGAAGCACACAACGCGCATTTATGGAATCGCCAACCAGCGCGTCAAGGAGTGCAACCGTATCCAAGCCATGAAGGATGAGCTGGCCAAGTATGGTGTGATCTGTCGAGAATTCGATGACGGCTTGGAGATTGATGGAATTGATCGCTCTACGCTGCGCCAGCCTGCCGGCGGTGTTTTCTGCTACGATGATCACCGTGTTGCCTTCAGCTTCAGTGTGCTGTCTCTTGTGGCACCTCGCTCTACGCTCATTCTTGAGAAGGAATGCGTGGGTAAGACATGGCCCGGCTGGTGGGATACCTTGAAGCAACTCTTTGGTGTGAAGCTTGACGGCAAGGAACTGAAGGAAGGCGAATTGGCTGTCTCTACCGAAGCGGAGAGGGCTAGCGCCTCAGTCTTTATTATCGGAATGCGTGGCGCAGGAAAGACGACCACTGGACACTGGGTTGCAAAGATTCTGAACCGCCCGTTTATCGACCTAGACATGGAGCTTGAGAATTCCGAAGGAATCAGCATTCCGGACATTATCAAGCATCGCGGATGGCAGAGTTTCAGAGATTCAGAACTGGCTGTTCTCCAGCGAACGATGAAAGACCGCCCAACCGGCTACGTCTTCGCATGCGGTGGAGGTATCGTCGAGAGTCCCGAAGCACGCAAGATGCTCAGCGACTACCACAAGAACAAGGGCAATGTTCTGCTCATCATGCGAGACATCGAGCAGGTGATGGATTTCCTACAAGTCGACCAGACCCGTCCCGCCTACGTGGAAGATATGATGGGAGTGTGGCTGCGCCGGAAGCCATGGTTCCAGGAGTGCAGCAATATTCAGTATTACAGCCAGCACTCCAGCTCGACCGAGCTTCAACTCGCTTCTGAAGACTTTGCGCGCTTCCTGAAGGTAGTGACTGGCCAGGTGGACAATCTCAGCCTCATCAAGAAGAAGAAGCACTCGTTCTTCGTCTCCCTGACTCTGCCTGACCTGCGTCCATGCAGTGAAATTCTAAACCAGGCTTGTGTCGGTTCTGATGCTGTGGAGCTGCGGGTCGACCTGTTGAAGGACCCCAAGTCCGACGGCGAGATTCCCTCGGTGGACTATGTCGCCGAGCAAATGTCGTTCCTCCGCCGACGTGTCTCGCTTCCCCTGATCTTCACTATCCGAACGAAGAGCCAAGGTGGTCGTTTTCCTGATGACGCCAGCGAAGCCGCGATGCAGCTCTACAAGCTGGCTTTCCGGTCTGGCTGCGAGTTCGTGGATCTCGAGATCGCATTCCCTGACGAGATGCTCCGTACTGTTACGGAGATGAAGGGCTACTCAAAGATCATTGCATCCCACCATGACCCGGAAGCAACCCTCTCGTGGGCCAACATGTCGTGGATGCAGTTCTACAACCGCGCCCTCGAGTATGGTGACATTATCAAGCTGGTCGGCGTGGCCAAGAGCCTGGATGACAACAATGCTCTACGGAATTTCAAGGCCTGGGCAGAAGGTGCCCACGACGTGCCGCTGATTGCCATCAACATGGGCGACAAGGGCCAGCTCAGCCGGATCCTGAACGGATTCATGACTCCCGTCTCTCACCCCAGCCTTCCATTCAAAGCTGCACCCGGTCAACTCTCAGCAACGGAGATTCGCAAGGGTCTGTCGCTGATGGGTGAAATCAAGGCCAAGAACTTCGCCATTTTCGGCTCCCCCGTCGTAGAGTCGCGGTCACCGCCCCTTCACAACACTCTCTTCGGCTTGATGGGTCTTCCTCATGAGTACTCTCGTTTGGAGACCACAAATGTCGAAGACGTAAAGGACCTCATTCACGCCCCCGACTTCGGCGGTGCCTCGGTAACAATCCCCCTGAAGCTGGACATCATGCCTCTGCTGGACGAAATCGCCCAGGAAGCCGAGATCATCGGCGCAGTCAACACCATCGTCCCCGTCGCGAACGGCGACAAGCCCCAGCGTCTGATCGGCTACAACACCGACTGGCAAGGCATGATCCAATGTCTGCGCAACGCAGGTATCTACGGCTCAGCGGGCAAGGAAAGTGCCATGGTGGTCGGCGGTGGCGGCACAGCTCGCGCCGCCATCTACTCCTTGCACCAGATGGGCTTCTCGCCGATCTACGTGATTGGCCGCACCGCGAGCAAACTTGAAGGAATGGTCTCCACCTTCCCGACAAACTACAACATCCGCGTCGTCGACCACCACTCCCAGATTGAGGTCGTCCCTCACGTCGCCATTGGCACTATCCCCGCGGATCGGCCGATCGACCCCTCAATGCGCGAGACGCTGTGCCATATGTTCGAGCGTGCCCAGGAGATCGATGGAACCATAATCGGCAAGTCATTGGACTCCAAGTCGCCCCGTGTCCTATTGGAGATGGCCTACAAACCCTCAGTCACGGCTCTGATGCAACTGGCTTCTGATGCGGGCTGGAACACCATCCCTGGTCTGGAGGTTCTGGTTGGGCAGGGTGTGTACCAGTTCATCCACTGGACCGGCATCACCCCTCTGTATAATGTAGCCAGGGTGCGTATCCTTATCTTAATCTTTCATTTTCGCACCGTCTGGCAATTCATCACTAACTACTTTCTGCTAGGATGCTGTCATGGGCACTATCACCGCGTCCAAATAATTTTGGTCTCTTGTCTTTCTGTCACAATTGATATGGATTGCCTCCCGTTTAGTGGGATACGAGAACATAAAGTGTAACCTGATACGCAAGAAAGTGATCGATTATTTTTTTGGTCTGTTTCGGCTTTGCTCAATATCCTGGTATTCTCATTTCCATAGATTGATAAATAGAATTGCTCTTTCCTCCGTTCCCACTCTAGGATCTGCTTTATTTAGCCTTCTCCCCTTGCCGCTTAGAGATGGTCAACCAGACGTCCCGCCAGTATCCAACGCCCCCCTTAATCATGAATTGTGCCTTGGGCTTATCTTTCACCTCCTCTGGTATATACCGGCGGAAGAACTGGAAAATGTGAGTTACATTTCAACTCCAACAATGCAAAGAAACTCACCTGCAACGGCCCCTTGAACAGCTCCATCATCGCAATATCCCGGCCCAAACATACGCGAGACCCATATCCGAATGCAAAGTTATACTTGTTGTACAGCTTCGCGTTCTCGGGATCGAGCCAGCGCTCGGGCTTGAACTCTTCCGCGTCGGCACCATACAGCGCCGGATCGCGGTGAACGATATACGGATTGCACGAAATCTCAGTACCAGCCGGGGCGAACTTGCCATACAACTCCAACCCAGGCTCAGGGACGATGCGCGGGAAGATGTTCGGGGCAGATGGGCACAAACGCATGGTCTCTTTGACGCAACCGACATAATAAGGCAAATGCTGCAGCACTTCATCGTACTGGGGCATGTCAGAGAGATGTCCAGCCGCAACGGCGGCATCAATCTCGGCCATCATGCGCTCGTAGGCACTAGGATTAGCCATCAGGAACTGGATCAGGGCCTGGAAGGCCGTTCCCGTGGTGTCAGCGCCGGCCAGCAGCACGAGCAACACTTCCGCGCGGATATAATCCAAGTCCAGCGGCTTGCCGTCGTCGGTGCGTGCCTCCAGGAACGTCTGCAGCAAGTCGACCCGGCCGATCTCCTTGTTTTTCTCCAGGACTTCGAGCCGTTCGCCGATCAACCGGTCACGGAAGCGCATCAGCACGCCGATTCCCGAGTCGTCTTCCGGCTTTGCTACTAGGTACTTCTTCATGAAGGTCGTCTTCATCCAGGATGTGAACGGGTGCAGGCGCGCCAGTAGCCCGAATGCTGGGAGTCCGTCGTGAAATCCCTGGATCAGTCCGCTGACATCCTCTCCTTTGTCGATGAAGCCGAAAGGAGCCCCGAATCCGATTTCGCTGATGATATCGTACGCCATGTACCTAACTCGGTGGTCAATACCTTGTTTTCCCATCACAAGTCCAGGGTACTTACACTGCCCACCAGGCAAAATCAAATGCCTTTCCAGACTGAGCAAAGTTCTCATCCAACTTGTCACTCCATTGTTGGATCCGTGCGTCCACCATGGGTTCCATCTTCTTGATGTTGCTAAAGCTATACTGCATACAACTGTCAGGATTTATGATGTGGGCAGACTAGGACTTTCCATACCGGTCCAGCGATATGCTTCCGAAACACAGCATGAGTCTTGTGCGATCTCATATTAAACAGACTCTCCGTCTCTCCAAAGCTGCCCGTGATATAATGTGCGGTCTTGTCTGCATTGCGGTGATAAACCTCTGGCAACTTGGTGTAGTCGCTAACCACCAGCAACGTTGGGGTGATTCGAATGATAGGGCCTGAGCAAATGAGTAGAATGTCAGCATTAGTGCTTTCTTTTCGCTGGTTCACAATTTACCATATTTCTTATGCAGTGCATAGACAGTAGGGAGTTCTGTCTCTCGCATATTATGCCATGCAATCCATAATCGAGTCACAGAGCCCCAGAAAGGGCCGGGGAAGACGGCGAGGGGGTGAAAGAAGCGATAGTAGATAATCTGGTAGATAAATCGCAGGGCGACATAGACCAGAAGACCTAAAAGAGCATTTGTCACTGTCAACAGTGACAGTAGATTGCCGGCCAGACCCATGATGCCAGTTTGGGGACACAGTCACCAAAGACGAGGATAGGGAGAGGGTTGAAATGCAGAATTCCCCCGAAGTAAATAATATTAAACAGGGTGCAAAACCCGCTCAGCCTGTGTCGTAAAGGACCGAAAACGGTTAAGCTAACATGTCCCTGCCGAGCTACTACTAGTTACTGTATAAGAGTAGCATCTACTATACTTCCACTCGCTGCGGACCTCGTATGTCCTAATTTTAACCCAGTCAAATCGGTTCGGATGTGAGAATGGGCCTCTGCCGACCCTCAGCGGAGCTACATGCCCACTCCTTTTCCATTTAGATGCTTCCTATTCGCAATGGAGGCATTCTGTCTGGCCTTGCCGAGCTCTAGTGGAAATTGATCATCACACAACGAAAAAGGGAAGAGGGTCCATAGCCGCGCCGACAGGTAGGCTAGAACGCCGTTGACAGGAGTCCGCGACAGCGATCAGCACTGCAAAATAGGGATCCGCGGGAGGGCCTATTCATTGTCTCACCCACCACGTTAAAAGTACGTTCCCGTATTCCAGGAGAATACGGAATGGCCCGTGTGCTCATTCGCGGCAACTCGTGTCAGGGCCAGGGTGGAGCCGGACGTCGCCCTGGTCCGTTTCTCCACTTGGTGACATTGATCGAGTCCGACTGGATAATTATAGTGGGCCTCTGCATCTCGGACGGCTTAACGGGGCTTTTGTTTTCTTCAATCTCAAACGGATGTGACCAAATCCTGGCAGGGGAACGTGTTTCTTTGTTAATGGATGAACGTGGGGAAGGGAACTTGATCAAAAGTCCCGATGAACGATTAATATATACTTCATGGCCGTTCTATAAGGAGTTCTTGATCATAATCCATGCGCGTCGTTTGAAGCCTCTGTCGTTTTTGTGGAGAGAAAGTTCTGCCAGCAGAGAGTGCGTCTCCACCAACCATCCTAGCCGAGATACCGAGAGCTCAAAAGGCTATCGTTATGGTATGTCTAACCTTGTTCCCTATCCAAGGTGACCTGCCAGGTCTAGTTAGTGCTTCTCGCTTCGGTAAGAGTTGGAGAAACCAGACAGGGATGGTTGCGCGACTGCGCCGTTTGACAGCATGCAGATCGCAACAACTGCGCCAGGCAGACATATGTCCAAAGCCAGCGCCTATCGATCCTCATTCGTGCGGGCGGCTAGAACCCGGTGGGACTTGGTGTGGAGCTGGGCAAGAGATATCGATCTGCGCACCGTCCGGCTCACGACTCCGTGGCGGTCCAAGCCTACACTCACGTGTATGCTTGACTGCAAGCGATCAATGCAACCTGTTTCAATTTGCCTATTTCACTGCTGGGTGCGCGGCTCAGTGACAGTTCAAGCCATCCGAGTCCGTGTGCGAGCGGGTCGGGCGTAGATCGTGGCGTTATTTGGATTCCATTCTCCTGTTCGGCACATCGTGAATGGCGCTCAGAGATCGCGTCCCGCCTCTTGAAACGCTCATCGATGAAGATCCGCTCTACCGAGTCACACCACGGAAGTTTAACGCTCTTCCGTGACATCGAGCATCTTCATAGTTGGGGATTGACAGTCACCGTCCCTTGGTTCCCTCTCATCCACGGAGAATAAAAATGACCTAGGAGAATGCTCGAAGTTCGAGAGCGCGCCGGTGTTTCCTTTGGGTGGAAAACATCCAGAGACCCACGTCTGTAGTATCTGTTTGCGCAGCCCGTCCACTGTCATCTTTTAGATGGTACGCATGCTGCTTTTTGAATGCATCACATCCAGATGTGAGACGTAAAATCGTTCAATTTGGACAGTTGATCTAACCGGTGCCTCCAAACCAATCCAATCCCAGCTCTTGGGGGTGGAGAACCTGCCAAAACACATCCCTGCACAAAGTCCCTGTCAACAAGGATGTGGATGGGTCTGCCACAGTGGGTACACCAGTGCTCGGCACGGGGGGGAGGGTCAACGGTCTCGACCAACGGTATCGGGGCAGGGAAGCAGATCAGACAGGAAAGAAGAAAAATTGTCCGCTGCTAAGTCTAGCGAGACTCTCCGGAGTAGTCCAAGATGAGACTAACCAGGGAGCAGCAGCGGGCGGAACACTCCGGTCTAGAAGATCAACACTGGTTACCCTCTGGTGTTTCTCGATCAGGATAGCTCTGGTCTAAATCATTATTTGTTTTTTTTTTCTGCAACGGCTGCGAGAAGAGCAAAGTGGATCTCGGGGTTGCTCGTGTCGTAGGGTTCTTGGTTGGATAAATGCGAGCTGAGGTACCACCGCGCTTCCTCGCCTCCTTTCCGTCTTTTCAATCTGGTGAGGAGGAGGTCAAGCTCGTCAAGCAAGTTCACTCGTTTCCCTTGTTCTTCCTGTTTCCTTTTTTATTCCATTCACAATTATGGCCGGCGACCACGGCTCTCAAGGCCCGACGGTCACAGGCGTCTGCGTTGCTTTCGCCGTCTTGACGTTCCTTGTTTTGGCTCTGCGGCTCTTTTCACGCATTGTCGTGCTGGGGAAAATGGGCCTTGATGACTGTAAGTGGGTTTCTTTGGACATTCATAAGAAGCAAGCTAATGCCAACTCGAACAGATTTGATCATTGGAGCATGTGTAAGCCGAAACATCCCAGGTTGATAAAAAGTCACTGACAAAGACAGCTTCTCTCTTGGGCGTTTATTGCTGTTGTCATAGTCGGTATGCTTCAGGGTTTCTCATCATGCACTAAGCGCTTTCAATTGCTGACCACATTTACTGCAGCCGTCCAGGATGGACTCGGACAACACTACAAATACGTGGATAAGAGCAAACTCACCAACTACTCCTTCGCTGTCTGGCTGAGTTCAATGTTCTACCTGGCCTGCCTCGGGTTCGTGAAGACGTCGGTGCTATGGTTCTACACCCGACTCGGGGACCGGTTCCTCCTGCGGATGTCCTACGTGATGATGGCCGTCATCGCCGCACAAGCTACTTCCTTCGTGCTCGTCGCCGCGTTCCAATGCAGCCCAATTAGTATGGCCTGGACGGCCACCGGACCGGGCAAGTGCGTCAACATCAACGTGTTCTATCTCTGCAACGCAGCACTGAACATCTTCACGGACCTCTTGACGTACACTTTGCCCATTCGGGTTATTCTGCGGCTTCAGATGCCGCGGAAGCAGAAGATTGCGCTGGGATTTATCCTGTGTCTCGGTCTTTTGTGAGTTACTTCCTCCTCTTTTGGTCAGGACAAAGAATCTGACTCGTCGTGAATAGTGCATGCGTCTCATCGATCATTCGCATTACTTATATCCCCGCCATGCTCGAGTCCAGCGATCCCACCTACGCCATCGCGGGAGCCATGTACTGGTCCGTAATTGAAACGAACGTGGGCATCTTCGCGGCGTCCATCCCGTCCTTCAAGGCCATTGCCTCGCGCTTCCTGCCCCGCTTCATTGGCGAATACAGCGGCCGTCGCAAGTACGGTCCTTGGTCTGGCAATACCGATGCGCGTCGCTACGGGTCTGGGTTCACCAAGGTCACTGACCCCAACGGTATCACTATGGGGACTATCAATGGCCAGGATGATGCCACCATGGGGACCCAGATTGGAGCTGGGCTGGGCAGTAACTCGAGTGAGGAGCGCATTATTATCCCGGATGGCAAGATCTTTACCCAGACGCAAATTGAGACCAATGTTGAGGTTAACAGGAGCTATGGGAGGAGGTAGTTATTTACATCCATGTACACAGTCAGTCACTCTCTCATTTCGCCAAAAGTTGATAGGCTTCTTGAGGGTTGTAGCCAATTGTTACTAAAATATGTTCTATTCTATATACATTCCTATTGCTGTCAGTCAAGTTAAGCTCTCGTCTAGTTCCGCCCCCTCGAGCCCTAACTCAACTACCTCCACGCTGCCCTCCGCCCTGACTCAGCTCCAGCCACAGCGTAACCAGCCCCACCACCGCATCATCCGACCCACCGAACATCACCAATTGTCTGAAATATTGACTTGGATCGAAGGAAACGCACCCGGAACATACCGTACATACAACTTTCTGTAACCTCCATCGTCCCACATGGATACGAGATGACAGTCCGTATCTTTTACTTTTTTTTACATTTGATCGGCAGTACCCGAAAAAAAAAACGATCCATGGAGGTTCTTTCCACCTGCCTTTTTGGGCGCTGACTGCTTCCTTCCCGTTACATGGCGCTTCTGGATAGCTCTTTCAAGAGTAGGTGCTCTCATCGGCATTGGAGGATCTGGCGTATACTCTACAAGGTGCGCTTGGTAACCAAAAATAGTACAGATCCCTGCCACTACAGTATCATTCTTTGTATTATGATCAACTAACTCATCCTGTCAGTTTAGCGACAACTAATTGAATCCCGTAATCCCCCACTCGGATGAATCCGATCTCAACCAAAAGCTATGTATCGTCTCCCAATCCCGGAAGGTAGTATCTCTCCTCGCAAGCCCCCAACCCCCCAAGTCGCTCGATCGTCAAATCATCAACCATTCCCAGAACAATGATGATGGTCAGGCAACCCAAACTAGCCCCCAGGAGAAGAAGAAAATCCGCAGGGATATGAGAATGAGAGCCTTCCCGCGAAACGCGAGTCAGCTCCGGGGGCCAACAATGATACTTTCATGATGAAGAGAAGGTAAAACCAGCCCCCACGCGGAGAAGAAAATCCACCAGGGTATGAGAAGCCAATCCAATGCGCGAGAAGGCCGCGTAGGGCTCCATCAGGTCAGATCCATCCAGGGGGCCAAATTCTAACCGTGCAGGCATTTCGATCCTCTGCAGCGCCTAAGCTTATGACTTGAAGAAACGGTGGATCCTCATCTTGAAACCAGCAAGGGACAACCGGGGTACTTCTAAAAAGTCTCCCCCCTTGTCGGTCTGATGTGAGACTTGATTTTCGATCATCCCCGCTTGAGACGAGATGGTGGGACCTGGGGTCGGCCGTTTCGGGTCGAAGGATGAGAAGCGTCGATGGAACATCACCAGGCTGAGCGAAAAGGACAGCCTGGCCCTAAGAGGTCGATGGGATTTTTCTTTTGTCTACTGAGAAAGATGGTGGAGATCAAGAGATTATTTTGGCATAGACAATAGTATACAGTCGTCTATCTGCATTTTCCAGATCCGGAACCCAAATCACCCGCTATTGTACAATTTCGCCCATAATATACAGCCTTCCCCAGGTCCCTCCGATAGGGAGACAACACCGGCCATCCCAAAAATGCAAGACAAAATCGTCAAAACGCGTCAGATCATAGAGAATCATAGTACAAGTGTGATGGTCGTAACAGGCATGAAAAAACAAGATCAAAAAGACAGCCCCATACGCACGAATACACATGCCCTTTTTTTTTCGAGGTAGGGTCTTCTCACACGTCAGGGGGAACGTAAGAGGAATGAAGATAGCGCGTCAGTAAGGCATCACCTCCTGCGCGGTCAGATCGGCAAGGGCGATCGGCGCCGATCGTGCCCGAATGGGGGAGGTGCCATGACATCATGATGAAGCCGGCCGTTCGTCATGATGACAGAGCGACAACGATCGATCATTGTTTGGCCAGCGAGGCTCGCGCTATGACTGGTGGAGGCTCAGCACCCTCACACTCGATGCGATCATTCAGTCTCGGCGGCTCCTGCGCTGCTTGCCCGGCCAATCGATCTCCGGGTGCACCACCCGCATGTGCCGCGTCAAAGCATCGTTGCGCGAGAAGGTCTTCTCTTCCGTGCACAGGTGGCAGCGCACCTTCAGCTTGCGCGCGTTGTGGATGGTGTCCTCGTGGCGCGTAAGATCGTAGGGCCGTGAGAAGACCGAATTGCACGGCTTGCCCGTAGACGGATTCATCCGCTCGCATTTGTGCGGTCCCGCCTGCGAGTTGCGCAGCGACGCTGTATCCCGGCTGATCAGGTGGCCGCCGGGCGTAGTTTGCCGGTGCGCATCGCGCTTGTGTCGCTGGAGCTTGGCGGGGGTCTCGAAGCGCAGCGAACAGCCGTGGTAGGTGCAGGTGTAGGTTCCCGCATCGGACGAGGTGTTGTCCGGACGGGACAGCCCTTCCGGCATCATCTTGACCGGCGAGGTTTCGGTCGGAGGGTGCACATCGCTGCTGCCCGAAGACTCAAAGCGCGCAATGGAGGCGGGGAAGTCCTGCAGCAGACTGTTGCGATGCGGGCGTTGAACCTGCGGTTGGACAAAGTTGAACGCGGGCTGCTGCATCGTCGGCGCCATGGTCGTGTACTGGCTGGGGAAGGCCTCCATAGACGTGGTGAAGTTCTGCTGCGGGCGCATCGAAGATGAGCTTTCGCGTCGCAAGCCGAGGGCATCACCCAGGTTGAAATCAGTCTGGGTCGGGGGGAAGAGAGGCGGCATGGTCGTGTCGTCCTCCTGATGCAGGTCCAAGAGCGCATCCTTGGGGGACATGGTCTTGGGCTCGGTCGTGGCCGCGGGCGTGGGGCCCATGCTCACACTCTGTGTCATGGGGTTGCTGGTGGCCATCTGAGACTGCTGGAGACTCATGTCTCCGGCAAATGGCGAACTTGCGCGGAAGGGTGAGCGCTCGCGCGATTGCACATGCCCAGACATGTGGCCCTGGTTCGCCGCCTGGAGTCGGTCGGCGAAGACATTGCGGTAAGGGTTGAGGAGATTCTGCTGGCCCGCCGGCTTGGACATCTGTGAGGTGGCCATGAGGGCAGTCGGGTTGTAGAGTTCGTCTTGATAGATATCGGAGATGGTTCGGTTCAGCTTGGGGATTCCAACAGGCATGTTACCATTGACGTTGTAGTCTTCAAATTGTAAGTAATCGTCCATCCACCGGTCAATGTCAGAATTCATACCATTGGTCATTGACTTGGAAAGATCGTCAATCTCATCCAAGCTGGTCTGTGGCGTCACTGGGGAGTTGCGGCTCAGGGTTGACACCGATGGGGCCAGTGAGTAGTCGCTATTCTGCTGCTGCTGCGGCGAAGACTGCTGCTGCTGCTGTTGATGTTGTTGCTGTTGTTGTCGCTGTTGTTGTTGCTGCTGTTGTTGTTGCTCCAGAATGGCCTTTCTCATAGCAAACTCTGCCTCTGCATTGTTACCATCTTGGTAGGAGAGGTCGTAGTTCTGGAAGGGAGCGGCAAGGAAGTTGTTCTGCAGGGGGGTCTGCTCCGGTGTAGGCAGCGGCTTCGAGGAGCTGAGAGACCGCCGATGGGCGTGACCGTTGGCAGGAGAGCGCGAGTGGACCGACGAAGGTGCTGAGCGGGAAGAGTTGGAGCTGGGTGAGGCCTTCTTCTGCACACCGGCGTAGATGCGCGCGGGGCTCAGCAGTTGCAAGTTGCTGTCCCAACCCTGGTTGCTGGCGATGGGCTGCTGAGCTAACATGGGCGTGGAGGAGTAGTATTGGGGGTAATACTGCTGCTGCTGCTGCGAGGCAGGCGATGAGGACTGAATCTCGAAGGCCGGGTTGTACGAGGAAACGGGGGTCATCGATGGGGCCCCCTCCGCCGTCGCTTGATAAGGGACCTCGAAAGTTTGGGGGGAGAAAGACGGTGACGACGATGCGGAAGACGGCGGAGACGCAACCTGGACGTCCGGCTGGCTCTGGAAAGGCGACTTCTGGAAACAGTGGGTTTGATAGTCGGGCAGAAAGTCGGGTGGGAACTGGTCGTCTTGTATGATGATGTCTTGAGGGTTGGAGAAGCACGCCGGATCGGTGATGAGACCCTTACGTGGGTGCATAAGCATTATGTTATCACTCACGTCGGGGACGTCAGCAGATGTGGAAAGTTCGCCACCGGGGAATCGGCGAGTCTTTATATAGCTGGATCCGAGATCCGAAGAAACTTCCTGGGCGTGTGTGTTCTGTGGTTCTGTGGTTCGAAGAGTCTGGAAGCAGCCGGAAGAGGATGGTGTGACGGTCTGCTTATCTGGTAGTGGATGACTCAGACAATAAATATAATATTCTGAATCAATCAATCGATGGTAAATGTAAGCAGCGTGAGTCAAGAAAGATGAAGGGAAAGATGGCAGGCATCGAGGGCGACACTGGGATATTAATACAGTGGCCCAAGTGATGTCAGAGCCCCGGGGATACCGTCGATACCGTCCGTGACCAATGCGCTAGTCCCGATCGGGCCCTCTTCGTACGATACCAGAACCATGATTACCGACCCGCTGATCTGCTGGGTCCGGGGGTCGCTTTTGACTCGGATCCACACTGATCAGCTTGTCAAACACGCAGCCCACTGCTTGCTCAGGCTGGCCGATCGTCGTCACCATCGTCCAGCATCCCCCAATGGCCCCGGGGCGATTGGGGTCGCAAACCACCACCATCATCGGAAGACGACGACCGGACGAGAACCATCTTGTTCTAGCGCGGAAATCTCTGCAGACGTACCTCTCGATCGAAAGGCGCTCGGACAAGACAACAACATTTAGCCGGCCGAGTCCAATCACGGCTGAGCCACACCTGGATCGATGCCCGATGAGTCAGCATCTGCCAGATTCTGCTCCTGCATGCCGCCAGCTCCTCCATCCACGAGCCACTGCTGCGCCACGATCGGAACGGCCGAATGCAAAGACCGACAGAAGGCACCGAGGCAGACACCTCACGGGCCCTAGAAGGAATGTGACGGGATTGTTGGGACCAATCTCTTCGCTAGAGTTCTCGTTCTCGCTGTCGTATCCGGTTCCCTGGGTACCCACGTGGAATCTCAACAATCGGGTGGCGAGACATGGGATCTCTGTACAAGAAAATAGTAAGCGATAGTGCCGATGTCGCAGACCAGCTGACCCGACTGTGGTCGGTGCTGGAACCGAGAAACAGTCCGGAATGCCGGGCTAGCCAGGGTCCGTCCTAAGCGAGGATGCGACTGTTTTCCTCTCCGGCCGAACCGCTCGTGGGACCCGGCACGGATCTGGGGTAGTGGCGTGATGGGCCAGGCCCACTGTCTACTCTATGATGTACAGAGTCGGGAAGTATTTGTCAATTCGGGCAGAAGTACATGGTATGTAATTCACCTTCTCAATTGGGGTTGTCCTATCTCAACCCCGAGGGCACTCGAGGGAACGGACGGCACATGCAAGGGAAAAAAATTTGATAAAAAATTTTCACCGGCATATCAACCCGACCAGTATGCACTGTCAGCACTTTAAGACAAATCCATAGCTGTTGATGCCGATTTAGAACACCCTAGAAGGCAGGCTAATGCAGCCGAACAAATTTTTCATTGGCTCTGATTGGCTGAGTGGGAGGCACTAACACAGCCACACCACCGGAAGACGCCGGCCGGGGTGTCCATGGCAGCTGGGTGGTCTGCAGGTATCGGTATTTTACCGGCGTTCGAGGAGACTGGTATTTTTGTCTCAACCTTTGTGGCCCATCCGAGAAGGGGAAGAAAATTCTTTCAGCTGAATAGACACAAGTGTCCGAGGGAGTATCACAGTAGTCAATCCTGAATGGGGTCACGTGGGGGTGTCACTCTGGTGATTTGCGCCAAGACAATGACTACTTAAACTATAGTTGTTCTTTATCCATTTCAGTGACAACGGCAAAGATAAGAGTGAGACATGGATCGAAAGAACCCTAAAAATAACACTTCCTGCCCCTCCATCCCCTCACAATGAACACGCAAGGTGATTGTCGGCTGCCTGTTCCGCTCCTGCGCCGCGCGTCTACCGTATCGCAGGGAGAGGGAGAAACGTTGACGACAAAACAGCATCCACGAGGCAGACCAGATCCACGGAATGTCGGGGAGGGTCACATGCACATTCACACGCTTATTGAGTTGCACTATCCTGATTTGGTTGAAAGCAAGCGAGGGGGGAAAGGTGGGATTGGTTGGTGCAGACAACAATCTATCTAGACATGACTACCAGGCAAGAATTGAGGCTTAGAGGGAACTACGGGACCTGCAGAGTGGGTTCAAAGATAGCACCAAACGAATAGTTCCAAAACACGATGAATAATATTCCATCCGTATCAACAAAACAGTCCAAAACACGATGAATAATATTCCATTCGTATCAACAAAACAGACAGCACTATCTCTTCTCCGACTTGGTCTGGAGCACGTCAGCCGATCTCGTGTCCTGCAACTCAGCCGGTTTCTGCGGACTCCCGTCCATCTCATGCAGCGTGGCTGGGTTTGAGATCTCCAGCTCCCTCAGCGCAGACACCTCCTGGTTGGTCAGCTCGGCGGCTTGTCCGCGATTGCGAAAGAAGGCGCCGCCTAGTCGGGCGGGCTTGTAGTCCGGAGGTGCCTCGGCAGTTTCTGTTGTGCTTGGTGAGAAAGGTGAATTGATAAAAGGTGAATCGATATTCTTTTGCTGTCTTCGCCGTCGGCAGACCAGGTAGATGATCAGTGCTGCGATCAATGCTGCAACTATCACGGATCCGACTACTGCGCCGGTGATGGCGCCTCCGCTGATCTTGCTGCTGGTGGATTTCCCGGCGTCGACGGATTCTCCAGATCCAGTGCTGGTAGTCTCGTTGAAGAATTGCGCCACTTGGTTACTGCTGAACCCGCCAGTCGGCTTCATCAGATTGGCATTACCCTGTCCGCTGTGGCGGGGTTAGCTATATGTGCTGTTGACACATCACCAAAAAAAAGACTTACTCTCCCCCAATCACATTATAAACCTTTGTCGGCACCTGATACTCCCCATCGAGTGCATGGTAGATATTCCCCCAGACCATACTACTCATGTCCAAAATGGCCACGCCATATTCCTCCCAGTCACACCCACTCATCAGATCTTCCGATGCATCGCCGCCCACAGTCAGCATCTGTTTATTGCCGACGAGATGGCAGGTATGTCCATAGCGAGGCGAGTCGCCCTGATACATCTTAATCCATCTGAACGACGGGAGAGAGAGGACGTAGACGTCGTCGTAGAGATTGTTGGCGCCCTTCCCGCCATACAGGTAGATATTGTGGCTTGAGTTATCTGGTGCTGAGACCGTGACCACGCAGAAATCCGTTCGCGGTCCGGGGATGTCGCCCGATACTGGTTGGTTATACCATGTGCCGCCCATGGATGCGATGTCGAAAATATCGACGCTATCGAAGGAGACCTGTTGGTCTGTTAGGCTTGTTCTGTTGAGAGTGCTGGGGGGGTTCATACATATGTCCCTTCATTATCCAAGCTGCTATCACTCGTCGGCTTCGTCACTCCTCCCATGGCCACCAAAATCCCCTTGGAGCTGACCCCTGAAACATAGGCCAGAGCACCTTTGACACGAGGGGAGTTGCTCAGCGAAGATGTGGACAAGTTCCGCGCTTGCTGGGTGTTGGTGTTAACCGCGACCATGCCATCCAGATACTTCAAGAAATTATATTCATTCTCGAATTCATTGGACGTCCCGTTATCAAGCCACCCATTCAGATAAAATGCAAGACCCTGGTCCGCTGCCTCGGCATATGCCCCTCCAGCCGGCTTGTATGGGACATTCAGCGACACGTCGTGTTGGCTCCAGGTTTGATCATCCGTGTCGTACGACCACAGCGCATACTGTGACGAGTCAGGCCACTCGAATCCGGGGAAACTCTCGTTCAGAAAGGAGGTCGTCCCGCCGTACAGATATATTTTGGAGTCATCGGGCGCTCCGGCGTAGAGCGCTCCGCTGATGAGGTTTGCTGGTTTTGTTCCCGTGGTTGGATCGGCGGTGATGTTGAGGGCGTTCATTGAAAAGTTGCTCGTCTCCCAGTTCCAGGAATATTGCATATCCAGCGTGATCAACCATTCATCTGTGTCCGTTGGTGAATAACGTGGAGTAGAGGGTCTGCGGTAAAAAATAAAAACATACTATACCCCAGGATCTCACCCCCGTCAGCCGTCCCATGGTCATTTTCCGGCGTGAAAATCTCGAGCCCGCCGTCGATGTACAGTTTGCCATTCTTCACCGCAGCTGTTAATGTCAGTGTCTAGTTTTCACCAGTGAAAAATTTGCGTACATTGATGATACAGTCGCTTGCAGTAGTTCTTGATCGGGTCCAGATTTGAATCCCCTGCTGCGCTAAATACCAAAAGCAACAGTGTCGCGATCACCGACGCGAGCATTGTGGCAGGTTAGCGGGCACCTATTGAGGAAAAGAAAATCAAGGGGCTATATGAGCTTATTATCTGACGAATTCCCCGCAATGGCACTCGAATGGCCCCCAAGCTGAACGCCACCAGCTGAGTTCCTCTCGGCCGCTACGGATCGCCCGGTACTAGCGCCGCCTTAACTTCATGTGAGCGGCCCGCTCAGACACTGCGGAAAGGATGGTATATAGGGATTCTGGACGAAGTTCTCGCTAGAGTAGAAGCTAACGATGTTAACCCATGGTTGGTGTACTTCATCATCATCTGAGGTAGCTGTTCTGTCGACGAAAAATAATGACACAAGTATTTCATTTTCTCATTTACTTTTGCCTCGCTCGGTGTGTATTCTTCAAGACTCACCTCACTTCTCAGGCACCATTGAGTACTACTTGTTGAGATTATGGCTCCTAGGAATAATAGGAAGTCCTCCCGAATCCTCACTTTCATCGAAGGTACCTTTGAAGTGTGCGGCAAATGGAAGTTTGCCCACGATATGCGTCGCTGGGAACTGCGCCGTCACGGGAGAACGGTCTCTCCTGTTTTGGGACCTTGGTTTGATACCCTTCTTGCGCTGGATGCTCGCCTGCGCAAGATCGTCGAGCGCCAGGCGGTTGTGGAGGAGCAGTATGGTAAAATGGAGGTGGAGATCAACTGGGCTGCCGGTGATCAAGGGGACGTGCAGGGGTGGGAGAAGCAGCTAAACGAATGGAGGTCCGAGTTAACCTCCCTGCATCAGCAGTACTGGTCTTTGGAATATGATATTTATGACCAGGAAACCGTGTGTCCCGCTCCAGCTATCCGGCGCGCTTTTGTCGCTTTCCGGGAGAATCCCGAGCGGTATCTGTTTCCCTGGCTTTGCGAGGACTGTGCGAGAAGAGGAGGGGATTGTGATTTTGCCTGTGGTTGTAGTGAGGATGCACACGCTCAAATCAGGAGAGGGTGCGGCTGCGGCTGGAAGGCTCGTGGATATGATTTGGATGTGGAGATGCGGAGATTGTCCGATCCCTCTTTTGACTTGAGTGGTCTCCCTCGCGAGACTTTCAGTCTCTATCTGATGCGGGCTTATGTCTGGGGTCGAGGCGATGCTGGTGCCCCGTCATGTGTGGAATCCTCCGGGAAGCTGGAGACCTAGCGATTGGCTTTGCTTTGATGTGGTGATCTTATAGCAATCAGACCTGCTTTGCTATCTATCTTTCTTCCTATCCATTTACTGTAGATTGGAGTCACCCCACCCCGTGTTTATGATTCGACCAGCTGTGGCGGACTAGTGTCAGTCTGCATTGACTGTGCCGGGGGTTGATCGGCAGTTCTCTGAAGTTTGTCATGTTCCAATGGCACGGGTGCCCATCGAGTTATGTTAGCGGCGCTCGGACGGTCGTTTGAGGTTCAGAGAAAGTTCGACTAGTTTATTGATGTGAATTCGGAGGATGTGCGAGATCGGGAGAATTGTCTGGGCGGTTATTGGGGCGGGGCGACGAGGCATGGTGTTGAGTGGGAGTTGTCCGACCGGTAAAGGTGAGAGGCGATCAGGTAATTTCGGTAGATCTGTCTCGTTCTTCTTCTCTCTGGGTTGTGTTGGATTATAGAGCTCCGTGGTGCATTTGTTCGCGTCTGGGATGCTTTCTTCGTTGCTGGTAGTAGGGCAATTTCCTAAAATGGGGGGTTCAACTTCCTAATTTGGGGGCCATCTTGCGGATCGCGCAGCATCTACTCGGCCATCTTCAGACAAGCAATGGTGCTTTTTGCGACACTATTGTGTGTTTTATGGGTGCTCTCGGGGATTCTTATCTGTTTGCAATATTTTTTACGTGCATTTTGTTAGTTAGTTGGGTGGTTTGTAGATGAGCTAGTCAGATACCCTAGCTGCAGATATATATCTACTACATACCACCCATACAACATCAACACCTTCAGCACCAAGTATGACATCGAATACTATTTTCTCCATCGGATCACATTCACTGATATACACGATTATTGTGCCATATCCTTTATTTCTATTTTTACTTTGTTTTTCAACAGTGTTTTAAAATTGCACTATGCATTAACATGACTGCGATAAATACATGATCGATCGGTACCCTCCCAACTGAAACATGTAGTTACAGAAATAGTTAGCAGGGACAAGGGGCAAGACTGCTTGGACGGAGACGCGTTGTTTACACGCATGGCTGTTTACATCGAGCGCGTAGTGGCAAGTCAAACGCGCCTCGACACGTACACAAAGTCTACAAAAGAACAGACAGGCAGATGAAGTTTTGATGAATTGTATTCGTACCGGATCACACAAGGTGAATCCCACCATGACCATGGTGCCAGCCGTTATAAAAGTAAGGCCGCTATGATACATGAAACTTCAGAAGCGAACACTAGCAGACCCATAGTGGACGCGTAAGACCATAACTAAAAAATAAAACAGACCCAGAGACCCATGACACACTTGTGTAGATAAATGAAAAAACACCACAACGTCCCAGTCATACCGTGAACCAGCCCGGAAAAAGCAAAAAGGAGAAGATGCTTAGCCACCGAAACCGTACAGGGTACGGCCCTGGCGCTTGAGGGCGTAGACAACGTCGAGAGAGGTGACGGTCTTGCGCTTGGCGTGCTCAGTGTAGGTGACCGCGTCACGGATGACACCCTCGAGGAAGGTCTTGAGGACACCGCGGGTCTCCTCGTAGATCATGGCGGAGATACGCTTGACACCACCACGACGAGCGAGACGGCGGATAGCGGGCTTGGTGATACCCTGGATGTTGTCGCGCAAGATCTTGCGGTGACGCTTGGCGCCGCCCTTGCCGAGACCCTTGCCACCTTTGCCGCCTGTTGAGACGCGTTAGAACGCGTCGAATGAGGATGGGGAACAGGAAGATACTCACGTCCAGACATGATGAATTAAAGTTAGAGAAGAAGGTAGTGGATTAAAGAAGGGTTGTTGGTGGAAGTCGAGATTGGTCGATGACAGATGGATTGGGGGAAGGGAGGAAGAAGTGAAGGGAAGGTCGATATTTGTAGGGCGGGATGGGCGGGTGTGCTGGATCACGCGCGGGTTGGTGGATCGACCAATCAGCGCCCAGGATCCGCGGACCGGGTTGATCTCGACCACCGGCACTGATCCTCGCACCACCACCCCTGGCAATGCTCATCAGGGACCGAAACCAAGGAGGTCGCATTCTGAATTCTCGGTTCACGGTATGGATGGACCAGATCCGCCTTCCAGTGGTTGGGGGGCTGAGATCAGGAATGAAATGGGATGGCATTCTACACTTCTGATCCTCGGCTCTGATTGGTCCCTCCGGCTCCTCCTCGCTTATAGGGCCACCACGTGACCTTTCTGATTGTCCGCCAAACTGATCCGCCCGAAATCACGCTTGTGTCCGCCTGCTTTGCTGCTCGCTGTGATTCTCCCCGCTGATTGGCCCTCACACCACCACCAGATCACGCCCCTTCAGTGGTCCCTACAAATACCCTTCCCCCACCCACTCACCTTCTTCCCTCTCTCCTTCTTCCAACCCACCCATCTCGACAACCATCGACCAACCCTTTTCCCATCAATTTTTCATCGGAAATTTTTTAATTTCATCAACCCGAACCTGAAACAATGGCTCGTACCAAGCAGACTGCCCGTAAGTCTCCACCTCACTGGCGTTTCTCTCGTCGTCGCTGGTCTTGGCCGCGGGTGTCATTTTCCCATGATCGCCCCGCGTCAGACCACGCCTCGACGCGTCGCCCCCTCCACAACATCCATCACTAACAATCATCTACAGGCAAGTCCACTGGTGGCAAGGCCCCTCGTAAGGCTCTCGCCTCGAAGGCTGCCCGCAAGGCCGCCCCCTCTACCGGCGGTGTCAAGAAGCCTCACCGCTACAAGCCCGGTACCGTCGCTCTGCGTGAGATCCGTCGCTACCAGAAGTCCACCGAGCTTCTGATCCGCAAGCTGCCCTTCCAGCGTCTGGTTCGTGAGATCGCCCAGGACTTCAAGTCCGACCTGCGCTTCCAGAGCTCCGCCATCGGTGCCCTGCAGGAGTCCGTTGAGGCCTACCTCGTCTCCCTCTTCGAGGACACCAACCTGTGCGCCATCCACGCCAAGCGTGTCACCATCCAGTCCAAGGACATCCAGCTGGCCCGCCGCCTGCGTGGCGAGCGCTCGTAAGCGTCTGCTTTCGGGTTCTTGATTCTTCCGGGATGGCGATAATGGGGTTCTGTTTCTTTTTATTATCATGACAATCGGCGACACATGATGGGTTTTGCTTATTTTACTACAACAATGGGAACACGGGTTTCTGGAATTTGCTTTCTTCGACTTGCCCTTTTAGCAGGGCATGGATCAGGTCATGGGCTATGTACATTACGGATAGTATCCTAACATGATGCCTTAGCGAGCATCATTCCATGACATAGACGCTGAAAATGCGATCTTCTATGATTCACCATGTTCCGATCAACTTCCTGGTCTCTTCGCGTAGTTTGTTTTGGTCTGTGACGCGTCGTGGTGGTGGACGCGACCGGGGCAGGTGATGGTGAGGCTTCTTTTGCGACCGGGCTGCAGTAGTGATGGGCAGCGGGCCTCGACCACACCAGCGACCGTACCTATCTAGAACCACCCCTTTTCGCATGCAATGTATGAAGCATTATTAATTCCATGATAAATTAAATAAATGGCCTGCAACTCGTCTCTGTCTGTTCGACTCACCACTGTACATTCCGAAGACTCGGTCTGCGTGGAGGGAGCAAACCTTTCTGGTACTCATCCCAAAGTACAATCCCGTTCTTCGTCCACTGATTTTTTTTCCCACACGGGCCGTCGGAACTTTTAAATCAGCTATATGAATCCGTAAAACTCCCTTAATCTATTGATACGTTTTTTAAATATACACATCCCCCTGATCACAAGATCATGGCCACATTGTCCGACCGCGGTACTTGTCCTGGAGGCTGCAAAGAAAGCCGCAGTGGGGCGTAGACTTCAACCCAGTGCTCTGTAGTCTGGAAAAAGGGGCGAAGGGCCTCCAGAGATTGAGACTGCTCAGTCGATGGCGTGCTGACTTTTGTGACTGGTTGGTTCCTCGTTTCTTTGTCTGCGGCGTGGATTGGCATCTACGCCTCGGCGGAGTAATCCGGCCGTGGACATCGCGGGAGGTTCGGGATGAGTACATAGATCGGTGACTCATTCTTGGCCGTAGGGTCATGCGTCAAATGGCCGCGTCATGATGGAACTGGGCTCACCGTCAGGAGAACTATGACCGGGTTCCTCGAGATGCGGACGGCTTACTGGTGCTATCTATGCTCGGTCGATCATCGGCTTGATGACTCTATCCGGACCGATGTCCCACGCAGTCATCTGGCGATTTATTTTCACTGCTTTCCAAAGACGTCTTCAAGAGGCACTACTGTTGTTGTTTGCTGGAGGCAGTTGTTCCGGTGTGGTTTGGATAACGGCGCATTCGAGCCAGGCTGCTGCCGCATGAAGGTGGAACGCCTTCTCTGATCGTACGCCTAGGACTTTATTTGATGGCTTTCGATTGCCACTCGGGCTACATAGGTGCATGTAGAATTATGTAGGAGTCCTCCAAGGGCCTGTCTGCCCTGGGTATTCGATTCTTTATCTGGAATGGCCCGATCCGTGCCCAGATATATATCTGGCCCCGGGGTCACATTTCGGCCGGCCCACGACCTGATCAGGAGCAAAGGAAATCCTCTAATCATCAAGATTATTTTACACTAAAGCTCTTTCCGGCGTGCCCTGCGAGTAACTGTATACAAACATTCAGTGGTGGGACGATACAATAGGCAGGGTCTCAGCGCAATACGTCATTGCACGACTACAGAATGTGCAGAAAGATAACAGGACTGCGATTATTCACCGTCAAGCCACAAGTCATGTAGCGCAGCATAAATCACCGCAATCTGCCCATCTAGATCTTATGCTGCTCTGCATACTGTCATCCTGTATGTGCAGCCAGGAAACCATGCATAAGAGTCGGACCCAAATTCATAAACAGACGCAAGATCTTGATTCATAAGCAAGTTTCTTACCAATCGTCTCTATTGTCTGCTGCAACTACGGAGAATAAGACGGAAATAACAATTGTGAGGCGCCGACGGTAGTTGGGACTATGTAATCGCCGGGGCGCGCGTTCCGACGGCTGTGGCGTCTGCGGTGCGAAATTTTTTTATGCAGACGTCTGGCCCACCAGATAATTTTAGGAGTATATCCACGGGGCCGTGGTGGATCTAGAGACATATGTACAGGATTTGAATTCCATTTGTTTCATTATTATTGCAATCTGATCTCCCTGCAATCCCTGTTTTTTCTTCCTATGTTCTTGAGCTTAGATCACGATGCCGTCACACCCGGGAGCCAAGAGGTGGTCTAAGCGTCTCGCGTGGCAACCGCAAACGAACTTTTCTGTTGTTCGCCGTCCTTTGTTGAGAAGAAAAGATCAAGGCAATGATTTATAATAGCGCTGGATTTTTTGCTGTACATCTTGCAAGCCTCGGTCCAACACTCCGAGATTGATACCATCCCTGGATATGCGATCGTGGCCCGTGGGTCGGTGCTCGTGGGGCTCCATCTCTTATCCTCGGCTGCCGTGCATAACACGCCTTTTGTGTCAAATTCGTCCCTAACACCGACGTAGACCCGGGACTAGATTTCTTGGAACTGGATAGAAAAAAAAAAACCAGCCACCAAACAATAAAAAGGACAGCAGCGTCCGATGCCTGAGCGCTCTCTGTTAGCTCTCCTGCTGAAACCGGCAAGCTTCATCGCATCCCCGCAACCGGTCTCCTCTCCACTACCTACACAAACAACCGCTCTCCATCACTTGGTTTTCACTCGCGTACATACATAACACACACCGACTGTCCAGCGTGCTTGTGCTCATCTGCCCATCATGGCGGGCAAAAGCGAGGATGTGTCCGAGAAGATCGAACCCTCCAACCCGACCAAGATCTCCTACTGGCGCATGGTCCTGGACCAGGGCGCCGTGACGCAGGAGATCATCGACTACCCATACACCGGCTCAGGAACGGACGACGACCCATACGCCGTATCCTGGATCCCCAATGACCCTCGCAACCCTATGAACTTTAGCGAAGTCAAGAAATGGTCTATCACCATGCTCGTGGCCATCGCCACCCTGGCCGTCGCGCTCGTTTCCTCGGCCTACACCGGTGGCGTGGAAGAGATTATGGAACAGTTTCATGTTGGCGAGGAGGTCGCGACGCTGGGTGTGTCGCTCTTCGTCCTGGGTTTCGCGGTAAGCTGGTTTTGATCCGGTGCAGAAGTATCGAAACTGACAATACGTTCTAGATCGGTCCGTTGGCGTGGGCACCGCTGAGTGAACTGTTTGGCCGTCAAGTCCTCTTCGTCCTGACCTACGCCATCCTCACTGCCTTCAACGCGGGCAGCGCCGGAGCCCAGAATATTTGGACGCTGATCATCCTCCGTTTCTTCGCCGGTTCCTTTGGCTCTTCGCCTCTGACCAATGCGGGCGGTGTCATCGCAGACATGTTCCACGCCAAGCAGCGAGGTGTCGCGATGAGTCTCTTCGCCGCAGCGCCGTTCCTAGGCCCCGTTCTGGGCCCGATCATCGGCGGATTTCTGGGTATGAACGCCGGCTGGAGATGGGTCATGGGCTTTCTGGCTGCCTTCTCGGGTGCGGTCTGGATCATGGGAACACTGCTTATCCCAGAGACCTATGCGCCGGTCCTGCTGCGCCGCCGTGCCGAGAGACTATCCAAGATCTCGGGCAAGGTATATCGGAGCAAGCCTGATATCGAACAGGGCAAGGTTTCCCTCAAGGAAGCTTTCAAGCTTGCCCTGTCCCGCCCGTGGATTCTTCTCTTCCGCGAGCCGATTGTTTTCCTGCTGTCGTTGTATATGGCGATCGTTTATGGGACTTTGTACATGATGTTCGCTGCTTTCCCCATTGTCTATCAAGTGGACCGCGGCTGGAACCAGGGCATTGGCGGATTGGCATTTTTGGGAATCATGGTCGGCATGTTGATTGCAGTGGTCTACACCCTTTTCGACAATAAGCGATACATCCGCGTGCAAGACGAACACAATGGCTTCGCACCCCCCGAGGCCCGTCTACCGCCCTGCCTGATCGCCTCCATCGCGATCCCCGTCGGCTTGTTCTGGTTCGCATGGACCAACTACCCCTCGATCCATTTCATGGCCAGCATTGCGGCCGGCGTGCCCTTCGGCTTTGGTATGGTGTTGGTCTTCCTGAGCATCATGAACTACCTCATCGATGCTTACACCATCTTTGCGGCGTCTGTCCTCGCCGCCAACTCTGTCCTGCGTTCGTGCTTCGGTGCCGCATTCCCGCTCTTCACTACCTACATGTACAACAATCTGGGTATCCATTGGGCCTCTTCGATTCCCGCCTTTCTCGCACTCGCCTGCGTGCCCTTCCCATTCCTGTTCTACAAGTACGGGCCCGCTATTCGCAAACGCTGCAAGTTCGCCGCCCAGTCGGATGCCTTTATGCGCAAGATCCAGGAACAGGTGGATGTTGCTCCCAGCTCGGAGGAGGAGAAGGAGCCCGAGTTCGATCTCACCGAGGCACCCTCTCCGCATGTGTCCGTGTCCGATGATGCCAGCGAGTCCGATTCGAACATCGAGGACCTCCCGTCCACCCAGCGCATTCGCAGCCATGCCCGTTCAGTTTCATCGACTCGCACGGCTGGATCGTTGCGTCGCCAGCCCACCTACGATGGTAATCCCTACGATATTGACCGGGTCAATACCCGCGAGTCCTTCAAATAGGGGCTCTTATTCACCACAACGCCTAATCCCCGATCTTTACGGGCCTCTGCGTGATAATCATAGTATCTAGTTCGACTTTGCATCCTGCGGTGTTTTATTTTGTGTTGTTTTGTTTCCCTTTGCCTGTTATACCCCAAGTCGCGCCGACGCACTTGTAGGTACGGGATCGTGGCTTTGCATATTATATAGATGGTGTTGGTGTTGGCATCTGGCTTGCCAAAATGAATTTGATTGACTTTGATCTGTCTCTGTCTAGTAGTTGATTCTCAGTCTATACTTTGCACCACGATAGAAATGGTGTCATCCCGCACTAGTGAGTGGATAAGGATTTAATCGGGCGATCACGGTTCGGAAGTGCAATGCCGACGGAGTGTTGGTTCGTTTTTCCTCCTTTGCATAGATTTCTGTTTCTTTATTGTCATCACCTTCCTTGATTATTCTTATTCTGTCGTTCTCTACCTTATCTACAGCGACCGCATCTGCTTCTCTGCTTATCGCGACCCCGAGACACCGCCACTTCTCGCCGCGTCACCTCCGACCTCGGCTACCTCTGAAGAATTCAATGTGCACAACAGGCGCCTTGCGATGAGCCTCATGCAGCGTGCACTCGTCCGTCCTGGACGAGTGTCGCCCTTCGCAACCCGCCCGCGAACGACCACCGTTTCCCCTCGACTGCGGCAGCGCAGACTCAAGTCCGACTCTTCGTCAGCCCCCGAACCCGCGGTCGAGAGTAAGGCTGGCAAACCCGCCGATGAGACCGTGAATACATCTCAGACAAACGCATCATCATCCTCCCCTGCACCATCTTCCCCTCCGACCTCTTCGTCGCCTGCACCACCCACCAACACGGTCGCTGCGAGTGCTGGGGCAGCGACGCCGCCAGCCACGGCAAACACGACGGCAAAAACAATTGCGCGATCCCGTGGCTGGCGTGAGATTATCAAGGCAGGCCCGCTCGGCAGGACGGGGAGATGGTATAGCCGGGTACAGGAGAAGCGGCCCTATACAACACAAGTGTGCAGCTCGATCATCATCTACCTGTGCGGTGACCTGAGCGCGCAAATGCTGTTCCCTTCAGAAGCTCCGGGCCCGGCGAAGGTCGTGCAGAACGATCCAACAGGATCGAAGGATGTAGGAGAGCAAGAAACCAGTAGCGGAGGCGGTTACGACCCGTGGAGAACAGTGCGACACTTGATTGTGGGCACAGGATCGAGCATTCCCTCGTACAACTGGTGAGTCTCTGGAATGGTGTTGATCAGATTGTCAATACTGATTTGACCTCAGGTTCTGGTTCCTCCACAACCACTTCAACTACCCGTCCAAGTTCTTGTCTATCTTGACCAAGGTTGTCGTGCAACAGATGTGCTTTACACCGGTCTTCAACACATACTTCTTCAGCGTGCATTCTCTCTTAGCAGGTGCTACGCTCGAAGAGACTTTGGAGCGGCTTAAGAAAGCGGTCCCCGTCAGCATCACCAACAGCGTCAAGCTCTGGCCCGCCGTCACGGCGTTCAGCTTCATGTATGTGCCGCCGCAGTTCCGGAACGTGTTTTCGGGCTGTATTGCGGTCGGCTGGCAAACGTATTTGAGTTGGCTGAACCAGAAGGCTGCTCGCGAAGTCCAGGCGGCCGAGCTGGCGGCCGCAAACCCGCCGTCCCAGGCGCTGACCGCAGGCAGCCTGGTTCCTGCGACAGGGAGCGCATGATATTTCTGTGATATTTCTTTTTGAGTTTAGCGATGCATTTCAGATACCATAGAGCTCGATAGAGTATAGACTTGTTTCTTTTGTGCTAGTAAATACCAGGGCTGGTCCAATCGTCGGCCTCGCGTTTTCCACTTCTCTTCTCCAACTCTCTCCTCCATGAACTCCTTCCATCGCAGGCATGTCCTGCTCACCAGCATCCCTCATCCCTGACAAATCCGACTCCAGTGACTACGGCTCTGATTTCGCCCCGGATGAAGAGCAGATCCTGAGCGAGCTGCTCGCCCAAGCCGTCGCGGAAAGCGCGTCCGCCGTCGACGCCACCGCGTCGTCCACACATCCCCCAGTAACCGAGAACGCGACGAACCCAGCGGCAGCAGCGGAGCTAATTGATCTCAACTCTTTGAACCCGGCTGCGGTCGCAGATATTGAAGATGGCTTGGAGAGCCCGCCAGGTGTCCGACTGCCTAAGGTGCTGGGCCGGGAGAGGAAGCCCTGTTCTCCGCGGCGGCAGTCAAACCAGCCTTTCCAATCCAGTCAGGCAAGTCAGGGCTCAAACAACAGTAACAGCCCGTTTGGTAAGACTGGTCCTTCACCTGCTTTCGTTTCTTTGATATGAGCTGACACCCTGCCATCCGAAGCGTTTAGTCGAGCACCCCAGTTCCACTGAGGGCACAGAGATAGAGCGAGAGCGCAACGCGGTCCGCGAGCGTGAATGGACGCGAGATCCAGAGGCTGCAGCGCTTGATCCTCGGACCCCCGTCGAGCGCTTTCGACGCCCGCCGAATAAGGCGTTTTCCGTGACGGATCTGGTGTCGCCCGCCTGGTGCGAGTTGCAATACTGGTACACACTGACAAAACATGGGAGGAAGAAGAGAACGCCGGCTATGAAGATGGGGAGTGTCGTGCACAAGACGCTGGAAGATGAGATCTATACCACTGTCCCTGTGGAGATCACCACGAAGGAAGATGCTTGGGCACTCCGGATATGGAATGTGATACAGGGCCTGCGCATGTTGCGTGAGTTTGGCATTACGCGTGAAATGGAGGTCTGGGGGCTTGTGGATGGGGAGGTGGTCAATGGAGTCATCGACCAATTGTCCTACGAATGCCCGGACCCCGAGCTCGAGGCCACGGCTTCCAGTTACTACGCGGAGACTGCTGCGTCGAAGGCGGCCTTGCCGGAATATCAGATGTCCTTGTCAGACTTTCTCCTGTCTCCGGCTGGGCGTGGTCGACGACTCGAAGATCTTGCCCGGCCAGAACCCCAACCTCAGAAGGAAGAAGTGCCTGCGGCCGTGTACGATCTGCCGCGAGTGTATATGACGGACGTGAAGACGAAGGCCAGTCGGTCCATCCCGACAATCAAGAGCACCGGGTTTCGTCCCACTCTTCTCCAGCTCCAGCTCTACTACCACATGCTCAACCGCATGATCACCAGTGACGACGTCACGATTGAAATGCTTGCACAACGCTATAATCTCGACCCCGAACGTCCCTTCTCTGAATCCTTTCTCTTAGAAGTGGGCGGGCTGAATGACGAATTCTTCGATACTCCTACGTCCCAGGTATTTGATCTTGATGATAATATCACTACACCGGACGACGCACGGAAAATCTCTCACAGCTCACCTCCGTCCAGTAGCCACGACTCTACCAGCATCCTCATGGCTCACAACAACCTCTCTCGCATCTGGGGGTTTATGAAGGACCAAATCCGACTCACGTTTCTTCCCCCACCCACATCCTCAATATCACCATCCATCCCCTCACTTTCTCAACCGACCATGCTGGAAGAATACCCAACTCTCCTATCACCGATCCTTACTGCCCGATACCTTTCATCTGCTCCTACAGACGACCTGCAGCCTCAACACCTCGGAAGCCGCTCCTTCCTGTTTGATCCCACGACCATGACGTCCTACCTGACTGATCAGATGGAGTGGTGGCGTGGTGAGCGTGATCCGCGCGGTGTCGATGTCATGGAGGCGTGGAAATGCCGCATCTGCGAGTTTCGCGATGACTGCTCCTGGCGTCAAGAACGGGAGTGGGCCTATGCAAGACGGAATCGAGCGAACTAAGAGGCAATTGCCCTACGATATGTATATATTCCCGACTTGGGATGCAGGACCAATCAAGAGCGTCGAACTATACCGACAATAGATACTCGCAGCTCTCCTTCAATATGGATAACTGCGTCCCTCGTCTTCCTGCTCCACCTCCAAGCCAGCCGCAACCTGCTCCTCATGCTTTCGATCCAGATACTCCAGCAAGACATCCTGATACATCTCCTTCCCCTTGTACCGTGACACATCATCGCCCCAACTGCGCACCGCAGAGGCCAACCTCCCCGGCACATACGGCTCCTTCGCAACCTCGGTGACGGGCTCAAAATACGTGCGAATCGTGAACACCACCCCGCCAGACCGCGGCAACCGCCTGAGCGACTGCCTCTCCGAGCGAAAGAAATGATGCTCAATCGCCCTGTTCTTCTCCGCCGTTGCCCACGATACATCCGCCGAGTCTTCCGCCCCAATACTGTACGACCATGCCAGGTTCTCGTCCACCTGGATGAAATAGTTATTGCGCAGCACCGGCTCTTCCGGCCTGAGTCGGCGGAAGAAATTCTTCATCCCCTTCTCGAGCTTCGAGCGGAACTGAGGCACGTCGCCGGACGTGTGGATCTCCGACAACGGCATCCCGAACTTGTCGCTCAGGCGCCAGAAGCCAGCTAGCAGGATTGCCCCGGCCACGAGGTAGTACTCGCCGTCCGGGCGTTCCATCATGATGGCGAGGTCGTCTTGGATTAGACGTGCGCTCATCACCATCGGGTCTTCGGCTAGTGGCCGCGCTGTGATGTCGAATGTCTCGTTCGTGACCATGTTGATAATCCCTGTCGATGTCTTCTGGAACATAGTTGGATAGCGCTCGGGGAGGTAGGCGCATCTAGTTACTTCTGTTCAGTTGGCTGCGAAAGCAAGTCCAAGGGTAGGAAGGGCACGCACAGCTCTTCCAGGAGTTCCATCGCTGCATCCTTTGCCTCGGGCGCCGTCTTACAGCATTTATCACCGCGTTCTGCGATGCGGCGAGCTTTGTCCGCGTGGAATTTCAAGTAGTGATTATCGAGCTCTGTGTTGTGTATGTGTGGGTTAATGACTTGTCCTTCGCCGGGGTATTGGTCATTCCTCACCTATCCACTCATCCCATTTCATACTTCTTAGTCCCATCGTAACGAAGTATTTCCTATAGTTAACCGAATGAGCATTCGTCAGTACGGGGTATTATCTTTGAAGCATACGGCCCATATCGAAAAGGCCGATAGAGAATCGGCTTTGTAGAGTGGACATCCCAGCCGGGGTAGGGCGGCGCTGTAGGCCGCTTGAAATCAGAGGGTATCCATTCTAAACATGCAGTGTCAGCATGGTCAATGGGAATATAGACACCCTCTGGTGAGCCTACCTCCAGGCTTTCTGGCTGTCTTCTCTCTTCCCCGGGAGTGGGAGGGAGTTGAGCGTCTGGATGTTGTGCTGAACGTGGCACCCCCTTTGCGTGAGATTACGACTAAGAGCCAGACGCAGACAGTCAACACGAGGACGAAGTTTGCTAGATCTTTTGCGGCGACGTTGGATACTTTGTTCCGGAGGAGCCCGAGGGACATGGTTAGGTTAGGGCTGAGATGGATGGATTGTGGATATTGGCTTCATATATATTTGTCTGTCGCTATCACTTTTATGAATGAATAATAGGAGCATTCAATCGCAGTATAGTGGGGGTGGTACGTAGTAGATAGTAGAAGTAGGACAGATGGAGTAAGATGGGATAGATCCCCAGATGATACAAGACCTGGTCAAAGCGAGGACCTCAACTCTACACAACTGCCCTTCCCGTTAATTCGATGCGAGACACCCCTGTTCCCCGGGGCTACTTCCAGCCAAACGATCCGGGGCTGCAGGCTCTCCTCTTGACTTGACGTTATCTGCGGAGAACCGAGCTTATCATATTGCCGCTGTGGTGCAGGATGTCTTATCCGGATTGGGTAAAGTGGCTCTGGCGAGTGAACACATAAAGGGTAATGCTGCGCGCACACACTCCCAAACAAGCGGGGATTATTGGTGGTATTCATGCGCAATATCCTTCTATGTAATTGTTGGGGAAAGAGAAGGGAGAGGGATCTTAGATAGATTGTTCTGTCCCTCGGCGTTGAAGAAGGCAGTATTGGCCCCATTTCCGCTGCAGGGGTTGCGGGATGAATGGCAGGTCGGGAATCCACATCAACCGGCCCAATAGTCCTGTCTGCGCTGTATCCAGAAAGCTCTCACACTTCAGAGTCGCCCAGTTGGCTTCATCCAACACATACGCTGGTTCCAGCTCGGTCGTTTCGCGGCCGGGGAAGTAGGAGTCGACCAGGAACGAGCACTGAGAGATATCCACCTGTTATTTCTCCGTTAGCTTTTATGTTAAGTGCTCATTTCATACCATGCTTACATATTTGCTGGGATCTTCTTGATTCAAGTCGTTCATCCCCGACGGGATCTGAGAAGCGCCTTCCAGACGACCAAGATAGTCGGATGCTTCAGGGAATTCACCCGGCAGTAACCCGCGAAACTCGCTGCGAATAAACTTGGCGCGCTTATCATGTGGAAGGAAGTAGGATGAAGGGAAGCGGTACCACTCCTTGCCGAAACACACGTTCTCTCCTGTATGCGCCATGTCGGGTTGCTGGAGCGGCTCAAACACCTTCAGTGGCGCGCGGTATGCGGTCACCATGCCCAGAGTGCGCAGCATACCGGCATTGAGCGCAACCAGAAGCACTGAAATGACACCGAGGAGTTTTAACCTTGCGGGGATGCGACCGATGAACTCTTGCCGGTTACTAGACCCAATATAGGAGAGAATCATATGGAAAGCGACAGCGGCATTGAGAGCCAAGAAGGGATATGCCGGATACATGAACCGCTCCTCCTTGTGAGGCTGCTCCGTGAAGATGCCGAACCAGATGTAGAAGGGTGCAATCATGGTGATAGTCCGCAGAACTGTCTGCAGTGATGTTGTCTGGAATCTGAAGGCGGTTTGAAGAACCAGGAGTGGCAAGGACAACATGGCGAGGACAAACCAGAGATTGAAATTTAGCGCCAGGTTCTTGAAATAGAATGTCCATGGTTCGGTGCCAAAGATATCGGGTCCCTTGTCCTTGCCTTCCAGGACATTGTACTTGACGATGTTCCAGGGCACCAAGGTGAGCTTCTGGAAGAAAGCATAGTCCACTGCTACCTCGACTGCCTACAACTCATCTCAGCAAAGACATCGAGCTTATCCAACCCCAAACTTACCAGAATAGAAAGACACCTCACGACGCCGTCCACAACAGCACCGGTGAGAGAGACAATCGACCCGGACAAGTACGCAAGGGCCAATTCCTCCGTCAGAGGTGGGACGATCAAAGCTCCCGCAAATGGCCACCCGACAATGGACCCCAGACCAAACCACATGATCCCCTGTGCGATTTTCTGACCACCCTTCCAGTCCAAAAACGCAGCCATGCCAAGCATTGATGTGTACATGGTGAAAGTGGACGGGAGAAAGGCGGTTGAGGCATGGAACATGCCAGGACTGAATATGAGGACCATCACGAATAGCAGTCCAATGCGGGGGCTGATCGTCCGGCAAATGGAGGAGTACAACCGGACCTGGCAAGCAGAGCACACAAAGGCAAGCAATAACCGGATGATGTAGAACTCAATCATTTTGCTGGTGCCGAATAGCGATGCCAGCTTCCCCACAGCCGCGTGGAGGGAGACGTAGAGCCAGCTCCGGATGGAATAAACAGGCGAATATTCCCATGTTTGTAAGCCATATCCGTGTTCAAGATAGTGAGCGGGTTCCCAGAAATTGAAGACCTCGTCGCAATCCTGAATAGGAGAGAACAGCGCGGCGAGACCATTGCAGAGGAGACAAAGACAGAGCGTGATGTCCAGGGGGAGGTAGAAGGGAGGAGGAGGAGGTCTGGACAGAAGTTAGTTATCAGTAAGAAGGTAGGTATTTTGCACCATCGAATACCGTTGCTTCGTCCTCGGAGCCTGTGTAGGCCCGTTGTTAGTAGCCATATTTTGGGGAAGTCAACTGGTTGACCACGAGAGCTTCGAAGGCGCGATAAGCAACGATAAAGCCGCTACGGTGGGCGGAACGGCTACTTGTGCACTTTCAAAAAAAAGTTACCCGTCGCGTTTTTGGTTTCTGCTTGTCGCAACACTCGAATACTATTTTTTTCTGGCCCAATATGGCTGAACCGATACCACAGATTCAGTCTGCAGGCACTGTTGACGCAGCAGACCCTCAACATTCCACTGCGAACAGCACGCCTCCCATCGCCGCTCCCGACAATGGCAGCGACTTTTACAACACGCACGTGGCTACGGGGACCTCCGCCTTGAGGGAGGAGAGCCAGGAGGACGCGCCAGTGGATGTTGAGGAACTTGGATCCTCGAAGCCTCCGGCGATGATCCCGGGACTGGGTCTAGTCCAGCCGAGCTCGCAGGAGCCAGTTGTCAACGGCCAGCCTGTCTCTCAGACTACAGATGTCAAAATGACCGAAGAAGACTCAAAAGAAACGGCATCGCAAGTGGCCAAGCAAGAACCAAATGGAAAGGCTCAGGTAAAGAGCGAGTCAGCGGAAGCGATGGACGTCGACACAAAGGCAACCGAAGCAGCCGCGGACAACACCCAGGTGGCTGAACAGCCAGAGGAGGAGCAAGAGGGCGAGCATCCAGAGTGGGAGGTTGACTCATCACCTTACGAGTCGTCCTCAGATAGCTCTACGTCTTCGGATTCCGACGATAGCGACGATGAAGACTACCCGATCCTTAGCCCGGAAGAACAAGCGCGGATTCTGATGCTAGCCGAAGGCGGCTCGGACGACGAGGGAGAAGGGAAGGGGAAGTCGGGTGGCTATATTAGGTCGACCAACGAAATCGCCGAAGATGTCCTTCCGGTTCCAGACGTCAAAATCACACCCGAGATGAAAATTGTGCACTTGGGCAAGATCCAAACCGTTGTCGAGAATGCACTTCTCATCGAGGCCAACACCTCCGGAGAATATCAGGTTCTCGAGTCCGGTTCTTTACTTTGTCTCCAAGACCACACCATTGTCGGCGTCGTGTCGGAAACCTTGGGGAGAGTCGAAAACCCATTGTACACGGTCATGTTTTCTTCGGCCTCGGAGCCGCAAGAGAAGGGCCTGACAAAAGACATGGATGTCTACTATGTTGAGGAACACTCTACATTTGTTTTCACCCAGCCGCTCAAGGGGATGAAGGGGAGTGACGCCTCCAACTTCCACGATGAGGAGATCGCCGAGGACGAAATCGAGTTCTCCGATGATGAGGCAGAGGCCGAGTACAAGAAGAGACTGAAGCAGAAACGACAGGAGAGAAAGGAGGCCCGGGGCGGCGGCGCCGCCAGAGGCAAGAGAGACCGGCCAGGTCCCTCGAAATTGAGTCATTCCGAAATCAATTACGATGATGAGAGAAGCCAGGAAGGATACACGCCTCTTGCTCGCCCGAAGAATCTTCACGAGATGATGGGGCCGCGCGAGGCGCCTGTCGAAGGAAGTGATCGCAACCCCGGTTTCCGCGGCGGCCGGGGTCGTGGTCGAGGTTCTGATCGTGGCCGAGGCGGTCGTGGCCGAGGTTCAGGAGGAAGAGGAGGACGAGGAGGGGGAGTGGGATCTTGGAATCAAGACCAGGGCCGACCTCAATACGGGGAGGCTCAGTCCCAGCCTCCTGGTTACGCACCCCAACCGTACCAGCAACAACAACAACAACAGCAACAGCCGGCGTACGGTATGCCCCCGCCTTTCGCCGCCTATGGGCAACAACCGCAGCAGCAGCCGTTTGTCCCTGGTGCTGCTCCGACGCAGTTTCCATTCCAATTCCCCTTCCAGCAAGCCTTCCAACAGCAGCAGCAGCCCAATTCCTTCCCCTCCATTCCTCCGGGGGCTCATATCAATCCTCTGTTCTTGGCAGCGCTGCAACAACAGCAGCAGCCCCAGCAATATCAGCAGCCCCAGCAATATCAGCAGCCCCAGCAATACCAACAGCCTCATCAGGCTCCAGGACAGCCTCAGGCGCAAAACCCGCCTATGAACTTCGACCAGGTCAAGGCGCAATTGGAACTGCTACGAAATCTCAGCAATGGGAACCAGGGGCCGCCTCCGTCTTAAAGATCTCTCAATTTGGGCATTTAACTGGATATTTTTGCATGAATGGTGTTCTTTTTGGCGTAGTGTTGGGCTTCGCAGAAAAGTTATGGATTTCAAGGCTATTTGTTTGCTGGAGCAAGGATAAATAAAGTACATAGGTGCATTTGGATATATGAGCTAGCTAGTTACATCAGGTCAGAACTCGCTTGGTTTGGCACTCTTGGCCAATGTCCAGAAGTTCTCCATTTTGGCTCGAGATAGGGCTTCTTTCGCGGCCGAGTCGGTTTCACACACCCTAGCACCGAGCCACCTTTTAAAGGCGCGGGCTTTGGCTTGCCCTTCCCAGAGAAGAGTACAGCTGTTGTGGCTGAAATCTTTTAGTTCGCCTTTCTCATCTTCCGTAGATAGCCATGCCGCCTGAGCTTCACGGTTTCCTTCTTTCACGGCGTCGGGACCTGGGTTTTCAGTCCAGTCGATGCGGTTCAGCATCAGCTTGCGGTAGTTTTTGATTGAGTGCCTGCCGCCCTCGACAATCAGCAGGTTGAACTTGGGATGCATGACACAGATTCCCGTCAGAGCATTCTGCTCGGCGTTCCTGCTAATCTTGAAGCGATTTCGGCCGCTCGCAAGATTATCAATGCGGTAAACAGACACGTAAATCCCCAGGGCGGCATCCTTCTCCTGCTGAGCCGCGAGTTTCTCGTGCCGCTCTTCCTTGCTCAATTTCCGTTCCTCGTTCATCTGCTCGTGCTTGTCGCGGCGGTCCGCGATCTCCCTGTTCACACGAGCCTCCACGGCTGTGGGATCTTTGACGGCCTCTTCACCCAAAACTCGCATGAGGTTGGATTTCTTGACCTTTGGTGGTGGGGCCGGTTCAAGACCCAATCTGATCTTCGCTTGCTGTTCTTTTAGGTCCGCCATGCGTCGCTGGCGACGAATCTTGGCCTGCTCCTTGGGTGTGAGATACATGGGTTTCGCCACGGGCACGTGTTTGTCCTGCGGTGGCTCAATAAGGACAGGGTGTTGAATGTAGCGTGTGATGATGGAATCGGCAGTATTGACCTTGAGGTTTTGGGAGTCGTCTATCGCAGCGTACTCATCTCCGTTGACCAGACCTTCATCCCACCATTCCAGAGCGGGCGGAGCAGGCACAACAAATGCTTTTTCGATGTCCAAATCCTCATCGATCCCAGCCTGACGTGCTCTCTCTGCAATCCGCTTCTTCATGGCCTCTAACTGCGCCTGTCTGCGCAGAGCCGCAGCTTGCTGTATGTATTTGCCCTTTTGATTGAAAACAAGCTGCTTCGCGTGTCGCGGCTTGGCCACCGTAGCCTTGGGTCCAAGGCTAGGATCAAAATAAGGATTGTTCCTGATTTCTTCTATCGACGGACCGGATAGATCGAGGCGCGCCCGGTTGTCGCGTAATTCGGTACGCCGATTTCCTTTGCCTGGTTGCCGTCCCTTGCCGCCACGGATCTCAGGCGTAGTATCAGCGAGTAGTGCTGGGTGAAGACCGACATCCAGACCACCGCGGGCCTTGTTGAGCCCCTCATCGTCAAAGGTCGGGGATTGGTAGGAGGACGCCGGGGCAGGTGGTCGTTGTGGAGGCGCTGCATTGGCTCTTCCCGTTGCTGCTGCGACTCTGGCCTTCATCTGTTCCAATCTCGACATTGCAGGACTGGGAGCTGGTGGCGTGGGGCTGGGGCTTGCCTCTGTCGGGGGAACGGGTGGTGTCGCGCCGCCACGGGCAGATTGAAGACGAGCGCGAACGGCTTCAGCCTTTGCTCTCGCCGCGGCGACCATCTTTTCGATGTCTACCTTGCCGCTGGCAGAGCCTCCTTGGGCTGGGAGGGGAGACCCATGGTTGGATCGGGATCTCTTTTGTGAGTTGCTGTCATCCTCTTCGGGATGAGCCCGCTTTCGCGCATTGCCCGACACGTCGGCCATGGCGTCTGTCGATGATTATGATGAGGATCGAGCAAGCAAAGCCGGGACGGAGTGGGTGACCCCGGGAGGCGGTCGGAGCTGGCAGAAAAAAGTTCTCCAAAAAAGTTTCGCTCTTTCCCGCTTCGACTGCTCTACAGAAAGTCTTGGGTCGCGCCCGAAGCTGCTGGTCACAATGGCGAATTTCGCTCGCCCGGTCTCTTCGACCATTGCTGGCGTTGACTTCAGTGTTTTCTCGGACCAGGAGATCAAAGCTCTGTCGGTGAAAAGAATTCACAATACCCCAACCTTGGATTCGTTCAACAACCCGGTTCCCGGTGGTCTTTATGATCCGGCTCTCGGTGCATGGGGAGACCATGTGTGAGTGACTGTCTTTTGCTTTATTTTCTTTCTATTTCTAACCTGAAGGATTGGCGACAATCAGATGTTCTACATGCCGTCTGAACTCATGGTCTTGTACCGGCCATCCCGGACACATCGAGCTCCCAGTACCCGTCTACAATGTCACCTTCTTCGACCAAATCTACCGGCTTATCCGCGCACAGTGTGTGTATTGTCACCGCCTGCAGATGTCTCGCGCTCAGGTTAACTTGTACACCTGCAAGTTCCGCCTTTTGCAATATGGCCTCGTCGATGATCTAGCCGCAATCGACAAGATCGGAACAAAGGGAATCAAATCAAAAGACAACGACGAGTCTAATGACGACGAAGAGCCAGATGAGGAAGACATCAGGGATAAGCGAACTGCCTTCGTCACTCGGCGCATTAAGGAAGCCAAAAAGGCGGGCAACTTGGACGGGCTCATGGCCGGTGCCAAGAATCCGGTTGCCGCCGAGCACAGGCGAGAGCTCGTCAAGTCCTTCCTTAAAGACATTGTTGGCGCCCGTAAATGCGCTAACTGCAGCGGGTATATTCCAAACCCTTACCGTGCCGTGAGGGTTTTTGTCAGCTAACAATATCCTGCAGGATTTCTCCATCCTATCGAAAAGACCGCTACAGTAAGATCTTCCGAAAAAAGTTGACCGAGAAGCAGAGGATTGCGATGGCGGCCGGCGGCTTCCAGGCTCCAAATGCCATGGTCCTTCTCGAGCAAGAAAAGAAGCATGGGTCAAAGCAAAATGGTACTCAGGTAAACGGTGTCTCAGATACTGCCAGCATCACCTCGGAGACCCATGGTGCCGAAGAGGAAATCCGTCGCGGGGCCGCTGTTGTGGCGCAGTCTGGTTCAAATGAAGGGCAAGCTGGACAAGAGTTTATGCCCAGCTTGGAGGTCTACAGTACCATCAAGCTTCTTTTCCAGAAGGAAGCCGAGATTATGAACCTTGTGTACAGCTCTCGACCCACGCCAAAGGGGGCGACTCCGGTAACGGCGGACATGTTCTTCATCAAGAATATCTTGGTTCCGCCAAACAAGTATCGCCCGGCTGCTCCCCAGGGCCCTGGGGAGATCTCCGAGGCCCAGCAGAACATCCCGTTTAGCAATATCCTGAAGAACTGCGACCTCATCAATCAAATCAGCAAGGAAATGCAGAACGAAGCCGACAAGGCCCTCACTAGGGTGCGGAATTACAGTGATCTACTTCAGGCAATGATTCAACTACAGGATACGGTAAACGGTCTGATTGATCGCGAGCGGACTGCGGTTACTGGTTCAGCCATCGCTGGGCTCCCCAATGGCATCAAACAGCTTCTAGAGAAGAAGGAAGGATTGTTCCGAAAGAACATGATGGGCAAGCGTGTGAACTTTGCTGCCCGAAGTGTTATTTCGCCAGATCCCAACATTGAAACCAACGAGATCGGTGTGCCTCTTGTCTTCGCCAAGAAACTGACCTTCCCGGAACCTGTGACGAACCACAATTTCTTCGAGTTGAAAGAAGCAGTCATCAATGGTCCGGACAGATACCCTGGTGCAGCGGCTATCGAGAACGAGAATGGCCAGGTTATCAATCTCAAGTTCAAGAGCTTGGACGAACGGACAGCACTTGCCAACCAACTTCTAGCGCCATCAAACTGGCGGATGAAGGGCTCGCGCAACAAGAAGGTTTACCGACATCTTACTACTGGCGATTATGTCTTGATGAACCGTCAGCCTACTCTGCACAAACCATCCATCATGGGTCACAAAGCTCGTGTGCTTCCCAACGAGAGGACCATTCGCATGCACTACGCCAACTGCAATACCTACAATGCGGATTTCGATGGTGATGAGATGAACATGCACTTTCCTCAAAACGAGCTTGCTCAGGCAGAAGCAAGGATGCTTGCGGACGCAGATCATCAGTACCTCGTTGCCACCTCAGGCAAGCCACTCAGAGGTTTAATCCAGGATCACATTTCGATGGGAACATGGTTAACGTGCCGAGACTCCTTTTTCGACGAAGAGGATTACCATCAGCTTTTGTATAACTGTTTGAGACCAGAGAACTCCCACATAGTCACTGATCGGATCCAGCTCGTGGAGCCTGCGTTCCAAAAACCGAAATATCTCTGGACTGGCAAGCAGATTATCACGACAATCCTCAAAAACATCAAGCCTCCAGAGCGGGCAGGTCTTACGCTGAAGAGCAAGTCTTCAACTCCTGGTGAACGATGGGGCGAGGGCAGTGAAGAAGGAAATGTTATCTTCGACGATGGAGAATTCCTATGTGGTATCCTCGATAAGAAGCAACTTGGTCCGAGCGCCGGTGGTCTTATTGATGCTATCCATGAGATCTACGGACACACAGTTGCCGGAAAGCTGATGAGTATCCTGGGACGCCTTCTAACCCGGTTCTTGAATATGCGAGCATTCACTTGTGGCATTGATGATCTCCGATTGACCAAGGAGGGCGATCAGGCTCGCAAGGAGCTTCTGAGCACGGCTGAGAAGATGGGTCGTGAGGCTGCTTTGAAATACGTGACTTTGGACCAGACCACTGTGACAGATGAGGATGCTGAGCTCAAACGCCGCTTGGAAGAGGTCCTCCGTGACGATGACAAGCAAAGCGGCTTGGATAGCGTCTCGAACGCTCGAAACGGCCAACTGTCTTCGGAGATTACCCGAGCCTGCCTGCCAGGCGGTCTCGCCAAATCTTTCCCTTGGAACCAGATGCAATCGATGACAATTTCCGGAGCTAAGGGTTCAGGTGTCAACGCCAACCTGATTTCCTGCAACCTCGGCCAGCAAGTTTTGGAAGGTCGTCGGGTACCCACCATGATTAGCGGTAAAACGTTGCCGTCATTCAAAGCCTTTGAGACACATCCTATGGCTGGTGGCTATGTCTGTGGTCGTTTCTTGACTGGCATCAAGCCCCAGGAATACTACTTCCACGCCATGGCCGGCCGTGAGGGTCTGATTGATACTGCAGTCAAGACGTCGAGATCTGGATACCTGCAGCGCTGCTTGATCAAGGGTATGGAAGGATTGAAGGCCGAATACGACTCATCCGTTCGCGAAGCTTCGGATGGCTCCATTGTCCAATTCTTGTACGGTGAAGACGGTCTTGATATCACCAAGCAGGTTCATCTCAGAGATTTCGATTTCCTTGCCGCAAACTACCGCTCAATTTCGCAACAAGTCCAATCAGACCATTTCCAAAGCCTGGCAAAGGAGGAGGTTACGGCCTGGCACAAGGATGCAATGAAGGCTGTTCGCCGGTCTAACGATCCCAATGCCATGGACACTGTGTTGTCTCGCTACCACCCCGGAGGAAACTTGGGCAGCACCTCTGAAGATTTTGCTCAGGCACTCAAGAAGGTATGATTTGTTTTTCTCTCCGCTGCGTTATTCAAACTAACAAATATCCCTTATAGTATACCGATGACAACCCAGATCAGCTCATCAAGGACAAGAAAAAGGATATCGAGGGCAAAATCACCAAGAAGGCTTTCGATAAGTTGATGAACATGAAGTACCTGAAGTCCATTATTGATCCTGGAGAGGCGGTTGGAATCATGGCTGGTCAGTCCGTCGGAGAGCCATCGACGCAGATGACCTTGAACACTTTCCATTTGGCTGGTCACTCGGCAAAGAACGTGACACTTGGTATCCCCCGACTCCGTGAAATTGTTATGACCGCCAGTGCTTCGATCATGACACCGCAAATGACGCTGCTTTTGAACGATGAAATCTCCAGGGAAGACTCAGAGAAGTTTGCCAAGGCAATCAGCAAGCTCAGCGTCGCCGAGGTTGTCGACAAGGTGCAGGTTAGGGAAAGCATCGCTTCAGGTATCGGTCACACGACAGCCAAGGTTTATGATATCGAGGTCAACTTCTTCCCAGCCGAGGAATACACCAAGGAATACGCCATTCAGGTCAGGGACGTGCAGAACGCCTTGCAGACCAAGTTCATCCCCCGGTTGGTCAAGTTGACTCGTAACGAGCTGAAGAAGCGGAAGGACGAGAAGACGATGAAGAGCCACTCAACCGCTCAGCCTGAAATTGGTGTTTCGATTGGCACGATCTCCGAGGGACCGAGAGGACCGGATCGTGAGATTGAGCCTGCTGATGATGACAACGAGGACGATGAAGATGATGCCAAGCGAGCACGCGGAGCCCAGAACCGGGACAACCAGGTTTCCTACGAAGGGCCTGACGAGGACGAGGAGGCTATCATTAGACGTCAGAACTCCCCCGAGGTGGAGGATGACTTCGATGCTGATCACCTCGTCCGGACCACTGGCGACGTGGACATGGATGACGATTCCGACTCGGACTCCGACTCGGATGATGAGGGTGCCCAGGACAGCAAGGCGCGTGAGAACGACGTCAAGGAGAAGTTTGAAGAGGTCACCAAGTTCAAGTTCGACCACAGGACAGGCGCGTCGTGCATCGTTCAGCTGCAGTACGATGTCTCGACCCCGAAGCTCCTTCTCCTTCCCATCGTCGAAAAGGCCGTCCACGAAGCCGTGATCCAATCTATTCCCCGCCTTGGAAACTGCGTCTACGTCGAAGCAGACGAGATCAAGAAGGAGCCTGCCACTGTTGTCACCGAGGGCGTCAACCTGCTCGCCATGCGCGCCTACCAGGACATCATCAAGCCGCACTCAATCTACACCAACTCCATCCATGACATGCTCAACCTGTACGGTGTCGAAGCTGCGCGTGCCACAATCGTCCGCGAAATGGACGCCGTTTTCAAGGGCCACAGTATCAGCGTGGATAATCGCCATCTGAACCTGATCGGTGACGTGATGACCCAGTCCGGTGGATTCCGCGCATTCAGCCGTAACGGCCTGGTCAAGGATTCTGCGTCCCCCTTTGCGAGAGCCAGTTTTGAAACCACCGTCGGCGCCTTGAGAGATGCTGTGCTCGAGAGAGACATCGATAACCTCAAGAGTCCTAGCAGCAGAATTGTTGTTGGCCGGTCCGGTACCGTTGGAACTGGCTCTTTCGACATCCTTGCTCCAGTTGCATAATCTCGCTGTCTGGGTGGGAGTCTCAGTTGTATTCCGTGTACATTCTTCTTTTAATTTTGCACTATTTTGTTTTTTGAATTCCTCTTGTTATCATTGTCTCACGTGTCGATGATTTGGAGTTGTTGTTTTGTCTAGCGGAAACCAAAAAAGTGCCTGTTTTCGTACTAGCATATCATACAAGTCAATAAATACAACTTTGAAAATATGTTTAACTTTTAGAGCTGGTTAGACTTAGTTTCGTAGTCAAAAGTGGATGAAAGTGATAAAACAAAGTTGTCCACAAATGAATGCCCTATATTATCAGAGAAAACGCCATCCATGCTAGCTGTTGTCTCGTGTTGAGGGAAATAGACCAACGCCCTTATTTCCATACCACAAATGCGCCTATATGTACCCGAGCAACTGAAAAAAAAGGAGAAAATTTCATGCTCACGGAGCATCCAGCATCATCATATCGGCTTCGATGTCATCATCGAACTCGTCGTCCTCGATAATCCTCTGCGTGGTGGTGACCACCCCATCCATGGTGTGTCCATTCGCGAGCTCTTCTCTCATAATCCGCTCCTCCTCTGACCTTCGCTTCGCCTCGTGGCGCTCGATGTCAGCTAAGTTCCACGTGGAAATGCCCTCCTGATCCTTTGCCTTGAAAGGCTGCGCCATAGTGCGAAGGAAGTTCTTGGCATTGGCCACGGCCATATCTGTGCTGAGGTTGGTTTCGCTATCCAGCATTGCTTGGTTGATCCACTTGGGGAGCTGGGGACGCTTGCGCTCGAATCGACGATCTGCCAACACCATGACTCCGTAGTCGTCCTTGCCGCGTAGCACGCGACCCAGACATTGGGCGGCATGTCGGATTGCGTCGAAGGATAGGAAGTCATTTTCCCGAATGTGATAGTTCTCGCGCAGGAACTCGAGGCGGGCTTTCAAGATGCGGGACTCCGTGTACTGAAAGGGGACACCGATGCACAACACTGCGCGGCCATAGTGATGATCGAAATCGATACCCTCAGACACCTTGCCTCGTGCGACACAAAGCAGGATCGCACCCCGGCCATTACAGCAAGCTGTACGGTACGTCTCCAAGGCGAGCGATGATTCCTGCGCGTCGGGGGTTTCGACGAGAATCAACTTGTAGTTCCAGATTTGATCCAAGATGCCCATTCCTTGCCACATGCTGATGATTGATTCCATGTAGAGATAAGACGGGAAGAAAACCACGATGCCGTCTGGAGTGATGCGTGCGAATTCTGTGACGAGGGTCCCGTAATTGCGCACAACACCGGGATCATTGCGAATTCCAAAGGAAGATGAGACTTGAGCTTGGTCTGAGCCGCGAGTGACAATCATGGGCAAGAAAGAGCGTCGTGCCAGCGTCATACTATATGACTCTTGCATGACAGCAGTGAACCCTAGCATCTTGGGATACATTTCGAGAGGCGACAAGGTACCGGAAGTGATGATAACCGAGCTGAAACGGTCGAACACTGGCTTAATGGCGATAGCAGCATCCAAGCATGTAAAGTGTAATATCGGATTGGGAACGGTGGCTGCTTCCGACTCGTACGGCTCCAAGATCAGAACGAATCCCTTGTCGTAGGTTGCGACAAGAGTCGCAAATGTCGCTACCTCTTGCAGAGGCTGGTAGTCTTCAATATTGACAAGTTCCAGAGTGCGGACTAGCGAGGTAAGGCGCTCAGCACAGAACCTTAAGGGTTTTCGCTCGATGTAAGTCAAGTCTTTCAGATGCGTGAGGAAGGACGGCGGCGTCTCAGATATGGTGTGAGTCACTTTCATTCGAGTCTTCAGATATTCGATAAATCGTTTCAGGAAGGCAACGAAGTGTTCAGCTCGGCGAATGTTTCCTGGCACCGCTTCCTTCAACAAGTCATCTGGCAATACCGGGTTCGAGATGAATTGATCTTCCTCCCGTGCTTGTTCTGCCTGCTGCAGGCCCTCCACAAGCTTTGAATATTCGTTCTGCAGCTTCTCTGCATCCGTGCTCTTCATTTCTTCGATCTTGCGTTCCAGATTGGTTGCGCCCCTGGTAGCTTTGCGAAGGGCGTCCTCGCTGAGATCGATACTGAGCGATTCAATGCAGACATTGTCAATATTGTGCGCCTCGTCAAAGACCACTATACAGTCCTTGGAGAGCTCTCGAGATACTCGTTCGGCGATTTTAGGATCGAGGAGGTAATGGTATGAGTAGATGATAATATTGCACCAGGGCATCTAGATCCAAAGAGTTAGGATCAGAATCTGCATCGTTCCAAGGGTTGTCTCACCATGCGCCGAGCAGAGAAATAGGGACATTGTTTATGTTCTTCTCCGTATCGGATCAGTCCATCGAGTGTGAAGACTCCAGGAGGGATCAGGTTATGCGGCTCGAGCAAGTCAAGATTCTACATCTCGTTAGAAGGCTGCCCAAAGGTCGTAAAGTCGTGATCCTCACCTCGTGGTACACACACAGCTCGACGTCTTCTCCGCGCTCCTTCTTCTCCTTGACAAAGCCGGCTGTCAAGCTGCGACACCTTGCGTCAACCACAGTGCCGCTCTTCTCTCTCTTCACAGATGGGTGGAGACACAGATTTTTGCGACTCGTCAGCCCCAGCGCGCGAAACTCCTCTGTATATCCTAGCTCCTTTTCTCGATGCTTCATCAACGCCTTCAACTCCGCCAGGGCCTTTTCAATCTCGGACATGGTTCGGGAGCAGTAGATGAGCTTGCGGTGTTCTGGGTAGTGTTGCTGGTAGGCGACAATCAGCGACAGCAGCGAGACGGTCTTTCCTGTGCCCGAAGGCATCTCCAGCACACAGTGACCCCCTGCGTCGAGGGTCTTCTTGAGATCGCACATGTAGGCATACTGCTCGGGATAGATGCGAGGATACGGGAAGAGCACGGGGAGGTCGCTGCAGAGAAGGTGGGAGTTAGCCAGATGGCGACAGAAGCCGCAGGGCAGAAGCGATACTCAATGAAGAACTTCATCGTGACTGGACCACAGCCTCTCGACCCCGGGAGAACAGCAGAAGAAGAACAGGAAAGAAGACAAGAGCGAAAGAGAAGGAAACGCGACCTTTCCCCTTTGGGACAGCAATGACACCAGCCCACGTGACTTCCTTATCGGGTGTCCGACGAGTGTGTGCAAGTTGTGGAAGGTGCGACCAATGTTCCTCGACACTTTTCCAAAAGGAAGGAACGACTGCCGATTGACCTTCGATAAGGACAGAGTGCAGGCCACACACACTCTCTCCTTCTCGCCTGTGCTTCTTCTTTCAGGTCTCGCATAACTACCCCACATGAGCAAAAAGTTCAAATCCCAGGCCTCCAGCAGTCGCGCTGCTGCCAGCGCCTTTGGTGGATTCGGTGGCTTCTCCAGCCAAGGTCGCGAGCCATCGGCTCTCACATACATCGCGGAGCCACCAGATCTCTCACGCATTGCCGAACAGCAACTGGTGATCGCATTCAAGAACCTGCAGAAGAAAGATGAGATCACACGGACGAAAGCTTTGGAGGAGCTCAAGGACTATATTCTCGCCATTGAGGGCCGGAATGGAACTCTCGATGACGGGCTATTGGACGCATGGGTATGTATATCTGATCCGATCTACACCAGAACAGGGTAGACTAACACATTTATCAGGTGAAAATATACCCGCGAGCTTCAATCGACCTCTCTCGCAGAGTTAGACAGTTGGCACATCTCCTACAGGGCTCAATTGCTTCCCTCGTGGGCAAGCGCATCGTGCCTTACCTCCCCAAGGTGGTGGGCGCATGGCTCGCCGGACTCTACGACAATGACCGACCGGTCCATCGGTCTGCCCTAGAGTCGTTCAGCAAAGTCTTCTCTACGGAGGAGAAAAGGAACAATGTATGGAATATCTACCAAAGTTCGATCCTGGACTTTGTAGATGATGTCATCCTTCATCAGACTTCCTTAACATTGAGCGACGAGAGAACTGTCAAGCGTGATGATGCTGAAGCAAAATACGCACGCGTAGTGGGAGCTGCAGCTCTGCTATTCAACAGAATTCTGGGTATGTTGATATCCGTTCCTTTTCGATACTTCGAAATCCTGACAAGTGAGGGCAAATAGGGAATTCAGCAGACGTCGACCTGCAGAAAGATATGGCCACCATCGAGAATCTCCTGGGGAGTAAGTCGCTGTGGGCTTTCTGCCATAATGACGATCCATATGTTCGTCGATCAATATATATTCTCCTGCGATCTGCGGTTTCCCGAGAACCAGCATGGCTTGATTGGAACGTCCTCAGCACGTCTGTAATTGGGAAATCGTTATCTATCCCACAGATTGGATCTGCTTCCGAGCTGTCTGAATCTCTCCTGCTATTGACATCATCACGCCCCCAAGTCTGGACTGAGGATTATACTGGAAAGTCATCCTCCTCGAAAAGGCTACGCCAGTACATTCAAAAGGGGTCTCAAGGCGGTCCCGGGCTCTTTTGGTCAAACCTCGATAATTTATTGCGAATTGTGCCATCTCAAGTTCTTGCAGGAGCTGACAAGACATCTGCCAATGAGGAAATCAATGCCTCAAGTGCCGTTGTCCTGGCGGAAGCTTTTCAAGAAGGCCTCTGTTCTCGAGAAGAACCACGCCAGAATCTTGCTATTGGGTGGAAATCCTACGTCCACGTCGGGACGTGGCTCGCAAGTCTACTGCCTCAGGATCAAAGATCCGAATTTATCCAAAAGAGAATGTCTCCTCTGGTGGAAAATTACGTGCGGCCTGAAACTGCTCAATGGTTGCTGCCGCCACAAGCCGCTGAAGATATTTGCGTCACTTATCTCGCCAGTGCAGCTTCACAAAGACAGGATCAAGAGATCCACTCATTGTGGACAAAATTGTCAGACGATTTGCTGCAAGCAGTGAAGTTATCATCCCCTGAGCAGTCAAAAGATTTTCGGACATCACAAAATTCGATTTGCGATCAATCAAAGCGCTTGTTTTCCTTAGAAGCTGCGCTGGTCTCTTGGGTTCCAGACAAGGATGAAGAATTTGTTCTGGGAGTCTTCGACAAAACAGGCTTATCCCTACTTCATGAATGCTTGCAAGTTCTTCGATCTCGCAACGGGAAGCCGTATGGAGCTGCGGCTGTGGTGGAGGAATGCGTGCGGCATATGCCCCAAATTGCACAGCGCTCACAGGAGCTTCTGAGCTTCGTCCAAACAGATGCGCCGGGGCTTCTGAACTCGCCATCCGCGGACCGCTTGATTGCAACAATCCTGCTATGTCGGGAGTGGGATGGATTTGCGTCTAGCTTTGAGAACATTGTCGAGCGGACCATGGAGCTGGAGCCTGAGCAGTCGAATGCAAGCGTTCTTCAGAACCTGCTCTCAACCCTCGATTTCAATGAAGTCGGAGACAGAGACAAGCTCGCTTCCCTCGTGATGCGGGCTCTGGATAATGCCTGCAAAGGAAGCCAACCCCATTGGCCAATTATCACGGCTGTCCTTCAAAACCACTCCTCTCGTGGCGAATTGCTGGATCGCATCTTTCTGTCGATCATTGACTCCTTATCTTCGGAGGACAGAGTGTTTGACGCGTTGCACGGGCTTTCTCAAATCGGAAAGACTACACCGTCAGCAGTGAAGGCGTTCCAAAGTGGATCTCATGGATCAAAGTTGGCAGGGAAGCTTCTGTACCTCACAGAGTCTCCCTCAGAGGAAGTGGCTAATCTTGCAGAATCTTTAATGAGGACCTTCAAGGAATCTTCCATTGGTGGTACCAGCGCCAAGTCTAACATTGAAATCCTTCATCACGAGTTTAGCCAAGTCAGCGAAGAGTCATTATCGTGAGTGATCCCACCCAATCCGTGCTGAAATATAGCTAATAAGTTTAGTATCCACTCTCTCATTGCCATCGCAGAAGAAGTGGCTCATAGCTCGAAACCGGAGACGTCCACAAGTATCACAGACATCCTTCCGTCTCGCAGCTCATGGGAGGATGCATTGAGTCCGTTTCTCCAAATCCCCCCTCGACCCTCGACGGCCATCACAAGCCCGTTGGGTGGCACTGTGCAGCTCATCCAACGTGAGCTATCGGATTCATTCAGGGCGTTATGGCTATCTATTCCCCGAGATTCAGCTCGTTGCTCCGCAGCATTCCGCCTAGCCACTTTCACGATTAGAGCTCTGTCCTCGTTTGATATTGTAAATCAATTGGACAAGGAAGCCCTTGAGACATTGTTCTATTTTCTTCCGTTGGCCATCCAGCTCATGGATGACGATCTGAGCATCGAAAACTGCAACGGCATTACAGGTCTCGAGCTAGCCGACCAACGAGAAGAGTATATGGACACTGTTCTTGATGGCCGAAAGGTTATCGCTACCTGGATCCATGCCCAAGAGCCATTGAAGTCTTTACAAGATATGTCTATCTCTTCTTTGTTTACTTTGTTCTGGGAGTCCAAATTGGAAGCACTCGATGGCACCACTCCCATAAATTACAGGGTTGGAGAGGCCTATGTGAAGATTATGAACAGTGTCGATTCAGTGCATGCTTCAAAATCATCGGACGAGGTTGCCAAAATCTGCAGGGAGGCGCGGACAGCCAATGCCATCCGCTCAACAGCTAGATTTGCCGTCTTGCGGAGTTCTATTCTGTCTAACCCCGTTGGGAATCGGATATGCAATGAATTGGTTGCTGATTCAACTGGACTCAAGCCTCAGGAGGAGCGCTCAGATGGTAAGTCGTTATTTGCTATTCTCTGTACTTTACTAACAACTTCCAGGTCTGCGAAAACTAGTCCTTCTCAATACATTGTTTGCAGGGGAAGAAAACGTCGCTTCGACCATTCCAAACCAGAGATTGGTTTTCCTTACCAAGCATCTGCTGCAATGCCTCCAGTCTGATATTAAATCTCTCGGGATACGAGCCGAAATCATCAAGACACTGGCATTTGTTCTCCCATGTCTCGGCGAGATTTACGGATCACATTGGGAGGAGAGCATGGAGGTTCTCAGTGCTACCTGGAGAGAGACCAGTGGTGGTGAAGATGCATTGCCGTTGCTGGTGGCGTCATTCGGACTCTTCTTGCGTTTGAAGTCCATTGCCGAAAGTGACAGTAATGATGATGTTCAGGATGCTTGGTCCGAGCGGAAAGCTGGGCTTTTCAATGATTTGGCTTCTACAATTGACAAGTTTGGTAAGGTCACCACCCGTTATCACTGGTAAACCAGTCACTAATTGCATAAAGACTCAACCACTACGTTCCATCAACCTCGTGACGTGGCTGTTGATAGACTGCGTCGTTTGATCAACACAATCCCGATTGAGAAGCTGGAGGATGTCAGCGAGATCTTCCAGCTTCTGACTGCGCACAGTCGAGCAGTCCAGCGAACAGCCTACACGATCCTCCACCGGTACATCCCGCAGACGCAGGAGCAGGTCTCGTTCGATGTAGCTTTGTCGAAGACGGCAGTCAGCCTGCCCGACGAGCTTCTATCGTTGCTTCTTGAACCCCCGACAATGCAGGCGGTGTCGTTGTCCTATGGTGATGACAAGATGTGGACCAGCATGAGGTCATATCTTCTGAGCTGGAAGGTGGTCTTTGACCACTTTACCAATGCGGTAAGCTTTAAGTTATTCTTTTTTGGGTATCTCGCTAACGTGGAAATAAAAGTCCCTCCCCGTCCAAGAGTACTACGCATCCAACATCAAAGAGAACGAGATACTGATTCCCTTGCTGGAGTTCACGTTCGCCTTCCTTCAAAAGTCACATGGCAAGATCGTCGATGCTTCCAAGCTTGATGTGCGGTCTTTTGAGCCAGATGAGTCCGAGAGCGCCGAGAAAGAAACGCAGTGGCTTCTGGTGCATCTGTACTACTTGTGTCTGCGGCATTTGGCGAACATGACAAAGACCTGGTGGATTGACACCAAGAAACGGGTTAAGGGTCCCGTGGAAGTCTGGACTGAGAAATACGTGAGTAAACCAAGGTCTTCGTGTCAATTCGTCCGGGCTGACGATCCTTTTTTAGATCTCCCCTCTTGTCGTCATGGATGCTCTGCAGAGCGTAACCGAATGGGTTTCGACGCAGGACCAGGATGAAGAACGCGCCTTGTCTGTGAAGGTTTCACCCAGAACTGCTGAGATCATTGCTAGTGTGACCGTGGACGAGGAGTCTCCGGATGTCGCCATCTCGATCTCGCTGCCTCCCGCGTACCCGCTTCAGCCGGCGGTGGTCGTCGGCCGGAGCCGGGTGCTGGTGGATGAGAAGAAGTGGAAGAGCTGGCTGCTCACAATCCAAGGCGTGATAATGTTCGCCAACGGCAATCTCGTTGATGGGCTGCTGGCCTTCCGGCGCAACGTGCAAGGAGCGCTCAAGGGCCAGAGCGAGTGCGCGATCTGCTACTCGGTCATCTCGACAGACATGCAGACGCCCAACAAGCGGTGCGCGACATGCAAGAACACCTTTCACTCGGTGTGTCTGTTCCGGTGGTTCAAGAGCAGCAACCAGAGCACTTGTCCGCTGTGTCGCAACAATTTTGTGTATGTATAGATAGACTAGAGATTAGATAACGAGAGCAACGTTATCGATGATGCCCCACCTGCTCGATCTCCCACTTTCACCTCTTTCTTCCTCTTCTTCCTCCTTTCATGGCCGCCCCCCAGATCCCCAACCTTAACACTCTCCGACGAGGTGGCCGCCGGTCCCGACCCGATGATGGCCCATCGCGCCCTCAAGGAAAAGACTGTGTGGTCCAGGGCACGGATAATGACGCCAGCGTCTCCCGGCTGAGCGCCGTCGAGCTGGGGTACTTGGACGACGCGTACGTAGAGGCATTGACACCGTCCGAATCGGCGACCAGGCGGCTTCCAATTATCAATCGAGGTTGGTGATTCGATTTGTAGCACAAATGCACGGCTGACGGGGCGCCCCAGGAACCTATGTTCGCGCTACCGCGATCGACCAGCTCGTCGCTCGCTTCCTCGGCCCGTACAGCGCGGACAACCAGATGAAACAGATCATCTCGCTGGGTGCTGGTTCTGATACACGGATCTTTCGCCTGCTCTCGTCGCGTTCGGCCCCAGACTTTGTCTACCACGAGATCGATTTCCCCGTCAACACAGCGGCTAAGGTCCGTGCTATTCGCTCATCACCGCTGCTGCAACAAGTGCTAGGCATCAATGCCTCCGAGAATAAGGTGACGGTCTCGGAATCCGCGGATGCCCTTCACTCGCCCGCGTATCACCTCCATCCTCTCGACCTGCGCGTCCTCTCCCCGGACACACCATCTCCAGAAACATTACTTCCTGGCGTGGAAACCGGGCTACCAACCCTCCTGATCTCCGAATGCTGTCTGATCTACCTATCACCAACTGAAGCCGACAATGTCGTTGCCTTCTTCACGAAACTCATTTCCAACCATGCCGCACAACCACCCACCACCCCCCTCGGGCTAATCTTCTACGAACCAATCCGACCAAACGACCCCTTTGGCCGCACAATGGTCTCCAATCTCGCAGCGCGTGGAATCCACCTTCAGACTCTGCATCGGTATGCCTCGCTCGAGGCACAGCGGGCCCGGTTCCGGGAACAGGGACTCGCGAGCGGACAGGCCGCTGCAGATATTGATTTTATTTGGGAGCGATGGGTGGACGAGGAGGAGAAAGAGCGTGTGGCCGGGTTAGAGATGCTGGATGAGATGGAGGAGTGGCGGTTGCTGGCTCGGCATTACTGCGTTGCTTGGGGGTGGAGGGATCGTGATGATGAGCCGGTATTTGGGGGATGGAAGACCTTGGAGGCTCAGGAGGACAGCGAGTGATGTAAACAACTGATATCCAAAATGATATTCTATGATAGTCATGGGTATTTAACAGCGAAAGCAATTTACTCATCCATCTGCCACTGGTACTCCAGCGCCTCCATCCTCTCCTTCTTATTTCTCGACGCAAACCACTCCTTCTCAAATCCATTGGCTCGATCCACTCCATCCCACCGGTGGCCCGGGCGAATACCGTAGCGATTGGGCTGGAACGCGCCCTTGTACAACGGTTTCCCAGTAACGCTGGCCCCGGGCTCAGGGAGGTTTGTCAGGAACTGCGCAGCGGGATCGTTCCACCGCTGCCGCGCCTTGAGTTCATCGTTCATCGTGTCGTCTTCAATCGTCCGTGCCACGGGCATGCTTCGCACATCTTGTAGTTCCTGCTTGCGCGCCTCGCGTTGTTGTCGTTGCACATCGCCCATCAGCGCCTCGCGGGCGCGCTCTTCTTTCTCGCGTTTTTCTTCTTCAGCGCGCCGCGCTTCGGCCCGCTTCATTGCCACGTTGATGATGCGTCCAGAGGCGTCACGATAGATTGTTTCCTGGGCCATTGCGTCGGAAGCTCCGGGGTCTTGGAACTGAGCTGCCTCGGCTCGTTTCCGTCGCTCCTGCGCCTTCACCATGGCCGCTGTCTGCTTGGCTGTCTGCAGTCCTGCGAGCGCCCCGGATTCCATGCGCAGGCCCTGGTCTCCCTCCTCCCCTTCTATCATCGGCGCATCGTCATCGTCGCCCTCTGCACGCTGTGCCGCCTGCTCCGCCGCTGCAGATGCTAAGATCGCGTCTGCGGCCTCTTGTTCATTGCCTGCGCCTGACACCCCGATGGTTTTCCAGCCGGATTTCTTGGCGCGTCGGAACTCAGCGCTCTTGTGTGTTGTGTCCACGGATGGGCGGTCCTCATCGTCGAGTCCTGTGTTTGCGGCTGAGGATCGCAGGTCCGTTGGGTCGTCGTCGGTGATGATGAGTCCCGAGTCTGCGGTGTCAACGGCTTTGGTCTTCTTGCGTTTCTTTTTGGGTCGTTCTGTGCCTGGATCGGCAGTGAGGTAGTTCTTGGCGAGGTACTCGGCCAGGGAGCCTGGCATGGTGGTGTGTTGTTTTTGGTATGCTTAACCAGTTGGGGGAGAACTGAAGGAAAGCACTTGAACCTGGAACGCTACAAGGACTTATCGATAATCGGCGGAAGGTTTATCCGAACTATACTCTCGGTTCCTTGCGTAGCTGATACTAAGAATAAAAAGGAAAATGGATTCAATTGAGATCCGCAATCTAAAATTGGGATGATATGAGTCAGGCTGATGCGCTACAGATCGCATTTTAATGCCATATTAGTGCCATTGTTACACAACGGGGTCAACAAGAATATAGGTATTACCACCAAGGCGCCGGTTATTTTGGCGTAGGGTGTCCCATATAACTTAAGCCCCAATCAGAAAACCGACCCGAGCTTGGAATGTACGAGCAAAAAGAATGGCTCGATATTTGTCAGTGCTAGATCGAATCGCCTTGATTGCCTCTTGAATTGTATTTCCACCGCTCAGATCACCACGTATATCGGAAGTTTGGCTGCTCCCGGTCCGTCAAATCCATTAGATCGGACTCTGAAATGCAGTGTTGGTCGCCATCATCGGCAACCGTTGCTCCTGTACTGCGCTTGTCTCGGCGGTGGTTCTCGTTCATGAGATATATCCTTGACTTTGTCAGTTTATGAGTATAAAGAAGAGAAGGCTTCGTGGACTCACATCAACGCCGCCTGTACCGCAATCATCATTGCCGACGTGACGAAATACGCCCGGAACCCTGTGGGGTATGTGGGAGCTTCGGAGGAGATGAAGAACTGTGGGGTGATGATCTGGCCAATGCAATAGCCGATAAATATAAAGACCTGCAACTATCACTATCATCTCCATCTAGATAGGGGCTGGCGAACTTACGCTCACCGTCATCTTCTTGGTGAATCCGGCAATATTGGACGAGATCATCGACATGCACATGATATATGAGACTGTGCACGTGAGGAGCGAATAGACCGCACCGAGGCGTGAGAGTTTTCGTTCTGTGGGGAGAGCTGCGAACTGATTCAGTATAGGAGGAATAAGGTAGGTAGGAAAGGAGCCAGTCACATACTGTAGAGCAAGACACTGCCGACTAGCACACAGATATTACTCAAGATCATGGCGATGCACCGTCCTCGACCGAAATAAGAGCAAATCACCCCACTGATTTGTTAGGAAATACAGTGTAAGGAAGATATGGGAAACCGCTTACGCAAGAAGGATCGAGACGAGCTGAATAGCATGTTCAGGCATGGCGACCACAGTCGACTCAACGCTCGAGTAACCCAGGCCTGTTAAGATAATTTTGTTGAACTAAGGGAGGGCGTCAGCGTTGGCTTTCATAACGAGGAGATCTTCATCTTCTTACCGCGGTTAATCCGCCTCCGGGGATGCATTGCAGAAACACGATGGCGAAGAGCATCCACACCTGGGGGTCACAGAAGCACTCCTTAACCTGATAAAGCTTATACTGCCGGTTGTGTAGGCCGACATGGTTTTGCAGGACCTGAGCAGGTCAGCGGACATGCTTTTCAATTTCAAATAGGATACTTACCCGCATAACAGCAATCTTCCTCTCCCGTGGTGTCAAGAACCATGCTGTCATGGGTGAGCTGGGCATGACAAAGAAGAGGAAGATCCCCCAGAGCATGGTGATGGGGCCAAAGATGAGGAAAAGATACTGCCATTGGCCCAGCGAGCCATTCAGATGGCCCACACCATTAGCGACGCCGTCTCCGATAAATGCCGCGACGGGCCCCCCGGCCCACCACAGACAGGCTCGCAAGGCGTGCTCCTTCCGGGTATAGTATTGGGTAACCAACAGGGTGAACACAGGGTTGTTCGACGCCTCGAAGATGCCCAAGAAGAACCGACTAGTTGCCAGCGTCGCGAAGTTGGTCGAGCCTGCCGAGGCCGTCACGCTCAGACCCCAGAAGAAGACCATGGACCCGATCCAGCGGCCAAGGGGCAGACGTTGCATGAAGATGGAATTGGGATATTGCCAGACCAAGAAGCTAGCTTTGTTTTAGTAGAGTCCTACCGCTATGGAGAAAAACATACCCAAAGTAGAAGATGGAATTGGTCCAGCTGTATTGTTGGCCTTGCAGATTCTAAATAGTCAGTTAGACTTAGACTAGCATTCACGGGTGGTAGGGTCTTACCAGGTCGGTTTCCATTCCGTAGACCGCAGCTGTCGACAGGATCGCCTTATCAATGAAGGAGAGTAGGTAACTGACAAACATCTACTTACTTTGAGTCTAAGTGCCGGGGAATTCACCGTGGCTAGTACTCACCATCGGAACCAGCGTCATATCGAGCTTCCAGCGGACGACGGACGCCTCATGTTGGCTGTACTCCAGCACTAGGTCGCCACCCAGCATGTCTGCAGCATCATCATATCCCTGCTGCGCCTTGCTCTTCTCCACGGCCGGAGTTGCCGATTCTTCAACTTCAATCTCGCCCATTGTTTGATCAAAGACCCGTGAACAGATAGGATGTCAAGTCGCCTGGGTCTTGCGGTGGGAGAAAATGGGTCTGTCCGGGGTACCTTATAGCATTAAATACTTGGCCTCGGTTCCAGACACTGGACAATCATTTCTGAGAACCCCGCATCACATCGACCTTGGCTGGGGAATTCTTCTTCGTGAACGGTTATCAGCGCGGTGGTTGGGTCTCGGTACTGCCGATCTATCGGGAGCCATCCGGGACATCGGCGGTGCCGATAATCAACCCTAACTGACCACGACAGGAGCCATCTGTCGGCTGAATGCCGATGAAATTGAAATTAAAATGGGTTATAAGACGACTGACACGCCCAGCTGAATTAAAACAGCCACCCCCGTACGGTTCGCAGGATCCATTATGGCAGCATCTCCTTTCTACCAACATGTGGTCGTCCAAGGACTACCCTACGACCGGGGCTTCTCCCACGGCGAGCAAGCCAGAGAGAAGATCCAACGTAACGTCAAGTACTATAAACAGCCAGGAAAACTAGGGCCACGGTAGGAAGAACCATAATGAGAATATATTCGAGACAAACACTAAAGTCAGAGCAGGGCCTCGGTTTCTCGCATCATCCGCGAGTGCTACATTCCAGGCCTGCAACAGTACTGGCCGTCTGGATGGGATGAAATGCGCGGCGTCGCGGCCGGGGCGGCCGTGGACGTGGAGGACATCGTCATGCTGAATGCGCGGTACGACCTTTCACACGTTAAATTAAGCGAAGATGCGCCCTCGGACGAGTGCACATCGGCCATCATCCTCGCCCCCGCAACGGCGGACGGAGCGGTCCTCACAGCACAGAACTGGGATATGGCACATCGTCTCGTCACTGAGGATGCCATAATCTACCTGGAGATTCACCCAGACCCGTCTGAGGCAATCCCGGCCATGTTCCTTGTCACCGAGGCGGGCCAGCTGGGCCGGTCCGGCTGCAACGCGGCTGGGCTGGGGCTGACGGCCAATTCGTTGCAGAGTGGGATCGACCAGGCTCCCGATCTGCGCACGCCAGTGCCCCCCTGCGGAGCGCTGCGACGGCTCTTCCTCGAGCAGTCGACCTATTCAGCCGGGCTCAAGTGCATCGCCCGCACACCGCGTCATGTGTCATGCAATATGATGCTTTCGTCCGCCGACAATCTTGGCATGTGTCTCGAGGTGACGCCGCAGACCATTTTTCGGGCAAGTGTGCCCTCGTCATCGGAGAAGCCTTACATGGTGCACAGTAACCACTTCCAGAACCTCGGCTTCCAGGTACAGACGGCGATTGAAGACACCTATGGCGGCGGCAGCTCGTGGTATCGCGACCAGCGGCTCGAGGCTGGACTGAGAGACCAGGCACTTCGGGGAGCGCTGACAGAGTATGCCGTTGTGACGGCGTTGCAGGACCACGCAGGCTATCCGCACAGCCTGTGTGAGCATGTTCGCGAGGACCACGGAAAACAGCAGCAGACCTCCGGCCCGTATGGCGGGCCCACGTCAACCGTGTGCTGTGTTGTGTATAATCTGTCGCGGTGCACTGTGCGAGTGTGCAAAGGCTGCCCGTGCGAGGGGGTGTTCCAAGAGTTTCATCTGCAAAGGCTTAAGGCAAAAATGTAGATAGAGACTAGCATGTGTTGTCAAACCAAAACTGGTTGCGGATAAACTCATCATCCACTAGATCATCGAAGATGGACCAAAAGTTGTCGTCGTTCGGGGCCATCTCCACGGCCGACAAACCTTGAGTAGATGCCGCAGGATGGCTGGTGGAAACGATCTCCATCATGCGGCGTGCCAGCGTTTCAAACGCGTCCCGGAACCGCTGGGTAGATGGCCACTGCTCCGAGATGGCGAATAGTACATTCGAGCACGCCCGGATGTCCTCCAGCGCGGCCAGGTCCGGCACCTGCTCCCGCCGGGCCCAAGCGCAATACAGCAGCGTCAGGCCGGCCGTAAAGATAGAGTGAAGGGCCAGCAGGTTCCAGCCGAGCCGGCGGCGCTGGTGCAGTGTTTTGTAGCACTGACAGACATCTCCCGCGGCGCGCGCGCTGAGCGAGAGATAGAAGGCCGTCTGAGAGCTGTCGCCTCGGTCACCGGTGATGCGCGGCTGCAGCAGCATGCGCAGCGCCTTGCTGTACTGGATCTCGAAAAATTCGCGCGTGTCGTAGAGAGAGTAGTTGGGTCCATCCGTCTGGCTGTCCAGTGAAGCCCACACTCCGAGGCGCCACGCTTCGAGCTCGTGACGGAAGCGCTCGATTGTCTCGTCGTCATGCGCGCTGGGGAGGTTGGTGTCGAAGACCTCACGGTGAATACGACTTTCCAGGTGACGTAGGCGGCACATGTGAGTGAAAGAGACAAAGTCCTCTGTGTCGGGGATCTAACAAACCGTGAGTATATTAAAGTCTCTCTGAATCCACTCAGGATCACACCGAGAAGGGGAGGAGCCGTACTGGTACATCAATATCGTGGTCGGCCAGCGCGAACGGCCGCCCTAGCGTCAGAGACACAGCACGGTCTAGCAGATATGCGCTCCAAAAGACGCGGTGGCGGATCTCCATGTCTTCTGCGCTGAGTTGCCTCGCCCGAGCGCCTCGCAGGTTGCGATGGAGGCCCAATTCAACGGCGTGACGGACGGCGAGCCCGATGAGGTGCCAGCTCCCGATACTCGACAGGTTGGTGGGCGTTCGTAAGAGATAGGTCGCAATCAGGAGCAGGGCCTGGACACGCTGCAGGCTCTGCTGGGCCAAGGCCTTGTCGACCTGGAGCATGGCGCGCGAAAAATATACCTGATTTGGGGGTTAATCATCCACCGCTTGGTCGTTAGCCCTTGTGGACGACATACCTCTGGGCTCGCTGATCGATAAAGCTCAGGATGCAGCTGGACGAGCCTCGCGCCGATGGCGCAGACCATGTCCCGCTGGAAGAGGTACGAGGCGTCCTGGTCATCTTCTGGCTGCTGGAAGGACCTCTGCGCCAGAAAGGGATAGCGAGGATGCACCCTGTTGAAGAATGTGTCGAGCAGCATTTCCTCTGCATCGACCAACGGTCCAGCGGCCGTGCCAGCTCCCCAGGCCGCATCCTCGGGCGCGGGGTGATCTGTCGGCCGCGACTCGGCTAAGATCCCCTCGACAAGCCGTGACAGCGACAGACCCGATGTTGCGCCGACAAAGGATGGCTCGGCTGCGGCATTCAGACTTAAGAGAACGACATCCGACGACAATTCCCCATGGTGGGATGTCACGGGGTCATGGGAACTGCTGCTTTCACTAGCTTTGAGGCGAGCCTGCAGCTCGGCAACCTGTCGCTCCAGTCGGCTGGTGTGCTGCAGCAGATGCGAGCGCTCGGCCGGATAGGCCATATTGGCCGGGCTACTACTCGGCCATGCGCAGTCTGAGCTGCTGTCAGTGGTTTTGTCTTGTCTTGCTTGTTTAAAGACTTACGCGATCCTGATCGCTCACATGCCGAACAGACGGGGAGCCCACCATTGCACTAGTTCCAAGGTTGTTAGTAGTGCGGTAGCTTTGGTTCGCAGCGAGCGATTACTCTACCTTGGTCTTGCGCCGCTTGCAACGCTGACAGGCGATTGGGGCGCGCGTCCTTCGGGGAGAGGACATAACTGATGGAGGTGGATGAGAAAAGACGGATTACCGAAAGTCTCCGTACACCCCTAGAAAGCTAGATGCTTTTTGAATATGATTTTCCCAACCACTAAAGGTCAGAAATCATCAGAAAAAAGAAAAGTATAATGATTCAATAGATAAATTTATCCATATCGCCAATAATAGATGTTTTCTTCATAGACCTAGGCTCAGGGATACGTATCCTAATGTGCTGTGGATTCGAATAGTGGTAGGATATCAACACCTATGATGGATTAAATGCGCCTATAGATTGGAACTTCACGCCTATACTCGCAAAGCGGCGGGCGCCTGTAAGGACCTGGGTGTTGACTGTCATCACCAACATCCTTATCAAGACCACGATCTATAACCCACGCGCCACTTTTAAATCTCATCGCTCGCGTCTCTCTTACGCCTGTCCACGTCGATCCCGACTTTCCGTAGGTCTCCCATATTTTTCACAGCCTCTTTGTGTAGACCATTATCATCCGAATGGAAATATAACGACATATACGAATCTTTCAAAACGGAATATGAATGGTCAGACGCGATGGCTGAGACCTCGCTGTCTGAAAACTTGAGATAGTACCCTCCATGTACAGATCATTTGAGTTTGTGTTTGACGCCCGTGGTATTTAGTCTTCTACTGTTTGCTTCTGTTTTGCTCTTCTCTTCTCTAGTTTAGAGATTCTTGTAATCTTTTTCTCGATCTTTTTCTCAGATCTGGTCCTTCGTTCCCAACAGTATACCTCCATGGCTCTAGTAATGATACTCTTGATATCATGTATCAAATGAAGAACAGACCTCAGATTAGTATAGACTCCGTTGCAGTAGAGCCTTCCTTCGCTGGAACAGCAACGTAAAAAGCTCCTTACTTTTCTAATTTATGCGCCTATACTCTGATTGGAGAGTCGCACTCTTCCCCGGACCTGCGTTGTATATCATAACCACGATCCCATCAGAGAGCCCAGTTTTAGGCTCAACCCGTGAATCCTTTCACAAATATGATCGTATTGTATTTTAATAAGTACAGTATTACAAGATGTAATGTTCATATACGATGACATTTCTCTAAGTTTCCTGAATCCTAGGGTTCGATCGTGTCATGATTCAATATCGAAACCAGAACGGATGTAAACAACCGTTAACTTATACTAAGATGATTCAGCAGTTTATAGCTGCCAACCCTTGGATTAATGCAAAACTAGGCATCCCCACGATGGGCCTCGGGCCCTAGGTTTGGGCCCAAACCTAGAAGGCTTTGGCGCAGCAGCCCTGACTCCACTCTCCACCGGGCATAATACCTTGATGGATGGGGAATTTCTCCGGCGGGAATTCCACAACTGTAGGATTTAAACAATAGCTTGCCGTCAACAAGGTGCTTTCTCTCCGTGTCGATTTGTCCTCAAGATGTATCTGCTAGAGGTAGTCCTGGGCGCAATTTTGATTCTGCCAGCCATGGCATCGTCGATCAGCAGAAACTCGACATACACGAATCCCATGCTGCCGGGATGGCACTCAGACCCAAGTTGCATCTTCGTGGCTGAGGATCACAACTCCTTCTTCTGTGCGACATCATCGTTTCTCACCTTTCCAGGAATGCCCATATACACCAGCAAAGACTTGGTCAACTGGCGACTCTCTAGTCACGTCTTCTCTCGGCCATCCCAAGTGCCACAGATTGGAAATACAACAGTCCAAAATGGGGGCCTCTGGGCAACGACCATCCGGTATCACAACGGCAAATTCTACGCAATAGTATCATACACGCCAGAGACACCGTTCGTTGTCACAGGGTTCGTCTTCACGACTACTGATCCATACGATGACAGTGCATGGAGCGATCCGCTAGTATTTCCGCTGATTGACATCGATCCGAACCTGTTCTGGGACGATGACGGGACGACATACATGCAGTTCTCTGGCATCCATCAGCAAACCATTGACCTTGAGACGGGTGCTCTAGGACCTGCAACCATTATATGGAAAGGCTTCACTGAATACATTCCAGAGGGGCCGCGAATGTACAAGAAAGACGGATATTATTATCTTATGATTGCAGAAGGCGGAACAGAGCTGGGACACCACGAAGCCATCGCCCGGTCCAAGAATATCTGGGGTCCGTACGAAGGCTACGCGGGAAATCCTATCCTTACGAATACCAACACTACCGAGTATTTCCAGACCGTTGGCCACGCAGACCTCTTTCAAGATCCGTCTGGGAATTGGTGGGGTAGCGCCCTTGCCACAAGATCTGGACCTGCATGGGAAAATTATCCAATGGGTCGTGAGACTGTCTTATTCCCTGTGACGTGGGGTAAGGGCGAGTGGCCTGTTCTGCAACCAGTGCGTGGTCAGATGAGCGGCTGGTCGCTGCCTCCGCAGACGAGAACATTACCAGGAAGTGGACCGTTTATTGAAGATCCAGATATCATAGACTTCCCTCCAGGATCTGCGATCCCACCACATTTTCTACATTGGCGATTTCCACCAAAAGATGCATTCGCAGTCTCCCCTCGGGGACATCCTAATACGCTTCGGCTACATCCGTCAAAGTCAAATCTTACATCTAGCACAGCTATAGAAGAACTGAGCCTCATCATGCGTGTGCAGACAGACACCTTGTTTAGCTTTAGCGTCGACGTCGTTTTGTTTGAGCCAAAAGTACAAGAAGAGGAGGTTGGCGTGACGGCTTTTCTCACACAAACGCAGCATCTTGACCTAGGCATTGTGCTCTTGCCTGCGAGCCGTTCCGAATCAAAGGGCAAGGCGGAGTTAGCTCCCCATCTACGATTCCGTGTCACCAACGTGCCCACCCTGGCCGGTAACTTCAACGGAACCTTGCCGACTGCCATCAAGATGTTGCCAGAGAGTTGGCTAGATGCACCAATACGGTTACAGATCGATGCCGTCAATGAGACTCACTATGCTCTCTCCGCGGCGTCATCCAAGAAGCCTTTGGATAACGAACTCATGGGAATAGCACCTGCAACGATTTTGAGCGGCGGAGATGGTGAATTTACAGGTAAGGGTGGCATCCTATGCTAAATGAGTGGTCCATTCGCAGAACATGCTCCCAAAGCAGTTTATGGGGGCTACTACATACTTTGAACTGCGTCAAGCTTTTCTTACTGACAAATTCTCAGGCACACTCGTCGGGGTATATGCTACGAGTAACGGCGGCGTCGGAACGACGGCGTCATATATTAGCAGATGGCGCTACCAAGGCAAAGGACAGGATATCAACAATGGGACATTTGTACCATACAGTCCGTTTACAGCTTCACGCTGAGGCGTAACGAAACCATGGAAAATCTACATGTCTCTCAAGGTAGGAGCCTCTCATGTACTCTCTGTTGTTTCGTTCCGGATAAAAACCTCGGTGATTGGCACACTATAGATTAACAAAATAAGAAGCTACTTTGTCTGCTAGTGCTTGCATCTTTGGAGTAGATAACATGGCTTCGTTAACCATCGCGGTGATCGTAATGTGGTACTGCTTATCGGTAACTATTACTTTAGCTCCATCCGCGCGACCACTCTCGGCCGCTTTTCATCCCACTCGTCCCAGACGATGGAATAGATCGCGGTATGTCTCCCTGGCAATTCTCCCGTCGTGCCATTCCTTTTCTCCAGAGCCTCCACGGGGCTCCCGCGCGCAAACGCCCGATGCCACCGTAGGATACCTTCAAACTCGAATTCCATCCGCAATGCCGTCCTTCGAGACGCTATATTCTCGGCGTGGCATAGCCATTCCACACGCCGCAAGCCGAGACCCCCGGCAGGAGGTGGATCGAGCATATAGAGGAGGGCTAGCCCAATCGCATTCGTTCCTACGTGGGTGCGCTGAAAGTCTGGGAAGACAATTGCGCCCATCTCGGCGACCGCGTTGACTGGGTTCGTGTTTAGCAGGGATATAACGCCCGCGTACTTGTTACCAGCAGCTTTATCGATGACAGCATAGAGGCATATCTCGGGCGATGCCTGACTAGGATCATAAACCTCCCTTACAAAGTCCGCTTCGGTTTCAATCACTGGGAGCGCAATGTACGTGAAGGTCTCCGGATGGGTCTTAACCTCTTCGACGAAACGCACAACATGAACATTGGGCTGCCCGAGTTAGGTTCGTTGGTCTTTTTCGAGGAAATGATAGGCATACATCGAATGGCTCTAGGGCGACGAGATTATTCTCTAAGCGTCGCTGTTCGTAGTGAAAAACTACCTCCGACATGATGGATGTAACTGGTTTGTATAGCCAAAAAGATGTGTTGTCCCCTCGTGCGCGTAAGCAAGGACGACGCTAGTCAAAGCGGGGGCCGGGGAGGGCCCTCAAGTACACTACACATGTGCTTTCCTAGGACTGTAGTAGAAGGCTTGCTTTCAGCATCGTGTTCAGGTGAGATACACTGAAATTCAAAATGATTGTTTGTCAGGCTTACTGTAAGCAGCTAGAGCCACTAACTACTGCAAGCCACGGGAACAGCTATGGATCGGAGGGTCCGACCTGCTGTGGAACCTGCGTGGTAAAATCTGGCAGGCATACTAATCCAATCCCTCAGAATCTGCTTTTTGACGCAACATAAACTCGCAATTAATCTAATGCAGTGTATAAATTCAAGGCAAATATTGTCAGCGTTTAGGGGGCGCCCGGATCAATTTCGACGTTGCTTGTCCCGCCTCTCAACAGAGATGCGAGTGGATGGCGCTCTTTTCCATAGCCTAATGGCCGTACAACGCCAGGTGAACCTTTTTGCTTTAGCTTTTGTTGTAATCCTTTCTTGAATAGTCCTCGAGTTACCGAATATGCCGAGGATTATCTAATTTGACAGTCATTCACACTGTCTCCAAATATGCCACAGCATGAACAGTATTTGAACCAACTGTGCAAGAAAGGAGCTGAACAGCTCTCCGTCTGAAACTGGAGTAATTCGGCTAGATTTGGCTATTGCCGCAGCTGCATTATTGTAAGCTGCGAACTATATTTCTCAAATTGGATGAAGATTCTGATCTACTATCATAGTGTCATTCGCCAGCTTTAGTGAATCAGTCGCTGGTCCTCTTTCATATCACCACTCTGCATTAACATTGTCACATTTGGAGGCGCCTTCGCAACCTTGGTGTTTCTCTCCTCCGCCGAAGTGGTTTTGGATTCTCAGTGAGCTGCTCTAATCCTTTTAATAACCTCTCCTTCCACCATGCGCATGTGAAGAATTGACATAAATTAAAACAATCCTCCTTCTCATCATTATTCCCTCTACACAAAGACGACATGCACACGCCGCCCGTTCAGGCTGGGAATAGTGGCTGTAGTTAACTTAGAGGGGATCCCAAACACATGACTAATCCAAGGAACTGAAAAGCGAGCAAGGGAACTAACTCATCTGAACTCATTTCCTACACACTTAGTCGCGATCTTCATTCCCGTACTGTGCTATGTTCGAAGCATAGACACTTCGATATGCCCCGCTCCGAGGAAGCAGAGTGGTGGGCCAATGCCGTGTATGGCGCCATCCAGGAGATCCCCCGCGGCCGAGTCACAACATACGGCCACATTGCGCGTCTGCTGGGTGAACGTATGCCGTTTTGCCTTTGATCAATGGAGTGAGAGATTGATTGCTGACGCTATGAATAGCTCAGAGAGCCCGCCAGGTCGGCGTTGTTTTGAAATCTCTCCCACCCCCGGACTCGGGGAGCCATTTCACCTCGGAAAATGTGCCGTGGCAGCGGGTGATTAATTCCCGAGGCATGATTTCGCATCGGTATGCTATCTCTGAAGAAGTTTGCCAATAATAATATTATTAACCACGCTGACGATGATGGTAGCGGTCCTGGTAGCGCTCAGCGCCAAGCAGACGCGCTCCAGCAGGAAAATGTGGAGGCCACCACGGACAGTATGGGCGAGTGGTATGTAGACTTCTCGAGGTATGGCTGGTTTCCTACTTCGCTGCCGAATGAGGACGTGGCTGGCGACAACCCTTGATGATGGAGACATGTATTCTGTGCCAGAACGTCCGCAGCGAATAGTTGTATCTTCCTTACTCCTGGTGATCTACCCTGTGCACCGGCAGTTAAGGATCAAATTCATATATTGGGTCAGGCTGGTCTGGTTGGGTGGGAGTCTAGTATCGTAGACAAGGGGGATGAGGTTGCCCATCCTGGACCGCGCGAAACTCGGACAAATTCCACCACGGATAGGAGAAAACAACGCAACGAGACTCTATGACGCAGATAGAAAAGAGGAAAGATGAGAGGGACATGGACAGAATTGTGCGTGAGGCGCATCTGGTCGAAGAAAAACAACCTCCCCCCATGCCAACCAGAGTAAAAGACCCAAAGAGGAGACAAGAAACAAACCAACCCAGATCGTAATAAGTGGAAATAGGAAAGAAAAAGAAAGATCGTTAACCCACATTGATCACTGCGACATGACCTATCGTAGAACTTGTTCTTCTCACCGCCGCTTGACTTCGGTGGCCCATCCTTCAATCCCCTCCCCACGAGTCCCTGGTGCAACCCCTACATCAATGCCGTCCATCCCTACCGTCTCCTTCATCCACTCGTGCGATGCCATGCCACCCGCATTGGCGCGCTTATCTGGAGAAAGCTCGAGCATCGGGAGGAGGAACTCGCCGATGCGCATACTCTCTTCCATTGAGTAATGGTATTTTTCACGCAGGACGTCCGGCAAGGCCCAGTGGCGGAGTCGGTGTATATTGCGCAGTTCGCCGTTCCGCTTGAAGATCTCCTGGGACCATTTCCCGGATAAAGAGAGGGACTTGGGGAACGGGCCGAGCAGTTCGATGATCTGTGCGATGTGGTCGTCATCTTTCCCGTACTTGGTTCCCGACTGTGGGTCGAATAGGTAGTCTCCAGTAATGAGTTCAAAGACCTAAAACAGTTAGCAACAGGCTACAAAATCTAAACGACATCACTTACCATGCAGGCCATGCTCCAGACGTCAGTACTCGCTCCCCACTTGGCCCCCATGATGACTTCTGGTGACCGATATTGCCGCGTCTGGATGTCGTTCGTGAAATGGTGACCAACCCAGCATGCGTTACCCAGATCTGCGATCTTGACGGAGATGACATTGGCGTCGAACTCATCTTCTGGCTCCTTGGGTGACGAGCCTTTGTCTAGAGAGATTCCAGACACCTCTCTCTCTAGGAGATCACTGCGCGAGGGTGTCAGCTTGCAAAACCCTTAAATGGTCAATGGGAGCATACGCTGTCTTCTCCCTTGTTTTCTGTTGCTCGTCCTCATCCTTGACACCCAGTGTCTCCTTCATCGACGGCTTATCTGTTGAAGAGACTACACATATTAGTCAACTTGCCATTCCTTGTGGAGAGACCACCTACCTGATGACTCGTTCACCATCTGGCTGAGACTGCTGTGAGAGTTCTGGGAGCTGTGTTTAAAGTCGAAGCTGCTGAAGCTGGTATTCAACGGACTGGGCAGTGGCTGACTCCCCGTGATCAATGTCCGTCGTCGTCTCCGCCCATTGCGATTGTCCTCCTTCTCTTTGTCTTCTTTTTTGGTCTCCTCCTTCACATTGGCCTTGACGATCTGCTCCACATCACCGATCTCGATCAACACGTTCTCCGGTTTGAGGTCTGTGTGGATGATGCCGCACTCGCGGTGGAGGTAATCCAACCCAAGCAGCACTTGCTTGGTGATCTGCTTCACCAGCGGCATCGGAATCCCACGGTGGTTCCAGCGCTTGATCAGTCCCAGGAGATTCTCACCCAGCACCTCGAACACCATGCAGACATGCACACCGTTCGGTCCCTTGTGCTCGAACGAGTCGAGCAGACTGACGACATGTTTCCTGCCCGGATGCGAGGGTTTTGCCTGGACGATCCGGCTGAGGAGCTTGATCTCATCGATGGCGGTCTCGGTGTAGTGGGCGGCCGAGCGGACGACCTTGAGCGCGACATGCTTTCCCGTGGTTGTATCTCGCGACAGCCAGACCGTGGAGAAATGACCCCATCCCAGCTTGCGCACGACAACGTAGCGGCCGTTGTTGTATGTCTCTCCGACAACGACCGGGTGGTAGCCGCCCTTGCAGTAGTCCTCCGAATCTTCCTCCTCAGCGGTGGTCTCCAGCTCGTCGGCGGACGATGACGATGATGATCGCGACAACGGGGCTCCGGCCGGCTTCGGGTTGGTGGCCGCGGCACCACTGCGACGAAGATGAGAATTAGACATGGGGGGTGGTAGTTAGGACGGGCAGGCAGGACCTACGATTCGGTGGCGGGATCTGACCCAGGCGCGCCAACTTCATTCGTGACGATCGGCTTCAGATCAGTACCCTTGCGCCTCTTCTTGCCGCCGTTGCCATTGGCAGCTGACGCCGCAACGTTGGCCATCTGCTTGCCCTTGTTCAACATCGCCTTGGTGAGATCAACACCTTCCATGGTCGGTTGATTTGGGGGTTGTGGTGGTTGGGGAAAGCTGAGCGAGGCGGGGCAGACACGGTCGGCAAGTTCGTCTGGCTGCCCGGGCGAGGCGGTGGATGGGCGTGAAGCTGAACTGAGCCGAGTCCCGGGGAAAATAATACAGGAGAAAAAGGAACCGAACAGAAAAGAAAAAAAGGTAAGGAGGAAGATGGAAAGGCAGAAGGGGAAAATAACAGGTCAAGGTCGGGCCAGAAGATGGTCGATCCGTCACAGTGAGCGGCCACACTCTTGTTCCGCAAACAGCCACAGACACCTTAGGTACTTGCCCTTCTCCATGCTACATACTCCCGCGCTACGACACCACACCATGACCAGCCCCTTCCACCGTCGCCCTGTGCCCGACTACCTAATCTCATCGCCCCTGGCCGCCCTGCTCTACCCTCTGCACCAGTTGCTTCTCCATCTTCGCGGCCCTCCCCGTCTGCCCCCGCCTGATGCTCAGCCCATTCGTGTGGTCTGCATCTCCGACACCCACACCCTCGAATGGCCCGATGTGCCTGACGGTGACCTGCTCATCCACGCTGGTGACCTCTGCAATGATGGCTCGGTGCGTGAAATCCAGGCGGCGGTCGACTGGCTCAAAACACTGCCACATCCCCACAAAGTGGTGATCTGCGGCAACCATGACAGCTTCTTTGATGCGCGTTCCCGTTGCGAGGAGGACCGCGACGAGGAGGATGCATCCTTCGCTGCCATCTCATCCACCGCCTCGATTCGGTCCCTGGACGACTTGACTTCTGCTTCCCGCATCGACTGGGGCGATATCCATTACCTCCAACATTCGTCCGTCACTCTCTCGTTCCCGCCTGCCTCCTCGACATCCTCCACCACTGCTCTGATGAGCGCCCAGCCGCGCTCCCTGACTATCTATGGCGCACCCCAAATCCCAGCTATTGTTCCCTTTGGTCCGGAACATGCCTTTACATATCCTCCACACAACGATGCGTGGTCGCGAACGGTGCCTCCCGAGACCGACATCCTCATCACTCACACCCCGCCCCAGTCGCATCTAGACCTGTCTCCCATCTACTCCACCGGCTGTCCGAATCTCCTCGCCGAGTCCTGGCGTATTCGCCCTGCGTTACATGTCTTCGGACATGTCCACGAATCAGCCGGCCGCGAACCCGTGTTCTGGGATGACGCCCAGCGCGCATGGGAACGACTGTGTGCCAACCGCAGACCCCGCGCGCAATTTGGCCGCTTTACCTCGCTAGCTGGGTTCTTGCGCGATTTATTTGATCTCCCGGGCTGGGTCGACGCGGCCCGGGTGGTGGTCTACGGCGTGCTCGGGGTGATCTGGTCGCAGGTCTGGGGCGGCGAGAGCCGTGGCGGTGGATGGATGGTGAATGCGGCCTGCATGTATCGGGACAGCGGGCGTCTACGGAATCCGCCGCAGGTGATTGAGCTATGATCCCGCGCCCCCTTCCCTTTCTCTTCTTGGTACATACTTGCATAGCGTTGAGCATTTCTTTCCCACGGACGTCCTGCGGACTCCATGCGCGCATCATCTGATTATATCTAATTTGAACGGAATGTCAGCTAATCCACACAATCTATTGTCTGGGTACTGAGGATGCTCCGAGTGGACCAGTAAAGACACTGATTTCCCCTGGTAGGTCATCGCTCGTAGGCAGGGCACAAAGAGTGTCAGTCCACAAGGGCGTATGGCAGTTGCATAGTAACAATCTTTACTGTCGATCATCCCGAGTATGCAGTTGGCCCGTCTGCAGGATAACCATCCGTTTCCAATTCAGCCAGATGCCATTCCAGATTAACCGACGACGATCCGTGCAATTTTGAGCACATTTTGACTCGCGGCGCCACTGCTAATCATCACATTGTCTTTGTCCCTACATTTCAGTTCCACCTGCTGCGAATTATTAGTGCCACTCTGCATCTGCTCTGCTCCCCAGCTTTCGACTGTATAATGCAGCTAGGGAAAATCCTATTCCGTCCATTATTCTCCCGTACATCATTCGCCGATACCCGGGCAGTCCGAGCCAGCGATAGGTTCCGATTGCCACTGCGAGGCAGGGGGTGCATTATTGTCTGGTGGGCCTATCAGGCAGTACCGGATGAACCACGGCGGATTTTCCACAGGTCGGGCATAGGTGGTTAGTATACACTGGTTATGACGTATCTGTGTTCGGCAGCGCGGGGCGGGAAGGATGCCAAGTGATCACTACTCGGTGTTGGGGCTGTTCGTATCTTTATTATCCGAAGTGCGCCCGATACAGATGCGATCTAGCGTGCGGAATGATGGATGAGCCCGCTACTCGGATGCGCAATGCTCGTGCAATGGTCGTGAGTATGTGGCAAAGACTTTTTCCATTTTGATTCAGGCGAACAAACGAACCCGAGCACCAGAAGGTCTTTCGAGAAAAATCTGAAAGGTCCGAATGGTGGTTCGCAACGACATCACCAGCGGAGCCTGACGTTCGGGTTTCCACGTCTTGTTTGCGGTGAGACCATGACGTGTAAGTCGAGGACGGCAGTGGGGATTGGTCTTGCCGCGGGCAATGGAGAGAGAGAGAGCGTCTATGTGAGAGACAGTAGTAGTCCTCCACTGCATCGTACATGATAGTCGACACACCTACTCCATCCTACTATTTTCTACCCTTTGCCATGAAGGAAGGTAACGCGACCGGCACATCGAGACATTCTGGGATCGATAGTGGGTCGGCCCACTCACTGATCGGCCGCTAGTTTTGCATTCTTTCATCATCGTTCTCGGGAACAACATCACGGACGGCTTCCCGAAACTCGCGGCCGACGCGTCGTGCGACCATGCAGGGGCCAAATCAGGTCGATTCGGCAGCGTCCGACGTAGCCACGCGACCGTGGCGACGAACCCGACTCGGAGCTGGCCTCCCGTTGCCATTCGGCCGGAAGAACACAACAGACCACAGCAAGCGCCGAGGGTCAAATGGTCCTGCTCGGTGGGTATCGACGGAACAGACGATGCGAGCCAGTCCACTCGGGCGAGGCATAACCCAGCCAACGTCATGGCGACCCTCTTAAAATTTCGCAGTCGGCCCATTGATATTCGGGCCTGATGTCATCAGGGACGCAAACCGGAACGGCCCAATGAAAATGCTTAGCGGCCCGTTATTCGATGCTTTCGGGATTCGCGTGGCCTCCACCGGACCCAGTCCGAGCGGAACCAGCATCGGCGTCGAGTATATGGACGGAGGTTGAAAGGACTTGCCACTCTTTTCGACGATGCATTCAAATACCGGGCCTTCCCCAAGGTCATTCTCCGCGCGATCAATCTCCATTTCTGTACCTTTCTGCCTGTACACGTGCCATTATCTGGGGGGTAGACCGATCCTTTCTTGTCCACTGGAGTCGACCTCATTGTTTTCCTGCCACCTACTGTCACCATGGCGCCCAAATATGCTGGCATGTCCGGCAGACCCCTGTCGTTGACCATCTCGACCATTGCCACGATGGGCTTCTTGCTCTTCGGCTATGACCGTAAGTCTCCCTTGAGCAGCATCCCTCTCGTACAGTGCTAACCCCGTTCACAGAGGGTGTAATGTCAGGGATTATCAGTTCCAAGGCCTTCGATAGCGTCTTCACAGCCACCAAGGGCGACCCCACCATGCAGGCTTTGGTGACTGCCGTCTACGAGTTGGGCTGTCTGTTCGGCGCCATGTTCGCCTTGTTCACCGGTGACCGGCTGGGCCGACGCTGGATGATCATCTCCGGTGCCACGATCATGATCATCGGTGTTATTATCCAGGTGACCTCCTTCATCGACCACATCCCCTTGCTCCAGTTCTTCTTCGGCCGGGTCATCACCGGCATCGGGAACGGCATGAACACCTCCACCATCCCGACCTACCAGGCGGAGTGCTCCCGCACCAGCAACCGTGGTCTGTTGATCTGTATCGAAGGAGGTATTATTGCCATCGGGACGGCGATCGCGTACTGGATTGATTTTGGTGCCTCCTACGGCCCGCCAGCGCTGGTGTGGCGTTTCCCCATCGCCTTCCAGATCGTGTTCGGCGTCATCATCATCGTTGGTATGGCATTCTTGCCCGACTCCCCCCGTTATCTCATCTCCAAGGGCAAGGTCCATGACGGCGAGTACGTGCTGGCAGCGCTGGCTGGCCTGGAGATCGAAGATCACCAGACACAGGTCCAAAAGCAGCTGGTCATTGAGTCGATCGAGGCTGCTGGTGTTGCCAATGGTGCGGGCTACTCGGACCTTTTGACTGGAGGCAAGACGCAGCACTTCCGCCGCATGATTATCGGTTCTTCCTCCCAGATCGCCCAGCAGCTGTCCGGTTGCAACGCTGTCATCTACTATCTGCCCGTGCTGTTGAAGTCGTCCCTGAAGCAGGATGAATTTATGTCCATGCTGATCGGTGGGATCAACATGATTGTCTACGCCATCTTCGCCACGTTTTCCTGGTTCTTCATCGAGAAGATTGGCCGCCGCAAGCTGTTCATCGGGGGTATGAGTGGTCAGATGGTGGCGATGATTATCGTGTTCGCCTGCTTGATTCCCGGAGGGAAGGGCCCGGCCAAGGGCGCCGTGTTCGGCTTGTTCCTATACATGGCCTTCTTCGGTGCCGCGATGCTGCCGCTGCCCTGGCTGTACCCTGCCGAGCTGTCGCCCATCCGTACTCGAGCCAAGGCCAACGCCGTCTCTACCTGCAGCAACTGGCTTTTCAACTTCACCGTCGTCATGATCACTCCGGTCATGATTCAGCACATCTCGTGGGGCACCTATCTGTTCTTCGCCTGCATGAATGCCATCTTCATCCCGCCCATGTACTTTTTCTACCCGGAGACCGCGGGCCGCAGTCTGGAGGAGATCGATCTCATCTTCGCCAAGGGCTACTGTGAAAACATGAGCTATGTGCGGGCTTCTCACGAGCTGCCCCGGCTCTCGGACGATGAGATTGAGGCCAAGGCGATCGAGTATGGCTTCACCGATAACCGTTCTCGCCGCGAGGAGAAGGAGACTCCTGGAGAGTCCCCCCAGTTTTCGTCGGAGGAGCAGGTTTAAACCTGACCGTTATCAAGTCGTGACCAGATTGTGATTCTTGCGTATACCCTTTCAGTGCATTGTTCATGCGACTGCCTACAGACCGTTTTTTATGATTATAGAGCATTATGATTATAGAATCTTATGATTATAGACAATATTATGATTGATGGTTCATCTATACTTCAAGTGGTAGTGGTGCATGCCGATCAAGTGACCACATCACATTCGTCCCAAACAATTATCTCATCGGCTGATCCCGCCTCGGTTCCCTCCAACCTTTCCTTGTTTGTTTTCCTTTCTCTCTCTTGCGCCTCAACCTCTTGTCGTCTTCTTGACATTCAACCTATTCTGATCCTGTTAGATCATGCCCATCCAGCCCAAGGTCGGCCTCCTTGACCCCGCGTCATGAGCTCCTCCCTCGAGGCCAAGATCGTCGTGCTGGGCGCCCAAGGTATGCTGCTTCCCTCCCCCCTTGACTGTCAAACTCACCGCTCATTTCCCTCCCCCTCCGTAGGTGTCGGCAAGACGTCGCTCGTCCAGCGCTATGTGAAAAACGCGTTCAACCCAGCCGCGACCACCTCCACGGTCGGCGCGTCGTTCGTGACCAAGCGCGTGCTCGACAGCACCTCGGACACGATCGTCCGGCTGCAAATCTGGGATACAGCCGGCCAGGAGCGCTTCCGCAGCATCTCGCGACTATATTATCGTGGCGCGCACGCGTGTCTGCTCTGCTATGACATCACTGACGAGCAGAGCTTCCAGGAGATGGCGGGCTGGTTGCGCGAACTGCGTCGCAACCTAGGCGGGGGCGGCGATGCAGATCATGACGCGGACCCACTGGTTATCCATGTCGTCGGCACCAAGTCTGATATCGTGGCTGTTGATCCTACCTGTCGCCGTGTACCCTTTGAGCGCACAATCGCTTATGTTGCTGAGCAACTATATCCATCGCGCGCGTCGACCCCACCCCCACCGCGGGGATGGGGATGGCCTTTGGGTCGGGCGTGTTAGGGTCCGGCGGCAGCGGATCTGGTATCAGTGCCGCGAATGTGTCCTCCGGGGCACTGCAGAGTCCAGATAGTAAGCGCAGCAGTGCCTTCTGGGGCCAGGAGATCGGCTGGGACTGCTGCCACGAGATCAGCGCCAAGGATGGCGAAGGCATCGACGAGGTGTTCCGAGTGATCACCCGCAAACTGGTCGAGCAGCGCAATCGCCGCGACGCGGACCTGGGTCTTTCGATGGCAGGCACGCCTATCGGCGAGAGCGGCCCTGCTGGCCCCTTTACCCCTGGCAGCATAGATGGCGCGGGCAGCTTCCGGCTTGGTCAGGCGGACAAGCGGCGCAGCTGGCTAGGACTGGCGACGCCTACGGTGGGCGATGGAGAAGAGGTTGAGATGTTTCCGACGGCGCACAAGCGGGGGAGGTGTTGTTAACCGCGTGATGTCCATTGCATTTACGGCTGGTCTGGCGTTTTCTGTTTTTCTTTTTATGTTCTTGGGAGGATTTGTTGGAGGATTCATTTGGAGGCTGCAACTGATTGATTATAGGACGTGACTGACTATATGCTATATCTTCTTGATATCTCCAGGGCGCCCAATAGATAGATGTAGGAGTCTTCCTCAAATCTAGCAATCGAGGAAGGGAACAATGAAATCAATCAAGAAACAAGATTTATTGCCGGACTGCTTCTTCCTATTTAAGCAGCCATACTTTAAAGGTTGCAAGATACAGGTCCCGATCTTTGCTTGATAGTCGATTCCCTCGCCACGGATACTGTAACATAAGCCTTCAACTAGGGTGTCACGAGAAGCTCGTTACTCGATGAGCTTACACAATAAGATCTGTCAGCTTCAGTTGATACGAAGCAGCCCGGGAGCTGCCCAGACAAGATCGCACCCTGGCAAAGCCACGACCAGGGTCTTATTGGCCCCGAGCTCACGGCCACAGCCTCACTTGCGCTGCCCCCTCTCGGCTGGAGGCGATAAGAGTCGAACTAAGACGCCTGCTTGCATCCCCCCGGGATATTCACTTTCTGGGCATTTCCTTCATTTTGCTCAAGCTCCTTCTAGCTCTCCACCCATTCTCCACCTGAAGATTCATCCGTATACGCGACAGTTATGTCTGGGGCGGAGGTGATGGCCGTCGTGGCTTGTGTGGCAGCAGGTCACTATGCATCAAACTCCCCCGATCGCAGCTTCAAACTAACCGAAAATCACAGTCGTCTCCGCCTACCACGACGGCAGCAAGATGGTCAGCACCATCAAAAAGAAATGGCAGAACCGCAAGCGCCGCCTCAGCGAGCTGGAACACTCCCTCGACCGTGGCGAGCGAGAAGTCCAGAACCACTACAACCTCAACGCCGCCCACTTCGGGATCCGATACCAACAAGGCGATGAAACGGCTCGTGAGCAGATGAAGGATGTCATTATCCATCTGCAGGGCGTGCTGCTGACCCATCTGGGCGATGCGGTCAAGCGAAATATCGCGATCGATATTGCTTTCTTGCAGGATACCTCCGATGACAGTCGGATTCGGACCATTCAGATACTCCGCGACCTGTACCAACGACTGGCTCAGGCAGCCCCCATCCCGATACCGATGAATCCCGTGCAGGATCAGCCTTATCGCCTCGCACGTTCTCTGGACACATCGTGGCCCCGGGGGGAAACGTGGGGTCCCCGGACTAGCGACGAGGATATAGTCCCAGAGGGAAATATGCACGGCTCAGCATCGCGCCGCAAGAGAGCGTCGTTTTCTTCCGGGATCAGCGGAATCTTCGGCTCTCGTTTGCAGAGGCGCGATCCTCAACCTTTATTGCCGGCCTTGCAGTCTTTCGCGGAGTTCCCAGCCCATACGGCGAATCCGGCGACCGTCTCGTTGGTCGATGATCCCACACCTGACTCGGATCAAGATCCTACAGATGTCCCACCGACATCCCTGTCGGTGGACCAGGAGATTATTGATGTAGAGCTCGGATTCAACCCATGGGACGACGGGACGGTCTCTCGGCGTCCGATGCTAACTCTCGATGCAAGCCCCCCGCCCTCCGCGCTGCCCAGCGACTCGGCCAACTCGAATCCTTCCTCTCCTAGCAGTGCGAGCCCGCCCGGTGAGTACCTATGGCTCCCCCATGCGGACAATCAATATGCCGGGTTCTGCAAGGGCGCGTGGAAGCTTCACTCGGGACTTCGAAAAGCCTTCCGAGTGCACAAGGAACCCGGCACCGGGTTTTATACGCAGATGTCGTGGCTGCGCTGCTCCAAGTGCTACTATGAGGCGCCAGTAGCCCCTGGGAGCAGTACCCACGCTCCCCGCTTCCACGATGCGCTGCGTTGCCACCAGTTGACTGGCATCCGCTATCGCGTGGTGTTTCTGGCCAAATGGCATGTCAGCTGCAAGCGCAATGCGTCTCTCGATGTGCCGAACGGCACCTGGGGGACATTTGGTTGCATCTTCTGCAGCGTGGCGCATAAAATGCCCGCGCCGACATTCGGATCCTTGGATGTTTTCCTGGCACACTTGGCGGCCGAGCACCGGGACCTCGATGCTGGTCGAACGGCGCTGCTAGATCGTACGCGCTGTATCGTTGGGCGGGTGGCGACGGCCAGGGAGGACTTTGACATCAACATCCCGCCTTTGTAAGTATGCATGAATTCTTTGGGTGATACCCGGTCTCGGCGCGGGAGTCTTATTGGCGCGGGAGTATTAGGATTGATTGTACAGTAGGAGCAGCATCAGATCGACTCTCTAGCGAGGATCCCCTCGCGGGATCGCTCATGACGGTTCGTTTTCATTGGATGATCGTCGTCATCCCGTATAGAATTGTCTGCCAATGTAACATTTTGCCCCTGCGTCTGGCCACGATGATAAACCCCGCCGGGGATAGTATGTGCGCAAGGGAGTAGCAGTGCCCGTACTAAGTAGTAGCGTTGCCACCTCAGACATCGTCTTGTGTCGATCGCTGGTATCACTGTTTGGGGTGATTATTTTTGTGTGGTGGCGGGATCATAATAATTCGGCTCATCTAACCCCCGTTGGGGAACTGGATGGGAGGATTAGGGGGGCGGTTGGTTCATTCGCGGCAAACGATACGAGATCCCAACGGGTCCGAAGTACCTGGCCATACTAAACTGTAGGGAGGGGTACTTCCCGCCTCGGATCCACCCACGAACGAGCTGATACACCAGCCGACGATCCAACCAATCCGAGACGTGTTCCGGCCAATTCGTGATTTCGTGCTTACTTTGGATCGTTGCTGCCTCTTCTTCACCTGTCCTGTCCTTCTTCTTCTTCTGTTGTCGTGGTTGTTGGTTGATCACTCTCGCAAGCTTCGTGTCGTCATTCGTCCCTGGTTCTCCCTGATCCGATCGCTCTTGCTCCGGCCACTTCCATGCGGTCGTGAGTGTTCCGTCCGACTTCCGGCGAGCAACTCACTACACTCCTCGTCCGCCACCGTTTCCCACTACACAACCCCCAATCGGCGAGGCATGCCATGCGGTCATCAATAAGAATCGGGTCGGCGACTGTGCTGATCATCGTCGCCCTCGTCCTGATCTATCACAGTCGACACGGTGACCACGCGCGGTCCTTGTTGAAAATCGAGTCTACGTTGGCGAAGCAACCCAACAGCCACCGGAAATGGAACATAGGCACCAACACCAAGGCCCAATTAACCTACCAGACCAGGCCCATTGATGTGCCTAACATCGGGTCCATCATTATGGGAAAGCTCAGGTCGGAGGACACTGCATGGGTGTCGGCGGAACTGGCCGAGTATGTGTGACTCGTTTTGCTCCGACTGCATTTGTTGCTCAGATTTCATTTGCTCTGACTCCATTTGCCCAAATTGCATTTGCTCTGATTGCATTTGCTCCCCTCCCCTTTTCTTCCCACTTTTTTTTTTGGTGTTCTGCTTTCAACGACTGACGCGAGCCTGGCGCAGATGGCGCAATATCATCTACACCGTTGATGACCCCTTCGCAACTCTCCATACCCCCAAGAATAAAGGCCGCGAGAGCCTCCCCTATCTCCAGTACATTGTCGACCACTACGAAGACCTCCCCGAAACGATGGTTTTCCTACACCCTCACCGCGACGGCTGGCCCGCCGCCTGGCACACGGATACCATGGATTACAACAACGTGGACTCGGTGCGGGCCCTGCAGACAACATTCATTCAAGAGAACGGGTACGCAAACCTGCGTTGCCAACAAACACCCGGCTGTCCGGTCGAGATTCAGCCCTTTCGCAAACAAGCCCGGACTGGCAACGGAGCCGAGAAATACTATGCGCAAGCGTGGGAGGCGCTGTTCAACAACACCAATGTCCCCGAAAAGATCGGCGCCGCCTGCTGCTCTCAGTTTGCCGTGTCGCGCGACCAGGTGCTGAAGCGCTCCTTGAGTGACTACCAGCGGATGTACGATTGGGTGTTGAATACGGACTTGCACGATGATGTCGTCGCCACCATTATGGAGTACACTTGGCATATCATTTTCGGCCAGCCGCCCGTCTAGTAAGTTTTGCGTGTCTGTCTGTCTGGCCCACTAGTCGCTAACGTGCTCTGTAGCTGTCCAAACGTGTTCCAGTGCTACGCGGACGTCTACGGCGAAGAGCTGGTTTTCTAGTTTTCCAATCCCGTCTTTCTTCTGTACCCCCTTTTTCCCACCGGCAGGCTCTAGCTTCATGCTAGATTTGCTGTCCGGTGAAATAGATACCAAGAGCGACGGTAATAGGCGCTAATTGCAACTGCACATGATGTTTTCTTTGCTTCATCAGTTTATTGCGTGCGGTTTGCCGTGTTCAACTACTGGGCTGGAGTTTTGTTTTGTTGCTACCAGGGAACCTGCAATGGCAATGGAACTTTTGTACATACACTTGTATGCTATCTATCAATCGGACGGAATCATCCGGCCCTGTATCTCATCCCATCGAAACACCCCTCCGTCGCCCACATTATAATGATAGTAGTTATTCGTGCCCGCCGGCACCACCGCCTTGCGAAACGTGATATTGATTCTTCCCTGAATCCTTCTCTCCGCTGCCTTCCCCTTCCGCTTGGGGATACTATGCAGCCAATTCGACTGCGTCGCTCCACGCATGATGACCATGTCGCCCGATGCAAGCCCCAGTTTCAGAGGCTGGGAACATGACCCGCCAGAGTTCAAATTGGCCGCGGAATTCGATTTCGAATGTGGGGGAGGACCCGCGCCCGGGGTGCTCCTTCCAGCCTCCGGTGTCACCGCCGGCTTGTGTTTCATGAGAAACTCCCGCTCGGCACCCAGGGACAACGACGCGATGGTCGGGTTGGGTCCAAGGAACCGCTCGTCATCCGAGTGGAAGGCGATGCTGTCCTCGCCACTGGCGTAATAGTTGACCAGGCAGAAATTATATGTCGTTTGGGAGATCTCTTCGACTTGCCTCCGCAGCAGATCCAGACACGTGGGAATCGGCCGCGGAGTTCTTTGGTATTTTGGGGACGCGGGGATTGGTTCGTTAGTGCTCGAGTCAACCAGGATTAAGCTAGCGGAAGGATCCTCGTGGCTGGGCGTTGATGTGTTGGTTTGGGGCCTGTTGGGATTGGTGTTGGCACTGGACCGAAGCACAAATTTGGATGTTTCGTCCACGCCGAAGACGGTCGTGAAGCGCGGGGTGTTGACTTGTGTTTCTGTGCCACCGCGTCGGATGTTGTATTGCACCCGGTAGAAGGGGATTTCGCGCCGCAAGAACTTGAAGAGCTCGTTGGCGGTTGTGCGGGCGATGTAAGGCTGGAAGTACAGCAAGTCTAGATGCGGCTGGTTGTTGATGGCGCGCGGCGTGCTAGCAGGTGTTGTGTGCACAAGTCCGACTTCAATGTGCGATGGTAGCTGTGCAATTGGAGATGGATACGTGGGATGTTGGCTCGCAGGGCCTTGGTCCTCCTGCGGGTGGTTGACCTCGCTCGGTTTGCTCCGTTTCTGGGGTGGGCTTCTTGCACGTTGGAAGAAGGAATCCAAGGTCCGTTTTGCCATGGCATTGGGGTTTAGGGTGTGTCTCTGTTGAGTACAGTCACGACTCTTCGATCAAGGCACGTCCGCTATCAATCGCAGTGATGTCATCCAACTCTAATCGCAATCCGATCTATACAACCTACCCGATCTGGAATGATCATAGTTGCATAGGTATTACCTACAGAGAGAAGCACAGCATCGACTAATCAACAAATATTGTGTTATAGATGGACCCTACATATCCTTGATCTAAATGATTGTGGTTGGCATTGCGACTAAGCTGAAATATTCACTGTATCACGAGGCAACAGACAGTGACTTACTGCTGCACACCCTCTGTATCCGCAATCCGCACTACATACTTTACCGCAGAAGCTTTGCCGTCTTCGAGATCCTTCAAAGCCCCTTCGAGACCGTTTAGGCCTCCCTGTCGCACCTCAAACGGATGACCCGAGAACCATCCCTGTGCCAGACCCCGACCAATAAACGGGAAGAACGCAGCCCCGAACTCCTTATCCTCGATGGTCTTTCCCTCACCTGGGGGATTGTGGACCGATCCAACCATCGTGCGGTCAATCTCAATGCCGGCCGGGAAAGTATCGGTATCTTTGGTCGGCAGCACCGTAGTAATCTTCGCAGGCGGAGTCAGGGCCGCGCTGATGTTGTGAAAACTTCCCTTCTCGGAGACAGCATCATATGCAAAATGAATGGGTTGTCCTCCGGCTGCCGCCTTGATCTTGGCACGGACAGCCTCGTCGCCCTCGCGGTAGTCGATGACTGTGTCGCCTTTTCCTTTGTCGAGCAAACCCTCCACAAAGGGGATTCCCTTGCCCGCCACCGCAATGATGGGGTGGATGTTGGAGAGCTTCGCAAATTTAATGGCAAATGCCCCGACCGCGGTTGCACCGCCATAAACCACCAGCGGCTGAGGCTGGTTCGTCGGGTTCCACGGCAACGGCAGACGCAGCCGCTGATACAACCCCAGAGCGGCGGTCATGGCCGCCAGGGGAATCGTGGCAGCCTCTGGTGTGACTGGGTTAGCATCACCTGTAGTACTGTACATAATCACGTACCTTCGAAACTGGTTTTCTCTGGGAGATGAAAAGTGGTATGCTCCCACGCGATTGCATACTCGGCGTAACTGCCGTTGGGGGACATCATTTGATGAAAGGCAGCCACCCTGTCGCCCTTTCTGAAATTCTGGACTCCATCTCCGACGGCGGACACATATCCGGCGATGTCGTCACCTTGGTTGATGGTGGTATCCGTCCACTTGGGGACCTTCCAGTCCTTTGGGTTAGTGCCGGATACCACGACGTGGATCAACACCTGGGCCGGCCCGGGAGTGGGGATGGGGGTATCGCGGATGGTGACCGTGACGGTCTTGTCAACTACAGCTTCCTTCATCTTGGTCGTCGGTTGGGTAGTTGTAAGGGAAGAGACGAGAAGCGTGTCGGAGGCACAGTTGAAGTTATGTTTGATTTGTAAGAACGGTTATGCCATTTCACTAACGTATTGCACGGAGGATCCACCCTCCAAAAAAGGCCCCTCTTCCGTTCCCCGACTTGTTCTCTAAATCGACCAACTATTCTACCATGGACGACAAACCGATCGCGGTGGTAAGTATTGTGGCGTGGTGGACAAACCTGGGTTAACCGTTTTTAGGATCCACATGTGTATCTCCCCAAGGATGCCAACCTTGAGGACTGGCAGTCGTACGTGTTTTGGCGCAGATGCGGAGCTAACATTCGACGGACTGACCTGACCACAGAGAAACCACCTCGATCGGCTCCTCGATCCACCGGGGTATCCTGGAAAATGGGCGCCGGTATGTCATCTAACAGGGATCCCCCGGAAAGGGCGCGATGGAGAGGAACGTGGCTGACAGAGATGACAGGTACCAAGCGCTGAGTGACAAGGGCTATATGTGAGCCACTCCGATCTAAATGCAGTCAAGCATGCTTGCTCATCTATTGAATTTAGTATCCCATCCGATGAGCAGCAGTTCGAGAGCTATGAGGCAGGGTGCGTGGCCGTGTCCGCCGTGGGGGCCGTTTCTCTAACTCATCTCCAGGCATCTCGTAACCCTCATGCTCGATCTGGACCGGGAAAATCCCTTCTTCCGGGCTCCAATCGTGGAACCACCCCAGAATATTCTGGATATTGGAACCGGCAAGGGGAGCTGGGCTGTGTATGATGCCCCCGGATATCATCTTGGTCGGATGCTAACTGGATCGTCCAGCGATGTCGCCGATATGTTCCCAGAAAGTACGATTGTTGACCGATGTCTATTTTCCACTAACTAACCGATGACAGCTTCGGTCCGCGGAGTCGATTTGTACCCGCCTCCGGTCACTTGGATGCCACCGAACTGCACCCTCGAGGTAGACGACGTGCTCCAGGAATGGACCTGGACCGAAAAGTTTGATCTCATCCATCTGCGCAATATGATTGGGTCATTCAACGAGCAGGAGTGGGAGGTCGTCTACAGGAGATGCTATAAGTAGGTTGGCAGTTGCCCCAATGTGGTTCGTAAAACTAATTCTTCCACCAGCGGCTTGAAACCTGGTGGGTGGATTGAGCAGCTGGAATCGAGCCCACACATCGAGGCAGACGATGCAAGCATCAAACCAGAAAGCCAGCTGAAGACTTGGGGTGACAACATGATCAGTTGTGGCACCAAGGCCGGTCGGGCCTGCGACACGATGGACACTATGGCTGCGGCCATTCGGAAGGCTGGGTTTGTCGATGTACGTGAGCGGAATTACAAGCGGCCGATTGGTCCGTGGCCCAGAGACAAGCAGCTCAAGGAAGCGGGTATGATCAACTATGAGCACTGGTCCCGAGGCTTGGAGGGTTGGGGGATGTGGTTGCTGACCAACTTTGGATCGCCGCATGCCTGGACTAAGGAGGAAGTACAGGTGTATGTGGCGAAGCTGCGGAACGAGCTGAAGGATCCGCGCTGTCATCCCTATCATCGATCGTACGTGTTGTCCCTGGTTGTTAACTGAGAAGTTCTTGCTAATGATCACTAAAGCCGGAGAGTTTGGGCGAGGAAGCCGATGCCCGACGAGATGCAGTAACTTGTTTATACCTATACCCTACTCGCACAACATGTACAGACCTAGCGAAGGAACACTCTTTATATCAAGGGGGAAATAGTGAATAGCTTTCTTTAGGCAATAGCCATAAGCAGTGCTGTGTCTCTTATAATCATCTAGAGAATTCCGAGGAATTCAGTGATTAATTAGTGTGACAAGAAGGAAGCTCCGGGGCCCATGCATATACGATATCATGCGACTTAAACCGCCCCTCCAACACATACAATCGAGAAGGTCCAATGATGTACGATCTATTGTACAGGGGGAGATACTGGAGTCCAAGTTCTGCGTTATAAAATATGTGAATGTTCCTTTTGATCATATATTTATGCCCCATAATTGTTTTAAAAATCGGCAAGCTACATAGAATCAAAGCCTGGGAACGGTGATATACCAACATCTACAAAGTGCCCACATGCTCTCATCCCATCTGTAAAAAACAGTCATGTCTATATGATAGTGCAAGCCATATGAAGTCCATGGTCTGCAGGTTTTGTTGCTAGCGGACCACTTCCCGAGCCCCTCATCTCACATTAATGTCTCCCCCCCTCACAGTACCTACTAGCCTTCATTCTTTTAACGTTTATTTGTTTATTTCCGAAGAATAGTCATGGCTCCAAGCCTCGAGCATGCTTTCACACTGCATGTTGACCTATCACCCGCCCTAGATTTTGGACACACGGTCACCGGTCATCAGCGCTTTATACCCATTATTGGTGGGCATGTTGACGGCCCAAAACTGAAGGCAACCATTCTGCCTGGCGGGGGTGATTGGAACACCCTCCGAGATGACGGAATGGGACATGTGCTCGCCAAATATGTCATCCAGACAGCCGATGGTGTTCTTGTCAATGTTATCAATGAAGGGTTTGTGAGAAAATTCCACAAAGATCCGTCCATGGAATCGGGGAAAAGGGAAGAGACAGAGTGGTATGCCAGGACCAACCCACGTTTTGAGGTGCAGCATGGAGTGCACGACTGGCTGAATCGAACGGTGTTCATTGGGGATCTTCATCGCCCGCAGACTCTGAGCCATGTCACTATTGATGTCTATGAAGTTTTGTAAGTTCCTTGGTTGGAGAAGGGACTGGACTGGTTACGACCTCGAGTTGAGATCAGCCCTATATCAGCCCTATATGATCCAATTCCACATATCTCACTAATCGTCGTCAAATATCCTCGAAATCCTTATTTGTGTTGTTCCATCCCGCAGTTTGTTGACTGTAAATGTATGACGTCAAAACCTGAGGACGTCCCCACTGGAGGAAATAAAGGAAAAAAAGCTGCCTGCCTGGCGTAACACCAAAATTTTTCTTCACACACACAAATAGAAAACTCCCAAAACTTCACCATGCGGCTCTCTCCTTCGCCGCTTTCCTCGACCCCTCGCAATGGATCACCCACAACGTGATCCTTTATTCGTCGCCCAAGAAGCGATATGCTTCTACCCGATAAGCACCATCTACAACTCCTGTCCTCGATACCTCTTCTACGCGCTCCTCTTGGCCAGCTGCGTGTCGAGATGGACTGGTTGGCTTGCCGACGTCTTCCTCGGAACGGCAGCTACTTATGCTGGGGTTGCGGCAATCCAGGCGTTCATCCTGGTCGCGGATCCCTCTGAACCCCAGGACCCAGGACCGGTCACTATCCCTCGCGTGTCGAACACCTCGAGCCTGTGGTCTGCTTTTCCTCAACTGGTGACGGACACAGACCAGGTCATGATCCAGCCTGGTGCTCTGGAACTAGATTCGGATGCTGTGTTGGCAATCGTTGTCACGGGTTACCTGGTCTTTCTCCCTTTACAATGCTGGTCGCGTATCCTGTCTCATCAGCGAGCCCGAAATGTTCTTTTCTATATCTGGAACATTCTCATGCTGGCTGGCTCCATCTGCGCCTTGGTCTACTCACCGAAACTGGAGAGAACTCCGGTTCAGTACATGTTCTGCTATCCGGACCTGCCACCGCTGGGCGAAACCTCAAGTGATGGATGGCATGACTCCTGGCGGACTTCGACATGGAATACCAGTGTCTGGGACATTTTCTCAAACATCACGCTCTGGAGCCAGCTTGGCGATACCTGCTTTAACCCATGCATGAATTCCAGCCAAATTCTACGCGATCAGGATTCATTGGATATTTGGGTTGGAACGAACAGCTTTGAAGTCTCCAACCCACATCGTTTCTGGAACAAGGTCATCTATTCAAAGCGGTACATCTACAGTTTGATCATTCTCTGCGTCATTCTCAACTGCCTGCTCCTCACGTTCAAGTTCTTGCCTTTTCGATCCCGGATCCCGTCTTCCCGGATCGTTATCATCTGGAGGGAGAGGAAGAGCATCTGGAATAGCTTCAAAGAAGAGCTCCGTGAGGCGAGCCCCGAACAACAAGCGCCGGATTCCCCCAAGAGAGAAGAAAGTGGTCAACCGCAGCAGAAGCGTTCAGCCTGGCAGCACATCCGACGGCTCCTGACTGTTCGGTTCTGGAACGCATTCCTACATGTTGTAGTCGACATGATGATTCTCTTCGGAATCCTTTTCAGCATGATTGTTAGTCCGTTCACCGTGATCGCGTTTGTTGCATGGATTGAATGGTGCATCTACAACGACGGTCCATCGCAGGAGCATCCGCAACAGGTTGGCCAGTGGGCTTATCTGGTTTCTATCGGGCTCCTTGTTATTTCAGCTGGGATTTTGACACTGAAATACCGACTTGCCACTACAAAAGAGCTGGACATTGAAATCGATAAAGTAAAGGAGCATCTGGGAAATTTGCAGAGAAGGAGAGATGCGCTTTTGCAGCCGGAGACAGATGTACCTATGTTGTCGCAGCATGATAATGTGGTGTAAGAGTCATTCCCTGCGAGAAGAAGACAGGAATGTCAACCTGAATAGCCAATTTTTTTGTTCCAAGCCCCCCAGATCTACCCCGGTTTCTTTTTGGTAGTGGAGCCGGTGGATCACAATCTACCCCAGAACAGTAAAAAGTCCGATCTACCTCCGATCTACGCAAAATGATCTCCGCATCTACAACGGGGCCGGCCGGCCAGCCAAACTGAAAAAGCGCATGAGCACAGTCAAGTTGGTTATTCGGAAAGCCAGATAAGGGCAATTCCGTTATTCGTGTACCCCGCCAACTTACTACTCAGAATGCTGATTGCGCCATGTTTTTATATCTCGCTTCGAATCCACCCTAGTCAATGCACTTGGCACCGTGCGGGGCTCGCCGTGTGATTGGGGGGTTATCGCACGGCCTGCGACTTCTGGCGCGAACAAAGGCCTATGCTTGCATTCACACGCTTCCTCAGAGGTAAGGCGTTACATCTCAAAAGATGCCTCGGTGCCTTCCGCCCCCGCTTGGCCATTTCGTGGCTTATATCACGCGCTCTGAATTATTTATCTTGTTTCTTATTTCCAATCCTTTTCTGCTGCTTCAGCGTACAGCTCTTTTACTATGGGGGATTCAGGGAACAGCTCACAGCCCAAATATGTGCCACTGTGGCAATCGTTGAAGAAATGGCCCAAAATAGTCGCCTACAATCTTGCACTGAGCTCGGCCATTCTACTGTATGGATATGACTTTGTCATTGTGGGCACTGTCTCTGCTATGCCGGCATTCCAGTACGTTTCTTGACCCTGACCACTGAGATCACAACTAACACCAGGAAAGACATAAATACGGCGAGGAGCTCGATGGACAATTCATTATCCCCGCGACATGGCTCGCTCTTTGGAATGCTGCTAGTCTCATCGGTTGGATGATAGGGGCTATTATCGGAGGCTACTTCCAAGATCGCGCCGGTCGTCGTCGCGCGCTGGCACTGGGAAGCTTTTTCTCAGCTGTTGCCGTAGCAATCTGCTTCGTGTCGGATCTTCCAGATGCGATTGAATCCCGCCGCGGTACTTTCTTCGCAGGCAAGCTCTTCCAGGGAGTTTGCATCGGCATGCTTCTCTGTGTTGTGCAAACCTACATGTCCGAGGTTTTGCCAGTTCTCCTTCGAGGACCGATTATTGCATTTCTCCCCGTCTTTACACTTCTCGGTCAACTTATTGGTGCGGTCGTGGTGTACACTTCTCTAAAGTACCCGGGCTCTGAGAGTTATCGCATTTGCTTTGGCTCGCAATGGCCATTTTCCGCCGTACCTTTTGTGCTAGCCTTTGTGCTACCTGAGAGCCCAACTTGGCTGGTTCGAAAAGGTCGGATGGAAAAGGCGTTAAAGGCTCAAAAACGGCTTGATACTGCTGGGGTCAACTCGGAGGCCATCGTTGAGGAGATAAAACTCTCCATTCTTGCAGAGGAGGAGGAAGGAGGGACGTACACGTATATGGATTGTTTCCGGGGAATTCACGCGCGGAGGACACTCATTGTGGCGTTTGCCAGTGCATTGCCGCAGTTTTTTGGACTGCAACTGTTGGCTAACGCCTCGTACTTCGCTGAGCAAGTGGGCATGTCATCGACTAACGCCTTGACCTTTCTCATTCTGGGGATTGCGCTGGGACTGGTTGCAAATATCGTCAGTCTGTGGGCGTTGAATGCTCTTGGTCGAAGGTTTTTGTCGTTTTCAACCATGACAACGGCCACGGTTCTATGGTTTGCCATGGGTATAGCAGGCTGTTTTGCTTCAGTCGTCACTATCTGGTATGTGCCCTCTGGTATAAAGTGTGGAAGGCACACACACACACACACACAATCTCTCTCTCTCTCTGTTTCTGACTATATCATAGGTACACTGCCGTGACAATGATGATAGTTACAGTTGTGTGTGGCTTGGGAATCTGGCCTGCGTCGCATGTTGTCGCTGCCGAGACCTCGTCCTTGCGATTGCGCGCGAAAACGCAGGGAATCGGTTGGTTTGTCAGCGGAATCACCAGCGGAGTGTTTTCAGTCATTCTGCCCTATATTTATAACGCCGATCAAGGTGACCTCAAGGCAAAGACAGGGTTTGTGATGGCCGGGTTCGCCTTCCTTGGTGTGATTGGGGTGTGGCTGTTCATCCCGGAGATGAAAGGTCGATCCCCCATGGAGATAGATCGCATGTTCGCCTTGCAACTGCCAACAAGAGCATTTAAGCATTGGGAAAGCGATGTGGTTATGGAGAAGAACGTTGTTGATCAGCGCCCTCCAGGCAATTATGCGGAATGTGCTTCAGAAAATGCTTGAAGTCTTAAACATCGCATTTGAGAAAATAGTGGAAAACATCAAAATCAAACAAACAGCTATTTCAAGTCTTTCTCAAATCTTGCCCATCAACCCATGGAAACCCTTATACTGCCTTGGGGTCCACGGTATTCAAAGAAGAGACTCGTGGGGGCGTGTCAGCGTCATACTGGCTCTTTCCAGAAGGGTTCCAGGCCGTGCTGGAAAGCCAGTTGGGCATTTGGGGCTCTCAGCATCCACTGGCGAACCATTATGTAAAGATCATTCTGCCCACGAAACTAACTGGAGGCCGTAGCTATCTGCCTGGCTGCTTGTTCCACAGGGATCTCTAGGCATCTAAATTCGAGCGAGGACAAGCTGTTCTTAGTCCACAGCAAGAGTTGAAAATTCAATTTCTCAAGAGCGCCGTGGCCTAAGAGACATACATAAGCTGTCATAAATCCAAGCTTTAGAACAAGACGAACATGCAAAGATTCGAGTCTGATTACATGTGTAGAAAGTCGCGTTTAAAAGGAAGTCACCGCCGAATCCATAGCCCCCAAACAGAAGCGCCTCCTACATCACAACACAGCAAGAGTTTTGTTTCTTGGCCTGTAACAGAATCATGTCAACAGATTGTCTACAAGGATTGGGAAACGGGTTGCCATACCTGGGTATAGAACATCTTACTCTGGGCCGACAGACCGTCGCTCTTGGCAACCAGAGAATCTATCTTCTCACCGCGCTCCAACACACTCTCGATCTATGGCGAATTAGCATGTCTCCTTAGAGTGTAGCCGGAAGAACATACCGTCTTGTGAAGGACAATCTTGGTCTCGTCCAGCTCCTGTTGAATCTTCATGATGCTGTCTGCTTGGCTGGGATCCTGGTACTTGATGATATATTCCTTGAGCTGCGGGAAGGAGCAGGCATTTTCACGCAGGTTCGGGTCTGAGAATGCCGTGCGCGGGTTCTTGATGAGGAACTCGTCGAGGATCTTCGAGAGAAGCTGGTGGGCCACCAGCGCGGGGTACTCTCCATCCGTCACGATCACACCGGCCACGCCTTCCGTCCGACCGTACGCGTGGAATGTATAGGACTTCTCTTCGACATCCTGGCGTTGTCCCGGGTTCGTGCGCTCGGCAACCGTGCGGCAGAAGAGCATCAGGAACTCTTCATAGCTGTTCCGACAGTCCGTGGTTAATATCGACGAGAGGCTGCTGTGGATCGGTAGAGGTAGACCTACTTTTGCCGAGTGAAGCGGGAGAAGCTAGTGGCAGTCAGTCTCATATCCTTCCGGACGAACAGGATCACCACACTCACCTGCTGAGCTCCTTCTCCCCGCATAGTTGCAGGGCGGGTTTCGTATCGTTCCGAAGAACCTGAAAGGCATCAAGAAAATCAGCATCATCTCCAGAGGACTATAGCGCTGCTATCGGCACCACAGGAAGGACATGAAACGTACGCCCATATAGAAGATCTTCATGACGGCGAATAGGACAGGTCAGCGGGGGAGACCAAGAGGACCGAGAATGGCGAAGGGAGGATGCGAAGGAGGAGTTGAGGGCAGGTGCTGAGCAAGCAGAACAAGATCCAGTCAGGCGCACAGTCTGACCGTGCAGTGTAGTATGGGTGGCGAAGCAGGAAGGATCGAAGCTGCCTGACTCCTGAAGATAAAGCGAAGTGACGCTGCAGCTCTCCACATCAAGGCCTGAGGCACCCGAGGCTCACCGCTTTCCATGATTCCATGGGAATTTGCATGTGTTGATTATACCGGGACTCACGTACTTCACTGCACATCATGGCCACCGCCGCAGCTGAATCGCAGTGGCTGGCCCAGCTGGCCGCCATGCGCCAGGCTATCGCCGATCTCAAACTTCCCAAGGAGATCCCCCCCGACTCAACAGGCTATGGCAGCGACCTTGACCTGGATATCGACGAGGCCTATTCTTCTCCGGCAACCGTCGACGATGTATGGGACATTATCAGCTCGGATGATGAGACGACAGACGACTTGGAGGATTTGGATGGACTGATTCCCGCGCATACCCCGTCTCTCTACGACCGACTATGGTTGGAAGACAAATGCCATGCCGTGGCTACGCGAAATTCGGGCATGGATGCGTCCGAGCTGGCCCAGCAAATTCTCGCCGTGTTGGCTGCCGACAGTAACGATGAAGAGCTGCAGATGTCTCTCGCGGAGATCGTGGGATTCGATGACCTGGACCTAGTGATTGAATTGATTACCCATCGCGGGGAAATCCTGTCGGACAAGCCACCAAAAATAGAGGCACAGACAGATGGGCTGCTGGCTGGACGACTGCAGACGCGAGCAGAGAGGGAACAGGCCTTGCGACACCAAGACTTTGAACACAAGCATGCATCCTTGATGGCCGCTCAGACCCGAGCCGAGCCGGCTTATCCGCATGTGTTCAAGATGCACGATTCCCGAAATATGCTCGCCGCTGGGGGAAAGAAATATGGTCTACCCGTTGGCAGTAAGCAGATCGATGAGCCTAAATACACGGAGTTCGAAATTCCGGCCTCGAAGGTCGGTACCCTGGGACGGGGTCAGAAACTGGTGGAGATCGCCAGCCTTGATGGGTTGTGCCGCGGTACTTTCAAGGGCTACAAAACCCTGAATCGGATGCAGAGTCTGCTTTATGAGGTTGCATACAAAACCAACGAAAATATGCTGATCTGTGCCCCCACCGGTGCTGGTAAAACGGATGCTGCTATGCTGACGGTTCTCAACGCTGTCGGGAAGAACACTGTCCCAAATCCATTGGAATACCCCGATGCAACCGATTTTACCGTTCAAGTTGACGACTTCAAGGTTGTTTACGTGGCACCGATGAAAGCTTTGGCCGCTGAAGTGACGGAGAAGCTCGGCAAGCGCTTGGCATGGCTAGGGATCAAGGTCCGCGAACTGACTGGTGACATGCAATTGACGAAGCGGGAAATTGTGGAAACGCAGATCATCGTCACCACCCCCGAGAAATGGGATGTGGTGACCCGGAAAAGCACCGGTGATACCGAATTGGTTCAGAAGGTGCGTCTGCTCATCATCGATGAAGTCCACATGCTGCATGATGAGCGCGGAGCTGTTATTGAATCCTTGGTCGCCCGTACTCAACGTCAAGTGGAGAGCACACAATCGTTGATTCGTATTGTCGGCCTGTCAGCGACACTTCCCAACTATATCGATGTCGCAGACTTCTTGAAAGTCAACAAGATGGCTGGTCTATTCTTCTTTGACTCATCGTTCCGTCCTGTTCCTCTGGCGCAGCATTTCATCGGTGTGAAAGGGAAGCCTGGCTCAAAGCAGTCCCGTGATAATATCGATGAAGTGGCCTTTGAAAAGGTTCGCGATATGCTGGAACGAGGCCATCAGATCATGGTCTTTGTACATTCTCGTAAGGACACCGTCATGACGGCCCGAATGTTGAAGCAGATGGCTGTCGAAAACGGCTGTGACGATTTGTTCAGCTGCCATGAGCATGAAAATTACTCTTCTGCTCTTCGCGATATGAAGCATGCGCGAGCTCGCGAGTTGCGAGATCTGTTTGCGAGTGGTCTCGGAACACATCATGCTGGCATGAGTCGAAGTGATCGGAACCTGATGGAGCGGATGTTTTCTGAAGGGTTGATCAAGGTGCTTTGCTGTACTGCCACCCTTGCATGGGGTGTCAATCTTCCGGCTGCTGCTGTTCTCATCAAAGGAACTCAGTTGTACAACCCACAGGAGGGTAAATTCATCGACCTGAGCATTCTCGACGTGATGCAAATTTTCGGTCGTGCCGGTCGTCCTCAATTTCAAGATACGGGTATCGGTTTCATCTGCACTACTCATGACAAGCTTCATCATTATCTTTCCGCAGTTACGGCGCAGCAGCCCATTGAGTCGCGTTTCTCTAGTCGACTCGTGGATAACTTAAACGCCGAGATTTCGCTGGGCACGGTCACCTCCGTCTCAGAGGCCGTGCAGTGGCTAGGCTATTCCTATCTTTTCGTGCGCATGAGACGTGAGCCACGAAACTATGGAATCGAATTTGCCGAGTTGCGCGATGACCCAATGCTGGTTCAAAGACGTCGTCAATTGATCATTCAAGCGGCACGGGTTCTGCAGAAGAGTCAAATGATCATCTTCAACGAAAAAACCGAAGACCTGAGAGCCAAAGATGTGGGCCGCATCGCCAGCCAGTTCTACGTCCTCCAGACCAGTATCGAGATCTTCAACGAAATGATGCGTCCCCAAGCGAGCGAAGCAGACGTGTTGAAAATGATCAGTATGAGCGGAGAATTCGACAATATCCAGGCCCGAGAAAGCGAGTCCAAGGAATTGCAACGTCTTCGAGATGAAGTCGCGCAGACTGAGGTAGAAGGGGGTAATGACTCGCCGCATGCGAAGACTAACATCCTGCTGCAATCCTACATCTCCCGTGCAAAGATTGAGGATTTCGCTCTCGTTTCGGACACAGGTTATGTTGCCCAGAATGCCGCTCGTATTTGTCGTGCTATCTTCATGATTGCGCTGAACCGTCGATGGGGCTATCAGTGCCAGGTCCTTCTGTCACTTTGCAAGTCAATTGAGAAGCAAATCTGGCCCTTCGACCATCCCTTTCACCAATTCGATTTGCCCCAGCCAGTCCTCAGAAACCTGGACGAGAAGCTCCCATCATCTTCCGTCGAGTCCATGAGGGAAATGGAGCCTGCTGAAATTGGACAACTAGTTCACAATCAAAAGATGGGAAAGACACTTTCGAAGCTCCTCAATGACTTCCCTACAATTAGCATCGAAGCTGAAATCGCGCCGCTCAATCGGGACGTTCTGCGCATTCGCCTTTCCATCTATCCCGAATTCACTTGGAACGATCGTCATCATGGCTCATCGGAGTCATTCTGGATCTGGGTCGAGAACTCTGAGACATCCGAGATCTATCACCATGAATATTTCATTCTCAGCCGGAAGAAGCTCTATGATGACCACGAACTCAACTTCACCATTCCTCTCTCTGATCCGCTGCCAAGCCAGATCTACGTTCGTGTGATCTCTGATCGCTGGCTAGGCGCAGAGACTGTGAGTCCGATCTCCTTCCAACATTTGATTCGACCAGACACGGAGAGCGTCTACACCGATCTTCTCAATCTCCAGCCTCTTCCAATCAGTGCTCTGAAAAATCCCATTTTGGAGGAAGTCTACGGGCAACGTTTCCCGTTTTTCAATCCAATGCAAACACAGATCTTCCACCTGCTGTACCATACACCGGCCAATGTCCTCCTTGGCTCACCAACGGGTAGTGGCAAGACCGTAGCTGCAGAGCTGGCAATGTGGTGGGCCTTCCGCGAGAAGCCTGGCTCCAAAGTTGTGTACATTGCACCTATGAAAGCCCTCGTGCGAGAACGCGTGCAAGACTGGCGTAAACGTCTGACATCGCTTATGGGATTGAAGCTAGTCGAGCTTACTGGTGATAACACCCCTGACACCCGGACTATCCGAGATGCCGATATCATCATCACGACGCCTGAGAAATGGGACGGCATCTCGCGCAGCTGGCAGACCAGAGATTACGTGCGGAAGGTGAGCCTGGTGATTATCGACGAAATCCATCTGTTGGGCGGCGATCGAGGCCCGATTCTGGAGATCATTGTCTCCCGTATGAACTACATCGCTTCTCAATCCAAGGGCTCGGTTCGACTCATGGGCATGTCAACTGCCTGCGCCAATGCCACGGACCTCGCAAATTGGCTCGGGGTCAAGGAAGGCTTGTTCAATTTCCGGCATTCCGTTCGCCCGGTACCTCTTGAGATTTTCATTGATGGTTTCCCCGAGCAGCGCGGTTTCTGCCCGCTTATGCAGTCCATGAACCGCCCGACCTTCCTTGCCATCAAGAATCACTCGCCCGAGAAACCGGTGATCGTCTTTGTGGCTTCTCGAAGACAGACTCGTCTTACTGCCAAAGATCTGATCAATTATTGTGGAATGGAGGACAATCCTCGTCGGTTTGTCCGGATGTCTGAGGATGATCTGGAAGTGAATTTGGCACGAGTCAAGGACGACGCTTTGAGGGAAGCTCTCAACTTCGGCATTGGCTTGCACCATGCTGGTCTGGTCGAGTCTGATCGACAATTGGCCGAAGAGCTCTTTGCAAACAACAAGATCCAAATCCTGGTTGCGACAAGCACACTTGCCTGGGGTGTCAACCTCCCCGCCCATCTGGTCGTCGTCAAAGGCACTCAGTTCTTCGACGCCAAGATTGAAGGATACCGGGACATGGACCTGACTGATGTTCTGCAAATGCTCGGTCGCGCCGGACGTCCGCAGTTTGACACTTCGGGCATCGCACGCATCTTCACTCAAGATTCCAAGAAAGCATTCTACAAGCATTTCTTGCACACTGGTTTCCCGGTGGAGTCAACATTGCACAAAGTCCTTGATAACCATCTTGGTGCTGAAGTATCCGCTGGAACAATCGCTACTAAGCAGGACGCCCTGGATTACCTGACCTGGACCTTTTTCTTCCGCCGGCTGCACAAAAACCCATCATACTATGGACTCGAAATTTCGGCAGAAGAACAAAACACAATGTCCGCGCAGAGCATCGCGCAGGAATTCATGATTGATCTGGTCGACAAATCCCTTGACGACCTGGCCGAATCCTCCTGTGTTCTTATTGACTCTGCCACTGGAGAAGTCGATTCAACGCCCTTTGGCAAGATTATGAGTTACTACTATCTGTCACACAAGACCATCCGCTACCTCATGTCTCATGCCAAACGCGATCCGACTTTCCAGGATGTTCTCAGTTGGATGTGCTCCGCCACCGAATTCGATGAGCTGCCTGTCCGTCACAATGAAGACTTGATCAATGCCGAGCTGGCCCAGAACCTACCGCTCGCTATCGAATCAATGGGCGATCTTCCGATGTGGGACCCTCATGTCAAGGCCTTTTTGCTGCTGCAGGCTTATATGTCGCGAATTGACCTTCCTATTTCGGACTACGTCGGTGATCAAACGTCAGTCTTGGATCAAGGTATCCGTATCATCCAGGCCTCCATTGATGTCATGGCGGAACTAGGCTACCTTCCTGCATGTCAGATGTTGATGGCTTTGCTTCAGTCTATCAAATCGGCCAGATGGCCAGAGGACCATCCATTATCCATCCTTCCTGGTATCGCCACTGAAAAGCCGCCTCGTGGTCTTCCTGACTCGCTAGTTGCGCTCTCACGTCAGCCTGCAGCTTCGGTCTCCTCTTTGGTCAAGAAGCTCTCTCTTCCACATCAGTTTACTCGGGCTACTTCTCAGCTACCAGAGCTCTCTGTCTCAGTTGCTGGAATTTCTTCTCGCGGGATAACCGTGTCTGTTGTACGACGAAACCCAGGCTTGAATCCAGAGTACAGGATCTATGCACCCCGATTCCCCAAACCGCAGACAGAAGGTTTCTTCCTGGTTGTCTGCAGTGCCATGCCAGATGGCAGTGACGGCGAACTCCTTGGGCTGAAGCGAGTATCCTGGCCGTCCAAGCGAAATGGCGGTAACAATGATAAAAAACCCCCCGGAACTGGTTCCAGCCGCAACACATCGAACCAGAATGGCAAGAACAGCAGTGGCTCGCTCACGGTTCGCTCTTCGGTCAAGTTCCCTGATGAAGCTGCAGGTACCACCCGGGTGAATGTCAAGATCATTTCCGACGCGTACATTGGGATGCAGTGGGTCTTGTCGAATGTAGAGGTCAATGTGGATCACGGCAAGGAGACCCAGATGGTGTCTGGGCCCAGTGCTCCTCTTAAAGGCTGATGGTTTCCTTCATCGGTGAAAATCTCTCGATCTAACGGCGAAACTTCCCTTCCTGTATCTAAGATCAAATATAGAAGTTTCTCCAAGTATATGTTTCCCCTCGTTCAATTCCGTACAGTTATCTATATACGTTTTGCAAGATCCGTTGCAACATCCTGCTTAGCTACTGCTCATCCTGTATCTTGGTGACTCCGTCTTCCCCTATGGCTCTCCAGACGACAATACCGTCCGGTCTGACAGGCACGCCGGCCACTCCCTTCGTGTTTGTGAGACTGGCTCACATTCCCCTACTATCATCCGAGCTCGGCGCCGATGGCATGGAACTCATCATCCAAGATAACTTGAGCCTTTTTCAAGTTTCGCGGCGGGCGTAGGTGTTTCGTTTCCTTCTGGCGAGTCCTCCTCCCAGTACCCTTGCAGTGCCTTGACGATAGACTTGGCGTCATTGTCTGGAGAAATGCCCAGTGCGCGGTCCATGAACAAACCGTGACACCTGAGATTGTGCAAGCTTGTTTTTCACAACGCGAGAGATTTCGCAAGAACGAATTATAGGATGAAGGCAGAGGTCATCAAGCAGGTCAACTGCAACTAAATTGGATACTATCAAAGCGTGCAATGCAAAATGCCCACAGGGTATAAAAAGAGAGAAAATAATAAGCTCAAAATGACACGGCGGACAACGCCACAATTCAAAATAAGAAGAGCATCACAACGATTCAATTCGCAGTTCCTGTGAAACCGCATGCTTGTGTCCGTATTGAACACTCGGCATCAGGGCCTGTCGGTCCACCAACCGCTCATGGGGGTCTAGGTGGTCAACTCGGGCGCCGATGGGGACGAGCAGTTGCCGCGGTCCCTGGGAAACAGATACGGATCTCGCGATCGAAACCTCCACTGCTGGGGTGATATAGGGGAGAGGGCTGGTATCTTCATCGGCCAGAGGCATCCGAGTGAAATCTTCGGGAGAAGACCCAGATTCGGGGCCCGATAGAGGCGTGGTCGAGACAATGACGCGACTAACTTTCTCCGTGTTGATAGATGTTGACAGAATTTTATTCTTGGCTGGAGGAGAAGGCCGTTTCTCTGTCTTAACTGGAAGGCGGGACTGGTTTTTGGGGGTGTGCTTATGGGGAGTGTCCTTCTTCGGAGTGTCTTTCTTGGCGGCGTCCTTCTTGGGAGTATCTGTCTTGAGCGTATCTTTTTTGAGAGGGTCTTTCTTTAACGATTTCGCATCGCCGTTCTTTGGCGAAGTATGCCGATGCGTCCGAGCAGATTTTGGTTCCGGTTTGAGGGCAGGGAGCGGTTTGTCCTCGTTTCGGGGAGTGCTCGTGGATGATCGTGGTGTAGACGACCGATGCTCCGTAAATACTCTTGGGATGACGGGTGACTCGAACGCAGTGAGTATGTGCACGTTGGCAGAGTCTTTCGGTTGCTCCTCGGGTGCTTTCAACGGACTTTCAATAGGGAGCGTTGATGCTCTCACCCTGGGCCCGCGCGAGAAGTTCGGGGTGGGACCAGTACCGAGGGCACCGAGCACCTGGGCGGCTTTGGTGGGTTGGGAGGTTGGAAATAGTGTGAAACTCGTTCGTGCCGGTGAGGTTGCTCGTCGTTGAACTACTGAAAGTCCCTTCGGCTTGAGGAAGTTCTATCTCAGGTTAGTACTCCGGGTCCCAGTCAGAGCATATACACAACAGGAAACTCACATGCGCATCGGGGACTTGCAGATTGTCAAGCGTTTTGCTCCTCCGCGCCAGCAATGATGGTCTTTCCCTCTTCTGGATTAAGCTGCTGAACATAACACTGTACCGCTCCATCTCAACGTCCGGGATGTCCACTTGCAGCATAGGCTCTGTGCTAGCTGACTTCCCTTGCGGTTCTTTGGCGGCCGACTGAGACCGCTTTCGGTTTCTCTTGGATTCGCGGGTCTTGCCGCTGGCATTTGGCTCGGACTTGGAGTTAATCTCGAGAGAAGGCCACTCTTCTCTCGAGTCGTTCCTCTGTTTTGCTTTGCGCGGTTTCTCACTGGACTGCTCTTTTCGTGTTGTCCATAGGCTAGGATCTGTCTGTGCATGGTCCGACGTTGATGCTAAGGCATTCTTCGCCCTAAAGAACCCTCCAATCTTCTTCCACTTGCTTGGTTTTTGAGACTCAGATTTCTCTCCCGTACGCCCCGCCGCAAAGATCGATATGGGGGGCTGACATTGTCCCTGGGTGTTGAGCATTCCAGGGCTTCCCAAGGCAATTCCTATTAATTCCTGCTCTTTCGGACCACGATACGGCCGCGGCCTTGATGGGACGGCTTCATCCGGCGGTGCTGTTACTCGAAAGTCAAACCTAGCGCTCTGACCGGGTGGGGGCTTTCTATATCCATCCGCGGTGCTGGGTCGGTGAAAGTCCCATTGTCCGAGTGTAGCCGGGTCCGGTCGCTTGTAGGACGTCCCATCATCCAGCTCGCGAAGGTCGTTTCGCGGCAGAGCGTCGGTATATGTTAGTACGGGGAAGGAAATATTGTCTGTCGCATGTTGCGTGCGTGTTTTGACGGCCGTTAATCCTTTCGCCATGTTTTATTGGTATCCGGGAATCCAGCCGAGATACCGGGTTGCACAAGCAGAACGTATGCGAGAATGAAAATGGCCGAGAAAGGAGTGGATAGCCTTCCAGAAGGCTGCAGTGCAAAGCGGAGAGAAAGCAGAAACGGGAGCAGCGTGCCGGGCGCAAGGGCACTCCTCTGTATTTATTGAGTCGCATATGGATGAGGGCCAGCCAAGATAGACCCCTAGGTGGAGATCCAATTAAGAGGATCTCTGTAGATGAGACAAGCAGACGTCTCGGCCGTGCGCCCAGAAGATCCAGACAAATCAAGCGCGAAACAGGCGACGGTTGGGCCAATATCTGCAGCGCCAGGGCCACTTCCGGGCCAGGGCTGCACTCCTCGACCAACAGGAGCCAGGAGCGAAATGGATCTTGGACGGTCACACAGCCAGCAGTGCTCAGCACTACTCGCTCGACTAGTGAATGCACCGGCTGGAAGCAACAATGGGGGCGACCGGAGCGTGGGTTGGAGGGCCGTTAATGGACTCGCGTGCGATGCTTATTTTGCACTGGGCGAATGAGCGTGGCCCGTCGCGAATTGATTAGGTCGCTACCACGTTCAAGGGGTCCGCACTCGCCCAATCCCGCAGGAGGCGTGTTTCACCACCCTGAAGCTGAGACATGGGCTTTTGCTCCCTGACTCAGGCGAAACTGGCCGGTCGGCAGCCGGAATGCAAAGGCCGTTGGGCCCTCCGATGGGGCGGTCGGCTCTGCGCACAGACAGAGGACGGAAGATGTGGTTGTGACAGTCGCCAGAGGAATCCCTCATTATGTAGTTGCAACTCAGTCCCGGATCGGATTGCCGGTCAGTCCAGGATCCGATTCCAGGTCAATGCCCCAGACAGTCGGCATTCAGGCATTCAGGTGTCGGGGCATCCATTGGGGCACGTGTCCCGCAGGGAATAAGAATCTCGAAGGATTTCAGTTTCCAGCCTAGCCAGAACGATCATGGACAGGACGAGGATGCGCCAGGTGTGGTGGGTGTAGGGAACGCGCGAGGTGAGTGAAGGGTCGCAACTATACGCGGCAGCAAGAATATACAACCACACCATCCGAATTGTATTTATTGTCCATCATCGCTCTCATCATCATCATCATCCAACGGTCATAATTCGACCATCACCATTTGTTCGGGAATACGACCATCGTTGTTCATCCGGCCACTATGAGTTCGTCGTGATCGACGCAACCGTTCGGTTGGCTGGCGGGGTCTTGGGGAGTGATGTATTTACCGCCAACACAGACAGCCTCCCCCCACCTTCTTCTTTTCTTCTTCTTCTTCATCCGCTTCTCTCCTTTTCTCCTATCCCTCAGACTTTCCTTGATCTCGGTATGCTCACCACGAATTCTGCTCTGCCCCGGCTAACCCCTCCTCCGCCTGCAGCTTCCTCCGTCAGAACCCTCTTGTTTACATCATGGGCCAACATTCAGCAATTTGGCAAGGTAGGAACCACGCCGAACTACATCCCCCACCAAATCTCCGTCATGTCGCTAACGCTCTCTCTTCCTCAGGCTATGTCGACTCCAGGTATCTACCCACCTCTCGCCCCTCCCCCCGAACTCCTCCCTGATTCTCCCCCCTTTACTCTCATCACAAGACTAACCGCTACCCCGCCAGCCTGATGGGCTCGGGCCAATTCGACAAGGCCGGTATTCTTGCGGCCGACTTTTCCGGCCTCGAGGCCTCCTCGCCGAGCTTCCAGGTATGCGTGAACCCCCCTCATTCGGGTGCGGGGCTGTGGAATGTTAACGAAAACGGTCCGGGTGTGCTAGCTCTCCCAGGACGACATCAACACCCTGGCTGCGGCCTTCAGCTCCAGCGACAATGCGTTCGCCAACGGCTTCTCCATCGGCGGTGAGAAATTTGTGACCATCAAGGCGGACGAGCGCAGTCTATACGGCAAGAAGGTGCGTCCCTCGGCACTCCCCCCTCCAATGCGATCGGCATCCCGTGTATAGCAGTGGCTGATCTAGTGTTTGGATCTGATGCAGGGTAAGGAGGGCGCCATCGTCGTCCGCGCTACCTCGTGCACCATCATCGCCCACCACGGCGAGTCCGTCCAGACCACCAACGCCGCCACCGTCGTTGAGAACCTGGTTGACTACATCAACAACCCCCGGTAAAGGGGTTCAGGCGGAAACTCGGAAATGGAGAGGAGGAACGGGCCGTGTGTGTGAAGAATAGGAAGGAAATAAAGGAGCATTGCTTGATTTATCTTTTCTGTCTTTCTGGTCTCGCTCGACAGTGAGCTTTCTGCTTCTTTTTGACCAATTGTGATGATGGGGGAATTATGATATCTATTCTTGATGTACCCTTCTTGTTCGTCCCGGACCAATGCAGACTATGCAGTAGATACGTTAGGCAGGATCGACTCCATTGTATAAACTTGTAGGGATCATGCCATTGCTCGTCTAGTTATTCGGGATCTCTATTATTGTTGGATACTGACAAGCAGCCCGACAGAATCCGAAGGAGTCATTATTAATTACATCGACGCATGACCCATATGGGAACCGTGACCAGGGACGCTGCCACCTCCGTCCTCGGAGGATGGCTATGAAAAGGGTGTTGGAGATATATCGAGTCATCCCATCCGGGTCAAGCGCGAGCCGCATATTCATACACAAGAGCATCCTGCCCAGGAATCATACCGGCAGTTCGGCATTGCTCCTCCCACCAGCCAGAATCTCGAGACCGCGCTGAATATACGGTCCCACGACTGGGATGTTGCCCGCGAATTGACCGATGGTGACGAGGAAATCGCCGAAGAGGATGAACAGGCCGTACAGCTCGATCAGGAAGCCTGTCAGAGGCCAGCGGAGCAGGATCAAGATGATACCCGCGGTGAACGCAGCGGTACCCTTGAGTTTCTGGGGACGCGAGAAGAAGACCATGGTCTTCTGGAAACCAATGATGAGGGTCAGGCCGATGAGGAAGAGGATCTGGAGTGCGCTTAGTACGAAATCCGAGGGGTGGAGGGTTGGGCGCAGCGTACATTGCCCATGGCAAGCCTAGACGACAGGGAAATTGGTTAGCCTTTAACCGAACTCGAAAAGAGACCCAGGATCGCATACATGGATCGATCAAAGAACATGATCACTCCTCCAAACAGAAACAAGCCGCCTAGACGATGTCGTTAATACGTGCGCAGTGTTCCCTCTGGAGAGGAACTCGTACCGGCTGAGCAGAAGACCACACCGATCTCTGTCGGCATGTATTAGTACAGTACACGTTGTCACATCCCACGTCTTGCGACATGGGCAAGGAAGCGCAACTGACTCTGGTGCTCGGATAACCACATGCTAGGCATTTTAAATTCCGCCAAACGCGTCAGCGATCAGATAGTACGAGCGACAATGGGTTTCGTGGTCGATATGCGCAACGAGAGACCTGTTTCTTCTAGTTGCTGGTACTGGGAGGATTGTGTGCTCGAGGAACGGAAAGGAGCCGAGGCAGCGGGGGATCGAAGGGAGAGGGTGCGCAGAGTGAGCCCGGGGTCTTGACAGCAAGGGGACAGGATGAAGCGATTCCAAGGCCAGTCACTACTCTCTGGAGGGTAAACACGCAGAAAGAAAATCGCGTTCTGCCACGTCGAATCACATCCAGAAGGCGGTCTAGCCGGCCACCCCAAACGCTTTTCGTCCCTTTTTCTTTCTGTTCCTTTCACACTACGACGGTGAAGACCACTTCCAGCATTGATGATTGCATTGGACGGTGTCTCGATCTAAAATTACAAATATTATTCCCCCAATTCTGGCATCTCAATTCATTAACCACATGTCCCACTGGGGCTATCCATGCCACGCCGCGACGACAGTACCTTGAGTGCTGTAACTGCCGCTCCCGTCCCTGGGGCGGCGGTACTAGTCGGGTGCACTTGCACAAGGCGAAGATCAGAAACGGTCACGAATAAGCCGGAGCGTTTTCTTGAACCTGTCTCGAGAGGGGCACGGTGGGTGGAAAGGGCTTGACTGTGTTGGCCGTACATTCGTAGCAATTCCGCTGTTCTGTGTAGCGGATGATTTGGAGCCATGCTCGTTGCATGGCAGAGTCCGTGGTCGTAGAGCATGCTCCTCCGCTCTACTTCAAAATAGTGTGCGCCCCCCGAGCTTCCAGATAGCTGTCTGGCACGCCCTGCGCCAAGGTCCGAATCACCCCAAAGATCTCCTTGTTATGGTAGCGCAATCGGGTCTTGGGATCGGTATACGGAGCTGGCAGGCCCGTGATGTCGCAGTAGTGGCGCTGGTAGGCTGGATTTAACGACGGGGCCGACTCGATGTTCGTGTAGGTGACGGTTGGTCCGGTCGGGAACATGGCCCGAGCATTCTTCTCCAGCACCAGGGTGGAAAGGTTCTGTGCAGCTTGTGCCAGGTTAGGGGCCCGCCCAGCGCCTTCGGCAGGCGTCTGCGTGCCGCTGGTTGTGACCCCCGAGGTGGCGGGCAAGGGCGTGGTGGCACCGGAGTTTGCTTGCGTTGCCATCACTGATGCCTCTTTCCGGGTGGTCTCGGAAATGATCTGCTTGAGATTTTTGTTGCGCCGCTGCGACGGCTTCCAATTTGGGTTGCGGAATGGGCGTGGGACCTGGGCAATGTCGAGACTGTTCAGGAGCCGCTGGTGCGCTTCGTCGTTCACTGGAGTGGCAGGAGCCATGGTGGGTACAGTGGATTGAGTCGAGGATGACAAAGTAGCCGTATGTGATGGATATGAATAGTCGGCTGATAGCAGGAGTATTATTGTGGTAGGGGGAAGTGGAATGAAAGAAAGACAGAAAGAGTGGCCGAAGGGGATTCTTGTATAGGGTCACGTGTATCATACCCGGCCGGAAAACAAACCCAGGACATAACAATGATTATTCCTTTCTCCCACAACGACTACTACTACCCAGCCAGCCTAAATCATGGTATGTATTTGTCTTTGTAAACAGAAAACTGTCACTCATTCTTCTCCAGGAGAGTCCCCACGAGCACCAGCAGACGGTGCTGCTGTCGCGTATTATCACCAACGTGGTAGGTGCTACTGCCTCCCGGCCAGGGACAATCGGCATCTGGGCTAATTGGACGATCAGGAGAAACTCAATGAAGCCATCATGGTCATGAACAAGAGCCTTCAGGTTTGTTTCGTCATGGTGGCGGTGGGAGTCGCGTGGATGGACTAACTGACGACGCGACAGGAGGTCAACATCCAGAACATGAACGTGGAACTGGTGGCGCAGATGTTCAAGAACTACCAGTCCAACGTGCTTTTCCATCTGGAAGGTAAGTTTTCTCTGCTTCATGGATGCGATGGATGCTGAGCCCACGCAGCGACCGAGAACCTCCAGGAGCCGTCGTAAGCGCAGGGAGGATGATGATGAACGAATGAATAATGAATGAATCAATATCTCCATGATGAGGGCATCCATCGTAATCAAACCAAGTCCATCTTCGTCGTGAATATTCATAGATGCGGCGGGTCTTGGCATGTAAGATCTCCAGCTGGGTCACTTTTCTGCCGGCCATTCAACTCTCCCTCTCTCTCTGTCCCATTCGTCCATGATTCCCTTGCCGTATATTTATTGACTACCCAGTCTTGTTTCTTCTTCTCTTCTCCTTCACCCCATCCCCCCTACCCTGGCCATGCGGTGAGCCTCACTCGCCTCACCCTCTCCGATCATCACCAGCTCCTGGTTTCCCCCAACCACCAGCCAGCATAGGTGGCCATGACCATCACCTCGGTGCAGACCCTTCTCCCGGGTCGCTTTGATATCAATGCGACCGAGAAGAGAACCCCGAAACCGCCACCACAGGTCTACGGCGTTGTCGACTTCCCCTTCAAGGGCTACAATCCTCCGCAGCCCGAGGGCTATGAGCAGAGCCGCTCCCATCCCGACACCAGCGCCATCGTCATCGACAATGGTATGTTCTGCTTGGTCGCGCCTCCTCAGCGCAGAGTACTGACAGTGTTTCCCCCTCATCCAGGCTCCAGTACCATGAAGGCTGGGTGGTCCTTCGACCAGAACCCGCGCTTCGTCCTGCCTCCCACCATGAGCCGCTACCGCGATCGCAAACTCAACAAGCAGTGCAATTTCATTGGTTACGATGCATACGCTGATGCGACCACCCGAGGCCAGCTCCGACATGCCTTTGACCCGGGCAGCAGCGTTGTCGGGAACTGGGATGTGATGGAGGGCGTGCTGGACTACCTGTTCCTCAAGCTCGGCGTGGACGGCGCCAACGGGGGGTTGACCGGCCCATTGTGATGACAGAACCGATTGCGAATTTGGCATATCCCAGGCGAAGTAAGTTTGAGCTTCTGGGTGACGACAATTGACGGCGACGGCTAACCCGCCTCTAGTGATGAATGAGATTATGTTCGAGTGCTATTCCACGCCGTCCGTGGCCTACGGTATCGACTCCCTCTTCGCCTACCGCTACAACAAGGGGACAGATGGCTTGGTCGTGTCGTCCTCACACACCTCGACGCATGTTATTCCCGTCCTGAACTCGAAGCCACTTTTCTCGAACTGCTCACGACTCAACTGGGGTGGAATGCATAATGCCGACTACCTGCACAAGCTGATGAAGCTCAAGTATCCCACGTTCCCCACGCGCATGACGGATCATCAGATGGAAGACCTGGTCCACAAGCACTGCTACGTGTCTCCGGACTACGACCGCGAGCTGAGTGGATATTTGGAATGGACCGGCTTGGAGGACCGTGATCATGTTATCCAGTATCCATTTACGGAGCCTGTTGTCATCGAGAAGACCGAAGAGGAACTCGCCCGGATCGCGGAGCGCAAGAAGGAGAGCGGCCGCCGCCTTCAAGAGCAAGCGGCCAGGATGCGGCTCGAGAAGCTCGTGAAGAAGGAGCAAGAGCTAGAGTATTGGAAGGACTTCCAGAGCAAACTTGCCTCTGAAACCAAGAAGGAAACCCGCCGGATCTTGGAGGCGGAGGATCTCAAAGACGAAGCTCAACTGGAGCGAATGATCAGGGAACTAGAGAAGTCGATCAAACGCTCACGCAACAAAGATCTGGGAATCGAGGAGACAGAGGAGCAACCGGAAGAAATGACGTTCCCATTGCTCGATATTCCTGACGAAGAACTCGATGAGGCCGGATTGAAAGAAAAGCGACACCAGCGGCTCATGAAGTCCAACGTGGATGCCCGGCAACGGGCCAAAGCTGAGAAGGAACGGGAGAAAGCTCGGCAGGACGAAGAGGAACGTCTTGACCGCGAAAAACGTGAGAATAATTTTGAGAGCTGGATCTCCGAACGGAGAGCCAATCGCGAGGTTAGTTGTCACTAGAAGCACCATTGACTCTGAGATGCTCATGTTCTTTTAGACTATCATGCAAAGGATCAAAGAGCGAGATCGCATGAAGGCAGATCTTGGCAATCGCAAATCCCTAGCCAGCCAGATGCGGATGAAGACGCTCGCCAACCTCGCCTCGGATGGCCCCAAGAAGCGCCGGCGTGGAGGGGATGACGACGATTTCGGCGCCAATGACGACGACTGGGGCGTGTACCGAACCGTGGCCAAGGATGAGCAGAGCGACGAAGAGGAAGAGGAGGACCTCGGCGGCATGCTCAACAACATCGAGCAGGAGCTTCTCGAGTACGATCCCGAATTCACCGAGAACCATACTCTTGCGGCACAGACCGACTGGACCAAGAGCTTGGTACATGCTTTTCTGCGCGGACCCTGGCCTTTCGACGGGGAGAGCCACCGCGAGGCACATCAGCTCCACCTCAATGTCGAGCGGATTCGCGTGCCGGAGGTGGTCTTCAAGCCATCCATCGCCGGAGTTGACCAGGCTGGTCTGATCGAGATCGCCGCCGATATCATCAATCAGCGCTTCTCCACCACGGAGGACCGTTCCCGCCTTCTCAAGGATGTGTTCCTGACGGGCGGCAACACCCTCTTCACTGGGTTTGATGAGCGCTTCCGCAACGAGGTGCGCGCGTACTTGCCGATTGACGGCGAGTTGAGAGTGCGCAAAGCGTCGGACCCCATCCTGGATGCGTGGAGAGGTGCTGCGCAATGGGCCGCTGGCGCCGACCTGGGCCAGTCATCCATTACGCGACAGGACTATCTAGAAAAGGGCAGCGAGTATATTAAGGTATGTTCCCGCTCGATGAACCTCTTCCTGTTATCATCAACTGACATGTTTCTATCAGGAGCACGATCTGGGGAATGTTACGTGGTAAAGGAGGCGAAAAAACCCGCTCGGGCGTATAAGGAGTCAGTCACACCGGTATCTTGGGAGGGAGCACGGGGGCTTGGAATATTTTATTTTCTGTAGACTGCGATTACCTTTGGGCCTGAATGCAATTTGGTTGACAGCAGAAGCTTCGTCTTGTTCCTGCATCTAGACACCGTCTGTCGTCGCAAGGAGGATCTAGGGTGGCCGCTATTGTCCCTGCTGGCCCGCTTGTGTTACTCCCGTAAGGCACGAAGGCTGGAGTGGTTTAATTTGATTGAACCCTCGACCTTCGGCCTCATTGATTGCCCTCAGTCAGCCTCGCATATTGATTGCTGCTGTTTTGCGGCCCATACAGACGGCACGGTCGAATAGTCAGTCGTGACGGCGTAGGGCTGACTGAAGTGAGCGACTAATAGAAGCCACCGTCGATCACGATCCATGTCTATGCAGAGAGGGATACTATTGGACGATGACCGCTCGGTGCATTCCACGGTCGAGAGGTGTCTAGTTTAGTTATTACTAGCAGAGGCAGTCGAGCTTGCCCCAACTTCCGCCGCATGCCGAGTGGCCGTTTTGCCCGTTCGCCACTCCTTGCACACGAGAGAGTAAGCTACCTACGGAGGAAGAATAGGCAAGGACCAAAATACAACAAAACCGTAACATTATTATCAGCGTCCTTTGCTTGTACATTATTTTCCTCCCTCACCGCTCGACCATTGGAATCCCGGCCGGCCCAGGTGCCGATTGTCGCGCGCTGACTTCATGTAGAGGCCATCATGACGCATCTGGGGATCTTGACTTGTGCTGGTTTGCCGCATATCGCCCTGACCCTGACCGGGGTTTAACTTTGGTGATTCCGGTCCAGACGCTTCGAATGTGCAAGTGATGTGGTGGTGATGACCCCATTGCCAACGTTGTCCATATAAAGGCCGAGCTAGTCCTCGTCCGCCTGCTGGCTGGCTGGCAAGCCCTTTTTTGACTCATTGGTTTCTGCGCTGATATCCTCGCCTCTGATGGGACCTCTCCCTGCCTCTTGGCGGCGAGAGCTCTAGTTACAAACAACCATCCCACTACTATAGCTGGAACATCGGCATCTATACTATACCTCACCTCACCTCCTCTGTCACTATGCGCTTCTCAACTGCTGTCGCGCGGCCCCTGCAGCTGCTCACCCGGACGATACAGTGGATCAGTGCCGTCATCGTCATGAGCCTGACGGCGTTCCTCCTCCATCGTGGTCCCAAGGGCCAGCATCTCATCTACCAGGTAGTCATTGTATGCTCCCATCCCGCCCTGCGATCATCATATCCTGACGAACTCAGGCTGTGCTATCTGTCGTCTTCTTCCTGCCGGCTTTCCTCTCGCCTTTCATGCCCGCCGCGCTGAGCAGGTTTGTGCTGGCCATCGATATCATCTTCACCTATCTGTATGTCCCGTCCTCGCTGCTCTTTTTATGGACTGACTGACTAACTCTCATAGGTGGTTGACTGCCTTCATTTTTGCCGCTCAGGACTATAGCAATCAAGCGTGCTTCTTCCGCGCCCCGCCCGGAGAAGGCTGTTCCCGCAAGAGGGCAAACGAGGCCTTCATGTTTCTTGCTTTGTATATATATCCCTCTGCCTTTTACAATACAGATAAGACTGACCACCATCCAGCTTCTTCACATTAATCGGCGCAATCCTTGAAGTTGCTGCCCTCTTGGCCTACAAGAAGGAGAACTCGCAGCAGCGGCCGCACGAGAAGAACCGCGGCGCTGCTCGTCCGCCTATGGATGCGCCTGTGTCTAACCCGGCACCTGCGGGCACGGTTTAAAACATTCTCCCGGTGCAGCGCGGATGCCTGTGGATGGCATGTCTATTGTAGTGGTCGATGACTGGGGAGTGATTTTGGGATAAAGCTCAAGCGCTAGGTGCTGTTTGTTATGAGATGAGAATGTGAAGATGAACAGCGGTTGCACATAGGAGGTCGAAGTCGCCAGATAGCCGCAGGGGAAGGGACGTTTCGATGCGTGTCTACCTACTTTCATACCAACTACTGCTAATCTGATGATAGCCCAATGGCTCTTGTGAACGTCGTCTATTAATTGTTCTATGGATATGTACAATGAAGCCACCATGAGGTGACGAGCAACGTTCACACAGGAAGTCAGATCGCAAATCAGTGTATCTCATGCAATCAAGTCTCACGCTTAGCGCCAACACCAAAGTAGAATTGAAAAAATGGATGTCTGCTGTGTTGAATGCTGCATACTCCAGACACCGTACCTTCGTCCACACGACCCACTTGGGCTGGGCCATGGCGGAAAGATGAACTGCCCTTAGATACTGGCTCGCCGAGGGGCCATAGTTCGTTGTAACTTACGCTTTTCCTCCGTCTCCTCGGGAATAGGGAGAGAACCTTCGTTTTTGAGCCGGTCCAAGAACTCCTTGCCATAAGTATAGCCCACTTGGTAGATCTCGTCAAATTTGCCGAAGTCCAGGGTTCCGTACGGGTCGATTGGAGGACGCATGTACAGACATCCCGTGGTGTTTTTGGCCCGCTCGAGATTGTCAATAGACGAGACATATGCCAGTCGGGCCTGGATTTCGGAGAGTGTCGGCGGATTCGGGCAAGAGGAGAACGGGTTCCACCGGTTGATTATCGACCAGAACCCAGATAGCGAGTCTCCATATCCTTGCGGCGTGGTATCGTCAATAGAGCCAACATCGACAGCGAAGATTACATCTGCTCCAAGACCCTTCATGTGTGCCACGGTGAGGTTGTCGATATAGCCACCGTCCAGGAGCATACTTCCTTCGTCACAGATTGGTGGGGTCAGGCCGGCAAGAGACATGGACGCCCGAACATAGCGCCAGACGTATCCTGACGAGTGATACTCCGCGCGGGATCGGCTGATGTTCGTCGTATTGCAGTAGAACTCAAGCCAAAAGTCCTCGATCTGGCTGTCCCCGAACGTCTTGAAGATTCCTCGATTGAACTCGTGGCCCGTCGTGTACGAAACTGTGGGGTAGGTCAAATCCAACGCAAACCTCCACATACTTCCCATGCGGCCGGAGAACTTCTTTGCTCTGCCGTACATGGGGACAACATCTGCGTCGCGGGCATAGAGAGCACCGATAAAGGACCCAATCGACGTGCCACCGATGATATCAATGGGAATCCCAGCCTCCTCCAGTGCTTTGATCACGCCAACTTGAGAAATCCCTCGGGCGCCTCCACCACCGAGCACCAGACCGACAGATTTACCGCAAAGGCGCCGGGCTAGACGATGGAAATCACCTTTGAAAGGCGTTTGTGCGGAGTATAGAGGAGTCTGTCGAATACGTCGTGAGGTGTATTTTTGAATTTCCGCTTGTAGGACCTGCACGCGCTGCTTGAGGACAGTGCCAAACTTCTTAACTTGTGGATTGGCAGGTTCAGTAGTCAGGCGAAACGACATCTGGATATGGTGGTGTCCACCGTTGATCCATAACCGGTTCTTGAGCCACCGGCGGGTCAATCCGGGCGAGCAGTATCGTTCGGCGTGCAAAAGGACAAGTTCCTTGCGGGCGGTAGTCTTCATGCCTAGTAGGAACCGCTCGTATTCGCCAATGCTGGGCGAGGACTCCGCGAGGCCTACTAGGAGGATAGAGTCCGCCTGTGAAATGCAGGTCTGGGTCCAAGGTGCATTCACATTTGTGTCCGCAATGTACAGCACCATGCCATACTTCTCTTCCAGGTCAGCCAAATACTGGGATAATTTGAGCTTCCCCATCTTGCTGAAGGCATGGCGACCCAGATGGTTTAGAATGGCGGCCTGGTTGAGCGATGTAACCCCGCGGGCCACACCGATCTGATGCAGCGCATGGAGAAGTCGATGTCCAAATTCCACCACAGGAACGCCTGCGGTGACGGGAAGAATCGCCACCGTGCGAAGGTTGACGGTGGATGTGGCAGTTTGGACACTAGCAGCGTGGCTTTGTTCTATGGCCTTCTCCGACAAGGGATGCTCCACTAAATCACGCATTCGTTGAGCGATAAGTTTGGAGACTCGAATGGTGATTCCTGGATGTTCCTGGGCTAAGCTGTTAAACAAGGACCGAGGAAATTTGGCCAACTCGGTATCCCGGATGGCATGCAGCGTAGCTGGTCGAGTGGACTCCGTCATGACTTCCAGCTCGCCGACACTCTCCCCCTGGCCGTATTCGTTGATGACCGTCATCTTCCCGTTTGGTCCTTCCAGAATGGATCGGAGTCGTCCATTCAAGACCAAATAGATTGCATCGCTCTCATCCCCTTGGTGGTAGATCACTTGTCCTGCGCTGACCTGACCCCACTCAAGAGCAAAATCGATGTGCAGTAGCAGACGCGGGAGGAGGTTCGTGAGCCGTTTCGCCAATGTCAACAAGGCAATGGGATACCGTTCGGCGATCCGTTCGAGAGAAGCTCGAGGAAGGAAACCAACGTACACGTCCGTCTTGGCAACAACATCTGTGTATGACCGATAAGATGCGAGAGCACCGATATACCCTTGTATACCCCCGGGTTTGATCAGATAGAGCGACTTGCGAGATTGGGATTTTCGGCGCCCATCACCTCCAGTCTGTGATGACCCCGTGGCGGTTCGTTTTAACTTGGGGAAGAGGTCTTCCTGGGCTAATGAAACCGACCCTCGGGAAGATCCAACGAGATCATCACCGCGCTCATTATCCGGGATACCCACATCGAGAAACCCATCAATCACGTAGTAAAGGCCTGGGTGCCGCTCGCCTTGCTCGACAAGCACCGAGCCCTGAGGGAAATAGACGATCTCAATGTCATGGGACAGTTCCTCCCGAAGGTTGACAACTGGTGATGTTCCTCCGGCACTTGTTACGGACATAGACATCATAGATTCACTTTCGCCATCACCGGAGCCTTCATAGGGGTCCATGAACCCGAACGCATTGGAAAAGACGGCTTTCTGACGCCGTGAATCATAGGAGAGAAGCTTTGGTGACGCCTCACCAGAGTTTTGGCTGGTTTTGCGTAAAGAATCATTGGTGCTTTCTGTTAATCCAATTCCCTTCATGATGCAGTCGAGAATCGACTCCCGGAAGATAGTGTCTTCATCGAGTGACTCCTTCCGCTGGAAGGGCGATGGGAAACCTTCCATAGCGGCAGACGATCGAAAAAAAGTGCGTTCTCTCTCAACCAGCGGGCTCTGCATCCGCGGCGGCCATTGTTCGTATCGTGGTCCAAACCGGGAGAGTTGGATCGTGGACAATAGATCGCCGGGGCTGACTCCTGTTGAGTCCCGCTCGAGAAAAGTCGGTTGTCTTCTCAGAGGCGCAGGGGCAGCGGCGCGTTGCTCGTTGGCCACCCGTGCTTGCAATACCGCTTCCTTTCTGAGGGAGCTGCTAGACCGGCGTCTGCGTCCAACGGAGGGATTATGAAGTGCAATGCCTTTGCCAACTTCCTCGGGTCGCAGTCGGTCTCTTTCCCTCATAAACTTATCTTTAAGACGATCTAGCGCGTCCCCGCGTAGATCGTTGGGCAGGTCCCAGGTCGTAAATCTTGATATCTGCCTGTCAATCCCAAGCACCTCTGTTGTCAGTCCCAGGTACGAATGAGCCGTTGCAAAGGTCACTCGTTGAAGACGTGTGAGAATGACTTGCACAATATGTGAAGTAGCTCTTGGGTAGACGCGAGTCAGCCGGCGGAATGCGCTGGCGGGGATGATGGCAATGGTAGTATCAACCATCGCTCGCGCCACAATGTCTGGATGAACGGACTTCCGACGCCTCTTTTGGGGTTTTTGATGATCTTCCAATTGAGGAGGATGGGGAGGCATGGCATGACTCTCCCCCAGATGCAACGGAGGCACCGCTGGTAGGGTGTCACCGTTGCTGCTGTCGTGTGCATTGGTTTCACTGTGATCTTTTGCCAGGGCTGGCGGACTCTCCACTATTCCAGGATCCGGACTGACAGGGTAGGAATCAGGCATACGAGTAGGCGCATGGGCCACACTGGATGCACTGGAGCTGCCGCGAGAAGTACGTAATTGAATGTCTTCGGTGAAAAGTGATAGGATGGAAAACAAGGATGACATCGAGGCGCCGTTCTTGACCTCCGTCAGCAGTTGGTAGCCTTGCTGGCCATGGGCATGGCGATCCTCTTCATCCGATGATGCATCGTCCATGTACAGAGGCTCTTCTGCGCCAGGCTTGGTCTCGCGCATCGACTTGACGAAGATCTGAACCAGGCCATCTACAACCAAACAAAAGCCTTTCTCTTCCTCCAGCATCAGCGTTTCTCCCGCAATGAGCTTTCTCGTTTGCATGGTCCGGGTCAACTCGTGGAAGACCGGGCGCTCCAGGTAGCCAAAAACCTTGATGGCACTCAGAAACTCATCGAGGTAATTGGCGAGGCCCGGTTTCGAGTCACCTTCCTGGATATCGGGGAACAGGTCGATCTGGGCTTCCTTGCGCTGGGGCTCCGGGGGAAGGCGGCTGTACATGTTCAAGAATCGGTACCGAATGAACCAGCTGACGGTCGAAACCAGAACGAGGACGATCAACATGCTATTATTTGAATCAGTCACGGAATGTCCCAAGCGTCACGGTCGAGGCGGGAGCACCTACAGGGTGGTGAAGTTCATGGTGAATGTCAGGCTCATGGAGAAGAGCGTGAAGAGCCATGTGGGCAGAGTGATGGTGGAAAAGGTAATGATCCAGTATAGGACGCTGGGAATCACCTGAAAGATGAAGGTGAACACCCATCCGATCCACCCCGCCATGGTCGAGGGAGTTGGCGGAGGGAAATTTGGAGGTGGGGGACGTATAGGAATCGACGCGGGTACAGCGCTTGGGAGGGAGGAAAGCAGGTTGGAGGGGGATGGTGGGCTGCTGGCGGAGATGGCAGCCGTTAGGCTAAGGGACAGAGACGGGTCCCCGCCATTGTGGTTGCCAGCCATGACAGACACTAGACTCCGCTCGGGATGGACCAAGAGAGCCTACGAGCCTAACTCCAAGCTGCGCGATCAGGCCAGGGCGAGCACCGTCATGTTCGAGCCCATCGGGAACGTGCGGGCGCAGTCGCCGGTGGATGGAGGAAAGGGAGGTTGCGGACGGAGACGTGTGAGTGGTCAGGACAGCCCGTGGTGCATGAGGGACGCCCGACCGAGGCAGGCGGTAGTAGTGGATGGTCGATCGTTGGCAACTAGATTCGTCGGGAGGGTCGGAGGATTGATTCACTAGGAATTTATCATGCGTCCAGGGGTTGTGAAGAGGGAAGGGCCCGAAGAGAAGACAAGGGATGCTGAACGGACCCCGTGATCGATCGCGTGGTGTCTTCCGAGAACTATATATCTATCTGGGGGACTCTGGTCGGACATCGGACCGCCAAATCAATTACGATGGGGATTCTCAAGGAGTCGCCTCCATTCTGAATGATCTCCATGAGGGAGTTCATCCATCGTGCACGACGAGTAAACGCATGTCTCGAGTCTTAATTAGCTCCCCGGGTCTTGGGCTTGGCTTCTCCGGGGCTGACTGATCTCTCCTTCTCCTTCTCTCGCTTGGTCTCGTATCAACTCTCCTCCCCAACATCCTTTCCTTCTGTCCCACCCTTCCGTCGCGGCGATGTTTCAGGTACGCATTTAGTCTCCCTCTCCCTGGCCTGATCCCCTGTGTCACTCGGGCCGCTTTTGCTCACTCGTCACCCCCAGCGCCTCCGCGACGCGATCGACTCTCGAATAGCAGAGGAACAGGCCCGCCAGAAGACGGCCCAGGATAACGTCTCTCGATCCGCTTCGGGCCGCCGTACAGCCACGTCCCGCAACCTCTCCCCTGGTCGTCGGCCACAACGTCCCAGGCGGACCCCCAGCACCCCCATCCGAGGCCCCGACCCAAAGGAATTCGAGCCCGAGTTTGCGATCGGAGATGACGAATCCAGTGGAACGGCCACGCCCCAGGCGGAGACCTTGAAGCCGGACTCAGAGGTAACAACGCTCAATCCAGGCGCCGAGGGAGAGGAACAAGAAAGCAAAGCACCGGCAGCATCGTCTGCAACAGGAGATGCGGCAGCTCCAGACACCGAGCCCAATGATGAAGCCGCACCGGAGTTGCCAACGGAGGTGAGAGCGAAGCTCCGGAGACTAGAGAAGCTCGAGCCACGATACCATGGTATGCAGACACTCTCCCAAGGAATTGAACATTGTCTAACACCAAACCCTTTATCTAGAGCTCCTCAAGGCATATCGTGTAGCTCATGCACGGGTCCTCTCCATCGAACCCTTCGAAGCCGCGCTGCGCGAGAATACACCTCTCTCATCGATCGCCGAGCCGAAGGCACTTACCGAGTATCTGAATCAGTCGACTCTCAAGAGTGATATGGTGATGGAAGAGCTGAAGCGGGTGTCGACCGAAAAGGACGATTACAAAAAGAAGCTGGAGGAAGCTGAGAAGTCCGCCAAGGAGATTCGGGAGGAGATGGTCCGTCTCAAAAAGGATAAGCCGGAGGATGAGCAGATAAAACTTACCGACGAAGGTCAAGAGACGAGCGAAGAGTTCTTTTCATTCGAGAACGAAATTCCTCGCCTGGAAGGAGAATTAAAGGAACGACAAGAAGAGGTGAACGAGCTGAAGTCGCAGGTGGAAACCCTCAAACGTGACCTGTCAGTCGCACAGGAGTCGACGGAGGGCATGGTGCAGAACTTGGAATCGGCGACTCGCGAGCTTGTCGAGTTGCGTGACACCAAGGACCGACTAGATGCCGAGATTGATAGCCTGAAGACGTCCAAAGAGACGGATGTGGACGACCTAAAAGCCAAGCTTGGCGCCGCAGAATCCTCCATCGAACGGGTCACTGCCGAAGTGGCCGAGCTGAAGACACAGCTGCAAGGCAAGGCCGTTGAGATTGAGAGGCTCCAGGCCCAGGCCTCTCAGTCCGGAGAGGCGACAGAGACAGCGGCTGATCCCGAACTTGCCGCGCAACTGGAGAAGGCCAAGGAAGGGAAGGAGGCTAGCGAGAAGCGTCTCGGTGTCCTTCAGGGCCTGGTGGATAGCCTTCGATCTCAACTTAAAGATACAGAATCGAGCGTGTTCGACTTGAAAGCAGAGATTAACGACAAGTCGATAAGCTCCACTAGACTCCAGAATATTGTCGACTGGGTGGATGTCAACTTGAAGGATCATGCCTCTTGGATTTCCGCTAAGGAGAAAGTCTCTGCCGGACAGACAGCCGACTTTGAGGAGGTCCGCAAAAGCCTTGCGCCTGCGACAACGGAGGCCATTCCAGCTACTCCCGAAGCTGAAATCGACTCCCAGACCCAATCTACCGCGGCCGCCAATGCTGGAGCTGGTGCTGGCAAGAAGAAGAACAAGAAAAAGAAGAAGGGTGGCAAAGCGGCCGAAGAATCCCCCAAACCATCTAATACGACCACTTCTATAGAACAATCATCGAGTGCAACTTCGGGTTCGTCGGACTTGGTCGAACTCAAGCAAACGATTGAAATCCTTACGCAGCAATTGGCCGAGAAGGAATCCGCAATTGAACGCCTCAGCTCGAAGTTGAAGGGAGAAGACGACCTTAAGGAGGAGATCGAGTCCTTGCGCGATGATTTGGTCAATGTGGGCCAGGAGCATGTTGAGGCGAAGGACAAGATCAAGGAACTTTCCGCAGAAAAATCTGCGCTCGAAGAAACAATCGGCAAATTGGAAAAGGAACTCGTTGATCTGCGCACTAACAGCGCATCGAGCACTGCCGACTCAGCCAAGGTGCACGGCGACTTGAAAGACGAATTCGAGCGCCTAAAGGTCCAGGCAGCCACGCTGGAGACGGATCTTTCTGCGGCACAGCAGCTAGCAGCCGCTCGCTTCAAGGATCTCACAGACCTACGTGATACCCTTCAGAAGATCCAACCCGAGTTACGGAATCTGCGCGCCGACTCGTCAGAGTTGAAGACCATGAAGGAAACGCTGAGCAGCAAAACCTCAGAGCTGAAAGCGCTGGAGGGCAAGCATGAGGATCTTCAGATCGAGCTGAAGAATGCCAAGTCGAAGATCACGGAGCGCGAGTCAGAAGTGAAAACGCTGAATAAGAAGGTCCGCCAAGAGACAGACAGCCGTCTGAAAGCGGAGGAGAATCTCACTGTCGCCCGATCGAATCTACGGTCTGCCGAGTCCAAGGCACAAGAAGCCATCAATGCAAAGGAGAAGACGGCCACCGATCTATCCAAAGTCCAAGATGGACTGAAGGGCTCCCGTGCCAAGGTCCAAGAGATGGAAGAACAAATCTCTCAGCTGAACAAAGACTTAGATGGTCTTCGAGAAGAGATTGAGCTGAAGACGGCACAACACTCCAGTGCCCAAAGTCTGATGAACAGTATGCGCGACCAGACTGCCGAGATGGCGATGCAGATGAAAGAGGCTCGGGAGCGGTGTGACAGCTTGGAAGAGGAGTTGGCGGATGCCCATCGCTTGTTGAGCGAGCGAACCCGCGAGGGCGAGACGATGCGCCGTCTGCTGAATGATATTGAAAGTCGTGCGGAGGCCAAGGTCCGCGATTCCAAGGAGCGCCTGGAGCAGGCCATCGAGGAACGAGACCGAGCCGAAGACGAGGCCAGCACGCATGGCCGGCGTCGAGCACGCGAGATCGAGGAGTTGAAAGGCAAGATCCGTGAAGCGGAACGAGCACTGCGCACCGTGGAACAGGACAAGGAAGAGCTGGAATACTCCCAGAAGGACTGGCGCCGCCGCCGGGATGAGCTGGAGTCGCTGTCCGAACGCTCTACGCAGGAAGTCAGCGAAATCCGGCAGGCCATGGCCGGCCTCCGCGAAGCGCTCGATGAACGCGAGAAGCAAGTACGCGACCTGGAGAAAGAACGGGCCGAACTGCGTCGCTCGGTTGAGGAAACCAACAGCCGCCTGGAGCGGCTGCGACGATCGCACAAGACTCTGGGTGAGGATGTTCGCCTCCGCAGCCTCGAGACCGGGCGCCAGTCCTCGCGATCGTCGATGGACTCACGAGGAGTAACCTCTCCGTCTGGCCAGGACCGTAGTGTCTCTGCCCAGCGCAGCGAGACTCCTCCCACGGCGGGCTCTACTGCGCAGATCGACTACATGTATCTGAAGAATGTTCTTCTGCAGTTCCTGGAGCAGAAGGATAAGAACTATCAGAAACAGCTGATTCCGGTGCTGGGGATGCTACTCCATTTCGACCGGTGAGTCTTTTCCCGCTTTCTCTTGTTGTCTATTTACTGACCAATACTCCAGGGCGGACGAACAAAAGCTCATGTCGGTCATCATGTCCAAGTGATGACTGGTTCTTCTGTATAATCCATATCATCGCTATAATAGTTCTTTGCTGTGTAACTCCGATCCCGAAGCCATGTATGTAGTGGGTCCAACGCCCTAAAAAGGGTGACCTTATCTCCAAATCCACGGCTTTTTCACTCCGAAACCTCCTACCTACCCACTTTCTCTTTCCAGTTTCCTGAATATACCTACCACCCCAATGACCGACACTCCCACCATTCGCCTGGCCACGGCCGAGGGCAAGTTCTTCCTTCTCTCTCTTGGCTCTGTAGTCCATTAACCTTCCACACGCAGACGTGCCGCTGATCCTCCAATTCATCCGCGAGTTGGCCGATTACGAAAAAGCCCTCCATGAAGTCGAGGCCACCGAAGAATCGCTCCGGGCGACGCTTTCCTTCCCCGACACCCCCCAAAGCGCGGCACGGTGTACACGGCCCTGATCACCCCGCCGCCCAGCGCGGAACAACCCTCGCCGATCCCCGTGGGCATGGCGCTCTTCTTCTACAACTACTCAACTTGGCGGGCCGCCCCAGGCATCTACCTGGAGGATCTCTACGTGCAGCCGAGTGCGCGCGGCCACGGGTACGGGTTCAAGCTGCTCAAGTATCTGGCGCAGAAGGTGGTCGAGGTGCGGGGGCGGCGACTGGAGTGGAGGTAAGTACACGGTCGTATCTTCCTCTCACCGCAGAGCTAACTGCCTATATAGTGTGCTCCGATGGAACAAGCCATCAATTGATTTTTACGAGCGGGTTGGGGCGAAGGGCATGGAGGAGTGGATGAAGATGATGGTCGAGGGTGAGGCCCTGGATCGCTTGGCTGCGGAGGTGTAGATCGGAGATCGTAGATTTTATATCTATATCTATATCTATATATTATTTCCCCTTGGAATTCATATTTTCATTTTTGTAGTGTTGAGTATGGATGATGCTCTCTCTGATCTGCCCCAGCCAAGCTTCCGCGGTGACGTCGTGACCCGCACACCGTCTCTTCTGTCGTACTTGTTTCTCTCTTTCTAGCTTCTCATCTTTTCCCTTCCTGCTCTTCAGGAGTTAGTTACTCTCCCTCTTATCCCTGACGATGGCCACTGCGACCGTGCCAAATACCCTAAAGTGCAATCTGCACGTCGACTATGTCATTCGCTATAGCTTCAACGACATCGGTGAGTGCTGGAGCTTCCCCCGGTCAGTTAAGCACCACTAACCACCCGTCCCCCAGACCAGTCGCAAGCGGTTTCACAGCTCGAGAACTTGCTTCGCACTCTCGCACATGTTGGCCTGCAGACGGAGGTCCGGCAAGGGGACGAATCGTCCCTGCTGGTCTTTGTCCGCGCGTCCAACAAGCAGCTTCAGCGGGCGATCTACCGGTCGCGGTGAGTGATTTCTAATACCTGGGCTATCTCTATCGCCGCTAATGTTGAAATCCAGTGTTCGCGACTGGCTCTATGGCATTCGCAACGCTGAACCCGAGCCCGCCAGCGCCGTCGAGGCCCAGACGGAGGCTGAGCGACTTCGCGTGGTTAGCCAAATGATCACGCACCCCAGGGAAGAGGGCGGCGCCGGTATCACCCCGAACCACGGCGAATGGAAGAATGTTACGGCCATCTTTGCTCTGCACGACGAAGAGACCAACAAGAAATGGATGCGCGACTGGAGCCAGAAGACCTTCCTTTCCGACGAGGACTTGGATGACATTCGGAACAAGTTTGGGGAGAGCGTATGTGCATGACAACTCCTCGAATTTCCTCCACTCACTAATGCCGACTCTAGGTGGGGTTCTACTTTTCGTTCCTGCAGTCGTACTTCCGGTTTCTTATTTTCCCTGCCGTGTTTGGGTTTTCTTGTTGGGTCTTACTGGGTGCCTACTCGATTGTCTACGCGCTGGTGAATGGCTTATGGTGCATTGTGTTCGTGGAATACTGGAAGCGCCAGGAAGTCGATCTGGGCTGCCGGTGGCACACCAAGGGGGTATCCGCCGTGCAGACCAAGCGGCGAAAGTTCCGGCCAGACAAGGAAGTGCGCGATGACAGCACCGGCGAGGTGCGAGGCGTGTTTCCCATGACCAAGCGTATACAGCGCCAGCTTCTTCAGGTCCCGTTCGCGTTGCTAGCTGCTATCGCGCTCGGCGCCATTATCGCTACTTGTTTTGCGATTGAGATCTTCATCTCGGAGCTGTACAACGGCCCTTTCAAATCCTATCTGGTATGCCCTGTCCACTCCCCTGACGGATATTGCATGTTGCTCACGACTGCTACTAAAGGTCTTCATTCCGACGATTCTCGTTTCGGCCCTGGTCCCAACTATGAGTGCCGTTCTGACGACCATTGCAACCAGACTCAACGACTACGAGAACCACGAGACGAATGATGCGTATGATGTGGCCCTGACTCAGAAAATCTTTGTCATTAATTTTATGACATCCTATCTTCCGGTCTTCCTGACTGCATTTGTCTATGTTCCATTTGCCAGCTTGATCGTGCCCTATTTAGACGTCTTCCGGTTGACGGTGCGGCCATTCGTGTCCAAAGAGAGCGCGAACGCAACCAAGTCGCATTTTCAGATTGACCCAGCACGCCTGCGGAACCAGGTTATCTACTTTACGGTGACTGCCCAGATTGTCGGCTTTGCCATGGAGACGATCGTTCCGTACTTGAAGCAGCATGCTCTTCGGGAATACAAGAACTTTAGCAAAAGGAAAAACGGCAAATCGACGCCGGGTAATGGCAACAGTGACAAAGAGTCGCCCGAGAGACAGCCTGCCGTCACTTACGACGATCCCGCCGAAGAGGTGCAGTTTCTGAAGCGGGTCCGCAACGAGGCCGAGCTGCCCGAGTACTGTACGACGGAGGATCTCCGCGAGATGTGCATCCAATTCGGATACTTGGCACTCTTCTCACCTGTGTGGCCGCTTGTACCGCTCTCGTTTTTTGTCAACAACTGGATTGAGCTGCGGTCGGACTTCTTTAAGATCTGTATGGAATTTCAACGACCGACTCCCGTGCGCGCAGACACCATTGGGCCCTGGCTGGATAGTCTGGCGTTCCTCTCGTGGGTCGGAAGCATCACTAGTGCCGCGCTGGTGTATATGTTCAGCGGCAACTCGCAGCACGGACCCAATGGCGAGCCGACTGATATCACAGGCTGGGCTCTCCTGCTGTCCATCTTTTTCTCGGAACATCTTTATTTGATAGTACGCTATGCCGTGCAGATGGCCATGACCAAACTCGAGCCGCCGAACGCTCGCAAGGAGCGCGCCGAGCGCTATCTCGTGCGTAAGCGCTACCTGGACTCGACGATCCGCGCTGAGATGGAGGAGGACCAGGGCAAGGATGATGTTGGCACTCTGTCAACGGAGACGTCTCGTGCCGCCCTGGAAGAGGATGCACGACGGGCCTCGTTGCACGGGTCCGACCCGGCGGAGCGTTTCTGGATGCACCAGCATAGCTGGATGGAGTCGGCCAAGGTTGGGGCTGGCATGATTCAGGCGCAGTCCGCCAAGGAGGGCATTAAGAAGGAGCAATAGACGTCGGAGAGGTTTCTCTTGGTTTAACTATTGGAATTTCGGTCCTTGTTTACCTTAGTATACATTCATACTATCCTTGCAGTAGTCATGATATCCTTCCCCGGCCACAAGACCAAGCCCATGACGCGGTGCTGAGTCATGACGCGGAGGAAAGTAGCTCCGGACCGGAGTATGGGAGCCGGAGTTGTCTTTCGTGCGATGTCGAGAGGACAGTAAGCTTCCGTCCTTCGTTGCGATGGCATTTGACAGGCAGTCGCGCAACAACCCGGTGTATATTCCATTGGGAGATCATTCGATCATAAAGGAGTGATTCGATCGGGCCATCGGGCGTGATGACTCAGCGCCACCGTTTCCACTCACCGCCCTCGCCTTCCCCCAAAATCCTTAATAAGCCCTCCTCCTTCGCCTCGCTTTCATCCTGCTTACAGCATCATCGCTTACCTCATTCGCATCTACACTTCCTCGACTGGCGCTCAACTGCCTCGTCTGAACGATTTGCCGTCACTCACTAGTAGGGAACTGGACGCGTCTAACACCGTCCTCGTCCCTCTCGTACCCCTTGAAAACCCATCCGGCCCATCGATGCAGCCTGCTCTGGCTCCGGCGCCGCATCCAAGCATGCAGACCTCTGCTCAGGTAAGCAGCCCATCGGACACGCGTTTGTCATCAAGATCATCGATGGCCCGCGTCGCACGCTGGTCGACGGCGATGAGAGATACGCTCCAGGACGTGGGGATCGGCCGCGCTGTTCGCAGCCGTGCGAAACCGCCCCTCGCCTCTAGCCGCGTCTTCCGCTCCTCGACGTCGTGCCTTGTACTTGCAATGCGAAGACTAATATGATATCGCTATAGGACCATGCAGACCAGGGTAGGTGAAACCAATTTCACACTGGGTTTCGCGCCGAAGGAGACCGGGGGCATTGCGAATCTGCATCACCCTGTCCTCCCGCTCAGTGGCAACCCGCAACCCGCCTTCGACGCGATTTGATACTAACCATCCCCACCTAGTGCTCCATGACCAGCTCCTAGCTGCTCAGCACCACCTTCAGGGCGGGCGCCCTGCGCCCGGTCCGCAGCAGCACCTGCAGCCCAACACGGCCAGTCCGCGCGACCAGACTAACATTGACCCGGCGATCTCGGGCGTGCTCGGCGGGCCTCCACAGACTCCTCCTCCACCTCAGCACCAGCACTCTTCTCCGGAAGACAATACCCCGAAATCGTACGGCAAGCGAGAGCTGTCGACGTCCAAGCGCGCCGCTCAGAATCGTGCTGCTCAGGTATGTCTCCATCCACAGGAATTGGGGATGACTTCTCTAACCAGTCCCCTCCCATAGCGAGCATTCCGTCAGCGCAAGGAAAATTACATCCGCAAGCTGGAGGAAGAGGTCAAGACCCTCGATAGCCTTAGAGAGAAGGCGAATTCGTTGGCTGGTGAGAACTATCAGCTTCGGGAATACGTGATCAACCTGCAATCACGCCTCCTGGAAGCACAGGGTGAAGTTCCCGAGCTCCCTCCGAACATCGATCTGACCCAGGCGCGCGAGAATTATCTCGGAGGTGCCTCTGCGTCCGCCACGGCCCCGCCACAGGGCCAGCATCTTGGCGCGGCCCCGAACGATGACATGAACTCGCTGAACCGGATTGCCGTGGCCGGTCTCGGGATGCGCAAGCACCCGGAGGAGACCAGCTTCATGGGCAACAACTTCCAGCCGAGCAAGCGCCTGCGCGGCGACGACAACCAGGGCGACGGGGACGTCAAGAACGAGACCCATGGACTCCCCATGGCTTGATCGCGGGAGTTTTTGCCTTGACCGTTATTCGATACCCGCGTTTCGGCCCTGCAGCCTTGGCTTTTGCTCTCCTTGGTGTCTCCCTGATTTCCTGATATCCTGATATTCCTTGACAGTTCCTAATGGGGTGTGTGGCGCGATCCGAGACTGTTTCTCTTTCGGCTTGCGGTGGTGTTCTGTGTTTTAATTAGTCCCAGGCCTCTTGATTTCCACGAATTCGACGTTTCTTACTAGTTGTTTATCCGACAGCGTGCCCAGTAGTAGGAGAGTAAACCGTCAACCCCAATGACATCGTCACCCACCGGCCAGTTGACGCCCACAGCCTCCACCGCTGCAGGGATGACATGTGCTAGTACTGAATCCTCGAGGACTCTCGAACCGATGATGTCACGAGGCATGTCAGGTCTTGCAATGTACCGGTACCCGCCCGCCTCGCGAAATTGCCACACTGGGCCAAGTACCGGTACCGAGTTTCCGCGGTAAAATACTCCGTGTAGCTACAGACTCACCCCACGTCCCTCGTCGTTTGATCTTCACCTAACCCACTCACTTGGGCCCTTGTCCAGACACCCGTCCACTCATGTCTGCGACTGTCTCCCCCGCGGACTGATCGACAAGCTCTACATACCAGCCTGTGCTCACATCGATTGATCTGCAATGGTCCCCGGGATCGCTCAGTTCCAGTGCCTTGCATCGCCCGCGCCCCAGTGGCCGCTGTCATCAAAAGTATCTCTCGCCATTGTGCGTGGTATAAAGGAAGAGGAATAGTCCGATTCCATTTTAGTCTCTCTGCTCGACCTACATCGAAACCTGCTTCAACCTCTACAAAAATTTGTGCTGTCCAACCTGCCTGAGCTACCGCAGCTGGATCTCGCGAGACCCCTCCCTTTCAAAGTCATAGTCGGCTGCCCTCCCTGGTTCGATCGGCCCCACCGCCAAAATGGCGTCGCCAAACCCCCAGGACCCAGGAATGGGAACCCCCCGAAAGCGATCAGAGAGCGCAGCCACTCCGCCCAGACTGGGTCCTTTTCCGACATCAGAGGGCCGCCCAGGAAGCAGGGACCGAACCCAATCCGTCACACAGAATGAAGGCCAGCGGCCATCCAGTTCAGGCTTTGATGGCGCCGACCTTGTATTCCCCGTTCGTTCGGTTGTGTCGGTCGAACCCACGGCCAGCCAGTCCGCTTCCGCACAGGCGTGGCGTGCTGCATCTCCCACTCGCGAAGGCGCCCGGCAATACTCGATCATCGATTCCCAGGCATGGCATCAATTACACTCTCAGCCACGGCACAACCTGCAACCAGCAGAACCGACTGATGTTCCTCGTCACGAAGCCCATCTTGTCAACGACGAAACCGAACTGGCCACCCACTCCAGGGCATCGATAGTCGCCCATCATCCGGAACGCTATGCGAAGCCCGTGGACAGCGACGGTCAGTCCGCATCCAGTTCTTCAGTCAAATCCGCATCGCATCCCCCGACCCCGGCCTCCGTCCAGCCTTACAGCCATATGACTTCGCGATTCAAGCATGTGGTGACCGAGAGTGGTCACGCCGTGATCACCGGAAGGGATGGGGCCAAGTTTCAGTACTGTGAGGATGAGCCGATTCGCATCCCGGGTGCTATTCAGAGCTTTGGGGTCATGATTGCCTTGAGGGAGGAATCACCGAATCAGCTGGTGGTGCGTGTCGTCAGTGAGAACTCAGAGCCGTTCCTGGGATACTCCCCCAAACAGTTATTTGAGCTGGAGAATTTTTGTGATATTCTCAAAGATGACCAAGCTGATGTTCTTCTGGATCACGTCGATTTTGTCCGAGACGATGCGTACAATCCCAGTGTGGACGGACCGGAGGTTTTCATCCTGTCCATCTCAACCTCCTCCGGGGAAACTCGCCGGTTTTGGTGCGCCGCCCATGTCAGCCAGACCAACAAGGATATTATCATCTGCGAATTCGAGTTGGAGGACGACGAGATTAATCCTCTGAATGTCGCAGGGCGCTCCACTCCTGCGCGCACCACCCCTACACTCCCGTCGGATACATTGGGGGTCACCCCAAGTCCCGAACAACTTGCTGCCAGTACGATGAACATCAGCCAGCCCCTCCGAGTTCTTCGCAATGCGCGACGGAGAAAAGGCGAGGCCGCTGCGATGGAGGTGTTCAGCATTCTGACTCAGATACAAGAGCAACTAGGCCGTGCACAGGACCTTGACTCATTACTGAACACCACTACCGGGCTGGTGAAGGAATTGACCGGGTTCGACCGGGTGTTGATCTATCAATTCGATAGCAGCTGGAATGGCATGGTTGTGTCGGAGCTGGTGAACCCCAATGCCTCGATTGACCTGTATAAGGGCCTCCATTTCCCGGCCTCTGATATTCCCGCCCAAGCTCGAGAACTGTACAAAATCAACAAGGTTCGTCTGCTCTATGATCGAGATCAGCTCACCTCCCGTCTGGTGTGTCGCACATTGGAGGACCTGGAAGTGCCCTTGGATATGACTCACGCCTACCTGCGCGCCATGTCGCCAATCCACATCAAGTACCTGGCACACATGAACGTACGGTCCTCAATGTCGATCAGTGTCAACGCCTTTAACGACTTGTGGGGGTTGATCTCTTGTCACTCATACGGGTCTGCTGGGATGCGTGTCTCGTTTCCGATTCGGAAGATGTGCCGCCTCCTCGGCGACACCGTATCTCGAAATATCGAACGCCTGTCCTATGCGTCCCGGCTTCAGGCCCGGAAGCTGATCAACACGGTCCCCACGGAGGCCAACCCTTCCGGCTACATTATCGCCTCCTCGGATGATCTGCTGCAACTGTTTGGTGCCGATTATGGAGCACTGTCGATCCGAGATGAAACGAAGATTCTAGGAGACAACGCTCACTCGCAGGAAGTCCTTGCTCTGTTAGAGTATCTTCGCATGCGCCAGATGAACTCGGTGCTCGCCTCGCATGACATCACTAAAGATTTCCCCGATTTACATTACGCTCCGGGTTTCAAAACCATCTCCGGCCTGCTTTATGTACCACTGTCTACGAGTGGTAGTGATTTTATTGCTTTCTTCCGCAAGGGTCATTTGACCGAGATTAAATGGGCTGGCAACCCATACGATATCGCCAAGCGCAAGGAGACAGCAGGGTATTTGGAACCCCGCCAGAGTTTTGCCGCATGGCGCGAGACCGTTCTGAGCCAGTCACGCGAGTGGTCCGAGTCTGATGTCGAGACTGCGGCGGTGCTGTGCCTGGTGTATGGCAAGTTCATCAAGGTGTGGCGGCAAAAGGAGGCCGCCATGCAGAACTCGCAGTTGACTCGTTTGCTGTTGGCCAACTCCGCGCACGAATTTCGCACCCCATTGAATGCTATTATCAACTACCTTGAGATTGCATTGGAAGGGGCATTAGATGACGAAACCCGCGAGAGCCTGACCAAGTCTCACTCCGCTTCCAAATCGCTCATCTATGTCATCAACGATTTGCTGGACCTCACCAACACCGAGCAGGGCCAGGAACTCATCAAGGCCGAGTCTTTTGACCTGAAGACGACTTTCCACGAAGCTGCGGATATGTTGGCTGGTGAAGCCAAACGCAAGAATATCTCGTATACCGTGTTGGCGCAACCTGGCCTACCACCAGCGGTCTTGGGTGATCAGCGACGTGTGCGGCAGGTTTTCTCGAATATCATATCCAACTCCCTTCAGTATACGACCTCTGGTGCTGTCACGGTTGAGATATGGCCTTCTAGCACCCAGAGCATGGCTGACCATGTGGCGGTCGAGATGATGGTTGTTGATACGGGTGTGGGCATGTCGAAGGAGACACTGGAAACATTATTCCAGGAGCTTGAACAGGTCTCATCTGATGATAGCGAATTCGCTGAGAATGAGAATGAAGACGAGCAGTCGGCTGCTGAGAAGCCGCGGCCGAAACGGGTTCTGGGTCTCGGCCTGGCTCTCGTCGCCCGCATTGCTCACAGCATGCATGGGCAGCTTGGTGTCAAATCCGAAGAGGGCAAAGGCAGTCGTTTTAAACTCCTTCTTCATTTCCGACTCCCAGACGGAGGACACGCATCTCCTCCCGCAGAGGCTGTTTCTCCCGCTCACGTCGCCGTGCCTCAGACACCAGTGTTCTCTGATAAGGAGTTCACGCTGGGTGGTGGCGTCCACGACAACCGTGAGGAGCGGCGGCGAAGCTCCGGCGAAGCTTCGCGGACTAAACCCCTCATGCGTCCCGGCATTGTCAGCAACGAACCGTTGACAACGGGGTCACCTTCCTTGAACCTACAACAACTGCCTACCCCGCAAGACCATCCGTCAAGTCTCGCTACTGCTACGCGTACGCCGCCGCCCTCACTGCAAGCAATGGTGACACAACCGCCACCGGGTGTTGAAAAAACAACAGATTCTGGTATATCAATGAACGCAGTTCGAGTTTCGGAGCGAGACGTCAAGCGGCCTTCTGCGCAGCCGCAGCTGATTCAACAGCAGTCCTATTCCTCGTCGATGCCTGCAACCAGTGCCGCCTCGCTAGAGATTCCTTCAACCACAACTCATTCTTCCACCGCACCCACCACAGCTCAATCAACAGATTCGCGCCTGCTAAACGTCCTTGTTGCTGAGGATGATCCGATAAATAGCAAAATCATCCACAAACGCCTTACCAAGCTCGGACATACTGTCCAGCTTACTGGCAACGGCGAGGCATGTGCCAAGATCTTTTCTTCGGCGAGCAGATCGTTCGACGTCGTTCTCATGGACATTCAGGTATGCCCACTACGCGTTAATTTCATGGAATAGACCTAGCTAACACCTTTTGTAGATGCCCATCGTGGATGGTATGGCCGCTACGAAGATGATTCGCGAGTTCGAAGCCAAGGCTCACGAAACTCCACTCTCCGAAAAAGCGCAGCAGAATAGCCGGGTGCCTATCTTTGCCGTGTCAGCGTCGCTTCTAGAGAGGGAAATGCAGACCTACATCGATACCGGATTCGATGGCTGGGTCATGAAGCCGATCAATTTCCAACGGCTCAACAATCTTCTGAGTGGGCTGGTTGACATGGAGGCTCGCAGGAGCGCAACATACAGGGCTGGTGAGTGGGAGAATGGTGGGTGGTTTGATCAACGTTGAGTGTGCTGGTTTGCCGTCTCTTATCAACTCCTCCCTATCTCCAACCCGGGTTTGGTCCCCCTTTGCTAAACACGTCTTCTTCTCCCCCTTCTGCTTGTAAATACCAAGAAAACCCCCCACTTGAGATGGTATGTGTTGCTTATTTACCTCATGTTTTTGCCACGCATATACGAATCTCCTTTTCTTTTGCATCGTCAGCGTGGTACACGGGAAACGGCTGCGGCTGCTTGGGATAGATTTTGTCCTTTTTTCTCTTACTGGGAACAGCATATATATACCCACTTTCCTATTTCATAGTTGTCTGCTTTTATGGGATGTTCTTTATGCTGGTGGCTATGTCACGGTTGATACCATTTGATTTGCCCGAGATACTTTGAATATATAATTGATGTATCGTATGAAATGAGGCAATGATATGAAATATTCCCTAAGATTTCCAGTCCGAGACGCGTACTCTGCGCCACCAGCGATTGCCAAAAGATGCCAAAAGGGGGTTGCCGATAGCTCCGAGAATGAAAACAAATGACACGCCAGACAAATATTTAGGAAACAGGGTATAAAACAGAGTCATCTCAACCGTAGAACGGTCATCCGACAGGTTCATCTGCGCCCTTAACCAGACAGACGATCTGCCGAGACAGCAGCCGGAGGATAGACACACGAACTGGATTTGGAGAAGGAGATCTCGTTTGATGATGCGGCCTCCCGGAGAGCGTCGTGGAAGTCGCCCGGGCTGTCTGGTGAAGAGCGTAGACGAGGAAAGCTCAAATCAACGCCGGCAAGTGCTGGTGCGGCCTCAAAATCTGGCACGGGGGGCTGATGGATGCTGATGAGATTGAAGACGTTGATATCGATGGACGGACGAGGATGGGCCTGGTTGTGTTGACATATGCATGGATTGATGCGGGTGAGCTCACGCAGGCGGTTGAGGACGTAGAACTCGAGTTTGAGCTTGATACTGTAGATGACAGCCCTGAAGCTGACTTCGATGTAGTGGGCTTTGTACTCGGCGAGAAGGAGGGTGATGTTCAAGACGACGACGATGACGTTCACCCAGATCAGGTGGTAGATGACCTTGCGACCCTCACGGCCCTTGACCTTTAGTACTGGTTTGAGGGCAGGCAGGGCCTCATGGATGTAGATACCACAAATGGCAAAGTCTTGGATGCAAAACCCAGTCAACTGGATTCGATCGTAGATCTGGGCGGGCTTCTCAAAGCGCATGTCGCCCAGGTTTAAGCCGAAGAATATCACGGTCATGGGAATATGGAGGACGAAGAAGTTGGTGATGATCATGGCGAGTACCCAACGCACATGATGGATGTCTTGGACGACCAGATGCAGGCGGGAATACAATACCACCGCCTGACCCGTCACCATAGCGTACCAGCCGATAATGAAGGGGATACACATAGGCATTCCTGGAGCCACCGAGACGTAGCGGATTTGCGCCGGAACAGCATGCACTAATATCCCCCATGATGCTACTTGAATGCTCCAGAAGTAGAGGCCATGGTACCGCTTGAAGGTTTCGAATGTGGAGAGGGCGACTTCAACGGCGTTGAAGCAGCCAATGGAGAACATAGCGATGATCTCGACGATGGTAAAGTTCTCCATCAGAACTTCGCCCACCTGCGGGGGCAGGCTACTCAAGAAGGTATCCATGTTGTGTTGTTGTGTATGTCCGCTCGTTTCCGTGAGATCTCCCCCAGGTAATCTGACGGCGTTATAAGAGTGGCAGCACAGACCTGGGCAGAACTGCTTAGCAAAGGGCTTGCTTCCAATCCAAAAAAGCCGGCACTTGCGCCATTGGCGTTTACGGGATGAACTCCCCGATTAGCCGGGTCGAGGATGACCGTTGGTGATCGTTCAAGCCCTACCTGGTCTTGGTTGGATAAGGTTGGCATTACAGCTCGTGGTCGCCACGCGATGCTCGAGTCATAGCATCAGCCCATCTTTGTGTCCAGCGTCAAAGGAGCACTAGATGAGCCAGGGATTCTCAGATTGGTGGGCAGGGTCTGTCGGGGCCCTTTGATGAATTCCACATCCCGTGCACGGAAAGCATCGTCTTTGGACTCGGTTAATCGCCAAAAGAGCACAGAAATGCTCGCGGCTTTGAGTTTAACGCCAATGCTAGTGCAACACAAGGCGAAAACCATTGGTCGCGAGACCCATCCATGGGAGAGCGCGACAGGGGGGAACAAAGAAACCAGAGCACTTGTCACGTCTTGTCGCTCGTGGCTTCCCATTGGAAAGCGAGATCAGGCAGGGACTCGAATAATGATGTCCGTGACCGTTATATCATCATTCAAAATCAAAACCACTAATAATAATAATGTTGATGGAGGCTGTCGAGACAAAGATCATGATGGTATGTAGATAGCTAGGTAGCCCTACCTCGGCGTGACCGTGGCTGCCTCAGGCCGAGATCTGTATGGTCTGTGCCCGCCGAGGGCGAACTGCGTTCATTATTCATTGTTCTGGTCTCTCTGTGTCTCCGCGATCATGGTATCTCTGTGGCCCTGGAAGGTATGTTGTGGTTACATTGCAGCCCCCCATTATTGTTGACCCCCTGCTCATTCTCTGTCAGGGCGAGGACAACTCCCCGGCTTCCTTTGAGAAGACCCTGTCCACGCTGTCGACCAAGATCGCTCAGACAGCCTCTCGTCTCGACCAGCAGCGCCAAACTACCCGCCGATTCAAGGCTCTGTGGACCCTCTACTCGACTTTGGCTTACCTGTTCTACTCGATCGTTCTTGCGCTGGTGTTGGGGTGGGAGAGCTGGGGAATCAAAGAATATGCCGCTATCGGCGGTGGACCGGTCTTGTATGAGCTCCTTTCCTTTCGCATCTTTGTGAATGTATGTTTTTGACGCTTACCTTTCTCTAGGATCTACGCCGTACGAGCTTTCGCTTCCAACCTTTATAACTATCGTGCCTCCCGAACCCAAACCCGACTCGACGATCTCCAGAAACGGCGCGATGAGACCATCGAAAAGCTCAAGGTGGCCACGAAATACAATTCGACGCAGCATTTGCTTGAGAAATATGGTGGGGAGTCTCTGCAACAGAGTCCCAAGGGCGAGGGCGAGAAGCGCAAGTCGGCCAAGGCACCACAACCACAGCCCGTCGCCCGAACTGGACTTGCTCCTCCACCTACCGCGAATATTCGACGCCCATCTGCCATGCAAGATATTCCACAGACCCCATCTCCGCCTCCCTACGCTTCCCAGGGTCAGCCGCAACCCTTTCCCGCCGCTCCCCCTACCGATCCCTCTGCCCCTCAACCGGCTACTGACGAGCCAGGCTTCGCGCCAAACGCCTTCTCGAATTCTGGCCAGTACATTGAACAACCGCACTGGTATGACCGCCTGCTAGATGTGCTGCTGGGCGAAGATGAGACCCAGCCTCGCAACCGCATGGCGATGATCTGCAGCACATGTCGACTGGTAAACGGTCAGGCACCGCCGGGCATTAAGACGCCCGAAGAGCTAGGTCGCTGGCGGTGCGGCAGCTGCGGAGCTTGGAACGGGGTCGAGAGCGAGACGAACCAGATCCTCACGAGCCTCCGCGATCAGATCGCACCGGCAGAGGGAACCTGGGAGCCCGTGTCCCACGCCGAGTCCTCTGAGGCTACGGATGACGGTGTGATTGTTGCTGCTGGTGAGGATGACCAGGCTGATCGCAAGGGCTTGGATGCGGAGCTTCAGGACGTCCAGTCTGAGCAAGAAGCCGAAGAGCCCATGTCGGAGGAGCCCGTCCGGCGGTCGAAACGCGGCCAGAGCAAGGGAGGCAAAAAGAAGGAGTAAATTAGGACTACCGTACTTGGAAAATATCATTAAGCGTTTTGCTCTGTTGCCTGGATCCCCGTCGGAGCTCCGCTATCAGCAGCATAATGGAGCGCTATTTAGCGAGAACAGACTACCAATCGCACAGCCTTGCGAGACCGATGAAGCGCTAATTTAATTAAGCGATCCGCCGGTAAAACCGGATAACCGTGCGGGCGGTGCTTAACTATCGTGACGATACATCGAACGGTGGTGCCGAAGCCAACCCCGCCGATAAACACGCTAGACACGACACCGCGTGGGTTTGATCTCAGGGACTATGTTGCAAACGCCAATCATGCGCCTCAATTGATCCTGGGGGGCTTGCCCCCGATGCGACGGTGCTAGCTCTACGGCGCAATCCTTCCGGTCCGTGCCAGCCTCCGTGCCCCCAGACTTGTTGTTCCTGGAAAATGTATTTATTGGAGGCACCCCCAATCCCCGTTTCGCCATGCATTCAGCAAATAAGTCCTCATCATGTGGATACGTCAGGCTGCTGTCGCGTTGGCCATTGTGGCCCTCTCCGATGCCTCTCCGGCGTCGATCAAGCATGCCCTACACGAGAAGCGGGACCGGCCCTCCACCGACTGGGTGAAGGGTGCTCGGGTCGAGGCCGATTCGGTGCTGCCAATGCGCATTGGCCTCAGCCAGAGCAATCTGGAAAAGGGATATGACTATCTCATGGAGGTGTAAGCATGGGTGTTTTGTCGCAGAGAGTCCCTTTACTTAAATAGCCCAGGTCACACCCCGATTCGCCCAGTTACGGCCAGTACTGGTCCGCAGACGAGGTGCATGAGGCCTTTTCGCCTTCACAAGACGCTGTTGACTCCGTTCGAGGCTGGCTCGTCGCGGCTGGGATCCATCCCTCGCGTATCGTTCACTCGGACAATAAAGGGTGGCTGGCATTTGACGCGTACGCCCACGAAGCTGAGAAGCTTATGATGACCGAGTTCCATGAGCACACTCATTCGAGTACTGGCGGCATGAGAGTTGGATGTGACGAGTGAGCCTTGTTGCATGTCTGATGTGAGCTGTAAAACTGATAAGACCAGGTATCATGTCCCAGAGTATCTTCAACACCATGTTGATTATATCACACCTGGTATTAAACTCACCCCGGTGGTCAAGAAGAGTAAGAAGGTCAAACGCACTTCTCATTTGGCACATAGCACGCCAGACCGCCACGTTCTTCGCCTTCATGAAGACCAATCTATTCCAGCCAAAGCCAAGTCTCTGCCCGAAGACCTCCGGGGCTGCGGTTTTAATATGACCCCAGTGTGTATCAAGGCGCTGTATAACATTCCGGATGCCACAAAGGCACGCAAGGGCAACTCTCTTGGCCTCTATGAACAGGGTGACTACTTCGCCAAGTCGGACGTTGACTTGTTTTATAAGCACTATGCTCCATGGGTCCCCCAGGGTACCTATCCTACTCCAAACCTCATCGACGGTGCCAATTTCTCGGTGCCTGCGTACAGCTCACTGAATACGGGTGAATCGGACATCGATATTGACATGGTGTATGTGAAAATAATGGCCCCAATCTATTTTGGTCGCTGACGAAAATCCCAAGCTACTCGCTCATTTACCCTCAATCCGTGACTCTGTATCAGGTGGACGACCAGTTGTATGAACCCGTGGAGGTTGCAACTACCAACTTGTTCAATACCTTTCTCGATGCCCTCGATGGTGTACGTATGACTATTTCTCCCGTCGATTCAACATATTAATTCTCCCAGTCATACTGCTCCTATAGTGCTTATGGCGAGACTGGCGATGATCCGGAAATCGACCCCACGTTTCCTGACCCGCGCCCAGGAGGCTACAAAGGTTGGTTTTATGTTTTGTTGAAGTTTTTACAAGTTCTCATTCATTTGCAGGGAAGCTCCAGTGCGGTGTTTACAAGCCCACGAACGTCATCAGCGCCTCGTATGGACAGGCCGAGGCAGACCTTCCCATGGGCTACACAAAGCGTCAATGTAATGAGTTCATGAAACTCGGCCTTCAGGGCCATTCCATTCTCTTTGCCTCGGGCGACTATGGCGTTGCCTCGGCGGCTGGTGATGGTGGGTCCGAGAGCGGATGTTTGGGTCCGGATGGATTGGTCTTCAATCCGCAATACCCATCCAATTGCCCTTACGTTACTTCAGTTGGTGGTACCATGATCTACGGCGATCAGACAGTCGAGGATGCTGAGAGTGTTATGCACGTCAATCTTGGCGGCACTGCCTCTAACTTCAGTACAGCTGGCGGATTCTCAAACTACTTCCCCCAGCCCGAATACCAAAGGAGGGCAGTGGAGAAGTATTTCAAGACAGCTGACTTGACCTACCCCTACTACTCTGAGTTCGGAGTTGATGTCAACACCACCAAGGGACGCTACAATCGTATTGGTCGGGCATACCCTGATGTCTCTGCCAACGGTGCCCAATACCGCGCGTACATGGGTGGCGAGCTCTACCACTTTTACGGGTCGAGTTTGGCCTCGCCTCTGTTTGCATCGGTTCTCAATATGGTAAGCGTGGAATAAATCCGATATAGAGGGTTTCTTATCTAACGGTGTGCGGTTGTGCAGATCAACGAAGAGCGTTTGGAGATGGGCAAAAGGCCAGTGGGCTTTGTGAATCCAGTCCTTTATGAGAACCCGGAAATACTGCATGATATTGTGAACGGCACTAATGCTGGATGTGGTACCTATGGATTCAGTGCTATTCCTGGGTAAGTGTGACATCTCCAAGAATCTCGCGTGAAATTCTTGCTAACACCCTGCAGCTGGGATCCGGCCTCCGGTTTGGGAACGCCAAACTACCCGAAGATGAAGGAGCTGTTCCTGCGCTTACCCTGATGCAGACCTTGCAAAGTAACTCAGTCAATCATGGTATTGCTCGACATGTCCTTGCTATATATCTCGACGTAGACAGAAATGTGCATGCTATCATCTAAACACCGAATTCTCCATCTTCACAGAATATAACGGAAACTGTCAAGCTGACGATCAGTTTTGTTTGAGAGTCCATCTTGCAACTCCTGCCCAACAGTGTTCTCTTCCGAGTGTCCATAGAGCCTATCCCTGCGGCGGTTCTCGCACGTATAGTAAACGTACAAAAGGATTAAGAAGAAAATACTCAAAACCAATCCCGACATGGCTGCTTCAATGCCCATCTAACGAATGTATTAGCGATCAGATACCGTTGGAGCACAATCTATCTAAACTTACTGTATATTCAGGTTCCTGTGATTGAATGAAAAATTGGGGACCAACAATATTACCCATGCAGTATGAAATAAAAACCAACGCGCTGCAAACCGATTTCTTTGAAAAGCCGGCCACGTTGGAAGTAACCACGCTCAGCGAAATGGGCAGATTGATTGCGTAGACGACAGCGAGCGTCAAGCCGACCATGCGTCCGACTTTTTCATTTTCCGGCAACTTCCAAACGAGGGCCAAACCAATAACGGAAACGATTGTATTTAAAATCATAAAAATGATGCGAGAGGATCGAATCAATGTGACAGCCACGGCAGAGATAGTAAGGAAGACAATCTCCGCGGCGCCTTGTGGCATTTGCATTAGCAGCGCCTGCAAATCGCTGAAGCCGAAGCCGGCAGTGATGATAGACGTGAACTATATTAACTGTTAGCTAGCGTGCTAATGCCTATGCAGGCGTTTGCAACCCACAGTTGTAATTCCACCATTGCAGAGGTTCGAGGTGAACGAGTTGAGAACCAGGAGCCAGATCTGGGGGTCAATTGCAGCCTCTTTTGCTTGGCTCCATTTAAAAACTCCATTATCCAAGACCCCAGTCTTGTTCTTCAGCGTTCGCTGCACGGCAATTGCCCGTTCATTCGGCTTCAGAAACTTGGCCTTTGCAACTGAGTCGGGAAGAAAAACGAACAGTACCAAGGAATAAGTTGAAGTGATTGCACCAAGGATCAAGAACAGAAGCTTCCAGTGTGCAATCGTTGATGTGTTGATATGGCCAATGGCATTTGCGATTAGACCCCCGAAGAGCACCGCAATGCAGTTGCCAAAGAACCAAGCAGATTGACTGGGACTGATGAGAAACTGATTTATTGGATAAAGCAAGGAGACTTACCGAACAGGCTGCTCTTCCCGCTTATAGAACATACCAGTAAGGAGGGTAAATCCCGGTGCAATAGCAGCTTCTCCCATGCCCAGGAAGAACCGAGCCACCGCTAGTCCAGCGAAGCTTGTACAGGCGGCATGGCACATCAGGATGCCACCCCAGATAAAACTAGAACCAACCAGATTAGAAAGCGTTGCAGACAAGGTCGGTGTCATACTTACATTGAGATAGCGAGGTATTTTCCGATGGGAAACCGCACAATAATGTATGAACTCGGCCAACTCCAGAGAAAATACCCAAAATAAAATATTGCAGAGCTCCACGAGTATTGCGAGCCATGCATACCCTAATTAGATAATTTATGAGCTCCCCTTAAGGTAGATCGGTGGAAGGGACCATACTAAGTCTTGTCGAAGGTTGAACAACGTTGCCTGACTGAGGGCTAGTTTGTCGAGAAATTGGAGGAAGTAGGCGCATCCCATCAATGGGATTAGACTTCCACGCATCAATCACTGGCCATAAGATAAACTCCCCTCATACTCACATAAAATCGAGCTTCCGGAGTACTCTTTGCTCTTCCTCGGGCGTTGATGTGACAGCAAGAATCTGTCCAAGATCAACCCCAGGAGCCTCGACACTGTTATTCAATCCCTTTTCATCGGGCATGTTGGACTCGTGTTGCTGCTCCATTATGAACACAGTCCTTCAGACCGATTAAATGAGATGCAAAAAAAGATTATGACTTGATCCCCGAAGGAAAGTTGACCTTTTATCTGGGAATACGCGGAATGCAGGGGGATAATGCCGGTCTGACCTCCACCTAATAAAGTTGGCCAGAAAGCATCGTCACTTCAAGACAACGAAGTTCTAACGCCGGTTGCTGGCATTTGACCCTAATTCACATGGTCGGCGTTGTTCCGCAGTGGGCCTCGCTACTTCATGGAGCAAGCTTAGGCGCATCCACCAATGAACGAATATGACTTACTTTTATCCCCTTGTCTGTCCCAGAAGCACAATCACCGTTGTTTCAATTAGTATATTATTCTAACCAATAGTATGCGGTACAAATATTCTATGCGGGTTGAATCATGTGAATGAACGATAGCAGCAGAAGCGGAAGCTTGGGATAGTTCTATGGCACCGATTCTTCGACCGGGGTAACATCCGGGGAGACTCCACTCTGGGGAAGCCAAGTGCCCCTGCTAGGGACGGAAGGCAATTACGGCAGATGAGGAGCGGCTAAGGATCGACTTACTGCATGTGGCTGATCGGCCGGCCCCGATGTGATTTTGTTGCCAATGAAAATAGCTTGTGAGTGCGGCGTAACGCCCAGTCATTCCGCGACATTTCCAGCCAAGGACGAAGCGTTTGGCCAGAAGCTTCCAAATGCTCAACCATATGCGCTGTATTCAGATTCAACGTGGTGCTGTCTAAACAATTGGGTTTCTGCTATCACAGAGCAGTCTCCTTGTCGAAGTCCGACTTTACTGATGCGGCAAATTCGTCATCGATCAACATTTGGCACGCCACGACTCCCATTCCCGCCGCGCTATACAAACTCCGCTTAAATCCTTCTGGAGAGCCTGCTCCGGAGGTAAATTCAGGTGTGTGGTTGACTCCTTCGGCTTGGATATAGAATCCGCCGTGGAAGCCAGGGACGACATACGATACATTTCCTGAGATAAAAGTATTAGACTGTCGCTCTATCCCAGATAGTGGAATTTCTTACCCATATCAGTAGAGCCACCACTTAGTCCGCCTTCTTGTCCTGCGGCATCAAAAATGCTCTTGTAGCCCATAGCATTCATAGCGGAAGTATAGTTCTTGCAGATGGGCTTGTTGTCCTTCATGTCTTTATATGCCGGCTCCCTGTAGCATCTGTTAACAGTTGAGTGTGCCAGCTTGTCAGAACTACTGCTTACCACTCATACTTCACGGTGCACCCGGTAGCTGTAGCAGCGGCTTCAAAACATTTCAGCACCTTTTTGGTCAATGGCTTGAGAGTCTTCACAGTATCCGAACGAATATAATATTCGACAGTGGTGGACGCAGGGATCACATTAGGGCGATCTCCGCCCTTGAGAACAACGCCATGGATCTTCTGCGTGGGCAGGATTTGTTGGCGGAGCATCGATATGTTGACGTATGCGGATACAACGGCATCTAAGGCATTGACGCCCTCCCACGGGGCGGCCGATGCATGTGCAGGCTTACCAGTAAAGGTAACCTCAACCTTGTCATTGGCCAGATACTGTCCCGTGCAGCAGCTAGAACTTAGAAGGTCTGGATTTCCAGAAAGTACTGGGAATGGATGGACCATGAAACAGGCATCCACATCTTTGTATGCGCCAGCATTGATGAGCAGCAGCTTACCACCACCGCCCTCTTCAGCCGGAGTCCCGAGCAGGCGCACAGTATACCCTCCATCGCCCGGGTTCAGCGATTTCATCGTTTCGCAAGTTGCAATGAATGCCGCAATCGAGCTCGTCGCAATGAGATTGTGCCCACAGGCGTGCCCAATCCCTGGGAGGGCATCGTATTCGGCGTTAAAAGCCACCACACGACCTCCATTACCGTGCTTGTACTCGACCTCCAAGGCAGTATCTATGCCATAGGCATGCTTTTGAACATGATATCCCCCGAGAGACTCGAAGAATACACAAATGTTGTCGTGCGCACTATGCTCTTTAAATGCCAGCTCGGGCTTTGACCAAATCTTATAAAGGACAAGGTTGTTAGTAGTGACGTATTACTCCTTTAATCGATATCACTCACCTTGTGGTTGATATCGGCCAGTTTGGCTTCATGCTTGTCGAGGGCCTCACGGATCTTTTGGATGATTTCTGTCTGTCCTTGCAAGAGCTGCATTTTTGCTGACGAATAACCCACTCACAGGGAAGAAGACGGTGCTTAAGAATGGTTGATGGAGAATCGGTCTCTGGCCGCAGTTGGCCCCGATAGTCATCCTATTCCGCATTATTTGATAACACCTATCTCGATTAGTGCAAGCTCCATATCGCGATCCAGGATATTGACGGCATCTCTTCCGCGGTGGGGATGGATCTCTTCCAACTACTCAAAAAGCGTCCGCACGGACCGTTACAAAAGCGACGATCTGTGAAAAAGCCCACTCTACTCTGTACCACTCTGTATCAATAAAGGGGCTGGCAGTGCCGTAGTCCGTAACCGTTTTACGCAGTTGCCGGTATGTGGGCCGACTTCGGACGTGTTCAATGAAATCTATCCACCGATTCCAGCAGTTCAGACCGCCAATGATAATGTCCAGTCCACTAACTGGGTGATCGTAAACTTGCTCAGGGGCTCCGCAAATTCCCCGCGAATGAATGTTCACTACACCCAATAAACTCTATATACGGCAATCGCAAGCCATAAATGGGGAGGCTGGCTTATGTGACGCCTACCGAAAAGCAAGTCATTCAAGTTAGCCCATTCTCGGTTCTGCGATGATATTGGCAGTGCCAGGTCCTCTGATAAGCCGCTAGATGTCTGAGGCAACAAGAGCTGGATTCGGTGCCCGGCACTGATCAAAGAAGATGGGAATGGAAAGAGCCCATAGACATCTGACAGATTTCCCCTTGCCCCGAGTGTCGAACAGCTAGTTTTAGTATTCCCCCGCAGTGTGACAGACGAGGAGCTCGAGCCATGCGTGAGTGGCTTAGATGATGGTCATCCAAATACTTGTAGAATATTATTCTACTATGGTACCATTCTATAGTGCAAGTGGGAAGCGCCCAATAATAAATATCTACAAGTACGTCCGCAAGTACTCTCCCAGTGCCATTATAGCCATCGCCTGCCCGTACGGCATCGCCGTCAACGGGATCTGCTTGTAGAACTCGAGCGAGTCGCCCATCCCAGTTCCGAAGCTAGTATTGCGCAGTTCGCCTTTCTCATCCACATCCTTTAGCACGGACGCGATAGCCTTCTCGGCAACAGGCCGATAATGAGCGCCGATATACCTTTTGCGCACCGCCTTGAGGATACCATATGCAAATCCAGCCGTAGCAGATGCCTCCAAGTAGGAATCGGGGTGATCGAGAAGAGTGTGCCAAGCGCCCGATTCTGCCTGAAGACGCTTGAGCGCCTGACACTGTGCCTCCAGTGTGTCAATGAGGTGCAGCCGGATCGGGTCGTTCGGCTTCAGATCTAGCAGATCGATGAACTCAGGGATCACGATAGTGACCCAGCTGTTGCCGCGAGCCCAACGAGCGTTCGCAAAGTTATGCCCGCCGTCTTCGAAGGTCCAACCATGAAAGAAGAGACCTGTGCGGGTATCGAACAGGTACTTGATGTGTGTTAGGAATTGCTTTTTGGCCTCATCAATATATTCCGGGCGGTTGAGAAGCTTTCCAATCTTGGCCAGCGGCATCACGGTCATCATCAAAGTATCGTCCCATAGCTGCTGGTAGTTTTCGGTGAGATAGGTCATGTGTTGCATGCCGTCATACCGAGTGCGAGGCAGCTCATACATCGCCCATTCAGCCCAGGCGTCCAACCATGGCAAGTAGGTGATGTTTCCAGTTTTCTCGTACAAATATGCCAACGTCAGGAAGACGGCCATGGTGTTGATGTTCTTCGTGGTGCCGCCCTCGGCGAACCGGGCAGCAAACCAATCCTCCATTATGCGCAACAGCTTCGGATCGCCGGTCATCTCGTAGTATTGCCATACACCATACAGGCCAATGCCGTGGGTCCACTCCCAGCCATTCCAGGATTTGGTGTCGATGATGCGACCGTCGGGTAGGTGCAGGAGGAACTTGCCGGTCTCGTCTTTAATGTTCACCAGGTTATCAATCAACAAGTTGACGGCTTTGTGGACCTCGGGAGCAGGGAGTCGACTCTCCATGGTGGGATCTGTCGTTGCACGCATCGTTCTGGCAGCTCAGGGCTGGCTAATAAAGAAGAACACCCCCCACGTCGGCTCGGGTTGAATCAGCCCGACAGGCGGGCCCAGACGCTAGTTTAGTGACGGCGATCACATCCACTAGACCCGTGTCGGGAGGTTGCTGGCCCGGGCTATGTACATTGCAACTCTTGTGGGGGAGAGACGAGGGCGTGGGGGACGACAGCTATGTCGTGGTTGGCTCATGAGTGTATGCCCCAGACGGATTCAGATTATAAGACCGAGCAGCTCGCCCAAGAGGACAGTGCATTCGTTATCCACAACTTTCGGGATTCTATTCGTCATGGTCCAGGACGAGTCGCAGCCGAATCATGGCGTTGAGATAGAGCCTGTGCACAGTCATCCACCTGAAATAGATGATTCTCAGGCAAAACAGGACATCTCACACGTCGAGAGAGTCTTGTCACCATCGGAAACCCTAGAGAAGGATGACATGGATTTAATGCGAGTGGACAAGGAAATCCAGCAGTATGCCGGTCGTGGGATGATCGAGGTCGACGAGGCAACAAACAAGCGACTGCGACGCATGATTGACAAACGCGTCTTGGTGGTGATGATAATCACCTACTTCCTGCAAGCCCTGGATAAAGGCACACTGTCATTCTCGTCTATCATGGGAATTGAACAAGATGCGAACCTGCAAGGCCAAGAGGTGCGCAGTGCCATCTACACTTGGGTATTGGCGCGCTGCCGCTGCTGACATGCTGGATCACTCTAGTACTCCTGGCTGACCACGTGTATCTATCTTGCGGTGCTGGTGGTCGAGTACCCGACCAATTGGATCATCCAGCGTGTGCCTGTCGCCAAGTACCTGGGTGTCAATATTTGTATCTGGGGAGCAATTCTGGCCCTGCACGCTGCTTGCCACAACTTTGCTGGACTGGTGACGGTGCGGACTTTGCTGGGGGTCTTTGAGGCTTGCTGCCAGCCTATATTTGTGCTGTTGTCGTCCATATGGTATAAGCGAGAGGAGCAGGCGGCGACCGTTACCTATTGGTGATTGATCTTGATCCCGGGCTCAAAGTGACTCCCTAACTCTGTCTAGGTATATGATGAACGGCGGACAGCAGATTGTGGGTGGGCTGTTAGCTTACTGCTTCACGTTAATCGGGCACGACCGTGTTCTGTATTCCTGGCAGGCGCTGTTCCTCGCCTACGGCTGTTTTTCCGTGCTCTGGGGCCTGTTCGTGATGTGGTGGATGCCCGACTCTCCCATGCGTGCTAAATGCTTCCGCGAAGAAGACAAGCATCTAATGGTTGAGCGCCTGCGCTCCAACCAGACTGGTCTCCAGAACAAGGAATTCCGCTCATACCAGATGTGGGAGGCGTTCCGAGACCCCCAGACCTGGTGCTATTGTGCGATTCAAGTGTTCACCACTCTCCCGACGAGTGGTCTAGGGTCATTCGCTGGTATTATCATGACGGGCTTGAAGTTCACCACACTTCAAAGCCAGCTTCTGGCTATGGTCCTGGGGGCCTACATTATTGTCATTTTACTCTCGTCGGCCTGGCTGGTGAATAAGTTTCATCAGAACCTTCTAGTCATGCTTGGGTTTCTCATTCCGTACGTTGCGTCTGTCTGCAAGTACAACCCCCTAGGCTGACTTTGGCTTAGATCCTTCATCGGAACTATTGTTCTGATGACTGTGAACAACACAAATTTGGCTACGAAAGTCGGTCTCTTGATCGGTTATTATATCACACTCTCTTTCTGGTCGGCGCAGACACTTTGCCTTTCAATGGTGTCTCGAAATGTCGCTGGTCAGACTAAGAAGGCTACGGTGGTGGCATCCACATTTGTCTCATGGGCTGTTGGAAATGCGATTGGTGAGATACTTGCTGTAAGGCAGTTTTAAACCGAACTGACATGGGTTCCAGGTCCTCAGGTATTCCTCAACAAGGAAAAGCCGCACTACTATACTGCGTTTAGTGTGCACCTGGCCTGCTACTCCTGCATGGCTGGCGCAATCGTTTTCCTGCGTTTCTACCTTATCCGGGAGAACAGAAAGAAAGATGAGATCGTGAACGCGGCCGGCCTAAATGCTGCCGACCCAAACCTTGTTCACGCATTTGACGACAAGACCGACAATGAGAACATGGGTTTTCGGTACATCTACTAGACTGTGATATCTGTTTAAGTTTATAGACGCAAGGGTATGTTCCATACGGCATAGTAAGAATCCTATAGAGTTAGTATTTCCCAGAGATACACCAAAGTATCCTGTGCATATTGTCGAATGAGATGTCTGATTGTGGATGAGGAGGCGGAACCGCTCTTTGCTTTTTGCCTCCTTCGCTCGCTGTATGGATGGCCACTGTGGGGACTCTGGACACGCCGGGAGAATTCTTCTTTCGTGCGAGAAATCTTTCACCTCCCTTGTCTCCCCTGAGACTGCAGGCGATTCACTCACCAGGGATCGATCTCTATTCAAATTTCGTGTTGGGCTTTTCTTTCCCGTTCGTCCTGCATCGCCGGTCTCGGCGACGCTGGTGAATGTTACATCCGGGATCGCCGACCGCCAAGGAAAAAAGACCTCGGATTCCATCGAGCTTTCGACGACGACAATAGTTGCAGTTTTCTCTGCTCAGTCAAATGATCGACACACACAGATGCCCGACCGACTCTAGTTCAGCTATCATGGCTCGAGGATCATCACCCTGGGAGAATGCACGATCGGGATTTTGCCCCCGCAGACTATCTACGCGACGACACCCTTGACACCGAGGACATAATTCCACGATCTCACAACTGCATCTGCAATCTCGATAGCTCAGGCCTGTGGCCGAGCGCGCTACCGCTCCAATGCCCAACGATTTGTCACAAGTGCCAGACGGCATCCATGGCGGCTACCACGGCCCTTTGACCATTCGGATCTTGATGATTGTCTTCACGTCGATTGCCCTGTACAATTGCATCGAATTGTTCATATTAATCTTTTTGACTTTCACTCACTACCAGGGGCTGTACTTCTGGACCCTGCTCATCTCCGTCGTTCTTGGGGTCATCCCCCACGCCATCGCCTTTCTGCTAGAATTCTTCGCTCTGGCCCCCCTATGGCTGACTCTGGTCATGTCGACCATCGGTTTCTATGTCATGGTTCCCGGTCAGTCTATGGTGCTGTATTCCCGCCTGCATCTCGTCGTCCAGAGTCAGAAAGTCCTTCGCTTCGTTCTCGGCCTCATCATCGTCGACGCAATCATCCTTCTGATACCCACCACAGTCCTTACGTTCGCTACGGCATATGTTGGAACTCCGTCCATAATACGAGGATATAATGTAATGGAGCGCCTGCAGCTGGCTTGGTTTTGTGCGCAAGAGTTCGTCATATCAGGAATCTACATTTTCGAGACGGTCAAGCTGCTCAGGCTGATGCCCGAGAAGGGCCGACGGCGAACTAAGATCATGTATGAGCTGCTTGCCATCAATTTTGTGATCATTATACTGGATATCGCATTGCTGGTGGTGGAGTACCTCGGGTTCTACACCCTGCAAACCACCCTGAAGCCAATGGTCTATAGCATCAAACTCAAGCTAGAATTTGGTGTGCTTGGAAAGTTGGTTGCACTGGTGCAAACACATCGTTCACAGCCCACGTCGGCAGAGCCGGATCAGTATCCAGTTTTCGTTGATCCGACCCAGTTCACTTCCGACGTTACCCATGCCGCTCCGCAGGAACTGCAATCGCCGCGAGACATGTCCACCTGGAATTCCATGTCAGTGGAAAGCTTACCCATCCCCGAGCGAAGGATACAGATATCCACTCAGTCTGTGGATACCATGCAGCCGCCATGACCTTGCCGTTGACGTCTAATTATCAAGGTCAACAGTGTGTCACTTACCTAACACGACATACCGCCACCAATCTCTCAGTGCACCGAAGATGTGCCGTGTATTTTGACGAACAAAATGTACATTCTCGCAAGCATGTACTGGCCTACAGCAGTCGATACTACCATGTATAGTCGCCAAAAATAGAATATAATTTTATGTTGTCCATGATGTAACACTTATCGCAGGACAACGTCGACATGACCTACCCAATGTGCTTTACATATCAGAGGATCCGTCTCCATCGTAATGACTCCTACTAGTTCATCCCTCAAAGCGAATCACCCGGTCTAGAATTCCTCACTCGCTTCCTTGCAGCACTAGATACCCTTGATGGCCCGGAACACCAATCTCTCCATTCTTACTCCTAACGCCCAGATCCATGTTGGCAGCAACCCATCTAGTTCAGCCCGCCAATCAGTTTCCTGGCTCGAAGTGTGCAGTCATAAGCTCTCACATTTCCATCATCATGTCTACATGGCCTGGGATGTTTATTTGAATTCTAACGAGGGTCCGGATTGCGTCTCGATTTCCGGCTGCTGCCACGGATGGCGAGGGCTCTGTGGATGCCGCGCAGGGAGACATCTACGCGCCGTCATTTGAGACACCATGAAACGGACTGTCACATTTCGAGCGACCACAAAAACATTCTTTAAGTATGATCCGGATCAGTTCGCCGTGCAAGTTCGCGAGTTTAATGTTGTGGACCTCGAACGCCGTGAAGAATCGGACACGCAGGTGGTGGACATGCGTGTCTTTCTAGATTATAGACCTGTTCAGGCAAGAGCATCATCTTTGCAAATAGAGGTTGCTTTTGACGAGTCTCAGAGGAAAGCTCAGTAGATATGGCCGAGAACATCAATCTGGGGTTGTTTGATCTCACCCGTTAGAGTGGCTGATCGCGTTCACCATTCCTTGACGTCACCGTATGTCATATTCAGGCAAGGTCATTTGCCAAAAATAATCTCGATTTGCCGGTAACGACATATAGAGAATGACATGGTGGGGAGGCTAGCAGAATGTAGACAAGACTACGTGCGGCTCCAATAATGATGTCACAGCTTGCACCGCCACACACATCAGGCCAAAACAGAAGGCCAGTGGTAAGTCTGCTATTGATCTACGAAGAGGAACAAGGAACGAAGATTATTCTTTATCCGGTCAATCGACAGCCCGTCACGTACATCTGACTTGGGGATTTCCTGTTTTTCACTAAGATCGCCGACGATCTTTCGTCGGATGACGTGCCGGGCTGGTTCTTGTCCACTCAACAGCGTGCAGGCGCCTTCGAGAATGTGGTATGGCCTCCTCGGCATACGTTGATTCGCCTCCCATTAGATTAATTCAAGGGTAGGTCATTCTTCAGAAGTGCTTTCAGATTGTATAAATAAGCCAGGATAATGAGTCTTTAGGAGTCCTAATGTTTAGAGTGTCCTGAATCCAAATTGAAGGCCCATCAAAGAATCTCGAAAAATATCACACACAATGTTTCACCGTCATCGTCCGACCACCACTACGACGCGCACTACGAAGCCAACCTTCATGACACGCCTTAAGGGTCGCAACGCTCGAACTCAAACAGTGAAGACTAAGACTACTACAACACGCCATGAGGCCCCACTATCCAAGGGTCGGAAATGGGACAGACCTCGGACACAGCAACGTCGCCGCAAGGTGACCTTCGGCGATAAAGTATCAGGGGCCATGCTCAAGTTGAAGGGCAGCTTGACTCATCGTCCTGCAGTCAAGGTAAATATCTCCTTTGGTGAGACTCAATCTGGCAACTTCCACTGACCGAGTACTTATCCAGGCTGCTGGGACCCGTCGCATGCATGGCACCGATGGCCTCAGGGGGCACCGTCATCGTGCATACTAATTCATTTCCACGTTGTTTGTTGTTTTTATTTCGACAATGCCTGGGCAGTGTTGCCCTGGTGCTATTTGAGAGAAGCGTTCAGTTGGAATTTCGCTGGCTATTGTATTACATATTACATCCTATAAATGACTTCTTATGTATGTATGTATGAATAATGAAAGGTATTGTGACTGGTGCGTCTTGTTCGGTCGGAAAGTGAAATAGCGGTCTAAGATTAAATCGCTTCAAGCAAAGACATCCGCTGTTTCAGATCCATAATTGTAATAATGATCTGCTAGTAGTTGCTTGTTATGCAGCTAGTTCCTGCTCCCTAAGTAATCAGAAGAGAAAATCAAGCGTTAAAGCGGGCCAAATGGTTGGTGATCACCCCACGTTTGGCGCCGCGGCTATTAATAAAGAGAATGACAGACACCTCCTGGTTCGCATCTCCGCCAAGACAAACCCTCGCCGGACAGCCCTGCACTGCTGCTGCTGCTGCTATGAGGCTCTCTTTCATACCTGTACCAAATAATGTGATGGGTGGGTGCCTGAGGTGTCAGCGCCCACCGCCGTAGATAGATAGGATTTCCCTTCTGGGAGATCATGATCAATACAACTTCACTACCCGCTCGTTTCCTTTCCCATGATCTCTCTCCAGGTCTCTGCTGTGACGTCCGACGACCCACCCTGAGTCGACCGGCCATCATAATGGCATCTCTTGTCAGGAACTTTACCAACTTGATTACGGCGCCTTCGGCTTTGCCGGATGCGCCGGTCATTGACTTGGGTTATTCGCGGTACAAAGGCGTGTCGCTCCCGAATGGCGTCGATCAGTATCTGGGAATGCGGTATGCAGAGCCGCCGATCAAGGACTTGCGATTTCGTGGGCCGCAAGACCCTCTAATAGCCGATTCTGTTCAGCATGCGTCTAACGTAGGACTTGGAGCACCTTAACTACGTCCTGCATCGCTGACGGGAACAGTTTGGTCCTCAATGCGTCGGTGTTGGACAAGAAGTGAACACCGATTTTGCGGAAGATTGCCTATTTATTAATGTCTGGAGACCTTCAGGGGCCAATTCGAGTTCTTTGCTGCCAACTTGGCTATTTATCCAAGGCGGGGGTTACGCCAATAATGCTAACGGTAACTATAATGGCAGTGAGGTGGTCGAGCGCTCGGGGCTTGATATGAGTAAGTTGCGATCCTTCGATTCGCATCTTGTCCTAGTGAGAACTGCAAACTAATCTCGATGCCCCTAGTATTCGTGAATTTTAACTATCGTGTTGGTGCCTTGGGGTTTTTGGCCAGTGAGAACGTTCGAAAGGACGGCGATCTCAACGCCGGACTTCTTGATCAGAGAAAGGTTTTGGAATGGGTACAGGAGAACATCCGGGAATTCGGTGGAAGTAAAACGTAACAATGCCTCTCGTATACCCCAACCCACTCGTGACTTTATCTGACCTGTTTCCAGGCAAGTCGTCATCCACGGTGATTCGGCAGGTGCTGGATCAGTTGCGCACCATCTCGCGGCCTACCGCGGGACATCTAGCAAAATGTTCTCTGGGGCTATTGCAGAGTCTTCCTTCTGGCCCACGCAACGGACTATTGCCGATATGGAATTTCAATACGAAAGATTCGTGGAAGATGTCAACTGTCACGAAGCAGACGATCCACTTGCCTGTCTTCGCGCTGCCGACATCCAAACCATTCAAGCGGCAAACGTCGATAAGCCATTTCCAGGCGGGAACACCAACCCGGCACCACTGTGGTACTTTCTCCCTGTCGTTGACGGATGCCTGATTACTAGTAGCTTGTATGATTCCTTTTCGAGTGGCCAATTTGTTCGGGTTCCACTCATGGTCAGCGATGACACGAATGAAGGCACCGATTTCGCATACAATGCTACAGACCAAGCTGAGATGGCCCAGTTCATGAAAAACAACTATCCCAAGCTCACAGAGAACCAATTGGACCAAGTCAACAAAGCGTATCCCCTTGTGGACCTTCTCCCTAAGCATGCAGCATATTTCCCATCGGCAAGTGCCGCCTACGGGGAGTCGACGTATGAGATCATTCATTCGCTCTTTACGCTGATGAGAAGCTAACGATGAGACATTTTAGATTTACCTGCCCCGGAAACCTGATGGCGGCAGCCATGGCACGAACCTTCGGCCCCGACAAGGTCTGGAACTACCGATACAACGTCCGGGATCCCATCGAGATTGCGAACGGTATGGGTACACCCCACGTCTTTGATTTGCCTGCGATTTTTGGAATTGGGGAAACGAACGAACCGACCTTATCGTACCCCAGCATTAATAAGGACATTATAAACACCGGCATGGACTACTACATTAGCTTCGTCAAAGTGCAGAACCCTAATTACTTCAAAAACGCGAAAGCTCCGGAGTGGAAGCCTTGGGGTTCAGGATCCGGACAGCGCATGAAGCTTCAGACGAATTCGACGCAGATGGAGGCAGTTCCTCGGTCACAGCTGGATCGTTGTAAGCTCTGGCTGAACCTGGCGGCCAGCATGGAACACTGATTAATGTCTGTGTCATTCCTTGTATATAGAATTGATTTTCAGTCTAGTAGGTACTTCCAACAGTGGACACTCCCAAGACTTAGTCAGTCATCCGAGGTGAAAAAATGAGGGGTCGCATGATTAATCGTCTGTCCAAATCCGGGGAACCCCACTTGCGTCATCTCTCCACAGAGCAATAGCAATAATGAAGCCGACCAGCCCTCCTAACCTGTCTGAGTTGGTGGTCGAGCTCATCGAGTTGATCGCAGAGTAAGCTGCTCTCGTTGAGGTACACCATTTGCACACTCACATTTTATTGCAGCTCCTGCGACGGGGACAGTATCTTGCAGCTGCGTTTGGTGTGCCGAGAGCTGCAGACAAAAACTATTCACTACTACGCGCGCCGCTTCTTCTCGTCCGTCAAGACTGATCTCTCCAGCGACAGTCTCCATCGCATAAATGCCGTCTCGCAACATCAGCTTATACGACCCTATGTGCAAGGCTTAGCTTTCATGCTCCAGAAAGGCGTAGGCCATGGCATAGAATGGGAGCGCTATCAATGGGGACCCTTGTCTGAGCCACTGCAAATCGAGGCCATTCGAACTTTACAAAATAACCTCCTTCATTGTCTGACTAACTGTCGCTCATTTTTCATTTTTTGTCGATATCCTGAAGGCCAGCCGGATCTGGGTCGGGTTACCATCACAGACGCCGTGCGGGTATTTTTTGCACTCTTGGACGGTATACATGTCCATTCTTTCCATTTAATATATGCCAATAAGTACTCGCGCACCCTGATAATGGATATGCGCCGTCTACCTAAGCTGCTATACCGCCAACCACAGTTTCGGAGTGCGTGGTCGAATCTCAAGAAACTGTCTCTGGAGCAGTATCTTACTCTAGAAAACTTTGGTTTTTTGCTGGAACTGGTTCTCAGTGCCCCGAATCTTGAGACTCTTTTACTTAATCTAGGATCTCACGATCTGTCTTGTGAGTTTATCCACGAATTAGCCGAAACGGGCGCACTGTCTCAATTACATGAGTTGGCTTTATTTCGGACTTCAATGCACGGGCCAGACGTCACGAAACTTCTTCGCAATATCCAAGGGAGTCTCTGTGCCCTCACTTTGTATCATGTCTCTCTATCGCCAGATGACAGCTGGGTCTCTATCATTCAAGCTCTTGGTGAGGACTTTCTACGCTTGCAGAGCATCTCTCTTTACTACCTCTGGTGTAGTACACCGTCCAAGGAGCTATTGGCATTTCCAGACCTTGGGAAGGTCCCTGCTTTGCATAACTTGCCAGAACAACATCTCCATATGTTCTACTCGGAAACTTCCAAGAGCCCAACTGTGCTGGGATTGGAGTATTCAGGGCCCAAGATGTCGCAGGTATTGAGACTGCTGCAAACAACGAGCAAGTGCACTGGATGATCATTTGCAGATTAAACAGCAGTGGCTTGGCTAGCTCATTTTCTATGAAGGCATATTACACAAGCCTATCTTTACTTTCATGTATCAACTTGTCACATTGATTTCAGCACAGTTTGTATTTGAATGGGGAGAGCTTGCACTACAAACCCGCTCATTAACTGTTAAACTAATCCTAATCTCGCAACAACAATGGGAGCCACGCGATACACAGGCATAGAGTAACCCAAAATCAGTCGCATTCCAGTACTCACTTTGAGCCAGTGTTTTTCACAGCCACTTTCTTCACATTCTTGCCCGTAATCTCAAACATGGTGGTCTTCAAGTCGCCCTCAAAGGCAACCGTTAGATGTAACTTCTCTTTTGGCCAAAGTGTCACGTAGTTGTCCGACCAGTACACCGGTGCAATCTCAGCTCCAGTTGACGAATCCATAGCATTGGCCCTAACAAAAACAGCCGGAACATTGGCCTTGTTTTCCAACTGAATCTCGGCCTGCGTCATCCCATTTTTTGTTTTTGACTTGACAGCAACCAGAGAAGCTTTCACAGTGACAGGTGTCAAGGTATTCAGTGTAGTGTAGTCCGCATAGTCCGTGACTGGGGTATAGTACCAGTTCGATTTAGACCAAGCAAGCACGTCTGTTGAAGGAGATAGCCAGTAGACATTACGACTCAAATCGTGCCTTATTTTCGGGTCACGAAGGATTAGACGCAAGAATGCAACACCTTTAATCTTGTCGATACCAGTCACAGTTCCAATCGACTTCGATGAGGTCGGAGAGGTATTCGCTGTCATCCTCGTTCCGGTAATTTTCTTCCCATTGATATCGATCAGCTCGACCACGATGACTCGCTTGCCTTTCTGTTTCAAGGAGTGGTTGATCAGGGAAACTGTATGGTCCTGATAATTGTAAGCAACGTGCTCCATGCGGGCCCCAACTTTTGTCCCAAAATACGCGCCCATCGGGCTGAGATAGTAGTCAAACAGCTGCCAGTGTAGATTTGGCCATGCTCCATTAAGCATCCAGTAGATTAGCCCCGTCGCTGGGCGCGTTGCGTTTTGGTTTGCCGAGTACGCCTCATATTCGGCTCTGGTGGCTTCGTAGTCCGCCATTTGAGATTTCATTAAGTAGTCCTCCAAACTGGACGGTTTGCCATAGCGAGAGTAGAGTGCCTTGTTGTAGATAGTTCGATGGTAAAATTGCGAGACATTGCTGGACATATGATACAAGCCTGCATCTGGCTCAGTCCAAAGCATTTGCAAGTCTTCTTCAGACAAGAATCTCTTGAGGCTTTGAAGCTCTGGTGTACCGACTCCAGCACCAAGCTCAGTTCCGAACCCAAATGCAGCTCCTTCCTTGGTCCCATACCAGTAATTGGGAGGCACCCAATCATATGGCCCATTCATTTTCATGCCGGACGGTCCCAGAGCTTCCGGGTATCCGCGCTTGGCAGCTGATGCAATGATGGGGTTGGGCCAGTCCATATGGTCGAGCGCTTCCAGGTATACCTTGGTGGCGCGTTCATCTGGCCAGTAATCGGATCCTACCAGGAATCCCAGCATGCTCGGATGCGCTTGCATCATCTCCGCCTCATGGAGCATTTGTGATTTCGCAATCACATAGTCTCTATCGTCCCATTTCACACCGTCGGCCTCGTCGTTGTACTAAGGAAGATGGTTAGTGACTGCTTTAAAGGAGTAGATCACGATTTCGGTACCTTCCACCCCTCCCACTTGTCACAGCATTCCCACCCAGCCAGAATCATCATACCCATGCGATCAGCAAGGTTATACATCTCTGGCTGTTCTTGCTTGCCCTCAAGACGTACAGTATTAAGGCCCATGTCTAACATATACTGAAAGATACGCCGGATGCGCTGCTCGTCGAATCGCATAAACATATCCGTTCCAAGGCCAGCTCCCCTGACTTGAAAAGGTGCTCCATTAACACGGAATGCCGTGTCATTGAACTTATTAAGATCGGAAGTCACGCGGCGAATACCAAATTCCTGGGGACCAGAGCGATCGGACACTGCTAGGCCATCATTCTGCACATAAGTCGTCGCATTGACTGTATATAAGGGCTGACTGCCCCATTCAGCGGGCCACCAAATCTTTGGTTTCTTGATTGGGACTGCGAGAGAAAAGGTGCGATCTGAATAAGGTTGCAGAACAAGCGAACCCGAAAAGGGGATTGAAGAGCCACCATCTTCGGTAATAGTGCCGTTCACCACAACATGGACCTCTTTGGCCGACCAGTTGTTTAAGTCTGTGCGGACGGTTGCTATAACTTGCTCACGAGGCTCCCCGGGTTTGATAAAATTGGTTAGCACCCGCATCGGCGACATGGAGACCGGGCCGGTCTGCGATAACTCCACATGACGCCAAATGCCGGTGCCATTGTCATACGGATAAGGATTCCAATCCACAAACCCTATAGCAAAGTCGCGCAGATAGTTCGTAGGATAAGCACGGATCAATAGGCAATTTCTACCTTTCCGAATGTACTCGGTCACGTTGTATTGATGACCTCCGTAGGAGCCTTGCTGTTGATCACTAGAAACGACCTTCCGTCCATTCATGTAGATGTCTGCCTTGGACGTGATTCCGTTAGTTTTCAACAGAAAGAAGTTCCGAGCAGAGGGGCTTGCTGAAAATTCTTCCCGATAAAACCAAGGGGTCTCAAAAAGGGAGCGGTCAGTTTCGGACTCCATGTTATTTGAGAACCACAGCTCGGTCTCATTATACACGCCGTTCTCAATGAGGCCGGCCATGATCGTGCCGCGGGCACTGACGCGGTACCACGACGACACATCCACGCCGGGTTGCGAAAGAGCGGGCATATCGTCCGAGACTTTGGTGATTGATTGGAGATTCCATCCTGGAATAATCGCTTTGTCACCAGAGGCGGAAACAAGAAGAGATGAATCGGCTCGCTCTGTGTCAACACTGAGTACTGGGCTAGCACCGAGTAGTGTAGCAAGCAGGGCTCCCAGCCCAGGTAAGAAGCGCATCGAGTTGTTTAGAATCCGTTGTGTCGAAATGAGTATATTGTTGTTGTCGGTTTCGAAGGGTGTGAGCGAGTGGCTGAATTATATCCCACCATACAGTTGCATTGCGTGAAACTGATCGACGACAGTTTGACGACAGTGGCATACTATTCTCCTGCATCGCTCAGGGACCTGCGTGGCTTGGATTAGCGGAGTCGGGGATCTGGTCGGCAAACCTGTGACTTTCCCCGGTTGAGCGAGAGATGAACCAGAGCACATTCCCAACCGGGTTAAGGCCGGTAGAGCTGTCGGGGCCCAATAGGGGTCCGGCCGAAGGTGAATGGGGATTAGTCGCAGATCGTGCATTGCCGATACGAAATACCGCACAAGGGGGAAATTCGCTTCAGCGAGCAAACATTGGACCGTCCCAAGTCACTACATAAAATGCTTATTACCCAGCTATTGTAGAGGATTCGCTCGTAAAGCCAAGATTTGAACTGTCAGGACCCATCCAATACTAAGTATTATGTACCTACTCTACCCTTACCCGCCCCCAAGCCGGACCCGCAACCACTCCGTTAGCCGGCGTCGGAAATAACATGCCTGCACAATATCAATGATATCGTGCACCGTTTGAGAGCAAATTGAGATGGTTTGATATTAAAAAAAACTCGTGAGATAATTTCTAGGAAAAAGGTTCGGGTATCCCTGGTTCCCGAGACCGAGCCACGTTATCGCCTTCGTACCTGGTACCCTTTCAGCCCCGCCATTCTCACTCCTCGCGAGCTTGGCTACAATCGAGAACAACCGTATTGTTCCTGCCCTTTGCACTTCCGTTAACCAGTAAGAGGACTAGCCCTGATTGGATATGTCACCCAGGGTCTTGGGCATGGTCCGCTTTCCGCAAGGGGCGCGATCTTACGACATCGGAATGCGGCTGCTGGCTGTCGTTTGCGGCCACGAACCACTGTTTTCTGATCTCACCCTGACCTCTAAATCTCCAATCCAAGTCATCATTTGTCCAATCCGTCCATGTCTCCTCGATGACAGGTCCCCGCTTGGAATTCCGCGCCGATTCCTTATGGCGCTCCGACCCAGGAACCGAGGAAGGCTAAGTACAATGACAGCTTAGATTGCAACCTCATCTAGAGTTAAGCTAATTCCGGCTGCGAGGTACTGCAAACTTGATAGCAATGTAGCTTCTCTGCGACCAGTGGCTCTTCCAATTCGTTGCGTACTGTGGTTGTTCGAAACGGACTGGTGCCTTGTTACCATGCCAGTGCGCCCTGGGTGGTGTTGGAATGTAGTCGTCTGATCCACAGTCCAAGTCTCTCCTGTGCTTTTGAGCTCTGACGTTGCCTTGACTGTCTTTTTCTCTTTCTCTTCCTCTCCATAATCTCTGGGGTAGGTTGATCAAGGACGACAGGCCGAAAAACTTTCAACGTACTCTGAAAACCTATTGATGATCATTACTGCTACGGCGACCTTCTAAGAGCCAGCTATGCGTGTGGATCATCCTTCATCGCGGCTGTCATGGACCGGCATATTCATAACAGCATTACTGGGTGCATGGAAAGCACAGGCGGTAGAACTCGACATTGATGATGATGGTGAGAAGAACAAAATGAAGTCCGATAGTTCCTATTACTAACTACTGATTTTAGATTCCATCAAGAGTGCCGCCAAACAAATCGCGACCAACATGATGACCTATTACACCGGCATGAATCCGGGCGATAATCCCGGTAACCTGCCTACTCCTTACTACTGGTGGGAAGCCGGAGCAATGTTCAACGCCTTGATTGACTATTGGTTCTACACACGCGACGAAACCTGGAACAACATCACTATGCAGGGTATGATGTGGCAGGCTGGCAATACCGGTACCTTCATGCCGCCAAACCAAACCTTGACTGAAGGCAACGATGATCAAGCATTTTGGGCATTTGCTGCCATGTCTGCCGCAGAACGAAACTTTCCCAATCCTCCGAGTGGCCAGCCTCAGTGGCTCGAAATGGCACAGGCTGTTTTCAATACACAGGCTGCGCGATGGGACATGTCCACCTGTGGTGGTGGTCTACGCTGGCAAATCTTCGACTGGAACCGCGGTTATGACTACAAAAACACAATTTCCACAGGTGGATTCTTTAACCTGGCTGCTCGCCTAGCCCGATATACGAAGAACGAAACCTATTCGAACTGGGCGGAGAAGGCTTGGGACTGGACCTCAGCTGTGGGATTTAGGACCCCCGATTATCACTTTTGGGATGGCGCCAGCGATACCAACAATTGCACCCAGATGAACCAGATTGAATGGACCTACAACTCCGGGACGTTCTTGCTCGGGGCAGCCAACATGTATAATATTGTATGTTGCATTTCCTACATATGCCGGGATGGCAAGCTGACAGATTTCGAAACAGACTGAGGATCCGAAGTGGAAGGATCGTATCGAGAAGATCATCGAGGCCTCCGAAGTATTCTTCACGCAAACTCCGCCAAACGTCATGTACGAGCGAGCCTGTGAGACGGTCAACACCTGTATGGTCGACCAGCGATCATTCAAGGGCTATTTCGCGAGGTGGATGGCTGCAACCACCCAGGCCGCCCCATTCACCTATGATCTAGTGATGCCAAAACTGAGGGCCTCGGCTTCAGCCGCAGCCAAAACTTGTACTGGTGGCGACCAGCACACGACCTGCGGTCTGAAATGGACAGAGGAGAAATGGGACAACAGCAGGGACTTTGGTCAGCAAATGGCTGCCTTGGAAGTCATCCAGGCCAACCTGATCACTAAAGTGGCAGCACCAGTTACCGATGACAATGGTGGCACAAGTAAAGGAAACCCGAACGCAGGCGCCACGCCTGAAGACCCTCGGCCCCACGTCCTCACAATGCCTATTACCACGGCTGATAAGGCTGGCGCGGGTATTCTCACGGCTCTGATGATGGTTGGTATTGCCAGTTCCACTGGGTTCCTCATCTGGGATACGTAAGCTGTTGCTTCTTGATGTTTTGATTTGCCGAGGCGTTGGTTGTACGACCTTGTGTTTACGGGCGGCGTCTAGATTTTTTTGTGAATAATAGATAGGTATAATATACACTCGAAATGGCAATGCATGCGTTCGCGTTGAAGCTTCTTGTGTCGATTTGGTTAGCACTGTCGAGTATCCTTGGAGCATCCTTGGGCTTATTTCGCCAGCATCTTTTCCAGGATAAGGTTCGTGAATATTATACGCGTCTGCTGTCTGAAAAGCACCAATCGGCCTAGTCTCCGTGTGATATGAGACGGAGGTCCGGCTATTGTTAACGTTTCCCCACATTTCCCACAACTTAAGGAGGGGGCACTCGAGGAAAGAACCCACGGCAGGCTTGCTGCCAGGATGTCTTGAAGAGGGGGGGGGCAAACAACCGCGGTTGAATTCCGTCCTGTGCCTCGGAGGACGCTATTCAGCTGGCAATGCTCGAAGGTTCTTAGACTCGTCCATCGCACGCGAAGCGTAGTATTATATTCCTGCCTATCTTTTACCAACTCCATTCAGAATGGGATCCGTCGCAGAGAACTCTCAGTTCGATATTCCTACCCACTGCAAAGCAGGCGTGGTTGTCAACGAAGGGCCGGACTTTCATGTCGAGGTGCAAATGGTTCCTGTTCCCGAGCCAGGTATACCCTATTTCTATTTTCATGTAAATCCTTTGGGGCTAAAAACTGACTCAACTAAGGCCCCGATGATGTTTTGATCCGCCTCAACTTCACTGGGCTTTGTGCCTCCGACATCCATCTCATGCAGGGGGATCTGGGAACTCCCCCGATGTCAAACTGGGGTGTACGGTCCCCCGGCCATGAAGGTGCTGGAGTGGTGGTGAAGGTCGGTTCCAATGTTAAGAACTTTAAACTCGGTGACAGGGCCGGGATCAAGCCGATTCTCGATACGTGTGGCTCCTGTGCACTATGCTGGCATGACAAAGAGACATACTGCAAAGAGGCAGTTCACACCGGTCTAATGGCCACTGGTCAGTCTAAAATTCAAGCACGCAAGTCTCTATGTACGGGTCGTGCTGACTACACCAGGGACGTATCAACAGTACATTGTGTCGCCGGCGCGATACGCGTCGCCTATCCCCGACGGCATCCCTGACGAGATCGCCGCTCCAATCATGTGCAGCGCGAGCACAATTTACCGTTCTCTCACAGAGTCCAACCTGCAAGCCGGAGAGTGGGTTGTTTTTCCAGGAGGCGCCGGTGGGGTAGGTATTCAAGGAGTTCAGTTAGCTCGAGCGATGGGGATGCGGCCTATTGTGGTGGACAACGGCGAGTCGAAACGAGCCTTGGCAATGGAGATGGGTGCAGAAGCATTCGTAGACTTTCAGGAAGCAGAGCCTGCCGAGGCCGTGGTTCAGATTGCGGATGGCATCGGAGCACACGGAGTGGTCGTGACAGCTCCGGCTGCGTACAAATCGGCCGTGTCTTATATCGGCAACCGCATAGGTGCCATCATAATGTGTATTGGCCTGCCACCGGCCAAATCGATGGTGCTTGGCACTGATCCGTGTGAGTTCATCTTCAAGAACTTGACTATCAAAGGGACTCTTGTGGGCAGTCGAAGGGACACGGCGGGGGCGTTGGATTTTGCTCGGCGAGGAATGCTCAAGCAGATTAGCGTCGTCTATCCAATTAACCGGCTGCCAGAGGCTGTTGAGAAGCTGCGCCGGAGCCAGGTGGCAGGTCGGATTGTGGTTAATTTCGACTGGGAGGAGTAGTTAGGGAGGGTAGTTGTTGCCAATGATATATATTTTTGATCTGCAGGAGTCGGACACGACCCGTCTATACATCACAGTACATACCGCCATATTTATCGCAGATATCAAGGCCAATGGATATATTGGGGCGAAACCGACTTTGTCACACAGATATAGCTCTTCGAAGCCTAGCGGCAAAGAGAACAAAGACAAAAACCAACAAAGGGGTAAGCACAGACTAACCTGGTCCCACCATTTGTTATTACTTAACCTGTTGAAACAATAAGCCCGCGAGATAGAATATTGATTTTTGTCAGTGATTCAAGTTCATTTCCACCATCTTTTTACCACCACGAGGTCCCGAATGGGTGAGTAATGCCCGGACATAACAACATTTGCATCATGGAACAGATTTGTCATCTCTCGGTGCGCCCTCGGTGTTTGATATCCAAAGTCCGCCGGATCTGGAGATAAGTATATACGGGCGAGTCAGACTTATAAATACAAGATATGCCCACGACATTCTCACGGATTGTGTCTCAGCCTAGCACATCACTCTTCAGTACTAGAAGCTCTTTACCGACTCGAAAATGTCCTCATATCTGGTTACTGGATCATCTCGCGGCCTCGGTCTGGCGCTAGTTGCTCGTCTTGCTTCCTTGCCCGAAACGGAGGTCGGAACTATCTTCGCAACTGCTCGCCGGGACAGTTCCCTACAGTTGAGGGATATTGTTAATGCATCGCCGGGGCGTATCGAACTGGTCATTTTGGACGTGACTGACGAAGCGAGTGTGAAGGAGGCCGTGAAGATAGTTGAGAGCAAGTTGCAGGGCAAAGGGCTGGATTTCTTAATAAACAACGCGGGGGTTATGGACCACTCGCCGACGGGGTTGGAAGGAATGTAAGCGGATTTTTACTCGATTTTCTTGGCCGAGACTAAATTATAAAGGGACAACTTGAACGAACTATTCAACATCAATGTTACTGCTACCCACATAGTGACGCGAGCCTTTCTACCTCTACTTCGTCATGGAAGCAAGAAAACCGTGATTAATATGTAAGTGCAAATGGAGTTAACAATAACTAACCAGTCAACAAACCATCAGTCAGAGGGCTGACAAATCCCAATAAGATCAACCACATTGGGCTCCATAGCCATGGCCGAAAGGTACCAACGATCGAACGCGCCCGCCTATCAGATTTCGAAGGCTGCGTTGAACATGTTGACAGTGCAGTACGCCCTACAGTATGGCAACGAAGGGTTTATTGTTCTTGCTATCACCCCCGGTGTGAGTATATTCGCAAACCTTATTCTTCTCCCCCCCCCCCCCCCCAAAAAAGAAAAACTTTCTGGCTAACTTAAAATAGTGGTTGCGTACCGATCTTGGGAGTTCCTATGCAGACCTACCAGTAGAGACTGGTGCTGAAAAGGTGATAGATATTATACAAAAAGCCTCTCCAGATCAGAGCGGAAAACTTGTCAACATTCATGTTCAAGGATGGGAAAAGGCGGATGGCCCAAATCAATATGATGGAAAGGTGGTTCCATGGTGATCTTCATAGTCACAGGCGGCTATGGTAATAAATAGATTGGGACAAGAAGTCTATCTGAGTTTGAACTCGGTTTGACGACAGTAACTAAATTGCACTAGAAAGAGATGCCGAATTGCTGATTAAATAGCCATGTCTAAGAATCCTGCACATACCAAATCATCTGCTGGGTTGTTAGTCTGAGAAGCCATTATTATGATGCAACTACAGAATAAACTTACGCCTAGCATGAGTGGCTACCTTCCTGTTCTGGATCTTTGCAGCCACTCTTACAAAGTTTGGGATGTCCGACAATTCCTGGGTTCGTGCAATGAAACAAAACATTTTGAAGGGGCTCATCGGCGAGGTCGGTTCCTTTGAGAACATCTTCGAGGTCCTTGTCCGTGAAACCTACACATATTAGAGACATAAACATAGCGAGACAGGTATACCAACCTTTGGACTGCGTCAACACGTCTGCACAATAATCAAAGCTTGGGGTACACGTTGTCTTTGCCAACCCTGTAGAGGCAAGAGTAAAAAGGGCGAGGAGAACCGACGAGAGCTTCATCTTGAGATGTCTGAACAAAAAACGAAGAAAGCTGAGCTTGAAAAGTACAGAAGGGCGAAGATATGAAACAATAAATGATTAAGGAATTTAAATATCTCATTAGAGAAGAATCACATTCTCATCGTCGGCCCCTAATCTCTATTGTGGGGTGGAATGTGGCCTGGCATGTAGTTACGCCATGCGTGGATACACATACATACCGCAACGTGTACATATGTACCTAGACCTAGCCTAGAGTGAGTGAAGCCATGTCTGATTGAAACTACTTGAAAATGACACTGAAAAGCCCAACAGCCAAAGAATCCTCCTGGGATCTAGATCGGCCGGTTTCCATTCACATCTGGTGCGGTTCAATGACGTTGGGCATATGGTACCAAGATGATAGGGAAACAAAGGCCATAAAGCCAGCAAAATCGGTTTGCAGCAGGAAAACCCCTGAGGTAAATTTCGGGGGTTTGTATAAATACGTGTAGTCTATTCCCTTCTATTGTTCCCGTTCTCCGGAACTGACTCGTGCTTGCGATAAGATAAACCCCGCACACCAGGATGGATTCATTGCATCGATTGACTTGTCTGGGTTTCACCTGAATCCCTTACCTGAAGCTCTTCTCAGAATCTTGATTGCAGTGCCACTATCTTATTTTTCAAAGTTGGGTAACATCATGATGTCGGATGAAAAGCTCAGTAAGTACTCGTGGTGCTCGTTCCTTGGGAGAAGAAAGATACATAGCTTCAAACAGCTGTCCTTAAACCAACCCCATGAGCCAGGACAGACTGACAGGGACTAGTCTTCGACCTTATCATGGCCGATCCAGGCCTCCCTCGACCAAACCCGACCCAGTCTTACTGGCAGCATGTACCCCATGCCCTGGCAAACATTCAATCCTCGACTCTCCCAACTGATACAGACCATGCCATTATTGGATCCGGAATCACAGGCCTTACGGTTGCCAAGAACCTGCTGGAGCGCGATCCATCTAGCAAAGTAGCTATTCTAGAATCTCGCACTCTGTGCTCTGGGGCGACAGGTCGCAATGGTGGCCAAATGGCTGCCAATGCTGGAGAAGAGTATTCCCATCTTGCACAAACCTATGGTCCGCAAGAGGCAGGGAAGATTGTGAAGTTTACATTTCGCAATCTAGAAAAGATGCGACAGCTGATTGAGGATCAAGATGTAGTGAAAGCGAGCGAGATGCAGCAGCTGAAGAAGCTGCGTGTTTTCTTGACTGATGCGAAATTTCGGGATTTCAAGGAGAGCATCGCCCGTCTGGAGGGAGACCATCCGTCCATGAAAGGCATCTATACAGTCATTGATGCAGCTACGGCATTACGGGTTTGTCGTTCTGTCTTAAACATATATCATACTCTTTGATTGACATGCTTCCCAGGAATACGGCGTTCACGGAGCAGCCGGGGCAGCGATACTCCCTGCTGGGACGGTTTGGCCATATCGTCTAGTGACAAGGGTCTTTGCAGCTTTGTTGGAGAAGTATCCAGACCGATTGACCATTGAGACGAACACCCCTGTTGAGTCTGTGGAATACAATTCTAACGTCACATCTCCCGATTATCCGTATACGCTTCGAACACCTCGAGGACCACTACGCGCAAGATCGGTTGTCTATTGCACCAATGGATACAGCGGGCATCTCCTGCCCCGATTACGAGGCCGGATCCATCCTTTTAAAGGCACGATGACTGTCCAAGACCCCAAGAAATCGGTACCTGATCAAGGTAGTTCGATTTCGTGGGGGTTTCATTATCCACCATCGTACGACCCCGCGACCAAGCGACATGGCTATGGACTGTATTATCTAGCACAGAGCGCTAAGACGGGTTATTTCTACTTTGGTGGCGAGAATACACGAGTCGATGAATCCGTTTCTGCCGACGACAGTTTCGTGGCTGAACACTCAGTATCCCATCTCCGAACGGTGCTGCCGCAGTTCTTTGGTCAAGACGGCTCTGCTCCGTGGCATCTAGTGGCTTCGTGGAGTGGAGTCATGGGATTTTCGTCGGATGGTCTGCCTTTGGTAGGGCGACTTTCATCGGCGTTGACAGGGAGAAGTGGCACCGGAGAGTGGATCGCTGCTGCGTTCAATGGCTATGGCATGGCCAATTGTCTCATGAGTGGCGAGGCTCTAGCGCGAATGATATTGGGTGAAAATGTAGACGACTGGCTGCCAGAGGCATATGGCCTGGGTGAGAGGCGGTTGCGAGAGACACTGACGGTCCCGCAAGCGGTAAATGCATTGAAGGCAAAATTGTAACTAGGGCCGTTCGGCTGGGACATCACGAAAGAGTATCTGAAATGTTGGGCTGCCCTAGTGTATTGATTTCGTATATGATGCTGCAGGCAAGGGTATCAAAGTGCTCTCCGACGTATTCATACATTAGTGAAGGAAGATCAGCACACAGCTTCTAGTGCCTTTGTGAAATTTGCGCCATATGTCCCCCGTACGAGTGTAGATGGCAAAGCATGACTTTGAATATAGCCTCCAAATGCTTGCGTAAATCTCATTTATCGCAAGACGACTCGGCAGCAATAAAGTCCATCAGCGCAGGCTGATCCAGCGACACACTGGATTTCCAGGTCCGAGATTTTGAGCCTTCCGAACGGAATTCCCATCTCCCTCGGCCGATACCATCAATGTTGCACACGGTGTAGGCTTCGAGAGAAAGTTCGGAACGGGACAGCACGACCTTCATCTTGGTGTGCCTTTCTGGGTTAGAGGATGGCATTATCAACTCGCCCAGATGCGGATACACCACATCCCATGTTTCTGACTCTTTTAAGTCTTGCACAGGCTTCGGTGTTGGCTGTGCGTGGGAAGCGATAGTAAAGACGATATCGAGCATCAGGAGATGGGTTATGGCAGCCTCGACCTCGTCCTTTGAGGCAATGCGACCGGGTGATTTGAGGTCGGCGTATTTCGGCATATTGCAAGACACCTCAAAGTTGGTACCGAATGGTGGCGAGGCAAGATTGGTTCTGATGGTGACAATAAAAGAACCCTGAGGCGTGAGTAGACTCCCGCTGAACGTAGATTCCAGGGGCGTAAGAAACTTCTCGACAAATGCCTCAACAGGGGCTTCAGCACGAGACGCATTCGCTGGCTTCCATGTGGAAGCTAAATCGGCAATGTATCGGGCAGAATCGAGACCAGCTGCTTGCAAGACGCCAAAAATGTCCTTGAAGAATGTTTCGAGCCATCGGACATGTGACATGTGCTGGAAATAAGCGATGGCCGGACGTAAAAGATGATATTCTGGGATGGGTCGTCGCTTCGGAGTCAGCGGCGGCGGGGCCTGGGTCCGACGCCGGAGATTCTGACGATGGGCGTAGGACAGCAGGATACGAATAGAGAGGGCTAGGGCATCCGCAAGCAAGAGGTCTTGTTGAGAATGAGAGAGGTTGGACTGAAGACGATCGTCGTTGGCATCCACCAGATCGATCAGAATTTCATGATCCTCCGAGGTGGGGATACGAATGAGGTTCTGGCGAGTCGTCACGCCGTGCGTGGCCATTGGCCGAGCTTCTCGGACTAGTTCGTGGAACAGCTCCTCCTCAAATACGGTGTCACGCGCTTGCAGAATGCGACGCTCAATCGACTCTGGATCATTCGATGTAGGGCGCGGCAGCGTAGAGCAGCTAACGATTTGATCATGCCGCTTGACTTGAACGCGGACCAGCCGGGGTTTAGACGGAACCAATCCTCTGTCCAGTATCAATCCTCCATCATCGGCTCGTCGTAGGCAAGCTAGTCCACGATCACGGAAGATTGGAGTAGCTGGAACAGCAAATTAGCGAGAACACTTTTGAACAGACCGAGAAGAATTACCTTCTAAGAAGCCATATTGCACGCCTAGTGATTGCCTTTCCCTGGGCAGACGGCATATCTTCCATCCTTTGTTCTTAACCTCTAGCACCTCATTCCAGTATCGCGCCTCCGAGGCGACTTCCGTCTCGAGTCGAGAGGCGGCGCTCAGCAGTTTATTCGCAGCCGAGTTGAAGTTTTGGATTCTCCACCCGCGGGAGATGACCGAGATATCTTTCTTTGCGGATTCCGGCTTGGGAGGAGGTGTGACGACCTCGGAACTCAGCGAACCAAGCGGAGCGACCTGTTTCAGGTAGGCGGACATGGACGTCTCAGCCTGGCGCGGGGCGTGTTTGGAGAGGACAAGGGAAACAAAATCTAGGGCAAACATGGTTTCCATGTGCGCTTGCCTGGATACTATCAGCTTGAGTCGCCCAAGCCCCATTGACTACTGACATGGCAAACTTCGTGATTTCTGCTCGCCGTTTGTATAACTGCTCTAGGCGTTCGGTCGTGTCGGCCTCTCCTGCCCCCTCATCATCCTGGGAACCATCCTGCTCCTTCTCCTTGGCAATCTCGGTTCGCAGGATCTCTTCATTTACATCTCGAAAGGAACCCCACTGGTTGTTGATCTGGGCGATCTCAGCCGACAAGGAGTCGGACCGGTCGTTCTTCTCGAGCAATGGACGCAAAGGGAGAGTAAAGGAATTGGCCATGGTCGAAGTGGAGTGCCAATCTCCGCCGCTGCATTGGTTGTCTTTGGGGCTCCGGGCGATCGAACTGAACGGGGCAAGGCAGGCGGACGGCGCGCTGAAGTCGCGGTGACCAGTCACGTGATACTCTGGTGATGGTCATGGTGATTCGGCACCAGGTACACGAGTCCGATTTCAGGTTCTTATTTATGATTTTCACTATAGTATTATCCTAAAGCCTTGTTATCATCGTGGAACGTGGCGCCATCCGTCCCGGTGTTTGGATTCGTAGTGTGGCCTGAGGCATCAACTGCGCGCCCATGAAGAAATCCATGATGACATCAGCACGTTTATAGCTCTCGCTCGCTTCAATCTAGGCTAGGTCAGCAGGACGATTGTACACCGACTGACTCGCCAGTGTTTGTGCATTGTCGCGGACTCGGCTCTGCCCAGTCTTCCACCGCTCCAGCACTACTCTGCTTCTCATCATCATCGCCATTGACCAGGGCCTTGCACTATCTTAGCTACTCGGTGACGTATCTCTACCCACTCCCGCTTTTTCTCACCGGAATTGGTTCCAACCCCCCGCTTCTTTCTTTTTGTTGTATCGCGACGCTCAGAGCTTTTCTCTTTCTCTCCTCCTTTCTATTCCCTATCCTACTTTTCGATCCTCGGACCTTCCTCCTCTCCTCGCTTCGACGTGTCCGACTGGCCTTGCCATTCATTGAGATGGAGACCGCCAAGATCCCCGTCCAGCCGCCCAAGCGACGCCGCATTGGCGTTCTCACCTCCGGAGGTGATGCCCCCGGCATGAATGGTGCAGTGCGAGCGGTCGTCCGCATGGCGATCCATTGCGACTGCGAAGCTTACGCCATCTTCGAGGGATACGAGGGTCTGGTGAACGGCGGCAATATGATCCGCCAGGTGCACTGGGAGGATGTCCGCGGCTGGCTGTCTCGCGGAGGCACGTTGATCGGCTCTGCCCGGAGCATGGCCTTTCGGGAACGCGCGGGTCGCCTGCGGGCGGCCAAGAATATGATTCTGCGGGGCATTGATGCCCTGGTGGTCTGTGGTGGTGATGGCAGTTTGACTGGTGCGGACGTCTTCCGTGACGAATGGCCATCCCTGCTGGTGGACCTTGTTAAGGCAGGCGAATTGTCCCAGGAGCAGATCGAGCCCTACAAGGTGCTTAATATCGTGGGCCTCGTGGGCTCCATCGACAATGATATGTCCGGTACCGACGCGACGATCGGTTGCTACTCGTCCTTGACTCGGATCTGTGATGCGGTAGATGACGTGTTCGACACTGCCTTCTCTCACCAGCGGGGCTTCGTGATTGAGGTGATGGGACGGCACTGTGGCTGGTTGGCGCTGATGGCAGCTATAAGTACCGGTGCCGACTGGTTGTTCATTCCGGAGATCCCTCCGCGGGACGACTGGCAAGATGACATGTGCTCAACAATCACGAAGGTATGTATCGAACATTTCTGATGAAAATAGATGTGCTGACTCGCTGTGGTAGAATCGCAAGGAACGGGGCAAACGCCGCACAATCGTGATCGTGGCTGAAGGAGCACAGGATCGCCAGTTGAACAAAATTTCGAGCGAGACTGTCAAGGATATTCTCACTCAGCGGCTGGGTCTGGACACACGGGTGACCGTCCTAGGACACACGCAGCGAGGAGGTGCGGCATGTGCATACGACCGATGGTTGTCGACTCTACAGGGTGTTGAGGCCGTTCGAGCCGTGCTGGAGATGTCGCCCGAGTCTCCGTCTCCCGTCATCACGATCCGCGAGAATAAGATTATGCGCACCCCGTTGATGGAAGCGGTGCAAGCGACCAAAAATGTCACGGCGAAGATCCATGCCAAGGACTTTGCCGCCGCGATGACCCTCCGGGACCCTGAATTCAAGGAGTATCACCAGGCCTACCTCCATACCGCAACCCCGGAGCATCCCAAACTTATGCTCCCAGAGGCCAAGGTACGCACCAAGCACCCGGCCTATCCTACATGGCAGGTACTGACTACTTCCAGAGAATGAGAATCGCCATCATCCACGTCGGCGCCCCTGCCGGTGGTATGAATCAGGCCACTCGTGCCGCCGTTGCCTACTGCCTGACTCGAGGCCATACGCCATTGGCGATCCACAATGGATTTCCTGGCCTATGCCGTCATCATGCCGACCAACCCGTTGGTTCGGTGCGTGAGGTCAAGTGGCTAGAGTCAGACAGCTGGGTTAACGAGGGCGGTTCAGACATTGGAACGAACCGTAGTTTGCCGGCAGAGGACATGGAGACCACCGCAAAGTGCTTCGAGCTCTACAAGTTTGATGCCCTCTTTGTGGTCGGTGGTTTCGAGGCTTTCACGGCTGTCAGCCAGCTCCGCCAGGCGCGGGAAAAGTATGATGCCTTTAAAATCCCTCTCATTACGTTGCCAGCTACAATCTCCAACAACGTCCCCGGTACGGAGTACTCACTCGGAAGCGATACTTGCCTGAACACCCTGATCGATTTCTGCGATGCCATCCGACAGTCCGCCTCTTCATCCCGCCGACGTGTATTTGTCATTGAGACACAGGGCGGCAAGTCTGGCTACATTGCAACGATGGCTGGTCTGTCCGTGGGCGCCGTCGCTGTGTACATCCCTGAGGAGGGAATTAATATCAAGATGCTATCACGCGATATTGACTTCTTGCGCGACAACTTCGTCCGCGACAAAGGAGCCAACCGTGCGGGCAAGATCATTCTCCGCAATGAATGTGCGTCCGGCACATACACCACCCAGGTGATTGCGGATATGATCAAGGAAGAGGCGAAGGGGCGGTTTGAGTCGCGCGCTGCGGTCCCCGGACATTTCCAGCAGGGCGGCAAGCCATCACCCATGGACCGCGTCCGCGCCTTGCGCATGGCGATCAAGTGTATGCAGCACATCGAGACATATGCGGGCAAGTCCGCGGACGAGATCCACGCGGACCCTCTGTCTGCCGCTGTCATCGGCGTCCAGGGCTCCCAGGTATTGTTTTCGCCAATGGGTGGCGAGTCGGGTCTGGAAGCCACTGAGACCGATTGGTCGCGCCGCCGGCCCAAATCGGAGTTCTGGCTCAAGCTACAGGAGGTTGTCAACGTCCTTTCAGGCCGCCCGGCCCCTGGCCGTAACGAGGGCTGGTCCTGCTATGAGAGTACGTAAATGACTGATCAACTCTCCCCTCCAACGACAATCCACACCACTTTCCACTCTCAGGCACAACCTCAAGAGGCTTGACTAGCGGTAAGCCTCTATGCCATGGGCACCATCTCCATGAATGTTAATTCTGGTCCATTCTGTGTGGTCTAGATGCTTCTACGCTCTATTCTGTTCCCTCCGTCCCCAACTCTCCTTGAGCCGTTTCGTTTTTCATGAATCTGCGCAATTATCTCTACATTGTTTTGGAAACTACGACCGCTAGTGAATTCCATGTCATGAAGTAGATACATCATCAATCGACTTTCGTGTCAAGCTCCACAGCGTTTGCTGCCGGTGGATGTCAATCATGTTTTGTATGATGTGACGCAGCCCAAACTCTGGATGCTCGTGGACCTGAGAGATTATGATGATGCTTGGAAACTTTTGGTGATTGTTTTTAGAATCTATTTTTCTTCTTTCTTGTCTTCTACCTGAGAATTAGTTCCAAGGACTCTTGTGGATGCATCGCAGATAGATCTTTCGAGAATACACCAACATTTCGTCCTGGAATACAATACCTGAGATCGTCTCTCTCCCCCTTTCTTATCCGTGCACGTAATGAACGCAGTAGCAATTAACATGAAGATCACGCGGCCTTCTCCAACTCATCAAGCAGGTCGACGGTCTCAGCTGGGCTGGCAATCCACGCGGTGGCAGACGCAAGACGAGCCTAGTCATGGCGACGATGAGTGGGATAATCCTTGCCGGGAGGTCAGATGGACCACACATACCTTGAAGTCGTTAGCTCCAGCCGACAGGAATTGATCTCCGATGTGTAAGGTATCAGACGGGGAGATGCCGCCAAAGTACCGCTGGCAGGCGCGCACGCCCCAGGATTTGTCGCCAATATCGACAAAGACGTCGTTGCCACCTGAGAAAGAGTCAGCTATCCCTCACCCAGCAAAAGAATTTCCTGCTCTACCGTTGAAAGCGCAAAATGGCAGCCGCGACCCGACTGCTGATCGTTCGACGGTGTTATGGGCCACCAGAACCGTCTCCTCCAGCTGCTCGCGATGCATCTTCTGTCCCTCCAGTGGGTAGACACCGACAGCGCGATCTTTGCGCAGCACCGCAGCCGGGAGTTGCAGGTTCGTGGCGCAAGCACGTAGAGCGGACTCGGCAATGTCCAGCAGCTCAGTGATGTCGTCGTCGTGCCAAGCCCGCATCTCATCCAGCAACCACTCACTCCGTGGCACATAAGCCAACCGATCCTCCGAGGCTTGGTCGAATCGAAACAGGAAATTACTCTCACCTCCCATCACAACAAGACCCCGGCGCTGCTCGGGGGTGAGAGTGGGTGAGTCGTGCACAGCATCCAAGAGACCTTGTAGCCTTCCATAGTACTTGGGTGCATCACTGTACCCGGCTGCGGTGACAATGCCAACCTTGCAGCCTAGCTGGAGCAGACGCAGGATTCGCGGGATGACGGGGTTATCGATTGTCAGACAAGCCCCGTCCTCATAGAGCGTCACATCCCCGTCAAAGGTGACCAGTTTCACCCCGCTGGAGCGGACCAAGGCCAATATTTGGGCTGTGTTCAGGATCAGACGGATGTCGTTGAAGGAGGGGGCGACAAATCGCCGCCGGCTGATGAATCGCTGTGCATCCTGATACTTGAATGCATCTTCCATATACAACCGAGTAAAGAATGTGCCGATAGACGGCACGAGCAGCTTGAGTTTGGACTTTCCGGGCTCGTTGTGACGGGTGTGGTGGACTACGAAGAAGCCTCAGCACCCCGGGTCCGCTGAATATTCGGAAAGACTTACTGTGGTCGAGGATCAGGTTCTCGACATCGCGCATGATCTCCGCATAGCGCTGGTGGGTGTCGGCAGCGACGGTCTTGAGGCCCTCGCTATTTTCGTGATAGATGGTGGTGGGCTGCGAATGCAGCACAAAGGGCACGGCCAGGAGGCCCTAGGAGTAGGCTGAGCCACGATTGATCTTGCACGGAGCGACTGAGGGATTAACTTACTTTGATCCATTCAATCAATTGATCGCGGCGATGGGTCTAGCGCAGTCAGCGAGCCGTTGGCAGGGGGCTCAGTCTAGCGCCTGGGGTAGGTAGGTGGTGGTTACCTTGAGCGCATCTACGGTCGATCGAGGATCAGCACTAGATCACGGCATCTGGATTCATTCGTAGGAGCATTCAACGTACATTCGACACGATAGCGAGACGTCATGATGGCAACCAGGGGACGAACAATAATTGTTGATTGAGGGAGACATGCGAACCGCGGTGGGCTGGCCCGCGCACGTCCCTCGATCGGAGTTCGGACTGGCCGGCCTGACTCATGCTGATGGGCGATCTATACGATGTCGATCATTATCATCGATAGAGGCAGCACGGGCTGGCTTGGACCCAGGGCCATTATATACAGGGAGATCCATGATTCTCGATCGCCCTGCCTGTTTGCCATACTATCGCATGCACCACCGACCCTCGCCATGGACCACAACACCCACGACCTTCCGCCGGCCTACACATCCTCGCTAGAGGACTCCCACGCAGACGAGAAACCCCAACCGCCTGTCTTGTTTCCCCGTGACGAAGAACCAGGTCTCGCTCTCGCATCGGCCTTGTCTCGGGGTCTTCAGGTACCCTCCCGCTCTGATGCCTGTTCTTCTGGCTTTGACTACCCGGAGGAGTTGGCTTCTCATGGAATTACTGCCACCGACTGGGGGCAATTCACCCAGACGATCTGTGACGAAGCGAGGTTGTCGCGTCAGCAATGGAAGATCGTCATTGGCAAGGGCTTGGGCACCTTGGCCGTGGGCGGCTTGATGTTCGGATTCTTCGGTGCCATCCCAGCGTTGTTCATTGCGCGCCATACTCGTCGACGTCAGGAGCAGCGAAACTTGGTCGCGGCGATGGCGGGAACGAACAGTCAACGACTGGCCCGTCATATCGCCAATTGGAACGAGACGTTCTTCCAGTCGCGGGGTGTCTTGATCCGCGTCGATCTGCCCGACGAGTATCTGGACGAGATGGACGAGATGGATGTTGGGACGAACCGAACACCACCCTGCGCGGACCAGCGGGCTCGAGCAAAAGCAGCAGTCAAAGCAAGAGTCGTGATTATTCCCCTGAACAAGGGAAGGTCATCGGCCCGCTCCGAGTCAACAGGGAGAGATGGAGGCTTTAGGGAGCATTAAATGAAGAGGAAGGCTGGGCGTTATAGGTGTTACGCGAGGTGCTTGGATTGATTGGAAACATTAAACACATATTATGGCGAGATTTTCGTGCAATATGATCCTAGGGTATTCATAGAGTCAAACTTAAGCTTACAATCACAGCACCGGACTTGTCTGTCAGACTTCCACTGTGGCACCCTGCGTCTCGACATGACGAGTGGTTCCGCGGCTCTCTGCTATCATGTCTGTCTTCTCATTGATGGCCTGGTCGCGCGCCTCCGCGTCTCGGTTTCCATGGCGGCCAATTTGGTACCAAGGCAAGGCGAAGAGCCGATCCATGCTCTCAAGAGACCGACCGGCCGTTTCGGGAACACTGAACCACACCCACAAGCCTCCAAGAACAGTGACAACAGCAAATAACCAGAAAGTGCCCTTGGGGGTAATGCCACCACTGGCTATGGGGAGTAGCATGTTGGGGACCGCCCGTGAATTGCCATACTGGTTTGCAAAATGCAGCGTCATGGCGAGCGACGTGGCCAGCGCCCGAATCCGGAGAGGAAATAGCTCGGCTGTGAGGAGATACTGCATCGAGTTCCAGCCGAGAGCCCAACCAAATCCTGATATGTAAATCATGGCTATCGCACCTTTGCTGGCTCCTTTCTGACTGTCAGGAACCTTGAAATCCTTCACGACTCCGATCTCGGGCACCGCTGATAGGAAGCTCGCGACATAGATCATTGAAATTGCTTGCAATGCGATACCTAGAAGCAGAGCCCGCTTGCGACCAATGACATCTACAAGAAACAGCGCGCATGCAACGGCGGCGAGAAGTTTGATGATACCGAAGATGGCTGTGACCAGGAGGTTCTCATTCGACCCAGTGATCCCGAGCAGCTTGAAGAGGTCCGTGGCGTAGATGGTAATGCTGCCTGCACCCGACCACTGTGATAGGATTTGTGTCATCGAAGCAAGATAGATGCGATAGAAATTCGACGGAACCAGGAACATTTCCTTGACGACCCCCCATGGACCCGATCCCATTGTAGCCTCCATCTCCATCTGATGCGATGTCTGTATGGCAGTGATTTCGCGAACGATATACTCATGGTCTGGGGGCAGATTGCGGACTTTAGCGAGATTGGCGATGGCCTTCTCCAGCTTGCCTTTCTTGACCAGGTATCGGGGCGACTCCTCCTGGAAGAAAGAGAGTAGGAATACCAGACCTGCAAAGATGATATGCAAGCTGGTCGGGACCTCCTGTCAACACATCAGTATCTTCCATAGATTTCGCATGCTCCTCAACATACCCATCGACTGTGTGTGTTGTCGCCCATGTTCTATAGCACATCAAATTTCTTAATATTACTCTGGGAGAATCATAGCCGAGCAGAAGGATCATACCTTCTCGCAACCATAATTCGCGAAATAAGCCAGGACGATTCCCACTGCCCAAATAATCAGCCTTTCTTCCATTGGGACATATGTTCGACCGGAAGCACCCACAATAGACAAAGCCCGTAAAGACACATGTACACAGACCACGGATAGAAGCAGGGGCCTAGGGTGGTCAATGGTCAGTGGAGTTCTAGAAGCCCATGCTGCAAACCTACAATCTCTGCCAGATAAACAGGCGCGACAACAACAGTCTGCCCAACCCCCAGTCCAGCCACAAAACGGCCGGCGTACACAGCGCCCAGACTGCCGTCGTTGCCCATGAAGATGGCAATGCCCAGAATCCACAACAGGCACAACTGGCGGGTGGCCCAAATTCGGCCGATGCGGTCACAGACTAAGAAGGCACTGTAGGTATAAACACAAGCCCATGATTAGATTTCAATCATACCAAAGCAGGCTGTTTGCAGGACTCACAAGAGAGCACCCCCGACCGATCCAATCTGCACCATGGCAGACACATTACCCTTGATGTTGGTTTGTTCGACCTTGCTGTAAGACTCGTAGTTTATGTACCGCTGGAAATCAACCGAATCGAAAGCGCCTGAGATCAAGCCCTCATCGACACCTCGTGCAGCGCCCATCAGACCGAAGGAGAGCACGGCAAACCACAGCCGCCAGTTGAACACCTCCTGCGGCTCACCGAGATCCTTGAGGCGGAAAATATTGACTGGTTTTTTGCTTCCGCCTGCCATGGTGGAGAGCAGTTGCGCAGGATCAAGCGAGTGAAAGTGAGGGAGATAGAAGGGTGGAAGGGGAGCAGTGATGGGGGAGGTAAGAGAGAAGATGGCGTTTTATAGTCGTGAACGAAAGTGAACAGAGGACGATGCGGGGAATTCTGGGGATGCAGAGATAACCAATTGTAAAGAAGCTTGCCACGACGCTTTCCTCATCCAAGGACTGACCACCAGGCGATACGTCGGAAGGAACGAGCCAAGCCTGGAGCAGGGCCAAGAGGTCTTGGCTGTAACATAAAGTACTATTATTCGATGGCATCACCGAATGGCGGGGAAGTTGCAGGACGATCCCCTTTGTGTTCTAGATACATACGAATTTATGTCAAGAGGTGTATCCTCGTCCACCCGTACAGCTAGGATATAGACGTGATCTTGCATACAAGTCACTATAACTTGCCTCGGCACGCAAGAGAGATGCCTAGCTATCCACTTCATGCGGACTCAAGTTAAGCAAAGTTTGGCCAAGAAAGTTTCGGCCAACTTCCGCTCAAGATATGTCCAAGGCTAGGCCGTGCAGGGTCTGGGCAGCACTTGACAAGGCCAGATTGGCGCCGGGAGGCTGGGAGCGCCTCTCGGTTAAGGATACAGAACAGGCCATTGGATAGCAGTGCAGGTGGACAAAATAAAGAAAAGGCCCTCCGGTTCTTGGCAAGATGGTGATCTTCAGCACGGGCGCAGCGTGGAAGCCCTGTTAGAGACGGATCGAGGGCCGGCAAAGGCTAAGAACCCTGTTCCTTATACGTTTCAACCTGAGGACGAAACACAGTTTTGACTCGAAAACTTTCGGCGATACCAGGGGGAAACTACCGCTGGAATGCTGATTTGGATCCGATATTGGCCAAAAGGAATACGAGGGGCTGATCATGGAGTATAAAGATGTCACGTAGTTCATTTAAGATGCCCTTATAACCTATCACTGTGAAGCCAGTTAATATGGAGAATCCAACCAGAGAGAGTCAGACGGTGATGATACCTTCGCTCGCGAAAATGATACGCTAGGGACTCGTCACAGGGACCAACGGCTGCCGTGCCCAAATTAAGTTGCCGGCAAGTAATGTCCAAATGTGATCCAAGGGCCCTGGCATCAAGATCAGGCCCATATTTTGTGTTCGCGATCGTTAAATCATAGAGCCGTGTGTAAGACGACCTATGGTAGCTCGGTCTTGATATCAGCTAGGGGTATTGTTGCCCGAAATTCCCCATAACTAGGGATCCTGAAGAGGACTCGATGGGCTTAGAAGTAACCCGGGAGGGTATTCCCTCTGTGCATAGCCCAGATTTCAGAAGCCTTGACAATTAGTTCCATTCCAGCAAAGACTCCAAAGAAACAAATTGCGGTTCTTGCCAACACTTATTGCAAGATTTGTCATTGAGCTGCCCGGAGGATAAGAAAGGGCGAATCAATCAAGGGATGGGAGCACCCATCGACTGGTAGATCGAGAAGAATGCCTCCAGATCCATGGTGGAAAAGTCAAAGTCCCAACCCATGTCGGATTGTGTGAAATCAAGCAATTCCTCACCAGATCCAATGGAACCGACCGTATCGGGTCCCTCTACCTGGGGAAGGGTTGATTGGAATGACGATAAATCCGGATGTGACCCTGATAGATGATATGGGCTTGCGAGGCCAGTCATCGTTGAGTGCTGACCATGCCCAGTGGTGGACTCTTGAGCTCTCGTCGAAAATACCGACGGATTAACCTCATGTCTGCTGCCGTGCTTCGGGTAGGGTATCCAAGCGTATGAGGGGTTGATCGTTCGCAATACAGTTTGTATAGCCGAAATGGTGCTGGCTATGGGATCGCCAGCTCTCATTGTCGATAAATTCTGCAACGCAGCATAGACCCAGGGCAAATGGACCGAGGCCGAATTTGGGTCGTGGAGAAAATTATATATCAATGTGAAGCAAGCACTTCCCATAAAATATCCATGATAACGCTCTTGCTAGTGCCTGGTTAGCATGAAAATGATGCTTAACGGGTTAAATCAGACAGCATTACCCTAACAAGATCGTTGACATGGGATGCTTCGCATAGGTGGTGGATTGTTCTTTGCGCTGCAGTGAGTGCGTGAGTACAGGCTTCGTTCAACCATGAGGGAGTCTCTGTGGGCCGATTTGTTCCACTGTCCGTAGACTGGTGTTGCGACATTTTCATATCCCGCTGCCAGCGTCCACGGAAGATGAGAAATGGGCGAAATGTTAAGAGAAGGGTATGGTAGTACACTATAGATCCTCAGTTTTGTCCTCTTATAGCAGATTCAGAATAGACTCACAGGTGGTGAAAATAGTTTGGCGAACACCAAGAGATCCTGTTTGTATAGCTGTACATAATCCAAAGCCTAGAGTTTGCTCTAGCCGCGTCTCATGGCTACGCAGGTCTTCCGCAATCGATCGAGCAACCTTCCACATGTGCAGCAGAGATTCATGCCGCTGTCCATATATTTGGTCGGCCGACTTGGAAATCGTTTGAGAAAGATGCACCAGTAGCCGAATGAAAGGATCCTGCGTACACCCTGTCGCAATATCTTTCAGAGACATAGACGTTGGTCGGCCTAGATGAAAACAAAACCATCTACCCCTCAAGGTTAGGAAAAGAATGTAAATTTCAATAGAAGACCGGCTTACGTCTCATAGAAATAGAGAGACCACAAGGTCGTTCGTCTTTCGTCTATGCATTCCTGGCTCTGGATGTCATCATTGGGTGCGTCCTTATGCAGACCAGCTGATAGGGCCTTGCGAGTAGCACACCCGAGATGCAAAAAGGCCGAATTTGGGCGCCCTTGTTCGCTTTGAAAATGGGCGTATTGAATTAAGTTAGTAGAAGACCGGGCCAGCATTCCCATAGGCAGAACTTATCATGAGTAATGATATTTGGACCATCTGATGGTTGACCACATCATCAAAGGCGGCCACCGAAGCCTTTACTCGTTCGAAGAGTACGTCGCCCCAAGCATAGTACTCTGTGCCAAGAGATCCACATGCCAGAGCTAGCAAGATGATGGCTTGTGTGAGTGTGTCTGGATGAATGGAAGGAGAAGGGTTGTAGAGTTGATCCAAGGCACACTCGAAGTCATTCTTAGGACGGTATGGCATGAGGTGGTAAAGAGTTGATAAATAACGGGAGAGAAATAACTTGGCCAGCTCATATGGAAGAAAAGTCAAGGAAACCTCCCCAGCATTGGGCCCCTTCCCCGCCTCGTGGGTATCCGGGGTGCCGAAAAATATACGACGAAAACTGAAGAGATCCAGACCGGCTCCGGCTTCCTCGACCTGGCTGGCGGGAGCTTGGAGCTGGGTGGGATTATTAGAGACCAGGTCTCTATAGACATGCTGCATCAAGGAGAAATGCGATGTTGGGCCATAGTACAGCTGCATCTGGCACGAAGGCGAGGCCATGTGTGTTGCTGACACACTGTTGGGGAAATCGTGCATCAGGGACGAGTTCCGCCCAGACTGGGGCATGCTGGGAGATGCAGTGCGCGAACGAGGCTCTCTCTCACTGGATTCAACATGCTGCTGGTGTGCCTTGTCATCATTCCTCTTTCTGCGTTGCCGAATGAAATCACGGTAGACACACGAGGTGCTACGCAGTTGACACGTCTTGCAGGGACTGAGTCCATTGCAGCGGATTTTACGCTTGCGGCATTCCTGGCATGCCTTCGGGATTCGCCAGCCCGATGGAGCTGTCGTGGAAGTCTCAGCCATATCCGAAGGAGAGTAGAACAGGAAGAACAGCCCGTCGTTGGTCCGTTGGCCGCGCGTGGGCGACCAGGAACGTGATTAATCGGATGTTCGGATATCGAAGGTGCGACCGGGAGTGACGAACGGGAGAAGTATACAGGTGAGGATCATATCAAGATGATTTTTTGGTATTTCCGCGAGATCCCGGAAGGACGCGTTCGGGTTATATCCGTGCCGTGTGCCGCTGTGGTTCGATGGGTCAAATTGCAGGCCGGGATTGGTGGATTTCTGACTGGGATCGGAAGTACGGGTTTAGATCTAGAAAATATCACGACCATAGTGGTTTTTGAAAATTATAAGAAATTTAGTTCCTCGGAACCCAATCACCACTGTCGAACGAAGTGTCATTCAGCTATTGCCTGCCAAACGTATCTCCCTCTGACATAATTGCAGTGAGGAATGCAAACTCCGTCTTCTGGTTCGGCCACGCCGGCCGATATAGAAGATGGACGCGGCCAAATTCAAAAGCGATTGACGGTTACTTTCCGCAATCTCTCAGTTCGAGTGACGGCACCCGATGCGGCCTTGGGAAGCACGTTATTATCAGTGATTGATCCTCGCCAGTTTAGTGGACTATTCAAGAGCAACCAAGTGCCCAAACGGGTGAGAATACGAAGATTACGCTTTCTGGCAATGCAGGCTGACAACACGCTAGACAATATTAAAAGACATCTCCGGCCAGGTGAATCCGGGAGAAATGGTACGTTTTAATTAGCATGGCCCAGATGAAAATAGACTCTAATTCTCATTGCACAGCTGTTAGTTCTTGGCCGTCCTGGATCTGGATGCACATCCCTTCTTCGTGTTCTGTCCAATGATCGGGACACGTTCGACGAGGTTGTGGGTGAAATCAGATATGGAAGCATGGGCCATAAAGAGGCCCAACGTTTTCGTCAACAGATCATGTTCAACAATGAGGGTATTCGGAATCAACCAGGGCTATGTGAATCCTGTTTACTGATTGAAGTTAGATGATTTACATTTTCCAACCTTAACCGTGAACCGTACGATGAAGTTTGCGCTTCGCAACAAAGTTCCCAATGCGCGCCCTGAGCATATGAAAAAGCGGGAAGACTTTGTGCAGGAGAAGAGGACTGACATCTTGCAGTCTTTGGGTATTGAACACACCAAGAAAAATTTGGTTGGGAACGAATTCATCCGAGGGGTGTCAGGAGGGGAACGAAAAAGAGTCTCGTTGGCCGAGGTGATGGCGGGCCAGGTATGACTCGTTCAAATGTTATAGACTTTGTGTTGGGGGAAAAGGACTGATATACCGTCCAACAGAGTCCTATTCAGATGTGGGACAATCCCATCCGCGGTCTTGACTCCAAATCTGCGGTGGAATTTGCACGAACTTTACGGCGTGATGCGGATGAGAACCAGAAAACAATCATCGCGACAATGTACCAAGCGGGAAACAGTATCTACGACGAATTCGACAAGATCCTGGTGCTGGCTGAAGGACGCGTGACGTACTACGGGGCTCGCGATCTTGCGCGGAAATACTTCGAAAACTTGGGGTTCGTTTGTCCCCAAGGCGCCAATGTCGCAGATTTCCTTACCGCGGTCACGGTCACCACCGAGCGCATCATTCAGCCTGGAAGGGAAGACACAGTCCCCAGTACACCGGAAGAGTTCGAGTCTCGATACATCAACAGCTCCATTTTTCAAGATCAACTTGACTCCATAAAGCTGGCCGAGAAATTGGGCTACGAGGTGGAGGATCTGATGATGGCAGTCGCAAGTGAGAAACGAAAGCAGCATGTTCCTCGCCAGCAAAGCGTTTACACAGCCACGATATGGGACCAGATTAAGTCCTGCACTCTGCGGCAGTTCCAGATAATGTGGGGAGACAAATTTTCCCTGGTGATTAAAGTCGCCTCTGCGACCATTCAAGCTCTGGTGTGTGGTAGTCTTTTCTATAACCTCCCCGAAGACAGCTCTTCTATTTTCATGCGCCCTGGTGTGCTCTTTTTCCCGGTACTTTATTTCCTCCTGGAATCCATGTCCGAGACTACCGCATCATTTATGGGCCGTCCGATTCTCTCCCGCCAGAAACGCTTTGGCTTCTACCGTCCCACTGCCTATTGCATCGCGAATGCCATCACCGATATTCCTGTGGTGATAATTCAAGTTACCTGCTTCTCTCTCATCTTATATTTTATGGCTGCACTTCAAATGGATGCCGGTCGCTTTTTTACTTTTTGGGTCATCGTTATTGCCCAGACTCTGTGCTTCATCCAACTATTCCGCTCCGTCGGTGCGGTGTGCAAAAAATTTGGCAATGCCTCAAAAATCTCGGGATTGCTGTCCACCATCTTTTTTGTGTACGGAGGTAAGTGAGTTCAAAAGAATCTTTGAGAGAAAAAGTACTGAAAAATAGCTTGCAAGGATATCTTATCCCTTTTCACAAGATGCACGTCTGGTTCCGTTGGATATTCTATCTTAACCCAGGCGCCTACGCGTTTGAAGCATTAATGGCCAATGAGTTCGTCGACCGGCAGCTGAAGTGTGTCCAGCCGGATTACATCCCATATGGGAGCTCATATTCAAGTGATCCATCTCCGTATCGAGGGTGCTCAGTTCCGGGCAGCGACGAGAACGGAGTCATTAACGGAGCGGCATACATCCGCGAGCAATACAACTACTCTGTTCACCATATATGGAGGAGTTTTGGTATTATCGTGGGATTTTGGGCTTTCTTCATTTTCTTGACTGCCGTTGGATTTGAGCTGCGAAACAGTCAAAGCGGGTCGTCCGTCCTGCTCTACAAGCGCGGGAGCAAAAAAGGTGCCCACCACGACGAAAGCAACCGGCGGTCTGCCCAGCAAAAAAGAGATTCAATGGCACTATCGGGATCTGTGAAGCATTCAACCTTTTCGTGGAGCAATCTCGACTATCATGTTCCTTTCCATGGTGAAAAGAAGCAATTGTTAAACAAAGTGTTTGGCTTTGTTAAGCCGGGGAGCCTCGTGGCATTAATGGGAGCTTCGGGGGCAGGGAAAACAACGTAAGTCTGAAATCAGTCTATAGCCGCCCCGTGACCAATGCTGAGTATATATCTACAGGCTTCTAGACGTACTTGCCCAACGGAAGGATACCGGAGAGATTTATGGCTCGATTCTCATTGATGGCCGACCACAAGGGATCAGCTTCCAACGAACCACTGGCTATTGCGAGCAGATGGATGTCCACGAGGCCACTGCAACTGTCAGAGAGGCTTTAGTTTTTTCTGCCGTTCTTCGACAACCATCTACCATTTCTTATGAAGACAAGCTTTCCTATGTCGACCATATTATTGAGCTTCTGGAGTTGAGTGATATCAGTGACGCACTTATTGGAGGTAAGTTCTTTAAATCTCATCGTATGCCAGCTGTTAACCCTATAAAGTGCCTGGTGAGGGATTGAGCATCGAGCAACGGAAGCGAGTAACCCTAGGGGTTGAACTTGTGGCTAAACCGACTTTGCTGTTCTTGGATGAGCCAACATCTGGCTTGGATGGCCAATCAGCTTACAACATTGTTCGCTTCCTGCGAAAGCTTGTGGATGGAGGTCAAGCTGTTCTAGTGAGTACATTGTAATTTATTATATACATTTGCAGCATTCTAATGGATAAAAGTGCACAATTCACCAGCCATCGGCCGTCTTATTCAACGCGTTTGACGGTCTTCTCCTGCTGGCTAAGGGCGGAAATATGACATACTTTGGAGAAAGTAAGTATATTATAACAGACTTCTTCATCAAGCTAATTGTTCTCTAGCCGGAAAAGACTCAGATAAGATCTTGGATTACTTTGCCCGTCACGGTGCTCCATGCCCACAGGATGTCAACCCAGCCGAGCACATTATCGATGTGGTGCAGGGCAAGGCTTCGGGGCAGGTTGACTGGGTCGAAACGTGGAATCAATCGGAAGATCGCAAAATGGTACTCGCGGAGCTTGAGTCCCTAAACCAAACCAGTAGATCGGACCCCAGTTATGAGGAGGATACGGCGGACTACGCAACTTCATATTGGTTTCAGTTTGTCACAGTCTCCAAGCGCCTTATGGTACAGATTTGGCGTTCTCCGGTATGTGCAATACAGTTTGCTCTTGCTCAGTCACTGACCAGTTCTCCAGGATTATATGTGGAACAAAATTATTCTGCACATTTTTGCTGCGCTCTTCAGTGGATTTACTTTTTGGAAGATTGGAGATGGTACCTTCTCTCTCCAATTACGACTATTTGCCATTTTCAACTTCATCTTCGTGGCCCCAGGTTGTATCAATCAGATGCAACCCTTCTTTCTGCACAATCGTGACATCTTCGAGACACGTGAGAAGAAGGTATGTCTATCCAGCCGATGATTATTATTATAACAACAGTGGCTCTAACAGACTACTTGCCTTTAAGTCAAAGACTTATCATTGGATTGCGTTCATTGGAGCCCAGGCTGTTACCGAAATCCCATACCTCATCGTTTGTGCGACTCTGTACTTTCTGTGTTGGTATTTCACAGCAGGGTTCCCAACATTGCCCAGTGTCTCTGGTCATGTTTATCTCCAGATGATCTGTAAGTTTTTACGCGCATAATTCGCGTTAATTAGCATATTCGTCTAACTGCACAAATAGTTTACGAGCTCTTGTACACTTCCATTGGTCAGGCTATCGCAGCATACGCACCCAATGAATACTTTGCTGCTGTCATGAACCCCGTCTTGATTGGGGCAGGCTTGATCAGCTTTTGTGGCGTCGTCGTCCCGTACACCCAGATGCAACCCTTCTGGAGGTACTGGATATACTACCTAGATCCATTTACCTACCTTGTTGGCGGTCTGCTTGGTGAAGTATTATGGGACGTTTCTGTGAAATGTGAGCCATCAGAATATGTGCACTTCAATGCTCCCTTTGGTCAAACATGCGGGGAATATATGGCCGAATTTCTGGCATCGCAAACCGGCTACCTTCTGGATGCAAATTCCACCGGGACCTGCTCGTTCTGCCAATATTCCAAGGGCGCAGACTACGCCCAAACCTTCAATCTCAAAGAAAAGTACTATTCTTGGCGAGACGTGAGTATACCTGCCTCTGCTTAATTTCTGGTATGCTGACCATATCTCCTCTCAACTATCAGACCGGTATCACAGCATTGTTCTGCGTTTCCTCGTATGCCTTGGTTTTCTTCATGATGAAATTGAGAAGCAAAAAGACGAAGAGTGCCCGATCCGAGTAAACAATTGGGGCTAGAAAGGGACTTGGAAAAATAATTAGGATAGACCCATTTAGATCCAGTAAACGCGCGCTACTGGTTACTTCGTATTATTTTTTTGATTGTACTATTTTCCCCACAAATGCCCCCCACCAGTCTGATCCACAATTTCCCCACAATGTAGAAAGCCAACCATTCAAGCAACGGCTTCGGAGGCCGAGTACCCGAGCTTGAACGCCAGTCTGCGCTTCCCCACATACGCCCTTTTAAAAGCCACCTCTACTCCGAATACCTCGACTAGCGATTGTTTTCCCTGCACAAACATGGCCCCCATCTTTCGTGCCGAGCAAATTGGCTCTCTCATGCGTCCCCCCGAGCTTTTGGCTGTGCGAAATGCTGCTGGGGTGACAGCCCCGTATACGCAAATCCCCAAGGAAGTTCATGAACCAACCAAGGCTGCCATCGCTACGGCCGTGGCCAAGCAATTGGAGCTTGGTATTCGCCCAATCATGTCAGGCGAATATGAACGCGTCGTATTCTACTCAGGTTTCTTCGAGAACCTCGCGGGGATTGAGGTTATCAAAGCTATCCCGATTCCTGAAGGTTATCGGACCAGTTTCCCCACAGTCAGAACCCTCCAGGAACTTGGAATCTCTACTCGTGATTCCATTGTGGCTGTGGACCGTATACGCCACACATATAGCCCTTACCTATCCGAGTGGCATGCCCTCCGGAGCCTTCTTGCCCCTGAGCAGTGGCGCGAATGCAAGCTGACAATGCCACCTGTGACCCATGGCCATGTAAGCTGAGGGTTCAAGTTTAATGTTTTTGGGTCCTATGCTTTATTGACGAAGCTTAGATGCAAATGGCTATAGGCACTGCCTATCGCACATCGGTCTATAAGGATGACCGCGAGTACTTTGCCGATCTTGCAGCCGCGTACGCAGCCGAGTTTCGTGTGCTCTATGATGCTGGTTTGCGTTCAATTCAGATCGATGACCCATGTCTTTTATTTTTCGTAACAGATGAGTTCCGGTCAGGTTGCGAAGCAGATGGGGTTGAAGCGGACGCATTGCTTGATTTGTATATTTGGGCCCACAACCAATGTCTGGCGGGAAAACCAGATGATCTGCATGTCGGTCTGCATCTGTGTCGTGGCAACATGGCAGGATCAACACATATCATGACCGGGTCATACGAACCGATCGCGAAAAAATTGTTCGCGGAACTCGAATACGAGACCTATTATCTTGAATACGATACTCAGCGCGCTGGTGGATTTGAACCGCTTCGTCATTTACCTATCGGGAAGAATGTGGTGTTGGGTGTCGTGTCAACCAAGTCGCCAGACATGGAAGATATCGATGAGCTTATTGCCAGGGTGAATGCTGCAGCGAGCGTCATTGCCCAAGGGCAGGGTCGCAGCACCGCAGAGGTTATTGCTACCTCTCTAGGTGTCAGTCCCCAATGTGGATTTTCCAGCATGAGTGCAGGGGGAGGGCGTGGGCTTACGATGGATCGTATGTGGGGGAAACTGTTGCTAGTTAAGCAATTGGCTGAGCGCATATGGGGGAACCAGTGAGACCTTGCGAAAGCTTCATCCTGGGACAATTTGGCCGAGTGAAGCAGTAGAGACAGAAAATCCATTTTTAAACAGTTGTTTCCGACCCCAAGACGTAAATACTTTCCAGGCAAGCCAGAAAATATTGAATAATAAGTCTGCATAGAATCAAATATATACATGCATGAGAGCAGCGTACTCAGGGGTAGGTGGTCCTATACATGCCTGTTGTATAGAGCATGCTAATCCAAGCGTTACCGGTAATCTCCATAACACTATGACGGCAAACATGTAAGAATATTGCTGAGCTTCTTGAGCACAACAGCCTGTACAGTGGAATTGGCATCTTCTTTGGTGCTAGCCACTCCAACCGAGACGCTCGCATAGCAGCCAGAGGCCACTGACACGGCGAGCTCACTAGGCAAACGCGAAGTGCCACATGTCGTCACGTCATCTGGTGTGATCAATGGTATGGCTATGTGGATGCGCGACAGGACGAATGCGACGTCTTCGGGACTGGAGCATTGTGAAGCGGACACAGAAGGAAAATTGACATTGAGCCATACATCCGACGGCAGATAGGGCTTCCCTGTTGCAATCAAGTGGTCGGACAGGTTAGTTGCCAGTGCGGCATAGACATCACTGTAGTGCGGTAGCGATGAAGAGGCGTTCCACGCCGTCTGGCTTCCAGTTGACCCGGAGAATGCGATAGCGGGAATACCAGCGTCGTGGGCGGCGTAAGTGGCTGCCCCGACTGTCCCCGAAAAAAATACTTCAAGGCCAATGTTATACCCTTTATCAAGCTATTAGTTTCGCTTTTAGCAGCAGCTTTGTTGGTACGGTCACATACCCACGTTGGGCCCAGCTACTGCTAGATCCGGGGGCGCACCGCCGAAGAGCTGAGGCGAACGGTGACTGATGCCGTGTTTCATGGCTGTGACTGGGTATGAATTGACATAGTTTAAGCGAGGTTGAGAGGCATTGTATCCGACCGCGGGACTGCCGGCAGGGCAGCTGTTGAATTCGCAGGGCTCGGTGAGCTTAGTGGGAGCCTTCTGGGAGGATCCTATGGTCGCCAAAGTGGATGAGTATCAAATGAAGCATTCGGGGGCACTTGGGCAGACAGACCTGTTGCGCTTTGGTTCTCGGCGGGTGCCGAGACCACTACTGAGTGTCCGACTGCTGCCAATGACTGGAATAGAGCCCGGATATTGGCTTCGGCCCAGCCATCATCGTTGGAGGAGATGATATTAATGGCATGGGTGGGCGTTAAGACGGACAGAGCGGCCAAAATAGTACCCAGCGAGTTAAAGCGCATGGTTGACCCTGCCTACTGCAGTTGCTGGAATCGATCGCAAGCTGACCCCATGCACTAGCTATAAACAATTTGTACCGGATTGTTCAAAAGACATGATGCGCCCCTTTCTGCACACGCAAGACGCCGATCTTATACCTTATTTGGCCTTACCTCGGGAGTGTTACGAAAAAAAGATCCGGGTCGAGCTGCATAATTATTCCAGCATTAATCATACTTAAGGTGAATCCAATATGATTCAATAGTCGAGAAAACGGATGTTCGTGGTAGCGCAGTCTAAACATGATTTAATTGTTCGCCCGGGTTAGAGTAGTCCTCGTGGGGCAACTATATATATTTCATATCCGTCTTCCATATCCGCTTCGCAAGCATGTTGATAGGGAATTGACCTTCGAGATACGAAAATGCTGTTAGTTAAGCCAACTTCGGCTAATACGAGGCTGATGGAAGCGGGTTCGAGGTGTCTCGTTCTCTCTACGGTTTTGTACGCAGAAGAACTTAATTGGAGGTGTGCGACATGCAAAGGAATGTCCTGGAGCGGGGTTGATAGTCATGCCGCGGTCTACCCCCCCATCCTAGAGCCATTCCGAGCTAGCCGGGCGCCGCGTCCACAAACTCATCCTTATAATAGAAGCGCCGGTTAGGCTCATGGGCAAACAGTGTGATATAGGGCTCTCCATCCCTGGGTGCGCCTTGGGTGATCTGCCGTAGTACAGCCTCGAGGATGGTGTCTCCCAGGCCCATCTTCTAATGATCCGGATGTACTGCCATGTCTGCGATATGGAAGTACCAGCCCCCATCTCCGGTAGCCCGACCCATTACGATCGGGGAGACGTCCTTCTCGCGGGCAACAGCAGCAACCGAACCAGTCGCCCGTTTCGATGGGCTGCGACTCGCCCCTTGCCAAGGGGGTGTGGAGGATAAACCGTCGACGGACGGCGTAGCTAGAGATACTAGGGCACAGTAGGCTAGCCTTGGGGAGGACGTAGCCCGCGGGCAGACTGGGAGGAGCTGAAACCATCGTGGTCAGCAACGCGAGAGGTTATGATTGTGACTTGGGTGTAATGACAAAGAAATGGAAAAGGAAGAAAAAGCAAAAAGGATGTTCGAACTAAGTCGACTTGGCGGGCTGTTGCGTGATGTGGCTGCCTACGGGCATTACTGTCTGCTACTGCAGTTACCCATGGAAGTTTCTATGTATTAGTACAGAAGACAAAGCTCTCAACACAACGCCCTCGCGGATGCTGCGGGATGGTGCAGTCCACCCAGCCGAGGAACCTGGCTTCCGTCCCAGCCAGTGTAATGGCCCGGATATCCTCGTTCTTGGGCAGTACCTTATACCTCTGCTTCCCCGGGCCTTGTCATAGGAGAGGTGCTCAAAGGAATACTAGGGAGTCCTACCTGGCTCACACTGGATTCTTGGTGTGACGAGGTGCCTCTGACCGTGTCGGTGGAGCCTTGGGATTGTGAGTGGCTGCTTCACCGGATAATAGTCTTTCGCATCCGTACTGTACACGATCTTAGCACCGGTTTCAGCAGTAGCAGCGAGCCGCAGATGATGGCCATGTCCAATTCGAGGATCGTCCATAACAGAGTAAACGAATTGCTGGTTGAACCAAGGACAAGGAGGTTAGCGCCCATGTCAGAGCCGACGTGGAAACACTCACAAGAGAAATCATCCGGCTGATAGTGCCTGAGCTCGATCACACGCAAGACACTGAAGATAAGGACACTACAAGAGAATAGAGTGAACGGTTGCGAAGCGACTAGACTAGGATGAGGGAGCCTACAGGCAGCCGACCGAGAACAATAGGGTGAACTCGGCCTTCTGGCGCATGGGCGTTTGAAGCCGCCACACGATCGGGAATGGAAGACAGAGAATGAGCACATCTTGGGCCATCAATAACGCTCCAATCGTGGTGAAAAAGGTATCCTGGCCTGCCATGCAATGCCCGGGGATGTGCTTGATCCAAAAATACTGCACCGGCCAGCACTGGAAGGTGTTGCCCACCACCGTGGTCAATCCCCACAAAGTCACTAGGACGATGACGGCGGATGCACAGTGGCGGAATCGGTCGACCGATCCCAAAATGCGGCGACAGAGCACGATGGACACCTTCACACAGACTTGGGCGGAGGGCCAGAACTTTCTCAGAATCCAGTTGGACTAAATGGTCGATCGCGTGACGACCTTCCTTGCCCATTCATTCAGGGGAAACTCTTACTAGTGAAATGCGCAGTCGCTGCTCTGGAGGCAAGAACAGCCCACGAACCCTAATGCGCTGGAAACTTGGCACTCACCGTACACGATGCAGATTGCTACCCCGTAGGTGAAGAGTAGCCCGAGGCCCATCAGCACATCTTCGATACCTAGCTCATGGACGACGAACTGGCGAGAGTAGAGGCGAAGGCGATCGCCGTTCCCACGATGGGCAGGATGATCAGCACGTTTCGCCAGTAGTGTGGGTGGTGCATGGCAGCTCAGGGCCACCTTCCATGATGTATGATGGATGCGTGATGTCGCATGGTCGCGATGTGCTGGGTGGAAATCAGGCCATGAGATGTGTATGTAGACATGCCGACGAATTTCGCTGCTGCTACTAGTTAGTTAAGGGGATTGGTGACTGTTGACGTCATCCACATCCTCGGCTGGGCCCGACCCGGAAACACCGACTGTTATTAGATTACCACCACCATGGAAGCGTTGGACGAGGAACAGGTACTAGCCCTGATCGCGCAGATCAAGGACTGGCAGGTCAACCACGGGTCGCTGCTCAAGCTGATCCGCCGAGAATCGGTACACAGCTCTGTCGCGCATCCAGTCGGCGTCGCCATAATTCCCTCGGCCTTCCCCCGGTCACACTTCCAGCACGCCATAGACCTGCAACAGACTTACAACGAACTGTACTGCGCAGTCGCAGAGGATGCGCAGTGGATCGGAGACACCATCAGGGACCTTATTCCCGTTGAGCCCCTGGCCGCCGCACTTTGGGGCATTTATGAGGCAGCCGCAGCCGCTGGCCCAGTCCAACATATCTCGGCGGGCATCTTTCGCTCAGACTATATGCTGCATCGAGGCCAGGGGTCGGCCTCAATCCTGAAACAGGTCGAATTCAATGCATTCTCGTGTTCTGGGGGTGCTCATGCAAACAAAGTCGCGGACATGCATCGCTACTTGACGCGGACTGGAGCGTATCACGCAAGAGAGGACGACACGGATTCCATCGACCTGGCCTCCCTGCCCCAGAACAAGAACATTCAATCGCTCGCTGCTTGTTTGGCCACGGCTCATGCCGCCTACGGATCGCGCAAATGTCCGCAAGCGACGCATACCGCAGTTCTGTTCGTGGTGCAGCCTTACAACTTCAACATCGCGGATGAACGGCCGATCGAGTACGCGCTGTGGGAGCAAGAGACGCCAGTCCCGGCTTACCGTCTGGAGTTCGGCCCAGAGGTCCTGGAACACACGTGGCTGACCGCGTCGCGTGAATTGCTCTTTCATCCACCGTGGTTGGGGTTGAAGGCGCCAGTGGAGATATCCGTGGTATACATGCGCGCGGGCTATGAAGCCCGCGAATACAATGCGATCGGGTGGGAAGCCCGTCTGCAGCTGGAGAAATCAGCCGCCATCAAGTGCCCTTCCCTTCTCTCCCATCTGTCCACCTTCAAAAAAGTCCAGCAAGCGTTGACCATACCCGGTACGCTGGAGCATTTTTTGCCGGACGACAAGGCCGCAGCGATCCGGGAAACATTTGTATCCATATTCCCGCTCGATGATTCTGAAGCAGGCACTCATGCTCAACAACTGGCAACGGATCCGGAACGGTCAGAAGGCTATATTCTGAAGCCGTCCTTGGAAGGTGGTGGGCATAACGTTTTTGGCCGCGCAATACCTGGGTTTTTAGCCTCCATCCCTCGGTCGACGTGGTCCTCATATGTGTTGATGGAGCGCATCGACTCACCACATGGGATGAATATTCTGATGGGTCCGGCGGGGGTTGAAGGCGGAGAAGTGATCTCTGAACTTGGTGTGCTAGGATCATGTTTGTGGCAGGCACCGGACGCGCTCGGTAACCAGTATAAGCTCCTTAGAAATTCTGTTGCAGGCTGGACATTCAAAACCAAGCACGCGGATATCGACGAGATGAGTGTTGTGAAAGGGTTTGGATGCTTTGATACACCACATTTGGTTGGCGATACTAACGTTCAATAATACTCCAGCATCCGCCTTTTGGCTATGTGGAATGGAAACCCATCATTGCTTCTGGTCGTCTTTCCCACGAAATTTTTAATGTAGTAAGCAAAATATCATTAGGCAAATCAACGAGGATAAGCATTCATGCGAGATGATGGAGAGATGTGCATCGCCATGTAACCTATGTTCTTGCCGTAGAGACTTAGTCTCTTATCATTTCTATATCGCGTTGAATGATTTTTAGACAGCTTAAATCATTTTGATCGGGTCAATCAGAAATACGTAGGAAGCTTTGAGTCGACAGCTACGGCGACACTCGTGATTCAGACTAAAGGATCACCATATGTACCTATTATTCTCTCTCCCATGGATCATTCAGCTTTAAAGGTCTAATTTCGCATACTATTTTAAAGTGTTAATACATAGTAATGGATTATGACACACGAACTTTATTGCCTCTTCATGGAGCTGGGGCGTGTGATTTTGTGTGATTCTTGATACCAAATGAGGGGTTATCCGCAACGGCAAAAGGAACGCTTGATTATTGAATATCTGATCTACTAGTCATCATTCCACAACCATTGCATCACAATCAATACACCTAAAAGGAAAATATTCCACTCAATGTGGCTTTATACTAAATCTTAGTCGATCCGTCATACACTAGATCACCCAACCTGATTAGTTTATAATATATGCAGGTGAGCTGCAGTACTAGCCATTTTACCAGACAGATAATTGAAATTGAAAGTACTAAAATGGGCTATTGGGTTGGAATTTTACTTGTTATGGGCGATACTGCCTAAGTGGTGCCTTCGGCACCTCGGGGGTTGCATATAAAAGCATGGCCGGTCCTCAAGAGCCGAATTAATTTTACAGAGTTGATCTATTGACAAGTATACTGGATTATTGTATGGGCACTGGGCTACATTGAACCTTACAATATGACAAAGATTGACTACTTCGTGAAAGGCGCAGTGGGAGGCAGGAACTCTGACGGAGAAATTTACGCCCGGCAGGAGATACATGATCTATATAAAGACAAAAGCCAATGGCAGTTGTACCTTCTCGGCCTGCGAAAGTGGTATGATATTTCTGCCGACCATCCCCTGTCGTATTTTCAAATTGCCGGTACGTTTGATACTCACCCTTTACCAAGTAAAATTCATGTACTTATGTTGAACGTATTTCCTAGGTATCCATGGCATGCCATACAAGCAATGGAACGAGGAAGAAACTCAGAAAATTGGCCTCGATGAAACAATTGGGTACTGCACTCATACGACGGTTCTGTTCCCGAGTTGGCATCGGCCGTACCTGATCATGTATGAGGTATGAATGAACCGCCAAATCTAAGAATGATTACCAATTCTCACCTACCCTGGTGTAGCAACGGCTGCAAGAGGTTTTGATGCAAGAGGTCTTGCCCAAGATCCCATCCTCGGAGCAGGTAAAGTGGAAGAAGGAAATTGAAAAGTTCCGTGTTCCTTATTGGGACTGGGCCGTGCCTAGTCCCGAGCTACAGAAAAACAAGACCGCGTCGGATAAAATCAAGCGTGACTGGCTCCCGCCTGATAGCTGGGAGGCTACTCTGCCTATCTTCATTCCAGGACATGAAGGTCCAATTGCAAATCCTCTCTATAAATTTTCCATGCCGGGAGGTAAAACGATGGGAGATTATGGTGTTTCATATCTTCAAGCTGACGAAAATGATAAGGTGCTTGTAAGTGCCTCGGCTGGTTATCATATCGGGGACATTATGTTTCCTTTCGCTGACCACCAGCTCAGTACGGTAACTGCACTGGCCTTAGCCGATGCCCGAAAGCCAAATATTACACTAGCACGGAAGTTCATACGGCAGAATACAAGAAGTGGCGGGAGGGTGAAGTTGACAACGAACAAATTTACGCCAACTTCAAAGCCTTGCCATGGGTCAATATCAGCGAAACAGATGATGCCTCCAAGGAGATCCACGAGAAGTTTGCGAAATTCAACGGAGGAAGCAGGGCAGCAGAGAATGTGTATCGCATGTTCACATATTCAACCAACTATGAGAATTTTGCTAGTGCTGGTGGCCTTGGAGAAGCCACTGCAGGCTCCAATAAGTTGCCGCAAGGGCATTGGTATCAGAGCTTGGAGGCTATTCATAACAGCATCCATTGGTGAGTTGGTGGGGACAACAATGGCCATATGTCCCAGGTACCCGTTGCTTCCTTGTGAGTATTTTTCAACCATCCAGCGGGCCATATCCTAACCGAGATTTCTTGCAGTGACCCCTTCTTTTGGCTGCATCATGCGTGAGTAAAATCTTCGATTTCAAGGACCCTTGCTTGATCCAATAGTGATGATGGCTACAGGAATATTGAACGATTCTTTTCCATGTGGCAATTCCTTCATAACGACAAGCCAGACTCAATTAGCTGGTTTGAAAAAAGGTCTGAGAAAGTGGCAAATACAAGCGGCCAGCCTGTCAATAAGGAAGGGAAAGTTTGGACCAAGGATCAAGGAGAGGAGAATGCGCTCAAAAGAGAGCGCGGTCCGGATACGCCACTGACGCCTTTCCGAAAGACTAAAGAGAGTAACCTGACTTCCAATGACGTTCGAGATATTTCTGAGTTCAACTATACTTATCCACAATTGCAACGCCGAGGTCGCAGTGATGCTCAAATCAAAGAAGACATCTGGACAGAGATCAACCAAAAGTATTCTCCCTATCGGAAACAAGTACTAAAACAGGGAACGAGCCAAAAGGGAGATTTGGAAGTTGTCGTAAATATTGAATACAACAAGTAAGTGGAAAAGGACATGAATTGACCAGGTATCTCACAGTCGTACAGATATCTGTTTGGAGGAAAGCCCTATGTCATCAAATTGTACCTCAGACGTGGTCAGAATAAGGACCCACGAAGTGAACAAATTGGAGATATCTATAACTTCAGCGCACCTGGAAAAAGTGACAACGGCGAGGTCTGCTCGAATTGTGTTCAGCAGGAGGCATCCGGTCTCCGATGCCGCGCACAATTTACACTTAGCGATCTCAAAGCTTATTTTAAAGCGGTAGATTCCACTTTGGATACAGATGACGAAGATTCCATTGAAAGATTCTTGAAAGAGCGGCTCTATGTGATGGTTTACGCCGTAAGTTATTTTCTTACTTGTTGTTTAAGTATTGCGTGTTTGGCTAAATTATCTAAATAGACTTCTGGTCGTGCCATCGCATTTCAACTTGGAGACAACAGCCAACAAGCACCCATCCAAGTGGCCATCGCTTCAACTCGTGTGCAATATAGCGAGGATGAGACAAAATGCAGCAATTTCGAGGAATTCAAAACATTTCCGCAGCTTGCTGGTGACATGGCTAATTTGCTTTTGGTTCCTCCCGGCGCCTTGATCTTGTCTTTGACTGGTAGCGTGCTCGGCACTTTGGACGAGAGTGGCCAGGTGATTACTGCTGCTGGAAAAAAAGCTCTACGGGATGTTACGGGTATTACCAACAATGGCTTTGATGACCTGTTAAAAATCGGATTTGGGACCGTTGCAGGAGTCACGGAGGCTATCAGTAATGCAACGACATTCCTCGCATCAAGTTTGGGCGGCAATGGTCGGGATGATAAAGCCGACAGGAACAATGATAACAGTGGTAACAATGGGGGTTTGGGAGGACTTGGTTCAGCTTTCGGATTTTAGATGACACAGCTATTCGCTTCACGTATTTAGTGTAATTCTTGGTGATTTTGTTTCGGAAGGGTGGACATGCCCAGATGATTTAACCTAATACCAAAAAAAGAAATGCGTTTCGCGGGCAGCAATGATTTATTACGTATGAATCCATCCCAAGGTTGGTGCGAGTTTACTTCTATAGAACCATGGCGAACAGAACTTCATATCAACTTTGTATGAGCTACATAATCAAGGGAACTCCAGCGCGAGATACGCAAACACCAGCTCGAATACAGTAGATTTGGGAGCAGAAATGGCTGCCAAGTGCTGCATTCCGCTTCAATCGCTGATCTTTCCCCTCGGATCACCATTTCTGCCCCCTATTTTCCTCTTCGACCTCCTGAGTAGATCCATTGTCACGCTGTTGGGATCTTCAGTCCTTGCGGTCGTCTAATTTCAGGGATTACAGGGCCGGTCTGGCTGACAAGAATCCAGTTACAGTATCCGTGGATGGGATCGCCGCTGTCAAGTGAAGTTAATCTAACATGACAGCGCTGGAGGATTGACTAGCCAGTGGGTCAACAGCTGTCAAGAAACCGGAAAGTGGGGCCCCGGCGCTTGGTGGACCTCATGGAGGTTAATTGGGGCTGTTCATTGGTGATCAGATCGTGCTTACCGGCTATCAGTTGGAAGCGAGTTACAACCCCGAGTCTAGCCCTCAGGGATGCCTTTTCTATCCACTCATGGCTTTTGCCAGAGGTTTGACGTATCAGAGTAATGCCATTTTGGACCCAAGGAAGTGGACAAGCCCCCTGTCAAGGCAACTGCCAACGGTCGACTCTCTTGCTCCTGGGTCTTGTTGGTCCTTTTGACGCCATGAGAGTCAACTACCATTCATCGAGGTCGCTCCAGCTCCGACCCGTTAAATAGACCCGCCAACCGCTCTAGATGTGGGTTGAAAACACTTGAAAACGCTCTCTACTGGCGCAGGTGTGCTTCCATCTGTGGCATTTGGCCAAGACTATTGTGGTTGGCATTGATTCTGCTTTTTGCGACTTTGTCTTTCTTTTACTGGCAAGCAACATGCCAAGCACTACGGCAACTGGTGCTTTTGGACCTGCACCTCCAGGTGTTGACTTAAGTCAGAATCAGGATGGAAAACTACTCGGCGCTGTTGTGCCTGTTGCTGTCTGTGGTACCGTGGCGGTTGGCATACGATTATTGGCACGGTCCAGATCCAAAGATGTCAAGCTTGCAGTGGATGATTACTTGATTCTGGCCGCGCTGGTGAGACAAACAGTTCTATGATCCTTCTGCATTATCTCTGATTGTCATAATACAAAGCTTTTCTCATGGGGAACAGCAATATCTTGCTTTATCAGTACGGCTCCTTGGAATAACACCTCATCACGATATTGATAGAAAATCGCCAGGCATTCCTTTTGGCAATGGATACCATTTGCAATCTTTGTCCAAGGAGGAGTTCATCACAGTCTGGAAGGCATGACTCCTTCCCACTTACTATGTACGGAGGCGAAACTAATGAGAGAAGCTATAGATTTTGTTTGCGTATGTGATGATTTATGCAACCGCCGTAACATGTACCAAAGGCTCTATCATCATGTTTTATGGCCGAATCTTCAACTTCCGCTGGATGCTAGGCATCGGTCTGTTTTTGGTCATTGGATACTGGATTACTATTATAGTGACCATATCCGTGGCTTGTCGGCCATTGTCCTTCTTTTGGCTGGAATACACGGATCCGACAACTGCAAAAGGTGTTTGTATTGACGTACCAACATTCTTCTTCGGCAACGGGATTGGTGCTATGCTCATTGACGTGATCATTCTTTGTATGCCAATTCCAATTGTCTACGGATTGCAGATGCCACTTTCTCAGAAGATAGCAGTGATGGGTATCTTACTTCTCGGCAGCTTGTATGTGCATTCCTAAAGTCGAGCATCTTACTGGACTGTGCATTTCTAATTGGTTGCGTGGTAAACAGTGTTTGTGCCGCCAGTATTTGTCGGATCCTCGCACTCCAGACCAACACTCACGGCGCAGATGCTACATGGACTATGGCGCCAGTGTTTATTTGGTCCTCTGTCGAGCCCTTTGTCGGTATTATATGTGCTTGCCTTCCAACATTCGGCCCTTTCTTCCGCCGTTGGTGGTCATCAGTACGGACAGGTCGATCATCAAGCCCAGGCCCCAGCAGCAATCCGAGCGCAATTCGCCCTCCTGGTACCGCGACTTGGTTTCGAAAGTCACGATCAAATAAAATACCGAAGGATTCACTGTTCGATATCAATGAATTTGGTTGTGTGGATGAAATCCAGCTAATGAATGATATCAATGCGTCACGGTCTGTCAGAGAGGACGCAGCAAGTGATGATCACGATGTAGAACGTGGAGATTCCGAGGGTAACATCACGGTCAAACAGGACGTGGACGTCAGTTGGGGACAATCTCAAAAGACAAGACGATAACTAGGAGCACAGCAGAATCACCGGGAAATAATGTCTTGGGTTATATCCACGTGAAAGCGCTACCCTGTTGCTCTCGAAGTTGGCCGATCAGAAGAAGTCCTATTAAACCGATTAAAATCGTGGAGCCCGCTGGCTAGATTACCTTGGACGAAAAGAAATTCTCATTATTGTGTACATTTGAAGCCTTCTTGTCTTGCCAGTCCAAATTTGGTTACGTTCTCTGTCCCGGACCTAACGGCCCCACTTTCCGCTGTCAAGAACCTGCCATGACAACCTTAAACCCTTTTTAGAATGGTGGGCATCCCGGCTCGCCTGCTCTGTCCCCGCCCAAACTGGGCGCCCATTTAGGGGGCTATGGACTCCGTACGCTGCTCTAGCGAATCCTGGGTCCCACATTAGGATGTAACGAAGCGGTCCGCTGCATACTCCCTATGTATTGACTAGCAATTTTACCTGCACGTCGACACATTGAGTAACTAGCAAGCCCCTCAGCGGCCATACCACCGGGTTGAACTCGGTGAGAACATTTAGCTGGATAGACTTCAAATGAATCATTAACTACTGCGGGAACAATAATGTCAGCTTTGGTTGCGTACAAGAGACAACGGTCATTTTGCGTCACTAGATCAACAAATAGAGTCCCTCCTGTTTCAGGCCTCACTGGAGGATGTTCCTACCCATGAAAAAGAGCATATCCACATGGTTATTGTTTCACCTGTGGTTTTGTTTATTTAGTCATTACAGGGAGACTACGTAAGTAAACTTTCTGCTACGAGCTCACGGTCCATGGATGATGATCCTGTCATTTATGTGTCATGCTGGTGCGGACCTATTCCCCCGGGGAGATGAGTAGTTATTCCTCGTGGAACATTGGGAACTGAACTAAACTAATAAGGGGACGAACGTATTGACTAGTATAATATTAAATACTAAAGGAGACTTGCGGACCTTCATTTTACACTCAGCTCAATCCCTGTTTCCTTTCCTTGCCCTTGGTCTCATCCCTTATTTTCAGTCCTTGCTCCCAGATATGACTTCCGAAGGATTGCAAAACGGCCATGCCGCTTTCGAGACCCCAGCCAACCGAGTGGCTAATGGTGAGATACCAGAGAATTGGGTCGCTTGCGCGGAACACCCTGTCTACGCACGACGTAAGCTCCGGATGGTCTGTATTGGAGCAGGTTACTCTGGCTTGACGTTAGCACACAAGATTCACCATGAGCTAAAGCTCAATAATGTGATGGAGCTGGTAATATATGAAAAGAACTCCCAGGTGGGCGGAACTTGGTTTGAGAACACGTACCCAGGAGTGGCCTGGTAAGTCATTCTGCCTTTCTTAGCTATCTGTTCACTAAGGCTTGAATATAGTGATATCCCCGCTCGTACGAACATCTTACTCGAGTACCTTAATCTTGCCTGACTTTGATACAGACGCGTATACGTTCCTGTTCGAACCCAATCCTAACTGGTCGCAATTTTACGCCTCCGGATCAGAGATCCACCAGTACATCCAGCACACCGTGACAAAGTGGAATCTTGATAAGGATATACAATTCAATTCTCACGTTAAAGAGACAGTCTGGGATGAAGAGCTAGGAAAATGGAAAATTCAAGTTGATCAAGCTGGAACGCTCAAACATGATGAGGCCGATATCCTGGTGAACGCTACCGGGTTTCTTAGGTAGGATTCTCCTGCTATGTAACTTACCATGGTAGTAATACTGACTACACCCGGATTATAGTAAAACTAACTGGCCGGTGATCGATGGTCTGTCTGATTTCAAGGGAAAATTGGTCCACACCTCCAAATGGTAAGATATACTAGGGGCACAGATAAGCTTTGCAGTAATAATGACTTTCGCTGCAGGGACCACGAATATGACTGGGCCAACAAACGAGTCGCGGTTATTGGAAATGGCTCCTCGGGTATTCAGTGTGTAGCGGCCATGCAGCCCAAGGTCAAGCAACTTGTTAATTTTGTTCGCAATCCAACCTGGGTATCAGTCAACTTTTGCGCCGAGAAAACCCACGACGGAAGCAATTTTAAGTACACGGAGGAGCAAAAAAAGGAATTCGCCGAAAATGCTGAAGCTCACTTTAAGTACAGACGCGAATTGGAGGCTAGGCAAGTGACGACCTTCACACTCCGCTCTATACTCTCAATACTGACTTGATGGACTGTCTAGTGTGAACGGGTTTTTCTACGGCATGTACAAGGACCACCCATTTCAACTAGGCTTGACGGCGGCTTGCAAGCAACAGATGGCGGAGCGTATGAAAGGAATTGGAAATTCTGATGTGGTATCTAAAATGCTTTCTCTTGATTTCAACCCTGGTTGTCGTCGCCTCACTCCGGGAGATGGATATTTGGAGGCGTTCGCCAATTCAAACGCTGTCTTGACATTTGATCCTATTGAACGAATCACAGAACATGGAATCATGACCAAAGATGGCAATGAGCAACAGTTTGACATGATTGTTTGTGCCACCGGATTTGACACAACGTTCATTCCCTCCTGGAAATTGATCGGTCGCAATGGCGCGATCCTAGATGAGCGCTGGAAGACAAACCCAGAGGCATTCTTTACTGTCCACGTAGACACTATGCCCAATTACTTCATCTTCAACGGGCCCAACTGTCCAATCTCCCATGGCTCAGTCCTGACAGAGATCTCATGGACGTGTGATTACATCTTGAGATGGGCCAAGAAGATTGCTACAGAGGATATCAAGTAAGTGAGCTGTTGGTTTCTATTGAAGTTGGTGGCATAACAGCTTATCAAAACATGATAGGTCAATCGATGTCAAACGCGAGGCTGTCGATGACTACAATGTCTATGCCCAGGAGTTTTTAAAGCGAATGGTGTGGTCCGACGGTTGTCGGAGCTGGTATAAGAACGGCAAGGGGTCTGGGCATGTCACTGGCGTGTATCCGGGATCCATCCTTCACTACAAGGATTGCCTCGACAACATTGGTGGCGAGCATTTCAATATCCAGTATCGTTCCAAGAACCGATTCCATTTCCTTGGAAATGGAGAAAGTGTCCATGATAAGCATGGAGCAGGTGACTTGGCATACTACATGGACGATCTGAAAATCTCTGCTCCCCAGAAATGAATTGACGTGGAACGTGGTGCTGAAAACTATCTCTGATAATGGATCAGTGTATGCAAGTGTTTTTATGTGGTTAATCTTTTCGGCCCTCTTATTCAATCGTCTTTTAGTGTCTGTGAGAAAACATTGCGCGGCTGAAATACTAGGATCCACAGTCTGTTATGAATGAATATCAATATTCCTTGGTACCTAGATCTAAAGCCTATCTCGACGTACTCATATTATCAATCTGAAGTGGGAAGAAAATTCGATATCAAAATCTCGATCTTTTCAACATCTTCAGGTTCAATACATCGGATACTGTTTGGATCTTCATTTCCTAATGCAGACGAGAGGCAGAACTCCTCAATTCACTGTCCGCCTTGCCGATTGTCCGGCTTTTCTTGTCGCCAGCTATGACCAAGACATAGAACTGTACACAAACCTGGACTGAAAAGAATCCAGACGCCTGCAATGATGGTTCCCGTCCATCCAATTCCAATAACATTGATTAATGGACCCACAATGGCTGTGGCCCCGGCACCCATTAGGCAACGAAAAAGGTTGTTAGCGGCAACAGCGGTAGCTGGGGTCTCGTAGTTGATATCTACCACTAAAGTATTCAGAGTGTTGAATGCCCCAGTGGTGGTAAGCCCCGTCAGGAATAACATCACGAGAGGACCAGGTAGGGGAGTCCGATACTCCATAACCCATCCGTAAGCAAGGATACAAAGGCTAGAAACGTAGATCATAGGTAGAGTGATGAACAGACGTGCGCGTTCAATGTTGAAATGAAGGATCTCTTGTTGCCGATTTTTCCGAATTGCTATCCCCTGCCGGCGTGCTTCGCGACGAAAATTCCAATCCAGTAGCCTGCCCACCGTCCACCGTGAGCTCATGCTCCCCACACCAAGTGGGAGATAGCAAAGACCGATTTCAATTGAATTAAACCCAAACCGGCTTGATAGCTGTGTGGAAAGAGTACTGAGTACTGCTATGTAGCCAGCATAGAGAAGAGCTCCGTACATTAAAATAAGACCTGATTCTCTTTGTGTAGCAATTTTCAGAGACGAAATTGGATTAGGACGACGTTTCAAACTCTGAATGGTGGTATAGTCGGGTGCTTCTGACATTGTATGGAACCGCGAGCTTCGTGCCATGAGGGCCCATAGAGGACGATTCCACCTTGGGGGGGGCAATGAACCATTTCCCACAACAGCCCGGCAAGTTTCTGGAAATCCAACCAATATGAGAGTAAAGCATACGCTGGACAGGATAACCAGAAACCAGAAAATGGACCTCCAGCCGAGAAAATGATCTAGCAGTCCTCCAATGACGGGCCCAAGAGCTGGACCCAACGCGATGCCAAGGCCTGCATAACCAATGTACTTTCCACGTTCAGCTCGAGTTGACAGATCGGTCACGACCGCACTGCCTAGTGCGATGGTTCCACTGCTCCCGGACGATTGCACGCAGCGCAAGACCAGCAAAGAGACATAGTCGTTCTGCAACGCAAGTCCAATGTTAGCTCCTAGATAAATTATCATGGCAATTATGTATGCCGGACGCCGTCCATAGATATCCGAGAAGCTACCGATAAACGACGGTGCCAATCCTTGAAAGATCTATGGGTCTGGTCAGTGCGATCGTGCGCCACGCCCATATAGAATGTCAGAACTTACGAGATAGGTGGTAATGGTCAAGTTGATCAATGACACTGAAACACGCATATCTTGCGCGAGTGAATTCAGAGCCGGCAAGTAGATGCTGCTGGAAAGAGGGGAGATCAGACCCGCCAACGAGCCTCCGATGATAACCAAGAGTTTCTCGCCCGTTGGGAAGATGCTATAGGGGGCATCGGTGGACACAGCATCTCGCGTTACTGTATAATGTTCAGCTTCCACTTCATCCACGGTGTGACAGGCGTCTGAAGAGAGGTTGCTGGCTGGCTCGGTTGGCTTATCCTCTAGACTGTCAACAGTCTGCAGTGCGACAGCGTTTTCTTCGCGATTTGCTGAGGTCTGCGACCCCATACCGCTAGACCTGTCAGGATATCACCAGTTATAGACCAAACCCCGCCGTCTTTCCTCGGTATTTGTATTTTCATGTCCTAGCTCCAATGCCGTCAACGGGCCGGCACCGGAGAGTAGGTAAAGCTGCCGTGATCCGGGTAGCGTGTTGCCCAACGTGGTATAGTTTGCGTGGTCGGTGCAATGTTAACACCGATTCACTCGCTACTGCGTTCCCTTCGGTGCGGTTTCTGCGATCCTAAAAGGATCTGCGCGGTGCGGTGATGTTTGGACTACCACAAATTTGGCATTGCTCTTGATCATGGCTGGTGATGCAGTGTGATTGATGACGATTAAAGTTTTTCAATTACAATAGTTTGAAGTTTCCGACACATGACATTGAGTCCACAAAATACGATAAAATGTGAGCTATTGAATTCTGTAGGTAAACAACAGCTAGAGACCGCTGTGTAGGAATGAACCAGGGGTAAAAGCAGAGGCATTTGAGTCCTAGCGCAAGTGCTTCTCAAAGAAGTCCGCAAGCTGGTTATACCTGTCAATATGTCAACATATGAGCGTGGTAGTGTAATCCTTCTGGCGACTCACCCACGCGTGTACTCGTTTCGGCTCTCTTGGTTGTCCAAGTTCGCCCGAGCACCCATCCAGCCATGCCACATCGTCGTATAGGTCTCGACGAGCCCACCCTTTCCGTTGCTCGCAATTGTCTTCGTGTAAGCGGCAACTGCGTCCGCAGGTTCGTCTTTGGATGCCAGAACAATGTGAGGAATCGACAGTGAGGTTGCATCAGCGGCTTCCAATCGCCTGTCACATCGTTAGCCTCTGAAGTCCCTAGCAGATGGCAGATCAACACACCCCGGGTGAACCTGTCCCGATGCTGTAAATGGGGTGTTCGGGCCCGACGCCAGAACTGTCAGCTATTACTGTCAGCGCATATATTAGACAACCACTGCCCCACCCAGATTCTAACCTTTCCACCCCAGCACAACCCAAAGGCGCCCCAGGTGCTGGCCGCCGGAAAACTCAGTTTATACTGGGGGACCGCATCCAATAAAACGCCAACATTCCGGTCAAAGTTAGCCTTGTGGGCTAGGAACTCGGAGATGATCTTTTGCTTCTCCTCGGTGTCGGCAGGGACGTATTCGTGTTTGAGCGCATCGCCCTCGAAGAAATCCGGGATCAAGACGATGGCATTTAGTCGCGTTGCTAACAGATCGGCACCTTGGAGGGTCTGGCTCGCCAGCCCAAAGATATCATAGATGTCAATCAGACCGATGCTCGCATTGGGATCGCCGGTGACATCTGCCGAGATAGTCAGTTAGACGCTGGGTGAGGGGGCTAGGTCGCAAGCGGACAGGTCTTGAGCCCGGCAATTGTCTGGTAATTGCCTTTGGGCGAGTAGCCCTGGGGGATGACGGGGGGATGGTACGGCACGCTTCGCACGACATGGTGGGCAATATGGAAGAGGGTTGGTGGGAACAAGAGAAGGATTCGACTCGGAAGACGGGCTTATATTCGCGGGGCGACGGGCCGTTCCCGGGCCGAGACCGGTGATAGAATCGACATGTCCGTCTTATTAACTTAGCTACGTTCGCCCATCGATTAACAATCAAGCATGGCCATTCTAGAGGGACACCATGTCGGACCAGGTGATTATTATTCTTCCCTATCGAGAAAAAGGATCAATACTGATTCGCGAAAAGACGAATAGGGGAATGCCATCCGCTCGGGTGCTTGCTTCCACGTTTCCGCCTTTTTCGGCAACAACAATTCATGAGCCCACTGGTATCCACAAGAGTTAGTTGACACCCGGGATCCATACACTACTTCAGTTCAGCCATGTCTGCCCACAGAAATCGTCCACGGGTGCCCGAGGAGCTGCGGAAGCGGACCTCTCTTAGCTCTGATTTTTGCAGAAAAGTGAGCATCGCATGTCTGGCTCCGCTCTAGCAGTCCCTAAATCGGAGTAGCGATGTTGAATTTGAATCGGCATGTGTCCGGCGATGTTAGTCTTTCAAAAAATAATTTTCAGAGATTGAATCTAACATGGTTACAGGTCTGCGCGTCCTCTATAAATACGTATAAATAAATGGCAGGTATAAAATAATTGATCAGAGAAATATATCATAATTACATCGAGAGCCTTTGCTTCTATAATAACATATATGTTAGTTCACACAGTTCTGTGTGAACTCACTTGGTAAAGGCATGAGTGAAGATATACAAACGGAAAAATGGTTCCGGCTGTTCTGATGGCGTTGTACTCGGAAAGATTTGTGACGACATTCACGGATCATACTTTCAAGAAACAAGAAGATAGGTTCCCAAGACATGCCCAAAAACTCTGAAAAACCAAAAAAACGGCTTTATACATGTGAGTCTACATATGTCTCGCATACCATACGGCTGTGTATAGACATAAACAAATAACCAAGACAAACGCTGCATGACTAAGAATAAAAGTGTCCTGAAAAGAGCCATTGGATAAATGGTCGCAAGCGGGCAAACCTGTGAGGAGTCTATACTGGCCACTGGGTCTCAAGCAATCCAGAACCAGATTCGTTCTACTGAGTGTTAATTTTGAAACAAGAAGAGGACAGCGATGCATACCGATAAAATTCCGTGGTTTGGGTTCTTCCCATATAGACTCCAGTCGATCAGCTTCTTCTTTGCCCGACCATAGATCCAAATCATCCAACTTGACAAGCTTGGTTTTTTTAAATACCTTATATCCCAAGAAAAGACCCACAAAAATCGGGATATCGATGTAAGGGGGAACGAATGTCTTGGCACTGAAATGGCCCGGAAAAAAGGCGTCGAATCCGTTGAAGAATGCCACCGTGGAAGAGAAAATTGCTGCGAAATAGGCCATATAAGGCTGCAAGGGTGCCTTGAACGGTAAGGTATCCCGGGAAATTCCATGGTGCTGCAAGCCCCGATAAAACCGAATATACGTCACAGCAATTGATGTCCACACGATCAGAGTGCTAACTGAACTGAGGTTGCTGATCCAAAAGAAGACCTCGGCGGAGCTGGCTGAAACATTGAGATAGACGAGAAGACTGAGGGAACCGGTAATAGCCACACAGGCATATGGAACTCCGAATTTCTCGTAACAAAGGAAGCGCGGTGCTTTGCCGTCCAGAGCGGTGGAATAGAGAATCCGCGTGGAAGCATAGAAGAAAGAATTCCCCGCTGACACGGCGGACGTAAGGACAACCGCATTGATTATAGACGGTAGAACTTGAATGCCGCCATTCTCAATGGCGATCACAAAGGGACTGGCACCTACTCCATTTGCACCGGCTTTAATGGCATTTAGCAGGCGATGATCTCGAGACGAGACACACAGTCCAACAAGGAAAACACTGCCGACGTAGAAGACAGCGATTCGCCAGAAAACGCGGCGTACTGCCTTGGGGATATTGCGGCGTGGATTCTCTGTCTCTCCAGCAGCGACAACGACCATCTCACTACCCCCGTAGCTGAAGGTGGCCTGAATGAAAACTTTCCAGAAAGCCAAAAAGCGCCCAAGTGCACCAGGTTCGAGATACTCCAGCATAGGTCCCGGATGGTCCCAGTATCGAAAGCCGATACGATCGTGAGTGGGAGTACCACCAAGTGTAACTATAAACATGAGGAGCATCAGGCCAATTATGGTCATGAGCTTAATTGAGCCAAGTAAGAATTCCAATTCTCCGTACACCCGAACCGGTAAGATATTGACGAAAAAAATGACAACATACAAGACAGTGATCCAAACCGCGGAGGATACTGCATTGGGCCAATAGTCAATAACGAGAGCTGCTGCACTGATCTCAATGGGAACACCAATGGCGAACTGGTACCAATAATTCCAGCCGAGTGTGAACCCTAGCGCTTCATCAACAAAGCGAGCAGCGTATACAGGCACGGCACCCGGTAGGGGGAGCCATGTTGCCATCTCCCCCATGCTGTTGATAACTGCGTAGAGGTTGAAGCCTGTGATGAGATAGGCAAGCACTGCGGACAGCGGTCCGGCCAGCGACAGAACCTGGCCCGTGCCAACAAACAAACCAGTTCCGATGGCTCCTGAAAGAGCCAGGAACTGAATGTGTCGAGATTTTAGACGCCGCTGCAAGGTGCCCACATTTCTCTGCTGCTGCTCTGCTTTCGAGAGCTCTTCCACTTTACCCTTTTCCCTATCCTCATGGTGAATGCTGTTAAGCCCTGTGGCCTCAAGATTGTCTTCGATTTTGACAGACATAAGTTTTTCAGACCCGAGATTCAAAAGATCGATGATACAACAATAATAATGACCTATGAGAACTATTTGGTATGGTAGGTATACTCACCCCATGATCGCGACCATGCACGGACCCTAGGCCTATACGAGAGCGTGGGGTTAGGGCGGGGTGTGGTCCCTGATTGTGACGCTCTCTTGGCTGAATTGCCGACTGCCGATAGCAGGCCAATCATATTTGCCCAATGAAGGCCCAAGAGGACACCTGTACGTCATTTGACCTCGTTATCTCCAACAATATTTCGAATCAAGTCCCCGTTCCGTTCCATTCGTTGGTGAAAAAACTCGCCGCGTGGGGGCGAAAAAGTTAACTGATAAGTTATTGATGGCAATAATAACAACGAAATACTATAATTGATTCTTTGACCCTCATTGCCCTTGAACGAATGATCCGAAATCGGGATTGTATTGACAATGCCACCACAAACTCGGTATGAACCGATGCCTTTTGGCCATGAAATGAAGCGGCACTTTTCCTTCAAGCAAGGTTATCGCAATTTGAACCATGGTTGGACTAATTTTGCGGTCGAATTTGCTCTCTGAGTTTACTAATTATGCACAGGCTCCTTCGGTGCCTCCCCGACAGCCATTCGAGACAAAGCAAATAGCCTACGGGATGAATGTGAAGCCACACCGTGCCCATTCATTAAGTACCGATTCTCTGAACTTTTAGACGAATCGCGAGCAGCCATGAGCGAGTTTCTCGGGGTACATATGTCGACGGTGGTTTTCGTCCCCAATGCAACCACCGGCGTCAATACTGTCCTGCGCAACATGATCTGGAACGCCGACGGCCTAGACGAAATCATCCAACTAGATGTCATATACGGCGCCTGTGGAAAGACAACAAGCTATGTCTGCGAAGCGAGCAATGATCGCGTGCGCACTAGAGAGGTGCAATTTGACCACCCTTTGGAAGATGCCGAGCTTATTTCCACATTCCATACCGCCATTCAGACATCTCGAAAGGAAGGGTTCAGACCTCGCATTGCAATATTTGACACCATATCTTCCAATCCGGGTCTTCGCCTCCCATTTATCGAGCTCACAGAAATCTGTCGCTCTGAGGGCGTCCTCAGTCTCATTGATGCGGCTCATGGCGTTGGACATATTGAGCTCAGCTTGTCAGCCTTGGATCCGGATTTCTTCGTCAGTAACTGTCACAAATGGATGTTTACACCACGGAGCTGCGCGGTATTCTACGTGCCTCAGCGAAATCAACATATGCTTAGGAGCACCTTGCCAACAAGCCATGGATTCGTCCCACGTGCTACCGATGGGACCCAGCATCCCAGCTTAATAGGTAAAAGTTCATTCGAGTCAAACTTCGAATTTGTTGGAACTTTTGACAGCATTCCTTTTCTTACGGTGTCAGAGGCTATTCGGTGGCGGCGAGAAGTTTGTGGTGGGGAACAGAAGATCCTTAATTACTGCAATCAACTAACGAAAGATGGTGGCCAACGAGTCGCACAAATTTTGGAAACACGAATCTTGGACAATGAGTCACATACGTTAACTGATTGCTGCATGGTTAATGTACTTCTACCCATCAGCATTCCAACTACTGGACCTTTATCATTTCTCATTCAACCTGATGGAACAAGCATCACTCTGTCAGACTGGATGCAACAGGTAATGATCAAGGACTATAATACGTTCATGCCCGTTTTTCCTTTTCAAGGGTACTGGTGGGTGCGACTTAGTGGTCAGATATATCTTGATCACACCGATTTTGAGTGGGCTGGATGGAAACTGAAGGAGCTGTGTAACCGTCTACAACAACAGACTAGCGATAAAAGCCTAGAGTAAAGAACAATATCGGGCAAGATGTGGCAGGGTTGAAACTGAGAAATAATAGAAAGTGCTCAAATTGTAGCTGAACAGATTACTTCTGCGTGCCCGGGAAACCAAGTCATCGCTTGTCGTGCGGGGTAACGACAGCCCAAATGTGGATGCAGCTGATGCCGGGGGCGTCCATCCTGAATGCATAGTACGCGTTCTTATGAGAAAGGTAGAATGACCTCTTTCAAACCAGCAGTGCATTGCATCATTGTAGAGATTGATTCAGGAAGGCAGTACATAACCTGCCTGTCATTCCCGAAATGCGTGGTTTATCCTTTGGAAATACTTATAAAATCCGATCGTTTGATTGGCTGGGCAAGTGTCAAACAAACCACTACCTGGGTAATTCTACCTTTGAGAGTAAATTCTCGGCGCCTTGTACCATATCATCGGGCGGCTAATAAAAGGGATCGCCAAAGGTAATTACGCTTAGGAAATATTGTACTTAGTACAAGCTCGCTAAATCCTCCTTTTATTCCAGATCGTCGTGCCTCATTTCCTGGCCACGGAACTCCTGATCCTTTAACTCGTCGGTTTGTATTAGCGCGCTTTAGAGTGGCCATCCGCCCAATTGCACGAAAAATCTCGGAACCCCTGAATCAGGATCGGCAGTACGGGATATTATTCATCAGATTCCTGTCAGGCTCGGTAAATGGTTATTCTTGACTTCAAGTAAAGAAAATTGGACTGGCACATCGCATTGCCACTAAGTATCTCCAAGCTGTGAGAATTTGCGCTCTTTTCTTTCTTTCCAATACCTGTCGCTGTCAAACATGTATCCGAGGACAACAACACTTGTCGCGTTAATCGCATTTTGGGCGACTTTGGTCCTTGGAGTGCATAAACACCCTAAAGCCGTCTTCTCTCAAAAGATTTGCTCGCTCCCTACCACCGACGATGGAAATTTTGAAACCGCTCATCCAGCCGAGGTTGGTTTGACATCAGCCCAAGTTGACGAAGCTTTGGCATATGCGAACCTTCACGGGCGCGACTCCGTTCAGATCTTCCGCAACAACTGTCTGGTTGGTAGAGGACTGGCAGATCCGATCACAGATTCTCTGCCAGCTCAGGTGTGGTCCGTCACAAAATCGGTTGTGGGAATTCTCGCCGGCATGGCTGTCGCCGATGGAAAACTCGATATTGAGCGGCCCATTGGCGACTACCTCCCAAATAAGCCAGGCTGGGGTGATGAAGCTCACCGAGCTATTACTGTTCGAGATATTCTGACCGAAACATCTGGAACTCAGGAGGCACTTTTCGCTGAGGCTGCGACGGTTCTTACCGATCCTAGTGTTATCCAGGAGTTTTTGGCCCAGAAGATCACCCACCCGCCAGGGACGCATTTCGAGTACGGACAGCGGGATGCCGACGCCGCAGCGTATATTGTCCAAAGTGCTGTTGGTCGCGATCTCCAGGAATATGCCCAAGAACGTCTGTTTGGCCCGTTGGGTATCAAAAAGTCGTCTTACTTCTGGCTCCGTGATCGATCGGGGAACACCTATGGTTATGCCTGGCTTTTCATTGCCCCCAAACACCTCGCACGACTGGGGCTCCTGATGCAAAATGGAGGAAACTACGAAGGCCAGCAACTGGTGCCTTTTGAATGGGTCCAAGCTGTGGCTACCCCGTCGCCCAAAAACCCTTGTTACGGATATCTTTTCTGGAACAATCGAGGCAAGCCATGTACTGGTGCAAATGTTCCAGTCGCAACTACCATCCAGCAAACCAGTATTTCGAGTGCTCCACATGACTTGTTTGCCATGGTGGGAGCTCTGCAGCAGAACAATTTCATGATCCCTTCTCTCAACATGACGGTTACTTGGACTGGTGTGCTCGGTGATACGGCACCGAATCTGTCGGTTATACTTGGTGCCACGCCCGGAAATCTTTATTACGACTTCTTTCGAATCCTCATGCGAGCAGTTCAAGACCCAAAGGTTCCAGACGCAGGCCCTTACACAGCGCCGCCCCTCAGCCTCGACATCAACCCAATGAACTATCTCAACCCATTGGTTCTGCTTGATGATTTGGTGTCTAACCCTGAATGTAACATCCTATTCTGCAACGGCGGAATCCCAACTCAGGGGTTACTCGACAATTTGGAGGCCATCCTTGGCTACCGACCAACTTTCTGAACCTCTTTGATCCTATACAACTATACGTATTTGTATAGAACCTGTATGTATAAAACCATGCTGATAATCGGAATAAGAGATATTGCGGTAGTTAATAATATATGTTTCATTCTTGAAGATACTAAGATAGGACATTGTAATAATGGTGACGGTAGACCTGCCACACCGGGTAGCAGTCGGCTTTAAAATTACGGTGCGGCAGGCGGTGGTCGCTTTCAGATATTCTACACAGATAGATCAGCTCAACGAATATCCAACGACTGTCAGCTATGAGATATCTGCTCAAAGATGAATTGATCAATAGGTCTAATACAGAATCCTACGAAAAAAAAAATTGGCAACTGTAATTGAAGATAGGTCAATTAAGATAGTCACTGCTGTCAAAATGACTGCCTAAGTACCTAAGGAATACAGAGCAACCCCGCTTTATTTAATTTTCCATGCTAGTCCTTGGAGTTGGAAAAGTTTGTCGAACTCCCGACGGGACTTTTTGGAGAGCGATTTGTGAAAGGAAAACATCAATTTCATGGTTTTCCATACCACCAAAGAATACCGAGTGACCCTAGATCTTCCCGACGGCCAGTCTTGATGACACTCCGGTCATGCAGACTGAGATTCTTGGCTGGCAAAATGGTAGCTGCCCGGAAAGGCCCTCACAGGTGAGAGCACCGCGTCGAGAAGGAGGTTCAACGCGTGGAGACTATCACCGAGGCACATTCGCGGGAACAGCATGGCAGTGTTTGCATCTGTGCCCGCAAGGATTGGGACTCCTGCACGATGCATGCCGCGAACCGATGAACGAATATTAGATGTTGGCAAACCCATCATGGCGGCTCGAAACACCACAGCCAATTGGCAATGATACCTGACTTTCATTTCCTTTGCCAGTGTCTTGGTCACGGTCCGCTGCCTCTATCGAGTTTTACGAAATTTTCAGGGATCATCTGGTATTTTGCACGTTCAGCGATGCGTAGGGTTGATCGACGTGGATGATGAGGGGAACACGGCGTGAAAGATGACCGAGGCCACAACAACAGCGCCGAAGACAACATCCTCGCCGGGCTTGTTTTGCTGTGAGTCTTAGTGCGATCGCACCAGAAGCTTAGCCATATGTTATCCGCAGCGGCAGGGTTTCTCACGGCTCGACAGAGGCAAATGATGGCGAAACCCGATCAAAACTAATTTCGTTTGAGTGTATATCCATGGATACATTGAGAGTTATCCACATGCTTGTTATATCTAGAAAAAACGCAAAACCAAACATAACCCGCCCAGAATTGCCGTCGCACCTGTACACACAATAAGAAGACCGAATCCGCTACCATATGCGCCCCACGCATGTCCTTTCCAACTATCTGCTTCGAGGAGTGCCTCACTGAAGGGTCCACTAACAACATTGCCAATCCCACGGCCGAGTGCAATAAATGAGAAAATGATCGTCGGGTCGGAGTTTGGGTCGACTCGTTGGATTTCGTTTATCATTCCCGACCAGGTCGCGGAGTAACTGCCTGCAAATAGGCCATATGTAATAGAGAACAACAACAAGACTTGAATATTTACTGAAAACCCCCAAAGAAGGAAGATAGAGACTGCCGCTCCCACAGTAGCAATTAAGATGCAGTTTTGTACATGGAATCTATCCGACAAGAATCCCATGGAGACGCTGCCGAAGATAGATGCCAAATTGAAAGCTGTGACTGTGAACGAAGAGAAGAATGTGGAAGTACCAATAGCTTGAGCGAAAATTGGAAGATAGAGGGCGGGCAAGAAAAACCCGAGCGCTTCGAAAATGTTTCCGGCCTGGTAGACAACAAATACTTTGTTGAACAAAAATCGGAACGTTAGGCGGCGAGAGGCGTTGATTGGAATCCGGGGTTTATGGAAGTATAAGAAAGGTCCGGCCAGCACGAAAACCAGCACAGACAAGATTCTTAGAGTGGTCTGGAACCCGAATCGGCTCAGAAGTTTCTCCAAAAGTAGTGGAAAGACGATTCCAGAGAGTCCAGAGCCAGCCCAGACCATACCAAAAGCGAGTCCTCTTCGTTTGACGAACCATTCCGGCATGAACAATATCGACGGGCTATATGCTATACAGCCACCAAGTCCAAAAGCGATTCCTTGCGATAGAACGAGATGGCTCACATTCGTTGCAAAAGAGCCTGTAGCGAGTGATAGGCTCATGATGACCAGTCCGATCGTTGAGAACCACCTAGTCATACCCGGAAGCAAGATCATCGCCACGATTGTTAGAGGACAGCTTAGGTAGGCAACACCCTGTCTCATCAGTTAGTCGAAGTTAGGATATGAAGATTGTGTCCAGCGCCTACCGTGGCACACGTTCCGATCAGTGCTACCATTTTCGAGTCTTTAAAGGCGTCCTGTGTCCGGTAATAACTTTGAAACACACCGAAAGAAAACGCGAACCCTGATGAGTGTTTAGCGAAAGATCTCATAGGAAAAGCTGACGGTAGAGCCTTACCCCAAACTAAAGCCTCTATCATAGCAGATGCTGCCAAGAACAGCCATGCCTGTATACCGCGGTCCTGAGGAGGTAGCTTGTCCTCCTCGACTAGGGCTTCTTTGTCCTTGGGTGTGCATCGACATTGCTCAAAGCTGTTGCTTGGCGATGGGCAAGTGGATATTAGGTCTGGTGTCTCCATCACATCTGAAATATTGAAACTATCGGGGTCCCTCGCATATCATATCCTTTGGTGCGTCGCGTTAAGGTTGTGAGCTGAACACAAAATTTCCATGGTGAAACAAACTGGAACTGGTCAGCATTTAAGGAAGGGGCTTAATATTCGGTTCAATTAAGTGACGAAAGGAATTCATAAGCGAGTCGACATATAGGGCTGGCATGCAACATCTCGGTAGATGTGCTCGAACTTGCACCGGCGGAGACTTTCCAGCCCCTTGGGGACTGAACATTGGAACTAAATGTTCCGTTTTGATCATCGGATAATCCCTTCGATTAAAAAGCTTTGTTCCGAAAGAATGCCATAGTCAAGATTCCCCGAAATCCGTTACTTGTGTGAAGCAGGGCATTGATGCTTGGGATAGCTTCAAAGTCTGCAGGTGACGTGCTTTTTATGGGTATGTACACATCTCAAGGGTAACCCCGGGGATATTCAATTCGATCACCGCAGAATCCGGCTAAGCACGGAAGTTGGAAGGCTTCGGAATGCAGGGTGTTTTGGATTCTAGGACCGAATGATGTCCCGTGCATTTGATATCGATAAGGTAGCCAAAGCCACGTCCTAGTCTAGCGATCCCGAAACCCCATTTTATCAAGAAGTAGTAGCCTTTTGAGCATTAAAAACAATTCAGAATTCAAAATAAATATCAATTCTCATAGCGATGTCTTACCCAATAATAATTCATAGTCTAGCTCAAGTGAGCAGTGGATAATATATCGCACTGAACGAATCGAATCGAACCTTTCCTTTGGTTGGTTGGATTCAAACCAGTATTGAACACACAATTATTCGTACGAACCCGAATTTGGGTCGTTCTCCCCCCCCCCAAACACTCAACTGGCACAGTTGACCGCAGAAATGACACCGGCCATCCAGATGTCACAATTCGGAGAGCAACTTGCCTTTATACCGGAGTTTCCTCTGCAGCAACAGCAACAGAAACAGCAGGCAGCCCCACCCATGGCCTCGTCTGGGTCGATCTCCGGAACAACATACGCGCATTCGCCTGGAATGTCCTCCCAGCCCAGCAACGGCGTTAAATCTCCTGACCACTCACCCAAGGTCGAGACCTTCTCGGCTGAGACCAAATGCACGCCAGACTTCTGTTCAACGCCCAAAACACTGATGTCGCCTATGGCGGTGACACAAGAACCCGTGAAGGAGGGCGATACTATCATGCTTTCGCACGGGGAGCTGGACCTGGACTTCAACAAGTTCAGCCAGTTTGCGCTGGGCCTGGGAAATTCGTCCCAGCATTTCATGACACCCTAACCAATACACTATTCATTTAGCTAATCCTGAATACTCCTACTAGATAAATACTGAACTGCTGACTGCCATTGCTGACTTTCATCATATAACAAGATGCTCCGCTTACAAGAGGATGATGAGTGCAGATGCGGCGCACAGAAAAGGGTAGTCCAAGTCCTGGTTGACTACCCAAGGCGGAGGATACTGTAGCAGGAGGGATGGAGCCAAGTTAGGAAGACATTTAACAGCGTTATTAGAAGAGGCAGAAGAAAGCAGGGAGATTAAACTTATAATACTTTAGAGGCCAGCAGAGTTGAGGCGTTGCTTGACTTTGCTGAGGCATCACAATGGTTCTGGGGCCGTCCGAAGAGAGGCAAAATGAAGATGGATGATGAACAGCACGGTCGACATAGATTTGAGATTCCCGGCGGTGATACAAGGACGAAAAGAAAGCAGCATCATTGTGCCCAAGTTACGGTGCTGGTTGAGGAAGGCCAATGTGAACTTGTAGTGCTCGGTCAGAGGAGATGAGAGATGCGGATGGGGTGTAGAGCTTTGTGTGCATGAATTCATTCAATGCTCAGCAGATTTGTAATTTTATGTTGGTGATATTTACTTCTTAATACTCTCGTCATATTTTTCAAGGATAGTTTTCATTGAACATTGAGTTTCCAAGTCCTTTATCATATTTCGCCGTGATTTCTTCGAAATTTTGGACTAAGGAATGATATCAAAGGTTAAATATATACTTATTGGCTACAAGCTTCTCTTGTTAGAATATCTAGGCCTGCGAGAATGATAGAGGTTAATTCACAAATAAGGAATACAGGAGAATGTACATGATTATAAAATCCATTGTCTGGGAATGTGAAAATGCCGGAGAATGAAGGTCGGACGTGGAAAATGTGACATTGTTGGAAACTATGTGTTGCAGCACCTAGTTTGTCGGGGTCCGACGACGCATGTATTATTAGTCAGCACTTAGCTACTTCCTCGGGCAAGGAACATTGCCTGCAATTCAGCTTTACTTACACCTTCACGCATCATAGTTGACTATTCAATTTCCAGGGAATTGATAGGGACAGTGCAGCTTATGCAATCAAAATCATCGAAGAGTCATGTGATCCGTATTAGGATTACCATAGCGACATCATTCTATAGACTGTTTACTATAAATCCCCTTCCTCCCCTACCTCTTTTTGAATCTCCTTAACTCTCTACTATGAGAGCAGCGTTGTGGTACTGTGAGTTATACTGCAACTGTCATGCCTGATTCTTAAAGCCGCTATCTAATCACGTTCGCGCGCGTGAACCACGCCGATTGCTTATTAACTTCGCACGCAGCCCAATATAAGTAGCACATCTCTCTACGCTTTTAGTAGATTGCAATCGGCTCTGCAGTTGGCATTTCAGCTAGACTCAGCCCTTCACACCATGCAGTTTAACAAATTCTGGTCAAAGATTTAGAATCAGCTAACCATGGTACCGTAATCTAGGGTTTTTTTGCTCAAAAATGTCCAAACGGGATTTGCCTCTTAAGAACCTCTTAAGACATTATCACAGACCCGTGTCACACCCAAAAGATACTCCTCGTTCAGTCGCCTCCCAACTAGCTGTATACATACAGGAGCTCCAGCAAACCTCTCAGGCATATCTCCGTATCGTGAGCTCATACTCTCACGCAAAGCATTATTAGGACTTACAATTTTTCCAGACTTTTGCTTCAATGTCATTCCGTCCCGTGTAGTCTGGTTTCGTGTCCTCAGCCGGCCAGACGTGAGTTACTGGAACACTTGTTGCACAGTAATCTAGTACTCGATCCATTTGTTACGGCCTGTCCGTCCAAAGTAGCCTGATAGAAGCTTCCCTCAGTGGACTGCGGCAGAATGATTTGACCTGTCGTTCCCTCAGGAGTGTTCACCCAAATACCAAAGCCAACGTTCCATAGACTCGAATAGTTGTCGTATGTAAACTCGTACCTGTGCTGGTCAGTATTATTTGAACCAATCAACTGCTACCGGCAGACCTACTTCCCGCACGCCGGCCATGCAGTACATGGCATGAGTAGAGCGTCCATTTCCCGACCTGTGTCATGCTTCTTGGCCCTCCGTGCCATCTCGAAGGCCAGATGTGGGAAAGCGTCTCGAAGATGGCTTAAGAGAATAAAGACCGCAGAATGAGGCTGGTATGCGGACAGAGCCTCCAACATCGGTGCCAGCACCCAAGGGAGATCTTTGTAGAGCCAAAACGCACTTTCGCCCCCTGACAAGCCGCCGCTAGAGAGATTTCGATTATATGGGTTGGAAGTGTAGCCATAGATGGCATTGCATGTCTGTTGGATTGTCAACTTACATAACCATCTCGGTATTCAGGTTACTTCATCCTGTAGAGTTGGCTGGTTGGCATATGCTCTATATTCAATAGTTGCGTCGATTCCCTCAATTTTGAAACAGTCTTTGAGGGAGGTGGGCAGACCATGAAGGGAACCGCGAGTAATGCCGGTTGTTGTATACTCGGCATGGAGACGTTTAGTAGCGTCGAGGGCCTTTTCGAAAAGGATCTCGCTGAGACAATTGACAATTTGTTGTGCAATGGCGGCGTGTTTGCAGAAAGCTAGTGTGACCTATGATGCGGTTAGTACAATTTCAGTCCTATTTGTACCGCTTGATGATATACTTCAAATGAACTGTACTCCCGGCTGATGAGCTTCTGTACTAGTCTAGTCACGTCCGTTTCCGTGATCTCTAACTCCCTAGATGTCAGGATCCCGCGCTTGACAGGGACGTCAATGACGTTAAGCTGTTCATCCGGCACTTGACCAGGTTGCAATCGCCATTCTGCAGGGATGGTACTGTCCCGGCTTGCTCGCTTGGATTGGACAATTGTCCACCACAGAGGAACGGTGTTATCGGACATGCTAGATAACTAAGACAATAAAAACGTACAAATCTCAAGAACCTTCCCTAAGATATCTAGGACAAAGGAAAGAAGCTTATCAGCTTAATTCGTTCTTCCCCCGCCGCCCCCATTCCCCGCAGACGAGGCACTCAACGACCCACTGTGCGCTTAAAAAGGGTAAAAATATGTATGTGGACCCGCTCAATCCAACGGGTTCCCCGACGACGATCGGGTTTGCCGATTAGCATTACCACCGAGGCTTATCATAGGGGAGAATTCGAGCCGGGGACGGATACAACGCGGAGCTCGTCTCTGCTAAGAAGGCAATTTATTTGTCCAGCTACGGAAAGGAAGGTATATCCTTATATCCTCTTCAGAATTTGGAAAACTTTGTGACAGTATCCCCCAAAACAAAAAATGTCTACTCCATCAGGTCACGTCTCAGATAAAATTTCCTCCGAAGTTGAGGCTGGCCATTGTCACAAAGATAGGCCAGAGAGCAAAGGCAACGTTTCGACCGGTGATATAGCCGAAGGCATTGCTGTCGACGAACGTACCCTCTTTGAGCGCAAGGCAGCTCTGGTCAACTCTGAAATCGACAAATTCGGTTTTGGAAAATACCAGTTGTGCCTTTGGATCCTATGCGGCTTGGGCTACTTCACAGATTTAGCCTGGGCTCAGGGTGTTGGCCTGATGGCCACAGCTGTGTTCCAGGAGATGGGCGTTCCAGCAGACAAGCAGGGTCTGATATTTACCTGCTCCAATGCAGGTCTTGCGTGGGTATATTTTTTCTCTAGCTGTTGTTCTTAGATTGACAATGTTCAGTATTGGAGCCTTTGGAGTTGGTATCCTCACTGATATCATTGGCCGAAAATGGGCCTTCCAATTGACATGTCTAATCACATCAGTTTTTGGCATGCTCTTGGTAAGTCACCTTGCTATCCATCTCAAGAGTACTTCATGGCTAATACACCCAGGCCGCGAGCAAATACAATTATCAGGCGGTGTGCGGAATTTATTTTCTTTCCTGCATTGGTCTAGGTGGAAACATTCCTATTGACGCAACTATCGCGCTCGAATTCTTGCCGCAGAACCGCCGCTATCTCGTTTCTCTTTTGGGGATGTGGCAACCAATTGGTGTCGTCGTTGCGTCCGCTATCGCCTATGGCACTGCCGCCAAGTACCGATGCGATGTGAGATTACCTGCCTGCAACAACGTTGCTGCTGAGGAGGAATGCTGCACCGTCTCGAGCAACATGGGCTGGAGGTACATGGTGATTGTTATCGGTGCTATGACCCTCACTCTGTTCTTTGCTCGGTATGCCGTCTTCCGGTTTCACGAGTCACCCAAATTCCTCGTGAGCAAAGGCCGCGAGCAGGACGCCATCGATGTTCTCCATAAGATTGCCAGGTTCAACGGTGCCGAAGCGCCTAATTTGACTGTTGAGGACTTCCAGCAGATTGAAATCGAAGCAGGTGTCACAACGGACAATCAGAAGTCCAAAAATACAAGCGCCAAGGGTGTTGTCGTGAACACACTCAAGAGCCTGGGCTTCCTCCGTGGTCTCTTTCGCAGTAAGCAGCAGTGCTTTAGCTTTGTTCTTCTCGCCCTTGCGTACATGGTAGTCGGCAAACTCCAAATGGTAGATCTTGAGATGCTAACCTAGGCAGGGCAATTATTGGTCGTTCAACTTGGCTGGATACTTCCTTCCCATTGTTCTGCTCAACAACAACGTGGACAGCGGTAGCAACAATGTGAGCGACACTTACCGCGAGTATGTGTATATTTATCTTCCCGGCGTGATCGGCGCTGTTCTTGCCCTTGTATCCGTGCAGATGCCCTTGCTCGGTCGAAAGTGGTCGCTGGTAATCTCAGCTGCCTTTCAAGGTTTGGCTATGGCCATGTACACCAAGGTCGAGAACTCTGCGGGGTACGTTGGACTCAACGCTTTCGAGTACATTATGCAGAGTGTGAATGATCGGTGAATAATGAACGAATGCCTCTCTTACTTCTCTTAGTATTTCAATGCAGTGCTGTACTCAGCCTCGCCCGAGATGTTTGATACAACGTATCGAGCGAGTGCGTCAGGCATGCTGTCTAGCCTGGGCCGTATCGCTGGTATCGTTGCACCCTTCGCCGGTCAGAAGTACATTGCACAAGGTCGTGCTGGTGTTCTCTGGCTGGGTGCAGGTGGTATCTGGGTCTCTTCGTTTCTCTTGTGCTTCCTCCCAATTGAGATGAGAAACAAGCAGATGTACTAGACGTGCAATTTGGTAAATTCACAGTGATATAAGCCCCTTCCCTTTATTGACGGTATAAAACAACGGGTTTCTTGAGACTGTTATGAAAAATGCTTTCTTGCTCATGGCGTTATTTCCAGTTTGTTAATTCTTTGAAAGTAGGTTGTCATATGGCTGTCTATAGACAATTTTGCAATTATGTGAATTTTTGCGCAAATGTTAGTATCTTGTAGCAACCTGTTTAAACTTTGTCCTCTCTACTTTGGCTTCTCGTGTCAAGGATAATGTTACCCTACGAAATTCTTGCCTAATAGTGCACTCTTTTATGTTACTTCGTAATTAGTCGTGCTCGTCTCAAAGTTGTTTTGCGAGCACTAGATAGTTGATCAATTAGCCTTGACATCTTTCATGTGATGATCGCACGGTTACGTAACGGACCCTTACGTGCTGAAGTTCACATCTCCCTCCATTGTAAGTCTTTGGGCATGGAAAAGGAGCTCCTCTCCTCCCATTGCAGATCCAGAGAACCTATACTTCTCCCTAATTGTCTTTTTAATATCTTTTCAAGTAATATCATCGATTATCTCTGCTGACTTCCTCTGAACTATTTACCTTATCAATTGCGATGGATGTCTTCAATATTAGCGGTACCCGATCTCCTCATCGGAGACCGCTTTGACCTTCGGGAAACCCGACGGCTCCTGAACTCTATCTGTATCTCTGGGCTTTCTTTGCTACTCCCACCAACATGGACGACTCCACTTGCAATTTTTTCTATTTTCTAACGGAAGAGCCCGACAGACTATACGGGGGTTCCGATGGCATCCGATGCAACACGAGAGGAATTCCCATAGCATGAATAGGCCGAAGACTCGGCTTTCGGACCCCCTGAGGGGGAGTATTTGATAGCTCGAGAATATGATAAAACTCGCTTTTCTCTAACAAGGATTTCTTATTCGTTTCATTGCTACCCCTATCCAGGATCATTGTGCACATCCTCGGACGCCATCATGCCCCCCTCTACAAACCATGCTGACCACGAGACAGTCCACCCTGAGATGCCCCTGATGAACGGTTATCGTGTCTCTGAGCCCGATTTCCCAGCGAACCAAAAAGCCGCAATGCAGGTAGAGCGCCACGATTACGTCGACCTGGCACCCACAACACGCAAGCGCGCACACTCAATGGAGGGCTTCGACGACATATACACCGACATTGTCGACTATATCGTACGCTGCACCCACCGCATTTGGGATGAGCGTGATATTGGTCTGATTTATACTCACTACACCCACAACTGCATTCTCTATGGCACCATGGGCACAATCTATGATCGCGAGTCTGTCGTACGGGATACCATCCAGCGCCTCGTCTCTCTCCCCGAGCGGCGCGGTATGGCCACCCAGGTTCTCTGGAACGGCGATGACAAAAAAGGTTTCTATACTTCTCACCTTGTCACTGGCACCGGCCGCCACACCCAGAACGGCCACTTTGGTCCTGCAACGGGAAAGACGTTCATCTCCCGCACTATCGCCGATTGCATGATCTACCAGAACCGCATATACCGCGAATGGGTCGTCGCTGATACCATGGCCATCATTAAACAGCTCGGTCTGGACCCAAACACCTTTGCCTACGATGCCGCCAAGGCGCTCTTCGACAAGGGATTTGAGTCCGTCGACATTGGCGAAAACCGTCGAATTATTGGCCAGCAGAATCCCGAGTGGAAGGTCGATACCTCCATCGCCAACAACGAGATTGAGGCTGAGACCTTGAAGTGGCTACACGATATGTGGAACTGCCGCATGTTCGGCCGCGTTGAGAAGCACTACGCACCTAATGCGCAGTACCATGGCCCTAAGATGGCTGAGCTATACGGCCCTGCCGCTGTTCTGCACCAGCATCTTGCTCTCCTCGGATCCATCCCCGACGCTGCGTACATGCCCCAGCACATCTGCTCTAATCCATGCGAGGAGGGCGGTGTTAAGGTTGCTGTGCGTTGGGTTATGGAGGGCCACCACTTGGGCTTTGGTATTCTGTCTGAGCTTGGCAAGCCTACCGGTCTGCAGCTTCAGATTATGGGCGCAACGCACTACCACTACAAGAATGGTCGCATTGTTGATGAATGGAATGTGTATGATGAGTTATCTTTGCTTACTCAGATTAAGTTGGGCCAGATGGTGGAGGCGGCGAAAAATAAGCAGGCGGCGTGAATGGTGATGTCGCTATATATTCTCACGGCTAAAAAAAAAAAAAAAAAATTATCGATCCAAATCATGAATGATTGTTCAGATAACGTTAATGAAATGTAATTACTAACACTATCCACTATCCGTCTCTGGTGGTGTGATATAGCCAACATGCAAGAACAAACCATATGCAAATACTTTGAGTATTACAAAGTGTCGGAGTCTGGAATTTGCGTATCTACTGGTAAATATACTAGATAGTGTCATGTGACAATGATTGAAAACGATGGTATTCAGGTCTAGCTATCATGTCCGTATCTATAGTAGAGAAGCGGAAAAACTCTACATACAGGTGAAATTTGACCACTTCGGGGCACATCTCCCTGATTGGGAAATTGCAAAGTGAGTCAGCGTCAGGATGCGGCAGTTGGATAGATTACCTGAGGGCCATTATACTGACGCAAAGGTCTCACTGGGTATGTAGTCTTTAATAAAGGTGTCAAGAAATGGAATTCCTACATGTCGCCCCTCTCCGAGTTTTCCCATATTGTAGTTACTAGTTGATTAATAGTCAGTTTCGCTCTTAAGCTGCTGGACATTCCCAGATTTATCAAACACAGAGATTTCCTTATTTGCGATTTTAACTGCCATGTTGGAATGTCGTATGTGCTATATTTGACAAAACGCGCTAAGAAATGGGTTATAAGGTACTTCATGGATTTTCAGGTCCAAATCCCGATCACCCTCTTCTCTACAGACACTACTGCTATCTTGCCAGTAATCAGCAATGGGCTTCATGAGTTCACTATTGCTATAGTTATCTAATCACTGATGACTGTTAGAAAAGTTGAAGTAAAGAACAGAAATAAAGACACTATCATGGACGGTCCGCCGGGGAAGTAGCGGATGATATGAACTGGCAGAACCGGGTGTCGCTTCGCAGTCGCAGCGCTAGGTAGAGCCACAGACGGATATAACACGGTGGGCAATCAAGCATCGGAGTGGGATATTTTAAACTCTGTCATTCAAGTCGTATCGACACTCTATTCATTACTTCTGCACCACAAAGGAATTGTTACTCTCCTCTTCGCATAATATTGTCTTAAAAGGCAGGAGGAAATATACCAGCAGACATTTAATAGGAAGGCTAACATACAGATTCCACCCGTACCATTGTTACCCCTCGTACAAATCGTCCGCCAAATTCGGCCAAATCATCGGTCCCAGTCCAGCCTGCTGCCACATATCCCACAAGTCCCCGCCCAATTGGTTCTGCATCTGCTCCTGGGGCAAGTTGCTAGCGTTCATCATCATATTGCTTGAATTGCTGCTCATTTTCTGTGCCTGAGTGTTACCAGACAGAAGTAATCCCGTCATCCCTCGCAGAAGTGGAACATAACGGCGTGCAAGGTGTCCTTCTGAAGGACTCGCCGCTTCAAGAGTACGAGCGGCGACGTCTACTAGACGGAAGAGGAGAGATCTGGAGGTATCATCATCGACAGCTTCATCTCGTTCCTGCGAGTGCGGGCGGAGATTCACTGTATGAACCTGTCAGCTACTCGCCTTGGCCAAAGCTGTCTTCAAAGACGACTTACAATCAACCAAGTTACTCAACCAGCTATTCACGAGAAAAAAAGCAGCATAAGCAACAACAACGATATAATGGTCGATCGCACAAGACATAATCTTCACCACACTAGGATCGGGCTCCAGCTGAGCCGGAATGACAGTATAATTTACCCTCGTAGATAACACTGGACATGACAGATGAATGAGAATCTGACTCGCCAATTCAATGGCCCAGGTTAACGCTTTGCCTGTCCGTTGAGTCGGATCCGTCGCGTCAAGGAACGCACACGTGTACGACAATCGATACCAGCGCAGCGAGGTAAATGGGAAGTGCAGACTGAAAGAATCTGTTGAACCGTCACCCACACTAGATAAGAAGTGTCGTTCAATGATTTGCACGTCAGCGTCGAATGCTTCAACGCTTTCTATAGTTGTTGGACGGCAACCTGTGAAGTGTGCGCCGTATGCTACTCGGAATAGGGATGTTAGACGGATGTCTGTGGGCTGAGCGTACTTGCATCCGAGGAAGTTGGCGAGAACGTTGTGAAAGGGTTCTGGGTTGAGGTAGGATGGGCGTCGGGCTGATAGTGCAAGGCTATAAAGAGGTTAAACGGGCAAAATAAGCAAATTAAGCGAAAGGGGTCTTACTAGTGGTCACTCTCTACGAGATACAGCATGGTGCGAAATCTCCGCGCGTCTTCTTCCGTTGCTGTCCCAGGACGCTGGAAACTTATGTGGCTGGTCCTTTCTAAGGCGAGAGACGTTGCCCAGCGAATTGCTAAGCCAAGGCATTGCCATGCACCTCCCTCGGAGAAACGAGATAGATATCGTTCCTTGTCGGCTGACACATCGAAAGGCATCCAGTGAGCACATAGCATGAGTGCTTGTACTGTTTCCACTTTTTGATCATCGTGCCTAGGTCGTAGGGTGATTCGCATAATCTCAGCGTCCAGTAAGCGGACAAGCTCAGTATATCGAGGGTGAAGCCAGCATAATGTTCTGGGAAATGTCAGTTAAGATGGTAGAGATGATGGATTGGGAACAGCTTACTTTGATGAAGCACTCCAGAAACGGGCACCGACGCAGAGAATGGAAAGAAATAGTAGAATGCTGCTTGAGCGGACTCGATCGATGTCCATGTCACGGCCCACATCGAGGAAAGGGGCGATCGGGTGGCAGTGGGTGAAATATCTATATAATGAGATTGGCTCGATACAGCGGCTTTCAGGGTACCTACAGCCTAAAAACGACACAACCCTCCCCTTTGCTCAATATAGAGCGAGCGACAGGATCGTGCATTTCAAATTCGACTGGGTCGTCTGTCTGAAAGCTGTTCAGTGCTTTCAGTGGGCCTTCTGTGTTAACGGCTCCTTGAGGGCTGGATAAGCTGGGTGTTTCAGAGTTGGAGAATGCGCCAAGACTGAAGAAGAGATTAAGGACTGGATAGGTGGTGAGACAGTTGAAGATGGCTCACGAGGATATACGAGGAGACCGACAGCTCGAGTCTCGCGATTGAGGGGTGGTTGTATTGTAGATCTGGTGAGACGGACCAGGTTCAAATGAATGCATGAGCGATGTCCTTGCTTGGGATCGCGACGTTTGCATACAATCGGTGGAATCTCTTTGAGAAGTAACAAACTGTCTCTCTAATTTGGTGATTCTAGACACGGCGTCAGAACAAATTTAGTGGCCATGAAACCGGAAGTCTGTACCTTGATGTCAGTAGTTCAAGCTGCTTTGGCAGCTCGTCATTTGTTGCAGGCACCTCTGGTCCCTCTACCGGGACTGCCCATACCGGAGAGTGTACATCTCCGGCATCGAATGCTGGCAAAGTGGGGAATAAAGAGGCTGAGGTAGAAGAAATTGGAATGCTATCCGTTGGCCCACTATCAACACCAATTGAGGAGGATCTTGAGGATCCGATGAGCAGGTAGGGGTTGTAGCGCGGATCCTTGACCTCCTCCTGAAAACTGCATTTGACCTTGCGGGTGGCGCACGGGCGGCACTTGATTCCGTACGTGAAACCTCCGCACTTCTGCTTCCTGAAGCCGATGTTAGTAGGGTAAATTATAGGGCTGGAGATATTGCATCGGCAATGCCGTCGGCGGTGCCGATATTGCTCCACGCAATCCGATCGGCATGCAACGCAGCAACACACCTATGTCTGCATTGTACACATGCATGGCCCGTCCGGCCAGCCGGTAGTGAGCTCAGGCCAAAGTTAGAGTGATGGGAAGTCATATTCAAGTATAGACGTGCTAGAAGGGAAGAGATGCGAAAGGTGAGACCAATCTGTCAATTTGCATCGCGGACAGAATCCTGTAAGGTACCAGGAGGCCCGAGCGTGGCTGCAATCTTGATAGGATAATTGGATGTCAGGTGGGGGTTCTTTAGCGACAACAGCGGCGACTTATCAGAAGCCAAACCGCATTCACATAGTTCCCCACAGATGTGCGGGGGAAGCGAGAGATACGGGAATTTGGCCCTTGGAGCCAATCAACATATTGGAATGTCCACGCCCGCTCGGCCACTTTCCACCGAACTGTTTAATTTGATCAAATCGATCTAATAAATGTGCACAGAACAAGTGCCATATCCATATAGGCAAGATCGTCTATGTTCGGAATAAATAATTGGCCACACTTCTCGCTATTTCGGATATCCACTAGTCTTTTAGGCTAATCCTTAGAAAGAAAGGGAATGTCATGATTGAGCCAAAACCCCCACCCTCGAACCTCAACGCCGTTCATTTCCCACCTTCCCGGCAGCTGGTCACGTTAAGAATCGAATCATCAGTATAGACTCTGAAGAATGATGCCGAAAAAGAAATCCAAACTATAGACCAGTCGACCGTGGCAAAGGGAAATATCAGACGTGATGGTTGTTATCGGTCGCTCGAGAATACCAACCGGGGTCAGTCCACTCCGCGATAAGACGCTGATCAGCACCTCGTATTCAATTATGTCGTGGCTTCCAGTGTTACGCATATTCGCATAGCAGTGATTGTTGACTGTGGGCAAGCAGTGGGCCACAACCGAAAGACTCCTCCCATGGACATACCTTGATCAGGTCAGGATAAAGAGATTCTGTGAGCTTCCAATAAAGTTCAGTCCTCTTTGTTCTAGCCACTCTCGCAGGTCCTGGGCACGTGATAACCGGTGTGGAATAATTTTCCCTTTGGTGATTGGATGCTATTTCAGCGCCGTTACCGCGCAGTCTGCAATTGGCTGTATGTTCGAGATTTTGTCCGTGGTGGAGTCTCTCCGCACGACGTTGAATAACAGGCCAGCTCGTCTCCGACACCGATCTGCGCTGTTAACGCCAGCCTCTATTTGACCTCCTCCAGCTTGAGCATAGAGTACGAATTGCGGTCCGCATACTATAATGTCGTCAAGAGAAGTCTCTTTCTCCAACCGGAGTCTCCCACGGCGCGTGGGCAAGAAGCGGGGGACCACGCGCGAGCGGACTGGGTGTCTTACTTGCCGTCAGAGGTGAGTAATCCGGCAGTCCCTTTCTATATATTATTCTCACACTCTTCATGCGATCTCTACCTATTATATACTTGTGCTTACTCCTGCTTCAGAAAAAAAAGATGTGATTTAGGTTATCCCGTCTGCAGGGAGTGCGTTCGCCTGAACTATAGGTGCAAATGGGAGGATCCTAGACCTCTCACGGGTGATCATCATGAAGCTGGAGCCGTTCATCAGGTCAGCCGAACGCCCAATGAACCATTCCGGCTTCTGTGCGCTCCAGACCCAATTTTATTTTGGGTGGACGAGCATTCGGACTGCATGACTGTCTCCAGTCGACGGCATTTTCTCCGATATTACACCCAGACATTCACGCATCTTTTGACTACCAATATTGAGAACAATTCTTTTCTTTCTGGTGAGCGATTGGTGAGTAGCCTATCCCCGGTGGTAATATCTAACTCAAGTCACAGTATTCCTGCCTATGGCCATTCACAGTCCGCCCCTCCTCACATCTTTAATTGCCTGGTCTTCATCCCACCTTTCATTACGGGACGCATCCTTCCAACAAGTCGCAATGGAGAACCGATGCGCGGCTCTTCGGGATCTTCGAGGCTCACTTGACTCTGATTCGTCAAATGTAGACACCAACCTCGCAATGTCATTGGTTCTATGCTCACTTGAAAGTATCATGGCGGATAATGGCGACGCCTGGTTTCTCCATCTTAGTGGCGCTGCAGGGGTCATAACTTCCAGATTGGACACTCGGGAGTCTCCCAATAGACAAGGCTCTGCGCGCATACTGCAACGGTTCGAGGACGGACACTCCGGACGGTGGCTCTTGCATAACTTTGCCTATCGCGACATTGTCATGTCTGTGGCGCGAGATCAGGCGCCCCTTCTGAGCTCCCATCACTTTTTACAACTCGATGAGCCTCAATTACCTGACCCACATTTCGGCCTCGCATCCGAGATTTTGGAGATCATCTACCATACGACAGCTTTAAATGAGGAAGTCAAGGCGACACTTCGCCCGAAATCCTCTCTACCGGATAATGTCCGATTGAATACAGATATTCGACCTCAACCTTCTATTCGGTCACCAGCCAGGATGTCAGAGTTCGTCTATCTGGAGTCTCGTCTTACACAGTGGGCATGTCCTCCCTCAACAGATCTCTCATTGAGACTGTTGGCCAAGTCATATCGCTGCTCTGCTCTGATACATCTGTATCGTGTTATGCGCCGTGCCTTCACTCATCACCAGGAGGAACTCTCATCAAAGATCGCTACTCAGGTTGCAGCTACTGTGGGTATTATCGAGCAGATGCCCACGCGAAGCTTGCCCGAGTGCACATTGCTTTTTCCGCTGTTTCTTGCTGGTGGGGAGGCGATACTGGACTCCCATATTAAGAGCATTCGACATAGGATGCTGAGTATGATTGAGTCGCGTGGTTTCCGCAACGTTGAAGTCGCGTTGTCCGTTTTAGAGAAACTGTGGCGGCTGAGGATCGCACGGAAGGCGGCAGATCCTTCTGTGCGGGTTGACTGGCTCGACATTGTGCAGCAAGATGGTATCAATCTCTCCCTATCATGAATGATTCACGAGTTATGCGGATTATCCCTCAACGACATGTAAAATTGTGACTTCCTTCAAAGCTTGAAATGTATACTGGTTCCATTCATCAAGACTTGGTTATCTTCTACCTCACAAACTGATCAGCAAAGCTCGCGCCTAGTCCCACGTCTTCGTAGTGCTTCCTCGCCGCTTGCAGCTTACTGAAGACATCCTCGACGCCGAGAGGAACGCCGTCGACGTCAACATAGACATAGGCGCCTGTCACGTAGAACAATGTGACCATCTCAGCGACTCCATCCGGGACTTCAAGAGTATGAATGTCACCCGGCGGTTCAAATGCATACCCGCCTTCCTCGGCCCACCAGTCGTGCTCAAGGTAATGCCAGCGGCCCCTCAGTACCGTCGCATGTACTGGACCTGTATGTCTGTGACGCGACAAAATACCGCTCTTCCTTACGCGCAGGATGTTGACAAAGTAGCCGTGCGACACGTTGAAGCAAAGTGGTCGGAACCAGACGTCTTTGGCTTGGGGGACCCATAGGCACTCATCGCAGTCTAGATCTAGGACTCCCGGAACAACGAGATCGTCGGGGACATTGGGGAGCTTGGGGCCCCGGTAGGACGCAGTGGAAAGGTCGCCTTTTTCCATTGTGGTTGATGGACTATCGATATGTTAGTGTTGGTATGAGGCTTTGTTAATCTCCGATTATACCTTTATTAAGGATACCTCTGCGATTCTAAATAAAAGAGCGTCTGCAGGAGTAATTCATGTATAGACTAGTGGTCTGACTTTATATACATGCTAGCGCCAAGCACTGGTGCCTTTCGGGAATTAGAATTTCTTTCCTCTTCTCCGGGCGTCAAGGGCGGCGAATCTCATAGATCTGCATTCAATTCATTCGTCTTCGGGTTATGAGAAATACCAGTATCCACAAAGTCAAAGTTCTCCAAGCCGGATAGACAGGGCCAGATTTGGTTCTTGGGGGTACGGGGAGACGGAACCCCAACGAGTCTCCACCGCTCAGCGTCAATGGCGGCGTTCCGATCAACAATCGGCTATAGAAATTTTACGCGACATTGATGATATAAAATCTCCCGCCATTTTATCAGCAGCACAAGTCTTCTCTAGTCTGGTTGATTGATCTCCTTGTCTTGTTATCTGCCCCAAATGACTACCGAGGCTTTCGTTTCTCGTTCTCACGTTCTCCATCGGTCCTTCTCCGAGCGACCTGCCAAGATTGTCGCTGGTGATGGCATCAACCTCATATTGGAAAACGGCAAAAAAGTCATCGACGCAAGCTGCGGTCCTTCCGTTTCGTGTCTTGGTCACTCGCAACCTGAGATCACGGATGCCATCGCGAATCATCTCAAGAATGATATTGCCTACGTCTACTCAGGCTCTCCGTTTACGAACGGTGCAACCGAGGAACTAGCTGATATTTTGCTATCAAACAAGCCCGGTGGCTTGTCAAAGGCTATTTTTGTCAACTCTGGCAGTGAAGCGACCGATACAGCGCTCAAGCTAGCCGTACAGTACTGGCATGAGCAAGGACAACCTCAACGGACACACTTTATTGCGCGAAAGCAAAGCTATCATGGCAATACCATCGGTGCACTCTGTGTCTCCGGCCATGAGTCTCGCAGGGAGCTCTACAAAGACTTCATGTCATTCAATGTGTCTTTTTTGGATCCCTGCTACGCGTATCGGATGAAGCGTGAGAACGAGTCAGACGAGGAGTTTGCTCAACGGCTTGCTCGTCAATTCGAGGATGAGGTCCTGAGATTATGCCCTGATCGTGTCGCTGGGTTTATCGCTGAAACTGTCAGCGGTACCACGCTCGGCTGCCTGCCCGCCGTGGTTGGGTATTTCAAAGCAATCAGGGATATATGCGATAAATACGGCATTTTATTGATTTTGGATGAGGTGAGAATCTACAAGCAAATCTTTTTGCTCCTTTGACGGATAGTTAACCGGTCAGTAGATTATTTGCGGTATGGGCAAGACAGGTACTATGCACGCATGGGAGCAGGAGGGTATTCGTGGACCCGATATTCAGACCATTGGCAAAGCCCTTGGGGCAGGTTTCGTGCCTCTTTCTGGTGTATTGCTTCACCAGAAGATTTTTGACACGTTGTCTGCTGGCTCCGGCAGATTGGCTCACGGCCATACTTTCCAGGTACCTCGCCGAACGATTCGAGTTCGCTATGGAGGCTAATCATGTTGCATTAGGCTCACCCTCTTGCTTGTGCTGCTGCGATTGCAGCTCAAAAGATTATTAAGCGTGACAATCTAATCAATCGAACGGCGCATATGGGACAGAGACTTAAAGTACTGCTGCTAAAGGAAATCGGCCCTCTTCCGCTAGTTGGCGATATTCGTGGCCGAGGATTATTCTGGGCCGTGGAATTCGTCCTCGACAAGGATCTAAAGACAGCATTCTCACCGGAGATCAACTTCTGTACCCAGGTTGTGAAACATAGTCTGGATATGGGGTTAAACATTCTTGGGAACCTTGGTCATACTGGTGAATACCAGGTTGACCATGTCCTTGTTTGCCCGCCCTACACCGTAACGGACAGCGAGCTTGAGGAAATTGTCTCTCTTCTCAGGGCTGCAATTGTGAAGACAAGCCAACCCTTTGTCAAGACTAAGCATATAAACGGAATAGGCAAGGTACAAAGTGATGTGACGATAGATGAGATTAAAATCGTTGGTTGATGCTGCGAAGAGATTGGTATACTTTCGCGGAATCCTGGAATAATTGGAAGACCAATAATTAAATTGGTCAATTTTAAAGGCACTTTTGAATTTACTACATCATGCTTTAAAATATCGACGGAATGAAGAAATGTCTAACAGACTTGGACAAGTAAAATGGCTCATCTAGACATTTATGGACACTGGGTTCTTTATAGCCGTGTATTAGTAGGAATTCTAGTAAGTTTTCATACTATGTTCTAATCCTTATCTACGAAATAGCTAGCGATAGCTATATATACGTCGCTCTACTAGTCAAGTGTAATTAAGAGCTTTACGTTAGTTAGAAGAAGGGAAGTAATTTTTCGCTAATCCGCTTAAGCCATACTTTAGAGCCGACGCCGCGCAGATTTTATTGAATAAAGTATAGACTTTACTAGAGGAAGCTGGGCTAATTCAATGATATCAGCGAGGTCTGCATACGCGAAAACCCGAAAAGGAAGCTAGGACTTTGCGATAAAGGTGATCTAGACTCCCCCCTACCTCTTTTAGTCCAAACCGCATTTAGACGAGGAGCACCATTAGCTAAAGCCTAGAGTATTAGATTAATTAGTGTTTTAGTCTTGATATTAAGTAGGATATTAACACACTGCGAATTGTAATGATTCCTATATATTCCACTAGATTGTGGTATTATTACTAGCGTTCTAGCATAACTTGCTCTTGAAACGCCGTACTAATAATTTAATTCTATTCGATGTCCATAGTAGGTGTAGGAACGCCTTTCAATATCTCTAACATAGAGCTATTAGATGCCTAGTAATATAAAATGCTACTTAGTGGAAATTGTCCTACGCTATAGAGGTATATATTGCCTCGAAATTAACTTTGTATACTAGTGGTAGCGGAGAATCGCGAGCTATTTGACGCCATTACTAAAGGACTAGATGAGACCCTAAGACGTAAAGTTATTATATTAAACGTATATAATCGGATAGGGAAGTATAGGACCGCACGTAGTTAGGCCCAGTCGGATCTGACCACGGCCGAATAGTACTATTTATGGACGTACATGTAATAAATAAAGGAAATGCCCAAAAAATCACATCTCCGTCCATTTTATCATTATTATGGGAGACGAATGTATAATAAACTATAATAAAGTACGCGATGAGGAAAACGCCAAGGGGGAATCATAAGTCCCTCTGATTCCAAACCTGAAACGCAGCAAGTGAGGATATTCGCAGAAAATAATAGCTTCAAGAGACATGACACGGAACAATCGAACAATCGTTACCAATACGTCACCTCAATGCGACATTGAAAGCAAAGTTGGGAATTATAATACCGATTAGAAATCCAATGCCCACTCTCCCAAAAACCAAAAGCAAATATAAAAGCAATACGGACGTCTCAGATCCCATCTATCTATGCGAAGTAATTCTCTATGCGAAGTAATTCAGAGAGTCACGGCCGAACCGGCGGGCACGCATGGGTTGGGGCGGAGAGCGGGCGCGCTTAGCAGCATTCGTGCGGTGGTGCTTAGCCATGGGAGTGTTGCGCTTGGTAGCGGCGGTATCCTGGTAGACCTGGAGGCCGTTGATACTCCAGTAGGTATCAGTGAATGCAGTAGGGTTGTTTCCGACGTAGTCGTTGCAGCTGCCGTCGAGGGGGCGCAAATGGCGTCTGAGGACCAGACGGCGCCGGCCCACTGGCCGCAGAAGGTGATATCGAAGATCTAGATCGGTTGTTAGTGGAATTAGAAGCAGGTGCTATGGTGAGAAAGGAGAACTGACGATCGACATGTCCATAAAGTGCGAGGCAAAATCGCAGTCTCCGGCAAAAGTGGCAGGGGGCTCAGGCCACAAAGTAGGATTAGGAGCACCGTCCGTGATGTCGGAGGGAATACCGGTATCGCGGCCAAAGAACCAGATGGAGATGCCCGAGTCAGTCCATTCTACAGCGTAGACACCGCCACCGATACCATTGAATCCCGTGCCGTAGGACGAGGCGTCGACGTTGTTAATACCGCAGCCAGCGTTGTTACTCTGGCCAGCGGCATCAAAGTAACAGTTGCCCGTAGTCAACGTACCAGTAAATCCAGAATCGTTGATCGAGCAGCCGTCCGTTGTATGCAGGGTCATCGAGTCGACAGCCTGTGAGTTGACGCCTTCAATGATATCAATCTCGCCGTTGTCGGGCCAGGTGCCATTGCCTAGAAGCCAGCTATGCTAGTCGATTAGTTTTTGAATTGCTTTAGCTAATAATTATAGCTTAAACATACAAGGCAGGCCACGAGCCACAGGCGCTAGCGGGCATATGACCTAGGTCAAGGATGAATAGGCCTTGGTTGTATGTGTTCGTGCTTGAGATGCGCACGCTATTGCGCCCAGTGGTGGTCACGGCCGTATTGTCGACGCCAATGTAGACAGCCTCATCATTCGAAGAGATGAGGCCACTAGCCTCGGCGGTAGCCTGATCCACATACGTGACGAAGCCGGAAGTTGGGTCCTCCCCTGTAAAGAATTCGAATTGGTCAAAAAAGGAGTCCGTATTGCCATAGTCATCTAGCAACGTATAAGCAGCAGTGCTTAGGTAGACGAAGAGGCCCAGTGTGAGAAGAAGGACATGCATGTACATGATGAAGGGAAAAAAGTTGATTGAGAAAGCAAAAAAGGGTATCTGTTAGAGAACCCCTGAGGTAGAGAAATAGACGCAATATGTATATAGAAAATAAAATCATATCCAAAAAGGGGCCGTAAACGGGAATGATACACCGGGCTGATGAAAGGATTGTATAAACCAAAAGCATGGATACAAATCAATGACTTGTTAGAAGGACAACTTTATTTCAAATCGCGGGCGGTTGGATGTTTATATTTAGTTGCATGGGTCCGGATTCGCAAGACGGATCTATGTCGACATGGTGACAAGGACCGCACGGTGGCGTGTTGCAGACAACCATCAGATCCCTATCGACTTGATAGAACGGTGGATTCCCTTGCGGGTAGAATCCTGGATCCGGGTCAAGACTAGAAATCGACCAGGATGTGGACAATAATGCTAGTGCAGGAAGTTTTCCCCACCGGGCGAGTACGTACAGTAACTTGTTTAGACCTACCACTCCAGACGAGGAGAATAAAATGCTTAGTTACAAGAGTTAGTTGCAGACAAAGACAAGTATCATTTTCTAGCGCAACTGGCATCCAATGGTTTTCTTTGAAAGCCGACATGCTCTGAATCTCTCCGACAAAATCATCCAACAAACGCGAAACCACGTGTTGAACCCACAGGTGGTCGAGCTTGGCCGTAAAAGGGAACACTGGTTCCGAACAGGACAATCGGGCAACTCGACCACAACGCGGATGATAACCAACCGAGGGACTGCCCAGGGTAGCCCGATCCACGGGGCCAGGGGCGAACGAATTGGTGGCCGTGGCAAAGGGAGTTGGCAAAAGGGGCGCCCCGAGAAAAAGAGAGAGCAGAAGAGTTTGGTTTTTCTGTGCTGACGGAGGTTACGAATCGACAAATTGGCAAGGTTGCTCGTCAGAGGGTCCTGCAGAAAGGGGCCATGTCTTGATTCCGGCCCCAAGTAATGTAATATCGCCATTTTAGGGCTAAATGGCGGGCACATAACGAGGGCCAGGAAATCCATCACAACGATGACCTAATTTCGTGCCCTATCGCATCACCTACAATTAAGAATAAAAAAACAAACAGAAGAAGCAAGTACTAATTTGTTCTACTGTCGTAGATCGCCCACGGTGCAGAAAGGTCACTGCTGAATATTCCTTCCCCAAAAGAAACTCAACACCGACACCAGTGCGCAGTCTAAAGTCTGGCAATGTTCTCTTCGGGCTACGGCCATGTGTAAAAGTTAGCACACGTGACTAACGCCCATTGTTTAGCGTAGGATATTTTACAAGTCAATATCCCAACAACCGTAGCTTAATATAAGGTTTTATGATATAATAGTATTTTGGGTCATATGTAGCCTAGTTATGAGATTTGAAGGGTTTTATATTTTGCGGTCCAGATATATAGATTTGATGTCCCTGCATTTCAATTTTCGGTAATTCAAGGAAATACTTTTTTATTTGAAATTTAGAACTTTTTTTTACTTTTATCATGCCTTTTAATACTGCTATACCAATAATCAAATAAACTAACTTGTGGTTGTTGAAATATCGAGTTGCAAATATAATGCATTTAATCTGGTGAGGAAATACGTTATCAACCTCGCGCCCGTAGATAACTAACTATCCGCTTCACGCTTTTAGTAAATTGCAATAGGCCTCTCCAGTTGGTATGTTAACACTACTCAGCCCTTCAGAGAAAAATCGGTTTGGTCTTATTTACGGTACCAGATGTCGCCTTGCGAGAGCCATCACTGGGCCTTCAATCCCTGCCAATATAATGTCAGAATCTCAATAAGTAACTAAAGATCAGCACTGCCAGAGAATCCATAGTTTGTGACCAAAGACATGGAAGCGATATCCGCCAGAACGAGCCCTCGTCGGGTCGTACTAACCCGCTTGCGAGCAGGCGTCTTCAGATTGAGATCCCCTAGCCTCCGCATGGTGCCATCTGTCCACTGTAACACCCCGCATTTCTTCGCCAATCAGTCGCAGTGGAGCCTAAAGCCAAGGTCGGGACATTAAAATCCCTCCGAATTGGACTTGGAGACGTTGCAACCAAGCCAGTATCCTATTTATTGGTCATTCTGAACTTTGTGATGTCACTACGAGGCAACTAGCACTCTATTTCTTAACCCGGGCCGATGAGGAGTAGAATTGCGCTGGGTAAAGACATATATAAATACTTGAAAGCCCCAATTCGTACCATTCCTTCCAGCATGCTACTGACATCAATTTTTCACCCCATCATGCGTTTCTTGTCCGCGACAGGGTTACTTGCTGCAGCATTTGCACTACAAATTCCGCTGGTCGCGGCAGCTCACAACGTAGTTGATCTCTCCGACCAGAGATGGACTCTAACCAGTCCTGGCAATGACACGATCAAGATCCCTGGGAAAGTGCCTTCGCATGCCCACATCGATCTATATGCCGCGAAAGTCATTGACAATCCGTGGGTTGAGCTTACTCGATAGACGACGGAAGGCTGACCGCTCCTAGACTGATTGGGCTCAATGACTTTGATCTTCGCTGGATTGCGTTTAGCAACTGGACATATAGTACTGAGCTGAGAGGAGTGTAAGCCAGACCTGAAATTGCATAATGCCCACCAGTGTCTGACCTACGCCGCAGGCAAAATTCCAAGCACCTACAAACCAGCCTCATCTTCAACGGCCTCGACACCTACGCTGCTATCGAGTTCTGCGGCCAGCACATCGGCAACACAGACAACCAATTCCGCCAATGGGTTTTCGACATCTCCCACGCTCTCGCGTCCTGCAAGTCGTACGAGCCCCTGCTCGAAGTCAAGTTTGGCTCTACGCCCAATATCTCAGCGGTGATTGCTGCGGAGCCCGGTCAGGAGACATGGCCAGACGGCGTAGACGAGGTTTACGAATTTCCGAACAGACAGTTTGTGCGCAAAGAGCAGTCCGACTTTGGATGGTAAGAAGAGCCGGCTTGGCTTTAGCTTTGAAATATTAACTGACTGCTCTAGGGACTGGGGTCCGGCTTTTATGCCGGCGGGGATTTGGCAACCAGCGTATTTGATACAGCTTGATGGGCCTGATTCGGTGTATGTAAAGAACTCTGATTTTGACCTTTATCGCAAAGGCCAGCTCAACAACCTGCCGCCGGACCAGACCGCCGATTGGATATTCAACGCCAGCATCGACGTCGTCGGCTCCGTGCCTAGAGGCTCGCAAATGAGGTACACTATCGTAGACTCAGACTCACATCGCAGAGTGAGCAATGGGAGGTTTGGCCAACTCGAGAATGGCGGAGATGTCATCACCGGAATTGCAGCGCTCAAGGAATCTGACTACGAGCTTTGGTGGCCCAACGGCCTTGGTCCCCAGAAGTTGTACAACATGGAGGTAGAAGTTGTGTTCGGAGGTCGGACCATTGCTTCGGTCAACAAGCGCATGGGTTTTCGAACCATCGTTCTCAACATGGAGCCTATCAGTGACCTGCAACTGTCGCAGGGTATCACTAACGGCAGCAATTGCAAGACAACCCCCCTGTAACTAGATAGACGTCGCTAACAGATACAGTCCACTTCGAGATCAACGGTCACACCTTTTACTCAAAAGGCGCCAACTTTGTGCCTCCTGACCCGTTTTGGCCGCGCGTGACCCCTGACCATATCAAAGGAATCCTGACCGACGTGGTCGACGGCCACCAGAACATGCTGCGCGTATGGTCCAGTGGTGCCTACTCACCTGACTTCATGTATGACCTTGCCGACGAGATGGGCGTGCTGCTGTGGTGCGAGTTCGAGTTCAGCGTCTCCCTCTACCCCGCGAACCCGGAGTTCCTCGAGAATGTCCGCCAGGAAGCGGTTTACCAAGTACGACGCACCAACCACCACCCGTCCATGGCGCTCTGGGCTGGCGGCAACGAGATGGAAAAGGACGAGCTTCCCGCCATACGGTCCGACTCGCCAGAGTTGTACGAAAAGTACCTCAATGAGTATCTTGAGCTATTTCTAAACACGCTACTACCAGCTGTGTACGGCAACTCACACAGCATCAGCTACATGCCCTGTAGCACCAACAACGGCTATCTAGAGCTCGATTTCAACCTGACGATCCCCTTCGTGGACCGTCTCTACAACACCACGCCGGGGTACCTCTACGGCGACAGCGACTTTTACGACTACAACGCCGCGCAGGCCTTTGACATCAACCAGTACGTCGTTAACCGCTTCGCCAACGAGTTCGGCTTCCCATCTGAGCCCAGCCTAGAGACGTGGCGGGAAGCCATTCCTGAGGATCAGCTGTACTTCAACTCCACTATGGCGGTTCTGCGTAATCATCATTATCCGCCAGGCAGTCTGGCGACGGACGAGTTTGACAATCCGCTGAAAGGACAGGGCGAGATGACGCTCGGAGTAGAGTACTGGTATCCCATTCCGAACAAGACTGATTCGGTGGCCAACTTCTCGGCGTGGTGCCATACTACGCAGATATTCCAAGCGGATTTTCTGCACACCAAGATCCAGTACTACCGAGCGGGTTCGTCGATGCCGCAGCGACAGCTGGGCTCGCTGTACTGGCAACTCAACGACATCTGGCAGGCCCCAACCTGGTCCAGCCGCGAGTACGACGGGCGGTGGAAAGTGCTTTTCTACACGACCAAGGACATCTACCAGCCCATCATCCTGGCGCCGGTATACAACGTCACGACGGGAGTGATGGATCTCTACGCCGTGTCCGACCTGTGGAGCGTCGTCGAGGGCGAGGCCAGCTGGGAGTGGATCGGCTACGATGGCAAGCCTGTGAACACATCATTGTCCGCCAAATCTCAGAAGTTCACCGTCGGAGCCGTCAACGCCACTGTGCTGACTAGCATGAACATCACGGACCTGACTAGCAGCGGCAGTCTACCCGCCGACAACGCCGTTCTAGTTGCCACCGTGACAGCGAGTGGCAGTCCGCCAAATTCCAAGGCGACCATGACGTATACGCACTCCAACTTCTTCACGGCCACCCCACTCGGGAAGGCCAAGTTAGTAGATCCGGGCCTCACGCTGTTGCAGGGGCGCGGCTCGTTCATTGTGACGGCGGAGAAGGGTGTGAGCGCGTTTACATGGCTGGCACTAGACCCCAAAGACGCGGGGGTGATTGTGGTTTTTGACGACAATGGGTTCCTGCTGCGGAAGGGAGAGAGCAAGACTGTTGGGTATCGCATCTCCAGTGGGGAAAGCCCTGGATGGGAGACGCGGGTTACGGTTGAGAGTATTTGGAACAACACGCTGCCGGAGTAGGTTAGCTGCCCTGTTCTGAGAGCTGAAGTCCGTTCGGAATCGAGAGACAGCATTCCAAAAAGCTGCATAATTAAAACCAGCCCAATCCTGCTTGAAACCATTATTTCCACAGAAAAATGCTACTTACAGGTTGTAGGTGCGCATGATGCCGAGAAATCGAATAGTCAAGTAAACGAAGTTGTGGATCAGCTACCCGCCTGTTTCGCGACTCTGATGAAAGTAACCCGTCAAACGCGCCTCAAAATGCAAACAACGAAACGATGAAGGTAATTCAAGTGTCATGATCGGCATCTATCAAAATGGAAAACACTAGTGATTCAACATGCATCCCTAAGCTGGATTAGAGAAACTTTGACGGGTGAAAAAGGCCTGTAGCAGATTGCAAGTCGGCAAATCGGCAAGTAAGCGTGTCTAGAAGTACCGTGCTTCCAAGGCAATGAAATACAGTTGCTTTTCTTTCAAATGAATTACTAGTGAGGCCTTTTCCTACCTTAAGACTTCCAAGGATGTTCAGCTCCATTGAGGCCATGGAGCAGTGCCATCATCCATATAAAACAACTCGGATCCAATCAGGTCAGGGTAGAGAAATCCAATATTCGAGGATAAAGGTGAGGGAGCCAGGACAGATAGCGTACTATGATCATGTCCAGGACTAAATGCGAAATTTTCGGGCATTTGCTGTGCCCCGTGGCGTAGTTTCTTGAACTGAAACGAAACAATGTCGCTGAGCAGATGGGCTGCATGACACGGCAAGCCTATAGACCGAAGCCAAGTTATGAGCTTTACCACAAAACGATCTAGACCATCGACGTCAATCTTTGCGACACGCAAATGTGCATCATACGTGTGGACAAGGCGACAAAGGGTCAACGCGGAAAATGTTACGATATGATAGATATGATCGGTGAGATGGCGAGTACGATCATCCGTCGTGTCAATGGCGAGATTTATAATGCTGCTTGAGAGGTCGATCATCTCCATGATAACAGAGCCATCCAGTAGCGTCTGAGGTGACCTGACAGATTGGTAATAAGCGAGAAGGTGCGCAAATTGAAAGCCCATCTGGAGAAATTGAGAGCGAGGCTCATCTATAATCATATTAGTAACCACTTTGGCAGCCCCAATATTATGATTCTGAAGGAACTCACCGAACAAACTTGCCCACTGCTTTTTCCAATTTTGAAGCGCAAGCTTCGCATCTGATAAATTGACTCGAAGACCACAACACTTTTCATATATTACCCAGTACAGCTTAACCTCGGCTACCATTCTTGCTTCATAATTTCTCAAGTTGCCGCTCTCGACAAGGAGATGACAACGATCGACATGTGCCTGAGTCAGGATTGCCTGTCTTCGTGTACCAACGCAATACCTGTAAAAAACAATGAGCATACTGTAAAATAATGTAATGGATGTGTCTCATACTGTAAATGGGCGACACACAGATGATTCCAGAGAAACCACGCATCAATATGAGAATTATCAATGCTCCCATTTAGAGGAAGTTTGGAGATATCTGGGAAGCAGGAGCTGGCAAATCCCTGCTGGAGAGCGTAGCCAGTCAAGAGCCAGCTATCAATGCTCAGAGGCACTTGCCCAATTGTTGTAGACCATAGACTCAAGATGAGCATAGCTTGGAAATGTTCGATCGATTGTGGAACGATCAACAGAGAGCTTGATACCAGACGCTTCGCTTCACGGAATAATCGTGGCGCTAGTTCATCTGCAAGATCTTGTGTGGTATGTCGTACAGCAATTAACAGAACGCTGCATAGTAGCAGCGGTGAATTTCTCACTTGGGTCAAAAGCATATCAGTCGACGTATCCTCCGAGAACCTGACCCATCGCCCATAATGAACATGAAACCTGATCGTATAAGCATATCGAAGTCAAGGTTAGATTCGGGACTAACAGCTCAAGCAGAGAGTAAGCGGTGGGCAAGTTGACCAGTCCAGCGGAAATCACATCATATACAATACCAGAGCGTGACTCAAGTTGCTCTGAAGATGAAATCCCAGCATCGTTGGCAGCATCGCGGATCAGGAAAACGGGCGCAGGATTTTTCTCAGATGGTGCGCTTTGTTCCTCAGTTCTAGGCAGAGCGGTGTTTCCAGAAGGATTTCCGTTATCTTTGAGTTGTGAATCTAAGCGATTTACTAAAGCGGCAACTGTCCTTTCAAGCCTATCCAGTCTAAGTTGTCTGGGTCAGTTCGTTCGTCCATTTAAATTGTTATGAAATTTCGGGGCTTACCTCGCATCTGTAGACGAGAATCGATTAGGACTAGCTTGTCGAAGGCTAGCTTCACGTCTATGCTGTCGCTCTGGTGTTGGACTCGACGAGCGATTTTCGAAGATATCTTCAAGGGAGCATGGTAGAGACAGCGTATGGCAGCGTAGACAGGTGTTCTTAACCCCCTCATTGGCATAACAACGCGTTTTATTTTTGCGGCACAGATCACATGCCTTTGAAGCTCTTCCTGAGCGCAGAGGTGGCATGATATGCAACACCACTAGTGTTTTATGCTATCATTGGGGTTGTCCAACACGAAAAGTTCAGATGCTCGAGAGGGATAGAATTGGGGATCTCATTGGTGATGAATCCCCGATGAGAAATGGCGCAATACTAGATCACGTGGTATGCAGAAACTGTCAGCGCGTATGTGTGTATTGATTTGATACTTCATCTAAGGTCTCGAAAAAATCGAGAACTCTCTGCGATTTCGAGGTAAGTTCCCATATTCTGCTAATTATTCTTGCCTAAACGGTCGGGCAAAATGCCTGTGATGCGCAATGGGTGGGAGTTGGATGCGAGGAACGACGTGTCTACCACCTCTGCCCCTGATGCGATGCTTGCCCTACCAACCACGAGTTCTGGTCTTATCCGCTAGGCTTTAGGGCCTTATACAGCTCAAGAAGGTACCATATAGTTTAAAGCGAAATAGAGGCACACTGGCGAGCGAACAACGTGGAGAGACATTTCTTTCGTACTCGGTGGGATATCACGATCCCAAATACCTACTTGACAAGATGTTGACCCGAAAAGCAACTAGACTCCTAATATAGAGGTCGTCAAATGTGTCATCCAATTCGTCATGACGACCAACCACCTGGACCAAGAGACAGAAAGCTTTAAGGGACGAAACTATATGTACATAGATGGCTCAGCATAACTGGCACGGAGGCTGTGCACAGCCAGACAATTAATAAGAATAGTAGTTAATCACTACATGACATTTGCTTACCATAGTATCATAGAAATTGGCTGAGTTTTGAACTGTGATATTGCCACCTATATTATATTAACAAAGTAATATGTTGTATCCTTCAACAAAAGATGTAAGGAAATCTTCGTTCCTGCGAACATCGGTTTTGATGATAAGTAAGCTCCCTGGATCAACGTGCAAACATCAATGCTTGATATGGTCAACTATCGAGTCATACTCTATCTGTTCCCCAGGAAACTCCGCCTTTTGTCTCTACTCCAGAATCTCCACTATCAAACAAATGGTACAACAATTTCCAAAACAAAATAACCACTGTGGCAGCAATTGCACAAGCGGCTGCTACTATTAAGCCGTATCTATAGCGAGGTGCATCTGTTAATATTAGTAAATTAAATCTCAAATCTCTCCAGCTTAATCATACCTTGTGCGCGAAATAGTTGGCTGCCAGGGAAGTTTGCAAGTTGAATACACATCACATACGCCGCCAGAGCAACCGGACGCTTACAGTCCTGCATTTTGGCAGTTAGCCACGCAGCACTGATCGCTTGTGCACTCCCCATGCCCATTTGAACCCAGACAACGCCTCCTGGAAGGATTTATCAGTGTCATATCTTCACTTTTCGAAGTAGTAGACGTACCATAAAGAATCCACTTGCCGACATTATCAGGGGATAGTGCGAGCCAAAGGAGGCCAGCCGCCCCCCATAAATATCCAACCGCAATGTGGAATCCGCGTTCTTGGAATTTATCGCTACTAAATGCGAGTAACACAGACCATATCAAGGCACATATGCTGCCGACCGAGTTAAGACCGTTCGCCTGCCAGGAACTGAACCCAAGAGACTCGATAATGGACGGCGCGTATGTATTCATTGGTGATATCATCACCATAGAAAGCAATGCAGTCACGAGATGACCATAGAGTCTCCAATCGCTGAACGTGCTTAGAATGTGAGAGGGTAGGACCGGCTTTCCGTATCTCAGCGCTTTCGTCGGGTCGTTGTAGATTACCCGAGTAACCAGGATAGAAGCTTCTCTCGTGGTGAAAACTGAAAAAGATATACCGAAGAAGGACTTGGATTTAGCGGCATTATGAGGGAAATATAAATAGGCAACAACGCCCAGGAAGCATGTCAGCGCCCCCTCTAGAATTGATTAGACAGCGAAGCAATTTCAGGTATAGACTGGTACAAACCAATAAGGAAAAGCCACTGCCATCCGTGCAGCCCACCTCGTCCACCTAGGGAAAGTAAACCAATTGACAAGGGCCCACCTAAAGCTCCTGCAAAGCTGTTTGCAGCCCAGAAGATAGCATATCGAAATGCAAGCTCTTGATTTGTATAGAATCTAGAGATATAAAGAGCAAACCCCGGTATGTAGCCACCTTCCAGTGCACCAATAAAAAAGCGAGTTGCGAAAAGACCGGTTGCGTTTCTTATAAAGACTTGAGACCATGTCACAATGCCCCAAAGGAACATTGTCATTGGCAGAAATCGCTCAGGTCCGATGTACTTGCTAACCATGTTGAAAGGCAGCTCTGTAATAATAAAGCCGACAGTAAACAGCGTCTGTGACAAGTTTATTTCTCTATTTCCCACATTGATATCCTTTCGGAGGGTATCGGTGAGGGCATTGCCAATATTGCTTCGGTCAAATTGCAGGAAGCAGAAACAAAGCACAATTGGAGGCAAGATCAGAAAATCAACCTTCAATAAAGCTTTACGGATCTCTCTTCGGTCAAATTCAAGGCTGGAATCGTAGCCGGGGACATCAACGGTTTCGTCCAAAATGGCTTCATCTTTGCACTTATCGCCACCAGGCCGACTGGGAAAGTCCGTCTCGGATGGAGCGTCCATAGTCGGATATATTGGACGCAAATTAGAAGTGGTGTTTAGCAAAGTCGATCAAAAAATATGCTTTTGAAAAATAATAGCTTTTGATCATTGCTTTCAATTCAAGAGCCCGCTGACCAGCGAAATTACCTACTTTATACATGATCACACGCCAAACAAATCCACCTCGCTCATTGACACAGTAGATTGGTTTCTGAGGAATTCGAAGATATCATGAAAGCCAGAATGGCGTGCTTATCAGGACTACCCTATCTCAACGCTCGATGACAGGTGGACCCTCAGTTGATAAAGGTGTCAAGCCGACGGCATGCCGCCGGCAAAGCCAGAAAACTATCAACTAAGTCCTAATGTTCCTACGGGATGCCGTCGGTTGCCATTGGAAAATGCTTGATGGAGTTCAAATTATAACAGCAGCTTATCTTCGCAATATTTTGAGTTATTAGCTCAAAAAATCGAATAATTTCCGTCCTTTGACTCTCCCTTTTTCAACCCTTTTTCAACAGTCAACTTCACCAGCTCTCGCGACAATGGAGCAAAACACCCTCAGGAGACGAAGTGTCGGCCTGACCGGAGTGGACAAACAACGCTCATTTGGGGGTTTTACTCTTTTCTGCCCTCTTACCAGTGATACGGCTCATCTCATTGATATCGATGGAAAGGAGGTTCACTCGTGGAAACTTCCAGGCAGAATCGGTCGTCATGCCAGAATTCTTCCAAACGGAAATCTCGCCGTCAACACCCTCCGTCCAGCTCCCAGGCAAACAACTGCAGATGGAGGTCCCTACCCATTCCCGTTCTTCAACAAATATGGTGGAGGAATAATGTCCGAGCTCGACTCCGAAGGCAACATAGTTCGTCAATTCACTGATCCATTAGGCCACCATGACCAGTATCACTATGGTGATGGACGAATCTTGTATACTTCTCTAGAGGCTTTGTCTCCGGAGGATTCAGCAAAGATTATTGGCGGAGTTCCTGGCACTGAGATCGATAGGATCACATACGCCGACACAATCTGTGAAGTCGACGGAGACGGCAATTTACTTTGGCAATGGAAAGTCTCCGAACGACTACCGAGAGAAGAGTACCCTCTGCAACCGCATTACACACGTGAACACTATCCACTCATCAACTCAGTTTTGCCGCTGCGAGATGGGAAGCACATCCTCGCTTCGATGCGCTCCGTTTCAGCGGTTGTCATCATTGAAAGATCCACTGGCAACATAGTATGGAAAATCGGATCTGAAGTCCTCGCACAACAACATAACGCTACGGAGATGGAGAACGGGAACATTCTCATCTTTGACAATGGTGCCTTCCGCAACGGCGAATCCATTACATACACCAGGGCAATCGAAGTCGATCGGTCGACGAAGAAGATTGTTTGGGAATACCGAGACCGCTCGCAAATGCTCTACTTCTTTACCCCGTTCATGGGTAGTGCTCAAAGGCTCGACAATGGCAACACACTTCTGTGTGAAAGTGCTTTTGGCCGTATTTTTGAAATCACTTCGGATGGGTATATCTGCTGGGAGTATATCAACCCTCACTTCGCCCCATACTCCGATGACGCGACAGCGAAGATATTCCCAGGAGAGTCCAATGCCTTGTTTCGTGCGTATCGCTATTCTTCTGAGGAGATTCCTTGGTTGGAGCAGAAGCTAGCTGACCCGGGCAACTGAGTTAAGGCTATTTTGATCAAGTGTACCTGGAAAATATGCATGAAATGGAAGTGGAGTTGGCCTTTATGAAATTGTCCCGGGGCAACCATTGGAAAACATACTGTATGTTCATATGATAAGTCATTCCTCATATCTGAGAAGTCATCGAAGTAAATTCACGTCAGTCTTCAATTAAGTACATAAATACATATTTTCATATAAAAACAAGGTCTATGCTCTTAAAGTGGACTCTGGGCTCTTCAGAATTACGATCCTAGACATAGTTAGAGGTACATCCAAGCTTGATGGTAAGGCGTCTATCCTTAGCAGTATCTATCCTATTGGTATCTCTTTCTAGATCTGTGAGCAAATGAAGTAGTTCGCTCACACGCTCAAAAGGTAGTGCAAATTCCTAGTAATAGATTAATTATGTTCTTTATAGGTTAGGGGGCTACCTATACATCGAACATATCTCTATATCGTTCGTATGGAGAAAAAGTTATTTCCATTCTAGGAAACATGTGCAAGCATTCCATTTGTTATAATAAAACTCAGATGGTTGATGATTGACTATGCGCACAGTATATATAACCGTCTCTGCCAAGAGGGTAGGACAAATTGTTTTAGATTGCAACGAGCAGTACGACCAGTTCAAGCTGATATTCATTCCTACCCAGTTTTCACTATTCAAGCAAACGGACTTACAAACATGCTTTTCGCTCTTCTTAATCTTTTATGCTATACTTTTGTCACTGCGCTCCCCCCAGAGAAAGTGCTCCAGAAAACTGGGTTGAGGGTAAGGGTCCCTTTGGGGGTAGAGTCCAGGGTCCCCACTGAGGAGGAGTAATAGTGTTAAAGGTGGGAATGCTTGAAATTTAACATCCTTCGATAATTTTCTGAGGGGGGGGAGGCGGAAATGGCATGCTGCGAATCTCAAGCACTCAGTGGTCCGCCATGTTTCAAAAAGGTATCGGCACAGGATGGTTCTCTGCAGAAGTAAAATTCCAACGCGGCTGGATTGCAAACATTCGAGACCCAAGCGAAGTCACCCAGCATTGCTTCAATTTCTTGCCATAGCTGGACATCCAGGTAGTGGGCTAGCAAACACGCTCTCTCTCCGAACCATTGACGTTGGTCTTTAGAATAGGAGGAGCTTCCCCCCACGGCAACACACCACATCTCGAGTTTCCAGAATTGACGAGTTTCTTTTCCGGGCCGAAAAGAAGACAAATGACGTTGGATCCGACTGATTGCGTGTTCTCTCGCCCATCTTGAGCGCGGTATTGGGAACACAACCATAATGCCGTAGAGCTGTGCCGCCCACCGACAAGCTTGATATATAGAAATACAAGTGTTAGAATCAATAAAAGCACAAGGAGAAGTGGTGAGATCCGCCGACTGAATCGTTGGCGGTAAAGACAGAAGGTTATGCATAACAACGGCTCTCGAGTCCAAAATATCATCGAGATCTAGATTGGGGATCCTGCCGGTGCAATAGGCATCAAGGGTCGCGGAAAAATCTCCCAAGGAGATGAAAGTGTTGACAACTTCGTCCGGCACGCCAAGTGACCTAAGGACATTAAATCCACAGCCCAAAGGAGGGTAAGAAGCTCGAGAAGGGTTATCAGCATCAAATTCTGCAAATTTCCTTATCGTGGACGGATTGCCCTCAACATCAAGCATAGGATACAAAGGTTGGGAAAGTGTTGTTGAAACCATAATCAATGCGGCACTGCTCGGAGTTAGAGATTTGGGGTCCTAATAGTAAGGGACGACGTGCGCGCTCACCAGGTAATAATCCAGGGCAAACCGAATGATTTCACCTGCTTTATACCCCCACATTGATTGAGAAGCTGGAATATAGCATCCCAGTGAATGTTGTCGGTGATAAGAGTCCCATAAGTATCTAGCCAACGACCACTCGTAAGTACGGGGAAAAAAGGAGTTGGGTCTTTGGTGGTCATCAAATTGCCCTCTTGTACACTCGTTGCGAGACATATGCATATCATCAGGAGATCATCAAGGCAGGCATTACACTGGCTTATGCTGCAACTTTGCACTTGCTGTCTCATTGCTGTGATAGCATCAGTCTGTAAGACCAACAGTTCCCTGCTGTCCTGCAAATAGCCTCCCGTCATGATCATGCGAGAGGATAAGTGGCTCGAGGCAGCAAAGAGGATTGCGTTGAACAAAGCAGTATTGTCGACACAGCGAGGCAGCCAAAATGCAGGGAATGAGTTTGTAGATCCGCGAACACTCTGTGGAAAGCCTGGCCATAGCCGCAAAACAAGATGGTCTATGAGCTGCAAATCACGACTGTTTCGAACTGGCAATGACGATACGCCACATAGGCTCAATCCACTCTCATAAAGTGGCGTATTCTCGGCGCGTTTAATCTTATTAAAGTCGTTTTTTCGTTGCTGTTCTCTGGGTGGCTGTCGAACAAGCTGCCTTTGGTGGACAGTTTCATCCGAGTTGTTTTTCTTCGAAGAGTGGTTGGCAATGTGGGCAATGTGGCTACGAACAGAAGATTGTTCTTTTCTGGCCACACTGCCTCTTCGACCTTTGTGCTCAATGAACACAAAATGAGGATCTTCATCTGTTCCTGTAGTCATGTGGAAGATAGCGCCAGGAGAGACGTCACGAACAAAGGTATGGCCCGAACAAAGGTATGGATACGAGAGAGTGCAAAAAGTACTCTTATAACGCAGGCGGCGTGGCGACTATCCTTTTAAGGTAAATGGTGTAGATTGAGCGGCTCACGTAATCGAGTTGCCAATCCTTTTATAATTGGCTAATGTCGTGTTTGATCATTTATCTGTGGCATCTCATTGGCTGTGAAGGTGTAGCCCGTCATAGACTCTTGGCACCCAAGGGATGCTAGACGTTAGAACCTGTCACACAGGAAGGATTTACCAAAGACTAAGTGGTGACAGATAGACTCAATTGGCTCATCAAATGTCAGAACTCTGGCTCGGACCGCCGCGCCACAGCTACGTTTGGGTAAATCTCGACGCCGTCCAAAAGGTCAAAGAAGCTTTTAACCGAGCCGACTAGTGTTTTGAGTCTTGCAACTTGGAAACGCATCTAGATGCCTTGTGGCAACCTTTCTGTTTAATTATTGATTAAGCATCAAATATTCATAGTTCTTTGAATTTTCTTGAACTGCAATCTCTGAACTAGGCAATCGAGGCTCCTTAACGCATGTATATAACTCAAGGATTGAACTTTGAGAACGTTTGTTCCTGCCAACATTGCTCCTTCTGCTTACCGGTGTCCCTTCTGGCGCTACTGGTACATCTGGGGAAAATGCCATCAACGGCTTTAGATTCACCTCGACTCGCTAGCTTTGACTTGCCCCACCGGCGCTATTTGCGCTCTCGCAATCTTACACCCTAACTCTCGCTAGCCGCAGACCCTAACCATACGACGTGTCCGAAAATGTCCTTGATCGGTAAACTAAAAGAGACAGATTACTCTCGAAGTTCATCAGCTGTTTACAAGGGGAGGGAGACTTCAAGGTTACTGTTTTCACTAATGTATGCAAGTATTACAAGGCTCAAAAGATTTTGAAATGTCATATTGTGTGATGCACTGCAGGGCCGGACCTGTTCTATGGTTTCCCTGGCTTGGCTCAATCTTGCTTCTCCATGTAGGGTAAACATGCTTCATAAATCTCCTTATACCCAGAATGCCTGAAGATCCTCTGGAACACACTCTCATCCACAATTCTGGCAGACTGTAGCGACCCAGTAATGGTGAAGTCAGCGTAGGTTGGCCGCGCACCCAGCACAAATGGCCCCTCGGCTTTGTGTGTCTGCATTAACTGGACGACAGCACCTATGCTGTCACCTACCGCTTTCCAGCTCTGCTCCTCTTCGGAAAGCTTGTCCTCAAGTCTGCACCCGAGCGAAGCCTCACGCGTACGTCTGAAGTATTCCTGCGCACGGGGCGACAGAATGCCTATCTCGCGCGGCATAACGGAAGCGCGAAAGGCAGGCCCGACAACATCACGTGATTTAGATATGATCTCACGACCCAGTTCCGTCGTCAGCGGTACCGGCGGGTCTGGGTAGGTCGACTCGAGGAATTGTGCGATGAGCATGGATTCCATGATATACATATTGCTTGGTATGTGGTGGATGACGGGCACTGTGTATTTATATTGAGAACTCGAAGAGGATTCGCCGGGGACCACGCCACTAGAAATCTCAGATTAGCGTCTCTACTTTCGATCTGTACCTTGAGGCTATACGTTAAGGGAAAGAAACAGGAGGGGTTGGAGAGGCCATGGGAAGAAAACAAACATAAGACGAGTATAGCTTACAGCGCTTTCATTGTAGGCTCAATGTCCGGGAATTCGAGGAAGATAGTTCTATAAGGAATACGCTTATAGTTAAGCATGAGGCGGATGCGCCAAACAACCGGAGAGAAGCAGACACCCCTGATGCAGGCCAAGTCGTACAGAACAACCTCGGACTCAACTTGGGCGGTCATATTGTGGTACACTCTAACGACGACTCAGATAAGAGGTAAAGTGCAATGTTGTCTCGACGGATTGCATTTCAAATCACGAATTTTGATTGTGATGCATATAAATGATTACCGGAATACTTACTGTAGCTCTGAAATGGGTTGAAGAGGGAGGGGTAGGTAACCCGAGGTAAAAAGGCGATCTTAGCAGATCATCAGATCTGCCAAGCGATTCCACGTGACTCCATAGGCCATTACGGTATTATGACAATGCCTAATCGATTGGCATTAAGTAGTTGTTTGGTCTGATCCATCTTCTGTTGCACACCATGCATCTAGCGTTTCGTCATGGGGCTATGTTTGTTTGTACTTATCACGTGGTACTCGAATACGATTTGGAAACCGCCCTGAATGTGAGTCACTAGTGGAGAGCTTATTGTGTCCGCCTAAAGTGTTGTTTATATGACTGTGGAGAGTCGTCATCTTTGAATTTCTGCTCTTGGGTTTCGTCTGTGAAATACCTACCCATTGTGTGCTTTGTTCTGATTATTCTGCCTTATTGCAAGTTTGACAATGCTCGGTGAACATGTGTCGGATATGTCGAAGATCCTTAATCAATGCCTAGGGCACAATAACAATATTCGACATTCGAAACCTGAATCATATCTTCGGGATTCATCTTTAGTGTACTCTACAAACCTACTAGCTGCTACTGTTCCTAGCCACTCGCCAATAAAGATCAATGAGAGGTTGCGGAGATAATGAAGGCACGGGAATTCGGCATTTTAGAAATCCGGCGCTAGAACCGCAACAGCTATACCCGCTTCACCCCCACTTTGCGACTTTCATCCACAGCTCTTGTTAAATATCTCAACGCATTTCCGACAACAGACCCATTAACGAAAGCCAGGGATTATCAACACCAAACATTTATAATCATAAAGATGACGGCGGACGCTTCGGCTGCCCGAGCCCTCGAATGGAAAGCTAAGAACTACATGGATGATCTTCCAAACGACATCGGTCCTTTCCGAGAGCTTCTGGAGAATTACAGCAATATCTCACCTGAAAACGTAAATGAGCATCTCCATTATATTGTAGGCATATCCTATCACTATTTTTAGCCCAAAGACTGCAAGCTGACTCTCCTCGCAGCGCGACAAAGGATGGGATATTCATCGCTACCCGTGTATAGGACGCTGGTCCTTCACCAACATAAAAGGGCTAGATCATCCCTCATTTCGGGCCATTATCAAGCGACTTAAGCAACGTGGCTCACAGGACACATTCCTCGATGTGGCCTGCTGCGTCGGACAGGTTCTGCGCAAATTAGCTTTTGATGGCGTCGATCCAGCTAGACTGTATGGGACAGATCTCTCCCCGGAATTTCTAGAACTCGGCTTTGAACTTTTTAATGATCGTGAGAAATTTGGACCCGACTCATTTGTTGCCGCCGACTTGCTTGACCCCAGTGATGAAGGGTTAAAGAAGTTGGAGGGCAAGGTCACACTTGTTAGTGCGGGGAACTTTTTCCATTTGTTTGACTGGGACCAACAGGTGTTGGCTGCGAGAAGAATTATCAAATTTCTAAAGCCAGATGTTAGAGATGCGGTTATCCTCGGAGGTCAAATTGGGAGCTCAAAGCCGGGCAACTTCACTACGTGGACCGGAGCCACACGATTTTTACATGACCCCAAGACGTTCCAACTGCTGTGGGATGAGGCTGGCAGGACGACAGGAATAAAGTGGAAGGTTTCTTCAGCATGGATTAGCAAGACAACGATTGATATTCCTGGCTTTCCTGATGAGAGCCGATACCTCGTTTACATCGCTCGCCAGATTGGCCCAGCGGTATCATCATGATTTATTGAGAGTCTGGGGAGGAGATTAAGGCTTTGTCATACTCCGTATGCCATGTAAATAATTGCCATTAATCAGTTATTCGCTTGCTCGGGTTGAAAATGAAACAGGGTCATTCGATATGCACCGACTCGTACAGTTGTCGGTCCGGACATGGGTAGAGATCCACCTCGAGCTGGCACGGTGGCAAAGAGAAGTCGCGAGCTGTCATGGCACATAGGTCTTTCGATGGAAACTATGAGAGTTGGACGGAATGTCAAGAAATACTTCCACATGCGAAAGAGGCGATGAAGTCGATATCCGATGAGGATGAAGATCGACTGCACGTGGCTACGATTGCCTACAACTGCGAATGGTATTTACTGCTTCGAGTAACATATGAAGAGGCGGAAGTGATGCAGCGATGGGCGTTGGAAGCACGAGAGAAGGTGCTTCGACGAGAGCATCCTGACACACCCATCAGTCTCAGTAAACTTGGCTTAGTGCTCTCCAGCCAAGGGAAATATGAAGACGCGGAGGCGATGATAAACGAGTCCCAGAAGAATTTGAAGAGGGGAGCATCTCAACACGTTCACCAGTGTCGATATCCTTTTGACTTCCTGGACCAACATGGGACTGTGAAGAACCCTGAAGCTTATGCCCCGGCTCCCGAAAATGCTTCGCGGAGTGCTTTCGATACTACCGCCACATTCCAGCAGTACCAGCAGGCTGCAAAACAGCAGTTTCACCGCAAGTTCAGCACCCGCTGGGATAGTTTTAGTGCGTGTTACATGTTGGGTGGAGAGGGCATTCGCAATGTGCATTGGGACGGCCACCCAGATGCCGATATTGATGCGTGTGTCAACGAAGAGCTATACGTTCATTCCAAGATGTGTCTCTCATCCAACAAACCATCCATCAAAAATTTAACACACAGAAGGTGATGATCGCCGACGACCGCGTAGTGGTCTGCGGCTTCGCCAACCTGCCCCCTATCGTCCCGCCCGCGCCCCTCACTCGCTGCTGCCGTGCGTGCCCCGAACCACCCGTGCGACCCGGGTTCCAACCCCCACGTGGTAAAGGGTGTCGCGGGAATCCATTAGATTCTCTACATCTGCTCACCTGATTAGTCCACCCCGCAGAAGACCCACTGTCCCTATGCGCGTCGTGTATCCTGTTAATCGTTTGTCCTTCCCTCGCGTCTATCTTCCCTTATTTGCCTCGACGGGACGATTTTCAAACGGAGAACCGTCTCCCGTGTCGTCCTCTCTACCGTCGTAGACTATTATTGTCCCTAGCCTAGGGATCGTGTAGGTGGGTTGCTCGAGCCCAATTTTCCAAACCGCTAGCGATGGCGGATCTAAAGTCGATTGACGAAGTGTTCACTGCATGCAGCCTCGTCTAGGAGCAGTCTGAGAACGTCATCCTCTACCAACGGTGCTAATCCGCACTCTTTCCGCAGGGTCCGTAGGTCACCTAGCACCTGCATAGCAAGCATCGCGTAGCATTGCGTCTCTAGAAGGGCCTCACCGTCGCCTTACGACACCACTATATCCGTTTCTAGGAAACTGCTTATACTACCCCTCGTCTCAATAGCTCTCCGGCCGATACTCGCTTATAGCTATATACAGGGTCTGTATGATGTTAATGCGCATACTGCACCGTTAGCCACGACCTTCTCAGCCGCCACCCCTAGGAGCACCTCTAGTAGTAGCACGCCTCCAACCGTCGCTCGAACGCCACCGTTTCAAAACAATCGACTAACTCCGAATCCCTGCAATAGCCATTAAATTTTAGTATGAACACTCGAAATGAAACACAGAATATTTAAATCCCCAATGAATACTTAACCAAATCATGTCCATCAGGCCACGGAATCTTACCATCACCGAGGCCCTAAAGTTATATTCATCCTGTAAGAATGCCCCGTACAAAATTTGCTGAGCAAAGTTTATCGCGACGGCGTAACCCTACCTCTATGGTATATAGGGTATAGGGAAAATAAAAGGGACAAAGGGAGGGAGAAAGAGAAAGGCCTGATTGTTTCGCGAACGCGGCAGATAGATAGCGAAACATAGACACGTGTAAAGGCTTCGTAGTCAACGCGTGGGAATATTTTATTGCTCATTTTAGGTTTAGTCGTATAGTGAATGGCTTGTGTGCATCGACGCACTTGTGGTGATTCGCGATGCATGGGGGGCGGTGGGAGGGAGGGAGAGGAAGGAGGAGGCAGGGTTCCCCATTGGACTGCTAGATGGCATAGCCCTGGGCAGTACGGCACGCTATTTTGAATATAAATCTGCATCCCAATAAGAACATCATAGGTTCAAATATTGAACTGTTGTGGTGAATTTAAAGAGGGCATTGCTCATGTATAATAATGATTTTGCTAAGTTCTAAGTTTAGTGCTTCCCATCAACCCAGTGTGCGACATCATCCTAACAAAAGTTGCGTAGCACCCTGATCCGTGAACAGGGCTGGGGTTCTTGTTTCGTTGTCGACGACTGCACCCCACCACTTTCCGGAGCTCCAGACTTCGTCCAGGAGTAGAGGCACAGAGTTAAACATGCTATACCGACTTTTCTCTCCCCAATAAGTACAGTAGTCTTTGACGAACTCCCGCGTGTCTTGATCTGAGGTGACGCTGCCAGCGAGGAAAACCGGAAGTAGAAGTTGCTTCTGTGTTTGGGAAGTTCGCCTGCAACACTTAGTATGATCAATCGTACTGCGAAGCACTTTGTTTTGCCTCGCGGTGCATCGTTGGTGGTCGGATTTGAAGACACTTTCTATATAAAGAAGCAATGCATACCTCCAGGCTTCTGCACAGTGGTAACGATCCTGCTGTTTGTGAAAGTTTTGCTCCCTTTCGGCATCAGAGAGCTCCCTGCTCATAGGATTCTCATCAATGGAGGATCTGACGTTATTATTCCACTTGGTCAATTCCATTTCAATTTCTAGCACGGGTGTGATATCGAAGTTCAGCCATCTCATGGATCGGGCAATCTCGCTTTGGTGGACTAGCTCTGTAAGTTGACATAGATGAATTAGTAGATCTCCCGGGCAACCAGTAAGGTCAAAGAAAGACCAATCATCCTGCTTCTCCCATTTTATGAGGAAATCCAAGTAAGCGTGATCGATTATAGTTCCTTGTCGGGAAATCAAAGCAAGGGTTGCGTCCCACCTTGTAAAGTGTTAGCAAAAATTGCATGGTTATCGTGTAAATGGAATGTCATACGCACCATACCAACATGCTGACCTGGGATCGGACACGGGCATTTGTGAGGGCACTAGGTCCTCCACAGGCCCATAGGATTGAATGTGCACGCGATAGATGTTTTGACCAGTTCCCGATAGCAGAAAGAGCACACTTTCACCACAAGACACGTCAGTGAGGATAATAGATCCGAACAGGGTCAGCAGACCTACATCAAGAGTGAAGAGGATTAATATTGGCTCTAGAAGGGAGAACGGATTTTGTAATTCCTTTTTTTGCAATGCAGCGTCGAGTAGTTGAGTAGCCTCATGGCGATGTTCTTCTGCTTCATTTGACCAACTACCTGTGATGCGTTTCATATGCTGGCAGCATAAGGCCAACATTGAATGGAAAAGAAGGCGTGACCCTTGTAATGTTTGCCGCTTACAACGAAATGGGTTCGCAGAAATATCTCCTGTTAAAGGCAGGACACAGAACTCAGAATCGTCTGTTCAGTAGTCAATATCCTTCCTCACTCCTAGACATCGATCAAACCTCTTACAGAGTTCAAGAAGTCGATCATGGTCATTTGGCGTGAGCTCAATCGTGGCGAGTGATGCCTGACCATGAGGAGAGGAGAACAGACCGTTAGCATCTGCGAAGATTCGGCCTATATCACTCTCTGCTGAGCCTCTCTGCAATCTTCCTGTGGTCATAACGCCGGAATTAAGGACTTGCAGATCCCGCTGAGCCTCGTCTTCCGGTCTGGCCCGGACAGTTCCCTCTGTCGCAGGAACTGGTGACATTCGAGGTAGAACTGTTATATATGGCGACTTTGGGGATATTGGTGCTTCAAAATCAAAAAAAGGGGTAGATGTAAAAGGGAAGGGGCTTATTGAGCCAAAAAGATTGAAATCGTCGAGCAACGTTTCGCCAGTTAATTCTGCGGATGACAAAGTAAGATGGGAGTTTTCGAAGGGTTAGACTAGGAACTAGTCGAACCAAAATCAAAAGATCATACCAAGTTCCCTGGGACTTCTGTTGCTTATATCTCCGTTGATCAAACCCGAATCAACAATATGGGCAGCGTTTGACAAGGTTCTTGAAAAGCCTTCCTGCCCGCTTATTTGGCTCTCGTGTGGATGGGTTTCCCTGGAAAGACACGTTTTGCGACGTTTTCTCGGCCTTGATGGGCCTTTAACAAATCGATATAGTCGCGATGGGCGCGTCTTTCCGGCATTTGTAGATGTATTATGGGATGTGAGCGGGTTTATCCCTGCATCCCCCCCCCTAGTCAGGCCGTTGGATGTCTCATCGGCAGTGATAGATGCGGTTCCTGACCACATTCGCCTTGGATCCCAAGATAAGGGAATCGCGAACCCTTCACAATTTCGCCCTTTATCCAGGCACGATGAGCATCGTGGTCGACGGCGGTCACATCGATCGCCCAGCGAGGCACAAGTATGACAGTCTGTCCGTGCGAACGCTAACGAGTTTGTCTTCTTCTTCTTCTTTTCCTCCCCGGAATTCACACTTGTTGACCGCATTGTAGCTTGAATGATAGCGAGCTGCGTGGTTGTGCGGTTCCCAGAAGAGGTCAAATGTATGTACGCGGGTCACCTCGGGTACCAGAGATTACGCCAAGGCATCTGCGGAGTCGAACACGACCTAAGCAGGGTGGATACGATACGGTGCACGAGTGGTTTTATTAATCTACGTATTATAATGGCTGAGCTTTCCGACGTTTATTGGTCTACTGTCTATTCTATTACCCCGCACTCCTGACAGTTTAGGTCGGTCAGATGAGGGTTTCGAATAATGTCCCAAATCAAACCTTAGTTACCTTTTTAGGAAATAATACGAAGTTTGTCTGTCTTTCTGCGGCGAATTTGGTAAGCTTCCGCTGGAGAAACAAGGAAAGCGGCAGTTACAGGGTAATACGGATTGCAAAAATACTAACAAAAATACTAATAAAAAGATGGTTAAGATAAGTGTGTAGCAGGATGTAGGAGCAGCCTTCTGTCAATTTTTGATTGCTGGCGTCTATAATGTCTCCACCGCTTCTTACAAATCCGATCCACAACTGTGAAACTGTGAAACTGTGAGACAGGACAAAATGATCCCGCAGTTTGGGAACACCGTATTGCGCAGTCTCCCAGATAGTAGTAAATTGTGGGCGATTTAAAAAAAAAATTTGGACAACGACGTTCAAGTTCTAGCCCGGCTGCGACAACCTCTTCTTCATCGCACCCCACAGTTACGTTTTCAGACCCAGATTTTACATTATTGTAATATAATACCGGGGGAAGATTGCCGTATCAAGGTCAGTTCGTACGGGTTCGCGGCCCAGAACTGCTGCTGATAACGCTTCACATCTTTACTCGCCTCGCACTTACATTCCCTGGCAGCCTACTCGGCTCATCTCGAGTGCTGTTTTCGGCATTACCTAATTAGGCAGGCTTGCTGGAAATGTTAGAAGTCTCCATAATCTTTCGTGGTGTGGCCGAAGCCATGGTGGCTTCTTTATGGCCTACTTAAGAGCATGACTGTAGACCACAGGATTGCTATTTGGCAACTTCCTCCTAGCTTTCTCATCACTGGCTGATTAGTTTTATCAATCCTTTATACAATCGATTCCCGGATCGACATGAAAACCAACAACTCATTGAACAATGAGCAAGACGATGATGCACGTAAGCTTGCCGCCGCAGGCTACAAGCAATCCATGCCTCGTCAATTCTCGCTCTGGTCTCTCGCTGCTCTAGCATTCGACTTGACCTGTACCTGGCTTGGAGTCGGTTCGTCAATCGGCATCGGCCTAACGGAAGCATCAGGCGCCGGAGTACTATGGTCTATCATAGTCGCTGGGTGTATGACTATGATTGTTGCTGCTGGAATGGCCGAGCTTGCAAGTGCCTATCCCGTCGCCGGTGCCCAGTATTACTGGTCTTTCATGGTCGCAAGTGACAAGTACAAGCCCTTCACCTCATTCTTGTAAGCTTGAACATTGAACTTCGTGGTCACCTCTATCAATTGCTGCAAGTGACACTTAATTTCATTCAGGAACGGTTGGGTTAGTATTCTCGGTTGGTGGCTCGGTGCTGCCTCTGTGGCGAATTTCATTGCATCGATGATCTTTGAAATCATATTAGCCTGGTACCCAGGATTTAAATCATACCACTGGCAGCAATACTTGATTTACGTTGCCCTCACCTGGCTTGCTGTAGCATTCAATATCTTCGCCTCTCGATGGATTCCCTTGTTTAACAAGCTGATCTTTGTTCTGGCGGTCATCACTTTGAGCGCTACGATGCTCACTTTATTCATTGTTAGCCGCAACAAACATGCGTCGGCTTCTTTCATCTTTACAGACACAACCAGCAGAACTGGCTGGTCAAGTGATGGTTTCGCCTTCCTTCTTGCAATATCAAATTCTGTGTACTCGTTTCTCGGGAGCGATTGCGGTGCTCATCTGTGCGAGGAAATACCCAACCCTGCGAAAAATGTCCCCAAAGTGATTTTGTACCCGCTTGTTGTCGGAATGCTCACCGCTTTTCCTTTTGGAGCTTCACTATTGTACTCAATTACGGACCTCAAAGCTGTTTTTAACACTCCTACCGGACTACCGTTGATTGAGATATACTATCAGGGCACGCGTTCAAAATCCGCAGCGTCGGTGTTGCTGGCTATGTTCGCCTTTTGCTTCTTCGCCAATATGATTGCCAACAGTAAGTGATGTAAACAAATGCTATCTGTTAGATCAAGCTGATAAGTTCAGTGACAACATCTTCCCGGACTCTGTGGGCAGTCTCACGTGATGATACCTTGCCATATTCGAGTTTCTGGATGCAAGTCAGTGACAGATTCGAAATGCCTCTGAATGCTATGCTTCTGAGTGGGACTGTCATCACGGTCAGTGTCGATTTATAGTTCTAGCCACTCGCTAACATCACAGTCAGATATACGGAGTGATCTTCATTGGCTCCACCACCGCGTTCAGTGCCATGGTCTCCGCGGCGGTAATCTTTCAGCAAACTTCATGCGTACTCCCGCAAGCTGTCCTGCTATACCGTGGGCGTGAAAAGATTCTTCCTCAGAGATATTTCAAATTAGGTAAACTTGGCCCTGTCGTTAATGCTGTCGCTGTTTCATGGGTTCTTTTCTTGGACGTTTTATACTGTTTCCCGACAACTAGGCCTGTCACTCCACAAAACATGAGCTATGTGTCTGTCGTGTCTACTGGTCTAGTTATTTTTATCATTGGGCTTTGGTTCACGACTAAGAGACAAGTGTTCAAGGGACCGAAGATCGACTTTCAACTCATGAATCAAAGAAGAATAGACGCTATCGAACGTGAGGTTTCGGCTACAGCGCTAGATTTTGGAGAAAATATAGAGCCAAAAGTGCAGAACGAACATTGAACCAACACCAAACCTAAACTTTATTTGTTCGTCCGACGATAGTCGTGTATTTTTCCGTCTTCCAGAATTATTATTTTGTTTATTTGTTCAATCCATGCCTTCAAGAAGACTTAAGAAACGACAAGTCACTTGGAAAGTATTGTGAGTGTGAGCCGCAAGTCCATTTACAGAGTTGACATAGAGCTAGACACCCGTGCAGCCACTACTCCGTAGTGACGTCTTATGACATTTGCAGAGGTGACTTTCGAGTTTGAACCTTCTGGAACAACTTCCAGATTTGCAAGTAGTTGAAAAACATTGACCGTAGTCACGAGCGGTCAACTAGCGTACTGGCTCGTACAGTTCGATTTTCCGCTTCAACCCTTGCTTCTGCTTCGTGCAGTATTAATGTTTACCGAGTCTGGAACCTGGGGAGAGTTGTTTACCTCTATTAGTTCTTCATTGGATATTGGAAAGCACCTCATCATATGATTTAATGTCATGCGATTTGCCCACCTTTTCCCCAGCAAGCTGAACTCTATTGATCAGACAGATAGATTAACGTAATTCCTGGGTGAGTGGGCCACCCAAGCGAGTGGGCCAGCCCAAAACACCGTAGTAAATGGGATATTTTACAACTCAATATTCTAACAACCATAGCTTAATATGAGGTTTAGACGCGGCCCTGAGTACCCTTGCATTTTGTTGAGTCAAAGACAAGCAGCGATGCATAAGTTGATTGAACGTTGACTTAAAGGATGTGGGCGGCAACGTCTGGCAAGAATATTGAAAGGCCTGGAAGAGGCATATTAATACCAACGTGATCTTGGAGGGGGTTCTTCTTCTAGCTTCAGCCTCTGTGATCAGCCTTGGGAATTGTGAAAAGCTCCTACTATGGCTCTGGCGGCTGTTTTCTGGATCACATTCATTGATCTGATGACACAGTATGTGATAATGTGCTTTTTATGTCATCGTAGTTTACACTGATGCCGCGTATGTGACGGGTGAGGCAACGAGGGCTTGGTAGAGCTGGCTCGGGCTGTGGTCTCCGGCTGTTCAAATGCGTTTACTGTTGGCTGGCTCGGATGCTCCCCTTGATTGTTTTGCCCCCATGCTCTCGGGATTCTAGTCTCTGATCCAATAAATCAAGTTGGGACATTGTTCCTTTGTGTCGGCGAGTCAACGTGATGTGACGGGCAGAGTAAACTTTTGCCCCAGCTCGGTGCTGAGAGCTGGATCTCTTTTGAATATCTTTGGCAGCTAGAAGTAACTGACTTTCTTTGCTACTAGATTCTATCTATGATGATGGACTAAAGAGCGATCGAATATAAATGGTTATGTAGTTGCGATTTAGCGTTTCACTTGCTTATCATGTAGGTTAGATCTTTTTTTTTCTAACAGACTATGTAAAATAGAGCAAGAAAGATATTTCGATACGCAAGAAATCTCGAGTCTGAAATCTTTTACCTCTTTCTAAAGATGTCTTGAAACGGCAATTTTGCTGCGCGCACTTGCGACCGCTGAACTTTCCAAATTAGGTTCTTCAAAAAATTTCCGTATTGGGAAGACGAAATTTCGTCTCACGCCCGGTCCACATACCGCATTAAGCTAGACTTCAAGGAAGAGCTTTATTTTCTCCATTAAGTAATCGAGTCTCAGTCAAGGTACTTAGGTGCGTTGGCAGAAATGTAGCCGATATATTCTAGTTGTCGTCCAGCTATCGAAACCCGAGCACTTGATCTCAAGTGTTCTCATTCCCCAACTCTTCTCGTCATGGCTACTATGCAGGACGTCCTTGCGGCATACAATGCCAGACAGAATATCCTCAAGGCCAGTACCAACCCTTTTGCTAAAGGCGTCGCTTGGGTGGATGGCGAGCTTTCACCTTTGGGTGAAGCACGAATCCCGCTTCTTGACCAGGGGTTTATGCATAGCGATCTCACCTATGATGTGCCTTCTGTCTGGGATGGTCGTTTCTTTCGCCTGGATGATCATATCACCCGCCTGGAAACTAGCTGCGCCAAACTCCGGCTCAAACTTCCTCTGCCGCGCGAGGAGGTTAAACGGATCCTAGTGGATATGGTGGCTAAGAGCGACATTCGCGATGCCTTCGTGGAAATTATTGTTACTCGTGGTTTAAAAGGAGTACGTGGTACCGACCCTAAGGATATCGTCAATCGTCTCTACATGTTCATTCAACCTTATGTCTGGGTTATGGAGCCGGAGATGCAACTGGTCGGAGGGAGTGCTATTATCACACGCACTGTTCGTCGTGTACCCCCTGGGTCTATTGATCCTACTGTCAAGAATCTTCAATGGGGTGATCTAGTTCGCGGCCTATTCGAGGCGTACGACCGAGGTGCAACTTATCCCTTCCTCACCGATGGGGACACCAACCTCACCGAAGGTTCAGGTTTCAATATTGTTTTAGTCAAGAACGGCATCCTGTACACCCCTCAGCGCGGCGTTCTCGAAGGCATCACCAGGAAGAGTGTCATCGACGTCGCGCATGCTAATGGATTCGACATCAGAGTCGAACTTGTTCCTGTCAACGCAGTTTACAACGCCGATGAAATCTTCATGTGCACGACCGCAGGCGGTATCATGCCCATTACCACTCTTGATGGTCAACCAGTCAAAGGTGGCCAAATTGGGCCGATCACCAAGGCCATCTGGGACGGCTATTGGGCTATCCATTACGACTCGGCCTACAGCTTTGAGATTGATTATGGTAATGTACTAAAGGGCTTGCAGAGCTCACCGCGTTTGTGAAAGAGGTCAAACGATGGGAAGCTTTGTCAAATTAACTTTTGTCATATGCGGCGGGACTTTTTTCTTGGGAATCTAGAGTTCCGCAATTACTTTCCCGGCAATCATGTCGTCCAAATGGCCAGCGATTGGTCTGTGGGGCTTTAGTGTAATTATTCACAGTTCATTTTCTCTGCTTAGCTCCATTCATTTCTACTCTTGCCCTGCTGCACACGCATTTGAAGATCGAAGAAACCTCAGAAAGTCGTTAGGTATTAGCTTAGGTGGGGACGAATTTTCCACGTAGACTCACAACCTAATAAGTGTTGGTCGTGGTCAGATTACTCGAAACCAAGGCTCATCGAGAAATTGTCTCACTTTCGCCTCTTGCAGACATTTAAAATTGCTATAACGTGCCCGATATACTCGAGCCTCACTATAACCTCCATCGTAAAGTCTCATTACTCGCGTTTTCTTCTTGAGACCTGGTAAACGTCGTCCTCCGTGGACTCTTCGCCGATACTAAAGATACTCGAATGGTGAAATAGAATCTTACGGCAGCAATCACCTGTGGATATGTCCGCAATTGACGCCGACGCATATCATGCACAACTAGTGCGCTTCCGAGGGGTCATGTCCAAGAACCGGACATAACTGTTGACACCATCACGCACGGGCCACGTACGCGAAGAGCTTTGGCTTCCGTGAACGCAGTCGCGCACCATGAGGGCAGCCTAACATTTTGGACGGCAATTAGGCCACGACAGGCCATGCCGAGGCTCTAAGTCTATTTTCAGGAAGTTAGAACCCTAAATTGTACGGAGACGGATACATATATTGGTGTAGGCTTCCTTTATTCCGCGAGGTGTCAGGGTAAATGAAAACATCCATCCATCCACTTGTGTGTGAAGTATCCAGTCGTCTTGCTTTAGAATCCCAACAAAAATGCTTAGGATGACTTAAACTTGTCCGGTCCAATCGTTCCTCATATAGAAACTTCTAGAGTAACCCCGCAGCTGTAATGCGATGATTATAGTTAGCAGCCTGAAGAGCAGCTCGCATATTGTAGCCATATCTTGCCTGAGGCCTTTTGTCGATAAGCTTTAGTATCTCTTCGCGCCCTCTATAAGCAGCTTTTAATAATGCTGCTTAGTGGCGCTTATCATATGCCGTGAAACCTAACCGTACATCCTTCAGTATTGGTCTATGATATCCATCTATAGTGTGCGGCTAGTGAAAGTGCGGTTTCACCTGTGTATCTCGAGGCATTGATATCAAGCTATCTAGCCACTCGCCCTGCCTAAGGAATACTTTCGCTACTTCCGTATGGCCGTTTGAGATGGAAGCATATAGTGAGTTCTCACAAAACGTTTTGTAACATCCGTTTGACTAGTACGAAGGGTACTCATAAGAAATATCGACTTCCCTATATAGAACCTTTTATGAATAATCAAATTCACGAAGTTTAACAGAGCGCAGTATCAAAGCAGAATTGCCTGTTTTATAGCACCTTTAGATAATGGTTTGAGACAGGAGTTCTATCCCTCCCCTTTATCCATCTAGCCGTTAAATTATGCACAAGTTGGTAGGGACCTATGGATTTTTGGAGCGTGATCACGTGATGTCGTTGTCCAGATCCTCCATGTTTCAACCTGATCTGAAGATGTCGCTGATATGAGATAAGACTTCCAACTATTCTCCCCCATATACAACTAAAGCTTTGAATTGGATTTTTTTTTTGAATAATACACATGAATTCAGGCTTTTTTACCCCGTCCAAAGGTTTCACTACGCGGACTAGGTGCTTTCGTTTGGCTAATTCCTAGCAACTACCTTTTCCTCGTGTAATAAATTCTTTTAGCACATTGTTAGTCAATCTGGCGACGTTGTTTTCATATGCGTTCCAAGCAAGGCTGCTATACCAATTGATGCTACCAACTGAAAAGACTGCACCGCCACCCGCCGTCTCGTAGTAGATCAGATCACTTCTGACACGTTCGCAATTGGAGCCCAGTGTGTTCACCATCGGAAACATAGAGTCTTCATTAAAAAGCCCAAAACTGTCGTCATGCCGTTCACTGGTGGCGAGGAGGATCGTGTCAGATGGTGATCCAAGCTCATAGTCTAGGCGATCTATCTCATCACCGCTAGCACCGCCCCCAAAACCATCCTGACCAATGGGTTCATCTGGCGCGATGCCATTAAAAATCCAAGCATATTTAGGGTCGAGGACGTATTGTGAGTTTGCTCTATAAGGCACGCCTTTGCCGGTACCGAAGGCGCATGGTCCAATACCAAAAAGATAGTTTGCAGCGCGACCACGGCTTCGCCAAAGTCCACCTTGGGCGCCGGTTAGACTATGCATTCGCTCGCCAGCGGGGAATGTCACTGAACGGCAACCTTGATCGCCCTTTCGAACTTCCAGACGGTGAGAGTGAGCACCACCGATATCAGCGACCCAGTAGAACCCATTCCCGCCTAGGTACATCAAGTTACCGCCCGACTTTGCAAAGTCACTCAAGGTATCCAACGTTCGCAGAGAGTGATATTCGGGATGACAACCCGTGATAAGAGTCGAATATTGAGCCGTCGCTTGTGGGCCTCTGGTATCTAAGCAATGATCCGTGATAATATCATAGGGGACACCTGAACGTTCCAGGAAACCAATCATGAGCAGATCAGCACTGAATTCACGAGGTCGGTTCAGAGCCCAGTGCTCGTATCCAGGTCGCACATTCAGAATCGGTCGGAGAGCACTGGAGAATGCGCACGGGGAGCCGTCCACGTGAACATCATAAGCTGAGAGACCTAAATCAGGTCGCCTGCTCAGATTCTTATAATATTCGTTTCCGCTGCTGATATTCACCCCCTCTGGAGTTGTCATCGCTGACGATCGAGTCTGATCAAACATCCGTTCATTTGCATAGGCGAGGTATGTGAATGTCGTGAGAACTAACGCCACCTTTGCCTTTGACTCGGGATTGGGACGGACGAAAAAGGTAATCAAGTCGCGTTTTCCACCTTCGCATTTCACTTCGACGGCGTATGCACCAGAGCGGGCACTTGATGGAATGGTAAGAGAGAAATTTGTTTTCCATTTCGCATCGTCTATATCGTCTTCATGGAAATGGATCGCACCGTATCCGTATGATGCTTTGGTCCAATCTGGTTCAGAACCGTCCCAGTCATGGCCTTTGACAGCTCGAGTTGGTGCATTGATCAGAACACCATGTCGATTATTTCCGGAAACATCCATGATAGAGTCGCTAGGTATGCCCTTAGAGAAGTCGTACCGAGCAACAGTGGTGCCTGTTATAATGAAAACAGGGGAGTCGAGTCGGCCGTTGAAAAAGCACGAGGGAGTGGGCATCTGTCGATCTATCGTTTCGAACATGCCAGCACCAAGTAGTAAAGGATTCGGTCCCAAAGACATAGGTGCTAATAATGTTTCTCTCATAGTTTCCTGGGTAGGGGCTTTTTCTGCTAGACGGTTCAACTGCTGAATACTCGCGGTGAACGTCTGGCGGACAAGACTCATGCGGATTTGGAGCCACCGCCATCGGTTAACGGGGGTCTGGCTCTTGAACACCTCAATTGTGCCTCCAGTGCCGATGAGAAATTCGAATTTCGCGTCCCGTAAAATTACTGCGAATCCGGTTCCAGAAATTATGTCGAGACAGGACAGGATAGTTTGACAGTAGTGGTCAACATCAAGCAAGTATGGCTGCACATAGAAATGTACTTCCAAACTATCTCCAGCCGAGTAAGGTACTTTAGCCCAGGATGATACGAGAGCATAAGACCCAGGGAAAGCATGTTGATAACAGCCATCATCCCGATGTCCCGTCGGGACCTCCGGGATCTCTTCTTCAACAATCGGAGGAGCGTGAGCACCGCGATAACCCTGAATGAGGCGTACTAAACGGTGCGAATATTCTTTCTCTGTGGACGAAACCTAAATCAATCAGGCTCGGAAACACCATTATCAATTCAAAAAGCAACATACTTTTATATCAACCAACTCCCCAGGGGATACAATCCACGGCTCAGCGTAGCCGATAATTTGGCCGTCGTTGTCGTTGTCAGACATGGTGGTGAATTTGACTGAACGAAGATTCGCTTGGTGTCGTCGCCAAATCACTTGATAACGGCCGAGAAAATGGAGACACAATTACTCTGGTAGCTAGAAAAGAATATGGGGAAGGTCCTTGTGGGCCAGCAAATAAATTTTCACGCCTTCGTTTGACGCAATTGATAGTAAGCCACAAGGCAAGATTTTTATACTTTCGCTTGGGCAGTACATAGGTTTTGAAGTTCCGACGAAGATCCAAGAGGCCATGGCGGGGCTCAACGGCTGCCGGCGACATATTTTACTGTATTAGGAAGGGGAGGAGAGCAGACTAATTAGACATTATCCACTAGCTGATCATGTGATGCGTTACGATTGTCTGGTACTTCAGGCCAAAATTGCTCAAAATGGGAACGAGACCCGGATAGAAGATAAGTGCAAGGACTTGGGCCAGCGAGTTTGATGGCAACTCTAAATTACCAAATATGGCAGGTTAGTTTTAGTACAGCTTGCGTGTTCGATCGGATATTGAGTGTGGCGGGGTAGAATTCTAGTCTTGTTATTGGCTGTCGAGTGATACCAAGCGCAGGGGTGATTCTGTGAAAGGGAAGATCGGCGTATTCACTAGTTAATTTACCACCCACCCGACCGTCATCAGGGAAGGTGGTCACAGACAAGTAATTACCCAGTGGGTAACGTATTTCCCTAGCGAAGCGATCAACCAAGCGAGGGAGTCACGTCACCCCCTAATCAACGCCATAGTAAATGGGATAATATACACCTTAATATCCCAGCAACGACAGATTGATATGAGGTTTTCGATATAATTATGCTTTGGATCCTATGTAGCCCATTTATGGGATTTAAGAAGTTATCCTATCTTGCGGTTCAGATGTAACTTGTCGCCTGTGAAGCTGTACTTTTTGGTAATGCGCGTTTAAATTTATGTCAGTTTATACAGTACTGTTTACCATACCTATCAATACTATAATATTAATAATCAAATGGAATTAAGATTTGACTGATATCGAGTTATAAAAATAATATCTTCACTACTGTTTTTGGAGTGATTCACTCGCTCGGTTGACTTAACTATTCGCCTGGGAATTACGTTTAGTCAGAATCAATATCCACAAAACGTAGCCTGACATAAGCCTCCCTAGCTGTCGATAATTTCCCGCATTTGGCAGTTAGATTGATATAATCAATCAGGTCGGAGTATTAAATTTTTTCACAAAATGCCGCATGTAGAAAGCGAATTCTGGCCTATAGACAATAGTCTCCGTCATCTTTGCCTTCCAAATTCAGCAAAACTCAAGATGACACGTTGATGACCTACTTGGGGAAGTTGTTTTACGACCTCCTCGGTTAGTGCCCGGCTCGGAAATATCCGTTTCTTTCGATATTCCGGGGTTTCCCATTTTTGGCTTCTCTATCCTTTGGTCCAGTGCGGGGGAGGAGGGTAGACACTTGTTGTCCCATGGCCATGGTTGTCTTTTTATAAAATATCCGTTCTTCCTCATGATCACGCTCGCTCTCGTGCTCCTGCTCCTTCATCTAGCTCTTTGGAAAACTTCCACACTCGTTTCAAATAAATACTACGATGGTTCGGCTTTCAGGGCACCATGAACACGATATCGTTCCTGGGACGATTCTTCTTCTCGAACTACCTGACTCAGGCAATCCAAATACACACCACGACGAAATTGTTCTGCAGCCTCAACCCAGTGCAGATGCGAATGACCCGCTCAACCGATCACAGAGCCAGAAGACACTGATTATTAGTCTGGTATATTTATACACCTTTGCTATTGGTTTATGCACGTCTGCGCAAGCCTCTATTCTGACCCAGATTTCCGATTCCCAAGATATCAGTCTTGGAAATCTTAATTTGGGCACAGGATTGATGCAGTTGATGCAAGGGTGGTCGAATCTTTTATGGCAGCCTCTCGCCATGACGTACGGTCGCAGGCTGGTCTACATTGCAACGATCATCTTGCCTATCGGACCGGTCATATGGGTACCATTGGCTCACGGCGCCTCCCAGTGGTATGCACACCGCATCATTTTGGGACTCCTTTGTTCCTCTGTGGAGACTTTGCCCGAGCTATCTGTCCAGGACATCTTCTTCGCACATGAGCGTGGGAAATACATGGCGTTATATACTTTTGTCCTATTTGGATCCAACTTCATTGCTCCTTTTCTGGCAGGATTTATAACCGACGGCGTGGGTTGGCAGTGGGTGATGTTTTTTGCCACAATCTTTTTAGCAATATGCTCTGCCATCATATTCTTTTTCATGGACGAAACAATCTACTTTCGCAAAACACGAGAAGGTATGGGACAAGAAAATGAAGTCCACCTATCCAAAAGAGGTCTCGAGACAACAATCACTTGCTCAACGCATCGGGGAACTGAGATATCCCTGGACCCAAGATCTTGGCTGCAGAGACTGGCGATAGTCACGAAACTGCCCAATCGTCCAACTCATAAGCAAATGTCTATGAAAATTTGGCATTCATTGACAATTCCGTTTTTCTTTCCCAATATTCTTTGGGCTGGTCTCTTATATGGGTCAAACCTTGCTCTTTATAGTGTCATCAATGGCACAATGTCGGATATCCTCGGATCCAGCCCCTATAACTTTTCTGCAGCAATGGTCGGTGTGGCCTATCTGTCTCCGTTCTTCTTTGGTGGTGTTGCGTCAATATGGGCCGGAAAGCTGTCAGATTCACTCGCAATCAAACTTGCAAAGCGCAATGGAGGCATACGAGAGCCGGAGCATAGGCTATGGGCCCTATGTGTTTCAGCACCCCTTGCTGCCGGAGGCATACTCATGTGGGGCGTTGGAGCTAGCCGAGGGGTACATTACATGGTTCTGATTATTGGAATTGGCATCACTACCTTTGGAGTTGTATGCGCCAGTGCGGTATCGTTGGCCTATGCTGTCGACTGTTTCAAAGAAATGGCTGGAGAGTCCTTTGTCACCATCATAATCATTCGCAATACAATCGGTTTTGTCTTCAGCTACGCCATCACGCCATGGATCAACGCAATGGGCCTGCAAAATTGTTTCATATCAGTTTCTCTGATCTCATTCTTTTGCACGTACACATTTTTTGCTGTTGTTGTCTGGGGGAAATCTTGGCGAAGACTGTCTGCCAAACGATACTGGAAGTTTATTGAAGAGCAGCTGGAAACAGTTATCGCTCAGAGTGTAAATGTTGTGGACTAGAAGATTGTCTACCTATTGAGTCAGTTTACACTTATTCAAGCTGCACGAGACCGCCTGGACTCAAGAACACCTTGCTTCGACGTTATGAGCTGCATACCTTCTCGAAAGCTAAGAGGACGCACGATAAGTGAGGTGTTATTGAGGATAGTATATGTTAGAGATTATAAACTTATAGGATAGTTGCATCGGAGGACCTTAGGGTTCTGCTCCTAATACAGATAGCAGTGGTGCATATTGAGATGGATAATTCATCGTCCTTAGAAATAAAAAACTTGCCTGCTCTCAGGAGGGTACAATGGTCTACCAGGAACCTCATAGCCTAAGCCCTTGGATCTAACAGAAGGTAAGATAATATCACTGTTTTGGCTACTAGCCCACATATCTTCAGGATACACCAATCTTGGTCGTACGAGAAGCTGTAATATTTTCCGCTTCCCTCGCTTGTGGTACGTACGACTATAACCTCGGTTCGGGTTGCCCACGATCCAGCTCCAGCTACCGCTTTGGCGGCTCCCTCCACGATGCTTTTTAACTTTCAAAACGTAGCCCTGTACAGTTTGCTACCGGAGTGGAAGGTGTGGTTACATCCTCGTCCAGCGGAGGTCGGTAGCTATCGTCAATAGAGCGGGGAGGAATACAGGAACCTGAAGGTTGGCCATTTCAAAGGATAATATCGCTCTCGGTGTGCTGTAACGAGACCCTGGAGAAGGGCGACAGCATTGTATCTTTGAATCTTTGATGGATAGTTAGACCGCAGAGTGAGGCTCAAGGCATTAGTGACGGGCAAATCAGGAGTTACCTACCCAGCCCATTAAGCCCTAAGAATCCGTAGCTCTTGTAAAAAAGGCCCCAAAGGCATGTTAGTTATAAGAACAGGCTTAACTAATTATATAATAATTTTCTACAGATTATTATTTTCGCTGAGTATGTTTGCACATTCTATACACTCCTGTCGTAAAGAAAATTGCTCTTACACGGCCGTTCGGACGAAAACATTCCCTTATTGCTTCTATTGGGTTTTGGAGACGTCCATTTCTTCCATACATTATTAAAGCCACTCGCTATGTCAAAATGTCCTTAGGACAGGTACTTGCGTCGCGGTCCTTGTCTTGTGCTTGCGGGACGCCGCTAGCTAAACAGGGCGAGAGGGTTCTGGACGGAGTAAATGCATTCAGTTCAGACGTATTGCCTCTCGTTCGAGAGCTTCTTTTTTCTGTCGCGTCCTTCTGGGAACTCTTTTTCATCGTCATAATCAAATGACTCTGCTATAAACGACACAGAAGCCATGAGATCCAATTCGAAATCGTAATCGAAAAGCCATCTTGGCTCGTCCCGAATAAAGTGGAGTCTGTATCTTCACAGGCGTTCCGCTCAAAATATGCGTCATAGCGAGTGATGATCTTTCTGGCCAGGAATTTGGCAGCGCCACTCAGTATAATGGCCAGGGAAACTCGTTGCTTATGTTTAAACGACGAGACTGGTGAGCGCTGGTAGCCACTTGAATACGGACAGTGACGGTGACAAGAGACGGTGCATGAAATTCTCAGACTTTCTAGTCCAGATATGGCGTAAGGGGTGTATTAAGACCAATGCCAGCAAACCATGGGCAGCCTGTGCTCATTGATATCAAATTTCAACTCTTAGGCAAGTACCTCTATTTCTGATGTTAATTTTAGAAAGACGCCAATGTATGATGACATTGACATTGGTCAAAAGACAAACTGCCTCCTTCTTCCAAATATGACGGTATGTGGTTTCTTAGAGCCGTGGTTTGGAGTGGTGCTCATGTTGGAAGCAAATTCGTTTGCTGAAAGATTTGACTAAAGTTCTTGTTTTCACTTTAATTACCAAGACTTATTCAGGACCACATTCTCTGCTTGAATAAAAGGCAATTTGTCATCAGCACAAATACACTCGAGAGACCCTAATAATATCGAATAAATTTATTCTCCGCTATATTCCTTGCTGATCAGAGTCCATAGATGTCTCGATTTGGCGAATAACTCTCGCAGGGTTGCCCGCTACAAAGCGAAAGGGTGGAACATCCTGAGCAGGTTAATTCAAGCTGCTCGACTGGGTAAAATAATCACGAACCTTCGTAACCACCGAGCCTGCCCCAACAGTGCTTCCTTTACCAATACGGACCCCAGCAAGGACGAGAACACTGCCGCCAATCCAGACATCATCCTCAATATGCACCTCTTTTCCTGCCTCTGGCCCCTTCAAACCCTGCCGCAATGCAGGGTCAAGAGGATGAGTTGCGCCGTATATGCAGACGTTGGGTCCGAATAACACCCTTTCGCCAATGGTGACGGAACAAGTATCTAGAACTAGGAGGTTGAAGTTGAGAAAAGTGCCCTTGCCGACCTTGAAATTCAGACCGTGGTCCACCGAGATAGGTCCATCTACGAAGGGATCAGTCTCTTCGAAAAGTGCTTCATCCTCCTTCGGATCCGGATGGACTGGGGGCATAGGTCGATCATCACAAACGATGCTAAAGAAAAGGTAACGATCAGCATAATTCAGTCGTAAATCCGGATGGTCTCGCTTGGGGTTCCATTCAGCCTCCCACACACCTTCCCCTTTGTCGCGCCAAGTGCTGTTCTCAATACCTACTTTCGCCATAGCTCTACTTTGCGACGTCGGGAGACGGCTCCGGCGGCATTGAATTCGTTACAAGCCTTTTTGCATCGTTCGCGATTTTTTTGCAGATCCTCATCCCAAGCCCAATACAGCTCGCCCCGAAGCATTTTTTGCCACTCTTTCGAATGCGCCATGACGGAAAATGTAATTGGTGTCTGACTACAGAGGATGGCTGCGGTATGAGGCTCAGTAGCCCATCGGCCGGTGGCAGAGAAACGATGACCTCTTTATACCAGGAGGGAAGGCAATACGTTTCCACGAATTGACGACGAAGGCTAGTGGCTACGAATCGATGCGCCCTCAATTGCCATATCTGGTACTTCTACCAGCAATACCCCACTTAAATACCACCAATTGGTGAACTCGGATGTGGGGCTTGCTCCCTACCTAGCCGATTTCCTCTGCGGGTCTTGTCTTTCCCCTTTCGTCTTAATGTACAGGGCGGGCCGCTGTTTGCTCACTGAGTCTAGGCTGGGCGTAGATATGGCCAGCCCGAGTAAGCTACATCAATAAATTGCACCACGCTAGTATTATCACGTGTGATCCTCTTCTTTTTGAGATAGTCCGCATCATCCCATCAAAAAATGAATTGCATTATCAATGTCAATATTCATCTTGATAAGCTGGTTAGAATGAAAGCGCAATTTTAAATAATAAGTGGACTAACACCGAAAACCCACGACATCGCTAACCCAGTAGGGCGCGGCCGTGGAGATGTCGGCCGTGGAGATGTCGGCCGTTCGATGGCTATATGCACTAAAAGCGCCATGCAAAAAGGGACCATGCAAAGAGGTTGGGGATGATGTATAGCTTGCATAATGTTTAATCAACTATTTTCGGATCCATAAGGGCCCTAACCGTTGAGCGACAACAACGCGCGGATCTATATCGAAAAGAGTTTGGTAGGTTCAATTGTGTTCGACAGGTAATGCATAACGCTTTTATACATCGTGCCGGTGAATTGTTTAAGCATAAATAGGGTCGGGTCATGGCCGATAGTGAGGAACGGTTCCGCCTCGCGATCTTTCGCTGCGACAAGGCAAATAGCTTGAATGAGGCCAGGCGGCAAATCCCCCTTTCGAAACTGGTTTCTTAATTTTAGTCCATTGAATAGAGACAATATGGGGTGAATTCGACGTAGATAGACATCGACCAGGGCCGGTTGGTGCAGTTAAGGAGGCAGCACGGCAATGTTTTCGGTTCGTGGACGCGGACCGCTTCCGAGTGGCATTGATAAACTTCTTGTCTGTCTTCAATAACAGGCGTTTGGCTCGTCACAAAATCAAGCACCCATGTCTCCTCTTTTGTGTTTATATTTCTGTAACCTCGACTCATCGTCTATTTTTAGTGTTACGAAAGGGTTCGAGTCGCAAGCAAAATGATGGGATGTTGAATCATTTCTCCCGTAATTCGACCTGCATCTCCACTGCTTGAATCACGCTCAGATCTTATCTCAGCGTTTAGCGACGAGCTCACATGAGATGTGTAATCTGTGGAAGGTGGAGGTGTCGATTCTTCGCATAGGCCTAAGAAATGATAGATGGGCCGGTCCTGGAGGCGCGTTTCCTCGTAGAGCGGCCATTTGTGGACGTCCTCGGCGAGTATTATGGTGAACGCAGCGTTTCTGTTGTAGTTAGTTGCTACTTCGAATAAAGCGATCATTTTGTTTGTGCGTGGAAGGTACGACGCCTTTTTTGCCGACACGAAGCACATGCACGCCATGACTGCGCCCTTTTGACGCCATCTGAGTCATTACTGACTAAAAATGTAAACTCTATACGAAGTACACTTGCTTGCAACCATCGGTTAGGTGTAAGGGACGGGCTTAATCTTCTCAGGTCTGCGAAGCCATAGCTAAGGGCGGTGAAGCTTCTAAAACGGAAATTCCGATAGTAATTTGTAAGAAAATTGCTCACTTCCGGCGGAGGTTACCGATAGTGGTAATAATTATATTCTTCTCTATGACGTGTGTTTCATAATTTGTGACCATGACCTATCGGGCTGCCTTGGCTTCCCAATATAGCAAGTCTCCGACGTTCCACTATTAAGTCGAACAACAGAGTTAGATGCTACTTGACGAAAATTGCTGCCTTACTTTCCTCGTTTGTGAAATGGCCGCTGTGTCCGAGGCCAACGGTAAGCGATTATCTTATACTTAAGGCACGCAGATTGCTTTGAATTTTTTTTTTGAAACTTCTTTCCCTTGCAAGTGTCTCTCTCCATGCTCCCTTTGATCAAGACCAAAGAAATAAAAGTCATCTATATCAGTTCTTCTGTATATCTTTTGAAGTCTCTTTTAATATGTCCGGATTTTCCTTCTTCATGTCTTCTGCCAGTGTTCCTGGAGACGGAGTCCTTCCTCAAACATTTTCTATCATCGCAGAGACCTCTACGGATGTGTGGACCAAGCCGCCCTCGACAGAAAGATTCAATGCGCCAATTCTCTATCGCAGCCTGCCTCTCAAGTCTTTCCAGCGTGCGAAAGTTACAATTACGCCGAATTTACAGAGTCAATACGATCAGGGAGGCCTGATCCTCCTCGTTAACACCTCCGATGGATCTCGTAAATGGGTGAAGGCAGGGATCGAGCTTGTCAATGGGAAAAGACATCTTAGTGTTGTCTCAATGGATCGAGGAGCAGATTGGAGCCTCCTGCCACTACGTCCGGGATTTAATGATGCAACTCTGGAGATGGCTAGAGAGTCAGACAATACTCTATGGATTTATGTCATAGAGGAACGACAGAGAATAGCGTTACGTGAGGTTACATGGATATTAGAGGAGCCAGATGCAAAAGACTGCTGGGTTGGCTTATACGCAGCACGACCAACAGACAAAGGAGAGAAATTGTCGGTGACATTTAGCGACTTGGTTATCAAAACAATTTAAACTTCAAATACGTACCGTGCATTTTTTGTCCGCGTTCGCATAGCCGCATGGGCGTGCTTTACGCGATATTTAAGATCTCTCGGCCTATCGATTTCCAAGGATGCGTGGTGCTGCACGTCGACGTGGTCCTCTTAAGCAGCCGAAATCACAGCGTGAGGCTGAATTGGAAAGCCGGGGCCAGATATATGTAGCTAATATACACAGCATTTTGTCCGCCGTAGGCGGGGCTTTCCTGTCTGGGCTACCGCCGCTTTTATGAGGCTCTCAGGCTCAGGCTCTGTGAGTAGATGTCAGCACAGGCTCATGGTCAGTGATCTGGTCAGTGTAGTCATGTGATCGCTCAGTAACCAATCATAGATGCTAAGGGATCGTTCAGTGATCATTAAGCCACCCGCGGGGTTACATGTGCTGTTTCACATTCTCGGGGCCATTATGGACGAAGAAAACGCGATCGACTTTGCCACAATCACATTTTGTGAAATCTATTTAAGTACTTGACTGTTCTGCCACTGTCACCCATGACAAAAACTCCACCTTCTCGAACCAAGAAAATACCTTGAGCTCCCCAATCTCTCTCATCATGGGCAAACACAAAACTCCCTTGGAAGACATACCGTGGCAAACAAGGCTCGGAGTCAGACTGTACAACAAAGACGACTGCAATGCCGCAATCCATGGGCAAAAAATCCCAGGCGCTCTAGGGTTGAAGGTCCATCGCTTCTGTGTTATCCGTGGCATTCGAAATCACGAAGGGTTTGCCCATGAGTTACGTGGTGTCGCGCCGGAGTTTACTCGAGCACTCAACGCACGTGAAATTATGAGTGAAGTGATTCCAGATATCAGCGACCTCTGAGAGATACCATATTGCATCTGGTATCCCGAAGTCCCGTCACAAAAGACCCTTCAAAAATTGGTGAAACGTTATCCCAACATGATTTATCACGCGGCTCGCGCCTGTGCCGTAGCGGTATATTCCGATCTCTACTTGGAACTTCAGGTCCTTCCTGAGGTCCATGTCGCCGCCGAGGCTCGCGATGCTAGCTTAGTGAGGAAGAACAAAGGAAGTCAGGCAATATACGAGAACATCTTGTCAAATCATTTGAAATTTGAGATCATGAATGATCATGATCGATCTGTCAATGCTGAAAACCCTATACCCTAGAGGTAATGTCACTGCGGTCGTCGGGGGGGGCCCAGTGACATTCCCCCCGTCCCCATTGGTCCAAACCCTCCCCGGTGCGTGCCCCCGGCCCCTAGCGTCCCGTGCCCCGAACCCGACCAACCAACGACCCACCCCTTACACTGGACTATATGCCACTATCGATGTTTCCCTTTTCCCTTTGGCTTCTTTGGCTTTTACTTGCTTTTTACTCCCTCTTCCTCCCCTCACTCGGTGCCTAGATCGATCGTGACCTTGACGCGCTCTCGACGCGTCGTAGCGTAGGAGATGACCACGATGCCGCGTCTCACGCACCACCACAACACACAACGTCGTCAATCTGTCGCCGCTACCGCATATACAGACGCGTGTCGTAGTTGGAGCAGTTGCTAGTTCCGTTCTCCTCTCTTCTTCTCTCCTCTGGTTCCTCTACCATCTACTCATCGTCCTTTTTTTTTCTTTCCCCCTCCATTCTGACCCCCCCCCCCCCCTTTTGGCCGCTCCCTCCCTACGCCACTGGTTCACAACTATGGACCTATTCGCCTGGAATCAGACCTACCGCATCTGGGTTTGTAAGACCTGCGAGCATGGCGTTCCGCCGCGAGGGATCTCAGGCCACCTCGGCTCGAAGAACCATCGCGACCACATAACTGCGAGAACGGGCAAGCAACGAGCCGCGGCCGCCCAAGAGGCCTGGTCCGTCGACCCGTGGGACCCTCACGTCGAACCATTCCGCCCCCCGCCGCCGGACTCCCTCCCTCTCCCAGAGCTCCCTGTCTACATGGGCTGGGGCTGCCTAGAGGACGGATGCGATTCGTACGCGGTACGGACCCCACAATCGATGCGACAACATCGATATCGAGACCATGGCATCCGCTGTCGTCTAGGGCGCCCTGACCCCTCGAAACCGTCGCAGCAGCCAGCCCTACGTCCCGTCAGCTGCCAACGATTCTTCCCAACGGGCCGGGGGAGTAGCTATTTCATTGTGACGCCTACTGTGCAGGTCCAGCGGGCTCGGCACGTCCTCGAGATGAGCGAGGCGGAGTTCGTACAGACGCAGGTGGCGGACGCGCTCCAGCGCTCCGATAGGCTCACGCGGGCCGACGAGGAGGTCGCGCCTACGCATAGCGACCCGACCGAGTACTCGCCGTGGCTCGAGCTCACGCGGTGGCCGGAGTACGTTCGTGGGCACGCCTTCCGCGATCTGGCTATGCTCGCCGCCCTACCCGATCCTACGGCGGAGCCGATCCTCCAGGCCGTTGAGCAGAGCGTCCAACGGCTAGTCCAGGCGGCGTTCGACTCTATTACTAGCTACCGCATCAACGAATTCGACCAGGTAAAGATCAATAGCTTCCTCCAGCGACAGGGCGTCTGGGACCGCCCCATCCACATCCGCCTCCGTCCTAAGACGTACCGCCGGTATCAGCAGATCTGGGTACGGCTAATTAGCTTCGTCATTCGGACTAGCCGGCCTAACCAGGCTATCGATCTAAAGCACCAGCCTACTACGCGGCAGCTCGAAGCTGTCGACCGGATCGACCAGTTTGCCCAGCAGCTCTTAGGCCTAGAGATCGAGAACGGCCTAGAGTCCCTAGACGCAGTAGAGTCCCCAGCCCAGGAACTCGGCCCGTCAAGTGGGCCCAAGGGCACCCGTAAGAGCTCCCCCGCCCAGCGAGCCATGGCCCAGCTCGACCGTGCATGCCTCGATCTCTCGATCGCGCTCCTCGACCACGAGCTCCGGGGCGATCTCTTCGAAAGCCCCCTAATCGGGTTTATGGCAACGATCGGGGTCGATGTACCGAACCAGACGTACCGCGACCCATTGAGCTACACCGGGCACCTGTCTGGCTTAGTTAAGATATCGCAGATGCTTGTAGCCCAGCGGGCTGTACAGCTCGCGGACGACGGCGAGGTTGAGCATCCGGGCGACGCACTCGACCGCATGCGGGAGCGCTTCCTTATGTTCGGGGTTCACGCCCCCTTTGGGTGGATTACCCGGCTCCGGGCCTACGGCAAGAAGATCCAGAACACGACGACTAGTATAGGGTATATCAACTGGAACGACGACCACGACGCCTTAAGCTATCGGGAGCTCCACCTAACTATGGATGGCCTTCGACGATTCGTCCGCGTAGAGGTCGAGCTCGCACAGTACGACCTCGAACGACTCTTCCTCCTTAGCGAGGACGACGAGCGAGAGGGGGTAGTACCGGAGCTCCCGCTACATCGGCTCGCCGACGATCCGGTGAATAATAAGCGGGGGTGGAATTTCCTCCAGGACCCACGCAATCAGGCCATCCTGCCAACCACAGGCCAGCAGTGGCTCCTACAACGCGTTCTTATGAGCGAGTCGCTCCGCAAGGAGTTCACCGAGGTACGGCGGTCGGACTCGAGCGTGATCTGGCGCCCACATGCCGTGAAGGAATATCTCAAGCTTGTCGATCGATTCCTACAGCGGCTCCTCTTACTCATATTTATGACCGGAGGACAGCCACCACGAGGGACGGAGTTGCTAGCTCTTCGGCACCGGAACACACCAGAAGGGCGACACCGAAACATCTTTATTGAGCATGGCCTAGTGAGTACGGTCACGGCCTATTCTAAATCACAGCGCGTCACAAACACGACGAAGCTCATCCATCGCTATCTCCCCCAGGCCGTTAGTGAACTTCTCGTGTACTATCTGTGGCTGATCCTCCCATTCACAGAGGCGGTGACTATGCTTTCACAGGGGAAAGATCGAATGAACCAGTCCCCTTTCCTATGGCCGTACGACAAGGGGCACTGGGATCCCGCCCGCCTTGGGATCATCCTCAAGCAAGAAGCAGCAGCGCAGCTCCAGACCCGGATTAACGTACTGTCTTGGCGGCACGTCGCGATTGGGATCTCTCGTATGCATCTTAAGTGCGGTGGATTTAAGCGCGATTACGGAGTGGAGGATCAAGTAGTCGACCAGCAGGCTGGGCACGGGTCGTGGATGGCGGCTACAGTATACGCGCGGGGGTTGCAGGAAGCGCCTGGAGTGATCGAGGGCCGACGGGTCCGGTTCCGTGGGATTAGCCGTGAGTGGCATACGTTTCTTGGCTTTGCAAGGCCACTTAGTCGCAAACGCAGTTATAGCGAACTCGACGTAGGGGGAGAGGCCCTACAGCGAAAACGTAGACGGGAGTGGATCACGTTCGAGCTAAGTGGTGATGAACGGTAGGCCAGGATCTGATGTAATACCAATTTCAAACGTCTATAGATATTCAACATACGCTTGTGATAAAGTCTAGAACTGAGATCTACTTTGTATAGCATAGTGTAGTGTAGTATGGCAATAATAGCACGATCGAATCGTCTTGAGTCTACAAATATATGTAATATATAACGAGCCAGCATATATATCTAGCATAACAACACATATCGAACACACACTCACTCGCCACGTACTAAGATCTAGTTTATATATTATAGTTTGGGCGATTATAAAATGATTCAATTGTCTTATTATGCGAATGGCTAGATTTAGAATAAGGTAGTATCTTAAAGTGGTTGGATCAAGAAATTAGTAGGGTGGTACGCCGTCCTTACGGACTACATATACTAACCTAATTCGGCTTAGTTCCCGCACTTACGCGTATAAGGTTGCGTTAGCGCAATATCAAAACGACTCCATAAGTACATCACGCTTTTGACGTTTTCCTTCATAACTCGACCACTATAGCAGCTACAGAGCCTAGATTTGGATATAGGACTTATATTCGGACACCCTAGCCAACGGGGGTATAAGGTACGGGCACCATCCCATATTGGGCTAAGGCCTTAACTATGGGATCGATTTTGGCGCTAAGGGGCCGATACCTAATGCTTTCGCCGAGTCGCCCGAATGCCTTCCCAGCCCTAGCCAACGGGGGTGGGAGCAGCGGACTCGCCTGGCATAAGGGTGTAAGTCTATACTATAGATAAGAAAAGTGGGGCCATAAGCCTATTTCCGTTAGCAATAAAAGCCCACTACCATAAGGATTACTTGTCCAATAAGTATCAGAGTTTAGTATGTGAAAGAGCGATAATTAAATCATACGCATTTTGAATCGGAGTCTAAAATTCCGATTCGAAGGGGTGGTTGCAGGGATATAAAATGGTCGGGTTATTTTGGTTGGGTAAGATCGGGGCCACCCCCGACCAGCATCACCATACAATAGCGTCGACTTATCATTTTCAAAATTAGTCTAAAGCGGAAGAGATTTTCAGGGGTTTATTCAGGGCCTCGTCGTCGTATCCCATTTCCATTTGATCATAATCTGAGTGGTTTTGGATCTACGTCGATTACAACCACGAGTCAAAGATATACCACGATCAATTACATATATCTCCATATACGATGTCGACTATCCCCACCGCCGACCAGCTATTTGCACGAGCGACGCCATTTCCCATCATTATATGCCGGCAGTGCGAGTATGCTGTACGGCCAAAGCAGGTACTTTACCATTTAACCCACAGTCCGCATCGAATCCCCGTCTCGGTCGCCCGTCAGGTCGCCCAAACGATTAGTAATTGGGATTGTATCGAAGAAAATCCCGATGAACTTCAGTACCCCATATGGGTCGATCAGCCCATTAAGGGCTTACGTACTTATAACGATGGTCTTTTATGCAAACGAGGTCAGTGTGGCTACGTATGTCGGAATCTTAAGACGATGAAGATCCATTGGCGCCAGGAGCATAGTTGGTCTATACACGACCACGCAGGCAAGCCCCAACGATCCGAAATCGAAGCTAGTCAGCAGGCGATACAGGACTCGATGCTTCCAGTCATCTGCCAGCGATTCTTTAAGCATGGCCATGGCTCGCATTACATCCACGTTCGCAAGCCCGGCCCAGATCATGAACCCGTTGGACCGCCCCCCGCGCGGATGTAGTCGACCAACTCATCCAGCAGCTCGAACAGACGTACGTTGAATCGCAGGCCAACAACGACCATACGATCCAGGTCGGCCCGCTCGATGAGGCGAACCCGTGGCTACGACGGACGCAGTGGGCCACATATTTACAAGGTGCGTATTGATTCGTCGATCGTTGGCTTGACGGTAGAGAGAAAGAGTTTAAGCACCCCATCTTAGAACCCGGGTTTTAAGGAATGAGCTTAAAACCCAGGTTCTAAGGTAGGGCGCGCAGCCCAGCTTTGGCGGTTGATCGATTGATCCACGATTTGACTGACCAACGGCTCGTAGGCATTTCCCCCCGCGATATACTGAAGTCCATCAAGACCCCCCCGGAGGACGCCCAGGGCCCAGAAGGGGCTATGCGCGCCATCTGGGACGCTATGGATGGGGTCGCGCGGATCAGCCAGCGCATCACGAAGCAGACGGGCCATCTGATCCGTATTGAGGCCGCGCGCACGGAGAAAGACCAGAGCCCATACCAGCCGTTACAGGCGTACATGGATGAGGAGCAGATCCAGCGGCATGTCGAGCCATGGCAGCAGATCGTGATGTTTTTCGCCCGCACCCAGGTCGAGCACGATTGGCAGAGCCCGCCATACCGATTCACCCCCCGCCAGCGACGGGCATGGCAGGCACTATGGCGGTGTGCCCAAGACACGCGTGGGAGCCCCGACCCCATGGACAGCCAGGGCCAGGATCGGGGCCAGAGCCAGGGCGACCACACCGACGAGGAGTATCAGATGACTTCGATCCAGACCGCATGCATGGACTTTTGCATTGAGCTATTGAACCAGCGCATCGGCGCCGAAGAGTACGAGTGTGCATTGGTCTGCGCATTAGCCGTGCTTGGTCAGGGCCGTGATCGATGGCGGGACGCGGAGAGCTATCCCCCGATTTTGTCCAAGATGATCAAGATCAGCCGATTCATGGTATTACACAAATCATTACGATTAGATCCACGGGCCGAGGCGATCATCCAGTACATGCGCGACCGTCGGGAGCTCAGCGTGTGGTCCGTGGAGAGCCCGATGGACGATGTCGACTATACATACGCTGGGCAGGACGAGGGCTACGGGAGCGAGAGCGCACCAGGCAGCGCACCGAGCAGCGCAGCGAGTAGTCCCAGGAGTAGTCCCGGGAGTAGCCCAGCGTTTGAGCCCGTCCATCGTCGGGAGCCGATGCAATTCAGCCAGCAGCAGCGACGGAAACCACGACCGTTTCGCGAATGGCTGCGATTGTTGACGGACACGTTCATGGTCCGCGGCACGCATAGTCCGATGCAGTGGATGCTCGATCTGCGCACGTACGGTTTACGCATCCATTACAGCAGTACGGCCACCGGCCACGTGAGCTGGTCCGGCCAGGACGAGTTGCTTTACAAGGAGGTCCATTTCACGATGGGCGATTTCCGGGGCTTTGTCCACGGGTTGGTCAGCTCCATGCGCCAGCTGCTACACGAGGAGCTATTGATGTGCGACGCCGCCAGCGCCCCCACGATCCCATGGGACCAGATGATGGACGACCCGACGCAGCCCAAGCCCGGGTGGAGTTTTTTGAATGACAGTCGCACGCCGTGGCCCGTCCCCGGGGCACAGTGGCTGATAGGGCGGATCCAGAGCGAGCCCCGACTACAGCAGCGGTTCATCGACGGCCCCGAGCGTCGGTTCCGCATGCGGGCCATCGAGCGATACATGCAGAACGTGGTGGAGTTCCGCGAGAAGCTCAGCGTCGGCATCCATGTTACCGCCGGCCAGCCCGGACGGGCCCCCGAGCTGTTGAGTATCCGTCATCGCAACACCGAAGGGGCCCACCGCAATGTATTCATCGAGGACGGGCTCGTCGTGTTCGCCACGAAGTACCACAAGGGGTTTTATGCGAGCAACGACGCGAAGATCATCCATCGGTATTTGCCGCGCGCCGTCGGCGAGCTGGTCGTGTGGTATCTGTGGTTGGTGTTGCCATTCGTCGAACGATTGCAGGCGTTGCAGCAGCAGGTCCAGGGCACCAGCGAGGAGACCATCCAGACCATGCAAATGCGTGCATCGTACATCTGGGGCCCCGACCCCCACCGTGGCCGCGAGTGGACGTCGGAGCGATTCCGGGAAGCATTGAAACGGGAGACGACCGCCGGCTTGAAGGGACGCGCGTTGAATTTGCTCGCGTACCGGAACATCGCGATTGGCATCAGCCGGCGGTATTTACGGTGGTCCAGTGCATTCCCCGACAACGTCCAGAGTGAGCGAAGTGCCGAGACGCCCATGGACGAAGATCATGAACCGGGGATGGACTACGACCAGTTCATGGGCCACATCGCGGACTTACAGGCGGCGCATTCATCGCACTTGGCGGGGATGATTTACGGCCGCGAGATCACCGAGCAGGCCGGGACGACGGCGCACCGACGGGAGATGTTCCGATTGTCGAGCACGGATTGGCACCGGTTTTTAGGGTTCGAGAGCGCGGAGGACGCACTAGGACGGGTGCTGGGGAAGCGCAAGGCCGGGCCGTGGGAGAGCGAGGCCGACGAGCGGCGACGGCAGCGCCAGTGGCAGCTCCACCAGGCGAACATGACGGAGGCGTTGCAGCGGATGACCAACGACGACCAGAGCCAGTTCCGCGGTATCCAGGGGCCGGCCATGCAGGCGATCCAGCATGGGGTGAGCCCCGTGGTCGTCGTGATGCCGACGGGCGGGGGGAAGAGCATGTTGTTCATGTTACCGGCATGGGTCAGCGGCGGGCTAACGGTGGTCGTCGTCCCATTGATTGCTTTACGCCAGGACTTGCAGCAGCGATGCGCGGTGGCCGGCATCTCGTGCGTCGAATGGGAGAGCCGGCGGCCGCCCGACGAGGCGGCCATTGTACTCGTCACGCCCGAATCCGCGTTGAGTGAGGATTTCATCACGTTTTTGAACCGACAGCAGGTATGTCCCCCCGCGATCCGAGACCCCAGCCGGCGCCCCCAGTTTAGAACCGGGGTTATAAGGATGCGTTCGAACCCCGGTTTTAAAACGGGGGCCCAGGGATTAGGGTTGATGTCCCCATGTCCCACCGTCACCAACTGAGATGCCCCCCGCGCCCGCAGCTTATAAGCTGGGTTTTAAGAGGTCAGCAGAGGTCCGCTTAAAACCCAGGTTATAAGGTAGGCCCGCGCATCGGGCTTGAGGTTAGCATCGACGGAGCATAAGATCCATACTAATGTTCGCCCAGGTCATGAAACGGTTGGACCGCATTGTGATTGATGAATGCCACATCGTATTGAATCAGCAGCGTGATTTCCGGCCCATGATGCAGCAGCTTGGACGATTGATGATCGCACGGACGCAGGTGGTTTTGTTGACGGCGACATTGCCGCCCAGCTTAGAGGACCGATTATGGCAGCGCATGCGATGGTCCCGGGAGCAGGTCAGCTTGTTCCGTGGTCGAACCAGCCGGACCAACGTGGCATATCGTTTGTGGCGTCCGATCATTGAGCGGGAGTACAATGGGCCCCATCGTTGGATCCAGATGGATCATATCGCAGCATTCATCCGGGACCGCATCCGACGATCGCGGGGCGGGCGCACCATTGTGTACGCGCATATCGTCGAACATGTCACGACGATGGCGGAGATACTTGGGTGCGAGGCGTATTACCATGACCAGCTTGATAAGGCCGGCGTCTTAGAGCGGTTTCGCAGCCAGCCCCACGGGGTGGTCGTGGCGACGAGTACATTAGGGATGGGAGTCGACATCCCCGACATCCGCAGCATCATCCATTTGGGGCGACCACGAACGTTGCTGGATTACGCGCAGGAGAGCGGGCGCGCAGGTCGGGACGGTCAGGCGAGCGAGGCGATCATCATCCAGCCCGACGGGGTTGATACCCCCCCGCCGTGGATGCAGGACACGCCGTCCGCGGAGCAGCAGCGGGTAGATGCATATATGTCAGCCAGTCCATGCCGGCGGGTCGTTTTGGACGGGTATTTGGATGGCGTGGTAGATGGATACCAGCGATCCCATTGTGGGGATCACGATTATGGTTCGGTCACCAGTGAGGCACGATGTGATGGGTGCGACCCCGATTGGCAGGTGATAGAAGAGTAGGAATCCAGCGAAGCTGCCAGTCCGAGAACCAGCCCAGAAGCCAGCCCAGAAGCCAGCCCAGAAGCCAGCCCAGAAGCCAGCCCAGAAGCCAGCCCAGAAGCCAGCCCAGAAGCCAGCCCAGAAGCCAGCCCAGAAGCCAGCCCAGAAGCCAGCGAGACGGCCAGCAGTATTGATTCCGAGAGCTTACAGTCACAGGCACCATGGGAGAGCCCCATTCATGATCACATACAGACCATGGCGGCCGGCACAGGATCCAGTCATCACATACAGACCATGGCGGCCGGCACAGGATCCAGTCATCACATACAGACCATGGCGGCCGGCACAGGATCCAGTCATCACAGGCAGACCATGGCAGCCAGCGCAGAATCCAATGACCACAGAGGTATTCCATTTGGGGTCCGGCAACAGTTCCAGCAGCAGGAAATTGATCGCGCACGCATGTCCGAGCAGCATCAGCAGGCGCGGCAGCAGGAACTGACAGACGAAGAGTTTTTAATGCAGCAGGCGCGGGAATGGCAGGATCGTTGTTGGATTTGTGCGCAGGAAGGCCGGAATGCTGAGCACGAATTATACCATTGTGCCCAGCCCAGTAGCCAGCAGGCGCGGGATTGGATGATTCGAGTCCGGCGGCGGGTCCAGTACGCGCGATATACCAGTTGTTTCCAATGTGGGATGCCACAGACATTATGCTCCGGGTGGTCCAGTGGGGAATGCGCGCACCGCGGATTATTATACGCGATGGTTGGGATGATGTTGTTTGGAGGCCCCAAGCAGGAGCAGGTCCAGCGATTATGGGAGCAGCGATTAGCTGAGCAGGGGGTGAGTGCACAGGATGAGCCGCAGGTGACAGCGTTTTTAGGGCAACGCAGTACCCAGGGGTGGGAGAAGCATACGGAGTTAGTTCGTGCATTCATATGGTTGCGGCGGATATATCATGAGGTTGGGATGTAGGAGGGAGGGTTTAGTCGAGAGATATATATCCACGATCCGAATTTCCAAGCCAGTTTGGAGGCAGATTCGGTAGCCGATTTTTATTTTGGAGGTCCAGCAGGCCAGTTTAAATACCAGGCCATATTACACACCCGGTTGGACACCAAGTAAGACAACCAGATTCGGGTGTTATAGTTGTATCAATTCCATTCAGGGTTAGGCAATTGTTTAGTAGTATGCCATAGTAGGAGTCAGTATCATAATTATTAGAGCCATAATTCATAAGTCGAGAGTAAGATATATCATTATGAATCCAAATATATAGATCCATATTCCCATTTTGATTACTCAGTGATTGATAGGGATCATAATGGTTAGGGAGATAGATGATAGAGAGGGGATTATATGGAGTATCATCATTTAGATTGAAAGCAAGATTAATCAGAAATAGAATGGTTAGGGTGATAGATGATAGAGGGGATTATATAGAGTTAGACATTTCGATAGATAGGAAGATCAAGTAGAAATACAATGGTTAGGGAGATAGATGATGGGGAGAGGATTATATAGAGTATAACATTTCGATAGATAGGAAGATCAAGCAGAGATACAATGGTTAGGGAGATAGATGATGGGAGAGGATTATATAGAATATAACATTTCGATAGATAGGAAGATCAAGCAGAGATAGAATGGTTAGGGAGATAGATGATAGGGGAGGATTATATAGAGTATAACATTTCAATAGATAGGAAGATCAAGTAGAAATACAATGGTTAGGGAGATAGATAATAGGAAAGGGATTATAGAGAGTATCATCATCTTAATAGTAAGTAAGATTAAGCAGCAATATAATAGTTAGGGAGATAGATGATCAGGAGGGGATTATAGAGAGTATCATAGTTGAGATAGATAGAAAGATTAATTCAAAATAGAATGGTTAGGGAGATAGATGATAGGGATTATAGAGAGTATTATAGTTCACATAGTATGTAAGATTCAGTAGAAATATCATATAAGGGAGATAGATAATAGAGGGGATTATAGAGAGTATTATAGTTTAGATAGTCAGTAAGATTCAGTACAAATATAATGGTTAGGGAGATAGATGATAGGGAGAGGATTATATAGAGTATAACTATTTAGATTGATAGGAAGATTCAGTAGAAATGTAATAGTTAGGGAGATAGATGATTTCGAAGGGAATTCATGGATATCATTATTTAGATCGTAAGTTAGATTTAGTAGAAATATGATGGTTAGGGTGATGGATGATTTTGAAGGGGATTTATTAAGGATATAATTGGATTAGTGTTTTATGATTGAGGAGGAGGTTTATAGAGAGTATAATGATTTTGTTTGAAGGGGGAATTATAGGGAATATAATGGTTAGGGTCATAGATGACTAGGGATAAGAATTTGATATATAGGGAGAGTAGAAGGGGGAGAGTAGAAGGGGGAGAGTAGAAGGGGGAGAGTAGAAGGGGGAGAGTAGAAGGATTTTGGTTCGATAGGGAGTTAGTATCTGAAAATTTGATGTTATTGATTAGATGATGAGTTCGATTTAATAATCTGATAGGAAGATTCATGATGGTATTCATAGATTAAGATTTTTATTTGGATTTATGGAGGAGAGAGGGGAGATGAATTTTATTATTAATGGTATTCGTTATTTCGAAAGCGACTTAGTATTAGTGTTATTAATGATAGGGATTTGTATAGAATGTTTTAGGAGGGGTTTCATTTATTTAGATATTAAGTCGAAGAAGGTAAGGGCGAAAGTCAGAGATTGATTGTGGTTAGGGTGATCGGAAAGAGAGAGATTCAAGGTGGTTAGGGTTTGAAATGATGGGGGAGTAGGAGTAAGAGGGATAGGAGGAGTTTCAGTATAGGTGATGATCGATATAAGCCATATTCGAGTTAGCGTTAGAGGTGATAAGCTAAGCGAGTCACGTTAGAGTTAGAGTTAGAGGTGATGAGCGAAACGAATCACATTAGAGTATTAGAGGTGATGAGCAAAGCGAGTCACATTAGAGTTAGAGTATTAGAGGTGATGAGCGAAGCGAGTCACGTTAGAGTTAGAGTTAGAGGTGATGAGCGAAGCGAGTCACGTTAGAGTTAGAGTTAGAGGTGATGAGCGAAGCGAGTCACGTTAGAGTTAGAGTTAGAGGTGATGAGCGAAGCGAATCACGTTAGAGAGTTAGAGTTAGGGTAGCCCGTACCGGTTAGGACACCGGTACAGGGCTTAGGGTAGGGTTAGGGGTGTTAGGGTGTTAGGGTGTTAGGGTGTTAGGGTGTTAGGGTGTTAGGGTGTT